AGGAGGTATCCCCCCCCCCAAAAAAACGAAGAAAACCTAAAAGCAATCGACTCACATCCCCACCACCGGGCCCTCCGCCACCTTCGCCGCCAGCGCGCTCTTCGCGTCGAGCCCTTCCCATTTCTTGGTGCGTTTTTTGTCTTTGGACTTCTTTGATGTTGGGATGGCCTGGAGGGGGGTGTCAGTCAGTCCTCTGTGGAGCGGCTGTCGGTCAGTCCTTGTGCTTTCCCTTCCCCCTTTTTTTCCCCCCCCTTTATTTCTTTGCCCCCCCCTTTATTCCTTTGGCCCCCCCCCCCCCCCTCGCACACTCGCATATTCGCACCCCCCCCCCTCCACCCACTCCCCCTCGCACATTCGCTCCCCTTCCCTCTCTCCTGTACCACATACAAACCGAAACACACTCATCGCACTCACCTCCACCACCCTCTCCCCACCCGCCCCCACCCACACCCGCCCGTCCGCGAGGCCGGCGGCGAGGACACCCGTGGCGGACATCGCGGAGGCGAGGATGAAGGGCGGGGAGAGGGAGATTCCGTTGGAGGTGGAGGTGGGGGAGGGAGAGATTCCGCCGGACGTGTCTTCGGAAGGTGGCGCTGGAGAAGGGAGGGTGTCAGCCTGGCGTTCGACGGTCGTTCTCATAGGGCCCTTTGCGCCCTCCTCCTGCCCAACCTTCACGCCCTTCCCGCACTCTTCGCACGTTATCCCCACCCCTCCTTCCCCTTCTGTGCCCTCCTTCACGCCCTCCCACCCCCTCTCCTTTGACCCAGAAAGAAACGCTGACTCACCCCCCACCTCCCCCCTCCCCAACACCCCGCCCGCCTCCCAATCGTGCAGCACCATCTGACAGTCGTACCCCCCGCTCACGAGCTCGCGCGGCCGGTGCGGGACGGGGTGGAGGGTGGAGGCGAGCTGTTGATTGATTTGTTGAGTTTTTGTGGGTGAGGGGGAGTTTGAGTTGGTGGGGGTGAGGTTTTGTGCAGGGTAGGCGGGGAGAGGAGGGGAGAAGGGGGAGTGAAGGGGGTGAGGGGGAGTGAAGAGGAGTGAGTTTGGGTAGGGAAGGGGTGAAGGGGAGTGAAAGAGGGTGAGGGCGAAGGCATGAGGGCGAACGGGAGGGATGAAAGCAAGGATATGGGAGGGGGAGAGGCATGAAAGCGTCGGGGTTATGGAAAGGAGAAACGCACATTCGAATGCCTTCCTCTTAATCTTCTGATTTTTCCGGGGTCAATGTCGAGCACGCCGACCTTGTCTACTTCCAGCACGCCCACCGCGCCCGCGTCGGTGCAGAACGCGAGGTGCGTGCCGCGGGGGAGGAGGGCGAGCTGGGTGGTTGTTAGCGATATGGAATGATGAGTGGTATTCGATGATGAGCAGTTTTTCGATGGAAGCAGCATTCGGATGATTAGCAGTATGCGGCGATGATTTCGGACGTGCAGCTACGCGAAAAGGGAGCATATCCGCCTCAATGCAAGAAGAAGGCACTGTCGACGTGAAGAACCATCCCCACTCACCCCATTGACCGCATCCCCCTCGTCCTCCTCGCACACATCGACCGCCGCCGCCGCGTCCTTCGCCGTCTGCAGCATGGGTGCGCTGGGCGAGAGGTCGAAGTGGAGGACCTGCAGACGCGCGTGCGGACTTGGTGAGCTTTCTCATGTGTCCACAGGGAAAAACCGTCCACAGGGAAGAACCGTCCACAGGGAAGAACCGTCCACAGGGAAGAACTGTCCACAGTGAAGAACCCAACTCACTTTCCTCCCACACGCGACCCAGGCTCGCAAACTTGATTCCTTGTCCGCACCCTTCCCCTTGTCCGTGTCCGCACCCTTCCCCTTGTCCTTGTCCGTACCCTTCCCCTTGTCCTTGCCCGTATCCTTCCCCTTCTTATCTGGCACGACGATGGCTATGCTCGCCACCTCGTCCCCGAGCCCGCGCACTGCGCGCAGGACCTTTCCGTGCGTTAGGTCGTAGACGCGGAGGGTGCCGTCGGCTGGGAGGGGACGGCCCGTCAGTGTAAGTTGTCATGTCAACAAATAGGAGGGAGGGAAAGAAATGGGACGGAGGGAAAGAGATGGAAAGAGGGAGAGGGGGTGGGCGAGGGTACGTGAAGGAAGGGGGGAAGGAAGTGATTGTGAAAGAGGGAATGGAGAAGTACAGGATGATTGAACAAGAGCACCCACCCGAGCCAGCAATCAGCGTGTCCGCACAGATATCATGCGGCACGAGAGCGAGAGCGGTGATCTGGGCGGGGGTGTGGAGGGTTAGGGCGGGTGGTGGGGCGTCGGTAGTGAGGGAGGTAGTGTCGATTGTGGTGGGAGCGGCCTTGTTTGGGGTAGGTGCAGCGTCGCTCGTGGTAGGTGCAGCGTCGTTCACGGTTTGCGTAGCGTCGGTTGTGGTAGGAGTGGTCTCGGTCGCGGAGGGTGCAGCACTGATAGTTGCGGGTATGGCTTCGTTTGTGGAGGTAGCGGCGGCGGTCGTGGTAGGGTTAGCGTCGCCTATACTCCCGGGAGGAATAGCGTCGCCCATACTCGGAGCAGCGTCAATCGCGAAGGCTGTCGCATCGTCCGCGGTCGCAGCAGGAGAATTCATCGGGGAATCGCTCTCTTCATCGACGGTATACCGTCGTAGGGTAGACTGTGGTAGCATGTAGATTGTCCGTGTGCCGATAGCCGCTGTCGTGTGTAGTGACACTGACAAGCGCGTCAATCAAGGCGCGTCGATCACCGAGGGCGCGCTGATCGGGACGCGGTCCGGATAGCCGCCCCCTTCCCGATCGACAATTTGATCGGAGGCGCTTGTAGCAGACGCGCCGACGCCATCCTTCAGCGACCCTTGTCTCACAACACGCCCACGCAGTCCTCTGCGCTACGGTCAAGCCATCTACAACTATGGCGAAAACGACGACCACGACGCTGCAGCCAGCATCCGTCTCCTCCGAGCCCCCTCGCCCTCGAAAACGCGCCCGCCGCGACGCCTCCCCATCCGCCCCTTCCCCTACCTCTACCTCCACCCACTCCCCCACCCCCCGCCTCTTTTCTCCCTTCCGCGCCCTTGGCATCATCACCAACCACGTCCCCTTCGCCCTCCAGGCCCGCTCCCACAAGGGCGCCGTCGACGGCCCCCGCGTGCACCTCCTCACCTCCGTCGGCCGCTCCTACGCCCTGTGGGAGGCCAACAAGATGACGCTGCTGTTCGTCGGCACGCCCGCGCCCCAGCCGATCGCCGCCCTCGCGATGGACGGGGACGCGGTCTGGGCGGCCGCGGGCGCACACCTCATAAAGTACCTCCGCGGCAAGGAGGTGCTGAGGGCGGGGAATCCGCACGCCCGGCCCCTCGCCACCGCGACCATATTCGGCAATCAGATTCTTGCCCTCGAGGAGGGAGGCGGGCGCCTGCTGCTGTTCAGCACGGCGGACGGCGAGCTGGTGCGCGACATCGCGTTCGCGGCCGGCTTCACCGCGACCCGGCTCCTCCACCCCGCGACCTACCTCAACAAGGTGCTCGTCGCGTCTGCGGAGGGCGGCATGGAATTGTGGAACATCAGGGACGGCGCGCGGATATATGCGTTTGATGCGCGGGGGCTGAGCCCGGGATCGGGGGCGAGTGCGGTGACGGCGCTGGTGCAGGCGCCCGCGGTGGATGTCGTCGGCATCGGCTTTGCGGACGGGGGCATCGCGGTGCACGATGTGCGCGCGGATGAGCGGCTGCTGTCCTTCGACATGGGGCTGGGCTCCAATATGGGATTGAGCTCCAGCGTGGACGGCAGCACCTCTTCTAGCTCTTCCCCCATCCGCGCCCTCGCCTTCCGCACCGACGGCGCGCCCATCCTCGCGTCCGCCGACGCCTCGGGTGCACTGGCGATCTGGGACCTCAATGCCCCGGCCAAACTCCTCCACCTCGTCCACGGCGCGCACGACGCGGGGGTCACTGCACTCGAGTGGGTGCCCGGGCAGCCGCTGCTGATTAGCGCGGGGGAGGATAATTCGGTGAAGGTGAGTGGTTGGGCTGTGTTTATTCTTTTTCATCATCGCTGGCTTCCCTCTTCATCCCTCCTGGATTCGCCTTTTCCACCTCTATTGGCTTCGCCTGTCAACTACTATCGAACACCCCAACTAACCACCCCCCACCCAGCAATGGCTCTTCGACTTACCCACCGCCGCCCCGCGGCTCCTCAAATCGCGCACGGGCCACCGCGCGCCGCCCACGCTCGTCCGCTTCTACGGCGCGGACGGGAAGCAGGTGCTCACCGCGGGCCCGGATCGGGCGCTCCGGCTGACGAGCTTGGTGAGGGAGAGCCGGGGGTGCGAGATGTCGCAGGGGCGGGGGACGATGGGGGTGAGTGGGCGTGCTTTGGTATGGTGGCCGATGCGCTGATCTGGCTCTCATTTTTTGTGAATCCATCTCATCGTGCTTACGACCGCACTCGCCTGCTACCACGACCTTACTCGCCTGCTACCACGACCGCACTCGTCTGTCACCACGACCGCACTCGTCTGTCATCACGACCTTACTCGCCTGCTACCACGAACGCACTCGTCTGACAACACGACCGCATCGTCTGCCACCTCTACCAGCCCAACCCACCTCCCTCGCAGCCCAACCCGCCCACCCCCAAACCCAAGCTCGCCCCGATCACCGCCCTCGCCTCCAGCACCGCGCACGCGAAGGACTGGGACGACGTCGTCACGGCGCACGCGGGCGACCGCTTCGCGCGCACGTGGAGCACGCAGAACAAGCGGCTGGGCAAGTACGCGCTGGAGGGGGAGGGGGTGGTTAAGGTGAGTTTCTTGGGGTCTGTGGTAGTAGTAGTGATCGGGGAGGCGCTCTTGTTGCGGATTTGGGTTTGGCGTGATGTTGCGGTTTGGGATCCTATGCGAGCTTTTGGGATCCTGTGCGAGTTTGGGATCCTGTGCGAGTTTGGGGCACAGCGCGACTTTGAGCTCGAGAGAGGGCGAGGAATACGTGCACAGAGTGCTAACACTCTCACAGGCCACCGCCCTCACCGCTTGCGGCACCTTCGCACTGGCCGGCGGCGCGGGCGGCGTCGTCCGTATGTGGAACGCGCAGTCCGGCGTGCTGAGGAGGGTGTTCAAGGTGGGAGACCTCGGCACGAAGGGAGAGACTAGTACAGCAGCAAGCGCTACACGCTATCGCAAACAATCCGACCGCACGATCACCGGCATCGCGACGGACGCCCTGAACACGGTGCTGGTAGCGAGCACGCTGGATGGGACGATCAATGTAGGTTCCTTGCTTGCTTTTTTTCGTTGTTGGCAAGTGTGCTCACCAACTACGCTGCGCTCTAGTTCTTCGACTTCCACACCGTGGACCTCCTGCACACGCTCACCATCGCGCCGCTGTCTGCGTCTGCTACCTCTGGCGCCTCTCACCCCTCCGCGTCAACGTCGAACCCCCACACCTCCTCCACATCGAACCCCTACTCCTCCACACCTCACCCCTACACCTCTCCGCCCACCCCACCCGCCATCACCGCCCTCCACCTGCACCGCGACAGCGGGCTGCTCGCCGTACCCTGCGACGACCTCGCCGTGCGCGTCGTGGACCTCGAGACGCGCGCGGTCGTGCGTGTGCTGAGGGGCTTTGGGGGGAGGATCATGGATGTGGTGAGTAGCGGGGTCTTTTTTTCTTCAGCCGACGTGATTTATTCTGTTGTCGGAGAGTTGCGGGGTCTTTGGTCGGCGTGATAATTTCTCGGTCGGCATGGTTCTGCCTTCAACGTGGTCCTGTCTTCGACGTGGTTCTGTCTTCGACGCGGATCTGTCTTCGACATCAATATTCCTCTTCCTGTGACCAAATGTCCCTAACCCCTCTCTCCAGACCTTCTCCCCCGACGCCCGCTGGCTTGTCGCGGCCTCCCTCGACGCGGCGATACGCACTTTCGACGTACCCTCGGGCCGCCTGATCGACGTCTTCCGATGTGTGAATGAGGCCGCTGAGGTTCCCGGTGTCGGCCAGCAGAAGCGTAAAACGAACGGCGTTGCGAAGCTCCAAAGCGGCACCCCAAGCACGCCGACGAGCGTCGCCTTCTCCCCCGCGGGCGACTTTCTGGCGACGACGCATGTGGATAGTGTGGGCGTGTTTTTGTGGTGAGCGATCGAACACATCACCTAGGGGTGTGGGATGGGTAAACGGGATGCTGACGTCCTGGCACAGGGTCAACCGCGCGCAGTTCACCGACGTCTCCTTGCACGGCGTCGCCGACAGCGCCGGCGCGGCAGTCGTCCTGCCTGGCATGCAAGGCGATGCGGAAGAGGAGGGTGCGCACCCTTCATTACCCCAACTACGACAACCATGACTTACTTCCCCTTTTTATCCAGCCCTCGACGCTTTATCTGCTTTGACTGTTCAGGACCCCATCGCCGAGCTGCCACCCACGGCGACGCCTCCACAACTCTCGGGCGATCTTGTCACGCTGACACTCCTTCCGCGCGCGCGGTGGATGACGCTGTTGAACCTGGATGTGATCCAGGTGCGTTCTGTTCTGTCTTTCACGTCAAGTGGAAATTCGGCGTAGCTCACGCATTCCCCAGCTGCGCAACAAGCCCAAAGAGCCGCCCAAGGCGCCCGAAAAGGCTCCCTTCTTCCTGCCTACTGTGCCGGGCGTGAACCCCACGTTCGATTTGACCGCTGCGGCGGCCAACACCAGCACCGGCGAAGACAGCGAAGCCGCGAAGAAATCGCGCCGCCTCGACTCGCTGGAGAACGGCTTCGTGCGAGCCTTGACAGAAGAGGGGCCGGATGGGAGCTGTGAGTCGCTTCACAAGCCCATCCCAGCCCCCTACCCGTATACTGATAACCTCATACTGATAACATCCGCCCCTCCAGACGACGCCCTCTTCACCCTCATCAAGACCCTCTCCCCACCCGCCCTCGACGCCGAGCTGCGCTCCATGACCGCGCCCGCCCACCAGGCCCGCCTCCTCCGCGCGCTCACCCAGAGGCTGCGCGCGCGCCGCGACTTCGAGGCCGTGCAGGCGGTGATGGGTGTCGTGTTGAAGATCTGGGGCGAGAGTCTGGTGGGCTCGGCGACGCCGGCGTCGTGGAACGTGCGCACGCCGTTGGATGGGGGTGGGGGGATGAACGGGAAAGGCAGCGGGCCAATGAACGTGGACGACGACGCGGACGAGCTGAGGGACGCGCTGGCAGAGCTGAGGGAGGTGCAGGCGAAGGAGAGCGAGCGGGTGCTGGGATTAGTGGCGGCGTCGTTGGGGACGTTGGGCTTCATTAGGGAGACGTTATGAAGCTGTAAAACCTGAACTCTGTTGTGTAGCTCTGTAGCACAGCATGCCCTGCATCATTGTTGTTTCTTTCGCTAGTAGAATCACTTTGGCCTTCGTTGGTCATGATAACTATCGCGTGGGTCCGGGGCCGACCATGTCTGTGATTATGTACGCAACAATCCAGATCGCCTATGGCAGTGGTTCACCTTGGCGCATGTACTGTATCCTGTGCTCTCACCAAACAGAGCACAGGTCTGCATTCGCGCTATACAGTATAGACACCTGACAATGGAGCTCGGGCTGGGATTTAACCCAAAATTCAGCCAATGACCTCCGCCGTCCCTGATCCAGAAGTACAAGGCTTGTACTTGCGTGCGCCACAGTGCCACCACTGGCCTCTTGTTGAGGCCTGCCGTTAGCGCTGACGGTAAAACCTATATTTTGCTTCGATGTGCGGCAAACCTCGGCAAACTCATCGGGACGGACATCGACAATCCCGAGCCAAAGGCGCTTAGGTTCCCTCTCGCATGGCACCTGTGCCAGGCAATGCTGACACGATTTGCACGAAGCTATTGCAGAGAGGCTTTGCGCTCTAACGCTCTGAAAGTATCTGAATGTTTCTGAGCGGTACCTCGGAGATATTACCGAATGGGGCGGGTTCATCAGTACCCTGAGACACGTGTATCCCCAGCATCGTCCTCCGTACCATCACTAGGCCCTCCTCCTCGCTGGGCCTGCTAGGCTATTCCAACATCCACGATGGATCTGACTGACCTGTTCACTTACAATCGCGCTCCTGATGACCACGAAAGACAACATCTGCTAGCTCTCCTTTCAGCTAGTGCGGGTGATAACATGGCAGCCGAGCTCGGCGCGGTCGAACCTGCACGCCGGGGAGCGAATCAAGCGCGCGACAGTCTCAGGCGTCGAGTGCCCCCCAGGCCTGCGGCCTTGCGCGCCAAGCGCGAAGCGCTCCGTGTATTACAACAAATCCGCTGTGCCCTATCTGGCGTTCGCCGGCTGCCAGCGGAGATACTACAGCTCATATTCCAGTTGACTCTTCCGGAGTCTCGACATGCTGGGCTTATGCAGGAGTCACCACTGCTTCTCCTGATGGTCTGTCGCTTCTGGCGCGATGTGGCTCTCGCGACACCCGAGCTATGGACGAGTATCAGGATGGTCTGCAATCCGTACGAGGAGGGTCCCGACGTCGATCCAGGCAATCACGCCCGACGTCGACACGAACAAGTCGTACGCGCCGCTGAACAGTGGGCCGCCCGTTCTCATCCTTACCCTCTTGATATATATGTCGAGGGGGAGGTTGTCAAGCACAACTGGCGAACGGACGTACATTCCGGCGTACGCCAGGCGCTCAAGGTCATGCTCCCGTACGTCCAGCGCTGGAGACGGCTCGAGATCATCGCGATGGCCAAGGACCTACAGCCGCTTGAAGACCTCCGCGGCATGGACCTTCCCACCCTCACAGCCTTCGAATTCCAGGAGCGAGGACACGATCCCATATCCTTGTTCTACGTCGGCACCTACATCAAGGGCGCGCCGAAGCTCAGCTCGCTAAAAACCAGCAGCGCGTCCTGTCGTCAATGTGTATCGCTGCGCTGCGTCGCAGACCCACGCCTGCTGGTCGACGTTCACGTACGCGCAACATACGCGAACAACAACGAACTCGACGTTCTGCGCCACGCATTCGCCTGCCTGCAGCGATTCGTGAATCTCGAGGAGCTATCCATCGAATTGGTCAGGTCACGACAAGGCTTCATCACGATCCCAGGACCGCACACCCAGTTTCCAGTCGTGCAACCCGCGCGCCTGCCCCGCCTTCGTCGACTGATGGTAGCCAGCGACGACCGCGCTGCCACCGTCACTTTCCTGGATCGCATAGATGCCCCTCATCTCGCTGAAATCGAGTACCGCAACAAGCGGCACGAAAACATCCGCCCGCTTGTCTCCTTCTTGGCCCGCTCGAAGGCGCCAGTGAAGACTATGCGTCTAGGCATCAAGCGGTGGCATAAAGACTACGACGAATGTCTGGAACTCGTGCCGAAGCTGGAGCATCTGGAAGTGACCGGACTCGTTCCACGGATCGCGAAAGTGGCCCAACGTAATCGCCTCGCCCCCGCGCTCGATTGGGACACAGACCTGTGCCCGCGCCTGCAGTCGCTGAAGATGATAGACGTGTGGGGCGTGGACGAGTTGTGGTTGTGGGGATTTTTGCGAGAGCGTTCGCGCCGACGCAAAGGCCAAGCAAAGTTGCAGTCGGTGGAGGTGCGGTTTGGAGTCAAGTTGCGCGAGGATCTACTCGAACGCATCTCGGCATACTCTCAGAGGGGTATTGATGTAATTTTCTCGTACGTCGAATGAAGATTTAGGAGACCTTTGTGATCACCTGTAGCGAGAAGCATTGTAATACACTTGGTACGAGTACATATATCTCAGCAATGCTATGTGGCCTTTCTACAGTCCGACTTGTCAGCCACGATGATGCCCACATGCCTCAGCAATGCTGCAGCTGGTTGGGCGAGGTGACAACCGCATCTTCTGGCTGCGATGAGCGATACAGAAACAAAGCCTTGAGTACATGTTACATACATTGCATGTCACTTTCAGCAACCTTCTCAAGCAAGTTCCAAATAGCGCTCGACTGTAAGTACAGAAAATCAGCTCAACATTCTGCTTTTGTAGAATACAACACCACTCACCTTCCCAATCCGTCACCGCCGCATTCCACAACCCCACCTCATGCTCCCGCGTGCCGCCGAAGTGATCGACGAACGCATCCCCCAGCATCCCCTCCTCCCTCGCCACGCTCCCCTCCCGCATCATCCTCTGCGTCGCCGCCTCCAGGGACAGCGGCAGCATCGGCACCTTCCCGTTCGCCCGGTCCTCAGGCTTGTACGTCGTGATGGGCGGGCCGAGGGGCAGCTTGCGCTCGATGCCACGCAGGCCGGCGAGGAAGATCGCACTGAGGGCGAAGTGGGCTTGAACGTCGGCGCCGGGGACGCGGACCTCGAGGCGGGTGGCGGAAGGCGGACAGGAGGGCGGAGCGATGAGGCGGACGGAGGCGGCACGGGAGTCGTAGCCCCATGTAACGGCGTTGGGAGCCCAGAAGGCGGCGCCGCCGGCTAGGCGCTTGTAGCCGTTGACAGTGGGTACGAGCTGGAGAGCGTTAGTGAAGGGAGGGTTATGTGACGATATACTGCGGCAGAACTCACTGTGGGCATGACTGCACAATGTATATGGTCAGTACGGGGGACAAAGACCGGATTGAAGGTACGTACTGTCGGGAAGCGCGTCCAGCACACCTGCGAGGAACCACTCGCCCTCCTGGCTGACGAACTTGGTATCTGGGTACGCTGCATCCGCGCGACCCTCCTTGCTATCGTACACAGCGAACGTGTTCTTGCCCTCTGCATCGCGCATCGAGACATGAATATGACTGTACCGGTGGTCAGCAGTTTTCCTTTGCTGAAGCCATGATAAGGGGGGAGGACGCACCCACTGCACCCGGGAAGCTACCCATGCATTCATCAGCACGCGTCTCTTAGACAAAACACTCAGCACTCACATTTCCCCATGGCTTCGCCATGAAGCTCGGTACAACGCCGTGACGCATACCGACGCTCTTCGCAAGGAATTTGAAGAGCGCAGCGTTGTCAGCCATGCGTAGGGCGCTCGTGTAGGCCAGGGCTGTCTCCAGCACACCGGGACCGGTCTCGGTGTCTGGAATGGTAAAGAATTAGATAGCAAAAGGGAGAACGAAGAAAATAGTCAAGGGGGACTGAGTGGCAGTATAGGGACTTACGGTGGCCCTCAATTGGCACGTCAAACTTCAGTGCATCGTCAAAGAGTTGCTGGAAGTACGCGTCATTCAGCTGCGTGCGCAGCAATGAGTAGCCATGCACTGCAGGTTCTCAGCTTCAGAGTGAAAAGATGAGAACGTTACTCACTGCCAGGCGTCAACGGCTGTAAGTTGTGGAAGCCCTTTTCTGCGAGGCTGCTAGCGGTCTCTGTGGTGCAAATCGTCAGCAAGTGTCCCTTGCCCATATAAAGCAGCGTACCCTTGAAGTTGAAGTACTGCACGACATGTTAGCAACTTCGATTGGTCAACCCATCGAAAAGTGGCTTGACCTCAAATTCCACGCCTGAGAACAGCTCGCGTCCAGCGGCCTTCGCTTTGTCGACGGCCTTGCGCAGAACGCTGCGCGGGTCCGCAAACAACGGTTCACGGGTGTCTGGGTCGGCGAAGGAGACGAGAAAGAAAGGTGCATTGCCCTCCCAAGGTATGCGGCGGAACGTCGTAAGGTCGATGGTAGCAATGATATCGCGGTAGCTGCAAGACGTTGAGGGTTACAATATATCCATACACACGAAGTCAAGCAATCCAAGCGCACCCATTATCCTTGTTGCTGATAAGCAATTCGCGAGAGTACGTCTGGTCGTGGATGTCCCAGCCACTGGGATCGATGAATTCATGCAGGTCGGACGCCTAACCCGAGCGTACGCACAAGACAACGCTGCAGAATCCGAAGCCGTCCGAGGTGGCGGCGCTGAGGAACTTCTCTTTCGACTGGGAGGCGGAGTAAGGGGGAGTGTGTTGATGACCGTAGTAGGCGCAGCCGCGGGAGAAGCAGATAGCATGCGGTAGAGCGAGGCAGATAAGGTGGACGATACGCCGGCGGGGAGAGGGATTGGGGATGGAGGGGGCGGTGTGCACGCAAGAATGGGTAGGCGAGATCGACGCGAAAATCAGGATGCAGGGTAGAGATGTGGGAGAGGCAGTGAGTGCATGTTTTGCGTTGTTAGACTTGGTGCTCACCATGTACTTGCCACGGAGGACTCCATCGACTACGAATGACCACACCAGTGAGATTTCTGCGGCGCCTTGAAATTGAAGCCATACCATCGATACCTAGGAGCTGTCAATACATCTGGACGTCGATAGACGGGAGGGGGCATGGGACAGGTGAATACGAGGATCGGGCTGGCGAATACTCACCCGCGACCTTGACCTTCGTGTCGTTCCATAGTAGGTCAGTCAGCTCCCCAATGGTCTTCGGTGCCAGAGTCGTCGCCATGCTAGCAGATAAATTTGGCGACAAATGATGAGGGGAAGAGATAAGTCGCGAACCAGGTCAATGACGGTGGTGAACAGTGCCGCCACATCGATGCGTGTCCCATTAGGCGCCGATGATCGGCCCGACGCGTCCGTCCGCGCGCTCATGTCCTTGTGCTGGCTTGCACTTTCAACGCGTCGTCTTGTACTCAGAACACCCATACACGCATTCCGTACAACCTACATGTCTGCCTCCCGTCGTCAAACACGTTCGACGAGCACTCGCGCGGCGAAACGACCACGGCTTGACTGCGAGGCAGCAATAGAGCCTGCGCCCCTAGACGCCAGCAGCGAGCCTGTCGCGGTATCTGTGGTAGTCGAGGCGAAGACAGAGGAGATGGTAGGTGAGGAATTAATGTAATTTGGCGCCTCGAATGTCGCTGACATCGCATTGTAGTGAAGCCAAAGAAGCAGAGGAAACCTGCGAAGGCGAAGGATGCACCTCCCCCAAGACCTCGCGCAGACAGCCCATGGAAGGTCGGTGCACACGTATCTGCTGCGGGGGGAGTAGAGAACGCCATTGCAAACGCGCTCGCAATAGGGTGAGTGTTTGTCATTGCGAGCGCGCCCCCGTCTCACGCCTAGTCTTGACTGGGTTCTGCTTGACTGACGGAAGTCTGCTACAGCGCGAACGCATTCGGCCTCTTCGTCAAATCTCAGCGGAAATGGGACTCCGCTGACTTGAAAGAAACGTCTATTAGCTTGTTTGCTGAGCGACTACGAGATCACGGCTACTCCCCCGACCACATACTTCCTCACGGAAGCTACCTTGTCAACTTAGGAAACCCGGATGCGTACGTGCTCACGTTTGCATCGTGGCAACCCGGACAGCGGACTGAAGTGAAACAGCGAGAAACGCGCGAAGTCATACGACTGCTTCGTAGACGACCTGAAGCGATGCGAGCAGCTCGGGCTCACATTGTACAACTTCCAGTACGTTTGCCCCCGCCATCCACACAGCCTTCATTAACTCATATTCAGTCCAGGATCCACCGTTGGCCAAGGCTCGGTAGAAGAGTCTCTGACTCTCATTGCTGAATGCCTCAATCGCGCCCACAAAGAGACGACGTCTGTCGTCACCGTCATTGAGAACATGGTGTGTGATGGTCTTTGTCCGAGCGGCTTAGGTTATCTGAACAAACTGACCTTGCTCGCAGGCCGGTGCGGGCAACATCATTGGCGGTCAGTTCAGCCATCTTGCAGGCATCATAGAACAGGTAGAGAACAAAGAGCGCGTCGGCGTATGCTTTGACACCTGTATGCATATTCCTTCATATCATGCGAGCTTCAGATATGACAGACCGTTCATTGTAGGCCACGGCTACTCCGCCGGCTATGACATCTCGACGGAAGAGGGATGGAAGTGAGTCCTCGCTCCATTGCTTTGTCGAGGGCAACTATACTCATGAGCATCCAGTGCTGTCAGTGAGTCGGCTAGCTTTCCTGTTAGACGAGGAATTGGTGTTGAGCGAACATCGTAGTGTCCGACTTTGATCAACAAGTCGGCCTGAAGTACCTGCGCGCGCTACACCTCAACGATTCCAAGACGCCGCACAATTCGAACAAAGACCGACATGAGAATGTTGGGCAGTGAGTCCTTTCCACCAGCCAATCATCCTTTCGCTCCCCACCCTCGCTCTATACCCCCTCATGTTATAATTGACGCTCGTTCGCAGAGGCACCCTCGGCCTCCCCGCCTTCCACCACATCCTCACCGACCCGCGCACGCGGAACATGCCCATCATCCTCGAGACCCCCAACGGCGACAATTCCGACGTCTGGCACACCGAGATCGACGTGCTCAATCGGATGTCAAGGATGTCGACGGAGGAGTTCAATGCGGCGCAGGAAGGGATGGTGGAGGAGATTGGGGAAGCGGTGAAGAGGGCGGTGGGGGCGAAGGCGGTGAAGGAGAAGAAAGCGGGGAAGGAGCAGAAAGCGGGGAAGGAGAAGGCAACGAAAGCTCCTGCGGCAAGCAAAAAGACGACACCGGCAGCGAAGAAGTCGAGAGGAAAGAAGCGGAAGGCGAAGGAGGAGAGCGAGTGTTCGTCTTGTGGGGAGGACGAAGATGACGATTAGGAAGACCTTTTTCCCGGAACCACGAAGCTCCCAATCCACGATCCCGGTATTGTATCTTAGATAGAGATCCGCCATACAACCTTGCGACTGGCCTTCATACGACTAGGATGTCAAGCGCTCCATATCAAGTCCCAACCCCGCAAGTCCTTAGCCCTTCACGCTCTTCAGGAAGCTCAAGAAGTTCGGCACGTCCTGCGATAGGTGCATTGTTTTGAGCGCGTCGCTTCAATCCCACACCACCAGGAAGACACCTACCTTCGCAATCTCTCCCGCCAGACTCGCGTTCGTGATAGCGTCGGGTATCATTCCGCCTGGATGGCTCGAGGTGGCCATCGTCCATCTGACTTTGCCGGCCTCGGAGCCGCTGTCGGTGCCGTCCTTAGTCTCGGTGAGCTGCTCGACGCTGACGTAGGACGCCTTGACGCCCTTCTCTTCGAGCTTCGCGAGCTCGGGGTCAGGGGAGAGGTCGATGGGAACCTGCACGATGATGCTACGTGCGAAAGCAGAAGCGAGTCAGTATATTCGAAGGCGAGGACGAACGCATGTCAAGGTACGACTGAGCATAACGTACCCAACGCGTCCGGTCGGATGGCTCTCATCAAGATGAGCGAGCTGTAGGACCGTGAACACTCGCGGGGTCATCACCGGATTGAACTTGTAGAGAAGCGTCCATATCTCTTGAGCCGGGGATATCTCCTCGACCTTCGTCACTTTGCGGATGATGGGCATATATCTGTGTTGTCTTAGTTCAAGTTGATGCACGCCTCTCTGCCTCGTTATGCTCGCGTTCGAAACGAAGCTCGGGCGGTAGGCGGTTTGGAGGGAGAGCGAGAGCGATCTGCAAGCAAGCCGAAAGCGGAGCGAAGGGGACAAAGGGCAGCATACAAGCAGACCGAAAGAAACGCGGAAGCCGCAACACTCACTTCATCTCATTCTCGGCCTTGTCCTTCGCAAGGTGGGCCCACATCGCGTCGAACGACGCGTCCGAGGGCGAAAGCTCGCTCACGCGGCACGCCCAGAAGTCCTCCGCGGACGTGCCGGGAGTGAGGCCCTTGGGCAGAGTGTAGGTCTTCACACCGCCCTTGTACGCCTTGCCTTCCTTCCATTGGGGGATGGAGGCGAGAACTTCCTTGGCTCGCGCAACGATGGCCTCTTCGGACGGGATGTCTGTTGAGGTGAGTAGGACAGGACAAATTGGGAAGAAGCTATAGTGAAGGACAGACGTACCTGTCACCGGGACTGGCTTCTTGCTGAGGACGAAGGAGTCTGACATGGTGATGGTGGTTGGAAGAGGGATGCGAATGGGAAGCAGGAAGTGGTTGCTCGGGGCTATATATAGCCTATGTCATCACAAGGGCACTTAAGCTCAGAACTAGGCGGAAGGGCGATCGAGCAGAGGGGGGGATAAGGGTACAAGGTCGAGTCGGGGTAGCGGTGATCGAGAGTAGGCAGGACCGTATTGAAGGCTTGAATGGCTCGAACACACAGACAGTGATCGGGGGCGTTCATATCGTTCCAGAGTAGAGGTGCGACTGGATAGCGCGAGTGCATTAGGCAGGGAAAGCAGGTGTATACAGATAGCGAGGGTGAGAGGACGCGCTCGATCAGTTGAGCTGGACGAGGCCACAGTACCGGCTGCGTCCGCGCGCGGTCTCGTCCCGAGGCAATGTCTCGCCCTTCTCGAGTACGAGCCCCACAAATCGTCGCTCGCCGCGCAACCACTTTTGCTTGTAGAAGCGCACGAAGCCGGGAGCGACAGCGTAGATGGTGTGGTCACGGCCCATCTCCACCTGAACCCTGGAATCAGCACGCGTTCGGTTAGGTGTATGTGGCGGCGTACGTGGTCTCCGGGATGGAAGAGGGTGCCGCGCTGGCGGACAATGATGTTGCCAGGAATTACATACTGGTCTGCGCGCGAAGGTCAGACGTGGGCCACACTAGCGAGCGGGTCTACACACCTGAGAACTTCTTGATACCCAAACGCTTTCCTGGGGAACCACCGTGGTTGCGGACGCTACCACCCGCACGCTTCGTAGCCGTACGTACGGCACCAAGGCCTGTGCACAAACAATAAGGTCAATTGTGCACAAACTCGGCTACTATTGTCGCGCACCGAAAGAGAACGGATTTCTTGTTACGGACTCAATGCAGCGGCTGACGAACGACATGGCTCCCCCGCAACGAACTTCGGAGAACGTCAGAGAAGAACAAAAGCGGGAGGGTTCTCACAACATACGCACTTGGAACAATGAAATGCGAGCAAGAGCTTGAAAGGAAACAAAAGAGCCCTCAAAAGGAGCACGCGAGGCTGGCCGCCGCGCCCCGGCCGGCCGGTGCCGGTCCCGAGCGTGCGGGCATATATAACAGTCACAACGCGCGTCTCGGGACCACCCCAACTTGACTTGCACCGCATCCACTCACCGCATCCTCACCACTCGCCCACTCCCGCCATCGAAAATGGTTCTCCTCGTTACCTCCGACAATGAGCAGTTCAACACCGAAAAGGAGATTGTTGAGCGCTCCGTGCTGATCAAGAACATGCTCGAGGGTGCGTCACAAAACGCGCGTTTTGCGCGCTCGGTGGCGATGTGCTGACCCTTCATCGCAGATGTCGGCGAGTCCGAGCAACCCATTCCCCTTCCCAACGTTTCTTCGAGCGTCCTGAAGAAGGTGCGTGCTGCGCGGCGCCTATCTACGTGCCACAAAGAGAAAGTCTGAGCGGCGGCTAATCTCTTCTTCTTAGGTCCTCGAGTACTGCGAGCACCATCGCGGCGAGCCCCTCCCGACGCCTGATACCGATCAGAGCCAGGACGAGACCCGCAAGCGGACAACTGACATCAGCGAGTGGGACCAGAAGTTCATCAACGTCGACCAGGAGATGCTCTTCGAGATCATCCTCGCGGCGAACTACCTGGACATCAAGCCTCTGCTGTGCGCAACCTCTTCTTCGTGTCCTATCTACCTGATTGCTCATCGGACCACAGCGATGTTGGTTGCAAGACCGTTGCGAACATGATCAAGGGCAAGACGCCCGAGGAGATCCGCAAGCTCTTCAACATTGTTAACGACTTCACGCCCGAGGAGGAGGCCCAGATCAAGAAGGAGAACGTGAGTTGCGCTCGTCGCGCCGCACAGGACACTTCACTGATGCTATCTTTCAGGAATGGGCAGAGGACCGCTAGACGGTGTTGTAGTGTACTGTTCCCTTTCTTGCTATCCAATTGTGTCGTTGCATGTTCTGTATATTATGACCAAAGCCAACATCTAACTGCTATCGTGTGAGCGCCCTCGTATCGCTGAGGAAGTGCCCGCATCTGCGTGAGGCTCGTGCGTGCGAACTCCTTTTCCGCAACCGATCGCGGCACAAACAACCATCAACGCGTCATAGGCGCGCTCACCTTGTTCTCAAATGTCACCTATACCCGATATCCCTGGCGAGCTCGTACACCCAAACTCGGACCAGGGCTTATGGCTGAAGGCGCAGGTTGCGCGTCTGTGCCACCTCGACAATGACAGGTGCACAGCTGCTCGATAGTGGCACAAATGAGGGCAGTCCCCCTTACACGTTGTGCAGGTTCCCCGGCAGTCAACCAATTAGTTTCGGTGAAAGGAACCTCGCAGATCTTGAAAATGACGAGTACGTGTCCGTGGTACTGTCACCATACCCCTCTATACTCACTTATGCCGAAGCTTTTGGGTCTGCGAGAAGTCGGACGGCATTCGGGTCCTGCTGCTCATCTTGACGAACCCGGAGACCCAGGAGCAGATAACATGCCTGGTGCGTGTCCATACTCCTTTTACAGACGTACCTGCTCACACGGCATTGGCAGATCGATCGCCACAATACGTACAGAAAGGTTGAGGGCTTCTACTTCCCCCACTTCGAGAAACTGGCGATTCCTATACGAAGTACTCTCCTGGACGGTGAACTCGTCCTCGACGTCGATCCCGTCACCAAGACGGTAAGCTAGCCACGTATTTCAGCAACTTTCCTCTGATCGACTTGGACTCTAGGAGACCCTCCGCTACCTGGCGTTCGACTGTATGGTTGTCGACGACCAGTACATCATGAACAAGCCCCTGGACAAGCGCTATGGCGTGCGTACACCCAAGCATGGAATGAGCCGTTGAACTAACCGTTCGTAGAGACTTAGCGATTGGTTCTACAAGCCGTACGCCACCATGTTGAGTGACCATCCGGATCAGGCCAACCTGCAGCCGTTCCAGTACGCGAATTTGTCTGTCAGGTGATGGTCCAACTACTGATTATTTTGGCGCTTAGCATACAGGTCAAGAAGATGCACGCCGCATATCAGGTCTCGCAAGTCTTCGACGAAGACATCCCGAAACTACAGCATGGCAACGATGGCCTCATATATACCAAGGTCGAGGCGCCTTATACCCCGAATACGGATAGAAATATGTACGTCTTGCCTTCCGCTCAGGTGACCGACACTCATGTCTTCGGTCCAGCCTCAAGTGGAAGCCGCCATCGGAGAACTCCATTGACTTCAAGCTCGTCGTGCGATTTCCACCAAGTCCTAGCAATCCTGGACTGCCCGACTTCTTCGCGAAGCCTGTCTTTGCTCTGCATGCTTGGTATGGCGATGAGCGAGGAATGTCGAAGTACGAGCTCTATGATCAACTCTACGTGACAGACGAAGAGTGGGAGAGGTGAGCGTGCTGTACCTCCGCAACTTGCTGCTAGATCTAACCGTTCGCTACCCAGCTTGAAGGAGAGCGGCGTACAGGTCGATGACCGGATCGTCGAGGTTCATTGGGACTCGGAATTGCAGAAGTGGCGAATGATGCGCTTCCGAGATGACAAGCCCAATGGCAACCATATATCGGTCGTGGAGAACATCATCCGAAGTATCGCGGATGGTGTAGAGAAGGACGCAGTGAGTTCAATTGTCTCCATTCACCCGCGCTCGCCGTGCTGACTGTATCGTCTTCCCTCGCAGCTCCTGTCCAGGACACAAAGGATACGCCACACATGGAAAGAACGACAAGCGCGACCAAAACCGCCTGTAGCACGACCGGCTGCCCCACGACCCGCTGCGCCTAGTGCGGTCATACGATATGGTCCTCTGGCCTCGTCCCCGTGGAGCAAAGTGGGCGGCCCCGCAGTCATCGCCGGCATGAAGCGATGATGCTCCCGTCCCTGCCTCTCACGGCGGTGCGAGCACGCCCAGCGCGGACCGAACGCACGCATGGGCCCGCTCTTCCTCGTCCATTGGCCCCTGCGCCCAGCACGCCGTGGCTCCTCGTACAAAGTGCGGATGCGGCTTTCGACTTTCCGCCCCCGACCCTTTGCCGAGCGTCAGACATTGCGCGAGCACCCCATTCCGTCACGCGTCCACAGAACTACTCCCACTCATCGCCCGAGGCACCCATTCCAGCGGGCCATCAGGCCGTCGTTGTTTGACCGGTACACGCGAGCCGAGCGTTCGCCATGTCAAGATGAACACCAGGTCGTATCAATTCGTGAAATGTACACAGTACAGGAGGCCCTTCATGCTCGTCGGCGATGTACAGTCGGCGGCGTCGTACAGCGTACATACAACAGGAGGTCGCAGAAGTGTCGTATCGAGTCGTAAACATCATCTGCAACGGTCACAGGTTTTACAAACAATTCCGAGAGCATTTTGACAAGTAGGTACAGGACTTTGGTATGGTGTCTAATTGGTACACGTTAGAGGACGATAGAAAAGTATAAGACCAGAAAGTAAGGAAGAGAGCTGCACCGTCAACGAGAAAGCAAGCGGTTGAAGGAGATAGATAGTTCGCGAGGTTATAAGCCGGTCTTTTGTGCGGTGACCAGAGGCCTGAGGGTATGGATAGTGATCCAATGGAAGACAAGTAGGTAACAATAGCGAGACCTCCCCCAGGTGGTCACGTTTCGTGCGCCTGCAATTGCAGCCGGTGATGCTCGTATAGAAGTCGTAAAGTTGCGAAAATGAAGAGCAATGCCGATGAAGAAGAGAGATGAATGGAATGCATATGCGAGAGAGGAAAGGTTGCCGGGAATTCGGGAAGTGATGCTGTCAGTCCATCCTGTGACGCACGAACAGGCCGTATATGCGGGGTCGCTGCTGGGCAAGCGATGGGCCCTCGATCTCTTTTCGTGGGGTCCCTTTAGTCGAGGAATTGCGTGCAGACCGACGATAGGGGAGACACGGTCCAGTCGAGGACGAAGGGGTCGTCCATGTCGTGTTCGTCATAGTCGTGATGCAGCGAGAACACGTCTGCGAACGAGTGGGCGCGGGCTACAAGTATAGGTGCGCGCACGGCACGTTCGGGGGCTGGGGGAAGCACGAACGGCATGGGGAGGCTATCCTCCGGTTCGGTGGAGGTGCCATCCGCCATGTCGACGTCGTCATCCCTGTCACGCCTCTCTGGGGTCGACTCCACGGACGAGAACGATCCATCTTGCCCGTGGCGACGCGCCGGAGTGTGGGGCGTAATGGAGAGTGTCGCAAACTGCGCGGTAGTCGCGACCTGAATACCCATCAGTACGCATATAGCTAAAGCGGTCGCTGAGAGCGCACGATATGGGAATCTCCTCCAGGCGCAAACCCGACAGCGGGCTGCATGCGGGCCTGCGCATCCTCCGTCTGCGTGTCCTGGGCCGCTTGTGGCTCGTCAGGGATCGTCGCGAGGTTCTCGTCGACGCCATCCATCACGTCGACCGCGCCTGGGTTCCCATCGACGCGCCACCACTCAATGTCCGCGAGGACACGCCGACCTATCGTCTCGGAGCCCGACGCACGCCGAGGCGCACCACCGCCGGTCCTGGTGTTGCCGCCGCGGGCGCTGACACCGTTAAGCGCGCTGGGCATGCCGTTCGTGGCAAGCTGCAGGGAGCTGACGACAGGCTGCGAGACGGTGCGACGGAGTGGCTGCATGGCTACGCTACGCGACGACGAGGGCAGCCTAACGCTGTCGACGACGGTGACGGTAGACAAGGGAGGCTGTGGGAAGGAGGGAATTTCCAGCGATTTATATTTCTTGCTGTCCACGAGGCAATCGGGACATCTGCGGTTCCCCCTTCCGTCTGCTCAGGACCTCGGCCTCAGGGCGCCGGCGAATGAGCGCATCAGGTTCAGAAATCTTGGGCACAAGAGCGGCGCAGAACAAGGGAACAAGGCGGTTGGTATTTGAAGGCGGATAACCTGGTCTGTGTTGAGGTAGACAGCAGTATGTTATAGGGACTTCCTCGCGTATGAACCTTCTACTAGACGCTACTAACGACTACCATATATTCTGCCTGTCGCTAGCTCGTCATGATGGCGTTGACCTGTGTTCGATGCTTCGCTTCAGGTCAAATTCTGCAGCGCAGTCGTTTCCTCATGTGCTAAGTCACGGATCAGATGTTCGCTTGCCCACCAACGCGTTAATTTAGCATCCTTGGTGTCGTTTCACGCAGAAGAGGTATTGCAGCATGCTAACGCACCACGGAGACGCGTAAAAACGCGTCGAGAGTACCGCGTGAGTTGAGAACAAGCCATCTATACGGGCAGCGATGCCGCAGGTGGTGGACGATGGACGGTGTGTCCTGATTGTTGTGACGTCAGCGCGTCGCATACCTATCGGCATCACACGTCCTGCAATGCAGCTTGGAGCGAAGAGAGGGAGCACGGTAGGTGTTTTCTGGTCCGTATCTTTACTTCCGCGATACGGGTGCGCTCGTCGCCCTCTGTCAAGGATCAGACGTCTTGGCAGTTCATGCAGATCGCGAAGAAGGCTTACCGTGGCGAAGCGTGTGCACATTCGGCAGCGAAAGCACGCAGGACGGGGTGGAAGAAGGCTGAGATCCAGGGCGTATTGGGGGAGGGTCAGTGATTCGCATCGTTTGGCCCTAGCTGTCCGCCTTCATTCGTGCGTCGACGACGGAAGACAGCGGAGGGAAGAGTTTCCGGGTGGTTTACGCGTGCCACGGTAGCCGAAGGTGCTTTCGAATGCGCGCATAACACGGAGTGTGGCCTCATCGGCCGTAGCACGCACGCGGCAGTTCCAAGAGGTCCTGACGCACCCGTGTAACGAGCCGTTCTGCGCATGAAATGAAGGTTCCGCAGAGGCGACGAAAATGATGCGTTTTGCCGTCTACAAGATACGCCACGTAGGTGGACGAGGGGATTCCTGCTCGTCTGCTCAGAAAAACAGCAAGGAGGGCGGAATGTCGTATATTTCGTATGCAGCAACTTCTCCATGGAGCGCCCTGGTTGTCACCAAATGTGTGAACACATCGTAGAGCATACTGGTCCATGTATTGGCCGTATTGGGATAGAGTTGAGGTACGCATGGTCTCATTCACATGGCGGAGCAGAATCGGCGAGCGGCCAAGCAGAGTAGACCATACAGATGACGTTGCTGAGGCGAGCGTTCGCTTCCCGATGTCAAGGGTTCTGTCTTCACGATGACCTTGCGCGCTTCTGAGTCGCCGAGGCAATCACGAAGGTAAAGACATTCAGTTTTCCGTGCCGAGTTTGAGTGCAGGTGCCAGATGCCAAGGGCAGTGGAAAATCCGGTGCGTCGAAGTCGTAGTCCCGAAGGTTTTAGGAATCAGTCATCTCCTGAGGATCGGCATGCTTGGTAGCCGCGTAAGACGAAGGCATACAAGAGGCTAGAAGGTATTTCGAGGGATCGTCAGCGCCTTCTCCCTTGCCCTCATTACTCACTGAATGAGGGTGTCCATCGCATATAGGTGTCGCCGGAGCAGGAGCTGTGAAAGCTCAAACTCCTGTGGCGCGGACAGCGGGACGTGAGTGGGAGTAGGAATTAAGCCGGGGTGTCGGCCTAACAAGACCACACAAGGCAGATCAGAACTTTGAGGTGAGTCATCCTGATCTTCCGGGCGCTAATCTTATCTTATCGAACAGGCGCCCAGCGCGCGCGTTCCTGTCCGCCTGCTCCTGACTTCCACGACGAGTGCCGCGTGCTCTCCTCATTTCCTACACTCCATCTTCAACCTTACTCAGAAGCGACATGCGTACCTACTATGGCGCCGTGGTCAACCCGCAAACGCTGACCGAGTCTCAGCTTCTGCCTCGATGCCTCCTAGCGGTAGGGGATGTAGGTACGATCGAATGGATTGTCGAAGACGTAGAGGGCTCGCTGGTACAGGAGACGCTCGCTCAGAAATGTTGCGTGGATGCGGAAGTCACTGAGCTGCGTCACGGCGAGTTTCTCATGCCAGGCTTCGTCGATACCCACACGCATGCCCCGCAGAAGCCGAACATTGGGAGGTGCGTACCGATTTTGTACGATTCGCCTCACATTTGACGACCATGTAGCGGGCAGCAGTACGAGCTACTGGACTGGCTGAAGCACGTCACGTTCCCGATGGAGGCGAAGTTCGCTGACGTCGACTTCGCGCGGCGCACCTATGAGTCCGTCGTCCAGCGTATCATCAACTGCGGTACCACGACATGCTGCTACTATGCCACGTTGCACCTTGAGGCTAGCAAGATCCTTGCTGACATAGTGCACGCGAGAGGTACGCTATGACGTCCCATGTCGTCTCAAGTAGGTTAGGCTCATACTTGACCAGGCCAGCGCGCATTCATCGGGGTAGGTGTGCAGTGATTAATACGCTCGAGAGTCCCACGTTGATCTCTACTGCCAGAAATGCAACATGGACAGGAACAGCCCCGACCACTACCGCGAAGCCTCACCCGAAGCGTCTCTCGCAGACACGGAAGCGCTCATCGCGCATATTACAACATACCCGCCGAGCACCCCGCAGCGAGTGTCCGCTATCCTCACACCCCGCTTTGCTATCTCTTGCACGCCTCCATTGCTATCCGGTCTCGGTACGCTTGCGGCATCAGACCCAGCGCTGCGTATTCAGACTCATATATCGGAGAACCGAGGCGAGATCGCGTTCACGAAGGAGCTTTTCCCGGACTGCGCTACCTACGCGCACGTGTACGACAAGTTTGGATTGCTGAGGGGGAACACCGTGCTTGCACACGCGATCCATCTTGAGCCTGCAGAAGTTGCATTGATCAAGGAGCGCAACGCTGGCATTAGCCACTGCCCCACTAGCAACTTCAATCTGAGCAGCGGCGTCGCCCCTGTAGGGGAATACCTCGACAAGGGCATCAAGGTATATTTCACTCACCCCGATGAGTGCTCGTATGACTGACCATCACCCAGGTCGGCCTCGGGACGGACGTTTCTGGCGGCTTCTCCCCATCCATTCTCAACGCCGTCCAAAACGCCAGCATCGCATCCAAAGTCATCGCCATGCGCGCACCAGGCGCAGCCTCACCCACCACATTTGCCAACCGGCAGCTCTCTGTGAACACCTTGCTCTACCTTGCGACCCTCGGCGGCGCCCAGGTGTGCGCGCTGGATGCCCACATTGGGAACTTCGCGCCTGGCAAGGCGTTTGATGCGTTGTTGGTCAACTGCCGAAATGACTCTGGGAACCCAAACCTCTGGGGCGTCGACCCGGATATCCATGTCGGGGATAACCTTATGGGCCTCTTGGAGCGCTTCCTGTTCTGTGGGGACGATAGGAACATCTCGGCGGTGTACGTGCAGGGCAGGCTCATCGGAGGAACGTCTTATAGGGCGTAATGTGTCGATAGACGAATGGAGCTAGATCTTATATAGGTACATCCGAGGAAAGGATAGATATATAATACATACAGCACATTAACAGTATAATACAGGCGTATTCGTACATTGCTAGTCATTGTCGATTGTTGTGTTAAGGTGGCGGCCGCCTCTTCATGCTACGGCGCTAGCTTGAAGTCCCCGAACTCCCATTTGTAGCAGTCCATGCAATCTGCTTCCTCCACGGCCGCGGGGACGTCGCGTCCGTCCTCCCACTCGACGTCCGCGGCCTCAATAACCTTGGTGATCACCTCCTTGATAGGATGTCGTCGGACGTCGACCTTCCATCCGAGCTTGTTCACCGTATCGTAGACGATGCTGCGGCCCAGGTGGCAACCCGTCTCGAGCGCGTAGCCCGCTTGCGCACAGGGGGAGCCGATGCCGTTGCAGACGCCCATCGGGATGGGGTCGCTGTTGTGGAAGACGTGGGTGACGGGCACATCTGGTAGGCCCGATGGAGTAAGGGACGGTGGAAGAGGAAGATGCAGGCGCTCTGCCGCTAGTCGCTCGCCTGGCGATTCGAATGCGACGGCGGGAAAGCCGTACGTAGCACCCAAAAGGCTGGCAAGCGCGCCACCGAGCGAGTGACCCGTCAGCCAAATATTGGCAGACGGGTACAAGGAGACGAGGTCGTCGATGAGTCCCTATGGAATGACTGTGAAGTCACCTTGTCTGCGATAGAGCACACGTACCACCCCCGTCGAATAAAAGAGACTGTCCTCAATGAGGGCGTTTCTTAGACATGTGTTGTCGCATCGCCAGTTGCGCGCATAGCAATCGCACACTTGGCGGAAGACCCAGGAGAAGTCTACGCGTGCACAGCAGCACGAGAAAAGTCTTGGGAGCAGTGAGGAAGATGATCGCAAGGGATATGGGCATGAGCGCGTACAGGTTGTCGTTGTACTTGTCCTTCTTCGATGTCGGCCCTTGTAGCGTCGTGCCCTAGCGTTCACGGATGGTCAATCGCAAGTCATGATCCCGGAATGAGCTGAAGGGACACCTTGATGGAGAGCACGATTGTAGAATTATCAGATGAGATAAAGACGTGGCCTCTAAAGCCGTCCGATCCATCCCATCCTATGGGGAAGCTCTGCGACATTGTGAGTGAACAGCTTATCTGAATGACTATTGACACGCACGGTGTTCCACGCAGCATCTAGGTCGTACCAGTTCTTCTGGTCAGGCAGCGCGTACGCGTTCCCTGACATGCGCGAAAGCTGCACGAGGGTATGTCTATCCTCGATGTCTGGCCCGAGGACCTCTACAGGCGTCCATTGCACGGGCTCGCTCTGTTCATGCTGAAGTGAGCGCAGGCGTGCTTTCCGGATGACCTCTCGCGAGCTGGGTCTATGCACGATGGTGGATCGAGCTCGTAAAACTCTGGATGGTGCTGCTCGTGTAGGTTGTGAGAGTGATGATATCGCGGCCTCCTGGTCGAAGTGTAGTTCATGGGCCCATGCTGAGATACAGAGAGAAGCCAGACATAGTAAGGACTGAATTGTCTTCATGAAATGGATGGGAGGGCAAGGGTGAGTTGTCGAAAGGAAGATTCACGCCCCTAGTTCGTCCCCGGCGCCTGGACGGAGCTAGAAAGCCTTGATTGATGATGGTAACCCCTTCAGGATATTCATAAGCGCGCACCAGCTATGTATGTGATTGAAAGTTCGTTTTTAGCATATAAGCCACAACATTTGTAGAAGATTGGATGTCTGTAGTGTACGCAGTGCTCGATTGTCAAGAGCTACCTATTGAGAGACGCAATTGCTCAAGATTACAGCTCTAGTGTATATCATTAAGGCCATTGTACACTGGCCGGTTAGCTCAGTTGGTTAGAGCGTGGTGCTAATAACGCCAAGGTCGCGGGTTCGACCCCCGTACGGGCCATAAACACATTCTTTTTGCCCCTTTCACAGCATGTCCATCATGGACAAACCTGTCTTACTTGCCCGCTGCTTGAAGTGATGGCCTGGTAAAGACATCAGAATTTACGTGCCATCTCCTACTATACGAAAGCTATATTACAAGGAATAAGTATGTAAGAAGAATGAATGTAGCATAAGCAAACACTGGCAATCTTCTGTCCGCGCACACTATCTACATGGGTACCAAGTCCGTGAGCCCAAGGTTTGACCAGCCCAGCTAAGTCGAAGACAAGACATTCAACACCCTCTAGAGCAGCTCGTGTAGCGCCCGATCGTACTGGTGTGGCATGTGCGAGCTGGAGGCACTTATTAGTCTAGCAATGCACAGGAAAAGTACAGCATACGCACGTCAACATATCGCGCGCAAACACGATCTGGTTGAAGACCTTCTCCACATCCAGCACCTCAAACAGGCGCAATCTATCCGCACCATCTGACGCCGACGACTGCGATCCAGACAATGCTTGTTGCTTATGCACTTGATGCGCGGGATGCATGTCACCGTCGCGCACGGCCCACAAGACGCGCCCCGGCGGGAACATGTCCACGCTCTGCATGCTCGCCTCAAGCGTCTTACGCATCGCGATGAGCCACTCAAGGTCGCCCTCCTGGGCCGTGCCGTCCTTGACCCGCTTAGCGCGCTCGGTGACGGCGTTGTAGCCCTCGGCTTTGCCCTTGCCTTGTGCGTCGGCCTCGGCTTCGCAGAGCCACATTGCAGCATTCTTGAGGTCGCGGACGGAGGCGAGGCTGAGACGGGCGACGATGTCGTGTGAGTAGACGAAGGAGGTGATGAGGCCGGATGACAGCTTGGAGAGCGCGCCAGAGGTCAGAGCTCTGAGGCCAAGTCAGCACTCGGACAGCAAAACGACTGACGATGGAAATGACTTACGGCGGCGCGAAGCAGTAGACGCTTACGCGTCTACCAACGGGCAAACCACTGCATGGCACGGTGAGGCAGGTCTTCGGGTCGGCCCACATCTTGGGATGAATATTAGGGTCAATCAGCACAAGAACGAGATTGGAACTCACCAAACCTAAAATGGCGGCCGTCCCAGCACCAAGAGAATGACCGCAAAGTACCAAGTCGTAGTCCGGATTCCTGTACAAGGCCTCTTGCACCGCGACCTGCACCGGCTTGCCAATCTCGCCCATAGCCCTTGCCATTCGCGCCATACCCGCATGCACATGATGCTCCTCCCCATCCTCCGGATGTCCCTCCCTCTCCTTCGACGGGAAGAAGTAGTTGCCCGGGATCCCACCAGGTTCGAGCTCCTCGTCCACCTTTGGCGTATGCGCGTGCACGAAGGGAAGCGGCTCGCACGTTAGGTCGGCAGCAATCTCGTTCAGCGACATCGTCCCGCGCAGCACAAGCACGACCTCGCCGCGAGCGTGATCCGTGAGCACCCAGAATCGGGGCATGAGATGCTCTGCACCAACAACCGCCGTCGAGCGCATTTCCGCGAGCTTCTCGCGCGCTTCTTCGGTGGACGCCGATCCCTTGTTCTTGCCTTTGCCCTTGTCCTGTTCCTTCATCGCTGCGTCGTCGTTCGCGAAGCGCTCGAAGATCTCGTGGTCGTGTTTGCCCAGGAGCACGTCCCACCAGGAGTAGCCTGGTTCGGCGGTGGCACCCATGCCGTCCATGTCATCGAGCTCGGCGTAGTCGATGAGTTCGAAGTCACCAGCCGCTTCAGCTTCCGAGGCGTCAATCGCGCGCGCAAGATGGCGTTCTTCGCTGAGCTTGTCGTTCTTGCCCGGCTTGCCTGACGCATTACCAAGGGGTGACACGCCGAAGAATAGCAGCGATGCACCTCCATATCCGGCGAGAACGAGCTTGGACAACCGGCGCAGCTTGACCTTCAGCTCAGGGATAGATAAATGCGGTGGCGGCGGACCGGACGATGCTGACGGGTCTCCATGATGCAGCAAACCAGAATGCCGTATAGCGGAGCGTATCTTCGGCACTGTGAGTGTTGACCACGTCCGTCGAGCGATAGGGGCAACGCCAATATCGGCAGCGATGATCTGGGCGCGGTTGCCGGACAGGAAGACATCGGACGTCACCCGTATGCGCGAGCCCTTGCGTTGACGCATCGAATCGAACTTCTTGGGCTCTTTCACCTGGATCTCGCGCAGGTGCTTCATCCAATTTCGCTCCTGCCACTCCTGCGTCACGCCCTGCAGCGCAACCCAGGCTACCATGGCGCGCCCGACTTCTATTAGACCGAACTGGCGGCCCGTGCCCGTAGCATCCGCGTTCCATTCACGCTTGACAAGCGTGATGAAGGAGGCAAGCGAGAATGACGCGTCAGAGCTGCCGGGGAATATGACGGAGAGGACATTAATGGAAGAATGTGCGGCGAGGAGGGAGGTGCTGGTGATGTACTCAGAAAGGTGGATTGGGGCGAGGGTAATTTGCTCCGCGAGGGTGAGCAGATGAGAGATGGCGCCCGAGACGAGGGGGTTGGTGACAGGGTTGTTTCCGAAGACGGCCAGGTCGACGACCTTAGTTGCTGCAGAGACGCCTGTCTCCGCCACCTTTCTGGTCACTGCGAACTATCAAATGCCTCAGCGGCCCGGTATGGGATATTGTATGGCAGACGCACCCCCAGCTTTGTGGCTCCCTTCGCCGCAGAGAAGGCATACGATGATGCAGCCCCTGCTAGGTCGATGCCAGTGCGTGTATAGTAATCCCAGTCCTTAACCATAGCGACATGAGTAGGAACCGACTCCTGCTCGGCTCAGTGATGAATCCCCTACACCTTGTTAGAAGACTGGCAAAGGCGCACCGTAGACTCTGAAATGGTGACGAGGTATAACGAAGAAATTATGAGAACGGCGTAAAGTTCCCCGCGCTTCTACGAAGCAGAGCAGATAGGCGTGGCGTAGCGACGTCGGTTAAGCGAGATATGATATGGAGGTCGACCGTGAGGAGCGTATTGCGACCGAAGGAGTGTCGTTCGTGAGGAGATCTAAGCGATGCGATTGGTGGCGAGAGGAGGTGCAAAGGACATAGGCGAAGCTGCACGCGCCTCTGGCGCTCAGGCTGGCATGATGCACGATCACACATGCATGTGATATAGTCGCTGGCCATCATTCCCACGGTTGAACTTGTGCCTAATCATTGTCAACTATCATGAGATTGCTGCAGTAAGCTTGAAGGCAAGCTCGTTTCTGGGGACCTTAAGGCAAGCCTAGGCTACTGCGCGCCCCTTTTCAGAGACTCCAGAAAGTACTACGTTGCCACTCGGCAGCGGTTGCCACAAACAACGCCCTTGTGTAGTCCTTCAAACCTACTTGCGTTATTAGCAATAAAGATGTTCATGTACTGGACAACACGCGTAAGGTAGGAAGTAGCACAACAGTAGCACAGTGTCCATGCGCATGCGCAGTACAACACATTTGTGGCACGCCAGTGCGATAGATGAAGCAAGGTTCGAGGGTCCGGTCATACTCTCCATATCGGAGAGCGCGTCGTACGTTTCGTAAGTATGTGGTAGCCCCTCAGATGCGATACGCAACCATCCGCCCGGTATGCACATACACATGTTGACACCCCCATGCGTTATACACCCCGTTGTCGAGGACTGGTCTTGCTCGCAGCGAGATCCTTCACCCCGAAGAATATGGTGATGCCGAAGGATAGGGCTGTTATGCACGCGCATGCTCGACTCGCGTCGTACGCGGTACACCACGTCTTTCCGTCGTCGCCAGCTGTACATGAACCACCAATGGCGGAAAAGATGAAGACGGCGAAGTAGACGACCTGCGGGCAAATTGAGTATTCACCAATAACGCTCAACACGAAAGAGACCCACAAGCATCGCGCCATCGACCCATATGAGTTTATGAGTGTAAGACCTTGCTCGTTCCCAGTGTTTCTCGGCTGCGAGCGAGGCCATAACCGACCGTCGGGGTTTCCGCTTCTTCTTGCTAGGCGGTGCCGCACCTGCGATAAAGGGTAGTTCTAATCAGCCAGCCGCCCGGGCACGCATCAGCTCGCTGAATCACGCACCCCATTCCTCATCCTTCCGAAAGCCCGCCGAGCTGCTATCGCCGTCCCAGCCACCCGGCGGCCCGCCGCCTCTCCGTTCTCGGCGCGGCTCCTCCTCTTCGGACTCCTCTTCCTCGTCCCTTCCGCGGCCGAACATTGCGGGGTCGACGATTAGGTTGACTTGCACGTCGCCGGATGGTGGTCCTGAAGAGCGCTATTTAGCGCGCGCTATGCGATAGCGTACATGCGACGTGGCTTACCTCGTCCTTTCTTCCTCTTCATCCCCTTGTCCTTCTTCTTCCCGCCCGGCTGCATGACGGGCAGCACCATCATGCCCGTATTCGCCAGCCCACCCACACTCGCGCCCCTCGCCTTCGCAAACTTGCGCCGCCGCATACACGGGTGGATGAAGTAGACGGCAAGGATCAACACAAACCTATTCTGCGTTAGCCTCACTATAACCTGCCTAAGCCACACCCTCCACGCACCCAATTGCACCCCACACATACAGCACATAGCTCGCCGTGCTGCCCTTCAGCGAAGGATCTTTCTTCGGATGCACAAACAATGCGGCCCAAATCGCCGGAATCGCGGCACCGATGGCGAACAGCACCTGCAGAATGCGCACGGCAAGCCGCTTGCGAGGACCCTGCGTGACGAGGTCGCCCTGGCGATCTGCGGTGCCTACGATGAGAGCACCAGTGCTAGGGTCGCGGTACTCGCCGGCGTCGTCGGGGTCAGGGCGGAAGGTTGGAGAGGGTTCTGAAGGACGAGGGGGTGAGAAAGGTGGGTACGAATGGTAGCAAGAGGCTTACTGGAAGAGAAGCGCTCTTCGAGCATACGAACGCGCTCTTCCTTGACTTCGTCGGTGATGGTTGCGCGGTCGGCGTCTATGCGAGCTATCAGCCGCTGTGAGGAAGCAGCGAAAACAGCAGGCCTACCATCGTCAGGGCCCCAGGGCAACACAGGCTCGCCACCGTACGACCTTGCGCCAATATACGGCTCATGCCCGTACGATGGTGGGCCGTATGACGGTGTAGAGAAAGGGTCGTCATACCCATACGACCCTGGAGAGTCTGCGGGAATGTGAGAACTCCATAGAGAACAAAGCATAGGCACGCGCGTACCCAGATTCCCATACGGTCCCTCTCCCTTAAACTTGCGCTGTTTGCCACCGTGCTTGATAGTAGCAGCCGGATCGAATGGGTTACTGACGGTATTCCTCGACGTTTGGGATCCGGCGAGCGAGGGACGAGACGCGAAAGGATCGTTGTAGTCATACGTGCCGCGCCTCGAGGAAGGATGTGACGCATGCGAGCGATTGGAGCGGTAGGGTGAAGGGGGAGCGTAGTCGCTTTCTGGGTAGTAATGTGTGGTGTGTGCGGGTTCGGGAGGACGGGAGAAGGGCCTTCTTCCAACATTCGTGATGTCGAGCTCGGCGGAAGAAGGTCTGTAGGATTCGCGGTTGTAAGGATTGGTAGAGGTGAAGGGATCGGCATAGTGCTGGCGAGGGGCGGCGCCTGGGGGAACAGAGGAATTGCTTGCAGCAGCAAAAGATGACATGCCACCGTAGCTATCCGCACTCGAGTGGCTAGCCACCGTCATCGCAGGCGGGGAGAGCGGAGGGGAAAAGGGAGCAGGTGCGTGTCGGGGCACGGGTGACACCACGTTCGTGAAGTCATTGCCAGTAGGATAGTCAATGCCATTTGTGTATCCCCTCCCACTAGCATAGTCGTGAATATTGTCGTTAGAGTACTCGTTATCGTATCGCGGGTCGTAAGGTTCGTGAGATCGGCCGGTGTACTGCCTGTTGTCGTAAGGAGAGTTGTTGGTGATGGCGCGCTGGTAATCGGAGAAGTCCACTGCCTCGACAGAGGGATCTGAGCTGGGAGACCACGGTCGGCGCATGGGGAGGGAAGTGGGGGATCCGGGCGCGTAAAGATCGTCACCGACAACTCGGACGGTGAGGTTCACAAGCAGGCCAGATGGCGCAAAGGCTGGCACTCGGATCGCGGTCCGACGCACGTGTGCTGAATAGAGTGGACCCACAACCTGATGGGCGGCTCAACCTGTTGTAAGGACTGGTGAACTGATACGTTTCCTGATGGAATCAGGTCCCGAGTATATAGCTTGTGCTCACAGGTGAGGAGAGATGCTATTCATGACTACAGACCTGACAATCAGCGAAAATCGTGACCTGTGGGCCGAGCGTCGAAGCTATTACCCACCGGCCGGTTAGCTCAGTTGGTTAGAGCGTGGTGCTAATAACGCCAAGGTCGCGGGTTCGACCCCCGTACGGGCCATGTGGATACGACGCTGGTTCTCTTTTTGCGCCGGGGAAGCGCAAGTGAGTGCCAATCGTCTACAGATCATCAATACAGATCTACCACAAGGCAAATAGCAGTCAAATGGAGATGCACAAGCGGTAATGCTCAGCACTGGCGGACCTTGAGGTCAGAATTCAGGCCAAGACAGATCACAGTATACAAAGTGAGTTTCTTCCAGTCTGCTAACACATAATACACATCACACCCATCGTAAGAACACGTCTGCCAGCGCAAGACTTCATCGCTGTTGACAGTTACTGCCGCTCGCTAATGGCGGTCACTTCTATCCCGCTAAGACTACGCAGACACAGGGACGACATTCCTCCCCTCGAAGCGCACGTCGTAGCCGTACCCGCCGCCAGGCGCACCCGGGACGTTGCCCGGGCCCTCGTAGTGCAGCTTCGACAGGTCGTAGTTGCCTGGATAATTGGTCAGTTATGTAGTTCGCGATGCGGCGCGAGAACAAGCAAATGGTGCATGAAGAAAGGTGACGCATGTAGAAGGCGAGGGTTTTGCGAGGTAGACAAAAGGCTACGCAAGAAGGAAGATGAAGTAGTCCGGCACGCACCGATGAACTCCCAGCCGTTCTCGCGGACGTGGTAGAGGTTACATGTGTTGCCGGAGAATGCATCACGGTGACCAGCGGCGTAGATGCTGCGGCGGCCGAGCTCTTGCGCTTCAGCGTCGGTGAGGTCCCAGCGGTAGCCCTGGGTGAGGGTTAGATTGAAAGAGTTAGATTGGGAAGGGAGAACGATGGGAAAGCGTTCGAGAGAGGACACGCGCCTGATCCAAGACACCGTAGGCGAAGGTGCTACCAGAACCAACAGAAAAGAGGTCGCCTTTGAGGCGCGTGCCATCAGAGTCGACGTAGAAAATTTGAGGACCCTGCAAGCGATGATGAGAGGGTGAAGCTGACAATACTTGTTTTAGCTCACAGTCTTATCCCAGCCGCAAATCATCGTTCCCTAAGGTATCATCAACATCCACTCAGAGTGATTTATGTGGTCGTAAACTCACCATACTCAGACCCATCCCTTTGTAGCTGTAAACGAGGTTGCTCAGGTACTTGCTCGCTGCAGATACAGAGATGCGTTCGCGGTTGCGGAGCTCGTGCAGCCGGCAGTGCATGCCAAGGTAGGTTTCCCAGTACTGACAATCGGCGGCACCACCTGCCATAGTACCCAGCAAGTACGGGTTGATCTCGATGACCTTCTTCACCGTGCCGGATGCTGGTAGGATTGTCAAATTAGTTACTGAAAGGGATACAAGGGGAAAATGGGAAGGATGCGCACCAACGTAGCTCCCTGCAGTTGCTCGCGAGTCGACGGCGACGATGACGCCACCCTGGAAGCGGAATGCGAGGGTGGTGGTACCGTGCTGGATCTTGATACGGCAGTTGGGATCGGCATGGTCATCGGTGTGGAGGCGGAGGAAGGCAGAGGGCTATGGGTATTTCTTGAGTCAATGTACGCTCTTTTATGCAAGCGCGCTTCACGTACGTCCTGCACACCCGGTACAGCGAACTGAGGGAGCGCTCCTGGCACAAGGTTGCCAAAGCCGCCCATAGATCCCCACATCGCTGGCGCATCGTGTCAGTTATCGATCGCGATGAAGCCGCAGGCAAACGCACCAGGGCTCTCGCCATCCGCATCGTCCAGCTCCTTCTGCGCATTTCGGAGCTCCATCAGAGCGCCCGTGGTGGCGAAACGCGAGGCGAATGAGTTCATGGCCGTATTCCTCCCGGCTAAGTCAAGGGGTTGTAAAGGGATGGCACGTAGAGTGGCGAGAGAAAGACTTGCGCCTTCACAAGAACGCGCGTCGAGACGGATGGGGCTTACGCACGCGCGACGACGCGTCTCTGTCCAAATGCGGGCAAACAAAGTCGCGGACCGAACGCGGGAATTTGTGGCGAGGATCGCTTGATGCCGTCCGCGGGCCGACGCGCCCCCGCATTAGTCCTGGCAGGGACACTGCATCTTAATCCAGAACACATCACTACGACTCTCTTTCTTCCTCTTTAACTTCTTCCTCAACTTTCGGGACTCTGGATATTGACTGGGCAACAACTGAGACCGCGGGGGAAATGGCCAGTGAGGAGAGTGCTAGTACTTCTCGACCAGCGCCAGGGTCGAAGAAGAGACGACTGCAAGGTGCGTCCGAGTCTCTCTGCAGGAAGCGAGGGGACTTATCATACTTGCAGGCGCCTGCGATATATGCAGGAAAAGGTAGGCGTCGTATTGCTCAGCCAAGTGTTCCCCCCTCATCGAATTCCGTCGATCCTCATAGGAAAAGTACGTTATACGTACGCTCTCCCAATCCTCGTCACTGACCTTCCCCCGCAGTCAAATGTGAGCTCGATCCACTTATGAGGGAGGCCGTGGTCTCACTGGCATCTGCGCAGGCGACAGTGCCAAGATGCCGGGCAACAAGTGCACGCACTGTATATCCTTTGGGTCTGAATGCACGCATTTCCTGAGCAAGGTGCGCCCCCTTCACTCTGTAGTTGCGGTCTTGCTCAAAATTGCGTTCAGAGACGATCCGCTGCCGCGTAAGCATCGTTTGTATACCCACTCTGACTGTCGATCTTATCCTTCACTCTGAAGAGCGAAGGCGGCAGCAAGGGAGGGCACAGGGGAGGCCGAGTGCTCCAAGCTAACAAGCGGGGACGCCTATCGCCCATTCCAAGTACGCGCCGCGTTCCCGTTATGCCCGCACACATTCATCGGTTACTTAGGACGCCGACACCAACACCCTCGTGACAGCTATTCTCGACGACACCGACGTCTTCTTCACCACCACGCCCCCCGCTTCCCATAAGGAGATTATCATCCGGCTTGCGCAATTCATCCGCACCCTTCAGGACACCCCTCGATACTCTGAGGACATATCCGACGATGACAGCCTCTCCCTTCCGCCCCTCGAACCCAACACCGAACCGTCTCCAGCAGCCTCCGACGAAATCAGCAAAACCAACGTCGAAGTGACATCCCTGACCCATGGACTCAAGGACATGGTTCTTAATGCCGGCTTCGAGCGCGTATATGGGCCTGCAAGCACGGTCGCATTCATTAAGTGCGCGCTAGACGTTCGGGCAGCGTATGCGACCGAGGAAGACGGCGAGCCCGACATGCAGCGCCGGATGGAGTTTTGGAACGCCCGCCCTGTGAGTGGTGATTGGTACTCTACCGGTTGACCATGCGATCTGACATCGATTTATTCCCTTCTCCGAATTCCTTACCTCGCCCACCTACGTTTCGTACGGACCCGACTTCAATCTCCGCGCATGCCGGCCTTTCCAATGCCCTCCTTGCTTCATTTGTCCGCTCCTCAATGTCGCTCTCGGGAGGAAGTGGGAGCTAACGTTGACCGACGACCGCATGCCACTCACCTTCCCAGAACCATCCCTAATCCGGATGCTCGTCGACCTCTACTTCCGCACCTACAACACCTACATGTCCCTCCTCCACCGACCCACCATCGAGCGCGGCATCGCGAACGGCATGCACGAGCGACACTATGGCTTTGGTACGCTCGCATCTCCCGTTACAGGGCATTATCCCCACCGAACTCATCTCCCCTCCTAGGCTCACTTCTCCTGATGATCTGTGCCGTCGCCTCCCGCATGACGGACGATCCGCGCGTATACGCCGACAAGCGCCCAGGGGCTGAGAACAGCGCCGGGTGGCAGTGGTACAGCCAGATACGCTTCATCCGCCGCACGTACCCGGTAGGGCCGGATCTCTATGAATTGCAGGCTGCCGCGGTAGGTATCCGTTAACGAGCGCCGGCAAAGGTACTGAATGCATTCCTACAGTTAGGTGTTTTGTATGCCCATGGTGCGTTCGGGCTCGGGATAGGATCTGTTTTTGGACAAGGGCACAGTACTCACGGGATGCAGGGATCTCGAGTTGCGATGATACCTCGTACAGTGAGCCGCTTCCGTTCCGACGATATTGGCGAGTCCTGAATATCTTTTTTAGTTCACGCGGCTGCTATCCGTCTCGCGCAGGAGATTGGCGCCCACAAGCGCCGCTGCACCTCCGACCGAATACAGGACGAGCTCTACAAGCGGCTGTACTGGGTTCTCGTCGTCCAGGATATTCATGTCACCTCTGTTATGGGTCGTCCGCGCGCCACGGGGGACGAGGATATCAACCTTGAGCCGCTTCTGGAGGTCGACGACGAGTACTGGTCGACAGGCTTCACGCAGCCGCCGGGCAAGATTGCGGGGCCGGTGTACATGAACGCGTTCATCAGGGGCGTGCATATTTTGGGGGTGTTATGTCGGACGATTGTGAGTGGATTTGTATCCCTTTAGGTGGATGTCTTGCTGACACTAGATGATAGTATGCTTGTCGGAGACCGAAAATGCCACCCGGGATGAGTGTAGAAGCCTGGGAAGCGCGTGTCGTGAGCTGTATCGACACGGTGTTGAACAAATGGCTCTGTACCTTGCCTGCTCATCGTAAGCCTGCTTTCCACCACTCTCTCCCTCGTTCTAACCCAAGCACAGTCCGCTGGGACCCCACACAGCCCAACGAAATATACCGCAACCAAGCCGCCTCCCTCGTCGCCCTCCAATGCTACATCCAGATCCAGGCCCACCGCATCGGCATCTCCTCACCTGACTCCACCCGCTCTTTAGCTGCCTTGTCTACCTGCGCGCAGTTCGCGCGTAATTGTCTGCGTGTGTTGGACGTGCACTCGCGAGAGGGCTTCATCCCGTGGATCCATGTGCAGCAGGCGGTATTTTGCTCGACGGCGGCGCTGATGCTGTATATCTGGCGGACGAGGGAGAGGGGGAAGGAGTGCGAGGCGGATGTTAACGACGTGTACAAGGGGATTAGACTGCTGCAGCTCTATGGGAAGAGGTTCGCTGATTTGTCTTCTTTCACCATCGCATGATGCTAATCTTTCGTAGATGGCAGCCAGCCGGTCGTCACTTGTATGTTGTCTTCAACCAACTCACGGTAACGCTAACATCTACTGCAGGGACGTCATCTACAATCTCTTCCCGCGAAACGGCTTCCATTTCGACGACAGCGGCACCTTCGTGAGGGTCGAGAAGCGCAAGCAATCCGCCCCAGATGAAAGCGTCGCCTCGTCCTCCGTCTCCTCGTCTATCGCCACCCCTCTCAGCAACCCCGAAATGGCACAGGCGCACGTCATGATACCGGACGAGCGCATCACTCCTCCTGTTAACACCTTTGCGTACACGCCGCCCGACCCCAGTTTGCCGCACACGCAGGAGGAGCAGCACCGCCTAGACGAACTTTTCCAGCAACACCAGTGGCCGACGCTGCCGAACAAGCAGGACCTGTTGTATGTGGCGGATAACACTCATACGCAGGCGCAGCGACCTCTCTTCGACTTCGACTTGTACGATGGGTCGCCGGAGTGGGGCACGGTTGGGATGGCTGGTGGTAAGTCTGACCCATGTCAATCTGAAAGCCTTTGCTGAAGTTCATCTTCAGAAACCATCTTTGCATCGGGCGCCAGCGGACTGCCCTTCCAGACAGGGCATCGACCCGTTGTCGCTGAGCAGCAGCTACCATCGCACGCTCGTCCATACTCGGGCTATCAATACCCAGCAGCGAACATGGTGCACCCCGAAGCGATGCCTCCGACAGGACCCAGCATCGGTCACCAGTTCACCACGGAGACGCAGTGGTATCGCAGCACGTATATATGATCTTCTGGGACGGCGGGCTGGCTCCGACATCCAATCTCTTATATCTATCTATCGCCCTGTATAACTACCTACCGTTGTCCTTATGTCGCGACTGCTTGTTTACTGGAACGAATGAGGATGGCTTTCCGGACTGTATCGCTCGGGGACATCGTACAATTCCATCTATATTGCCCTGGGTATCACGGTTGGATCCGAAGTTACATGTCGATGATGAAGGATCAGATTAGAGGCAGGAAGCCATCGGGTGAAGACATTGTGTCCGACGCTCAGCTACCGAGCCAGAGCAGCCTCTTCAGTCCATACTCCATCTTGGCATACATCGTTGTCAACCTTTCTGCTTCGCTAACACTGCCAACCTATTAGCTCGCCGAAATCGTATTGAAAAGAAGGTCGCATACCTGACAATATCCTCCTTCTTGACGAAGTCCTCGCCCTCTGCGCCCACGCCACCACCTATATCCTTGCACGCAGCCTGCACCGCGTCCACAATCATGTCGACTGCCTCTTGACAGTCCCGAGCCCCGCTCAGCTCGTCCGCCGGCTCTGCATAGACAGACGACTTCCTGCTGTCGATAGTGCCGCCCACAACGGAGCCGCCACTGGCGTCGTGCCGCGTCCGCGTAGGGTCGATCTGAAGCGCCTTGAATGCAGCGAACGTGACCTCGCCTCCCGACTCCGCCTTTGACAGAACGTCCGACAGCGCCAGTGTCTTCCGTTTCCGGGGTAGAAGAGGATTGACAGTGTTGCTGATCGATTGGTTGAGATTGCTGAGCGATGCGGGTATAGAGAAACGACGACTGGGAGAGTTAGTCGAAGTGAGGGGATTATTCTTGGTAGGTGACTCGGTGGTAGGGCTGGACGAAAGGGGGCTGCTCGTGATGGGGCTGTCCGATTTCGACACCGGTAGGAAACTGCTTGCGTCCAGTGTATTCTTCACCGAGTAAGACGATACGCGGGTCGTCTGATTTGTACTGATCCAGCGTACGACGAAGCCGGCGTTCTGCTTGGGATCACGGCTGGCTTCCTCCAATGGCGAAAGAATGTACGCTCCTGTGCAGTCGTGTCAGCCTTTATTGTGTCCATCTCGCCAACATTCGAGATACCTTTGGTGATACCCGTAATGTCACCGAGTGGTACGCGGGTGTAGGCTTTGACCTTCTCCAGAGTATAGTCGTAACGCTAGCGGACGTAAGCCAGAAGTTCAGAAGTAGAACAACTTTTCTTACAATGATATACAGCGCTCGTGCCGTTAACAAAAGGACTTTCTCCTCGAACTTCGGTCCAATCTTGACGTTGAACCCTTCTGGTGATAATACAGTCCACGCCGACAGCAACCTTTCTCCTTCATCCAGAACCCGGGAGACCGAGGTTGCAATGGCTTCAGCGCGGATCTTCGACAACCGAATGAGCTCTCCTGGGTCGGTTGACTGCAACTTCAGCAGGAATTCAGAGAAGACGGTTAGGGTGCGATAGCCCAGCATGTAGTCGATGACCGCTTGCGAGAACCAGTCGCCAAACGTCGATGCATACATCCGTGCCAGAGAGTTGACTCCGTCGTTGAGCATGCCGCCGATGTCCCGCTTCCCCGTCCTTGTAAAGTCGCCTTTGAGAGCAGAGGTGCCTGCGCTGTAGAATGTGAGGTTACGAGCGCGGGGGAAGAGGCAAAGGAGCTCACTATGCCCTGCTGATTGCGTCGCCGTTGTTCGCCCACACTGCGAGAATACGTGAGAACAGCGATCAGTCGGGCTGAAAGTCCCCTTACTGTCATTAAAGACGACATCCATGTTGGATTGCCCGTCAGTCGCAGAGTTGGTCAACGCAACAGCACCCAGTTGCTTGTTGAGAATGAAGCGAGCGAACGCAGACTACAAGAAGTTGATAAGCTGCACTATGCTCCACGACTTCGAGCATACCTGCACGACGTTCGTCCTATCCAAGCAGTCGATACAATTTGTACGGAAGACGCCCTTCTGCGTGGACATCAAGCGGTCCCCGGACAGCCAAAGGTACCTAAGGACACGAGGGTTAAGGACAGTCAACGTCACGATGAGTATATACCTTACCCTTGCTGCTCAAAGGTCCTTTCTAGGGCACTGATGAGTTTGGAGATGTTCTCGTACCTTTTTGGAGAAGCATGATCAGGATACGAATAAGTTTGCAAGTGTGCACACTTACTTCATGCCTTTTGTCTCAGCGTGGAAGTCGTATTCGTGATAGCTGTATAGACACATGTGTGAGAACAAGCTGGACCACAATGCCGCAATACTCACAGGACATCCGGCAGTCCAACTTCCTTGACAAATTCCCTGTACTTGCCGGTTATCGCGCCTTCCTTGCCACTCTGCTCTGCGAGGTTGACAATGGTCTGTTAAGGCCTTGTCAAAGCCTGAAAAACAGATGTGCAACGCTACAACGCTTACATGCGGACCATATCGCGTCAAGGTCCTCTGGAAGTGCCGCTTCATCGCGTCGATATTCTGGGCGGGAGTGTGGTCGGCAGCGAGGACAGGTGGCGGCTTGAGGCCATATCCTGTCTGCGTCCAGAAGAGAGGGACTACAAGGAGGTCAGCCCAGCGTAATCTGGGGTAAAATAAATGCGTACTTGATCCTCGTATTTGCAAGTAAGAGAACACGTTCTGAGATCCCTCACGCTCGAAGCATGTCAGTCGACACACATGCATGGACAAGTCACTCTCACCTCCACGCGCATCACCGTCTCCGTCTCCACGAAATTCGCAACATGGGCATCGTCGTCAATCCCTCTTCTCTGATACCGCAACCCTGCGCGATCTCGGGACCGCCGAGAAATGATGATATAGTCGACAGACGCTTGGTCGCCGGTGATGGGGTCCTGCGATGTCTGGAAGGTGGATATCTGGTAGTATCCTTGCATGACCGGAAGGACGTAAGAGTGAAGCTGGACAGATATGTAAGCAGTAAGCAGGTGGGTCACAACGCGGGGTATATGCGCTTACCCCAGCATCAACGAAGGCCTTCGACAAGGATTCATTCCACCAGAATTGCCTATTGACGCGCCGCCACAGAGGGAGAGTAGGATGCGGCTCGTCCAGTACGTTCACCGTATGCGATCCTTGACGTTCCGAATCTGCGACCTCTCCCGAGTGAGAGGCGGTCAACTCGTCCATGAGTGCGTGCTGCTTCTGCGACTTTGCAATCAACTCTTGCTTGTGCTGAAGGCATCGGGTTATATCTTGAAGCGAGTCAACATCGAAAGACGGACGTACGCGCGCAGAAATTACCAAAGTTATACGCGAAATACATGTCCCCTTTGGTGAACTCGCGTATACACTCCTTCACGATCTTGTCGTCGAGCTGGGAATTCCTTTCTTCGACGTTCACCGGCTCCGCGGCGGGTGTCGCGGCGGCGAGTATCTCGTTGACTCCCTCAACATAGGCATTGCCCTCTTGCGCAGTGCTTTGCGTGTCTGCTGATGGCCCTGGAGCAGTAGTAGCTGCGGGTGCCCGCGTCGTCTTCCAGAAGGACAGGCGGGAAGCAAGCGTCTGGGCTACGCTGCTTTGGCTGCTGACATTGGACATCGAATCGCTTGACTGCATTGAGGAAGACGCGGAGATGTCTGAAGCCAACGAATCGACGGATTCGGCGCGCGAATGTCTGTACGGCCGAGGGACGTCCATAGAACTGTCGCTGCGAGGTGTCATGATCTTGACGTCGGCTTCGTCCGCGAACTGGACCTTGGCCTTGGGCGTCTCAGGAGACTCTTCGGAGTCGCTTGCTCCTGATTCACCGACCGTATCCATCGTGGACGACCGGACGAGAACAGAGGGGCGTGCGAGGTGCTTATTGCGAGATGCAATGGATATGATGGTGCGTCGCGCGCGTTCTTCATCCATAGGGATCGCAGTGACACCCTTGACGCCGTAGACTGCGCGACTACCATCGAGGACTAGGACTGAATTCAGCGCCTGCGCACGCTAGGCAGCAATCGTGCTCACAGTTCCCTATGTCCGCCTTCGACGTTATGACCAGCACATACGCGCCTATGACATGTCAGTTTCTGGGTATGGACGCATCGCTAATCACGCACCTGAGAACAGATCCAGCGAGCCCAGCAAGCCATAGACAACAGCCCCCTCGCTCCAGTCGATCTTGTTCTTCTCATCGACCTGCACTTCCTCGGCCTTCACCGGCGAACCCCACGAGACGCGGACGTATGATTGCAGATCATCATGTCCTTCACCGGGCAGATGTGATCGTACGAGCAAGCCCTCAGAACGCGCAAGTATACAAAGATAGTGATATGGGGCAGGATGGGGGACAGGAGGGATGACGAACTTCGCTTGGAGACCGGTTGTATGCGCAACGGTTGGAGTGAGTGGCGTCGCAGGCGTGCTCGTCGCTGTCGTCGCTGCAGCCGCCTTGGGTCCACGATTCGGAGCAAGGTTGTTGAAGAACTTCTTCATAGTGATAGGCCGGAAGACGTGCGCTATAGTCTCCTAGGGTATCATGGGCAATGACAAGCACGGACCCGGACGCAGGAAGGAAGCAAGGTGACCGATCCTGGAGTGATGATGCAGTCCGGCGATAGATCCGATTTAGGCATTCTGTTTGTTTCCAGTCTATCTAAAGTAACGTCTATAGCCCGAAGGCCTTCCATAAAATTACAGGGTAGAACCATGGTGCGCGACCTAGGGCATTATGTTACAGCATAAGTAGGTAGCATAGATAAAGGTCATCGCGAGGGCGAGTAGGGTAGAGGATAGCAAGACAAAACAACGACGACGAAAGCTACTACATTGCAGACGGGAGGTAAGTAAACGGAACTTAGATCGAGTCGAGCGCGCTGCAACGAACGCGTCTAGTAGGTCCGCAAGAGGAAGAGGATCAAAGGTTAGGGAACGTCGAAGTCTCCGGTCAAGCCTCCGCTACATAGGAGCAATCCGATTCGGGAGCTGCGGTTGCGCCTGAGCAGGCGGAGGCTGGAAAACACCGCCCATGCCGGCATCTTCGTTATTGAGACGAGCGAAGAACGTGCCCCATTGGTCTAATGGCGTCCCGTTGAGTACCCACGCCTCATCAAACGAAGCCTCGAATTGACTCACCCCAATCAAACATCCCACCGGGCAGACCGTCCAAGAAGGAATCCGCTTGTTGGAATTCCGCGAGTGAAGATGGTGAACCTTCCAAAGTGTTCAACACTTGAACACTCGGACCTCCTACCGCCGCACCATTCATAGCAGGGTTGACGTTAGACGGAACGCCCAACGCGTAGTCCATTTGCTGAGCAGACAAGCCTGCGTTATTTGAGGGAAGTGTTGGCACGAACGATGACGGCGAGAAGGTGAAGTTGCGATCCGTCCTGTCCGTCGACGTAGCCGATGAAGGCGTCGCTGCCGCCCCATCCAGCTCGTTGATGACCGTGCCGGCGGGGAGGTCCTTGAAGTCCGAAGCGCGAGCGCCTTGGGCAACGTACACACCGCCTCCTGGACGCGTGGGATCCTTGCGGAAGTCGAGGGAGGGAGCCTCTTTTCCTGTAACACCGCCAGTCGGATTCAGTGCAGCAGGCTCCATCGGCATCGCAGGACTCTGAGTTGCCACATAAAGCAGGCCAATGATCTCCGCAGTCTAAAGAGGACAAAAAGGGGTCAGTTGAGCTGCGATGAAACTGGCGAGTTGAGAGGATGACCTTGCGTCTAGCGGACATGTGGTCAGGCGATAGGCAAGCCTCCCACCGTCGGACTGTATCTCTGAGCTTGCGCAACTTCGCCGCAGCGTCGGCGTCTTTGCGTCTCGCCCAAGTGTGATACTGCGAGGATTCAATCTCAATTCACTATCATAAATATAGGAAAGGACGCTCACCTGCACAAGCGCGCAAGAAGTCGCAGAATAGGCGACAAGCAACCAGACGTCGTAGTAATTCTCGTTGGCGTCCAGCCAGTCGATCGCGTTGCCAGTGAGCACCACCATCTTGGTCCACTGCTCCACTGTGAGCCCAAACTTGAGGTGGGACGGACACGAGTAACTGATTCTCATGAAGACGCGCCAGAATATCATGCACACGGCCGTGTACAAAAGGTGCAGCAGGCCTAGACGAATCCGTCGTCAATTCCATGCAAGCAACAGTTCAGCCGGTTGCGTACCTGCCGTCCTTGACGTCTGGGGCCCAACGTACTTCAGCTTCTCCGGAAGCCCGTCCCGCCACGCTTCTATATCATGCAGCAAGGCGTGCAGCATGTCGTCCGTGACGAGAGTTAGACCGGATGGACTTCGATGTGAATGCCCGACCATCAGCTGAAAATTCGAGGCGCCAAGCAGTAGGAATTCCTCACCTATAGATCGTCTTCAAAATCCGCCCCAGAATGACGCTTAGCCGAACGAGCTCGTCCATGTAGACATCGTTAGGGTCACCAGACGACGGCAGGCGCGCGTCGCAATCCTGCACGTCAATCATGTACGGGTGACCATAGGTCAGGCTGATCCTGAAACGAAAGCAGTGGGTATGAGAACCCGCTCGCCTCGTCCGTGAAATTGGGATGCGTACCATCGATCGCTGATTACGCAAGCACCCCAGATACGTCTTCGCATCTCGATGTTCTGCTTGACAGACTCGGCGCGGTGTAGACCAAGGTCCTGCGCCTTGTCGAGAGTCAGAAGGGGCTGAGGGCAATACAAAGGAATGTCTTACCATGCGGATTGCAGCCCCGAGGCGGATCCACAGGGCTGATAGCGCGCTTGGCACGAACTGCGAGTGACAGTCGGCCAGCATGCACAAAATTAGTGTCGCCTGCACGTTGACGAGCGAGGGCGTCGAGAGAATATCTTCGGCCTTGATTATGGTGTTGACCGTATAGCGTAGAGAGTCGAATATTGATTGTGACACATCGCGCTTAGCGGCGGCGACGAGGCACATCGAATATAGCAGTATAGGCGGCGTCGGTGAGAGGGACAGGAATTCCTCCTTGGTGATGACAGGGAGCATCCAACTAACGTCTGTGAAATAGGCATTGAGGAGCCGCTCAATGACTTCGGGTTCCATGCGAACGTCCATCGGCTTCGACGCGTTCGAGAAATCATCCGTCGGAGGCTTCTGAACCGTGATGATACCATCGCCAGTAGCAGACACCTCAAAGGAGTGGTTGTAGCGCAGATCGTAGCTTTCGTATACGCGAGAGGGAATGGCGGCTTGAGAATGCAAAAGATGGGCAACGTGAGTCAGACCTAAGCGTTATAAATCGTCCGCCAAGGCGGAGATATGCAAGACTTACCAACAATGCCAACGTCGCGCTGGGGCTGCGAGGAACTCCCATGCTGCTTGTGTGAATGGTCATCCTGCTTGGGCACCTCATCCTCCGTCTTTTTCTTCTTGAAACGCGTCTCCGTGATAGGCAAAAAGAACGTGCACTCGAAGCCATACTGCTTGCAGTGTTGACACACCGGCGGTTCCTGAGACTAGAAGTTATAGGGCGAACAATCAACACGTAGATGGTGGCTCACCGTATCCTGTATAACGTCGCAACGGATTTTACGCGTACGGCAGGAGTCACAGGCGCGTTGCTGAGCAAGGCGTCATTTCATGACGCGTCAGGAAGTACGACATCAACGTACCGTCTTCGTGCGCTTTTTGGCATCCGCGGCCTGTCGGGCCTGCTCAGACGCCTCGTCGTCCGATGCTCTGTCCCCGTTATTCTTGGGCCTCCCAGATCCACGCTTGCGCTTGTTGCCGGCCTGAGGCGGCGCCGAAGGAGCGGTCGATACTGGCGATGAAGGAGGGGGGTGCTGGGTGTGCTAAGAAAAGCGCGCGTGAGTGAAACTGCCCAGGGGAAATGAGGGGCGCGACGGACCATCTGCTGCGCGGTGGGAGGGTAGCCCGGGTAGACGTAGGGCGGAGGATACGCCTGAGGATGGATCGGATAATGATAGGTAGGAGACATGGCCGACTGAGGCGGCGCGCCCTGATGTGAGGGGGGATATGGCTGTCCGGGGGCAAAGGGGGAGGGGTTCATCGGGTATCCCGGGTGGCCATGCATGATGGATGGGTGCGGGGGATGCTGGTAGAACGCGTACGGATCGTACGGCGTACTCGGCGGAGGGAGCGGCGCGGATGCAGGCGGACCGCGGCTGGCGGGCGAGACGGAGTGCTCTGAACGGAGGATTCCGACGGGATGAGCGTCGGCACCACGGCGCGCAGCGGCAACTCACCTTCAGACGACGGCTTGTGCGTATTTTTCGGACGCTTCCTGCTCTGCTGTTCGGCGTCGCGGCGGTGGGAGTGCGCGTCCTGGCTCGAGTCTGCCCGTGTATCTTGGCGCTCGGCAGGTGGTTCTGGAGAAGGGGTGCGCGATGCCATTTCTCGATTTGTCACAGAGTCTTATATATGGCCGATGCAGGCCTTATGCGATGATCAACGATAAATATCAGGGCAAACGCGAATTCGAAGCGCCTGCTCGCCGGGGAAAGCTTCAGCGCATTCTACGGGGAGTACAGGGAAAGAACTCACGGGTAGCGACGAGGAGCACAAGTTGCACAAAGCACGCTTGGTGAACCGCCGCAAGAGGGATGCCGACAAGTGCCGAGTCGCACGGCCGGTCGGCGCCGCAGAATTCAAACTCAGCAAACTCCGCGGCGCTTCGGATTGGTAGTTCGAACTCTACGAATTCCAACGGACCGCCTGCGAAGTACTTGGAATGCGAAGCTCAACATGTCATTGTTTCGTGATGAATACTTCATAGACGCCCTCTCATTCCATCGTACTTCTCTGCATCTAGCTTTCCTCCTCATCTCGGCAGTATACCCACGATCACTTCTCTACAAGACTCTCCAACTCACCATTTCTGCCCCTGCAAATCCAACGTTCACTCTCGGAATCTCTCGCGTCACAGGCACTCCTCTTCCGCTAAATGGATTCTAGGCTTCTATACCCCCGGTCCATCACGATGTTCTGACGATGCCGTATCCCTCCATAAACCCTTTTGGTTCGTTCGTTGATGTCCTGCCCCCGGCCAATCGCCGCGTCCTTCCCCAGCCAATAGCGGGCGCACCTAGCGAACTCTACCCTAGCCACACCCTAACGAGGTCCCGTGTAGGTATATCTCCCTCGCGTCTGCGGGGTTGAAGGGTGGGATGAGAAGTACTGCTGCTTTGGGGTTGCCACGAATCGTGAAGGTCCCTCGGACGGGGTGCTGGTTGGGTCATGTCCATCCGTCATGCATCGTTCATTCCGACGCACAGGAGCCAGCACGGGTCAGCAGATATGATTAGAGGCTCCCTCCGACGTCGCTCGTGGAACCGATTCGCTGACTCGAGAAAGATTAGGGCGTCGAGGATTCAGAAGTCAATATCGATGCCTCCGCGATCTCATCAGGCTCCTTCCTGCACTGCACGTCCGTTTCTTCTGACTCGCCACCCTTGAATTACTCCACTATATCAAGGAGGCTAGACTCTAGAGTCTACAAAGAAGCGGGGGTCATGGCACAAATAGGTAGCAGACAGTGAGATAGGCGCCGACCAACCAGCGAGCGATGATGAAGCGGTAGAGATCGTCGACCAATAAAGATGCCCACTAGTAATATATACAGCGAATCCAAGAACATCGTCACCGTTCATAGATAGTACACAGCAAAGTTGCGCCCCAAACAAGGAGACTAAAAAGCAGTAAGGATCCCCGAGCATGAAGAAAAGAATTACACTGCGGCGACCAGGCGAAGAAGAACAGCAGGTGACCGCGAACCGCTGCTAGTGGCAGCCTCATTGCGAGACGCGCCACACACGGGCCTATACAGACGTCCGCTCATAGGTGGACGGACAGGCGGCCGCGGTCACAGGGCGCTAGTCCGCTGGCATAGGGTCGTCCCCCAGAAACCTGGCTTCGTCGACAGGTGTGTCCCGCCCCGCCATCAGCCCAAAGAATGTCCGTATTTCAGGCGCTCAGGAAGCCTGGATTGATCTCACGCTTGTCCTCGACCTGGACTTCGTGCGCCTCAATCCACGAGTAGCCACGCGGGCGACACAGCACGGTGGCAATATTTCTCCGCCAGTTGCTCCCGAAGGGGTTCGGAGGCAAGGGTGCTCGCGGGTCGACGGATTTGTGGGCTTTGTTCCGTATCTGCTCGATCGTTGTCTGGTTGAGGAAGACCAACTGCGGAGGTGGACCCATTAGATGTTGCAAAGCCAGAGTTTCGTCATTAACTTACCCGAACATGGTAGCTGAACAGCGCCACTACCGGCATGAATACGCCCAGACCCAGGCAGAAGACGACGGCGCTACCCCACCCTTCTGAAACGGCGTGACGGAAGTTCGTCTCCTCATCCCGTACCAGGTAGTACAGATGCAATGCCGCCGTGATGATCACGAAGATGAGGGTGAGGACCTATGCAGGGAAGCGTGTCAGTACGCAGTGGAAGAGCGTCTATTCGGAGCGTAAACGCGCCGATAAGCGCTAGAAAGCGCGGACTTGGTGCGAAAGCGAAGACTCACAGCGCTGGTCAGCATGACGAAGAAAGATGTGTAGTTCCTTCGCCCAACGCAATTGTTCACCCATTGGCAGTGATGATCACATCCATCTACACAATTGTCGCACTGTAAAGGAGGGCCAATGTTAATTCGAGGAAGATGGGCGCAAAATGAAAGCAGCGGACCATCTTGCAGTGACTCGAGCGAGGTGGCCGGTACGTCTTGCAAGTAGGACAGTACTTGACGCGGACTCTGACAATGGATGAATATCTGGAGCGACAGGCTATGGGGTTCGCTTACATGTCATTCCGAACCTTCAAGTCTCGAGGCATGGGTGCCCTTACGCCACCGTCGGACGGACTGGTGGCAGGATATGGTGGGTCAAGGTCTAAATTACGCGGGAGTATCCCAGGATCGGTGAAAGCCTGCGAGTCAATCTCATCAATACGGAGTTAGGCAGATGAACTCAAAGAACGCACCGTGACCATCATACTAGATATCACTATAGCGGTCATGTATCCACCGATAATAGGAACCGCGGGGCTCATATTGTGCCACCACCAAGGACAAGTCGCGCCAAACCAGAAGCCCGCAATGAGCCCCAGAAGCGTGAGGCAGCACAAGAACGCCCATGGAGAATCGCCGCCTGTGAGCACCCGCCCATCCAAGAAGAAGCGATTACGGGAAGGATGCGCGCGCCAATTGCGCACCGGCTTCCCCGTCTTCTCGTCGATCACTGGGACGGCCATGAGCGGCGGCTCGTCCCCGCGCGGAGGCGGATGAGGATTGAAAAGGCTGGGCGAAGGGGAGGGCGACTGCGAGGGCGTCGGTTGCCGGGAATTGTTCGTAATGCTGAGGCTGGGCGCGAAGCCCGGAGTAGGGGAGGAGGTCAGGGAGTCGCGCTTGCGACGGCTGATGGAGATGGGACTGTGCTGCTCGGGCGGCGCGACGCCTTGCTCCTCGTCGATGATCTTGCGCTCGTCGAATGGGTGGTCAACCGTTGGCGTGCGGGGCGATCGGCGCGCGGAGTCGAAGCTCAGGCGGTGGCTCATGCTGAGGACGCGGTCGAGGCTGTTGCGCACAAACTTGTTCGGCGAGAGGACGCTGCCGAACCCGCTCTGGGAGTTCGTCGCGCCGCCACTGCGTTCGCGGTTGACGGAAGGACGGCGAGGAAGGTTGGAAGCCTGAGGTGAAGCACTCCGCATGGGAAGAAGTGGATCGCGGCTTGTCTTGATGCTTCTGAGCGTCTCGTCCCCGGGCTGCTGGGCTGTAGACATGGAGCCTTCGCCGCCTTCCTCCTCTTCGCTCTCCTGACTCAATCTATGCAGTTGGAAGGAGTCGTTCTGGGGAGTGCCTATGGGTATGCTTGCGTCGGACGCCACCGAGGATCGGCGGGTTGAGTATCGTGCATACTGGTTGGGCTGGACCTGCGACGGGCGGGTGGGGCGAAAGAACGACGCCGAGGGCTGAATACCGCCAGCATGTGTAGTGCTGGAGTGCTTGCCGGCGGGTGAAGGGGAAAACATCATGGGCGACGTCGGACGCGAACGCGGAGGGGGTGAAGCAGGCGACTTCGGTCTAGCGAGATCGTTGCTCGAGGAAATGCTCCCTTGCGCACTATGCCTTTTGAAGGTCGCGGATGTGGCAGAGGGGAGCGGAAGCTGCTGCCCCTGAGCGATGAGCGAATGGCGCTGACCGCTGGCAGAGCCCGAGGAGGCGAATTGTAAGGAGTGTGGTGAGTTCGGTGCAGCCGCCATGGCGTCACGAGACTGTGTATGGTACAAAGGCCCTGCCCAAAACGTTCAGCTTGCAGAATAGCCAGCGCGCGGAAGATGCTCGGTGACCGGCCCTTGCGCCTTTGTGAGGGCGAGTTGAATAAATGGAGCAGGGAAAGAGCCGCAGTTTCCGTTGGCCGCGTGGCTGCCATCACCTCGCATGCATGCATGAACTCGGTCTCCGGCACACAGATCCAGAAGCGCGCGCCTTGCCTACAACGTCCATCCTCTCGGCATGTGTAGCCCTCAGCCGCCTGCGAACTCGGTGAACAAGGGTCTCTTGCTCGCTAGTATACGCTCCTTCGAGCCCCCCGACTATCTCTCGGCTGCGATCTCCACTTGCAGTCATGCCACGAAATACCACCTCACGATCGTCCTCTACTCTCGTGTTTTCAACGTTGACCCAGACTGCACCGTGAACCATGCTGCACATTGGAACGACGTGCAGAAACTCTTGACGCGTGCATATGTCTCTGCTACGAAGGCCGCACAAGACCAGAACAAGGTCCTCATGGACGTGGACGTACTCCTCAGAGGCATCAACGAAGGTTACCCCTCCAACCTCCACGGATACGACGCAGTCTTCCGGGTAGCTGGCGGTACACATGCAACGCTGTCTGCATTGACCGCTATCTGACACGCGCGCAGATGCCATCCCCGTCCACATTCCCGCCGCTGTCATGAGACTACCTCACACCTACCTCTCCCCCACCGTAGCCGTAACCTCCCTTGGTCCCCCTAGCCCCCGCTCCACCGATGAGGACCTCACGGACTCTCAATTCCCCGTTGTCGCTCTCGGTGGCACTTTCGACCACCTGCACGCGGGGCACAAGATCCTGTTGAGCATGGCCATCTGGATAGCGCGCGAGAAGCTCATCGTCGGACTCACCGACGACGCGCTTCTTGTGCGCAAGCGGTACTCCGAGGTTCTCGAGAGCCTCTTTGTGCGCGAGACGCGTTTGAGGGCATTCCTGATGCTCGTCAATCCTGCGCTCACTTACGACATCGTGCCCATCAACGACGTGTATGGGCCGACTGGGTGGGATGAGAACATCCAGGCCCTCGTCGTTAGCAAGGAGACGGAGTCAGGCGCGCAAGCTAGTGCGTATCTGCTATCTTTCTATATGCATACGCCATTCCAGCTGTGCATGCACTCATCTGCCTATCTTGTGCTTTCTTGTCTTTTCTTCGCTCACTAAACCTAACGCCACTTTCAGTCGCCACCCACCGCGCCGAAAAGGGCCTCTCCGCCCTTCGCACCTTCGTCATCGACGTCATTTCGCCTACATCCCACAAACTCGACGCGGAGGACGAGCATGCGTTGCGAGAAACAAAGATGGGCAGCACCTTCATCCGGCAGTGGATTCTGGAGCAGCAGCGGCGGCGAGGAAGGGCTCGGAGTGGAAGTGTGCTGCATATGGGTGGTTTTGTAGAAACTGAAGGAAGTCGGAGAAGAGAAGAGGAGGCGAAGGAGACAAGCGAAGAGGCTGATGCCGGCGTCGGGGCTGCGGGCAAGGAGGAAGCTGGGCAGGAGGCAGCTACGGCGGAGGAAGGTCCGCAAGACGCGTCGAATGAGGATTCGACAGGAACGACGGGCGAACCCGCCACACACCCCGCCGAATCTTCACCACAGGCGGAAGAGCCGCAGGACACACCCGCAGGAGACGAGCCACGACCAGCGGCAACCATTGCATGAACGCTCTTGTAGGTATCGCGAACGTCCGACGGAACATCTTGTACAACTTGCAACAATGTATTTTTTGGTGAGGCGGACCACGCAGACATCCTCATTGGCCTTGAAGCGCATACGTGACAACGCGCTATCAGAAGATACGACGAACGTGTATAACAATTGCTGAAAGAACGACCTCGACAAGTCCTCAGATCTGCAGGTACAACGGCGAGCTTCCCGACGACCCTTGGCAGGCAACGCCGTCGATCGCGACGGAGTCTTCGTAGGGTGTGCCTGCGCTGTCCGTTCGACGGGGTCGAGCCGCCAGCACCGGTTGTGGCAACGGTCACGAGTGGCCGTCGACGTTGTGCCCAACCTCCAGCTTGAGTTCCAAGAAAGTCTATGGCGAAAGGCCAGGGTAGAAGGCCGGTCAGGCAGTGCTTTCTATCTCGAAGCCAGACAGAGGACGACTGCGCATATTCAGCAGGGATGCTGCTGTACCGCGTCTAGAAGGGCTAGTTCTGCCTTCTGACGGAAGGTAAGAGTCTCCTAAGGATTGTCACATTTGACATCGGACACTTGAGCTAGACAGCGCAGAGGTGAGCTGGCGATATACACAGTCATTCAGATCGACCTTGGCACAAGGCTTGCCCGTTGGTCATCTAGATGGTGTTAACGTCGTACAGAGGCCATAAAGAGGTTGTCGATCTTAGTCAGGGTCGCGAGAGATAACTGAGAACAATACCTTCCTAATCAGGAAGGTCATAAAGCCGGGCAGTTATGGTGTAGATTGAGACAAAAAAGGAGGGGCATGGGACCTGTAATGTGAAAAAGGTAGGAGCTCTTTGCCACGGGTACCACGAACACCATCCCGGACTGTCCTGTCCTCGGAGACCGCTGCGGTCGTGGAACGAACGCGGCCACGCAGCCCGGTGAGGGCATGGAATATTCTTTGAAGCCATTGCATCGCCTGCGAGGGACCAAAGAAAGCCGGAGTAGAATGTTTCGTCGCTGTCCATGGGTCGTAGGTTGCTTTGGGAATCGATTATGATTCGTCTGCCGGTTCGTCGCGTACACAAATTCTCTATCGTAGCGCAGATGCACCACGATGGGCTATGCCGCACTTCACCACAAGGGTAGCCCATGACGCACCGAGAGAAGTCGTTCAGTGCGGCGGCCACCTGATATCGAGGACCACGAGCATCCATAGAGATGTTCATGAGTATACAAAGCGACAACCACGAGCATTCGGTCGCATTTCGCACGATTCCGCAGGGGAAAACGAACGCAATTCGCCCGAATCTACGGGACTACTGATAGCGCCGGCCAAGGAGAATTCGGCGGTATGTGAACGTCGTTGACGAAGGGCTATAGCATGGGCGAGCTTCAATGGCATTGTGGGTTGGGGGCGAGAATGTTAGCGCGAGAGAAAGCATTGCGGATTGGGTGGGAGAGCTTCAGTGATCGCAACAACTCCGTCGACGATGGAGAGCAGAGACTGAGTGCAGCTTCAACCCCCTCGTGCTCAACGTCGTGACGTCGAGAGGCTGGTGGGACACGATGCGGCGAGCGCAGCAGCGGGCGACACAGTTGGCGTTGATCAGGCGTTGATTGTCGATGATGCGAGCCACTGGGGACTGCTCGGTCCTGCTCAGGCCAGACAGTTGGTCTTGCGGTGGCACGTCGGGGCGAGGGCCTTCGTCAGAGCCTTGAGACCAGTATGTAGAATGCGCGGCAATTTATCCGTCGCGTTAGTTCTTCCCGCGAAGGTCTTCGAGATAGGCTGTCAATTGGTGGCACGCGTCAAAGAGCCATTGAATAGAGCGCTCATACATACTTTTTCAGTTGAATGGCCACGTCAGGAAATTCAAGTTCCAGCAGGAAGTATGGACTTGGGCTTGGCGTGGTGGGAAAGCGAGCGCTAGTCCAACATGGAGGAGGAATGACAGAGATCATCGTTGTGGCACCGGCTACTTGGCCCCAATCTCGAAGCTGATGGCGCGCAATCAGATTAGGCCGTACCCGGGGGTGGCTTGGAGGCGTTGGGCGCATCTGAAGGGTTGAAACGAGGCTAGGACGCGCTTGCTGGTGAGCTGGAGGGGCAGAACACACATGCGCGTCGTCGCACGGGCGTTGTTCTGTGTGGTGGCGTGGAGACGCCGTTGCGGTTCTGAGGGGGCGGGCGTCGATAGCGAAGCCTGCTGCGGAACATTCCCATCATGCACGCGAGAGAGAAGGCAACTAAAGCATGCCCAAAGGGGGAATCCGAGGAGCGCGTGACCCTTTTGTGACTGCGATTGGCGAGAGGAGCACGCGGTCGTTTCTGGGTTGCTTCAACTTGAGCGCAGACTGCAAACGGGCGCGGGACGGTAACGGCGACGCTTGTCCAAGACGCCCACCATCCCGCAAGGCCAGCGAACAGCTCCTCGCCCTGTTCTCGCCTCTCACAACGACAGCACCGACGACGACCACACCCAGCCCGTCCTGCCGCTCCAGCAATTGGTTATACCTCTTAACTTATCATCAAACGCTGCCTACGCTGGTCGTACATATCTACCGCCAGCCCGCGGCCGTCCACTCATTACAGACCGCCCACCATGGCCTCGTTACTCGCACCAAGAGCACAGGAGCCCCGGATCTCCCAGCTCCTCCCCACTGTCAAATGCTCAGACTGCAACCAGCCCGTTCCGCTCACAGAGCTAGGAGAGCACAAATGCGAAGCGCCCCCGCCTCTTCCTACCCCGTCCAAGTCGCCCACCGTCGCGTCATTCCTACCCCAGCGACTGCAGAACCTCGTCTCGACCAGTCCCAAGCCCATGTCTCCTCCCCCGCGCCAGCCCCCGCCCAAAGCGTCGCTACCGGCCACGCCAAGCAGCCCACCGCAGCAACAACGCCGCGGCACGCTCTTGTCCGGACGACCGCGCCAGTCGTCGATCTCCTCCACCGCGTCGTCTGCCTATTCGCCGCCAATGAAGTCCATTCCGATCCCCACGCGTCCAGACAACGACCGACGTGACACCGTGTCCTCCATATCGTCGAGATTCACGTCGCGCACGGCGTCGTCCCCGCGTGGTCCTCAGTCGATCATCAGCGATGCACGGGCACGGACGGCCTCGATCACCTCCAGCCGCTCGGGCATGAGCAGTAGCTCTGGGGGGACTGCGCGCCCATCCTTTTTGTCTGGCAGGGACTCGCGACCAACACCGCCGCTGGACCTGCGATCAGCGTCCGGGCCGTTGAAGACGCCTCCGGATGAACAGCGTCGCCCCTCATTTGGGTCGGCAAGGGAGCCGTCGTCACCACTGTCGATACACCCACCCACCAGCCCCTCACGCACGCCAAATTCGCCACCATTGGACAATGCACGACCCGCTCCTTCTACATATTTCCCAGCTACCGCATCTCCTAATGTTGGTCGAGGTGGCGCGTTGCCGCCCATTGGCACCCCTCCTACACTTGAACATACCCGCGGCGCTTCATACATGTCCCAGCGACCTTCCATGGAACAGCGACCTTCTATCGACCGCCGACCATCCGCCGACGAGCCGCGCGACATGCCTCCTCCTGCCTCGAACATTAGCACTGAAATCGGAGGGGAGGCAGGCATGGCGGGTGTTGGTCGGCGGGGATTCGCTGCCGCGGCACGCGTCGCATTGCTCGTTATGCCTCCAGGTGGAGCACCTCAGCAACAGTCAATGGATGGTCGACTCGGTGGGTACCGCGCTAATGCCCCTACATATCTGGACATTGGGTCAAATAATTATTGTTCGTCCCCGCCACGCGATCTGACCATTGTACTAAAATCCATCACAGCTAATGGTGGTACGCCTCCTTTGTCGCCTGCATCCGGCTATTCCTCGCCCTCGGCCCTCGCCTCACCCGTCTCTCCTATCGCCAAAACGCGCTCGCCGTCGCCCATGCAGCCGCCAGCCGCCCTCAACGATCCCGCCATGTCGTCTAATCCCTCATCACCGTCCTTGTCTTCTATGAAATTGCCCTTCTTCGAGAAGTTCCGCAATAACGCGCCCCCTAATGATATATCCCAGCCTAATTCCATTCTCAACCTCGACAATGATGCACGCGAGCGACGCATGTCCTCCCGGCGGTCGCGGTCGGCTAGCGTCAGCAGCAAGCGCATGACGCGTACATCCATGTCGGGGTCCGAGGTCGGCCTTGCCTACGCGGACTCGGATGAAGAGGACGATGCGCCGCCAGTGCCTCAGCTGCCGGATTCCGTCAAACACGAGAGGAGGAGCCGCATACAGAGGAGAGGCGACGATATCACTCCGCGTGGAAGTCGCCAGCCGGACGCTGAGTCGGACGTATCTGCATACTCCGACGACGAAGGCTTGCTATCGCGGCCGAGAGGCAACTCCAAGGCCAGCGACGATGCCTTGACGAATCCTTTCGGCGGCCCTTCCGAACCTGGCAGCCCGCCGCAACACACGACTCGCTTAGCAGGAAGGACGAGCACCGGCACCCGCAGCACCTACTCCCGCAAGACCAGCATGACCGCCGACTCGCCCCTCATTCGCGCTGGCCTCCTCGAGCGTCTGATGGAGGACGTGTCGACCGAGGAACCTATGCCGAAGCCCTCGCTGACGAAGAGTAAGTCGGAGCGCGTGTCGAGTTCGCACGGCAGTCCCCATACGCCGATGCGCAGCAATACCGTGCCTTACTCTCCGGAAGCGCGCCCTCCCAAGCTGCCCAGTCGGACGCGGACGAACGGCTCGTCCTCAGAAAAGCGCCCCAAGAAGCCGAAGGTCTGCATGAAGTGTACGGAGGCGATCAGCAACGGCCGATATATTCAAGTGGAGGACAACATCCTCTGCGAGCGTTGCTGGAAGCATATGTACCTTCCGAAGGTTAGTGCCGACCATTGGTCTCCATTCGCATTGCTCATGCCTCTTCAGTGCCGACGGTGCAATCTCCCGATCGAGAAGCAGGCCGTCCGGAGCAGAGAAGGCAAGCTCAAGGGGCTTTACCATCGGGAATGCTTTGGTTGTGCGGTTTGCCATGTACGTATCATGACTGTCTCGATCGGCGCGTCTGACATTCGTTCAGAAACCCTTCACTGATAAAGAGTTCTATGTGTATGACGAGAAACCTCTATGCGGCTACCACTATCATGAAGCCAACGGATCGCTCTGTCGAGCTTGTGGCGAAGGAATCGAAGGGCCTTGCGGTAAGTGGAATCACGTCTGATCATCAGTGTTTCTGACTGGGCTTTAGCTGTGCCATTCCCTGGAGCCAAGTACCATAAGGACTGCTTCACTTGCGGTCATCCCGGCTGCAACACTATTTTGGTTGAGTTCTGGGAGGTCAACTCGAAGTTCATGTGCGAAAGGCATGTGCCAGCACAGCGCCTGTCCGGCGGCTACGACGACGACTGGGAAGCGCCGCCCATGTCGGCGAAGCGTGTGACGAGGTTTATTGACCTAGGCGGGATACCCGGCCTTCCTGGCACGGACGATGGCGCGGACTCTGGATTACGCTAGCCACAAAACGGGACTTTCAACTTACGGACCGTGGAAACATACATACCTACGCGCGCGCTCTTTGCGGAACCACACGTCGCCACACTTGCATCTACTTCCCCTTTGCGCGGCCTACCTACGCCATCGCAACTTGGCTACTTTGCATGCTTTCCTATAACTTTATCGCGCTCCCTATACCACGGCGGATGTACTGTATCCAATACCTTCTTCGTTTTCCCTTTTCTATCTCTTCCTTTGGCTTGTACACTCGGGGATTCGTGGTGGTGGCAGGGCTGTTGCTTTTGGAGTTGTTCATCTTAGCTGACTAGTAGGAACACTCTGACTATTGAGCTTGCAGTCGAATTTGTCTGAGTGGTGACGCGTGCGTCTCCGGATCTGAACTCGTCGGCGCCGTCGACGCGGTCGGCGGGTCGCAGAGGACGGCTTGACCGGCAAACACCGATATCCATTGAACTGTACGTACAAAGTTGCCGCGATGTTCACGGCGTCCACTGCTCGCTCCAGAGGTGCCTCAAATGCTCGCGTCAAACCGTACTCGGGCCATCGGGCGAATCAGTGCAGCGTGCCATGCCCGCGGCCATCCGCCTCACCACATGAGGCCAAGAGGAGCTGATCCGGCATAGTGCGTTTTTCACGCGCGTTCCTTGACTGTCACCGCGACAAGATGTCCGACGCCTCCCTACGAGCCCGCCATCCAGAGGGCGGAACCTCGTTCATCCCCCAAGCAATCGATGGGGATAGGAAATCGGGGGATGTGGAAATCAGCAGCATTGAGCATCTGGAAGATTTGAAGCTCGACGAAACTCATAGGAGGTTGAAGGTGAGGGAACCGAGGAAAGCCGTGGTCCTCGCTGACAGTTGCGTGTAGAATCGACACATCCAGCTCATAGGTATGCGCGTAGTTTCTCTTTTTTACTCGACTCACCATATTCTCAGGCATCGGCGGCACGTTGGGCACCGCGATTGTCGTTCAGGTGATTTACCTGCTCCCTCTCGGCTAGCGCCTCTTGACTTGAGAATGCCGCCCAGATAGGCAGCGCCTTGACGAAAGGTGGACCTGGTGTGTGAGCTCTTTATTCCGGCGGTCGCGGTCTGATAGATGGATAATTAGCAAGTCTATTCATCGCCTTCACTCTGTGGTCTACCTTCATTCTGGCCATCAACTCATGCCTGAGTATGTTTTATCATGCTGGCAAGTTCACCCTGTTGATACGCCCTCGATAGCGGAGATGGTTACATGGATGCCCATATCCTCGCCCTTTGTAGGTCCATTGTGTGCCATCTCACGCACGCCTGGCGTGACCGACCACGTTACAGATTCGTTTCGCCGACGCATTCGTCGATCCGGCGCTCGGATTCGCCGCTGGGATCAACTTCTTCATCTTCGAGGCGTCGCTAGTGCCCTTCGAGATCGTTGCATTCAACCTCGTACTGCGATTTTGGACCGACAAGATCCCTGTGGAGGCGGTCTTTGTCTTCATCCTCGTTTGCTACTTGTGAGAACCATGATTTAATTCCATCCTATACTCGGCAGGGTCTTTGGGAGGCTGGCTAATCCCATCCCTGTAGCTTGCTCAACTTCTTTGCAGTACAGTGGTATGGAGGTCCGTGTGGTCACGCCTTTCTCAGAATAATTATTCATAGCCAATAGAGTCGGAATTCTGGCTAGCTATTGGCAAAGTGATTCTCGCCGTCGGTCTCATATGCTTCACCTTCGTCATCATGCTCGGCGGAAATCCTCTGCATGATAGGTTCGGCTTTCGTAACTGGGATCGTAAGTGCTCACCGTTCGCCGTTTAGCATCTCCAAGGCTGACCCGCTGAATACTTAGCATCCGCCGTCGAAGGAGCTCCATTCGCAGAGTACATCAAGACGGGTTCGTATCCTTCTCAATACCGTTATACCATGTCTAAGCTTTGCAGGTTCTCTTGGGAGATTCCTCGGCTTTCTCGCCTGCTTCATCCAGGCGTCGTTCACCATAGCTGGCCCCGACTATGTCGCGATGACCGCCGGAGAAGCAAGTCTCCCGCGCACGACCCTCCCTCGCGCGTTCAAAAGCGTCTTCTTCCGCCTCAGCACATTCTTCATCCTGGGCTCCCTCTGCGTCGGCATCGTGGTTCCCTACAACGACCCGGACCTTCTGGATGCGCTCTCGAACGCCAAACCTGGCGCGGGGTCGTCGCCCTACGTGATTGCGATGCAGCACTTACATATCCGAGGGCTGCCGCATATTGTCAACGCGTTGATTGCCACTTCGATTTTCAGCGCGGGAAACAGTTACGTGTACTGTGCGAGTCGGACGTTGTATGGGTTGGCGCTCGAAGGAAAGGTACCGAGGTTCTTCGCGAGATGTACCAGGAACGGCGTTCCGTACTACTGCGTAGGCTTGACGCTGGCTATCGCCCTACTTTGTGAGCACGTCTTGCTGTTCATCCGACATGGCTAACGCCCTGCGAAGGCTTCCTCGAGGTCTCCAATAGCTCAGCCGTTGTGCTTCAGTGGTAAAGACAGTTCCCCTCATTCATTCGACCATCGATTGATCGTCCGGAAGGTTCGTCAACCTCGTTACGGCGTCCCAACTTTTAAACTACGGTGCGTGTTCTCCTAGTTTTGCAACGCGCTCATCGTCTTACCTCATTGCAGCCATCATCGCTTACACCTATCTACGATTCCACAAAGCCTTGCAGCTTCAAGGGGTCTCGAGAGAATCCCTCCCGCATCGTAGCAGATGGCAACCGTTCTGCGCGTATGTTCTCATTATGTTCGCTCGCTGGACTTCTTCTAATCGGCATTCTGTAGGTACTACGCACTCGCCGGGACTTTGACCATGGCGTTCGTCAGCGGTTACACGGTATTTCTACCAGGTAACTGGGATGTACCGACCTTCTTGTTTTCATACACCATGATTGGTTTGGTGCCCGTCCTATTCGTTTTGTGGAAGGTAGTAAAGAGGACGAAGGTGAGTGTTCCACCATTCCCTTGGTTCCTTGTGCGAGGGCGCTTATGACCGTGCAGGTACAAGATTTGCAGGAGGCGACTTTTTTTGCGACCGAGCGCGCGCGGATTGATCGCTACGAAGAAAATTACATTGGGACTGTTCCGACAGGACGGTTTACGAGACTGGCAGAGTACATATTTGCGTGAGGTACGCGGCGAAGACGGGGAACATGTGATATACTGTAGCCTGTGCATCGCGCAACACCGCTCGACAACAAATGTAATCCGAAAGGCAATCTCTTGTACATTCACGAGTCGACACCTCTGACTCCCTGACGTGACTTGGCGGCGAGGCCGTTTTCGCCAGAGCCTGAGAAAGGTACACATATTATATCGATGCATGAGCACGCCGATTCTCACTAAGCGAGATCCCGCCGCTCTGGAAGATGCAGGTCAAGTTCGACTTTCGGGAGTTTCCGGTGCAACCTCCATTTGTGGCGGTTGATCGGCACATCACTCCACGGTCCCATTTTCCCAAAGAGGAAGGCATTGTTTACGAAATGACGCGGTCTTGAAACTATCCACTTCCCTTCAACAATTAGGCGTGGTCAGAGATGCTGTAGTGTGAGTGAAAGGCCCAAGGTCATTATTTCTCTGTGCTCCTCAACCTCGAACTCGCATGGTGCGTGACCTCGCCCCGCCCTCGTAGAGCATTCTGTGTGCAGCGATGGGTTCGACTGGGTTCGACATGAACGAGAACGCGATCTCCAAGCGACACCCGGAAACTCCCCTTCGACTGCGCTCAAACGGCGCTCATCTTCTTCGTCGGCAGGATCATCGTCGTTACCGTCATCAGAGTCGTTGGCAACGATCCCGCACCGATCTATCGGTCGACCGAGATATATTAACATGCCCCGACATTCGATTCCTTGGTTAGACGCCTTCTGTCCTCCCTCTTCCGACGCGCCCTCGGCGGCTTCGTAGGCTCCCGCTTTTTTCCCTTTCTCTTGCTCCTGGTTGAGCCCGTCTTTTGTATCATAATGGCAATTCTTCGCACCCGCACGTTCCTCGTCTGCTTGCCGCTGAAGGCGGGCGTATGGGTCCTGGCGTTGATTGGTGCAATGTGCGGGGGCGGCGGCGCCGCGGGCAGCTGGATCGAGGTCACCATGCTGAGTACGTTCTCGTTTGTAAGGGAATGGACCGCGGCGCTTATCGAGACCAGAGGAACATCCTGTTCCGATTCAGGATCAGGTCTCTCTGGTCTTCCAGGCAGTGGTATTCTCGCTCTTGGGTATCTTGTCGATCTTCGGGTACGTGGCTGTCCCCCACTCCGATCTTCCACTGACTCTAGGATAGACTGCTCTCGACCCTCTCCAAGAGCGTCACCGCTGCGCTGATCTACAGTCGGCTGCTCGTCATCCACTTGATCTTCACCATCCTTTCCCTCATCTTCACGCTGTACTCTACATTCCGTCCTCAAGACCAAGGTGACGTGAAGTCATGTATCAACGGCTCGGTGGATGAGTTCCCCATCGAGTTTTGTCAGAAAGGATGGTCGACGGTCACAGTCCTACCTCTGGCGCTATTTGCGGCGGTCCTCTTTAATCAACTCTGTGAGTGCTCACCTTCTGCGTGTGCCTTTCTCCTGACCAGCTATGTGCAGACGCCATAGTGATTGCAAGGAGCTATTCTGAAGACCTGGACGTCGTACTCGCCTCCCGATTCTCGCGGTCACTTTCTCCCGACTTCGTGAAGAACGATGCCACATTGAACAATCTAGCCTACGGACCTCGCATAGTATGATCAGGTATTGACAGGAACACTTTACTGTATTTCGCTTTCTCTTCTTCCTCCTTCACTGCGGGCCTTGCGGACTTTTATAAGCGGGACAGTCTACTCCAGCGCAGTGCGCTTCTACATACCTACATTCGCTATTCACGACCTCGGAATGACCTTCCGTATATACTTTTCGATGTAGTCCTCCGGGACACCCTCGCGTAGGGCATCCGCGATGGCATGGTTCATTCGTGGGATGTATTCGGCCTGAGGCGTGTTGTGTGGCTCCGTTCGCTGCACGTCAACATAGGCGAGGGAGCCCTCGATGATCTTTTTGTCGCCATCGACGATGGTCGCAACTCCATCCTGCGATCCTAGGTACTCCACTGAGAGGTGCTGCTTCTCATAGGACTCGGGTACACCCTCGTAGATGTCGAGCCTGGCCTCGTCATCTTGGGAGAGCTCATATAGAGCGCCGTACACGGCTTCGCCAGGCGAGGGCACGATGTTGGCGTACCCGCGCGCATTGAGGATCCAGCGCCTACACTCATGCGTTCATCGATGAGCTCAGCACGGGAAGCATGCCTCACCAGTCCCGGAGGATCCCTATACCCAAGAATTTGTGATCCGGGCAGCGTTCGTCCATCTGCTCGTGCCAAAGATTGCTGCCGTAGCCAAAGTTGATTGAACGCTTGAGTGCGGTGACAGACATGGTGGTGGTGGACAAGGAGGTGAAGTAGTCAATGTGTGCCTTCACATATACATCAAGTCATCGGGCGATGCGGGGTCTGGAAGAGAACACGGCTCACATGCTTGAGCAGCTGGACCAAGTTCCCATGACGCATTCTCACTGGTCATCCTGTAGTCGCAGCGAAGACTATACCCTAGCAAGGCCCAGGGACTCGAGATGATCACACTGAAGATACGAACGACCACTTCATTCGTGATGGACGGCAGACAACAGGTGTAGATGCACGCATCCTACACAATACATAGAATAATTTAACGTGCCACGGTCTACGGGCGACGCTTTCAAATCCTTGTCGTCAAAGGCATGAGACTAATGGTCAACATTCGAGTCTCGTCAACCGACGGATACCTTACAGATAAGTCAGTAACAAGTACTACTCGATGAAGGCTTCACGGACCTTAGAAGAACTTGAACTTCCAGGAGCTGCCCTCAGCCGAGGAGCTGGCAGAGGGCGCGCCAGATGAAGCCGACGCGGAAGCCGAGGGAAGACCAGTCTCGATGCTGAACGAAGCGTCACCCGAGCTGGTCGGGAATGCACCGGAGGCAGAGCCGCTGCCGGTCGGGAAGCCGGCGCCGCTGCCGCTACCGCTGGGGAAGCCAGAGGCGCCACCCTCGCCACCCTCGCCACCCTGAGGCGGGCACTCGGGAGGGGGCGGCGGGCAGCCCTCGTCACCGCCGGGGAAGCCGCCTTCGCCACCCTCACCACCGGGGAAGCCAGAGCTGGCGGGACCGGCAACGGAGCCGGAGGCAGAGGCGGACGGGTTGAAGGGAGGAGAGGACTCGAGCTGGCGGGCGAAACGAGCGAATGCGGCAGAGGAGCCAGAGCCAGGGAAGTCAGACGCGGAGGCGGACGCAGATGGAAGGGCAGACGAGAAGCCGGAGCCACTGGGGCCGCCGGAGCCGCTGCTCGCGCCACCGCAGCCTCCACCATGGCCGCCGTGGCCACCGTGCCCGCCATGGCCACCGTGTCCGCCCGGACCACCAGAGGCAGATGCGCTCGGGAACGAGCCCGAGCCGGTCACAGTAGGGAAGCTGCCAGATTCGCCACCACCGGGCGCAGAGCCCGAGGGGAAGCCACTGCTCGCAGCAGAAGACGGGACGTCGCTACCAGACTCCTCCTGGCGGCGAGCGAAGCGCGCGTACTCGCTAGCCGTCGGGAAGGACGCCGAGCCACTAGCCGACCCAGATGGGCCGGCAGCGCTGGATGGGAACGCAACGCTGGAGGATGGGAAGCCGCCGGAGCCGGAGGCACCGCCCGGAGGGCCACCCTGACCACCGCCGCAGCCGCCGGGCGGGCCCCAAGGACCACCCGGACCGCCAGAAGGACCAGCGGAGCCGCCTGGGAAGGAGGCAGACGCAGAGCCAGACGGGCCGCCCGATGGGAAGCCACCCGAGGGTCCAGCAGAGAGGCTGGATGTAGCCGTCGCCGCGCCACTGGAGGCACCAGATGCGCTAGATATAAGCTGTCAGCTATGCGCCGTTGTCAACGTCCAAAACACACAAACCTAAGAGACATCGGCGCTCCGTGGACGGAGGCGAGCAGAGATGTAAGAACAATGGCCTTGAAGTACATCATCGTAAAGAGTCAAGTGAAAGACGGGTAGGAGGAAAGACTGAGGCTAGCGCAAGCGCAAATCGAGCAAGCAAATAATAGGAAGGAGACCGTGACACAGGCAAGAGCAGAACTTGTGGGTAAAACAGACTCGTTCACGCACCCTTTATACCTGCCCGTCGCTGCGGAAGTGGAGTAAGGGTGGAGTCCGCGATGGTGTGAAAGCCATCTTTGTTGACAACGTTGACCCTCGGTCGTTGCGAAGGGGGCACAATTGAATCCATTCATTCCGGGGGACGAAAGAAACGGGGAGCGTGCAAACGCTGCGGGGTGCATGCCAATTTAGATTGGGTCGTGCTTGTCCGATGGTGATTACTGGTCATCAGTCTCCGCTATTGAAAGGCGCCGAACCTGGTCAAACGCACTCGGTACTGCGGTGCGCAGCCGTGCGGCGGGACAAGGGGCGGACGTCGGAGCGTATCCTGGTGGTCAAACGCGGTCGCGGTCGGTAGGAGCGTAAGAATATCTAGGTGAATGGTAGCGGGCAAGGTCAAGACCCACAGGGGGCTGGTTTAGCCGAGCCGATTGAGCAGTTGAGAGCATCAGCGATCTCAATGGACTCCAAAGGGCCCGGGTAGAAGAGACTAGCCACCTGCGTCATATGAAGATCGAGCAAAGGGCTGGTCTTGAGCGCCCGGTAGGTCGGAATGTAACAAGGAAGTTGCGAGCAGGCGCATGATGGCGCAGCCAAGTCGGCTGGACCTGTCTGTCTCTTCACCACGATGTGGCGAGCAGGAGCACGCGGCGCAAAACTCGTTCACAAAGTTATGAAGGCAAGTAGTACACGACAAGGGTTTCCACAGGCAAAGCTCACGATGAAGACCAGTCGTCATTGCAGGACGAGAGCGGGAGGGCAACGTGCCGGCAGCACGGACCGAAAAGTGCGCCGATCGCTCAGATCAAAATTCGGTCCTCCCCCGCGCTCAGGCTTGCTTTCCACCCCATCGTTCGACCAAGGATCTTTTCGTGAGGTCGCCAACGCACACACAAAACAATGGCCGAGGATCACGGCAAGGCTTGGCCCCTGGCGGACGCTGCATTGACCAACCAGGTGAGGGGGAAAGCGTAAACATGATCTCTTTCGATGGGCTGATCCTCGCAATAGATTCTGGACCTGGTCCAGCAGGCTGGTCAGTACAAGCAGATTAAGAAGGGTGCTAACGAGGGTGAGTGTTCCTTTACACATTTTGGACGAGCATTTGCTGATCGTCATCCCAGCAACCAAGACGCTTAACCGCGGTATCGCCGAGTTCATTGTGCTCACCGCCGACACGGAGCCTATCGAAATTCTGATGCATCTGCCCCTTCTTTGCGAGGAGAAGGTAAGCTCGCGGTCCCTTTTGCCTAGTGTTCAGCAAGCTCACGTTGCAATTAGAACGTCCCATACGTCTTCGTTCCCTCCAAGGCTGCCTTGGGCCGTGCCTGCAACGTTACTCGCCCCGTCATCTCTGTCAGTGTGACCACGAGCGAGTCTCGCGAGCTGCAGAGCCAAATTACGACCATCAAGAACGCCATCCAAAGGCTCATGTTCTAGTGCCACTAATGTAGAGCGTACCACATTCGCGCCTGTAGCCCTATTAATATCATGACTGTTCTGTCTGAGATATCCGTTATGAACACTCGAGCATCTGATGAACGTCTCTGCACTGGGCATATGCATCTCGGGGACGTGCCTGCTAAAATACAAGCCCCCATACAGTTAACCAGCGGAATTCCGGTCCGACCGAAAGTCGCGTGGCGGTGTGATGATCTGCTTGCCTCGGAGGTTGATGAGTCAGCATACCTGTCCTTCCTGCGTTCATTGTTCTCAAAGCGACACTACCTGCGCACGAGCATGTCTGGAATCTGCCGACCACGTCTTGCTGAGGAGAGGAAGCAGTGGAGAAAGGATCACCCCTTTGTGCGTTTCAATTCTGGCCGATCTCGCGCCCCATTCCTCGTTAAGCAATCCGACTGTGGTGTACCCGGACGCGTTCATGGTAATTTGGACGCGTCTCTGGGTCGCGCCATTGCTCCTCTACGATACGCGTATATCTGGAAGCTCGGACTTGTGACTGACGCCACTTCTCAACTTCCAGGGATTCTATGCGAAGCCAACCAAGGCAGCGGATGGGTCAATGAACTTGATGGAGTGGGAGGTTGGCATACCAGGCAAACAGGGTGTCAGTGAATATACCTCGTCCTGCATCAGATCGGTACGCTGACGCCGGAGTAGACTTCATGGGAGGGTGGCTTGTACAAGCTCATGATGATATTCCCCGAAGGTGCGCCTATGCGGTGATATCAATATCCCCTCTTCTCATCTGGCGCGCGTCTCTCAGATTACCCCTCAAAGCCACCGAAATGTGAGTGTAATGCTGCTTAGGGGAGCAATAGTGAGCCAATGGGGCGCTCATAGGCAAATTCACGCCCCCACTTTTCCACCCAAACGTCTACCCATCTGGCACGGTCTGCTTGTCCATTCTTGACGAGGAGAAATCATGGAAGCCTGCAATCACCATCAAACAGGTATGTCTCTCTTCATATACGTTGTAGCCACACTTTCGCTCATGACATCTCCTGTAGATCTTATTGGGTATCCAGGATCTGCTTGACGACCCGAACGTCAATGACCCAGCGCAAAGCGATGCTTACACGATGTTCAAGTACGTATTCCTTCGTACACTCTCCTTATATCGCTCGCTCACTGTGTCATAGGAACGACAAGATCGCATACGAGTACGCTTGCCTCCCGCCATGGTTTTGTAGCCCGAACTGATTGTAACCAACAGCAAACGAATCAAGCAGCAAGCACGCGAGAACGTACCCAAGTAACCCACCGGGTGTGGGTATCTCGTCGTACATCTTGCGTTGTCCTTGGAGGGACTATGGGACAGCGATTAGCCCTTGGTAATGTACCTATTTACTGCCCTACCTATATACTACACTCCTCCATATACATCTGTATTTTGCATTCCCTTGCACGAGGTGAAGGCGCTTTGTTTGCAGCTATAGCCTCAGCGTCATTGCCCTCGCGTGAGGTGGTACGTTCAACTTCAGGCAATTCGGCTGCGCGTGGGTACGTCAGCGCGATCAAGTGTCTCGAAGTTCGCAACAACCATGCCATCCGAATTCCCTTGTTCTTCCCCACGACCACACACCCAAACCTCGCGCCCGCCCTGCCCATGACCGCGCTTCCCATCGTCGACATCCACACTCCGACCTCGTCGTTCTCCCTCGTACATTCTTGTGAGTAACCTGCTCGTTGCGCGTGTGCGCTGCACGAGATCGGGCCGCTCAGACCTGCAAGCGCACAGTCACGCAGGAGTCCCTCCTCGCTCTCTATGACAAGCTCAGCCGGAAGGAGCACACGGACTATGAGGGCCAGCGCGTTGGCCCTGGATGGCTGAAGTACGAATTCAACGGCACCGTGTGGAATCTCGACGATGGTGCGTCTCGTCCCGTTCATAGCTCAGTTAATCCTTCATCTCAAGCTCATCTCTCGTTCATTCCGTAGACGCGGATTACACGATCTTTACGTGGCGATTGCAGCAGACACCGGAGCAGGCTGACGCGTCTTCGTCGTCCGTGCTATCCGCCAGTGCAAGTGGCGCACCATCCGCCGCAAAGCCCTCCCTATACCTCCGCAATCCCAGCCAGCCCTTACCATCCGCTACCAACCTCAACCCGAGCTTTCACCTCTTCAAGCCCTCGAAAGCACATCTGGCCGTCCCTGCGAGCGTGCGCAGCGCGTCGCGCTCGCCCAGTTCGAGGAGCATCGTCAGCCGCAGATCACGACGCAGTGTGGCGAGTCTGGGCACAATGAATACGGGGGATGACGAGGATGATGGTGTACCCAAATTCAAGAAGGAGTTTGACAGGTTTCACAACGAGAACGGCGTACGAACCGTCATGGGCAGCGTTGGGCCCGTACGAAATGGTGCGTTACTCTGTTTACTTTCATTCCTGCCCTCGTCCGCCCACGCACCCAGCATATTTCGGCCTCGGGATTGCTCCGTCATGCTCTCTGACCCTGCATAATATGCTGACTTCCACTCCAGTACGCATGCTACTGAAATCCGGCTACCGGCACGTCTACGTCTCCCGCATTTTTGCCATGAAGAATGGTTTCATTCCGAAAGATGCAGCCCCGGGCCAGTACGGCTACAGCGGGCTTGTCAACATTGGCAAGTGGCCGATTACGCTGTACCCCTCGAAGCGAGGCAATCCGCCGAACGGCCGCGTCACGTCACCTCCGTCATCGCCAGCATCTTCCGAGGTGGCACAGCCGCGGACGCCTACTACGAGGAGCGCACGTCGAAGGAATGGGGAGGCGGCAGGCAGGCGAGAGACTGCCAACGGTGCGGGAGCTGATCCCAATGGTGGCACGCCGGTCGTGGTGCAGGTCTACTTGTCGGAGGAGCCGCACTTCGATGTCGTCTTAGGCCGTTCGTTCTTCGAGAAGCGGCAGATACGGACGAGTGCGGTGGATATGACCGACGTGACCTGTCTGGACACGGGGGAGAAGGTCGAGTGCGAGCTCGTTGTCCTGAAAGATGGACGAGGGGAGATCGTTACGGTAACATGATCGATACCTGCGCCGCTTCTTGGCCTCCCTCTGGACGTTGTCACTCCCTGGTATGGACGTTCGCGCGTGTATCTTGTACAGTAGCTCTACGGGTACTGGTAGACTCTGGGTTGCTTTGTTGGGCTGCGCAATGTCATGATTTGTGCATACACAGAAGAGTCTCTGTATGTCAAAACCTGTCTGGGACACCGCGCTGGCTAGGGTGCGAGCACTGCGAGGTCGCTGCCCGACGCGTCGCCGGATGTAGGCGGTTGGATTCTCGACATCATTGGCTCCGGGCCGCCCCCCGATCTCACATAGCTGCACATCGTCTGTGTTCGTCCCTCCATTTCTCAGTTGTGTTTCCTGGGTGTCTGTATTACTGAACGGCAAAGATGTCTTTGAACGCCCTCCGCCAATCTGCGCCCCAGCTGGCGCGCGCTTCTCGTCGCACATTCGCGTCCTCCGCCCTGCGCGCTAAGCACTACCCCAATGCTGACATGAAGGTACGACCGACGTCTAGCGTGTTCCCCACGCACACAGCTCATGCAGGCACCCCTCAGGTCTACAACGAGCTCGTCAACAATGGAGAGGCCTTCAAGGATCGTGTGGTCCTGGTCGACTTCTACGCTGAGTCCGTTCCGAGCTTCCCCCTCCTTCGAACGATGCCTGATACTTCGTATAGCTGGTGCCGACCATGCCACATGCTGTCCCCCATCCTTGAAGAGTTGACTGCAGAGGGAAAGCTATCGGGGACGTCCAAACTCCCCTTGGACCTCGTCCAGATCGACACCGACTCCCAGGACGGGATGCAAATTGGCCAGCAATTCAGCGTGCGTGTCGCTGTTTCTCTACACCCCCATGCACGTCCTGACACGGGCATCACATACCTCCAGGTTCGAAGCCTCCCAACGGTGATTGCGTTCCGCGACGGGAAGCCCATCCCCGGAGCACAGTTCATCGGAGCGTTAAATAAGGCAGGCGTGAGCAACTTCATCAAGCAGCTCTGAGCGAAGAGGCGGGCAGCAGGAGTACAACAGCACGTATGTATGCACGGTATCCTATACGCGAATCGAAGGGCGTATGCGACAGAACGAAAAGCCTATAAAGCGAGACCGATAGATACAATCCACATACGAGACAGAGAACAGACGGACGGACAGACGATATAACCAGATGAGATGGGCGAGTATGTACAAGGGAAGATGTGCCGGCATCCCACCTGAGAGGACGTGCGCACGGACGGCGACGGAGCGGTGATCACTGGATGGTGCAGCAACCTTTGCTGGGCTGTTCGTATGGATGTTCTCCGCGGTTGACGGGGCCCCAGACCGAGGGGACCAGGAAGTCTTTCGTGGTGCGGCAGTAACGGATGAGGCTGTTGCGCGCCACCGTCAGCGAAAGAGGATCGTGAAAGGGCAGGATGACGCACCTTGCGCTCGCTTCGCTGACCTTGATACGTGGGCGGGCAAGGTCTTCCCGCAGGCGCTGATTGTGTTCGAGCAGCCGCCGGAGCTTAAGCTCGGACATGGACTGGCGTCCTCCACCTCTTTTCTGCATGTTGCTATGTGCGCGAAGTGGGGGGAAGATGAACGATCGTCGGGGGAACCGCCTGCAGGCAACAGTAAGTTTCGGTACTTCGGAGTGCGACGAGGCCCGCCAGCCGGCTTACGGTGCGGGGGAGAATAGGGTATGACGAGAGAAGAACAAAGACGAGGAGAAAAGACTAGCTTAGGAAGCCACCGGCGGTGGGTCCTTGTAGACCGCCCAAGACGATGACGGGAAGAGGCAAGATTGGAAGCGGCGTTCTTCGGTGTGAATCTAGAATTACACTGTCCACCGCGCGCAGCTGACTACTCCGCCCGCGTGCGCGCCCTTGAGAAGACGCTTGGGATCAGACTGCTGTGATGAAAGAAGCAAACTCCGCGATGCGATGTACCGATTCAAGAGAGGGGCCAGGAGAGGATCTAAACAAGACAGGTACTTACACTCCAGTAACAAAGACTAACGGTGCTCGAGAGAGGCATATATGTCCATAGAATAGGCATGCGTGCGCATAGGTGCCGCGGTGCACGCCGTGGAATATATAGAACCGCAAGTATATACATCGAGCGCGTAAGTATGGAAAAATTGAATGTGCAGGTAAACGACGGCTGTGGGATCCAAGGAGCAGTCGTAGCCAGCACGGCGGATACGTGGTAAGATAAGACGCGGAGGATTCGGGTGCAGTCGAGTATTCCATGGACCGGGACGGGAGGTGGTGATGGCAAACGAATGTAATTCGAGCTGGGCGGTAGCAGACGCTAGGGACGTACGCTGGGGTGTGGGTGTGGTGGGTGGGTGTAGTCGATCCATGGACACGGAAAGCGGCCAAGGAGTGATGAAGGTGGCTCGGCCGCGAATCCGTGTATGGGGACATGGTGACCTCCGTTTTCTATGATCTCCTCCCTCTATGCTGCGCGCGACAGACTGATGATTACATGACGATGCAGTTGCAGCCCTGCGCTGGCGGCGCGTACGGGTCCTCGTTCTTGTTGACTGGTCCCCATACTGACGGTACCTGTGCGGGTTGTCAATGTCGCGAAAGGAGGCGAATGAGGAGTTCTGAGGCGCACGAGATGGTCCTTCGTCGTCTTGCAGTAGCGGATCAAGCTTGAAATATCGTCAGCTACAGGTAGGTCGCCGCGGACGGGGAAACGCACCTAGCACTGGCTTCGCTGACTCGTACTCTTGGCCGGGCCAAATCTTCCCGTAGCCGCTGGTTGTGCTCAGTCAAGCGGCGGAGCTTGAGCTCGGACATGGATTGCTATGGCCTCCAGTGAGCAAAGCAGATGCTTGTCGTGCTCAACACGGACCTTGTGCGGCCGGGAGTTCATGGTCGGTCAAGGGCTTGGATACACGGTTGCAGGAATGGCGACGGGAAGGCGCGTCCGAACCAAAGGAGAGTTCTGTGGCCCGGTCTATCAGGCTGCTGCAAAGGCTGGAACTTCGACGAACGCGAACCTCTGGCGAAGAAACGAGAGTCGAAGGACGACCAAAGGGTCAGAGGAAAAGGAGATGCAGGATACGATATATTTCAAATCAATTCGCCAGGAGGCGGCCTTTATGTAAGCGACCCGTCGCAGCTTGGCCTTGTACTTTTTGATCCTCGTCTTGTCCAGACCTTGTCTCTTCTCTTCCCAATTTGACACTCCCAATGGCGCCCTGGCAGACTTCGACGCCACCTAGGAGGCAGAGGGCGCGTCCCTGTGAGCTATTCTCGACGCGTAACTGGGTGACCATCATCCGAGACGCGACCCACAGTGTACAAGAAATCGCCCCTCTCGACGCGTCGCTACGCGCCTGCTTCAGATCGCCCGCGCGGGCAACGACTGGCTCCGCTATTCGAAGAGTCTCCCTCACCGCCTAGGCGCCCTCGCAAATCTTCGGCTCACTATCGCTCCGCTCTCGACGAAACTCTCTTTGGCGATGGCGACGCATCTGACGACGATATTCCACGTCTCTTCCAATGGGAAGACGAAAAGACGCTTGTGTCCGACCTGATGCACCATTCGTGAGCGAACCTATAGCATATGTGCGCAATGCGTTGACGGTCGTTCGTCGTGCGCAGAACCGCGCGCCACGACCCGAACGATGCTCGCTATGCCGAAACGCTCGAACAATTGCATCAGCTCTTCCGCGATCAGGACTACGCTCTCGTTGACGACATGGCAAAGGCTCTATTTCCTGCTGTCGACACTGTTAAGCGCTGCCACGCTCACGCGAAGGAAGAGATTGACGAAACATTCGCCCGCGGCATGACCGAGTTCAACGACGCCTGCAAATCTGTGGAGGCGGTTACTGTGGAGGATCTCAAACTGTTGCGTAAGTCTCATGATGAGACCAAGGTATACGGTTCCACTACATCCCTATTGCATGCGCCTCAAAAGTGATCGCAGGCCCGACTAGCTTCGCTATTCGAACAGCTCGACGCGGCGTATGCCAAACGTAAACAACTTTGGAAGGACTTCAAGCAGGATTTCAACGTCATCTGTTGGTTCTTGCTCTTGCTTGCGTTGCTCACCTCGCTAACCGGTCTAGTGGGCGCTGCGGAAGATCAGCTCAAGACCCTCCCTGCTCAGTTCGAACGCACCTGCGCCGCTCTCGATAAGGAAAGCAAGAAGTTGTCGAAGACGGACGGACAAGCCGAGAAGTTGACTGCGCTGCTGAAGAAGCTGTGATGTTCGTTTGCTGTCGTTGACCAGTTTTTCTGCTATCTTGCTGCTCTGTTCGCTCTGCTGCTGTTGACCTTGGCTCGGACCACGCTTTCTCCTTGCTCTATCGTACCGTTGCGTATCTCGGTGACTACACGTCTAACTTCCCGTCGGTGAATGCTGTTGTCGCGCGCGTCTACCGTTTGTCTATAGACTATGCGCGTTTCCTGTCCCTGTCCGTTCCGTAGCTAGTACGTACGTACACCTGTACGCTTATAAGAGACGACCTTGTTCGTGCATGTGTCACGCGCAGTTGGTTCACATCCTCACCACTCGCACCCCGAGGCCCGGGAAACGTTGCACGAGGACAAGGCACCGACGCGTGTGTCAAAAAATGCTCATTGGCCAAAATGCCTCGGAGCGGGTCGGGCGGGTTCCCCATGACAATCATCATCACGACGAAGGCTTCCCCTGTTGGTCCTGCGCGACGGGCTGGCAACCAAAATCAATGGAAGGATGTGACTAAGCGCAACCTATAAAAGCCTCGCTATCAAGTGCGATCGCGGGTTCCCCTCTCCTCGCTCTCTCACATTCGTTCTCAAGGCTAGCCCTTTCTTCTCATTTTCTGCAGTAACCGAGCTGTGTGAGTAGCGCGCTCCCCTCCCTTGCTCGCCTCTTCGTGGGGTGCATAGAAATGAAAGTACTGGATGAAGCGCAGGATGCTAACCTGCCAATCCCCTGCCCAGGCTCGACTTTCATCGCTCAAGTTCACTTTAAGACGACCACTTCACTCGTTCCCCCTCCACATACACTATCTGTATCATGATGTTCTTCCCTACTCTTGCTGCCTCTGTCCTCGCGTCCGCTGGCTTCGCCGCTGCGGCGAATTTCTCCGTCCTTGTTGGTGCGAACGGGGTACGTGGCGATCAGAGTTTGGTTACGGGGCGACATCAAGTCTGATCTTCACTCTATAGCTTACCTTCGAGCCCAACAACATCACGGGCGCCGTTGCTGGTGACACGGTTGAGTTCTTGTTCTACCCGAAGAACCACGTCAGTGAACTCAGTGATTGTGTGCGGCGAGGGATGCTGACGATGATGTCCCTGTAGACCGTCACCCAGAGCACCTTCGCGGCGCCGTGCTCGGTAAGTCACGTTGCGCTTGCGCCTGCAATACGCGAGGCTGATTGATCCATCAGCCCATGACCTCGCCAGCGGCTGGTGTCGACTCTGGCTTCCTCCCGGTGCAAGCTGATGCTACCGAACGTCCGGCCTGGTCGTTCACGATCCAGGATGCGTCGGCGCCCCTCTGGTTCTATTGCGCACAGGGCCAGTAAGTGTCATCCTCGTCGCCTATCCCGCCTGTGGTGCTTATAGTATACCCTAGGCACTGCGCCGAGGGCATGGTGTTCGCCGTGAACCCGACCGCGGAGAAGAGCATTGACGCCTTCATCGCCGCCGCCAAGGCCACCGCTGGTGGGAACGCCGGAAACGCGACCGCAGGCGCTTCCTCTGCCGCTGGTGGTGCCGCGGGTGGTGCGTCCTCCGCCGCCGCTGGGGGTGCTGGCTCTGGCGCTGCTGCTGGCTCCGCGACGGTCCCGCCCACTGCCACCGCGGCGGGCGCTGCGGGTGCTGCTTCCGCGTCTGCCGCCGCTTCCTCCTCTTCGGCGCAGGCTGTCGGTGCCGCCGCTGCCGAGGTCGGCCAGGGCAACGGCGCGGGCCAGGTCCTCGCCCGCGCTGCGAGCCCGCTCCTGGCGGTCAGCCTGCTTGCGGGCCTGATGCTCTAAGTGTAGAGTCGATACCGTTACGTGGCTAGCACACGGACACATCATGGACACTTACTACTACGTTGTGCTTGGGGCATATTTACTATAAGCTGGACTTGCGATGGGCGACGGACCCGGTGCCGTCGCTTTAGGTGTTACCTTTACTGCAGAAATGACACGGACTGGCTAGGCCTGGATATCTTGATTGGAGTGTGAACTGTGGAGAGAGCATACGAATTTGCCCTGTTCGCGTTCGTCGCCTGTCGTGCATGGCCGTATAGTAGTGCGACGCTGGAGAGTGCGAATGGGGCGCTTTGAGGCGACTCGGGCGTGATGACGTCGTGATCGTTCCAGGTCACGGTGGCCAGTCACCGTTCGGGAAAGCACTTTCCACCGCTTGCCATCCACCGTCATCCGCATACGCTGTAGCTTTACCGCCGCATATCGCTGTCCTCGCTCTCTACATTGTAATCGATCCCAGCACATACTTGCACACTATGGCCTACTCGCAGCAAACGCGCGCGCCCAATGATGCGTCGCGCACCGTCACCATTACACCAACGCCTGCGCCTGAGGAGCAGGAGCAGCCACCGCAGGAAATCGGCAGCATTCGGGTTAGGGCTGGCAGGCGCCAGCGACCTCATGTAGTGTGGGATGAGGCCGTTGTAGACAATGAAGGCGCGGGGAAGAAGAAGTCAAAGAGTGAGTGTGGCTTACAATCAATGCGTACATCTTCCGGCGATCCTCCCATTCCTGCTGTTGTACTTGACCACTGAAAACTATGCTGACAACTCTTCCCAGTCTGCTGCATTTACCACAAGCCTCGCCGCTTCGACGAGAGCTCGGATGAATCAGACTCGGACTCTGATTCGGACTCTGATTCTGACTGTGGCCACGATCACTCTCAGGCTGGCCCCTCGCACGGCGGCGGGCATGCACACCGAGACAGCGATGGGAATGCGAATGTGCACACGCAGGATCACCCTCATGAGCCCAACGCATATGAGCGCCAGCCTGGCAAGGGTAAGCGACGTGCAGGTGCGTAATAGCCTCTACTCTCGTACACGTCCTGGGGCTGATGAACGCCTTATAGACCACTGATCTTTTCGTCCTTCTGTAGACTACAGTCATCTCCTCGTCTCTTCACTCGCTGTCGGCTTTTCTCATCTCTTGTATACATGATCGACGTTCTGCATCTACGAGATACCCTACGTCTATAATCCTAATGTCATGGACACTCTGCAAGTTATAGACGATAACATTCTGTTGCTTCTGAATCCGGCAGCTGGTTGCGCTATGTACTGGCGACTAAGGTCACTCTGGTCCCTTCAGGGTAGGTCCTTCCACCTCATCTTCACACCCAACGAGCCCTACTTCTCCATTTTACCCTGCACTTACTCTTGATAGACGCGAGGCGAACATGCCTTTGCAGGCTGGCTGTAATGTGGTGGGTTGCTCGGTAGCGGTCGCACGTAAAGGGAATGCACGAGGGATCCCTCAAAGATTCGTACTGATCAAGGAAGGGAATTTATGGCATCGTACCAGCTTTCGGCCCATACGTTTACCCCACAATTTACAGATGTCCGCAGCTCCCCTTGTTGTGGCAGGCAACTGTCGATGATCGGGCGCGATTTGGTACGAACGCTGCTGTGAAAACAATGGGTTGAGGAGTGGTGGGTACGGATATCCTGACAACACTGCGGCATCGTCAGGGCGTCTCTATTGTATACCAGACATCAGCACGGGTGTCTGGCGTCTTGTGCGCTGCGAGCTACGTGTTATTGTTCGGAGATGGCGCGATCTTCCCCCACGTGGACAACCCCGAAAATATAATAGCACCATCAGCGCGATCGCCGCGCTTTTCCAACCCACCGCCCTTCCTTCCCCAACTTCTCCGTACTCCCCACCCCCTTCGTCCACGATGTCCACCAGCGTTGCGCGCCAGCCGCTGCCCGCCGGTCACTTCCTCTTCACCTCCGAGTCTGTCGGCGAGGGTCACCCCGGTATGTGAACGCCGCGCGCTGCGGAATGAGGCGGACTGACCTCCCTGCAGATAAGATTTGCGACCAGGTCTCCGATGCTATCGTGCGTGTTTTCACGGCCTACAAGAAGTATCCCCGAGCTTACGGCTCCTCCAGCTCGACGCCTGCTTGCGCGAGGACCCGTACTCCAAGGTCGCTTGCGAGACCGCGTCCAAGACGGGCATGATCATGGTTTTCGGCGAGATCACCACCAAGGCGAACCTCGACTACCAAAAGGTCATCCGTGAGACCATCAAGAAGATTGGCTACGACGACTCGTCGAAGGGCTTCGACTACAAGACGTGCAACATCCTCGTCGCCATCGAGCAGCAGTCCCCGGATATTGCCCAGGGCTTGGACCACGGCTCGCTCGAGTCCATCGGTGCCGGTGACCAGGGTATCATGTTCGGCTACGCTACGGACGAGACGGAGGAGAAGATGCCGTTGACGATCACGCTTGCGCACAAGCTGAACTTGGCGATGTCGCTTGCGCGTCGCAACGGTGTGCTCCCGTGGCTGCGTCCCGACACCAAGACGCAGGTTACGGTCGAGTACAAGAAGGAGGGCGGCGCGACGATCCCCCTGCGTGTGGACACCGTTGTCATTTCCGCGCAGCACGCCGAGGAGATCTCGACGGAGGACCTTCGCAAGGAGATCTTGGAGAAGATCATTAAGCAGGTCGTTCCTGCTAACCTCCTCGACGACAAGACCATCTACCACGTACGCATCCGTCTTCCGTGCCCCTTATCATGATGACCTACACTTGCAACAGATCCAGCCCTCTGGCCGCTTCGTTATCGGTGGCCCCCAGGGTGATGCCGGTTTGACTGGTCGCAAGATCATCGTCGACACCTACGGTGGCTGGGGTGCGCACGGTGGTGGTGCCTTCTCGGGCAAGGACTTCTCCAAGGTCGACCGCTCGGCCGCGTACACTGCGCGATGGACTGGTAAGGACGATCATCAGACTGATCGACGTTGACGCTGACTCTCACGTAGCGAAGTCCCTCGTTTCCGCCGGTCTCGCTCGCCGCGCCTTGGTGCAGCTCTCCTACGCCATTGGTGTCGCTGAGCCGCTGTCCATCTTCGTGGACACCTACGGCACGGGCAAGAAGACCGACGAGGAGCTCGTCGAGATTATCCGCAAGAACTTCGATCTGCGTCCTGGTGTCATCGGTGCGTTCTAGCGTGATGCTGTCTCGACCTTGGCTGATCCCCTCTGCAGTTCAACAGCTTGACCTCCAGAAGCCCCAATACCTCAAGACCGCCACGTACGGTCACTTCGGCAACCCCGAGTACAGCTGGGAGAAGCCCAAGACTCTGTCCTTCTAGATGGGTTCTCAACACCCACGCGCCTACGCGCGCCTCCACGCACTGACCACGACTGAATTTGGGCTCAACTAATTGTATCGGTATCATCGCATTGGGACGCTCATCCGTCCCTATTTATTACACCGCATCCTTGTCGCTGTATAGATCATGTCCCTTGCTATCGTCCTCGCATCCTCGTTACCCCCTCACCTATCTACCTACCTACCTCTACGCTGGCCACTCCCTTCCAGCATCCTACCCCCTACGACACCCACTAGATCCTGCAGACTGGCCTATGCTTGTCTGGGGTCGCTCTTGACTACGGAATATATCCGCGTTCAACCGCCGTATACAATGATACCCAACGCTAGTTCGTCGGAGAACATCGTGAGCTTGAGCTCGAAGCTGCCCGTGTCAGCGCAGAGGTACGATCGATGTACAGCGGCAAGTACAATGGGAGGCTCGCGATAAGATCGCGGTGGATCGCGGGCACAATTTTGTCGGCACGAACGTGGGGTAATCTTTCTCGACGGAAAATTTGCCATGACGGACCTTCCGCGCGGCGTTCTCTCCTCTCTGGGCTCCCCCCTCGACGCCTGTGTGCATCCTGCTCATTACGTCCACGCGGTGCGCTGCACCTAGACGCCCGCCTAGAATCACCGAGTGCGTGTTGGTTAGCGGCCTCCTATAACCATGATCATCACACTAAATGATCTTCACGGGTTACAGTGTGCGGTATACTCGGCGTACTTCTGCACGACGCGGGGGTCGATGTGGCGCCCGAGATCTGCGAGGGCTTGTCCCTCTTGCAGCATAGGGGTCAGGATGCCTGTGGGATCGTGACGTGTGGTGCGAAGGGACGGTTCTACCAATGCAAGGCGAATGGCATGGTTCGCGATGTATTCGACACGAACGCGGTCTCGAAGCTCCAGGGTGGAATGGGTGTGGGACATGGTGCGTGTGTCTTGCATGTATCCCCCTCCGCTATACTAACTTAGAGGTGCACAGTTCGCTACCCTACGGCGGGTAGCTTCAACAACGCAGAGGCCCAGCCCTTCTACGTGAACTCCCCCTACGGCATCGTCTTCGCGCATGTGAATCTCTTCTTCCCCCCTCCCCATTCCCCCTCCTGATCGCCCATCGCAGAATGGCAACCTCATCAACACCGCGTCCCTCTTGCACTTCATGGACGCCGAGGCGCACCGTCACATCAACACCTCCTCCGACTCCGAGCTCCTCCTCAACATCTTCGCGAATAACCTCCAGCAGACGGGCAAGTTCCGCATCAACGAGGAGGACATCTTCACCGCGCTCGGCAAGATGATGAAGCAAGTGAAGGGCGCGTATGCGTGCGTCGCCTTGCTCGCGGGCTTTGGGATCATTGCATTTCGGGATCCCAATGGCATCCGGCCGGTGGGGATGGCGTCGCGGAAGTCGGCGACGACGAGCGGGATGGACTACATGTTCACGAGCGAGAGCGTGGTCGCAGACGCGGGCGGGTACAGCGGCTACGAGGACGTGAAGCCCGGCGAGGCTGTCATCATCACTCGCAACTCGGTCTCGAGGCGCCAGGTGGCGGAGCCCGCGACGTTCGCACCCGACATCTTCGAATACGTCTACTTCGCTCGTCCGGATTCGGTCTTGGACGGTGTCAGCGTGTACCGCAGCCGTATGGCGATGGGCGACGCGCTGGCGATGGAGGTCGAAAGGGTGCTGAAGGAGAAGAACATTGAGATCGATGTTGTCATTCCGGTGAGCAATGGATGGGTTTCTGGAATTTGTGGCAGTTGCCAATATATCTTTAGGTCCCTGATACGTCAAGGACAGCCGCCTTGAATCTGGCGCAGAAGCTGAACATTCCTTACCGCGAAGGCTTCATCAAGAACCGCTACGTGGGACGGACGTTTATCATGCCTGGACAGCAGATGAGGAAAAAGAACGTGCGGAGGAAGTTGAATGCGATGGCGTTGGAGTTCTCTGGCAAGAATGTCCTTATTGTCGATGGTGCGTAGGCTTCGGTTGAATAGTGAACATCAAGACTGACTGTCTATTAGACTCCATCGTTCGTGGTACGACCTCGAAGGAGATTGTACAAATGGCAAAAGATGTCGGCGCGAAGCAAGTCATCGTTGCCAGCTGCGCGCCACCCATACGGTCAGCACAAATGATCCAATGTGCTACCCGTGCTTATACCGTGCACAGATACTCGAACGTTTACGGAATCGACATGCCCTCCCGCATCGAGCTCGTCGCCCACGACCGCAACGAGGAGGAAATCGCCGCCCACATCGGCGCCGACCACGTTATCTTCCAAAAGCTTCCCGACCTCATTCGCTCCGTCAGCCAGTTCAACCCCGCGCTCACCACCTTTGATTGCTCCGTCTTCACCGGCGAGTACGTGACCGGCGGTGTCGACGAGGGCTACCTTGCGCACCTCGAGGGCCTGCGCGCGGACAACGTGCGCAGCAAGGCGCAGTTTGGGAACATCGGCGCGCTGGAGGGCAAGGGCGGCGGCGGGACGGCGAACGTGAACGGCCTGTCCGAGAGCAATGCGGGCAGGTCCTGCAGTGGCCCGATGAACGGTGCGGACGACAACCTGGGGCTGCACAACAGCTGGAACGCATGACACGGGTTGTAGAGCTGGCAGACGATGGAGAGGCAGAGCGGAGCAGACGTGTCATCCTATTTCTTATTTACCTAAACTAATGTAGAGTGCTGTCGCGTATGTCGTCTGTAGAATCAAAGTGTACATTTAGAGCATAGCGCAGGTCGAGGCATGTGAGGAAGACGAGGTGAGGATGAGGGCCTGAATCGTATGTCGGACAAAGCATGGAGACCGGAAACCAATAGATAATGACCTTTACAGGGTACTGGCAAGCGCGTCGCCGGCACGGTGTGTACAAAGTCCAATGCGGAGGGAACTATACACGGACAAAGGGTAGCTCGGTGAACGAAAAGTATCGCAATTACTGAGGTTTGGTGTCCTCGTGTTGTTGCTCATGGTGCTGCTGGGCTTGGGGGACAGATTTGAGTCCCAAGTGATGGATATAAGTCATGCGCTTACGAGGTGGTCCATTCGGATCCATAGTCTGGGTCATGGAGCCCGGAGGCGGCACGCCTTGACCATCCTGCTCGTTAAAGGAGCGGAAGGGTGCCGGGACGGTGAGTGACCTATGGAAACGGTCGCGGAACTCGTTGGATGATGATGCAGGATCGGCCGGAGGGCCAGACGGAGGAGGACCTGCTGCCGCTGCCGCCGCGATGGCATTCGCAAGCGCCGACTGCGTATCGGGCGTCATCTCGACGCTGAAGGTAGCTGGCGGACCTGGCATGGGCTGCCCGTGGACGGCCTCATAGTGTTGCCGACGCTTGATAGAGATTAGACAGGGGAATTAGCGCGGAGCAGGATAGGTGCTCACCTGGCGATTCCACTGCTCCCACGCGTCCGCGATCAGGGGTTCCAAAGACGTGAGCTCTTCGTTCGTCATGTATAGGGTGCGGAGAAGGTGCTGCTTGAGGAGCGGTGCGCAGGAGAAAGAAAGGAGGAGGGTTGAGGCGAAGGTCTGGCCGCCATTGACCTGGATCGTGCCAGGGGGTGGCGGAGGCGGGAATTGACCGGGCTGGCCATCCTGAGGGGGGTTCATGCCAGGTGGTGGGGGCATGCCCATGGGGCCGGGGTGCATGTGAGGGGGCGGCATCGGGCCAGGAGGGGGAGGTGGGGGATAGGTGCCGTTGGCGAAAGGGTCTTCGAGCACCTCATTGCCCATGTCTAAGCCAAGCTCGCGCATCTTGCGCTGCTTGACGAGCATGCGGTGTTTGCGCTGGCGCTCGCGGGCGTTGGCACGGACCCTTTCTCGTCGCTGCTCCTCCTCGGGCGTGAGCTGGCTGTCGTCGGGCCGGTGGCGCGGGATGGCGGGGTTGACTGCATTTATGCTGGCGACCTGGCGCTGGGGCGCGGCACTGAAGTTTACGATGCCCATCTGGGCCCGCAGTGCGATCGCGCTCGCGCTTGCGACGCTGGCGCTCAGCTGCTTTGACGCGCTTCCTGCGCTGGGGCTCGGTCTCGCCCTCGCGGGCGACCTGGGGATCGCGGCTGGGGGAGCCGATGGGGGAGGAGAGGATGCCTGACTGGTCGAGGGCGGAGACGAGATCCATCGCATTCGAGTATATATTCGGTCGCTGGCCGCTGTTATCCATCGTAAGCGCGCCGCCGGCTGCGTTATGATTTGTGACCGTACGCGTCGTCCGTCGTGATTATTTGTGACTGCGGTGACCGCGAGGGGTGACAGCAGGATGAAGAGGAGAACACGGAGTTTACCGGTGTTTTGTTCTCGGCACGCCGGCAAACACAAACAACCTGTCAGACGCCTCCCAGCCAAACTTCCCCGCCCAGACGCGTCTTGTTCTCTTCCCTCATCTCGCTACGGTCCCGCCTAGCGCGCTTCTCGACATGGTTTCTCGCCTCTGTCAAGCGTTGCTGCTGTCGCTCTTTTTTGCCCTCGTTTCTGCCGCCAAGGCGTCTTCCGCATGGAACGGTCACACCGACGCGGCCTCCCGCAAACTCGCTCCCTTCACGCCCTACTACGTCCCGCCTGGCGCGAGGAGCTACGACTCCGCCTCCCCTCTCGTCCACTACACCGGCAAATGGCACGATACCTTCTCGTCTGCCTACGTCCACAAATCTCTTCGCTGGACCTCTGAGAGAAACGCGGCTGTCCAACTCACGTTTACTGGTACCGGCATCGAGGTCTTTGGCAACGCTGGACGGAAGCACGGTCCTGTCAAGGTCTACATTGACGGCAAGTTCCTGCAGGCTATCGACCCCTACGTCGACATCAAGACGCCGTATACGCAACAGCGCACCTTCTGGAAGTTCGACCTCCCCTATGGCAAGCACACCATCAAGCTCGTGAACACGGCGATGAAGACCCTCGAAGGCAAGCCTGGTGTACTCGACCTCGACGCTTTTGTTGTCACTCGAGGACGCAAGTGGGCTGCGCAGCCAGCCATCAAGGGCGCCCCTCACACTCATCTCAGCCCGATGGTGCTAGCGGCTCAACGTCCGGCGCCTGCGTCCTCCACCTGGAAGCTCACGCAAGAAGGCTCAACCGGCGTACATGCTATGCAGCTTGCTGTCATCTCGGCTACTCAGGCGCTCATAGTCGACAAGGTCGAGCACAACCCGCTGACTATCGACGGACACCCTGCTTGGGCTGCGATCTATGACCTTGACACTCATGCTCTCACTCCACTTCGCATGCAGTCGAACTCTTTCTGCGCTGGTGGCACTTTCCTCAGCAACGGCACGATGATCAACGTCGGCGGCAACCCGATCGTGGAGGACCATACAGCCACGGCTGACTTCGGCGACCTGGACGGACTGCAGGCTGTCAGGCTTCTGAACCCTTGCGATAGCGAGGACTGCACGATGTATGAGAACCACGACCGCATACGCATGGCAAGCCCTCGCTGGTACAACACTGTTCTTCGGCTCTTTGACGGCAGCGCTATGATCATCGGAGGTTCGAAGAAGGGTGGCTGGATCAACAACTCTACGGTTAACAACCCGACGGTCGAGTACTTCCCGCCGAAGAACGTCGGCGGTCAGAATGGCCTTCCCGTTCATCTGCCGTTCCTTGACGATACATTGCCTTCTAATCTCTTCCCACTCGCGTTCGCTCTCCCCGATGGGACCGTCTTTATGGCCGCCAATCGCTATGCGATGATCTACGACTGGGTACAGAACAAGGAGCGTCGTCTGCCGAAGCTGCCGAACGGTGTACGCGTCACTTATCCTATGGCTGGCACTGCTCTTCTCCTGCCTCTTAGCCCTGTCAACAACTACGATCCCGAGGTCCTCATCTGCGGCGGTTCGACCATTGATGACTCGAAGCCGGGCTACGAGATGACGTCGCAAGACCCGGCTTCTGCTCAGTGCGCGCGCATGACCTTGACGGACGAGGGCATCGCCCGCGGCTGGGAGGTCGAGCAGATGCCAGAAGCTCGCCTCATGCCGGACGCCGTGCTCCTTCCGACTGGCCAGGTCCTCATCGTCAACGGTGCAGGCAGTGGTATCTCTGGCTATGCCAATGTGCGCAACCAGGTCGGTGCGTCGAACGCGGACCATCCCGTTCTCACCCCCGTCTTGTACGACCCTGCCGCTCCGGCTGGTCAGCGCTTCTCGACGTCTGGCATGCCCACGAGCGACATCCCGCGCATGTACCACAGCGTAGCGACGCTGACGCCGAAGGGTGACGTGATGATTGCGGGCAGTAATCCCAACCTGGACCGTAGCGAGATGAAGTATGGGACGGAGTATCGCGTGGAATGGTTAGCGCCGCCATACATGCTAGAGGAGAGGCCGGAGATCAAGGACACGACGCTGAACTTGCCTTTTGGGAAAGATGTTGCAGTGAAGGTCGACTTCCCGAAGCAGGCGAAGGAGGTGAAGGGTGAGTTGGCTTGTTAGCCCTGCACAAGCTATCGATTTCTAACCTTTTGCTTGCTCGCTTAGTCGCCCTCATGGACCTCGGCTACGTCACGCACGCAGTGCACGCGAACTCGCGCTTGGTCTACCTGCAGATCACGCGTCGCGACGACGGCGTGCTGGAGGTCGCTACGCCGCCGAGCGGGAAGGTCTACCCACCCGGGCCTGGGTTCCTCTACGTCGTCGCGGATGGCGTACCGAGCAAGGGGATCAAGGTGATGGTGGGTGACGGGGAGAGCCCGCCTGTGGATGAGGCGGCATACAAGAAGTGAGTAGTGCGTGTCATTGCGATGCGAGAAATGCTAACATTTGTTTGCAGCATGTTAGCGCAGTCGAAGGTGGACCAATACGAAAAGAGCAAGGGAAATCTCTGAGTGGCCTTGGTTCTGGGTTCGTTACCTCTGCGTCATTCCTCCGTCGTGCATCTATCATCTGGCTCTCACACTATGTTTCGTCGATCTCCACTGTCTTTCATTCGTTTCCTCACATACGACTATCGTTTCTTGTGATTTTGTCAGCTTTTGTATCGCTACCGCTACCACACTTGTAGCACATGCTAACGTGTATATCTACGGTCCACTATTTTACTCGTACACTCACCTCTATCGTACCTTCTCAACACACGCACCTAATGCACACATGAATGTGGATCATGAATAGAAATGGGATATCCAACTCAGGCCATACAACAAGAACAAAAGTACGTAGATGCGGGATTATAGAGCACAGCCGATGCTCGAGGCACTATAAGCCTCGTCAACGTCGCGATGAGCAGTTACAACGCCCTTTGCTTCATGCGCGCGCTGACGGTCCGCAAGTTGGCGTACACCTTGCCTGGTGGCGAACCGAGGATGAGAGAGACAATGGCGTCCTTGGCGACCTTGATGTTAGCGAAGGAGCCGAGGATGTGGATTTTTCTGAGGGGCGGATTTAGTGAGTCTGCGATGCTTGTGAGCGGAGATGGGGGTAACGTACGTGTCGGCGAGCACTATACGCGTCCTGCTCGCGTTCTCGATTGTGAACTTGGTCTTGCCGTCCTGGCCTGCTATGCGGCCTGGGGGAGGAGATTGATCGTGAGCGAGAGCTAGATTGTATGAGAAAGAGCTCAACCCACCAATCGCGCGCGACAGATGGTCCCCCTGCAGCGTCTTGACGTCCTTGATCTCGAACGAGTCGAGGTAGAGGTCGTCCATGCGGAGGAGGGCGATGGCGTCCTGGACGTCGAAGCCGAGGGCGAAGGCCTTGACGAAGTCAGCGCCCTTTTGAATCGCACCGATGTCTTTTGTGTGTTCGGAGGTCTGGAGTAGGAGGGGGGAGAGGAGGAGTGCGGGGGAAAGGAGTGAGAAATTGAGAAGACGAGTAAGTGGAGATGCAAGGTAAGGAGGAAAGTAAGAGGAAGTGAGTTAGATGGTGGGCTTATGCAAGTTGCTATCATCACTCACCCGCATCTCCACGCATCGCCGCTGCACGTTCATGCGCACTTGCAGGCCGAGGAGCTCCGTCATGGGTCCGAAGATGTTGATCCATTCGCGCTTGAGGGGGGACATGCGGTGTGGGGGGATGGGGATGCGGCGCGACTCGGATTTTAGGCGTGACTGGCCAGCGTTGGCGGGAAGGGCGGGGAAGGAGGGGGCTGGTTAGGCAGCACGGAGACCATGAGCATGTCAAAAGGAGTGTTCAGGTGGGGGAAGTAAAGGGAGGAGATGAGTACATCGCGCAGAATGAATGGAGGGGAAGCAAGCATCCGTCAATATTTCGATTAGATTAGACTGGAGGAACTCTCGTACCCTCAATCTGTGCGTCCTCCTCCATCTCCTCATCAGCATCCTCCATCGGCGACTCGTCCCCAGAGTCGCGCATCTCAGTGTCCTCCGCGATCCTGGCCTTCTTCTTGGGTGATGCCGTCTGGTTCTTCAAAGTCGAAGGGCCCGCAGAGGACTCGGGGGTGGTGACATGCGTGGCAACCATAGTGGTAAGACGAAAGTGCGAATAGATTGGTTGGAATTACGCGCGACGGCGAGGGGAATGTGTGATCTGGCTTGAGGCGGGGAATGAGGGTAGCAAAATGATTGATCTTGGACGATCGGGCGGATCGGCTGGCATGGGCCGGACGCCGAAGGTGGACCTACAATTGGCCTTGGGTCCCAAAGTTGGGTCAGTGTCTCATCTATGTGCTACGGAACGAGACCTAGTCCAGCGCTTTTGCTATATTGATCTCACTGATATTTGATCCCTAGCGGGGCTCTTCAAGCGAGCGGTTAAACTTTGTCTGTCACAACTTGAATAGTAAGCTTGGGCTTGGTGGACCGAACTCAGGCTCAAACGAATGAAAGGGTACAACAGCAGGCGATAAATAGCCCGATAAATAGTACTGAAGCCATACACCCAATATAAATAAACCGTAGTACAGCGTGGCGGGAGACCAGCAGTGAAGCGGCCCCCTCGTCGGTGGTGCTGTTAGTACATACACGAGATGCCCTGCGGCGTACACTTCGTCGTGACGATAGTACAGTGCGGTTACACCTGATGATACATCGCAGTGCGGATCGACGCGATGTCGATGCACTTAGACGAAGTGCCAGTCGACGTCGATGTTGCCCTCGCCGAGCGCGGCGAGCTGCGAGAACGCGGTGCTCGAGAGGTCCAGGCCGTTGGCGGCGCAGCCAGGGCAAAGGTCGGCCACGGTGACGGTGACAGACTTGCCAGCATCTGGATAGACGGTTAGCGTCGTGTGAGAGACAGCGTAGACGAGATTAGCGGGTTGACAGGCTGAGACTTACGCGTCGCAATGATCTGCTTGCCGCCTGATAGAATAGTCAGCATCTGAGCGACACAGTGCGGAAAGGATGGAGCTCACAGTTAGCGCCAGAGAGGTACTGGTCAGCAGAGAGGGCAACGATCATGTCCGTGTTCTGGAGGACGTTGCCGCAGGCGCCGTAGCCGCCGTTCGGGTCGTAATAGGTGGCTAGCAAGCGCGTCAGCCTACGGTACCCTCCGGTTGACGGCACCCTCTACTCACCCCGACCGAGGTTGCGCGCCTCAAGGACACGGGTGGGCGCGGCGAACGCGGCACCAGAGAGAGTAAGGAAGGCGACAGCGAGCTTGGCGAACATCGTGAATGTGTTGTGTTGAGTAAAGAGTGAAGGAAAGTGAGGAGCGGGTGTGCGGCTCGAAGGGCTACTTGAGGAAGGTGAAAAGTAGGTGAGAAGCTGAAGTTGATGAGGAAACTGAGGCGAGTGCCATCCTTCTTATATACCCGCCCAAATCCCCAACTTACTCACCGCACTTACCTTCACGGTGAATGGAACCCGACCTCTCCGGCAGCGAAACTTACGTGAGGATAGTCACGCACCATAGCGAGACGTGCCCGCTGCGCAGAGGACGAATACGGCGAAGTCAAACCTCGCCTCCCGCTACTCAAAGCAGCACCCGCAGATGCGCACCGTATGCACCCCGCACGCGCCGGCCTCGGGCGTCCTCCGGCGCTTGCAAGGTCGACCTTCCGGATTTGTCGGACGCGCTATTGTGACAGGGTCAGAATGTCTGTGCTAGCAGGCAGTGCATTGCCAGGTCGGTAACGCGATGCGTCCATCGGTAGCGCTACACGACAGCCGTTTGAGCTTACGGGCTGCTGACGCGATGCTCATGGATTGTGCATACATCTTCGCAGATCGTGCGCTCATCCTCATACGGTCTGTGTACATCGATCAGTAGATTGCAAGGAGAGGCAAACCTGACGCACGGGTAGGGCAATTTTGCGAGGCACAGGGAGGTGCGGGCACATACCTCGAATTGTGTGTGCGTACCGTATATTGAAACAGGTTTGTCGAGCGGCGATTTCCGAAACGAATTAGCCTCGTCGGCAGTCACAAGCGAGGTAACAACGATACGGCAGCTTCCCGAGGCAGGTGTTCGTCGATGAAAGCCCATGAGTGACACGGAATTCCACGAGCAAGCTGAGGTGCCAGGAGCGGCCGCGTGTTGACATGACGAGGGGCTACTTAGCCGCGGCAGCAGGGCGCTAGAGTCCCGCGCAAAGAGAGGCTAGACTGATGACAAGATCCCTACCTATCGACTTCCTATGGTTGGCGTACAGATACAACGGTCTCACCCAGGTCTGCGCATGCTTGGTATTCGCGTCTATGGGACTGGAGGTTGAGCTCCACGACGTCCCGCCTAGCGCCCAGCGTTGGAGCAAGGAAACAGTCCTGCATGTAAATATACATCTGCAAGGGAGTGTCACGTCAAGAAATGGACTGTAACGGATGAGCTGGGTTACCCACTAAGTACTCGCAACCCAATTATGGCGATCTCAAACGCCCGCCTCCTGCCCGTACTTCTCGACGATCAGGTCTATGAATGCGTCCCATCTGCGCTGCCAGGACTCGAGCGCAGCCATCTTCTCCTCATCGGAGAGGCAGGAGAACTACGCAGATATCGTCAACGAGGCTGACGAGCTTACGGCTTTGATATTCACCTTGATGCTGTCCTTCGCCAGCTCACCCAAGGTAATCAGGCCGTTTTGCTCGCTCGCCGCCAGGACCTGTTGGTCGGCGTAAGCATTGAAAAAAGTACTATTGGCTATATGGCCGTCGGCAAACGCACCTGGAAGTAATCATACGTGAGGCCCATGTTGCCAAAGACAGCGGGGTCGTCGCTGCACAGCGCGACAGGCAGCCCGTTGTTGATCATGATGGGGAGTGGGTGCATGGGCATCGACGAGGTCAAGCGCTGATTAAATTTCAGTAAAGAGGATGCAGCCTCGCAACACGTAGAGGAAACTTACCAGCACCTCGTTCGAGATAGGGCAGACCTCGATGCAGATTTCTCGCTCGCGGCATATTTCCATGATTTTTGGGTGCTTAACGATCGAGAAGCTGTGCGCCGACTAGTTGAGAATAACATAGTTTTGTGGAGGAATGTGAAGCGTACCCATGTCCGATGCGCTTCGTCCCTAACAACACCGCGTCGTACAGGTTATCATCCGGTTCTGATCCATCTCCAAGCGTCTCCCCAGCGTGGAAGATGAACGGAATGCGCTGGTCTTCCGGCAACCCTGCCGCTTCTTGCATCGCGGGGAACTTCAGGAGCACTTCCGCGTAGTACTTGAGAGGGTGTAGCACGTTCTCGTCGCCGACGAGATCGAATCCTAAGTCGAGTTCAAGATTGTGACGGAAAGCTTTGCGTGGAAGGAACTGACCAGCAATGAGATGCGGGAACTCCTTCTTTAGGGCGATGCAGTCCTGCAGATACCACTCGAGCTCTTCGGGGGTGATGAAGCGTACAGTGGAATATATGATCTGGTGTATGCGATGATCTCAGTATATGCGCTCGGGAGAAGGATTCCGAATCTACCTTTGCTCCTACGAAGTCATTCCCTTGCTGCTTGGAGTACTCCTTGACCTCGTTGAGGATTCTGTCGAAGACTACAAGCCAGTCGCGATGTGGAATATTCTCTAATCCGTCTGCGCCGGTCATGAATCTGTCAGGGATCAGCGAGGAGCTCAAACAGAGTAAGTGGAATATACTACCTAGCAAGGAAATTGATACGTGGCTCGACGTATGATATGCCGTCCTCAACCGAGGTCAGCAGGGATTTCCGTATATATTTCTCGAAGATGGGCATATGGTAGATGATGCCCTTGGTGCCGACGTCAGAAATATCCCTCAAGCCTCATCAAGATGCTCACATGTGTAGCACGGAATGTTGATAGGAATTTCTGCCATATCTGAAGAATGCATAAGCGACGACGCCCGATTACAGGCACCAACTCGTGCTGTTGATGAAAGGACCTGGGACCTTCGTTAATGTGTTGTGAGTGCCGTACGCCTCGGATGGGTTGATGGTCATGGTGCTCAGAGCCCACTTGTCGAAGCCCGCTGGCCCTCCGTTGACAAAATGATCTCGTGCAGAGACGATGGGAACCCATGACTCCGCAGGAGCGTCGTCCAGGCCGGTGTAGCTGGTGGATTCTGACTGAGGGATGACGGCGAATTGCGGAACGTTGGACGTCAATGTAGCGGGGTCCAGCGAACGAGTGATGCGTATGTGCATTCCAGGGGCCTCTATTGCATACTGCAGCAGGATGTTTACATCGACAGTCGCGTCGAGATGCGCGTGAAGTAGTCCGCCCTTGGGCATCTAGTCGTACTGGTCAGCGCTCATGTATGCGCGCGTCTTCGTGGGCAAGTACCTTCTGTAGGATCTCGAACAGCGTAGTTTGTTCAATAATCTTCCTCCCTGCAAATGAAGTTTGTCACAGGATCTATGACGGCGCAAAAGACATGCATACCTGTGAGAAATTCCATGCCAGGGAAAGGATGAGGAATCGCTTCATGAGGAGCTGCCCATATTCCTTCTGCTTCTTTCTTGCGGATGGCTCGAATGATTTTCTCAGCCTTTTGTTCCGCTGAAGATAGAGGAGGGCGCTGAGAGTCCCTCCTCAGGCTCCTGTCCGAGGCTATCAACGCCTCTCTAGCTGCTTGCCATTCTGCGACCAGGTTGGATGGCGCCATGATGGCAGTGGATAAAGGGCATCTCCACACGGTCGCACTGCCAAAGGTACCGCGGCCCGTGCGGGAACTGCCGAGGCATGCGCATTCACCGAGATATCAGTGGTGTTGCAGTTCGTGACTTCGTATGCGGGATATGCTGGGAGGGTGATCATCATTGTGGACCTTGCTTTCCTCAAGGTGATGATGGTTGCAGACAAACCGCAAGCCCAAGAAACGCGCGGCATTATGGACGCGGCGATTCCCACGCTCAGGTGCTGGTTGACCTTCGCAGGTCAACGGGTCACTTACAGGCTTCTGCTGAGTGTCGAGTTACACAGAAAACACGAGTATAAACATGATAGAACGATACATGAAACAGCAACATGCTATCCTAGACCTACCCCCAAAGGATCAATGTCCTTCTCCGGTTTGACTGTCGGTTCGTCCTTCGTAGGTTGCGGCTTATCCTCGATTGCCAAAGAGTCAAGGCTGACAGGCGCCTGTGCAGTTGAGGCTACCGGAGAGGGTGCCGTGGAGGACGCTGAGGTCGACGGAGCGATGAAAGATGCAGACAAAGGCTCTACCGATGGCGTCGCCTCAGTCGCCCAAGGAGAAGCCGCAGGCTGCGTCGACGGAGGCGTAGGTGACGACAACGATCTCGAAAGCCGTCCCACCGGCGCATCCAGCAACCGCGCCTTCGGCGTCGACTCGTCCTCGACCCGCCACGGGTTCTCAAAGATGGACGGGATCTTCGGCGACGCCGGCGTGGTAGTCGCCCATGGGTTCGTGCTCACCGGCGGGACTGGCGCAGTGCTCGGCGACCACGACGCCGTCATCGCAGGGCTCGACGACGTCGACTCCTCCGCCTCGTCTGGCCAGGCGCCCAGCGTTCGTCCGGTCAGCTCAGCCTCCTTCGGCGTCAGCGCGGAGCCCTCCTTGCCTGCATTTGCGTTGTACGCCTCCTGCACAGCCGAAAGCGCCGCCGTTGCATTGGACGACAAACGACCCCACATCGACTTCATGCCTCCGCTGAGGTCCGCCGCCCGAATGCCTTGTCGTCCCTGCCCTTGACTCGTGGGCTTCAGCGAGAAGTTCGACCCAGTGTTACCAAACGGCCGGAAGCTCTCCGCCGTCGAGATTGGGCGCTGCTGTGCGGTCAATGGATCGGGCGTGCGCGAGCGCGGCGTAGGCGATGTCGCGCGAGGATCTAGATTGACCGCTGAGCGCGACGGCGAGGGCGGCAGTGGGACCTTTGACGGCGTCGCTATGCGCAGCACCGGATCCTCTTCAACGCTCTCTACCGGCCCCACGACCTCCGCCCCCTTCGCCTGATCGACCACGATCCGCCCGTTCATCTCCTCGTCCGACCGTCCGTACAGCTCGTGCCAGAACCGGACGTCCTTCGGATTCGGAAACAACACCCCCATATCGCGCCCCTTCGGATCGTCCAATGTCGGGTCGTAGGTCGGGTTCGTGTTCTTCTCCATCTCCTCCGGCGAGTTCATGAAGTCCCACACGCTCACCGAGCGCTCGCACGGCGGCGCGCCCAGGTCCTCGTGCACTGTCCTCCTCTCGCGCTCAGAGTTAAAGAGGAAGGTACCGAACTGGCAGGAGTATAGGTGATAGTAGATCTGGTGCAGGAAGCGCTGGTTGAATTCGAAGCGGTCGGGGAACTGTCGCTGGATCTGCCGCACAGTCTCAAGGAATTGGTGGAACACGGGGCTGGTCTCCTTGAGGTGACTCTGCGAGGCAAAGCGGTTCTGCACGGAGGCGAAGAAGGCCTGGGCAGCTTCGGCGCCGGTTGGGTTGTTGACGGGCTCTGGTGTCGAGACGAAGAACTTGTCCGACGATAGGTGCCCACAGCGATCCAAGAACTTGTGACCGAAGGAGACCCAGTCCTTCTCGATGAGAACCTCGAAGCCCTTGATCGTCCGGTAGTACGGGTCTAGGCAGAGCTGCGCTAGTGATGATAGTTGCGAAGTACGATCCCAACCGTCGGAGCAATGTACGAGGACATGCGAGTTGTTGACGTGCACATTTCGTGCAACGAGGACGACGCCCTCCAAGATCGCTGATATATGCCGCAGCCAGCCAGATCGGCGTAATGCTTGACGGTCTAAGACGGCTAATCGGGGGAGGGAGTCCTGCAAGTCATTGTTAATGCTAGCGAGAAGCATATCAGCCTCCCGCAGTGCTTCCACCACTTTGCCTAGGGACTCTCGCATCGTATGAATGTGGTCGATTCCAAGGTACGCCTTGCGAGCGTCCTTATAGTGATCCATGTTCTCCGTCCCAGCGCCCTTTGCCGTGTTAGCGACAGCATTCGTGGTCGGGCGGGCATCGATGATCATGTTTGTAGACTGGGCACCATATACGGAACCGCTAGCCACCCGAGCATCGGGCGCAACATGTGAATGGAATGCGGCCTCAACGAGCTTCTCGTCCTGTATGGATCGGTTCTGTGTGATGCCGACCATGGGTTGAGAAGACCTAGTGATGGATCCCTGAAACGCTCATGTCAGTACGTCGCACTCGTCGCTGCGCACGCTACACGCACATAGTTCGCCCAATGCAGGTACGTCAGCACCGGTATTCGAGCCTTGCTCCTATACTTCGAGGCATACTGCAGCGTCGCGTCGCTAATTCGCGTCGGGACCACCATACGAGCAGGATAAGTGGGGCAGAACTAGAGGCGCTGAACAGCATCGATAAGCGGCAGACGCACGGCAGCACAGGCGCCGCACCGAGTAGTCTTTGTTGATGTCAGTGAAGCGCCAGGCCTTCGAGCGTGTGCCAACGCCCATACGACCGAATTCCACGCGCGGGGAGTATATCGACCAGCCATCGGAGGTAGGGAAGGGTGGATTGGGGGTGTAGAAGAAGGCGTAGAGCTGGGTAACGGAGGCTGGAGGTGGATGTCAGTATACTGAGCTGTGGGCGTGTAACATGACAACGCACTGGCTACGGTGAGCTCCTTTACACTCTCAAAGACATCCGTCGCGCTCTTGTCGCTATCGAACGCAAGGGAGAACGTCTCGAAGGTGCGCTGATGGAAGGTCAGTGGACATTGTCCACTGATCGTCTGAGGGAGCTTCGTGACGAGGGATATGAGGGGGTAGGGTATCTATAGCTGTTTCAACCATTTTGTCCCTAATTCCTGAATATCTAGGTACTTACCCATAGTTCCTTCTGCTCCGTGTCGTCGAAATGGAAGATGAGATGATGAGCTGTGAGATGGACGGTCCCCTTCGAGGTGACCCCATTGCGGGTACAGGCGACATCGCTGACCTGTTCATTGTGTTTAGTAGTAACTCATGGGCTTCAATTGCTCCGCTACCTTTGTCACTCTTATGGCGTCCATCTAGCCGTCGAGTACGCGCTCAAGCCGCCTCATCAGCGATCGACGCGTGTTTCCCACGACCGGGCTCTGCCATTGTTCAACTTCCGGCATATCGGTGTACCTCTGCTTTGCGCGCGCTCCAGCGTGGTTTAGTGAGGGAAGTTCTGCACCCATCCTGATGCATTCACTGTAAGGAGCAGCGGAACAGTAAGAGGCTGAGATCAAGGTCGAACAAAGTGTCAATGAAGGCAGAACGCGGCGCTTCTTGGCTCAGGAATAGCGGATACCGCCGATAGATATCTCAAGCAAGTCGGGTAGATTATTGCAGATACATAAAGACCTTGGTCAAGGCCCTCACAGCTGTGGCGAACCATTAGGAACGCCGGAACAGAGGAGTCAAACAATACGGGCCAGCCGTGCGAAACCTGTTCGGACACACCCGAATCCGCTCTGGACCGCGGTCCACACGTGCCGGTGTGGGTCCAAAAGACCATCGCCTTGTCGACGCCCGACCTCGATTCGCAGGCTGGGTCGTGCTCGCAATCTCGCCTCCATCAAGCGCGTCTATGCTTCCCGAATCCTAGACCCGCTTCGGGAAGAGGCGGGGGAGGAGGTGGGGGTGGGGGAGTATATAATGATAGAAGCGGGCCCCTTGCTTCTCCATCGCAGAGCCAGTTCCGCACTCGCACTCATCCGCACCAATTCACATCCTTCGAGCTTCAGCTCATACCCACCCAATCAACCACCAATTCACAATGCTCGGCCACAGCCTCACCTCCACCTGGGCCAACGCCTTCGCCGGCCGCGCTCGGGTATGTGGCAACTCACCTTCGGTGCCACCAATATGCTGACCACCATTCTACAGTCATTTGGCGTCTGGGTTACCCTCGAGTCCCTCATCGCTGGCGGCATTTTCGCCATGTACGGCCGCTCGACGTGAGTTGCTTCTTTTACTTTTAGGCGCCGGCAGAGTGCTAAGCGGATCTTCAGTATGCAAGCTGCTCGGCTACGTGCCTCTGAGCGCATCGCAAACTCTTCCCGGCATTGATGCACCCCCGTTCCATGATACCTGATCATTATGGGCATGGCCCTGTAAATTATTGTACGAACAAGTCGACCTGTATGATATCTTAATGGACGCACTCTTTGGAGACCTCACTTCGTCTGAACAGTGGGTCTACACACATCTGACTGCCAGGAAACTGTTGCAAGAGGTTGAAGATTGCGATTGATCATGCATTGCAACGTGGCGATAATGTACATTTACTGACCGTGCAGTGTCATTTTGTGAGCGACGTAGAGACTGCTGCCAACTACTGAGCGCTGAGCCGCAAGTGTCCGCGCGAAGCTTGCCACCATGAGCCAGGCGAAGCGAACAAGGTCGTCACCGTCACAAAGGTCGTATCCTGGCAACATACACTCTTCCCCGACCACACCTACCTAGCTAGTGGTCTCCCCCGCGGCGTGCTATGGCGCAGGATGCTCAAGGCCACCCAGCACGCTGAGCGCGTTCAAAGCTCCGTGTCCTCGTCGTCGTACGTCTCCTTCAAGAGCCTAACATACTGGTCAGCCTGAATCCCTGTCCAGATGATGATAGTCGCTCACCGGTAGATAGAAGACGGAGGGTGATCGCCACTGCGATGAGGGGCTATCAGCAAGCTTCCTCAGTCACAATGCGACTACTCACTCATTCGTGATGTACGCGTCCACCATCTCCGGCCGCACATAATCATAATACGGGTTCACCACGTCCACCTTATCCACCAAATCACCCTCCTCAAAGCTGAGCACCGCACTCGGGTCCCCAAAGTCCAATGCGCCATATTCATGGTACAGATTCCAAAGAGGCGTCATTTTGAATTGTCCAGTGCACACGACGACCGGCGTGCTGTGTGCGCGAGCGGCGGTTGCGGTAAGCAGGCTGCCCGTCACCGCGAACATACCCCCATTGGCGAGGATGGCGTGCGCGCCGAGGACAACTTTGTTGACGCGAGACATGAGGGCGTAAATGGAGGAGTCGGGAACGAGGAAGGTGGAGACGCCAGCAGCAGAGAGTGATTCGGCCATCTGACGGCCGCCATAGCTGAAGAATAATCTTAAGAAGTGCAACAACAAGAAAAAGGGGGAGTGAGCGCACGATGGAGCAGACTCAGCGACAATCACGGTAAACGTTCTTGAATGGGACGCTGTTTTGAGGAATGCTTCAACTGTATGTGACATCCCGATCGTCAATACGATTTCACTGCGAGAACATCAGCAACGCGCCATATAGAGCAGACTGACCACGCACTCAGGATGTATATGATCCTTCGCATTACGCGAGATATTGTCGTACACCGTCTCCAGCTCATCCAGCACATCCTGGATGGCCTCCATCAACACGGGCTTTAGGCCGCGCGCAAACGAGTCCGGGTCCTCAGGATCGTTCTCCTTCAACGTCCCCTTCGTCTCCGACTTCTGCGCGACTGCTGCTCTTCTTGGCTGCCCCAGCAGCACGAACTTCGAGATCGTGTACTGGTCCTTCGACACCGCATTTGCGGCGGTCCCCTGCGTCGCGGTGCGGTACTCCTCGCGGATGTGGTGTAGAACTTTGCGTACTGTATTGCCGACGGAGTGTTCTAAGGAGCGTCGGTGTCAGGTATCGAATGCGCCACGAAGGATATGCGGCGCACCTTTTGGTTGCGCGTCTACGAGCCTGCGGCCGACGGTTCTTATGATGCGGACGAGCTGCTCGATGTTGTGGAAGCGAGCTTTCGATACGACCTGGCGCAGGAGACGGACGGTCTCAAGCGCGGCGACGCGCGATCCGACGACCTGTCTATACGTCCGATCGGCTTCATTTCGCGGCGCTGTGAAGGAGGGGAACTACTGACCTCCTTCGTAATCTTGAAGCAAGGTTCTCCACCTGCCTTTGGATGGACGAGTTCAGCTCTTCGTTCGTGACGTGCATCTTGCTAGTCTGTCTCGCCAAAAGTTCGTTCAGGGGACGCGATATAGATCGCGTGTCGATCGGAAGAGGTGGTGGTTCGTGCGAAGTGTGACTCGAGTCATCGTGCGCGCCCCGAAGGGGATACTGGTTTCCTCCGCATGCCGACTTCCCTGTTTGGCATTCCCTTTGTCAACCGCGCTCTCAGAGTTCTTGGCAATGTTATGCCAGGTACATTCTGCGCTTCCTGAGTTGTGGACCAGTCCATAAGGTAGTGACAAGGCGGAGGAAGCCATATCGCCCCGACAGCAGTATATATAGTAGATCGACAGGTATATATATATAGTCCAGGACTGAGAGGTGTCGCAATGAAATGCCAAGATACTGTGAAGAAAGATGGTGCAAGCAAGAAGTATACAGGCATTCGCTCGTGTCCTTGGGTATGTAGAGGTATACTCCACTAGCTTTCTTCCATGGACTGATCCGGGTCCGACTCCTCGCCAGGCTCTAAGTACTCCTTGAACTTCGTCTGCAGCGTGTGCAAGAATAACGGCAACTGGTCGCGCTGGAAGGTGAAGACATTGTTCAGGAAGTCTAACCGCTGGACAAAGTCCTCCTTCTCCTTCTCGAGATTGATAGGTGTATACTGCACCGCCGGCAGGAGCTGATCCCGAGATTTAATCTCGTTACTCTCTTCGCCTGCCGCGACGTTATACGTGAGGCGGAGGACGAACTCGAGCGCTGCACAAGACAGATGTGAGCCCGAGGAAGATTCCAACACGTCGATACATACCTCGGACTTGCGAGCCGGCCTGCTCGTCGGTGGCTGCATGCGTGTAGACACAGTGCAGGTCGTACTCGGGCTCGGTCAAGTACTGTGGCGGCTGAGGCTTGACGTTGGGTATGATGATGTTCGTCAGGTCCTCGTAGAAGCTGAGCACCGCGGCAGGTTTGGGGTCGTCGATTTGTCCTTTCACGGCTGCATTCCGCTGGACCGACGGAGGAGCATTTCGGCCACCTTGCTTATTTTGCTCCCGCTCCATCTTGAGCTCGAACTGGAATTCTTTGACTGTGTACCGCTCTTTGTTAGCCTTATCCGCGCCGCAACCGCATGGTGCACGCACCTTGTTGTTCTAGCTCCACTATTCGGGCATCGCGTTGCTTGACCAAGTCCTCCTTCTCCTTGATAATCTCCCGCGCCTTCTCGAGGTCTTTCTTCAGCACGTCCTGCTCCTTCTCCGCCGCGTCGCGCGTCAAGAGGCCCAATATCGAGGATGCGCCCTTCGTCTGCAGCAGTGAAGAGTGCCCGATCTGTGTCTGCATCTTCCCGATGATTTGCGCCTGAGCTATTTGTGCCATCGTTAGCCTCGTTTCACGCGTAGCACGCAAGGATGGCAACATACCCTCGATCCGCGCGTCGTGCACCTTCTGGCGATCCTGCTGCAGTTGTTCCTCGCGTTTGCGTTGCTCTGTTAGGGTATGCACTTGCTGCTCTAGCTGCTGGTTGTGCTCCTCCATCTTGCTGAACGTCAGTAAACGTATTCAAACGATAAGCGCCCAGGACGCACCGCAGCTAAACGTTTCCTCAGCCCCTCCTCCGTCTTCAATCGCGCTGCTGGTTTCTTCTTCTTCGCCCCAACCGGCGAGACCACCTTCTTCTCCTCCGGTTCGTCCTCCTCTTCCTCTTCTTCTTGCGCCGCTGCAGCCGTCTCCTCCCCGTCCACCTCCATCGCGTCCTCTCGTGCTTTCCCCTTCCCCTTCACCGCCTTGCTCGCCGGCCCAGGCTTCTCCGCCTTCGTCGCCGGCTTCGCTTTCCCCTTCCCCTTCGTCACCTTCCCATTCGGCTTCGCACGCTCCTCTGGCTCTGGCGGCGCCGGCGGGTCGATCTCCTCGATCTCAGAGTCCGAGTGCGACGCCGGAGCAGGCGCGCCGCGTTTCCGCTTCGCAGGAGGCGGTGCGGGCTTGCTATTCGACGGCGGTTTGATGGATGAGGTGCCCGCCTTGCTCGTCGATGCGCCCTTCTTCCCCGCCTTCGCCTTGGTGGCGGGGCGCTTCGAGTCAGTAGCTACAAATGCTTGATCTGTCATTGTAGCAACATAAACCAGTTGCACCTGGACACACCGATCTCGTCAGACTCAGAGCCGGACATGACGGCACGCGACTTGACGCGTCGGGAAAAGGGGCAGACGCGTTTACTTGTGTTTGGTCGATCATCCAACATTCCGGGCCGTACTTTACCGGAACATGCTTGGAGCTATCCCCAAGAGGAAGGATTTGTGTCCTTCCGGAGGCAAAGCTAGATGGATGGTGAACATCGGAACCAATCTGAGTCCAACTTCGGTTGCCCCGTGCGGGGTATCATAGCGAGCCGCCATCAAGGTTCAGCGCTCATCAAGAGCATGCAGGATCTCGGACTTGTGGCACTCTCATCCTCACGGTATCCGGCCAGGGTAAATAAAACATGATTGTCATTCATAGCAGGCAATTCGTGCATAAATCATACCTGTACAAAGAGCGGTGTAGTAGGTAGCTTAGCTACTGGTCATGTACATTCCGAGTCAACGAAGAAGGGATACAGGGCACGGCACCCGCAAGCGGGGCCGCGCTGGATAGTACAGGACGTGAGGGTAGGATAGTATATAAACTGTCGTTGAACTCGAGTTGGATGAACTCGATTGGTATCGGAAAAGCAGAAGAGGCGAGGGGTAAAAATACAGTAGTGTGTTGTAGTGCGATGAAACCAGCTCGAACAGATCGTGAGTGAAGAGACGAGAAATCGGACAAGAGCAGAGGAATAAATAGTTGAGAGTCCTATGAGAGCAACGGCGAATGTTCGTCCGTGTCGTCGAAGTCGTTCGGGTGGTCATAAGTCGTCTTGTCGGCAGTCGGAAGCGGCGCTTTCGAGGAACCCTCGCCGAGGTCGACGAGCGGTTTGGGTGGTGCGATGGCGGTCTCGGCGGCTGCGACTGCGGCTTCCTCGGCGGCGTTGGGGCCGTCGTAGTCGGGCAGCTCGGAAGAGGAGGGCGTCTCGGCAGGCGCATAGCGCGGCAGGTAGTCCGAGTAGTCGACCTTCTGGTTCCCGGAAGCGTCGTATAGGTTGGAGTACGCAGGGAGGGCGCTTGACGCCGCATACGGCGCAGACGCTGTGAGCGAAGGCGGCTCAGTCGCAGACGTCGACGACGCGAGAACGACGTGCGCTGCCGGGGCTGCCGGAGGCGGCGGCGCGCGGCTGAAGCGAAGCGGCACGTCGAACTTGAGCACCGCACGCGCCTGCTCACCGCTATCGAGCTCGTACGCGACCGTGACCGCGAGCTTCAGCGCGTGCCCGATGGTGAACAACGGCGACGTGACCGTTGACTTGAGCACCTTGCGCCCCGCCCACTTGTCGTCCGGCGTGTGTGCCTGCGCGCGCATGTACGGGATCGACGCCTGCAGCGTGTACCACGTCTGCGAGGACTGCTCCGCGTCGCGGGCGAAGCAGCGGTTGTTCTCGCCGAGGCGCTGCTCGCTGGGGGTGTGCGGGTGCAAGAGCGAGAACGTGCGCATGAGAACGTCGCCCTCATTCGCCTCAGGGACGAACATGCCCAGATCGGCCGCGTCAGGGTGTCCGTCAAGCAGAGGCAGTTGCGGCGGCTGCATGTCTTCCGACGGCAGTGGGAACCGTTCCTCGTAAAGATGGCTTGCGTGCGCTCTAATGATGTCTGTCAACAAGGACCGCGCGGCTAAGACTGGCGAGCACCGCACCTGAACGTCTCGGACTGCTCGACATCAACGCTGAATGATGGAATCTGTAGCCTCTTGCACTGCTCGCGGTCGAGCCCCTTCGTGCGCAGGCGTAGAGTCGCATTCAACGTCTCCTCCTCCACATCAACGAACTCCGGGACGGAGACTAGGGTCTGGATAGCCTTAATGATGTCGTCCGGTACTGCGGGGGCGCTGCCCTGCTCGCACTGCGGCGTGGGCACGACATAGGTTGCAGTACTACGCTCGCTAGCCGCCGCCTGCTCGTTCGCGTAACACCGGAGACTCGGGTGCTTGCCGAAGCGACGGATGGTGATTTGGCGAAGGCAGGCGGCGCTGCGCGTACGTGCGAAGAACGGCACGCACAATGACGTCCACGAGCTCGAGGGTCCGGCGTTGCCGAACTGCGCTGCAGCGTGTAGGACGTAGCGCGTGCCGAAGCCTCTGCGCAAGTACGTGGACTCGGGAAGCCAGCCGGCGACGGGGATGTTGAAGACGAAATCATAGGAACCTGAAAGGCTGTGATGAGCGGTAGTGCGGGCGTGAGAAGGAGTGCGGACGTACATGGGCTATCGGAGCCATCAGAGCTATCGTGCTCATCATTTGTTAGGTGTATGGGTTCATTTGGGACAAGTTGGCGTGAGGTCGTGCAGAGGCGGACAGAGCGATAGCCGTGTGTTGGCGTGAGGGTCTCGGACTGACCCTCGAAGGTGACGACGAGGGACTGAAGCGTGATCTGTCGAGGCTGATGGCGCTCGAAGAAGTACGAAGAGGAGGTAGGTGTTATGCGGACGACGCCAGACACGGTGTAGGCAGAGCTGTCGCCACAAAGAGATCAGCGACCAGAACGCGTGCAACGACGAGGATACGCACTTTGTGTCGGGCGGTCCATACATGTGGATCGTCTCTGAATGCGGGATGATCTCGACGTTGGCCACCATGGTGGGCAGTGAGGATGGGGAGGATGGGGAGAGAGAGGAGGCAGGCTATACAAGCAGATCTGATTGAGCGGCGATTGATATAAGTACACGAGTATAAAGGGGGGCTGGATTAGGAAGGGGGGAGGGGGAGTGACGGTGCGGGAGAAGCCCGGTTCGCGCCGGGGTTTATTATGTAGAGGGCCCACGCGAACAAAAGGGCGTGGCGGTACACGCCATCTGACCGCCGCCCGTCATATCCGGAAACAAAAGGCCAGCTTGTTTTAGCCTGTTGTCTGACGTATGAAGATCACATCAGCAGCGCCCATTGTCCCCGCCTTGCCTTTTTTGGACGACATCGCCAAATTCGTCTATTGTCCTCCGCCGCGTGCCTGCCTCCGTCGCTATTGTCCTCTGCAACGGGGCAAGCAGCATGCAAATCAGCGCCTGGCCGTGCGAGGCTCGTGGCCTCTCCGTCGATTTGGCAGTCGGCTCGATCGCGTAAAGTTCGACCACCCGCTCGAACCGGGACGTACAAATGCAAGGAGTATAGGGCAAGGCACAACCTGGCAGAGCATCCGAGGGCTGATGTTAGTGGACTGACTAGGTGCTCCGACTATTCCGGCGTCCGCGCCTCTGAGTCCCAGGCTACGCGCCGAGTTTGGCCGCTCAGTGATACCGCTTACGCGGCGATGATTCCGAGTCTGACTGGCCCTTGTCACCAAATAGGTCTCAAGACTACAAAAACTATGCATACAAGTACACTACACTGAACATACACTGACCCCTAGCACGGCCAGGCTTATCACACAGAAGCCGGTAAAGCGGGTCCTGGCTGAGAAGCCCCCCACTTCTCCTCGTAGAGCTTGTCCGCCAGGTCTTGCGCAAAGCCGCACATCGTCAAAGTCGCTGGAGAAGAGTCAGTGAAGCGTCCTTACATCGAACCGAACCACTCACGATTCCAAGAGCCCGACGTCGGGAAGATGGCGCCGCCGGTAACATACACCTTCGTGCACTGACGCGGGCGGTATTGGCTGTCGACCGACGCGTGCGGGTCGTTCTCGAGGTCGTCGCTCATGTAGAGCGTCGACGTCTCGTGCACCAGACCGGGGACGCGAACCATCTCCGCGGGCGGACGCTCCTGCTTCCAGCCCGCGCCAGCGAGGATGTACCTCCGGTCGTGCTGGTGGTTGATCGACACCTTTTCTTCCTTCGCATCGTGCCAGTACTCGATCTGGCCATCGTGTCCACCGGCCATGATGGAAATCGCCTTGTACCTATTGCGCGCGAGGGTCAACGGGGGCGCGGAAGGGCAACAGGCAGGCTACTCACGTTGCGTCCTCCATTACCTCAGTGATCGAGTTGGTATTGTCGTTGGGGAGAACCTGCAAGCGCACATTCGTCGTTACGTCGGGGTGCAGGGGGTTGTGCTTCATCCACGACTCCGCGTTCTTCTCGTCCAGTTCGCCCAGCGTGGCGCATACTACCAGGTGCGGTTAGACGAGTATGGGACAGGAAGAGCGAAGGTGCGTACCCAGAATAATATGTCCTTCCGACCCAGTAAGCTGCGCCGCCGTCGCTGCCGCCGCATAGTCAGGGCACAGACGCGCTGCATCCTCCGCGTCCTCGCCATCGGGACTTGGCGAATGGATGGCGGTGATCTGAATATGGTACTGCAGCCCGGTCTTCTTGTCCGTGCCCGCGAGGTACGACGCAGCGATCTCCAGATGATCCTGCAGAGCGACCTTCCTCCCGAGCAAGCCGACAGGGAACCGCGCAGTGATATGCGAGATGAAGTGCCCGCCGACGCGCGAGCCCGCGCGTCCCTTAAGACGGTCACCAATCGAGTTCATTAGAATGGTCGTCGTCGGGAACGCGCCCGCCGCCAAAATGATGTTCGTCGCGCGCTTCGGAAAGCACAGTGCGCCGCGCGAGGTGTGCAGCACGACGGGTCGGTTGTTGTGATCCTCCGGGTCCAGCTCGAAGCGCTCGACGACCGTGTCCGTCGCGATCATCAGCGGGTGCCCCTTCCCCTCCTTCGCGAGCCGCCGCTGGCGCTCGTAGATCTTGAGCAGCGGGCCCGGCGTGGAGAACTTGTCGAACGCGATGGCGTCTTTGACCGCGGTCTTGCGGCCCACGGCTAGCGGCGCGTGGTTCGTCATGGACGCGGAGGGGATGTGCGCGAGGTTCGCGTCGAGGCGGCGCTGGATCTCGGCCTGGAGGTCTTGGCCGAAGCAAGGGTCGGAAATCTCGTTCGCGCGCTTGACGTGGAGGAGGTCCTCGCAGCGCTCCCAGAAGCCGGGGGCGGAGGCCGTGTCCTTTAGAGACTTAGGGAACTCGCGCATGAGGTCGATCCCCTTGTCCTCCCGGAGGGGACGCGGGCACCAGGCAGACCAAAACATGCTGCGACCGCCGAAGAAAGGGCAAGAACCATGCATAAACTGACATAGGAAAACAAGGTTACTAAGTAACATGGGCAGGAAACTGGCGACTTCTTACCTTCGCCGGGCTCTCGACGGTCTTAGAGGTGAGCTGCCAAGGGAATGTCTCCGAGGGCCCTCCAAGCATGAGCTTGAAGGGCAAGGGCATGTTCTGACTCGAAGTCGGTACGCGAGCGAGCGAACCGGTATAACAAAACGCACCTGGAAGTGCTCGGGCAGCCAGAAACCTACGAGTACCTCGTGAGCATGATCCAGAGACACCCGTCCACATCACGTTACCTCCGCGTTCCAGAATGAGAATCTTGCGGTTGCTGTCCAACTTGAGCGCCGCATCGACGTACGCCAGCGCACAGAAGCCGCTCCCGACCACGATATCGTCAAACTCGCCATGGTCAACGATGTTCGCCCAGGTGGTGTCGTCGACGAAGTAGTGCTTCGCAGTAGCGTGCGCGGGCGTCGGCGACTGCGCGCTGGGACGCGGGTAGCCCCACTGGTTCGTGGCGTCCTTCGGCGCGATGGACGAGGGCAGGATGGGGATCTTGCCCGTGCGGTAGTGGAAGGAAGGCTGAGACGGCTCGGGGACCTTGAGGTAGTCCTCGAGACCTAGGTTGGCGTCGACAAAACCGTTCATGGTGCAGGTACTGGAGTGGGCTGTGTTGAGCAAGTGCGGGGAGCGGGGTATGACACCCCTTCAAAACTCGGTTTATATACAGGTACAACCGTTGCCCTGGACGGCTTAAGCCCTGGGACAATCAAGGGGTGTTCGCGCTGCGCAAAGCATCTTTGAGCTATTCGTCTCGAGACTGTCAATGGGCAACCGAAAGAATTCCTCGAGCCAGTACAGCTAGTCTCCGCCAAAACGGATATTGCGATGGCCGACGTCGTAAAAGCTCTCAGCAACGAGATTTTCCTTCGCTTCCTCTAGGTACGTTGTGTAGGGCGGCGCTCTAGGCTGACTGACGGTGACAGCGTGTCGTACATGATGGTTCAAGTCAAAGTTGCGAGCAAGTGCGAAATTCGGATTCTCCAAGACCCCTTTCGGCAAATGCCGAGATCCCTCAAATAGGCCATCCATGTCTTATTCCTGACGCTCATGCGCATGGTGGAAGGACGCACTACCATACTTACCCGCCTCTTTGACTTCACTATTGACAACCGAAATACTCATCAATTGACCACCTCTGCGATGCATGCCTTCGAAGCTATCTCCTGACTAGCGTCGGAGGACGCCGCTGCCAGTGAATGCGTGGTAGCCCTGATGATTCGAGATCCTCTTCATGCGCCAGGACTTCTCACAGAAGCTCGACGCTTCTATACTACTGCCAACCAGCTGGAATCCTGCTGTATGACGAGAGTTGCATCTCAAGGTCAGACCACCCCCGCTTCCTGACGATCGCTGTCGACGCATCTTGCTCTCGCTTAGGCCATAAGGTGGCGTTGAGCGGCAGAGCTGTCATCCCGAGCGCCGCAATGAACAGCTAGCTTGTTTTATTGGAGGCGACCTCGCATGCCGTCGCGCTTTTGCGACGTCGGTCCTTGTAATGTCCGCTTTCCATTCGTGTTGTCGCTCCTCCAACAGGTCGCAGGATCCTAGTCCTTGTACGTGGATGACACTGCTCATGAGCCCGACTATACCGTCTTGGGGCCTTTATCACGGCAGCTCGGGGCTCCAAACGACTTCGCCCCCTTCGCTTCTCAATGAGTATTCCTACAAACCCACCGTCTCCACTCGGCGTCTACCGCGTGCTGTCTCCCAATGCCAGCCTGCGCATCTCGCCTCTTCAGCTTGGAGGCATGATCGTGAGGGACAGGCCTGAGGGCGGGAGCTCGCCACACCTCAACCAGAAGAAGGCATTCGAAGCCCTTGACGCCTTCTACAAGTTAGGCGGCAACGTCGTTGACATGGCGAACCTCCCGTGAGTACAGACTTCGGTGCACATACGTATCGCCTGCCTCGCTGACTGCCTTGCCTTCCCATAGTCAGTCAGAGTTCACGGAGGAAATTGTTGGAGAATGGATGGAAGCGCGAGGCAACCGGGACGAGATGGTCGTCTCGACCAAGGTGCGTTTGTGACTTGAAATTCCCATTCCTCCCTCGCTACACTGCTGGTCCTCTGCTGACCCCCACTCAGTACACTGGCAACCTCAAGAGCGGCCAGCAAGCCAACGTGTACACCAACTTCGCCGGCAACAACGCCAAATCCCTCAAAGCTCAGCATCGACTCCAGCCTCAAGAGGCTGCGCACGCACTACATCGACATCCTCTACGTGCACTGGTGGGACTACCGCACGAGCATCCGCGAAGTCATGGACCACCTCCACGCGCTCGTCGTCGCGGGGAAGGTGCTCTACCTCGCCGTCGCGGACACGCCGGCGTGGGTCGTGTCGGCTGCCAACGAATACGCGCGCATGGCGAACAAGACCCCGTTCTGCATGTACCAGGGCGGGTGGAACGTGCTCGACCGCGTCTTCGAGCGCGACATCATCCCCATGGCCAGGCAGTACGGCATGGCTGTCGCGCCGTGGAACGTCTTCGCGAATGGCAAAATACGCAATGACTTTCACGAGTCGGACGGTGACGAGGATACGGAAGTGCTCAAGGCCTTGCGGAAGGTCGCCGATGAACTCCACGTCGAGAGCATTCGCAGCGTCGCCCTCGCGTACCTCATGCAGAAGACGGCGTATGTCTTCCCGACCGTCAGCGGCCTGGACGTCGATGCCTTCAACGAATACCTCATCGCACTGGAGATCTCGCTCACAGAACAGCAGCTTAAGCTCATCGAAAACGCGAAAAAGTTCGACCCTGGGTTTCCTCATTCAACTATCGTGAGTCCCCGTCTTTCGTCTTTGAATCGCTTTGGCCTTCATGCACTGATGCGTCGATCTCAGGGCGACGGTGACAAAAACAATGGACTCCTAGCCGATATCAGCTTTGGAGCAGAGGACCGTTGGCCAGTTCAGAAGCCAATAGGCGCGGCTTGAGTGGATGGCAGTGTCCCGAACTGTAGTAAGAACAGTTCTCATGCCCACATCGCAATATAGCATCCATCTGTACAAGCCTCAGTTGACAGGGGGATCAATGACATGAGCTTCGAGTCAATGGAACCAAGCATGAAGATGTACGAGGTACGACACAAAGTACACACAGCTAAGCAAACACCTTGGAAACCGCCAGCTCGTCTTCCCCGCGCTTGTGCGACTCCTTCCGGCGCGCCTGCTCTACCTCCGCGTCCTTGCGGTTGCGGTACTTGTCGCCCTTTTCTCTACGGATTGCCGCTCTCACAGATGCAGGGGAAACGAATTCTGACGAATGGGTATCAGCAGGGGACAATTGCACGGAAGTGGGAGACGATAGCAGGGAAGCGCAAGACGAAACCACGCTCACCTGGATTAGAGAAGACCGTCGCTCCGCTGAAGGCACCCTCGAAGATACGGATCGGCGTCAGCACGAACCGCGGGCCGATTTCGATGAGGGAGGTTTGGGGCGGGCCGTTCGGCTGCAAGGGGTCCTTCTCAAGGATCTGCATTGAGGTGTGAGCAGGCGCCAATCCAATCCAAGGGGGTCAGGCTTAGCTTACCTGGTAATTACGGAACCAGATTTTGTTGTCGAGAAGGGAGAATGTGAGGATATGGTCAATGAATGGCTTCGCTTTCCGTGCGCCTGGAGGGACGCCGAAGATCTGCGAGGATGTGAGCTCGGTGTACGGCGAGTCAGAGTTGAAAGAACGTACGTGAGTGAACACCTCCTTCGTCAACCTCCCCCATTCCGTATCGTCAAAGCCCTTGTCAAAGCTCAAGAGGCCGCGGCTACCCTTGAGGCAGTTTCCCGTCATCTTGAGCTCGTCCATGGTGTGAATGTTTTGGACATGCATCTTGATGCTGGGACCATTGGGCGTCTTCGCGGCCCACATGTAGAGGTCCTCGTGTCTACGTGCCTCGAAGTAGAGGGTATTGTTGCAGTTGTTGAGATCAGCGAGTTCGGGGAGGAGTTGTAGCTGTTGCTTCGAGTCCAGTTTCGAGTCTTGCAGAAGTGTGAGTGTATGAGCCTGCCTCCAATGCTGGTAGCACGTACCCTTCTTCACATGAGGCAAGAGAGTCTCTAGATCATTCATGAGATGGCGCATGCGATGGGTAACACCGCGTGAAGACAGCATCAATACCCGCTGCTTGTTCCTCTTCCTCGGCGGCGCAGCCTCGTCCACATCCATAGCATCGTCGGCCTTGCGCTTCCCCTTCGAGTCTGCCTTTGCGGCATTCGCCTTCTGGGCCTTCAGAACGGAGGACATGGCGGTAAATGATTGCGGGGGGACGTGTACGATCGTCCGCGCGGGCGGGACGAAAAATGTGATCGGCGGGCCGGCGCCTAATCGTCACCGCCACGTGACGTGACAGACCGTACATGCATGAGTCACGCTCGCGTCGCGTTTGTTGTCTCTTCACGCGTGTCTCCATCATGTCGCCCCAGTACCCCACCGTAGCAGGTGCAGCACACTCTTTGCACTCCTGGATGTCTTACTGATGATGCTTAGGCTATCAGCTCGTACAGAAAATAGGCGGAGGCGGCTTCTCAACGTATGTTGACCCATTCACCCAATTTAGCCTGCTAACGCCACACTCAGTGTCTTCCGCGCTGTCAACTTCGACGAGCACCGAGTGGCGGCATGCAAAGTCATAACTTTGACCGAGAAAACCACAGAAAAGGACCGCAAGACCATAGATAAGGAGATGCGTGTGCACTCGGCGCTCAAGCACGAGAACGTCTTGGAGTTTATAGACGCCGCTGTTGTTGAGCTCAAGCATCGCAATCACTACATCCCCGGGATCTATATGCTCCTCGAGCTCGCTGCTGGTGGCGATCTCTTCGACAAGATTGGTGAGTACGACGACGTCGTACGCTTTTGAGGAGCCTGGCTGGTTCTAGCCTGGTACGCGTGACTGACTACGTTCATGCTCATAGCCCCCGACGTCGGCGTCAGCGATGAAGTCGCGCACTATTACTTCCAGCAGATGGTCTGCGGTGTGGTATGCTCGTCTCCCCTGTACCTCAACTTCTATCTGATGAACCCTTTCCTCCACATAGCAATACCTACACCAGGAGGGCGTCTGCCACCGAGATCTCAAGCCGGAGAACATATTGTTGGATGCTGCAGGAACCCTGAAGATATCCGACTTTGGTCTGTCAGCGGTGTTCAAGCTGAAGGATAGCGGCAAGACAAGAACACTATCAGAGCGATGCGGAAGTTTGCCGTATGTTGCACCTGAGGTGAGGATCACGGCGGTCTTTTATTTCGTTTTCGGAGTTGGATATTGACGCAGTTTCTAGCTGAATAGCCGGAGACCATACCAGGCAGAACCCACAGATGCCTGGGGCGTCGGCGTGATCTTGTTCACTATGCTTGTAGGCAGTGAGCTCGCATGCTCTTCATGCGTTGACCTGAACTAACTAACGAGCCCCAGACACGCCATGGGACGAGCCAACAGAGAAAAGTCCCGAGTTCTCCATGTACCTCACCGGCGAGATCTTCGACGAAGATCCATGGAACCGTCTAGGGGAGAGCGCACTCTGTAGGTCTCACTCGCCTTATCCGCCGACAATCTTTCAACAATCACGCCCTCCTTAGCACTCATCCGCGGCCTCCTCGAAGTCGACCCCGCCGAACGGATGACCCTCGACGAGGCATGGGAACATCCCTGGTGCAGGCGGTACGCGCTGCCCCATCTTGCGTTGATTTTCCACGGCTCACTCATACACACAGAACGAGTCAATTGGCCAGCCAAGGCCCCCAAATGCTAGCAGACAAGATCACGCAGTCACTCCGCGACAACGGTGACATGGACCTCGCGGCGCCGGATTTCTCAAGGCAGTACGCTGCCTTCCCTTGTTCCCTTTTCACTATATTGACATTACCCCCAGAGACGACATGGACGTCGACATGCCCTCCGCCTCGCACCAGTCCCAATTCACGCAATCGCTCATGCTCTTCGTGCGTACCCTTTGCTTGCCTTCCCTCGACCTCCCTCCCTCTCATTCTCCCTCTCACCCATCGCCGCCTCACCTTCACCTCTTTTCCTCCCCACCTCGCAAACCCAAACTAACACCCCCACCCAGTCCCAAACCCAGTCCGGCGCGCGCTACACGCCCCACCTCACCCGCTTCTACGCCTCCATCCCGCCCGCGCACCTCATGCCGCTCATCCAGCAGTGCCTCGCCGCGTCGAACGTCCAGTGCAAGGGCCCTATCTCGGAAAACAGGGGCTCGGACATCAAGAGCCCAGAAGGCGAGACGTTGCGCCTGCGTATCGCCGGCTACGACATGCGCAAGCAGGTGTTCAAGGGCTGGGTCGATGTCGAGCCGTTCGTGTACCGCGGCGCGGAGGGCAGCTTCTGTGTGATGCAGAGGGATACGGTGAGTGGTTGTGTTTGAGTTATACGAGCAGCGCATACAAGTTGATAATCAATTTCAGGGTAACCCGATTTCGTGGCGCCAGCTGTGGAAGCACCTTATCATGGACGGCAACGTCAACCCGCACGTTTTGCGCAAGTAATCGCTCGAGGGACGAAACGGCGACGAGTGGTCCAGTGGGATGGATGGAAGACAGCTGTTCGAACGACGGCCTGAAAGGGAAATCTGGTCGAGTGAAAGGAGGGAGGCATTTGCGCGCTTCCGTTGCTCGCAATGGATCCGATTTCTTGGTTTGACTTCTAGCTTGTATATTCTAGTTGTACATTATCTAGACTCCTGGGGGAATGTAAGTAGATACATAAGGAAGCCTGCACGCACTACAACGAGCCCGAGCCATAATGGCGACGGCTACGTGGGAGGCGTACACGTACTATTTGCTTCGTTCACTTCCTGGCTTTGGGCCAGACACAAGGCGTTTGATGATTCAGTACGTAGAAGGGTCAGTGGGACGATAGGGAAAAGGGTCAGATCGGGGTGCGATTGAGAGCAGGGGTGAACGAGGATGTTTGATGCGATGCGAGGGTTACGAGGGTACTCATACATACGATGTGCGAGGGCTTCGGGCAAGGAGAAGGGGACACGGAGGCTCTCGTGAAAAGGGGCACGAGAATACGCCGTGTGGGAGGCAGGAGAACGCGCCGTGTACAGGGCACGAGGATATTGCATGAAAGGAGCATGTCATGGATTCGGCAGGTAAGGGAAGATGTAGATGGACGGTTTATCGAACGACGACGGCAGGGAGGGTACACGACATACGACGATAGCAAGAACAACCTGGGACAACATGCATGTGGACGAATATAAAAAACGGGATAAAGGCAGAAGGGGGAGGCTGGCTGTGCGTTGCATTCTTTGCTTTGCTTTCGAGAGCGCTTGCATCTGATGTTCTGCTGCGAACTGATTCTTCAAATGCCGGACTGGTTCCGCAATTGCTTCTGCTTCTCTTGCTCGAGGCGCTACGAGAGGGGTCACACCATGGTCGCGCGAGAGCAAGGAGGTGACTTACGTGGTAAAGCATCTGGACCGCCATCTGGATGTTGGCGGGCTGCCCAGTAATGACGACCAAGCGCTCGCCCTCGCTGCCTGCTGCACCAGCAGGCATGCCCGTCGCCACCGCGCCCGGCTCCATGATCTTGATCTGACTCGCGCTCATATGGCGAATTTCGTTGATCTTACTTCCACCCTTGCCAATGATACACCCCACTAAATCGTTGGGGATGTATATCTGTTGGGTCTGGACCTGTGCGGGAGGCACGCCTGGTGCACCAGGAGCGGCAGCAACAGGGGGCGCGGCACCAGGGTAGAATGAGGAGGCGGCGCCCGGAACGTAGGTCGAGCCAGGGTACGGGGCATTCGTGATGGGTCGCCGGGTTGGGTTGCCTGGGCGGTAGGACGCGTTGGCGGTGGAGGGCATGCGCTCTTGCGCCTCGATGAGGATGTTGCCGACGTAGTACGTGGCAATGTGAATGGCGTCGGCAACCCCGGCAACAGAGAGAACGCGCTTCGATGCCGCGTGTCAGGACGCTGAATAACACCAATCGAGCGATGAAACGCACCTCTGTCGAGCCCGGGAGCATGCCTTCGCTGGCATTGAGGCGAGCGCCGCTGGCGTCCTGAATCTCTTTGATCTTCGAGCCTCCTTTCCCAATGACAGAGCCCATGCGCGAGTTGGGAATCATGAACTTGATCGTCACTGCACGGCTGCCTGGGAGGGAGGGGACGTCGAAGGGCTCGTCGTTGATCCTGCGAACGATGAGGCCGAATGCCTGGAAATGAATGAATGAGGATGCATACAGTTGAAGAAGACTTCGCCACACACCTTGGATACCGCGTCAAGCGGGCCGCTTACATTGAGAATGCGCTCGGGGTTGCCAGGTATGCTCTCCGACACGACGACTCGCGCGCCGCTCTTCTCGCGAATTTCGTTGACGTGCGCGCCTGCGCGCCCAATGATGATCGACGCATCCTGCGTGACAATGAGGCAGCGCATATGGATCATGGGCGACGGGGCAGCAGCCGCAGCCGCGGCGGCCTCGGGCTTTTGAGGCGGCGCGGAAACGACGGCGCCAGGAGAGGTCTTCGAGTCGCTGTCCGCGTTGGGCGACATGACATGCTGGCTGCTCGAGCTGGCCGCGTCGGGGTCATCCGGCTTGGGGCCCGTGTTCGGGCGCTTGTGCGTCTTCTGGAGATCGCTGCTCTCGGAGGGCGAGCGGGAGCGCTTGCGGTTCACCTCGGGTTCTGCCATGATCGCGCGCGTCAAAAAGGGCTCAGACGGGGGAGGGCAAGGAAGGGCGGGCTCCGGGCGTATGTGTGCGAGCAGCGCGTTGCGGGCGAGTAGACTTGGATTTGGAGTTGGGACTTGCGGGATGCGGGAGGAGGTGCTCAGGCGTGTTTCTGGGATGGGAGAGCGAGGCGGAGGTGAGGGGCGGCTGGAGGGGGAAGGGGCAGCAGACAACACACGCACCTCGACACGACCGTCAGCTTCAAGGTGTACTCGCGGCCATTTCTCAGGCCTGATGTGTATCGCAGGAGCCGTTGCACAACAGCGCCACATCTCGGAACTTGCCATTTTCAGTCGCACAATAGCCTGTCTGGGTTTTGTCCGAGGCTGTCTACAACATAGTCTACTTTCTAAGGATGTCAAAGAAAGCCTCCTGCGGCAGATCCACCTTTCCTATCTTTTTCATCTTTTTCTTGCCCTCCTGCGATCGTGTCAGCGCCGTTCCACGTGCAACGACGATCTACCTACCTTCTGGTTGTTCAAGTGCTTGAGCTTGCGCTCGTAGTGCCCTCCGTAGAGACCAGCCGTCACGTCTGCCCGCATCTGGCTGAGGGTCTCTCGCGCAATGACCCGTTTGCCAATGACAGCCTGAATCGGCACTTCGAACAATTGTCGCGGAATGACCTTGTCTGGAAGCCTTTCATCAGCTCTGTCACGGCAAGTCCGACTGCGCTGCACTCACGAAGCTTCTTCACCCAGGCACGCCCCACTGCATCGACGTTTGACCGGTGCACGATCAGCGCGAGCGCATCGACCGGTCTGTTGTTCAACAAGAACTGCATCTTGCATAGGTCGCTCGCTTCGTAACCGGCGTCCTCGTAGCTGTAAACCAATATCAGCATTGCATACGACGCTCGGAAGCAACAACTACGCACTCAAAGCTTGCAAAGCCCGAACTCCTGCTCTTCAGCTGGTCGAAGAAGTCGGTCACAATTTCCGACAACGGCAGCGTGCAAGTGATCATGATCCGCGCAGATGTGCTCGTTCCCGCGTCAAGGTACTTGTGCTCCAGATTAGACCCGCGCTTGGAGAAGCAGAGGTCCATCATGTCGCCCATGTACTCTGTAGACAGGAATTAGACGACCGCAAGCTCGAGTTTGATGCGTCAAAAGCCCACCTTCCGGCACAATAATCGACGCGTTCACCACCGGCTCCTGCACCTCCTTAATCTTGAACACCATCGCCTCCATATCCGGGAACTCCGTCGGATTGCTAATCAGCGTCTCCTTCCCATCCTTCCACACCACCTTGAACGGCACCGTAGGCGCCGTCACAATCACGCTCGCATCGTACTCGTCCTCCAGCCGCTGCCGAAACACGTCCATGTGCAGCGTCCCCAGGAAGCCCAGGCGGCAACCCTGCCCGAGCGCGCTCGACGACTCGCGCTGCACGGCGATGCTGCGGTCGGTGAGCGTGAGGCGGCGTATGGACTCCTCGAGCTTTGGGAAGTCGGCGTTGTCGATGGGGAAGACGCCAGCGAAGACCATGGCTTTGGCGGGGCGGAAGCCGGGCATGGGGTCGACGGGCGCCCCGACGCGGTGGAGGGTGTCACCGATGTGGGCTGGAGAGGATGTGTCGATTGGGTGCAGGCAGTTAAGCGGATGAGTGTGCTGACCTTCCGCGCTCTCTTTCATGTTGCACGCTATATAGCCCACTTGTCCCGGGAACAAGCCTGTCGCAGGCATCTCCTCGGGATGCATGATCCCGAGCTCGGTCACCTCGTAGCGTTTGCGCGTGTGGGTAGATTGTATCTTGTCGCCTGGGTGCGGGTGTGGTCAATTTCGAAAGCTACGTCGAGCGACCGAGAGGGAGGGTGGAAACAGGACGCAAGCGCAAGAAAGCAAAGCTCGCACGCTCACCTTTCCTCAACACCCCTTGCTGTATGCTCAGCAGCGAAATCACCCCTCTATACCGGTCATACAGCGAGTCAAACAACAACGCCTTCAATGGGCCCTCACTCGGCGCCTTCGGCGGCGGTATCCTCTCGATGATCGCCTGCAGCACCTTCTCCACGCCCAACCCCGTCTTCGCCGAGATGTGAATGCAAGATGTAGGGTCGATGCCGAAGGTGGATGCCATCTGGTCTGCGATGCGCTCGGGTTGCGCTGCGGGGAGGTCGACCTGAGGAAAAGGAACGGGTCAGGATGGGACAATGATACACGACTTGGAGAAACCGTAGGAGGGAGGAAAGTAAGAGGAACTCAAGAGCCAAGTCAACGCACCTTATTCAGAACGGGTATAATGGTCAACCCACGCTCTTTCGCGATATGGAAGACACTAATGGATTGCGCTTGAACGCCCTGACTGGCGTCGACGAGCAGCAATGCACCCTGACAAGCGGCGAGGGAGCGCGAGACTTCCCAGGAGAAGTCGACGTGACCCTACGCAGGTTTGTGAGTATACTCTCACCCTCATATAGCGAAGACAATTACCGGCGTATCGATGAGGTTCAGCATATGTCGCCGGCCGTCGACGTCGTGGAACATGGTTGCTGTTTGCGCCTTCACTGGGTTGAGTGTCAGTATTGCAGTCTGCAGAGGACTTGGGTACGCACCTGTAATTCCGCGCTCACGCTCGACTTTGAGTTTGTCAAGGACCTGCTCGTTCTTGCCGGATTGCTTCTTCTGTATGGTGCCGGTCATCTGGAAGCGGGTTATAAGCGATGTGGCGCGCACTCTGGCTGAGCGAATGTACTTCTAGTAACCTGAAGGAGGGGAGAAAAGGTAAGCTTCGTATTTCGAGGGGCAGGCTAGGTCCCTCACCGATCTGCAAGGGTAGATTTGCCATGGTCTTCACGAATGTAAGTTGCGTGCGGGGAAGTTCGTGCGGGACCACGACCTCACCAATGTGGGCGATTATAGAGAAGTTCCTAGGCACTCGGTCAGAAATCAGCGTAGTCCTAAGCTCTGCCCACGCACCGAATAACGTCGCAGTCATACTCCTCCATTTTCACCGGCTGTTTGTTCGGGGATGCTCGCGCCCGCGGGGAACTCGAGAACGCTCGTCTCCCCGCTGCATTCGCTGCCGCTCCACACCCCGGACACCTTGCACATCGTCGAGGGAGTATGAGAAAAGCGCGCAGGCCGCCATTGCACCTGCTTGTCATGGGGGTACCTGGTAAGCGCCCAAAAGCAGAATAAGCGCCCGAGGCGAGTTGCAACTTTGCAAGGACGGAGAGCAAGTTCGGGTTCCGGACCGGCCGATCACTCACTTGCCTTCCCCCACCACGCACGATGTCGTTAGCTGAGGCCTCCGAAGCGCGTAAGGCGCGTCTGCAGGCGCTGAGGAGAAGGAAGGAAGAGGGGGCTGGGGCGGACGAGCCGTGCGTGTGATATGTCTCTGCATGGATGACAGAGAACTGACGCTTTCCCCCAGCATCCTCAAGCACCGCAACTTCGACCCCGAATCACGGCAAGCGAAGAAGCGAGCCACCAAGGCTGATGCGGATGGCGACGCGGTCATGGACGACACGGTTGAAAAGAGTGTCGCAGGTCTTGCAGAACGCATCGTCGCGGAGGACGAGGAGCGCCGGGCGCAAGAGCTCGACGTGTTCAACATCGCGCCGAAGCGCGCAAATTGGGATTTGAAGCGGGATATGGAGAAGAAGCTTGCGAGGTTAGAGCGGAGGACGCAAGAGGCGATACATACGCTTATACGTGCGTGGCGCACTCTCATTCATCAGACGCTCTACTGACTGCTTGCAGGACAACGGCTGGCAGCACAAAAGGGCCAGTCGGACGACATCGTCGGCGCCATGAACTCGCAGGCGAAGGACGAGCAATTGTCCGACGAGGACGACTGATCAATCCCTCCTCATCTTTACGAACCTTGGCCTTGTGTTCTTGCTGTACCATCATTCCGGACTATCCATCGCTGTATTTTTGTGCTGGAAGCAATTGCGACTCGCTTTCGTGCGCTTCAAGGCCCAACCTCCAGGCTTCAAGACTGGACAACATGGCTGCCTTCGCCCTGACCGAAAAGGCAACTTTCCCTTCATATCTTGACATGCTTGACCTGAAAGCACGAGCGGAAGAGTGCTTGACCTCTCTTTCTCGGTGTTGAGCTTCTCATCGCTGACTCTCGGTACGTTCGCACATTCACGCATCTTCAGCGAAGCTGACAATTCTTCAGAAATCCACGATTATCATACAAGTGTCCGATGAGGTAGTACAGTGAAGATTACAGCGGCGCCCTTCCAGAATTATGGCAGCCAGCGAGAGGTATGCTGTTGGGGACGAGGAGAAGCTATCACTCTAGCAGGCGAGTGCATCAGAACTTCCGACTCGGCGGCCCCGCGAGGCGCTCCGTGGCGCGTATCCGGACGGTTTGCAACCTGAGAAGAATGCATGTGAGTACTCTGACCGACGTCAGGAAAACGTCTGTTGACCACTTACATAGGGCGACCGTACATGGCGAAGATGCCAGCACCGATGAGGGACTCGAGCGTTACCCAGACGCCGAAGGACTAAGAGAAGATGACGGTCAATGCCTGTTTTGAAAGGATGAAGAGTTACGCCACTTACCCGAACACGACCGGCGAAGGCGTTGGTCCAGGTAGAGGTGAGGTTGTGGCCGAGCATGATGGTGGATGGGAGGCTCAAGGCAAGCAAGCTTGGTATGGGCGATGTGTAGTGTGCGAGTGCGAAGGCGAATGCGGCGCGGTGCGATAGTGAAGAAGCCCCCTCATCCTTCCTTGATTATATACTCCCCCGCCCCCGCCTCCTTCCCCGCCTCTTCCCGAATGTAGGCGCCGCTTGCTGAGGGCCAGATGCGAGGACGGCCAGCCTTGGACCGTATCGACCTCCCTTGACACGGATTGTTGCTGGACGGTCTCGCCCAGCGAGAGATCTGGACCCACACCGGCGATCTAGACCTAAATCGGCAAACGCCGAGGCTGGACCCACACTGTTCAACTTCAAGTTGTCGCCAACGACAGGCTTACAAAGTCTCGCAAGGCAAGAGCTGAGGGAGTGGTATGCGTGTCTAACAAGGACATCTACGGAATTATGTAGCTCGAGCAGCACCACGGACTATCAAGACAGCCTGTTGGCATACGTTGTAGCATCAGCGGAACCTGCAAGGCCAACGCATCAGAGTGGTGCGTATATCGAGAGATCTTCTTACCGCCATAGACTTCTTTCAGGATGATCAGATGGTCTTTCTCATACCGCGCCACACGTTCAATGGCCGCCTTGTCAACACCCTCGCGCTCGCAATAAGACTGCACGCTCCGTCTGTCGAACTTCATTGCCCAGGGTTTGGGCGTGAATATCGAGGGATACCCGAGCTTCGAGGCCAAGTAACGAATGTCCGCGCAGACGTTCCTGTGGGCACTGCGCTCCCAACGCCACTACGGTTAGGAATAGTCAACGAAGATGTTATACGGAAGTAGGCAACAAACTTACATGTCGAGCTTGGCACTCACGCGAGCAATACGGTATACGTTGACATCCGCCACAGATCGCGAACCTCCTTCCCTCACCCACAAACGTCGCCATACACGGTGGAAAGCCACAATGATCGATACATTGGTCCTCTAGTTTGGTGTGCGCAAGCACGAACATGTTATCCTCCGCCCGTACCGCGCGGATCCGTTTGGAGCTCTCGAGAACAAGAGCGGGGTATAGAGACTCGTCGTAAGGCAGGTCGAGCTTGGAGTGGATAGAACCACCGTCGTATGAATAGAAACACCATTCACCAAAGGCCGCGGGGCAGATATTGCGCGGCAGCTCCTTCAACTTTGGCCACAGAGTGAAGCAGCGTTTTATGAGCGCTAACACCCTATGGCACTCCTCCGCGAAGAAGAAGGCCGTCGCCATCCCATCCGGGTGGACCGACGTCAGCCGCCACCAGTGAAGCGTGTACAGTATCGGCCGCAGCATTTCCAAAGTCGTATTCGCATTGGTCGGATTCTCGGGCAGCTTGTCCAGCTCGCTCTCCAAGATATGGACGAAGGACGAAGGAATCTGCGTGCAGCGGAACATGACCATGGCGGCGGGGCGGCCACAGATGCGAGAGAGCTCTCCCAGCAGGGCGAAGTGCCACCAGGATGGGTAGGCGGCCATCCAGCGGCAAAGGGCGACGATGGTGGTGTCTGGATCTGGGCCAAGTAGCGTGCGCGCATGAGGAGGCCAAGAGACGCGCTTTCCACGTGTCTGCGCGCGCTTCAAGCGCCGCTGCGACTTCCAGTATTTGTCACTGAGGGGGCGCAAGTCCCCCTCGGTGATCGGCGCCAGACCAGGTGCCTTTTTAGGAAGACTCGCCCGAGGAATGCCCAAAATCCTGTCCGGGCCCAATTACCGTGATCTGAGAGTCGAAGTGAAACCACAGAACAATAAACAGTGGACTTGATAGCAAAACGTTGAGACTCGTTTCCCCCAAAAGTGGGCCAAATCCGTGAAACGTGTTTCGATCCCAAGGCAAACACTACAAAAAGGGACAAGCACAAATTTTGGGCCTCAACGTTTTGTGAAGGAGTTGTACCTACGCGCTTTACAGCTAGCAGTGGGGTCATCGAAGAAACACGCAGAGACATCTACTCTTCAGATCAAAGGTCGCGGCAAAGCGCGATGAACGCGTGACGTCACGCGTCTTCAGCTCCTCGGCCTCGAGGAGATCGGCTGTTATCAAGGTGTAAGCACACGTCTCGCCTCGCTTCCGAGTGCAAGCACTCACCGACAGCTACTCTCAACCATACTGCATTCACGATCACTCAGCAATGTCCCGCAAGGTGAAGAGGTCAGCATGCCAAAGGCCTCGAAAAAACCGAAGTCCTGCGCAGCGCGCGGTCCTCGCCAGCGCGCGTGCAAAGTTGGAACGGGATAACAGGGAGAATATAGATCCTTCTCGCAATGATAGCTCCCCCGCTGTGCCCTTGGCTTGTCTTTGCCCTCCCGAATCGCGCATGTGCATCCCGCTTGCTGATCACGACCGGCTTATCGACAATGTACGCCGCACTGTTCGTCGACGGGATCTGAAATTGAAGAAGATAATCGCGGAGGTCCGGCATGACACTGCTGTGCACAAAGCGGAGCTTTCGAGTATGGAGGAGGCACACCAGCGCGAGATTAGGCTGGCCAGCCAGACGATACATGATATGCATTACCAGCTCGTTACGGCTGAGGAGGAGATCGCGCGACTTCATCGCGTGGTCGAGGAGCAGCAGAGATTCCTCGTGCAGCTCCAGACAAAGGCACTGCACTCCAGGAGGACGCTTGACGCCCTACATAAGCGCACCATGCGTAACTCACCTTGGCATCGACGTCGAAAAGCGGAGATCATCCGAGAGCGCGCTGTCCAGGACAGGCTGGAAAAGAGAATTTTCAACAAAGGGGCTTACACGGCGCAGGCGAGGGCCCTCATACGAGAGCTCATCCGCACAGGGTGCTCGGAGAAGAAGGCGGGTGCTTTATTCATCGAGTTCGGTCGGCTCCTTGGCATCAAGGACCTCCAGCGATTGCATGCCCCTTCTGCTCGGAGCAGCCAGCGCTTCATTGCTGAAGGCGGTGTCGCAGCCGACATGCAGACGGGGATGACTGTTGCACTGAATCAGAGTAAGTCGTCCCAGTCGAAGCCCAGAAACCGCGCTACAGAAGCTCATGAATGCAGACATTACCTCTAGCTCGGATTCAACAACGTTCCGTCATCAGAACTATAATTCGAATTTCCTTGCGCTGCGTCCGGTGTCCAAGTCAGGCGAGCTGTCAGATGAGTCGGTGCTTCACGCGCTCGGAATTAGCGCCTCGGTTGACCACTCGAGCGCTGCTCAGCTCAGCGGCTATCTGGCGTGTCTCGAACACAAATTTGGGATCTGGAATCGCTCTCCGATGGCTCAGCGGATGGGCCTCTATGCCAGCCTACAGACCTATGCCCTCAATCTGAAGGGGACGAACGGAGATCATGCGGCTGATGTACGGAAGAGCAATCAGGATCTGGAGCAGTTCAAGAGCGATATGACAGTGGCATATCTTGGCAGTGAGCAGCTGAAGAAGCTCTCGCCCCAAGATCTCGTGCAGCGCATCATCCCCTTCGCTCGCGCGGCTATCTCCGAAGCAGGGGGCTCGGCAGCTTGGGTGCAGCTCAGTGGCGAGGAGCGCGCTGCGCGTAACCTTGGAGTGATGGAGGCGCTAGCGCGCAGTCTTGGACGGACACTCCTAGACAGAATGAATCCCGCAGAGCGCGGGAAACTGTCGCGCTTCCTCTGGTCGGGATGCTGTATGCATAAAGAACTCAATAGTGTCAAAGGAGGGGACGAGGCTATGCGAAATTACTACGATGAACACCCCGACGTACCACGCCCGGTCCTCCTCGCCAATAGGGACAACGCTGCTGTCCTTCGCCAGGTCCAGGATGGAGAGCAGCTCACATCCGCGGAGATGCATGCGCTTGTGATGAGCAGCTGCGGCGCCATCAAGGCCACGACGCTCGGAGGCATGATCTGCAACAACAAGGATAAAAAGAAGGGTCAGCACGATACCTATGTCTGGTTTTTCCAGACAACACTCGGCTTGTCCTCCTCGCACGTCTTCCCCGACGTCAGCAATACCCAATTCCAATCCCACTGCGATGCAGCATGCGAGATTGTTTGCCACCTTGCAACATATCGCATCTTCATGCAGTGTGTGTACTGGCGGAAGGATAAGCCTGGCTTCACGAACGTTGAGCAGAACTTCTACAATGTGCTATACGACGTTCCAACACTCACCGAGATGTGTGTTCTAGTCCTATATGCGAACTGCATAACATACCCTTATGCGCGTCGTGTCCGAGGCCCTGGAACGAATCATCTCAACGCGCTCGAGCTTGGACCTTACCATGCCGACCTGAAGGTTTTCGTTCGCACACTCATCAGCAACCCTGATCTCGCCTTGGGCCCTCGCGCTGATTTCCGAACGGCAACCTTTGACAAGCAGGAGATGCACCGGCCCCTTGCATACGCAGCGGTACGCGCGATGCAAAAGTGGCTGCCGGTGCTGCGCACACTCTTTGTCGTCTTCCTGGAGGGTGCCCTCGTGACCTGGGAGCGGTTCACCTCTGAATTTGTAGAGGGCGGGATCATCGATCAGCTGAGCAACGAGGAGAGGAGCGCGATCTTCGTACCTGCCACAAACGATGCAAACGAGAGCGCGCTCGGGACTGTTGTCGCCAGCAAGCGCCGCCGTCCAAACGAAACCCTCAATCAGTTCAACGCACGGTACACGTACGAGCACAATCACACGCGGGGCTTCATGGACATCTTCCAGGAAGCGGATGAAAAATACATCCACAAACAAGCACGCCTCGTACTCGAATCTCTTCCCCAAGCGAAGATTCGTAAGGCGCAAACGGAGCATGACAGTCGTGTCGCTGCCGAGCATCAACAGAAAGAAGCCAAGAAGGCACTAGTGCGGACGGAGCGGTGGAAGGAGTTGACGCGCATTGAGCTTGTCCTGAATCTCCGGGCCCTCAAGGATCTGTCAAATGAGGAGATGAAGCATCAGCTTGATGTCTGGCGCTACGTGCAGCGGGCACCCAACATACCACGGGGCAAGGAGATGCCACGGAAAAAGTTCAGGGAGGACGCATTGCGTAGACTCATCACTCAATATCCTGCTGGCAAGGTTCCGGACTCGCAGAAGACACCGGTATCGCCTCTGGAGGCTAAGCTTGGGCAGCCCATTGGGCCGACGGTTACGCGTATGATGCCACGCTTGAGTGGACCGCGCGTCTCCGCTGGGTCTTCCGCGGATGGGCAGGTGGATGGGGGTGACGCACTATATGATTCAGAAGATGATGAGGACTGATTGACGGGGCTTCTGAGGTAAGAGTCACTCTAGAGCATTCTGTATGGTTTGCTAATGGCCGTGGTATTTTACTTTTGCCAGTCCGATGCGAAGGGAGCGATGCATCGACGAGGGTAGGTGGAGGACGGGTTTTGCAGGTCCAAGCGGTGATGGCTGCTGACTAAGCACGCCGATCACTGACCGTGACTTGCGCCCCCTCACTAGGCGCAGGATCAGGGTCACGAAGCCAATCATCTTCAGCAACGCGAGCTGAAACCCATCTCCTGCGTCATCGATGCCTTCAGCATTGTCAAGGTGCCGCGTATCCATGTCCTTCGCCAGTGTTTGTATCTGCTCAGGTGAACGAGGAGCAGTGAGGAAAGCCCAGCAAGTGTTGAGGAAGGTATGTTTATGCCGTCGTACGTGTCGATTGAAAGGGTTGGACCCAGGACGGGTTTCCTTCTCGGGATTCTGTTCCTCTGCACGATCCGCATCCCAGAGTATGGAGAAGTTCTTGTTGTAGTATTTCGAGCAGTTTTCGGGGTGGTAGGGGTCACGGAGGCCTGCTGTGATGCTGTCCATGGCTTCCTCCGTTACTTCGTCGTAAACCCTCATAGAAGGATCGTGGACAATTCAGAGGGAGAGGTGATTGGTTAAGCCGCGAGGCAGCAGGCAGCTGGCGAATGTTTTGGTGAAGGTTCAGGTTGCCCATCATGGACGCAGGGTCCAAGTAGTAACCCATCAACTCACACGATCATAACAAAGTTGAACTTGTTACCAGTACTCCTGCACGCCGAGACATCGGGACCATTACAGATGATTTAGTCTTGAGACTACAGATGGTTCATAGTTTGTCTGGACGTGTTACAAGCTGAATACAAGTCCAGTCATTACAGAGGCGCTTGGTAAAAGAAGACGGTATAGGATGTAGAAGCGGTAGGGTATGTTCGGGGCGTATAGGGTGACTGAATACGAGGAAACAGGAAATGTAGTCTACGCGCGTCCGCGAACCAGGCCATACAGGACAGGAAGTCGTGCAGAGACCGAGTCTATTTGCGGAGCGGCAGCACAGGCAGAAGATCTGCGCACCGACTTCCTCTTGACGAAGGGCACCTTCGCGACGTGGCGGCGGCCGGCAACAGGGGCAGGCGCTGCGCGGCTGCGCGTGTTGTAGCCGCTCGTCTGCGTGCAGCCTTTGCTACGAGTGCGGCGAGAAGGTGCATCGTCACAGGCGACCCTGACGCGCTTGCGCTTGGATGCCTGGGCTGCCATGATCAATAGCGCCGCTGATGCCGACTGCTCGCCCTCCTTGCATCCCAGACCGTGTTCATTCCACCTGTGAGCGACGACCTTCCCTGCGGCAACCTGCAATTGGGCAGATATATCTGGCCAGGATATTAGATGAGTGACTCGAATGAGAATGGAAAGGCGCACCTCCTACGCGAAAGAGGTCCGCTTGAACCGACTTAAGGCGGTTACCAAACATGCGACAAGTCGCGTCTGCAACGCTGCAGTTCATGCGCAGCGCCGTCAGGACATCCGTCGCCTGTGAGATCTTATCTGCACCGTGCTGGCTGGCATCTCGAACGGCATCCAGCAAGGAGGAGGTCGTGTCTGGGGTTGCTTCAGACCGAGGCTGCACTAGAGCACGTTTGGCGATGAACTCGCGAAGCTGAACCACGCAAAGCAGTCAGCCACTCGCAGTGACACCATGGCGAGCGCACTCACAAATCTGGCAATCTGATCGCTCTGACCGCGCAAGGTCTTCGTGATACTGTTTCGACGAGCCATGGCAGCCTGAGAAATGTGCATCGTGAGTAGCGAGATCGATTGTAGAGCCAAGCATGAGTAAGCAAATGCACGCACTTCTGGAGCTAGCTGCTGACAGACGGGCAGAATATAGCATGGCCGGCTGTCGCCTGCAGCCTTCTGCTCGATTTCGTGTAGAAGGCCTGCATACTCTTGTCCAGAGGAGAGAATGTACGCTTCAAGGGCGAGGACGGCGGCTGAAAGGGTGCGTGATGAACATGAAGTCGATACGATAGTAAACGAGGACGTACCTTCGCCGAACTCGCCCTTGATCACATTGAAGGCAGGCCGGTGACATTCAATGAGTTCGAAGATGGCTACGCTGAGGAGCTTGGATTCGTTGACACGCCCGCACAGAGTGCGTTGCAAGGCAGTCTCGACTTCCTCGACCTCGGCTGCCTGTGAGAGCAAGGCTACCATAGCAAGAACTCCGACGTTTGCGACGCTGCCTGAAGCGTGCACATCGAATGCGCTGTTCGTGGAAAGGGCGGGGGAGTCTTGTAGTCGCTGCGCGAAGAGGTGGTAACGATGCTGAGCGTTGGTCGGTACGTCGCCTGGAGATACGACCTTCCACCACGGTGCCGAAGCTGTTATAACAGATGACATGACAAAATGCAATGACACAAGCTAGACCGACGCGGAAAGTGGATAGAGGCGTGTATTCGCGTGGGGCTCGATGTGAAAAAACAAGATACGAAAGGTGGCCCGACGTTAGACGTGCAATGTGTCCCGAAGTGGGATTCCCGATCGACCGTCGCCCTTCCGCGAAGTTTATATGACATGGGTGATGAGCGTCTTCGAATTGTAACCGCGCGCGAGTACAGAAACCGCAAAGAATGCATTGCTGATGATGGCCCCCAGCTATATGACGTTGTGACTGGACGGGACACAATGTGCGTCGAGCTTGAGGTGACTGAGGACCAGTTACATCGACATGCTACATGGCACTGAAATGACTTCTAAACAATAGGTGCCATGCAAACTGTATCCGAGCTGTTCCCGGTAGAGAGCTAAGGTTAGGGTTAGCGGAAAATGTTCAACAAAAAATAGCAGGACGCGCAGCCCTTGTTCCTCGAGGAGAACAAGAGTTGCGAGCCTGAGCGGCTCTGACGCATGGCAGAGCCAGGTGCCGTACGAGAGGACCGCGACCGCAAAGAGGAACAAGTCCTCGAGACCCGTCTCTTCGCCAACAAAGAGCTATCCACGGGGCTCACGGCAGTAAAATGCAATCGCTGTTCATCATCTCCCAGACGTGCTGGAAATCACGAGATCGCTACCGATGCAGAGCTCGACCGGCCCGCCGAAGCTGCGAATTCCTTGCCCCAGTGCATATCAAGGGGCGCAAGGAACCGACTAGACCGTTACTGCCGAGTTACAGCTTGCTCGCATCGTGTCCAAGAGCTCACCCCCGCCTCAACATGTGAGCCTCGCGATGACCAATTATAAGGAGGTTATACCGCACAAGGCGATCATGGTGTGTGATGCGCGACACGAAGACCCCGACCGGAAGTCCGAAGACGACCGTACAAAATCGCAGATCAACGCCAAAACGCACCACAGCCCTCCAAGCCCTCGTGGGAATGACCTCGCACGAGGAGCTTGTAGCGACCAGAGAGCGGGGTACGCGTCCTCGCCTAGACGAGTCTACGCTTCCCCCATTAGCGATTTGCGCGACAGTGAGCCCAAACCAACCCGCTCGAGGCTGCAGCCCTACCCGGTCACTGGTCCCGTGTAGAAGGCCGACTAGGTCGTGAAATCCAGGCCACAGTGTCGCACGCACCACACTCTCAAGAGCCCACGACTCGAGCAGTAGCAAGAGTCTACCACGCGGGCCCCGCGAACGGACAGCCCAACTGGCGACATCGAAAGACGCAGTGGACGCCGAACAGCCCGTAAACCGCCCATAGGATGGAACAGAAGACGAGAGACAACCCCGACCTGTAAGGCCTGCCCGTGATAGATGGGCGAGACGCCGTGAAAACGTCAGGGAAGAGGGAAGTGGGGGGTTTGGAGAGTCGCTGTCCGCTTTTTATAGATTATGAAGGGCAATGCACACCTGGTGTAGAGCGAGTCTTCCCCGTGTTTCTGATGTCGTTATTTCTTGCGAAAGTCTTGGATGTTGGAGGCGGAAGTAAAGCGCTGGAGGAGAGCATTGTAAACGAGTCTGTGAGCAGTGTATTGGCAGATACGATAGCAAGTTACAAGATTGCGATGGCGGTTGGCCTTTCCCAGGAGTTTAGAGTCAGTTCGCGCGTCGGAGGTGAGGGTAAGACGACAGCCAATGTATGGTCTTGTTGATACCCGACTTGAAGTGTCACGTCCCTGCCGTCACATCCTTTGCGCCCACTGACACCCACAATCCTTTTCAATGACTCGCCTCCTGTCTATGCAATTGCTCAGTAGCAGCAAGAATCATGTTCTATGTTATGATTCATTGAGAGCTCGGTCACGAACAGTAAACTATCCACGCTGCGCCATAAATCGCGACACCCTTCGCGGTGCCGGCGCTTCCTCCTGCCTATCCTCCCTTCGCCCCGCAGACTCCTTGACTGCCGCCGACAGGATCTCTGGCGGCCTCTGCGGTCGTCCTTGCTGTCGCGAAGACGGCGATGGGAACGAAGGCGAGCCAACGACCGATGAAGATCCCGCCCCACCACCGGGTCTTGGGAAAGAGGGCGAGTCCACCACCATAGAGGGGAAAGACGGGGAGTCGATGATCATGGATGGGAAGGAAGGCGATTCGACAACAGTTGCTGATGACGCTGTCGACGAAGACCGAGAATTCAGAGGTACAGCAGCAAGTCGCGAGGGCCCAGCAGCGGCAGATTTTCGTTCGACGACTGCAGGTGGCTTCCGTTCCGTCACGCCAGGTAGTGCTCTCTCTACCACATCTGACGACCTGCGCTCCATGACTGCTGGAGACACCGGCATCTTGGGCGACGAGCGGCCCGTGGTATTGACTGGAGTAGCCGCCTCGGACAGCGGTGAAGACGGATTCGGTCTCCCGGCCTGCGACATCGCAACTTTGAACCGCGAAGTGGGCGTCGGTCGGTCCAGAGGTGTTAGCTTTTCCGGGCTGACAGGGATTGTGCCCGTAGGCTGAGAGGGTGTCGACCACTTGGGTCGTGTTGTCGACTTCGGCGTATTCGGTATCGGCGCGTCCGCGGGCGGCGGCACTAAATGAACCTGCCCCGGTCCCAGGTTGTATAGCTCGCCTCGTCGGAGGGCTTCGTACATCTCGCGCGCGAGCTCGTTTTCGTCTTCGCTGTCGCTTTCCGCACCGCCGACCAGCTTCTTGTCGTCGTCGAGCTTGCCTGTCTTGATTGCGCTCTGGATCGTGCGCGTCGTCCCTTCTGGTACGACTGCAGCACCGAGTGAGTGTGATTGCCGAGCTTGTGAGGGTCCGGCTTCAACATTGAAGGCGGAAGCCATTTTGGATGCCTTGAAGCGTGAGACGGCTGGCTTCGGAGCAGGGGGATTGACGACTGGGTCGACCTCCGTCTGTAGATCGTGAGCAAAAGCACGCGGGGACAAGGTGCAGGGCGCCTTACATGTTCATGTTCGTCGGGGGTATGCGAGCGCATTGCATCCAACGCAGCTTGACCAATGGTCGCCCGCTTGCGGTGGTATTCGAGGGCGATCTCCCTCTGTTGTGCCGCAAAGTCTAGATCGTACTCTTCAGGCTCCAGTACTGCCTCTCCATCTTCCTCCTCGTCATCCTCGTGATCCGCGATATCTTCATCTGAGTCCCCTGGAACAGGGGAGCTGGGAACCTCGGGAACGGACTCGTCATCCGAGTCGCGCTCGGGCTGGGATAGAGTAGGTGGCGGAGGCGCTCCCTGCGGTGTCCGTTCGACAACCGTGGCCTTCATGGTGGGCTGATCCGCCGGAGACATGGAATGCAGAAGGCTGTTGTGTTTCATGCGTATACGACCCGCCTTCACGTCGCCCCAGTCCTTGCCTTCCTCGACAGGCTTCTCCACTTCAGACGCCGACTCCGCAAACGCGACGGTCTTCTTCGCCTTCGCCGGCTCCGTCGGCGCTGAGGTCGTCGCTGGTGTGCTTGGTACGGCTGCCGGCCGATCACCGGCCAAACCCTTCAGCAGCGCCTTGCCCATCTTCTTGTGCATATCCCTCTGCGCCTTGATCCTGTTCAACTCCTCCTTGTGCTTCTCCCTCAGCCTCTCCCTCTCCGCCACGCGCTCCGCTTCCTCCTTCGCCTCGCGCGCGGCCTCTTCCTCTGCCTCCTCTGCCTCCAACAGGTCGAGGATGCGATCGCGCTCCTTCGCGCGGCGCTCGCGCTCGAAGGAGGACAGCAGGTTCCACCGCACGAGGGGATCTTCATCGGAGATGAGGGAGTCGCCCGTCGCGCTGACGATCGGCGCGCCCTCGGTCTCGGTCACATCGACGATCGGGAGGCCCTCTTCGTTAACGAGCTGCGCCGATCGATATTGTCAGGTCAATAATGCGATGAGAAGGCGTAGAGCGCACCTCACCTCCGACCTGGTTGTTTCCTGCTGCCTGAGCCTCCCTAGCCTGCGCGAGCTCCTCCATCTTCTGTGAAAGGCGCTCAAGCGCTTGCGGTGTCAGCCGTGGCGCATCGGCGGAGCCCTGGGGCGCCAGAGTATTGAGGAGCGCCTGGATGGCTGGAAATACTGAGAATCAGAGGCGACGCGTGGTCGTGAAAAATATGTACCTTCCGCGCCGCCTCGATCGAGGTTTTGGGCCATGATGATGGACTAGAACAAAGAACAATGGCCTTGATGTTGACCTTTGTTTGTCCCGTACGTTTATCAGAACTCACTCAACATATGAATTTGATGTACCAAAGCTCGTCCGAGTCGAGGATACGACGCAGAGGTTAGTCTTACAATGATTGACAGCAAAGGCGACAGCATTTGCTGTGCACAGTCAAGATGCAGCTATATTATTTGAACGTATATCGTTTGCTCCTCCTGCACCCTCCACTAGTGCCTTCACCTTCCTCCACTTCACCGAAGTCTCGTCCTCCCCGTACATAGCTGAATTGATCCGCAGTGTGCACTCCTTGCCTTTGAAGACCGTGTAGATGTAGCTCGCCACCGCCTCCGGAGCCTCGATGGGTAATCCACGTACCCCATCGAATACTAAATCGATCCAAGGCGAAGCATTGCCCCTTTCCTTCAGAGACAGCGCTCCGACATCCGGCAGTGGTGGAACTTTGGAGCTGGTCAGAGTGCACCTGAATGTGTCGAGCGCAGGACAGTACTGCGTCAGCGTCGCCAGTGATGCAAGTGAGATCCTGGGATCGGAGGATGATGGCACGCCCAAGGACCCGCGGACCGCGAGGTGTTCCAGTCGAGGCCATGCGGACACCATCGCAGCCAGGGAGTCGTCGTCGAATGAGGGAAGGCCGCTGGCCAAGACGTCGAACACGACCATATAGGGGAACCGTCTATACTGCCGCAAAGTATGTGCGGGTATATCCCACGTTTCCTGTCTGTAAAATCTGTGGTCGTAGAAAAATTGCTGAAGGGACATCGGGTCCAAGGCCTGCGCTAGAACGCTGAAACTGTCTTGCTTCCAGCTGTTGTTGTCCGTCTCGCAGTATATGTTCACGACCCTCGCCGAGATGGGCGCGCTCGACATGCACCTGATTATCGGAACGATGAAGCTACCCTCCTCGGCCAAGATGGCAAGGCTCGACAGCCCATGCTCGAAGCCCGGTGCCTCCGCCGGGGGCCACTGCAGGGCGTTGGAGGCGTGCATCGTCAGGCTTCGCAGAGTTCGGCATCTCCCAAGGTGCCAGATCGCCTCGGGGTGGGCTTCCGCGATGTTCACCTTCGTCAGGCAGGTCCAACCCAGGATCATCTCCTTCAAGGGCAGGCTCACCCGCTCGTCAAGTTCGGGATCATATGGGCTGTCGTCGTCGTGCACTTTGAGGTATGTGAGCTCGGGGCAGAGCGCGGGGATGGAGGGCAGGATGTGCTCGATGTTGGAACCTCCCATGAAGCCGGATCGGTAGCGCATGAACAACGACCGCAGCGAAGGAGTGACCAGGAATCGAAGGAACAGGAAGTCGTCTTCTCTAGCGAGCCCCATGTCCACTTTACGGAGGCCGGGGAATATGGGCGCACGACCGAGGCGGAAGGTATACGCCTGCATCGTATCGAGGGGAACTTCGATTTCTTCGGTTCCATAGCCCGTCCTGAATCCACCGCCTTCGAGAGATAGTACCTTCACCCTCCGCGCGTAAGTCTGTGTGTTCTCCCAGTCGGCCTGTGGTATGCTGCCCTCTATGGTCTGAGACGACGCATAAGCTGAGGCATACGCGTAGAAGCACCTGGAGCACGCACTAGACCGTCCTCTGCGTCGTACTCACACTGAGGGAGAGTCCGCAGCAGAGGAATGAGACTGGTTTGCTTCCTCCATAGGGCATCCAGCGCAACCCCGCAAATTCTTGAGTTGGTCCGTGCAAAGGAGGCTAGAGATGCTCGAGAAAGCTGAGCACATATCAAGATGAGAATTTCGGGTATGTTCAGACATTGCGCGGAGGGCATGATGGCAAGAGGGAAACCGCGATCGGACACGACCAGCGCAGTGCGGACCGGGTGCGCGCGCGAAAGACGCGGTTATCTGACCAGGTGAGATTCCGGGTCGCAGTGTGCTCATCGTCGTTCGCTTTGAATTGGGACGCATTCGCGTAGGGCTCATGGTCATGGAAAGTCAACTACTTGGTGGAAGGAACACTAAGCTAGAGATGCCTTTTACGCAGTCAAGACGGGTCTAGTAACCTCGCCTCACCCACTCCTCATTCCGACCCTCGACCAAGGCCCGCACCTTCCTCCATTTCGAGCCTCGCTCGTCGCCTTAGCCGAGCGGTCTCAAGCAAGCCAGTTCGAAAGCTGCACAATTTCAAGTATGCCCATGCAGTGAGACGACGGTAAGAGCGAAGCAATCACGGGCCAGCCGGCCCGGACTCGACAAATCCTTCCCCTGTCAAGAATCCGATCCCTCCAACATCTTCTACTGAGTCTGAAGGGCGGTCGCCTCCTTCACATCTTCATACCGATACGCTCTCCCAGAGGTCCCCCACAGTGTACGGGGCGGCTTTCGCATGACGGACCGTTTCCGGCCAACATCGCGCGCGTTACGATCGGCAGCCGTGCTTACGCGCCCCCAAGTTGACCTCTGCCGAAATACCCGGGAAGAATGTCAGACAGACGGCGCGCCCGCTCTTCGTCCACCCCGCCACCATGGCCGCGTCCCCCCACGACCTGGACGCCGCGTACTTCGACCGCGTCCTCGCCACCCTCAACGCGTACCTCGGCCCGAACGGCGCGCTCGCGCGTTCCCTCGCCTCGAAGGGCTCCCTCCGCCTCACGCGCCTCCCTCGCTTCCTTCCCCTCATTATAGCGAGTCTCCTGTTCTTCACGTCCATACATGTCTTAGTGTCCCCCATCTGCACTAAAATTCTCGCTCCGCGGACCTATCGCAGCTTGCGAGGTCGCCGCGGGCGGAACGCATGGTATGTACCCCAATACGGTGCCCATTCGTTTGCTGACGCGCGTGTGCAGGAATATACATGTTGTATCAATGGTGCACGCACTGATCGTCGTCCCACTCGCCTCGCGGTGTCTGCACTCGCCCTCGCTGGCGGCCAACAGGATACACGGCTGGGACTATGATGCAGCCATCGCCCATTCCGTAGCAGTAGGGTACATCGTCCCCCACCGCCTGTCACACGCACCCTAACATTCAACCAGGTACTTCCTCTGGGACACCGCTGACGCGATCGTCAACTTTGTGGATCTTGGCTTCGTCGCGCACGGTTCGCTCGGTTCACTTCAGGGAGCCCCCTACCTAATCCTGACGCGCTCCCTCCATTTCAGGCATGGCCTGCCTCCTGGTCTACGGCCTCTCGTACGTACGTACAATCCCATACCCTCAGCAGCCAACATTCATCTGACTTTCCCCTGAAGCGGCCCTTCGTACTCTATTATGGCGTCCGCTGCCTGCTGTGGGAGATGTGCGTTCATGTGCCTTTCATCTCGCTAGATGCTTATTTCCAACACCTTAAACAGAAGCACGATATTCCTGAATATCCACTGGTGGGTAGGCTGGCGCAAAGTCCTCCGTACTGCGTCTTACCGAGCGATATAGGTTCCTAGACAAACTGGGGAAGACCGGGTCGACAGCCCAGAAGATCAACGGGGCCCTCCTTTTGGCCTCCTTCTTCGGCGTGCGCATACTGTACGGTGGCATGATGGTGCGTACCGGTCCATCCTCTTCGTCACCTGCCTACTTAACACAAGCACCCGGCAGTCCGCGCAATTCCTGACCGAGCTATACACGATCCGCCGCGACCTGTCGACCACCGTCTGGGTCGTCTATGGTGGGGGGAACATCCTTCTTCAGGGGCTTAACTGGTTTTGGTAGGCCTCGCTGGCTGGACACCGCGCTACTGCCTCCTTACGCTTCCCCTCAGGTTCTTCAAGATGATCCAAGCGCTCCAGAAGCGCTTCAGCGCGGGGGACAGGCTCATCACTGCAGCTGACGCGCCAGCGATGGTGATCCTCCCTGACGGCACGAGCGCGAAGCGGAAGCGTGTCTAGCCGGCGTGGTGGGATCATCAGGAGGGTGGTGACCCTCGCGGTAAATATTAAACTTGTGGCCTGCATAGATCTTGTACCAGATGTTTGTTGTTATTATTTGCTGACCCGTAATTAGTAGCAGGTAGTGTACTGTTTGTGTGTAATTCGATCCGAGTAGGTACGCGCAGAATCCTAGCCTAAATCCCTCGATAAGAAAACAGCCTTCCCCATTCCAAAGTCGGTCAATCAGCCAATCTGAAGAACTACCATGAGCACGCCCCGCTCAAAGCACCGTCACATCGTATCGTCGCGGGTCGCGCGTCACATCAAGCACGACCTCGAGCCCCATCTCGCGGAACTGCGCCATCTTCGCCGCGAACGCGTCGTCGAACGTCAAACTCCGCGCCGACGTCGCGAGGGTGAGGCCCTTTAGCTGCGCGGGCAGCGGGGGCGCTTCCTGCAACGCGACCGGCGCCTCCGCGAACGCCTGCTCGAGCAGCTCCGGCGAGCTCGCTTGAACGAGGTCGGCGAACATCAGCGCAAGGGCCTGCCGCTGCTCCGCCGTCGCATTTCCCCTTCGCACGGACTCGAGCAGCGCGCCTAGTTCGGGGTTCCCCGCTTCGGCCTCGTGCATCTGCTGCACGACGGTCGGGGTGAGCAGCCGAAGGGCGAGGAGCGTGGTCGAGGGCGCAAACCACCGCCGCTGGAAGCGCGACTCCACAACGTCGACGATCTGCTGCCCGAACACGTGCGCGGTCTGCTGGTCGAGCTCGTAGAGGTGCAGGCGCTGCAGGCGTGGGAGGAGCTGCCGCTGGCTCTCCGCGTGGTCCCAGATGAAGGCGCCGACGAGGAAGCCGTCGAGGTGCAGGCCCGTACGCAGCTCGAGCGTCTCGAGGGAGGGCTGCGCGCGCAATACGGCCAGCAAGTCATCTCCGCGCAATGGGAAACCAATTGCCAGGCTCGTTAGCGCGAGCTCGGACCGTGCGCAGAACTCCTCGAACTCCCGCTGCTCCCAGATAAACTCGATATCGCCTGGGTCGTACGTCGGCCAGGAGCGCAAGTCGAGCTCTCGCAGGGCAGGCGTCGTGATGAACTGGAACAGAGCCGAGAAGTCATCATCGTCATTGACTATCTTCAGCGTGTGTAGCTTTGAGAGCACAGTCGGTCCGCCCTCGGGTGTGGTGTCCTGAAAAAATAGGCATGTGCCGAGTTCACAGTATTCCAGTTGAGGACATGCACGAAGCAGGCCAACGCATGCGGCGCGAGGCATGTAGGTGTTGTTCAACCGCACATCGGTCAACTCTGTCCAGTCAAGGACAAGCTGACTTTGCGTGAAGCGCCCCATACTGCGAAGTTCAAGGCGGCGGAGCTGCGGCGTCTCCGAGAACACGACGATGCGCTCGGACTCGTCTGTGCCGGCCGAGACGAGGGAGTGCTTGGATATAACCAAACTCTCAAGTGAGGGCATCGGTATCGGCGCGATCGCACATAAGCTGGAGTACTGCGATTTGGGTAGTTCCATGGTGAGTGATCGCAGCGTGCGTGCATGAGGGCGGAAGAAAGCGGCAACGGGGAATGGGGGGAAGTCGCGATAGCGCGGGCGGGTGAAGAATCGGCGCTCCTTGATTGTGACAGCCATCGTGAGATTCAGAGGCATGGTACGCGCCCGCCCTAGCCACGTCTCCGCAATCTTGACGCGCGAGGAGTAGAAGCGGTCCGCGTCCTCGGGCGTATCGCGGAGGAGGGCCGCAACGGATATGTGAAGGTTGTGCCAAAGTGTCGGTGTCCCGAGAGCGACCTCGCGCCACCGGCTGCAGATGCCACAGAGAAGGAGGGGGGCTTTGCTGGCATCCGGCTTTACGGGTGGTTCCTCCATGCAGAGCTCGAAGATGTAGGATAGTACCTCGGTGGGAAGTATGCGGACGGGGGCGACCACGGCGCGGTGCAGGTCGACTTCCGCCTGGCGTTTATCACGCCGGCGGATGAGATCGTTCACGGCCGCTTGCGCCTGCTCGATCTGAGCGGTGAGCTCGTTGATATCTGCCGAGCCGGCATCAATCCTCTTGGAGAACTGCATCGTCTGCAGTTTGGTGGGGAGCGTGTTCGTGCGGAGGAGCCCGTACTCTTGATCAAGGGCGTCAATCTATTCATTTGGTGTCTCGAATTCAATGTTCAATTGCCGTGATCAAGATCACACACCTCGTGAGCCTCCAGCGCTTCCTGCATCGTCGTTTGGTACGCCTCTACGCTGCGCCTGAAGCCAACGAGCTGCGGTCGACGTTGAGAGTGAGAATGGCCAATTTATTATTTGCGCCTGCCTGATGGCAGTTCGCATCACGTTGCATCACGGGCTCCACGCGGGGCTCACAATGCCTTCCATTTTGGGTAAGTTCCATGTTCAACTTCCGTCTTCTGTTTCTTTCATTACATTGCTGATGGCAAGCTTACACCGATATTCCGACTGCGTTCTGCTCACGTCCCGCGAAATTGTATACATACTCTGGCAAAAGCCCCTCGATGTAAATGGCCCCTATGCCGAGATTGCAAGCAGTGACTCTCGTAAGATTCTTCAAGCAGCAGAAATGGCTTGTGCGACTCCGAAGACCGCGGGGCAGTACTTACCGTCAGGACCGTAGTGCTATTCACGCGCACCATGCAGTAAGCAGCAATTGGGCCGCTCGTTATGATGGAACAGCTCTGGCTATGAATCCTGTTCCTGGTGGTCATTCGCATGATACCAGGTTCAGCCAGACTCCGAACGGACCACACTCGAGTGAATCAAGTAAGGTAAGTTGTATACAGCGCTCGCCGCCGCCACTCTGTAGCCAAGCACACTCAAATATATTCGGACCATACAGTACTCGTCGGAGGACCGCCACTTGCCCGCATTTCGGCTGAAACCCTCCGAGCGCGCGTCTCCCGACGTTATCCTTGTCTGCCCGCCGCGAAGGCGGAATCGCACAATCAAAGCCCCGCCCCGACGCGCACAAGCCAGAGATAACGCATAATCGTGCTTGCACGCGGAAAGGCAGATAGTGACCCCCGACGCCCGTATCTCGCGCCGCCGACGCAGGCAGAGCATAGCGCCATCGTCCTAGTCATGTCCGGCAGCACGCCATCTGCGCCATCCTCGTCCCCGACTGACGCGGCCCGCCTTCCATGCGACAGTCTTCCGCCCGCCGGAACAGTCAAGCAATTATCGGCGCATCATAGCACGCGAGAATGACTCCTTTTGGGCACCACACCGGTGGGTCGAAAGGGGGCCCTGCCCTCGAGAACGGCATCGGCGACCATTCTGAGGCAGTCGCCGGCCTGGGGACGGGGCGGCGGCGGGGGCGAACTACCGGGCGCGCCGGGCGAACCAGAGAATTACTGGGCCACCGCATCGGTGAGCCGGTGGGCGCTCAAAACAGGTCCGCATGGCGCGTCGCCCGAGTCAGTGCGCTGGTCAACAAGGCTGCGAGACCGTTTTCGAGCGAACAAAGGGATGCACGATCGCGGGCCAGACTTCGGGTCCAGGGCTGTGCAGACCGCATGGGACGGCGGGAGAACAAGGGCGAAAATTGCGCGCGCACCGCCAGGGCAAATGATAATGGATAAGGAGGCCATTGTCCTCGCACGGGGCACGTTGGTTGGAAAAAACAATACGGCCTCGACGAGCTCGAAACTTGGCGTGGATGGAAGCCGCACCGAGGATGACAAGCGTGGGGAGGACAAGAAGGCCGGGGGCAACGTCCGTGGTAATAATCAGACCCCGCGCATGCAGCAACAAGCGCGCGTCGGCGTCCGTGTGCGGGGTAGACGACCTTGGGGGAGCGCCGTCATAGCGCGCCGTGGCCGGTGGGGCAGGAAGCGAGGAAACGAAGTCCTATCTGCTCGTAAGCGAGACGGCCACAAAGAAGACGTTTTAGCGTCAAGCCTGTGAGCAAGAGGACACGCTGCAGCCTACACGGCGTGCTAAGAGTGCGTAGAAAGACAAGAACGTACGACGACGAACGATTTCCGGAACGAGCGCGAAAACGAGGACATGTGGAATATTCAGTAAAGACCTCGGGGACGGATCGCCACCACAAAGAAATATGCAAGTTGCGCTCGAGGACACTAGACATGGCGTGCTTGTCGCTAGACTCTTCGAAAGTCCCGAATGTCGGGCTTACGTTGATGAATCTCGACAAGTATATGTGGAAGATGCCCTTGTACAGGGGCTTCCGGCCGATGGAAGGAACTGAAGAAGGAGGGTAAATATCGCCAATCAGGAGAACGTCACGCCCGTGCAACGAGCCAAGTATCAAGTACTTTCGTCGAAGCCTGGAATGCAGAATGATAGCGACATCTTGCGCGAGGCGAGCCTGACGTACTTCCTGCATAGTATCGCGGAGTTCAATTCGCAGCACAGTAGGAGTTCGGGTGAGCCACTCGAGTTTGCCTAGGCGTAGATGAACACGGAAGGAGCAGAAAACAGGGTAGACGGCAGGCATACACGTGCACAAGTTCCAGTACGTCCCCTCACGTGCGTTGGCGGACCTGCGCAAACGTGCGGGAAGTTTTCCCTTTGTCCGACGCAATGGGGTTCAAAACCGAAGTCGAACCATGCACGTGCTCCTCGAAGGTTCACGTTCACAAACCGTATTCGCAGTTGTGCCCCAAGGCCCACAGCGCACCGGAAATGAGAAGGAGGCGATGAGTAAAGGAGTGCGCAGCTGGATGACGAACGAGGGCAGGTGGGTGTGGCGGAGAGCCGTGGGGGAATGCAGAGTTACCCATATGCGCGTGACGTAAAGGGCGAAAGAGTCGAGGGCAACGCGCGCCGACGCGGCGGCAAGCAGCGAAAGGAGGCGCGTGCGGGAGGCGACGCAAGGCTTGGCCGCGTGTTCTTTGTGCGCCGGGAGGCCTGCAGGTGAGGCGACGGGGTCGTGCTGCCCAAGTCGAGAGAGGTCCCGTTTGAATTACACGGGGACGTGTGCCCCCCGAGACCGTATCCACGCACGGAAAGTCGAAAGCGGCGCAAGGGAAGGAGTGTATTTCGATAGCCCGCCCGTTACCAGCGGCATCAGAGGACAATAGGCGCGCGTATATGACCGTCGCGCCTACACACGTACACAGACGTACACCACCCGGCTGCGTGTTTGTTGACGCCGTCGCGCCGTGGGACTGCGCACCCATGCTGCGCGCGCAGATCCCGAGGGTAGGTGACGACGTCGAACGTGGTCCAGGCCCGCGAGTGATGGGGTGACGGGGTGAAGAGCGGAGGTGACGAGGGTGTGGAGGGAGAGGCACTGGATCCTCGAGGGTGGCGCCTGGAACTGAGGGGAAGGGGGGCGCTTACCGGAGTAGTGACAACAGCGACTGCAGGCCCAGTTGCCGGCGACGGGTAGGTACTGCGCCACGCACGCGCGTTGCCGGGAGAAGGGGTCTCGAGCGCGGGACGGAGATCCCGTGTATGCAGATAGGTGCGGACCGTGTGAAGTGCCTTTGTCCGGAGGGGGTGTCCTGAGGGCGGCGTTTAAGCTTTGGAAGGTTGGCGGCCGCGGCGGGCTCGGTTGGCGCGCCCCGCTGTTCTTGGGGCACAAGCTGGGCACAAGACGCACCCAGGCGCGCGTCGCGCTCCTCTCTTAGTCAAGGACTTCGGGATCGCTCGGGTGGGCTCGGACTGCATGTCCCAAATAGGGCCACAAGGCCAGATGAGAGTCAATGGAATTCCACGTCAATCAGAGCGGTAGGAGCACGGTGTTATACCACACGAGCAGGACAAGCCGAATACGAGAATCAGAACGTGCGTGGGGGAGTAGGTCGGGCAGACAGCCGAGAGAACGGACCGGGGCATCCTCGAGAGGTGGTTTAGCAGCGCACGAGCAACGAGGATGGTGTGAGAACTGTTGTACTAGAGCGTGATCTGGATAAGCATAGATGCCTTCGAAGAAGCTTGTACGAGCCAAACTTGTGAGCCAAGTCACTGAGGATTTCTGGTGCGAAATCTGGTCATGATTCTTCGTTCGCCATCGAAGCTTGAAGTCAGCGATTCAGCGCAGTAGGGTCTTCGCCAGCGGGTACGGACGTGGCCGAACTATCGCAGGTGTCGTGACGTGTGCATTCCTGCAGTAGTCTTCTCCTTCCGCTAGGCTATGTCTTCCATACAAACACAGCAGCTCAGGTGACTAGCCAGGTTCTGGAGGGGCGTAAAAGGTACGCAATTATGTCGGCGAGCCGAGAGAAGAGGTCAAGTGAGCTGAAGTCCGTGTTGACATCCCGTGGTGAGACCCAGTCAGAGGCCGCGGCCTGGGGCAAGAACGAGGAGAAGACTCAGAAACGCTGGGGTCGAGTAAATTCGAACGAGGGCGACATCGGACGACGGAGTTGAACAAGAGGGCTCGTGCGCGTGCGTGACCCGTCGCGAGGTGGGGTGGTTGCAGTGACACGGACACGGCGGTTGCGAACGAGCCTTGTTCCTGCCTCGTCCCGCGCCGTTCCCACGAGAACGGAAACAGAAAATCAACCCCGTGACATCACCAGTGACGCGAATTTTCTTGTCTCTTCGCTTTCAGTCTGACTCGCGCGATTGCGAGCTTGGGCAGGATGCGCATGGTGGATGACGAGCGCGACGGCCAAAATTTGTCTGAGTGGGCTCCGAAGAAAAAATATCAAGCCGTCTGCACGGTAACCGTGCTTTAGGTCCAGGCCAGTGTCGAGAGCACCCGCCCGTCCACCGCACCAGCGACTGGCGGGGTCCAGGTAGACATCCCCAGTCCCCACCGGCCCACGTTCATACACAAGGCCGCGGCGGTAACTAGTCATGGGAAAGGAGCCTTGTTCAGTGCAAACTCTTGCATATTTTTCGGCCGTGCTTGCGCCAGTCGGACCTCCTTCGCCAGGCTCCTGAGCCAGGGCTGGTGACCGGCTCAGTTCAAGACAGGCTCGGATTCCTGTTTTGGACCGATCCGCACGGCCTGTGCGCTCACGTGGTCGGACCCCCTTGCCCTTATTAGACCCAAATTTTCCAATTGTGCGCGTTAATTGACTCGATGAATCGAGTATAAAGCGGGCCAGGCGATCACACGTCTTTCTCCCGACTGCCATCCCAACCAGTGCCCGCCGCCGTCGCATACAGCGCCGGCCAGCAACGCCATGTTCGCTTTTGAAGATCTCGATAGCTGCCTCGTCTGCGGCAAGCTGCTCAAGGTCGACGGGTGCGCGCGTCGGCTTCCTCCTTTCATCCCGCCTACTCACACAGATAGCAGTACTGCCTACTGCAGTGACGAGTGCCAAAGCCTCGACACCGCCTCGCCCTGCCTCTCTTCGGAGAGCAGCGCGTTATCCTCCCCACATATAGGCTGCGAGACTACTGCTGGCGACGTACCGCCCCTCGTCCCATCCGCCTTGGGCTCCGCGCTATCGACCTACCGCTCCAGGAATCGCTACTCGGTCTCCTCATCCTCCGCCTCATCTACCGCTTGGTCGGCGGGGGAGGACGATGACGAGGACGACGACACGGGCGCCAGCGAGTACAGCTCTCAGGACGGCGACGACGTCGAGCCCAAGACTAGCACGCCCGCTACCACCATGCACACCGTCCATCACCCTCCCATCTCGTACGCTCGCCGACCTTCGGGTACCAACACCCGCTCGGTTGTGCCCCACCTGCACCGGCGTACGTCCTCGCAGTCGTCGTCTGGGCACGTGCGCGGCACTCCGCAGAGCGTCCCCGTCCACTCGCGCATGCGCGGCGGCATGGACGACGACGACATGTACTCGGACTGCATGTCCTCACGCGACGAGTCCGACTACGCTGAGGACGAGCAGGACGAGGGCGCCAAGCTTCGAAAGCAATCGACGATAACAAAAGCGAAGCGTTCCCGCAATCGCGCCAGCCTCCCCGCGTACTTCTCTCTCCTTCAAATGGATACGTCTATGCCTCTAGGCTCGCCGAAGAAGACCACTCAGCGGCAATCACCGACCACACCGAGGTTGAGCCTTGTGGAACCACCACCAGGTCTCATGTCCGCCCCGCCGACTACCCTTACCCATTGCACGCCCCGGGGCCGTCGGAGAGACCTGGCGCAGTCGCGAAGCACCGACCGCGACCGGTCGACACGGTCTACTTCCCGCTCGCGTCACGAGACAATAGTCGGGCGCTCTCCACCCTTCCGCTCTCGCACCGGCGTGCAGGGCAGCGTGGAGAAGGTGTTCGACTGGGCGAATGTCGGCCTTCTGCGAGGTCGGACGTCGGTCCGCAGGAACAGCTCGCCGCCACCGAAGATGCAGATTCGTCCAGAGGAGCGCGTACGTGGTCCGTCTGCCGACGACGGCCGTCGCGGCCGCGCACGCGTGCAGGAGTTGGATGGGATTGGGACGAGCGCCGCGCACCCGGGGTTCGGTTGGGCACCGCGGTTTGGACCGAAATCATGGCGGCTTGAATTGAGCTTTTACGGGATGTAAACTCCGAATGTTGTCCAGCTTCTCCAAATCGTGCTGGATTCGTACAAGGCCCGCGTGTTATGTGAGTTTAGGCAGGCAACGCCGAATCATGCCTCGTCAAAGCTCTCGGGCACGTCGGCTGTTGGACTTAGAAAGTTTGCAGTCTCGATGATGACGTCCATGACGTCGATGGACGCGCGTCGACGTTGTCGGACGTCGAAGTTGAAAAGTGGGCGCCTTCGCAAAAGCGTCCCTTGTCTCTTTCCTTCACTAAGCCGGGGCCGGCGCTCACTTTTGCCTGGCCTGCCCACTTTGCACCTGCCCATACTGACCTGTGCTGCTGCGCGGCAGCGTTGCGTCGCTCGCTGCAGTGCAGCTTGGCGACTCAGAGCAGCAGCACATGTAGTGGAACGTTGTTGGTGCGTTGTCGGGGCCTCGATCTCGAGCCGGCACATACTAACCTATGGTTTGAGCAGGTTGATGGACAGCAAGCCACGGTCCACAAGAAGGCAAACAGAAGGGTGCTTGTGCGTGTACTGGTAAGTAGCTTGCTTGGGTGTAATGTCGACACGTCTGACCACCTTCAACCTTCAGGCCGACAATCTACGCACGCGTGCCCAACTTCATCGCCTCTGTGGTGCTCAGGACAGTCGGTGCTGTTGGTAGACGATGTCATCCACTGCGACACGGGCTCGCTGGTGCCCCGTCCGCCCTATAGCGCGCGGACGGCATCGCTCATTCGTTCTTACCATGTACAGCTTGTATACTGTAGTTAGATGTGATACAATATGAATATGTGACCTCCTTCGATGTATACAACGCGCGAGCCCCCATTGCGCGTCCCTGCGCATGCAGCTGGAAAACCCGGCCGGTGCCAGTGCAGCCACGCGAGATCGAGGATATCCCGCCACGACGTGGCTCAGATGTGGCATAAATTCCGCTAAGACACAGCTTAAACGGACAAAGTGTTCACAATCGGAGCTGACATCGACACGGCGGATATATGGCATAGATTCTGATTATACTAGGTGTTTTCTCCGAATCATGGCGGTTTTGATTTCAGCCCAAACCGCGGTGGGGGCAGATCGGGGCTTATGCACCGCGAACGGTCTCACCACCGGTTCGCTGCATAGACGTGCGGTGATATCGCCACCGCCCGATCCGAGGTGTCCGAGCGTAACGCCAGATACGACAAAAGCCACACGACCCACGCGACGATAACGCGCTTCAACGCCCGCGCATGCATTCCTCCTCTCCCCATCGCATACTCTAGACGGAACATACTCGCTGCATCACGCATCCCATCATACACTATCCTATCGCCACTCGCAATTCAATCATCATGTTCTCCTGCCCGCATACGGCGCTCCGCTGCTCAACCACTGCTTTCTTATCCGCCACAAAACCGTCGTATATATACACACCGGCAAACCATGGACCGCGCGCACAGCTGAGCGTGTGGCGTGGTCCGCCCCTTTTCTACATACTTATTGCTGTCGTTCTTCGCGCCCAGTGCTGGGGCGCCCTTTGTCCTCCAATGCCCCAATAACTACTAGTCCTACAGCTACAATAAATCCTGATGCGCCTTGCCATGTTTTTCAGCCGCTCTATTCAGCACGACATACCCTATCTCCAAACGCAGTCTTTTCCACTTCGTTGTATACCTGGATCTTTCATGGGACACATACCTTACCGTACTACGAGAAGGTGGGCGAAAAAGCCGGACAGACAAAGAATTAGTCAATTGTACATCATACGGATGGCAGTGTGTACGCGTAAGCCGCAGTCGGGAGGACAAGCACCCTTGATCAGCAAGGCAAGGCCGATTCAGAGAAAGATTCGAAAATCGAACCGGCGTTCGGCGCACGTGATGTCCCGGCAAACTCCCCGGCGTGTCGCGTGCAGTTGAAATTCCTCCGCTAGCCTTTCCATCAGCCTTGTCCATAAACTCGAGCTTCACGCGATCACAGCAGGCCGCATGTTCAGCCCCACTCTTCTTGGGGACGGCGAACAAAGGGACTTCTGCGCGTCATTCGCGGCGTGCGATGGGGTGCGGCCGTCTGCTCGAGAGGTCGGGGAAGGACAGTGGGATGTCGTCACCGTTTGTCGAGGCAGCTACTCTTGGCCGAGCGGGTCAGGCCGCTCCTCTGATCCTGGTTAACCCTCGTTAGCGCTGGATCCGGCGAACATCCGGGGTTTTGTGACTGGGTAGTGGCCGTGTGGTCGTTCACTCGGCCTGGGGAAACGGTCCTCACTGCTCAGTATTCTATCGATCTTCGCGCGGTGACCTCATTCACGGATGTCCCGATGCGCGTCTCAGTGCGCGAAGCGGGTCGGGGCGCGGTTACAGTGTGGTTGGCTGATGGCGATGGCATGCGCTGGACGTGCGGTTGCGCGACTGGAACTTTGGGAAAGTTCGAGTGCGGGTCAATTCGTAGGGGGTGCCATTTGAACGGCAGAGAAGGGTAGGACGAGGTGAGCACCTGGAACCTTCGTCGCTTCTGGTCTTTTTCGTTCATTTTTTTCTAACGACGTCGGCAGTGATCGTCCGGCGCACGGGAGCACTGACTAGTTTCCTGCCAGCAAAGCAGCCGAGTCGACCGCGGTGACGATCTGCGCAAGGGTTATTTGCGGGCCGGGATCGTCGAGCTAATCCCTAGGTGATTGACGCCTGACAGCAAGCGCCTGGTAAGCGCCTCCCGGTTCGTCCGAGTTCGTGGCGATAGGTCCTTCCCGGCCTGCATTTCTCGGGCCTTTCGACTCGGCGCGCGCCTAGCGCGTGTGGACCGGCGTACACATCGGATAGTGAGTTCCTTCGTGCATAGTCTTATGGTACGTTGGTTTACACGCATCACAGGCGGCAGGCTCCCCTCGCCGTTCAGAGGCAAGCTCCCTATTGGGGGCTTGCTGCCTTTGGTTGAAACACCGCTGACATGGATGAGGCTCGTGACGCCTCGCCTAATTGACGCGGCGGTCGCCTAGTACGCTGCGCGCCCTTACAATAGCGCTGCAGTCGTCATGGTGTCGTTGAGGCCTCCACCTTGGACGCCGTCATACCGTTCAAAGGCGTCGAGCGCTCTCGCTGGCAGAGCCATCTCTTGCCGTTATTCCGGCCTGACATTAGGAAATTTGTGGCTCGCTCTCGTGGCCTTCATCCTCATTTGAAGATGGAGTTTCACAGAATATCGATCATCGAGGGGCGACTACGAAGCGTTATTTGACCTAAAGCATTTATTTATTTCCTGCGCCTTGCCTGCGCCTCAAAATCGGCCTGATTGAGGCTGGATTATGTACTGCCCTCCAGCTACGCGGTTTTGTGTTGGCAGGGCACAAATCCCTCGGAAGCTCAAGATGGAACAACGCGCGCGCGTCGTTTGTCCATCCTACAGTGAGGCAATTTCCCTAACAATGTCGCACAATTTCCATGTTGCGAACTTCCTTGCGTTCCTCTCAACGCGTGAGCAGCGCGTCGCAGGCGTGGCTATGTTGGACTTCGCCGCACGACGCCGCACATTTCTTTCAGTACGAGTCCCATCGATCTCAGCATGTCAACCCTTTATCTCATGTCTTCGCAGTTGCAGTATGGTCGGAGGGCACTGCGCGCTATCAGGGTGACAGCTGTGACACGCGAACTCGAACTCAGCTCACGTGACGGTGAGCGCAAGTGCCGTGAGGCTTGGCTTCAACTTCCATCCTAGAAGTCCATGTTATCGTCCGTACTGGGAGGAGCTGCGGGAGGGCAATGCAAGTCCCAGTGGTATTTGTTACCGATGATGAGCTTGCACTGGTCAGCGTAGTACTGACGCACGGTGGCGCGCGGATTTCCGGCAGTTTGTGCCGGCCCGCGCCAGTCGCGACTGTGGATATTCCCCTTTCTCCAGTAGCCGCGTTTTCGACACGAGTAGAATTACCCCTAATATAGATGGGTTGGTACAGGGTGCGAAGGGAGCACGCTGGAAAGACTGAGAGTTCCCATTGAGATGGTGGCGGGCGATAAGTAATCGAGGAAGAATCAGTGCACCTCAATGGCCTCCTCCCGTGAACAATACCGCGCATGCAGCTGCAATATGCTGGCAGACCTCAGAGAGTTGTTCAAGTGCAGCAAGCACCCGGATTGCGTGCGAAAAAGGGCACGCGCGAGATGCTGATGAGGGCACGCGGGGGCGCTGAGCAGCGACGGAGGGATATTCCGTGACGCGGCGACGCATCTTGTCTTTGTCCACTTCAGATGCACTCTGCTCTCTGAGCCAGCCGCCACCATTGAGCATATACCGGACTCAAGCTACAGGCGACCCCGGGCCGCAGATCCCACGTCGCCCCCCGACGCCCTGGACGTCCGCCCCGCAGTTGCGCCCAGCCTCGTACCCGCCACACGCCCCCACGACGCCCTCGACACTCCCACCGACACCCAAAGCCGCACACCCACTCCAGGTGCGTACACAGATGCTCACGAACGCCAACAATTCGCTAATTACCCCCAGACCCAGAACTAGCCCGCGCTCGCAAGCGTCAGCGACTGGAAACAGCCCCACCGCCAGCCGCGCACTCTCACATCGATCGCCTCCTACCTTATCCTGTCATGCGTCTACCAGAACACGACTCCGCCGATAGCCTATCTGCTTCACCTGACGGTCTCTCCGCCTTCGGCCCCGCAGGCGTCTCGAACGGCGCTGGGCCATCGAACGGCTTCAAGAAGGGGCTTACTGCGAACGGCGCGAGCGCGCCGCCTGGCAATGGGGTCGCAGTCCCGAAGCATGGCAAGGCGACTGCTCGCGTCGATCTGCAAGGGACGGCGCTATACCCCGGCTCATATGTAGATCGAGAGGAGTTCATACGCCTCATCGTACAGAGCTTGCGCGATGTGGGATACGAGTGCGTGTCCCATCCTTCTCGTTTACACAATTCGCTCATGCCACTCCACAGGGAATCAGCCACGGCATTGGAGCACGAGTCCGGTTACGCGATGGAGGCGACGGACGTGTCGGACTTCAGACAATACGTGATGGATGGGCAGTGGACGAAGGCAGAATCCGTCCTGACACGCCTGGTTGCCCCAGACGATGAAGCGGGCCTATGGGTGCGTCATCACCCGCGTGGATTATCCCTTGCCACTCACACGGTTATTGTCGCGTAGGATGCTCGGTTTTTGCTCAGCCAGCAGAAGTACCTTGAGCTCTTGGAAGCCAAGAAACTTTCGGCCGCTTTGAACGTCCTAAGGAACGAGATACGACCCATGGGGTTAGAGCCCGACCGGTTGCATGTGTTGTCGAGGTTCGCATCTTGCTATGAAGTACGGCAGTGACCTGACCTTGGCACAGCTATCTTATGTGTGAAGATCCTGACGACTTACGAGAACGGGCGCAATGGGATGGCGCCAGAGGAATATCAAGGCAGCGGTTACTAACCGAGATACATAGTAAGCCTCAGGGGATACCGTGTTATACGCCAGTCTTACTAACGATGTCAGGATATGTCCCATCCTCCCTTATGATTCCGCCACGGCGGATGATATCCCTCCTGGAGCAATCTCGATCCTGGCAACAGTCACGATGCCTGTACCATAACTCACCAGCCTACTCTCTGGGGTACTCATTATATACCGACCACCGATGCGACAAGGACGCGTTCCCCTCGGTGAACACCCTCAAGCTACAGGCCCATTCGGACGAAGTTTGGGGTGTGGCGTGGAGCCATGACGGGCGATATCTAGCTAGCGGTAGCAAGGACCAAACGGCCATCATCTGGATGATTGGGGTGAGCTTACTCATTTTCGGTCGGCGCTGAGGTCACTTACCTGACGGTTTTAGCCTCAGTCCGATCCCAACCTACGGGAAGTGCGTCCGCTGCATGTATTGCGCGACCATCCGTTCCCGGTGAACTGCATAGCCTGGTCATTGGACGACTCAGTGCTTCTCACGGGTTCGGAGACCCAAATACGATTATGGAACACGAGGGTAAGGAACGTCTACTTCGGCCCTTGAACCCTCGCTGACCTGACCATCAGACGGGTCTTTGTATACGAATGCTTGACAAGCACACAGAGACGGTCACGTCTCTGGAGTGGTTGCCAAATGGCTCGGGCTTCTTGTCAGGCGGATTAGATAGGCAGATAATTCGATGGGTAAGTGTCGCTGATCTGCTCCTCGCTCCTTGCTTGCTGACTATGACTATAGGACCCGGAAGGCCGCAAGATTGACGCGTGGAACGAAGCTGCTGTTCGTGTAACGGACCTTGCGGTGACACCCGACTGTAGACGAATTGTCGTCGTCGGACTTATTGGCGTGCCACCCGTCGAGGGGCGGACCGTGTCGGGGAGTGGCGGCGGCAACATGACGTTAGACGATCTAGTCGATCAGCACAAGATGATCGTCTACGATATGGCGACAAAGCAGGAAGAATTGTACGTTCACAATCATACAAGTCCCGGTCATACGCTAAGACCTCGTTAGGACGCTTCCGCTGGAGGGTGACCTGTCCAGCGTTAAGATCTCTAGCGATGGACAATACGCGTTGGTCAACCACGCGCCCAACGTAGGTTCATCGTTCACCAGGCACATCCCTTTTTGACTTGTTCTCGCAGGAGATTCATCTCTACGATCTGAACACCGGGAGACTGACTCGAAAGTACACTGGTCAACGACAAGGACACCATGTCATCCGGAGCTGTTTCGGCGGCGTCGACGGCAACTTCGTCGTCAGCGGTAGTGAAGGTGAGCGTCAAATCAGTATTCACGGATTTCAATCGTTCTAAGTATCACACTTTAGACGGCAAGGTGTACCTCTGGCACCGAGAGACCGGTGCTTTACTCGAGGTGCTCTCTGGGCACGGGACAGGAAGCGTGAACACCGTGGCGTGGAATCCGACACGAGAGCGCATGTTTGCATCGTGCTCGGATGACTGCTCAGTGTTCGTATGGGAGCCTCCTCCGCCATCATCTACGGAGGACGCGATGCAGGAGGACGTGAAGGGCAAGGGGAAGACGCGGCAGCCCTGGGAGGCAGATGGCGTAGCGTCGTCATCGTCGTCGCGGATACACTGAGTGTGTCCGCATCGTGAATGATGGCTTTCGCACCGTCTGCAACCGACTATCTCGCATACATATTGATCACTCGGATCCTTCGCATCTTTCCAGTCGTTGTACAATCATATCCCTGCACTCGTCTAACATGCTCCACTATGCCACAAGGCTGCTCTTTGACTACCTATCACTCAGATTTACATGCTCGTCTACGTGCCATGACTTTTTCCAAATCACGATTTCTAATGTATGTATCCAACATAAACTGTGTTAATAGACCAACTCTGTCGCGTGCGATGTCGGTCCTGCCTATGCAACCAAGGGCTGCCAATCTGTGAAGTTGAAGTTTGCACGTGATCGTGCTACTTCATGCCATGTGCCGCCGCGTAGATTCGCCCGAATGATTCTGCCTCTTTGCAACGCCCATCTTACTGAGTCGGTACCTCGCAAAGATGCAAGCATTCGACTCACACACCGAAAACGTGATGAGCTGCCTAATCGACGCTCTTGACGACCCTTACAACCCAAAGTTTTGCGCAAAGTTCTACGTCGACTGGATACATGCTCTCGTCGATGCGGATGACCGTCATACCGAGCGCGAGCCAAAATTACGCAAGGATTCGCGGAAAAGGTCTCTACATGGGCGTAGCAGCTTGCACGGCCCATGCCATCGTCTTCTGGAAGCTATTTGGGCATTTCTGACTACACCACGCACCTTCGACAGCATACGCTTGTTGGACGAACGAATGAAGATCTGCCGATGTCACGGCGGTGACCTTCCCGCTATACTGAAGCAGGTACATCCACCGCCAACGAGCTTGCCATCTTTCCAGAGCGCGCTGCTCCTTCTCATCGAGTTCGTTACCAACATCTTGAGCCTGGCGCCGGATGTATACTGGAAATCGCAGAGGCGCAATGCTCGCGCGGCCGAGCGGGGCACTGTCGTTCGGTGGCCTCCGCATGCTCGTACGCTGCTGGGAGATGATGGAGATGCGACGTTGACGATGATCTGCCGGTGGATGGCGGCCTATCCGTCCCACAAGCATACCTACAAGTTCTTCGACCTCCTCTCCCAAGTCTCGCGTATATGTGGCCGCGCCGCTGTGACCATCATGTTCCGCTGCACGTACCTGCCGCGGGCCTTCGCGAACGAGCTTGACCACTGGCTCTCGCTGCTGTCAAGGCGGACCGAAGCGCTCATGCCCATCTTCGTCATCCTTCGCTTGTGGTATTCAATGACACATAGCCACGGAGACGGGATGACGACGGCCGCGTTCTTCGGTGACGAGGCCGAGAGGGTGCTGGGTATCATGGAACATATGGTCCGACTTGTATCCTGGCTCAGGGGCCTGCCGCCTTCCATAGCTTCCGGGACCGACATCAATGCCTGGATATTCTTCTGCGGGCAGGTAGGATTTGTCCATTCAGCACTGGACCTACCATATGACGAAGCGCGGTATGATTCGTGGACGCTGGAGCGCTCGAGGAGCGCCCGTGATCTGCGCTCCGGCGAAAATATATATCGCGGGATGCACTTCTATGTGTCCGATCAGGCGTGCTTGGATTATTGCGGCTACCCGCCCTGTAATGCGACATTTACCGGAGAGGGTCGACGCTTTCGCTACTGCGGCGCGTGCAAGATCGTGCCGTACTGCTCGGTCGAATGTCAACGGAAGCACGTACGTCGTGTCGCTTGCCATTAAGCATGAAGACTCACCACTCAAGCACAGTGGCGCTGGGAGAGGGATCCACACCGGACGCTCTGCGAAGACTTCCGCTACTTGCGAATCACGGCAGGATTTCGCGCCTCGCCTGGACAAGGTTCTGAAGCCGTAGACTTCACTGCGGACGGTGCTCAAGCTGCATGCGAAGAAAGAGGCTGGACCCGACCGTCGCACGGAGAGTATGTGAACGCTACCAGGAATACAAGCGCGTTCAGAAAGAGATTTATGGAGGTAATTGTCTCGCTTTAATCCCTTGTCGATACTGCTGACGTCCTGCAAATTTCAGGCTCTGCGGATGCGACTAGATACATAAACCTGTTGACATGAGGATCTCGAGAGCCTCGATTTTACATCTCGTGACTTAGTATACTGCGATAAACCCTGATGCATAAGCCTTGACAAACGCGCAATATTGGTCCGCGAGGGGTCTCGCCTGACATCGAGAAAGAAAATACTTGATTTTCCTACGAGCCTCTGATTTGTCCACGGAGCCTTACGCCTATGCTGTCTTCTGGCTACATGCTTTAAGCGAAGTCACATGCGATGCGCGTCGACGGAGAATCCTTGAAGTAGTCAAGTTCAACTTAGTCTGGTGACCGTGGCAAAACGTTGCACGTGATACGGCCCGGATCGCCCGCGCACGCGCTGCATGTTCAAAGTCTCTTCCTCACCTTCACGTCGACAGGCCTGTCAGTAGCTACAGCTTCCTTCTCTCCGCCCCTGTCCTCCAGATGCTTAGACATACCCGAAAGTTTACTCCTGATATGTGATCAGCCGCCTCCCCGATCGTTGGCCTCCTTCGCTCGGACGAATTCGAGGATCTGCTGCGTCGCGCTGGACATCCTTTGGAGCGAACAAAGCAGCCTGATTCCTCTCTTCCAGACGCTGCCTCGTCTAAACTACTACGGGGCAAGCATAACGGTGTATGTGATGTCTGGAGAGCACCTCAGCCCACTAATGCGTCGCGTAAGGGCCTTCCTGCGCGCATTCCGCCAGCCGATTGGGCCAACACGCAGGCTTACGCCAGACGAGTCAGATCAGTCTCTTTCAGTACCACGCGTTGGACAAGCTTTGGCAGCGCCCGCATGGGCATTGCTTCTGAGGCAATCAGGGCCTATGTACTTCGACTGGATGACACGCTCGTCGACGGCGAGGCAAGGATGGCAAGATGGAGGGAGTTACAGGCGTTGGTGGAGGGATTGGACTGGATACTGTACGATGGGTGGTCAGATATGCGCGGAACTAAGCTGAATATGCCATAACCAACGACAGGCTATTCCGGGTCACTATTTTCGTAAAGCGCGGCAATAATGGTCTGCGCGTGTTCGAATCTTGATTATATCCTGGTCAGGTGACCGCGTTTCTCGGTCCCGGTCCCGGTCCGCTGAGTCCGATCACCTCATCGCGGCTTCCTTTCTACAGCCATGTCCTCACACTGCCTGGAAATACCAGAAATTCTCATTCAGATATGCGCAAAACTTTCACAGCCGTCCCTGGCATCCTTTGCGCGGACCAACTCGAGAATATGTGCGGTCGCTCTGGACGCGCTTTGGAGAGAGCAAACCAGTCTTCTACCCTTGTTGAAGACTTTGCCAAAGCACAAGATTATCCCAGTTTATGGGTTATTGGTGCGTGCTCGAAGCGTTATCTTGCAGAATATACAGCTAATCGGATGTGTCAGTTGACCGAGGACAGCATAGCGCAGGCGGACTGGGAGAACACCCAGACGTATGCACAGAGAGTGAAGGTCCTTTCCTTTGAGAGCCACTGCTATGCGACGGATTTCGGAGATGGCGCTACCGATATCATCAAGACGTCTATCGAGACCTACATCCTCCATCTGCATGACGCGCCGATATTCCCGAACCTCCGTAAGCTTGATTTCGGGTTCGTGTGCTGGGCTTACTACGAGTACCTGCGCTTCTTCATTGCTCCCTCGCTGCGGATCTTCTGCTTGCGCTACAGGCCAGGGTACCAAAACGCACCTGATCTCGCGCAGATCCTTTCCCCCATTCCTCCACTATGTCCAGAGCTTGCCTATCTCACTCTCCACGAGGTGGAGAGTGATTTTGGCGATGAAGCTTTCCTCGGGGTGTGCCTGCCCTATAAGGACATGGTCCTTGGCTGGAGCACGCTGACAAGAGTGGACCTTGCCGAAGCCCATCCAGAGGCCATTCGCCACCTGGGGCGATGTGGAAATCTAAGGCACCTGAGGATGTGCGTCGACACCGACCTGCAGTGGCCACCAGCGGAGGTACCTGGCTTCAAGAACGGTCTGTCTGAACTCGTCATCAACGCGCGGAGAGGAAGATGGGTTGCAGCAATCATCGAGTGCATGTCGAATGCCACCATCGCGGTGACGTGCGTGCAGGTGATCTGCTCGCGCGAGCGTAACCGCTACAGACGACGCAACCTTGACGTCCTCGCTCAGACGCTGGATGCGGCGTCCCTCCGGGAATTCACCTATGCCTCATATCGGACCTTCGAGGGACGAGACGACCCTCTGCCGCTGTCGGTCCTGCTGCAGTACGCACGCTTCCGTGAATTGACCAGATTCGTCGTCGGTTGCTGTGGATTTCCCTCATTCGGCGATGACGCGCTGGCTGACTTGGTGTCTGCGTGGCCTCACCTTCAGCATCTCTCTATACGCGGTTCGCTCAAAGCGTTCGACGACCGCGTCGATCCCCATATCACGCTTGCATCCCTGGCGACTTTGGCGCGCTACTGCCCCGCACTCGGCTATTTCTCCTGCAAACCGAGCAGTGCCAAAGTCCCGCCCCTGCCGGACTTGGTTGCTGCACCTCGGGAGACCGCAGAGCCCAACTCCCCATCTATCGAGTTGGGATTCAACGTAGTGGGATTACCGATCGAGAATGCGGAGGCGGTGGCCAACTATATCTGCGCGGTCTTCAAGGACAGACAGTGCACGGTGACGTTCAAGGGCAGAGCACAGAACGGCGACGACGCAGTGTCGATGGCCAAATGGGAGAAGGTGCAGTCGTTGGTCGGGGCGCCCGAGGATTAGGGACTGTATGCATCATAGAATCGAGTTGTCGGGTGCATAGGGTAGTAGACGCCTCCGTCGTACGATAGGAAGCTAAGTTATCCTCAAGCGACGCCATGATGCCCTGTGTAGGTCCAGCTTCGAATAAGCACGTGTTTGACATATTCGCAAAGTCAACATCTCGTCAACCCGCGTGCGATGGATCTCCACTGAATTGCAACCATTGTCCTCGACACAACATACTACCTCACACTCCCCCCTCCTGGCATCGGTGCGCATCATGGCACCTTTCAGTGCTCAAACGAATGCAATAATCGACTGTGTCATTGACGCCCTACGCGACCCGCTTAGACCCAGATACTGCGCCCGATTCTACGCCGACGCCATCGTCAGTCTCGAAGACACAGACGACGACTATATCGACGAAGAAGAAAGGAAAGGGCACCTTATCCACAGCTCGCTGCACAGACGCGTCCGGCGGCATAGGCACGACCTCCTCGACTGCCTCTGGAGGTTCCTCACAGTCTTGCGCCCTGTGGACGCGATTCATACACTGGGGGACGGGATGCATGAGTGCCGATGCTATGAAGGCCAGCTTTCGCGCTCATGGAAGTGGATGCACGCGCCACAGGGCCGCGATCTATTTCTGCGCGATGCGTACATGGTCATCATCGAGTTCGTGGGCCATGTCTTGCGCCTGGCGCCGGACAACTACTGGAAATCTGAGCGACGAGCCGCGCGCGCGATAGCTCAAGGATCCGTCCCACGCTGGCCAGCACACGTCCGCACACTCCTGGGCCCGGATCCCGACGTCACCATGACCGCGCTCAGTCGGTGGACCGCGGCGTATCAAGGCCCGGTCGCCCACTTCGAGCTCCTCGCGGAGATCTCGCGCATATGTGGGCGCGCTGCAGCGATTGTCATGCTCCGCTGTACACACCTGCCTCGTGCACTCGCGGACGCGGTCGAGCGCAACCTTTCCATGCTCGAAAAAGGCCTCACGGTCAACAAGCTGCGCTATGTCATGCCCTGTTTTCGCTGGTGGCACCTCACGTTCCGCTACCCGGATGGGATGTCCACAGCCTACTTTTGCGGCGACCAGGGCGTGCGCATCGTAGGTTTGATGGATCGACTGACACGGCTGTGGCCCAGGGTCGAGCGCTTGCCCGGGATCGCGAGGGAGGAGCTCAGGCCGTACGTGATGTTCATCCTGGAGGCCGGCACTATACACTCGTCCCTGGACCTGCCCTACGACACGGCAGTGTATCATCCGGACGTCCTCTCGAGATCACGCAGTATCCGCAGGTTGCGAGAGGAGGACGATATTTATGTCGATATGCACCTCTTCATGCGCTCGCAGCGAAAGGTGGACTTTTGCGGGTTCCCCCCTTGCATGTCGACCTTCTGTGGCGAAGGGCGACGCTTCAAATACTGTAGTGGGTGTAAACGATTCCCTTATTGCTCAGTCGACTGTCAAAAGAAGCATGTGAGTATAACGGTCCACGCAGCATCGTCTGCTTACATCTCTCGACAGTGGCGCTGGGAGCGAAGTCCTCATAAAGATTTATGTGCCGACTTGCGGTACCTAGCCGAGAAGCTAGGATATCCTTCCGTAACTAGCAATGAAGAGCGCCACCCTGACTTCGAAGACGAAGATGTCCCGACCCTCTGCGAGACGAATAAGGTCGATCTTGAAGCCGTCAAGAGGGTAGCTAAGTATGATCAGGAAGAAAGGCTCATACAGCGAGAAATCTACGGAGGTGGGTTGTGAACGTATCGCTCATGCCGTAGCATGTTGACATTGCTTACAGGTAGCGCGGACGCTACAAGTTATGTCAATTTACTGTCATGAACTTCGATGCTCCCCTTGCGAACATGCATCACCACTCACGCGCTCAGGGATGGGGGAGTCTTCAGTATCCATGCATATATACGAATGCCAGGTATAGGAATTATAACAAATGCTCTAGCTGTCTTGCCCCTCTATCGACTCGGGCTCCTCCGATACCACCTGTCGGAAGCCTGGCGCCAGCGAGTCGCTCGAATGACCCCCATCCCCATGGCCATTCGTCACCGGTAACGGCGACCCAGGTATTGGGGGCAACGGCGACCCGGGTAGCGGCGGCAACGGCGACTGTGCTCTTGGCCCCGGCGACGTTACCCGCGACGGCGGCCCCGAACCGGACTGGCGCGGCTGGTACGGCAGCGGCTGCGCGATAGGCGAGCCGCTGCTACCGGGAAATATGGGCGGACTGGACCCCGTGAAGATGGGCGACACGGAGCCCGTATGCGGTGAGGTCGGCCCAGGGTGCGGCGATGTGGGTGGCAATGGCGACAGTGGTTGCTTCTCCGTCGCAGTGGACGAACGGGAGAGCAACCCTCTCAGCCGACTGTTCGCAGTATGACTGAAGGCATTGATGGTGCTGCTGCGAGCGGGTGGATGGGGTGCAGGAGTACTGGGCGGTGGTGACTGGGCGGACGAAGCCGCCGCTGCTGCCTGGGCCGCCGACTGTTGTCGTGTCCGCTTCTCGGAGATGACGGTCTCAACCATGTTGCTGGACGGCGCGGGCACATTCTTGATCGTCGAGACTCGGTCATAGAAGTGCTTCGCGTCTTTGAGAAGTCTTGGAATGCGGGATTAGTATGAGAAGATAAGTACGGATGAAACGAGCATATACCTCTGCTTCGCCTGGTCATGCGGCAGGTCAATCTTGGTGAACTCCTCCGACAACCTATGGTTGATGGCGGCGAAGACCTGCGTCATGACCATCTATGGCAAATCAAGGGTCAACGGCGGGACAGAAAGGTAGACGAAGAGCCTCACCTCCACGACAGGGAGCGCCAGGAATTTTGTCAACACCTTGTGCAATGTCATCGTCTCCTTGGTCATCAACGTCATGTACCCGTTGACGCCCTCGTCCTTCGTTGACTCCCAATCGACGGCCTGCAGCGCTTTCATGTGCTGGTTGATGCGGTCGCTCATAATCGCGATCAACTTCAGATGCACCTCATGCTGGTGTTCTTGCAAGTCCTACACTTCGTCAGCAAACTCATCCCAACATCGCCCTGCAAGCAGCAGAGCCGCCACTCACCCGCTTCATCTTGTCAAACTCAATAAGCATAACCGCCTGCTTCGGGTTCAAATGCCTCCTGAACGTCTCCCGCACATACGGGATAAGCGCAATCATCACGCTCAGGCTCTGACTCGCCAGCGCCAAATGCTTCGCCGTAATATTCTTCAGCCCTGCACTCCGCATCGCGCCAGCCCCTAACACGACCTGGCACACGCGCGAGTTGAACGCCTTGAAGAACTCAATCGCGCGGCCCATGCTGTCCGTTGTGAGCAGCGGCAGGTTCGCGATCACGCGCAGGTAGTCGGCGCAGAGGGGGACGGCATTCATGGTCGCGGTGACGACGTAGAGCGGCTGGGAGTCGATGTAGATGGGTCGTTTGTCTTTGGAGCTGTGGTGAGTGCCGTTGGATTGTTGTTGTTTGAGGGGCGGGGTGGATGGGGGGAGGCCGGAGGGCATGGTGGACATGGAGGTGAGGGAGGGCATGGAGGGTGCGGGGTCGATGCCGTGCGGGTCGGAGGAGGGGGAAGTAGGTAAGGTGGGTGGGTTCACGAAGAGCGCGGGCGAGTCCTTGACGGCACAGTCGACGATGATGTTGGCGGCAGTCTGGGCTTCCTCGCTGCAGTCCTCGTCTTTCCAAACCTCGTCCTCGAGGAGCTTGGCAGACTGCGATACTCGCTGCTGATGGAAGGTCTGCAAGAAACCTTTCGCCTGTAAGATTACGTCTCAGTGATTGCGCTTCACAAATTGCAGAAAGATGCGCACCTGAGAGACGATAGCACCTCGCAAGCTGACGATCATCCGACCGCATACGACCTCGCACTTCACCAGGAAATTCCACGTCTCGTTGAACAGGTCGACGAACTCATCCAGCGATAGATTTTGAACGTGTTGTTCTGATCTGCACGAAATGATTCGCGCAGCGACAGCATTCGCCGTCTCGGTGTAGGTGGACAAGCTGTCGCCGAGTTCGGTTTGGAGGTCGGATTGAGAACTGGGGTTAATGAGGTTAGGTCAGCAGAAGTTAGGGGCGAAGACATATGAAGCACATACACGTCGTCGCCGGCGAGCCCACCAAGCACTTCGGTGATCAGCTTGCCTTGGTCTCGTACGCCCTCAGCGCCCCGAAGAAGCGCCGCATATGGAGCCCGGATAAGCACCATGAACTCTGGCTGCGTCAGGGCAGTGAGCCGCTTATATAGCCTGTAACACGGATGAGTTTAGGCTTTGAGCGGTCCAGCAACTCCCGACGCACTCAGTGTCATTAGATTTGGTATCGAAGTCGCTGTCTGGGTATACGGAGCCTGAAGGTAGATGCTGAGTGATTGTCAGTATTTTGTTGACGCAAGACTCAGCAATAACTGCACCTCTCGAACAACGTTTTTCACAATGCCGCCAACCTCTTCTCTCCAGTGGGTGCCGATGGCGTCCTTGACACCCTTCGTTGACCACAGGGCTTGTAGCAACGGACGAAGGTGGTCCTGCAAGCGTTCGTCCCTCTGCGCGCGGAGGTGCTCTTGCTCGCTCTCTGGTGGCGGCGTCGACTGTATACGATCCAGGAGATCTGTCCGGAGAACGCCGACGACCTCTTTGGAAAGCTCTTCGGATATTTGCTGTGTGAGGGTGCGAAGGTGCGTAGGGAGCTGCTCGAAGGCCTTCAATCGTGACAGTGGTATCGATGTCGTGGGATGCGGCGCGGAAGTCGATGGTGGTGTTGGCGCGCGCTCATCTTCGTCCTCTTCTCGTGTAGGTGATAACCGTCCGTTCCCGTTGACATTGCCGTTAATAGCTTCTGGCCGCCCATCCCATAATTGCTGCAGCTCGTTGAGCACGGCGAGGGCTTCTGACCACATCCCATCAGCGACCAGGCGACGCCCGAGCGCGACTACGTCCAGGACGCCCTTCACACCGTCCACCTCCGCGATGACCTGCTGCAAGCGCCCGAGCTTGATCTCCGCGCGCGTGATCTCCAAGCCCTTCTTGGCGCCCTCGTCGACGCCATTGAGCTGCGCGCGGAGCTCCTGTATTCGCGTCAGGCACGACTTCGAGGACGACTGGAGGGAGTGCAGATTTGACAGCGCGGCAAAGAACGACGAGGACCGGACGGAGATCTCATACGTGAGGTGCTGCTCGACCGTGTCTGCATAGTGCGAGAACTTGTCGAGCAGCGGGAGGGCGTGCGCGAGCGCTGTCGGGTCGGCGTGTTCGGTGATGGCGTCCCAGGTGGAGCAGTCCGCCAGGTCAAACTCGCGCGCGAAGAAGACGGGGGGCACGGTGTCGAGCGAGGGCATGGCTTTAGCCTTGCCCTTGGCCTTGCTAGTAGGCGTTGGCGTCGGCGGGAGGTCGCCTGATGCTGCGGCCACGTCGGGGTCGCTGCCATGCTCGTCGGCCTCAGCGGCGAGTTCACGCTTGGCCGACTCGAACTTGTCCCACTCGCCGCGTACCGCGTTGAGGTACGAGTCGAAGTCCTTGCGACGAACGCGCGGGAGATCGGCTGGAGGGACTGATGGGATGGCAGAGTGCGCTTTGGGGGGAGCCTGTCGCTTGTGAGGGTTGTTCAGGACGGTGGAGATTGCTGTAGGGGTGTCGTTGATCAGACTGGAGTGTCTTGCAGGAGTATGCAACTCACCATGGAAGCCGTGTTTGCTGCTACTCCATTCCGACGGGATAGCAAGCGCACTACTGCTGGCATTCAAGCTCCACGCGTGCGAGAAGCTATGACCGGTGAGATCTGCGCGTCCCGCCGCCTCAGTCGCCCCCGAGACGCTCTCGGGCCCACGTAGCGAGGATATGACGCTGCCGGGCCCGCGACGCGATGCCGGATCGTATGTAAACCGGAATGGGACGCGCGCATGGGGGACTGGCGTTTGCTGATTGTCTTCCGGGTAGGTGGTGGGGGTAGAGGTTCCAGAAGGCGTTGGGGACGAGGCGCGCGACATACCGACGTCGAGCTCGTCGAAAGCGCCAGCGCTGGCGGTGGTGGCGAGAAGTAGCTAATTGGTGGCGTTAAGCAAGCGTGGGAATCGACGCCACACGCGACCATCCAGCGGAGAACAATGGATTTTGCCCTTTTCAAACACACTACCATTGTACTCCCGGACGACGAGGCCATAAGTGTTCGAGAGTCTCAGACTGCACAATCAAATCATTTCTTCAAAAGAATACCTCACGAGCAATAGGTAAAGCAACGCTGAAGGTAGATGGGCAGGCCTGCGATTCTAGCTTTTGCCTTGCAGTGAGGTACCGATGATGAATTGTTTTCTTCATATACGAGTCCATTACACGCAACTATACAACTACACAACAGTTCTTCAGACTCTGAAGCCACCGAAGATTGTCTGACCCGCCTTGCGCACGCCCCCAACTACATCACTGCCACCCTTCAAAACACCTTGAGCCACACTTCCCCCCGCCTGCACCGTGCCTTGCACAACCTCCCCACTAGCCTTCACGACATCATACACAAGACCGCCTCCGACATGACCCTTCTGGCCCTCGGACTTTGGCACGGGCGCCACCACCTTCCCGCCGCTCGGCTGGAGCCCCAGGCGCTCCTGGACCACACGCGCCCACTCGGCCTTGACCTGCTTGCTCGCGACGCTTGATGTGTAGTTTGACGCGCGCGCATCCGGCGCGAAGTCCTGCGTGTTCAGGCGGTCCACGTCCGTGAAGACGGCATCACCGAAGGTGAGCGTGCCCCGCGCGAGCTCGCGGCCGCCCTTGGTAAGGCCGGGCCCGTGCGCCTTGGCGTCGTGCGCGTCCTCGCGAATGGTGACGGGGAAGGTGGTCTTGGGCATGAAGGGATGCTCGGCCTCAATGGGCTGGAGGGCGTCCTCGGGGACCTCGATGTGCGCGATGACGCCGCGGGCGAGGTGGGCGTCGGATAAGGGCGGTTGGACGTCGAGGTGGACGCGCGCGGACGAGATCTGCGCGTTGGGGGCGACGATGAGCATATGGTCGACGTGCACTTCGCCGTGACAGCCGTAGAGGTAGTAGGGTACGGACTCCGTGGGGTAGTCCTCGTCACGGTACGCAGACTCGAGGGTGCGCTGCTTGATGACCTTCACCTTCGACAGGTAAATGGACTGGAGGTCGATTCCGCTAAACAGAAGTTGAGTTTGTTGTAAGACAGCGGCATGCAGGTGGAACTCACGGGCCAGTGATGTCGCCGTGGAAGCTAGCGTCACCGCAGGAGCGGCAACCGCTCAAGATCTGGTCAATCGTCGCCTTGGACGACGTCTGCAGCTTGAAGACCGCATCCGGGTGCTTCGCCATCGCGTCCTTAACCTTGGCCCATGGACCCTTCTCGATATTCCCGACGCTGAGGATCAGCTGCTGGCGACCGTTGGCGTGGTGGAACAGCGGGCGGTAGACGAGGTACGGCTGGTCAGCCCCTTGTATGATGAACTCGTGGATCTGAGGCGAGACGGTGTTCCTCTCGACGACATTCTGGATAGGTCGGTTAGACGACGGACGGTGGCACAGGTAAGGTGTAACTGACCGCAATTTCCTCCTCGAGCGTCTTCTGGAATATCTTGCAGATGTCCTCGACGAAATTGCCTGCACCCTGGAACGGCGACATAACGACATGGCGAAGAACGAACAGCGCCTGCTTCGACTCTGTCTCTAATCCAAGGCGGCTGCGAGCAATCGTCAACGGACACCTCCACATTCACCTCAGCCCACGCACCGCTTGTACACATCCAAGCACTCGCCATAGTCCTTCCTATCGAACACCGTCGCCGTCAAGAAGATCGGAATCTCTTCCGGCCTCTCGCCCACACTCGTCAAACTCAACCTCTCAAAGATCCTATTGTTCAAATAATTCGCCTCCTCCACATCCGTGTTCACGCGCCCATTCGCGTCCCGGAAATTGCACGTGAAGACGTTGATGTTCAGGTCCGAGCCGAGGGCGCAGATCTCGTCGAGCGCGGGGGGGTTCTTGAGGATTGCCTGGTTGGACTGGCCGAGGATGTAGGTGCGGATGAAGGCCTTTTCTTCGGCGATGCCGGCTGGGCCGTCGGCTTCGCGGGTGAATTTGTTGAAGGGGACGACGATGAAGTCGGTGGTGTCGTCGGACATGGCGGCCCAATGCGCGGAGAACTGGGTGGTGGTGAGTGGGAGGGAATGGAGGATTGGGAGTGACTTACGCGACGACAGGTGAAAGAGACTTCGCCGAGGAGGGCGCCGTGACCGAGCTTGTGCAGGCCGACGACGCTGTTGTGGAGGTAGCAGGCGATGGCAGCCGAGCCGGGTTTGCTACGGTCAATTAGTGAGTGTTCCTTGCGGCAAATGCAGGCTTCAACGAACCTTCCCTCGATCCCGTACACACCAATGCTCTCGCCGTTGTCGCTGTCATGCAGATACGGCGCCGTCCAGGTCAACAAGAACCGCATTCGCCCATCCCTGTAGCACAACCCACCCGCCGGGTACGGCACATACCCCGCCTTGTGCGGGTCGATAGTGATCGAGTCCGCCCTCGCCAGCGCACGGAACTGCCTGACCGAATAATCCCGCATCGTAATCGCCGGCACAAAGTCCCTCGACCCCTCCTCGTCCTCCTGGTCATCGTACCGATTGTTAAGTCCCTCCGGCGGGTCGCGGATCATGCTCGCAAAGTACCCGCCCCATGCGGCGTCGGCGTGCACGATGAAGGTCAGGCCCTTCTTCGCGTACTTCTCGCGCAGCTCGACGACGCGGTCGAGCGGGTCGACGGTGCCCTCCTCGGTGGAGCCGATGATGGCGACGACGGAGTAGACGGCTTGCTTTTTGTCGAGACATTGTTGCAGGAGGGCGTCGAGCTTGGCGATGTCGATGCGGGCGTCGCTGTCGACGGGGATGTTGATGCAGTTATCGGAGCCGATGCCAACAAGGGCTGGAGGGTGTGAGACCGCATCGACTCGCTACAACAGATGCAACTCACCAGCCGCCTTCGGCCACGAGTAGTGCTTCGTAGACGAGAAGAAGCACTGCGGAGGGTGCTCGATGTTGTAGTTCTTCAGGAGATCCTCCTTGCCCTTCGACTGAACAAGATACGGCGAGATCGCGTTCGACAGGAAGGTCGGCGTGATGCCGAACTGGAGGTGCAGCTGGTCGCCCATGCCGAGGATGACCGGAGGCGGAAGGTTGAGCAGCTGCCACGTCGTCAAGTCCTTGAAGAGCTGTGGCTCATCGGGTTTGTCGGCAGTGGTGACCTTAAACTTGTCTGCGATGAAGGCGAGCCTGCCTGACTTCATGGCCGTGTGGACGGAGAGCGGGTAGTACTTCAGGTTGCGCGCTGCACATGTTGTTGGAAAAACAAGAAATGAAGAAGACGGGGAACGAGCATACCAGCCCACATTGACTCCATGTTCGCCAGCGTGCCATCGCTGGCAATGTGTCCCCAAGATTCGGGCAAATTCTCGTCGCCCTTGGAGTAGCCCAACATACTGCAGAGCTGGTTTCCGACCTCGATCTCGACGAGCGTCGTCAGAGGGCTGGCCTCAAAGGTAACCTGCCATTTTGTTCAGTCACAAGTCATGTACTGCCAAGGAGAGCACGTACATTGTTCTGGTTGAAGAGGAGCGTGCACAGCCAGCCAGCCAACGCAGGAAGAGACCTGTTGGGTTAACTCAACAACTGCGATCGAAAAAGCGGGTCAACGATAAACATACGTCTCCCAAATCATGTGTCCCATGTATCGAGGAGAGAAAAAGGGGACGGAAAACTCGTTCAGCAGCTTGCTGACCGTATCGATCTCCTTGCGGAGTAAGCAAACATTCTCTTGGAAGGTCTTGGACTCGTGAATAGATTGGGTGATGAAGGTCTGGGAGACGTTGTCAACGCGCAACGGCGAGCATAGAAAAGAGTCACGCACGCCATCCTCAGGATGATAGTCCTCGCGAACGCGGCGGTGCTCGTCGAGCACGCCGGCGAAGATCTCCTTGAGGAGGTCAAAGTTCTCAGCGCGAGGGCCAAGGAACCAGGACGATACACATTCGTGCATGTCCTTGAGTGGAGTGGGTTGGTTCAGGTTAGCGTCCATGGTTCTGTGGAATTGGGGCAGCGAGAGGTAGATATCGAGCTCATTTGCAGAGCAGGAGGGCTTTTATATCCCCTCGTCGTTGTGGATCCGTGTTGTGCACCTTGAGAGGACGTGTAAACGTCGACCAGGAGCTGCGGGCCCAAGCTCATTTGGGGAAAAATCGAGGGCTCATGCAGGTCCAAAGCTTCGATTCGAAGGCGGTCTACGTTTGGTGCCGAAGGAATAGAGTTAAGGTTGCTGATAGCTTCCAACTAGAGGGACAGGTGGAGATATCGTCACGTATAACCATGAGCATCAGACCTGAACGATGACCGGCGAAGCGTCGTTGGCGCGAAAGTTTACATGATCCTTGATGGGGTAGTGAACGAGGTAATCATTGCATTGGCGCGTGACGATTCCAAAAAGTGAGCCACGAGCTTAAGACAGGCTGGAGTTGACAAGAATGACCGCAGCTGGATATTTTATCCCGAGATGTGAGGGTGATACTAATAGCGACGTCAAGAGCCAGTCAAGGTGACGGTGGAGAGCTTTTCGACGCGTCTTCATTCAACATCAAAGTAGGTACCAACTTGACGCTCCAACCAACCGAATCAAGGAAACTTCCGTGCTTGCACGTGTTTGTTGTTCTGTTTTGCAGGGAAATATCTAGTGGTGACAACGGTTCTCAATCTACATAACATACAGCTCTACATACACTCTACACTTCAACGATATATCAAGACTTTGCCTACAAATACTCAAACATGTCTAAAGCTCGTCCACCGCCTTACGGACACTGCTCGCGAACAGTTCGACGACCTTCTGTAACTCCTCAGCGTCGAGCAGCGCTTCATGACTCCTCATGGCAAGACCGATGCTGTCCGTCTCCGTGTTGAGAACGACGTCGACGAAGAAGCCATGCTGCAGAGCAAGTCAGCAAGATCCTGGCATCAAAGCAGACGCAACGCACCTCGGGCAAATACGATGTATCCATCGCATCCACGGACGACTTCAGCTCCTCGAACGGCTTCGCAGAGATGAAGTCCGTCGGCGGTCCAACCTGGAATACGGTCATGATCAGCCACCTAACGAGCTTGCATGCAAGTCGACCGAGGACGTACAGAGAAGCTCTCCAGCAAGCTCTCGCTCCCCTTCCGTATCGTCCGAATCTTATCCCCGTGCCACAAGAGGTTGAGCCACACATTGAAGATCGCGCCCCGGCCTTCGCCCAGCGTCCAAGAGACCACGTCCCGCAGCCTCGTCTGCTCATGCGCAGTGCGCCGGCCCATCTCCGTCTGTAGCTCGCGTGCCGCATCGCGAATAAGGACACCATCCTGACCGGGCAGACGCATAGGGAGTACATTGACCGTCGGGCCCGCCAGGACGTCGACGCCGTCGAAAGCCGCAGAGCGTCCCGTATGGTACACACCAACGACCGGCTGCTGCGAGCCAGACAGTTCGGCGATGACACGGCCCCAGACCGCGAGCACGAGGCCCTGCACGCTGATTCCCGAGGCCTGGCATTTCTCCTGCAGCGCGGTGACGGAGGACACGACGCCGGACGCGCGCGCGAAGACTTGCTTCATGCCAGAGTCGGGGCGCTGGCAGGTAAGAAGGGTCCCCTCCGTGCCGATGGCGCTGCGCCACATCTCCTTGGCCGCGTTCTCGTCGGGCATTTGCAACGCGATGTGCTTGACGAGGCCGGAGAAATCGGTAGCGCTACGGCATTCCTGACCACGATAGAGTGCGCAGAGGTCGGCGACGAGCAGCGGTACGGACCACGCATCTGCAGAGACTGGTTAGCTGATTGTATGAGACTTGGTGTAAACGAATACATACCGTAGGTCGCGTGGTGCAGAGACAATAGGAGCACGTCCTCGCCACCGACGCGAAGCAGCTTGATGCGAGCAGGCGGGCGGAACAAAGTGGCCGGAGTGTTGTACTCGTCTTGCACATGGGCCTTGACGACCTCCTTGAGATCGCCTGTATCCTCGATGAACCTCCAATCGCTCGTCGGTGCCGCCTTCAGAATGACCTGGACAACAGACGAGGGCGACGTCGCGGCGAACGCAGTCCTGAGGATGCTATGCCTCCGCTGCAGCGCCCGCCAGGCTTGCTCCATGCGCGCGGGGTCCAGACCGCCATTCGCCTTGTACACGAACACGGGCTGGTAGAACGTCCCTCCCGACGCAAGCCACGACGCCAGATGGTAGTCCTGACCCTGAAAATGGCATCAACAACCAGTCGCTCTATGCGAACAACGCGCAGAACTTACTGCCAGCACCGGGAGCACGTCCTCGACATCCTCTTCCGCCACGCTTAGGAGACGCAGCGCAGCGTCCTTCGCGTCCTGCGAGACCAGTACGCGATCGACGGCGGCCTCCGCCGTGCCATCGAGCGCACGACCGCGCTCCTCAAAGACCGCGCAGATCCCCATGACCGTCTCGCCCTGGAATACGTCCGCGACCAATATCGGCAGGCCCTGCTTCCTGCACCGCGCCGAAATCTGGATGGCCGCAACCGAGTCGAGGCCGAGCGCGTAGAGAGGTGTCGTCAGCCCGATGCGCTCCTTGGGGATCTTCGACACCTCAGCGAACACGTCGCGCAGTATGCACTCGTTGGCGGTGAAGTCGCGATCGGGCTGTGGGGCGTCGCCATTGACGGTCGGCTGTTCGCGCTTGCGTGGCGCTTCGAGCACGGACCTGAGCTCGGGAGGGCAGTCGACGACGGAGGCGTCCGGCTGGGTAACGATGTCGATGAGCGTGTTCTTGAGGGTGTCCAGCATGGCAGCGAGTTGCTCCTGGGACATGATGTTGCCCTGGCAGCCGGCGCGTAGCTCGATCTTGTCGCCGTTGTGTATGATCTCCAGACTCAGAGGGTACTGTGCGCGTTCAGATCAGCTTGACTTCCTGTCGTTCACGAACCAGGACTTGCCTGCGCAGATGTTGGCTCGTCGGACAACTCATAAGGCTTCCACAGATGCGAGCGATCCTGCTTCTTTTCGCCAACCTGCTGGAAGACAAACAGCGAGTCGAAGAGCGTTGCGCTGCCAATCTCGTTCTTCATGCGCCACTCCTTCTGGATCTTGCGCAGGGGGACATGTTGGTGCGGTTCGATTTGCACGTTGGCCTGCTGCTGAACTTGTGCAGCCTCCGTGTTCGACAAGGTCGGGTCCGTGATACGGAAGCGGAAGGGTATGGTGCTAGACAAACCGAGAGCGTCAGTGACATGGAAGAGCGGGCAGACAAAGGACATATACTTGAACAGCGGACCACTCGCGTGCAAGGCATCCTCCAATTCGATCGCCCGACCAGCCACAACTTGCCCGAACACAACATCCGTCGACCCAGCCAGCGTCGCGAGGACTTTACCCCATCCAAGCAGTGCTACAGCCTGTACAGTGACGCCCATATGTTTTATGGCTTGCAGAGCGCCATCAGGAAGAACGAATGGCAGGCGCGCGAGTTGTGTTGTGGTCGCCATCCCCTCTACGGTCGGTAGTGGTGCTGGGACGAAGCCATCGAGGAGCCTTGACCAGAAGTTCGCGTGATCCTTGGAGCTGTACAGGATATGGGGAACAGCGCTTGCAAACTGCGGGCGCGGCGAGGGATCAAGGCCTTGATAGTACGTGGCGATATCGCCAAGGATGTAGGGCAGCGACAGTCCATCGTACACGCTAGAAGGGCTTGCTTCAACGAGAGCTCTGAAGGTAATGAAGCTGGACAACAAACCAGTGATGCATGATTATCAGGAGGACGCGCAAACCTGGGGCCTTGAGGAGGTGCAAAAACATCGGTGGGCGTTCGAAGGACTTCTCGTCGGCAATTTTTTCGGACTGGACGATCTTCAGCGCTTGTCGGTGCAACTCTTCAGCCGACGCGAACTCGTGTTCTGTCCAGGAGAGCGGCGCAACAGCATGCCCTGCTACAATCCATGGATGATCGCCTTCGGCCATAGCGTGGAAGCTGCAGCGCAAGATGTCCGTCGAGGCCACGACCTTTTCGATGGCGGCCCGGAGGTCGTCGTCCTTGACGGAGGCGTCCAACTGCAGAGAGTGGGGCACGAGATATAGTCTGCCGCCCGAAGACAAGGTCTCCGTGAGCATACCGGTCTGCAGAGGGGTCGCCGGGAAGACGCTGGTGACTCTGTCGGCGTCGTCGAGTAGCGGGATACTGCTCGCATAGGCCTCTCGCAATTGACCCTCCATCTCGGCGAACTCGCGTTGCGCTAATACAGCTGTACCCTCGGGAGGTGTCTCCCGCAGGTATAGAGCGAGCGCGCCGACGCAAGGGTTGCGCATGATCGCATGCGTTGGCACAGCAAGCCCGCGCGAACGGAGGAACTGAGCAAGGCGAATGCTAGTAATGGAGTCGACGCCCAGTTGCAAGAAGGACAGATCCTTAGTGATCACATCTGCGGAGACATTGCAGAGTTGCGCCACCACATCCCTAATCAAAATCTCATCCTCCGACCAGTGCGAGTTGTCGTAAGCCGGTCGTGTGTCACTTTGTTGCGCGTCCGAGACGTCGTACGATGTCAATGTTTGTTCGGGATGTTGCAGCAGGTTAGCTATGCGCTCGATGAGGGTCTTGACGGACGCTGACGATCCGAAAGTGGGAAGATGCCCGGCTCGGATGAAGACAGCGTCGTTCGCGGCATCAACTTCGACCGCAACCGCTAGTGGGTACTAAAGCAGAGTGAGCGAACGGGCGACAGGGGTTTGGAGGAGAGACGCACGTCGAGCACGGCTTTGCTGTCGAGCGATCCCCAAAGCTCGGGCTCCTCTGCATTTGACTCCTTCGGCGAACCCTGCCGGACGAGATTGAAGAGGGCGTCAAAGAGCGGCTCGCCCCTAGCTAGCCACCTCTGTATGTGTCGGAGGGGCGTGTGCTGGTGCTGCATGACGAGCTCAATGTCGCCCTGCACTTGCGCTACGACATCCTTGAACAACGATTGTTCTGTATAGCGAACGCGCATCGGTACTGTCGTGATGCAGGGCGCCAGCATGTCTGCAATCCCGTCGACGTCCACCGTCCGACCTGACAGAACGACCCCGAAAACGGCATCATTGCGTTCGCGATATTCTGCCAGGGCGGTCCCGAAGGCAGAGAGCGCCAGTACATGCAGGCTAGCATGCAGCGCTCGAGCATTCTTCTCCAGCACAGAAAGTGGCGTGTCGAGACACAGACGATGATGCCTGGATTCTACCGTCGTATCGTTGGAGGCGAGGTTCCGAGGCGCGTCGTCGAGGTACTCGGTGAAGAATGCGCGAGCAGAGTCCGAGGACTGGCGGGCCAAGTATTGAAGCAGCTTGACGATCGACGGGCGCTGCAAGTTGAATGTGCCAGCGTACCTGCGCCTCACCTCCGACATGATCATCGGGAGTGACTCGCCTGTCAAAGACCGTCAGCATCGTCACGATAACAAAGGAAGAGCTTTACCATCGTAGACGGAATGATGCAAAGTCCAGCAGAGATAGGAAGGTTGTCCTTTGCCACTATAGACTGCGAATCGGATGGGAGGTTTTCTCGATATCCCCGCTGCGACTTCCTTTGCGACACGGTACAAGTCCGCTTGAAGATGTTCGAGAACCTGTCCTTCGACGACGTCCACATCGCACCATTGCAGCACTTCATCGCTAGGCTCGAGCACGACTTGCACTATGCTGTCCTGCGCCGCGAAGAAACACGTCCGCAAGATTGGGTTCGCGGATACCGTGTCCTTGATGGCGGCTTTGAGTCGGGCTATGTCGGTGCCCTCCTCGAGGATAGTGACGAAGTGATTGACATAGATCGGCTCGGGCGAATTAAGAGTGAGGGCGACCAAGCCTTCTTGCAGTGGTAAGCACGGAAGGACTGCCTCGACGCCTACCGCGACATGTTGGATGGCCTCATGCTGCACGTCGGGAGCCACTTCCCATTGGGCGTTGTCATCCCTGGAATCTACAGGGGCACCCGAGGCCCTCGCGAGTTTCTCGAGGGAAGGGCCGGCAAGAATGACGTAGGGCGGTACGAAGAAGCCGGCGTCCTTCAGCTTGAGGCTAAGTGAAATGGCGCTGAGCGAGTCAATGCCTATCTCGAGTGTCGTGGTAGATGCTTGGATGGCATCCACAGGAACCCCAGCGGCCGAGCTGAGTATGTCCCGAATACGTTTCTCCTTGTCGTTGAGGGGTCTTGACACCGCCGAGCTCTTGCTTTGCTGACTGTTGATCGCGGATAGAGGGTATGCGTAGAAGAATCGGCGAAGGCTCCTTCGGTCGAATGTCCCGAGCGCAAAGTTGTCGAGGGGTAGGAATGTCAAGGGGACGATGACATCGGGTGTCAGATGGGAAGGGAGACGCTCGCGACACGATGCCAGCAAAGCGCGTGCGAGAGGAAGGTCGTCGTCCGACAGTGCGGGTAGGCCTGCGTCCGCGCCGATAGCCGCTCGTCGAGCCACGAAGGTAACGACGTAAGTCTGCAAGCCTTGAGGATGATCGAGGAGTAGTGTTGCTATCCGGAGTGTCTGTCGAGAGACCGAGGCTACAGCATCGGAGACGTCGGATGAGGGAATAGACGGTCTCCCCGGAACGACGCAGATGTCCGTCTCGCCGACAACCATCAAAGACTGCAGGTGTGTGAGTAGTGAACTGCTGCATAAGACAGAAAGACCAACATCGCTGGGCCCAACACGTGCGAGGAGACCAGAGCGAGTGAAGCGACCCAAAGATGGGTGATCGGCGCCATCGCTGCCCATATAGGATCGCAAGTATTCAGCATGCTCGCCAGCAAAGCGCAATTCCTAATGATGCTCAGCTTAACGATACGTAAGTTACGGTGACAATCCAACTTACCCCGACTTCCCCACGTAGGGCCACCTGCAAAGGGTTACCTTGCCGTGTAAGCACAGCGACGAGACCCTCCCTTGGATGACCAATATCACGAGTCCCTGCCACTGCTTTTGCGAAGGTACAGAGAGAACCGAATTCTGGCAGCCCGAAAATCTGTTCGGAGGATGAGTCCTACGCAGAATGATCAGTCGAGACGAAATATTCCTACAGTAATGACTTCTCTGCCTTCGGCAGTCGCCCAGTCTTTGATCAGCGGAGATTGCGAAGGGAGGCCTGTCAGGTTGTCAGTGCGCCCTGGATACCACTACCGCGTTGCGAATACCTGTCAGAAGCAGGTGTTTGAGTTGAGGAACATCTTCGGGCTGCAAACCCTCGTTCTCCAACACAGCAGGAGAAACTCTGAAGGCCGATGAGTGAGAATTTGGCGGACAAGGAAGCCGTGCTCACATGCTTTGAGCTGCGCCGGTCATGTTGACGACCTCCTTGAGACCTCGATCGGCTAGGCGCCCGGGGCAAACAGCCGCTATCTTCGCCCCCTTGCTGATGGCTGCTAGAAGTTCTACCAAGTGCAAGACCGAAGCTGCAGGTCTGATGAGCGACGCCAGTGAGATTCGAGAAGAGGATATACCAGATCCAATCCATGAGAATATCGTTGCCGGGTCCAACTGACTCTCCAGCGCCGATACCGCTCTCCAGAGGCTCTTGAGCGACACAAAGCTTGCTTGTGCACTGCTTTCGTGCTCTCCTTCGAAAGTGACTACACAGCGATGAGAGTCGGCTTTGGAGAAAAGTTGGAAAACGTACTGCAAGCATGGTCAGCCAACTGAGCATCTACCGCGGCGCCCTTCACGTTGGCGACCTCTTCCTGGTGCGCTTCTTCATCGATGACAACAACTTGCGGCTTAGAGAGTTGTCTGAAGTCTCCCGACTTGTTGGCGGCCACGAAGACGATATCAGCTCGAGCAGAACGAAGCATCAGCCTCTTGCGTGACGAGGTGTCGTCGTCGTCGATAGCCAAGTACGTCCGGCCGGACTTCAAGACTCTACAACGATATGAGTACGACTTATAAGAGCACATGAACACACTAACCCCAGTATGTACGGATATGCAGCATGAGAACGAGGCAGGGCGATGGCGGCGACGCGGGATTGCGGATGACGCTCAATAATCCACCGCGCGATCTGGTTCGACCTCTGCAGTTGTTAGACACGCTTCGACGACTTCTCAAGAGTTCGCCATACCTCTTCGAGCGCCTCGTACGTCCATTCAATCGCATTCCCCTCCTCATAGGACGCCACCGCTATCACGCGGGGCGTTTCCTCGGCGCGTTCTTTCAATCGACGAAGCGAAGGCGATTCGACATCGCGCGTCCCGTTGACGGCAGGCGCACTTGACGTTTTGGGACTTCGCACAATAGACAGAAGGTCACTCGGAAGATCGAGGATGTCGCTCATTGGTCGATCCACATCGCGCAACAGCGCTTGGACGACTGCCTCATACTGCTTAGCCAGAAGCTCGACGTTGTCCGCAGGTCTGCGATCGAACATCAGAGTCAGAGCGCTGGAAACACTCAGTAAGAACGCACATCGTTTGATTACTTCCGGAAACATGGACAGATATCCTATCGCTAGAAACGTATACATTGACCGCCAGAGGGTGCTCGACCGTCAAATTCGTCAACTCGCCAGCTTCTCTCCACAGACGGGACGCCAACTGGAAACCGGAGTCCGCGGATTCGACGGAGTTCATGACGAAGATTGCCGGGAATAGAGCTTGATCAAGGGGGCGGCGCAGAACTCGGCGGACATGTTGCAAACTGAGGAAAGACGAGGACCGGCTGGCTGAAGAGCGTTCGACGATGTCGACCAAAGATTGTCGAGCAGATGTCGAGGATTCCACGTTGACAGCAACGGGCAAAGTGGCGATCATCGGTGCCACCACGCCCTCGAGCGAGGAGTCCTCGAAACGAAGCGATCGAGTCTCGCCGAAGACCACCCGGTCGGTTCGCATGTACGCGCCCAAAATCATCGCCCAGGCAAGTTGAAGAACTTGAGCAATCGAAGCGTTGACGGCACTTGACGTTTCCGATAACACAGCGCGATCCAGCTCGAACTTGCGCGTCGTGAACCCGGTCTTGACATCGCGCGATCTATCCGAAAGATCAGGGAACGGTCGGACATGGGCATCCGCGAACGGCGCCAAAACCTGCTCCCAAAGCGAGAGCGACCTCTTCGGGTCCTCGAGGAAGAAAGCACGAGACACTGCGGACGTGAGCTGCAGTCGAGGCGCTGGGGCTTGACAATAGTAGACTTGGAGCACATCGTCGAGCAAGATTTTATAGGCGTGCCCGTCGTAGAGAGCATGGTGCATGCTGAGCAACATTGCCGGTTTCCCGACGTCTTCTCCCAGTATCGTGACGGCCCATAGCGGCGCTGTCGCTCGGGAAAGTGAAGTCGCCAAGGTACGCGCAAAGTCGCGCGCGCTGTCCGCAGACAAGCCTGGCTCCCGTTGAACTCTAGTCTTCGCCGACGATAGTAAGATCTGCACAAACACCCTAGAGCCGCACGTCAGTCTCTTGAAGACGAGTGAGGAGACAACTCACGGTGTGTAATCGTCCTTCTGCAAGTCATCGACAGCAGCACTGTATGAAGCCGCAGGCGCAAACACCAATCGCAGGGCCTCCGTACGCAAAGCTAGCGTCTTCCACGCGCTAATCAGTCTTGGAACGTCGCAGTCGTTCTCGAGGTGGAACAGGCGATGCGACCAGTACGCCGCCGGATCCTTGATGGTTTCGCCGAGCATGCCCTCTTGCACTATAAAAACATCAGTCAATGATAGGGTTGTGAGCGGAGGAGTACGCACAAGGCGTGCAGGGAGTGACACGATCCACATGTTGGTCAGGCATCGCTCGTACAACAGCCGGCCTCCACTTCTTGTCGAACTCGTCGCACCAAGCAGTCGCAGACGGGGTCTTGTCGGCCTTCCTGTCGCTCGCCTTCACGAGACGTTGGATAGTAGGATGAGACAGGATGTCGCCAACGGAAATCGAAGACCCAGTCTTGCGCAGCTTCGACGCCAGTTGCAGCGCACGAATCTACACCAAAGGATGAGTTTCGCCGTCACCAATAGAGCGTACCAAGTACCGAATCAACACCAAGAGCACTAAGCGGCGTCGTCTTCTTGATCCGCTCCACAGGCGTCCCCGTCAGGTCAGCCACCGCATCGCGTATCGCCGTCGCAAGCGGCGACCAGGACTCGTCTTCAAGTCGACCATGATCCTTCGCCAGCGCCTCCTCCCAGGTTGAGATGTCCATCGAGGCATAGTACTCTGCCAGCGCTTTGCGGTCAACCTTATTGGAGGCCGTGTGAGGGATGCGCTTAACAACAATGTACACGCTACGGAAAGGTCAATATTTCGGTCGTTAATTGAGAGGAAGACCGCACGCGCCTAGGATGCATGAATCCGGGAAGCATCTCGTCAGCGCGCCTCATAGCAGCGCCTGCGACTTCAAGGGCATCGTGGCCAGTGCACACGACGTCGGGAGACTCCAGTGACGACGCAGCGATGAAGGAGCAGACCGTCTTCTGCGGCCGACTGGGTATACCGTCAGAAGTATATCGAGGGCATACATCGAGAAGACATACTCCGGCCGGCTGAGCTGCAGCGTCGCAACCTCCGCCGCGCGCGGATGACAACCCTCGAGAGCCGTGCTGATCTCTGACAGCTCTACTCGGATGCCTCCTAGCTTGACAAGGTCATCGTGCCGGCCCACGAACTCGATCGAACCGTCGTGTAAGAACTGTAAATCATTAGGTCCACCGTGGAACATGAAGAATATATCTCCCGTACCCGAACGATATCGCCAGTAAGGTATACCTTGCCGGCGATGGGATGCTCGATGAACTTCTTCGCCGTCATGTCGGGCTGGCGATGATAGCCACGAGCATTCTGGTATCCACCGAGTGCTACCCCAATGATCAGCCTGATACCCTTCTTATGATACGAAAGCACATACCAAGCTCGCCAACCGCCCCACGCGGCAACACCAGATCCTCCTTCACCGCATAGCAGCTCACGGTCTGAATAGGGAAGCCAACATTGTGCGCCTTCGTCGCCTCCTGCGGCTGCCAGCGGCGGTACGTCGCGATTATCGTTGCCTCGGCGGGGCCGTACGTGTTGAGCGAGACCGTCTCCGGCCGACACCACTTATCCGCCACCGTGTCTGGGAGCTTCTCGCCGATGCTGATGAGGCTCTGCAGAGTCTTGCACTCCGCGAGCGAGGACTGCGCCATGAACGCTGGGGTGAGCTACAGGAACGGTTGAGCACGCAGTCACCACTGAGTTGGGTCGCACTTACGAAGGCATGCGTCGCCTCGAACGCATTGACGACCTCGGCGAACTGGCCGACGAGGATGTCCTTGTACGCCGAGCACAACGTGCCGCACGACTTGCCCAGCGCGTAGAAGACGTCGAGGACCGAGACGTCGAAGGTATAGGCCGAGAAGTTCAAGCAAAGCACTGGGTCAGGCCCGAAGGGAATGACCTCCTGCAAAACTGTCAAGCTCTGCACCGCCGCCTTATGCTGGATTGGGACGCCCTGGGACAAGGTTAGAATCATGTCTGGAAGCAGAGAGACAAGGCCAGTACCTTCGGCGCACCCGTCGTCCCACTCGTCCAGATCAAGTACGCAAGGTCCTCAATCGTCGTCCTCACGCTTGGCTTCTCCCTCGACTGCCCGTCGATCTTGACGTCGTCGAGCGACAACATATCCAGCCCCTCCGGCAACGCCGCCTTATGCTCCTCGTACCCCGCCGCGTTCCGCACCAGCACCACCGGACCACCCGCTCTGCCAAACAGATCTCGCTTGCGAATCTCCGGCGCTTGCGCATCCACCGGACACCATGCGCCGCCAGCCTTCAAGACGCCCAGAATCGCGATGTACAACTCGGGGCTCTTCTCCATGCACAGCGGGACGGCCTGGTCGGTGAGGTCACCATAGGTCGAGAGCAGCAAATTCGCCAGCTGGTTCGCCCGAGCGTCGAGGTCGCCGTAGGTGAAGCGGATGTCCCAGTCGGGCCGCGCGAGGTCGGTCTTAAACCAGACGGCGACGCTGTCCGGGTGCTCGCGCGCGTTAGTCTCAAATTGGTGGTGAATGAGCGTGTTGGGGGAGGGCGTTTCTACGGGCGTTGGAATGGTGTTCACGGCGGCCTGGAGCTCCGGACGCATGGCGGACAAGGTGGTGGCGAGAGTCGCATTGGCAGGGCGCGAGAGAATGGCGGCGACGATATCGTCGAACTGTTGCAACAAGGTCCGCGACGCTTCCGGGGTCAAGACATTGTTCGAGCCCGTGAGGCGCAGGCGGATCGAATCATCCTCTTCCGGCCAAATCTCCAAAACAGCAGCGAACTACAAGCTCATCAGCAGTTGAGCCGGTCATAATCAACCCTTAACGCACCTCAGTCACCATAGGCGGATACTCCGCCCTCGTCCACAGCGTCGTCTGCGACTTGCCCTGACTGAAGTTCTGCAGCGCAACCGTTGTGTCGTAGATGATCCCATTCGCCCCGCTCAGCACGCTCACGGGCGGGTACCGGTGGCGCATGCTCTTGATGTTCATGTCGCGCAGCTGCGCCAGAACCTCCTTCGTGCTCGCGGTCGCGCAGACGCCCGAGCCAGACTTGCTGACGTGCACCCTGATGGGCACCGCGGTGAAGACCGGGCCTACGGCGACTTCGAGCGCGTCAGTCGTTCGTCCTCCGACGAGGGAGCCGAAGACGATGTCGGGCTCGTCGGACTCGGAGTAGCTGAGCAGGAGCTGCGCCCAGGCTGCCTGAGCGACGGCAAGTGGCGTCGTCTCGAGCTCGCGCGACTTGGACTGCAAGTGGGAGAAAGCCAGGCGCGACGTGACGGTAGATGCATGGTGAGTGGGACAGAGGTCGACGGTGAAGACTGGCGACGACGCTTTCGCATAGGCGCGCAGACCAGTGAGGTCCGGGAAGGGATCAGGAGAGAAGCCTGCGAAAACGTCAGATCAAAACTCCCTAAATAACTCAGTGAGCTACTCACCTTGAAGTACACTTTTCCAAAAGTCTGTCGCCTTCGCCGCGTCGACGGAAAGAGCATCGCGAACCGAATGCTCAAAACCAGACCGCGGAAGGTCTGAGCCCTCGTTATAGTACGCCTCCAGCTCCTCGAGCATAAGCGCGAGAGAAGCTCCATCTATACCGCCGTCAACATGCAGTAAAAATGCAAAAATGGCACAACGCACCAAACAAAGCATGGTGCAAAGTGAGCATAAAAGTCGGCTTCTGCTCGTCATCGAGTATCGCGACCGACCACGGCTCCTCCGGCGAGATCCTCTTCGGCGACTCAGCCAGGTAGCGCTCCAGCGCGCCCTCCCCACTATCCTCAATCCACTTGACCTCGGCCTCCTCGTCCTTCACGACCACCGCAAACGGCGACACCTCCGACTGATCCACCAGCACAAACTTCGCCCGCAAAATCTTGTTATTCTTGACAACACGCGACCATGCCTTCTTCAGACAGGGGACGGACACCCCCGGGGCGAGATGGAATACAGAATGGTTGATGTACCCATTCGCGTCCGCGCTGCGGAGGTACAGCGCCAGCACACCCGCCTGCATCGGGGTGGCGGGCCAGATCTCGACGGGGGAGTCGTCTGGAAGACCAAGCGTGCGGCGTGCGGCGATTCTGAAGTCGGAGACGGCTTGCTCGCAGGCCTGAGTGGAGGAAGTTGCGTCGTCCGCGGCTGTCTTAGACGCAGCGGCCGCGAGGATGTCCGCTGGCGTGGAACACGAGAGGATGTCGGTGACGTTCAGGCGCGCCAAGTCCTTTGCGCCAGCCTGGCGAAGTAGGTACAAGAGGCGAACAGCCTTCAGCGAGTCAACGCCGAGACGTAAGAGGTTCGAGCGAGGCGTGACGGCCGATAGTGGGACGTCCGCTGCTTCGGAAACAAGCTTGCGGACCAATGTCATCGACTCTGACTCGTTCGTCGCGTCGTATGCGGCCATGTCCTCCGGCACCTTCTCCATGGCGGACTCGCGTTCGGCGACGATGCGAGCAATTGCACGGCGATCGGCTTTCCCAGAAGAGGACCTCGGTGTCTCCGTCGCAAAGTGGTAGGACGATGGACGCATATGCAGCGGGAGGTGGATGTCTGCGTGCTCGCTGAGCTTGTTCGCGAGCTGGGTCTTGTCGACGTCGGAGTTGACGATCGATGGGTCTTCCGGGACGACGAAAGCCAGTAGCCTACCCTCCACGACGACGGAGTAGGCTGCCTGGACGCCCGATACTTGTCCCAGAACAGAGTCGATCTGGCAGCCGATTAGCGTGAGCTACAGAGCACATGAACGAGTGCCGCACCTCCCCAAGCTCAACGCGCCGCCCTGAGAGCTTGACCTGATCGACGCCCATCCTCCCCAGGTACTCGATCTCGGACCATTGCCCATTCTGTCCTACGACCGTACGCGCCCAATCACCCGTACGATACACGCGACCAACGCCCGGGACATCTACGAAGACGCGTGCAGTTTGCTCCGGGTTGTTCAGGTAGCTGCAGGCATATGTATCAGCGCATATATGCGTCAAATGAACTCCTCAACTTACCCTCTCGCTACCTGCACCCCTCCCAGCGCCAACTCGCCGGGGAAGCCATGCTCAATTGCGCGCGGCTCCGTCGGATGCAGCACCAGCATCGACGCTGTCGGCATCGGTGGCCCAAGCCTACTCCCCGACTCCCCCCTTGGATGCTTCCTGAGTGTAACATTGATCGACGCCTCGGTAGGGCCCTGTAAGAGTTGGACGACAACGATGAGCACGACGTTCAAGACAGAAGGAAGTACGGGAAACGCCGAGCCTACTGACATAAGCGTTCCACACCGAGAAGCGGGGCGCGCGATCGAACTCGGCGATCACGCGGTCGCTCAGCTTCTCCCCCATCGTCCACAGCTCGAACGCGTACTCGAGGTCGGAGGCGACGAGGCCGTAATTTTTCTCACGGATGTCGACTGCAATAAAATCAGCGCAAGACCGAAGTTCAATGGCCGGTAACGCACCAATGCGCTCCGCCTTCAACACCGCGGCCATGCTCGGTGTCGCCATCATGTTCGTCGCGCCGAGCTCACCCAGAACCTTGTCTGGGTCGGTGAGGAAGCGCGGGCGATAGGCGCTCAACAATGTAGCGCCGCAAGATAGGGTGCAAAAGATTTCCATGACGGACTGCGAAAGCAGTTCAGCATCGCACTGGTCCCTTCACAAGTCGTACCTACCGGATCGAACGTAGCAGCCGCGAACTGGAACCATCTTGCGTTGGGCGACACGCGCCGGACGCTAAGGTGACCGTAGATCGATGTGGAAGCCGAGCGGTGCGCGATTTGCACGCCCTTGGGTTTGCCGGTCGAGCCGGAGGTGAACAGGACTGGGGAATGAGGTGCGTTAGACGCGTCCTGGGATGCGTGCAGGTCACTCACCATATGCCAGATCGTCTGGACTTTGCGCGAGCTCGTCGTACGCGTCCTCTATGCTTGACGCGCGCGACAACAGCATCTCCGCGTCCGCAACGTCAACCCATTCAACCTTCTGATCGAGCCATGTCGGCCGTACCCCTGCCCCCACCAAAACCTTCGCGTCCAGATCTTCGATCAGCTCCTGCACGCGCGACACCGGCGCGCCGTCGAGCGTTGGCAGCGGGCTGAACGCCTTGCCCGAGCGCAAGATGCCCAGGTACGCGACGTAGATTTCGACCGACGCGGGCAGGAGGAACGGCACGACGCTGTTGCGCGCGCCGTCGATATTGCGGAGCACCTTCGCTAGCGCGGCGGACCGTGCATCGAGCTCGCCGTACGTGATCGACTGGCGCTGACGCTCTGCGTCCTCGGGTCCGAGGTAGTCGACCGCGACGTGATCGGGGCGCGCCGTGGCGGAGAGGAGGAATGGTGCGTGAAGTAGAGCGGGTGCCTTGCTATCGGCCGGGTAGTTTTGGGGTGGATGGTTCAGAATGGACAAGGATATTTCCTGGTCGCTGCTGGTGGGTGTCTTGATGATGTGCCGCACGTAGAATGCGAGCAGCCTGTTCGCCAGATCGTCCGGTACGCACTGGCGCGCATACACGATCTTGACCTCCCTCCCGGCGTCGACAATGTGGAACTTCACCTCGCCGTCCCGCGATCTTTCCCCCTCGCTGAACTTGACTTCGATCGCGTCGAGACCCTCAGTGGATGATGCGTCGACGATCTTGAGCGTCTCCGGGGCGCCTGGCTCGTCGACGCCTTCGATGACAGCGACTTGCTGGTCGCCAACGCGGAATGCGAACTCGCCAGTGGTGCCGAGTAACGCGCGCACTGTCGCTGCGCAGGCCTGGTAGCGCGCCTCGAGCGTAGTCTCGGGTGGGCTGTCGATTTGTTGCTGGACGACCCCCTCGGTCGCCCCGCCGATAGTCTGTGTATTCGGGTAGAAGCAGGGCACTCGCGTCACCGGGAGTGCATTAATCGCGTGTGCGGGTGGTGCTGCCATGGTTGGTGAGGCTGTAACAAGCGAGTGTATCGCTTCAGTGCGCAAGGCGAGCGTCGTGGTAGACGGTGAGAGAGGAGCAGAACGCAGCACGCTCCGGCAGGACAGCGGATCTGTCATGTCACCAGATCGCGATAGCGCCGGGCGAAATCTTATCATATCAGATTAACGGGTCATTTGCAATGGCGATTAGATGAAGCACGCGGGCTGCCACGGACTTCGACTTCAACTGCCACCCGACGCCCCTTGACTTTCACACACACCATTGACTCAGGCGCGAGGGCTTTCGGCGAGCACACGCATGGCAGGGCGCAACTCACGCAGTGACAGGTTTAGTGGTCTCGGCCACCTTCCTACATTCGCCGACATGTGCGCCAAGGTCGACCGGCTCGCTCACCATCGCCCTGTCGGACGCCCACACCGACGTGCATCCGGGTCATCATCATCCTTGGATCGCGCCATAGTTGCCTTGCTCGAAGACGCATGTCGTGCAAGATCCTAAATGCAGTTTTGCCCGCGATGTACAGTCCAATCGTACAGTACGCAAAGTACTACAGTGCACGCTACTAGTACTACCTCCCACCCTGCGCTTGCAACAACTCGTTCAGACCCATTCCTTGGAATATATGCTCCAACTTCCGCCTGTCCGTTTTCCCATTGAGCGTCAGCGGCAGATACTCGACCGGGATGATGTACGCGGGCCGCATGTACGACGGCAACTGCTCCTCGACTGCGCGCTTGAGCGTTCGCATCAGGTCCTTCGTGGTGGTCGTGGTCGCGGTCGCCGCATCGCCCTCTCCTCCCTGCTTCCCCTTCCCCTCCCACCCCGCCTCCGGCTTCCTCACCCCAGGCACTCCATTCCGCCTCTCCTCGACACTCACATCCTTGGCCGCCGCCGGCGCAACAAAGCTGACCAGCAGCTCCGGCCCCACCTGCGGATGCCCGGTGATGAATGTGAGCACGCTGAGCTCGACGTCGTTCGTGCTTGACGCCGCCCCCGCCAAAATCGACGAAATCCCCTCCGTCTCAATCCTCACGCCCCTGTACTTGACCTGGTGGTCGATGCGGCCCATGATCTCGAGCGTCCCGTCGGGCAGCATGCGCACGAGATCGCCCGTGCGATAGGCGCGCGTGCCGTCGGGGAGGTGGATGAAAGCCTTGGCTGTGGCTTCGGGGAGGTTGTGGTAGCCTGATTTGATGGGTCAGAAGAAGCTACGAACGTGGAATGGCGAACTCGCCTCTCGCAATCAGTGGTCCCGACAAGACAAGCTCGCCCGGACAACCAAGCGGCACAGTTCGCAACTTCTTGTCCAGGACATACGCGCCGCAAGACGGGAACGCCTTCCCGATATTTTCTTTACGGTCGTTGGGCCCGACGCGCCGTGAGGTGCACCCGATGGTGGCTTCGGTGGGGCTGAATGGTCGTCAGGATCGAGATGTCAGCGTGAAGAGGGAAAAGGGTACTCACCCATAGAAATTCGCTAGTACGAGATCCTCCCTCGTCGACCACTTCTGCAGCAACATATCCGTAATCTTCTCCCCACCCGACACCAGATACTTCAGCGGCAACCCGTCCGCCGTCTCGAGCAGCGCCTCAATCATGCTCGGCACCATCCCAACGTGCGTGATCCCAATGTCAATGACATGCTTCCGGAGCTGGGTGAGGAGCTCGAAGCGCGGTGCGCTGACGAGGCGTGTCCCGAGGCCCCAGGACTGAACGATCTCGGAGATGTGAACGTCGAAGGCAGTCGCTAGGGAGCGAATGTGAGGGGAGAGGCGAAGGGACGCAGGAAGAGGACTCACAAGCAAGCGACAACCGCTTGTCGGTATCGGGGTTCGTAACGGGTCGGGGGAGCGCACAGAAGGAGACCATAGCCCAGAAGAGACCGCGATGTTCGAGCAGGCAGCCCTTGGGCGTCCCAGTGGTACCTGGGGGTGCCGTCAGCAAACTCGCCATCGGGAGACGGACAGATTTTAGAAGTAGCGCAAGACGAACCTGAAGTATACAGTAGATAAGCCAGATTGTCGAGCGATGCCAGGCAGATATTCTCGTTCCCGTGCTCCTCGCGCGCTTTCCGGAGGAGGTCCTCCGTTAGCAAGGCAGGATGCGCGAAGACGCCGGCGTCATCTCGAGAGGTGACGAAGACGATTTTAGCTTCGCTGTCTTGCTCGATGTATTTTTTGCGTTCGACGGGCAGTTCGACGTCGATCTGGGAAGTCGTGCTTAGATATGTCATGAATTAGCACAAAGGAAACAAGCGACGTACCGAGACATAGCAAGCGCCCGCCTTGAGTATAGCACCCATTGCAACGTAGAAGAACGCATTGCGCTGACTGCACAAGCAAACCTTGTCCTCGATACCGACACCGTTTGCCACTAACCAGCGCGCCACCACGTTCGTCTGCTCGTTCAGCTCGCCATACGTGACGAACTGCGGCGGCTGCTCGAGTGACGCATACACCTCGTGCGCAATGGCGTTAGGCCGCGCCGCTGCGTTCTCGAACAGCCACTCCACGACGACCTTCTCCTGCGCGGGGTCGATGGTAGCGGGCGAGATGGATAGCAGCTCTTGTGGCATCTTGACCGGCGTCGTGCACGGCTCGTCGGGCGAGGCGGAGATGGCCTTGTAGGTCTCGACGATTTGCGCGACGAAGTTCTCGAGCGCGGAGGGCGAGATGAGCGCGCGATCGGCGAGGAGGTCAATGAAGACGCGACCGCCGTCGGTGTGCGCGCCGAAGACGATGCTGGAGGGCGCGTACGCCTCAGGGTCCGAGCATTGCAGTACATCCCAGATAACCATAGCGGGCAGGGGGTTCTGGTGATCCCCCAGCATGAGCTCGAGGCGCACATCGTCGAGGCAGCACTCCGCGCCCCGCGCGAGGGAGGTGGCGAAATCGCGCCAGGAGCGGCCGTCCTGCAGTTCGGCGCGCGCGAGACGGATGACCACAGCTTCGGGGTCAACAATGTAGTCTTCCTCTGTCTCGCCGAAGAGGAAGTCGTTGCTGTCGATGTACTTCATGAGTGTGCTCGCGTACGCGGCGCGCAAGTCGCTCCGGACACCGTCATCGAGCGCGCTGACTTCCTTGTTCAAGGGTACGCTGAGTTTACACGGAGCATGGGCAGGCTGCCTCTGCATAGACCCCAGGTCAGGCAGAGGGTGGTAGGTGTAGGGCCCGGTGTGCGAAGTCGAGACGAGCATGGCGGCAGAGACGAACAAGTCCAGCTCCCGCCCGGCTCGGACTCCGGATTAGCGCCCAACGAAGGCGGATCAGCTCACCGATCGACGTCAGCCCACAATCTTATCGCGCCATGCGCCCTAATCAGATAACGGCCGCCCATCGCCGACCGCATCCCGGCCACGTCCGACCCGCCAAGCCCCCGAGAACCCTCGCAGGCCATCCATCAGCTGACACACATGCAAACCGCGCCGAGAAGGCAGAAAGAGGAGCCAGGAAGCCCCCACCCAGCGCGGACGCTCTCCACGTGATGCAATGCGATCAAAATAGCCCGCTTATCTGATTTGATGCAGATTAGATACACGTTGGTCCCGTCGCAGTCTAGTGCGCTCATCCCTCCAAGTTTCCGCGCCCCCGCCTCCCAGTGCTCGATGGAGGCCGTCTGCCGCGATGAAGCGGGATTTGGGCCAGCGGCGTCCTGCCGCGCGATGGACTTCAGCCTTGGGTTCCAGTACCGCATCCTCGCCATCCTTCCCGCTGCTGTCTTCCTTTTCCTCGGCATTACGCGCACGACCGACCTTTGGCGGAGGCATTCGATCACCAAGTCGGCCCTCGACGCGCTCGTATGCGTGAAACTTAGCTTGTACGCGGTGCTTCTGGCATCGCTGGCTGCAACCCTAGGCCTTCTCCCCCGCGATGGATGGGCGGAATGGGCGACCACGGCGTTTGGGCTCGACCTGGCGGCGACGGTGCGTGCCCGCGATCGTGTATTTTACTGCCGCGCTGACAGGCTTTTTCCCAGGTCGTCCTCGCGCCGCTGTCGTACCTGCATCACACCCGCCGTCCGGCTCCCAGCACACTCATCACCTGCTATCTCCTGCTCACTACATTATTCTCCGCGACCCAGCTACGCACATACGCGAATACGCCTCTGAAGCACCTGCAGTTCTTCCCCGCATTCGCTGTCGCATTCGGCGCGCGAGCATGCTTGGTGTTCGTTGAGCTCACGCACAAGCGGAGGTTCCTCAGGGCGTCGCACAAGGTATGTAGGGAAACACGATGAGAAGACATGTGTACTTACGATTCATCCAGCCCGTTGCGCACGAGCCGACAGCTTCCCTGCCCGCGCGCCTCTTCTTCGTCTGGCTTTACCCCGTCCTGATCAGCGGCTTCCGACGCACCTTCACACTCGACGACCTCAACGCCTTTGGGCTGCCCGAAAACCTGTCCTCCGCCCCTGCCAACCGCCGCCTCCGCGAGATGCTCGCCGTCGACAAAGGCAAAGACGGCCGACACCACATCTTCGGGCCCTCCATCCGCGCGTTCGCGCCCGAATTCCTCGCACCGGTGACGCCGAAGCTGCTCTTGGTCGCGGCGACGTTCGCCCAGCCGTACCTCGTGAAGCGCATGCTCAGCTTCATCGACTCGTACTCGGACGACAACGTGCACCAGGACGCGGCGCAGGGCTGGGCGCTCGTCGGGGCGTACGCGATCGTGTACCCAAGCATTGCGTTCTTGACTGGGCTGTATTGGGACCGCGTGTACACGATGGTCGTCACGTATCGCGCGGCGCTGGTCAGCGTCATCATGGACAAGTCGATGTTGCTGTCCGCGACGGTGGCGGAGAGCGAAGGACGCAGTGCCGCGGTGACGTACATGTCCGTCGACGTCGAGCGTGTCTGCGAGGGCATTGCGTTCTTCCACGAGACGTGGTCGGCGGTCGTATCCATTGTCGTCGCAGCAGTGGTTCTATGGTTCCAGGTAGGTCAATCGCTAGCCTCGTCACGTCATACTCATTGTCGCACGCGTTAGGCATCCTTCGCCATGATCCCGCCCATCTGCATCATGGCCGGCTTCTGCTTCATCACCAGCTGGGTCGGCAAGCGCGTCGCCAAAGCCCAGAAGAACTGGATGGGTAGCACACAAGCGCGAATCAAAGTCCTGGTTGGTCGCTTCTTTCCTTCGACATAAGTGCCCGATTCACTCGTTTTCATTCTCCCAGACGTCGGTCATGTCGCAGATCATCCCCATCAAGCTACTGGCCGTCGAGCTCGCCGTGCCCAAGTGGGTAGAGCCTGTCCGCAACAAGGAGATTGCCTTCTTGCGCTCCTTCTTCAAGCAGCTGGTCATCGTCGGTGTCCTCTCTTCAGCGACGATCAACTTGGCCGGCGTCTCTGCTCTTGGCACATACGTCGGCATCAAGGACGAGCAGCTGAGGCCGGAGCACCTCTTCACAATCCTGACGGTGGTCAACCTCGCCACGCTGCCAATCAGCACCGTGGGCAACTGCTTCCCGCTCTTGCTGGCGTCGTTCGCGAGTATGAAGCGCATCGAGGGCTTCTTGTCCATGGAGGAGCGTCCGGCAAGCGATGGGTTGCGGCAGACGGCGGACCTGAAGCTGCTGAACGAGGACTTGGACGACGGAGAGATGACGGCGAGGTCGTCGATCACGGCAGTCCCGAGGCAGTTGCAGCTGTCGCATGTGACGGTCGAGGGGAACACGAGTGGCAAGGCACTCCTGTCCGACGTGTGCGCGAACATCTATCCGAACAGCCTGAACATGATCGCAGGGCCCGTAGGATCGGTGAGTGCAGTGCGTTATGTTGCTGTTGGCAAGAAGCTGATGAGAAGTAGGGCAAGACGACGTTGCTGAGGACCTTGCTCGGCGAGACCAAGATCGTGACGGGGACCGGCACTTTGCCGACGGGACGTATTGCGTACGCACCCCAGGAGGCGTTCGTGTGGCCGACGACTGTGCGCGAGAATATCGTTCTTGATAACCTGTTCGACGCCGAGTGGTACGAGACCGTGATCGATGCGTGTGCGCTACGCCCCGACCTGGCGCGTATGGACAAGGGCGACATGACGGTGATGGCAGATGCCGGAGGCTCCGTGAGCGGTGGTCAGAGGCAGCGGATCGTGAGTGCAAAACCGTACGTTGTCGTCGATATCGTTGCTGACAAGCTGTGCCGTAGTCCCTCGCGCGCGCGGTGTACGCCCGCTGCCGCGTAACGCTCCTCGACGACTGCTTCTCGGCGCTCGATGCGCACACATCCAACGCCGTGTTCGACGCGCTGTTCGGAAGTAAGGGCCTCTTGCGCGGCGGGATCGTTGTGCTCGCCACCCACAGCCGTGAGTGTTCGCTTGGAGATGCGCGCGCGGCCATTGGCCGCCGTCGGCATGCTTCGCTCGATCGGCCCGCTGACCCGGTACTCCCAGATCGGCATCTCGGCGTCGCGGACCATGTCATTGTGCTCGATGGGGGGTCCGTCGTGGCAGAGGGGACGCTGGCGGAGCTGCATGCGCACCATGTCGACCTGCGCAAGTATGTCGGCGAGCAGAAGGACGAGGAGGAGCAGGACATTGCGGACGATGACGAGTCTGCTGCGACCGCGGCGGGGACGCCTACTACACCTGCCCCCGGACCCATGAAGACGGGGATGCAAGCGCCTGCGAAGCCCAAGGACGCGGAGAACGACAAGAAGGAAGCTCCCAGCGTCTCCTCCTGGGCGCCCTACCGCTTCTACCTCCACGCCTGCGGCTACCCGCGCCTCCTCCTCTGCCTCGCCTGCCTTATCCTCTACACCGGCATGCAGGTCGGCCTCCAGATCCTCCTCCGTTTCTGGTCCGAGAGCGGCTCGCGCAACCACGGGCCCTGGCTCGGCGGCTACGCCGCCTTTACCGTCGCCTGCTTCCTCGCGTCCTTCGTCACCATGTACACCTACACACAGCACACCGCGCCGCATGCCTCGCTCGCGATCCACGCGCGCCAGCTCGACGCGGTACTCGGCGCGCCCGTCACGTACTTCCAGCGCACGCCCGCGGGCATGCTGCAGAACCGCTGGTCGAGCGACATGTTTGTGGCCGACTTTGCATTCCCGCGCGCGATCCAGGATTTCACGTTCACCGCGGTGTATGTCATTGGCGCGGTCGTGCTGATCCTGATTGCGGTGCCCTGGCTGGCGATCGCGGTACCATTCATTGGGCTGTTCTACTGGTCGCTGCAGCGCGTGTACTTGGCGACGTCGAGGCAATTGCAAAGGCTCACGATGAGCTCGAAGACGCCGATGTACACCGCGTTCACGTCTTCGCTCAACGGATTGGTCACCATCCGCGCTTTCCAGGCTGAACGTCTCTTCAAGACCGCCTGCGCCCATCACCTTGACCGCGCGCAAGCGCCCATGTACTACCGTTACGCCGGCATCCGTTTCCTTCGCACTGCGCTCAACCTTCTGACGGCACTCATCGCCATCGCCATCGCGGCGCTCGCAGTCGGTTTGCGCGGTTCAACTTCCGGTGGCTTCCTCGGCGTCGCACTCTCCCAGCTCGTCAGCCTCGCGCAGAGCCTCATCAACCTCCTCCTCGCTTACACCCGCGTGGAGAACGGTGTCGTCTCCGTCGAGCGTGTCTTCGAGCTTGACTCCCTGCGCAAGGACTACGACCCGGAGAAGGACGCCAAGGTCGACCCGGGCCCGAGCTGGCCGAGTGCGGGGCAGATCGAGTACAGAGGCGTCAGCCTACGCTATGCGGAGGACTCGCCGTATGTGCTGGACGACCTGACCTTCACGGTGCGCAGTGGGCAGAAGCTGGGTATCTGTGGGCGCACGGGCAGCGGCAAGAGCAGCACCGTCTTCGCGCTGCTCCGTGGGCTTGATCAGGAGGATCTTGTGCAGGGCCAGATCCTCATCGACGGTGTGGACATCTCGACTGTGCCAGTCAAGAGGCTGCGCGAGGCAATCAGGTAAGCCATACCTCTAATATCAGAGACTCCCTTCCTTGCTAAACCGACCTGCAGTACCGTCTCCCAAACGCCCTTCCTTCTCTACGCTTCCCTTCGCGACAACCTTCTCCTTGGCTGTGCGGAAGGCATCGACGATCAGCAGATTTGGTCTGCCCTCGATCTTGTCGGCATGAAGACTGCTGTGGAGAACCTCGACGGCAAGCTTGACACCTTGATCTCTGCGGACGGTCTTCAGTTCTCTGGCGGTGAGCGTCAACTGCTGTGCATCGCGCGCGTACTCTTGCAGAAGCGCCGCATCGTCGTGCTCGATGAAGCGACGTCTAGGTACGAGAGGCATCACCTTTTCAGGGGAAAGCTTGAGCTAACCGACCTTGACAGCATGGACATGGCTACGGACAAGAAGCTCCTGGAGGTACTGCAGACAGCCTTGCGCGATACGACTGTTATCTCGGTCGCGCATCGTATCTGTGAGTATTTATGACACGTACCCCTAGTACACTGCTGACCGTCTGCCACAGCTACCATCATCGACTATGACACCGTTATGGTTATGGCTGACGGGCGCATCGTTGAGATTGGTGTTCCCCAGGAGCTCCTCCGCATGCCTGGCTCGCGCTTCGAGGCGCTGCACAGGGACCAGCAGTAGAGTTCGGTCTTTAAGACTGATACTCCTCACTGCTGCTGCTTGTCCTTGTGACCCATCTGTCACTTCTCATGTCTCCTACGACCCGCCTCTCGATTTGTACGTCCCCCCGATGACTCGATTTACTAAAATAATGGCGAAGGGCAAGCTAGGATTGCACCTTCATTTAGCTTCATCTACGGTACCGCTGCAACACCTACTGATATTCCAGAGATACCTGTATAATATATATTCACCCTTGGAGTACGAATAGATGTTGTTGGCATTTGTTCGTCGAACAGTAGTGTCTGCGCGCGGGAAGGGCGGTGTGCCACCAGTGCCACGGGGCGGTTAGCTGTCGTTTGCAAGTCATACTCATGCACTAGGCGATGATCTGAATCGTCAGAATGACTTCAGCTGCTTTACGGACGTCGTACGACGAGACAGGATGTTCAGGAAGAGTCGAGCTTTCTAGGATCGGCGGGCGCCGAGAATGCATCCGTTCCGAATGCGGCTAAACAATGGGCTTGCGCCGGTCGACGTCCATCTTGGACGAAACCGCCATCACGGCGCCCACGAAGACCCTCTTCACCGCATCTCCCTCCTCTCCTTCTATACTGAACGCTTTACGACGCGCACGACGCTAGACTGACTCATTGGACAGCCTGTGGAGATTGGACACCAAGGTGAGCGCTGATGCCATCTTCGCCAACGCCTTGCTGTTGCTGACGAAACCATGTTGCTGCCGGCCACAGAGGATCATACGGGGCGCTGCTGCTAGACTGCTGGAGTACAAGGACATCCGCAGGATCGGACGCTGACTACAACTGGTGCGGCCACCTTTGCTCGCCTCACAAGCGAATCTAATCGTCGTCTAGCCGGATTACCATCACGCGCCATGGCGGCTGCGACCATCGACCTGCTCACTATCATCCCTCAAGAACTTATCAACCTGATACTGGAGCTATCAGACCCCGACGCTCTCCTGCTCTTTGCCACAGTATGCCGGAAGCTCCACTTCCTGGCGATCCCCGCGCTCCTTGCGCGCTACGGTCAAACCGACCCTCGCCGCATCGAGCGCCTCACACTCTTCTTCTCCTCACGCAATGCCCCCACACCCTACCAGCTCCACCGCGCGCTCATCATGTCCCTCTACCCCACGACGGCCCGACACATCCACTGGTATGTCCAGGATCCGCGCTCGGTAGGCCTGCAAGCCCAGTTCCGCATCATGTTCCGCCTGGTCACGAAGCTCGTCGCGATCGACAAGTTTACGGTGGACTTCTCGTTGGCGGCAGCGAGTAGACCTTCTCGCGCGTGGAAGATGCGACTTGTGGATGTTCGCATTGCGCTTGCTCGGGTCCTCGAAGCGGCGGCAGCTCGGGGGTGCCGCTCGCTAGCGATCGTCGATGGAGGTGCTAGTGCACTTTCGCCGCTGGGAGCACTTGACCGGCTACGCGTCGCACCCACTATGTTGAAAGGCGCCTGGGCACTTCGGACGTGTCTTTCGAAGACGCGTCTCATTTCAGCGCCGGATAAGTACCTGTTCCCGCCTTATGCGGAATCGCAGGACTTGATCCTGCTGGAGTCGCCTGTGGATGAGGCTTTGATGGGAGGGAGGGCATTTGGGCCTTCCTGGCGCGTAGAAACGCGTGTGCTCGACGTTCTCAACCACTCCTCCCTTACCTCATTGACACTCTCCTTACCACCTCGCTTGACATCGCGAGCTCAATGGGACGATGTGCTCGACCGTCTCACGTTACCTCTTCTCACACAGTTCTCTATGCGCATGTCACGGGCATCTCAGCGGACATTCTGTGCATTCCTAGCGCGGCACCCCAACCTCCGATCGCTGGACATCCGTGATTGCGCCAAGAGTTTCCTGTCTCGACGGGGCTCGCGACGTCCGCCGCCTACGCTCGAGCTGCCTCGTCTCGAGCAGCTCCTTGCCGCTGCGCCCGTTGTCGCATTCGTGCTCGGCTCTGCGAGCAAGACACCAATGCTACACCACGTCCACGTCCAGCTCGACTGCTACTGGGACGCGCCCATCACGCCATCGCTATGTAACATCCGTCCGCTCGTGCCCGTGCACAATCGCCTCGCGGGTGTGACTACGACCTTCGAGCTCGATGTCGGCGAGTGGCCGTGGGACGAGGACGACCAGCAGCCTGCGACGCACGATCACGATGCGTGCGTCTTCGCCGCGAGCACGCTCATGATCAACGTCAGCCGCGTGCACGTCGACCTCGTCTTCTCCCCGCGCATGGTGCGCTGGCTGCGCGCGTGCACGCACCTGCGCACGCTGCTGCTCGACCACACATGGGGCCGGCTGTGCTGCGCGGACAAGGAGGGGTTCGACGAGACGAGCAGGCAGGTAGGGGCGCAGATCCGGGACGCGCTGCCGCATATCGAGCGGCTGAAGGTACGGGGGACGAGTATCGTGCCTCGGCTGGACGAGGATGAAGTGTTGTTCTGATGACGTTTACTAATGTACTTTGTTATGCTACTATGCTGTCGTTGTTCATGTACCTAGCTAGGGTTGGATCGGTCTCATGCTTCATCTTACCGTTTTATGATTCCAAGGCGAGAACGTATGGGCAATCGAATTATTGAGAACAGATAAAGCAAGCTTCGGGAAAGCGAGAACCAAGTCCATTGTACAGTACTCTATCTACTATCTACCAAAGATCCAAAAGCCTCGCCGTCATCCACACCTGCGGCCCGAGGTGGATTTCCGTTGCGACTGTAACTCTCGTTCCCGAAGGCGAGGGGAGCGTCGTCGCCGGGCAGACCCATCTGATCTCTCGGCACTAGAGTTTGAAGCCTCGTCCCCTGAGCGTCGCTTCTTGGGCGAACGCTGACCCTTGTCCTTCGGTGCTGCACGCTTGCGGCCTCTGCTACCCTGCATGGGGGCGCAGGGCGCTGGCACCCCTTCCTCTTCCTCATCGTCGCTTTCGACGGCGGTCTCGGAGGCGGCCTCCATTTCAACATCTTCGTCGATCCGGGGCTGCGAGGGCGAACCCCTGCCTTTTACTTTTCTCGGCTTTCGAGGGGCGGGGGTAGGTGTTGGCGGTGCGCTAGGAGGAGGGGGAGGTGGTACGTCGACGAAGGTGTCGGGGTGGTCGAGATAATAATCGCTGATCTTGCGGAACGTCTGCTCGAAGGTGTCGTAGATCGTGTCATCGAAGAGATCGGGGTGGAATATGCGGCAGTTGTTCTTGACCTTCGTCGTCCGAGCTTTGGGCTGCTCGAGCGATTTGTATGCCCTCCGTAGCTTCTGCACAAGACTAATGACCTCTGCAACCGGTGTACCAGCGTAGACGTCCTTGATCTTGTCATGTACCTTCCGTGTCTCTTGCGGATCGGTGACGAAGTCGTTACGCGTGACGGACCCTTCCCTGTTGTCCGTGAAAAGTTGGACAGCGCAGCCCCGAAGCATAACAGCCACCTCCTCTGCGCGAGCAGAACGACCGTCCAGTATCGTCTTTGGCATCTTGCGCGTGATGAAGTCGATAGCCATCCATACGGCGGACTCGATGTCGTGGTAGAAGGTGAACGCGAAATTGGACGTAGGGTCGTTCTTCGTATCCTGCGCCTTAACGGTAGGCTCCTCGTCCAGGTCGGTGTCCGCAGCGTCGACGAAGCGATGCCTGCCACCTTGCACCTCAATCGCAGTGTAATACACAGTGCCCTAACAAGGCTGTGAGTAACATTATGACGGGCTGTGCACAAGAACCTACCGTGAGGGGATCGTGGCCCAGACTTCCGGTGTATGGTCTGGCGTACTCGAGGTCGGAGACAATGGTCACCCACTCCTTCAGTACATTGCGAGTTATCTGCTGCGGGAGTTCCGGCAGCGCGCCAGAGATGTGATGAAGAAGGAAGTTGCCCGGGCTCACGTCCCGGTGTACGTAGCCGATGAGCTTGAAGTAGTGCAAGACTATGATTTCGTCAGTACGCTTGCAGTCCAGAAATTATGCCAAAGACTCACTTTGCATTACTTCGGCCAGAGCATGAAAGAAGACGGCGGGGTCGTTGACTTTGTAGAGATCCATGCAGAGCTGCTTGTAGACGGTGCGGCAGTGCTTCTTCCCATGGAGTTGTAGCAACGGGACAGCGTCGATCTTCGGTGCGCCGGGAATGTTCCCCTGCAGAGCTGCCGGCGTCCTAACTTCCTCGGACTCCTTTATCTGGGATTTGGCAGGCTTGGCGCGCGCGGGATTGTCGTCGAGCTCGAAACGGAAGGGTTTCGCTGCCTTGGGCGGGGAAGGCACCGTGCCGCTCTTCTCATCCTTAATGGATGGATGGCGCACAATGCCATCTTGCAAGATCGCCATGAAATGCTTCTTGGCTTTGCTCGCGACGCCCTTGAGCTTCCCTATACGCTCGAGGATGCGCGACTGGATGACCTTCTCGTCGCTCACGTCGTCGTACACCCAGTAGTCACGAAGCACGTTCGCCTCCTCGGCCAGTGTTCGCTCCTCGGGATCATCGGAATTCTTGATGACTAGGCGGACATCGAAAACGCGCATCGCCCGAGAGTACACGGTCTGGCCGGAGGATTCGTCCAGAACTCGTACCGTCTGGTAGGTGACAGGCTTCTTCGAGCGCTTCGAGGGGTAGATGTCGAAATGATACTGCAGACGCCGTTTCGTGTCCAGAACACGCCTAACAGAAGGGTCGATACCAAGCTCGTGATACGGCGCGTAGGTCATGAAGAGGATGAATTCGAAGAACCATCCCTCGTCATGCTTGGAGTACATCAGTGCGATGATGGGGTTGCAGGACATTAGACTCACGTTGTAGATATCAATCTCGGTCGTGACTGCTGAGTGGGATCGCGTATGGAACCAGATCCGCAGTTTCGAGCGTTCAATGGTGTACGTGAAGACAGCGAAGCGGCCAATGTCGTTCTGAAAGATGTGGCCCTGGTGGCCGCAAACTTTCTTCTGATTCTGCGTGACGAGTGAGTCAAACGCTGATGGCTACAAGGGAGCTACTTACATCGAGCTTGTCGATGGGTTTCTCGTCCGTTTTGGATTCGCCGGCGGCGGTGACGTCGGCGGTGTATATAACACGAGGAGCCTCAGTCTCTTCTACCGAGACTTCCGGATTCCTTTTGAGATCCAGGCCGGAAGGGTACGAAGACGTCCGGCGTACAAAGAAGTTATCCATGCGCTGAGAGGACCCAGTCGTCTCGGACAGGGTAATACGAGTCGGTTGACACATGAATTCCGTGGTGCGCTTCTCCGGACTGTAGCGCTTGGGCAAGGTCTCCTCCGCCGCAGAAAGAATCTGCGCAACCACCGTTTCCAGCCCCTTGAAGTGAGCGTCCTCATTCTTGTATACGGGGTTCTTCGGGTCGGCATTGATACGTTGAGTGCGTGGCATTGGGAGGGCAGCCCATTCATTGGTGCTGGGGTGGAAAGCAGACGCTTTGGTGAGCGCCCGAACCAGATTCGTCCTTTGCGAAGAAGAAAGGAGCTTGTGCTTGGGTGCGTAGGTCGCGAAGAATAGGTTCGGCTGGCAGGCACGAGTTCTGCCTCTCGCAGCGTTATCGCGATGCCGCTTGCGGGTCTGTTCCAGGTTCTCCATGTCGTAGTAGTCAGCGCTTATAAAGCGAGGCTTATGTGGTGTAAATAGGTGACCGGTGGCGGCGTTGGGTAGGCTGCGAGGTTTGCGACGCCTGCGAAGTTCCATGATGAGCAATAGCGCGCGAGTGGCACAACGAGGGGGGACGGGGAAAAGATTGAGAGTACATGGAGGCAGAGTACATACCTTTTGTACTGTAGCGCACGTGAGTCAAAAAGCTAGCGCGGGAGAACAATGGGATGCCCTCGAGTTTGCGATGGTGGTGGCCAAAGTCAAGATGAACAACATACCGCACGTGCATTAGACCGTTCCGCGCGGCAATTGCCGGCCGCGTTGCAGGAACGTGACAAGACCCATAATTTGGCAAATGCCCGCGCTCACAGAATCTGAGAGTACTCTCTAGTTCGCTTGTCGACTATACAAGCTGTGGCTGCCAATCGCTTGCTCCTTAAGATTTTCGTAGAATGTCGCAGCGTCCACGGCGTCCTTGTGATTTGACGCCGGCGCCACGTGCGCGGGATCAAAATGCAGCAGAGTAACAAACGCCTCAACCCGAACGCTCGGGTTCGCCGCACGGTCGTTATCCTTCAAGTCTGTGGAAGGCTATTGACCTATCCCCAAAGAGATGTCACCCGCGCGCTGCCTACGAATACCGGACTTTGCACGTCATATGTGCGAGCACTTGCGGGAAGAAGGCCTTCTCCGATCACTGGTTTCGTTTGCCCTGACAAGCAGAACCGTTTGCGAGATCGCCCTCGACATCCTTTGGGAAAAACAGGATAGCCTCGTTCACTTTGTCCGGGCAATCCCTCAGCACAAAATGCATCGGCACACATGGCAGCGGGAATTTGTGCGTTACATTCACTTCCATTTTCGGTAAATGTTGAGTACTCACCCTCGATCACGCAGCGTCTTGAAATCGAAGGCAGCATAACGGACGAAGACTGGGACCGTGTCCAGACCTACGCGCGCCGTGTCAAGAGCCTGCGTCTCTCATTCAGTGGCAATTCAGATTACGGCAACTGGCGATATTTTGTGGCAGAAGAGACCGTCGACTACTTGGGCCTCTGCGCCGGCGAAGCGCCCATTTTCCCCAATCTGCAAGAGCTAGATTTCAGAGGAGGCGATGATGACCCAAGCACGCGCGACCTTGCGCTTCTCCCCGCGTTCCTCAGCCCCACGCTCCGCTCCTTGATCATATGCCCTCGCATAAGCACGCAGACCTTGAAGCTGCTGCCCACCATCCCATCGACGTGCCCCGACTTACACGAGATACGTATCGAGGACCCTCCGCGAAGGCAATACGCCAAACCGCGCAAGATGAGGCTGCCCTACGAGAAGACTATCGTGGGCTGGCGTGCGCTGACTTGGGTCGCGATCGACGACGCGCATCCAGACACTCTGCGCCACCTCAGTCAATTGCCAGACCTAAAGATCATGGACCTCACGATCACCGGGGAGTACGAATACGAATGGACACCCGCAACGACGCCGGGCTTCGTGAACGGGCTGAAGCGCCTCTCACTCTGGCTGTCGGCGTCGTGGCATCCGATATTCCTCATCCGCGCTATGTCCAGCACGCCTATCGCAGTCGAGAGGGTCAACGTCAATGTCGCTGAGAACCCTTCGGAGGACGGCGACCGCGCCAGGCTACACAATCTCAACACCATCGCGCAGATGATCGCCCCAGACTCCCTCACTCACTTCCGCTACAACCACACGCACGAGAAGGAACCTCCCGCGCAGAAGGCCCTGCCGGGCGGAGACGCTCGTTCAGTTCGCGAAGTTCACGCGGATGAAGGAGTTCCACGTCGACGCCCGCTTCGACGTCCAGGATACCCATTACGCGACGCTCGCTGCGGCCTGGCCGGACCTGGAATGCCTGTACATCCACCCTCAGCAGCCTTTCGAGTGGAAGCGGATTTACCCTCTCACGGGAGCGACGCTCGCCTCCGTCGCATCCTTCGGGCAATCCTGCCCCTTTCTGCACGAGTTCAAGGTGGATGGCCTCGACGCCCGAGTGGTTCCTCCCTTCGAACCAGCACCCCCTGGCCATGCTCCTGGCAGGGTGGTCAAGTTCGAGCACTATAACTGCCCCATCAAGGACTCCGCCGCCGTAGCGGGTTTCTTGCACGCCGCCTTCCGTGGCAATCCGCGCATATCTCTCCCGTTCTACATAACGGAGGTGCGACCACCATATACTTCGAGATGGAATGCCGTGGCACCGATACTCGATGATCTCCAGCAATACACAAATCCGTATGAGGTGAGCCCTACAGTCCTCAATGTGTGTGTACGATGCTGATGTTTTGTAGATGGTCCAAGCCTCTCCTGGCAGCAGCATCTGGTTCTTGAAAAAGAAGAAGGGCATGGAGGATTCTGCAGAGTAGCCAAGTGTCGCAGCGCTCCTCCTTTTTCACACGAGTCCACTACTACCATTCCTCTTGAATGAACATCATGCTCTTGCTGTGTCCAATAGGGACTCCGTCAGTCGAAGTGGAAGCCACGAAGACATTCGGGCCCGGGAGCGACTGCACGTTCCTGTCACTGTGACCGACTCCATCACGCGAAGCCCAGCGATTGTTGTACCAATAACACAGGCGATTCAGCTACTGGCGGAAAGTCGATAGAAGCTGGAATATGGTAGTGTAACAAGGTCTGCAAGGATGGCATAAGACGCCGACATACGCACCGCTCATTCGTCAGACTCACAATATACTCTACATAGCAGGCGCGGTGGCGCAGTTTCATAGCGAAGATTTATAAATTACTTTTGACCGAAGACTGCACGGACACCGTAAGCATACTGTGCCGCAAGCCATAACAACGAGCGCACCTCAAGCTATGCTGGTCCTTTGTTTCTGCAAGCACTTCACCCGTTTCTGCAGCGCAGCCCATAAGACCGCAGAATGAGAAAGGGACCCCGGCTCGAGGGGTATATCGATCTGCTTCTTGCCCTTGAATACGGCCAGGATAAAGTCAGCTATCGCGTGTGCATCGCCATGCATTGCAGAGCCTTCAAGATGCAGGCATATGCGCGGGGCTGAGCATTGATGACTGAGCGATGATGGCGGGAGAGGCGGGATGGACGTTGCGTCAACGACAAGTTGAAGTCGCGAAAGCAGAGGGCAATATGCGGCAAAGGACGACAGTGAGGCTAGAGTCAGGGATGAGGCGCGCGGTAGTCGTTGATCGCTAGCACATTCGCGTGCACCAAGCGAGAAATACTCCAATTGCGGCCACGCTCGCGCGAGCGTCGCAATGTCCGCGTCAGTGACGTCCGACTCGCATGCAACCTCGAAGTGGACCATGTTGGGACAGCGAGAATAATCGATGATGCTGGAGGAAGAGACAACTGGCCATGCATCCGCCGGATAGAGTCCTTTGTGTTCCTGCGTGTACACAAATTCGCGCAACATGGAAAGGTCCAGCAAGCCTGCCAGCTCCTCAAAGCCCCCCTCTGCCTCGGTGCTGCGCGCAATCCACGCTCCGCTCTCGACCTCGACAGAGAAAGACCCGAGCGCCAGCGGCGCACTCGACATGGCCCGCATTAGGGACGCCACCTTCGAGGGGTACTCCGTTCGGATAGCCAGCCGCTCCAGCCTCTCGAATCCCGGCCGCGTCGCTGGCACCCAGCTGTCCTCTGCGTCGAGGGTCAACCTGAGCGACCGCAGCGATGCCTGGCGGCTGACATGCGCGAGGCTGCCCGTGATCGTACACGGTATCTCTGCGTGCGTGACCGAGCGCCAGCCCAGAATTTGGTCCAGCGCGGCGAGCGCGCTGATGGCGGGTCGGCTCACACCTTCGAGCGCCATTGACTCGAGGTCGGGGCACATGCAGGGGAGCGCGGGCAGGAGGTACCCATGGTCTTCATCGTGCCAGAAGTGGATGCGCAGCGAGCGCAGAGTGGGCCCGACGAAGAGGCGGAGATAACGCTTGTAGGCGGGCTCGTAGCTGAAGTTGAGGGTCCGAAGGTTAGGGAAGAGGCGGGAGCCGGCGGCATGCGAGAAGAGCGTCTCTAGAACGCTTCTGTGCACGGTCGGCCGCCGGACGCGTTCAACGCAGCTGAGGTTGCACGAAGGTATGGAGAACTTCTTGACGCGCCGTGCGTAGGTTTGTCCACGCTCCCAGTCCTGCGGCGAGATGTCTGAAGGAATCAGCTAGATTCGAAGATCGTCAGCATGAATCAACGACTGCATAGAGTATACATTACCTTCCTCCCGTGCCGCTGCAGATCATCCCCAGGTAGATGACAAGACAGCACCGTCGTCAGCCCAACCAGTGAATACTGCTCATCCCACAATACATCGAGTGCGGGCTCGCACACAGATCTGCAACACAACGCAAACACCGCCAATGATTTGTGGCACTCCGCATCTCTGAGCTCCGCGCAGATCAGCAGTACGAGCTCCGGGATATGCAAGCAGCGCAAAGTCGTCGAAAATCGCCTGGAGGACATGGGTGAGCAAGCAGGGAGGTGAAGGTGGAGAGCAAGGGGATAAGTGCGACAAGCACGGACGAAGGGAGGCGCTGAGGAAACGGAAGAACCCACCTCGGTCCTTCAGCAAACCATCCGGCAGGTCGGTTGTACTCGCCTGGGATCTACCTCCGCCTGCGATGTGGGCCAGCTGCCAAAATGAGTAATTCCGGTGAAGTCTATCCTCCTATAGAGGCACGGACCGCGAATCCGGGTCATCCTCGAAGCCAGGAAGTAGTGCGCCACCAGACGCAAGCAAACCCGTTCATCCGAAATAATGTTCATGTCTGTCAGATGCGAGTTGGCAAGTCCGTAAGAATTTGTGTGTGTATGCGACAATAATTAGTATCCAATAAGTATAACAAGGGATGCATGTGCAAGGGTGGCAAAAGCAAGAGGATGAACGAAAGCGGAGGAGGTTAGACGGGTGGTAAGGATACAAGGCGGATCGGAGGTCCATGGAAAGAGCCGCGGTGTGTAGACTTGGGCTTTTACCGACGCAGCTTAAAGTAGAGAATGATACTGATCAGGGCGAGGAAGAATACGCCGATGAGGGCGAATATGACGCGCTGCCTGTACATTCTGCAGGATAAACGGTGTCAACAAGGCCCGTCTTTCAGCCAAAACCAGGGAAACGTACTGCCGAATCATCCTCTTCATAATCCCTGAGGAGCGATCGATGTTGGTGTCCGCTGTATGAAGCTACGCGAGGTCGCCTTAGCCTCACCCCTATCATGCTTAGCCCTTTTGCACTCACCGTGTCACTCGCGTGTACAATCTGCTCTCTCTGGCCCCGCAGGTTTCTCAAGATCTCCGCGCCCACTTCTTCCGTCCTGAGCGCCACCCTAGTGGAGTCTTCAAGCCTCGCGCTGCCCTCCTCGAGCGTCTGATGTCCTGCCAGCAGACGTGTGCGCTCGTCCGGCTCGGCAGTAGACCACTGATCATTTCGCTGCAGCAGCTCGGCTCGCGTAGCGCTGTGGTAGAGGTCGCGAGATTGCTTCTTGCAAGCAGTGAGAGTAGCTTTGGCTGCGCGAACGCGCGAGACGTAGGCAGGTTTGCTGCGCTGCGTTTGGGGTATGTGGGATAAGAGCTCTTCGAGGTGGCTCAGCTAAGAAGGCAAAGTATCAATATGACTGCAAGAATGCGGACCAGGTAGCGCACCATATCATCCGCCTCGTCCATCTCCAGCTCCGCCCTGCGGATGGAGGCCTTGCGCTGCTCTATTCGATCGTCAGCGTCGGTGTGGGGATCGCGCGTGGGGAACTCGCCTATTCCCTGCGACGTCGCAGCGGAGAGCTTGCCCTGGATTGAGAGGAGCAGGCCATTGAAGTCCTGCTCATACGACTCGAACAGCGTCACTTCCGTAGACATGATGGTAGGTCCAGCGCGAGTTCGGCTATTGCCGAAGACCGGTTGATCAACTTCAGAGTCTTCAACTCAACTTCAACTTGTCTGCGACATCGGCTCACACAAATCAGCCAACCCCGTTCGGAGAGCATTTCATTCGCTGAGCTTGCTATCAGTCTGATTTTAAGCCCTTTCTATCTAGTCTGCGTGTGGCATGCGGTCTAACAACAATTCTCTCTAAGTAGGAACTATCTACACGATGTGCTGGATCCCCCACTCGTACACGCCGAGGAATACTGCGCCACCAGCCGATATCCACATCGTGCGCGGCACAATACCCGAGAATAGCGCCTTCACGCCCTCCTGCGCAATTATAGACCTGGCTCGTTGGGTCAAGGAAGGAAGATGCTCCTTGCCGACCTGATTAGAGAGAGGAAGGTGAGATACGCTCTAACAATTCATGCTCGTGACCTACTCTCGTATCCAACATCGTACGCGTCTTCAACACATCCAGCGGAGTGGTCAGCGCCGCGGATATGCCGCCCGCGACGCTTCCGCACAACGCTGCTTCATAAGCTGGTAAACGCTCTTGACCGAGCGCCTTCGCCGCCGTCCGCTTGAAGAACTCATACATAGGGAACTGTAGTGCGGTGAAGGGAATCTGGGAGCAGTTGCGTGAGTAACAATGTTGTTTCCGAATACGAAGCAACCCCCGCCGCACTCACATCGCGCACGAGGGTCGTCCCGAAGCCACGAAACAGCCCTCGGGCACCTTCGTGCTGGAGCGTAAGTTTGAGCGCGCCGAAGGAGGACTTTCCCTCGGGTCCAAAGGTCATGGTCTGTGTTCGTGTCTTGATGACCTCGACGGGGACGCGGACTAGACAGGCTGCCTGGAATTCATGAGGGGATGCTTTGGATGGTTAGAACACGCGCCGTACCGTCTCTCCAACGGATGCGGATACCATATGTGCGAGGGGGGCGAGGTGATCTGGGAAGGGGAGGTTGTGCTTCATGAACTCGTATGTTGAGAAAAAGAGGGCGGCTGGGATCGCTCGATTAGCAATGTATAATGCAGGTAATGCGTTACGTACCGCCAGGAGCGCTGCCTACGACCACACTACCAAGACCCTTGTACACGCCATGAAATCCCCCAGCCTTTACGAAGCCCTGGGGTGCTTGCAATCGCGTCTTCAAGGTGTCGAGCGGAAAGAACAGGATGTCGACCGAGGTGCCGGCCATCCCCCCTGCCTTGAAAGCAAGTCAGCGTGTTAGATCTCGACGACAGTACACTCACACATAGTGCCTGCACAAAGCTTGGTGGTTTATGCTCCGATGACATGGTCGCCTCTTTCAAGGCCTCTCCGGTGGGTTGCGGACCGTGAACGAGCGCCTATTTAGCAAGCGGTCGATCGGGCCGTTTGTCCGGCCACGTGCCTTGGACACGTCTGGCGCAGTCGCCTGCTGCTCCTGCATCTCAACACCGAGCAAGAGGATGCGCGCCTTCGGATTGTTAGCGCTGCTGCTGCTGCTGCTAGTGCCCCTTGCGCTCGCGGCCAAGGCCGCGCTCAGCCCTCACGAGCAACTGAAAGCGCTCGCCGACGCGAGCGACGGCGTCATCCGCCTCGATGACAAGACGTACGACCTGCTCACGGCGCCGCAGCGCAACTGGTCCGCGACGGTGCTGTTCACTGCGATGGACAAGCGCAGACGGTGTGGGCCGTGCAGGTGCGTAGGGGACGCGAGGGAACGAAGGATGCGGGGAGCTGATAGCATGTCACAGGGAGTTCGATCCCGCGTGGAACGCGGTCGCAAAAGCCTGGAGGAGCGTGCCGGAGGAGCAGCGGGACGAACACTTCTTTGCGGTCATTGACTTTGATGAGAACCCCGCGACCTTCACCAAGGTACGTGTGTAGCGAATTACGCGCGAATGAGGTCTAACGCGCAACTTACAGCTGAAGATGGCTTCCGCGCCAGCCGTGCACGTATATCTCCCCACTAGCGGCCCCCGCGGCACATCCCGCTCTGCCCCCATCTCCTACGACTTTTCTCAGTAAGCCCTTTCCCGCCCCATCCTCGTCTTCCCCCTCTCATCCCCGCCCAGAGGTTTCGAACCTGGCCCGCTTGCCGCCCAGCTCTCGCGCCACACGCCCGTCCCCATCCCCTACAAGGACCCTTTCAACTGGGGCAAGCTCTTCCAGACGATCTCCATCATTCTCTTCGGCATCCTCGCGCTCCGCTGGATCGGGCCCATCCTCGCCAACCGCTGGGTGTGGGCCGCAGGCACAATCGCAACGAGCCTGGTGATGACGGGCGGGTACATGTTCACGAAGATCCGGAACGTGCCGTACGTGGGCGCGGACGGTGGCTGGATTGCGGGCGGATACCAGAACCAGTTCGGACAGGAGGTGCAGGTCGTGGCCTTCCTGTGTAAGTGGTATAATCATGCGAGCGGGCGGACACTAACACAGCTGCAGACGGCTTCCTTGCTTTCTCGTTCGTGATGCTCATCAATGTCGTCCCGCTGCAAAAGTCGGTCAGCCGTCAGACGACGCAGATTTACATTTGGACCGCGGTCATCTTCATCCTCTACTCGCTGTTGTTCTCGCTCTTCAGGATCAAGAACAGAGGTGCGCTCAAGCTGATAGATCGACTTACTTCCTACTTACGTGCTCTCAGGATACCCATTCAAGCTTCTTCTGTAGACCTAGCAGCGATTGCGGAATGTATACGGCTGGGCATCATGTTGGCAACCGAACGTGCACGATGTCGCAGCTCTCGTCGTCAAAAAGAGTATCATCGTTTGATTGAGAAACACAGCGACGTCCTATGTCGTGGTATCTCGCACTGCGGGCTACAATCTGGAGTGTCGGACGCTCGGTGCAAAGTCGCCGTGTCATGGAAATGCTAGTAGAGTAGTCACTTAGGGTGACAGTCACAGTTCGCTTACGCTGTACACGTGAGATTTCGGCATTTGCCGCCCAAAGTCGGCCCGCGTGGTTTGTGTTCTATCTTGTTTTCAGCCACCTTCATCTCTGACTTTGTGGTCAACCCTACTACCCTTGCCCGTCCGCTTCCTTGCCTAGTCAATATACTGAAGCATAGGGTGCGTAAAACGAATTACCTCTTGCCCAATTCCTTCGCCACACCACTTGCGCCGCTATTGCCAGTGCTGACTGCCCAACATAGTTGATCTGCCACTATTTCACACTACGCGCTATCACCACACAGAGCCAATCCTCAGGAGCATCCCTATTCAAGGCATGGGATCCGGAGACGACCAGCACCGCGACAGGGCCGCCCACGGCAGAACCCGCATGTGCAAACCTCGCCTTTTCTTCGCGACATACGTTTCGAAGCACAAGACCCTCAATAGCAAAACGCGGAATGCGCTACTTAGGAAACTCACAGAATCACATAGCATTGACCCCATCACCCAAGAATGGTCTGCACTCCCGATGCCACGGAGGCGTCCAATCGGCGACAACTTGAGCGGGCCCCCGCACAGGAAAGAGAAAGAGCACTTCCAGCACCTCGGATCGGTCGTCGAGCAGATTCTCTCTGCGGCGGAGGAAGTTCTCCCCGACAGCTATAGCCCGGACAAGCGCACTACGGATTTCATCTGCCGCCCTTACCGTATGTTTTGCTCCGAGTCTGACGGATCCTGGACATCCATCGGCTGCCTCTTTTTACGCAAGCAATCTTCGTACCCACCTGGATTCGACTTCGAGAAACATCCTCAGGCCACAGTCAAGGGTGCCGGCCGCCACATCTACGCCGCCGATCTCACTGCCGTTGGGGAGTTGAAACACACCGAATCAATCGACGACAAGCTCGACGTACGTAGTGATTGGTTTCCTCTGGATATCTATTTAACCTACGTGTCACGCAGAATGAGATACGGGTCTGCGGTCACCCAGCTCTTCTCTTCTGGAACTCCGATGATCGCGTCGGCGTCTTCAGCTTCACCATCGAATGCTCAAAGTTGCGGATATGGTACCATACGCGGTCACACTCGGCATTCACGACAGAAATTGATATCTATGAGGTGTGTTTTAGTGCTCTCGCCTAGTTCGACGCTCAATTCACTTGTAGGACAAGCGATGGTTTATTGAGTTCTTGCTCTTCAGCACCTATGCGTCCCTTCCCGAGCTCGGCTTCGACCCCACCGTCAGGCTTGTTCTGGACGAGAACCGTGAACTGCAGTACCAGTTCGACCTTTATGTGTCCGAGACCGCGCCCAAGCCCGTCACATATCAAACGACGGGCCGCTTGAGCAATGACTACTATCAGCTCGTATATTGCAAAGCCACATGTGTCTACGAGGTCCGCCTTGTCATCAAGAACTCCGACAATCCAAAGGAACGGCTGCTCGCCGAAGAGAAGAACGTCCTTCGGGACTGCTGGGTGCACGACGAAGTCGACGATGAACTCGACATCCAACGGGATATCCAGCAGCGTATGATGAAAGTTCCCGCCGTCTGGAAGAGGGCCGAAAAGCACTTTATGACAATTCTGCACGACGGTGTTGTTCGCTTTCCAGCGGCCCATGGCAATGTTGACTGCACGGTGCCGGGGCCCCCGTCGGATTCGGAATACTTTCCCTACGTGGGTACGCCCTCCTTCTGCTGGACGACGCCTCCTCTGCCTCGTTTGGACTCGAAGAAGCGATGCCGTACCGTTTACAAGCATCAATGCATGGAGCTTCTGGATATCGATGACCCGGCGCTGTTCTTTCTCGCAATGACAGAGGTTGTTCAAAGTGAGTCTTGAACAAAGCAACCGCGCTGCAGAACACTGAACATGGGTTTGTAGTCTTGCACTCCTTCAAGGTCACTGGCGACATCCATGGAGACGTTAGTCCGCGCAACTTCCTTCTCCGTCATCTCTCAAATCCGTATCCAAACATCGCATCACCGATTACTCGCGCCGCGTTGAGTGAATGGGTGACCATTGTATCCGACTTGGAGAACTCTCGGCAGTACAAGGACAGTTCTGGGCATGACCGGATCGTGGTAAGCCTTCGGCACAACGCTCGTCGTCTGAGCTTTGTTGATTGACTCACAGGGAACTCCATTTTTCACCGCCATTGAGGTGCAAGCCCGTCAGTACGAGCACACTAATGGCAGGCCTCTCATCAACCTCAGAGCCTTGAACGATAGGCGATCCAAGCCTGAGGAAGATCCTTTCGAAAAATTCGCCTTCAACCCCTACCATGATCTTGAGTCCGCCTTATGGATGGCTATCCATTTCGTCATACTCAAAATGCCGAAATCGATATTGTCCGGCGACGCGGCTCGCGCAGAGGAGGCCGCTTCCGTGCTGCGGGCATACGCCAATCAGTTGTTCACCTATGCAGTCGATGGATCTCGCTCGCGCACCATGCATATGACAGATATGCGATTGACACAGGCCCTCTTCGATGCCCTGCACAAGATATATGACAAGTCGCTGGTCCCGAATGTCGTCGTGCTCATTCAGAGCTTGCGCGATGCATATGCTGAGCTGGAGAAGCCCAACGCTCGAATAATGCGGCTCCCCAACGGACGATGCATATTTCACCCCGATCTCTTCCAGGACGATATCTACGAAGAGTTCGAGCAGACCTTTCGCGAGATCAGGGACCACTATCTTGAACAACCCGGGATGTTTGTCGACGTCCCTCCTTACAGTCCTCCGCCAAAGCCCTCGGTATCGCCAACGCCCCCTCGCCGCGTACTGCGGCCTGGGAAACGGGGAAAAGTGAAGCGCAGGGCATCACCGCCTACCAGTGACGAAGACCATGATCTAGGAGGCGCTGGCGAGGACTCAGGCGAGACTGTGGTGGCTCAACAACCCTCCGCGGAAGCGCGTAACGCTAGAGGTCGCAAGCGTGCAGCACCCAAAAACAAGAGCGAGCGACCAGCCAAGCAGCGGCGCACGGACGTTGAGCGAGCGGACAACCACCCAGGGCAAAGACGCTCTTCCCGCATCAGGGAACAGAAGGCGCGACAGAAGTCGAGCGCAGGCCGTCGATGAGGCCTTGGGAAGCACTGAGGTAGTTGTAGATTGCTATGGTAATGTATACTGAATCGCCGCTTTCCGAAGGGTGTTCGCAACCCATTGCCATTGAAAGCAGGACGAACTGTTGGCGGTAACTTGATACTGGATAGCCCGTCAAGCACTCAAGGAGTCTGATTGACCGTCTACTGTCCTATAAGCGCCCTTGCCTCGCATATCCCTAGCACTTTTCCCCGTATTTCTGCCCACTTTTGTAGAGTCGGCGAGCGACTCAGATATTCTATCCCATCGTCGACGGTAATGGTGACCCTGTCATGGGAGACGGCACAGATGAAGTTCGCGGCGGCGTCGACGTCTTCTACAGGCGAAGAGATGATGTTCAGCTGTAGCGACGTATGATTGGTGGGCCCCGCATTGCTTGGCGACAAGGGAGGTGCTTGTATATTCGTCGCATTCAGCAAGAGCTCGAGGGCGGTGAGCGACGGGCAATGCCGCGCGAACGGCAGCAGAACTGACAGCGTCAGCTTGCTTTCCGCGACTGACTGAGAGGTCGAAGGCCAGACATGCAAGCGAAGGGCAAGCAGACGAGGCCAAGCAATGGCCAGTGCTGCCATGTCGTTGTCTGTCACATCGATCAAACAGTCGCCGATTGCGAACTCCGTCATGTTGGCGAACCGACGATATTGCAGAAGACAAGCAGGTGGAACGGACTCTGGTACTGGTAGGAAGCTCGGGCCAATTGATCTTTCGAAGTATGACACGCTCTGCAAAGTTGATGCATCACATATCTGAGCAATGGTGTCGAGGTTACGCTGCCTGTGACCGTCGTCCGCGGAGGGGGGGCAGGAGAGGAAGACCGACTTCACTGCCAGAGGGGGAGCAGACAAGGACATCAGAATCCGCGATACTTCTGAATGAGACGCGTGCAAGATTGCGATGGACTGGAGTCGGGTGAAGGATGGGTGCGTCGCAGGCTTCCAGTCATGAGAGTACATCACACCCATCGACAAGTGACGAAGGTTGGAGTGCTGTCCGAGGTAGCGCAGTAATTCTGGATCCGCATCAGGGATACTGGCCGAGACCAGTGACGGCCAGCCCCGATAGAGGTCACGTATGGCGTTCTGCACGTCCTGATTTTGCTCATCAACCTGCCGCGTTTGGTGAGAGTATTCTAAGCCGGGATAGTTGGCCTGCCACTCTGAAGCGTCGGCGTAAAAAACATCCCATGCTGCCTCAAAGGTGGTGAGTTGAGGGCACCTCGAGGGTAAGCTTCCCAGCATGAACAGATATTCGAGATAGGCGCCTGGTCGTAGTCTCAATTTTGTGAGGGCCGGGCCCACGAACATAGGGATGAATGACTGGAGGTTCGCATCCATGTCATGCAGATCGAGTTCCTGAAGGTTGGGGTACACCGGCGAGCCACCAGCACGAAGCATGAGTACCTTCAGGGTCTCGGCCGTAACACCCAGACCATCATCTCCCAGAGACCAGTGGGAAGCGGGTCCCAAGCGTAGAACTCGGACGCGTCTAGCGTAAGTTTGAGAGCGATCCCAACTTGCTTGCGAGATGAACCCTTTGAGTTTCTGCCATACAAATTGGTTCAAGGTACTTCTCGACGAACGATGACTGTTACGACGTACCAACGATCGCAATTCATGGTTCTGCTGGACAACTTCGCACTGAGGGAAGGTAAGGACCAGAGGTGCTACGGCATCCTGCTCTTTCCAGAGGGAATCTAGGGCAGGCTGGGAAGTCGCAGAGCTGGTCGAGGCAAGCGCGGCTAAAGTGACCCAAGATTCAGTCTGACGGAGTTCCTCGCATATGTGCATGAGGATCTCTGTAACTTGCATACACTGGGTGCTCATGTCAAGCTGCGACATAGCAAAATGAACCTGCAGGGTAGAAGGAATCTTTGACAGTGACCGCAGAAGACAAGCAGGCCCGACAGAAACCCACGCCAAACCCACGCAGTGTCACTCGGTCCGGAATCCGCAGGCCAGCAGGGCTAGATATTCCTTGAACAAGCACTCCGCTTAAATAATTTACTCTTTATAAGGACTCTAAAGCTCATCCGGCCGGTTATAAGCTAAGCATTTTATGACAGTGAAATCGTCCATAGTCCATGAAGGGAGAGGCCTACGTCTATGCTACAGTCTCGAGGAAGACATCTGAAGCCCGCTCATTGCCCAGGTTGATTGAATACGTCCACGTAGCGGCTTCGCGCAGGACGCTTCGACGCAGATGACCGCGGGCGCCCAGGTGGCGGGGTCCCAGGCGGAGCAAGCATCGAGCTGGAGCTGCTGCTGCCCGGTAACGGCGACCCCGGAGTGGGCGGCCCCTCGGGCGTAGGCACCAGATTCGAGCGCACTCGAGGGATGGTCTTGCCGGGTGGTGGTCCGGAAGCCATGTCCGCCACCGACGCCGCGCGCGCTGGGGGGCGCGTACCACTCAGAGGAGGTGCCGCTGTCATGCGCGGATTGTGATTCATCATCATCCCCGGCGACGCCGTCTGCGCGCGCGGTGGAGGCGGGGGCGGAGCAGCCGGTTTGCTGTCGTTGCCGCCAGCCTGTCAAATACATGAGTGACACGCAAATGCGGATCGACAGGTTACTCACATTCTTGTTGACCCACCGCTTCTGCTCCTTATCGTAGTAGAACGATACCTCCTCTCCGAGGTTCGCCTTGATGGGACCCTGCCCCTGCCCCTCTGAACTCTTTCTCCAAGAGAACGGCCACCAGCTCGACCGGGAGGAACCACCAGAGGAAGATTGCTGCACTGGCTTGGGATCTGGCCGCTCTGCCGGCTTCTCGGGCTCAGGCTTCCTCTCCACCTCCTCGGACCTCCTCTCCTTCTTCGAGTTGCCGAAGCCAAGGTCCTCCATGTCTTCCTCATCATACGCGTTGTTGCGCGGCGGATCCGTGTTGCGGAAGCTCATTGACGATGGTGGCGCGGAGAACGGCGTAGGGGCATTGTCCATCAGCGAGATGAAACCGTCCGTCTGCGGCACCTGAAGGCCCTCGTTCAGGTGGACGAAGTTCGACGCCTTCGGAGTCTGCGACGACTGCTCGGTGTTGCTATACGAGCCCGCGCCCCACCAGGTCACTTCTTGGCCCTGGTCCTGCTGGTCTCCCTTGTCCGTCTGCGGCGACGGCTCGTCCTGAATCGGACTGAGCGCGCTCGCCGCGTAGGGGTTCGGCGAGTGTCCATACGGCGCCCCGTAGCTCACACTGGCCGACGCCGTGCGATTCAGCGGGGGAGGAGCAGTGCGCCGCACTTCCGCAGCTGACGAAGAGCGTCCTGGGGGCCCGTATCCGTTCATACCCTCGTTTAGATTGGTGACCGAGGGGTTGGGCGACGGCTCCGTCGAGGACAGTGTGCCGTACAGCGCGAAAGGTCCAGAGAAGGCCTCTGACTTCTTCGGCTCGGGCTCGCTCTCCCCGTCGCCGTCCGCACCAGCGACAAGGGCCGTGAGGCGTTTCTCGAGGAAACCACCGACGGACGCCAGACTGGGCTTGCTGATCTTACCGCCGATCCAGGACGCCGACTTGTCGCCCTCTGTGCAACCTGCAAGGCGGTCCGACAACTCCTTGAGCTGCTCGAGCATTGTCCGGGTGTAGAATGGCGACGGTTGCGCCAACATAGACGAAATGGCCTCGCAATACCTGAGCACGTTTTAGCAAGCGCAACGACAGGCAATCTCAGTATTTCTACTCACCTCTGTGCGAGCTGCACCTCCCCAAGTTCCGCCAGCGTAGCCGCGCGCAGCAAGCGATACGCCTGCATATGCGGGAAGCCACGGAACGGTTCTTGACCCTTAATAGGTGTGGCTAACGACATGGCGAACTCCCCGATTTCCGAGAAGACGACCGCGTCCGGATCCTTATCGAAGTTCGGCAGGGCCTGAGGACCACGAGATCCAAGGAGGACGATACGAGCGCCTGGCACAGTCAACCCGCCGATGGGCGACGTGAGAGGCGAGAGTAGGTAGCTATTCAAGTATAGTGAGTACGTTGTCGTACCAATTAGAAAGGTCAAACTGACCATGCATGTGCCGCCTCGACCCATCCGTTAAGTTGCAGCTGGTCGCCAAACGCCGTTATGGCTGCAGAGACATCCGGGGACATGTTACTCGAGTACATCATCGCCAACGTGTCCGCCCACTTCGCGAGCGCCTCTTCACAGATGTGTGAGGAACCCGCGGGGAGGGAGAAGTTGGGTGCCATGGGAGTAGCGCCATTCGACGGAGGTGGCAGACCAGTTACAGCGGCTTGAGCTAGCAAGTTAGGAGGGACCATCTCTTGTACTGGGTGGACGAGTAAGCATTACGATGAAAACTATGATACGACCATTATTACCTGAGGCTGGACCCTGTCCAGAGTACAAGCGGTACGCCACGCGCAAGCTCTCGTATCCATTGGAGACAGCAGGCTTGGCCGAAAGGTCATCCGAGCCCTTGACGCCGAGTTCGCCCTTGAGGAACTCGTTGACGACCTCCTGCCACGCCTCCTTGTCCAGGCTGCTTGCGATGACCATGGCATGCGCCCAAAGCTTCTCGTCCAGTGCCAAGTTATATGCCGCCCGACGCTCGCCTTTCCGGAGGAAATCCTGAATCTTGTCAAGGGTCGACTTGCGCAAGGACACTACAGACAGAGGGGCCTCGCTGCTAGAGTCCGTCGAGATGCCAGGGACGGTGAAGGAATGGGCTGCTGCATCGGCAGGCGTAGTGAAAGAGTACGCGCTTGGCGACGGTTCGCCAGAAGCGTCCGCGGGGTACATGTGAGGTAACAAAGCTGCGCGGATGGCGCTCTCGTGCTGAGGGCTATAGCAAGGTCAGGACGTGCATCACTCCTGGGCGACGACAACTCACACTCCCGTCAGCTTGCCATCATGCTCCACCATAACTTTGAGCAACTTCAGCAACACCAACTTCCCCTCAGCACGCCTCCCCTCCACGCTCTCGCTATGCAAATACGCAATCCCGCGCGCTAGCTCCTCAATCCGATCCGTCAAGTATTTGAGCACCGCTGTCTTCTTCGCCTTCGCCACCGACGCGCTCGTCTTCACCAAACTCGTCGCCGTCGTCGCGCCCGGGTCCCCTATCAGAGGACCCGGGAACACCGACGTCGGGAAGTCAAGCGCGGACTCGGGCAGCAGCTTCGTGAGCGTCTGCACGCGGACGCCGGTCTGGTTGCGCGCAGCGAGTGCGACGTCGAAGCCTGTGTTGAGCGAGTCGCCGCCATGGAAGCACGAGACGAGTTTGCCTCCAAAGCCGAAGCTGATGACGGGCGCGCGAGAAGCCGTGCGTCCCAGGACGTCGTTCGTACCCAGCAGCGAGGGCGAAGGGGCATATTGCGAGATTGTAGGCTTGACCGTAAGCTCCTGTGCGCCTGATGGAGCAGCCAGAGCATCGTTTGAGGCATATGGCGCGTACCCATACGGTGACGCGCCATTGCTGCCGTAGGCACTGGACGCCTCGTAGTGGTTTTGCCTATTCGGCGCGTACGCATCCTCGGGACTTAACGAGTTCACAGACCTCACCGAGCCGCTAGACATAGACCTCTCGTGTTGCGTGGCCCCGCGTGGAGGCGGAGCCATCTTTGGTGGTGGTGCATAGCGGCTCGAAGTCGTAGACCGTATGGACGAGATGGACTGTGCGCCCGGCGACGACACCCTTGCCGGAGCGGCGCCATTCGGCGGCGGCGCGTACGGGTCAAATGCAGCAGGTGCTGGAGGTGCAGTAGATGCAGGCGGGTTGACCGACGACGCTTGAGGCGAGTAGGGATCATACGGGCTTGCGGCTTGAGCAGACGCTGGCGCATAAGGCTCGTACGGAGACCTTGCAGTGGTATGCGTAACTGGAGAAGTCGTACGGTCCCCAGGCGTCGCGTACGCCATCCCATACGCACTGACGCTGTTGGCCGACGGGCTCGCCGTCCTGCTCGCTGGACGCAGGGAGCCGCGCGAGGAAGCTCGTTCAGGCACAGAAGGACTACCGTAGCGCTGTGTAAGGTCCACGGATGATCTTGGAGACCCAGACGGTGACGAGCGGTTCGACTTGGGAGGCGGCGGGCCAGCTGAAGGTCTGGTAGGAGGTGGTGATATCGTTGACGTAGGTGGCGATGGGTAGGCAAACTCAGGGTATGCTGGCACCGTGTACCGCGAAGCGACCTTGTCCAACGGCGGAGTTCCAGCGGACGAGGGTGGTAGGGGCACCGAAGTCGGCGATGTAGCATGCGCATCTGCACCTGCGTGAACTGGGGATACAGCTGCTTCTGGATCGTCTCCACCTTCCACATCGTTGAAGTGCTGTCCACCCTCAGGGTCATCGGCCTCATCGTGCCCATAACTATATCCGCCGCCCTCGGGATCGAGCGCAGCGTCGAGCGCTGTCGCACTAGCCTCCGCTTCCTGTGAAGGCACAGCTGCATGCGCAGCACTCCCCAACGTATGGGCATACGGGTCCGTAGATGCTGAAGGCTTGTACTCGGACGATGGACCCTTAGGTTCGGACGGCGACGACTCCGCCGGCGCTGAGGGTGCATACGAACCAGCTGTCGGTGCATATGACGACGGCTGATTCCAATTCTGGCTAGAAGGCCTGGGAGGAGGCGGACTTGCGTATTGCGACGGGACACTGGGCGACCGAGGTGGCGGAGGATGTGCTGCAGCCGTGGGAGGCGCATATGAGGCCGATGATGGAGGCGCATAAGGTGACGAAGTTGATGGAGGTAGGCCTGAGTATTGCGATGTGCTAGTTGGACGCGAAGGAGGGGGCAGCCCAACGACATGATTCGAACTAGTCGGGCGAGGTGGAGGTGGGCTAGCAAAGCGAGAGGTGCTAGGCGGCCGAGGCGGCGCAGATGGCGTAGACACCTTGCGGGGCGGAGGGGGAGCAGGCTGCACCGGCTGCTGCTGTTGCTGCTGGAAAGACCCATACATTGCGGGACTCGGGTATGCACCGTACGCCGAAGCCGCTGGAGCCAGTTGGGTTGTTGACTTCCGCTTGGAGACGGCTGGGATCGGTGGATCGTACGCATTCGCCAATTTGGGCCTTACAGGAGGCTGCGAGGGAGGAGGCGCAGGGGTTTCTGCTGCCGGGGTTATGTACGGTGATGTCGCGCCAGAGTATGTCGCGTATGGTGTATACGGAGAGGCCGTAGCGTTCTGATTCGCATATGGGGATGCGGTACTTCCGCTGTACGTGGCATACGGGGATGCAGTTGTGCCTACACTTGGGGTGTAGGAATTGTATTGCGGGGCCGCCGGAGACTGGAAGGCTGAGGCGGGTGGTGCATATGGGTCGTTCTTCATTTGCGAAGACGTGATGGATGGGCTCTGGTACGTGTTCTGGACCGGTTGTGTGGGAGGTCGGTAAGGATCGTAAGACGTCGTCGCGCCTGTCGACGCTGGTTTAGAGTACTTCTCGTAGCCGTATATCATCGTGGAGGGGGCGTACGCGTCCGCTCCTGGGATGGGTAAATAAGTTGTCAGTGACTACATCGGGGTTGCACTAGCGCACCTCTGTGGGTGCTCTCGGACTGCTGCTGTCCTCCAGGCTGCCATTGGTGCTGCGCATCGTAGTGCCCTTGCTGGCCGTATGTCGCTGAGGTACCGTTGGCTTGCGGTGTCTGCGCGGCAGCTGACATCGCATAGCCAGCGGGTTCGTTCCCCACTGCACTTGCGCCCTCCTGGGCATTCCCGCCGTCGTTCCCGCTCGCTATTTGATCGAAAAAGTCGCCTCCGGCGGCAGACTCGGCGCCAAAGAGGTCGCCCGCGGATGCAGCTGCACCTCCGGTGTCCTTGCTGGTATCGTTGGCCGAATCGTCGCCAAGGGTGGAGAATGGGTCGGACGCTGGTCCTTCCGCGCCGAAGAGTGACGCCGCTGCTTCCATGGTTTTCGGCAACGGGGAGGATGGCGGTCGGCAGTACAACGCTCGGTACGACGAGGACAATGATATTATTATTTGCGCGTGATTGTCACGGTCACTCTCAACACGTCATCCTGTAAATCACATGATTTCTCCCAACGTCGTTGGTCCGCGTCTTTTTTTGCCTATTTTGGACTTCTGCAAAATCTCTACCTCTCAACATTAAGACCAAAATCGTACAAGTCCCATCTGTGCTGCCAGGCATTACAGCAGAATCGAAGTACAGATGAACCCCTTATAAGTCATACCCACCGGAACGCCTCCGAGGCTCGTTGTAGGCATACCGGGGTCAGAATTTCTTTCGGATATAATTCTTGAGGGCTTTTCCTCTCTTTCTACATACTTTTTCGGGCAGACGTCGCAAACAGTCGAGCCTCGGAAGCGCTCCGGTGGGTATGACTTATAAGGGGTTCATCTGTATACGGGAGCGCAGAAACGGGCCAGAGTTTGCGAGGCAGGCTTCACAGCGCTCAACTACCAGGCCTGCAAGTAATCTGAACTCACCAATCCTAGAGCGACCCCTTTGCGTGAATCAATCAGGCAGCACACCGGAGACCAAGAGCTTACATACCAGTAGTTCCACAGCTGTACGAAATACGGTATGCTCACTCGCACAGGAAGTACACAGACGCATGGATTCGGTTCCATAGATTCGTGCATGCACGGGCATGGACCGACTACCAAGATGTTCGTACTGGTAGCTGCGATAAGAACGTGCGTAGCAATAGACGGCGGCCTAGCAGGAAAGCAAAGGGATCATGAAATGGCCCGTATAGTACGACTGTTCATGCATGAAGACAACTATGTACGGCATTAGAAGGATATGGAGAGCGTGCGCGTATAATCCAATGAATGATGCGACAATGCAGTAAGTTAGCGTGCTTGGTGAAGGATGCAGTGGATGAATGAGTTGTTCGTATGGAAAAAGTCAAGCAGAAGAGTGCGGAACGGGATGCAGCATGATGATGAGAGGAGCGAGTCGGTCAGAAATAATGTGGACGGTATAGAGTAACAACGTGCACAGAAAGAGGCGATCGAGGCGAGACGGAAGATATGCGTGAAGGATGGTGGTTATGAACATGAACCAGGATTAAAGCTCGGGTATAGTAGTTAACGAATCGTGCGCCTGACGGGGATCGACAGGGCGAGCCACATTTTGCACGTTGGACCCGGAGGTGGCAGCCTCCTGCTTGTTCAAGAGACGCTCGACTACGGAGCAGTCAGCTCAGTCCAAAAGAAAGTTAAGAGCGTACTCACCAGCAACAAGGTGTTTGCTGTACGCGCTGGAGTAGCGGCGCATGTTCGCGATATGAGGCTTCACCTTCGCGATGAGCATCTCCTTCTGCTCGCCCTCCGCGGTGGCGAGGGCACGCTGCAGGACGTAGTCTGGGGAAGCTGGTCAGAACACTCGCGAGAGATCTCATTCATAAGACACGTACTCGCAAACTGGTCCTTCATCATGATGACCAGCGGGCTGACGCCGTCGGCAGTCGGCATCATGATCTCGTCGATGAGGTGCGCGCGCGTCTCCGAGTCTGCAAAGACCAGGGCCTTCTCGCAGACGTTGGACGCGAACTTGTGGCGCGCAAGAGCCAGGATTTGGCCGCGCATCTGGTTGAGCACCAGTGCTTTGTCGGTCGGAGACCCATGCTCGATGACGAATTGCACGACGTAGTTCTGATAGATCGTCAGTACGGGAGGACTCGGTGTAGGATGCAGGAGACGTACGCCGAACTGGTCCTGGGCCAGGTTGAGCACATACTTGTGCAGCTCATCCATGAGCGGGTAGGTCATGTCGTGCGGAAGGTGCTCCAGGGAGCGCTGAAGCACGCGACATCCGTAGGGGTGCGTCGACAGGTCGTACACATTGCCGCGGAACGTCGACACGAACTGGAGACGATCCGCCGGCACACGCTCGATTAGCTTTTGAATGACCTATCAAGACCATCGTCAGCACAGCCCACGACGATAGACGAGACTATACTGACATGATTACCGTTCGCGTCCTTCACACACTTGAGCACATGCGCCTCGAGCTCGCGAACGAACGCGCCCTGCTGCTCCGGTAGAATACACTCGATAGCCTTGGGTGGCGCGTGAGCCACCAGACTTGTGGCGCGGGCCAGCGGACGCGACGCACCTTTTGCACAACTCTGCAACCGTACATTTGTAGTGACAGGGGAAGGATGTGGCCCTCCATCGTGCTGGCGAGCACGGTCTTCTGTACTTGCGTACCGTGCTCGAATAGCTTCTGAATAACCTGCGCGAGGGGTTAGTACGAGAGCGACCAGAGGAAAACACCAGCACGCACGTAATTACCAAAGACATCCTGAATAAGCTGTAGCGCGTTGTCTGGTACGATCTCGTCAAACACGATCTGCTTCTCCTCGGTCGACGCCGTCTCGAGCTTCTGCTGGATGAAGCGCGACCCGTGCTGGTCGCCAGAGAACTCGACGATGTAGCCGAAGATATCCTGAGAACATGTTGGTCGGTCACGAGACGATCGCGATCAACTGACTGCGACGTACCCTGAGCTCCCACTTCCTCGCCTTGTTCGCGCGGAACTCGTCAAGCAGCGCGCTGCGGAGAGCGATGCTGCGGTGACGCCCGTGGCGCAGGGGCGCGTACATCGCCGGCTGCGAATACATGTTGTTACCCGTGATCATCATCGGGACGCCGTTGCCGTAGTCCATGGAGCGTGGGTACACGGGCGAGGACGGCGTCGAACGCATCATGACCGGCGAGGCCAGGCCCTGCTGGATGTTCAGCTGGATAGACGCGTTAGTGTTGAGTTTGAGCTAGCAAAAAAACGTGGCTGCGCACCTGCATCTCCCTCTTCTTGTCGCTGTACGTGGCCGGCGTGGAAGGCGCCGACGTAGGGGTCAGCATCGGCGTCGGCGGCGTGTACATCGGGTAGTAGAACTGGTTGCCGCGCCCGCCAGAGTAGTCATAGTAGAGACCCGTTTGTTGGCGGTGCATGTCGGAGATGGGGCTCGGGGGCACGCTCTGCAACCTAGAGTACATAGCAGCGATCGTTAGCGCGTGCCGAAGAAGCGTAAATTGTTAGATCGTTCTCCTTACCCATACGGATAGTCCATGTACGATTCTCTCGTCGCGGGATTGGCATAATACCCGGCGTAATCGGCAGGGGAATAGACGCCATAGGGACGCTGCGCGTTCATCGGAGGCGGAATCCGAATTGGCGAGGGAGGGCCGGCGGCGCGGCCTTGACCGTTGTAGTCGTCTGCGACGACCATACCGCGGAGCGCGAGGCTGAGCTCACTGTCGACACCGGAGCCCGGCAGACCGTCGTAGGCGCCTGTCGAGGGGGTTGGCATCGTAGTCAAACTGCCGGTAGATAAGTACTTGCCAGGCGCGCTCTCCTTGACGTTGTCGTACCCTTGAGGCGAGTACTGCCCGCCCTTGGCACCGGCAGGGCGTTCATCCTGCGGACACGAGGCGTCAGAATGAAAGCTTGAGTTGACTGGTAAGAACACGCACCATTCTACCTACAGACAGCGTGGAAGGGTTCTGCCTCGCGTGCAAAATGGATGCGTCCTGCAGAACGTCAGCTATTGTTGGCGTGACAGGGTAAGACAGGAGGCAAGACGTACCAGAGGCGCGTTGTCCTTCTTGGCTGGGCTGGTGCTTTCGTCTTCCCAAACGCCGCTGGTAGGACGCGAAGACGTCCAACTCTCGGAGCGCGCGGTCGAGCTCGACTGGTCTGTCAAGCTCGTAGCCGAGGAGACAGAAAGATTACGCTTGGACGTCGGGTTGTTGCCCCACACCTGATGGAAGCATGCGTGAGCAATTACGCGACAGGGACACGAGGGGTCGGAGGGAAGCGGGAGTACGCACTGGCCAACCAGAGTTGAGGGTCTTGAAACCACCGTTGGGGTTGCCCATTGCTGCTCCAAGGATGTTGGCTGAGGAAGTAGAGGGAAGGGTGCGGTGGGACTGCATAGTGGTGTGAGGGGGTGGAGGGGCAGAAGGAGCGGTGCACGCACGTTCTGAGGCGAAGATCCAGAGACTTTGCGAGAGGCGTCCGCAGACATACGCAGACGAATTAGAACTGGGCGGCGGGGTGAGTGGTGCGACAGTGAGGAGGGAAGGAGGACGCACCGTTGGTGAAGAATTAAGGACACTACGAGTATGTATTTGAGCCTGACGAAGAAAGGAATACGCGTCAAAGGCCGTTTGTACAAAGCGCAGACGGTGTGTCGGCTAGCACGCTGCGCAAAGGGATGCGAGGCGCGGTCTGGGGAGAAACGCGACTCACGAAGAGGAGGGAGACGAGGAGGGTAGGCGTATATAAGGAGGGAATGTACACGGGGCCGCCGCGAACCGGATGACGGTCGAGAGCAAGGGCAGGAAAAGTTGGGGTTTCCCGCCACGCAGAAGCCCGCGAGCGCGGCGTGGTAAATGTAGTAAATCCGTGGAACCAGATTCCCGGGCGTGAATGCCGGCATCAAAATTAATTTCCCGGGCGGCTTCGCGTGATCGCGCCGCACGTGGCACCGCAATTTGCCTCCATCTCTTCCCGCCGGCCCTCAGGGTTGTCGAGGAATGCTTGCGCCCGACGCTCTTTGCCCCGCAACACGCGCGCACAAGGCCGGCCAGCCCGCGCAAGAAACACGTCTCTTTGCGCGCCGCCTCTGCAAGGAGTCCTTTGCGAAGCCCGCGTATCGCATGGCCTTGGCGACGGTGTGATTCTGAATCGGGTGCCGGCTTCTCTGCTCGTTCTGCGCGCACTTGGCCCGCGTCTTCCCTTCGAGCGGATTCATCTGGCCTCGGACGAAGCTCCTCGAGCTCCCGGAACCCTGCATACATATCGAGGCTCGCCGTTATATTGCGCCCCGCTGAACTGAGTCGGGCCCTTCGTTCCGCTTCAGGCAGTTGAACTTGACGCACTAAGATTGATAATTTGCTTATAGCCACGAGCGATGCGCATGTACTTCCCTACTGCGCCGCGTAGCCTCTTTAGAGACTCCATGACACCGACCGCCATGAGCAGGCATTCTACAGCAACGCCATCGCCATGTCGCTCTCCTTTCCCATCCTGCGTCGATCTGCGCGCGAATTGCAGCTCTGAACCGGGCTCTGTGTGGTCTTCTCAACTTCTCAATCTCCGGCTTTCAACTGATGGCCGCTACTTCTCGTTCTTCGATTGCATGAATGACCGCAAGACGTCCCGTGATTGCCCAGGTTTCGCCTCTCCCGGATCGTCTCATTCTCCGGGTCTCGTTCGAGGTCATTTGCGCGACTCTATGGGCGTATTCTCACTCAGAGTCAGCGAAATTGGAGGACATCTTCTGCATCGTCCGAGCTCGGTGCTTGAAAGGCCTTCTCGGAGGTGCTTATCTTGCGGGGTTCCTTGATGTCCGGCTGATCACAAGACTTCAAGCTTCTGAACTCTCTCCCTCCAGACGCACAAGACGGCCGTACGCAGCGCACAGGTTCGCACCAGCCCTACCTTTTCCGGCTCCAATCTCTCCAGATGCGCCGGGGTGCCCTGATCTTCTTTCTGTGGCCAGACTTCCCCTGCGACTCCGTCTGCGATATGATGCACCCAGTGACGCTTCGTCTCTCCTCACAGATCACCTCGAGCCCTAGCGCTCCTGTTTTCTGACTCGACACGATCACGTCGGGTACACCTTCCGACCGCAGAGGCTCACGCGCGTGTCGGACGGCGTACGAGTGGTCTCTCCTCGCTGCTGGGCACGTTCACGACGGCCTCCTGCCTTGCGCTGCTCCCTGCGCCTCACTCTGATGGACTCGCGCTCGGCTAAAACAGGGAATACTGAGCACCGGGGCCTCCCGCCTCCAACGCGTGCTACGAGTCTCACCCACCACGCAATCGGGCTGCACTTCGGCGTAAACCTTGTCCTCGCATCAGAGGAACATCGAGCAAGGGGGCCCCGACAATCTATCACGCCCTCCCACGCCCTCCGCTCCTCTCGGCGCCCTCCTCCCTGACCAGATCTCGTGAAGCTGGCTCTTCGTCGCCCACGCCGACACACGCTAGGGACGGAAGATACGCTCGCTCACATGCTCTAGGGCATGCCAGCCCGCTTGGCGCAGGACGGCGCATACGCATGAAACGATGTCCGTGCGCACCTCCGGTCTGCAAGCCATGACGAGCACAGGCCCTGAGACACCCTGGATAGAGTTCACCTCTGCCTTCAAATTCCCCAACTAGTCTCTCCCTCGCTAATTCGATGCAAGCGCATACTGCCCCCGAAGCCCGGGCGCTAGGCACCAGATCCCGTCTCCCCACCTGCCTTATCCGCATTGTTGAACTTTCGAGGGTGGCCAAGGGTGGAAATCAATTCGCTGCTGCGTCGAGGCGCACTGGTTGCACTGCATTTTGCGTCCGTTCATATGCGTATCCAATGCCTATCCGTCCGTCCGCCAGCAGGCTTCATTATGCGCAATTATATCGCCTTGACGACAAAATGGAACTTCGGGGCACGGGTCAGCTGCACGCACAGCCAGTCTACCACCCATAGCGACGCTAAGCGACATCGTCAGCGACTGCAACGACTCCTCTCTAATCTCGAGCTCTCCCAACCGTTGCCTCGACGCGGCTTTTCTTCTGCATTCCACTACTCGTGCTGCATCCCTTTGATTATACCTGGACGACGGCCCCGCCAACTGACGATGACGAACTCTGCTCTGCTGATTCAGACGGCCCGCGGCGGGTCCCTCGGCCTTATCCCGCCTTTCCGCTCCCTCTTCCACTCCCTGCACTCCCAAGTTCACCCTCCAACTCCGAAAAGTACACCCTCAGGGTCCTACTGTGCAGTGTGGACTCCTATAGGGGTCCTCACCTGCGGGCGTGTTTGAGCGCCACACCCAGTCCACACCGGCTTGTGCGCACGCGAAGGGCCGCGACTTTGCGTCTTTCTCGCGGTGACTTTGCGTCTCTCCTGCCGCGACTAGGCCTGCTCTTGCTGCGACTTCGCATCCTTCGGCTTCTCCATGTGGCTCTAGCGTCTTCGTTGATATTGCACAGGCCTGAGAGTAGGCTTTCGTTCCCCCTCCAGACATCCGCGTCGTCTGATCACTGACTGCGGCGCATCTCGCTAAACCATTCGCAGGGTTAAGCTAATCGCGCTTACCCGGTTTCCATCCACTGCTGGCCGCTTCATGGGCGCCTAACCCAATCTCTGACTACAATCCACTGCGTGCCACCCATACACACTCTCTTCACCTACACACTCCGTCGTACCACCAGAAATCTCCCTCAGTTCAGTTTCCCAGGTGACCTCAGCGCGCCAAGATGCAGCTCCAACCGAGATGGCCGTTGCCTAATGGGGAAGTCCACTAGTCCCGCGGAAGTATCTGAGCCTATTTCGCGCGGAGGAAGAGCGGGCTTTGTTTGGGGATTCTCGCGCTTCTGGACTGCCTTCGCTTGCTTGCGCTGTGGCCCTGCGATTCCTTTTGCGCGGGGTCTTTGCGACTCCGTTGACGCCGCCCCCACCTTCGCCTACGATGTGTCCCTCCGATCTTGTTTGTGCTGTTCCTTCTTTCGCTTGCGCAGCGGCCCTGCAATTCCGTCCGTGTTCATTGCCCTACATGTCTAAGCCGGAAGCCGAGACCTTCGCTTAGCTTTTCCCCTTTGTACGAGCTCCTTGCTAGCCCTTTATGCACATTTGTAACCGATGAATCGATATGCTCATTGTCTGCGTAACGGCCGTTTGAGGGCTATCACTTCGCTTCTGTTCCGCAAAGTGTGGGCCTTTCCACTCGCGCGTGGGTGCTCATCTCTTGAGGCTGGTCACAGATATTTCCGCTTGTGGTTATAGCGAGGGTCTCACTAACCACTTCTGTTCGACAAGCCTCGGTTACATATGGCATAAGTACATTCATGATTCGTTCGTTCAGACCTTACAGATTCAACCTTCGTTTTCAAGCCCCTTCTTCCTTCGAGGCGCCTTTTGATACACTTGATGAAATGCAGCGGCTGAGCCCTTAGTTCGTGCCATCGGGGAGCGAAGGTGCCGGGAAGTCGACCGTCATGTGCTCGCGCTGAGAAAGACGTCAGTACACAGATCAGCAAATGCAAGCGCTGAGAGCGAGAGCCCATGCCACCAGCTCGCAGAAAAGAAAACACTTACATAATGCCTGTAGTGCACCGTCTTACCCACGCGGGTGATCTCCTCGACTTCCTCGGGCTTGAGGAGGTCGCCTGGGAGGTGCGCGATGGCGGCGAGGCCGCGGATGCGGTCGGGGTTGCCCGAGGCGGTGACCGCTACAGCGCCCGACGCGCGCGTCCAAAGGAGGAGAACCGTGACAGCGTCGATGGGGGTGGTGAGGGACTGAAGGTTTGGGTCAGCTTTGGATCGGAGGAGAATAGGAAGTCGTATGGGTAGAGTGGGATAGTGGGAGGTACGGGAAGTTTAGTTACCCACCTTGTTATCAGCAGATATACGCTGGGCAATGCGCTGGAGCACGGGCTTCAGCGGACCGCCCGTCGGGTGACGGAGCAGAGGGGTGAGCGGGCCGTAAGCCTCAGTGAGGATGCCGTGCTTCGCCTGGATGTCGAGGACGGGCTGGAGGTGCGCAAGCACATAGGGGTGATACTCGAGCTGTTGCGTGATGAACATACTTCCTTTCACCATGAGTCGACAACACATACCTGGTTCACCACGGGCTTGTGGCGCGCGTCCTCCAAGATGATCTCAAGATCTTGAGGGCGGAAGTTGCTGACGCCGATGTCCTTCAGCTCTCCAGAGTCCTTGAGGTCCTCAAGGATTCTCCAGGTCGCCTTGAGATCGGATCGAGCGACGACGTTGGGGTTGTGAATGAGGAAAAGGTCGGGGATGAAGCCAAGGCGATCGATGGATCCCTTGACCACGGTGCGGATGTCGTTCACGCCGTGGACGTACTCAGGCGTACCCTGCTGGGTCTTGTCGTCCGCACGACCAGACACTGATTCCAAGTCAGCTCGGGGGAACTTGCAGACTGGGTTGGTACGCACGCTTGGTCGTGACAAAAACATCGTCCTTCTTGAGGTTGGAGCCCTTCACGACCTCTCCCGTCGCGTCCTCGTTCTTGTACCCCTGCGCAGTGTCGATGTGACGAATTCCCGCCTCGAGCGCAATACGGCCAGACTCGACTGCAGTCTTGCGCGCGTCGCCCGAGCCGTTGCCCCACGCCAGCCAGGGGATCTCGGTGCCAGAAGAGAGCTTGAAAGTCGCGGTGGTGGGGGACATGGTGGTTGCTGACAAGATGGAATACCTTGGAATTACGACGGCGATTGGTCAAGATATAGTGGGTCGGGACCACAGATGACGCGAGATCGCCTGGATGAGTCGGACTGACGCGCTAGCCCACGGGCAGCCATATGCGCTCTCTCCATGTTTATTCAGCAGATATATGGTGGTCCATATGCACATCTCAGGCATCGCGGTTGGACGGAAATTTGGAGGGAAGCTGACTGGCTGGGTCAGGACTTCGAAGCTCAGGTTGCATCGATGACGTATGCGCAAGTCAAAAGCGGAACAATGGTAGGTCGGCCCGAAGACCGGCCGGACCGGACGCATTCAACAAGAGTTCGTTTGATCCCGCCGCTAACCTTGCTTTCTTCCTTCCTTCCTCCCACCACGTCCCCTTGCTCCCTATCCGCGCAGATATGGCTCCTCGATGCCTCGAGATACCAGAAATCCTTCTGCTCGTATGTGCTGAGCTTCGCACGTCCAAGCGTCTCGGCACGCTGGCTTCGCTTGCCTCGACTTGCTCAGCGATGCGAGAGCCCGCACTCGATGTTCTGTGGGAGGAGCAGGACTCTATTGTTCCACTGCTGCAAACTTTGTCTCAGGATAGGGTCTCGGAGAGCGTTTTGGTGCGCGTTGGGCCTTCTTGTTGCGCTATAAATGCTTACGTCTCGCCGTAGACGCTCGAGCGCTACATCTCGCAGGCGGACTGGGATCATATGCAGTACTATGCTCGACGCATCAAGAGATTGACTTTGGAAGCCGACGACGGTATGCTGTGTGGTATAGGCAGTAGACGTCGAGACGAAGACGACGACGACGACGACGAAGAACTCTACGATGAGGATCGCGATTACAGCATCGAAACGTCCACTCTGGAACTCCTGCAATCTCGTGCTGGTCACGAACCTTTGCTACCCAACCTGAGGCACCTGGACTATGGTGAACTCGACTCTTCGTGGCTCCCTTTCATTACGCTCTTCGTGAATCCCTCTCTGCAGTCGCTTCGTATCCGCCCGAGCATTGAGGACGAAAGCATGAACATTCTGGCTACTCTTCCATCTCTCTGTCCCAACCTCATCACCTTTAATGCCAATTGGGAGGAAGTCAACGATGGCTTCTGTCAAGACGGTGGCTTCATGGTCTTCGAATTTGGGGACGACGGCTCAGATGGCGGCGATGACGATGGATCCTCGTCTTCGTATGCAGATAACGGCGAATTCCCTGCTGCATCCGAGCTGGATGTCGCCGCTCGAGCAGAGTCGGAAGATCCCGACAAAGAGATCGAGAATTGGCAGGCTGCCATGCGCGAGACTTTCTGTCGATGGAACTCGCTGGTGTCGCTCGACCTCCCTGACGCCGATCCCGTCATACTCGCCCATTTCGGGAAGTCTCCGGTTCTCGAGACTCTCAAGCTGGCTGTCCTGTTTGAGGCCGACTGGAAGCATGCCACTGAGCCGGCGTTCCCTAACCTTGCGCATCTTAAGATCACCACAGCGACGCCCCTATGCCCACCTTGCATCATACGATCCCTCTCCTCCAAACCCTTGCATCTCAAGTCCATCGAGATCACTTGCGAGGACCTCCACGGTGGCGACGCCGATGAGAACAGGCGTCGAGTCCTCGACGCCATCGCGGAATGCATCGACCCTGCCACTCTGCAGAGGATATCCTACCTTCAGGTCTATCGGAATGGTCCATTCCTTCCGACTCACTGGAGGCCCCTTCCCGGGGATTCAATCGTCCAACTCACGCGTTTTCCAAAGATCACGCATTTCGACGTCCACTGTTGGGTCGACGTGCAGGACGAGGACATTGCGATGCTCGCGGCGGCCTGGCCGAAGCTACGCGTCTTCAGCCTCGATGTGAAGCATCCACTGCATCTCGGTCGCGCTCGCGCGGTCAAGCCCACCATCAATTGCCTCAATTCTCTCGCCACAGCCTGTCCCCGCCTCTTCGCCCTCGGCCTCGTCCTCGATGCGATGGATGTACCCGACCTCCCGGAGCCTCACTCCGACGATGCCCAGACCCGCAAACGCAAATCTCCCCTCATCCTCCACCTCTACGGCTCGCCCATCAAGAACGCGAACAAAGCCGCCGACTACATCTGCAGCGTCTTCCACAAATACGCCAACATCAAGTTCGGCCACTCGAAGTGGTCGGACGGGCAGGGTGCGGTGCCTCATGTTAAGAAATGGACGGCTGTTCACAAGGCAGTGCAGCGTCGCCTCACATCGTCACCGGCGAACTGACGAACTCGACGTTCTTTGGGGTGCCGCTGCCGACTTTAATCGACAGGACGCCCAAATACTCAGGTATGCTCAACATGGGCCGTGGGTGATGTAGAGATGCTGATGCGCCTTTCAGGTCATCTCTGATGTTTGCTATGCTTTCTAAGTCGAAATACGTGGAATTGTATCTTGTTGTGCTCGCTGTGCATTGAAATCTTGCGAAATCGTTCGTATTAGACCCCGTATGATCGCTTCTCGCTTCCTCAAGTCTGCACCTGGGACTATCTATGAGGTCAACCTTTTTTTGCCCATCTGAATGGAGGAATGAGAGGGTCCATCGAGGAAGAGGGAAGGTTTACTTCGGGTTTTGCCGGTTCTCAAAGCGCGATCACGTGTGTCCAATGTGCAATTAGCGGCGAGCCGGAAATCGTTCTCGCCCGCCTTGCATCCTGCCAGCACCGCCGCGCGACCTGTTCACCTCCGAGAATCCACTATGGCCAAACTTGACTTCGACAAGCAGACCGTCACGTACTCCAAGGGCACTGCGGCGGCCCTTCTCGCCATCTTCACGAACTGCCAGGAGCAGCTCGCAGCACTGTACGACGTTGGTCCATCTGACAACTCCGTCCTCGCCATTCGCGTACTCCACGTACTTCAGTGCAGCAAGGCGGCGGTACACGAGGCGATCTACGCCGAGTGGATGACGTCTAGCGAGGAGCAGCGCAACAAGCTCGCCGAGTACTATTGGGCGGAGATGGCGGGTACGGCCAGGGACGTCTATGGGGCTGAGATGCTGATGGGCGGTCCGCCTGAGCCTCAGCCTGAACCGCCGAAGAAGAAGAAGAGTTCTCGCAAGGGGTGCGTTATGATGCTCAGCCTCTCGTTCATCTCTTTGACGCTCTACGATAGCGCCGCTCGCCGCACTCGGAAGCGTCAAGTCTGACCAATCTCGCCCATACAAATCCTTCCGGAGCATCTTCAGTGGCCATATACCACACACGCTATCTTCGCCATCGCCTCGTGACTGGTACAGCGGCTGCGTCTAGTACATCGACTCGCCCTGAACCTTTCTTCTCTGGTCTACCGTCTTGCACCTACGCCCTGACTTCGACAACTTTGGCCTGTCGTTCTACGCTCTACTTGCTCTGCAACGTGCTCAGCGCCGCAGCCTCGCCGCCACTGTTTACGGACTCCCTCGGGGTCTCCGTCTGCGCAATTCATGGATGACAATCTAACCTGTGTCTATCGGATCTCTTCTATGTAATCAGTGCTCGTTGTGCGTTGTTCGTATTCATCACGTCGTTTGCCGATGAAGTGTTCTGGAGACCAGCATATGCAATCTCAATCCTATGTACCACCTGCCACCTTCCACCGGCGCTGTCTGGCGTTCCGACGTAACTTGTCTTCCAAAGGCAAAATGGCTTATTCTCATCGTTGACTGAGTACGAACTCTGCTATCAACAAACACGCCAGGAGGCTTTTTGCCCGGAAAGCGCCTCGAACGTCAGCTTTGCTAGTATTTTCCCGCTTGCGCCAACTGTATACCAGAGGAGAAGCAGCCTTGTGAGGCGTCCCCGAGGACGAGTTGGTCTACCTCACACGAAGTGTCGTCGCGCAGAAAAGAGCGACAGCGCTTTGTCTTGATTGCTCAATGCGTATTTTTGCCTGGAACTTGCTGAGACTGGGGCGAACATCGACATCGACATCAAACAGCGCTAGCTTCTCTACAGCTTTTCCGTAACGATATAAGATAACAGGTGAATTCTGCCTCTTCTCCCATCGTCCCTCGCCTCTTTTGCCTTCCTCGTGTGCTGGTAAGTCCTTTGGTCGCTTGTTTCCTCTTCGTATCTCAAGTTCTTGTCTAGGTCCCTCCGACGTCGACGTGCGCCTGCCCTCGTGCGGCTTTCGACTCATAGCCGCCCAGTTCCTGGTGCGCACTGCTGCTTCTACTCCCCTTTGTGCGTCCCTTGCGGCTCTTGTACGCTGCAGCCTTCGGGTGTCTGCGGTACTCGAGCGTCAGCAACGGCCTCGAAGGTGGTCAGGTGGACGTCGGTGGCGGCGGCCAGCCTGGGTCGTGCTCGATACGGTGCGTGGTTTTCTACTCCCCCGCCCTCGGCGGGTGGCCCAGCTGCGGTGGTGTGCGTCGGGCTCGTGCAGGCGTTCTGTAAGGTGCTTCGGTGGGGAACCAGCGTTATGCGGAAACCAGCCTTCACGGCAGCCGAGGTATCCTTAACGCCGCCGGTTTGGTTGGGTCGTGCACGGCTTTTCGTAGTACGCGTCGCGCGTCCCCCGTACTGCAATTACGCGGGCGGCCAGGACGAGGTCGATGGCGGGCCGGGGCTCAGTTTGCCCAGACATCGTGAAGATAAGTACTTTATTGCTCTTGCGCATATCCTTGTCTGAATCGGACTACTCCAGCGTTTTTTTTGCCATACCGTGAAGCCGGCGGGCCTGCGCTGCCGGCTTCGCGGTCTCACTAGTACAGATAAGTAGCTCAGATCTGTGCTCTTTTTCTCAACTGACGGATACTCCGTAGGGCATAATGGAATTCGCGCGCGAGCACCCTTCTTATACATCATTTACTCTGTACATTGCGACCCGAGATCTGTGACCTACGTCGATTTATGCAGCACAGCATGGATTCTGCGAATCGTCGAGCTTGAGAACGGCGGTCAGATAAGCATGGTCATTCGCGGCGTCCGCTTCAGCGTCCTCATCCTCCGCAAGCTTCACTGCCGCCGCCTCGTGGGCCATGTACGCCGAAACCGCACGCGCGACGAACGCCTTCGACTTGCTCCATCCTCCCTCCTCGGTCCAGACGAGCTCAGAGAGCTGGAGGCTTCCATCCTCCAGACCGCGCGCCAGCACCGCAATGTACGCGTAATCGTTCTCGTCCCAGTCCGCGATGGTGATGGACTTGTGGACGACGGACGCGAGGGCGTTGTAGACGAACCGCGTCGCACGGTCGGTGTGCGCGGACTGCGCTGCGAGTTCGATGGCCTCGACGTGGGCGTCCGCGGTCTGCAACTGGTCGTAGCGCACGGCCTTCGCGTTGAGCGCCCTGAGATGGCTCTTGTACGTCGTGAGCGTCATCTCGGACGCAGGGGCGATGAGCCAATGCGTGCCGGCGTCGTTGATAGCCTTGAGCCCGGTCACGAGGGCTGTGGTACGCTGCAGGACCCAGGTCTTGTTCGGCGCCCACGACGCGACCTTGACGCTGTTTGTAGAGATCCCGCCGCTGTCCGTTCAGAGCGTTGTCAAGGTCCGTGCAGCGAATGAGCTGATACTACTCACTAGGGCCGACCTTGCCGTCGGTGACGATGACGTCCGTGCCCTCGCGAACGTTGTCGAAGCGGGCGGAGGTAGTGTTGCCTGCGCGGTATAGATCTGGGCGGGACATTGTTGCAAGTGGATGGGGCTGGTCGGTTAGGACATCCAAGTTGACCGCGACGGTATTTATCTTGTTTAGCCATCCATTGCTGCTTGATCCCGAGCGAAGGAGAGCAGAGCAGTAACAACAGCTGTGGTAGCCTCCCAAGCCTGATCCAGTCGGTAGTGAAGAGCCACCGATGGTCAGAACGCGGAGGACGACAGTGAGCGACGAATGGTAAGTGCAGTTCTCGATGTCTCTCCGTCTGCACTGAGGGACACTGTAGGTTCTTTGCCAGAGCATGGAAGCCAGCCATGTCGGGAGAAAGTATCGGCGTCGATTGAAGTTCTCCCAGACGACTGCCAGACAAGCGCCAGGCTCCAAGGTATGGTCGGCACTAAGTCGTCGGATCCCCACTTTTCGATGATAGGGAGGCGAAAGGCATGCACTCGACGGTCGCGTGGGCCTGCGAAGTTCAACTGGCCATGTGACAGTCTCTCGTTATTGTTGACGCATTCACGAGAGAACATCGGCCTCCCGTAGGGCCGTTCCACAGGCGAGCCTTCTTCACTTGACAAGGAAGCATAGGTGGAGAGGACTGCGCGTCATCTTCCCAGAGTATATCCGGCGTGCTCAGCTGCGACTGGGGCACACGTCGCGTAAGCAAACCATACTCTGTACTGCGAGGGCTGACCTTGACTTTCAGAGTACGTGAACATGGGCAATGCCACACTGCCGGGACCTCGCACCTCGCGAGCACCGATGACTTGCTACCCCGACTTGACAGCCCACTCGGGCGACTCTGCTTTATAGCGCGCCACAACGACGGTGAAAGTGAGCGATATAAAGGCTGGCGAACCGGACATCTCATTCCAGCACTCAGCTCTACACACCTTTCTACCGATTACTCTCAGTCTACCACATTTATTAGCATGTCGACGCCCAAGACTTCCTGGGAGGACCTTGCCCGCCTGGGCTGGCCCATCTACGACGTCTACAAGAAGGCCAACGCGGCTCGCGGCGGTACCATGAACGGCACGGGCGATATCTCGCTCAACGCTGGTATCGCTGCCGAGTATCAGTGAGTAACTTCACCAGAGCATCCATTGACACGTACTCACCGTACAACACCCAGGTGGTGGTCCTACAACACGACGATCGGAAAGCCGTACGTCCTCGGGCGCGTCCCCAAGGACATCACTCGCGAGGAGGTCGCCTGGTCCTACGACAACACGAAGAACACGGAGGACTACACCGACGAGTGGACGGAGTCGTGGACCAACACGAACTCCGCCACCCTCACCGTCACCAACAGTGGTATGCTGTCTGCTATCCCATGCGACGCGACGCGGTGCTCACATACCTTGCAGCGTCTATCACGCTCAGCGCTAGCATCACCATCGAGGACGTCGCTTCGTCGGGCTTCGAGTTCACCATCTCGACCGAGTCGTCTTCCACGGAGACTAAGGAAACTACCCACGACCTGAGCCACACCTGGACCATGACGTGAGCGAGACTCGACCCTGTCGCATCTCATTTGCGTGCTGATGCGTTTGCAGCGTTCATCCAGGCGAGAAGCTGACGCTGTACCGTGTCATCTCTACGGTTGGCGAAACCGTCGAGTACGGCCAGGTGCGTTGAATTTGCTCATACTCTAAGACAGGGTATTTGATACGCTTTTGCGAAGGACTTTGGCATTGCGGACGGTAGTCTGCTGGGCAGTGAGTCTATCGTCTATCTCATTTCACGTGCCCCGACTCACTTTATCCTCCATAGCCAAGGGAGATAAGTGAGTTCGTGACCTCTACCGGGGACGTCTGCTCACCCAGTTATGCAGGTACGCCGGACACTACTATTGGGGCATGTATGTGAACACCCTCTGCAACGCGCCGCGCGGGCGTCTGGATCTGCACGGCAGCAGCAAGAACGTCACGTACACGTTCAAGCTCGTGCGCGAGACGAAGGACGGGAAGAAGGTGGCGACGCCGCTCCCCGTCGACGCCTATCGGACCAAGGATGGTAGTGCTGCCATTCTCGGCAAGGAGACCAAGTGGGCGAAGGACTCGAAGGCTGTCTGCGGCGATGGCACGGCTCAGGTCATGGTTGCTGCCCCCGGCGACGAGTAATGGTCAACTGAACGAGATAGGCCTGCCAAAGTAGCGATATTGAGGATTGACTTGTACGAAACCGATCTTGTACCTTGTGTCTGTAGTATGCTTTTCGTTGATCTTGTGAATGTCATTTCCAGAGCCTGAACGTTGATGGTCGTGCAAAGAAATCCTGTATGGTCATCTCTTCATTGCCATCCACTTCCTACTGTGCCCTTGGCTTGCCCGCATCCTTTTCCACATCCCTCTGTAAAGAATATGCATTGGCCATCCATCAGTAGAGGACTCGCCATCGTCGCAGGAAGAAAGGAACGTTCTTGGTTTGATTGCGTGTGCTTGTACTTATGGGCGCTGCTGCGGCGCAACGGGCGCAGTCTCCGCTTAGCCACCTCCGCATTCTGTTCCCTCCCACAAAGTCACATAGTCCGAAAGCTGGTTCTTTCTGCAGCCATTGCCGCCGTCCCCCTGCCAGTCCTTTCAAGATGATGACGCCTTGGCGTTATGTCTTCCTCGTTCTGGGGATCGTTGTGCGTGCGCTCGCAGTTGCGCGGCGCGGCCAGTGCTCACCGTACCCGACAGATCAGTCTGCATTATCTACTGAGCTTCACGCATGAGGGCTATGGCAACGCGACGTCTCTGTCGAATCTCAAGGGACACATCTATGGTGGGAGCGAGCCGCCGTACAAGTCGGGCGTCCCAGAGGAGTACTACGTACCCGATGAGCCCAAGTCGCCGGTCGGTCGCAAGGCCAACGCGGCGATCGTCATGCTTGGTGTGTGGTCTTGTACGCTGGAGATAGGAAAGCACTGACCATAGGATAGCCCGCAACAGTGACTTGAACGGGATCGTGACCAGCATGAAGCAGATGGAGGACCGCTTCAATAAGAAGTTCAACTACCCCTACGTCTTCCTCAACGAGGCCGAGTTCTCCAGCGAGTTCAAGGAGTGCGTGGCCTGCTAGACTACTCCATACATCGCTAACGGATTTCCTGCTGCGCAGACGTGTTACCGGCTTGACTGACGCGGACGTCAAGTTTGGCTTGATCCCACGAGAGCATTGGTTCCAGCCCGATTGGATAGACGAAGAGAAGGCGAAGGCTGCACGAGAGGACATGGTGAGGAACCAGGTTATCTACGGAGGTGCGCGCTAGTCTGTCTGTCTTAGCTTCATATTGACAGCCAGTACAGGAAGCGTACCGTACGTATCGCCTCTGCTCTGCAGCGTAGCTCCCTCATACTTCCCCTCCCAGATACCGCAACATGTGTCGGTTCAACTCTGGCGTACGTCGTCCATGCGCACATCCACTGTCATTGCTGACGATCTACCCAGTTCTTCTACCGTCACGAACTGCTCCAGGACTACAAGGTAAGATATCACCTCGCTTCGCTTGATGTATTGCTGACACGTCTTCTATCAAGTACTACTGGAGGTACGTGCGACACTTTGGCGCACAAGCGAACTAAATTGACACCGCCCGGTATCCGTTCCAGAGTCGAGTAAGTTAAGTGCTCTCCTGATGTGGCGCGATACTAACGGTAACCCCCGCAGGCCTGACGTCAAGTTCTTCTGCGACCTTGACTACGATCCTTTCCTCATCATGGAGGACCAGCAGAAGGTCTACGGTATGTTTAGACTTCCCGACATGGCTTTTGGCTGGCTGATGAATATCGTCCAGGCTTTACAATATCGCTATACGAATACGAGGCCACCATCCCCACCCTCTGGCAAGCCGTCCGCGAGTTCATCGAGGAGAACCCGGACCTTGTCCCCCCTGACAACGCCATGGCCTTCCTCTCCGACGATGGAGGCAAGACTTACAACCGCTGCCACTGTAGGTTTCTCACCTCTCTATCATCCTTCCATCCATCTCTCCATCTCGTTTGTCTATTATCACACCTTCTCACCTAAATATCCCTTACCAACTCACCGTTCCCCAGTCTGGTCCAACTTCGAGATCGGCGACCTCGACCTCTGGCGGAGTGAGGCCTACATGAAGTTCTTCGAGCACCTTGACAAGAAGGGCGGCTTCTACTACGAGCGCTGGGGTGACGCGCCCGTGCATTCCATCGGCGCGGCACTTTTTGCGAAGAAGGAGCAGATTGTGAGTGTCTATGTTTGTTCTCTCCGCGTATCTTCTGTTCGTCTACGCGTATTCTTGATCGTCTGCGCGTACTTGTGTCCGCTTAGGCGTATATTTGCTCATCTGCGCTGCCTACGCGTGCCTTTTCGCCTGCGCACGCCCAAAAATACTGATTACCTATCCCTCCAGCATTTCTTCAACGACATCGGCTACAGGCACGAGCCCTTCCAGCACTGCCCGCAAGGCGAAGCCCACGCGAAGGGCAAATGCTGGTGCGACAAGTCACAAAACTTCGGTATGTCCAGGCTCTTTTGCCGCCCCTGCTTACCGGTTTGTCTGCTCCGTGCTCACGCTCACTTCAGACTACGAATGGTACTCGTGCCTCAACCGGTACGACAAGCTGTTCCAGTGAGCTATCAGCAGATGAGTCGCATTGACTGCCTCAGGACGGGCCATATCGACTCGCATAGGGCGCACCGCACGGACGCTCAGTACTACCTACCACCTGCCTACCTACGTACCGGACGTGGATATGTACTCACACTCGCGCTACGCTGCGCGCGCCTTACCATAATGTATACTTGCTTCGGCGTAACCTATCCGCGCGTGGCTTCAGAGCATGGGTTTAGGCAGAAAACTTGCTGCCACGAGCGAAGAGACGGATGGGCGAGAGGTTAAGGCTCGCGCGCGATGTTCAGTGCAAGCGGACCCTCGTTCATATGCGGGTGAGTGGTATGATACAGATATGTGTGGATGTGCAGACGACGACGGCGACAACAACATGGGTAAGGTCATAAGATGGATTGCGAGTAGTATTGATACTGTCAAGGGTATCAGCAGTGAACAACACTCGCCAGAGACAATCACACGCACCGAATCGTACAGTCGTGTCCAGTGTGAGCCGAGCGAGGTGTCGATGAGGCGGTTGACGTGGTCGCCGACGAGCGCGTGGGTGAGCGATGGCTGAAAGCGTTCGCGTAGTTGGGCCGCTGTCTGTCCCCCGAACAGGGCGAAGCAGGGTAGTGCGGAGTCTTTCTGCATCAGCTCGACGAGCGCTGGTCAGGATATGAGCATTGATCACGATTGATGCAGAGTTTGGGCGTACTGATGATCCGGTCGCAGTGCTTGCGCGCCGCCTCGAAGCCCTCTCGAAAGAGCTTCCTAAACTCCAAAAACGGCGCGCCCTCTATGCCACCTAAGACGTCCACGTACTCCACGGGTAGCTTGAAAGGCGCGGCCTCGAAGCCAAGGTTGCCCGGCGTATTCGAAAGCATGAAACCGAAGTCGATGTGCACGACATGGCCCTCGCGGTCGATGAGTATGTTGCCGTTGTGTCGGTCCTTGATCTGGAGGAAGTACGTGACAAGGGAATAACCTGAGTGTTTGGTGAGCTTGATTGTGCAGAGCAGCTGCCTGTAGTGCATTGAAGTACAGACTGCAGCTCAACGTACCTGCCAGCGACTTTGCAAAGTTCTTCTGTGCACGAGCGAACTTGGCCGACGAGGGATCACCGTACATGACGCGGAAATGGTCGAACAACGTGACGTGCCCAAGACGGCCTGTAGTTAGCCTCCTTGCGTACTCGGCCTTCTTGATGGAGTGTATTGACATCGCATCCGTGATTGTCTCAACGAGGCCGGATGTGCCGCCGGTGATAAGAATGGTGAATCTGTAAGATTGAGAAAGGAGAGGGATGTAGAACAAGGGGTGTGTTAGCACCCAATTCGCTGGTCGCAACAAACACGCACGGGCGCACCCAGCACGCGCAGCCCTCCTCTTTCCATATCTGCTGGAATTGCGAGATGAGCTGCGTAGCGAGCTGCTCCTGCCGCAAGTCGCCGCCGGTCTTGATGATGACGGATATACAGTCCCAGCTGGCCAGATGGCCATAAGGCGAGGCTTGTCGTATACGGCTCTGAATCAGGGATCAGTCTTGCGTCTGTCTAAAGATGAGAAGAGCTGACCTTCTTGGCAGCCCACGACTCGCTGACGACGACTGCACTGGGATCTGCTTTGTTCAGCTCCCGCCTGATGATGTTCTCGTCCATCGCGCCCTCCCTGCCACCAGCAGAGCGGCCCAAGAACCCCCCGCTCTGGCTTTCACGCATACGCTCCATCCGTTCCTCCTCCAGCGCCAGCATCTCCTTCATGATTCGCTCCCGGATTGCCGTCGCGTCCGCGTAACTCAGCCGCATCCTCGATCCGCCTTCTCGTCCCGCTGGGTGAGTTGCAGCAGACGCGTCCGCCGTTCCGTTGCCCGGGTGCGCATCATTTGCATGGGGGTCGCGCACGAGCGTCTCGTTTAGCTGGGCGAGCATAATCGCTGCGGTGCGCATGCGCTCAGAGTACTCGTCCAGCGATATCGCTGTCTCGCCCGAGTTGTTGCGCAGGTGCGCTGAGTTCGGTGCTTCCTCAATTGCAGGTGTGTTGGGTGCCGTCGGTCGTGACCACGCTGCAAGCTCGAGCTCCCTGTTCTTTGGCGGCAGAGGGAGGACGATGGAGTCTGCAAGGTCCGCTGAGCGCAGAGAGGAGTCGGGTCCGTAGACCTGCTCAACGAGGTCCATCTCGTCATCATCCGCTTCCGGGGGTACTGTAGTGGGACTCGTCGGCCTGAGTTGAGGTACTGCGGGGGTCTGCGTGTCCACGGGCTCGTTGGCAACGTCCAACTCAGGCCTCGGTGTCGTCACAATGCCTGCAGTCGGTGGCGGACTCGCATGACTAGATCGTGTACGCGTCATAGCAAATGGTACAGCATCGACGGTGCCGCTCTTGTCCTGTTCCGTTTTTGCCACCATCTTCTTCAGTATCTCGCGGTTGGCACGCTTCGCGGGGTCGAAGTCGAGGTCATCGTTTAGCACCTCGATGAGAAGCAGGTAGGGTGCGCGTTCTGCGGAGTTGAGGACAACACTTTCGCCGGGAGGTATTCGGACGATGCGGTGGTGTGGATGAGGAATGCCCGTGTCAGGATGAGGCTGGTCAGAGGTGGTACACCACATTGGCATACAGACCTGGAGATCATTAGCGATGAAAAGCCAAAGAAGGCGGGTAATTTACCTCAGCTGGAAGCTGGTGGTTGAGGGCAGTGAGCTCCGCGCGGAGAGCACTCACGCGTGCTGGTCGCGGGACGACCAAAAGTCGGTTCGAGATGTTTTCTAGGGTGAGAACGAATTGTATCTGAGAACGCCATGTCAGAACGGATATGATGGAGTTGCAGAACGGATCACCTCTGAACGACAGTAATGACTTCGAAGGAGGTGGATTTGTGAAGTGTAGTCGTAATTCTGTAACAGTTCGTCTGCCGCATTGGCAGGATTCGGTCGTTGTAATAGTCTAGAAATCGAGGGTGCGGACTGGAAGGCGGAGGGCACGACTTCGGGGTCTAGTTGGCCGAAAGGGTCATGAGATAATCGAGGTCGTCGCTTCGCCTTCATGTGCAGCGGGAGGGCCGGTACCGTCTGAGCGGCAGTGACTGCTCGCCTTCGGCCCTTCGTGACGATCCCCTGGTCTTCGTCCTCAACATCGACGGCTGTCTCATCCTCCTCAGAGTCCTCTAGCTCGGCCTTCGCCATCTCCGGGGACATCGAGGGCGTCACGGAGTGCACGACCGGGGGTTCTATGCTCTTGAAGTCGTGATCATCGCCATCATCCACGACGCGTCCCTGCTCTACGGCGACGTTCCCGACTATCCTGGTGAGGTCTGGCATGCCTGGAACACCTGCGAGGACGGACGCGATCCCGACCAGTGCCGGCTCGAGATGGGGCTTGACCTTCTTTCGGCCAAGGCGCGAGGTCAAGGGCAGGGAGAGTGAGAGGTACGGTCCGCTCGATGGTGCGGGGACATCTCCGAAGATGATCTCGTGGCAGCTATGGAGGATACGCTGGCAGATGACGAAGGACTGGGTATTGTGGGGGAAGTCCTTAAGGTACGCCTGCATGAACCAAAGCGTCTGCGGGATCGTCAGAAGCGTTCCCCACCCCACGCAACGCGCTACGCACAATCATCGCAATATGTGTGGACCGCTGCGCCGTGTCAACCACAAAGCACTCCAGCGCGCGCGACTTGGACGGACGCGTTACCAGCAGATGGCTGGACGCGCGAATCAGCCCCGAGCGACCGCATATACCCACATAGCACACACCATATGAATCCCCAGACCTCTCTAAGCTCGCCAATATCGATCTCGCGCAAACGTCGCGTGAGGTAGTAGGTGATGCCAATGTGGTCCGAGTACTCCATCATGTACTTGAGCGCGACGTGCACCGAGAAGAACGACGGCGCCAGGAACAGACGGAGCAGCATGGCGTGCGACATCGTGAAAAGAACTGAGCGTCAACGCTAGGTAAAGAGCTGTCGTCGTCGGGGCGGGTTGTGATCAGAGTTCCAGTCAAGGGGGATGTGCTCAGGATGCGTCCGTGACCGTGAAGATTATTCAGAGCTTTTCAGCCCCGGCTCGTTGTCGTCGTGAACAGAAGTTCGGGCACTGGTATGTGCTGAGGTGGAGATGTACTCAAAACGTCGACAGCGTCAAGCACGCCAGGAACAAGGCGCGCCCTCCTTGGACACGTTGCCGGTTCGATGCCGCTTGTGGGCGAACGTTACACACGACTGCATGTTCAGAGTTTGTAGATAGCAGACATTCATCTGCCCTGAGGTGCGTACATTACAGAGAATAGGGACATGTAGGGTGCAATGCTGGGAAGGGATGGACCATAACGATAGTGGAAGCAAAGGTCCTTTGAGGGTGGCGGAACCCCCCAAAGTGGGATAGCCAACGGCTAGCAGAGTATGTGGATAGTAAACGCATGCGATGACGGATGACAATCGCCTTAGGATAGAGCGTAGAGGATGGTGTGGAATTGATAGTCTGGTGGATATGCATGGAAGAAAACGAAAGTATTGTAGGTGAGGTGTCGTAGAGGATAGCGCAAAGGCTGGGACGACAGGACACTCAATCTTCTGAAAATTTGAGGGAAAAGTGAGCACACGTGCGAAAAGCGTAACTAGACGCTCACCTTGTTCAATCCACTCCTCATCTATAGAGCCATCGTCGGAGGAGCACATCGCGTAGTCTTCGTCCGGCTCGGAGGCTTCTTCGTCGAGATCCATCGCCTGAGTGGCCAAGGAGTTTTCGGTTTCAGCGGCAACGGGGGACTGTGCAACATCAGAGACTTGCGCTTCCCCCATTTCCGAAGTCTTGAGCCCTTGCGCGCACATGCGGCAAATATAGTCGCCAACTCCATCGTCGGAAGGGACCTCCTCGTCGTAAGTATCCCCGTCGTCAGAGTGTTCATCGCCAGCATCTTCATCGTCGGAAGGATCGTCACTATCGATGACAGGATAATCGACTGGCCAGCGTGCATGGCAATCGAGCGACGACACGGACTTGAGCATTCGCTGCACGTATTCTGGGTTGATCGTATTGAATGAGAGGCGAGCCAGCGGCGTCGCATCAGCAGGTATATTGAGCACCCGATCCTCGACGATGTCCTCCATGAGATGTACATCCTGCATTCTTGAGATGTGCAGGCTGGGGAAGTCGAGACGTATGAGGTTGGGCAGTAGATCTTGACGATGCCTCAGAGTGAGGACCAAAGGAATCAGACTGTTGCCAGAGATTTCGTGACCATGGACGGCGAGTACGGATAAGTTCGTGTAGAGCTCGAAGAGTCGCACCCATTCGGATTCTTCCTCGAGAGCAAATAGCGCAAGTGAAGTGAGCGTCGGGGCGACCGTTACCCCTTTGTCTGCGTACGCCTCCAGATTTCGGAAGTCGTCATCGTAGTTGTCCACTTGGAGCTTGACCAGGGAAGGGACATGAAAGACTCGCAAGAGGCTACAAGCACGGTTGCCTAGAAGCAGCGTAGTGAGAGAGGGAAGCACGACTTCGGTATGATCGCCAGGGAAAGAGTAGTTTAGCGACAACCGGAGAGTGGTTAGTCGATTGCACCCTCGTATGGCCTCGAGGAAGCCACCGGCATCGAAGGTGGGACACGATGTGATGGAAAGAGATGACAGCTGACCCCATGGAAGGTCTAGCACCGTGAGATTGACATCCTCCAGGACCACGGAAGAGAGCGCAGGGCATTTCGCGAAGCATAGCCAGCCCTCTACTTCCGATTCCTTGATCTCGAGGTGCTCCAACGCTGGCGCGTGCAACGCGTCGGTGTTGAACCACGCTGGCAGGACCATCGCACGGAGGGTCAACCTTTGCCACCGCGCGGCGCTCGCGAAGAAGATCCGGACGAAAGCTTCGTCTACCCGTAGATCGTCGTCCATCGACTCGAAGGCGAGAGACAGAGGTTTTCCCTCTGCTCGGTGCAGGCACTCAGCGAGCTGAGCGCATTGGTGGAGTTCGAAACTGAAGCAGAAGTCGATGTCGGCCCATATCTGCGAGAGCGACAGAGCGATCTCACGCCAAAGGTGACAGACGTGCATCACCGGGTTCTTCAGACGCGCGACGCTGCCCTTGGGCGAGCTGAGGAGTAGGGCATAGGTGATGACGTGGGCGAGGACTTCCGTGGGGAGGCGTCGGATGGACGAGACCAGGCTGGTCTTGAGGTTGATAGCGTCATTCATTCGACCGTAGGTAGAGCGAAGAGCGTTTAGCGTCTGCTGCGTTTGGGCGATTAGATCGGCGTAGTGCTCGAGCGTGCGGCGTTCGTTGGCGATGGCGCCGTTGATTCTGCAGATCTCGCCATCCGGCGGCATGACCTGCGATCGCAGAGCACTCGAGGTAGGGACGAGGGAAGTAGAGCGCAGGACAGGCTCGCTGTCTAGACGGAGAGTAACTTCATGATCGACCTTGTCTACGAGGTGTTCGTCGAGCATCTGGAGCTCCTAGCCTGCTGCTCGTTAGAGAATGTGGACAAGTGCCGCCAAGTAAGAGTGATGGGCGAAGGCCTGTGCAGCGAGGTCCGCGAATGATAGTTGGCGTGAGCGACTGGAGCCTGAGGTGAACGTGGAGGTTTGGGGCAGCGCGCAATCGGGATTTTCCGTCCTTCCTGCCCGTGACGAATACGGTCACACCGTAATTGTGACGATGGATGGGCGCGCCACCCGCTACCGTGAACACCCTTGGAGAGTATCCTAGCAGCTCTCTCGCCCGTGAAATCTACAGTCTAGAGGCGTTAATCTCTTGTTGTGGGGTGCTCTACGTCTAAGTGACCACTGGCATAGCCTCTGACTGCGAGTTCGCAATGAGTGACAAACTTGCATCTAGAGTCCAAGGGCATCGACGACGGTTACATATAGGGCCAAACCCAGCTCAGATGGTCCAAGCACGGCATCGCGAGACTGATGAGCGCGTAGATGTTGAGGCCGATAGGTCAGTACTAGACGGCCCGACTCCACTTCGATGCATGCGGGTGACTTGACTCGCTCAGGGACCAAATCCCAATTATGTACTCGCCCGGCGAACTGCAAGTCCTGAACACGCTCAGCCTGGATATCGAATGACAGATGGATGCATATATTGAAGAACGGGGTCGCACTACGAACGATGGGTAGGGGATGTCGTGTCACCACGAGGTTCGTTCATAGTGGGGAGAATGTCGGGGTGAACGATTGGTTAGGTGCGACGAGTACGCAAAAGATACCCCGAGTCGTCGTCAGAATCAACCTCGTAGCAGCTGAGATGACCTATAAAAAGTGACGGGGTAATCGTGGTCTTGAGCACGACGACGCGCACCATCATCGTTCCACTCTCCATCCACCGACTCGCCGTCTATGGAGCCTGGCGCGTACTCCTCGTCCAACGCGAGGTCGTGATCGTCAAGGCTGATGGTCAGGATAGAGCTCCAAGAGCTCAGTCACGCCGAAGTGGCCACCTGAGTCCAAGGCATCCGCGGGGCTGTCACCCAGCGAGCCCATGAGCTACCCATCCACCTTAGCCCAGTCGTCATCGCTGTCGGCATCGATGTCCACGCCGCCGCTGCCGCTCGCGCCGTCATCCGGGACGTTCTCCACGTAGCCTCTCGCGCCTGGCCTGTCCAGAGCCAGAGTCTTCCCCATCCTCGTCCTCGTCCGAAGGCGCTTGCTTAATCGTCCGGTGAGTAACCCATTCCAGTGAACGGAGAGTGTCGAGCAAGCGTGGTTTGTGGTCCCGAACGCATAGGCGAAGAACTTGAGCATAATCGCATCGCGTGCCCGGCGATGCACCCGAGCCTCGACAATAGCCTCCAAAAGATACACGCATTCCTGCGAGTCGACATGGAGATCGGTGAAGTCAAGGTGGGTGAGACTGGGAAGCATGCCGGGACAATGCCTGAGACAAGCCTCCAAAGTGTGCAAGGAGTGCGGAACGGGATCGGCGGGCTCGTGCTCAGTAGAGTTGGTGATAGACGTGCGAGAGGTTTGTGTAGGGCTCGAACAGCTAGACCTAACCTCGTTCGTGCGCGCGAGGCGAGAAGGGATAGCGATATGAGAGTGAAGCAGATGGTCAGATCTTTGGTCGCACATTTCTGCAGCGAGTCGAAGTCGCAATGTCCGCACAGAACAACCTTCTTCCGGCAGACGGCCCGGAAGGCGTCGAAGAGAAACGAAGCAGAACCCTCGAGGGAGAGCGATAGCAAGGAGGGGAGCACGATGTCGGAATAGTCGGCTGGGTTGCAGGTCGATGATGACAAGGTCAGGGCGGTCGGCCCAGACACCTGATATCGATAGCGCGAGCTTGTGCCAGAGGTGGCAAACGTGCGTCGCGGGATGTTGAATGCGTGCCAAGCTGTTGCATGCATCGTCGAGCAGGACGTCCTTGATGTAAATGACGAGGACTTCGATGTGAAGTTTCCGAGGCGGGAGATCAGAGCAATCTTGCGAGTAGGGTACTGCCAGATTTAGCATGAGCATGCCGAAGAGCGCGCAGGCTCTCTCTGGCGTGGGCGATAGCGTCGGCGTAGTGGGCGATGGTGCTGAACTCGTCGCACATGGCACGAACGAGTCTATGACACTCGGTTCTGCAGGGCCTGGCCTGCGCCAGAAGAGCGCTCATGGTTGGCATCAACACGCTTGAGCCCAAGGTAGCCTCGCAGTCCTGCCAGAGGGCGACCTCGAAGTCGACCTTCTAGATAAGACGTTCGATGAACATCGTGGTAGGATACGGGGACACAGAAATGAGAGAGGCCGGGCGTCAACTTCTGCAGGCGATTATCCTGATGGAGGATAGCGCGAGGAGAGGGGGAGCGATGAAAGCATGGGGACAAGGCACGATCGGCAGTTTCCGTCCTGCGGCTGACCTAGGCCAATACGCGATCACGTGCGAGATCGCGCTCGGTGGTGATGCTGTAGGTCGCGACTGGCATGTCCCGCCAGAATCGTGTAGTCGAGGAAAACGTCGGTTCAAAGGTAGGAATGCTCATTAGGGGAAAGTAGGAAGAAATCTTCGACGTCGAGCGAATCCGTCCGCTAGTTCTCAGCCGGAGTGAACGACACCGCGAATCTGGCGCAAGAATCTCGTCAGACCTGCCTTCGTGTTTCCAGTGGCTAAGTCTGAGTTGTATATATCTCGCACAGACACGCAGAAGAAGCATCAGATCTTTACTCCTTTCAATGATACACATTCACCTCCGCGGCTGCTTCCTGCTCGTCATCCTTATCGTGCACTCGCCGCCGCCACCTCTGTCCTGACCGTCTCCTGCTTTGGCAATATCCTAGCGTAGAGGAAAAAAGACTGTGGTGTGGCTCAGGCTATGCATTACTCTCTTGAACGCTCCGTCCAGCCCTGAGGAGGGTGGTCGTTAGAGATCAACATTCCGTTACGGAAGGGCCCGTCAGCCCTAGGTCCGCATTCCAGCCCTTGAAAATCAAAGGACACGCTGGCACACGTCCATCCAAGGTGGACGGCGGAGTGCTGGCAGCAGAGTGGACGAGCGTGATATACGTGGGCGACGACAGCCATGTCGCCGTTCAGTATGTTCGAACAGGATGACAAAAAGATCCGGATATAGCAACGACGTCCATGAGTTTCACTACTTGCAAGGACCTTCGGTTTCATTATCGTCAAAGATTTGAGCTCGTAAATCGCTCGTCAAAACGGACGAGGTGAGTGCATGCTTACGTGCGGCGCTGAGAGAGAGACTGCGGTCAACCCCGCGTCAGGAGGACGAAGGTACGTTCGGGCAGTCGCCAATACAGACACCATTCTCATCGCCTTCGACGACGAGCTATATCTTCTGCGCTTGCGAGCGCATAGTCACCAGACTATCCATTCTCTCAGTTTTAGTCGAGACCGGCAGCTCGACTGCATCGGACCCGACCGTTCGTTTGGAGCCATTGAAGCAAGAATTCCTGGGCGGTGGACGATGCCTGTAATCCAGTCATAGCGGAGAGGTTGACGACGCAGTCAAGATACATTGTATATCTTCGGAGGCAGTCAAGCAACATCAAGTTAGTTGCAAACATCAGCGAGCGCGGAAGGTGGTGCTGGCCAACTATAGATTCGCTTGACGCGCCTCGCTCGCACTTTGCCGCCGGGCCTTGCCGTGGCAGCACATGATCGTGAGACAGTCACAAGTTCAAACTGTTCAACCACTGCAGACTCGTCTCAATGGAGACTTGGGCTTGTGATGCTTGACTAAGCTGGGCTCTCTAGATTGAATGAGATAAGGACATTGTCTCTTAGTACTGCCTTCACAGTGTTTCTGCTACTACCGGAAACCTTGCATACCCGGCGCCTCCGAGTCGCACCAAGCGAAATAGAGATTTTCCTCTTGTCGTCACGATCACGTGTGGAGCTGTCGCGGGCGAAGCCGCAATATTCAAACTCCGCTTACGGGGCGGTATATAGAGCTTCGACAAGCCATTCACTGCTTGTCTCTCGCATTCATCAGCCTACCTACACTCGTTTATATCCACCTCACCAACACCCACACTCGCTATCGCTATGCCTGGACCGTTCTCCAGTACCAGACTGTCTTTGGTCGAGTGCCTTGCCCAGCCGGCGGACTACAGCCATATCGCGCACATCATCGCCGAAGCTCGACGCCGACTTGCCACTACGAACAATCGCCTTCCTACAGATCCAGCCAGTGCCACCGTTGCCGTCGGCAACACCTACTTCGAGGCCGCGGTTCAGACTCTAGCCTTCTACGATGGTGCAAACGCCCACGACAAGGCGATTTTCGACAAACGGCACCAAGTGGTACTGTGTGCAAGATACTTCATCTTCGTCGCACGAACGGACGGCGTCAAGGTCGCCAAGCGCAAGATTTGCGAGTTCTTCACCATCAAGAATCATCGCTACCTATGGCGCTTTATCGCGCGGGAGTTGGGCCCCGTACATGGTCCGTGATTCGTCGATCGATTGGGAACGATACATACTCACCCCGCCTTAGGCGAGAACATAGCGAACGACCTGGAGCATGCATTCCTGACAGAAGACTGGGCAAAAATCGCCAAGCATCTCGCTTCCATGGCGGCTTACAGTTCTCTGGAGGCCGACGAACAAGGGCGTCGATCCATCCAGGGCCAATGGTCGTCCATTGTCAAGCAGCCGTCAGAAAGGGCACAGAGGGTACGCATGTGCACGACACCCTCCACGCATCCCTTTTGACGATTGATCCAGGCAGATGCTCGCGTAGCCGAGCCCGGCACGGTCCCTGACAGTGACGACAGCCCCCAGGGCGACTTCGTCGATGAAGACGAGGACGATTCCGATGACGAGGCTGACGACTTGGCCAGGGAAGCTGAGGCCGCGGAGGAGTACGACTCAATTCGGGTGCGTCGACTCGGAGCTCGTGAAGCTTACGCTCACACTAATTCTAGACCCATGTCTTCCACTCTGATCTTCGTGATCGTGCGGACGAATGTCGTCGAGGTCCGATGTCGGCGTCGCTAGCAGCATGCAACGCAGCATTCAAGAAGACGTTGGAACCAGCCGAGAAGGACCTCGAGAGGACTTTGGCGACATTTTGCGCCAAGCTGAACAAGCTGGCCGAGCAGTTCCGTGGTGCGTTGTATAACGTCGCAAACGTCCCAATCTCACAGTGTAGCAGGGCATGGCATCAAGATCGCTGCACAGAAGGATATCCCCATCCCACCGCTCGCGACGTGGCCGTACAGCTACGAAGCGTTGGAAGCCGCTCTTGACCTTCAACGCTGCGCAACCGCTCCTCGAACCACCGCTGCCACGGCCTCCTCCGCACCGCAGTATCGAACGTCTACGTACCCTGACGCGCCATCCGTTGGCGGGTCACGCGCCTCCGGTCAACCGTCTGTAACTGTGTCGACTCTCACTCGAACAACCACCGTCTCCGATCAATCCAACTTCAACAGCCTCTCCAGCCGGGCACGTCACCCGAGTTTACCGTTGTCGTATGCCTCTGCTGCCGCTCAGTCTGTTCCCATCGGGACTCGGTCCGCCTCTGGCTCTACAACTGGCGCTCCTTCGTCCGGCACCTTCTGTGACTCTGGAATTTCGAGATCGCTGACCAGGACTTCTTCTGACGCTGGTCGCTTCTCTGCTGCTCCTGGCGGCTCTGCCACGACTCGGGTCTCTGGCAACATGGCATCAGATCAGGCCGCAGAAGCCTCAACGAGAAACGACTCTCAGGCGTCGGTTCCTTCGTCTTCGCATGCTCCGCTCGGTCGGTCATCGCACAAGCGCGCGCAGCGGGAAGACGATCTCGAGGATGAGCGCGTTTCCAAACTGAGGCGGTATTTTCCCCGCGCCATCTAGACGCTACGTCGAAGTCTGGTGCGCACCTCGTTTTCTCACGTAACTCCCATCTCCTGAATTTGAACTTAGAAACCGATTCGTTTGGCGGTCTCTGTTTGGTCTTCACGCTCGCGCCCTATGCATTCTTCTTGGGCTGTCCTCCTGTAATTCTCGGTCTCCCGCTGCTGGCTGCTCTGTTACTTCGCCAAGGGAGTTTGCAGTTTGTAAACACTTGGTGAGACTGGACCGAACGCACGTACCTACCTATATACCCACTGTCTTTGCCTTTGTGTAACAAGAAGGATGATTATTCGCAACCAATCGATGAAGGGTTATAGAATGTGAACGTAACTATCATGCATGGACCCGCAGGCCGCACTCGTCGAGGGCGGCTTCTGTCACCCGCCTATTGGACTTCGCAGCGTTCTACTCTGTGTATGCATGCGCAACAAGAGGAATTGTTCGGTAGGTACGAATGTCCTGCACAAATCGTGTCAGCCCCACAGCGTAGCTAAGATACGTTAGGTGAGTGGTCCACAACTCAGGAAACGCCATCAATACTCTGCGGACGCCGAGGTGGCGGCGCTTGCAGCGGGTAGGCTTACGAAGAGGATGCCCATCTGCTGGCCGACGAAGGTAGAGAACTGCCGCGATGGCAATGGGTATATATTTGACGAACCGGCACACGTGCAAGGCTAGGTACGAACTACCAGGAGAGAAAACTAGTGATGAGATACTTGTGGCTATCGTCTCACCGAAAAACGTTGGTCCAGCTGAAGGCCGCAAGGTTTGAGAAAGGATTCACAACGACAACGTATGGAGCCGCGCAACGAATGAAGTACAATGAGTCGCAATCTACAACAGGCGATACAGAGGTACGAGCCTCACAGCGTCGCGAGCCAGCCGTTCTACGAGGGCCCTGTCAGTGATAGAAGGAGGAACGATATGGAACACTCATCTGCACCAACGAGACCACGAAACCGGCGGCCCAGGCCCGCCGGCTTCGCGGTTGGGTATCCAAACCTCTACAGTGGCCAACGTCAGTCGAAACCTAACCCAACATGGTGAAGGACTTATCTCTGAAACGTGTAAGTGCACCGACCCCGATCGTCGTCGACCCCGCTTCCATCCGCAAGCCTCGCAGGCCCACTCGGGAGCCCTTGAGACGGCAAGACGACTTCAGCGTGCGACTAGGACCGTGCCCGACCCAGGCGCAGTGGCAGCAAGTTCCTCTGACACACGGTCGCTGGCCTGGCCACAGCAGCCCCGTATGCCGAAGTCCCTCGCGGGAGTCCCCTCGCAGGCAGGGTCGTCACCACTGCGGCTGAGCCCACCGCTGAAGATGGGACGAGCACTGCGTATACGGTCAGTCGTCTGGAGGAAAGCGGAAAAGATGAAAGACGTATCTTGGAAATGCGCAAACGCGCCGACCCCGGTCCCCCTCGCAACGCCACACCGTCCTAGAGCGCGCGATTCGTACACCGTGCACACCCAGCAAACGAAAGCAGCAAGACTACAGTGACAGGCGGTCGTCTAGGCCGCGACAGCCCCGCTGTGCCAGAGAGTTCGCGGGAGCGCTCGCGCGGGTCGAGCACTCACCTTCGCTTACTGGGCGCCCGCTGTTGATGGCACGGACGTGCACACAAAATTAGCAAAGTGATGCAAACGGTAAGAGACGTACCTCGAGAGGATGGAAGATGGAGAATATAGTGGAGTTCGCCCCGTACTTATAGGCGCAGGCAAAGAAAGGGGTAGAAAAGCTGTTGAATGTTCAAGTCAAGTTGCTAGACTTTCGAGTCTCAGAGCGTTCAAGACCATGTTTAACGGGGAAATCATCGAAGATAAGATTATCGGCACCTCGGCAACTCTGGCCCACGCGTAACATAGGCAGACCCGACGGAGCACGACATAAATTCCTTGGAAAAGCACTCTGTGAAATGCAGACTTGGAACGTCTCCGCGGCTTCATTCGCGACAAGAACGCCTGTAGCAGATTTTGCTAGGCATTCCGGTTGTCGATATCTGCGATCCCGGGCGTGATTGCACACGGATCGTAGGCAGGCATTGACGGTGACGGTAGTGCAGGACGAGGGGTGTTTGTGGTTATTTGTCTTTATGGGTGCTTGAGTGCGCAATGTGCGGGCCGGACGCGCGCCTGTGGTCTTGTCCACAACACTTCATCAGTCACCGACCTGCTGCTTTGCCAGATGGCCATGACCACCGCACGCTATATACGATGTCCTACACGACACATGGTTCGGTGTACAAGGACGGACTCAGAGGGTCCAAGAATTGTTCACAGGGCGAGGTTCATTCGTCGTAGACATACTGGTGTAGTTGTAGGAACAGATTCGACGGGCGAATGTTCTGCATTTCGTGCTGTTCTACATATCGGGCTTGAGAATATGGGGGAAGAGTTCTTGCAGGCTACACACATGAGTGCAAGTAGAGGCTGACCTGAATGCGATCGCGTCTAAGCGCTCAGAACGCACTTCCTTCCCCGACCATCATGGCCTCAGGTGCAATTGACCGACGCAGAATTAACGGGCCCGAGGAGAGCTTTCCTCCAGTATATGACGATGAGGATGTCCCCCAGCCGTCCACGACGCGCTCTGGCAGAGGAGAGCTCGACATACGCCCGATCTGTGCGTCCATTGTTCCCTCCCCGATCAGTGTTCCCCAACCTCACACCTCCCCCAGTCCTCCGCCCCGGCCTCATCAGCCAGGCGAACGGCTCCGCCTACATTGAAGCTGACAAGATCAAGATCGCCTGCGCCGTCTACGGCCCGCGGCAGAACAAGAACGTCGCGTACAGCGAGCAGGGCCGGCTGAACGTTGAGGTCAAGTACGCGCCGTACGCGACCGCGCGCCGCAAGGCGCCGCTTCGGGTGAGTGTCGTGGCCAAGTGGTGCGACGTATAGTCTAATCAGCTGCAGCCGCTAGGACGCTGAGGACCGCTCGATCGGTGTTGCGATTCACCAGGCGCTGCTGGCGTCCGTGAGGCTGGAGCTGCTGCCGAAGTCGACGGTGGATATCTTCCTGGTGATTATCGAGGCGGACGGGAAGGAGGCGTCGATTGCGAGCGGGGCTGTGGCTGCGAGCGCGGCGCTCGCGGACGCGGGCATCGAGATGCTCGGGTTAGTGTCGTCTTGTTCGGCGGTGAGTTTCGATCATTCATCTCCGTTCACACTTGTGCTAAGCGCCTGCAGGCCGTGACCGGGGACAAGATCTGGCTCGACCCCTCAGCAGCCGAGTCAGAACAGGCCGATGGAACCGTCATCCTCTCCTGCATGCCCGCCCTCGACTCCGTCACCAGCGTGTGGCAATCGGGGCGTTTACCACCGCAAAAAGCTTTGGAGGTACGTCCGTACACCGCTATTCCGCGGTCCCTTTCTCACTCATCTTTTTCGCAGTGCATGCACGCCTGTCAGCAGAAGTGCGTAGACATTCACAGCGTCGTAGCACAAGCGTTGTTAGAACATCATCAGACCCAGACGAGTTGAATGCATTGAAGTTGTACCATCGCAGTCTAAGCACTGTCAGCCACCTCCTCAAGCATCGTTTGCTGCTGTTCAGCCAAGTCTACTCTCGCTTCTGCTGCGCCTTCTCAGCAATGTTCGCAGTTTACTTCTCGTTGTGCCGTTCTCGCATGTCAAACTTCACACCGAAGGTCAATTTGTCATCAAATTGTCATTTTTTCAACGACTTCCATGGCGTCCACGGTCTCCCCAGGTGCTAATACTAACTAAGTCTAAGTGCGGATGTTGCTACAAGCTACACAAAGCGTAACGGTAATGTAAAACGATGACGGACTGTCTGTCTAGGCGCAGAGCGTGGATAGATGATGGGTGGCTGAGCGGATAAATCAAGTGTTGCGGGGAGGAGAGAAGAGATATGGATGGGGAAGCGACTTGGGAGGGGACAAGAAACTTGGAAGGGGAGAAGAGAGATGTGTGCAAAGGGAAAGGGTACAAGAAAGCGTGGGGACCCAAAAAGCGTGAAGACCCAGAAAGCGTGTGGGAGGTCGCGGTGATAGCGTGAGGGAGGACGGATCCTGCGTGACGTCGTGGGGAAAGGAGAAGCGTGCGATAGGTAGGTAGGTAGGTGATAAAGAGGAAGTCTAGGGGGATAGATAGGTTGATAAAGGGTAGGATGAGTGTGTGGTATGGTGTACGGCGGATGGGTGGTTGGATGTAGGAGGGACCAGCGATCTACAAGGGACAGAGCGGAACACGAAACGACGTCTACAGCGCACTTGCACGCTTCGACTTCGCACGGATCTGCTTGCCGTACTTGTAGAACAGGAACGGAATGGGCACCATCGCGCACGACACGAACGCGAGCAGCGACGCAGCCCATCCGTTACCGAGCCCATGGAACATCTGCACCATGAACAGCGGCATCGCCGCGCCCGCGCCAGACCGCACGACCGTCTTCGCCGCGAGCGCGGAGGCGACGTAGCCCGGGAACGCGTCGATGAGGTACGCGTTGGCGGAGAAGTAGATGATGACCATGCCGAAGCCGAACGGGATGCCTGCAGAAGCAGGGCCGACCCAGTTGCCGCCGCCGGGCATGACTGCGGGCGGGGACGTCCAGCCGAAGATGAAGAGGGCGATGGGGACGAAGGGGCCGCCGATCATGGTGCCGATCAGACGGTCCTCGGGCTCAGCGCGGCCGCCCTTGGCTGCTGCTCGCCGGAGGTAGTCCTTCTCGAGCAGGGGGGTGACGAAGAGCGCGATGGCGAGGCCAATGAAGACCGAGCAGAACATGATGCCGACAATGCCATCGTTGTACGCGTAGTCCTCGCCGAAGACGACAGGGAAACTGAAGAAGAAGGCGTACTGGGAACGAAATCAGCGAGTGCACGATGAGGTAACAACGAAATTACATACCAGCAAGCCGTAGATGAGGGAGATAAAGAGCGACATAAGCAGTAGGATGGGCTCGGTGACCAGCATTTGGAACGGGCGAATGAGCGTGTCGGCCAGCAAGTGTGCGAAGCTGACTTTGAAGATCTCCTGTTCCGTAACGATGTCGGTGCGACCAGTCTTATGCCGCAGCTTCCTGGCGCGCTTCTTCAGCAGCGCGGGCGCGAATGTCTCTGGCAACGTCATGGCGAAGCAGCACATGACGCCAGCGAAGATCATGTTGACCCAGATAATCCACCGCCAGCCAACGGTGATACCGATAAAGCCCTGGAATGAAGGTCAGACAAGGGGAGGAAATGAAGGGTAGTGAATGTACGTACGCCGACGATGGGACCGAGGGCTGCGCCGCCGTACGGGGCAGCAGCGAACAGGGCAATAGCGAAACCACGTTCGTTGTTGTCCCAGATATCACTGATGGTACCACCAGCGAGAGTGAGGGGTCCAGACGCAAAAAGACCGCAGAAGAATCGACAGATCAAGAGCGTCTGGATGTTCTTCGCTACTGCGCAGGGTATATTGAAGACTGGGGAGGAGTGAGTATGAGGTATGGGCAAAAGGGGCGAGCTACTTACCGACGTAGAGCAGCGAAGGGAAGATCCATAGAGGCCGTCTGCCGTACAACTCTGACAGGGGCGAAATAACTAGAGGGCCGAGTCTAGGAGAAAGTCAGTGGCAACTCGGAAGGGATAAATCGTACTACGCACCCAAAACCACACACCATGAGAGATACACTGAGCGCGGTGACGACGCTTCCAACGTGCAAGTCTCGTTCTATCCCCTTGAAATCACCAGTGATAACCGCAGAGGCGAATGCCACCTGGATAACACTGATGGCGGCGACGCCAGTGATGTACCACCGCCAAGTCGTACTCCAGTTTCGAGGATCTTCAGGATCGTCGGGGAGCCAGGTGACGAGGTAGAGGTCCTTCACGCGCTTCGCCTTCTCCGGATCGTCGATCACTACATGCCCCTCCGGGAGCGTGTCCATCACGGGCTGGAGGGCGGCCTCGAACTTGACATAGCCGGCCTTCGAGACCGCACGGGCCTCGTCGGTGGCGGCATGGAGGGGACGCGAGAGATCGGCGCGGGTGGAGTCGTGTGTGCGCGAGCGCATGAGGGTGAGGTCCTGCTCGGGCGCGATCGTCGTCGTCATCGAGGCGTCGTCTGCCGCGGGGCGATATAGTGGAGGGGGGGAAGCGTTGGCGGGCGACTCACGGGTGGAGCCGTTGGGAGAGGGGGGTGCGGGCGCTGGTTGGTGCTCGGATGGCATGTCTATAGAGAGGAGGGACAATGGGAAAGACGAAACGGGGGGAGGGGGGATTGGGATATTGTGCGTCGGCGCCGTATATATACGCGCGCAAACGGCTGGAGGAAAGTCCGCAACGTGCCGAGGCCGAGCGCTTGCTGGTCAAGCGTAGGTGCCGAAGGGCGCAGGTCTGATATCGGCGGGCTCAGTACTTGTTCAACTTGATTCCGCTTTAAAGACTTTCGTGCCGAGGGATGATCCTGACGCCGCATTTTATCGCTGTTTTCTGCGGCGCCAAGCGCAGCGGGACCCCCGAGCGTAAGACAGACGGAGGAACATAGCGAATATTCCTTGGGATGAGCGAAGATCGACGTCAAAGGGAGAGCAGGACGAGTTCCTCTGCCGCTTCGGGAAGGACGAGGCTCGGCGCGGGACATCAATTGCGCACGTGGCTGCCACTCACGTCAGACCCGCCCGACCGCTGACCGTCGCGGGCGCTCCCAGAGCCCACTGCCCTCCCGGACCTCGAGCAGGATGTCTCGGGAACGTCCAAGACGTCTCTGGCAATCCGAATTAAGCCGCGAAATTGCGGCGCGAAGGGGGTCCGCTGTGCCACGTTATCTCGGCAAATGCCGGCTAGTGTTGTCTGTGCCGAGCGGCGCATCGCGCAAGCCGAACGCTACTCAACGCAACACGATCTCCCTCAATCGCCGCAGCGGACCTCGAGATAATCAAGATGGCAACATGCGATGACTACGAGATCCATACGGCGCAATGCGCCCTGCCCAGCAAGAGCTCACGCCGCCTGACAATGAAACGGGAGGGTCGTCTGCCCAAGGCCTCCCTCGGCCGACCCAAGTCTTGCTAGTTCCGCCCACCAATCCAGGCAGCTGCGGCGTACCCTCCTCTGCAGTATCGCCCCTACTGCGTGTCTCTTCGTCACCCTATTCGGCTTCTATGGAGCTTCGGCCTCCCGCTCCCCTTCGACTACAGTAATCGCTGAGTTTGCCGCGATGAGCTTGGTCATCCTCTTCAACTGACACTGTAATGACTTCTGCCTAATCAAGTACCCTGACATGATTAATCCGCAGACCTACCTTCCTTGAGTCCAACGGTGGAAGGGAGAGCATTCTGCCACTGCAGCAGAGAGGCCTTGCAACTCAGTTTTGATCAAACGACAGTCAGCAAGACGCCTCTCCATCTCATACAGAAAACGAGCGATTATTGCAAAACGACCGACTACCAGGAGTACCACTATCTGCAAGAAGGATGGCCGCACTCAGGCGAGCCCAAGCGCCGAGGCGGGTCGTGAAGGAGGGGGAAGATGTCCCCAGGGAAGGAAGGGGAATAGCAACTCTATAAACTACATGTCCGGTAGGGCCACCGGAGTTCTCTAATGTACACCCGGCAAATAAGTTAGTGATAGGTATGTCTGTGCTCTGTGCGTGTGTTTGAACCTGAACTTCGAGGCCGGAAGGTGATCGCTGTGCGTGCGAGAGATAATCGCTGTGCATGCCCGGTGGCAGGGGCGCAGGGCCGGAAGAGCAGCGAGGGTGACCGGCGCGAACATCCAAGGATAGGCTGCACTAGGGCGTAGGGGATGGTGGAGGGTAGGGGGGGGTCAGGCTAGCGGGGTTGTGGGTTTACGCGTATAGTGACTCGAAGCGGCGGACGCAGGAGTTGATGTGGTAGTCTGAGGGAGTGAGGGTTAGCGATGAAAAAAAGATGACCGAATAGGAAAGTATGGAGGAGGAGGAGGGATTGAAGGAGGAAAGGGGGGTGGATGGGAAGGATGAGAGGGAGGAAGGAGGGCGACAACACGCACCGAAGGAATCATTCGGGTCGCACGCGCAGCGGCCGGCCGACCACAGGTCGCCCATCGGACAGTGCTGGATTTGCTCATGCCGGTAGCCGATGTCGCGGAAGAAGTGGACCTGGTCCTTGCGCGCGAACAAGGATGCTGCGATGCTGTGCACGGGCGCGTCTCCCCAGCGCTACACCGGGCGTCAGCGGTGCCTTCGCGTGGTGGATAGGAACGTGCGTACCTCGTAGTAAAAGCCACCCTTGTGCTCGAGGAAGTCGAAGAACTTCTGGTAGGCTTCGCCTCTCCAGAAGTCCATGTCCGCGATCTCGAAGTTGCTCCAGTCTGGAGCCGGTCGTCAGTATATGGTGAGGGCATCCGGAGGTGTTACGCACAGTGGCACAGGTTATAGTGCTCGCCACCATCGTCCGACAAGAAGTCCATCGAGTTCTGGGGAGAGATGTACTGCGGGTACTCTGCCATGAACTCTGTAGGAATCGTGGTTAGCTCCGGCTCTGCGCCACGAACGGCCGTATCCTTACCTTTCACCGAGTCCCATAGCGTAGGAATAGTAGGTTCCCACTCGTACAAGGAGATGGTGAAGCCTTAGGGATCGTCAGACACGCCGCCGGCCGCAACAATAGCCCAAAACGCACCGTAAACCTTCTCGTTCTCCTGCATGTAGATGAAAGGATCGTAGTCGATGTCACAGAAGAACTTCACGTCCGGTCTACGAGCTATAGTTAGTCTCGTTTCATGAACGCGCATATGCCGGACTTACTCGACTCTATTGGCGAAGGGGACGCGTTTGATGAGATGGCGCTAATCTAAGGCATGGAGATAGAGGACTGACCGCCAGTAGTACCGGTACGGCTGCAGTAGCTCGTGGTGGAAGAAGAACTGTGGAGGAGGGTAAGCGCGCGTCCGTCGAACGCCAGCACGACGAGACGTACGCCAGAGTTGAAGCGGCACATATTGCGGTAGCTGGGGGAGGTGGGGCTAAGTATGACTTTGGAGCGATTGATCGCAGAACGTACGAGACACTGCCTAGGGGAGTCGTCAGTGAGGGTGCTCGGTGTGAGGAAATGAGGCAGGGACGCACCTCCATAGATGATACGCTGCGCCATCATGCTCAAACGGCCCTTCCGCGCCAGGGACTCGTCGATCCAGTCCGGCTGCACCCAGTGCTCCCGGGGGATCAGGCCGAATGAGATGGGCGCCCTCGTCAGGACTGACACCCGCCTGCGAACTGCGGTCAACATGCGCGCCACACCGATCAATCGCTACTTCGCGTACTGCTTGAACTCCTCCGTGAAGGGCTCCTCGTTCAGGAGCACCCAAGGATAGTTGTACTTCCGGTTGAAGCGGTCCTCCATGGCCTGCATGCTGGACACGACGCCGGGGAGGTCCTTATTCCGGCATAGGAAGACGAAGGTGGCGTTCGCGCGCGCGGGCTGCGGGGGCGCGCCGCCATAGAGCGCGTCCGGGGAGTGGTTCGTGGAGATCACGTCAATGTCGAGCGTGGAGTCCGTGTTGACCGCGTCCGCGGAGAAGGACAAGCCGGAGAGGGACGTCGCGCTGCCATAGCCCTTGAATGCGAAGCTGAGGACGTAGTGGAGGGATATCTGCAGGGGACTGGTCAGTGAGCAACCCTCACTGGGATACGTCTCCACGCACGACGAGCGCGACGACCAGGACGATGTACCGCCGCGGCGTCATCGCTGGGACCAGAGCAGACATGGTGGGGCGGGCCCGGCGCGGCGAGTGTCAGTGCGACTTGGTGGTGCGAGGGAAGAGGTGAAAGCAAGAGAACGGAATGGAGAACAAGACGGACAAGTTTATAAGTGCGTGCGCAGCTAGCGATGGTATATATAGCAGGGGCAGCTGCGGGGTTCGCGTTCGTTATCCAATCGGCCGCTCGCGTGCGTGGGTGGAGCTGCGCGCGCGACGGCAATCTTTGCTGCCTGATCGCCGATCGTGGTGTCGCACCGACCAGGCGAGGTGCGTTGGCGCCGTCCTAGGCAACGCCGAGGGCCACAAATGGTCTAGGAGGGAGGGGGGAAGGAGGATGCATTTTTGGGCAGTTTGTTTGAGTAAGTACATGGTGTACAGCTATCCATGGAAACAGGAAGTTCAATTCTCGTTGTGGCGCGGACCCACACCTGCTACCGACCCTTATCCAGACCTCTTCCGGTCGTCGGCAGCGCAACATGCTCAGGATTCGCTCATTGCCTTCGAGAAAGTGCTGCTCAAGCGGGCCCAGGACGGCCCGTTGCGCACAGTGCTGGGAATCGTGCGCAGTCACGGACGCGCAGTCGTCAGCTGCGTCTATTCGGTCTGCTCGGTGCCTCAAGGCAGGACAAGTAGAGGCACAAGATCGCCTGGAAGCAATGGTGGTAGAATTGACGGATCAGGAGGCATGGTAGGTAAGAGGGAACGGTAAGGGAGGAGATCGCAAGAGGTATCAGGTAAGGTATCGACAGGAATGGCGGGGAAGCAGCAAGTATACAGACCCAAAACACAACCCAGAACTGCCCAGCGAGGTGGGATCTTCGGGCGTAGCAAGTTGACGAGGGAACTCCTGGGGGAGACGGTATTCGTTAGGCCCTCGGTGAAGTTAGAGAAATTGCCAACGCGAGGAGGTTTCGTCCACCGTTGGGATGTGCATGGGCTGCAGCTCTGAGTTCAAGTACTTGCCGAAGTGCGAACGACGGGAAAGGCGGAGGAAATAGCGGGCTCAAATGGACATTCGTAGCCTTTCGTGAAGGTAGTTGGTCATGTATGCCAATGATCGTAGAGTAACCCATAGTAACTGGCCGGAGAGAAAGCAGGTGAAAGTCGACGCCAGAGCGCTGCAAAACAATTCATCGTCTGGAAAGCCCTCTTGAGCCGTAGCGTATGGGAAGTAACAGACTTTGCCAGGCGTATACTTCTCTAGAGAGGAGGGTGGCAATTGAGCCAGTCTCAAGATGAGAGTTTGGAGAACAGTGCCGTAGGTTACAGCATCTGGATCTGTTCACATCTTCGGACGGCAGAAATGTGCGAAGGTTGCGAGACGGAGTGAAAGAAGAAATGCAAGACACAGGGCCAGCGGCCCTTATCGAAATCCAGAGAGCCAGTAGACCCTGAACGGTCCTCTCTGGATAGGGCACTTGGCAGGCTCGGGCAGAGAGGACTAGAGATCAGGAAAAGCAAGGCAGGAGGCGGAGGCAAGGTGCGGGCGTGTCGGACCGGTGTGATAAAGGGATGTTTGCTTGTGCTTATCTGCGGCGTGTAACAAAACAAAACTTTTGACGCGTCCGCGAATTGTTCCTGCAGAGCGTGATTGCCTGCTGCTGACCGTCATGGCGTCGACCTCCAGTGCTTCCAAGGACATCTTTATCGACCCCATTTCGCACTCGACGCCGGCGTCCACGGCCTGGTCATACTTCAACCCTCTCAGCCCGCTCTCCAATGCCTATGACCGTGTGCAGCAGTGGAGGGCCGACCTCGGACTCCCCAACCCGGGCACGACCGAGAACCTCCAGAAGGAGGTTAGGGGTATGTGGGGAACGACCCGTACAACTGCGCCAGCACTGACAGACGCGTCCTCGCAGCGACGACGCTTACGAACCTCATGTTTGATGGCGGCCGTGCCGACCTGAGCAAGACACTCTCCGCCAATCCGCTCTTTCAAGTCACCCACTCCTTCTCCCTCGGCTCGTCGCAAGTCCCGCCGTCATACAATTTTGCGTCTGTGTACGCGACGGATAGCGTGCGTGGGATGCCCCTGAGAAGGACGTGCGTGTCCTGACGTCCTCGTTTTCCAGGTCTTCCTCCAGGGCAGCATCGACCATGACGGCAACGTCAACATGCGCGCGAACCAGGGCTGGAGTCCCAACAGCGTCTCCAAGGTGCAGGGCCAGGTGTGTCGCGCTGCCGCCATCCGCCTCGGCTCCCTCTTGACACGTTCCCCAGTTCTCCCAGCAGAGCGGGCACCATATGGTGCTCGAGCACGACTACCATGGCCGGGACTTCACCATCAACCTGAAGGCTATGGACCCGTGGCCAGCGGACATGACGGGCATGTTCACGGGCAGCTACCTGCAGTCCTTCACCAAAAACATCGCGGTCGGCTTTGAGTCGCTATGGCAGCGGGCGCCTCCGTTGGCGAACGACGTGATGACGTCCTACTTGTTAAAATGGACCTCGGACGACAAGAACACGATCTCCACCGCGCAGGTCCAGTCGGGCATCCTGCAGGCGACGTACTGGCAAAAGCTCAGCGAGAAGGTCGACGTCGCGGCGGACCTTCAGGTCGTGGCTCTCCCTCAGCGGCGCGATGCCGTTGCGACGCTTGCGTGCAAGTACGAGCTGCGTCTTGCTGCCTTCCGCGCGCAGCTCGACTCGACGGGCAAGGTGTCCGCATTCCTCGAGCAGCGCTTCTCCCCCGCCTTCTCCTTCCTTGTTGCCGGCGAGATCGACCACTTCAAGGTGCGTTCACATCCCGCCTGACTTTCTTTCCCTCTTGCTGACTTCATTCACTCAGAATGCCGCCAAGTTCGGCGTCGGCGTCATGATCGAGAGCTCAACACTAACCCCGGAGGAGATGGGCCTGCCCCCACAACCGTCTGGGATCTAGTCAACACGGACAGCCCCTTGCATCGTACATATCTTAGACCGATAGCATTATACTATATAATGGTTCATAGTGACCCCCCTTCCCCTACAATGGCCCTCATTCCCCTACTCACCCCGGGCGCGACCGGTCCAAGTCGATGACGTGTGCAGATCCGGCGCGCGCACTTTGACTCGTACGCGTGTCCTGCTTGTCTTACGCGTGCTCAGTTCTGCTTGTCAGCCAATGCTATCACGACCGTTATGAGCTCACTGCTGAGGCTGAGTGGCGTGTCTTGTGAGGAAAGTGGGGCGGTAATCCTGAGGGACGTGGACCTGGAGGTGAGCGAAGGTATGTGGTGGCTTGAAAGAATATGAGGGGAGGACTAAGTCGGATGCAGGGGACGTCGTCGTGGTTCAGGGGCGAAGGTCTGTCTGTGCGGCCTTATGAATCGTCCATGTAGCTGACCTATGGACATGCAGTGGGGGTGGCAAGACGACGCTGCTGAAGAGCATCGCAGGCTTGCGAATGTACCACGGCTCGATACGATTCCGTGACCGGTGGGTAGTGCACAACCCCTCCGCGCCTTATCTTATCTGATTTTCGGCAGCGATATACTCGAGGACTTGGGTCAGTATACGTCTTGAGCTGAATGCCAGGCTACCCTCGCCGAGCTATCCACTTACCCATCCTTCCAGGTGCCCCGCATTATCGTACGCAGGTCACCTATGTCCCGCAACGACCGTCCTTGCTCCCCGGCACACCGCAAGACTTCGTCTACCAGATTATGCAGTTCAAGGCGCGCCACTCCTCGCACGACTCAGCGGACAAGGTCCTTGCGCGCGCTATGGAGACCGCGGCTGGATGGGGCGTGGACAATGCGTTGTGGCAGCGACCGTGGACGACGCTGAGCGGCGGGGAGGCGCAGAGGGTCACACTGGCTATTGCGCTGGGACTGGATACGGCGGAGGTGCTGTTGTTGGATGGTGAGTTCTCAAGCTTCGACGAACGGTCGTAGGATGGTGGTTTGAGGCTACCGTACCGATGAGCTGACGCCCCTTGACAGAGCCGACATCGGCGCTCGACGCAGAGTCCACCAAACTTGTCGAAAAGGACCTTTTGAGCGAAGTCAACTCGTCGGAGGCGCGGCTCAAGGCGCTTGTGTGGATCACGCATGCGGAGGAGCAGGCAAGGCGGGTCGGGACGAGGTTCTTGACAGTGGAGAATGGGGCGGTGACGGAGGTGCAGCTGCCACCTGTATAGCTACGCGACACCTTGGTCTATAGGAAGGTCCTGTCGTTGGGAAGGCCCCAGAGATGCTAATAGTGGCCCCTTGGTATAGCCTGCGCTCTGCGCGGCGAACATGATGGCTGTAAATTTGACCTGAGTGTTGCCCGCGTAACTTAGTGGTAGAGTGTTGTACTTATGTGGATACCTGAGATGCAAAAGTCGGCGGTTCGATCCCGCCCGTGGGCAGCTTTTTGTCGTCGAGTAATTGTCAAGGCCGTTCAGGCTGCAAGAGTATGCATATATGGTAGATTCAGATGTACCCCTATGGCTCCCTTCCTTTTTTCCCTTGATATGGAAGACTAGCATCTTGCGTCGGTTTTGTATCGCAATGTGCGCAGGGAGCTGGGGTCATAGTAGTAATACGGTGGCAAAAGATGAATCTTGACTCGGCGCCGACACATCCCTCCTGTCAGTCTCGAGTCTTGAGGTCTGTGTTCTCCAAGGCAGAGTCAGAGGACCGAGTCAGCGTTCTCGAACGTTGTGGGCGGCTGTGGGCGTCACGGGTTCGTTTGATGTCACGTGCTGGTTTATTTGGGTTGGGCCCAAACAGCGATCAACAGCCCCTCTGGTCGTCTTGAATCCGCCGTTAGCCTGCACCGCTGAGCGTCGTCGACGTCGACCGCAGAAAACGCATAGACCATAGCCACCACACTCATAGAAGCCCAGTGCTCAGCCTGCTCTTTCCCGACACCATCGTATAGCCCGTTCACTCGGCGCGCCGATCTCCGACCCCAGTTCGCCCTGTCCGCGGACATGTCCCAGCAGCGCACTCGCCATAGAGTTTCATCGTCCGCCAGCTCTCCTTTGGCCCGTCGAAAGCTCTCCGCACGCAACCTCCAGGCCCACCAACGCGCCCACACGTACACCGCCCGCACCCCGCGCACCGCGTCGCGTTCGCCCGACTCGGCGCGCGTCCTCGTTCCACTCTACCCCAACCCACGCCGCCTTCCGACGCGCCAGGCATCCATGTCCAAGGCATTCGCGCGCGAAGAGCCGCCTGTGCGCATAGGTGGCAAACGTAAACGCGAAGGCCCTGCCAATGAGAACCACGCGCAGGGTCGTTCCACGCGCGGCGACGGCCGGACCAAGCGACGCAAGGCCCTCAACGGTGGCTGCATGGAGTTCAGCAGTGACGAAGATGAGTTCAGTTCCATGGACGTCGACGACCACCCTGCCTGGTCGATCTCGGACGGCTCGGATACCGAACAAGAGGAGGAGGAACAGTCTTGTGCGTCTTATCACACCCTAATTGGCAACCGTACTGATAGTAACGTAGCAGACGACTATCTTATCCATTCTGCCACCACGTCAGAGCTGCAACGCCTGCGCAAGAACGACCTCGTTCGACTCTACCACGCCGCTGGCCTCTCGGAAGATGCCGAAAGTTTGACCAGGCAAGACATTATTGGCGCGATCATATCCGCGAGGGACGACGACGACGCTCTCGGACCTCCCTCTTCACCTCCGCGCGACGGCCTCAGTGACTGCTCAAGCGACGACGGCGGTAACGCTGCCGCCGACGAGGACGATGATGACGTATTGCCCGAGGTCAGGACAAGCCCCATGTACTTGCGCCGACGAGCGACATATCAGGCTCTCGACAGCAATGTCTCCCGCAAGAAACCCAAGACCGCTGCACGTAGCATGTCTATGGGCAATATGCTTCCTACTCTTAACCTTCGCGCCAACCGGTCTCGTAGCAGAGGCTCGGGCGGGTCGTCAAACGGTAGCGCCGGCCCGCGGTATGTGACTGTGACCGTTTGTTGTTACACATCTGACCTTTGCGCTCAGACGACGCACCACGAGCCGAGGTTCTTCCTCGTCGCAGCCATACCGGCCTCGCACTCGGAAGACATCCAACAATGTAGTTGAACCCATGACGCCTGTCGCTATGAACAGGAGCAAGGGCAAGTCTGTTGAGTTCACCGAGCTGCCGAAAAGTCCTTCGGCTGGTCGTTCGAAATCCAAGCAGATTGAGGAGGAAAGCGACCTCACCGAGCTGGACGAGCTGGAGGACCAGATTGCGAACCCTAGTCCGCGTCGCCTACGCAGCAAGGACAAGGAGAACCCTGACGAGAGGCGAATCACTCCTATGCGCAAGGCCAAGGGCAAGATAAAGACCCTTCGCGAGGAGGACAGTGACTTGACCGACTCCGACGGTGAACTGCCCGCCATCCAGGCCGAGGAGCAAGCCGAGACCGAGGAGGTGGACGAGCTCATGACTACGCCAGCATCTTCAACCTCGACTTTGACCCCGCCGCAGTCTGCGCGGAGACTTAAGCGGTCGCCGATGAAGAAGCGCCTACGCTCGAGGCAACCGTCTGTCGAGGAGCAGCCAGATGATGGTGACGACGAGCTGACGGACCTCGAAGAAGAGTCCGTTGATGGCGACCGCGCCCTGGACATGCCTACGCCGCGCAAGTTGCGTAACGGCAAGGTTGTTGGAGAGGAAGCTGAGGACGAGATCGAGGAGGTTGAGGAGGAGGCAGGCAACGTCTCCGAGGAGACCATCGGCGAGTCAAGTGACGAGGAGTCCACCCTGAGCGAGGAAGTTGAGGGGGAGGAGGAGGAAGAGGAGGAGGCTATGGAGGACGATAGTAAGTCGTTGATCCTATGTCTGGTCACATCTGCTAACAGCTCTGTAGTCGACCTCACTGCTGCCACTACCAAGTCCCTCACGCGCCTTCGCAAGGATGACCTCGTTCGGCTGTGCGAGTCTCGCGACATCGACGTCTCCGGCACCAAGCCTCAGCTCGCCGAAGCTTTGGTGAAGTGGCGCGACACCCACCTCATTGACCCGTCGCCCTCGTCAACTGGCACTGTCCGTCCGCCTTCGACCATCAAGCGTCGGCCAGGCCTCAGGAACCGCTCAGACGGTGGCAGCATCAGCCCACCCGTCCTCGAGCGCTCACATCGCGTGCACCTGGATGAGCCGAAGACACCGCCGCTGTCGCCGTCAAATGACAAGCAGCCGGAGCCGGAACTCGAGCTTGACCTAGAGGCGTTGGGCTTGAATGACCGCGAAATCCCGCCAGAGAAGATCACGAAGCTGGAGAAGATCGGGAGCGGTGGCTTCAAGGATGTCTTCATCGGCAAATGGGGCAAGCGCAAGGTCGCGATCTCCGAGTTTAGGGGGCAGCTTACCGAGAGTAAGTCGAGATGGTGTCGGTTGCGATGCCCTTGCTGACGCATGCTTTACAGTGGACATCAAGGAGTTGAAGTTGCTCGGTGGGTTCAACCACGAGAACATTGTTCGCTTCGTGAGTGCTAGTGGACCACTTCTATAAATTGGTTGCTTACCTCCCTCCAGTTCGGTGTCAGTATCCCCGAGAACTCGAGGGAGACGCCGGTCATGATCATCAGCGAGCTCTGCACCAATGGTGACCTGTTCGACTACATCCGCAACGTCGACGCACCACCTCTGCACCGTATCGTAAGTCATACCCGTATCATCGACGAGATAGAAAGCTCATCCTTTGCAGCTCCGCATCATGCTCAGTGTCGCCAAGGGCTTGGAGTACCTGCACTTGCGCAAGCCCTCCGTCATCCATCGCGACTGCAAGTCTTCGAACATCCTTATCACGAGGGACGGTTCGGCGAAGATTGCGGACTTTGGCTTGGCCAAGGTCAAGCAGTCGACGCGGTCGATGGTTCGCAGTCTGGTTGGCACAGTGAACTGGCAGGCGCCGGAGCTATGGCACGCGCACCCGAAGTACAATCACAAGGTGGATGTATTCTCATGCGCCTTGGTCTACTGGGAGATGATGCAATGGCATCTGCCCAAGTCGAAGCGCAAGTACCCGTGGGAGGTGTGTTTACCGTCTTTCGCGACTTGGGGTCTGTTTACTGATTTCCGACAGGGTATGAACGAGCACGCTATCTACGAGGCGGTTGGGTCGAAGCGCCAGCGTCCGTCCGTCGCCGGTCTCCGCAAGCAATATTGCCCGGAGATTGTCGACCTCATGGAGCGAATGTGGGCGCAGGAGCCCAATGAGCGACCGACGATGTCGCAGGTGGTGACGGAGGTCGAAAGCATCCTGAAGCAGTACAAGCGCTAGAGTGTTCTTGGGACTTCTCATCCGGTTCTCTTTTCTACCCTGCAAGCATTTTTGTATCCAGCATCATCATCACTAAGTACCACCGCATCTCTCAAATATCGCAGTTTATTCCCTCACCTATTAGCGCATGTATAGGCTCATCGTAGGGCACTCCTCATCATAGCGTATTGTACTCAATGCAATTCGTGAAAAATACGTTGTGCTTCTGAGTGAAAGAGTTCGAACTTCGAAAGGCTGGCGAGGCGAGGCTGCGTGACGTGACGTTGGGGCGTTATTTTGCAAGGGCGGCGTCCCGAAGCGGGTTGGCTCCTTATCTCATCCCCCGACGACGACAACGACGGCGTTCGCAAGTCGCGGCATGACTTCGTACGTGCGGCTGCTGCAGCAGCTGCCTGCGAGCCGCCGCCCATACTCCTCGTTCTTCTCCGGCAAGCCTGGCGGCGGCCGCTACTTCAACTCCCACAAACCAGCCACAACCACCAAGACGGTCGTCGCGCGTGCGGCGAACCAGACACCCGCGGACCCGGCTGCCGTCGCTGCGTCCGAGGCTGCCGCGAAGGCGCCCGAGGCCCCGACGCCGCACCCGGACGCGCCGACGCACCCGCTGATCGGGCGCAAGGACTTTGTGCTGCAGTCCTTCTTCGCGCTGCACCGGCCGCTTCTACACCTCGACGATCCCGCGGCGGTGTTCAGGCCGGCGCAGCAGGCGGAGCCTCAGCAACAGCAGCAGCAGGAGGTTGGCCCGTCCGGGCGACCCATGCGCGGCGAGGACCCCATTGCCGATGCGGAGGCGGACGCGGATACGGCGCGCCAGCTCACAAGGGCGCTCACCATGCACACGCTCGGCGCGCAGGCGCATTGGCAAGCGGTCATGGAGCGTCTCGGGCTCCCCGTGGAGGCGAATGAGGTGGCGATGGACAGCACGAAGCGGAAACGCAAGAAGAAGATGAAGAAGCACAAGTGAGTCATCGGCCCTTCGAGGCGCGAGGTATGGCTGACGGTGTTTTACTTGCCCTCCAGGCTCAAGAAGCGGAGAAGGGTGCGTGCTCCATGAAGTTTTCCTTGAGGCTATGTACTGACTGGTGTTTGCAGTTAACCCGGATGGCTCGTCATAACCAGAAGTAGTCTGGGTACCGCTGTCTTGTTGCTACTGTATATTCGTCTAGAAGCTGTCCGCTTCGCGCCAATACTTATGACCTCCATTTTCTCTCACTTGGTCGCGCTCGTCATCTGAGTGTGTGATACTGCCCGGTCTACTAGGATTCCCAACGCCATACACGAATACCCCCCATCCTCTCCTCATCAGGGCCTATCGAACCCTGCCACCAGTGCTCTCCGCTGCTCCAGATCTCCCTATACCCTTTTTGATGCAAGAGTACCCGTACGTCTTCATGGTGCAGCAGTGCACCGTAAAGCACAAGGTATCTCGGCCATTCATGTCTCCAGTCTTGTGAGAGATCGCCGGCGGATGTGGGTGGAGTGAAGGGCTTCGGCGAAGGAGGAAAGGAGGCGTTTACACCGGTCGGGAAGCGGTCGACGAGGTACTGGCGAGGGTTGTCGAAGAAGACGGTCGTCTGATCCATGTACGATTCGGCTGCCTCGGGACTGATGAAGTTGACAGTTAAGTAAGAAATATCACAGTAAATAAGCTCACTTTAGTCCAAGAGGCGGCTCGCAGCCCAAAGACCACATCACTCGGAGGTCCGCGAAGTCAGAACGGTGCAGGTAGGCTTGTCCAGGCAGCGAATGGCAGGGCATCAGGACGCCCACCACGCTGGTCGCATTCGCACTCGCAGGTAAATTATGCAAGTACGCCACGGCGCTGATGGGCGCGCTGTTGTGAATGAGGACAACGTAGAGGGAGGCGGGGATGCCGAGGGCGAGCAAGGCGAGATACGCCCTCTTGACAGGGAATCGTGAGCGAGCTTTGCTTGATTTGGAAGGTGGTGAAGATGATGTTGAGAGGTCGACGATAGACTTCGCTGCCAGAGTATGCAGGAGAGGCAAAAGCGGGTGGATGAAGCGCCATTCTTTATGCCCGGCAAGTGAGTAGACGGCCATCGTCCATGCAGTGGCACGGGTCATCTGTGTCAGTGCCGAGTTCGTGCTGTCGGTGTTCCGCAAACTCTTGTAAATGCCATGCAGGGCGAACGGCAAGGCGGTGCTGCAAAGGACCGGTAAGGCCTGAAAGATGTAGAACGTCGCGTTGTTCTGGCCATAGAAGAGGGACACGCTGGATGCGTTTGCGCGGAGGAAGTTGAGGGGCGTGATGACAAGGCGACCATAGTAGATGGAATCCGCAAGTATCTGGATGGAAAGAGCCACAATCCTGAACTGCGATGAGCATGAAAAAGTGCAGCAAATCACATAGCTTACCCAGTGACAATCGCATTCACGGTCAGGTGTAGCCTGATATTGGGCTGGTTTGCGAATAGCTGGCCGAAGAGGTAGATCCAGATGACGGCGTTAGTGGGACGGACGAGGCAGGCTAGAGCTGCGAGTGCAAGAACGACGCGAAGACGCGATCTATGGCATGCTATGAGCAAGTTGAAACGACAAAAACATAAAGACGTACTTCAAGAGCCTATTCGTCTCTGACCACGGGTAGTAGACGTAAGCTACGGTGCTCAACGAGGTCTCGAGCGAATTGGACAGCGAACGCGAAAGAGCGAGCGCGTTGAACGGCGAAGTCAGGGACAAGAAGAGCTTCCAAATGTTGAGATAAAGAGTGATCGTCGAAGGAGCTGATCTTACCGCAACATTGGCGTAGCTGGGCCCCAGTTCGCGTCTTGCCAATTTGTATGAGAACAAGTCCGTCAAGGCTGCCAGTGTACCGTGTACTAGTCGAGGGCCAGCGATCTAGGTAATCCCTGAGTGGCTAAGTTTACCTCGTTTAATGCAACAACATACGAGCAAGCAGTTGACAGAGTCAAGTCCTGCCGCTTTGAGGATCCAGAAAACTGGCACGTTGAGCAGTGGGTAGAGGATGCTCCTAATGGGATTCGGAGTCAACCATTCCCAGGTCAGATGTCCATAGCCAAAGACAAGGTCATGCGCCGGCTCTAGAGCCTGAAAGTACTCGTCGGGCTGGAACGAGGTGCGCGTGAGGAGCGCAACCAGGATCCGAACCGTGACGGCGAGGAGGAAGAGCATTTGGCGTCACGTCACGCGGCCGCCATTGTTCGCAATAGTTGCGCTAAGCGGTTCCTTTACCTGCTCTTCTCATGGCGGTCATGAGATGATCGCAACTGATTTGTTCACGTACTCTTCCACTCTGGTCTAACGTACCGACCGCCCACGACCTCACCACGATGGGCATCTTCACGGTTGTGCGCGCAGCGGCGGCGGAACGCTTGTTATCGAGCAGAAGATCAAGTTCGACATATTCTACCGGCGAGCTGCCCAGCGTCCCTTCGGCGAACGGCGCGAAGTGGTACCCAGACCCTGCCAACCCCTCATCGCTTCAGCGACCGCAGCCCGTCTCCTACGGCTCGACTTCGTCTCGGACACGGCGCAATAGCGTACTCGATCAAGTCCCCGAAGACACCACGGTCGATTTTCATGACCAGGGCGACGACCAGGCAGACGACGACTGGGAGCGCGAGGTCGAAGCATCCCTCGAGTCCCAGGGCCTATACAAGGGTGCGTTGCGCGCCGATCATCTGACCCCCATGCCAATCGTTCTAATGCCGCCTCCGCAGGATCCTACACCAGAGAGTTGCTGAGATACAGCATCGTCCCTCTCTCGACCATCATCTTCTTTGCTCTCGCCATCGTTCCCCCACTCGTCTACCGCACGCAGGGCGACAACTCCTATCCCTACACATCCTACTTCCCCTATCCCCTCCCAGAGCTGGCCCTGCCGGGTACCCTTTGGGTCTTGACCTATGCGGTCAAGGGTCCCATTTACGCCGCCTGTGCTACCCTCGCAGGATTACGGGACTTGCCGCAGTACGCGTACACGCTGATCGCTGGCGTCCTCCCGGTTCTCCTGCATAGTGCGCTATCCGTCACCCTGCGGTTGTTTGCGGCATCCACCCTCCTCATACATGACTACGCCGTATTCCCCGAACCCGATCGCCTGGACCCAGCCTTCTATCGTGCTTGGTGGGCAGGGGTGGGATGGGCGGCAGCGGAGAGCATTGTGGCCATGACCCTCGGTTATCGTGCAGTGTCGTGGTACCGGGACGTCTTGGTTGACCCCAAGGATGTGCGACGGGGTGGGTCGGAGCGTGGTGCTTTCTACTTGCAGGGGCAGGATGACGATCAGCGTCCAGCATCGCCTGACGGATCCTCGCTGTCGGCCGGCTCTCCACGCTTGCCGGCGCAGGAGCCGCTCCTGCGATCCTCGAGCGACGTTTCTGCGCAGGGCTCTGCAAGGGCGCTAACTGGCACATTATCCGAGGAGACGCTCGACCAGCTCATCGAGCAGGACCTAGACGAGCTCATCACGTTGAGGAAGAGGGAAGAGATCGAAGAGCAATACGGGATGGCTTTTATCGTATGTCATTCGTTTTTCCCGCCTGCACTGTTTCGACTCACGCTTCTATGCAGCGCATACCCATCACCATTCCCATCCTGCAAAGGCTCAACTCCCTGCTCTTCTCCGTCGGTTCAATCCTCCTCATCAGCGCCGCTACCTTCCCGAAGATCAAAGCTGTTGGCATGTTCACTTTCGACCCCTACCGCCCTACCCACGTTGCGTTCACCATAGCCAAGCACGCACCAGGGGACCCCTCGTCACCCTCGTCCGCCTCTCTGCCCCTTGCACCTATCCTGGTGGCAGTAGCCTTCGCGCATGCTGCGCCGACTATCACTTCAGCCACTCTCATTGGGCCGCATGTTGCTGCCTATGTGGGACTGCTGATCAGCTTAGTGGTGCTCTTTGCGGGTTTGGGGGTTTGGGGCGCGTTGGAATAAACGATTCTACTTACAGTAATGGCTTTACGACATTGTTCAACTTTGTATAATTGTTGTTGCTTTCTTTGTTCATTCTAGCATCTCTTCACTATTACACCTACTACTTATGCTCAGCCCGTGACGGACACCGCTAAGGGATGCCTTCCAAGGAACGCTGAACCTGAGCAAGTCAAACTGTGACGGACATCACATGACCGCGTGACAGTGATGGATCCGGTGGCGGCGAAGTTCGAACTTGCCTCAGACCACAACTAGTATCTTCCGTGCACATTCACTCTCCGTCGGTGTTGCCACTCGTCTCCCTGGATCAGCCTATCTAAAGTCAAGTTTGAGGCCACTCGTCAATACATACAGAGATGACCAAGAAGGACGCCCATAAGACTCGCACCTCGCAGCCTGCCACCAAGAAGCAACGGAGCCACACATCGGAAGAACGCGTGGCAAAGGATCAACTCATGCGCTCTCATAAGCGCGGCAGCTGCTCTCTACGTCAATCTCAGACCGCCAAGCCGGGCTCGTCTCTTCGCCGCAAGAACACTAAACACAAGGCAGCAGCGCTTACCTCGAAGCCTGGATCCGACTTGGGGCCTAATCTGCCGGCTTTGGCGACTGCACTCGAACACATGTATGCCACAATGAACGGCACTCTTGCGCCCGGTCAGGAGCCTGCGAAGTACTCGAGTGTCTATCAGTACCTACCCAAGCATCTCCGCATTGAGGAGGGAACAGTGATCCCGCAGCGTCCGCCGCTGACGTCGTTTGGAGGTGACACGATCAACTGCCTCTACTCGGAGGAGGCTGCGAACGAGCTGCTCATACTTGAGTGCGGCTCTGTCGAAAAGGGCAAGGAGCTGGTGAAGGAGGCGTATCAGACTGCAGAGTTTATTGGCGTGCGTACACCGACATCTAGTTCGTTGATATCGGTCTGACTATTCGCATTGTAGGGACAACCCGACCCCGAGGATCCGACGATAGACCGCATCGATCTCCCTAATCTTCCTTTCCATCTACGGCTGTGGCTCGGTCACCAGAAGACCTTTGTATCTTTCGACTTCTGCGACAACCAGACCAGACGCCCTGTCTTGAAGCACCGGAACCTCACCGTCTTCATGCAATCCCCAGGCAGCTTGAACGCCCTCCAACTACAGCCGCTCGAGAAATGTTTTCATTACGACCAATCAGTGGGTTACAATTCCTTCGTCGTTCCCGAATCTGCCGTGCTCGAGATACGGTGGATGGGGAAGAACATCAAGACGGTGCAAATGCCGGCACGCGAGCAACCTGCCCAACCAGCTCGGGCTGCCCGTGGAGTACGCGAGGTTGCAAAGTCGCCGATGTGCGTACATGGACGTTCATATACTAATACGATGCTGATGGTTATTGCTTGCAGCCAATTTCTTGCGGAGGTCACCGGCAACCCTCATATAGCGGCGATGATCAAGGCATAATTTCTTCCAACACGCCGTCGACATCATCATTATCATCTGCCCAATGCGGCCTCAGACCTTATTGAATAAGACGATATCTCAATCATGACCATTGTACGCTTTCCTGCTGTCTTCTCTTTTCCAACCGTGTTCGCTCTCATCTTTGTCTCCATCTCATCTCCGGTCCCGCCGGTGCTTTGGTGTCATTGCGTGCTGTGCACGTATCGTCGCTATACCTCGTTCATGATGTCTATACTTATTGCTGCCGGAAAATGACTGCTACAAACTCAATTTATCTCTTCCTTATTACTCCAGGCTGACCATCAGGCCTCGCGGCGAGCGAAGTGGCCTGCCACGGCTAACTTGCCACTTACCAACAAGAGGCTACGCGACGCGCACCTCCTGCGCGGCGATACACTTCACCTCACGCCAGTGGACGACGCGCCTACCGCGAGTGCGATAACATGCGTCACGTACCAAGCGTCTGCGAAGAAGAGCAGTCGTCCGAATATCAACATCTGACGTCGTTGCGGCTGGCGCGCTCGCACGCTCGCAACCATGTAGGCCTCGTAGATGTCCATAGTTAGTGAGGCTCTCTTGAAGCATGCCCGCCATCGAGGACGCGCGCGGGCTGCTTCGCGCCCATAGTCAGTCTGTCCGCGGTGTTATCGACCAAGCATATCAGTGGGTCTGCCTTGAAATCGAGGCTTCTCGCTCGTGTGAAGACGGTCGCTCATGTCCGCGATGTTCTCTATACGGTTTGAATTTGCCTCTGCGCTGTCCGACCGTCGCCGCCTCTTAGGTAGAATTTCGCCAACTTTGGTAAGGCAAAGTGTCGACAATCCTATTGATTCAGAGCTACATCGGAGGCCTCGCAAGGCAAGTAATCCTTCGGAATCCGCGCTTGCTCTGAAGAGGTTGCCTCTCGTTCTGCTGAAAAACTGGATGACGGCGTAATCCAATTTTGCGGGAGAGGGGTGTGCGGCAGGTGGATTCCCTGCAGCGCATATTGCCACAATGTTTTTGACATAGCTTCTATATATATCGACTGCCTGTGGAACGTACAGTCGAATCCAAAGGCCTCAAAGCGCACGGCAACTGTGACTTGACCGTGACACTGACAAACAAATACAACTTGTATCACGTGTCCGTGTGGCTTTCAGCGGATCCGGGCTTTGTTGGCGGCGGCCATGAGATGAACTTGTTACAACCTATATTCTTCGACCGCTAACACCCATCTACGCCGCTCGTCTACGTTCTCTGACCTTCTGATTTTAATCCTTCTGCTTCCCTGCTTCTGTATCCTTTGCCACTGGTGTAGGCGACCATTCAAGATGGTCAAAACGGAAGCCTTGAAGACTCGCGCTTCTCAACTTGCCGCCGCCAAGAAGAAACCCTACACTAGATCTCAGAAGCGTGTGGCAGAAGACCAGATCTCTTACTCGATCAAGCGCGCCACTTCGACTTCGGCCACGCGATGCGCGACGACCAATCAGGGTTCAAGTTCTCGGCGTGGCAAGGAGAGGCTCACTGCAGAGAGAACTGAACCCGACTTATCTGGTCCAGGCGTGCCGCCCAACCTCGACGCCCTGGCCTCCACTCTCGGACACATGTATGCCACAGTCAATGGCACTCTCGCACCCGGGCAGGAACCTGCGAAATATTCGAGCGTCTATCAACATCTTCCCAAGCATCTTCGCATCGAGGAGGGAACAGTCATCCCGCAGATCCCGCTATTGACGTCGTGGGGTGGCGAGGTGGTGAATTGTTGCTACTCGGAGGAGCTTGCCAACGAGCTACTCAAAGTAGAGTACGGCTCGGTCGAAAAGGGAAAGAAGGCGGTCAAGGAATTTATGGAGGTCGCTGAGTACCTTGGGGTGAGTAGGTCAAACTCTTGCTGTCTCCCTGGCGACTAACCATATCCTTTGTAGGGGCAACCTGATCCCGAGGATACGACGATTGACCGAATCGAGCTTCCCGGTCTCTCCTTTCATCTCCGGCTGTGGTTGGGGCACCAGAAGAACTTCGTGTCCTTCGACTTCTGCGACAACGAAACCAAACGCCCCGTCGAAAAGCACCGTTTTCTCACTGTTTTCTACATGCGTTCCCCCCAAGACATGCATCCTGTTCAGGTTCAGTCACTCGAGTACTGCCATCATCTGGACCAATCCGTCGGCTATAACTCCTTCGCCGTACTCGAGGGCTCGATACTTGATGTTCGATGGAAGGGGAAATCCATCAAGAGAGTGGTGATGCCGGAGCGCGAGCGACCAGCTCAGCAAGCCCAGGCTGTACCGGCTCGAGGTCTACGCGAGCTGGAGGTGAAGTCTCCACAGTACGTATGCAACCATTGACATATCTCGCCTCGCTGACAAACGTCCCATTGTAGGGAAATGATGGCGGATCTCGCTGAGTTCGCCCGTAAGGCGATGAACCAGGCGTAGTCGCTGCTGGTGAGACGCCCGGCACTGTCAAATCAAACAATCTCCCCTTCGTCTCCGCGCGCGACACGCTCGAATCTCCTCCTTGCACCCACATAGCGATGCCGGTCCGGTGATCTTCATTTGCAAGCGCCCGACTGTTGTGCGATGTTACTGGACCAAACAATATCTCTATCATGCCCCTTGTGCTCTTGCTCTCTTCTCCTGTTCAATCATGACCGCTCTCATCTCTATCTCTCATCTCCGCTCGCCGGTGCTTTGATTTTGCTGCATGTTGCGCACGTACTGTCGCTATAACGCGTTTATGATGTCTATACCTCTTGCGTCAAGAAAATGGTTTCGCCGGACTCAATCCACCTCCCGCTTCTTTCCAGGCTGATCTCAGGCACCGCGACGAGCGGAGAGGCTTGCCACGTCTATTCTGCCGCTCAACAACACCATAAACGCGCAGGGGCTGCACGACGCTCACCTCCTGCGCGGTCAAATATCTCATCTCACGCCAGTGGTCGACGCGCCCGGCTCTACCGCAAGTGATATAGCATGCGCATGGACACGTAGCAAGTTTCTGCGGAGACGAGCAGTCTTTTGAGCATCGTCATCTGTCGCCTCTTAAGCTGGCGCGCTTGCACGCTCATAACCATGCTCGGCCTCGCAGAATACCACAGTCGGTGAGTCTCGCTTGAAGCCTGCCTGCCATGGATGCCGCGGGCTAGCTTCACGCCCATAGTCATTCCGTTCGCGGTGCTATCAACCAAGCATATCAGTGGGTCCGCCGTGGAATCCCGGTTCTTTGCCAGCGTGAATACGGTCACTCGTTTCCGCAATGTTACCGTCCGACCTTTTGACTATCGTGACTCTGCTCTGTCCGAACGTCATGACACCAATCGCCTCTTCGATAAGATTTCGCCGACTCGGACAGAGCAGAGCGTCGACAGCCTCATTGAGTCAGAACCGCGTCAGAGGCTTCAATTGCAGACGGTGCTTGAAAATACACCCTTGCTCTGTCGAGGTCGCCTCTCGTTCTGTTGAAAAGCTGGACTGCGTAATGCAAGTTCGCGGGAGTGGGATGTGTGGCGGGTGTGTTCCCTGCGACGCATATTATCACGGTGCTTATGACCCCGTTGCTACATATACCGACTGTATGAGGGACGTGCAGTCGAATTCAAAGGCTTCAAAGCCCACGGGAACTGTGACTTGACTGTGACACCGACAAACAAGCACAATGTCCATCACATGACCGTGTGGCTTTCAGCGGTGGCGACCATGACATGAGCTTGTGACGACCCTTATTTTTGACCGCTGACACTCATCTACACCCCTCGTCTACGTTTTCTGGCCTTTGCATCAATCCTTCTGCTTCGGAATCCTTTGCTACTGCTAGATTGTCTACCGCTCAAGATGGCGAAAACGGAAGCCTCTAAGACTCGCGCTTCTCAACTTGCCACCACCAAGAAGCAATCCTACACTATATCTCAGAAGCGTGTGGCAAAGGACAAGATCTCTCACTCGATCAAACGCGCCACTTCAACTTCGGCCCCGCGACGCGCGACGACCAGTCGTGATTCAGGTTCTCGGCGTGGCAAGGACTCGGAAAGGCTCACTACGAAGGGGCTTGAGCCCGACTTATCTGGTCCAGGCGTGCCACCCAACCTCGACGCTCTGAAGTCCACTGTCGAACACATGTACGCCACTATGACTGGCACTCTCGCGCCTGGTCAGGAACCTGCGAAGTACTCGAGTGTCTATAAACACCTTCCCAAGCATATCCGCATCGAGGAGGGAACAGTCATCCCGCAGCAGCCGCTATTGACGTCGTGGGACGGCGAGGTGCTCAACTGTCTGTACTCGGAGGAGTTCGCCAACGAACTTCTCATACTGGAGTACGGCTCGGTCGAGAAGGGCAAGAAAGCACTGAAGGAAGTCTACGAGACTGCTGAGTACATCGGAGTGCGTAACTAACACTCTTTCTTCAATTGCTGTTTGACCCGCTCTGCAGGGGCAACCCGATCCCGAGGACCCAACGATAGAACGAATCGATCTCCCCAATCTCTCCTTCCATCTCCGGCTGTGGCTTGGGTACCAGAAGAAATTCGTCTCCTTCGACCTCTGCGACAACGAGACCAAACGCCCCATCGAAAAGCATCGCTTTCTCACCATCTTCTGCATGCGATCCCCTCAGGACATGTTTCCTATCCAGCTGCAGTCGCTCGAGTACAGCGATCATTTTGATCGGTCAATCGGATACAACTCCTTCGCTGTCATCGAAGGGACGATCCTCGATATCCGTTGGAAGGGTAAATCCATCAAGAGGGTGGTGATGCCGGAGCGCGAGCGACCGGCTCAGCAAACCCAGGCTGTACCGGCTCGAGGTGTACGCGAGTTGGACGTGAAGTCGCCGCAGTACGTATAAGGCCATCGCTATGTTCCGCTTTGCTGACTTTGATTTTCGTAGCGAGATGATGGCTGAGCTCACTGAGTTTGCTAATATGGCCGCGATGAACCAGGCGCATTCGGCGAGGCACTTGGCGTAATCGAGACTCGAATTTCCCTTTGAGGTTTTCACTTTGAATTAATGCCTTGAAATACTCTCGCTTTGTCGAGGTTCTTGTCCATCATATGGCATCCCGCACCCTCTCTATGAAGGCCAGAGGATCGCACGGTTCGCCAGTGGGCGAGTGAGACGCGTAGCGGAGAAAGTAATATTATGGTTCCGTGTTCACATCTGAATGTTGGATGACTTCCCTGTGCATCACTGTCTTGGACCTGCTGAGACTCAACTGTGTCTCGAAGCGAACTTTAACAGCTTTTTAACCCCTTTGTTGCCCAATCCCTATAAATACTGGACGAACTTCACGATGTTCCCCATCTTCCTTCATCTCCAGGTACGTCTCTTCCAGCCCGCATCACTTGGCTGACTACCGCTGCACGGACGTGCCCCATCTACAGCGGGATCCGGAGCCCAGTCAGCGGAGGTAGGGGGAGCTTTCGGCCTGCGCGATCGCTGCTCTGAGGTACTTCAGTTGCGCGGGGCTGTACTCGGCCAGGTACGACCGCCTCTGTTGTATGCTCATTGCCACTGCTGGCTGGGTGGTGCACGGCACGTTCGCCCTTCCAAAACGCCCGTCAAGAGGGCGTGGGTTGTGTCGATAGTTGTCGGGGTCGGCGCACGCGCATGTAGCAGAGATAAGTCTTTTTCTTTCTGTACATCTTTTCGGTGACTTACTATCTACGCAGATCTCGTCCTGTCTTCAGCGGTTGGCCTGGGCCCAGGTGGAGAGTGCTTGGCCCGCGCAAGCATTCCTGTAGTTCGCTTCTCCGGTGCGGGGCTGCTATGGCTGGGCATTAGCGACCGTCTGTTGAGGCTTCTATGGCACCTGTGCCTGGGTCGTGCACGGTCTAGTCGCGCACCCGAGTTGTCTTGCCGTCCTGGAGGCCTCCGGTAGGCCGAAGGGACTTGCGAATGTTGGGCGTGTCGATGATGTCCGGGACGTGGTGCACAAGCACGTCGGAGAGATGAGGCGTACCATGTATCAGAATTGAGATTCGCGTCGTAAATGTCATCTGCATTTGACGCGCCCTTCAGTTTGAACATGTACGCACATGACCGTGTGCCCCTGCCGGATCCGTCCTACTTGAGCTCGCTGGCCTTTCAACGGTCTCCACCCCATAGAAAGACCTTAGAACCTTGCTCGACCACCATTGCAGTATGCACGACAGCATACGAACAAAGGGTGGCCTTTGATGCAGCGAGGCCTTGTCAAGAACGCGAAGCGCAGGCTGAGCGGTCTAATCGTCTTGCATCGAATCCAATCCACAGCAATGCATTAGAGTAGTGCTAGATGTTATGCGAGAGATACTACACGGGTATTGGCACAATGAGTAATCGACAGAGCAACGTTAGTCTATGACACCTCCCAAACGCCTGGTGCACGCCCTTCGCTTGCACAAGCGGACACCCATACAAGGCGTCGTGCGGTTGAAGCGCTTAGCCGGCGTTGCTGAAAAACCAAGACCGCCTCGAGCTGGGAGCGTTGGCGCTGATGAAAGCATGAGCTCCGACACAGAAGACACAATCGCATGAAGGACTCACCCCTCCTCGCCCTGAATGCGGGCAAGCGGCGACGCACCACCGCCGGTGACGGCACCATGCTCCGTCGGACGACCACCACGAAGGGGCTTCGCGATGCGGCCGAAGTTCAACGGAGACGACGCAGCGGCCTTTTGAGCTGTTGAGGCAAAGAGTAAGCAACTAAGCATCGCCGTCTCAAACCACGCCCGACTCACCCCTTGCCTGGTCGAGACGCTCCTTGACGGCCTGCAGCTGCGCCTCGAACTTCTGGTTCTGGACAGACAGCCGGCGGTCAGCGTCCTGCAGGAGAGCCTCCAGGTTCTGTATCCGCTCGTTCCTCGCGAGCAGCTTGCGCTCCGCGATCCCCGCCTCCTTCTTGAGCGTCGAGTTCTGATCGACGAGCTGCTTCTGCACAAGCGTGAGCTGCTCGAGGTTGCGCTCGAGGAAGGCCATCTTCTTCTGCTGCGCCTTGCTGTTGCTGTTGCGGATCACGTTGTTGTACTGCTCCTTGATCTCATCGAGCTGGATCTCGAGCTCAACAACCTACATAACATACGTCAGCAATCGCTTAGACGCTAGGTAAGATGAGATGGTGACCTTCTCGCAGCGGTTCTGCAGGTCGCGCATCAAGCTCTTCTTGACGCCGTCGAACTCAGCAAGCTGGACGTTGATGGCCTTGCGTGTCCGCTCAAGGTCCTGGGCGCTCTCGGCGAGGTTCTTGCCACCTTCGATACCGGCAGAGGTGACAGCGAAGGCACGCTCCAGGAGAATATGTCGGCCGAGGTATATGGGTTTATGACGATGGGACATACCTTCAGCTCCTCGTTGACGCTCTTCAGGCTCTCGTTCGTCGCATGGAGGTTGCGGACCTCGTTGGTCTTCATCTCCAGTTGCTGGCGGAGGTCGACCATTTCGCTCAAATGCGCATCACGCTTGGCAGCGTACTGGGCCTCGAGCTTGGTCTGAAAAGCGTCGTTAGCGTCATGAAACACCACACTGACTGACAACAAACCTTCAAGTCGGCAATCGACTCGGCGAGGTCAGCGTTGCTGGTCTCCTCGTCGTGGATCGTCTTCTCTGTAGAGAGGTCAGAAGATGTTCGCAGTGCCATATAAGTGGACGAACCGAGAAGCTCCTCGTACTCAGCCTCAAGCGACGCGACGCGTGCCTCGAGCTCCTCTCGCCTGCGCGTGAGCATCTCGTTCTCCTCCTGGCTCTGGCGCAGACGGTCGACGGTCTCCCGCACGACGTTCTGACCCTCGCTGAGCTGGCGACGGATAGCCGTCAGGTCCTCGCCCGTAAGCGCGCCCGCCGAGTCCATGCTGTCGAGCTTGTTGAGGATCGCCCGCAACTGGTCGTCCTTCTCGCTGAACGCGCCCGTGTCGAACTTGGCCATCATCATCGCCATCTTCTCCTGCTTGCGCTTCTCCTTGTCCTCCGCGCCCGCGTCCTTCTGCGCCGTGCGCAGCTCCGCGATCAGCTTGTTCTGCTCCTCGAGCTGGTTCGTCGTGTCCTGCTGCTGCTCCTTGAGGATGTCGATCGTGATCGCCGCCTCCTTGTTGTCGTAGTTAAGACGCTCGACCTGCAGGCGCAGCTCGTTGACCTGCGTCGCCATCGTCTTGTTCTCCTTCGACACCGTCGCCTCTTGCTCCTTGAGGAAGGTGAGCTCCTCCTTGAGCTCCTTGACGAGCTTCTCGGCGGCGTTGAGGGCGCTCTCGCGCTCCCCGAGGGCGTCCGTGAGCTCGTTCTCGCGACGCAAGAAGTCCTCGCGCTCGTCCTTCTCCAAGCCGAGCACGGTCGGGGTGGCCGGACGGCTGTCAGGGAAATCACCCTTCTGGAGGTTCTCGATGGCGGGGTTCACAGGCGTCATGCTGCGCGACGTTGACACGCCAGAGGGTGTCGGGCTCGTCGGGGCCTTCTTCGGCTCGGACTTGGCAGCGGAGGCAGGGGCGCCAGCCTTAGCCGGCGTTGCCCAGTCAGCCTCCTCGACCTTGCCGCCGGAGCGCCAGATCGCAAGCTCTGCCTCGAGAGCGGCAATGTACTTCTGGTACGAGCCATTCGCCGCTTGAGACTTCTGGAGGAGGCCCTTGAGCTCTTGTGGTGAGAGCTCAGCGTTAACGCGAGCGGCGTTCTTGATGCTTTTGGCACGGATACCGAAGCGGAGCGTCGAGAGCGTCTCGGACTCGTTGTAGATGCAAGGAGAGCAGTTGATAATGAGAGTCGTGCGCGAGTTACCGCCCAAAGACTCTTGCAGGATACGCGTGAGCTTGGAGTCACGATATGGCACGTACTTGACCTGCCAGGACGTCAGCTATCTGCGTGAGCTTTCTGCAGGAGGAGATACTTGCCTTGGCGTCAGTGAGCGCGTTGATGACCATACCCAGTGCTGATAGCGACTTGTTGATCTTCTTCGCCTCCTCTAGCGTCTGCCCAGATGCACCCGTCTTGCCAACCTTCTCGGAACCCGCGAGATCGACAAGGTAGAGGTTACCCGTCTTCTGCGCGCCGGTCTCGGTGTTTCGGCAGATGATGGTGATGAGGAAGATGGAGTGGGATCGTGAGGATTCGGCATTCATGTCTAGTTACATCGTTAGTTACTGGACGACGCGACACACGGCGATATACTTACTCGTAGCGGACACGATACGAGCCTGTCCACCTGTTCGCATAATTTCGTAAACTTCCTGGGCGCTGCTGACATAGTAGTCGGACAGGTTCTTGACGTAGACACCCTTCGACTTCTCTTCGTGGACTTGGAGATTATCGTTTTGCGCTGTGAGAGATGGATGCGTCAGTCTTGTAAATGGAGGTTCAAGACTTTAGCTACGCACGCGCTAGCAAATCACGAATCTTCTCCAAGTAGATCTCCATGTACGAGACCTTCACCAAGTATTCCAAGTGGGCCTCGCTTTCGACGATCGACTGGAAGATCTGTTCCGTTATCCGAGGTATGATACCCTTGAGCTCTTGCGAGTCTATGTCCGCGCCCTTGGGATATGTATGAGTGGATTGCTTCCGTTCCCAAGGCCACCGCGACGCACCATCATCGTGAATGTCTTTCCACTTCCCGTTTGACCGTACGCGAAAACCGTGCCGTTGTAACCATCGAGCACATCTGAGGTCTGTATCAAGAAGACTGAGAGCCATATAACGATATAAGAGCGCACCTTTCACGATGCTGCAAGTCGGATATGCGCGCTTAGTTCAGCGATCTTACACGAGGAACGGGGATACGCACTCCTTCACGCCGTAGTCAAAGACCTCATGCTGCTGTGTGCCCATGGGAAAGACCCTATCGAACGTGAATCCGTTGGCCTCGGGCCCCGTCTGGGCCGTGTTGCCCGTCATCTTGACGGTCGTGAGGTCGTCGCTGAAGGCGACGCATATGTCGCCGCCCTCGCGCTTCTCGATCGAGTTTGGCGGTCGGAATCTGCGGGGTGGCGCGCCTCAGGTGCTGGACGCGCTGCGGAGGCGCGAAAACGCACCGGCATACGACCTTGATGTTGTTGCCTTGGTTGGCCATGTTGGCTGCGGGAGCCTGCTACGACGTCTGTGCGTGTGTTCCGTGGGCGCCGCCGTGGCGAGTGGGATGAGTGTCGGCCGCCGGAGAATATGTACAGCGACGGTCGACGTGAGGGTAGGAAACAAGGTGGAGGGCGGCGACTAGGAACAAATCCGAAGGCAAGCCTTGTTTATTTATGTTGCCATGCAGCCACGAAGCTCGGAGGACGCGCCGGCTCATGTCAGGATCGAATTTACGCGTTTGTTTTCGAGCAACAAAGGATACAGTGGGGTCTACTAAGTATATACAGCATTGTACAGGATGTGAGAGAGGCAGGAGCACGGAGTAGTCTGAGTGGCAAACGTCCTAGTCGTCATCACTATCCGAGATTTCTGCTCGTTGTGGAGGTGCTCGGGGGCGGCTGGACGAAGCTGTCGGTCTTGGAGGAGGTGCTTCATCTTGGGCAGCATCGCAAGCATCCATCCATTCCGCATATATATCGATGGGTTCAGTAAGATCTATTGATTGTCAGCAACGATTTCACCACGACAAAGACAGTCACTGCGTACGGTTGACCTTGCCCTGATATCTCTGATCGCAGACTTTGCAGCTGAGGTATGCAACACCGTCTTTCTTGTCCATACGGACTGTCACTGAGTTGTCGTGGTGGCAAAAGAGGCAGGTAAAGGTGGTGTCTGTCCGCCCCTTGAGTACGGTCTCGTGCGCGATGTTAGGTCGTATACGCACCCAGAGGCTGCTTCCTACGCGCAGCATTCGGCGCAGGCTTCTTCGATGACTTTTTCCTCTTTCCCATGATGGTGGGTCTGTATGAAGGTGTGAGAGTGAGGAGCTCGACTTGCACGGCGCCGCAAAAGCGGAATTTCTCGCCCACGTGACGTCAGAGAAATCGGGCACGTGCGCGGACGCGTCGTTGATGTCGAGCACAACGTGCTTGGCGACCGCCACCACCATCGACTATGGCATCGAAGCGTCAGGCCGCCTCGCGGCCGCGCACGGCGATGAGCACCAACGCGATGCATCCTCCCAACCCCCCGACGCGCTCTCGATCCGTAATGTCGAAATTGACTAATTCCACGCGCTCGACGGACGAGACGAACAAAGCCGGCGGTGACCAGCCAGAGACGAACATCCAGGTCGTCATCCGATGCAGACGGCGCTCAGAGAAGGAGATAGCAGAGAACTCGCCCATTATCGTTAGCTCGAGCGGCGCGAAGAGCCATGAAATATCCATCGAAGCTGCGGCACCCGTATCCAGCATGGGCGTTCTCACGCTGGCGCCTATCAAGACCTACCCCTTCGACCTCGTATTCGGCCCAGAAGCAGATCAGGCCTTGGTCTACCATGAAGTCGTCGCCCCCATGCTCGATGAAGTCCTGCAGGGCTACAACTGCACGCTTTTCGCTTACGGTCAGACGGGTACCGGCAAAACGTGCGTCTTTGGTCCCCTTCATCTGCTCTCGCTTGTACTAACCATGCCCCCCAGCCATACCATGCAAGGAGACCTCACCCCGACCCCCATGGGCAACCCATCCTCTAACGCCGGCATGATCCCCCGTGCCCTCTTCCGCCTCTTCCACCATCTTCAGACATCCGGCGCCGACTACTCTGTCAAGGTTTCCTTCATCGAGCTGTACAATGAAGAACCACGTGATCTTCTTGCCAGCGATCTTGCCGCACCCATCGGCTCCTCACAACCTATGGGCAAGGACTCGAAATCAGGCCCCACACCCGGCAGCGACCTGAAGATTTTCGACGACTCAGGGAAGAAGGGTGTTTATATCCAGGGCCTTGAGGAGGTTCCTGTAAAGGACTCCAAAGACGCTCTCGCCCTCCTTCTCAAGGGTAGCCAGCGCCGCCAGATCGCCGCCACCAAGTTTAACGACCACTCCTCGCGTTCCCACTCCGTCTTCTCCATCACCGTCCACATCAAGGAGACCTCGACTATGGGTGACGACCTGCTAAAGGTCGGCAAGCTTAATTTGGTCGACTTGGCGGGCTCCGAGAATATCGGTCGCTCGGGGGCGGAGAACAAGCGCGCACGCGAAGCGGGGATGATCAACCAGAGCTTGTTGACCCTCGGTCGCGTCATCAACGCCCTCGTCGACCGCGCATCGCACGTTCCGTACCGCGAGTCGAAGCTCACACGACTGTTGCAAGACTCGCTGGGTGGGCGCACGAAGACTTGCATCATTGCAACCGTCTCCCCGTCACGGTCCAACATGGAGGAGACGCTCTCAACGCTCGACTACGCCATGCGTGCGAAGAGCATCCGCAACCGGCCGGAACTCAACCAGCGCATGTCGCGCAACTCGCTGCTCAAGGACTACATCGCCGAGATCGAGCGCCTGAAGGCGGACCTGCTCGCCGCGCGGGAGAAGAACGGTATCTTCTTCAGCGAGGAGAGCGTGCAGGAGATGGAGCGCGAGAAGGAGCTGCGGCAAACGGAGATGGAGGAGGCTAGGAAGATGATCGAGATCACCGAAGGGCAGCTCAGGAGTGTGCGGGAGGAGTTTGAGCAGAGCATCGCGTTGCTGATGAAGCGGGAGGAGGAGCTTGAGCAGACGCGGGGCGAGTTGAAGGAGACGACGGAGACCTTGCAGACGCGCGAAGGCGAGCTTAGGACAGCAAAGACGGCATTTGAGGAGGAAACCGTCGTCCGGCGCGCGCACCAGAACACGGAGGACCGCCTTAACGACGTCGCGACTGGCCTTAAGGCCGTCACGCAGCAGAGCGTTGCCGCCGTGGGACAGCTCATGGACAAGCTCGACCGCAAGTCCGCCGTGCTAAGCTCCAACACCCAGGTCGTCCGCAAGCACAGCAAGGGCATTTCTCAGGCGACCTCTACGCTCTCCCAGAAGCTCGATGAGTTCGTTAAGGTGTCGTCGCAGACCGCGCTGCAATTGCAGTCCGATGCGAAGGACTTCCAGACGAAGGAGGCCGCTGCGCTTGCGGAGCAGTCGCAACGCGTAGACGAGCAACTGCGGCAGGTTCAGCGTGCGCTGCACACCATCTCTGCGCGCGACGACGACGAGGCGAAGGCCATTGACGCTGCTCAGTCGGTCCTTGCCGGGGCGCACAAAGCGTTCCGCGCGGGTTTCGATGCTTGGAGCGCCACCCTCCGCAAGACCTGCGACGCCGCGTGCGCTGACGCCGAGAAGGCGGCCGCGCAGGCCTTCGCAGCCGTCGAGAAGGCCGTCGCGGGCATGGGCGCCGTTGCGGACGCCGTCGCGCGCGAAGCTGCAGAGTTCGCAGAGGCTGAGCGCGCCGCTGCCGCCGAAGCTCGCGGGCTTGCGGAATCTGCCGCCGCGGACGAGGTCGCTCGCCTACGCGCACAGAACGACGCCCTGAAGCGCATGCTCGAGGACGAGCGGACGAAGGGCGCGCGCGCGAAGGATGATTTGATCCAGCGCATCTCGGGCTTGCTCGGCGAGTTTGTCGCGGAGCGTGACCGCGGGCTGCGGCAGGCTATCGGCAGCACCGTGCGCGCAAACGAGGAGGGTGTGAAGGCTATGGAAGGCTTCGCGGAGGCGCATGGGGGCAAGATGGATGGGATGGATGCGCGGGCTGCAGACCACAGCGTAAGCGTGGGCAAGCAGGCCTTAGATGGGAAGCGCACGCGGGATGGGGCGAAGAAGGTTGGTCTGCTTGTGTGTGCAGGGTGAACGGAGGCTAATTTGTGTTGCAGAGCGTGGCGAGCGCGAAGGGCGCGTTGCACGAGAACTTGACGAAGATGCAGGGTACTGTATCTGGATCGGTGCAAACATACTCTGTGCAGTTCCAGAAGGAGACGGAGACAATGCAAACGTCGGCCTCTGAAGGTATGTTCAGGTGTGCTGATTGGGTGCTACATGTGCTGATGTTTGATTAGCTTTCGACCGTCAGTCGCGCGCAAAGCGCGCACGTTTGGAGACCACGAAGTCGCTAGGTGCGGAGGTGCAAAGCGAGTACAGGTACTTCCAGCGCACCGTCGCCTCAACCTCGCGAGATATCGATGGCATGGCGGGTCGCGTGGCGTCTGGTGTAAGTGATCCTCTCTGCCTTTCTGAAACACAGTCGCTCATAATTCTGCAGTCTTCAAGCCTCAAGAGCGGTATCGAGACTTACCAGCAAACCGCATCCTCGCACCTGTCTTCTGTCCAGAAGTCAGCCGCGACTCTGGCGGAACAGGGAACGAAGGAAGACGCGCCGACGAACATGACGCCTCGCAAACGCGCTTGGGACTACGAGGACGAGTGGGAGTTGACGAAGCCGCGAGAGGAACTGCTGCGCGATTGGCGGGCGAAGGGGATGTCCTCTGTCGGCAGCGAGACCTTCATCGCCGAGCACGTACCCTTACCGAACGAGGAAGTGCTACGGTCGCCCGACAGTGGCATAGCGTCTGCGACGACTTCGCGAGTGCCGACGCCAACACCAGCCGCGCGAGCGTCGCCGATACCGTCTTCACCGGAGTCTGTCGCGCCCTCGGTTGCGTCGGTGGCCCCATCCGTTGCCTCATCATCGACTTCATCCTTGGCGCGCCCACCAGCGGACCCACCAGCTGCGCCGCCGACGCGCATGGCGCATAGGCGGACAAATAGCAAGCTGGGCGGGATTCCTGCGCCGTCAATAGGAACGTTGACGGATGCGCGGAATGTGTACACGACTCGGTCTCGTCGGGTACGATAATTGTCGTTGGGTACGATAGATGATGATTCGTTGGGTCTTCCCTTGCTATCCGTTGTTCGCTGTAACTTATCCATGTCGGCGCAACCTACTACTGTATCATACCCTCTACACTATGCTATGGATCTGATGTCTGCCTGGACGTGCGCATTGTGTGAATGTTGAAGGCGTAGGGATGCGGTGTGATATCGAAGAACTTGAACGCGTACTTCGAAGTGGGTGTGTACAGTTTACTGAAGAAGCAGAAGGGTCACGGACAGTTTCAGGTTCGGTGTGTGGGAACGATGTCGCAAAGGACCGTCGGCGTTCTGGACAAGAATGGCAAGTCACCACTATTGCGAACGAGATCTCGGATCTAAGTAGTATTTGGATCTGAAATCTTGATTCCTCTTGTGCAGGGCTTGTTGACTTCCTCGAACGAGGGGACGGGTAGAATGCCCTTTCAGATCGTCTGATCACGCAGCATCAGAAGATAGATGCCCGATATTCTCGATACAAATCGCAGAAAATGGCTACAACAGAGACAACCTTGTATGCATGGAAGACGTCACGTCAATGGCAAATCGCTGTGTGGTCTCGAAGGGTCAGCGCCCGCGAGCGAGCCCAGGAAGGTCGTCAGGGCTCATAATAGAATCGATGGTGGCGCGTAAAGCCTACGTATATTCGATCCATCGTGATCTCTTATCGTACCGACGTCCCTTCACCGGCACATGTAGCTTCATTCAGAGGGCATGGTGAGTCGACACTCTATGTATATGGACAAGGATGTTGGCCGCAACGACGCCTGCAGCGAGTCGCGCGTTGACCATCGCCTTCACACGAGGATTTCCCGTGTATTCGGCCAGGACTTTACTGCAAGCATTCGTGTTAGCGACCGTACCAATATCGTAGTGAGGAATGAGCATCTGATATCCATTTTCTCCGAGTAGGAGCAGAATACCGACTTGCTGCCATTGATCGTGGAGAACGGGCTTTGCGGGAAGACTGTGCCTTCTTCGATACGGAAGTACTTTGGGAGATACATGTAGACGCTGGAGAGTTTTGCGAGCTCCTGGCCGGGCGCGAGCGTGCCAGTCATTGTAGCGTGTATGTGGTCGAAGGCCTTGGTCAAGACTGGGAGGTTCGGTGGCCAGTCAAGTCTAATGGATTCAGGCGCCATTCAGCCAGGATACGATATCGTTGCAATGAGGAGAAGACAGCTTTGTATGCTCAACTGCCTTCAAGATGTGGTGTCATTGACCCTGTCCAGGGTTGCCATGCTTAGGCAGTCGTGAGAGTCGGTCCTTTGCCTCACGCTTCTTGAAGCTGCGACTAAATTGCGTCTCTGAAGTGGCCGGGTGAAGGAAGCTTAAATTTTTGTTGTCCTGGAGCGATTTGACCATCTTCGCGCGGTTTCGTAGAAGCTGAGCAGTTGCCAAGGTCGAGCGACGCGTGAGCAAGGCAAGAGTTCAGAGGCGTTGATGGTGATGGGAAAGGACAACGTTACTATGCAAGTTCGCACATTGACGCGCTTGGCTCGGGTTCGGATTGCTCACACGATCAGGTGATCAGTTGTTTAACTTGCGAGCTGCGTCAATTTTTTCATCGTTGCAAATGAAGTCCCAAAGTTTTGTGATAATGAAATTATTGCATTGGTTGATAAAACAGATGCTGGGTCAATCCGGTGGCGCGAGTGGAGTACCGCGAGGCTGGCGAGGCGAGCCGCACAACGCCTCGCGGTACAAAGCGACGATCTAGAATGGCCCAAGTCAGCCAAAGGTCTGGCAAAGCATTGTGAGGTACTCATCTCAGTAACTTCCACGCGTGCTGCATCCCGGTCGTAGTCGAGCAAGCCCCTCGTCCAAATGTCGCAGGCCTCAAATGAACTCGAGAACAGGTGACTCGTACCGTGCACGACCCAGACACGATGGCGAGTCAATACTTCAACAGTCGGTCGCTATGAAGGCTTTAGCAGCCCCGCGTCTGAAGAAGTACCGGGGTCCGTCTGCGCAGGCCAGACAGCCACACCAAGCCATTGTGTCCGGGCCAACCGCTTGAGGCTGGGACTGTAGTTATGTAGATGGTTAGATGCCTGAAGAAGAGCAAAGACGACGAAGGACGTATCTTCAATAAGTGCATGCACGCCAAGCCCGGTCAGGACTCAACACCGTCAGCCGCGCCTGCATGAAGCAAGGTATTTTGAGCGGGTACGGGCGAGTCGGACCCCGCACCCAGTCGGCAGTGGCAACAAGGCGCTGCAGCAAGCGGTCGTTCACGGCCTCGAACAGCCCCGCACTACTGGAGCACCTTGCCAGAAGCGGTTGCGCAGGGCGACGGCTCTCGCGGGCGATAAAGGGTAGCAAGCTTCCTTTAAGGCTGGCCAGAGGGGACTGGGGCGCCGCTGATAGTGGGATAGGATCTGGGTTGGAAATCAGTATGATAAACAGTGGAAAGAGGGTAATGATTTATCGTCGAGATGGGGCAAGATGGGGACCAACTGCGAAGCTGGCTCGGCCTTTATCTTCCGAGAAAGGAAAAGGAGAAGCTGTTGAGCTTGTTTTAATAGACTCATATGCCATCAGTCTCAGCGTGCCCAAGACAATTCCCGGTGGATGCAGATCGTAAAGCTGCCCACTGAAGAGTGGGACGCTTATCCATCATTGGATACCTATCGCAAGCCTCCCGCTGACGAAAGTGTTCTGCTCTGGGAATGAGAGCGCGTGCAGGGTGGAGGAAGCACGGCATCCGGACTGGCCATGCGTCGGAAGTATCAGCGTTACGAAATAGGTCAGTAAGCCTTACCCTCTTAGCTGTACGTTAGCCTGCTGAGATTCGAGAACGCGAGTAGCGTTAAACAGCCAAGTAGCGGCGGGGGATCTTGACCCTGAGAAGTACGTGTAAAGGGTCATGCACGCAAAGGCGATGTCGATCTTGACCATGGCGGAGCATGCAGTAAGTGGCGCAAGTTTGCTGGAGAGTGTGATAGCCATAGGGAGGTAACAGGCAACGTGCCGTCCGCAAGGGCAGATGGACGTTCGAAACCAACAGCGGTTTACTTCGGGTCCGAAGGAAGCCCACGGTCATGTGACTATTTCCTAGAGGACGTGACCAGAGAACCATGGCGGAACGGGATGTGAAGAACGGTATTCTACGGCTACAACATTTGTCTACCTCCAGTTCTCGTCTTGGGCTCAATCTTAAAGTGTACGAGCCTCTGGCAAATTCCCCGAATCCGAGGTTTTCGCGGATATTCGTGACGACCCAGCTATCCTAGACTCGAACCAGTCCCGCTCGCGGAAGGCGGAAGGCAGACGAAAGGCAGGCGGAGGCGGCGAAAGCCACCTACGGTGTCCGGGCCCGGAAGCCGAAGATAGTTGGAAGTAAAAGCGGGCAAGTATCAGCTTGCTTTGACCTCGGCTTCCGCGGAGCGGGGACTGGCTCGAGTCTACAGCTATCCACTCCGGCGCGCGATGGCGATGCATGAAAATTAGACGTCGTCTATGTGCATCCGCGAGCATGCCTCTTGAGCGCCCTACAGAGGTTAGGATAGATATTATCCAAAAGAAATTCGAGTTTGCCATATCTTCATAGTTCACTTGCGATTTGCTTGCGATGGTCCCAAACAATTGTCGCTGGTTGATCAAGTACACCAGGTACCATATACGTACAGGAAATTCACTCGCACAATACAAGTCTAATGGCTCGCCGTGCCCTGAGGCCAACATTTCATGCCGGAATATCATGTCCCAGTATGGTCGTGCGGCATGTTGGGTCCGACATGTTGACCCGACATGTTTACCCGACATATTTACCCGACATGTTTACCCGACATATTACTCTGACATATTGTGCTGGACTGTTTCCCGTCTTGGTCTTGTACTCAGAGGTCCAAGCTAGCATACATAACACTCGTTTGTTTCAATACGGTCATGGACACAGCAAAGCAATCTACAAAGATCGCGAAGTACATAGTAGGACAACGAGAAAATATGTGGCAAAAGGACAGAGAAATCAAGAACCTATATAGCAGTATTTTCCGAGAGCCCAACGAGGTGGTACATGTTCTTCGCAATGTGCTAACCGTCCCCAATGCCAAAAGTAGCAGCGATGGCGTTGGGGACCGCGACAGGAGCGGCGCTGGTAGATGCCGTAGCCTCTGCATGTTGGTCGTCGATGGGCAGCCGGTGGTGATGGGAGAACACCTGAGAGTAAAAGAGCTGGTCAGTGAGCAAGCTTTCAGGAAGACGGACTCTCACCCTGACGTCCTTCTCGAGAGAGTAGTAGCCCCACCACAATCGTATAGCTGCGACACTGAAAGGTATGGTGGGCAGCATCCGCGCGATAGGGTTCCGACGCTGTCCCCATACGGCGCCCTCCAGCTCGTGCTTCCTCTCGTCAAGTTTCGCTAGGCTACGAGAAGAGGCTATGTGATCAACATTTGGGATGTATAGCACGACCTACCTCTCGTGAAGTTCGACAAGGGTGGGCACGTCGAGGGTGGACGGACGATTGGAGGGTATCGAGCATTCCTCGGGGACGTTGGAGAGACGAGCGTGTGTCATTGTCTGTCCGTGGCCGCAGATCTTGAGCAGGTTGGGCGGGGACAATAGATATAGGACCATGGCAAAGATGGACACGACCGCGAGAGCGATTGATGTATATGCGACCCAGGGACTCACGCCCTGCATATCTACTTCCTGCACGATATGATTAGATGCGTTGGGACGCTATAGAAAGGGTCTCTCACCACGGAGGGCATGGTGGTAGTGTGCAGGAGGGGCGGTCGTGCCGACACCTTTTATATGAGTGCGGACCGGTCGAGGAAGGTTAATAGGCCCCTATCTAATCACTTCCATAAGAGGAGCGATTGCTAGGCAGTGAGCGATTGCGGTCGTACTATGTGCCAGGGCGGCACGTTGACATTCAGCGAAGTGCATGAGGCTGGGGTAGAGAAGATCAACAGACTGACGTGCGGAAAGTGACACCATGACCCATGTAGAGCATCCCCAGGTAGAATGGTTAGGTTTTCTCGAGGCCAACGCGTCAACGGAGACGCGGGGAAAGCAGTATCGATGAACTGTCGTTCAAGTTCAGGCGACGGAATTCAGCAGTGATTGCGTGGAAGAAAGCAGACGGACGTTGGGAGTAAAGTGAGGCGCTCTGGGCTGCCCAATAGGGCAGCGAAAGTTGAGTTGAGGCTATCAAGGCGAAGTCAAGGCGCATTGGATGTGATTGAGGATTGGCAAGTTGCGTCCCGCCTTGAAGTTTGCATACAAAAAGAGCGGCACCTTTTCGCTTTGGCAAAGACGCTGAGCCGCCCAATTTATTGGTTCACTACCAGAGATAATCATGAGCCACCGGGTTCTGTCAGAGCAGCAAGCAAGGGCTGCGGTACGATATGGTTGGTGCCAAGGTTGTTACGGCATACTCCGCGACCTGTGTGCAGCTGTGGGTCCTCCGCGTCACCGGCGCCGGAGGCCGGTTCGCGTGGCGTGCGGCGTCGCGATCTGGGACTTGGGCGTGAGGGCGCCCAGCAGCTCACCACCTTCCGTCACGTCCTCACTCGGCGCGGGCGTCGTCAGGCGATACTGATGGATGTACATGCATTTGCGTCCCTAGCTCAGGTCCGAATTCTCCTCGTCCCCGTCGGCAACATCACGCCCCAGGCATTCGAGTCGTACGCGGCCGAGATCAGAAGCTTTGAACAGATACGCTTGGGCGACATCTCCGCCGACAGCAAGGATGAGCGAGGTGCGTGAGGGACCTGTGTAGCTGGCGTCTGTGCTGAGTAGATTGCAGCACGCTTTATGCCCAATCCGCTGTCGACCGGCCATCTTCACCTGAGCTTCCCGACGCACCCACCTCCCTCGTCACATACGCCCTTGTCCCTCCTCCGCCCCTCCCACTTCCCTCTTGCAGTCATTGGCATTGCAACATGCTCGCGCACGGACACACTCGGCAGCATACGCGCCAGGTTCAATGCAGCCCTCCTCGACATCTTCCCTGCTGGCGACATGTACCCACTAGCACGAAGTTGCTTCGTCTTCGAGGAGAGCGACACGAACACGAACCTGGATCATGGGGACGACATCTCACTGGTCGTCATTCCCAGCATGTTGGGGAACAAGAAGCTCTACATCGGCACCAAATTGGCTGATCTATGCTCGCATATCCTGGGGGAGTTCGGCACGCTGGTGAGTTAACCTACCTACGAGCGCGATCTCGTGTCTTACGCACATAGGTGCAAACTCTAGAGAGCCCACAGGGTAACGAGTACCTCAACGCTTCCCTCATGCCCGTCCTCCCGCCGTTGTCGGAGATACCTGCTTCCCTCGACAAGGGAATGCCCGACCTGCCGATGAGGGACTCCCTTCCTCCATTACCTACGCATAACAGCCAGCCAGACGTCTCAAGATCGTTCACGCTGAGCCCTGCACCCAACATGAAGCGCACGAGTTCCATACCCAGCCGACAATCCACTTTAGGCCTCCCCGCCCAATCAAAGAAGCGGAGTAGTGGGATTGGCGTAGCTTCATCACCTGGGCGACTCTTCAAGGTCTTCGGCGACTTCTTTCTGCTTGCTGGGCGAACAGCAGACGCGGATATCTGGTACGTTGATGCGTCATCATACGGTCGAACCTCTGTCTGATGATGCGAAGGTACAATGAGGCTTTGCAAGTCTTTAAAACGTCACCGGATCCACCATGGCAAGCTTCAGCTCTAGAGGGTTTGGCGACAATTGCAGTCGTCGACGCATGGTCTGCCGGACAGGGCCTTGTAAGTACTCGTCGTTCCCTTCCATCGTGGGTATACTCACTTTGACCAGCAAACCTCCATGCACACGACCTCCACGAAGGTGCCTTGGGCCGACACCGCCGACAAACTCTCCCAAGCCATCGCCCTGTACAACAAACCTCTCACTTTCGACGCCGACGAATACCTCCCCCTCCTTTCCTACCTCTACACCCGCGCCGTCCTCCGCCACACCTCCCTCCTCTTCTCCCTCTGGTCCGCCAAGGGCTGGGGCCCGCTTGCCTTCAGCGCGATGCTACACCCCGGGCCCGCGCCTTACATTCCCCCAACCCTCGCACATGCGGACGCGGCGTCCGTGCAGCACCTCGAGCGGCTGAGCTTGCTATCGGGCATCTCCCGTGCTACTATCTCCTCGACCCTCGCGCAAGTGCACGGCCCGTGGCTGTTGCACCTCGGCGCGCGCGAGCGCATCGCGGTGCTTGAGACGACGGCAAGCATATACGGCTCGATCGGCTACAAGCGCAAGCAGGCGTACATCCTACGCGAGGTCCTCGGCTGCATCCTTGACCTGCTCGTCTGCGGGCGCGAAGAAGATGCCGCTCCCGCGATGAACGGTCTGCACTCCGCACTCCCCTCCATCGACAACAACGGCGACGGCGCGGGGTTCCGGAAGTCGAGCCGCGGCGACGTAGGCGTGCGCCAGAGCGAGAGCGCGGAGGGGAATGCGGGAATCTTGCGCGTGCTGAAGCATGTGTGCAGGGTTTTTGGGATTGATCTGGAGGCGGTGAAGATACTGGAGGGCGCGGATCCAAGGGCGTCGCAGGTGCCGCAGAAGGGGGCGGCGCCGACAATTGGGGAAATCGACCAGGATGCGCTGTCGTCGTATCAGGAGCCGTATGGGTGGCCGGAGCTGCAAGTGGGCGTGCTGAGGGAAGCAGTGGCGGTGGCGAAGGCCTTGCCAGGTGCGCATTGTCTTCACCTTGAGAGTGATTCGTGAAGTTGATGAGAGTATTGCCAGATTATCCTGCCGTGGCGCAGTTCTCATTGTCCTGCCTGAAGACGCTACAGAATATCTTGGACCCAGGCGACCAGTATTATCTCTACAATACCAGCGCAAGCGCACTCGTCACCGCGCAGCGAAGAGGAGAGCACAAAGTCGTGGAATACTGGTCTGGTCGACCAGCGCTCAGCATCACTCCCGTACAGTGCGTACTCGTCTCAGATGTTGGACGAGATTGCTTACCTTGATGCGCAGACTACCGCTCATGAAGATGCCTTTAGAGAAGCCGATCTCAGCTCTGCAATTGCGAGCATCGGATGTTGCACCTATCCTTACCGGCGCGACCGACCCCTTCTTGTACAACCCGAGGCGGGCGACGGCGCAAGGCAGAACATTGATCGTGCAACATGAAGCGGTCGAGTTCATCTTGATATTGCATAATCCTTTCGTCTTTGACTTGGAATTACAATCCGTCTCCCTCAGGTGAGCATTAGAACTTAGCGTATGAGCATCTTTGCTAAGATGATCCTCTCGCAGCACATCCGGCGTCCCCTTCATCTCCCAATCTTCTCGCGCAGTCATCCCCGCCAGCTCCTACCACCGCCTCGTCCTCTCCGGCAAAGCCGCCGAGCCCGGCATGCTCACCGTCCGCGGCTGCATCGTCCAAGCACCGGGTGGGGCGCCCTGCGAGTTCGTCATCCCCGTACCCTCCGAGGAATCAGAGGAGCGCATATCGCGGAAGAAGAGCGCGCTGACCTGCGAGAGCGGACGAGCGAAGCATCCGGGGCTGGGCAGCCAGCCGTGGGCGCGACCGCCGATACGAACGCGAGCGGAAACGAAGAGCGCGCGGAATAGCTCACCTGTGCAGTTGTTGGAGTTTAAGGTGGTGCCAGAGTTGCCGTTGATGAGGATACGAAGAACGTCGGTTATGCATGGGGCGTTGATGCTTTACGAGGGCGAGAGGTGAGGATCGTTTGCCTGAACTGACGTCTGTCTCTAACTAAGGAGCATTCGATTCAGATCCGTCATCCGCCTAACATTAGAAAACGTCTCCCACCTCCCCGTCGACTTCATCCGCCTCGCCTTCGACGACTCGACCATCGCACCCGCCCAGCAAGCCCTCTCCGAAGGCGAGCTCTCCGTCTTCGACACCTACGAGACCGAGTACGACCTCCTCCACCGCCCACTCTTCTCCTGGAACAAAGACGACGCGCAAAACGTCGCGCCCGGGCAGAAGACCACGCTCAACATCATCTCCTACGGCAAAGTCGGCTGGTGAGCGACGCGTCCCTTCATCTTTGCACCCTTGTCGAACCGGCCTGACGTGTCTAGCTCAGCACGGAAGGGACCATACATATCTCGTATGCGTATGTGTTTCGGGAAAAGAAGGATGGAGTCAGTGAAGGAGAGGACGGGGACGGGGAGGACGCGGAGGGACACGTGCCCACACCGGACGTCTTCCACACGCGGCAACTGTCGTATCCGGTGCTGGTGACCGTGTACCAGATGCTGCAGGTGTCGGCGATGGACGTGCTGCCGTTTCCGGCGTATGTGCCACCTCCCGGTGCATCCGGGAGACAAGCGCGGGCGAATGTGGCCATCGACAATGAGAGCGGCGATGGGTGGTGCTTGTTCTCGGTCGAGGTACGGAATTCGTACGGGCAGCCGTTCGAGGTGTACTTTGATCGGGTGCAGGAGGGTAAGTGTAGTAATGGATTGTGATTTGCGGAAGGACGCTAACTGGCGCTTCAGGTGCGCCGACTGCGACATCGTCGGTGACGATCTCCCCAGGGTCAACATCGAGGTGAGTATAGTTCATTGAGTGTCAAGTAGGATGATTGACTGTTCTTCAGGATCGTACTTCCTATAAAGCGGCTACTGCTCCCGGCCGACCTGCTCTCACAGCCGATACCCACGCTGTCGGATCGTCAATTCGTCGTCAGCAAGGAGAAACTCCCCGCAGAGCAAGACCGATTGCAACGCGAGTTGTTTTGGTATCGGGAAGAGCTCTTCAAGTGCATATGCGGCCGATGGCGAGAGGTGGGTAACCTTTGCATCGTCGCCGTCCCTCGCGTATTGACGCGTTCTTGCAGTCTGGCGGTACGCGCGATGGCGAGCTATCGTTAAGGCAGCAACGACTGACGATGTCTGCGCTGGACGTACTGCGGCTGGAGGAGACGGATATCGACTTGTCCCTCTACACGCACGACGACGATGGCGAGGAGCATGCCGTGCCAAAACGAGCAGGGATCTTCTACCCGCCCGCGAACGAGTTCGTGAACTTGCGATGCAGAGTGCGGAATCTGACTGGTAAGCTACACTCCTTGCACTGCTCTGTCGTGTCCTTATGTGCTTCGCAGGCAAGCCAATCTCGTGCACACTCGACTTGGGATTGCCACCAACCGAGGACTTCATCCACGATGGGGTGACCAATGGCATCCCAATCGGCGAACTAGCACCAGGAGAGGATGGGGAGGTCGACGTCGGGGTGTGCTTCTTGGCCCACGGACGATTCGAGATCACTGCGCAGGCGAAGGTCTTCGCAGGGGACGATAACCGTCCAAGTATGAAGCGGTTGACGGCTCTGGTAAAAGGGAGTTGATTTTGTTGTGTCCTGACCATTATGACTTTGAGCAGCAATGCATGTTTTGGCTCGAGTGACGCGATATGCTCCGCGAGCGCGATGTTGCAGAGACGCTGTTCTGTATATACCTATGTAGTGACGCCGGCGGTACATTATCGAGATACTTGTACAGTTGTCCACAGTGCAACGGCGCCTAGTCTTGGGCATTTCGGCGTACCACTAACTTTGTCGCGGCGTGCAGGGGAAGGCGATATAGCGAGGTATGAGCCTCGTCAATCACGTTAGTCGAACTCCGAATCCTCCTGCTTAAATGCTGCTGAGTACGCGAGGATCGTTCCGTATACAAGTCTGCGGGAAGAGCGGTTAGCGGGGATGCCGGGTAGAGATAGGGCAGGTAACGCACCCTCCGCCGATGATCGACATGACACAGGCTGCTGGGTAGATGACCTCTGAGTGGGTGAGGACGATAGGGAGCGCGAAGCCGGTGACAACGAATATGGAGGTGATGAAGCGTCCGAGGTCTACGGGGCCCCCGCCGCCCTCATACGAGCCGCCGAATTCATCCTGTCCGCAGTGCGAGAAGAGCGCGTTCGGGAGAGGGGCAAGGACGAAGGTCAATGCTAATATCGATCTCAGAAGTAGCTTCGAGGCAAGTGCACACTACGCACCGACGAGAAGGGGGAGCCAATTCGCCCACAGCGCACAGGAGAGGATGATGAGTAGGAAGCCGACCGCGAGCACGAAGGAAAGCAGGATAACAGCTACAAAGATGGGGATCAGTCTCCGTTGCGTTGAGGCTTGACGACACGCACTCTTGAGTCCTGCGGCCATGACTATGTACGACTGGAACGAAGGCGACGACGACGACCGTGATGGCGCAGGCCAAGCGCAGACGCGGAGGCGGTCCGGCCTGCGGCATTTGCCGGGCCCTCTTCAACCATCCAGTTGATGGCTTTCGAGTCCGACCTTGCCTCCTGCTCCCATGGTCGCTCTGGCGCGTATCGCGCACTATGCGGACTATGTGCATGCTCAATAAATGGTACCAATCTTCTCTCATGATGACGCTGCATAGGACAACCTTGGCAAATCTGTCAGACGGTTCAAGCTCCAGCTTGACAGCCTGTCTGCTTTCTGCATCGGCCTTCCCCATTCCGCAGATGTCACGGCATCAATCCATATGCATTGTAGTACTTGAGGCTCGTCTAGCTCAATGGTGAGCCATACAGCTGGTACGATCCCCACCACTCTGTTATACTGAGCCGTTCGATGACGATGGCAGGCACACACTAACTCCTTCAGCCCTCGCCTGGTACAAGGATCTTGAGAAACGGACAGACATCGCCAAATTGGGCATTACAAGAATCGCTGGTCAGGGCATCCTCCATGCTCCGATACACTTCGCCTTTCTTCTGCGCTTGACAGCATTGCCCCGATCCTCGCAAGTCCCGGCCGCTAGCGCGCGAGGCCCACAACAGTGCGAGGGTATAAAGGAGGGGACGCTCAGGACGCTGGCTACCTACCCTCCCCTCCTTGCCATCCTCTTATCCTCATGGCGATTCTCGAGCTCTTCGCCACCTCTGGCTTCGACGAAGCCGCAAATCTTGAAGCTGCCAAAGACGCCCTCAACGGCATCGGCGAGCGTCTTGCACTGTGAGTTTCCCAAGTGAATTCTCTGTATTCTCCGCTCGGCGTTAATCCCATTCTCGTTCACAGAGTGTACGCAGGTGAACAAATTGAGAATCCCGCTTACGTGCATTGGGCCCTGCGTGAGTCGCGCGACGCCGTAGTTCTGCGCGACCTTGCTAACCACTTCCGCCACCACCTCGCATCTCCCAGAATGGACCTCCCTCGCCGGCCGCGACTCCTCCGTCCAAGATGGGACCTACAAGCGCCTCCTCAACGCCGCGGGATCCACTCTGCTCCGTGACCCCGTCGTCGTCACCCTAAAGGCGAACCAGCGCGACACGCTCGCTAGCATCCTACGTACTCCTGTGCCTGAGTTCGCGGCCACCAGAATGAAGAGCGTGGCCGAGCGCGCGGAGGCGCGGCAGACACTTGACGAACTGCTCGCTGGGGCACACGAGCGCGCGACGCAGGGCGAGCTAGCGTTGACGGCGGTCGATGACGAGGATGTCATCGTCTATGTGGTCGGTTGGAATTCGCTGGACGTGCGTGCACGAACCTTTCCAGCCGCGTCGAGGTGCGGTCGTTGCTGACTTGCTCATTTCCCTACCATCCAGGATTACAAGGCGGAACGAGTGAAGCCATCGCAGAAAGCCAAGGCTGAAGAGGCGTTGACGCGGATGGAGGTGCTTTATGTGTCCCATTGCTCGAAAAAGATGATTTGAGACGATACAAGTTGCATCGTTAGCCAGGATACAAGTCGCATTGCTGGCCAGCTAGGTCCCTGTTGTGGCCCGAGCGCGAGTGGTACGCATGCTTCGCACCCGACCTGAATGCAGGGGAGCAGGCGTGACTGTCAATGTTTTACTGTAAATACAACATACAATAAATGGGCGAGCATCTTCGGAGTCCGAAAGGGGAAATGTGTGAACACGAGCTTTCGCTTTAGGCGACGAGCCGGTCACGGATATATCTCGTGTATTGACGATGAGAACCGAATATGCTATAGCGCGCACACCTCCCATCCGATTGGAAAGCGGCCACCGATCGGCCAACTGGTTCGAGTATGCCAATGAGAGTAGCGCTAGTCATCAGCCGTAAATACGAGGCCTAGTTGTGTACTGAGTACGAAGGGAAGTGGCTAAAACCAATCACGCTTTATGTCGAAGTGCGGGACTGACTCCGCCAGTCGTTCCTCTACCCATTCATCGAGACCGTATCCAATGGACATCTCGCCTAACGAGAATCGATGTAGGGGTCGCCCTGCGTCCCGACGCATCTCGACCATATCCAGCAGCGTCTCGCCTGTACATTGGATCAAGCCCTGCACGCTGAGCGACTCCAGACGAGGGAGCAGGCGGGGAAGACCTGCTGAGTCTCGTTGCGCGAGCAATGCGAATAATTCCTGCGTGGCCGGTTGCAGTCTCGCCATTCGTAGGTCCAGAGTTGCTAGTTCCCGCAGCGCATCGGACTCGAGCCAGCCGTCCCTTGTGTCCTCCAGACCGTCGAGATAGAGTCGCCGTAGGGAACAGGATGACCGGTCCAGCAGCGCGCAGATCTGGCCGCTTGGGCGCGGGTTGAAGACCCTCCAATAAATTTGTAGCTCCTGCAGAGCGGGCGCTGTGACCCGCTCCAGGACCGCGATATCATCGTCGCACACTATACTCACTCGGAAGGTGTGCAGGTGGGGCAGTACGACGGGCACGTCCAGTGGTTCCAACGGGAGCTGCGAATCCCGGCTGAGCATATCCCACACCTTCAGAGCGGGGCAATTATGCACAAGGGAGAGCGCTTTGTCGGTGGTCATCTCCGCGGTCAGTTCCTCTATCTGACCCCATGGAAGGCGTGGCGATTCGAACCCTTCGTCGATGTCGATGAGGACCACGGAGCGCAGTGCTGGCAGCTCAGCGAGGATGTACCCCGGGTCTCCTCTGCCTAGGTTCCAGGTCCACGATGTGATCTTGGATAAGCACATCAACGATCGACCCTTCAACCACTTCATAACGTCTGGGCAATTGTCGTCCTCATTCGGGATGATCATGTCGGTCCAGCGATGAGAGTGAGGCAACAGTCGCTGAAGTGCGCCATCCATCGGAAGAGTATTACTCGGAGCGAAATATTGCACCGTATGGTGGCGTAAGGGTAAGTTACCGGAGTTCGCAAGGAATAGGTCGAGTCTATTGAGAAGATGCGGCGGCAAGTTGAGGCTAGTCAACGAGCTGGATTCAGGGATCGTGAAGTCCGCCCATATGCCAGGTGTTTCATGCATGACATCTATAGGAAGAAGTCAGCGACAACGGCACCGTATTGTGCTATTACCGTACGCACCTCTCCAGATCTTGCACACAGAGCTCAGCACCAGTGGGGGGCACGATCGCTTCGTGATGTCGATAGCTGAGCCATCCCCGCAGCATATCTTGAAGATTTCGGAAAGGACTTCAACTGGCAGACGCCTTATGGGTGCAAGGTAGGCGGCCTGACACTGGCGTATCTCCTCCCACCGGTCTGCCTCCTCTTTCATGTACTCCAGCCTATTCCACAAGATCCCGATTTCGTGCCAGAGGTCTTGAATATTGTTTTTCGTCACCGCCATAGCTTCCTTGACGACCTGTGCCTCTGCCACTGAGAGGACGCGTCCGGAGCGCAGTATATTATTCTTCGGACCTGGGGTAAGGACCTCGAAGTCCGCGCACAGGGAGTGCTCGCAGCAGTCGCAGAGGGAGACCTCGAAAGGCTCATGCACGAAAAGTTCCCCTGACATGGTGCGCCTCGTCCCGCAGGGGAAGCCGTGTCCGATTCTGAGTATCCAGGGTCAAGGTCGCGCGACGCGTTCGATCGCGTCGTTGACGCATCGGCATTTGCCGAACCAGAACAGGACAGCACAATTGCCGAAAGATCAAGCTGAAGTCCTCTCGTAAATTAGTTTCTGTAGCACTGGTTCGAATTGCTGGTGTGTCTAGCACGCACAGATAGGACCTACTGCGAGGAAACACATTTCACGACAAAAACAGATGTCATCTGCATTATGCCTTCGGCGTCCTATCGGCAGTCATTTGCCCTGGCTCGTACGCCAGCGTGCGGTCGCCACGATCAGGCGCTCCACCATGTACCTGTCCTTCAGCAGCTCCTCGCTGTCTGCGACGGCCACCCACAGCGACTCGGGCACCGACTCCAGGATCGTATAGTTGAAGTCTTCATCGCTTAGCTCGCGGCCTTCCAGCCGGCACACCTCCTGCCAGAGCAAGCGTAGTTTGCCCAGGTGCTCCTCTATGTAATCACCCTCCCTCCAACGTGCATGGTGAAGCCTTCGACGGGCCTGGACGCGCGCGAAGACGCCCTTGGGCTCATAGAGGTCAGACAGTCGTGTCCACGCCTCCTTCGCTGTTCTAGCACTGGCTATGTCAGGCCTGACGGCTTTCGTGACGCGCTCGTGGAGGATGAGCAGTGCAATCTCGTCGAACCGGCGCCATTGTTCTCGGTACTCCGTGCTGACCTCAGGAGGACAGTCCAGGGTGATGAATTGATCGAGACCGAAGAACCCGAGCGCATCCTTCGTTCGAATTTTCCAAATCGCCCAATTATCCGCACCTTGCAAAGGGGACTTTTTGTAGACTGGATCATCGTCAAACTCGCTGATTATTGACGAAGGCGTGTCTGGCGGAAGCTCAGGTGCGTTGATCATATTGTGAGCGGGATAGTCGTGATTTGTCTGCGAAGGAGGCGGTGAGGAGGCGTTAACGCACGCTAGACTCCACTTTTGACTGAACTCACCTGCTGTCAGGCAGATCCAATCTTCTTCCGAAGACCTTTGCGCTTAGCGGCAGATGACAGGTCGGGTTCGTTACAGAGTTGGTGAACAGCTGCGAGGTATCTGAGTCGGGGTTGGTGGTCGAAGACGAGCCGGCTGATGGCTGGGAATCCAGCCGTACACCGCATGCAAGCAACGTGCAAACTGCATGCTGAAGTCGAACTTGCCTTGCGGGGATTGCCGAAGGATATTAAGACGGGATCACGCGTTGAACCTCCGCCCAAAGCCAGCAGAAGCACCTCTATCATGACCTGGATAACCTATACTTGTACATAAAGCTTTTGCTCTGCTGGACAGTCGATCAGATCCCAACTTCACGAATTGTACATCATTGTGATCACCTTACATCTCATACACAAGTTCTCGCAAGCGGTTCAGTCGTCGTCCTGTCCTTTATGGACCTCCACCCCGCGCGCCGCTTCCATCAGGTCCTTCACTTTCCGCCACTCCATCTGAATAATCTGCCGCTGATCCAGCCATTCGCAGATTGCGTCGGCGTCGGTCGGATCCTGTACATCGACGGTCAGTCAGCATGGCCAGCGTATAATTGGGTATGGTCATACCTTGGGCGGCTTCTTTCCACCCTCGAAAGCGACCTTCACATAGCCCTTCTTGTCACGCTTCGCAAGTCGCAGGTCGTCGACCTCAAGCCGGACGGTCTCAAACAAGGCCCACTATACGAGTCGTCAGATTGTCGTCGGCAACTTGTCACGGCACCCGCCGACTTACCTCCCAGTGCATCAACTCATGGAACACGCGCGTCCGCCTGGCGCAGAACTTGCCGAGGTGGAACTCCCTCTTAAGCTTGGCGAGGGCGCTGGGGGAGTCCGGGTCGTCGGGATCGTCGTCATCAGAGTCGGAGGAACCGTCTTCACTCTTGATAGCGACGCTGCTGTAGTCGCGCTAAAAGATAGGTATCAGCTTTGGGTGGAGAAAGACCGCCAGGCTTATTGGGACATCGCAACTACGAAGGAGAATTGCACCTACCTGGAAGCCCAGCGGGTCATACGGGTAGCCGACTAGTCGACCGATGCGCGTCGACATTCGGGTACTGATGTGGCAGGCGTCGCAGTCCGGGACGGCGTCTGGAATATGTGAATGAGTACTAAAGTACACGGACGAGGGATAGAGAGTAACGTACACTCCATTTGCACGAGCTCGAACTCGGGAAAGATCTCGAGCGCTTTCTTGAAGTCGGCTCGCCACAGCGACCCAGCGACAAGGGAGTCACGCAGGCCAATGAGCTTGCGCCTGAACATCTTGAGTGGCACAGCGAAGTACTCCTCGTCTGGGGAACAGAGTTAGAGGTAGTGTTGTCGAGAGACAGGAGACACTGACTCTTCAGCGCATGCTCCATGAAGTCATGACGCTCATCTGGTGGCTGCACAGCGATATGACAGAAGAACTGAAATATCTTCTTGAACTGGTGCGCCAGGTCCTGGAAGGTGTCCAGGCTGAAGGCAGCGGGCAGTTGCACTGGCGCAGCGCCGTCATCTTCGACGATGAAGCTCGCGCCGCTCTCGCTCGCCTCAGACTCATCGTCACATCCGAAGAGGGAGTCGCCCGAAGGCTTCGAGCCACGGAAGGTTCGCGGCTTCGGGCTCTCTTCTCCCTCTTCCTCCTCCTCTTCCTCAGAGGATGACAGCTCCGGCTTGCCCTGCTTTCGGCCTGACAAAGAAACGTCAAAGAGACACACAACGACTGCCCAACAGACACGGCGCACGTTTGAGTCGCTCAAGGTTCTTCTGGAAAGCGCTTTTCTTGCCACGCTCGCGGAAGCGGGAGTCAATGATGCCTTTGATAGAGAAAAGAATGCTAGGTACAACAGTTCTTTCGCTGTGATATATACCAGGGACTCACGCTCTTCCTCGACTTCATCCAGAAGGCTGTCGGAATCGGTATCCTTGGTGGGAGGTCGTTCTCCCTTGACGAAGCGACTCTTCCGGACGGGAGGCTCATCTTCGTCGCCGGACAATACCTCAGCGGGCTGTTTCGCCTTGCCCTTGCCCTTCCCTTTGGCCTTGCGGGGTGGGGGTGGTTTGGGTGCTTCGTCTTCAGAGGATGATATGGGAATGGGTTTCTTCTTAGACGACGCGGCCTTCGGCGCGCTCGTCCTGCCCTTCTTGGTCTTGTTCTTCTTCTTTGGAGCAGGGGAAGCGTCAGAGTCGCTGAGAGCAGCCGGAGCGCGTCGTCGCTTGCGCGGAGTGATCGGCTCGAGCACTTCCTCCTCGGAAGAGTCGCTGATTGAGACCTCCGCTGCTTTCCTCCTAGGCTCAAATTGAATGGCATCGGGGTCGGAGTCTGTGTCGGAGCCGAGAGCTTGAGCAGTACGCGCGCGTTTGGGTTGCGATGCGGTGGGGGTGGGTCGCGATGAGCCTTTGACCTTCTTTGCTTTGGAGTCGGCTCGAGGGGGAGAGGAGCTGACAATGCCGGTCAGAGTGGTCTGACGCATGTTCTTCGTAGTCTTCTTCTTGGGCGCCATGGTGGTGGGAGTCAAGAATGTCGAGAGCGATCCTGAGAAACGCGCGCTCGTCACGCCGCGCGCGGTGGTCACGGTGATCGCGCGCGCAGCTTGCCTCTCGCCACCATCACCATCGACCTCCAGCGCGTCTGTCGACGTGTCCTACGCTCCGCTCGACGTCGCAGCATAGACCATAGACATCGGTGCTCACGAATTCGGACAGTGACTTGCCAAGCGTCTTTGCGACGACATGACTTTCGAACCTCCCCATCGCCCACCGCGCATCATCACGCCCGGCTACAATGACTCCTTTGAGGACCTCCAGATCCACACGCCGACGGCCATTCGTAGTCCGACCAGCCCGCGACCTCCTCAAAGCCCAGAACCTCCGATTACGCCCACCTCAGCTGACAAGCCAGCCTTTCCATCTCTAGGATCCTTCAAGTCGACCGATAGGGCGCGAACTGAGTCGCGCAAGCTGCTCGCTCATGTGCTCAACCAGCTGCAATCCCGGAGCCTTCCCCCTTCAGTCTTCGAAGGCTTCAAGCAAGATGCCAACGCCACGTCTGCCAAGTCGCTGGTGGTCATGGTTGATGCTGTGCGGCGAATGCGCGTTGGTCGGCATGGGAGAGCACCTTCGCAACCTCAAGCGACACCACGAGCCGCTGCTTCTCCACCCACAGGCGACGATGAGGATGAGGACGAGATCGACTCCGTCTTTTCCACTGAATCCTCGCTCGCACTCATGACGCAGTTGAGGGACGTACTGATGATCTCTGCCGCTCACAAATGGCGGATATTCGATGAGAAGTGAGTCCCTTGTCTACCTTGTCAAACTTTGCAACTAACGTGAACACCAGTCTGGGCAGTCGAGATGACCACCGGTCAAGCGGATCGCGCCTCCCTTCGCCCTTTCGCAGATCTCGCACCAGCATATCACCTTCAGGAAGGTCGCGCTCGCCTTCGTCGCGGCCAGGATCGCCTGGATTGGGCAACGCGAAGGTCGTTTTCTCTCCTTCTCCTATCGTTAGCAGAGTAGTAATGCATGTACTTAGGCACCTGAGCTCCTGTCGCAATGCATCTCCGTTCTATCATCCATCGTCCTCGAAGACGGCAGGTTCAAGTTGAACCGCTATACGCCTTCCCGTCCGCCAAATACTCTGCAAGCTGTCACTCTCGACATCGCTCAATACTTGCTCTACGTTACCCGACATGAACCGAAGACGATGTGCCAAGTCGGGATGGCTATGATCCCAGCTTTTTCAACATTCCCTTCGGAAATGCACCCTCGACTGCTGGTCTTCTTCGACAGCCTAATCCGTGTAGTTTTGGAGGATCTCAGCCTTGCGCAGGGATTGGCTGAGGTGTTAGGATCTACTGAAGGTACGCTGGCTTTCAATCAGTGGAGAGTAGCAGTACTGAGCCCATCCTAAGTAGAGCAACCGGACGCGCAGCCATTGGTTTCCATTCAGATCAACGAGCCGAAAGAGGAGGATAGCCTGGAGTTCTGGAAGCCATGGTCCAAGCAATCCCAAGTCCCAGGTCTCCTCTCTACGATGGCGCCCGGTCAGGAGTCTACTGTTTACTACCTCAGCGCGCTCGTATCGCCACTGCTCGCAGCCATCTTCGAATGCGTCGATATGGAACCCAGGGCGGATGGTCGGAACGATATCGTGTACCGCGTCTACTACCTTTTCCGCCATATTGTCGACAGCAAGCCGGACGCCTACCTCGACATACTCAGCGTCATTGCATACCACACGCCCCGCGCGCGTCGCACTGCCGTTCACGCCATGCTATCCCTCTGGGGCCGCGCGATGGGGCATCTCACCATTTCACGCCCAGAACCAGTACCCGGCGCACCGGACGACGCGAACGCCTTCCTCCTAGACCATCCCTACGCGCATCACTTCGCGCCCTGGCGTTTCTCCGGCCGCGAATGTCATGCTTGCCACCAAGCCATTGACGGCTTCGGCGTTTTCTGTGCGCTCTGCCACTGCTCAGTTCACTTCGACTGCTACGACCATCCGCGGGGCAGCCACTTGTGCCAGTACTCCCTCGCGGGCGATGCAGGTCGGACGAAAGTTGCAATGTATCGCTTCTGCGACGTGCTGAGCGGCTCGAACGCGGTGCAGCCATACGCCGTGCAATTGCGAAGACATACGTTCCGCTACGCGAACCTATTCACGCTGTGTCTCTGCTTCGTGTGTCGAAGACCGCTGTGGGGGTGCGTAGCTCAAGGCCTACGATGCGTATCCTGCGCACAATTTGCGCACGCGGACTGCATCCTGAACGGCTCGCGCGAGGACATTCTTCAATGCAGAAAATTCCGCGTTGATTCGACATTCATACATATTGACATTGCGGAGCTGCGCGCCTCTTGTCTGGATTTCTATGGCGGTATCCTGACCATGGACGATGGGGCGCTTAACCTATGTGGATACGAGGAGGTCTCGGTCTTCTATGGTCATCTGTGGTCCCAGCTGCAAATCCTGGATCGCGGCATTGGGATGGGCACGATCGTCGTCGAGTCCAATGGCAAGACGGTCGACCGCGCAGATCCTCGCCTATCCTTCGAGCTTCACACCATGGTCGGACTTTGCCAGTCGCTCCTTGAAAGCGGGGGCTTGCCAGTATCGGAGAGCTTGTCTGACTTCTTCCAGGAGAATCACGCCTCGATGCCCTCGCCTGCGCTCTTCTTCGAATGGAACAGCCTCATCTACGTGACAACCCTCCTCAAGTCGCCTATCGCACTGAGCCGTAGCCAGCCCGGCGTGGCACCCTCTGGGTTCCTCAATGTTTCGCCTGCCATGGACATTGATGATGCCACGCAAGAGGAACAGCACCCGTACGAGGCCGTCCGTGTCGCTTACATGCGGGACATCCTCGGCTACGAGCTCAACACCCGTTACGATACCGCCGCGCGCTGGCTGCTCGAGCATATGCACCAGCTTGGACTGTTCGACCGGGTGGACAAGAAGCCCCGCCTGACGATCGAGAGGGAAGAAGAGAAGGACGTGGTCTGCGTGTTTCCGCTGCCATTAGGACTGGACATTTCGACGTCCGTGGAGACCTTGGTGTCGGCGATCGAGGCGTGCTTGACGGACATCGACTTGTCGGTGAACGAGGCTGGCTTTTTGCTGCTGTTGCGGAGGTTCCCTCCGGATGGCATGTTGTCGAACTATGCGCAGAAGCGGCTAACGCGCTCGCTGGTGATGTGGATTATTGCAGAGGTATGACTATTTGATCTGGCGTCAACTATCCTTACTTACCTGCTGCAGGATGCCATGTATGCCACCATCCTTCGCGACTTCGTCGCGCGACGAAGGGCGCTGCCTGGCGTCAGGTCGGGACAAGACCAGCCACCGTGGCCCGTCTCTCGTGATGCCCGCCCTTACCAGAATAGCTCGGGCAACAGCGCAGGAGACTACGTCGCCTGCCGAACCTCACTGCTGCGGCAATACGCAAAACCTTGGCTATCGGCCTTGCATGATCAAGATCCAGCGTTGTACTGCGCCTACATCTACGATATCTGCATGGACGCTGCACAAGAGGATAGCAGATCCGCCGACGCCGTAGTTGCACCTGACGAGGCCAAGGTAATGGAGAGACTTATAGACCGGAGCACCGACGCTGAATTTGCTCTAGAGGAAGCTGGTGGAGAGGCACAACACTGCCTTGTACCATATCGACAAGCTGTCGCAAGCTTCGGTGTTATTCGATATCGCGGACCATCTCTTCGTCGATTGGTTGGATGCGGTCGTCGCTCAGCAGCTCTTCCGGGAGGCAAGTGACGTGTCGCATCGTCAATCATCCTCGGATACTAACGGAATTGTAGCCCTTCCACCATCTCAATAAGCTGCTCGCTCGAGATGCGGACAGCTTCAGGCGAAGTACGATCAACGATAGTTTCGAGCTGTTCCGTGAACCCATGCTGCTCGATCCTTGGGACCAGATACAGTCAGCAGCAACCGCCGCGCCTGATTCATTCCCTCGAGTGCTGCGCTGGCTGTGCACGCTGGCACGCTCTGGAGTGGATGTACCGATCCAGACGTACATCCGATTCACAGAGGTGGCGATCGCAGCAGACGTCTCGATGGAAGATGCGACCGTCCTCGTCAATGCGGTGTACTCCTCGGCATGGCTACGTTCTACGGGCAGGCACGAGCAGCAACGAGTGTTCGGAGAGCTGCATTCTCATCTGTCTGATCATATCGTCGACTGCCTGAAGCTGGGGAAGGACATGGAAGTAATGTGAGCATTCGTGGGTACATCTCTAAGGATGGAGCTGATGTTTGACTCCAGGATCAAATTCATACGGCAATCGCTTGTCACTTGTCTTTTGTACTACGGATGTGACCGGACGAAACTGATTGATCTTGGACTAGCGGTCGCAAAGGAGGTTGAAGGGCTTCCGTCAAGGTTCGTCGGTTGTGCGGGTCATTATAGCAGCGCTGATTATCTGAGACCAGGAGAAAGATGAATGCTCGCGCGTCGTCGGTTAACGACCCCATTATTGTGGACCAGAAACTCATGGTCGCACTCCGGACTTACCTCAACATCGCTGTAGACGACGTCTCGTGCATGATCGCGAAATTCTTCCACATGTTCCTCTTCGAGTCGCCTCTGCTCGAGTCATACGAGGTGGACAACTTCATCTTGCGAAATGGTGACATGCTGCATACCTGGTACGTGCGGGGCCCTCGCAAAAAAGCATCTATGCTGATTGACGAGCGCACAGTGCCTGGGAGCTTTACGAGGTGCGGCGAGACGAGATATCGAGCATCAGGACCAGCCTCTTGCTCCGAGTTCTGGTTGTCGACATGCAGCCACTTAATGCGATCATTGAGACTTGGTTGGCTTCGCCTCAATGGGAAAGGCGGTAAGGACAAATCCGAGGACAGCTTACGCGATCTGACATTCCGCCAGCCTGCAAGCGATTGTCCGCCTATCCAGGGTGATCATGGACGTGACTAGTCAATCCTTCCATGTCGAAGACCGACAATGGCGCCCCGCGGTCATCGACGTTTTTGAGCACTTCTTTACGCGAATGTGGGCGGATCCTCAGGTAAGCCGTTGTGATCATGTTCTTGTTGGCGGACTGACTGAAGCCCCCTCAGGAAGAAATTAGGGTAGCTGTCGACGCCTTCTCTTCGACGCTGCTACCGGCCCATTTCGAGGCTATCTCTTTGTGCTGGAGCGAGGCCATTTCGAAGGCCCCGATTGGCGAGAGGGTCAAGCTGGTTGCCTTCCTGATCCAACTGCATCCCCATTTCCCCCAATGGAAACGTGCGTGTCACTGAAAGCAATAAGACTTTGGCTAATGGTTACTGCGTTAGTTATTTCATGGCAAGCTATCGTAGAGCGTCTGCTAGAAGATGAGTACGACCAAAGTCATAACGAAGAAGGGCCTGCTGCGGCCCATCTGGTAAGCCTATACGGCGTAGTCGCTTGAGTGTACAGACGCTAACATCCAGTAGTCCATGTATGGCTTGTCGAGAGAATTCTCTGAGAACAGCATCACGGCTGAGGATCCTGAGATCATCCAGCTTCGTGTGAGTGCTCTCAGCCTGACGAAGTGCGCATGCTTATAATTGGTAAGCTGTCCATCCTTGTCCTCAGCATTCAGATGCTGGCATCCGGGATCTCCATCGACAGCAAGAGTTTGCTGCGCATCAAGTATTACCTCGCCCAAGTCATCGGCTTCCCCAACGTCACCTTCAGCTTCGTCGAGAACAGCCTTACCTCTTCTTTTGTCCGATACGGCGAGCACAAGTCTCTTCCGGACAATAGTCATCCTTGCGTCACTGCGCTTCCCTCCTTGCTCGACGCCGCGCACTACGTCGACCTCCCCGCGTCCGCTATGACCGGGCGGGCAGGCGACGACGTAAATTGTAGTATTCTTGTTGGCAGTGCTTTCGTCGACCTCGCGCTCGCGGTCTTCGACAGTGCGGCAGATCTCGGGAAGGTGCCCGTACTTGCGCTCAAAGCACTCCTGGAGAACGTAGTGATCGTCTTCTACAAGCACGACCTAGAGAGCCGAGCGCTGCGACACTTGCAACACGCCGCGCGGCGGGCGGTGCTTCGTGTGCTGGACTTGCTGCTTGAGGACATCAGCTATGAGCTGCGGCAACTGTGCTTGTCGGTGGTACAGGCATTCATCTCCAGGTGCTACGAGTTTATGGGCTCTGTCGTCTAGTAAGCTCGTGTGCTCTGGCTATTCCTTGGTGAAGACTGATTGCTGTTTGCAGCGTGGCCGTCGAGCGGGTCGTGAAAGTGATCATCCAGCATAGTCACCTCTCGCAAGACACGTTGGTATCCCAGTGCAAGGCCTTCCTGCATACGGTTCTCTCGACGTGAGGCTACTCATTCATCAAAGGGAACGTCAGCTGACCTATTCTAATCCAGCTACGCTACCAGCGGCCTCTTCGCTAACCTCTGCAAGGTGTGTCTGCCCGGGTCCCTTCGCTACTGTCTCCCACGTCTCACTTACTTTTCCAGCGCCCCCACGATAAGGACTTCTTCGTGATCATCAAGATGGTCACCGACATGCCCTCGAAGACCCTCCAACCAGTCTCGCTCGCCGAAAGCCTCCTGCGTGACCTCTTCGGGCGAGGGCCCGAGACCGAACCCGTTGTCTTCCAGACGCTGCTGGGCAATATGCAAAGCTATCTGGAGATCGTGACGCACCAGAATTTTTCAAAGGAATTGATGAATTGTGAGCTGACCCTAGCCGACATTGGGCTCCTTGATAGGCGAAACTGACCGTGTTTCTTGCAGATGTCGGTCAGCAACTTGCACAAATGGCCCGGCGGACAGGATATATCCCACCCAGCGATATCGACCCCGAGCCATTGCTTACTATGCCCGCATTGCTCATTCAGCATAACAAGGCCCATAGTCGGGTACGTCTTGAATGCCAGCTTCTTCCACAGAAACATCGACTGACAATCGGCCTGCAGGACATGTTTCTCCAAGCCGACCTCATCGTGCGCACGCTTATGCTGCGGCTCAACGTCAAGGCCAGCGCGCTCGTGAGACTGCTTCAGGTGACTGGCCCCTTCCATCGTCGGGCAGCGACCGCAGGAATGGGCAAGGTCGCAACTATTGCAACGGCGAACGGAGGCAACGCAAATGGGGGCAAAGCTGGGGTGGCGAATGCACCAGGTTAGTTGTTCGTCGTGATTGGGGTACGAAATACTAACGGTAACTGCAGAGTCAACGACACCACAGACGATCATCCTGACTTCCTTGCTCGACGTCCTGGGTGATGGGTTCAAGATGAAGGCGAGGGTGACACCGTTAACGATAAAGGCAATCTTGGAGGTGCGTCTGCAATTATTAAGTTGATAGAGCGTACAGAGTGACCGCGCCATCGATAGACGCTCAACACTTGCGAAGAGCAAGGCCTCCTTCCCGCATCTATGGGCTTGCACACAATCTGTATCGGTCTAGTCGAACCTGGCTTGATCTACCTGCAAAACCAGACGTGGACGCCATCGCATTCCGATGAGGATCTGGAAGCGGCTGTCGCGGTAGCGAAGATGATCCTACAGGTCGCCACGCATGAAGCAGGAGTCTTGAACCGCTTGGCGGAGTTGGGAGGCGACGTACGTTGGGTCTTCCTCTCGACGATGTCAGTAAAGCTTACACGCCCCTTAGAAACTCGCTCGCCAATCCCTAGCCCTCCGCACCTGGAACATCCTCGTCCTCGCCGCGCTCCTCGACCCCGAAGAGCGGTGGCTCGCCATGGTGTACACCCAGCTGAACATCTTCTCCGCCACCTACCAATCCCTCCTCCGCACGTACGCCTACCTCGACCACCCGCCCGAGACGGGGACGACGGACGTGAACCACGCGTACATCGCCATCAAGTTCTGGCTGCTGCTCACGCATAAGAAGGCAAGAAGAGACGGGACAGGCAATGAGATGGAGATGGGAGTGTGGAATGAGCTCTGGCCACCGTTTGAGGCGATGGTGGGCTTGTTGGGGACGGAGGTGCAGCCGTCCTTTGTGAGTTGCATTTTGGCCCGAGAGCGGTATTTGAATGCAAACTAAACATCCGCGCAGATGCTGACCACACTGACGTGTTCGACGGTGGCGGACCTGGTGATCTTCTTGCGCTCATTGAGGTCACCGGCACTGCTACAGACGACGTCGCATATCACGATGCTGAACAAGATGAAGGAGCTTGGACGGGAGGCGGCGACAGCGAGGGTAAGGAGGCCCACTTCGAGCTTGCGTCTCTTGCTGAATTCACCCTGTAGATCGCACGCGCGATGCGCAGTCTGTCCGAACCACCGCCCGACGTGAGCGTGGACACGCTGGTCAGTCAGGCTGCAAAGGACGTCGTGGCAGCAGAAAAGCTACGCGTCTTGGAGAGCGGGAAGGGGGTTTACGAGCGCAGGGGACCTGAACGACACCGTAGGGACATGACGACTTCGACAAGATGAGATGAAAGCATTATGATCATGACACGTATAACTTAGGTGGTACTGGATCTGCATGGGACATGACTTCAGTATGAAGCATCAAGGAGAGGGGGGCGCGTGAACGCACATATACTACGCAGTCCGTAACCGCGCGCGCTCTGCCTTTTTGCGGTTCTCCTTCAGGATGGTGTTGCCAATAAATGCGCCTACGGCTGACAGGCCGACGACGAGTATGAATGCGGGTAGACGGACTGCCCATTCACGGGCTGGGAAGTATGAGTGTATGGGGCTCTCGGGGTCGAAGAATGGCTGAGGAACGTGTTAGGTGATGAGTACGACGCGTCGCACGCCACGTACGAGGAGGATGGCCCAGATGGTGTAGTACACGAACACGAAGACGGCGGTGAAGAGCATCGCCCCACCAATCAGAGAGTCGCTCGCCGCCTGGGCTATCGTCAGTTATGTTCCCCTCATGTTATATGGCGACTTGCCATGCTGAATGACCGTTGGGAACAAGTCCAGAATATGTGGCGTCGATGTCCATTGTTCTCGCGTTGTTCGGATTTGGCAGCAAAACTTGCTTTTGGCGCTCATCACAATGGCTCACCAATATCGTTACACGCCCCCAACAACGGCAGCGGGGACTCCCCAGCCGACTGCATCGACCTCGGCGGCATATCCCTATGGCGCGTACTACCATCCAGGTGGATACACCTACGCCACACCATACCAGGCGTTTGCCTGGCCGCCCACATATCAGTACTACACGCCGCAGCCTCAGCAGCAGCAACAACAACAGGCGCAGCAGCAGCAGGCGCAACCTCAGCAGCCCCAGCAGCAGACTGCGCAGGCAGCGAAGCCAGCCACCGCCGCGCCAGGGACCGCACAAACGACGACCCCCGCCGCGACCACGACCGCGACACCTTATACAACACAGGCTTATCAGACAACAACCGCATATCAGACCCCCGCGACATATCACGCGCAGGCCTACCAGCCGCAGACGACGTATCAGACACAGACGACGTACCAAGCACCGACATACCAGACCACACCCACCTACTCGTATACGCCCACACAAACCACCACATATACCCCCCAATATGCCGCGCAGCCCCAGACCGTGCCGCGCACGACCACATTTACGAACTACACGCCGAGCTACGTGCGCGAAAGCGGTGGCGGGATCGGGCGCGGGGGGCGTGGCAAGCAATCTAACCTACGCGGCTTGTTCGCCAAAGAGCGTGCGTGGATCCTCGATTTTCATCGTATGCCTCTTACTGATTCCTCTGCTTCAGTCCGAAATCTCATGTACGGCTTCGGTGATGACCGCAACCCCTCCTCTGACACCGTCAACGTCCTCGAGGAGATCCTCATCGAGTACATTACCGATGTCTGCCAGACCGCCTCCGCATCTTCCAAAAAGGCGCGACTGTCATTAGATGACCTCCGAAAGGCGCTCTCGCGGCCCGCGGACGCGAAGAAGCTCGCGCGTATGGAGGAGCTGCTATTCATGCAGGAGGAGATCAAGCGCGCGAGGGCACAGTTCGAGAGCGCGGATATGGAGAAGCCAGCAGGATTCTAGTACCAGGGGCAGAACAGGAGCAGATGCTTGCTACGCTCGAGCGTCGTAGAGGACCGGTGGCTGGTATGAAGGTGAGGTGCTCTGTACTTACAACGACGGATTGGCGAGTGGACTGAGTGTACTTCACGATGAATAGATCACCCACAAGTCTTCGCACTGAAGGTTTCTTATCGGAAGCTCGAGAGGTGTTCCATCTCGCATCTGCCTCTCAAGGAGATGGCAGACTGATGGACGATGAACACCCTCTGAATCCTGAAGCCTACTCGCTCAGGTTGAGGCCGTTTCATGATGACAATAAAACGCTAGCGCTCCTAACGCGATGCTGGTAGGAAGTCGCTCTCGCTGTCTTTCCGTCGGCTATCCCTTGCCTTGGAGTCCTTTCCAGCTCGCACACAGATGACGTTCTGACCAAGTACCAGGCAACATCGATGTATGTCCCACTGTGCGCGCGCGAACATGTATTGTACAGCTAGAAATCATGTAATGTACACCCGCGACTTCGTGTAGATCTTCCTATGCGCGTCTGTGCACCAAGAAAGTCGCAGCGGAGAACTCCAAGTCGAGGCAAGCAAGAACGACACCAAAAAACTTTCAAGTTTCCGCTGATTACTCTGCCATCGCGTCCTCGTCCCCCTTCCCATCCTCGTCGGCCTCTTGTGGTGCATGTTTCCGCCCCTGGATGCCTGAAGGGTTTGTATCAGCATTAGCTCGTGTTCTATCGCTTCCAAACCATTATGCCATGGCGCCAGTCGGGAGCCTCATAACCGCAACGAGGGAATTCTCTTACCTCCGCTCTGCGCCAACGGCTTCAAGTGCGTCTGGAGCCATTCCTCCGTTTCCCAAACTATGAGGGTTCATGAGTGAGTGAAGAGTTACAAAAGGTGGAAAAGTTGCGCACCAGCCCGGTTCCCTGCCCCTTGTACTGGAGCTTTTTGTGGTTTGGCCAGGTTGACCTGGGTGAAGGATGAGGATGAGCGGCTGCATAGCGAGCTTGGGCTAGGAATTACGCGGAGCAGATGGAATGTGGCGAGGACCCGATGTACGTACCTTAATCACTTTCCCCTGCAGCTCATTCAAGTCCATGTTGTCGATCGCGTCTTGCGCGTCGGCAGAGGAAGTAAACGTCACGAATGCGAAGCCGCGATGCTTGTTTTCTAAGGGGTGATAGAGAGGGTGTATGAGCAGCGTGCTTTGGGAGAAGGATGGTAGGAGGGGTACGCAAGATGGGAGGGGAGATGAGGGGTAATTTGTGAAGGTGAAGTGCAGGGCGTAAGGGACTGAAGCCTGGCGGGGGAAAGGCTATTCGAGCAATACCTTGCTGTTGCTGATTGGGGTTCGTCGTGGCGGGTGGAAGCTGAACCTCTACTACGTCCCCTATTAGGTCAGTCAGTATTGAATGCACCCAACAGACACAGTGTAAGTTCGGGAAGGGGATTGGCATGGGGAAATGATTCACACCGAAAGTCGAGAACGTCTCGAAAAGCGTCGCCTCGTTCACTTCGTCCACAAGTCCGCCGACGAAGATGGTCTTCTTGTTCTTGGTTCCCTCTTCCATGTTGTAAGGTTACCCGTGAGGGGACGTGCGATGCAGAGAGCACGGAGAATACCAGCCGAGGAGCACGATGAACGTCAGGATCAAGGACCTGGACAAGCGCGCGTCGACCGGTCCGATCCCGGGTGAGAGCGTGGCTGTGCACCGACAATGAAGCTCTCGTTCTCCCTCAACAAGCAGAAGGCAGCCGCGACGCCTGCACCTGCGCCCTCACTGAAGAGACCAGCGGCCTTTGACGAAGATGACACGAACGATGTTGCTGCGTCTACAACCACGGCGACAGATAACAAAAAGGTCGTGGCGCAGGGAGTGAAGGGAAAGGTGAGTGTGCCGACTTTACTGTGCAGTGCATGAAAACTGATGAAGGGAATGTTGTAGGCCAAGGGGACTGAAGCTCAGCAGATGTTTGCGAAGAGTGTTGAGTCGCGCGCGGCAAAGCGACGCCGAGAGGAAGCGATGGCGGTCGACGAAACCGTGTACGAGTATGACGAAGTGTACGACAAGATGCAGGCGGCGAAGCAGCGCGCGAAGGAGGCCAAGGAGGCTGACGCGAAGGAGAGGAAGGTGCGTGCGCGATACTCGCTGCTGATGGACTGCGTGCTCACAGACTGGCAGCCAAAATACATCGAAGGCTTACTGACCACTGCGGCGACGCGACGTTTGGATCACTTGCGGGCAGAGGAAAAGATGATGCAGCGCGAGCGCGAACGAGAGGGGGACGAGTTCGCAGACAAGGAGGCATTCGTGACGCAGGCGTACAAGGACCAGATGGAAGAGGTCAGGCGCGCGGAAGAGGAGGAGCGCAAACGAGAAGGTGAGCTCTGGTCCTCGATTCCAATGATACTCGTAGCTCATCATACTACAGAGGAGCTTAAGAAGAAGGGCGGCTCATCAACAGGCATGGCCCACTTTTATCGCAAGCTGCTGGAGGAGAGCGAGACCGACCACTCCGCCGCTGTCGCCGCCACACAGAAGCGCACCATTGGCCCCACGATGCCTCAGAACCTCACCATCACCAAGCCCCCAGAAGTCACTGGGGCCGCCGCCGACCCCGTCGATGCACCAAAACCCGCCTCGGATGTCGAGCTTGCGCAGCGCGCTTTGCAAGAGGGCAAGCATGTCGAGCTCAACGACGACAACCAGATCGTCGACAAGCGCGAGCTGCTCTCCGCCGGACTCAACCTGCGCGGGACGAACACGCGGCGACTGGGGCAGCAGAGCGGGGGCGACAAGCCAAAGGATGGCGAACATGCACCCGTACACACGGCGGTCGGTGCTGCGGCGAGCCGCAAGGAGATCGAGGAGCGGCGACGGAGGGAGATTCAGCAGCAGCTACGGGAGGAGGAAGAAAGACGGAAGAAGGAGATGGAGGAAGAGGAGCGTGCACGGATGGCGCGCATGGTGGCGAAGAGGAATACGGAGCAGGATGTGATGAGTGCGAGGGAGCGATATCTGGCGCGGAAGAGGCAGAGGGAGGAAGAAGCGAAGCGGGAGGCGGAGGGTGCGTCGTGAACATACGTTTATGTTTGGCCCTCCTCGTTTCCCTTGTATCTCACTATATCTAAATTTGCTGCTCGGTTTGTCCTCCCAGGGTACGATTAGGCGCCCATGAGCGATTTCCGGATGCACGGCCCGAGTGTTTTTCTCGACAAGATTGCCACCCCGATCACACTTGGCTCGTTGAGCGCCCCTCCGACTCGACGAGTGTCTTGACTGGCTGATCCCCAACTCCTCCCTCGCACTATAATCAAGATGGCCGAAACGCTCCTTGAGACCTTCAAGCGGGACGTCTCCCTCTGCAACCATTGCGAGCACGCCGTGCACCTCCAGCTTGACGTTCCCCCTTCTGCACCAAACAATGCAATCTTGCGCACCAACCGCCAGCTGTACTCCGTGGACATGATGAGAGCAGAAGAAAGCCTAGAGGAGATGGAGAAGGCCCTACTGCAGGTGGAACAGGCGAAAGATGCGCTTCAAGCAGCCTCCCGCCGTGTCGAGCGTCTCGAGCGCGAGCTCCTGCGCCGGCGGGATGCCCAGCGCGCATATGCCGCGCCTGTTCGCAGACTGCCGAAGGGGATTATGTCCGAGATCTTCCAACTCTCCTGTGGGGATGAAAGCTGGCTCAACGATAAATATCTCATGCCACTCGTGCTCAGCTCCGTGTGTAAATCATGGCGAGGTGGGTGCGATGCGCATAACGTTTCTTCAAAACTGACGACGGTCCTCAGACACGGCACACGCTACGCATAGCATTTGGGCAGACTTAAGCCTCGACTCATGGGAGTTAGCTGGTACGACGCGTTCACCGGTCCTGCGTCGCCTGAAGCTGTTCCTTTCCCACTCCGGAAGCATCCCCTTTCAGCGCTGCATAGTGTATTATAGGCCGTTCACCGAGGCACTCTATGTGTCTCAAGCCTTCGAAGCCCTTGTCGAACACGTGCAGCGCTGGACACAGCTCTTTGTTGGTCTCTGCGCGGTTGACGAAGGGCCCAGGAAGGATTACTTCTCGTTCAAAGGCGATTTCGGTAGAATATTCAGCCACTTGGAGGGAAAGGAGTTTTCCTGCCTTCGATCCCTCACGGGCGATCCAGACATCCTCAGCGAGGGCAACGCCAAGGGCATCTTCAGGCATCTGCCTTCGCTGCGGGATGTCACCCTCCACTGTAACGGCGACATGCATCCGGAGGTGCCACAGCTGCCATGGGAGCAACTCGAGCAACTGGACCTGGAAGCATCCCCGGCTTATGCGGTTGATATTATACGTCGCTGCTCCAACCTGGTCAACTTGCGGTTTACGAACAAACGGCGAGAGGATCTGGATGCAGCGCCGAAGCTGGCCGGAGGCCCGGTCGTGCTTCCCCGTCTCCGCACCCTCCGCGTCTTCGAAAGCGGCGGCAACAAAACTACCCTTTTGGACCGGTTGACCGCACCCTCGCTCGAGGAGGCCATCCTCGAGTACGACTCCGTCGCTTCGATCGACAAAACCGGATTTCCCCTCTTCCTACCCCGATCGCATTGCCCCCTCCGATGCCTCATCTTATACTCGTCTCACACGCTGACCAAGTCGTTCCTCGCGCTCTTACCGGAACTCGTCAAGCTCACGCTGTACACGGGCAAAAAGAGCACAGCCGGCTTTGTCAACATGCTCACCCTGGGCGATCGGATCGGTCTCCCACGCTTTCTCCCCAGCCTGGAGGAGCTTCACATATTTGGCGAAATCCATGCGGAGTCGAACGCCATGCTGGCGATGGTTCGGGCACGTAGGGACTTCGGGCGTCCTATTCAAACACTTTCCCTCAAGCAGAAATGCCTGTACGGTATCAGTGACTGGATAGATTACGATGACAAGAAGTTCGAACAGTTAAAGACCTTAGTCCCCAACTACAATATCTCTTAGCTTGTTATGTATATATCGTACCATGTGAAGCACTTCGCCGTAGTCAATTTGGCCAACATTTCGATGCTGGCGCTGCGCGCGCCGTTTGAGCGAGCCTGCGCGGAGTCTTGTAGATACAGCGGACCCTTCATAAACCAGGTGTGAGCCCGAGCTGTGGACTACTATAGTCTATACGCCTGGTGAGGATACTTATGGCGTCGTCTTCGCTGTGTGATCACGATCTGTCCGGGTATGATGATTGCCTAATGGGGCGTGTTCATAGAATGCGGAGGCAAATATGGTGGTCGATTACTGACGCGACGCAAGTATCTCAAGGGACAACCAGGACCCCCGACATTTCCGCCAAAGGCCTCCGGCCGGACAGGCTCAGAAAGGGTCCCCCGGAGGGGGACCCTCCGCAAAAAGCAGGCTCAGAAGCGCCAGATTTGCCGTTTGGGCCTCCGAAAATCGCAGGCTCAGATGAGGGGTCGTCGTGAGGGTCTCCGAGGTGCGCAGGCTCAGGAAGGGGCCCCGAAGCCCAGCTGACGACACGTGGTGGCGATTATCCTGCATTGATTTCGCACGCAGCTCTGACGGTCACTAAGGAGGCGACCCCCGTTAAAAACGTTAGAAAAAGAAGTCAATAACGACTTGCGACATTGAAGAGGTGGGTCCGAGATGGATTTAGGTCGTGAATGGACTTCGGTGACGCTGACCGCACCATCGTCGCTGGCGACGGCGCGCCTGGTACTTTGCGCGCCCCGGTGCACCATCCTTCCAATCCCCAAACCCTTTCTTACATGGTATGCGGGGCTTTGAGCAGCTGCGACGTCACCTATGCATGGCTGTTTCTTTTTTTCGAACGGTCGGCACGTTCGGCGCCAAGCAAAGTACGTGTTTCCCGCAGAAAAACAGACATTTTCAGCAAGAAAGACGTTCCGAAGACCGCAGAAGCAGAAGCGGCGCGCAGGGAGAAAAAAATCAGATTTTTTGCGATTTTATTGGCCTTTTTAGGGGCCTCCGCGAGAACACAGGCTCAGAACGAGGGTCCAGCGGGACCCCTCCGCAAACGCAGGCTCAGAACCCCCTCGATGCTCAAAATCGGCGCAGGCTCACGAGGCCCAAAAGTCGGAATTTTCTCCGGAGGCCTTTGGCGGAAATGTCGGGGGTCCTGGACAACCTCTTTGACATCTGCACACTTGACCAGCGACAGAAAGCATGAAGGATCGTATGAAAGTAAACAGAAAATCCTGTGAGTCGAGTACGCGACTGCGCTATGTACGAGACAGCATGGCAATCCGCGCATATAATCAACATTGCACCACGATAGCTAACTACGTAGACTGTCCGAAGCTTACCAGAACTTGACCTTATCCCATCCCTTCTTGAAGTCCGCCAAAGGGGGGAGGCCAAGGTCCTTCGCCATGTCAGAAAGGACACCGGACTTGTAGTCGGCGTAGGAGACGTCCTGAATGACCTCTTCTTCAGCTGAAGTGAGGTTGTGAGTAACGCCACTGTTCAAGTCAAGTCAGTCATGTATGAAGCAAGTATGAAAGCGGACAAACCCAATGTGCGTAGACGCATCCGCGACGACGACGATCTTGGGCAGCTCCTCTTCTGGGGAAGGAGGCGCTGGCTTGCTCTTGGCAGCGGCAGAGCCCCAGAAGTCGGGTACGTGGGGCTAAAGCATAGATTAGTATACTCCATGCATCACTTTGCTTGACTCACAATTGGCGTGGGTGGCTCGGGGGCAGGGGCAGAGAGATCGGGAATTATGACCGCAAGATAATCAGTCACAGGGGGAGCGGTGGACTGCGCCTCGGGCGGGACACCTGGAGCCTCGGAGATCGGCTTCGGGTCAATGTGTAGCGAGCCACTGATGGCAGAGGTAGCGCTGCTGGATGTGGTGGAAGGGGCGGGGGCGGGGCTGGTCGACGCAGCCCGCGCGCCGGCGGGTACGTCCGGGCTCAGAGCTTCGTTCGCACGCGCCCGCTCATACTGCTGTATCCGCATAACCAACGTCGCCTTGTTCCCCGACCTATGAGCGAAGTCGAAGCTCAATAGCCAGTCAATGAAGCGGGCATACGGCGTACATTGCAAGACCGCGCGACTTGGCTTCCTTCTTGAGCTGCGCGACTGTCTCGGACTCCCAGTTGCGGGTGAGAATCACAGAGGAGACAAATGTACGGCTGCTGCAGCGGGGCAGAGCATGCGCTCGGGCGATTGCGCGCAACATGGTCGCTGGTCCTGGTCAACGTCGACGTCGTCATTTCCGGGGAATTTACTGGACGATCGACGTCCGGTCCGGTTTCTTCCGGAATACCGACGCGACTTGGTTATTTCGCGTCCGCTTGCGCCTTTTGTTCGCTACTCTCATCGTGTACGCGTTTTTATCGATTTTGAGCAACGAACGACGCGTCGTCAGAGGCGCTCTGACCGTCCGAGTCGCGAAATTTCCCTTCAAGTCCCGATCTTGGTCCCATCAGTGCCTCGTGTTGGCCTCGTGTTCCCCGGGCGTCTTTACAGCCTGCTGCTTGTTGACCGATGACTCTGACGACGGCCAAGTACTGATTAACACTTATCGCTCGCATCGCCCGAACACATAATCCCCACACCACCAGCCCCTCGCCATGCTTCTGTCGCCTGCGTACGCGCCGTTCCCTCTCCACACAGCTGTACATCGCGCTCACCATCGTGCCCAATCTGTTTCCCATCCACTCATACAGGTCGGCGAGCACCAGTCTCCCTGGTAGCGGTGGCTCGTTCTGGGGAAAGTTCAAGCCGAAGGGAAAGGATGAGAAGCCTCAGATGGCGATCGCCCGCCAGAGGCTGCTCACGCTGTGCTACGATGAAATGGAGACTATCCGGATGGTATGTGGCTTGCCACTGGTGAAGTGACCTCTGCTGACCATACTTCCCAGCTACCCAATACCTTTGCTGTATGTTGACCCAAGGCCATTCGATCATGTCGCTTAATCTCCTCGCAGGAACTCGAGGCAGTCGCCCGCGACTGGACCAAGCCACCTCCAGATGCGATCTTCGGCATGCGAGTTCCCGTAGAATATGCATCGATTCATGCTGCGGTGCGTATCCCCCAGCATCATATCTCAACCTAGTCTGATACCCTTGCAGCGTCTCGTATCCGGGCCTTACATCTACGTGCGCATCGTATACCACTGAACCTTGAACCCCATTGACGCCATTCCCCCTCTCAGCTCACAGGCGAGGACTCATACCAGATCGCCATCTCCGGCGTACAAGGGATACGAGTTGAGATCGTCAGTGATGCGCCACCCCCACCTGAGGAACCTCCGTACGTCTTCATCCTGCTTCCTCTATTCCCCTGTAACGTGTTCCCCCAGCCCGCCCCCCGTCATCGAAATGCCCGGCACCTTCAACCTTGAACTCGCCCCCAACCTCACCGTCGCCCTCGACACCACCATCGCCTCCGCCGAAGACATGGACATGGCCCGCATGGAGGACGGCACGATGGTCGACGGCCAATTCTACGGCAAGCTCGACATCATCCACAACGGCGACGTCCACAAGCTCGAGTTTTCGGGCACGCGCCTCGCGAACCCGGATATCAACCCAGAGATCGTCTTCGACTCGCGCGCGCTGACGAAGCTGAGCGTCGCGACGCGGCCGACGGCGGCGAAGTGCCACCTGAGCATTTTGGCGCCCGCGCAGCAGTACTGCGATGTGATCCTGACGTTTAGTACGCTGTGGAAGATTGGGACGACGTGGCCGCCGGCGGAGAGGTTGGAGGAGGGGAAGATCAAGTACTTTGTGCGCGTGCATCCGGGAGGTGCGCTCGAGCACTTTGAGAGCGAGATGGTGACGACGGCGTTGTATTATGAGGCAATGTGCGTAACTCTGCAATCTCTTCGAATGTCTTTCTGATCCATGTGCATCACAGACCCGACCAGAGCATGGTCGATCCTAGCGACTTCATCGCGCCAAGGAACGGCTTCGCCATGTCCTTCCAGGACTTCATCCCTCATCTCATGAACGTCCTTGACCAGCTTGGCATGTCCATCCATGCACGAACGACGTTCATCAAGTGAGTCTGCTGCGAAGGCTCAGTCTTGATCGCGAATGCTGACGGGGCACACAGCAACAACATCAATGCCTTCGCCGCTCACAAGAACATCGCATACCGCTTCCTCTCACCAACGAGAATAGCAGCAGCCATCGACATCTCAGTGACCGCAGACAACTGCGTCTTCACGCGATTATTCCTGTACGTGCACTCCCTTTCCGTTCGTCTGCCTTTGAACTCAATTCTCGGTGCTCAGCATCTTCCGTGGCCTTACCGACGACGACATGGGCCTCTTCGCCGGCGCCGGCGAGAAGGAGGCGAACGCGATGAATTGGCGACAGGTCGTAGGGTGGAGCGAGGAATCCAAGGACTCAACGATGTTCCGGGTGCTGGAGACGAGCGTGTTGGAGGTGTCGTAGTCGCTGACGTGTCATTTCCTTCATCGTCGTCTCTTCGTTACTCTAGATCCCGCTCACCTTCTCACCTTCGTTACCCTCGTCGTGCTTCTTACCTTCGTCGTAGTCTATACCTGGACGTCCTCGTTACCCTTCCTCTTCTGTCCTCTAACCCACCTCCGCCGTTCGTATACACTCCCCGCTGCACCACCCCTCTGTATTGATTAGGTCTCTCTGCTGCTCCTCTCCTCCGCCTGTACGCCGATCTAGTCCTGTGTACGCCCATCTTTATCCATATCCGTATCCATATACTCCGAGTCATGTTATCCCCGCCTGCTTTTCTGCATCCTTTAGCTAGTTTACTATGTAGTGTAGGTTCCCTGCAGGCCCTTCAATGAGCATAGGTCTAACTACCTCAAGGCCAACATGGCTACAAGGGATACTGTCACTGATCCCGTTGCAAGGCGCCAGTAACAGGCAAGTTCAACCGTGACAACTTGTGACGAATGTGTCACGAAAGTATAACATGCGTAAACAACTACAACTGGTTCTTGCTTTCTGCCCTCACCGCCAAGAGGCGCTGATCCCGCTCGCTCTTGATGCTCGTGAACTCGACTGCTTGGATATACACTCAACTCATGATGTCGAATGTTCCCTTGAGCCTCCCTTCGAACACGATGCAGTTCTCATCGCATCGTCACCCCGGTACCGGCTGAGCGCAGATCTCGTGCTATTCCCTCGTGGTCTTCCCCTCTGATCTTCCCGTGGCTATATCTGCGAACACTATCACCTTCTTGCGATAGCTCCTCGGCCTTCTCGGTGGCCCTCTGCTGCCGTGACAGCTTTACTGGCGCCGTGATGTCTACTCTCCGTTCTAAAGAACGTAGAAGCCAAGGCGCGGCACCGAAGCAGCTACAATTGTTCAGCGCAGATCACTAGGGGGCGATATCGAAACTTACGCAGTGGCCCCTGTACGTGGGTGTGCCGCCACTCGGTTTGGCTGGACGTTACGGCGAGGCGGAACTCCGCGCCATGGTCGAGGAACAAGTGGGCGGCGGAGACGTGTGCGAGACGAGGACGACGCAAGAATTTCGGTCATGGCCGAGCGAGACCATGTCCATGACGTGTCCTTTGACGGATAGCGACCCTCGCCGATTTTTCTCTGGTCAGCAAGGATTTCGATGCACATCTAGCTATGCTTCTCTGGACTCTCGCGGAAATTTATGCATCCGACGGTCGCTCGCTCGCACGGCCGTGGACGCAGAAATTCCTGATTTGGCCTAGTGCAAGCAACGAGGTATACGACTACAGTGACAACCCAACAACAACCGCATAATTGCGATCGCGCGACCGCGTTGAAGGCCGCCTTCCCTGGCGGGCTGGAGTCGATGGCATGCTCTCGATCTCTGACGCAGGGCGCACGCCTCCTTCTAGCTGATTCGGGCTGTCATCTGGTTGCCTTCGGTCACTGTTCGACGACGGTCTGCCCTGTGAAGCACCGCTTCTCACCGACATCACTGCATTTTGGGTGTCGTGGCCACTATATTGCTCGTCATGGGCCGAGGAGGCTGGCCTGGAAATCGTCAGTCCGCGCCCTCATCTCGTACTTCCGCTACGCTAACGCCTTCCAGAGCCTCACGTACTTCAGGGCGTGCCTCATGTTCGCCGCCCTACGCGTCCGACGGGGAAGGACTCGCCCCATGTCGTCAGGTCCTGGAACCGTCTGAAGCGGCGTCCTGACGACGCGGCACCGAGCGGGCTAACCTGCGGAGTGCCATCAGCGCCCTTGCGTCCAGCAGACGCAGGTGGCGCACCCACAGCGGGATTCTTCTCTCACAGAGGTGCTCCTAACTGGGGCTGCTGGGCGAGGATGTTCGTCGACAGTGATGGTGCGTGACGTGTCGAATTCACATGCATCTGGATCTCGTCTGAGCGTGGAAGTACAGCGGCCACGAGCCTCTTGCGATTCAGCGAACTCGCGGCGTGTCAGGTCGGCGCGGAGTCGGGTTCATGCAGCTCACGACGGATTTACTTGCGAAGTGGGTGCGGTAGGAGAATGCGGTTTTCTTCTGTACGATATGTACATTTCTTCCTTCGTTTCGGCCAGATCTGGAGCTCTCACGTTAGCTCCGATCTGGGCCTGCGAGCGACGGATGGACTTCGCCATGAGCTTGTCGACGTCTCGATGAGTGTGTGGATGGGAATGAACGTTGGGGGAATGCAGATGCGTACTCAGTCAGGCGTTCGGATTCGCCCTGAAAGAATTCAATGCTCGGTCCCCAAAGGCTAAAAGCTTGCCTCAAGGTTATCTTCTGCATATCAAATCGCCCAGAAGGGCGGTGCGGAGAGCGTGGTTCGCCGGCGGGAGGGAGGCAGGGAGCCGCCAGTTGCCGCTCACTTGCCGGCGGGTACGAAATTGATCCAGGCCGATCAGTTGAGGACTGCGGGTTCGCCTTGCCTGCCTCTCTCTCCATGGCGCGCGTGCCTACCTGAGTGCCGCCCGCGCCTCTTGTCTCCTGCCCCCACCGTTCATGGCTTTTGACTGGCGCTCGCACCATACACCGTCCCCCACACCGTCCCCGGCGCCGCAGGAGATGTCGGACGAGCAGTCGGCCCAGTCCTCGCACCAGCAGAGGGTCCGCAGGCGGAAGCGGCTGGCGAAGGTGCGTGCCCTCGAAACAGCTCGGCTCAGGGTGCTCAGGACTTTGCAGGCTTGCGACAACTGCCACAAGGCGAAACGAAGGGTGCGTCCTACGTAGCGTCCGCAACGAGCCTTATCTGATCCTTGTCCTGCAGTGCGACGGCAACGGTGCGTATTCACGCGTCTGCACACTTGCTCTCCATCTGAACGTGCTCTCCCAGTCCCTTGCAGCAACTGGTACACGTCTGTCACGTCCCTGACGCCATCATCTCGCTCACACCCCTCTCAGCCACCATGCCTCCAAGACGTGCACCTACACGGACGCGCTTGGACGACCCGTCCCTGCGCCAGGTCAGATGCGGCTCGAAGGGCCCTCATCTCAGCCGAAGGTCATCCCTCCTCCCGCTGGCACCTCTGGCAAATATTACTTTACCAGCTTTCCGCCACAGTCCTACGAGCAGTCGACTTCGCAGCCATTGCCCGAGCTGCCCGCGCTTGGACCTTCGACGTCCTCTTCACTCGCACCGCCTTCCGATAATGGGCCCAGCAGGCAGCATACGCGTCAGACCGATGAGCGTTACAACCCCATGCGACGGCCCCATCCCAGCCCTCGAGAACAGGTCCAAGCCGAAACTCCAGAGTCTGTACTCACATTACAGCACGCACGCAAGATCCCACTCGATAACGCATTGACGCGCGAACTGGTGAACCGTATGTCGCGACCTTGACAGTCCGACGTAATGGCTCACGGCTTCCCCATTGATCAGTATTCTTCACGCACTGCCAGCCGGCGCGCATGATCTTCCACAAGCCGACCATTGAGACCGCGCTCGCACACAACACAATACCTGGCTACCTGCTGTTCGCTATTTGCGCCTTGGCGGCGCCGCTATCCAAACAGCCGCGCATTCAATGCACGCCCGCGAGATACGGGGGAACACCATTCGCGCAGGAGGCGCTCAGTCTCATGTTCGATGGCGCGGGTCGGCTGCTCTGCGAAGCCAACCTCTCGACGGCGCAAGCTCTCTGCCTCTTGCAAATTCATGACATGATCTCCAGTTGGCCTGCTGCTTCCTGGAATAAGAAGCACTCCAGTACGTAGTAATGCTTCCACTAGGGGTGGTAGCTTGACAGCACTTTCAGGTCTAGCCCTATTGATCGTGGAGAAACTTGGGGTGAACCAGCCAGAATATCGGTATTCGACGCCATTGCCCAGTACAGAACATATCCGCGCGAGCATCGACCGCGAGTGCGTCCGGCGAGTGTACTGGCTGACCTACATCATGGACATCTACGCGTCAATATACTTCAAAGCCGAGCCTACCTGGTTGGAGCGCGAGCCTCACTGCCCGCTGCCCCAGGACGAGACGACGTTCGAACTTGCGACCCAGGCCGCTACACCAGGTGAGCATCGAGACTTTCACGTATTGCCGCTCTTGCTTCTCTAGCCTTTCCTCCGTACTCGACATCCTGCATGACACTCCTAGGCCGCGGGTTGACTAACGATCTATATCAGAATTTCTGCACCTTCCTGGTTCTCAAACAACGTCCGCATCAGAAACCGGCCATCTTGTGCGCATCACGGCGATATGGGGCGAGATAGAACTCGCCCTCGACGCCGTCGACGGTTGGCTTCTTTCCTGCGACCGCCCGGCCCCGCTTCCTGACGACACCCGACAGATCCGGACCTGAAGCAAGAGGTGTCGGCGAATAAATTTTCAGCCCTGCAGGAGAAGTACGAGGTGCGCGGCCTCCGAGGCGGAGTTTAGCGCGGGCTTCTCTGACGGACGCACGATCGCAGGCTTGGGAAAAATCGCTGCCGCAACATCTGGCGTTTACCGAGGAGAACCTCGAGTATCAGAAGTCAATGCTGGCGACGAGTTCGAATACTGGGGCGTGGTCCTGGGCGTGCATGCACGTCTACCGTGCGACGAGCGTGCTGGCGCTGCATTATGTACGTATGGCGGATGTTTTGCGTATGGCTTACTGATGGCGGGGACAGGCGCGCAAGATGCTACAGCCCGGCGCGATGTTGGGCTGCCCTAGCTGGCCCGTACCGGTTATCCTTACCATCCATCAGATGATGGGCGACAGGGCTATGAACAGCACATTGTGTAAGCCTTCTTCCTTGCATCATCGGAAAACGAGAATGCTCAAACAATTTGCTACGAAGTGGGTGGTATTTTGTGGGTGAGTAGCGCGTGTGCGTCTATCTGCCGACATGACTGACGGCATTTGTAGGCTCTCATGAAATATTGCGGGAGGAACGATGATGAGATTCACAAGTTAATCGATGCGAACAACAACCTCTGGGGTGTGTACATGCCCCGACTGGTCGCCGACAAGCGCAGCGCCCACCGTCATATGAGCCCGCCAAGCTCGCACTCCTCCCCCGCCCAAACGCCAGAACCTCGCTCCGGACCTCGATTGAAGCATCCGTCCATGTCTGGACCGCCGACTTCAGCCTCATACGCGTCGTCTACGACATCGCATCCCACGCCGTCGATGTCATCTAGTCTGCCGCCCCTCGTACCCCCTGGCCACATGCCTAATTTGATCGCACCGTTGTCCGCCAATATCCCGCCACCTTTCCTGGCCTCGCATTACCCGCAGGCACCTATAGTCCCCGCCAACGCCATTCCGCCCGAATTTATGGCCGGCCCGCCGCCCCCTTCTATAGCGCAATGGATGCACTCTCGACGACCACCCACAGCGTCCTGGTCGGAACCCTCGTCCTCGAATGCGCAGGCACATCATAATCATAATAACAACGCGCTGCCGTCCCTCAAATCGTCCGGGTTGCTGGAATTTGCAGGCAAGGGGACGGCAGACCCGTCGTCTATCCCTCCACCGCCGCCGCTCGCCGGACCATCGATCGATACGTCTATGCGCCAAAGCACGTCGGACGCCAAGGATGGCCAGCCGCTGTCCACACCGGTGCGCAGCGCGCCTGTGGGGATGCCCTGGCTGGCGGACGAGCCAGTGTCGAGGTAGCCGAAGGTCCAGAACGAAGAAGGCGCGCACTGGCAATATCAATCCGAACATTTCCTTACTTTACTTTCGGGGTAACGCTCAGTCCTACCCCACCAACTACTAATGACTGCATACCGTTCTGTCGGCTAGCTAGAGGCATGGCACCCCCGCGCCGGTCCTTTTTCTCGTGTCGGCTGCCATACTCGGAGCGCGCCGTTTGCTTTCCGCGTTTATCAACTTCCGTATACATTTTTCTCTCAGTTTCTCTTCTCCCTTCCGCATATCTGTCTCCCTTCCGCATAGCTTCTCTTACCCTTCCGCTCCGCCTCCTCATTATCACCCTCACCCTTCTTGTCTTCTTTGCTATGAACTGTGTTGCATGTATCAGTATACCGACCGCCGCTATACGTGCCTATAGGGGAATAATACCATTCGTCTAATGTATCACATTCTCCATGTATTTTGGGCTAGTAGTACGCACAGAGTCACTAATTTTCAGCCTTTCCGTTTTTCCAGCTTCCATGTTTGAGGAGACACGAGGATTGGCGGTGTACCCAAAAAAGGTGGTCTTCCAACACGGACGTCGGTTCCGAAGCCTGCGCCGAGACTCGCACTGAAGTTCAACTTGGGAGCACGTGAGAGTCATGTGAGAATCAACTTCAACCTGAGGACGGCGAAAACCCTTGGCTAGCGTAAAAAGGCTCAGGTGAACCCGAAAGTAAGAAGACCAGTCATAGTAAGATACTTATAAACATACGTTGATACAGTCCATAGTTAAGTCAAATGTTCAGTAAAATACAAGGGCGACATCAATTACGAAAGGTCGCATAGTAAGTATGTAATGAAGTAAAGAAGGCGAAGCATGATAAGATAGCCCCTCAGTAGCAATCGGTATTTAGCAGGCGCCTGGGAGATGGTCTAGGGGTGTGACAGAAGGGAGGGTGAGCGAGCGCACAGGCTTCAGTCAAGGGAAGCTGGCGATTCATGATCAGGAGGATGCATTTCCGAGTCTAAATTGATGTTCGTCAGCACCCTGTCTGAGCCCTGCAGTGTCCACTGACAACGCACCTACATCATCGCGTCCAGATTTCGTACGCCTCGGGACGCCGCTCGCCTTCGCGCCGGCACGTCTGAACGCTCGGGTCGACGCCGCCCGCGCCGCGAGGTTACTTCGAACGATCGCAGCGCGGCGCCGCCACACGCGACGGTCCTTCTCCGGCAGACGGTTCCACTGCTCACCTGCCAGGAGTGGCGTCAGTAAGTGCGCACACATCACATAGATGACGGGTCGTTCACGATGCACCTCTGGCGTGCAGATGCAGCTAGAGCGGGACACGCACCGAGGTAGAGGTTCACCGCCTTCGGATTACACCCCGCTGTATTGGAGCCGAAGTCACGCAGCGCCGCTGCGCGGTAGAGGATCCAGCCGTTGACAGAGGCGCCGGTGAGGATGGACATTGGTATTCTTGTGAAGCGACGTGCCAGCACTAGGAAATTTGGTGATGATGTGCTTGAGGTCGAACTCGAATTAGGGCGTTAATCAACGAAATTACTTCCGTCCAAGCAGAAGAGGGGAGGCGAAGAAGTGCCTTGGCGATGTGGGGCAGGATATATAGCAGTGCAAGAACAAGGGCGACCATTTTGGGCGATGACATGATGCTGGCTTCTCTTCAGTGAGTTCGGCAGCCGAAAACTCCACGTGCGAAGGTTACTTACCCTTTTCGGTCAAGCCATTGTCGACAGATTAGGAAATTCTTGAAATTGCGCTGGGAAGTCTTCAGCCAGGACATTCAAAGGTCATGCACCTACGTCCGCTACCTGCCCATCTTATCGCAGAGAAGGTCCATTGACGAGAAACTGATCAAACGACACATGCTTCCCAACGAAACCACCTCCGACGATGATCCCGCCAACCATTCCCCGAAAGAAATCACAGTAAAGGGGTTTACACATTACACTCCTATATAGTAACAAGAGAGATAGTACACATCATATAGAGGATTGAAGTTCGATAACATTAGTCGTGAATAGGTCGTCAGTGCTCCGGGGGCGATTGCAGGAGCGGCGTGTGCTCTGACGGTGGGGAGGCGGCGGAGACAGAGAGGGGTGAGGTAGAGGTGGGTGGCGAATGAGCAGTGGGGATGGAGGAGAGCACGCCAGCCTCATCGCATTGCTTGTGTCGCTCGTGGTGTGGCTGGGTTACGTCCGCTTTGCATATGGGGCACTAATGCGGGATCAGCGATTGGTCGCGAGAAGCCAGAGGTCCGAGATACTCACAAGCTTCTTCCGCTGGATCAACCACTCGTCAACCTCCTCCAGATGGAAGATGTGATGACAAGGCAGCACCCGCACCCGGTCGCCCTTCTCAAAGTCGGACAAGCAGATCGCACACTCCGCCTGCGTCTCGAACCACGGCTGGTCCGGGAGCTGCGTGCTCGACGACGCCATCATCTCGCAATTCTCCATCGCTGCCGGTTCGTCGTGTACCACGGGTATATCGATCTCCGCAGGTTTCGGGGTATCCTCCTCAGGTCCGGCTTCCAGGTCGACGTTAGCATCGGCTTGAGCGTTTGCGGGTTTCCGCAGAGGTGAAGGTGAGCCACCGTACGCGTCCTCGCTTCCCCTGTGCTTCTCCCACCCGTGTCCTGTCCACACCCTCCAGGGTAGCCGCCGGACGACATCCTCTGGCGCGCGATCGCGTCGTGCCGCCCGCGCGGCCCGGAAGCGGTGGATGATGAGCGTCAAAAACGTCAAGACGGATGGCAGAAGCAGGATGGCGATGAACGTGATGATAGGGCTAGCACTACTCAGTCAGCTGGCGGATCGGATGGAGTTTGGAAACTCACGAGTACCATTCCCAGGCGGAATACTCAGCGGTGATGAGAACCGGGAGCGTGTTCATGCCGGAGTGGGACGTGTTCGAGGAGGCAATGAGGCTGGAGAGCGTCGAGTAGTCCGAGTGCTTGACATACGTCGCGGAGATACGTATATCGGACGCGTCCTCTGCGCGCGATCAGCGCCATGTCGGCATGCAGGGGGATTGCAACGTACCAGGACTGTACATGCTGACCAGCGTGTCCGGATACCCAGAGATATTCGGGTCGTCCCCGCCAACGATGACCGCGCGGGCCCCGAGCCTCTGCGCCTCGCGCACCTTCTTCACAAACTCGCACTTTCCACGTTGCACGAGCGCAATCCAGGTTTCCGATGGTTCGGGGGACTTATCGCCCACAAGGCAGAGCTTGGGGCAGCCCCAGTTCTCCGCGGGATCGAGGGTGGTTGTGTTCGCTGCGCAGGGGACCGTGAAGGAGGACAAGGGTATGACATAGCCGAGGATGGGCTCCTTGATCTCAGCGCCAAATGCCGCTGCGAGGGCTCATTAGCGACGTTGCGGGGGGAGCAGCGGGGCGTGCGTACCGGGTCTGGACGCAAATCGCACCGCGGGCGTGCGGTCGACGACAGAGACGGTGCTCTCGGCGCCCCACGCCCATCCCCAGAGCCAGCTCTTCTCGGATTTGGAATTGAAGACCGATGTGGCGAGAAACTCTGGCGTGTCTGCGATCGAGAACGCCCGTATGCACGGCGAGAGGGCGATGAGGAAGAAGAGTAAGACTACGTTGATGTTGGTTCTCGCCATGGGCGCCGGAGCAGAAAGGGAGAGGGAGAGCGGCGCGCGTCTCGACGATGGCGGTCCAGAGCTATATCACAAGCACGTGCTTAGCTCCGCCGGAGCTTGCCGGGTTCCAGCTTGTTCGCGAGCGGCGATCAAGCGGCGATCGCCAATTTTTGTCTCCCACCACCATCGCGGACGGCTCTGGCGCAGTGTTTGGATCCATCGTACAGCTCGTGAGTGTCTTGCAGCCCTTTCCCCTTGTAATTCGCCACCGATGAAGGTACAAAACTGATTTAATGAGTCGGAGTGGCTTCGGTCGCGCTTGACGACAACCTTTCCTTTGCTGAGACTCCACCTTGCCACGACTTGACATGAATCATCGACTGACATTCTATCCTCAGGTCACTCTTCATATCTCTATCTCTCGTTTGTTTGTAATCAGGACAGGACTGCATGTACAATTCAAGATTCTGCAATTCACACAATCTACTCCGACTCCGTACCACCTTCATCCCCTCCGTATAGATCCGCGCTCAAGAAGCGATTGTCGAATTCCTCCAACCCTGAGTGCTGGCATTCAGCTGCTATCACGCTATTCCTAGAGATGAACCGTCCTCGTGCTACCGCTCTTCGAGCGCAATTACCCGCACTCCGACGTTCTCTCGAGATGGCCACGGTGTGCGACATCTATGACAATTGTACCGTGTACATACAGAACAATATTCAGAGATCCCCAACATAGCCTACGCTGTCCGCGGCTGTTGGGAGAGCTCGACCAAGCCTATTTGACGTGTAGCTTTCGACTTGACAGCTTCCTTTTCGTGGGCGTCGACTTCCGTGACGCTGCTGGAGCTGACGCCTGTTTCCTTCCCCTCTCATCTTGTACGCCCATCGTGTATGTACAAGAACGAACTTTTGGTCTTCGGGGCTTCGACACGCTTAGGTCCCCTCACATCACCGTCAACACATTCCTTCGCGCTCGCGACGCATCTTTCTCTGTTCAATTGTGCCAGCCACTCTTGCCCAAACGATCTATGCCTTTAACAACACGCGCCGCAGCGGCGAGAGCGTCCGCAATCCAGACGCCTGCGACCCCGGGGGCAATCGTCCCCGATGACGACCCAACCGGCGACCTTGCGGCGACTATGGCACCTAACGCGACATTCGAGCTCGACGTGTCCGTGGAACTCGACGCGATCTCCAAACCCCGCACGACTTTCAAGCCCGACGCGTCGTCTTCCGGTCTCGGCACGATTACGACTTTGTCTATTGCTCCCTCTGATCGCGCATTGGCGCCTCCGTCGGGCACTTCGGACGCGTCCTCCACAATAGCAGCCAATGTATCCTCCTCAGCAGCCCTAGACGCCGATGCGTCCGCGATCGCCGCCTTCTTTGACGACACTCTGGCCAGCCACGAGAACAATACCAACGCGCGCTCCGCGACTCTCTCCTCGCCCGCGACCTCCAGACGCGAGCCGATCTTCACTCCTCCGCGCTTCATGACCGCCGCTACGTCCCTCACGACTGCCTCTACATCCTCCACGTCCGCTGCTCCGCCCTCCGCACAAGCTTCTGCCCTACTCCCCGTCGATACTGCTGCTCCGTCCGATCTTGCAACCGCATACAACGCTCTTCAAGCCCGACAACGTTCTCTCGACGCCGAACGTGGCGCCTTCGTCAGTGACCTTTTACGCCAAAACCATGACCTCAGGCAGCAAGTGTTTACGGCTAGAGCTGAAGCTGGAGCTCTTCGCGACAAGACGCATGAGCTACGGGCAGCAAAGCAACTTTTGGAGTCAAACGCGCGGGAATGGGACGCAAAAGCGCTGGACTGGGAGGCGAAGTCGCAGGATTGGGAGGCTACGATACAGCGACTGGCGGTGGACAAGCAGGCGCTCACCACTGAAAATCGGCAACTTGTCCGGGATCGGCAGCAACTCGAGGCGGACAAGCAAGTACTCGTCTCAAAGAACCATGAACTTGCACTGGAGCAGCAACGTCTCTTGGAGAACGCCAAGGAAGCGAACGTGGCGCTCAAGCTCCAGCGCACCGAAGCGCAGAACCAGACGACGAAAGCGGAGCGTCTGCGCGCAGCACTGGAGAAGGTACAGGTGAGGATTGGGTTTCCCATTCGCATCCCTGCATTGCCCTTCACCGTCCCCTCGAGCTGATGTATGCGTCCGTGTGCAGGACGACTGCATCCGCGAGCGTGACGCGCGAGGGCAGGCTGGAGAGGGGAAGGTCCGGGCGGAGCAGGAAAAGGCGCTTGCGCAAGAGGCAAGGGTGCAAGCGGAAGAGGCAAAGGTGCAAGCGGAGCAGGAGAAGGCACGGGCGGAGCAGGGCAAGATGCGCGCCGAGGAAGAGAAGGCGCAAGCGGAAGAGGAGAGGGTGAAAGCGGAGGAAGGGAGGGAAAGGGCTGAGCGGAACGCCGCGGCGGTCAAGTCGAGGGCGTCGGCGGCCGTGAAGGCACTGGAGGCGCAAGTCGCAGCGATGGAGGCGAGGACGGCGGATGCGGAGGCGAGGGCTGCGAAGGCGGAGGCAATAGCTGCGACAGCGGACAAGGGATTGGAGGAAGCGGAGAAGCGGGCGGCTGCGGCGCAGGGCGAAGTCGCGGCGGCGAACGCTCGGGCCGCCAATGTCGACATTCGAGCGGACGACGCGAAGGCTAGGTTGTCGATTGAAACGATGCAACCTGCGGATACTCGGGTTGCTGCTGTCGAGGCTCGAGCGACTGAGGCCAGTGCTCAAGCCGCAGGTGCAGAGCCCCGCACTGCTCGCCGTGGTGGCATCCGCTCCAGAGATGCCGTGGCGGCGCGGCCATTACAAGCGGGAACGCGCGCTGCGGTCGAGAGACGGGACTCTCTTGCCGGCCCTTCCAGCACGCGGACTGCTCTAACACGCGCGCCTCTCTGGGAAGTGGCGACGTACGACATACCTCGTAGCCAGACCTCGGCATCGCAACGGCGCTGGCTCGAAGAAGACGAGATGCATCCCTTAGCTCGTGCTCGTGCGCCTGCGCCAAGTCGGACAGCCCAACCAACCTTTCCACCAAGCAATCTCCATGACCAGCTTCGCAATTCAGCGCCATCGACGACCATTCCAAGCTCTATGCCCACACCTTTGTTTCCGACAACGCCTGCACCACCGAAAAGAGAGGTCAAAACTGCACGGAAGCGTCCCCTATCCTCACCTTCCCCACATCCAACCGTGCCAGCCAAGTCTGCGGGTTACGGTCGTGGTAAGCGTTTTTGCAAGCCCGGTAAACATGCGCGGGTGGTGGGAGGACCCACCCTTGACGTGGGATCGTCAACTCTCTCTATACGGCCCAGGCGCTCTGGGAAGCTGTAGTCCGCGTGTATGTACTCGAGTATCTCTCAACCAGGGTGGATTCAGAATGCAGATGCGGTTTGAACATAAAGTCTGTTGATCCATATGGGAGCACTTTCGGCATGTGCCGAGCGTTTAGGAGGCAGCCATCAGCAGACACGTGTCACTGCCAAACAACCACCCACGCGCCGCGAGATTCAACAAACATTCGGTAAACAAGCCCCTGTGGGCGCACTGCCACCTCCCTTTACTCCCGCCATGGGTATTTAAACCGGCGGCTCTCTCCCGTTCAAACCGTGGACTGTTTGGCAAGCTCCCCGTACGAGGCGTCCCTTGGGGCGTTCTTTATCGGAGTCGGGTACGTGGGGGCACGGGTTGGCAGCTATGGCCTGGCGGCTTGGGGGTTGGGGGCAACCTCAGTCCAAGTCGCCATGTCATCTGCCTGGCCCTGTTTCTTACCCTCGACATGCGCGGTGGCCTGCAAGATTGGGTGCCATCGTGAGGAGTAGTGGAGGCGGCGTCTGGACTCGAGCTGGATGTGCGTTGAAGCGTTATAGTCATCGTTCCTGAACCTTTGACGCTTTCTGCGTTCCTCTTCAAGGTGAGTGTCCATGTGTATCGCTCTGACTACAGATGAACCCCTTATAAGTCATACCCACCGGAGCGCTTCCGAGGCTCGACTGTTTGCGATGTCTGCCCTAAAAAGTATGTAGAAAGAGAGGAAAAGCCCTCAAGAATTATATCCGAAAGAAATTCTGACCCCGGTATGCCTACAACGAGCCTCGGAGGCGCTCCGGTGGGTATGACTTATAAGGGGTTCATCTGTATCGCTGACGCGCTAACAGATTTGTGCGCTTACCGCACCGGCCGATGATGGAGTCAATGGCTGGCTCTTTCTCCTTCAAGGTACGCGGTTTCGCCCCCCGCCCCTCGCTTCTACTGACCGTGTGCGCCAGCTTCGATATCGACGGCGGGGTGGGAGCTCTCTGGATCTCGGACGATTTACTAATTTGTTGCCTTGCTACTTGCTGTGCATGTCGTACTACTGCTGCTGTCTATCTGTCGTGCTGCTGTCTGTCATACTGTCATCTCGTTTGTCAAAACTGCTCTAGTTCGCGACCTGTGCTATCTCCAAGGACCGAGTCGTTTGGCCATGATGACGATGACAGGCGCATCCCACGTTTGACAGCCCCTGACCTGCAGAAGCTGCCACCTCTCTGCATATACCACCACTGCCCCATCGCTCGCCTTGCAAGCAAGGAGACCACGCGCCTGAATAGAGACGGTCGTTGGACCAAGACCGTCGTTTGGAGTCCGACTGGGTACTTGGATGTTTGGACGCGGTGCCGCTGCTTAGACGCGTCAAGGCGCGTACTTTCCTCTCGTCTCGCGCTTGCCCCCCCTCCTCCCCTTGATGCTCAACCACTACTTTAGCGTGCGCGCCAATCTGAGTCTCTAGCTTCCCTTTTGCCTCGGCCTTCATACGCGGCAAGTATCCGTCATGGCTGCTGCAACACAATCCGACGTCGCCAGCAAGTCGTCTAGCGCCCACCGTGTCACGAGCAGCTCGACTCCTGGGGCTCTTCCTGCATCGTCTGATGCCCACAAGACTGAAGATCTCTCCTTCGCCATGCTCAGTAACGGCGGGACCCAGCACATTCCCTCTGTCAGCTTGAAGACATCGCGCCCCACTGCCAATGACGACCGCGACATTCCTTCGCCGCTCACCGAACTCAGCGAGCCCGCCAGCCGACTCTCGCAATCCTCGCTTCAAGATACTCCTTGTCCTCCTTCACGCGCTTCTCGACATATACTCCCCGTGAAGATAGATGTACCCATTCAACCAGGAATCGTACCCGCACCAGCTGTCCGTCCCTCCCCCTCGCCCACGAACGCGATGCGTTCTTGGCTGCACGGTAGCGGCTCGCTAGCCGATGCGGTCGGCACACTCGAGACGGAGTACAAGACCGTCCATCTGCGCAGCTGCGAGCTTCAGGCGACGGTGCTCGCGCTCAACGCCGAGAAGGCGGGCCTGCAGGCAAAGGTCGGCACTCTCGACCGACAAGCGACTATACTGCGCGCGGACATCGGCTCGTTCAGTGCCATGGCGTGCGAGCTGCGCGCAGGACTGCAGAGGTCCGAGGCGAGGGTGAAGGAGCTGGAAAGGATGGTCCAGGACTTAACGACGGACAATCATAGTCTTGTCGAAGACGCGCGGAAGCAGAACGTCGAGTTGCAGACGTGGATCGAGAAGGCGGAGCGTCTGAGCAAGACGCTTGAACAAGCGCAAGTAAGCATATTGCTCTGCTGTTTGTACTGCCCCAATCATCTCATCTGATTTATAGGAAGCGCGAGGCCGTGCAGAAGAGGCGAGAGTACAAGCCATACGCGAGAAGGAGTTTGCAGACGCATGCAAGATGCGTGCAGAGCACGACGCGTCGCTGGCTACAGCGTCTGTCAAAGCTGCCGAGACGCGGGCCGAGGTGGCCATCGACCAGGTCGCCAAGGCGGAGGGTCGGGCAGCGGTAGCGGAGTCTCGTGCAGCGGATGCGCTCGCAGAAGCAGCTTCCGCGCAAGCCGCAGCCTCCTCCGCTGAAGCCAGGATCGCTATATTGGAGGAGGCTGCCAGCGCTGCAACCGCTAACGAGCGGTACGCGCAGGCGGATGCGCAGATGGCTGCCGAGGACGCGCGGTCGGCTCGTCATGACCGGATGCTCATGAGCGTCGACCTGGAGCACGCCCGGGACGATGCAAAGGCCGCGCGCAAGGAGGCTCATCTCTTGAACGAGGATGCTGAGTACCTCATGGTCGCGCTGGAGGAGACGGTAGAGGAGATGATGGCCGCACAGGCGGAGGCCCGCCAGGCGCGTCACGAAGCGGCGGTCTTCAAGACCAGCGCAGCGCCGGCATTGGAAGAAGCTAAGGCGGCGCGCAAGGAAGCGGAGGAGGCCAAGCAGCAAGCAAAATCTTGGGAGGCGAGAGTGAATGCCCTGTCTGCTAGCTTCGCTGCTGTGCGCGCCGCGTTGCCTACCTCGCCGCGTGCTTCCGTGGACCAAGAGCAACTTCGAGAACCTGCATCTGTCGATCGCCCTCTCGCTACCGCTTTTCTTTGCTCTCCTGCAAACTCTCCGATCTCGCTTCGCTCGCCTAGCCCTAATTTGCAGCATGTTTCTGTTAGCTCTGTACCACCAAGGATCGCCCTCTCCGCGGGCAGAGCGGCCAAAGCCCTGGCGGAGGACTCCTTTCGCGCTGCTTCGCAAGTGCCAGCCATTCCGGACTCCGCGACTGGCGACGACCTCGTACTTGTCGAGGATCCTAGTGTGCCACTTATCCCAAGTCTCGAAGCTCCGACCTCTCTTCCGTCTGCTTCAATCACTTCGAATACGTCTGCTGCCAGACTCACCAAAAATACATCTCGAACTCCCGCGTCGATGCCTGCACCGCCGTTTCCTAAGCGCATATCGCCCTCGCGAACGGTTACGCCAGCGCCGCCTTTTCCTACCCGCCCTAAACGTTTGTCACCTTCTCGAACGTTTGCACCAGCTCCGCCTTTTCCTAAGCGCATATCGCCCTCTCAAACATACACGCCGGCGCCGCTGCTGCCTCGAGCACCCCTCTCATCCACCAACCGACGGAGTGGCATGATCAACTGGCATGTCGTGCGCGAGCAGGCGCCTTCGCCTTCACCTCCCGTTGTGATATCAGCGAAGTCGAAGCGGTGCATGGGCGGCAAGCGTAAGCGCGGACGTGGACGCGATGCAGAGCTCACGAGTGACCGACATGGAGCTGACGCGAACGGACGTCGGGATTTATCGCAGGTATCGAAGCGGGCTCGTATGGATCCATAAATCGTCATAAGTATGTTCAGTATGTGTCTTCATCTTGCCGCAATTGTAGTTAGCATCGATCGGCGGGAAGCTGTACAGTACCGCATAACATGTCTGCCACCACGCCAATAATCTGCATGCGCTTTGAGTCAGAACAAGGATGAAGAAAGAGTGACCGAGGCCCACCATGCGCGTGACTGCTCCAGATAGGCCAGCTGCCTCCCATCAAGTGTGCAAGGATTGGTGGGCGATCTCGACTGCTCAGCGTGCCGAATCATGCGAGGGAGGTGCGTGTTCAGCATGCAGTCGAACCTCAGCGTCAGGTGTGTGAGGTCTGGCAATAAAGCGAGCGAGTCGCCTTGTTCGATCTCGCTGCAACGCTTCCGCCAGCTCGAAGGCATCGCCCGGCTCTATGTGGTCTGTCCAGTGCCTGTCCTCGACCTCTAGCCGAGTCAGACGAGGCAAGCGCTGCAGAACGCGAATGATGCCAGTCGTTCGGATCGACTGTAGCTTGAGAGTGCGAAGTGTGTGCTGTACAGCGGTCGACTGATCCAGAAGGCGATATACTACGTCGAGTGTATTCGTGGTATCCTCCCTCTCTAGGATGTCCTGGCGCAGTACAAGCGTGTGCAATGTGGTGGGGCGGAGAATTCGTTCCATTATATAGACTGCCCCGTCAGTCAATTCGAGCTCCCCAAGGGAAGGAAGTGTCGTCGGATGCACGGGAACCCGATCACCAGAGATTTCTGCATCTAGCACCAATCTTTGCAACGTCTGGCTGCACGGCAGGATGGAGTCCAAGAAGGGCTTATCAAGCGCATGACCGTGCGTAAATGGTGCGTACGCGATCCCCAAGGTGTGTAAGCGCCACGAGGGTGAGAGTTCAAAATCAACGGGCAGACGACAGGTACCCAGAATTTTGAGAGAGCATAATTCAGGAGCATCGTCGAAGGCATGCACCTGTGTCATCGCGGTGTCTTCATCGCCCATCAGGAGAATTAACGAGCGGAGGTTGGGGTATGGTAGTCCCTCGAATTTGGCGTATAGGCGTGGATGTACGTCAAGCAGTTCGATGGTTTTCCAGCGGCGAGACTGCTGGCTGATGAGCTGCCATAGCATGCTGTTGAAGTACGGCTCGCCGCCCTGAATGCCAACGTCCCGACCTCGCACGCGCAGCAGCTGATTTCCAGCCCTTCCCGTGTGAGTTATGAACGAGGCCTCCAGGTTCGGCATGGGTGTTCCTGTATTAAGATCGATGGTGATGTCGGTCCAGAGTTGCGAGGTGTTCAATGCGATTACGCGCCACGAGTAGCAGACTTCCGCGCAAGCCAGCAGTTTCTGATTGATTGGGGTGCGGGACCAGTATTCGGGCACAGACAGAATGAAGATTTCGGACCAGATCTCTGGTGGAATGCGGCGCCAAGGCGAGAGAAGAGCCCTTCCCAAGGCAGCCTGTCTGCGGACGTGAACGATGCGCGCTTCAAGGCGGCGTAGCTCGTCTGTCATCCGCTGCTCAGCAACATCGAGGCCGCGCACGCGCTCCACGATGGCGTCGGCTTCTTGAAGGGATGGGTGGTACCTGGCACGGTGCATGTCCGTGTAGTCCGTGCTGTCCATTGCATCGTTCCCACTTCACAAAGTCAGCCTTGACTTTCAAGAAGCAAAAAGCTGGCTCACATGTGGCTCATGGCGCGAGCTTTGCGCCGCAAGGGTCAGGCTTGAGTGAAGGGTTGACACGAAAGATCAGGCGGCCAGAGGAGCACGTGGACCGCTCTCGGCATTCACCGGTGGCGTCCATATGGAAGGGAAACGCATCCGTGCGCCTTTGCTCTTCCCCTCATCTCTGCTGCCTACTAGGTGCTCATCTGTTCAAAGAAAGCACATACTGTCTCTCGCTGCCATGGATGCTTTCAAGATCTCCGCGACGCCGTGCGTAGTCCCCTTGGCGCGTCCAATACGCGCTCATCCGTCCCAGATTGACTGCGACAGAAAAACGCGCTCTCCTCGACGTCCTCAACATGTCTCCTTCGGTTACGCGCGATTACGACGAACCCTTTGCCATCTTCAAGCAGACGAGCTTTGACGACATCGTCTCCCGCCTACCTCCTCCGCGCTTTTCGCCTCCCAAACCCCTCGAGCTCCTCGATCGGCATCGCGCCAGCTACGTCTCGCGCGAAAAACTGGAAGATATGCTCCTCCTGGACGAAGATACCCTGAAGACGCTCGGATCGCCCGCATCGGTCGCGAAAGACGCGTCGCCGCTTTCCAGCTCGCACCTCTCGCCCCGCTTGGCGCGCCAAAGCACTCTCTCTGCCGCCCACGATGGCGCCTTCGACTTGCCGATCTCGCCTATCCGAAGCATCTCGAGCGATTCGACTAATCTTGGGACCCCGTTCAAGCCGCGCTCGATGGCGGATATCCTCCCTAGCCCCTCGCCCAGTCTTCCTGGCAGCGACGCGTCGACCCTCGTCGGCAGCTTTCTTGGTCAATTTCTTGAAGATACGTATATATCACCGATCGTACGCCAGCAATCTGGAACGCCGCCGAAGCTACGCTTGAAAGGTCAGAACGCCTCGACTACGCTCGCCTCGTCATCTCCTGCACGCTACGAATTCCGATTCTCGACTACGAGCAAGCCCATGTACTTTACTCCGACTGGCCCTCGGGCTACCACTAATTCTGCCTCGCCGCCCACGACGCCTCTGACCAACAACTCCACGAGCAAGCTCTTCGAAATGTCCCCTCTGACTCCGCTGACCTCGCCCGACACATCTCCCGAAGCACCTCTCAGCCGAGTAGTCCGCCGATTGCCGATGAAGAAGAACAACCAGAGAATTATACCTGTTTCGCCGACCTCGACGCCTCCTGGACCGTCTACGCCTGCAAAGAGGTCGATGCCGCCCCTTCAGGGAGGACGGAGGAAGATGCGACGTCTCCGGAATTCTTCGCCTTCGCCTATGCCTGCAAATGACGGCGACCAAGGTGACAGTTACGAAGACGCAGCCGCAGCTCCCCTCGTGCGCTCCTCAAATCGCCACCGACTGGACTTCGCTAGGCGTGCGACAACGAGCAGCCGTGCCGCGTCTGTCACGACTGCTCTACGCTCGTCTTCCCCCGCTCGCGCTCCTGCTGCGAGCTCTCCCTCGCCTGAGCCAGATTCGCCGATCGTCTACACCCACCGGGACCTGCCAGCCTACGTCGAGCGCCGCCCTGACCTGGTCGAAGCCGTCTACCGTCGCTTCCCCGCCAGCTCGTACTATCAGCCTCCGGAATCCGACATCAAGTCGCCCTACAAACTGTTCTCTCGACGACCTATCAACGGCATGTACAACGCGCCGCGCGACCCTTGGGACCTGTACACGCCGCGCTTCGTGAGGGGCTGTGGCCCCAGCAAGGTCGGCGCGTGCCCCATCTGCATCGAGCCGCGGGAGAGGGGCGGCCGTGGAAAGAAAGTGTGGTTGGCAATGAAGTTCAGTGCCTACAAGTGCGTGTGGCTCGGCAGGGTTCCGGGAGAGGTTACGGTGCGCTGACGACACCTAGCTATCACATGCAGTACGCGCATGGTATCTCTGCGACGACGACGCGTCCGTTCTCTCCGCCCGTGCGCTTCCGCCAGGTCCGGCGGGAGAGGGTTGCGAAGGGGGAGCGGGTAATGATGATGGAGGGGCTATGTCACCAGTGCAAGAAGTGGGTTGCGGTGGAGGGGGTGAAGGATGTGGAGGTGAAGGTGAAGGAGTTGTTTTGGTGAGTGGACGATGCGCCCAGGGGGTTAGGTCACTGATAGATCGTGCTCAGGTGGAAGCATGCTGCGACGTGCCACCATGGGAAGCACATTGATGGGGACAGGGATTTTTGGGAGGACGATGAGGTGCATAGAAAGTTGACGGCTTTGGACGCTTGCTCGGAGTAGATTCCGCTCTTCAAAACCAAATGTACTGTATCTTGCAGAAGTAAAGGCCTACTCGGTGCTTTTCCCGGCTCAGTTGTGCTTTGTACACTGTTCTGAGGTCGCCGCCAAGTTGCTACCCGCGGGTGTGCGCCGTCCGCGATCACATCACCCTGACTTGGTGACAAACGGACATTGCGTCTCGGTCTGCCGCGGTCCGGTGATCCTGCAGCGCGCGGCGCCACCGGCAATCAACTCCGTTACATCATGGCTGCCAGGCGCCCGAATCTTCAGACGCGGACTCCGCCCTGCGAGACATGCTGATCGCGCATCTTGTGCTCAACCATGTCTAGTCCGGACGAGAAACGCGCTCCAGACGGCGGGGGAGGGGAGAATGGAATTCCTCAAGCGGACGGGTCCCCCGCGAGATCGAGCACTTCGGCGTCCGACAAGGCATCGAATCGCTCGACTACTGGCAAGGTGGCGGCGGCAGCCCCTGCGAAGAGCAATGGCGGTTGGTTGCAGCGATTTTTCCCGTGGCTTTTACCTGCTCTCAAGAACCGGCGTACGCTCAAGACCTGGGCCCGATGCACTATTGTACTTCTCGCGGCGATGATACTGCTCGTAGACCAGGATACGCTGGCGACTATGGGACAGGCAGGATTCTTTGCTGCGTGCGTGGCCATCTCATTCCATAGCCCGTCCAATACTGACCGTCTTTGCTCCCCCCTTAGCCTGGTCTGCGTGATGCTACCCCCGAATCTTGCCCTTCCCCTTTGGACGATAGCGGCCGCCACGCTGCTCATCGGAATGTGTTTGGGTTGGGCCTGGGGAATCGCCGCCATGGCGAGCGCAAACAACGTCCGGAGCCAATCTCGCCTACTCGCCGCACAGCAGGAGATGATACAGAAGTGCGTACACGCCCCCCGGGAGGTAGTGCTTCCGACGCTGATCATCACTTCTTTCCCTTCCCCTTGTCGCTTAATCTTGATTCTCGTTTCGCCCTACCCGCCTGCATCACATCCAGCAATGTCACACAATATCTCGACCAGCAAATATGGATATTCCATGGGCATTTCCTCGACCCGCGGTCGTCTGCCGTGTACGGCGCTTTCCTGTTCATTGGCGCCTACTTTATGGGCACCATTCGTGCGCATTTCCCTAAACTGGCGCTCCTTGCAATATTTGGGACGATTGTCATGGACGTGATGTGCTCGTACGGACCTCGTGAGTACACGGGAAGTTTGTGTAGATCTTATGTCGCCTAACGCGTTCGGTAGTGCTTCCCCGGACGAACTACACCCTCGCCAAACTATTCATGATCCCCGCCTCCTACTACGTCGCATGTGCGATAGCCGCTCTCATCCTGATCTTCCCGGAGAGCTTAAACCACGTCTGGTTGACGAGCCTTGAAACCAACATGTGGCAGGTGAGTGCGTGGCTGCCGCAAACCATTATATGCTCCCACCGGACTCTGACTAACGCCCATACTAGCCCATCCTCGACATTATCGCTCTTCAGGATGAGGCTTTGGGCAAGCGGCCTTCCGATCATAGTAGCTGGCAGGTCAGTAACTCACTACGCTACTGCCGAACACGGACTTACCTGGAATGCAGGCGCTCACTGGCCGCGGTCGCGCTCTTGGTGGAAAGCTCGACGCAGGCGTGCAAGGGCTCGTCGGCCAGGTCAAGCTTGCCGGCGTTGAATGGTCAATGGGCCGCCTTGGTCCGGGCGATCTGAAGAAGATCAGCAAGGGCTTGGAATCGCTGGCCTTCCGCGCGACGTGTCTCTTGTCTTTCCAGCGCTTTGTCGACGAGACGAATGCTGCCGATGCGAGGGATGCTGAGTTGCTTGAGAAGCGTGCGTAGCTTGTTGTTCACTTGCCTTGACGTACAAAAGGCGCCCACTCACCTCTTGCAGAGGCGAACAGCGCACCTGGTTCGATCCCTATCGATCGCTTCACCCTCCTTCGCCGCCGTATCAAGGAGCGGGAGGCCATGCACGGACATAATTTGGACGCCCTGATGCCTATATTGGCTCACGCCTCCGAGGGTTTGAGAGCCGCAGTTGCTGAAGCGGCCTTGGAAGCTCAACAATGGTATGTGTGGCTTTCTTCCACTGTTCCATCCTGCACAAAATGCTTACATGCTTTGTAGGGGCGCGGACTGCAACCATGGACGCTGGTCTGGCTGGTTTTTTGCGTGCTTCGGTCAACGTCGCAAACTCAGGGACAAGGTGATCGACCGTCGCGCGAAGGTCGGGCGCGCCCTTGGAGCTCTTGAGCGCGAGCTTGAGATTTTCCGAACGGTCACTCGCAAGGAGCTCCTCAAGCCGTACGAGAAGTGCTTCGACCCGGAGACGCGCGCATTGAGGGAGGACATCGCGCGCGGCGGCAAAGGGCACCCGGACATGTTTGCCGTTCAGTCAGTCTTTCATCATCCACAACAAAATGAACTGTAATTGCTGACAACTGCGCCCAGGTCCCTCTTCACCTGCTTCGTCTTTATCGACACCCTCGACGCCTTCTCCGAGCGCCTCGCCATGGTCATGCGCCGCATCCTCCTCCTTGACCCGCGCCGCGAGATGGCGCGCCTCTGGGCGCCCGCCGGCCTTGGCGCGATCGCGCGCAAGCTCTTCTCCGACGACGACATCGGCGTGGAGAACGCGAACGCGGTCGTCATCGGGCTCGGCGTCGACCGCGATCCGGCGAACTTCGACCGGGACTGGCGCACGAGTACACGGACGAGCAGCGTGCGGCAGGAGGGAGATGGGACGACGACGGATGGGGAGGAGAGCGATTCGGAGGTGGAGGAGGATGAGGGGGCGGAGGTGAGAGCGAGGGAGGCGGAGAAGAAGAGGAAGGAGGCGGCGAGGGTGAAGGCGAAGGAGAAAAAGAAGAAGGAGCAGGACAGTCCCAAGAGAGTTCAGCGTGAGCTTGTTGATGCGTGTGGGACTCACCGAGGCTCATACATACACAGGCCGTAACCCTGACGCTCTGCCGCCGACCTCGACTATGGGACGCATTGGCATGCGCTTCGCGCGGTGAGTGACTTACAACAACAAATCCTGTCGCAACTAATAAGCCTGCAGCATCATCCGCGGCATGAAGTCAGACAACGGTGTCTTCGCCTTCAAGTACGCTCTGGTCTCCGTCGCTCTGTGGATCCCGCAAGTCTGCTTCTCAAGTGCCTGGCTCACCTACAAGGAAAAGGGCCTTTGGGCTCTGATCATGGCGCAAACTGGTCTCTCCGTCTACGCGGGCGATCAGATTGGCGGTTACGTCATTCGGCTGATTGGCACTGGCATTGGCTTGCTGCTCGGGATGGCGGTCTGGTACATCGGTGCGGGCAATGGCGATGGTAATCCGTATGGGATTGTTGCTGCGACGGTGTGTATCGTCTTGCAATACCCAAGGCAGGACATCGCTGATTTGCGAACAGGTCGTCTTCATCTCGCCCTTCCTCCTTGCCCGTATCGCGGTGCCTCCGCAGGACATGATCATCTACATGATGACCGGTGTTACCGCTGTCTTCGTCGTTGGCTTCTCTTGGGTGGACACGCACATCCTTGCGCAGCCCGCCAATGCCGGTATTGGCGTGGAACTCGGTTGGAAGCGAGCGTAGGTCTAATATCTTCGGATATGTGTCCTCGACCTCACGCTCCCTCAGGCTACTCGTTATCATCGGCTTCACTGCCGGCTTCATCGTCATGCTCTTCCCGAGCCCTACTTCAGCACGTCTACTCGTAAGGCGCACTCTCGCCGCGACATTGCAGGAGCTCGGCTCGGTATTCGCTGCCGAAATGGAGACCTTCCTTGCTGAGGAGGCGCGATACCAGCGCGCGCTCAAGGGCTTTGACTCCCCGTCATCGGAAGTCGCTGCGCCGTCGGGTGATGATCCGGACAGGCCTGCGTACAGGTTCCTCAACTCGAACAAGGAGGCCAAGATTCGCAAGCTGGGCGACCGTATTCTGGGTGTGCAGACGAGGTTGCAGGCGCTCGCACCATCGCTGAAGACGGCGAGGTGGGAGCCTCAAGTACAGTACGTATATTTCGGGCAATCATTTGAGGCCACACTTACGCGTCAATAGGGGCATGTGGCCGCATACTCAGTACGAGAGGCTGTACGCCAACCAGTGCGTATTCGTCGAGTCTCATATGGACGACATACTGATCAGCGTCATTGCAGGATGAAGCTGCTTTCGAGCATCGTCCTTCTGGTGGGCACGATGTCACGCTTGGATCCCAAGTGGTGCAGCGTCCTTGTGCACCGCACACCTTTCCTCAATCCGAACCTGGTAAGTACATCCATCTGCACACTGCTTCGTAAAGCTGATCTGAGCCCGTTCAGCTCGCCGACGCATTCTCGACCATCGCTATTCTTTCTCAATCCTTGATGACCGCGCAGCCTATCCCTGGTGTCCTACCTCGCATTCGCGATCGCATGGTATACCATGAGCGTCATAAGGAGGCGTATGGGGCTCAGGGTCGGGGGGCACATCCTCGCGTCCAGGAGGCGCGACCTCCTACTGGGACCGAGGAGAACGTGGAAGAGCTCGACTTCAGTGGAGGCAAGGTCGATGGATCAACCATCGGCTTCGAGCAGCTTACGCTTGACGTGTTGTTGGTAAGTATTTCGCCCCCTGCCCCAAGGATTGGGCTGATCTGTACACCAGGACGACCAACTCCCGGCGCATTCCACCGCTGTGTTGGCCCTTTCCAGCATCGTTGGGGTGCGTCAGAGAGTTGTCGTGTTTGTTGCGCGTCGCTGACCGACTTCTCAGCTCCTTGACGAAAACGCGAGCATAGTTCGCGAGCTCTGCGGTGAAACCAGTCTCGCGGGGATCGAGTACCTTCGCGACCAGTATTTGAGCCGGGAGGAGAACACCATCGCCTCTGACTTCGCAGCCCGCATGCAGAACCTGAAGGCGCCACCATTGTAAGTGTTCCGGCTGAAGGCCAACGCATCATACTCATAACACGGGCAGGTAATCTCGAGACGACCCTTGTTTACTACTCGTATACTACAGTCACAAACTTGTAATTCGGCTTATACCAACCTATCTATCGGGAGAATTGTACACCCGCATTGCGACAGTCAAAGACGAGGTAGTGGCATAGCGAATCGATACACTGGGATTACTAGAGCAGTACGACAGGTGGTGACATACGCTGCGTGGTAGGTTGTACATGAGTGATGAGCGTTGCGAGCTCAGGGCGTTTCCTTCGTTGCCTGAGTAACACGGCGTCCCCTCCTACCCGGTGGCGGGGATTTGAGGAAGACCTTGTGGGCCTCGCCAGGAGTATCCCACAGGTAGTCGGGGGCATCAAGGGTGCCGGACAGCCCGTCCGTGGGGTTCGAGACGCGGCAAAAGCGTGGTTCCCCTTGCTCTGCAGTCCAGCTGGGATCCATCACGAAGCAGACGGGGGACTCGGAGTCGCACGAGGAGTACGAGGGTGGGCGATCCCGCATGGACTCGAATGCTGACCTGCCGGGCCGTCCGCTGGAACATTCGCTGCCAGTTCGTTTGCGGGCAAAGACGCTCGCCCGACCGGAGGGCTGCGCAGGTTGCCAGTAAGGAGGGGCCCTCTCGGCAGTAGTAGGCGTTGAGAAGTAGTCCGCGGAGGGCGTGATGGGGAGGTCTGCAGCGCGCACGCTCCGCTGGACACGGTCTGGCCGCAAGCCTGGGGTTTTCGGAGAGAGCTTGCGATGCCATTGCGATGGAGGAGAGAGGCCGGGCGACAGGGTCTGCAGGCCTGCGTCGTTGATGTGACCCGTATAGTTGTCCAAAAGCTCATGCGGAATGCCGTTTTGGGACTTGTTTCTGCATGGAGAGTCAGTAAATACGAGCCCGCGCGTCCCGAGTTGCACATGGACGTACCTAAACGGATTGATATGTGGCCATATCGACTTTGCGGAGTTTGCACTCTTGGGAGTCCGAGGAGTTTTGGGTAGCGGGGGAGATACCTCTCCCGGCATACTGGGTAGGCCGAGGCGCTTCACGAGTGGACTGCTTCCCAACGACGCATTCGCTGCGAGGATGTCCGCAGGTGGAATGATGTCCGCCGGCTTCTCACGATTCAGAGCAGGCATCAGTGGCGTCGAGATTGAACGAGACCGGGACTCTACAGGCAAAGACGATGTCCGAGGTGGCCTGCGCATGCCGGCGCTCATAAACTAGACAGTTGAAAGGCGTCTCGGGTCAACATGAGGCGGTCATTGTGGCTGCAACGTGGCCGTTCGCAGCAAAGGTCGGTAAAGAGACTTTCAAAGGGACCTCGGAGGCGGGAGGCAGTACACATTCGTTACAGTGAGAAGACTGAAACAATAGGCGAAGAACAAAAGAGCGATGAGCACGGCAATGTCCGAACGCTGTATTGTCACAGTTGAACTTTCCACGTGACGGCTTCGACGAGCGCGCTGACCATCATCAGTAGATGGCTACAACTATGAGAGGACAATGTTCCACGCTACTTCTCTTTCTTTCTCCTGTCTCTCTTCGGTCAGAACATCTTTCGTTGGGATTCCCAACACTGATCATATTATACCGATGAACCATGGGATACCGCCCAAATTATCAACAGGAAAGAGAGGAGGATGGGGCAGAGCGACATCTATACTACGTACACTTCTAACATCCGACACCTGTGACTTAGCGACCTGATCAGCCTACGCCATAAACCCTGTATAAGCCGACGTACCCAGCTATACCGCATGCAGATGGTCTTTTGACTTGTAATCCAAGTTTTCCTCGTGATTGTCTGGTAGGTGCTTCGTGCTGTTGTCGCTGTCGACCCAGGTTGACGTCGTGATGTCGACATTGATAGGACGTGAGTTGACGGAAAGCTCGATGCCCGTGCCGTGAGTGCCGTTGCCACTGCGCTCGTTGGAAGTCGTGTGCGTGCCGGCATTCCTCCCACGGCGAGAGAAGAATCCGACGAGGACGCTGAGACTGGCGACGATGATACTGACGGACAGCTAAGGCGAGCTCAGTGAATTGCCAAAGACCCGAACCAGCATGTGGCGTACCTCGTACATAGCCGAATAAACCTCATCAGTACCTTTGCCCGCGATGATACAGTACGCATGGGCCAGGGATACCTAAAGCATACGTTAGCGTACTCGTGGTAAGAGGATGAGTTTGTTACGCACCAAGGTCGTCAACAGTGCAGACGCGAAGACGGTGATCAACCGCATGCGCTGCCCCTTGGACAAGTTGGACCTCCATAGAAGGCGCATAGGCGCCAGGCCGAGCATCAAGTCGGCGACAATATCGGCTAAAAGATACCGGCGTTAGTGACCGAGGCTCCTACGTCTGCTGTCGACATACTGATGAGCTGAGCAATTGCGACCGGTTGACCCAGCGCGCACTGACCCGTCGCGTGCCATGACGGGTCAGACTCGCAGTGCACGACCGCTTGAATCATGAGGAACGCCCACATCAAGCTGAACGCCCCAAACATGAGGCGAATGTAGAGCCGCCATGATGATGGAGAGATTCGGGAGATGGTGCAGAGGATGGAGAAGCGGCATGACCAGATGCACGAATAGAACCCGCAAGCGGCGCTGGGGGGAAATGAATAAGCTTCACGACGTCGGCTACGGCAGGAAACGTACAAGTAATAGCCGACGACCTTGGTGATCTGGGCTATATTCGCTGGGGGAGGGCTTAGTACTCTATAAAAGGCGGCGGTCGAAGGGGAACGTACGTGGGGGAGTGACGATGATGAGCGCGCCAGTGAGCATGATTCCACCGGTGATCATGGCGAATAAAGCCCAGAAGTCGTCCAAGCCCCATTTCTTGTCCTTGATGCGGATGACCAGGCGACAGACGGTAACGAAGGCAGCGATAGTATAGACAGCAATAGACGTGTCTGCGGGATGGTCTTCAGCCTTGGCGGTAGTGAATGAGGTTTGGTGTACACGTACCATGGACAACCTCAAGGGAAACGCCCATGTTTGCTTACGCTTAGGCGGTACCGACAGTGATTCTTCCGGTAAGATGAAGAGAGCGTGGGGGCAAGAGGACGGTGCTCTTGCGACGTTGTTGGGTGCCAGCACCAATATTATATGGGCTGTGCTACACAGGGTCTCCTTGGCGGACAGAACGGAGTTGCCTACGCACCAACGGTGGGAATTTCGCGCCCGCGCTCGATTGAATGGCGCAAAGGGTGGATTGGGCCTCTGCCAGTCCTGTTGGCGGGGTAGGCTTCTTTTTACGCTGATGCGCCTTCCAGACGATCGTGGATCAGTGGTGGGACGGCGAAGAGTTGAATGGGACGTACTCCAGGAGTCCGGCCGGGGAAGGGAGGATACACGGTGTGGGCGGCGTTGACGGTTGCTCTCGGGAGTTGCGGAGACACGATGTAGATGGTACGTACAAAGCGGAGACTGCGCAGAGTAGGCTGGAGAAGGCACATGCCCTACATCGTCTCATTGCCCACCTGGTCAGTGCTTAGTTGTTCGTTCGGACCAGGCGAACAGATCCCGAAGACGGGGGAACTCGCCACAGATTGTGCGACTACAGCGCATTTCTCGGCCGTCTGAGCTGCATCTAGCCATATACAAGAGGGATTGCTAGCGGAGATGCGGATGAAGCTGCTGAATATTGGAGGCGGGGAACCAACTGTTCCCACGTCCAAGAGGCTGTCGCTAGGTTGTTGACACCCTCGTGTATTAGGACGTTCGCTGGGTCGAAATGAGCTTGAAGATTAATTCTTGCGCCGATCCCTTGAGAAAGACCCAGTTCTGAGGCTCGCGCCTCTCTCGCGCTTCGCACCACTGGCGCCACAACTGCATCCTGTTCGTACTATGCAGCTAAACGTTCCGCATCCGCTTGCTCAAGCGCCTCGATAGGGTGCGTATATTAGGCGATAGCTGGTAGTACTGGTTCGTAAGTTGATAAAGGCCTCGCTGCCTCTTCCCAAATGCTCACCTCGCTAAGCCTTTGCAATGCGGGCCCTTCGCAGGCAGTAAAGCCAGCGCACAGCTCGCTGAAAGCTTTGCGAGACAGAGAAGGTAGTCCATTGAATAGCCGTTATTGTTGCTCACCGTCTGGCTTGAAGACTGCCAGATTCTTGGCCAGACTGCTGCTTTATGGTGACCGCAGAAATGAAGGTGTCCTTGTTTGCTTATGTTGCTCATCTGGCTCGCGTGTTCTGCACGTGAAATTGAGTGCAGCTTCATGTGATTTCGAACTTCTTCTCGACCGTCAAGTTGAACTCATCCGTAAACCACGACGAAGATCGCGGGTTTCTCGAGCCAAAGATGTCGCTTTCCTATATCCAAGGCTGCCCATATTCCTGCTGCTCTTGTGTTCCTACTCTCCTGCCTGAATAAATTTAGCCTTGCATGAGTCATCCCGTTGGGGAGCGGAACGGAAATGGCGCCCCGTTTGGCTGCTTCTTAAACGAGGCCATTTGACTCCTTACCTTTCTTTCTGCCACCACGATGTCCTCTACGGACAAATCTCTGCAGGAGATCCGTCGACCAGAGATCTCGAAGAGCATCTCGGACATACATACGCGGCGGTTCGTGACTGATCACGAGAGTGGCGTAGACGCGGCGTCGAACCACTATGACTCAGAGGCTCCTACTATTGTAGGGTCGCGCACGCATTCGGCCAGTTCTTCTGCGACTGTGTTGCCCACTGCGTATCCAGAGGGAGGGTATGGGTGGACGATCGTCGCGGTATGCAGCTCTATCATGTAGGTCTTCGAGGTTCGCTTCCTATACCTTCTGCTCTCATCTAAAGATACATCTCACAGGTTCTTTTCTGTCGGCGCTACCTATTCCTGGGGTGTCATACAAGCGCGGCTCGCCGCGGACAATCTGGGACCCAACTCGACGCTCGCCTTCATAGGCTCGATCTCAGCATCGTGGATAGCGCTCGGGGCCATCGTCAGCGGCCGACTTATCAGACTGGTGGGGTCTCGCAACGCCGGCCTTCTCGCATGCTTCCTGCTAGGACTTGGACAAGTGTTGAGCGGCTTCTCGACACGCAGCATTGGAGGTCTTTTCGTGACGAACGGTATCGTGACTGGTGTGGGCACCTGTCTCGGGTTCATGGTAGGGTTTACTCTGTCTCTTTGTCCCCAACGCATGCTCACATAAGTAAGCTGTGCTCGACCTTACCTGCGCAATACTTCCAAAAGAGGCGCGGTACGGCGACGGGGCTCATTTTCGCTGGTGCAGGAGGTAGAAATCATGTATGGCGCCTCTTAGATGCTGGCTAACCTTCTCAAAGCTGGCGGCGCCGTCCTCAGCATATCCATCAATGAGCTCATCGCGCGCCTCGGCGTATCCTGGACCTTCCGCATCCTGGGCTTCAGTATCTGGGCCATACCGCTTCCGGCCTGTCTATTCTTGAAGGACAGAATGCGCATGGCAACGCCGACGATTGAGTGGTAAGTGCGATATTCCCCTTAAGATAGGCTATTCGCTCACCTCTCGATGATCATAGGAACCTCTTCCGCGACCCGAAGTTCGTGCTGTTGCTCATAGGCTCCGCCATCGGCACCTTCCCACTCTTCGTGCCGCCCTTCTTTATCCCGCTGTATGCCGGTTCGCTTGGAATTTCCGCCACAGTTGGTTCGCTGCTTCTGGCGACCTTCAACCTTTCGAGCGGCCTTGGCCGTCTTGGCTTTGGGTAGGCAACTCAGCTCAGCATATGCTCATAAGGCTAGACCACTAACGCCGGTTTAGATACCTTTGCGACATCTGCGGACCCATAACATCGCTCATACTGTCGCTCTTGCTGAGCGCCTTGAGCTTACTGGCGATCTGGCCTGTGTCGAATAGGTGAGTTGACTTCACAATCTCCTGCTCGAGATCGTGACTCACGTAGTATCCTTCCAGCCTTGCGCCCCTCGTCGTCTTCATCATCCTCGACGGCCTCGGCAACGGTGGCTTCTTCTCGACAGTACCGAGCGTCGTTGGGCACGTCTACGGCCCCAACCGCATGACAGGCGTCCTCGGCATGGTCCTCAGCGCCTGGGCTGCTGGGTATATTCTGGTGAGTCTGGCGTGCTGATGAGCATCTCGATGTGTACTGCTGCGGCTCGACGCCTACTGCGGCTCGTCGCTTACTGCTATAGCTCGATGCTTTCTCGCTTGGATGCTTGCTTAAACGCTACAGGGCTCCCCCGTCGCGGGATGGCTCCTCGAGATGTACGGCGGTAGTGACGCCGGGATCACCGCGTACCGACCTGCGATGTACTACGCGGGCTCCCTTTCCCTCGGCGCGGCTGGATTTGTGGGTGGCATGCGGTGGTTGGAGGCGCCGCGCCTGCTCGCTTTTGCTTGATGCGAGAGCCTAGCACAGAAGCTCGTTAAATAGAGATGATAGAGACGACTACTGACAATCATGAGGGCCAGCTTAACCATCAGTATGGACCGCTATGGCCCTATGGGTCCATATCGTGGGACATTCAGCGGTCGGCAATCACCGCGGAAGCAATTTGACCATCACTGCGTACACAACTACAAGCTAAGGTGGCCTTTCTTTCTCACCACCTTGTCATTCGAGCCATAGTGCAGCACACGCACTGTGCTTATATCCTCCCTCTGGCACTGCGTGCACCGCATCTAAGCTCACTTACATTTGGGCGCAGAGCGATGCGGTGTATTCAACGGCAGAATCGCGGTGGTCTCAAGGTGAACTGTGCCTGGCGGGGCGGCTTCAAGCACCCGCCGGAATTGACGCTTTCCCATCGTCCCACTGGGTCCGCGGTGTTCGCTGTCGTGTAATGCTTTTATATATAGCGGACTCAGTGCTATCACCGTTCATCGATTTTACTCTGAGGATCGTTCCATCAAGATGCCTCCTACCTCAATTGCTGGGGGAAGCTAGTAGTGGGCAATGCACAGACCATCTCCCAAGATGCGATTGCTTCGTTGATGACTCTGGGCGACCTGTATCTCTTCATCTTCCCGCAGGAGACCTCACATGGCCAGCGTCGTTTCCTCTTCAGTTCCTACCTCACCCCTCGGTACCTGTGCCCGCACGCAGGACGAAGGCCAAGTCGACGAAGCCGACATTCCTTTCACCTTTGCGAGCCTACTCCTGCCAGCGGGCGCGTAGGACTCGGGAAGAACAAGAGATGGTGCAGCCGACGGGTGAGTCGGAGCCTCGCTCTGGCTGTGAGCATATTCGTATATAAGACCCACCCACCCCCTCTAAACCATCGAGCGAGCAATTCCCCTCGGTATCGTTTTCGCCTTTTCTAGCAAAATGAGGCTTCAATGGCTAGCAGCGCTTTTTTCCCTCGGTGTACTTGCATCAGCGACCCCTGCACCTCTTCCCGGGAGCGGTGAGTGTAGCCTTCTTTCCAGGTCTATCTCACACTCACGTCTCTGCAGAGGATATCGTCGTTCGCGATCCTGCTATCTGGTACAACGCCGATCTTGGCGTACGTACTGTCCCCTCTATGTTGACATATCTATTGATTGAGGCGCATATAGAAATACTTCGTCTTCGCCACCCGCGAGGGCATCAAAATATATACTGCGCCTTCATTGAAAGGGTACGCTGTCTCCCTCCTTCTTGTATATGCACTCTCACATCACCACAGACCCTGGACCCGCGAAGGCTCCGTCCTTCCCAACTGCTCCTCCATCCAACTCGACGGCAACTGCAAGCTCTGGGCGCCCGACGTCAACTACATCAACGGGGAGTATGTCTTGTATTACTCCGTCTCGACTATCGGCAGTCAGAATTCGGCTGTTGGTGTCGCGACGTCGCCGTCGATGGAGCAGGGGACGTGGACGGACTTGGGGGAGGTTATACGGTCGCAGGGTGGGGATCAGTTCAATGCGAGTGCGTATGGGCTTGTGTCTGGGTATTCAATGGCTAACAAGAACGGGTCGCAGTCGACCCCAACATCATCGATGACAACGGCTTGAAGCTTGCATTCGGCTCGTACTGGAACGGCATGTACCAAGTTGGCTTGTCAGATATCAAGACGCGCGCATCTGTACGTCGCGAGCCCCCTGCACAGCTCATTTCCCTCTACTTACCGACTTCAAGGACCTACCCGGCACCCACCTCGCAGGCGGCAATGGGCGCGCCGCCGAGGGCGGCTTCGTCTACAAGCCCCAAGGCTCCCCTTACTACTTCATGTTCTTCTCCGCCGGCACTACACCTCTCGAGGGGGTACGTTTTCCTCCATTTCTCCCCTCACCCACCCTATGAAAACTCACACATATCATAGGGCGACTCCCGCCCGCCCGCCGGTTCCGAGTACAAGGTCCTCGTCGGCCGCGGGGACAGCGCCGTGGGACCCTTCCGCGGCCAGGCCGGCCACGAGCTCACCGAGCAGGTGGACCCGCCCACCGGCTCGCTCGTTCTCGGCTCGCACGATACCGTCTACGCGCCGGGCGGGCAGAGTATATTCCTCGATCCTGTGAGCGGGCGGGATGTGATTGTGTACCATTATGTGAGGATGGAGGAGGTTGGGGGGACGTCGTATTTGGGGATCAACTATCTGGACTTCTCGAGTGGGTGGCCGGTGGTGGTGGAGGAATAGCTTGTGGAGGGGATATTGGGCGGCTAAGTTTTTAGGTTAGTTTGTACTGTACTGTACAGTATGAATGTCGCGATTAATCAATGCACTGATCGGTAGAATCAGCTCTGAGTAGTCCTGGGATGTCTCGTCTTGAATGACCGCAACGAGAACACCGTCTGAACGCCCTTGTCTAATGTCTCACTCACGCCCTGATATACCGACATTCACTGGCACGAAACGCCTCCCACGTATATCGATGAAGCCCGAGAAATCCGTTATTATTACCAGAGCGAATGTATATACGATCCCAGAGATATGACCCAGTGAAGATAAATTAGATGTCGTGAGTTCCGTGCGTGGCTGTTCAACGCGCACGCATTGATTTCCGTCGCGGATGCGGTTCGTTGTCGACGACGTTTGCAAGCTGCCAGGAAGGAGACTCTCAGTCCACAACCACCGGCCACCCGCTCGAGAAGTCGAGGTAGTTGATGCCGAGGTACGACGGGCCGCCGAAGGCGTCGTTCGGGATGTAGTGGTACACGATGACGTCCCGGCCGCTGACGGGGTCGAGGAAGATGCTCTGGCCTGGTGGGCGGATTTTGGTTAACAAAGAGAACTCATCACAATAGAATGTGCACTCACCACCTGGCGCGTAGACGTTGTCGTGCGAGCCCAGGACGAGCTGGCCCGTGCCGGGCTGCGTGAGCTCGTTGCCGGCGGGGCCGTAGAAGGGGCCCTGGCCGCTGGCGCCGCGGCCGACGAGGACCTTGTACTCGTCGCCGGGGTCCGGGCGGGTGGTGGCCTGTGGATAGGGGTTAGTGGAGGGTTCAGCGAGAATGAAAAAGGGGCGTGATGAGGAAACATGCGAGAAAGCGACTTACACCAACAAACGGCGTCACACCCTCAGAGAAGAACATGAAGTAGTACTCCGACGCGGCCGACTTGTATACGAAGCCGCCCTCCGCGGCGCGCCCGTCGTTGCCAGCCAGATGCGTGCCTGGGAGGTCCTAAAACACCAAATCAGTCACTGCCCCCTCTATCCCAGTTCAAACCACCCACCGACGCCCTCGTCTTGATATCCGGCCACAGCCCCACCTGATACATCCCCGTCCAATACGACCCGAACGCGAGCTTCAGCCCGTTCGCATCGATGATGTTCGGGTCGATCGCGTTGTACACGTCCCCCGGGTTCGAGCGGATGACCTCGCCCTGGTCCGTCCACGTCCCCTCCTCCATCGACGGCGAGGTCGCGACGCCGATGGCCGAGTTCTGCGACCCCACGGACGAGACGGAGTAGTACAGGACATACTCGCCGTCGATGTAGTTCACATCGGGGGCCCAAAGGGCGCAGTTGCCGTCGAGCTGGATGGAGGAGCAGTTGGGGAGGACGGAGCCGGTGCGGGTCCAGGGGCCCGTGAGGGAGGGGGAGGTGAAGATGCGGATGCCCTCGTCGGTGGAGAAGGCGAAGTATTTCTGAGGGAAAGTCAGGAGTTGGGTGTTAGAATTTAGGAGAAATTGACATACCCCGAGATCGGCATTGTACCACATAGCAGGGTCACGGACGACGGTGCTCGCTGGATATCCCGTCAGAAAGAATGCAATGGTACATAGCGAGGCTCTACTCACAACCGCCCGCGAGCGGGTTCGGGGTGGCAGAGACGCCGAGGGCGAAAAGCGCGAGGACCAAGGAACGGAGCTGGGACTTCATGACTGTTGAATGGAGGCGAGGGAGTTAGCGAGGCGCTGGAGTCCTCCGCTCATTCTCTTCTCTCTTATATCCTCAGCGCTCTTGGGGAGGAGGCTAAGAATGTCCACCCCGGTCGTCGTCATTTGACGCAGAGCACAGGTGCCCGCGACACCCGCGTGAAGCAGCTGCGGGAGGGAAGGGAGGCGAGTTCACAGATGAGCGCGAGAGCTGCCTGCTGGAAGGACCCGTGGAGACCGAGGAAGTACCGCTTTTGCGGGCACAGGTACGAAGGGACTCCGTGCCTTGTCGAGTTGTCGACTGCATTCATTCTCGGTGGCGGTTCGAGGCGACAGGAGGCTGGGCCCTGGTTTGGGCGCCCCGGGAAGACGGACGGCGCAAGAAGAGCGCAGAGAGGGAGCGAGGTGGGCGGGAGACGATTACGGCAAGACGGCATTCAGTGGGATTACGGCAATGAAGACCGTTGCCAGGTCATTCAGCTGGGAAAGAGACTTGGAAGGTACAACAGTGGGATCGGCAGGCCCACAACAAGGCTGCCCATAGACGGACAAGGGACTCAGTGGGTCGAAATAATTGCCGGGCATCATGAAGTTCAACTTGAAGAGGTCGGTGCCGATTCCGCAGTTGCTCACGTGGGTGTGGGAGTTTCTCACGCCCCTATTGTCTGTTCGCAACCAAATACTTGGCGGCTTGCGGCGCTCTTCGACGGGAGATGCCCGCGCCCAAGTTTCCTCAATCCGATGCTCGCACAACACAAGCTGGTCTCACAAGTGTATGCGACATGAATACGCGAAAGGAGCGCTCTGTCCCCTCCTCTCATCATCTTACGGTCACTTTTAGCAGTCCTAAGGTCACCGGAATGCCCGCCTCACGTATCCCGCCCCGCTCATTGGTCTCCTGGCCCTTTCTCCCACTATTCCCATTGGTCCATCTCTGCTGCTTCACTTCGCTCAATGAACCACTTACGGGCTACCCCACACGACACGCCCAGCTGACGGGCAGCTGAGTCGCCCTGACCTGATCTCTAAGCTGGAACGTGATCTATGACGGCGGGCTCTGAGTCTCTTGACGGTGACAAGGACCGGTGTTCACTGGCTGCGCTCACCGGCGCGCTGTTCCCCCCGCTTAGTGTACATCTCACGCTAGTAGCCAACTACTTGTCTCCTACGCTTTCGCTTGTCCGCTAGCAGAGGTCTCAGAGTCTCCGACGCCGTTCGTCTGTTGAACCCCTCCATATCCTTGCACTCTCCTATCATGTACGATGTCGAAGGCATCCCGGCGCACCTACGACTCCCATCTATGGAGGGCCTCTGCTTCCCGGACGGAAACATCATACTCCAAGCCGAGACGACTATATTCAGATTATACAAGGGGCTACTAGCATCCAAGTCATCAGTATTCAAAGACATGCTCGCGTTCCCGCAACCCAGCAACGAGGACAGGACGCTACTCGGCTGCCCCGTCGTCGAAATATACGACAACGCGGAAGAGGCGACCTATTTCCTGCGCGCGTTGACGGACTCCAGGTGCAGTGAATCATTGTCATCACTTGCCGTGTCTGATAGTCCCTTCCTCTTTCTCTTCCTTTCGTCCTCTACTCCCGCCCTCCGCACCCCCTAGCTACCTCCCGCCCAACCGCCCCACCACCTTCCGCGAAGTCGCCGCCGTCCTCCGCCTCGCCAACAAATACGACGTCCCCTACCTCACCTCCCTCGCCACCACGCACCTCACCTCCGTCTACCCGCCCACCCTCCGCGCTTGGACGCACCGCGACGAGAATCGCACCATCGAGCGCGCGATGTATTTGTGTGTCGCGGTCTTGAATTTGGCGCGGGAGATGGAGGGCCACCTGGAGTGCGTGCTGCCGCAGGTGCTGTATGCGTGTGCGGATGGGTTGAGTGTGGGCGAGATGTTTGAGGGCGTGGAGTTTGAGGGAGGTTTGCTTGGAGAGAAGGGCTGCAGTCGGAGGGCGGGGCGGGACAGACACCACGAATTAGACGACGACGCGGACCCTCATCCCACCCGCACCCACCACCTCACAATTTCCCGCGCCGACCAACAGATCCTCCTCCGCGGCCGCGAAGAGCTGCTCCAAGCCAAACGCACCCGCCTCTACGCCTTCCTCACCTCCCTTTCCTCCGGCTGCGGCGCGCACTCATGCCGGGAGGAGAAGCTGAAGTGCTTTGCAAAAGTGCAGTGGGACGCGATTGTGTTCGACGAGAACGATGACTTTGACTGGAGGTGCTTCGAGCAGCGGGTGTGTAAGAGGTGAGTGTGGGTGGACTGGCAAGCTCTCCAGTCCCGTAAACCTCAAGCTTCCTCCGGGCGTGATCACGAATTATTCTGGTTAACGGGAGTACTGAATCTTACTCGTCGCGCAGGTGCTTCACCGAGGGCCGCGCCGCCTTCGACATCGCGCAGGAGAGCTTGTGGAACGAGTTGCCCCGTTTCTTTGGGCTGCCCAAGTGGGAGGCACTGAGGAGGACGCAGTGAGGGGACCGTCTTGCGGAAGCCTAGAACCCAACGTTGACCCAACGACTGTTGTACTATTGGATGGAAAGTCAAGAACGACGGAGTCATGTTGTATCATCACCTTGTACTTGTACGAACCCGTATCGTGTATCACCGTTTGCTAGCAGTGTGTACTATAGCTTGCGTATGTATTCGAGGTCATAGCCCAAAAAATTGTTCACAGAACGAAAGCCCTCGAGGCTCGGTCAGACGGCCCGGTACCAAGCGCCACCTGGTTCTGCGTTTCTTCCTCAAGAGCATTGACCGTGAAGTTCACGCCGTCTGTGACGAGTTTTGCGAAGATTATTGCCATACAGATACATATACATCCAAGAGACAAAGCTAGAGCAACATGGGAATATAGGGTGTAGCAAGACACATGTCAAACAGTGGCCAGTATACACGACGGCGGTGTACCCTACTTCGCGCCCGCGGAGAACTCTGTATCCGGTGTCAGCAACGATGAGCGTGCTGGATAATGGGAGCACGTACTAGTCACGGACTTCGTTCCCTCGGAGATAGCGTGCTTGGCGAGTTCACCAGGCAAGATGAGGCGGACAGAGGTCTGGATCTCGCGGGACGAGATGGTCGACTTCTTCGAGTACGCCGCAAGCTCTATGAGAAGGTAAAAAGGTGTCGCTATGCAGTATAGGGGTCGACGCACTGGATGCCTCAGTGGCGATACGCTCGAAGATATCGTTGACGAAGGAGTTCAGGATGGCCATCGCCTTGTTGGAGATACCAGTGTCAGGGTGGACCTGCTTGAGCACTGTTTGGGCGAAGCGGCAGCGAGGGAAATTTGCGAGGGATGGATCGATCGCGGGGAGGGAAGGGACTGATCAGCAAGTGCGAATATAGGGTGGCCATACGCCACGCACCCTTGTAGATGTAGGAGCTGTATGTCTCCTTGCGGGTCTTCTTGCGCTTCTTCTTCTCGCCATCGGCTGGGGCGGCGGCCTTGCTCTTGCTCGCCGTCTTCTTGGCAGCCTTGGAGCTCTCAGGCTTAGCGGGCGCCTTGGACGCGGTGGAGGCCGGGGCCTTGCCTGCGGTGGATGCGGGCTAGAGGATGTTGTCAGCATCATGCCCAACATGGTGGACCCTTGCGTGCTGCACAAGCTTGTCCCCAGGGGGAGGGGAGAGCGATACACCCTATAGGGGCATCGCAAAAGGTCTTCAAGTCGAATACTCACTTTCGGTGCCATTGCTCAGAATACGGTCAAGGGTGAAGGCTACATTCACATGGTCAACCAACCAACCCAAGACCCAGCCAATATATAATGCTTACAGCTATGTGGCAGGCGGGAAGAGCGAGGATGGTGGAAGCAGAGACCAAGGTGCGCGCGCTTCCTTCACGCGGCGCGCCTTATATGTGAGCGGAGTTCGAATCCCCACGTGCAGTAAACGAGGTCACGCGTTTGTGACGAGCGCGTGTGAGCACGTGCTGCGCGTGCATGTAACGCCACAAACCGTGCGAAAAACTTGCTGCCTCAGCAAGTTGTCCCGTTGGCCGTTGGACTGAACCACCACCCTCCTATTACTGCACAAAGACATAGTCCACCTCTCCCTCCTACAACGTCCCTCCCCCTCTGATGCCTCCCTCTTGTCAAATTGCAACAGTAATCTCGACGCTCGTCTACCTTCTTGCACCGTCTCACTGTCGTCGAACATGCTTATCTCCTCTTGCCCGTCTTCAGGCTATTCTCCAGCCGTCTTCCACGCAAGACCGGATCTGTCTCTTGAACAATCCTTGTGGTGGGACCTATGGTCTCAAAGCGGTGGTGCCGGCATGTCACCTGTGAACAGCGGGTGTCTTCCAGGTCTCCACTAGATTGAACGCAATCCCTTCCGACGGCAGACGGCGCTAATGCCTCTGCAATGCAAGCATCGAGGGAATGCAGTTATCGCCCGGACCATTGACGGCCGCCTACGAACGAGGGCTTTTGAAGAGATTCGGTACGATTCGATGTGACTCATGCACATAGATTACCGCGGATGACATCCGTCGGTGCCGCATCAGACGCGCCGAGAATGACCTTGCACTGACGCGTCCCCGAATCGGCGCGTACTTATCAGTCCGGTGACCAAGGCGATCGCGGCCTCATTGCGGGCCACCCACCACACCTGGGACACAATATTCCCCGGCGAACACTGCAGGAATACTGTGAGTTAATTTTGAATAAGCGACGCATAAAGGCGATGGGTCGATTGTGGTCTTATGGGTGGCATATTGATCGGTACGGCCTCCGATTGGCTGGGCCTCGATATGCCCTTTCAATCAACCCGCGGTCTTTATCGAAAGCTGATTCAGAATAATCCCACAGTAAACGTGCAGTAAGCGCCGGGGAATATCGAGTCCCGGGTGTGGTGACCGTTGACCGCGGCACCAGATTCGTGCATATAAAGCCCGCCAGCGCAGCTTCGACGCACTTTTCGCACTCTGCTCCTGCAGTTCACTGCCTGGAACTCGAATATAATGTCCTCCCTGCAGACGATGATCATGCCACCCGCCCCGCACACCCTCGGCGAACCCAGTATGCCGCGCAGGGCCAAACGCCGCCGCGCCGCGCCGGAGCCTCTCGTCGGGTCCGAAGGGTGGGCATCGATATACTCCGTTGATGAGCGCGCGTCGAAGCGGTCACGACCACCGTCCTCGAAGCGCGCAGGCCCGGAGACACGCTCAGCGACCAAGGTCGTAGAGCCAGCGCCACCTGCCAAGGGCAAGGTGCGGAAGCTGTTGTGGATAGCGAACGGGGTCTCGGTTATACCCTTCCTCGTGCTACTGCGCGCACTTGGTTCTGGGGGCGGGAAGGAGAAGGAGTGGGACATCCAGCTCATGATCGCAGCGGGTGCAGACGAGGGAGATACGCTCCTGTCGTGCGCCGCGGAGACCCTTGCGAACACGCCGAGCAACATACGACTGTCTGTCGAGGTATTCTACGAAGGCGGCCGACGGTCGATCAAGCCATGCCCCCCATCCGCATCTTCTGTCCATCGACATCGCGGAGCCATAACGGCGACGACGCTCGACTGCATCCCCGACCTCACAGAGAGGGAGGTCTACCTATGTGGCCATGACGCTTTCGAGGTCAGGACCTGGGATGAGTTACGGAGTGCGGGTGTGTGTCCGAGTAGGATCAGGCGAGACGGATTCGAGTATTGACTGCAGTCATGATATGTATACCAATAGATAGTTCTCATGTACAGTATACCGCGCACCCAGTGGGGCGCTACTCTCGACGAAAGTTCAACGTGCATCACATGATTACCAGGTGTTGCGGTACCGAATCCAAAGTCAGGAGTGCAAGTTCGACCATCGCACGTTGCGTTCAACCACCACCGTACCTCAAATGGACAGCGCTGAATTCCACGCAGCCGTACGCGCCTGCCTCGTTTGCTGCAGCCCTGAATGACTGAATGAACATCGGCTCTCAGGTGTACGAAATGGTCCGATGCATACCTCCGTTGAAGGTCACCAGCTACGGTCAGTCGTTTCAGTAAAGGCGCGACAATGTCGAACTTGCTCTTTCCTCAAGGCCATATCGCAAAACTCATAGGAATGCCTGCTCACTCTCGGCATGTTGGGCAGGGTGCGTATAACATTCATGTCCACGAGTGCTCATAGCTCACAATAAGCTCACCCTCTTCTTATAGCTCTCAAGTTTGTCTCGCCCGACGTCCAACCGCCAATCCCATGGTATCGAGTCATTGGCGCGTCAGGGAAGATCTCATCTCGTGGACCGGGAACGAATGGTGCACAACGACAACGAGAGGAACTGGAGGCCGAGGGTGTCGCCGTCTCTATCAGTCGCTCAGGAGAACTGCGCGTCGACTTGCGAGAGTACGGTTGGTTCCCTGCACCTGGCACGGTGGGGGGAGGACAAGCGCCGGGCGCGGGTCAAGCTCTTGATCAGGCTCAAGTCGCCGGCGCGCCACAACAAAGCGCGCCCGCCGACGAGGAGTCAGATCTTTCCGAACTCGAAGATTCCGATGGATAAGGAAATAATTTCAAAGTACAGCGCGCCAGCGCAGGTCGTAAATACAAGGAAAGTACAAGGTTGGAAGAGTGTAAGTGAAGAGTTCCGCGTAGGTGAAGTATCCTGAAAGGGTAGTCCATTGTTCGTTCGTGCGACGAGCTGCGTCCAGCGCAACGCGTCGGGTCCATTCCTCCATCTCACAGACCCTTGAAGCTAAAGGGCGGCAGAGTGTCCGGATCCCACGAGGCCCTGGCCTTCCGCATCTCGGTACGGACATGGTCGGCTGCTTTGGCCTCTCCAAGGCGCCGCACCACCTTCGCCTGCGACCTCCGCTTCTTCGCGCTGTTCGTGAGCTCCGGCGCGAGCGGGGAACTATCCGGCGTCGCGCGCGTGGGCCGCGCAGGGGTAGTGACCGGAGAGTACCTAGAGCTCGCATGGCCGGGCGTGCCCTCGTAGCCGGGCATGTTCTCGAGGCTGGGCAAGTTCTCGAGGCTCGCGCGGCGCGGAGTGACCAGCCTGACGTGCGTCGGGCTCGAGTGAAGGTCCTCCATTGAGTGGCGCCGGGGGCTATTAGTACTGATCGCAAGCGAAGACGGGCTCGAGTCGGGCGGGCTCTGCATGTCCGCGTCGTCGTCGAGCTGGACGGGGCTCTGCTGGGCTCTGTTGAGCGGCTCGCGCTCTGCGGCGTCCGAGCGCCTGCCTCTGGCGGCGGCTCGGCGCGAAAAGAGTCGGGACATGCCGCCCACGGCGTTGTGCACGAGCTTCGCCGACTTGCGAAGCGGCCCAGAGTCGGTGGACGCGGCGGAGGGCCGGCGCTCGCGCTTGCGCGGCGGGGTGGTGAACGGGTCGCGCTCGATGGCCATCGTGGTCGGGGGTCAGATGAGATAACAGACCCAGATGAAGAGGCTTTTTAAATGGGACGCGCGCGAAGAAGCGCTCAAAGGGTCTTTGAGAAGCGCTGCCACTCGTCAAAGCGGGTCAAGGCCAAAGAGAAAGTGTCCTTTCAGCAAGATAAGTTACCATTGTGATTGAGTACACACAAAGCTCTGCAACGACGGCTACCCTAGTGGTTCAAGGACCCGGGTCATCCCCACCCGGCACAGGTATATCGTAGCCGATTTTGTCGACAACGTAGTAACTGAAGAACATGACCTTGAAGGTCAAGGCCAGCGCGGCATGCAGGATGAAGATGACCACGACGACCAGTCTTAATGATTTTGCCTCCGCCTGCAGGTGGTGGTTAGGCGAAGTCTCTGTACAGAGAAGCTTGACTCACGGAAGCGAGGATAGGGTACACGTTCCTGATCAGAAATATGCCTGACAATACGAACGCTACTGCGACAAGGACCCAGCGCACGAGAGGTACAGGGATGACGCAGAGTATCTGAACCGATTGTAAGCGGTAAACTTCAACTCGGCGGGCCCTGCGTACCGAGACTGGTATCCAGATGAACTGCGAGTAACCCCAAACTGCAATAGCCTCGACGATGCTCCACTCGCCTACTCCCAGGTATCGCAAACCCAGCCATAAGCATGCAGGCACGGCGAGGCCGTACGCGTACACAAGGGACATGGCGATGGAAAGCAGCGTAAAGTCGTAGTCGTACGCCTCGTCTGGATCGGAGAGGTACGACGCAATGGACGCGCCAAGACTTGAGGAGAGGTAGAGGGCGAATATGAGCGTGGTCAGTGTCCAGAAGGGACCATATAAATCAGGAGGGTTGAGGTGTACGGAGAGGAAGTCGACGTTTGTGGGGATCATCGTCGCGTAGCATCTTCGGAGGACCTGTGGGGGATGATCAGTCTCAGAGCTGTAAAGATTGTCTGTCCACGCACTGTCTTCGTATCCACGTCAAAGTATTGTTGGTAGTAGTCCAGCGTCCAGAATCCAGACGGACCTTTTGGTCGGTCCTGCAGATAGCCTATGCCTGATGAGCCAGCGTCGAACGCTCGGGAGAAGCGCGCACCTCTGTCAGCATTGCCCACTCCTGAAGCTCCTCCTTGAGTCTGGCTACCGTTCTGCTCTCCACCTCCAAGGAAAGCTGAGTTCGAGATGAGCACGATTGGCGTATTCCGGACTGCTGTACGACATACACTTGAATTGCAGGCCTTCAGGACCTTCTTCTAATCGCTACAAAGCTTAGCTTAGGACTGAGGTGTTTGCCCCCTGGGTTGTTACTCACATCGTCAGCGTCTACTGCTACGTACGCCATGATAGTCGCCACCGACGTTCGCTATAATAATGGACACGTCGCCGGGCCGTAATTCCTGTGTGACATATGTCATGCGTCACGGGTTGAACTTCCCACTGACATCCTTCAAAGCCCTATATTTCCACCAGATGCTTATGACATTCGTCTACAGTGATATGGGAAGGACAGTGAAGAATATCATAGCATATTACTGAGCACCCCTTTCGCCATGATATATAAGGCATGATCGGTGATTACATTTCGCTTCGGAGACGAGCATAATAGTCCTGCTCGTCCTGCATCTCGGAGACCGTCGCGTACAGTTGCCCGTACATACTCCCAAGGTAAGGCATTATGAGTTCGAGCAGTGGATCTTCCTTCTCTGGCCGTATCTTCTTATCATCAGGCGGATTGGATGGCGTCAGACGGCAGTACTTCCCGTCGCCCAAGTCTTCGCCCCATTCCGCCTCAAAAGCGGCCGCGGTGCGGTCGCAGCAATTCGTGATGTGCTGCAGATACGACTGCGAGGTGGGCGATACCCAGAGATAATTGGCATACTTGCGAAGCGGGGTACCACCCAGCGTGTCAGCCTTGCCAGGTCCGATGCTGAGCAGGTAGCCGAGTTCTCGCGACGGCCAGAGGAAAATTGCCTCCTCATATATGTTGAAGACGGGATTATAGCCATCGTCTCCCGCATCTAGAAGTGTGATCTGATGTTCTCCGCGATGAATCGACAGGGGCTTGAAGAAAGCCGAGTGTCCCATCGTAGCTCGGAAGGCAGCAAAGAGCGTGCAATCCACTGCAGGTTCTTTAGGGTGGTGGTAGGAACGTAGCGTGCGCAGCACAGTGTTCCCAGAGTCATCAACTTCTCTGGCCAGCATGAAACTGATAAGCGTGAGTAAACATCGACATAACCAGTGATGAATGGCCTCACGTCTTGCATTGTGTGGGGTCGCTCGAAAGAAGCGGTATATCCTCTGCCAAGCAGAACCGCCTGAGGACATCCCTAAGCACTTTCTCAAGTGCTGTAGTCTTGTATGCCCCTCCGGATTTGGGCTTTGTTATGACGAGCTGGACAACATGCGTCCAACACTCAATAGCGGTCTCGATAGAAAGACAAAATCGCCCCAGCAAGACCGCAATGAACCTGTGAGAGATAGAGACGGATTTGTCGAGATACATATTGATTAGTATACCCTCCTGTGCCACTCCCTGCTATGAGGTCGAATAGTTGAAAGGGGGAGGGAATATGGCGGGGATTTTCACCGTTATGAAGTCTTCGAAGCACCGCGCGCAACAACAGGAGCATGGTCAACCCTCGTATGCCACCATCGTCTGTAAGAAGAGGTCAGCCTTAACATTGATGGACTATGTCTGTCCTCACCGAACACGAGTAATCGTGTCTTTGGTGGTCGCGGGTTATGAACATGGTAAGCCAATCCGGATCCCCAGGATTCAGCTGCGCCACTCCGATGAAGAGCGCCAGAGCGACTGCGATGGCCATTGGTACTCAGGCCGGAGTGCGTGCGGCAATTACTGGCGGTATAGTGCCCGCTCAGGCGAGAGTTACAGTGCATACTCTGGCTTCAAAGAGGTACGAAGTCTGTGGTGGCAGCGAGGGCTGAAGAGGATGGGACACAAGGATGCGAGTTCCAGCGCAATAGACGACCTAGGGGGGTGACAGAGAGAAGCAAGAGAGAAGATGAGCGTCCGGGATCAGACCTACAACGCTTCCATTGTCGCCACCTATGGCAATTCGTCAGGCGGCAAATTCCGATCCGCGCCACATTGAAGATGATTGTCCTCAGCATGACGCCCAACAAAACCAACAATTGGTACTCGGTGGTTCCCAGAATACAGCGAGTCGTCCAAAGCAGTATGTAGACCTGATACAAAGGTAAAGAAGAGTGCGACCGCAGACATAATTAGACAAACAGGACGCGCGGGTGGCATCGAGGAAGACTAGAGGAGAATGTATCTACAACGAAGAATTAAGAGACGAGCTCATGGGGCATATATGGTCCACAGAGAAGAACAGGGAAGTAGGAAGAAATCCATAATTCAGCGGATGTAGAACGAAACGACGTACACGGTCGTAAGGGTTATATGTTGACCTCCCCGCCCGCAGCAGCCGCTTTCGCCGCCGCCTTGGCCAGCGCACTTGTCGACTTCGTGGTGAGCAGCCATGGAAGCTGCAAGCACTCTGCCGCTGTCGGCCGCGCCTCGTGATTCAGCTCGAAAGTGCGCTGCAGGAAATCCTCTGCCTCCGGTGTGATGTCGGTCGGGATGGACGGCTTGGCGGACGACCCGATCTTGAAGATAGCCTGCATCTGGGTCAACTGCGCCCACGGATGCTCACCCGTGAGCATCTCGACGATCAGGCAGCCAACGCTCCAGATATCGGCCTTCTTCGTGTGTCCGCTCTGCTTTACGACCTCGGGGGCCATCCAGAAGACAGAGCCTTGCAGCGAGGGGCGGTGCATACGGTTTGAGTTCGATAAAGCTACAAGAGCGTGTTGGTTACGCGACTCATGGAAGCATAAACGGTCGACACTCACTGTCTTCCACCTTCTTGGAGATACCAAAGTCGGAGATCTTCACGCCACCCTTGTTGTCGACAAGGATGTTCGCGCCCTTGATGTCGCGATGAATGATATCCCTTTCGTGGAGGTAGTCGAGGCCGCAAAGGATTTGCCGGACGAAGTTCTTGACTAGCGGTTCCTCGAAAGCGCCGTAGTTGCGCAACAAAGCCGTCACGCTACCACCTGGCACATACTCCAGGAAGATGTTCAGGTGGTCATCGTCCAAGGAAGAGTCTACAGACAAGTCAGTGAACATGTGCGCTCGGACGAATGCAGGGCGCTCACAGAGGTATTGCACGATGTTCACATGCTGCAGGTCCTTGAGGAGCTCGATCTCACGTTCAAGAGCGCTGAGCATGCTCTTCTTGCGCTCGAGATTCGGCGCAGACCCTGTCGGCAACTCAACTTGCTTGACCGCCATGAGAAGCCCGCTCTCCGCCTCCATGCCCAAGTACACCTTCCCGAATGAGCCGGCACCGATGAGCGCGCCCTTGATCCACTTCACATCATCCTCCCCGCCGCCCATGGTCTTCGGCTCGTCGTCATCCTCATCCTCCTCTTCCTCCTCCTCCTCATCGAACTCGCTCTCCATCAGTGTCGCCGACTCGCCTTGGCTGTCTGGCTCGACTTCCGTCCAGTCTTCCGTGTCAGGGGACTCGTCGCCGTCCTCGTCGCCGCCCTCCGTCATCCGGCTCTCCCGCCGGCTCTTGAGGCTCCGGCTCTCAACCTCAGCGGTGATTTCGTCGACTGTCATCAGGCTCGCCGTGTCGGATACATCGCGCTTGCTCCGCAACTCGGTCATGTAGCTCATACGCCGCGACAGTGGGCGCGCAGAACGGCTGCCGTCCTCCGAGCCGGCTGTGAAGTTCTCTAAGCCCTCCGAGAACGATTCAGTCGGGAAGGGAATCGGTGGTAGCAGTTTCGGTGCATCCTCAGAAGGCCCGTCCTGTCCGTCGAGCGAAACTGAGCTCCCGTCCTCTGTCGAAAGCGACATCCGGGGCAGCTCCTCAGGCGTGAACGCCGTCGGAGTGGGCTGCCTGTTCTTCTCCGGAGGCGGCGGCGGCGCAACGGACGCCATACTCGCCCTCGTACCCGCGCTCCCCGAGCCCACTGTGCTGCTGCTAAAGCGCGACGACAGTGCACTGAACGCAGCGCTGGAGTCCCGCTTCGAGAGCGACGGTGTATGCATGCGCATCATGCTGTTCCGCGCCGTACGCGCGAGCACCTTGCGCTCCGCGTTCGGGAAGTACTCAGTCAGGTGCGTCGTGATGAGTTCGCTCGGCGGGCGCTGCCCGAAGAAGTGGCGCAGCTTGGATGGACGTTTTCCAGACAACGCTTCGTCGACGGGCTCGGGAACGGGTGCATCCTCGGGAGCGGGGATCGTGTCGTGCACGCCGAGGCCTGAGAGGACGGAAAGCGTGCTGGCACGCTTCGTGTTGCGTATACCCGAAGCAGCGGAAGAGACTGAGAGGAAACGTCCGTGCTGTTGCCGTGGTCGCGCGGTTGCTTTGCGAAGCGTGAGCCCGTTCTCGCGAACGGGATGGTCTCCGGGTGCGTGGCAGATGGTCAAAAGTTCGGCCTCAGTAAGCGGTTCAACTACCGAAGGTGTCAATAGAGATTTGCGGCGTAACGCACATCACGTACCGGCGTCGCTCGTCATGTATACCGCCCACCCATCGACGAAGAGCCCCTCCCCGTCAGTTTGTACGTTTTCTGGTGGGATCTTGTTCTCCGAGCCATTGCGCTTGCCCGCCTTCTTCAGTACGCGCTCAATCACCTCCACTCCGCCAGCACATTTAGACACATCAATGGTGTACGTGTTGTATGTTCGTTCGTCCGGAACCTGGAGATTGAATTTGAGAATCTTGCTCTTGATGTCAATGAGCGGCTTCGTCGTCTGGTTCATGTTTCCAAAGGCAAACGGCCCGCGCCCTACGGTGTATGCCGCAGGGGGTGAGGGGGAGTTCGTGGAAGTAGACTGTGGTGTCTGCACCCCGAAGGCTTCGGAGATGGGGGACAGCGCGCTATCGGGAGTCTGCGCCTGTGCTGTAGCATACGGATGGCTCGAGGCGGGTGTGGCGTTGGTCGTCGAGGGCCGCGGGGGCAACTTGGTGGGAACGGTGGGAGAAGCAACGACGAGGGAGCCGTTGCGGCCATGCGTACTCGGGTTGGGATTCGTGTTAGTGCGGCTGCGACCGGGGAAGGCGGGGAGTGGGGAGGTCGAACGGCTTGAGCTGCCGCCAGGAGTGGGCAATTTTGCGCGAGGGTCAGTGGGGAGGTGATAGCCCGCCCATTGAGGCGTTGTCTGCCCATTGGGTGCGGGTGGCAGGGCCTGATTGGTGTATGCCGGTGGAGGGTTGGGTTCCTGCGTGGGGGTGCGCCGACCGTTGCGCGCGGCGGGGACACGACCAGCCGGCACAGGGGGCGGCTGGCCGCGGGGAGCTGGCGGCACTGGAGGAAGGCGGGAGGGAGGAGTGCCATTGGGTCGTTGCAACCGTGCGGAATCGGGCGCCTGGGATGGAATTACGCGGGGGAGGTCGCTTCGGTTTTGCTGGGAGAGCTGAAGTGGCGCCGGACGACCGCGCGAGGAGTGCTTCGACACAGGGGACGCGATGTCAATGGAGGGGAGGTGAACGTCTGTGTCGAGGCGCAGCGTGCGGTTGACCTCAAGCACGGGGCGTCTGTATTGTGACCGCCTTCGCGGCGGATCGCTGGCGGAGCGTCTTGACCGCGTTCACGATGCGCAGGCGATCCCCGATAGACGCGATACCCATCTCCTTGAGTGTCGCCTGATCGAGCTCGAGGAGCACGTCCCCGCGAATGTCGTTCTCCCGGAACGTCGCCGCATGCCCGCCACACTTGATCTCGGAGAGCCAGCGCGCGACATGGGTGTCGTTCCAGGTCCTGATAAAGTCCGCGTAGCTCATGCCGGATGGCGGCTCGAGAAATGTGTTCATCTGGCTCGCTGTTGGCGTGGTCGGGAAGGGTGATGCCTGGCCTCTGATGCCATTCTGTAATCGTGCCGTCTGCGTCGGCTGGAACGTGGGGGTCGCGGGAGATGCGGGTTGCATGTCGGCCATCGTGTAGGACGCTACCGCGGACATGATAGGGAGGCGCGAGGAGATCGAAATATAAAGAGTGAATGTGGTGGGGAAACAGTCGTTCGTTTACTGCTGTCTTCTCGTCGTCCGCTTTGCACCTATTTGCACACAATGCCTTGCCGTCGCCGCCTGCACCGACCGCCAGACAATGCGGAGAGCTGAGAAGTAAAGGACAAGTTGTTCACAACAATAAGATGCCGATTCCCCAGCCCATCATTTGATTATTCAGCCTCGTCCACGTGTTTCGGCCGTGGTCAAGGCAACCAGCGGCCACAGACTGTAATTCTATCTGTGCCTATCTCAGTGTCTGTATCGTCAAAAGGCCTGAAGGGTCTTGAGGGGTAGAAGGTGTCAGGGAATGCGCCCAAAGGTGCGCAAAATTGGAACTTTTCGAAGGTCAGTCCGAATTGGGACACAAGGCCTTCCTTTCTGGGAAAACAAGAACTCAGAGGGACCCGGAAGGTCTAGGAAAAAGCTGCGTGGGCAAACAGATGCATTTATTGAACCGACTAAGCCATGGGTAACAATTATGAGACTAGCTCGTAGAGAAGGTGGAAGAGGGGAGCGCACGGCTGAAGCGCACGACACGAACCTCGGTGTAGGAGATCGTTATAAATACTTGATAAGGTAGCAGCAATAGATGAGTGGGGCACGCATGGAGTCTAGTCTCCATGACGGGCAATGAAGCGAGGCCGACAACGACGGCCCTGGGGTCGACATTGACGACCCGAAGGTCAACAGAGACGGCTCTAAAGCCGCCAGAGTGAACAAAATGCCAGAGGCAACCCGAATGCGATGAAGGCAGCCCAGAGGCAACGTAAAGCAATGAAGGCGAAGCAGAAGGAAAGGCCAGGAGAAAGGAGAGCGATATGTACCGAAGGAATGTTTGCATATACAGGACACGCGAGCTTTGTTCATTATGTGCATTATAGGCTGTGGTTTGTGTGTTGATGGACACGGTGTTGATGATGATAAGTGTCGAGAGTTGATGATGAGTGTCGATGTCGATTGCTGACAGCGTCGAAATTGACTGTGTTGAAGTGGTCGCCATCAAGTTGCTCGCTGTCGCTTTGTGTTTTTCTGCTATTGGCGGGTGGCAATGAGGCGCCATGGTAGAGAGCGAGGTTTTGTACGATCGGCCCACGCGTTTAGCGGGACACTCGTCGCGAGCGAGGCAGCTGCAAGAGCTCCAGCGCGAGGCGGGCGACCTCAGTGCTCTTCCGCAACTTGCGCAGTCGCGGAGGACGCAGGCGCATCTCCATTGGGTGCAGCCCTGCAAGTCGTCTCGTCCGCCTTTTCGACGGGGATTCCGGCTTTCGGCTCTTCAGCTTCCTTCGCCAGCTCGTGGGTGACTACACCTGTCGCTGGCTCGTGGGTGGCTACATCCGTCGCTGGTGTCGCCTCCACATCCTTTGCGGTGCCATTCGTGACCTCGGGGGCAACTCCGGTCTCTGTCACCTCCTTCGGGGCAGCCACAGCCGCCTCCGCGACGGGCGCCTGGGCAGTTTTCGCGAGCTTCCCCGCCGGAGGAGGAGCGAGGGCGACACCGTTCGTTGGTGCCTTGCCCTTCGCGACGTCGTCCGGCTTCCCCGCGGTGGTGGCTTTAGCAGCATCCTTCCCCTTCCCACTCGCCCCCTCCTTCCCAAAATCGCTCACATACATGCCGTGCATGCTCATCAGCCGGCCCAATTTCTGGTGCACCTCGACCGTGAACTCCTTGAACGGGAAGCGCTCGCCGTCGACGGACAGGTTGCCCTGCGGCTCGCGGTTGGGCGCGGGGGCGACGGGGCGGACGTGGAAGGCGTGCGCTTTGAGGTAGGTGAGCTGGAAGGGGAACGGTCAGGTTCGATGCACAAGCGGGGAAGAGGGATAAAGCAAGGGAAACTCACCCTCTTCCTCCAGAACAAGTCACCCTTATCCGCGCCGTTCAGCGCACCAAGTAGCTCGCCCATGGGCGCCTAGAGATCCTCGTGAGGACCCGCCACTATAGCTGAGCCTCTGCACTCACCATAGGATGAATCGTTACGTCAATCAACCCATCGTCTGGCAGCGACGCCGGGAACGCCATCATGTCGCGCGCCACATACGGTCCCTTCCCCGCATACACAAACAGGATCGGGTCCTCGAACTTCGTCCAGCCGTCTTCGCCACTCTCGCTGCCACCGCCGGACTTCGCATACACCAACGGCGGCAGCCCGTCCTCCCCATCCTCCGACATCGGTGACTTAGGCCTCCGATCAGAGGGCGTAGACGCCGACGTCGGGCTCGCGGGGCCCGAAAACGAGTTCGCCGGACCGCCCGAGAACGGCGTCGAGCTCGCGAAGGGGGTCGCGGGAGAGGAGAACGGCGATGAGGGCCTGACGGCGAAGGACACGGACGCCGTCGAGGCGTGCGCCTGGTGCGTCGCCTGCGTGGCGTGCCGGTCCTGGAGCGCCTTGTACATCTTCTGGCGGTCGGTCTCCGCGGGCTTGTAGTACAGCTCAATCGGACAGGGTTTCTGCGAGAGGACGCCACGGATGAAGCCGTAGACTGTGGGTGCGCATCAGCAGACAGTTAGTGAACATCAGTCGGTGAGCAGAGCAGAGTAGATACGCGAGGAGGCACATTTGCAAGAAGTATGGAGCGTTCGATTCAGAAGCACCGGGAAAACAATCAATGGGAACAAGAGACTCTGATGCGAAGTGAGATGGGAGAAGGAGAGGAACCGCTTACCGAACCGAGCATCACCCATCCAGCGCAGGTGCTCTGTGCCGAGGTCGAGGTCGGCCATGAGGCCTAAAGCCTGCGACATGAACGACACAGAGCGTTTGCCTTCCTGTACGATGGAGAATAGGTCGACTGGCATAGGATGGCCTAGCATATAGTCAGCACCGATGATGAGAAGGGCGTCTCGCACTCAGAATCACCTCTGATAGCATTCAGGGCTGCCGCAACCACGTCGAAGCCGTCCTACGTGGCAAGAACTCTTCAGTAATGGAGAACGCCGCGCATACATTGAGCCAACATACCGCCAGACCAAGCAGGTTGAGGGCCATGCCATTCCCCGAGCCGGTAGGGATGGGCGCAATGGGGATTGAAAGGGCTTTGGTGGGCTGCTCATGCGCCGCGAAGCCGTTCAGGACCTATCCGGTAACATGTTAGCGCACGGTGTACCTGGGCAGTCGATGCGCGTACCTCATGAATAAGACCGTCCCCGGAAACGGTGACTACAGCATCGTAGTCGAGCGCGAGGGTCTTCGCGAGATCGTACGCGTGCCCGTTGTGGGTGGTGATAGTGAGGTCGATCTGACAGCCTGCTGCCTTGAAGATGGGTTCTATTCTCTTACGCCAGACGACAAGACCTTTGCCCTGTAGCGTCCGTGTCACCATATGCGTGGTACCCGGTGGTTTGACCACGCACCTGTCCTCCGTGAGGGTTGACCAAAACCTTCAGCTTCCTTCCGTTCGTCACTCCAGACGCTGGAAGTATCAATGAGCACAAGCACGCGAGACAGAGTCTGCTTGCTCACAAGTAAAGACGCTCTGCAGCAGGTTGTCCACCCAAAGCTTCGCGGTGTAGTTCTCCGCATCCTTGACCGCACCGGTGATCTTCACCAGCACATGCGGGCCCTTGCCGTTCTTCTTCTTCCGCGACACAAAGTGTATCACGATCTCCCGCGTCTTCTCGTCGAACTCCGCGCCGAGCACGTTCCTCAGCGGCACCTCGACGTCGGACTTGGACCGGGAGGCGGAGTCGCTGGACCTGGCGGAGCGGGCGGACGAGGTGTCCGTGGCGGCGCCGCGCGCGACGGTGAGCGCGCTGTCAGTGAAGGCCAGCGTGGCCGTCTTGCCATGGAGGCGGATGACGATGTCGCGGTGCACCATGGACGCTGCGTCGCGCGACGAAAGACGGGCTGAGGAGAGCGGCGGAGCGCGACGAAGTATACTCGAGTGCGGCCCGCGAACCGTGGGAATGACGTCGCGCTGATCACTGGTCGGCCCGCAACTGCAACTTGGTCGTGACCGGCGCTACGCGCGCCCATTACAATTTACATTGGCAGCTACGGCAACGGGAGCCCTGTTGTCCATCTTCTCTGATCAACTTCAGCATGCAAGGGTCCTCCAAAACTCGCGAGGTGAAAGGAGGACATCGTTGGAATTGTTCGTGATGAGATGCGCCACCGTAACCTCCCCCTCCCTCGGAGGATGGAAAGATCAGAATACAGTCCGCTGGTTGTGAATGCGGCTGTATACCAGCCAGTCAGACCAACTGTACTACTTGCTGGTCGGATGTGTCGCATAGCCAGCAAGGCATGTCAACTGAGATGTATGGGCTCTGGGATCAGAAGGCAGGTCGAGCGTGAAGATGGGCCACATGCACGCGCAGCGCCATCCATGAAGTCGACTCGAGATAGGCATTGTCGACGCGCGATACCTTGACGAGCCTCACGCATCACGCTCGATGATCCACAAGAATACAACGTTGCTTTTCAGTAATTGTTACACTTCAATTTTCCGTACACTATCGGCGCCCATCAACCAGCAAAGGAGACGATCCCGAGCAAAGAAAGGAAGATCAAGCCTTTTAGAGCTTGAACTTGCCAGCGAGGGCGTCCTGGTAGCGGCGCTCAGCCTCATCCCAGTTGATGACGTTCCAGATGGCGTTGAGGTACTATCAAGCATCCGTCAGCAACTAGCGCGCGATGGACAACAGATCAGTCTACGCACGTCGGCCTTGACGTTGAGGTACTGGAGGTAGAAGGCGTGCTCCCAGATGTCGACGCCAATGATGGGGATGTGCGTCAGGAGCGGGTCCTGGTTGGAGGTGGTGGTGATCTCGACCTTCTTGGTGGTCGGGTTCAGGCCCTGCGAGCAAGCCAAGGTCAGATCGCGCCCATCGGTGAACAAAGGGAGATGAGACGTACGAGCCAGCCCCAGCCGGAGCCCTGGATGCCCGCGGTGGTGGTGTTGAACTGCTTCTTGAAGTCCTCGAAGCTGCCAAAGACGGAGGTGATGGCCTCCTTGAGCGGGCCGTCCTTGAGGACACCGCCGTTGCCCTTGCCCTCAGACGAGGAAGGCGCAAGGTTGGTCCAGAAGAGCGAGTGGTTAATGTGGCCTGCGGGAGGGGAGATGGGTGATCAGCGCGCGCTCAGCAGGATAGATCGCGCCCACAACGCACCACCACCGTTGAACTTGAGCGCGGCCTGGAGGCCGATGCGCTCGCGCGGGGTGGTCGCCTTGGCGTACGCGGCCTCGGCGGCGTTGAGCGAGTTCACATAGGTCGCGTGGTGCTTCTTGTGGTGAAGCTCCATGATCTGGCGCGAGATGAACGGCTCGAGCGCATCGTAGGCGTAGGGGAGGTCGGGGAGGGTGTGCGCCATTGTGAATGTGTCGTGGAGGTCGGTGTCAAGGTCAACCTTGGGTGGGGGGCCTGCCTTTCGCTGGGACGCGCGGTTATAAACCGCTATCGATGGCTGATGTCATGCCTCTCGCGTTGTCGCACGTGAGGGTGAGCGATACTCTGCGTAAGCCGTGCACCGGACACCCCCATTCCACGGCCGAACACTGTTTGCCGGCAAGACAACAGGCGTGCCGGTTTGGGTACCGGACGGCGATAAAGGAACGAGAAGATTCGAAGTCTTCGTGCTCACTTGCACCACTTTGCACCATCGTCTGGCGAGCGATTCCCTCTTAGCATGCTTTTGAGACGACAAACATCGTGCACTGGACCTCCCCCATACCTCTTCAGTCGGTAGCACCAGATAGTCCTCCCCCTGTCCTCTCGAATCGACCCTGACAGTAGCGGATAAATATTCGGCCGCCATAATCGCGAATCGCGAGCTCGTGTACACGGCAATCGCCCTGAAGGTTCGACCCAGAAGCGCGCGAGTCGTCCCTCACAGAGGCTTCCGTCTTCGCAAGGAACATCGACGCAAGCCTGACGCATCGCTGATCTGCATAACATGAGCTCAATGTCTCGTAGGGTCCAGAGTAAATCGCACGCACCAACATCATGAGATCCGACAGAACGTCAGTCACTCCAAACAGAATGGTATGGGACCTACAAGTCTCTCTTGACGAACCCATCACCGTCGCAATCCTGCAGGAAAAAATGCCATTCCAGAACCGAAAGTACAGAGTAGTAGTAACACAACGCCAAAGGGCCAGCGCACTGCCGACCGCGCATGTATAGCGTATATAGTAGAGATCCCTGCCTGATCATCCATTATTCGAACAGTGGTCTTCTAAGGAGCGGATAGATGATAGCGAGCAGCCAGTATATCACGTACGGAAATTAGAACAAACAAGTCCTTGACACGACACGACAGTCCATGAGCCGGCGACACGAAACCCAAACAGAGCAATATTATGGTGAACGGTTTTATGATAGAATGCCCGGGAGAAAGCGAAGGTTGATCATGGCCGAGCTAGAGAGAGGGTCAGTGAGAGGGTCGAGGAGAGAGCCAAGGAAGGACGTACAAAGCTGCTCCTTTCTGTAGAACCAGAAGTAGCCGAATACAATAATGAGTTGGCAGACCAAGGCGACCCAGAACAAGGGTGCCGCCATGGGACTGCCGCTGAGCCCGTCTTCGAAGTCCCACTTCGCCGCGTCGGGGAAGACACTTTCTGGGCCGATGGCGTTGGGTGCTGTTGCACGCGCAACCATCACGCAGACTGATCCAATGATTTGCGAGAAGGCGAGCGTCGCGCAGACGTGCAATCGTGACAAGGTCTGGGCGGAAGGTGAATAAACGGTAGCGAAGAGAACGGAGATCACCTACCTGAAGCAGGATCATACCAAGACCGACACCCTGTACAGCGTCCAAGACACCAAGCCATAGCCAGAGCGAGATTCCGAGGTAGGGACCAGAGTTACCCGCCCACGGGATGTACAGGGCAAGCGACGAGGTACCCCACATCATCTGGCACCAACGCGGCGCACCGAGACCGACAGCGAAGACAGGCAACAACCATGTATGCGTCTTGCTGAAGTGCGTCAACACGAACATCATGGCCGCCCAGACGAAGATGAAGAAGACGATGATGAGGATGAGGATGTGCCACTTCGGAATGTTGACACTCCAGAGGAAGCTCCAGTTACGACCGTAAGGCTGAAAAGGGGAGATTAGAGACGTTACTGGGTTGGTTGTCGAAAACACGTACCCCACTCAGCCAGTAGTCACGGAGGATCTCAGAAGCCAGGAACCAGAGCACGAGCTTTCTGCGGGCGAGCGTCGCGTAGAAGTGCGGGACCTTGGGCGGGGTTTGACGATAGTACTCGGGCAGACCGAACCACATGAGGTACGCGAACGCGAAGCTCATGATGGCCAGCGGGAAGACAATGAGAACGATCCACCATGGTGGGATGTACTCCTCCGTCTTGCCATTGAGCATGTAGCCCCAGTACCACAAGGCTGCCACCCAGATCTGCTGAGAGCCCTGCACGATACACGCACGAAGCGTCCACACCTCCGTCGCCGCACCAGCCTCCTCACCGAAGTTGAGACCGAAGAAGCAGAACGAGGCAGCGGACGCGACGGCGTAGCACCATGTAGCCACACTCGCCATGATATGGTGAGCGGGATGCAATGCTTCGGCAACGGACGGGAGACCGATGAGGAGGAAGGCCAGACCGAAGAACGCCCAGGGCAGAGAGAGGACCCAGACGGACGGCTTCATGCGGAAGAGCGGGTACCAGACAGCAGAGGCGGCGAGGAAGACGCCACCAAGCACGTACAGCTGGATGTCGTCTTGCCAGTTGCGACCACTGAGCAAGGTAATCTGGAAACTCGTCGCGCTAAGCATCTGGCCAAGACCCATGATGATGGCGTATAACGGCCAGCCTCCAATCTCGCGAGCCATGGTGACCTGGAGGTGCGTCATGGGCTTGTCCTGTGGCGGTTCCGGCTTGTATCCTCCATCGTAATCCGAAGAGTAAGCAGACGGGAAACCAGCGGTGCTTGGAGCTGCAGAAATGTTAGACGATCGACACTCTTACCCTCTAGTCAATTTACTCACAAGATGGGTGAGAGTAGAGTGAAGGTGAAGGCGTGCCCCAAACGGAGTCACGGTTGCTTGAGCGAATGCTGGCAGCATCGAGCTTCTCCTTCTTGACACGTCCAAAGAAAGCCTCTTCTTGCTTCATCAAGAACTTCTCGATACAGAGTTCGTGTTCCGAGTTCTTCGAGTTGAGATCCTGCAACTTCTGGACGAACTCGGCAGCGACACCGCCGTCAGAGTCGGTGAACTAGACGAGGCATCAGCATCATCACCATTACACGCAACGCTTGAACTTACAGATGCGATGGCCTTGTTGAGCGGCGAGTTGGCCTTCTCATCGACAATGGATGAAATGGACTCCACCGACGATACACGCGAGTGTCCGCCGAATGGTCGCTGAGGTGCAGTGAGAGCGCCGTCGAGGAACGGATCCGGCGCATGACGCTGATCACGGCCAATGACGCGGTTCGCCTTCTCCAGGAAGTTTCCGTAGCCGCCAGGGCTTTCGACCGCTGTGCTTGCCCGCGAGTGTTGCGAGTTGCTGAAGTAGTCTCCGCTCTCTTCTGATGCCGATTGGTAGGACGACCTGTTTTGGCCGCCGTAACGAGGTGCCGCGCTCAGGTAGTCGCCGTTGCCGCCGGGAGATGGTGGAGGCATGGTGGGCGTCATCGAGCCATACGGGCTGCGCGGGCTCTCCATGCCGGACATCACGCTGTTCCTGTCCCACTCGGGTTGCTGAGGGTATGCCTGGTTCTCCGGTTGCCAATCGTCAGTATCCGCGATGACACGAGGAGCGCCGCCATCGCAGTCGCTTTCGCGCCAGGCATTGGGACCGGCAAGAGCACGACTGATGGTGATCGACCGCTTGTGGAAGTCCTCCGTACGCTGGCGCCACTCGACGACAGGGAAACGCTGGACAGCAGAGCGCGCACGAAGAATAGCACGCTCCTCTTCCGTAGACTTGAGCGCCATCTTGATCGTCTTCGTGAGCTGCGACAACATGTGCTGCGTAGAGCTGGATTCGACGGGGTACCACTGGAAGGCGTGTCAGCAACATGTTCCGTTCACGAACAGACACAATACTCACCCAACCAGGCATGAGACCGAGACCACCGAGACGAGAACCGACACCGAGAGCACCCTTCCTACCGAACTCGACAGCGACAAGACCGAACGGCTCATCACGAGACGGGATGAGCGCGAAGTCGGCACCACTGAACAGGTACGGCGGCAGAGCAGTGAACTCCGGCTTGGAGAAGACACGGTCCGGGTACAGCTCCATCAAGCGCGCCAACTTCTCAGCAGCGAAGCGTCCGTAAAGATCAATGACGGGACCGACACAGATGAGCTGGATCGAGGGACGCTTCTCAAGACTGGGAACGATGAGTGTGATGTAGGCTGGGTGAGAGAGTAAGCACTTACAGAGACGGCATGACATCCGCGATAACATCAACACCCTTCTGCTTGGACCAACGACCGACGAACACGAAGAGATCCGAGTTGGGGTCCTGCTTGATGCCCGCCCACTCCTGCGCCTGGCGCTTGTGCTCCGGACGCTGAGCCTCAGCTGCTTGGTCGATCTGCACGTTGTGAACATCCGTAGGCTTCTCGTCCAGCGCCGCGATATCCGTAGGATCCGGGTTCGGGAGCGAGTCGACATGCTTGAGCGTCCAAAGCGCCGGGTAACGAGCCCACGAGCGCTTGCCGTACTTGTCAGACACACCGGCGACGCCGACACTCTTCTGGTGGACGCTGATAAACGAGGCCGCCGCGTGCAACAAGTTGAACGTGTTGCCGAACTGGACGTATTTCGTGCAGTGCTCCTTGCTGATGTTGAACGCCGAGCAGACCTCCTTCATCTCCTCCTTCGTGCGCAGAGGCCAGAGACCCTGGAACTCGGCGTTATGCAGCGAGAGACAGACGGGGATGACCTTGGGCAAGAGGTAGATGGGTGCGAGCGCGCCATGGTAGTCATTGATGTGGTAGATGTCGATGGTCGGGAAACGGCGGATCGTGGCGGCGATGGCCTGGTTCCACGTCGAGTAGAAGATGGCGGAGCTGAGGTCGTCCATGCGCTGGGGGTACGGGTCGGCCTTGGTCTGAGCGCGGAAGACGGGGCTGTCGAGGATGACATAGGTGATGTTGTCCAGGACGTGCGTCTCGACCTCGATGAGATACGGCTCGCCGAAGATGATGACCTCGATGGGCTCCGCAGGATCGCCGGCCGGGTACTCGAGGTCCTTGACCTTAGGAATAACCCAAATAAGGTCGACATCCGTCATCGCCTTGCCCATAAGACTGGACATGACACCAAGACCACCGATCTTAACCTTCAACTTCCAGTCGATAATCTCATACTCAAGGGTCGCGATCAGGACCTTGCGGCGCTTGTTCTTGTCCTCCGGCCAGCCGATCATCTCCGTGTTGGGCTTGACACCGTGGAAGAGCTTCTCCGTCATGTGGTGGCCAGCGTCCTCGTCGGACTTGTTCTTCGAGCCTCTGCCAAACATGCCTCCGATGATGGGGAGGTACGACTTGTCCTTGGGCTCGACACCGAATTGGTTGTGCTTGATGCCGTAGAAGGACCACATGAAGATGAGGACGGCGAGAGTACCAGTGGCCAACGGGATGGCGAGCAGCAGAGCATAGCACGTCGCACCGACGGACGAGTGACCGCGAGGCTTCAACGTCCAGGTCATGGTGCGGTCATCGACCAGGAGCGACCACGATAGATGCGGCGACGGCGGCGCGGACATGTTGAGGTAATTCGCAGCAGCCGTGTTCGGCGGCAAACGGTCGAGGACACCATCGCCATCCGTGTCACCGTAGTAAAAGTCGTCGAAGCCCCAGACGTTGAGCTGCACGTACGTCGGCCAGGATGCCATGATCTCAAGCTCCCACTGGCCGTCGTCGTTCTGGGACATCAACGAGCTAATACCCTTGTCGTAGCCCCACTGGTTAAAAGGACCGCGAGCCAGGAACTGAGGTACGCGGCGCTCAGCACCATCGTAACCAGTATCGGCGTGCGTGACGTGGGACGTCGACAGCGTGAACTCGCTCCAGTCTGCAGACATGTAAGCGACAAACCTCCTCAAAGGATTTGATATACGCACATTGCACCATAATGTGAGCGCCATCCCACCAAGCCTCGTCGTTCTCGAAGACATCAGCGTCGATCGTGGTCGTGTCCTCCCAGCTCTTCCATTCCGTCCAGTTCTGACCGAAATCGGCAGAATAGCGGAAGAGGTCGGCACCGAATGCTTGGTGCTCGAAGACGTACTTGCCGTCCTTCTTCGAAAACGCGTCGTTATGATAGTCGTTGTCCGGGAAGACCATGACGTTCTGCGACTGGCCCTTACGGAGCAGGAGATGGTCGACGGCCTATGGATCTGATCAGGGCATATTCTCACGAAGCTCTGTCAGAACACTCACGTTGGTCGTGTTACCACCATTGGCGCCCTGCGGGTTGTCGAGCTTGATCTCGAGGACACCATCGGGGAAGTTGTTGAGGGTCGCCGACCACGCCCAGGCGGAGACCGTATCACCGGGGATGATCGTGGCATCCGGGTTCTGCACCGCACCGCAGCTGATGTTCGCAACCGACGGCGCATCCCCATGACCAGACGAGGACATGTTGAGCGAGACCGCGTTCGTGACGCTGTCGCAGTCCATCTCGACATTGAACTCCAGGCTGATGTCGACTGAGTCGGACGTGGACAGGATTCGATGGTCGTGCCCGGGCGTGAACTTCGTGAGCGCAGGAAGTGGCGCGACCCACTGGTCCTCGGGAACGAGCGCCTTGAAGCCGTAGCCGTCCATCGTAACGGAGCCAAGACAGCCACGGTACGGCTCCTTGCCGTCGTCGTAGAACGGCGACGCGGACTCCGTAAGCTGGTATGTCTCGTACGGGGCGAAAAGGTTGCGAACAGTCGTCCCCGCCTGGAAGGGCGTCGAGATCCACAGCTGCTGGTCGTAGCAGTCGTATGTGTACGTCTTCGTCGCGTTCTCGTTCGTGAAGAGCATCCAGACAACGTCGTTGTGCTGTCCCTCCAGCGTCTGCGAGGTCAGGCCCTGGCGCGACACAGACCAAAGACCCATCTCCGTCTGTGTGCCGTTCGAGCCCGCGCGTTCGATGAAGTATGTCCAGTTACCGTTCTGGATAAGACCAAAACCGTCCTGCAGGGCACCGTATACGGACCGTAGGCGGTTAAACTGGGCGAACATGCGACGCGAGTTGGCGGTGGGGTCGAAGTGGTCAAGAGCGTTCCACTCATCATGGCAGCCCAGCAGGGCGCGCTCGAGAGGAATATGGTAGTACTGCTCCGTGCCCAGCCTGTAGCACCCATGTCGCTTCCATGCGATATTCCCGATCATGGCTTGACGACCGTAGAGATAGTTGGATGCAGTGGAATCGTACGTGTAGAAGTTCTGCTCCTCGCCGAAGTACAGCAGCGGGATACCCGGCATGACCAGGGTTGCGAGGAAAGTCCCGAGAACACTCCTTTGTGTGCCGTTCTCAAGACTGGGCCATCGGAAGATATCGACTACGAGGTGGAATCAGCGATGAGTACTGGACTGGAGGATCATCACACTTACAGTTGCTCGTGCCGTACATGTGGCGAGGATCGAGGTCACCACTACCGGAATTGAGGAAATCGTTGTTGACCATCATCTGATTCCACGCGGTGACGAAGTTGACGTCGACATCGTACGCGACCTGGAGGTTACCGTCCATTCCCAAGAAACGGGCAAGAGAGCGATAAAACGAGTAGTGGAAGGCAACGGCATCTAGCGCATTCAACGGGGCGTCGCGGAGGAAGAACTGGCTGTCCGAGCTGGTGACATTGACTGCCGCGTCGAAACCACCGGGCAACTGGGTTGTGGTGCGTCCACGGCCACTGGTATATGCGTTAGCAAGGACGTTGTTTCAAATCAAAATCGGTGATCACGTACATGTAGAGCGAACCGAAGCGATCACCACCAGTGACCTCACCCGGGATGAAGAAGTTATCCTTGCCGAGGTCAGCAGCACAAGCACGGGTGCTGGCCGCCCACGACGCGAGGGCATCGACCGTGACCTGCGTGGCCTTGTCGATACGGATGGCGTCGATATCGAGCTTGTTGATAGCCATGCAGGAGAAGACCGTAAGCTTGGCCATGACCTCAGGGCGCCATTCGCGGAGACGATCTTGCACGGAGGCGAACTTGGAGAGCTGACGTTGCCAATCGGGGTGCACACCGAAAGCCTCCATGTCACCGTACTGATCGAAATCGGACTCGCGGCAGCCGTTCGTCTCGACGGTGACGACCTCCCCGGAGTCGAGCCAGAGGTTGGGGAGAGTGCAAGACGCGTTTCGGTCGTTGCCAGGCTGCATATGTGATCAGGACGGAACATGATAAGGAAGGGAGCGCGACCAACAGTGAAATCCTTGTATTCGTCAAAGCCCCAAGGCATATATTGCGGGTGCTTCCACACGTAGTCGTATTCGTCAAGCGAGAAAGGTGTACTCGTGTTCATGAATCTGCGATCCTGTTAGCTCGCGCACGCAGGGAAGTACACGACGACGCACCCCTTGAAGCCGATGAGATCACTCATGGTGCCGACCGTGAAATCCGCCATGTAGTACATATCGCGCTTGTGTATTTCGTCGATAACATACTTCCAGTCATCAAGGTTCCCCCAGTGAGGGTCGAGGACGGAGAAGTCGAGCGGCGAATAGCCTACGGCCTGGTCAGCGATCCGAGAAGTATGTGCATATAGATCACGCACTGTCGGCCTGCCACAACATGTTGAGGAAGGGAGTACCGGAAACGAAGATGACCTTGATGCCCATGCCCTGAAGATAGTCCAGCTTGCTGACGAGTCCGCGCAAGTCACCGCCGTATCGCAACTGTGTCTCCCTCCAGTCCTGCTCGAACATGGTGCCGAAGTAGTCGTTGTTTGTCGGATCGCCATCGGCAAACTTGTCCATGAGGATGGTGTAGGTGGGGAGGGCGCGCCAGTTCTTGGGCGACGCGGTATGCTTGTCGCCAGGGTAGGAGGTGGAGTATTGGGTGGGGTCCGTCGCGTCCTTGTTCTCATTGATGTTATAATCGGTGAGGGTGTCGTTGTAGGGAGCGGCCGCCACCAGGGACGAGCCTGCCCAGGCGAAAAGGGCGAGTGCGGTTGAGAACCGCATAGCGCGAGACTCGGAGAGCAGGAAGGAAAGTCGGGGAAAACGAAAGCTACGCCGGGATAAGGAGAGGTGTGAGATTGGAGGCGACGCGGGAGGCCTGAGATGACTCGGCGGTACCCTTCTGCGAGGAGATGGAGAGGAACGCCGCGACCAGCACCAAGAAGTTCGGCGCGAGGATGAGGGAAAGAGGAGAGCTGGATGCGTGCGGGCCAGCGACTTATTGACCGCTGATTGGCAAATCCCTGAATATCAAATCGCGACAGGCACACTGATCCAGGATCGGCCGGCGTCCCCGGCACAGCCTGGCACAGCCTGCAAACTTCCCGGCCCTCGATGCTCCCACGCCCTCTCCGTCCCTCGGCGAGCTCCTGTCCGACATATCCGCATATTCCGCTTGTCGCCTCTGCACCCTCAAATCCCCTCCATATGTGCGCCAGAAATTCCGGCGAAATTGCGCTCTTCATCAAGTGTTCTGCGGCCATCGCTCACCGCAAACAGGTCGCCATATCGGCAACTCTCGGTCGCATGGCTGTCAGCAATGCATTAGGTAATCGGGGATGCCACAAAATCACACAGGGCACCCCGGATCTGCATTGAGCGGGTCGCAAGCGGCCCTGCAGCGCCGCCGCTGCGGCCAGGCATTCGCAAGGCTGCTACGGAAGCAGACTCTCTCCGTAACATACGGGGAAGGTCATGAAGAAATCTGTGTATGGTACAATGCTTTCTTCCGTCTTGTACTTCCCCAACGAGTACAAAGGACTCAGGCCCTGAATCCAGCGGGGGCGGGGCTGATATCCATCTGTCAACTCGCATAGATATCCGCCAAACTTCAGTCTCGTCGACTGCGTCCACGACAGAGAAATCGACAAGGAATGCGACAGAAACATGCTTGAGCATGAGTGGTCGTGACAGCATCCCGTTGGAGACGGGCCCGCATCGGGTTGAGGGGCTAGAACTTTGGCTTCCATCTCGCCTGTAAGGCGGAGGGGTGATGCGGGTCTTCCCCACCCCGATATGTTGCGCCGCATTTTTCGAAGACCAGCGCGCTCCATATGAGGGGAAAATCGCAGACAATGACAGAGAGGAGGGAGTCTGACGAGAGGATGAGGTTGGCATGGAGTCGATGATGGAACTTTGGAAGTTCGCGTTGAAGTCCAAAATGGTCGGTCCGGCAAATGCCGTAGGGGCGGCAGCGTGGCGTCGCACTGCCCGCTGTTGGACGCACGCACTCACGTTCGACCGGAAAGTCGAACACCGGCACATCACTCGCATTCACGACCATCATGGCGCTCGGACTTGAAGGCTACGGCAGCGGTAGCGACAGTGATAGCGACAACGAGACCACGCAGGTCGCACAGCCCGCCAAGTCTACTGCACCCCAGGCGTCTTCCTCAGGCTCAAAGCTTTCCCTCCCCCCACCGAAGACCACGCAGGCTCGCACTGGAACCAAGAAGGTTAAGATTGGACTTCCCTCTCTGAAGCCAGCAGCGGAAGATGAAGATGATCTGGAGAGCGAGAAGCCCCCAGCAAAGAAGCCTCGCCTTGCGCCAGGTGCGGCGGGAGGACGGTCGGCGCTGCTGTCCATGCTGCCTGCGCCGAAGGAGAAGAATCCCAAGCCACCAGCTCCAGAGAGGGTACTTGGAGGCGGCCAAGGGAAAGGCTTGGTATTCCATAGTCGCCCGTCCGCACCAGCAGTGAACGCGGATGACGCAGACGAATCCGCGGCGCCTGCTGCATCGAAGCCAATTCCGGAGTCCAAATCGACATCGGATTCGCCTGCACCACCTACATCCACCCCGATGTTCATGCCAACGAACCTCGGTGGCAAGAGAAAGGCCAACATCTCCCTTGAAGAGAACGGCGTCAGCCGATCGGCCGCCAAACCACCTCCCATATCCGCCGCACCTCCGGTCGACTTCTTCTCCCTGGGCGCAACCTCTCGCCCCCTGCCTACCGCCGGATCCTCCTCCACTGCTTCCTCTTCCTCCCCCGCCGCCCCCTTGGTCCCCTCCCGCTCCGCCGCGCCTGAGATCCCCACCTTCCAGCCCCCCGAGCCCACGCCGACGGACCCCTACCCGGGCTACTACCAGCTCCCCTCCGGCAAGTGGGAGGCCCACGACCCCGCATTCTACCAAAAGTTCTACAAAAAGTGGCAGGCCGAGTACGACGCGCACGTGCGCGCGCTCGAGAAGGGCCAGGTGCGCGGCTTCGAGGACATGGACGAGAGCCAGATGGGCGAGGTCGACGCGGCGGCGGAGATGGAGCGCGCCAAGGTAGAGGTGAAGCTGCGGGAGGAGCGCAAGGCGCTGTCGAGGGGCGCGGCGGCGTTTACGGAGCAGCCGAAGATGAAGATCACGGTGAGTGGGCTTCGGGGGTGGGTCAGGAAGTTGGGAGCTGACGTGGATTTGCAGGCTTCGAAGTTGTCGGGCGTTGCGCGGTCGAGGCATCAGCTTGCGACGATGCTTCACGAGGCGTACAACAACCGCGAGGCTTTGGAGGAAAAGATCGCGGAAGGACGACGCAACCGGAAGGAAGCAGGCAACAAATACGGTGCGTCAACCCTCGCATACTTTGCTGTCGTCACTGATTGTCCTTGCTAGGTTTCTGAGCTATCACTTGTGTCGGACTTACGACGCACTCTTTACTATCGTCCACTACGCGCTCATGTGCAATTGAATACAGCAAACATATCTAATGCTCGCGACCTTCTGCTTCCTTGCGGAAGATATCGATCAGTCCAATGAGCTTTTACCTGCCTGAGTCCTCTCAAAGTAAACGTATGGCCTGCGCCGCCAAGTCCCACAAACACCGCTATGATCCAGGAAGGAAAGGTCGACTGCGCCCTTCCTTTATGTTGTCTCTTGAACGTAGGGGAAGATGAGGTGGTGCAGGATGACCGCGCTATACCAAGTTTCCCCGCGGAGGCGACTCAGAACGTCGTTTAGTCGATGCTCAACAGCACAGTTCCGGTGGCCTCCTTCTATGCACCATACCCTTCACCCTCCCGCACTCTACACCCGAAGAATGCCTGATAACTTCAACTTGATCAACCCACTTCTACGTAGGTACTACACTAGAGATACAACGATCAAGCGGGCAGCGTTTGCACCGTCCCAGTAGCTGTATAGAATTATATATTGTATGTAGAGACAAAGGAACGTACGGGATCCGGGGAGCAAGTGTCCGTCATAGCAAAAGTCTTTGAAGCAGAGCGAACAATGGCGAATGAAGACGCAGAGAATAGCGAAAAGCGAAGACCTGTGCCAGGAGTGAAATGTCCGTTTGTTAGTATCCGAAGTCCTCTGTGTGCAGTTCGATCATTCCCCGAGGGTCCCCTTTGCTGATTCGGTCGGGTCGTAGTTGTTGTGCTACTGCTTTGCGCACCATTGCGCTGAGGGATGTGGGTCCACAACCTGGGCAGAAAGTCAGCGACGCGCTCGACGAGGGAGGTGGCGAAGTACTCACAGGCTACCACCACGGACCCCCTCGACTTCTCGACCTCATCCGCGAGTATGCGGTCTATCCGTGGCTTCCCTGGTCGCGCAAACTCGGACACCCGTGCGACATCCCGCAGCTCCTCCGAGCCCACGAGCAACCGCGGCCCCTCCGCCTCGAGCAGATGCTTTTCGTCCCCGAACGCCGACCATGGGGTACTGGGTCGACTGTCCGAGTCGATAAGCGTTGACGATCCGCGCGACGAGCTGGCCATCTGCGACGCCAACTGAGACGAGCTTAGGTGATATTGCGATGCGTTGCCGAAGGCGCTACTCGAAGAGGCGCGCGCGTCCATGGGCGACTCTGGCCCATAAACGGATCGCTCGTCATCGCTGTCCTCGATCAACGCCGGCAGCTGCGGTGCCAATGATATCCGTGGCGGTGCCGCACCAATGTCAACTTCGCCAGCGTACTTCGACGCCCGTGCGTACGCAAGCTCACTGTCCTCGCCCAGCAGCTCCGCCGTCGACCCGCGCGAGCCAAGCTTCTGCCGCGCCTGCGCAAGATGCGCCGCGTCTGGCATCCGCCCATCCTCGTCAGGCATGATATCCTGAAAGCCGCTCGTGCTCATGCGTATTGCCCGTGACTGCGCCCGAAGTCGTCGACCCGCACGCTGCACTCTGCGACTCAGACGCGCCTCGCCAGACAGTCGTCGCGAGTCCCCGCCTTCGTCGCCCTCGAAGTCCGTTAGGTCGCGGGTGTAGTTCTCGCCAGGGGCGCCTGGTCGACTCTCCTCGTCTCCGAACTCGCCCGTGTAGTAACTGAGGTCCACGTACGCATCCATATCATACGCATCGGCCACGTCGAACTCGCTAGGGCCTGGGCTAGCAGATGGCGTATACGGCGTAGGGCTATAGCTCGTCGAAGCCGAGAGGGGTGATGGTAGATGCGATGCATGCGACTTGGGCGACAGCGCATCGAGCTTGTCCTTCGGGGGCTTCACAGGTGGAAGAGGCTGCATCGCGCCCGTCACGAACATGCTGACCTCCAAAGCCGGTGGCGGCACCATTTCCATGTACCGCCTGAGCTCCGTCGCGCACCAGGTTAAATGGGCTAGTTGACGCTGGTCAGCATCTTGGCATCGATCCCAAGCGCACCACTCACAGTACTCCCGCATCAGCCATATGAAGCGAATACGCCGCGTCGCACCCTTCCCGCGCACGAGATCCTCGCACACATGCGCAAGGACGGAGAGCCCGTAAGCCACGCCCACGCCGCCAACAACAATAACCACCGTCGCATGCCTCCCCCAATGCGCTCGCACAGCGCTTCCAAAGGGACCCTCTACGAACATCCGTACAGTAGTATTCCCACCCTTCTTCGCGACGAAGTCCCATAGGTCCCGCGTCCAGCCGTCCTTGGCGCGGATGAGAAAGACGAGCGGACCTCCCTCAGCCGAAGCGACAGTGAAGGGATGTGTAATCGGATACGGTGCGACCCCAGGGACGTTGATGAGGAAGTGCTGTCCGGGTGCCCAAGAAAGCGGACCGGCGGGCAGCATCGTGAGTCGAGTCGTCGCACCTGCGAGTAGCTCGGCGCGGGCGTAGCCTGGCTTCGGAACATCGGGGAGGGGTGGCGGTGGTGGCGCAGCGGGTGGGTATGCATTGTTGCTCGGTCCTTTTGGGACTCGGAACGGCTGGGGAGGGGGCGGCATTTGGGCATGGATAGACTCAAGGAGGTACCCGTTCGCGTTGAGCCACCACACCGCGCGGTACGCGCGCTCGCCGATCCAAACGGCCAGCGCTGCCCAGCACCATTGACCAACGGGGGGATGATGTAGGGCACTCATGATGAGTGTGCATGGGATGAAGATGACATGCATGATGTAGAAGGACTCGTAGTGGTAGCGGCGGATTGGGTAGAGTGAGCAGATGATGATCAGCGTCATGGAGCCAAACGCCTGCAGGACCGTTCAGTAAGCAGTAGCGGCGAGGAAGAGGCTATGATCGGGGAGAGATATTACAAGCGAAGGATGCGTTGATGAATGAGAAAGGGGGTTACGATCGAGGATGGAATTACGCACAATCCAGCCAAAGATAAACTTCTGGTATCCAAAGGCGTAGGTGTACGCAATCTTGCCAGTACGCTCACGTTTCTCGGTAGCCAGCTGGACACTCCATAGACCCACGTGGAGGACTGTGAGGAGGTAGATGAGGTATCCGGTCCAGCGATGCAACCAAGAGAGCTTGTCGAAATGCGTCTGCATTGTGAAGGGGAGCGCGAGGATGGCGAAGGGGGGTGACTTAAGTGCGAACAGTACGCAAAGGGGAAGGAGGGCGAATGCGATGAGTCCCGTACGCCCCCCTGCAGTCCACCAAGCCTTGGAGATCGTATAGGTTGGCTGGTACTGCGTGTACCAGTTGATGTCGTAGATGGCGCGGGGGATGAGGTCGCGCGTTTGGAAAGAGAAGAGGGGGGCGGTGGGGGCGAGGTAATCGGGCCCTACGAAGGACAGGGCGAGCGCGGCGACGAAGATGGCGATGAGGGTGAGGATCTGGCCGTTCGCGGGGAGGGAGCGGGGCGTCAAGCGGGTGCCCTTGCGCGCGGCGAGGTTGGCGATGTGCTTCCCGCGCCACGTCCTGCGGCGGATCGCCCACTTGTTCCAGCGGGCGGCGAGGGAGGAGCGGCGCGCGGGGGAGAGGTGCAGCGCGGTGCAGACGAGGAGGACGGCGGCGACGGCGCACCAGAGGATGTACATGTACACCCGCGAGTTCGCGCTCAGCATGTGGATCGTCAGGTAGGCGGTCATCCACTGCAGGTCGTCCGTGTACGTTGGCGTCGTCGGGTTCGCATCGCCGGTTGCGCGCGCAGCAAGCATGTGCACAGACGACGTTGACATCGTCGTCGTCTCTGTGTTTTCCGCGTCTCTTCGTCTTCGTCCACCAGGAGTAGGGGTTTAATAAGGGGATTATCTCGGTGACATGCAAGGAGCCGGGGTGAGGGTAGAAACCAAGAAGTTGCCGGTCAAAAGTGCGCTCCTTCGCAATAGCCGCCGCGCATATGGAAACGGGTGAGTGCGAGTTCCCCCCTTTCCCCCTGACGAATTTACCCGATGATCTCATTTCCAAGGGTCAGAATTCCGTTTGGGAACTGCCCTTGTTCTTGGAGAACCAAAGCAATGGAATGCAGAACGGGTCCACGGGAGGCCCGTATTTCTGGGTGCGCGACGAAGCTCAAGACTCAAGAAGGGACAGGGCCCGTCAACCCCAGAGACTGACAGCTTCCAGTCAAGCATCATTTTCGAGAGGATACACACATACAGAATCACTAGCCGGAAAGTACTTGTAATACCGCAGAGAGCCCGCGCACTCTGATGGTAGAGTTACACCACATGCGCTGGAAAACACTTACACCCACGAATCGCGCACCAGCTTATGTAGCGCAGGCTAGAACGACACTCACTCTGCTGTAAACCTATAGTCGAGTACACGGACTGAGGAAAGTCATGTCTTGAGCTGCAAGCTCGCACTTGAGCTCAACCTGAGCTTGTGTCAAGATGAGTTCCGCGGTAATCCTCCTCAATCCGCGAGTGAAGTCTAAAAGTGATCGGCAGTTGGAACTCCAGCAATTTGGCCACCTCTTGGGCAATCCTGAACTCGTGCAGCTGGTCCGTATACGAGATAGATGAACCTCACTTTCGACTAGATGTGTGACGCCTGCGTGTGACCTTTCGATTTCTCAACTTCGCTCTTACTTGACTCCTCACTAGGCCTTACTACCCTCCTTTACTACAAGGAAGGTTATCTCTGTCGGATCACTATTGCGAGCTCGTGTGGCCGATCCTACTCACCGCAGGCTACGTTGGTCCGAACTTTCACGAGCAGTGTTTCGGTATCGAGTTTGGCCCGACAACTGTTCAAGAGGCAGACATGAAAGTCGGACAGGGTGAGGTCGAGATGTGCATGATATTCGTACAGGATCACATTGCATGAAGCATAAATACATAGCGTAGGCATGGCCAAGATAGGTGGGTCCAATCTACTTCGCACCGGCAGAGAACTCTGTTCACGAAGTTAGTTCAGGTTGGAGGGTGCGGACTAGGGGTAACGCACTGGTAACGGACTTCGTCCCCTCCGAGATAGCGTGCTTCGCCAGCTCACCAGGGAGAATGAGGCGGACGGAGGTCTGAATCTCGCGCGACGAGATAGTCGACTTCTTCGAGTACGCAGCCAGCTCTGCGACAAGATTAGCGCAGCCCTGAGGCCGTGAAGGCAAACGCACTAGATGCTTCGGTAGCAATGCGCTCGAAGATATCGTTCACGAACGAGTTCAGGATGGCCATGGCCTTGTTCGAGATACCCGTGTCAGGGTGGACCTGCTTCAGCACTACGCACCCCATGTCAGCGTATCTCAACCCCTTTCCCTGCCATGCTACGCACCCTTGTAGATGTACGAGCTGTAGGTCTCCTTGCGCGTCTTCTTGCGCTTCTTCTTCTCGCCGTCAGCGGGGGCAGAGGCCTTGCTCTTGCTCGCCGTCTTCTTCGCCGCGGTAGACTCAGCCTTGGCCGGCGCCTTCGACGCGGTCGACGCGGGGGCCTTGCCGGCGGTGGAAGCGGGCTATTCCTGGTCAGCCGACGCGTCCAATCTCATAAGCGCTCCATTACACACCTTGGGGGCCATTGAAGATGATACTTTACGACGTGGTATTCAGTTGCAGGTTCAAGCAAGTGGTCCGGTCGACTCACGAAGACGGGTGGGGGAAGGGAAGGTGGCGGTTCGGGACAAGAGCGGTTGGTCAACAACGCGTCGCGATCGAGATAAATACTGACACGTGACCTGCTTCCCCGCGGCGGCGTCACAGGGTGAGTCACATCACACCCAGGCTTGCGCTTGCCGGCCATGATGCGGATGCCACTTCATTCCTGTCCACCATGGTCCTGGATGCAAGGACCCTCAGACTGAGTACATCTGTGTCTCGCTGTGTAGCTCGCTTGTCATCCCCACGTCGCTTGCACACGGAGACCCTCGCGCAATGGATTGATTCTCCGAAGGAGGCAAACTACAAGGATACACTTCATACAGAGCGTCTCGCTGACCTCTTCGCGACTCTATCGACGCGCGATGGCACGCGCAAGCCCTACGAAGTACCTCGAGCTGGCGAACCCCTTCCCTACGGACATCACTTGACCTTCTTCTATCCGCGTTCGGCCGAGCCGAACTTGCGTCCAGACGGCACAGGTAAGAACATGTCCATCGCTGCAGACACGGGAATGTGTCCAAACAGTGCCATTGCTTGAGCAGTGCTACATTAATAGCTTCCACAAACATTTCGCGTGTATTGGTGGAATGTCTATTCTTTGACTGAACAACTCAACGACGTCCAGATGGAAGTTTCTGCCCTCCAGCACCCTTCATCCGTCGCATGTGGGCCGGAGGAAGCATGTCGTGGGACAATACACACCCGTTACGCGTTGGTCAATCTGTGAACGCGGTCGCCACGGTCGACGAAGAGGGCGTACAGCTAAAGAACGCTGGGATCAAGAGCGCAGGGGCTGAAGAAGACTTGAAGGAGCACAACAACAAGACTCTTCACCTGAACAAGTCCTCGATGGTCTTCGTCAACCAGCATATTGCGTACACAGCCGAGGGACGACGCGCTCCTTCGCTTGTCGAGCGTCGCAGCCATGTCTTCCTTCCCGGTGCCGTGCCGCGAGGTGGGGCGCCCAAACCAGGTAGGGATGCCTGCCGTCGAAGACACCCATCATCATGCTAACACGTGGTGCTCAGTCGACAACCTACCTAACCCTCAGTTCTCGCTGGAGTACATGCCGACGGCGACGACTCTCTTCCGCTTCTCGGCCCTTACCTTCAACGCGCATCGAATCCACCTTGACAAGGAGTACGCTCATGAGGAGGGTTACTCTGGTGAGCCTGCGCGCCGACCGGCTCTCAACGCTCGCAGCAAATGCTTACTCGCGAACCAGAGCGCCTCGTCCACGGCCCGCTCACCGCTTTGATGTTTTATGGAGACCATGGCGTACAACTTTCCCTCCGCACGCCCAGTCTACTTTGAGTACCGCGCCCGCAACCCGCTCGTCGTCGGCAAAGCGTGCATTATCAATGGCGCTTGGCACGATAAGCGGACCGCGCTGCTCTGGTGCGTGAACGAGGACGGCGTCGTCGGCATGACGGGTTCGGTCGTCGTAGAGGAGCAGTGAAGGTAATACTGCGGGTTCGATGAACGGCATGAAGAACAATGCATAGATGCACAATCTAATGAACTGCGATCTGCTAGACGAACTTCGACTGCTTCATCCCCCAATCCCCACCGTCGCCCGCTGAAGCCGATCATTAGTAAGCGCACCCGAACATGAAGTCGACCACTCATCTATACAGGAGAACGGCAGCACCGCGAGGACAGCAGGACAAGCCCGCCATCCCCGCGGTGCAAGGAAAAAAGGCCTCTGTAACTTGCAGGTTAGCTCCCCGGCATGACCTGAAGCACGCAAGGTACTCATCTGATGCAAGGAATCGTGCGCTGTGTACCGGCCGGCATCTACTCACCCAACTGCGCCGAGTCGGGGCTGACCCGTCACCGTGCACCCTCGACCGGGCAGCGACCGTCCTGCAACCCAGTACACGGACCGGGAGGCAGGGAATTGCCCTAAGCGGGGGTCCCCTTGGACGGCCCACACGCACGCGGCGGTCGAGCTGGACGCGACTGCCCCCGGACGGGCCTCGCACGAGGGAAGAGAACTGAGTGATCCAATCAGTCTCGGGTGAGAAAGGCGAGGGGCGATGTACTGATCTCATCGAAGCGGTTCCAAGCAGAATACTAGCCCAGCATCTACTGCACCGACTGCGCCGAGTCGGGCCTGACCTGTAGCCATGCACGCTCGACCGGGGAGCGACCGTCCTTCAGACTGGCACACGGGCCAGGCGTCAGGGAATTGCCTTAAGCGGGGGTCCCCGTGAACGGCCCGCACGCAAGCGGCGGTCGAGCTGGACGCCTTTGCCCCGTCTTGATGGGGGCCTCGCAGGCGAAACTGGCACTGAATGGTACTGTCAGTCCCACGTCACCGGTGAGACGACAAGAGGGGCACTCATCTCATGGTAGAGGATCGGATACTGCGCACCGGCCGGCATCTACTCACCCAACTGCGCCGAGTTGGGGCTGACCCGTCGAACCGTGCACCCTCGACCGGGAGAGCGGCCATCCTGCAACCTGGTACACGGACCGTGAAGCAGGGAATGCCTTAAGTGAGGATCCCCGTGGACGGCCCACACGCAATCGGCGGTCGAGCTGGACGCCTTTGCCCCATCTTGAAGGGGGCCTCGCACGAGGGAGGTCGACTATGCAGCCACCGTCAGTCCCGGGAGCGTACAACGAAAGGCGAGTCCACTCATCTCTTTGCAGAGGTCCCAAGCCGCGCCCCAGCCCCGGCATCTACTCACGCAACTGACGCCGAGTTGGTGCTGACCCGTAAGCCGTGCACGCTCAAGAGCGGTGTAGCGGCCATCCTGCGCCCGGAACCGGTCCAGGCAGCAGGGAATGCCTTAAGCGAAGGTCCTTGCGAACACGGGCCCGCACGCAGACAGCGCTCGAGCAAGGCGCGGGGACTCGCTCTGGAGGTCCCGCACCTGGGATGATTCGTTAATAAGATGTTCGGCGGTGATGAAGACGAACCGAGAGGAACGCCTTGAGTCAAGAGGGAAGAAGGTCACACTAAGCTCACAATGAGCGGGGGAGCTAAGAGCAGGTAAGCGATCGCCTGACACACGCGCGCGCGAGAACTTACCGTGACCTTCCTCTAAGGAGGAAAGCACGAGATGGAGAGGGAGGGCGCCATCCGAAGAGCATCCCGAACCCGTTTTGCGCCGACTAAGAGCCCTGTACAGGAACTCACCGAGGAACGTCGGGAAGGGACTGCTGAGCGGATGAGAGGGAAGACGTGGAGGATAGGCGCTTTTTATGCCAAGGTCAGACATAAGATTGATGGCTTGTGATTGATGAATTGCTTAGGATTATAACTGAATGTCTGTGTCCGCCTGTCAAAAGGTGTACACCAGCGCGCTAAAACGGAAATTACCGTGAAAACAATTCGGAACTATCTTCAAACAGCGGTGAAAAGGTCTAGTGTATGAGAAAAGTAGGCAAGCGCTGTATATTTACTCGCGACCCTCTGACAAAAATTCCATGACCACTGACGGTACGCTCACATTGTTGAAGAATAGCAAGCTGCATCCCATTTGGCCGCCCAGACATCTCCACTCGCTAGCGTCGATGGTCTGCACACTATGTCACGGAGGCTAAGAAGTATGCGAGTGTCGCTCCATAGGATACGGACGGGGCCCCAATCAACGCACGAGGTCAGGAGCACGGCGGAAACTGTTGCCTTACGGGGAAATACTTTGCAAGCTGCCCCATATAGATATCCCGCTGTGCGCGCCAATCGTGACGTCATTGGTACGGTCCAGTGCAGTCGCGACGCGTCGTCGCTTTTATCTCGTACCACTCGCTTGACACGTCTAGAGCGCGTACAACTCCAGCGACGACATTCTAACTTTTGTTCTCCTTCCACTGTACCAAGACCCGGGCATTACAGGCACCCTCGTCGTGATTACAGAGATTGGCTCGCGCTACCCGATCGACGTAAGCACCTCTTCACTTCCTTGGTGAACATACTCTAATCATATCTCACTTAGACTCAGTCATTAACTATGCAACAAGACGACAAGAACCATGTCCAGCCCACGGCGCTCGAATCGGGCCAACAGTTGGCGACTAGCGATTCTGCTCTGTCCCCCGCGCGGCGCATTCCAGACGATATTCTTGCAAAGATATTTGTCACTGCGCTTGAACAAGAGGGGCCCCCTTCGGAACGACGCATGGGGAATCGGGCGTTTATGCTCGTTTGCCACGAATGGTCGCGGAACACCCCATACCTATGGACCAGCATCACCTACACTCCCTTCCTCTCTATGGTCAAAGTCAAATTCTCCAAACTCGTCGAAATGCACATTGCCCTCTCCGGCGCGCTCCCGCTGCACATCTACATGTGGTCCGACTTCCCCGTCCCGATGGTGCGGTCTCCGGACCACATCGATATATGGGACATGCTCGTAGCCGTCTCGCATCGCTGGGTCTCGTTTACGACGCAGATCGAATTCCTGAACCTCTTTGAAGGCGAGTTGGACCTACCGATGCTCGAGTACGCCAAGATCTGTGCTACCGATAGCAGGATCCCCATACCGCCTCTCGCGTGTCTGAAGCGCGCACCCCAGCTCAAGTACGTGCACCTCGACGTACCGTGGATGGCGGACAACGTCAGGATCGACACCAGTCCCTGCCGCCTCACCCGTCTATCCGTCCGACTCGCCGGTGGACGCAGGGCTCGGGACACCATGCTGGATCTGCTCCGGGAGTGTAGCGCATCGCTGCGCGAGTTCTCCTGCGTCTGGGAGTGGGTCGAAGGGCCATCCGACGCGGCTTCCTTGGGCCCACCCCTCCTGATGCCCGCGCTGGAGTGCATGAAAGCGGCCACCATAGGGCACCAGATTCTGGCGTGCCTGGCTGCTCCCGCGCTCAAGCGCCTCGTCCTCGACATCGCGCTCGATCCGTGGGAGTGGCTCCTGTGCATCGTGCGCAACGGCGACGCGGGCCGCTCGCTGCGCGAGCTTGACCTCGGCCTCCTCACACCGCAACTTCCTACCCTTGATCCCGTGCTGGACATCCTGCGCGAGCTCGACGCGCTGGACACCCTCCGCATCTGCGACTACGGGCGCCCGTGGCCAGTCTCGCTTCCCGGCCGACTGGTCGAACCGTTGACGTGTGGGAAGGGCGACGAGGCCGACAAGCCTTGGCTGCCGAACCTCCGATGCCTTCATACCTTGTTCTTCAAGAGCGAGACGACCGTGGACGAGATACTCAAGGCCTTCTATCCGCTCCGCGTATCGCGAGCCGTGGAACGGAGCGTCGCGGGCTGTCTGGTCAAGCGAATGCAGGAAGTTTCCTACTTCCAATTCACCAATGATAATGTAGATATCAGCGGCTCTCGAGCGTACCCTTGATTGGGGCTGAAGGACGGTAGCGAATATTATAGAACATGAATGCCTCGTCACATGTATACTCATCATAGACAGATAGAGCGATTGCCCAGATATCCCTACTTGCGCACTACGGCGCCCGACTGGATTACACGTCCTGTGCGCGCTATGCGCGCGACAACTTCGTCGTACGGTATTGTGCCCGTCACGATCACTTCCTGACGATCCAAGTCCACGGTGAAAGCACGCACACCTGATTTTCCAAAATAACGTAAGTGCTTTCCAGTCATCGACGAGAAGACAGGCTGCGTACCATCTCCCTTTGCTCGGTGCAATGCGCGAGAGACGAGACCTGAGCAGCCAGTGCATGTCATCTGCAAGCCCTCGATCAGCAGTGCTACACCAAGACAGGCGCTGTAGCACACCTTTACATTGAATTTGTAGGTCTGCTCCGCCTGCACCATCGTGCACCAACCAAACGACCTTCAGATCGACGCGAGAAGATTCGTTAGCGGAGGTAGATGAAGCAGAGGAACGCTACCTGTCCTCGCACTGCGCGAGGGGATATATACACCGTCGCGCTGGCAGACGACTGCCAGCACAGGACTCCGCATGCTCCAGCTCGTTGTTGGCGATGGCGTCAGCCGCAAACGCTGTCTACCGTGCACAATTCAGTCTCTTCCCGCGCTCTACCTTCGCAGCTAAACTTGCTCATCGCAGGCACGCTGCCACGGTCATTGTACCGTCTTGAGGGAAAGGACGTGGCGCCGTAGCGCTTTGTACCAAGGCTTCCTATGTCGTGTCAAGCCCACAGGGTGTCGTATCAAGCCCGCAGGGTGTCGTGTCAAGCACCCAAGTCATCAGGGTATAGCACGAGTTCGCCCAAGAGCCCATAACATCGTGAGAACGTACTGCTATCGCCCATGTGTCCTTCCCTCCGTCATCTCTACTGGCTCTGGCTCTTCCGTCGCCAGCGTCTCCCACCCGTGCCCGACGCCATGCCCGCCGCCCAATCGGGAGGCTATCCAGGATATGGGTGGTCGGGCAGCTAGCCATTGCGCTGGTGCGCTGGCTGCTATTATTGCTGCGTGCATGATCAGCAAGCGACAAATCAAATGGAGACGAGAGCTCACAGAATATCCTTGGTGTTTCTCTTGCGCGTCCTGTGATGTAGTATACAGGGATCCCCGCAAGTACGAAGGCTTAAGGAACTATAAGCATTCTTCGCAAGCTTGCCTGATAATTGACTTACCCAGCACCGCGCCGGCTTCTAATGGCGCTGCAATGACTGGCATGCATAATAAGAACAATGCTACGGCGCAGAACACGAGCGGCGTTATCAGGAATGTCTTGTAGGGTCTTTGACACGCTAGTGAGCTCCGGGGTCTAACAAGTGCATGCGCGAAGACGCACCTCTCGAGCATCGGTTCCTTCACGCGCAGTATGACCAAGCCGAGGACGGTCAAGAAGTAGAATGCCCAACTCGCTACGACAGAGAAGTTGACCATGCTTCTGAAGCCACCGCCAACGACGATGAAGAGTCCGGTAAGCGCTGCTTGTAGGAGGGCTGCATTGATGGGCGTGCCTCTGAATTGGGCGTGAACGGTTAACTTCGAGGAAGATAGTTGTATGACCAGACGCACCGGCTCGAGTGCAGGCGCCCGAAGAGTGCCGGAAGGTATCCCTCGCGGCCGGCTGCATATACAAGACGTGAGGAAGTGAAGAAGGAGCCTGAAAGTCGATCGTCAGCATAGGGCAACGGCGATATATATGGACGTCTGTGCTCATACCGTTCAGTGCGCCAAAGCAACTGATGGCGACCATGGCCGCGAAGATAGCGCCGCCTGCAGGACCCATTACAGCGCGACCGAAGTCCATCGCCACAGTATTGCTACGACCGACTGTCTCCTGCAAAATATTCAGTCTTTCAACGTCCGACCATATACAAAGGCGACCCACAGCATCGAGCACAACGAAGTAGGACACATTCGCGAGCAAGAAAAGCAACTGCGACGTCGTTAAATAGTGTAATGCATGACAGGACAACAACGTACGATGACCAGGGTCATACTCGAATGTATCGCGCGTGGTATGTTACGAGCTGGATTGTGTATCTCGCCACCGACGTAGTTTGCCTGATCCCAACTGAGAAAATGGTTTGCATCGCTCACAAGCAATGGTGCTAAACTCTACGCACCCGTCAAATGCCCAAAGCCCGGAGTACAATGCGAGCGAGTACGCAGCCGGGCTATGACTTGCACCTTCAAAGAGAGGCCGCTGGAATGCTGATGAGGCCGAACCTCTCGCCAACTGCACGATGCCGATGACAGTGACTGCAATGAGTGCAGCGACCTTGACCGTCGTGAATACAACGGCCGCACGCGTCCCCAGCTGGCGAGTTCCGACAGAGAGTAAGGTGACGACGAATACAGCGATCAGCGCGGTAAGCTTGATAGCCCATTGTGGGATTGCATCGGGGTCAGCTTGCGCGCGCGTTGCGTGGAAGAACAGGCGATTGAGATACTCCGCGAAGATGAGTGAGATGACGGCATTGCCGCCTGCACGTTGTTAGAGGCAAGGGACGGAGGTTGAGAGGGGTAAGGCGCACCAGGCTTCAGCGCGATTATAGCAGACCAGGCGAATAGGTAGGCCATGAGAGGGCCGTACGCGTAAGAAAGGTAAGCCTGCGCGCCACCATTTTGCGGGATAGCGGAGCCAAGCTCCGCAAAGGAGCTCGCACCCGTCCATGCTGCAGTAAATTTCAGGAAAGATATAGGGACGCGCCGCAGGTGTAACGCACCTAGTATACCGGACGCAAGCCATACGAGCAAACTAGCTCCCACTGAGTTCGTGTTCGCTATCACAACTCCGGGTGACGAGCTACGTCGCGAGCATTAGCAACAGACCATCCTTCCCTTGCGTTTGCCTCACAATATACCTGAGCCGATCTAGAGGTCGCGTTAGCGACGGCGGAGACCGCGGGGTGCCGCGTCGCGCACCTGAAGTCCGACGATGAGCGCAATGCCTGCCGCGTCTCGATCAGCTCAAACTTCGACAACACATACAGGCCACACACCATTGATCAGCCCTATGTTCTTCTCATGCTGGTCGCCTCCTGGAAGCGTTTCGGGAGCGGACACGCTTGCCGTCAGCGGGAGCAAGTTCTCCGCGAACTCGAAGCCGCTGATAGAGTACGACCGCCCGCGATGTCCTCTTTCTGGCCCCTGCGCATATTCTAGCGCGCGGAGGGACTCCTCTGACGACGCCGACGACCGCGGCGAGCTCATGTAAACGAGGTGGATGAGGGGAGCAAGACGCGAACGCGGCCCGGACACGCGTGCGCCACCGTGACGGCGTTGCCATTGTTCTCTAATTGTTCGTATCCTTGTCTCCCACCATCATCTGGCTGCATCGACCAATCGAAAGAAATGTGTCTGCTCTTCCTTCCAGCCGATCTTCTTCTCGAAATACAATCGCTTCTGAAGCCCTCCGACGTTTTAGCTTTGCAGTCGGTACGCTCGTTGTTGATATTCATTTTTCGCTGAAGAACCCATTCTGTGTCATCAGACTTGCACATACTTCCGAGATGCTGAGGTGCGCCGACTAGCATGGCAGGATGCTCTTCGACGCGTCATCCAGGAGAACGAGGTTTTCCCTGCCACGTTCCCCATAGAGAGCATGTCTACTGTCGAACTCGCGCACGCAGCCCTAGCGCCGTCAAGATTTCGCCACTTGATCGAACGCAATGGCACGAGCTCCATGCCCTCTAGCAACTCTGACATACCCCTCATGAGCCCGCTTGCCAAATACACCATCACCCACCAAATGCCTTCATTCGACAAGTCCAAGATGAAGTTGCTGCCTGGCGGTCGCTTCCTCCTTGCGTGGAATCAAGACACGCTTCATCTCTATGACTTTGGCTACAGAACAGACAGCTCCTGGCAGAAGAACAAGGACCCCGTCTTCGCTCTCTCGGCTCAGATGCTCACTGGCGTGAATGACCTGGTACAGCATTGGGAATGTGACATTCTGCACACTTTCGACCAGCATGATCTAGTCCTGTTCTTCACGTTCTTGGATTCTGGCGCGGATGACGCAACCTCCTCCATCATAATCGCCTATCGGATCAACAATATAGGCACGAAGCCGTTTGGCAAGGAAATGCGACGCTTTCTCACCTTGCCATCCATCGTGAAGGGCACATCCTGCTGCTTGTGTGCGAGCACCTGTCAACTGGCCTTCATATGCAAAGACGATGTCATCCGAGTATGGGACTACGCACGGAATTCGGTCGCTTCTTTCCGCTCACAATACTGGACTACAGGCATGGTAAGGCTTGCATTCACTACGTGCCGACTTCTGAGCAATAATTAAGAACAGTGTGCTCTGAAGCGCGACATCGTCATCTGCCGAAACAGCGATTGCCAGCTTGTTGTATACGACCTTCCACCTTTTGCACCTGTACATATCGCAGGGCCGGTGGAAGACCTCAAACCCAGCGCCATTGTTCAGTCATGGTCTAATGGGACATGCTTCCCTCTCATGCAAAACAACGACGTATCCGTATTCGATTTGTTCGATGTTAACGGCGACATTGGGCGGTTTCAAGTCGTCGATGAACCGTCAACCATTCGATCTGAGCAGTTTCCACCCTTAGTCGAACTGACCAGGATGGCACCCATCCACCTACCTATCCAGGGTGTCATTGATGCAGGGTATCTCGACTGCCTGGGTCCGCGATTGTGGGACAATGCTATCGCAACGGCTTTCTGCGAGCGCTCATGGCGCCATTGCAGCACCGATGCAATCGACCGTCCGATTGTTAGCCTCACCGTGCACTTCCGGCCCCTCTTTGCAGAGGATCCAAGTCACGACAGATACCTTCAACTGCTTGAGCATCTCGACTCAATGTGGCGGGGTCCTGAGCCGCGGGGATTCGACATGTGTCCTGTGGCAGGTCGCGTCTGCGAGATGCACGGGACGCTCTTGCATGTGTACGACTATCTACCTCCTCCGAGCGATTTCTCTCCTCCTCTCGATGCGTAGAGAGTGGAGCTCCTGCCCAGGACGTCTCGCCAAAGTTCGCACCAGGACCGTCTTTGCCATCACATCGGACCATTATCGCGAAGCGTTGTTTTCTACCTCCTGCGACCCGCAAAGCAGCATCGCGCCAAGTATAGGAACTCATCCTGATGCGGACTCGACCTTCACTACTTGCAGTCATCGTCCTTTATTGCTCGCTTTCACTCTCCCTACTGCGATCCCTCATCCTTCACTGCTCGCCCTCGTCATCCTTCCCCCGCTTCCGCTTCCCGCCCGCCTTCGTCCCGGGACCCCAATTCGCCGTCGGATTCACCTGATACCGCACCAGCTTGACCTTCGACGACGCGCTGACGGTGTCGGGGTGCCGCTTGAAGTTCGCCTCAAAGCTAGGAGGAGGGTCAGCGTGTACCATGCGAAACCGCCGCGCGTCATCGTCGAAATAGAACTCACCTCCCCTCCTTATCCAACAACTTCAACGTCGGCGAGCCCGCAGATATCTTTTCGCGGTTCACCGGATGTGTCTTGACCCAGGCGCGGAAGATGTCGTGCAGCGCGCGGGTGGGTGCGTCCGTTTTGAGCGAGCCGGCAGCGGCGTGCGAGCGGGAGACGGCGTAGCCGGCGTGGAGGAGGGCGGAGCTGGGGAATTAGTTTTTGAGTCAGTATAGTTGGAATGACAGGGAGAGAAGGTTGGGAGAGGATGTGAAGGATGGGCCAGGATGTGAAGGCTAGGAAGGAAATGGCCGCTCACGCAGTCTCGTCCAACGAGGGTGTCACGCAGTGGAAGTGCCCTGCTACGCGCGCGGGCGTGAAGTAGAAAGGGGTGTCGAGTTCCTATGAACATTTATTGGTCAATCATGTATACATGCACGACAAAGGCTCTCACCTCGCTTGCCACCGTCAACATGCCCTTCATGCGCGCCGCAGTGCCATACTTTGCCTTGAAGACATGCCCCTCAATCGACGCATCCGTGGATGCTGGTGCGGGTGCTGACGCATCGGCGGCCTTCGACGAATTTTTGGCATCTTCCGTTGTTGGCGCCTTCGTAGCCGTCGACGCATCTACCGCCTCGCTCTCCTCCACATGCTTCAGCACCTCCCTCACAAACGTCTTGTCGTGCAGAGGACCGCTCCACATCGGGCCTGCAACCTGTAAAAACTTGTCAGTGGCTTACGAGGACAAGTGCGAACTCCGTAGGCAGGTATGCGAGACTCACATGCAATGACCCCTCGCACTCCGGGCAGCGGCCGTCGACCGGTGGACCCGGCGCCGTTCTTGCACTGACGTTCACATTCCCCGACGGCTGGTGCGTCTTCTCGACGACGCGTCCCAGAGGCTGGGCGTAGTGCGCCTGGCAGAAGGAGCAGACGTAGTATGTGGAGGTTTTGCTGGGGGCGAAAAGGTCAGTATATAATATGCACCTTCGAAGTACATGTGCGACGCGTCGATGTGTGCGCGAACGTGAAGCACCAGCACTCACCCGACCAAGCGCTTGACCTCGATGGCTGCATAGCGCACGCGTACGAACACACGGACGTAGAAGTCGATGGAGAGGGACAGAAGCGGCTCGATGGCGCGCCCGTATCTTGCAGCGGCGGTGGCGAGGGAGTGAAGGAGGAGGCGGAGGGCCTAAGGGCTGACTGTCAGCTCAAGAGAGGAGGGGGGAAAGGAGAGCAAGGGAGGAGGGCAAAAACTTACAGATTCATGGCAGTAGTCCGCCTTGACAGAGACGCCACCATAGTTCGAGTAGCTATACTACAGTAAGCACAAGAACGACAAAGGAGGGAAGCTCCCTACGCACCATTTTTCGGGATAGTTCACCGTCGCTAGTACAGCCAAGTCCGTGCAAGTCACGCATAGCAGGCCACCGTCGCGGATGGCTTGTACGGCGCCGTCAATAAAAGGCGCAGCCGTGCCGTACGGGTCGAGGTCAACAACGTCGACTGGGGATGACCGGTGGCTGTAGAGTAGTGCGCTGAGGGGAAGTGGTGGAGGGTCAGCGGATTGTTCGGATTGCAGCGGATTGTTCGTGCGTAGCAATTGTGCGCGCACCATGCGTCCCCTTCGTTGACATGTACGCGCTCTTGAGCCAGAGGGCCATTAATGTCCACATTGCGACAAATGGCTTCGGCAGCGGCAGGGAGGATGTCGTTCGCGATGACGCGACTGAGGGTAAGGAGTCAATACCGTAAAGGATGGTGGAGGAGGTGTCGCACTGTGCGAGAGGTATCTCTTTGGCGTATCGGATGGAGCGGAGTCCCGTCGCCGACAGGGCTTCAAGAATGGTGGTCTTGAGGGGTGCTGGCTGCAGAAAGTCGGCATTGGGTATGGGAAGTCTATGGTGGACGCACCTTGGACGCCTCAGCTTCCACCTCCTTCGGCGCTTCCCCTTCTTGCTTCCCACCTCCATCCTTCGCTTCTGCGTCCTTCGCCGCCTTCGCCCGTTTTCGCGCTCTTCCAGCTTCTCGCTTCGCCTGCCTCTCCTTTTCGCGCATCTCGCTCCAGGTGCGGATGCATGCTATGCTCAGGTCGCGGTTGAACTCCTGCACGGGGTTGAGGAACGCCTCGTCCGCGGCCAGCAAAAGATGCGTCGTATTTTCCGTATGCAGTCGCAGGCCTTCAGGAACAATAATTGAGGTCGTTGGGTCTATGGTTCCCGAGGGTTTAGGCGCGGTGGCGCTTGGAGTACTGGTCGACGCAACAGGCGCGCTGGGGTTGTCCACATCCATTGTTGCCAGGGTTCTCAGGGACAAGCCAAGACGGGGGTGGGGGACCGGTTTGCACAGACGTGCGCGAGTGAGAAAGGAAGATCTGCAGAAGGACAACACCGTGAGCGATCTCGTCCTCGACGTCGGACGCAGACAGTGCACTCAACCGATCACCCGATCACTGAGATAAGATAGCAGCATCTTATCAATACAGCAGCGTGCGCGATGCGAGTTTTAGTGCAGCTTCAAACCTTGGCGCTGCCGTCCGCGCCCTAGGCCCTCTGGAGATGGCTGTCGACTGTCCGCCGGTTGCAAAGCTAGGGATCGCCTGGAACTAGGTTTCAAGGTATGTGTGTCGGCGGATAAGGGTCGGATTCTTGAGTGAGGTCGGCTCCATGCCAGTAAGTCTACCCCACTATCCTACTTGCCAGTGCTCCGCAAGCGCTGAGATCATACCATCTACTCAAAATCCTTCGCTCGCTCTAACGATGTGGCCCAAGAGATTGTCCAAAGGAATTTCCTTTGCATATTGCTTTGGCGCGAGGAAGTTGGGTTAGGATTAGCACATCTGTCATGGACAGTCAAGGATATGGTCGATTATGCATGTTTCTAGGAACTCTCTACCCAGATGTACCTCGTCAACATTGTCTATAAGTTTTCGAAGAAACGTGAGGGGAAAAGTCGAACACTCACGTGAGAAATGTGATAGATCACGGGACGTCACGGCCGAGACAGCCCTGGACCGGCAAATGCCGCTTCCAGGTTTCCATCGCATTCGTTACGATGTTTACACCTTTCTCTCTTACCAGAGGGTCAAGAGTCCATCTTTCTGCCCGAAATAATCCTACACTCTACTCTCATCCCTCATGCCCAGCTCGCAGCGTCCCTTGCGAACCTTGGACGACATTATCCAAGAAATCAGTCTCCTTGGCAAAGCGAACAAGGGCGAGCCCACAGAGATTAAGTCGAATGCCGAGAAGCAAAGGCGGCAGAGGGCTCTTATAGCAGCGCTGGAGACGCTTCTCGCGCATCACCGACCCTTCGCGGCTTGCGATCAAGGCCCTCCGCGCCGCCACCGCTACGACGAACCATTCGATCCCAACACCGCTCCGATGGTCGCTGCCCGGAATGCCATCAGGCAGTACTCCTGGCTGCGAATCCGCCTCAATTCGCTCGAGCACCGCGCGCCGTCGGCCGTATGGACGCTGCTACAGGCGTACGAGCCGGTCGCGCTCGATTGGGTCCACCTGCTGCACCCACGGCACAAGCTCGTGCGACGCGATGAGGATAACACGGTCAGCCTTCGACTCGTTGAGGAGACCCTCATGCTCCTCGACTGTCTGCTGCTCCCGTCTTCCAAGCGCCCCACCGCCCTGCGCGACTTCGCCCTTACAACAAACCTCATACCGTACACGGTCGACATCTGGGCAAACCTCTTCCGATACGTGAAGGATCCTCCGGAGAAAACCGTCTTCCGCGCCGCCGTTGTCCTACAGATGGCTATGACAGCGGTATGGGACGCCGCCCACCGTGTGCCGCCCGTAGTCGCAGAGGCGCTGGTGCAGTCGCTTCGAGGGCATCCGAGACCCCTCTGGCACACTCTCACGGCGTACTGGCAGCAGTTGACTTCGGAAGAGTGCGCCGATATCAACGAATGGCTTATATCCTTGGCAATAGGCCTGATTCTGGATGTACCGGAAGTGAGGCCTATGACCTGCCCGCGGGAGGTCATCCGCTACGCCGTCAAGGCACTGGACAGTTACCATACCCGAAAATCGTGGGGCGCGGTGACGAAGGTGGCTAATCTTATTTATCTTCTGGTATCCGAGCCGCGTGACCACAGGGCGCTCGAGTGGGCCATCCGGGACGACCTGTTTCTTGCAATCCGCCGTCTGGCCGACGATTCAGTAGCACTGCTGCAGACAGGGGTGAACGAGGCGCTCGCCGGGCTCGCGGAGAGGTTATACCAGGGGTTCAACTTCTGGCGTGTGGCACGCGCCTTTCACGACAAGTACAGCGACTACACGTTGCTAAATGACTCCCATGCCCTCCTGAAGGATATTTTCATTGCGTACCGAGAGCGGCGACAGGCAATGCTAGACTCGGAGCGGCAATGGAAAGAAGTCAAGCGACATTGCTCTTACGGCAAGGTGCGACACTTAGTTTGATTTTCTAGCATGACCCGGCTCACCTTTCACATCAGTGTCCCCTAAAATCCACCTCTCACGAGTCGCCACCCCAACTATTCACATGTGTGTGCCACTCCGTATACTACTGCTCCAAGGACTGCCAACGAAAGCACTGGCTCATGGGTCACCGGGATAGCTGCGATTGGAGCGTTGGTGAGTCATGAAAAATTGGATGATCTGCGCTGCATACATATAACCACCGCCAGAAGGACAGACCCGGTACCGCGACTTCCACTACATCATCAATATCTGCCTCTTCTACGCGGCGGTGCACCGGGACGCCATATTTGACGAGGTCCACCGCATCGACCCGAATCGCGAGCACCACATCGATATCCTGGTCGATCTGAAAGCACCCGAGGTTCGCCATCGCATTGAGCTTGGTTCCCCGCTTGGCGAGGACACCCCGCATACCAAGACTGGTCCTCATGACAAGGACGTCCCGCTCGACAAGGCTGCGCCGGCTGAAAAGGCCGTCCACCACGTCAAGCGTTGCGGCATAATTGAAGCGCGATGGGTCGACGGACATGAGTTTGTTCGCCGGACTCTCGGGACTGCTATAAACCTCAATGTCTGGGAGGATCACTATACAATATCCACGAATAACTCATCGCCCTCGCTATCGAGCGATTCTCCCTCTTCGCTATCCCATGATTGTCCATCGCGCTCCAGCGATGCTTCTTCCTCGCAATCCAACGACTCCACCCCGCTACCACCTGGCTACACCTACAGTACTATGCCACTTATTCCTGAGCCCGGCGCTGCTAATATTGCACTGGCGCCACTCAATCTGACGGCCATACAGGTCGGAAGAGTCGCGCAGGATTGACGCTGCATATACACACACTTCTTTTATAGTGTTTGTCTTCCCATGCATCCCATGCATGATAACATTATAATTCCTCCACTAAACAAGGCGGACGTTGTCTATGATCCAAGAAAATAGACCACAACGAAAACCCTCTCAGGCGTCTTCCGATGGCGCCCACAATACGCATCGTCCACTTGCATTTCCGCTGACTGCGCGCTCTACGATGCTCGGGTGCGAGCATGTAACCGCTTGCACTGCAGTGATCCTGGCGAAATCGTCAGTGATAGCTCCTCCGAAAGGCACAGCCAACCCTCGCCCGAAAGGCGTGGCTGCCACCCTCCCGAAGACAGAACCAACGCTCACTTCGTCTTATCCTCCAACCTTGCCAGCAAATCCCCCTTCGCCGAAAATATATCCAACGAGTGGTGCATGTTCCCGACCGTGAAGTGCGGGTAGACGTCCGGGTTCTCCGTCCAGCGCGCGCGGAGGGGTGTAAGCCAGCGGCCCTGGTAAAAGTACGTATCAGTATTCAGATGGAGAAGGGAAGAGAGGATGTGATCAACGAGAGCTGAGAACACTCACTGTCTGGCAGTTATGCGGAATAACGCGCAAGGGGCGCATGCTCGGGAACTGGCTATCTGTCTTGAATGCCGAGGACTTGAAGTCCCAAACTAGGGGGAGCGTAAGCGTCAGTACATCATTATCCATCTCCGTATGCAGCCAGCGCAACGCGAGCCCGACGAACCACTCACCTCTCAACTTATCATCGTAACTCGTGCTGACCAGACTCCGCCCCCTCGCATCCCAATAGACCGACCCGACCGCCTTGTCGTGCTTCCACTCGCCGCGCATCAGCGCTCGACCGGACTCAGACTCGTAAGTGGTGATGGCATCGTAACCCCAAGCCGATTGAACATCCGAACTGGTGCCCAGATCATCGTCTGGCTCGCCTAGGACGCGCGGGTCCTTCGTGAGTTGGCGGGTGTCCCAGATTCTGCGCAATGGCGGTTAGCAAACTCTCGAACAAGATAAGAAGGAGAGGAAGATGCCGCCTCACCTTACAGTCCGATCATTGCTTCCCGCTGCGAGGAAATTGGGTCTCGAGGGATTTACGCTCACGGCGCCAATCTTGTCCCCTGAGAGACCGAAGTATCGGGCCTGCGATGAGTCGTCAGCATGTACGAACAGGACTCGTTAGCGTAAGGGACAAGATGGCTAGCGCAGACGACTCGGACGCGTCGGGAAGGACCCGACTCGAACAGCGACGACCCCATGAACAAAAGATCTCACCTTCCCCCTTGCCTCCCTCAAATCCAAATGCACCACCCCGCCCGCCGCGTCCGATATCCACATCTCGTTCCCGGCTGGCGGCATGTCGACACTCGACAGCAATGCGCCGCCCTCCGCGGTATATATCTCGCGTGATACGCCGGACTCAAACGAGAGCGAGCGCAGGGTGCAGTCGTAGGAGGTGGTGTAGACCTACGCCTTGGTTAAGTACCTTCCGATTCTTCATGGCTCCAGAGATGAATCAACTCACCGTCTGGCTATTTACCGGGTCGATCTTGATCGTCGAGATGGAGGACTTGGAGGTAGCGGGCCAATGCAGCTGCAGTCGCCAGTACTTGCCGCCTTCCTCTGTCGACGGGTCCGAGGCCTCGCCGTCCTCGTCCGCGATTTCGTCCGTGGGGGCTCGTGCGTCCCAGATACCCAGCTATTGGACAGATTAGCCACGAGGCCGACGAGTCGAGCGGTGTGAACCACTTGCCTGTCCGTGCTTGTCTGCAATCACAAGTCAGCTTCAATCTCACCATCCAATAGTTGCAACTACAACTCACCCCCAAAGAAGATCAAATCCTTGCTTTTCTCCGGATGATACGCTACGCTATACACGCGGTCCTGCGTCACCTTCGCCCGCGACACGATCTGCAAGTCCTGCAGCGACTCGCGCAGGGCGGTCACCTCAGCATTTTCCTTCTTCGATTCGGAGGCGGAGTACACAAATGCTTCTGGGTCGGCGGCCCGGCGCCAACCTGTCGTGTACTCGGACTTGACGGGCGACTTGGAGGGTGATTTCTTAGACTTGGACGGGGATTGTTTCTTCGACGGCGATTGCTTCGCGCTGTCTTCAGACTGAAGCTTCATAGCAGCCAGCAAGGCGGTCATCTCGCCGTCTTCCATGTCCTCGACGATGGTGCGGAGGTCAAGGTCTTGGTGGCGCGGGCGCTTAGCTTCTCTTGCGCGCTCTTCGGCCTCGAGACGTTCGGCTTCTTCCTTGGCTCGACGAGCTTCAAACTCGGCCTATGTGAGGGTCAGTACTCGGAGTCTTCATGGATGTCAGGTGCGGGAACGAAGGGTGGTTCATTCCGATCCGGTTCGTGCTAGATGGCGTTAGGCGCCGGCCAAGGGAGGGGAAAACATGGTATCTGAGGCGTCAAGCCGGTAGCACAGATATGATGTTAGACTATTGGAATGCTGCCAATCGCGTACCTCGCGCTTTCTCTTCTTCGACGGGCTCTCATTGGGGTCGATCGTAGTCCTCAAGCGCGTGCTCTGCCGACGAGGGACAGGCACTTCCTCCTTCCTCTCCCGCTTCTTCCGTGGCTGCACGGGCTTGGCTTTCGGTGTATCCTTCTTCGCATCTGGAGGGGGCTTCGCCGGGAATCCAAGATCCTTGCTAGCGTTGTCAAGCTCGAGCGCGGCGAGGAGGGCGCGGTTGCGGGCGATGTTGGCTTCCCGCTCTAGTTCGCTGAGGGGTGTAGAGAAGATTGTTGACAATATTCAGGGGAACGGGAACGGGAAAGGCACGGTGGTGATTGTGAGATGTCAGCGAGAGGTTGCTCTTGCGGTAAGCGCGCACGCACTATTGGGATATCTTGGGCATTGTCAGGTATCAGAGCAATGGCTAAGATTTCCAGCGCAAATTCTTTCTAGGAGATGTCTGTTTTCGACGTCTAGGGTGCGCCACAGGCGGCGTGATGATGGTATGCGTCAAGGAGAGACGCGTCTCGGTGCTATCGTGACACAGTCATTGCCACGTGCATAACAAACCACCATCAGGTGATCTGTGACAGGACGTGCTTCAACATGTGACAATAGCGCGTGCCGTGGAAGACGAGCGCGATCCGGTGGAGGAAGCTGAGTTGATGGAGGGATAGGAGGAGGAATGACGGGCGGGGAAGAAAGGAGAGAGGGAGGAACAAACTCAACGGTCGCCCGAGGTGCATTTCGACTTTCAAACCGAATCGGCCAGCGATAGAGGCAGGAACCTATGACACTCACGAGAACCACACTCGTGAACAAATACTACAGAGTTAGCAGAAGAATATCTTCGATGGGCTAGCGCGTATTGATTCAGTATGAATACCTGCTGCGGAAGAAAGTGCAGAGACGAAAAGAAGTGTGACGGTAGCGCGTTTCCAAACTGTGACCGGTACATAAGTTGGCGACTTCCGTACACCGACGTTTGTTCTGGCGAGTTAATGCGCCGGCGAGAGAGCATTCATAGATAGAAGATCTGTGTAACACTACTTTTCTGCGCCATGCACCCACAGCGATCCTGTAAATGCACCGGTTCACAAATTGTGATGTAGCGGTCATTCATTTCCTGACTAAACTATTACATCTCCAGTCCCATATACAAACAAGAAAACCATAAACCCTGCTTTACAGTAGCTCAATCCACGTTTGCCTAGAATGGCGCATCACATCAATATCATGTTGCAAATCAGGACGTTTTCTGAATACGCGATGAACGTCGATACACTCCAGTGAAGGCAACAATAGACGCCATCCCTGATAGTGGACCAGTAGGTCGATGAAGCTCCTGTGTGACAGCAGCTCATCGAAATCCAGTTTCCAGAGATTGTCCATGAGTTGAAGGCAGGGTATCCAGGCTGACTGGTTTCGTTCCTTCGGCTTGGACACCCGCAATTGGCCCAAGGATTGCGCAGCCCCACCACGCTTCAAAAACCCAAGCAGGGTGCGCGATCCATACGTCGGCACAGCCTTGAGCTTGAGATTGTCGACGCGGGGGGCGGTGATGTGATTGAGCAGCGCGCAAGCAAAGCCGAAGAGTTCGATGAAGGTGAGCGCCCCCATGACGAGCACATCACCGCCGTCCGCGCGCGTAGGGTCTGAGTCATCGAGGCCTTCCGGTGGCTCCTCGATATCGATAGTGAGCGACTGCAGCGTGTCTGCGCAGGACCGCAGGAAAGGCAGCACATGCGTGACGGGGAAGGGATTTTCCACCACAATCTTCAGTGTCGTGAGCGCGCGCGCGATGGGCACGTGCAGCTGCCGATCGCTCTCCAGCGTTTCCAGCGAGACAGTGATCTCCCGAAGCCGCGGGGACGCGACGAGGTCGAGTGTGCTGAGGTCCTTAAAGTCGGGCGCCTGTAATGCGTAGACGGCCAGCCGCTCGAGGTTCTCCGTGTAGAGCACCTTGAGATCGGGCATCACCTTGAGGAAGCCCACGGCGACGATGGAGCGCAAGCGAGAAGCGTACGGTGCAATGCAGTCCCACAGATCCCACAGGATCTTGGCCTGCTCGCAGCTCACCTCGAGCGGCAGCTCCTTCGTTAGAGGGAGGTACAGCTCTTCGTATTTCTTGAACTCGGCTAGTTCGTCTTCCACGACCACCGTCGTCCACAACGATGCGTGGTCGCGCGCAACCCTCCGCCAATTAAAGCAGACGCGCGAGACCGCGATCGCAGTCGGTAGACTGCGCTCGGGCTCCTCAGGCTCGTCCACAGCGAGGGAGAAGATGTGCGCCATGATTTCTTCAGGCAGCCGACGGATAGGAGACACAAGGCACCGGTGAATGGCCAGCTGTTCCAGGATTTTCTTGCGAATCCTGTCGGTAGTCGTGTCGTATCGATGAAGTTTGGCGAGCTCAGACTCCAGCTGCGAGGTAAGATCTTTGATCCCCGCAATCTGGATACCAGTCAGAGGCTCGTTAGCTCGCAGCGTCGCGAGGTTCGCAACAGACGCCGCGCGCTCGAGAGTTGTTCTGGCGGACTCGAGATCACTTCGGTGGGACATACTGTCCTGTCTTGACGATAAGCAATGTCCTCTTTAAGGATACTCAGAGGCACACTCACTCTCCAATGCTCTGTCTCGCGAAGGGGAAGATCTGGATAGGAACAAAGGTGGGAAGGACAGTGAAGTGTGGCGCTGCTCATCTGTTCGGCAATCGCCGATTACCCGGGTTCCCACCTTGTGCTCACGAGTTCAACACGAATCACTAGTTGCGCCTTGCAGTTATGGCTCTTGCATGCAACGTTCGTGTGCAGATACATCGGCGCGAGTCTGACACATGATGGGGTGGCCTAGCTGCTCAAGCGAGTCCTCAAGGCGACGGGCTGATGATGGCTCGGGATAGGATAGCAATTGCTCTATAGGTGACTAGCGGGATGGACCCGTGCGATGTTTCCCGAGGGAAAGTGAGCTCTGTCAAAGCAAAGTGGTTGCTGGACAGTAGGTACGTCGTCTTCGTTGATTGAGAGGTACTTCCGCCTAGAGCAATCAATGCGAGTCGAGCTATGGCCCGTCCTGAGTCACGGCTGTCCGCTCATCTATCTGTGTACAACCTTCAAAGCCTTTCCATTATAATTCCATCCCATTCTCTCGCCAAGGCTCGCCATCGATATTCCGATCCCCGTCCCCCTTACATCGTTCTCCGATGCGCACGTCTCATGTCAACCCACTATGCTCTTCCTTGTTGAACTTCAGCACAATTTTACGCATTTTGAGTGCTTCCTCAGCTGATCTCTATTACAGCGGCATTCATAATGATGCGGAATTCGCGCGAGTTGCACGCGGCGTGCCATGTTTGGCCGCGCCCTCCCGGCAACTACCGCGGCAGTATTTGTTAGTTCGAGATGCACATTTCTCGGTCTTCTTTGAGTAATATTCATGCGAAATGACCTTTCCGTGCACCTTTTTTGCGGAGGGTGGCCCATCCGAGGAAAAGGACAAGACCAGCTGGGAGTTCGGACTTTTCCGAGAACCACGCGCGTGAGGCGCGTGGGCGCGGGCTCCTCCGAGAGATACATACATTATCATTGTCCTGCAAGAAACACATAGGTATAGATCTACCAAGAGGACTCTGATGTACGATACAGAGAGCTTGGAGTGTACAAAAACCGCAGAGAACAGTGCTTCCAGCCTTTCGCGGTCGTTGCCGGAGGGGCGCAGCCAAACATGGCACGCCGCGTGCAACTCGCGCGAATTCCGCATCATTATGAATGTCGCTGTAAGGAGAAATGGTATTACACCGCGTCTGCGTCGCGTAAAGTCGGCTTTTACTGCACGCTCAGAGTAAGGAAGAAAATGTGACTTCGACCTAAGTGGCGCTCGCCAGCGCGAGCCCTGCACGGGACCCATATAGTTGCGCATGACGCGCAGGCTGAAAGGAGAAGGGCACGCGGGTTCTCCGAGTCAGAGCCAGAAAGGTATAGTCCGAGCGTCGTCCAATGGTGAGGTTTAGAGGTTTTGTCAAAGCGGATCGCCCATTCAGTAAAAGTCCCTTCTTCCTTATAGAAGGGATGTATGTCTACGCGATGGTGTAGGCGTGTGTTGGGCGTGTAGCTCTGGCCTACGACCCGTCATCCATATGCCGATGAGAACCCACAAACTACAATGTAATCAACTCAACGCTATCCTCCTCTAAGGTGTCCAAATCCACAGCACACACGGCACCCGTATCTGAAGACTCTGGCGCGTACACTGTATGGCAGATGGCGCGAACCCATCCCAGCCGTTGACCAGGGATCGTCGGTATACCCGCTGGCAGTGCTTCGATCCGATGCCCTATCTTCGGGTCACGGAGATCTACGCAGATGAGGACGTGCCCTGCTCGGTTGAAAGGCGGACGGCGAATATCAGAGAGTATCGCCTCCTTCTTCGACTGAAGGTAGAGCTTGCAGAGATTCAGCAGAAATTGAACGTCGCAAGCGGTCGATTGGCCTGATAAGATACGGACGTGAGCACGACTCAGCATGCATAACTTATAGATTGCCTGCCAGCTCACCGATGGGCGGGCCCGTACAATGTTCGCGATGTCCGGCTAACCAATGCTCTTTCTGACACGGTGTCGAGCAGTAGAATGCGGCGCGACAAGCGCATGAGCGAACGACTGTTTGCACATTGGTGCCCATAGACCGTGACGAGCACTGTCATGGCGTGAGCCTTCGGAACGGTCGTTCTGTCAAGAGGGCGACTCACCGAGAAATTCGTGCAGCGCCGCTTCAAATGGCCTCTTTCGATGCGCATGGGCCAAAGCGCGGGACGTCGCTCTTCGTAGGCAGTGATCACGGCCGCGAGGATCGAACCAGCCGGGACATCGAGCCCACGAAGCTCGTATTGATGCCTCTTGTGAAAAGCGTACAGCACGCGCCAAGATACGAACCCGTGGCAAATCAAGTCCCCAATGAGCTTTTGAACGATATCAGGCGAGCTTCGGAACGATGGTGCGACGGCGTTGTGTAGACACACGAGAGCGTCGAACAAGCCGGCATTGATGGCCCACACGAGCGTCCTGTGATCGCGTAGGTCGTCGAATATCGTGTGAAGATAGAGTGTGGCGATCTCGACGGTGTGCCACTCCTCCCTCATAATGTGTAGGCGAAAAGAGCGTAGGAGGCTGTACGTTGCGTCTTTGGGATGCACAGCGGGCGCGGGGAATCCCACACTGTTGATGAACCATTGCGCGACGTTGTACAAATCTTTGACACTTGCTGCGTGATCGGCGGTTTCCGAGGCCTCGAGAATCTGAGCGTGACGGGCAATTACACGGCAAAGGTCCCGAACGCGTCCTTTGGTCGCCCGATCGAGTGAGGATCTGAAGGCGCGAAGAGGAGCTCCGCCAGGCTTCGTGTCGTAGTCGTCCTGGATGGCATGCAGGACCTTCACTGCAGTGTGCGACGTCTCGCCGCACATCCTCCTCGAGTACCGAAAGATGTTGACCAGAAAATCGACGGCGTAGTCCAGCAAAGCGGTAGAGGTCAGGTAGCTTCGGAAACCAGCCCCATCGCCGATTTCGCGCCAAGGTCCAGGGCATGTGACCGCGAAGAGAAGCTTGAGCAGTTCGCGGCAAAGGCCTTCGTGGTCCCCTGTAATCGGGCTAGGCTGAACGTTCATGTTCATGGGGTGCAGAAGATCAATCCATGCCAGGATGAGAGGCGCATCTAGAAAAAGCCGATTCCAGATAGGTGACGGGGGAGGCTGCAAGACTGGAATCGCGAGCAGGAGGTCGCCGTAGCAGATCATGATGCGGCGTGCAAGTTGTATGACGGGTGCTTGCGGGTCGAGTCGGTGGCTAGTAAACTTGGGTCCTGGGGGCGGAAGGAGCGGGAGAAGGTCTCGGAGGATAGAGAAGGGACGGCGGCGAGAGAGGTATCGCGAAAGACGCAGCAAGAAGGTCGGTATCTCAGGGTGCGGCGAGCTGCGAGCGGCCATGCCGAGGGCTAGATCCATAGCCTTCTTTGCGACCTCGGTGAGTTCGTTAACCGACTCGGCGGAAGACAGAGAGGAACGGCGAGCCATGGTACACAGCTGAACCCGCAGCCGGAAAAGCGAGATCGCCTGTGGATGGAGATTTCAACGAAGGAGAGGGCGGGAATCAGACGATCGAATGGGCGTGAGAATCTGCTTTAGGGGGATTTTGCGAGTTACTCCTTACGGTATGAACCGGCCGCGGCAACACGATCACGGAATGGGGTGCCAAGCATCTCATTCGTGATCATTTGTTCACATTCATGGCCGATGTACAGGTCATTCAGAAGTGTACATCTTCAGACGAGTCTGCAACGCAAGCTCCAGCTGCCTAGCTTCACACTTGACCCACTAGATCATCTACACAATTCTCAGACTTCAGCTGTATCCTCGGAGAGCTTGTCGTTGACCGCACTCACCAGCGCCAGATTTCCACCCACGACCGGCCGACCGCGGTTGCCGCTATTAGCCCCAGTGTCATCCAGGAATCGGTCGCCAAAGGGCGCTTGCGTGATCCCACTTGTCAGCCATGCATGCAGCGCGGTGATAAATTGGTCGCGGACGGCGGAGGTCGTCGACAAAGTTGTCCAGATCATCCATTCTGCGCGTAGGTCAGCGAAGCAGCTAAACGGGCGAAGGTCTTTACGCACGCGCAGAGGTGTACGCCGTTCGGCTGTCGATGGGGAATCCGTACTTGGCTACAATGAGGTGGGTTCAGAGGAACCTTGAGCGACAAGTGAGCGAGACGCACCGGTATTCGTGGCGTAATATGCGGACTCTATCGTCGCCAGTCAATTTACGCTGTACGAATTTTCCAACATCACTTACGCATGTCATTCACGGAGTCTGGGATAAAGTCCAGGCCGAGGAGCTTGTCCATAGCAAGGTTGTAGGCCAGGACGTCGCTGCATGCGCATTCAGACAACAGACGGTACCCAAGCAGAATGAGCTCACGTCGTATGGTTCCCGTACTGATGACCAAGTTTAGACACGCAGACGTGCATACTGTAAGCACACACCTCGAGCGTTAGGTGCGACCCATCCGCGCTAATACCATGCTCCTGCCACGTCGTCAAGTACGACGCGGCAGTATCCTACACTGATGATCAGCACTCGCAAATAGCCGCCTCGTACCCCGCTCGCAGGAAGCCTACGAAAACATACTCACATGATACGACTTCGCCGCCTCCTCGTCACTCTGATACTTCTCCTTGATGACTGACATGGCCTCCAGCGCAATAATTCCTTTGACCGCTAGGTTCGTCTGGTTCGGCAGCGAGCCGGCGAAGTCCGTCGTCGCAAGTTGGTCAGCGAGGAAGGGCATGTTGCCGACGAGGTATGCGCCCCATTGGTCGAGGAGATCGCTCTGAAACAGACGTTTGTGAGTGGTCCGCCTGATGGGCGGGGAGTAACCGTACGTAGGTGTCGATGAGTGAAGTGTCTCCACTGCGCTGAGTGTAGTCGAGAAGCATAATGACCATGTTGCCGCTTTCTGCACCACGATCAGCGTTAAAGCCTTGTCGAAGAGGCGAACATACCTTCGATCGGCATTGGCTCATCTGCACGCACCGACAGTGGTCAGTTGCCCGAGGTACGCTGCGCGCAGTCACGTACCCTGCCCATCGTTATGCCCATCCGCCACCGGGTAATGCGCGCCTTGTTACCAGTCAATCAGCAAGACCTGATAATTGAGAAGAAAGTCCACTCACCCAGATCATGCACTGCGTACTTATTGGGATACTGCCCCGATGCCTGGTAGTCGAGTAGCGGGAGCAACAAGTACTTGCAGTAGTCGATGTTCGTGTAGACGAAGACTGGCCAGGCGGGCATGATGATATCTACGGTATTGAGGTTCTGGGTGTGGGATGACTTTTAGAAAACACCGCTGGGGAGCGTACATACGCCGTCGCTAGAGATCTCTGAGGGAGTACGTGAGCCCAAGACCTGGCTATAGCCTGTATGGGACACCCTCACCCTTGATAAACATGAGGACATCGCTCGTATTCCAGGCACCCTCGCTGCCCGAGATCGTGATCTCGGTTGCGCCGAAGGACTGGCGCATCGAGAGCTCGACGATGTCTGCGTATTCGGGCGAGATGGCCTCTGCGTCCTTGCGGATTTGCGCGTCTAGGGTTGTCGCGCGGGCGAGAGCGTATGGGTAGTCGGAGAGGAAGGCGGTGATCTAGGAGAGGGGAGAGAGTTAACGAGAATTCTACCTGAGAGTGACACAGGGATGGGTGCATGATTCAACTCACCAGTTCCGTCACACTGTCATACTTGCTCCGCCAGTAGTACGAGCGCCCTTGCATGGTGCCATCCGGCTGGATGTAATTGATGACGGGGTCGCGGACGTGGCCGATGGCGAAGACGACAGGTTCAGAGGCGGTCGTGGAGACGTCGCCCAGGTCTTGTGCGAGACCGAAGACAGGCCAATCATCGCGGATGGCTGAAAGGGAGGTCAGCGTTCATATATCAAGATATCAAGATACGCAGAGTCGATTACCTCGAAAGTCCGTATCCTGCGTATTCGCCAGCGAGCCGTTGTCGATGAACTGCGCGCGTACAACAGTGTTTTGGCCGGTCTGATACGTCGACGAGCCGGCATCCTGCAGCGCATAGTATACGGATCCTTGCAACACACGGTCGTCGAGCTCCGCGAACGGCGTCTGATCCTTTAGCTGAGCCTGGTGGATCAACGTGCCGCCAGTCGTCGTGGTCGTCCAATTCGCCACGCGTGTGGTATCCCCGACGAGCCATTCACCACTGATGTCGGAGTAGACCTGCACAGAGTGCGGTGCGCCATCGGTGGACGCGGCGGTCACGGCCATGTAGGAGAAGGGGGTGGACTGGCGGACGAGGTCGTCGGGCTGAGGAGTTGATGAGTATGCGCTAAAGTTGAATGAGGTCACGGATGGAAGCTACCTCAATAGGACTGAGGAAGTTGATCGTGAGATTGACGCTACCTGCCGTCATAGTGAAGGTTGTTTGGGTAGATGTGTACTTTGGACAGCGATTAGTTTATGTTTGCCCCTCCAAAGGTACGCAATGCACCTTTGAGCTTGTCTGAACAGCTTTCGAGAAGGATGCGCCAGGCACTAGCGGCGCACCCAGGAAGGAGTAGGCAGCTCCATCGACCTTGACGAACCCAGCCCATCCGAAGGTCTGATAAACGCGTGAGCACTCCGATCGTGTCGAAGGGCTGCACGCGCACCTCATCCAACCTCCAAAACGAGGGCCACTCATCGTTGAGCGCGCGTCCGCTCCCAGATCCATCGGTGCCCTGTGGAAGCCATGCAGACAGGTAAGGAGTCCGTACTGCCAGGGGGAGAGCAGGAGGGTTGATCGGCAACGCGGTCCAGTTGTACGCGTTCGTGAAGGTCAGCAGGCTCGCAGCAAAGAGCGCGTAAAGCAGCAGAGGTGCCATAGCTGGGGCAGACAGACTGAGATTGCTCCTTATACGAGTCCTTCATTCGCCTGCGGACATGGGAAGGGCGTGATCATGGCGAATTCGATTGACCGTGCGGGCACCTGGCCCAAGGCACCCATGAAAGAGCATAATGTACAGTGGAGATACCTCGCTACAAAATGTCGAGCGAGGTATAGCTGTCGAGCAGTATATAACGCGACATCGTTAAGACATACGAGGCGCTGACGGTAGTGAGAGCAAAGAACAAGGGATGCCTTTTCTGGAATTCGATCTGACGTTGGACCCGGGCCGCTTCGCCGTCGCCACCTCCCAACGCTGATCACCTCCTTCGGCGCCAACACTCTCCTCTGTAACCAAATTCAGGCCTTACGATACCTGCACTTGCACTTCGCATCGCAATAGGCCTGGAAATTCCAGTTGCGTCTCCTTTGCCTAAACCCCCTCGCGGCGCTTTCTTCTCCTGCCGGTGGCTCTCAATCAGGTCGACCGTCGCGTCCGTTGTCGACCGGAAGATCGAGAAGCCCTCCTCATCCTCGCGCGGCTAAACACCTCTGGCTTTACACGGTCCACAACACCCTCAGCCCAACCCTCGGCCTGTACAGTCAGCCTATTCGAGCCCTTGACAGTATGAGGTCATTTTTCGGCGAAAATTACCGTGAGCACGAAAGTCGAAAGTGTGATGTGAAAGTACTGCACGGAGTAGTTTGCAGAGGGTGGCAGAGTATATAGCTCAACGGTTTTACTCAGGGGGGTACCTTGAGCATCCACGAGCTGGCTTTGAGCACCTTAAAGTGCGGCACAACGGTCAGGAAGCGGAGCAAGCTACGTTACGGGTTGTCACACCATCTGCCACGTGATACATCGGCAAAAGCCGAGTAGGCGGTTCGTTGGGGAGCATCCGGCTCTGTCTACCTGCTCATCGGACCTCGTCTCTCTTGAAGAGTACCTGAAGGAGCTCCTAGGACTACTAAGAGAGTCATCTTCTCCATATGGTCTGGGATAAGGGCCACTGGCCATACTCAGAGTAACGTGGGACCATTGCTCGGAGAATGCCGTGATCACACCAAGCGTGACTGACCGCGCCGACCATTCACAACCCGGCGACGATGGACATACATTCCATTCTCACGCATCGCAAAGATGTTCCAAAGGTCAGCAGAATCAATGTGGTCGGTGGCAAATGCACTAACACATGCTGTACATACGCGTCAACACTTCCTGAAAGTGATCATGTGCTTTTCGAAAGTACTTTGCCACTTTTAGTAAAGTGGTCACTTCTGGTAACAACATCATGCTTTTTGTGTACTATTACAGCGGCGGCCAGATCAATTGCGCGCTGCCTTTTTCGGAAAGATCGCCGAGGCGGGCGTTGGGTGAGGTCGAAAAAATCCGGCTCCTTCGTAGAACGGTAGAGCGCCATCAAAAACCCCCATCTACATACCAACTTTGCGGGGGTGCGCACTTGATGCTCACGAAACGTGCCGGGATGCATTATACGGTACTATGTGCCCTAACCTACTGTATCTCACATAACTCGCGAAATACATGCTCTTTTCGCCTGAAACTTCATATTTGGGGGTTGTCAGCTACGCCCTACCGTTCTATGAAGGAGCTGGATTTTTTCGAACTCACCCAACGCCCGCCTCGGCGATCTTTCTTCCGAAAAAGGCAGCGCGCAATTGATCTGGCCGCCGCTGTAGTACTCACACACTGCTAATTTGCATGCTTTTGGTATTTTTCGCCCAAAAAAGGCCCCATATGACAGCCAGTTGAAGATGAGCGTTGCGTCATGAACCCGGGTGGCGCGCATGCTGTATTGTCGGGCCTCGGCTGAATCATGTCCTTCTCCGTGGTAATCAGGACTCCATCCGCGACGCCCTATGCTTTCACAAGCGTCCCAGTCGGTCGAAAATCACAGTCCTCCTCAATGGCAAGCCGCCACGGCGGGCGGCCCGCGGTGCCGAGGCGTGGTCAGCGTGTCTGACTAAGTGTCTACGACCTGCACCAGCATTCCAGACCCTTCCTGGCGCCCGACATGATCCTTGTCTATCCTGGTTATAAACCACCTTCATCTGCGTCGCCATCGACAACAACAGCGAACTCACCGCCATGGCCATCGATACCCCCACCAGCCCCATGAGCCCCCTCTCCTCGTCCACCGAGCTCGACTCGGACGAGGGCGCCATGTATCTGAACGGCGCCAGCCACTCCTCAGACCCCGATGACGAACACTTCACCCTCGATCTCGACGACTCGAGCGACGAGTCCACCCCGGTTTCCGAAGCCGGCACCGACGCGGCGTCCACCTTCGACAAGGCGTCCATCGCGGAGCTCGTCGCGCAGTACGGCTCGTCCTCCGCAACCGCCTGGCTCGAGTTCTCGCGCTACAAGATCTGGCAGGCCCCCGCGCCGATAGGGGGCTCGTCCTTCCCGCCCGTGCAGGGATTCATGCGCCAGGGGCCGTGGATCTTCGCATGGGGGAACCCCCTCGTGAGCACGCCCGCCGCGCTGGAGGCGACCGCGCGCGCCTTCGTGCAGTACGCGGCTGGCGCGCGCGTCGTCTGGGCGTGTGTCGACCACGCGATGGAGGAGGTTCTGGGCGAGAAACTCGGCTGGAGCACGGTGCACTGCATCTACGAGGACGTCGTCGACCCTCGGCGTGTCATCGAGGTCGTTGAGGCGCCGGAGAAGAAGACGAAGCGCCTCGTAACCAACGCGAAGGGCAAGGAGGACCGCGAGCACGACGAGATCGTGCGCGACCTCAAGAAGAACCTGCGCCGCGCGGAGAAGGCGAACATCTCGATCGAGGAGGCGCACGGCGATCTGAAAGCCGCCGACCGCGAAGCTATCGAGAAAGGCGTCGCGGACTGGAGGAAGCACCGGCATGGGCTGCAGATCGCGTCGACGACGCTGCAGCCGTGGTTGGATCAGGAGCATCGGCGGTACTGGATCGCGCGGGACTCGCAGGGGAAGGTGCGTTTCTCTCATTGCTCTCGCCTCGAATCATACTTACATTCTCTTTAGCCGATTGGCATCCTGATCCTCACTCCCGTCCACAACCACCTTCACTCCGACCACAAACATGACGACTCCATCCCCCACCCCGAACACCCAGAGCACCCTTCCCATTCCTCCAAGCACCCCGAACATGCGCCCTGCGTCGCCTACCAGATCAAGAACGCCGTCTCCTTCCCCGATGCGCCGAAGGGGACGTCCGAAAAGCTTATTTATTCGATGCTCTGCGACCTCGATGCAGAGCAGAACCGGCGAGACAAGGCGGGCGAGAAGCACGACCGCATCACGGTCACCTTTGGGATATCGGCTGCGGATAAGGTATGCTTGAGTCCTGCTTCGTACTTGAACATAATGCTGACGAACTTTGCAGATGAGCGCTACGCACCATCTTGGCGGTTGGAAGGTTACCGCCCTGTCCAAAACCTATGCGAAGGTCAGTACTTCATTGAATTTGCCCCTACGACTTTCCACTGACTTCCCTTGCTCAGATCGCAAAGGCAACTGGCCTCATCAACCGCCTCGAGTTCCGCCGCAAGTTCGAAAGCATCCACGAACCGATGTTTGTGTGCTACCCGGAAGACGGCTTCGGACTCGATGGGGTGAAGGCCCTGCTGAGGGCTCTGAAGAAGTAAAGGACGTCCACGAGGCTTTGGAACACTCAGCGCCTACATCTCTGAGCGCCTGCGATAACCTATACTGTATACGACTGTGACGACCTTAGATTCGCGCCTCAACGGCGGTGTACTATATCTTTATAGAGTGTAACATATTCTCGTACTGTACTGTAGTCTTTGTTGTAATGCCAGACTTTTAGTCGGACTACACGTTGAGTGATCTAGGCGAAGTTTGGGCTTATTTGGGCTAGTGGGGCCTTTGGATCTGCTCGTGTGATATGATCGCCGAGAACGTCTTGGCTTCCGCGCTCACCATATCGAGAACAATGCAAGCCAAAGTGGGACAATAGCAGTCCGTCAGAAAGCCATGGCAACGCAGAAGGAGGGATACTGTCGATCTACCCAATATGAGGCATCGACGCTGCCGCGACGGTCCATATACTGCCTCGATGGTCAATGCTCATGGATATTGCCTCGGAGGTCAGCACACATGGATACTGCCTCGAAGGCCAGTGCACCGCACTGATGCCTTGTTTGGCGCTGCCAATTGTCACACGACGCTGTGGCTGGTCGTAGCGTGGGAGGCGGTATCGTGGTAGGGCCATCGCCTGGTTGTATATAAGGATGGCCCGCCTCAAGGTCCAGCTCCATAACAGAACTCGTCTCGAAGACCTTAACCAAACCAACACACCGCAACCCATACAATCTACGCAATGCAAACCCGCTCGACGCTAGGTTCTTGCATCGTTAACGGCCGCCGTCGCAGTGGTCGCTTCCGCGACGCTACATCCTCGGCCTCGGAACCCTCTTCCTCCCCATCGCGCTCGAGAAAGTCTACTCCCCCATTAACTCCGCCAAATGAAGCCGATGTGAGAGTAGGCGGAAAGCGCAAGCGTGCGAAGTCTGAAGGAGACCGCGACGAACGTCCCCGCAAGAAGCAAGACCCGAAGAAAGACGTTCCGGAGCAACAGGGCGAAGAGAAGGAGCAGGAAGAGCAGAAGGATCGCATAGTCGAGGAATTCGAGTCCGTGCTACCCCGTGTAAGGCGACGCGAGTCGTCTTCACTGAATGGCGAGCTGAGGGGGTCGGGCGAGCTAACAGATGACGGCCGTGTATAGCAGGTGAGCGTAGGGTACAAGAGTGAGTATCTACAATGGGCCATAAAGCCTGCCTTATATAGTCGAGGAACGTGACTAGTAACAGTCACGTTACACCCGCCCAACCCCTCGAAAATCAAGCACCACCGTCCAAAAAAAACAAAAACCAAAGCCATATGCACAAGAACACCGAAGTACCGAGCGAGCGAGGCAAGGCGAGGCGAGACGAGGCAACGAGACGAGCAACCGAGAAAATGGCAGTTCGATGGCGAGCAAAATATGGCGACGGCGAGTGCAGTTAAGGACGAAGTACGGGACAGGCGAGGAATAGGCGATGACTTTAAGGCGTAGCCGAATTAGAGGACGTGCTGTGTCGAAAGGCGAAATATACTGTGGGCAGCTTGAGCTGGTGAAGCCGAGTCGCCGAGAGCCGGACGGAACGGCGCGAGCGGCAAGCCGGGCCGCAATAACCGGATGAGTCAGCAAGCGCCCGCGCGCGAGAACGCGCAGCAGCGCGCCGGCGACGGGAGGCGGTGGCAGTTGAGAAGACGCAGAGGGCGGGGGTGACGCGAGCGACGCGCGAGGCAGACGCAGGGCGAAGCCCAAAATGGTAAAGCGTGTTTGAAAATACAGTGCCTTGAGCAGCGCGCGCGGGCAGGAGCGAGGCCGGGTTGTCGCGCGCATGCAGCGCAGGGAGGCGTAGGGCGTCGGTGAGAGCCATGACGATGCCGGCGGCGCACTAGGCAGACGCAGCGGTCAAGGCGGGGAGCGGGACAAATGATCAAACGCGCGGCGTCTTGAGCAGATCGCGCGGGCCAAGGGCGTGGGCTTTGGCGGCGGGGTGGTAAGGGCTATTTGACGTGCGCGCGCCATGTCGAGCGCGAGCTATAGCGCAAAAGGCCAGACGGCGAGCTGGAGCGGAGGCAGCGAGACGCGTGCCGCGCGCGTGAGACCCAAATACCAAAGGCGAGCTGTTGAGCGTGCGCCCTCCGAGTCCTCTCGATCCTTCCATCTCCTCGTCGTGTGTTGCGGCGGCGAAAGATGGCGGTGAATCGAGCAGGCCTCAGCTTGTTGAGGGCTTACAGCGTGAACCAGCAAAGGCGGGACGAGCCAAGGCGGGCGAGCGCGGCGTCGAGCGCGGGACGTAGCGCAAGGGGAGAGACGGCGATCCGAGGCGGAGGCAGCGGGAGGCATGCCGCGTGCGCGCGAGACCCGAAACCAAAGGCGAGCTGTTGAGCATGCGCCCTCCGAGTCCTCCTGGTCCTTCCTTCTCCTCGCCGTGTGTCGTTTCGGATCGAGCGGACCCCAATCGAGGGGGAGCTTCACGGGGTTGGCCTACCGTGCCCCTGCGACACCTTGTCGCAGCCAGGTCTCACGGCGCCGTACCGTCGGTGGGTCCTCGTTTTGGTGCACGCTGGCTTACGCGACGTAGCGGCAGAGGATAGAGAAGAATCAGGCCGGCCTCAACTTGACGAGGGCTTACAGCGAGTTTCCGCAATGGCGAGGCGAGCCAAGGCGGGGTAGCGAGTGCGCCGAGGCCGAGATCAGTGATGGCGGTGATGAGCGACGCCGAGCGCGTGTGATGGTAGCGTGTAGAGTGTGTTCGAACCGTCAAATGTTAAAAAAAAAGTGTAAGGCGACGCGAGTCGTCTTCACTGAATGGCGAGCTGAGGGGGTCGGGCGAGCTAACAGATGACGGCCGTGTATAGCAGGTGAGCGTAGGGTACAAGAGTGAGTATCTACAATGGGCCATAAGGCCTGCCTTATATAGTCGAGGAACGTGACTAGTAACAGTCACGTTACACCCCGGGAGGAAGAACAGGAACAGCCATCGCAGACACCGGAGTTGCTGCCTTCTCCAGAGATTACCGAGCAAGATATTGGGCCAGAAGGCATCAGTGAACCTATCCACATACCCGCAGAGCTCGACGTGGGTTCTCTCGCCTATGCATATGACACAGACGAAGAACACAGACAGGAAAAGGAAATTCAGACTCTGAAGCTGAATTCTGTGAAGTGGGATCGCGTGCTCCATAACTATAAGAAAGAGGAGCGCGAAGAGGGTGACAGTGGTGCGCTTATCCTCATACCTCTGCCTGACCTCGGAGGCTAACCATCGGTTCTTCAGACGACGACGAAGCGTGCATCGAGGCCCGTATCCCCTTCCGCCGCTCGCCTGCCCCCGAGCCAAGGACGCCCCCGCCCCAAGCCACTTCGACCCCTGGTACCGTCCCCAGTGCCCCTTGGCGCCCGACCACCACCCGCCCGCCTCGCGGGCTGGTTCGACGCTCACCCATCCCTCCGAGAACAGCAGGATGCCTGAGGCGTACTTACCAGCTCGACCCGAAGACGATGCGCGAGATGGAGCCTGAGTATAAGTCGAGATATCATTATCGATGGAGTGCGCGATATAACCCTCACGATGCGGCACGGGATGATCATGATGTAGATAACCTATGATAGCACATGAAGCTGCGAGACCTCAAATCCTCTGACTCTCAAAGCCATATATCTTCATTGTATACACACTTTGGGCACGAGCTATTAATTCGGCGTTTTATGGCCAACGCCTGATAATGTCATGTCACACATGTCACGCGCATTTGATGCTTCTCGGCAATTGTCTTATCCCTGCTCCTGACTCCCATCTTCATCCGCAGAGCTGTCGCATAGCTCACCATTGAAAATTACATCCAATGGACAAAAGCGCAACGATCTCCCTCTGCGCCTCCTGCGACGCTGCCTTCGCCTATCATCCCGAACTCGGTTCATCACAATTCACGCTAGACGCCCTCCGGACGGGAGGGGTGCCCGATACGGAGGAGTCTATCGACATACAGGATGCAATACAACGCGCAGAACGTGAGCTCAAGCGCTTTGACCCAGAGATCGACCGCTTGCTCGCCATCGTATTTCGCCTCCGAGCACAAAAAGGGGCAGTCGAAGAACTCCTGGCCCATCGTCGCGCTTGCTTCTCCCCTTACCGCCGTCTACCTGTCGAGCTGCTGCGCCAAATTATGGTCGATGCATGTGCTGACTCCGCCTTGGAGTATAGTGCGCCTGCCGGCGTCTCACATCCAATCTCCTATTACACGGCGCTCAGCATCAGCCAGGTCACCCAGCGGTGGCGCAACATCGCACACGCCACGGCGGAGATATGGGCACCGCTGCTGCGCGTCAAACTCACCAATACCATGGATCGTGAAATAGGCAAGATCGAATCTGACAGGGTAGCGATGGTCCTCCAGCACTACTTTCACTTTTCGCGGTGTACGCCATTTGACATACACCTCGCAACTACTCATAGTACTTGGATTCCTCGGCAATTCGGAGGAAACAGTTTCGCTCTTGATGATATCATATCCACCGCGTCTCGCTGGAGGACATGCAAGCTTCCGTATATTCAACTTGCAGAGATTGACCAACAAATCGCCCGCTACACATTGCATGAATTGGTCAAGGTCGAGATTGTACCCAGCATAATGGCGGTCGCTCGCGATCCAGACCTCAAGATCGTCAGCTTTGCCAGCACTACAAAATTGCGCTACTGGGACGGGCCGATAGCGAACACGCAGCTTCGTTGGGAGCAGCTTACTACCCTCATCTCGACGAGCAGGCTGTCTCTTGCAGCGTGGGTACCCATATTGCAGCGCTGTCAGCAGATCGAAGTACTCAAAATGCGTGTCGGCGATCGACATGGAGGGGACGCGCTGCCCGCAATACAGCGTGTCCACCTTCCACGGCTGGCGCATTTTGCGCTTCACCTTGCCGATGACCCCAGAGCGCTGGCGTACCTTTTCGCTTGTTTTGACACTCCTCTGCTGCGAGTTCTGCAGCTCTCCGCCCCTCGAGCCTCGGGAAGTGACTTGCTCAGGCATTTCCGCGAGGAAGGCTGGCCGCATGAGCAGTTTGATGCCTTCATCGATCGCTCTGGATGCACCATCCGCCACTTGGCCTTGCAGATGCTGCCAATTTCCTGCACGGACGTCGCGGCGCTGTTTCAAAGGCTGCCCGGTCTCACCAACCTCCAGATCATGCATACGGAGAGGCGGGATCACTTGCGAGGGCCAACGGACGTAGCCGACCCGGCAGAATTCTTCGTCAACGACGATTTCTTGCGACAGCTTATGGCCGTCGATGGTGGAGAGCCTGCTATCCTGCCCCAGCTCAAGCACCTCATGCTGGCATGCCTGTTCCGCTGCAACTTGACCTTGTTGGCGGACATGATTCGCTCGCGAGTCGACGTACCGATTGAGACATTACGTTTACATCTGGCGGAGAGCTCGATTGCGCCTAACAAAGAATTCATCGCTGGGTTGTTTGCGCAGGTCGGGAAGGGTATGCTTTTCAGCCAGCACCAGCGTTATGCAGTGCGCGAACAGATGAAGTGGCTACGCGGAGAGGACGCAGATGACTTTGCTACTCTCGGTCAATTTCCTGACTTTTGGAGTAGCTGATACCTACAGTCGTCATTGTTCATGAGATTTAGTTGCGAAGATATTTATGCACTGGTCAGAGAATCCATATTCACCGAAATATGACATACACATACAACAGCTATGACACGACTGCAGTAAGACCGCTCGAATCTCGTTCGGTCTGCCGAACAATCATGCCGCAACATCCACAACAGCCCCCGCCGCCCAACAAAAATGGCCGCAACCCGTCGCACAGGGATGGCCCGCTAGAACCTGGGTTGTCGTTGCGTTGCGATTGCCTACGCTTGTTGGAGCACCAGCATCCGTTGTTGTGTCTGTCGCCGCGTCTGCATCCGGCCTCGTCAATGAACGACCACGGCTTTCCGGCAGCGTTGCGTTCGGCATCTCAACCATCGGTCGAGGGAGATAGTATTCGCGATAGCATGCCTGGTGACCGCCGTGGCCGCATAGCGCGCAGTGAAAGAGTAGGCCGCGGACGGGAAGGCGGCTAGAAGGAGTTCAGTCCACCGGAGATCGTGCGCGTGTTCAGACGCACCAGATAGCACACAAAAAGAAGGCCCTGCAAGAAGGGCAGTAAGCGAAGGCGCCACGGGCAGCTGCAGGAGGCGCAATGATAGCACGCTTGCACTTCATGCACGCGGTATAGATCGTTGTTTCCATCTGGAGGACGTTAACATGCGAAAGAAGAACAATATACGGGACGCGTACGGTGCTCTCCTTCTTTGCATCGTCCACGGCGCAAAACTTGCGTACGTAGGCAGCAGAGGTATGGAGTTGCAGTCGCGAAAGGATGTCTGCGATTCATCAGCTTAGCCAACTCGCGTGAATCATTTGACACACCAAGGTACGCGTCGACAAAGCGGGATATTCGACGAGGGCCAACGCGGAGTTCCGCACCCGCGACTAGCACGAGCATCGCGCATGTCTGCACATCCCCCTGATCGAGGGTCAGTCATCTGTACAGATACTAGCCAGCAACTCCACCGACCTGCTCCGCGAACAGCTCAAGTGCACCCTTCAAAGCTGTCCAGGCCAGATTCCGCAGCCGCTCCTCGTCCTCGGCAACAACTTCCGGTCTCCGCTCCGTCCTCGCCGCAGATTCTTCCAACTTTCGCCTTCTTGCCTTTTCCTCTTCCTTCAACGCCCGAATATCGCGCAACGTCTCTTCCTGCTGCAGCGGGGGTCGCGTGGGATGGTGATTCTGCGCATCCTCTGCAATTACAGTGCGCACGCTGGTATTGGACTCCTGGCGGGTGAGTCGTGGCGGCCCACCGCGGGCAAGCGTCCCGCTACGACTTCGCCCTCGACTGCGCGAGATCGCTGCGCTGCGGCTGCGTCGGCGAACTACGGAAACGGGATGGGATTCGGAATCGGTGGAGGCAGGCGAGGGTGAATCGCTGTCATCGTTTGCAGGCGCGTGAATGCTACTTGCATGAGCAGGCCGTACGGGTAATTCTCCGCCAGACGAAGATTCGTCGGAGTCGTCCAACGCGCCCTCGCCGACATGAGGAAAGCTTTTGTCCCCAGGACTCGATACGGCCATCGACGGCCTGCGGAAGGCGGAAGGACGACGCGTGACGGCGGGAGAGCGTCCGGACTGCGGCGACTGTGTGGACTGGCGAGAGGGACTTCGTGACGGTATCTCCGAGAGGTCATGACCAGGAAAGCGGTAGCTGGGGATGGTCGCAGGAGCCGACATAGAGTGCACGAGTGGTGGACTGGGGTGTTTAGGCTTGGACGGTTCAGGCGTCGTCGTTTCCTCTTCCTGAGGTATTACATCCTTGAGAGTCGACCCCAGTAGAAGCCATGTTTGCCCCACATCCAACTTGCCCATTCGGATAGCCGCCTGAGGTAGTTGAGAGACCTTCCTGATTCCACATGAGAGCACAAACCTGGGCGTTGTGGACGCACAATAATTGCTTGTCGGCGCCTTCAAAGAGATAGTCGCGAGCGAGGGCAACAAATACATCCAAATCATCGTTCTGAGATGTTGGCACGCATGTCGCAACAGTCTGGGTCCTCGGGCGGAAGGGAGGATCGCCGATTGTCTTCGGTCGTAGAACCTGCCTTTCTGGCGAGCTACGCACATCAGACGATGAAAATCCGAGGCGAGTGAAGACTTACACATCGTCATAAGGCACCTCCCACGGATCTGGACGGTCAGTTACCAACGCCAGCGAGCCAGCAGGCTCCCAAGCCGCCGCCACTCTAGGTATGGTATCAAGCGGACGCGTACAGTCGCGCAGGTCATACTGCACGAACGCGCCGGACGTATGCTGCGCCCATAGCGCGTCTGTCCCGCCGAACGCGATGCCTGGTAGCGAGATGAGGCATCTTCAGGCGGCGTCCGCGCGCGCACGCACCGGCGACGCCGCCGTCGAGGGCGGTCCCAGGGATGGCCCACTTCGCTATCCAGCCGCGGCGGACGTCCCATATGTCAACGGTGTCGGTTTCTGCTGGCTCGGCGGGCATGAGGGCGAGTTCGGTCTCGGAGCCGGGGCGCCAGATCGCGCGACGTGGAGCGCGGGCGGGTCGAAGGGTGTAGGTATTGCGGAGGGAGGCGACGTCCCAGACGCGAACAGTCGCGTCGAGGCCGGCGGAGGCAGCCCATCCACTAACCCAATCAACATCCGTGACGGGGCCGGCGTGGGCGACCGGGGAACGATCGAGTTGACCACGCTGGCCAACGCGCAGATCCCAACGGTGGAGAGCGCCGCTATCGAGACCGGTAAGAGCTTGAAGAGGGGTTGTGTTCGACGGGGAGAACGCGAGAGCGCGCACAGCAGCTGGATGCTTAATACGCATGATAGACTTCCGCATATCGCGCAGGTCCCAGACGCGCAGGTCAGCGTCCGCAGAGCCCGTTATCGCATAATGGTGTACTACAGCCGACACCGCAAGCTGGTGGATAGATCGTGCATGGTCCTTCGCGCGGCGCTCGTACTTTGTCGGCCCGCTCTTGTTGAGGTCCCACATGATGAGCTCGCCGTTCCGCGCGCTAGTGAGGATCTTGTGGTCGAAGGGGCCCTTTGCCCAGCTCACGTCCGTGCTCGCGCTGTCCATCTTGAGCCCGCTGCCGTCCCACATATTGCGCGAGGCGTCGACGCGGTAGCCGCCGGGCCCTACGGCGAACTTGTGCTCTGTGGTCGGCATTTGGTCGGGTGCGGATACGCGGACGATGCGTAGGGCTGGAGGGTGTCATTCTCTATCGAGGGGGGATATACATGACACGCACATTCCTTCCCCGCGACGACTGAGCGCCGCCCATCCTCGCTGATCGCAATCGCGCCGCCGCCTGGAGGGGCGACTCGCGGCAGCCTGACATACTTGGATGGACCTGCGGAGTGCATCCGCGCATCTGAGTACCAGTCCATGGGTTATAATCGTGACAGCCTTGAGACAGAGAGGGTCAGAGCAAGCATGTAAGTCACTCAGCTGGGTTGGTGGTGGGAAAAGTCAAGATACAAAGTATACCAAAATAGGAAGCCTTTATGAAGACACAATGGGACGACTTGACGTCGAAGTTTGCGAGCCAGCAGATCTCTTAGCAGGGCAATAAATGAGTGTGTGCTACGATTACAAGGCGCATAAGTAGATCAGACGAGGACAGGATAAATAGTGTGTAGCAGTCGTGAAGAGGTCGTGTGCGAGGGAAGTATGCTGGCTGATTCAGAAGCCTGGAGGCCAAGTTTCCCCATCCTACTGTGCAGCATCACTCTTGGGCTCCTTGGGCTCCTTCGGCTTCTTCTCCTTCTTGGGCTTCTTCACTTTGACGCCACAACGTGCGCATCGCTTCTCTGTGTCCAAGCTGGAGAGACGAAGGTGAGAAGAGCGCATCCCGGAGCGATATGACAGGTACTCACAAGAGACAGATGATGCCGAGGGGGAAGAGTAACACGGCCGTAATGATACCACAGACGCCATGTTTCCGCGTCGGATCGTGCTCGCCTTGCGCGCACTGGGCGTATACTGCAGAGATGAATGTCAGCGAGGGAAGTAGAGACGATGCTAGTCAACGCACACTCCGCCCGATACTGCTCTCCAATCTGCGCCGGCGTGAGCTTCGGCGCCGAAGGGGGAGTAGGAGTGCGCGCATGCGCCTCCAAGCTGGGCTCAGGATACGCCGGGGGCAAGTCCATCGCGGGGTCTGGGTGCGGCATCGGGGCTGGCGGTTGTGCAGGACTTGACGACGCTGCCTGCGAGCTCGAGCTAGGCAGATGAGAGAACGAGCCCGTAGGCAAATGTGACGCTGAGCCCATATAGGATTGAGACGATGCGCCATAAGGTAGATGCGACGACGACCCCATAGGCTGCAGCACGATCGGCGCGGACTTCTCGCTCATGGTGACGATGGCGGACGAGTGGGGAACAGAGAACTCCTTCCACTCCCCTTGGCGTCAAGGGCTTTCATATACTGAGGCGCAAGCGAGGTGGGTCATGAAGATCATGATGGCTTCATTGGTGCATGCATCAAAGCGCGCGAGCTAGGTCTTCCCCTGAAACGTCGATTCGGAGTGTGCTGGAGTTTGCAGAGTCGGAGGATGAGGCCTGCAGTCCGTTACGCGTCAGACCAGTTATCAAAGCATATCGATAGGCATGACAGGTTCAGTACGCAGTCGAGCAAAGCAAGACTTCGTCGAATTCCGAGGATGATGGGAAGCAAGCAATGATATTGCCCCTTTAGGGAGGTATTGTATTGTGCTGATGTGCTACGATACGATGACATGGTTCGTGAAAGCAATCTAGTCATGGAGGAGGACTCATAAATATAGTGATAGGAAGCGCCCCCTAGGGGAAGTGCAGTATACGTAGGTGCTTCTGGTTGAGATGTTACCAGCAACGCATGTGAGGAGCAGAATTACTGGACTTTCACGCCACAGCGCGTGCATCGTTGTTCAGTGTCGGTGCTATCGAGAATGTCAATCAGACAAGTGTAAAGTACTTGCATATAATAGACTCACAAGAGGCAAATCAACCCGCAAGGAAAACAGAGCACGGCGGTGATGATTCCACATACACCGTACTTGGTCTTTGGGTCGTGTACACCCTGGGCGCACTGCGCAAACACTGTGTGTGAACGCGCCATGGTGAGCTTTACCCGGCCACGTCCCGAGGATCACGTACATTCTGCCCGATATTGCTCCCCCACTTGTGCCGCGGTCATCTGCTGCGGTGGCGGTGGGTGAAGGTGCACCGGTTGTTGACCTTGAGGTTGAGGGTACGCCGGAGGCGTGTCGTAGGCAGCAGCAGGCTGGTGGGTGGCCATTTCGACGGGCTTGCTGTTCATGATACCGGGGGACTTGAAGAAGGGGACTTTGCATTTCGCTGTCAGCCTCGATCCCTTTTGTACAGTTTCGGGCGCTTATGCAGGGCGCTCTCGATGTTCGAGCGCATCAGATGGGGTCTCCAAGGTGTGGACGTCGGACAGGTTTGGGGCAGGTCGTTATCACAGCATTTGGCGTTGAAACGTTGGCGGCGTGATCAGGAGGCCCTTTGCTTAGACATTTTCGACGGATAGCGGGTGCTTCATGAGAGTAAAGTGCCGGTCTAGTAGTTCTACATATGAGTGGAGCTGTAAGAGCTGTATGCAGGCCGCAGAGAAGCCCGAATTGGCGAGCGCATTATCGGCAGTGAACCGACGGGCAATCACGGTAATGCGGTTGTAAAAGAAACAAAAGAGTCGGCCTGAGATGCCCTTGGAAGAACTGGGTGGGCGCTGGTTGTGGCGGAGATAGGTGACTGAGCTATGAACGTCGAAAAGAAGCGGCTGCTTTTGTTTGCTCGTCCGGGTGGACAAACAAATTAGTGATCCGTCGGGCCGCTGCTGATTCCGAATCCCACGATCATTGTGACCGCGTCCACATCGAAGGCATGAGCGACGAGGTATTCTACACAGTAGGTACGTATATTCTCCTTATGCTATACGTCGCCTAACGCACACCTGAAGACCACATAACTAAGGCGCGAGCCTGGCGCAGAGGGAAACGTCAGCGCGCGATATTCGTACGTCCTCTCGCTTGACGCGATCACACTCGCCTGATGAGCTCCCTTCCCAGCAATACCGTGTCCGGGTACGCGTCGAGTGCATTGCTACACCTCTCAACATGTCTGACACCGCTTGCAGTGGAAGGGATATAGCCCGGAAGATGACACGTGCGTACCCACCGCGCATACATGCTCAGGACGTGTGTGACTGACTGTGATGAAGATGGGAGCCCAAGGAGAGCTTTGAGGGCGGCTCAGAGCACTTCATCGAAGAGTTCTGGAGTCGCGAGATCAAGGGCTTGAATGGACGTGATCCAAACCAGACATTTCAGTTCCGCCATGGCGAGGAGCTCGTAGCGGTCGGACCTCTCGGTGCGTGATATTCCGTTATATAGCATGAACCCAGGACTGACAGCATCATTGCAGTCAGGAAGAGGGAGGACGAGGAAGGCTCCGACGATGAAGACGAGAACGCGTCGGAAGCTGCTGGTCCCTCAAACCATCGTACTCGCGATCAGTCCCTCGACCTTCCCTCCAGTTCTTCGGCGAGAACCCGAACAACGCGACGAGACCAACGTCCGCCCCCCTCTGAGGACGAAGCAGATAGTGATAACGAGCCGCTGTCGCGGAACAATCATCGCCGACGCACTACGAGCACAAGCCGTAACAGGCATCGCTCGAGCGCATCGGACGAAGAGGAGGTAGAGGCCCTGATACGACCACGATCACCCCCTCCGACCAGCATCAGCGCACCCGTGGGCTCAATTTCTTCCCCCAAGAAGAAGCGCAGAAAGCCAGGACCTGGACGAGACTCGCAGTACATCCCCGACGATACCGAGGAGCCGGTCGCGACAGCCCCCATTCCCAGCAAGCATAAGACGAAGGCCTCGAAGAAGGCAAAGCATCGAGAACCTTCAGCAGAGTCCGATGACGAGCCCATGCCCAGCGTTTCTCATCCGCGCAAGCGACGAGCGGCAGACGAGGAGCAGGCTTCGTCGAAACGACCAACTGCGAAACGCAGGAAGCTGAAGGCACCCCCTCGACCACCAACCGATGATGGCTCGTCCTCTGACATCCAGATCGTCTCTGCGCCAATTCCTCAGCGCACCAAGCCGCGCAAACTGTCCCCCGAGCCCGAAATTATCCAACAGGCACCTATTCCCTCCTCACCGCCTTTCCAACCTGCCTCTCCACCTCTCCACCTCTTCGGAACGCCCACTATGCTAAACGATACGAACGACTGGTCGCACGGGCAGCAAGGGAACTCCCAACCTGGCGGCGACTGGAGTTTTTCCCTCGATCCTGGACCAATCGTGCCCGAGCCCACCCATAATAACTACTCGCATTCGTCCACGCCTAACTATGAATCTTTCTTTCCTCAGGGCCAGCATACACCTGCTCTTACGATAAGCTCGTGGACGTCCACGCCTTCCGCTCCTCAGCACCAACGAACACCGGCAACAACAAATGCGGGATCGACCAGCCAGCTAAACGCAGGAGCGTCCAGTCAACCAAACGCGGAATTGTCCGGTCAGCCACACGCAGTGTCGGCCAGCCACTCACAGCCCTCGACGTCCGCCGCGCCACCTGCAAAGTCCATTCCCTTCCACCGGCAGCGCGCCGCGAACCCGCGCGTGCGCCTCATGGACGACTTCGCCTCCACTCAGGCCACAGGTATCGCGGCGAAGGCAAAGTTCATGAACGCGACTATGCTCACGCCTGCGAAACCCACCCCACCTGCAGCTCCTCCTTCATCCGCGACCCCTCCCATCTCGTATGCGCCCCGTGCTGTTTCGTCCGCGACGCCACCCATCGCGACCACCCCGAACTCAGCCACGATGTCCCCTCGACCGATGGGCGTCACATCCACGAAGACGGGGGCCACGCTGGTCAAGGCGAGGGCTCCGCTGCCAAAGCGGCAGCCGAAGGGCGCGCTGCTGGTGTACGACAAGGAGAAGCAGGTGTTGAGGCCGAATCGTTCGCCTTCTGCATTTGGATTTGGGGCGCCGACGTTGTTGGAGCAGCGGCAACCGACACCGATGGAGGAGCAGCAGCAGTCGCCGGTGATGAAGCAGCAGCAGTCAGCGATGGAGGTCGAGAAGACCAACGGGGTTGGGAACGAGCCGAGCAGCGCCACGAATGGAAACGCGCGGGTCGGCAACGTGCAGGCAATCTTGCCGAAGGAGGAGGATGCGACGAACGGCACCGATACTGCGATGGATGTCAGCAACGACGCCGCAGGCGACGGCTGGCAGGAAGAAGACACGAACGGCGAGCTCGACGCGCATGACCTCTTCGGGGAGAGCACCGCTGACTTGTTCGGAGACAACGAGACGGACTTATTCGGTGACGGGATTCCGGGACTGCGTCCGGATTCGCCACCACCCTCTGGCGAGGATCTGTTGCGGCTAGCGGTCGGGAAGCCTGTTGCTGAAGAGGCATTAGAGGACTATGAAGAGCCTGCGCAGGATGCACCTGCCGATGTACTGAAGGCTGCTGAGTCGACCGTGTATGGCTTCCGTTTGTACAGGAGATGCGTTGTTTGCTAATAGGTGATTGTATCAGTGCTGCTCAGGCGAAAGAAAGCATGCTTCCGTCGACACCAGCAACGGCGGGCCCAATTGTATCAACTTGGAGGGGGAGCACGATCTTCGGACCGCTGTACAACCCCGTCGAGCCTGCAAGTGCTACACCTCTGTACGTCCTCTGACTTCGTTAACTGATATCGATCTGACCTGACTCTTCATGCAGCAACGACACCTCAGAGCAATCAAAGTTCGCGCTCAAGCTCAGCCCCGATCGCTGGGTGCCGCTCGTACTCGTCGGCAGCGTGCCCTGCCCAGACGTACCCTCACTGTCCTTCGTAGTGGGCAACTACAATCCAGGCGACTTGGTTCCGGGCAAGTTCTACGGCGCGAGCGTCATGCACGCGTTGTTAGACTCGGTCCGCTCGACAGGGCCAGCGGCGCGCGCCTTATGTAGTCCGACCGCCAGTATCGACCAGCGAGCAGACTTCGAGGCCCTGAAGGATCGGCTGAGAGCCGGCGAACTGGTGAGTGTCCTTACTCTGTTTACTCTGTGGTTGGAGGAGTGAGAAGTATGGCCGCTAACATAGTTCGCAGTTCATTGTGACCGCGGGAGTGCAGGTGCTGGCGTTCTGTCATTCGCGCAATGAGGGTGCGGTGGCGCGTCTGAATTTGCCGCCGGCCTTGCAGGGTCAGCCGGATGAGGTGTTGATGTCGCGCGTCGTAATCGAGAATTTCGCAGCGTACGCAGAGGTGGCGGAGAAGGCGACGACGATGTAGACGAGAGGGGGTTAGGGGATGTTTTCTTGGTGCGATGCTCGCCGCTGTCACTGCTTGCAACTTGCTTTCTTGATTATTCTGGCATTATTTCTTGAGGACGATCGTATGGTATACCGAACCCTGTCATGTAATTGAGCAGCTTGATGAAGGCAGGAAATTAATGGCCTTGTGATGAGATCGGGGGAAGTGGCAGAGTCGTCTCCTGTGGTGATCTCCCCGCCGCCGCCGGACGAATATTTGCAATGGCGAGTCATCTGTGTCGTCCCTCCTCGTGTTGCTTGTTCAAGAACTTCACCCTGCGCTGAGAGGCCTGCTCCGCCATAGGACCTCAAACGAGAGGCTCTATACCGCTATCTGGGCGGCCGGAGCATTCAAGTTTCATTCGACCCGGCCCGGGGTCCTATCCGTATCTCCATACCCCTACCCCGCAGGATTCGGGGCTCGGTCGTCTTCCCCCACGATGTTCGACCTCGCCGGGCTCAGCGAGCTCCTGGGCTATACCTCTATTGCTTGCTGGCTTGGGGCACAGTTCCCGTGAGTGTTCAAGCGTGAAGGTTGCGGGCAGCGCGCAGATCACGCCATCTAGACAGGTCCTCGAGAACGTGAAGCGCCAGTCGTGTGATGGGCTCGCGCTTCCATTCCTTGCGAACTGGCTGCTCGGTGAGTGCTCATAACTCGCCATCGGGGCGTCATTGAACAACGAGCAGGGGACGTGTCTAACCTCATTGGATGCCTCTTGACCGGACAGTTATTGTTCCAGGTGCGTGGCGCGCAGTACGCCCTCCAACGTTCGCTCAATCTCTCCCTTTCAGACATGGCTCGCAACATACTTCGTGACAGTAGACTGCATGCTTGTCGCGCAGTACATCTACTACGAGACGCTCAGGCCAAAACCCCCGCAAACCAAGCCCGAACACACCCATGAGCGCCCCATCCCGCGCTATCGCACCCTATCCGCCGTAGCAGCCAACGTAGCTGCTGCAGCCGCTCTTGTCGCCCAACAAGAAGAGCGACAACATCACCCCTCACATCGCCACGCCCACTTCGCAAGCGCAGACCCCATTGCTGGCGGTCACCCATCCGGGGACGACGACGAGCCGGATGAGGGCGCCCTCGCCGCCCTCGCCGATAGCTTCCACTCCGAGGGAGGTCGTACCCTTGGACGTAAACGCGTTTCGTGGAGCGTCGAGCGCGGAGGACGTCGCCGTGGGACGAGCCTTATCATGCCTCGCGGGGATTCCCTCGACCTTATCGTCGACCCGCCCGTGGACCTGCTCGAGCGTGGTCGCGCAGCTGAGCGCGTGGGCGAGAGTCCCGTCGCGCCAAGCACCATGCGCCGAAGCACCAGCCATCGCAACAACATCATGTTCCTCGCCGCCTTCGCGCTCTTCAGCTTCGGCGCGCTCAGTCAGCGGAGCAGCATCGGCTCCGGTCACGTACTGCAGACGCGCGACGTTAACGTTGTCGTACCCGAGTCCGCCGCGTTGGATGGGACGATAGACACCTTATCGTCGGAGATCGTTAGCGCGGCGGATGCAGCCAACGAGCGCATCCTTGGACGTATATTCGCGTGGTTGTGCACTACACTATACCTCACCTCTCGTTTGCCGCAAATATGGAAGAACGTGGGTCACTTATTGATATCATGGACGACCCTTGCTGATGCCTTCCAGTTCACTCGAAAATCCGTCGAAGGATTGTCGATGTCCCTCTTTGTCTTCGCGTTCCTTGGGAACGTGTTCTATGTCGCATCAATCCTGACTTCGCCTAATGTGCGCCAACCGCCACCAGCGTCTACAGCGTTCATACGAGAGAGTATACCGTGCGTCCATTGCCCTCCTATACGCGTCTCCTCTTTTAATCCCTTGTCGCAGATACCTATTGGGCAGTGGCGGTACGCTAATGTTCGACATCACAATCGTAACCCAATCCTTCATCTACCGCCCGCGTCACCGCCGCCATCGAAGCCGGTTAGAAGAGGGCAGCAGCAGCCGCACTCGTATGGTCGAGGAGGAGCGGAGCAGCCTTCTCAGCGGCGACGTCCTCGCGCATCATCGCGGGTCGACAGATGCTTACCTGCGGGGCTCGGAGGTGCATCCCGGTCCGGAGGCTCACCAGCGCAATCTTTCCGATGCTGTCTCCCCACGACGGATGCACTCGCCTGAGGCCAGTCGGGGACGGACGCGATCTGGCACGCGCGCCTCGTACGATGTGGCATAGACAGGACAAACGTCTGTTGAGAGGAGGACGCGCACGATACATTACTGCCAGACAATTCGCTACTACTACGCATCTGTAACATCAAGCACACTACACATACATAAACGTCCATCGAGACTCCAAGGATGCGGTCAACCGCGTACCATAAGATGAGAGTAACCTGGATACAAATGATACAATCTCGTCTTCCCTCATGCCACGAGTGAACACATCGCAAACATGCACACAACCGCCGGCATCCTTCACGTTTCCATCATGCTTGGCGAAGCGAATGGCGATATTTGTTGCTCATCCGCCAACCTATGCTTGTGTCTGAGGTGCGCGCGGAGCGAGCCGCGCGTATTGAAGCGACTTCCGCAGCCTGGGACTGAGCATGAAAATGTCATCTTGTTCTCGTGTATCAGAATATGATCTGAGAAATGAAGTTGAACAATCAAGACAGACATGGGTAAAGCGAGACATGCCTTCTAAAGCCTGATCCCTCCTGAATGTGCTTTCGCACCCGATAACCGGGCAGGTCAATATTGGTCCCGCCCGAGTCGAGTTTAAGGATGCACGGCGGGCGGCCCTTCTTCTAGACTCCGTGGCCAAGAGAATTCGATACCCATAGGCCTTGCCACCGTCGAACGATGCGCCGCACGAAGCCGTAGAATCCAGTGATCGAGAGGACGGCGACTCCGTGGAGAAGAATCGTGGGTAAGCCGGTGGCGAGCCATATCGACTCATGCCTGCTTCAACAAATGGAGAAAACGAATGCGGGCATGGACTATGGATTCGTGAGAGGACGTTGGTGCCTTCAGGATCCGGCTCGAGTGTTTCTGATGAGATCATCTGCGAAGCCGGTGATGCCCATAGGGATGGAGGATCTGGGGAGGTCAACATCAGTCAAGAGAGAGAGAGAGCTCTCAAGTGCGGTACAAATCTGACTTTCTCTTAATTCCCAGCTCTCGGCCGAAGGTTCCCATTGCATATCATTCGGTGACCATTCCTCTTGCCTGAATAGATAGCTTTCTGGACTGCCCTCCTGCTTGTATACTGGATTGCCCTCTGGCTCGGGTACTGCACTGTCCTCAATGTTTTCGTACTTCTTCACATTCTTGTCGAGGGATGGCCAGGACGCGATTTCGCTGGACATCTCTAGAGAACCAATATCAGCGTTGACACAAGGCATGGATATATTTTGAAAACGACATACTAAGGCCTGACATTGTTAGATCCTCCTCCGCGTCTCGCTGTCCCAGTTTCATGCCTTCGACGTCCTCTCTATACCTCAGGGTTACAGCACCTGTTATCGCATTGTTTTTCGTGAGTCTAGCTAGTTCATACGAACAGTACTTAATGACTTACCTGAACCCATCGTCTCTAAGTCGTATCGTGTCGAGATGGCTTGGCTTTTCAGATCACGAACGACATCTACCTAAAAGACATGAGACGACAAAACAGAGTTCCCCCGCGACTGGGAATAGCGCACATGACTGGCCATACATGTCCACAGGTCGTCGTGCGTGAACGCGATATTGCAGTCCGACTGAAATACACCTCAGTAGGTCTGCATACGCACGCGAGACAGATGTGCGCACATTATCCAAAATGTACTTGTTGAGCGCATCGCAGGGGTGGCATGGCTAAGAACCTTCGTCAATCGAACGATGTCATTGGTCGAAATTGTGCACATACTGTGGACCATGCAGGGACAAGTTCCCAGCTTACTCCGCCTTCTGCTGACCTATTTTCTTCCTCGGACGAACTGTTCCCACCGCTGCGACTCCCGTCCTCCTCGTCGTTGAAGGTGCCCGAAGATCCATCCGCACTGTCCACGCAGATATCGGTGGGTTCAGCTTGTCGAGCCTTGCCCTTGGCCGCAGAGCTTGCCGAAGCAGAAGATGAGGACGCAGCCTTGAGAGAAATCGACTTCCCGAAGTTGCGAGGCCCCGTGAAGTCGAATACTTTTAGACCTGTTGCCCGTGTTCGCGACCAGAGTTCACGGCGTAACATGATTTTGTACCCGCGGACAAAGACACACTGGTTCTCAGCTGGCTCTCCATCATCATCGTACATCTGAACTCCTGCATCAGGGCCCTGGCGCGCAGACTGGCTGGTGATGTGTCGCCACTGATACTGGTGACGGAGTGCAGCATTTGCCACTGGAGTTGCCGTGAATTGGAAGGATACCTCGCGCGAACGTTGCGTATCGCGGAAAGCCAGTGCGCCCCAGGTGGCTGCCTTATCGACGCCAGTGACAAGGTAGAGGTCACCGTTGTCGATCATCCAGCCAAGGGTATCCCGCACGTACGTATACCATTCCTGACCGTGACGCTGGATCTGGATCTCGTACGCCCTCCGCTGCCTCGCGTCTCGCCTCGACCCGCCCCGGGGCAGCGCGAGTATAGCGCCTTCGTCTTTCCCAACAGAAAACTCGATGCCGAAACCTGCACCTGCAGGTACGATACTACTCATGGATCAGAGACGCCTGTCGTTCTTTCGATGTAGACTCACGTTGCGTCCGCACCCGCTTCAACACCAATGACGTTCCTAGCAAAGTCCGCGCTTTGCACGAATGCGCCATCTCGGCTGTAGTACGTCGACTTGTAGCTGGTAGCACCCATGTCGATGCGCTCAAATGATGGAGGAACGCCGCATTGATTGACTGGGTCGTCCGCCGATGAGCATATATTGAAGATGAACTGGAACCCGCCGTCCTGGCCGATCACGCCAACGTCGCCGATGCGCACACCCGACTGCCGATAGCACATCGGTAGTTCTTCGTCAGGTTCTGGGATCCACAGAGGATACCCCTCGCGAAGAGGAAGTAGGTTCTCGGCGTATATCTGCGAGATATGCATAGCAGCGTTGAGGGGCGGAGGGCAAGAGTCGAGGGAAGCTGTTGAGCCGCATGTAGAGCACGCTACCTTACCTACATACCGAATCTGATGCAGTGACATAGCCTCCATAGTTCGGGCTGGAGCCTGAGAGCAGGCGGGCCGTTATCAGATCACTAGAATCCTGAGCCGTACAGTCTTCCACCACAAGATTAGACCCCTCATGTGAGCGCTGCGAGAGGATACTGAGGATCTTCAAGCTAGTACCGTTGTCGAAGGGGAACGAAGCGCTCATTCATTGTCATCAACGAATCATCATGGTTCAAGTAATGGAGGAGACGCACCTGCGCAGAAATCGTGCAGCTCAAAGGGGCGGGAGAATTGTCGCTCTCGAAAGCGATAGCCAAACTGATGGTGCGGGTTCGCCGTACCATCGTTCCCAGCGACGGCGAGAAGAGAGACTATTCGTGCTTGACAGCGTTTGGTGACGCTTTTCAGCAGGCCGTTAACTGTGGTTCGTGCACAAATAAGTACTCAGAATATGAAAGTCTGTGTATTGAACTGTCCGCGCGAGCAGCATCTTGACTGACATTGACAAGGTCATATTCGATATGTCTAGAATTGTTTGCACTTCTTTGCGACTGCTTGCGATCGGGGGTCATACATAGCACTCATTATATCCAGATACTTCAACCTGCATCCACTTCTTGCTCATCTTGACTGTCAGCTTCGTGCAGGGCCTGAGTCCCTGCAAAGAACTCATCCTGTGACGTCTTGGCGTAGACTGTCTGCGCGGTCTTGCGTTTATACTTCAGTGTTCGATGGCTTTCATTCGCCGTCTATGGCCTCAAACATACTCGCCCTTTGGTATTCTGCGATGAACGGAATTCAGTGTACTGGAGACCCTCGCAAGATCACGGACGGCGATACCGCTGACGCTCTTGCAGCAAACGGGCAAGCTGTCAGTAAACCTGCCATCGTGCTGCGAACTGCGCAGGACATCAGCACCGCTCCACCCCTCGCGTGTACCCTCAAGCATTGACCACCCTTCGCGTCGGCAGCGCACGGCTCGGCGTGGAGCAATTTTGATGATACAGCTCTAATTTTGCGGCGTAATTTACGCGAGCGCATCATATAATCTCGCCTGCACTCGCTCCTGCTCCCCACCTTTCTCTCTCGTCGCACAAATCGCGTCCTTGGGCACCCTTGCGCCCTTCCTTTCGTTGCACTCACCGTCGTTCACTTCTCCGGGTATCGTTTTCTTCTTCTTCATGCGTTCCTCCGTTTTTGTGAGCTTCCTCGCGTTGAGCGGAGCCGCGTTCGCCGCGACGCACAATGGCCGGCACAGCAGCCGCCAGCATCTCCACAAGAAGCGCGGCTACAAGGTCTCCAAGTGGCTGGAAGGCGATGACCTAGTCGACGCCTTCAACTAGTGAGTCTGCCCTCGCACTTGGTAGTCCACGTCTGACGCGCGTCCAGCGACGTGAAGCCCTCCGACAACCAGGGTATCGCTAACTATGTCGACGGCAAGGACAGCGGCCTCGTCTGGGTGGACGGTTCCAAGAAGACGTACATCGCCGTCGACCAGACCCCATACTCCGACCTGCGCAAGGCGATCCGCATGACGTCCAAGGACAAGTTCAACCCCTCAGACAACCTCCTCTTCATCTTCGACATCCAGCACATCCCCTGCCTCTGCGGCACGTGGCCCGCGCTCTGGTTCACCGGCTCGAACTGGCCGTTCGACGGCGAGATTGACGTGATTGAGGGCGTGCACTTGTACAAGCAGAACACGATGAGCGTGCACACGGGCACGGGGTGCAACTGGCCGAACTACATCATCAGCAGCCTGTCGAAGCTGACCGCGAACAAGCCGGACGAGTTCTCGTGCGACGCGAACGCGGACTATCAAAGCTGTGGTGGCTCGCAGGATAGCAAGACGAGCTTCGGGAAGGCGTTCAACGATGCCGGCGGAGGGGTCTTCACGCTTGAGCTGAACGACAACGTCGTCGCCATGCACCAGTGGAACGTCGCGGACGTGCCCAAGGGTCAGTGCATTTCCTTTCAATGGCTATGCGGCGGACATTGACGCGTTGTGTAGACATCTGGGATAACAACCCCGACCCGTCTGGCTGGGGCGACCCGATCTTCAAGATGCCCGCCGACCAGTGCCCCATCGGCGACCACTTCAAGGACCTCATGCTGGTCATCAACACTAACCTTGGAGGTAAGTCTTGCTACCTTCCCTCTCGTACAGACGCTCCGCCCTCCTTGTATCGTGGATCCGTCCCTTCACCTCTGCTCACGCTCACCACAGGCTTCTTCTCCGAGGGCGTGTGGGCCATCGACGGCGCCGGCGGGCAGGAGACGTCGTGCAAGAAGCAGACGAACTTCAACTCCGCGGCCGACTATGTCAAGCAGATGGGCTCCGTCTTTGGGGACGATGCGCGCTGGGTGAGTACCATTTTTTCGTGTTACTCCCTCAATCTAATGCCACCCGCTCTTCCAGATCATCAACAAGATCGTCATCTACGAGCAGAACTAGATGCTGCGCTGCGCTCGACCGCACATCCTCTCGCACCATACGCGCACCGCCGTCGCGTATGATGTCCGCCCTCCCCTTGCGTCGGAGTGCCCGTCTTAATATCATGGAGACTACGAAGCCCCGGTCGGACGATACTTACGCTCCTTACTATATCATCAACCACAACATAATGATGTACATATACCCCGTCTGGATCTGCGCCGCTGCTGTGGTATACCTGCTTTATTGATTCTGAATGCGCTGCCGATTTGATTGAACGCGCTGACTCCCGGGTTTCACCCTCAAATAGAGTGCAATTCAGGTGCAAGGTGCAATTTAGGTGCAATCTGCATGAGAAGGCGCTCGGGCGGTCTGTATGTCTGAAGCACGGCGCGCTGATCGGGGCGGTGCGCTGATCACTAACTTGCCCTTATATCATGGCCAGCCGCGCGCTGTCAGCATCCCTGTTCCCTACCCTTGTCCATGTCCGCGCCGGGAGTCGTGCATCCCGCCGGCGTCGATGTTGTGAATCCTGCCAGTCTGCATAGCCGCCACTCGAGCTGGGATATCGTCCGGCGGGTCGCGTCGCATTCGAGAGCGTCCAGCGCGACGAGCATCGAGCGTGTCCCCCCGAGCAAATGGACGCCCCTGCGCACGGTGCTCAGTGTGCTGCTCCAGCTGTTCCCCCGCTTCCACAGGCCAATCCGCAAGCGCGCGCTCCTCATCGGCATCGCGTACCAGAACAGGCTGAACCCGGACGAGCGGCTGAATGGGACGCACGAGGATGTGGACTGTCTGTATGAGCTATTGATCAGTGCGTGTGTATCTATATACATGGAAAGCTTGCAAGGCTGACTAGACTGCAGATCACTATGGCTTCCTGCCGAGGGATATCACCGTCATGAAAGACGCGGACGACGTAGAGGATCACCTCTGGCCGACCGAGGACAACATCGTGCGTTTACTTGAACATACTTCCCCTACCCTCCCATTCTTATACTCCCTTTCCAGCGTCGAGAATTGCAAGCCCTCACCCGAGACTGCGCTCCTCGTGAGTCTGCATCCCGCCTCGCCTATCGTCCGTGACTGAGCGCGTCATAGGCGACCGCTTCTTCTTCTCATGTGCGCATCATCCTCCCTCGGTTATGTCTGGTCATTTGACCGTATGCGTGTAGATGCTGGGCATGCCTCGCAAAAGGAAGAACGCGTTAAGGGCTCGGAGATTGATGGTATGGACGAATGTGAGTACGCCGGCCTTCTTGCTGGGGGGCAGGATGCTGAGACGGGAGCTTTAGTTATCGTTCCCTACGATGCGTCAGACTTCTCGGGATCCAAGTGCATCCTAGACGATGTGTGTAGGAACTTCCCGTCGGCCCTTCTAGCTTGCTGATGAACTTTGAAGGAGTTGCGCAGGTATCTGGTTGATCCCCTCAAGAGACGATGCAGGCTTGTGGTGCGTCGCATGTTTGTATTCCGGTAAGACCTGGTACACTTATGTGTCTGTAAGGCCGTCCTCGACGCGTGTCATTCGGCTACTTTGCTAGGTTTGTATCTACACTGTCGTGTCCATACGAAGGTCCTTACGCAGTCTCCAGACCTGGCGCATGACAGATGCATTGAAAGGGATGGATGGAAGGGGTTCGGTGCGTGCAATATTTCCCCTGCATTGCCGTGGGACTGACATGTATCTTAGTGACGACCACCGTCCGCTGGGGTATGCCCTTAATTCTCCTGACATTTCTTTCCCTCTGACGTTTATCGGTCTCAGCATGGGAGCACATCGCAATCGCCATGGGCTTCCCCGTCCCAGATCCCGAGGCTTCGGCTGCTGCACAGCAGGCGAAGCGTGAGGAGATGCAGGACCTGCTATCACAAACGCTTGTCCCGTTCATCGAGAAACTGCTCGGCCCGTGGCGCTACTGCTGGGGCTTCTGTCGGCGTGCGGTTTGGCCGCACGAGCCGTATGTGGTACGCTCGATCTTCTTGATGTCAGCGATGATGCGTAACTCATGCTTGACTTCCCTAGCTGTGCTTCAGCGCATGCAGAGATGAGCAAATGACCTTCGAGAAGCGCGGCTTCTCGATGACGAAGGTGCTCGCCAAGAAGCTAGGCAAGATCCTGTTCTCCGCACTCCTCCTTTGGCAGACCCTGACGCCTCATCAGACGAGAACCCCAGACCGCGCCTGGGTAGCTTGACGAGGAATGTCCGGTAAGTGGCCTTCCTGCTGCCCCAAGCGCGAGTCCTCGACTGACGAATATATCAGCGCTGAGTTCACCGCCGTCTACGAGGCGAAGCGGGAAAAGTACGAGACGTTCCTCGACCGGGGAGTACGCCGCAAGCACACGCTTGGTATCGCGTATTGGATCCTTCCTGAGTCTCTCAGAGGAGAGGAGGCTCCGCCGTATATGCTGCCCCCACCGTTGGCGAAGCTACAGGTGCGCTTGTTCTCGTGATATGTGAGAGAACGGGAACTGACGTTGAACTCCAGCTAACGTCAAACTTGCCTAGGGTGCGTCCTGGTAGTACATGTTCGAACACTTCAGCTGACGATTTCGCAGTATACTAACCTAGAGCGCTTCTGGATCTAAACCACCATCAACGGCCTTCACCTACCATACTGATCTGCATATTTATTGTACTTTGTTTGGGGATAATCGCTGTCTCTTTCTCTTCCTGTACCACCGTGCATTTCTAGCTTCGTGTATCAACCCGGCCTATCGGCCTTGTAATCATCCCACATACGAACCCTCATATAGCCCTCCCCATATACGTAGATCCCGCAACTCGCATAGCTACCGTACTATCTATAATTTTGCTTGTATCCCAGCACCAGCATCCTGTGCCTTCGCACCGTCGCCCAAGTACCAGTGCACGGCGTTACGCACTTCATCTAGCCATTCTTGGACCAATGCGTCTTCGTAGACGTTGCCGTCGTAGTGGACGACCCTAAGCAGTCGAGTCAGTAACGTATGAAGGTCGGGACTTTGATAGGATACGTACAACCCAAGCTGGCCCTTGAAGGTGGCTCCGCCGAGGTAGAGTTCCGTGGGGCGGGTACGAAGACGAGTGTGCGTCTCCAGTATCTCAATAATAGGTTCAGGCGAATTGGCGGGGTATTTGAGAGGAATGACGCTCTCAAGCTACGAGCATAATATAAGCACCACTTGTAGCAAAACGGAAGGCATAGACTCACGTTGCCCATACTCGATCCACCAAAGGTCATGACGAAATTCGCACCCTTCGCTTGTTCGATAGCGGAGATGGGTTCGGTGGAAAGGTCCGAAGCGCCTGAACGTTGGATAGCGCGCCAGCGCTCGACCTGGACTGAAGCCCCCGCGACACGGATTGGTAAACGAGCGTAGTTGATGTCGATGTGGCGCGGATGGCGGACGAAGGCGTTGGCCTGGACAAGGACGAGTGAGCTCAAATTTGATTCAGAGATGAAATGATGGAGAAATACCTGCGCCTTCATCATCCGCGCGCGCAGAAAGAAGCGTCTTTTAGACAGCAACTCAACGTACGTGGGTAGCCGTCCATGCGCGCCAGCATTCTTGCCACCAGGCATCACCGGCAAGCGGTTGAAGTAGAAGGAGATCGCGACGTTGACGGTGGCAGACCCTCCGCGCGCGTACCACTCCGGGTCGAGGAAAGGGCGCTGATTGAGAGGGCCACCGGGCATGAAGGGTTCGCGCTGGCGGAATGCCCATTCGTCGTCTGATATCTTGCCGGCAAGGTGAAGGCGATGAAGGACGCGCGTCATTGCGATCTGATGAGGGGTTTGAAAACCGGGTCAAGAAAGGAAAATGATAATCTACGGACCTGTCCGAGAACGTGGTATGCGTTGCCGAAGGTGACCTTCTGCTCGCGGCAGCTCTGAATAATTTTTTTCGTCTCCGAGGGGCTGAATGATGTGTCCAGGAATCGCGAGCGGGTCGGCGTAAAAGGCGTCGCAGCAGATATTTTCCGTGGTAATGTGTGACCACCCTGTGGACTCTTTGTTGGAACCAGACGCTTAGGACAACTGGGACAGGCTTACCTTCATTCCAGACATTCGAAGCTGCATGATGACGGCGCCTAGAGCACGATGCCACCTCTGTCTTGCAACAGGCTGCTCGCTGTCGGCGAAGAGGGCATTCGTCGAGCGTGCGAGCCATAGCCGCTCTTCCAGAGGGCCAACATCGACGGAGGGCTGCGAGAGCGCCTCCATCAGGGTGCGTAGAAGAGCAAAGTTTCCCATGCCGTCGGTGATCATGTGTGCAACCACTATAATGAGATGCGTCGTTTGAACGTCGTCCGCTTGCAGAATGATGAACAATTGAGCAAGAAGGTCATTGGTGAGTCGGCGCGGGGAGTTGATGATTCGGTCGGCGTAGCTGTGTGCCTCCGCTGCCGAAGGTATCGAGTCGTAAATAATTTCGCCGGGTATACAGGAGTGAAGGCGGGATTCCTCGAGGACGAAGTCCTGCTGTCGGTAGGAAAGCTCTTCTACGCGGGCACCAAGAAGCGGGTGACGTTGCTTCGTGAAGTTCCAAGCCCTTTCGAGTAGCTCCGGAGTCACTCTCTGTGGCTCAACACGGAGGGAAACGAGCTGCAAAGTGTCGGCGGTTCCCGAAAATTGACTGTCCCAGTAAAAGCCCTGTTCTAGCAAGCCAAGGGGACGCCGGTACACCCGCTGTGGGGTAGACTTTTCGAGCTTCCACTCGTCCATTTTGCGGTGTGCCCTGATCGAGAGGTGGAAGTACAAGTGCAAGTGAGGGAATCATCTTCCAGACCGCGGCGAACATGAGTCAAGGGATTTCAAAACATACGGTAACTTGCGTGCAGCGTGGCGAGTGCGGGCAGGCCGCACATGGTACACCTCATAGGACAAGCCATTGACAAGAGATAGAGAAAAACTGCAGAAGTTCAAAAGTGATTTGTTTTGGCGGAAAACATAGCACCACTCGTGCTCGTCAGGTCCAAGTCACGATCGGGTAGTTGAAAGACAAGGCAAGTACGGGCCGGTGCTCCGGCCCAAGTCGCGATCGGCGTCTTCCGAGAAATTGGTTGCCTCTCGCTCAACTAGACCAAACTGTACACAAAGCTGGGATCTTTTGGAGCCTTTGGTGGATAGAGAAGTGCATTGCAAGGTAGGATTGTGCAGGCTGGCGCATACGGGCTATTCGCTCGATTTGGATACCGATCATGGCGATGCGCCGTTACCGCAGAGCAGGCGTTTGTGTTATGTGTACGCCCTTCGGTTACATCCAAGACGCTTGCAAGGGGTCACCCTCATCTCCGTCGTCCTCAACCTTGTAAGAGGACCCGGTTCAAATACCACGCGCAGCCGGGCTGAGCCCTGCGTCGCAGGAGTACGGGACGAGAGGCATCAGTAGCAGGCGCGCCGAGCGCAAGGCTTTGCTAACGTCGTCTGGACGCGGTAGTAGGTCGGGATGCTCTTGCAAAGCGGTAGGCTGCAGTAGCTGCACGCCGAGAAGAGGGCAGTTCATGTGTCCGTGGCCGTACGTCGCTCGTGGCTGAGTGGACTGTCGGCTACAGCGATGGCCCGCAAGGTGACGATACGTGCAGGACACCCCGGATGACATGCCCTTGCGACAGTCCGACAGCGTCCTTTTATCGTTATGGGACAAGCTCGACGTCCGCATAGCCAGGCGGGTTCGAGGACCAAAGACAGGTATCATAGTTGGACAGCGCCCAGTCATTGCTGCAGAAGATGGAGCGGTCGTTGTCGCAGTTGCCCGCGCCGACCAGACCTCCATTGTTGGTCCGTATGCTCAGGCGAATTTTGGTGGGGTCGCGGGCCGACTCCTCGCGATATCGGGCGAGGACAGCATCGCAGCCAGAGGAAGGGGGAGATACGCGCTTCGTCTTGGACCTGCGTTCGGGACTGATAGAGTCCAGCCATAGGCGTAGCTCGGTCGCCGAGAAATCGTGGGCATCGGCGCCAGTGTCGGTAGACCCGGAATCTGAAGCCCGGACGCTCCGAGGAAGAGCGGGCGAGTCGGGGTGTGGGGGCACTTGACGCGCGTGGTCATATACCGAAGGTCCCTTCTGGCGAGACTTTGGCTGAGGTGCAGGAGCACGAGTGGACTTGCGTACACGTCGCGCCGGCGTCTTCGCATCCGTGGGCTGGCAGGTGCTCAGCAGCGCACGCGCAACGGACCCATCGTCACTGCAGGGATGACGATGCTTTTGCCAGACATCGGGCCCTACGAGGAACTCAACGGGGGGACGCGCTTGCCAGCGGCGGAGCACGTCGACTAACTTTCGCGAGAGGCGGTCCACCTTGGCATCCGGCATAGAGGCGTGACCGGAAAGGATGTTTCTGTACGTTCGGAAGATCACGAAGAGAGGATGCGCGCGAGACTTTATACGGGGCATACTGGAGTACGCTCTGTTGATCGTCCTGGTGGTCGAGCCTCTTTTGAGGTACAACAACGGGCGATCTCGCTTGGCGATGTGCATAGGCAGAAATTCGTATTCATATTCTTGTTCGGGAAGCACCTGATATGGTTGAACGCTTGACCGCGCGGACGCCTGACGAGACTCACTTCAGTGAATCGCTTCCTTTTGGATACATCAGCAGTCTTGTTGAAGTCCGACAGCGCGATGATGGTGTTGAGTGTCTTCTTAGTGGGGAGGATAGTCCAGTCATGCTTGTCCATGCGCTCGGCCATGTCGCTGCGAACTACGATTACGAGGCGTTAGTACCACGCAAACAAGGGTGTATGGGCGACGCACGTTCGATGTGGTTGAGTGGTGTGGAGAGATCAAGCTCTCCCTTCTTCATACCCCAGTGGTACTCAAAATGTTCCATCTGACGACCTTCAGAATGAGCCAGAGTTATGTGCACTGCGGGGGTCAGAGACCTGCCGGCGATAGTACCCGGAGTCGAAGTCAACGAGGCGGTAATTGATGATTGGCAGAAAGTCCAAGTCTTTCTGAGTAGACATAGAAGTAGATGATATAGCAGGGGGCATCGCAGATGAGGAGGTGCGCGCGGGGAGAAGTTCAGCACAGCCACTAGGGCGCTAATTTGCTTCCGGCCCGGTACACCGATCAAATGTCCGCGGCTCGACGCGCCTTGTTCTCTCCGTCGTCCATTGTTTTCGTGTATGTCGCCCGTTCTTCGCATCTGCCGCGCATATACCCACAGATACCCTCTTAGAAGGCTGCACACAATGCCCAAGGTTGCAACCAACGCTTACCCCGTCTCGGGGCTCTTCGCCATCGCGAAGCCATCGGGGCCGACGTCCATGTCGCTTTTGAACGACCTGCAGCCGCTGATTGCGACGAGCAAGCTGTTCGTCAGCGAGGACAAGATCAAGGAATTGAAGAAGAATAAGAAGCCGAGCAGCAAGAAGTACAGGCAGGCTGGTCAGTGATCAAGACCATGGGGGAACGACGCGTCTGACGAAACTTCGCAGTAAAGATCGGGCAAGGGGGAACTCTTGACCCCCTCGCTGACGGAGTTCTTGTTGTCGGAATAGGCAAGGGGACCAAGAAGCTCAACGAGTTCTTGCTATGCTCAAAGGTGCGTCGTGGTGCCTTTGCTGCCTATATCTGGCACTGAAGGAGAGCAGGAATATCGGACGACGGCTCTCCTCGGGTGCGAGACAGATACATACGATAGCGAGGGCTCGCAAGTACGGCAGGCGCACTGGCGGCATGTCACACGCGAAGCGGTCGAAGCTGCGATCCCGCAATTCGTGGGGGAGATCCTGCAGACACCACCAATGTGCGTGCGCTTTTACGCGTCTATGTCCCCAACGCTTCCTATCGATGCAATTGGCTTGTCTTCTATGCTGGTCACCTGGCCGTGTTGCGTCAATTGGCTGCCCACATATCTCGACCGACAACCTCCCGCACACTCGCACCCAGATTCATATCCTTGCATCCTAGTCGTATGAGCGGCAGACCATCGCTTCCTGACCCTGCGGCGGCTCACCTCCCTTGACATTTTTTTCCGTGCCTACCCCGCTGCATTTGCGTCCAACGTCCTTCGCCGACCCTTGGCGCTGCTATCTCATGCAGTCTTCATCGCAATCTTGTTCGCTCCGACATTGTCATACGTTGACGCATACATCCGTGCTGACATCTTGCTCTCAGCTTCTCCGCGCTCAAAATGGAGGGCAAACCTTTGTACGAATACGCCCGTAACGGCATACCGCTCCCGCGGCCTATAGAAGCACGAAAGGTCGGTCCCCCCCTTCAAGCCCAAGTTTCCTTGCGTGGATATTCGTCACAGACGCTTCACAACCCCCGCTCTGTATGCTTATTACTGTATCTAGGTCACGGTACACTCCCTCGAGGTCGACGAATGGCTTGGGTCAAAACACGCGTTTAAGCTACCCGAGAAGCGGCTGACAGACGCGGAGCGCGAGAAATTGGAGGCAGCGCTACGCGGAATACAGCCGGATGCGAAGGTGCAGGACGAGCCCGAGCCTGGTATGTGCCATATTTTTGTCTTTCGCGTCCGATGTGAAGGATACTGATGACCTTCAGCACCGACAGAAGCAGCGAATGCCACCGAGGATGCTGCCGCTCCCGCCGTCGACTCTAGCACTGCTCAAGCCAGCGCAGAAGAGACGGCGAGTGCTCCTACAGCCGCCGCGGAACCGAAGGACACTTTGGAGCATCCCACTGCCTTTAGCCTCAAGATGACTGTCTCCTCCGGCACCTATGTTCGCACGATTGTGCACGACTTGGCGCATGCAGTAGGGAGCGCAGGACATGTCGTGGTACTAACGAGGTAAGTAAGCGCTCTATGGCCCCCGTGAGCATAGCATGGGTATCTTCTGTGCAGCTCATGAAGATTCGTGTCGCTAACCAATTGCATAGGACACGACAGGGTCGCTTTAAACTGGGTGACTCAGTCGCCTCGCGAACCACCCCCGGTGCGCCCAAAGAGACAGCAGAGGCAAGCTCCTCTGCCGCTACCGAGGGCGCCGCCGATGATGCGCCCTCTACCGCCGAGGAGCCCTCGACCTCTACAGTCGAAGGCGCCGCTCAGAATGCCGCACCCGCAGCTGCCACTTCCGATGCTACACTCGAGCCCTCGCCAACCACTGTTGCGATTCCCTGGACCATCTTCGAGCGTGCCATTAAAGGCGAGGACGGCCCGCCGGACGCGGAGGGCTGGCGTGAATGGGAGAGGGAGGTCATGGCAAAAATGGAGGTGGTATAGAGCGAGGTGCGATATGACTGTGTATATCAGGCAGTAAGACGAGTAATCATGAGCAGCTGATGTGCGCGGAAAGGTGCGTTTGACTGTGAATACGTCCTCATCCTGCTGCGCTGACGGTTCGTACAGCTACCGAATTTGTAGTATAGCGTTCAACTGAGCAACTCTTGCTCGTTCGACATCACGACTTGCTCATGCCTATCACGTTTTGGTCGCGTTCAAGAGCTTCTATCTGGAGAATGGCCCGGATCGACCGGCGCGAACGGGAATTCGGCGCGGGGGTATGTGTTCAAATAAGCGCCCTGACGACGACAGCCAGGTCTTGCGGGACATCGGCACGGTTCTGTTGACGATCGACAGCTGGCTCATTAGGTTGTCGCCCGATACCGGTGAATAGAGGAAAGAGACCGGTGAATAGCCGTGAGTAGGAGAACCACCGCCGAGCGACTTGGCTTGCGAGAAGAAGGCGTTCGTCCTGTGAGGAGTCAGACTCACAGACGCCTGCGCATGGGCACCCAAAGGTGCCGAATGAAGTGTCTTATTACTCTCCCCAGATATGGCCAATCGGGGATGGGTTCTTGTCGACAAGGTATCGCTTCGGCTCGAGCTATCTCGTCCCATGATACTCATATACGTCCGAAGGCTCGCTCCAGAGCGATGGTCGACAAGTGCGGTTAGCGTTAGCGTCGGGAGTATGAGGTCCCGTGGAGGACGAGGCAACAGATCCCGTGCAGGACGACCACCCGGCGCGTGAAGTTCAACATTCGGGCGCGTGACCCGCCCGCCCTCCCGCCTCCGCCACCTCCACCAAATTTATCGCTCCTCCGCCGCCCCAGGGCGGGAGCGCACCTGGGGTATTCCGTTTACGCAGGGTGATCTGCCACGACGCGCGCACGACGCATCCTCAATTGACCTCCAGCTGCCTCAGCTGCTCCTGTGCATACGCGCCCCGCCGCCCGCAGCGAGAAGGACGATCGACGAACTCGGATGAGCAGCTTATCCGGGCGCATCACCGAAGGTGGGCGGCCTTGTCTTCTCTTTCGAGCGATTGTTGATCGGGCGCGCGGCATCCTCTCGGACGTAAATGCGGACGGGCATGGCGTTGTTTATCGTGCTTGTTGAAGCGCGGGGGACGATCCCTCAGCCTCTGCAGTTAGGCCGCGCCACTCTGTCCCGGTTGTCGGACCGCTTTCTTTTTTCTTGCGATTCGGAGGGTCCATTTTTTGACAAAATTCGCAGGATTGTGAGTGGCGATCCCCCTTGTCATGCAAGAGGGAGGTCCAGGGCCCCGGGTCCCCAGGGGGTACGACTGCGCCGGTGGGACATTGGGAGGCCATTGAGTGGGCGTTCCCCCGAGAACGGGCCGGGCCCCGCGCCGTCGCCGCGGGAGAACGGTGCGGGCGGTCCGGCCCGATCCCAGCTGGAGGGCTTCCCCGCGCCGCCATATAAGCCGAAGTCGACGATGCCGTACGATTCCCATCTATCTCCTGCCGCCGACGATCAGCTCAACTCTCGTCCCCCCACTCACTAACAATGGTTGCGAACGGTCACAAAGTCTCCCGCCCGCTCAAGCCGGGCATCTACGCCCCCATCCCCACATTCTTCAAGGCGGGCTCGGAGGACCTTGGTGCGTTGCCTACGATGTGGGGGGAACCTAGCTAAATGCCTCTGCAGACCTTGAAACCACATCCGCGCACATCGCGCGCGTTGCGAAGCAGGGGATCCCCCCCCTCGTCGGCGGCTCCATGGGGGAGGCGCACCACATGTCACATTCCGAGCGCGTCGAGCTCATCAAGGGCGCACGAAAGGCGCTCGATGACGCCGGCTTCACCGACCTCCCCGTCATTGCGGGCACGGGCGCAGGCTCGACCCGCGAGACGGTCCAGGTGACGCAGGAGGCGGCAGAGGCGGGCGCGGACTACGCGATCGTTATCGCGAGCGGCTACTTCGCCGGCGCACTCGCGAACAACCGGCCAGCATTGAAGGCGTTCTTCGGCGAGGTCGCTGAGAAGAGCCCGATCCCCGTCATGATCTACAACTGTGCGTGCAGAAGTCTCACTGAGCGCGAGCTTTACTGACCGATTGCAGTCCCCGGCGCCGCGGGCGGTATTGACCTCGATTCCGACATTATCACGGAAATTGGGCTGGAGAACCCGAACATCTGCGGCGTCAAGTTGACGTGCGGGAACGTCGGGAAGTACACCCGTGTCGCAGACGCCGTCATCCAGCCCAACTTCACCCCGCGCAAGAACCCCGACGCACCATTCCTCGTCCTCGGCGGCTTCGTCGACTTCCTCGTCCCCACTACCTTCGCCAACGGTCACGGTACCATCACCGGTCTTGCTAACCTCGCTCCGGTTCGTATCTCCCTCCATCTAATCATACCAGTCAACTGACAGCCTCCCTCCCTCAGCACACTATCGCAAAGCTTTGGGACCTTGCAAACGCCGCACTCAAGGACACCTCCAAGCTCCAGGAGGCCCTCCACATCCAGGGCATCGCCGCCCGCGCGGACTTCACCATCGCGAAGACATCGATCCCGGGCATGAAGTTCCTCATCGAGAAGGAGTACGGCTACGGCGGGCTCGCGCGCAAGCCGCTGTACCCCCTCACCGACGCGGAGAAGAAGGCGATCTGGGAGCACCCGCACACGCAGGACCTGCTCCGGCTAGAGCGCGAGCTCAGCGGGAAGAAGGCGTGAGACCAGCGAGCGGGGAGAAGGTGTCAAGTCTGCAGCGGTGGTGGCAGCAGGACAGGCCCCGTATCAGCTGAGGACTTGCGGCTGGGGCGCGCGTTTTCTAGACACACGGCATGACTAGACGCGTAAGTATATAATGTGTTTATATCTATAGTAGTGAACACCATGTATCATACTGCATAACGGAATTCTCGTTGGGCACTCACCGTTGGTCTGAGGGTATGCGTCAGTTTGCTCTGGTTATGCGCGAGCATGAGATGCGAGCAGCTCCAAGAGAGTGGCCGAATCAAGAGAAGGTGAGACCGAATGCCAGTATGCTGAAGGTGTCGCGCATGTCAGCTAGCAGAGCAGAGTCAATACATAGGATACAGTTACTTATATACAGCAAAGTCACCACGTCCTACTCTACCAGAGCAAAAGTCGACCCATCTGTCGTCGTGTACACATTGCCCTCGTCCAACAACTGGTCCAACGCCTCACTATCAACCATGCGTCAGCACCACCATTCAACCCACACACCATCCAGCACCCACCTGATCTGTTTCGCATTCGACGAAGACAGCGCCTGCGCGATGTCCTTCACCGACACACCGTCCTCAGTCTTGTGTTGCCTCATGTAGTCCGTGATCTCCTCCTTGAGGCTCTTCTTCCCGCCACTGCCGACGGGTTTTGAGGATGGGGCGAGGTAGGCGGAGGCCCCGCCGCCGCTGGTGCTCGATGCAAATGCGCCGGCTGGAGCGTGTTCGGCGGCCTTGGTTCCCGGAGGTGCCTATGGGCGGAGTTCGTCTTAGCAAGAGAATGGAGGGAATGTTAAGGAAGGAAGCCGCACCCCGCGCTCGAGTCGTATTGTCGAGTACATGACCTCGAAGTGGTGGAAGACGCGTTCGTTGTGCTCGACGGGGCGCACGCAGGCTGCGTTGATGTATTTCTTCGCGCCGAAGACCTTTAGTGAGCCAGTGACGCGTGCTATGCCGCCCTCGCTGCGCTTGTGATGAGCATCCCCTTCCCTTCGCAATCACAAGTGTAATACGCACTGCACACCCCCATAGCTGTCCGACGGTGACTGTCCAGCATCTGCCCATAGGCGCGCCTCAAGTTCCCCCGAGCCGTCGTTTATGATGATCACAGTATTTGTTGCCTGGTCCCTCAGGCTTTTGACGTGGCCAACGATGGTGACCTGGAACGATCGGTCAGAGAACAAATGAGGGACGAAGGAATGCGCCGCACATGTCCGAGCTCGAAGCCGCCGACAGTGAATGGCGCGTCGGTATGTACTTGTGTTGCGCGCGTAAGCTGGCCGATGGTGCATGCGCGGATGGAGTGGGAGGCTTCGCTCTGTCAAAGACAGTCAGGTATTGCAATTTTCGCATCGAGGGAACGCTACGCACCTTCTGCGCACTTGGGCTGGCCTGACTGCCACCAAATGGCGAGCTGCCTTGCACATAGCCGCCGCCTCCCTGCGATCCATAATATCCGCCGCCAGCGTAGGGTGCTGTGGAGACCTAAGCTCTCCTATTCCCTCCACATGTGTACATTCCTTACATTGGCTCATGATTTTGTGGTGGATGCGTATACAGCAGCGAGAGTGTGGAACAAGCGACGGGGAACGCGGCTTGCCGCCAAATGACACGAGTGTCACGATCACATGACGGGTGTGACCGCACGCGTCCAGTTCAACATTTCGATCAATCCAACTTTGTCCTCCTCCGTCCTTGGCCCCGCCATCTGTATGGGTGGACTTTTTGACCCTCGAATGAGGTGCCATTGCTATAACTTGAGGCTTGGATGCGCCATGTATGACTAGCCTCGCATAGGCCCACCACAGTGGTACGACGAACGCTTGGCCAGGCGCAGCATCCTCCAAAGTCTAGTGCCTTGCAGCGCGCTGGTCAACATCATCTACTTCCGCGAGCGAGGTCCGGCTCGCGGATGGGCTGTGGGCAGCAGCGGAGGTTCGGCAGCCAAGGGACGGAGACAAAGCACAGAAAATCCTGCGATCGTGAAAATTGCCCCTTCGGTTTTCCTCTGGTCGCTGAGCTCGAAATGCAGGATCGGACTCCCTCTTTTCTTCTTCCTTCTTCCGGGAAGGATCAGACTGTCTAGGATCGTCGCTCACATCGAGCTGTACGGCTCTACTATGCCCATGTTCCCCCGACGCTGTGGCGTCAGTTCATGGGCCTGGACTCGATTATCAGATAATTTCATCTAGATTAGATAACATGCACTTGGCTCATGCGGATGCTGCGATCGCGGCGCGCTCTATAAATTCCACCATGTCCCCGCTGTGCTTTTTGTGCGGTGCCATCATTCCGAGCAGCGGTCCCCTCACATCGGAGTCCATTGGCTGACCCAGCAGCGGCGCCTTCCCTCCTTTGCTTGACGATCCACGACCGCCTCCCTCACGCTCACGCATTGCGATGGCTTCCGTTGAATCGCCCGTCGTACCTTACGAGGACGACCACAAGTCCTCTTCCTCGTCGCACAAGACCGACGAGGAGGCACAAAAGCCTGCTGTGGTGATCTCAGAGGAGGATGCTGATGCTGCTGGCGCGAAGACCGTAGAGGCGACGTTCCGTGTCTTCGGGAAGTACTCGCGGTGGGCGCTGTTCATTGGGTGAGTATGAGCTACTTTGATCTTTGGGAGGCACTCATCTGAACGCATTGTCAGTCTTGGTCTTGCAGCGTACATCTACTCGCTCGATGGGCAGACGACGTACACCTACCTCGCCTACGCTACTTCCTCTCTCGGAGACCACGGCCTTCTGGCGACCGTGCAAACCGCACAGGCCATCATCAGTACGCTTCGTCAGCCACTTGCCCTTGTATGATACTCACTAAATACCTAGTCGCATGCGGTAAGCCCGTCGTAGCCAAGCTGGCGGACGTCTCGTCACGAGGCTTTGCTTATCTCTTCGTCCGTGAGTAGACCCGCAAGTAGCATGTGTAGACGCCATACTGACCTCCCGCAAAGTGATCTTCTACGTCGTCGGCTACATCGTGATCGCCTCTGCGCACAACATCGAGACCATCTGTGGCGGCATCATCTTGTACGCCGTGGGCTACACGGGACTTCAGCTGCTTACCCAGATCATCATCGCCGACATCACGACGCTGAAGTGGCGCGGACTTGTGTCCTCCCTCATCTCTGCGCCCTTTATCATCAATGCGTTCGTTGGCTCGAATATCTCCGCGCAGGTCCTCGAGCGCTCCGGATGGCGATGGGGCTGTGAGTGCTTTCCCAACTTGTTTGGTTTCCATTGTGCTAAACATATGAACAGACGGCATGTTCGCGATCCTCATCCCCGTCTCGCTGGCGCCGCTCATCGTGACGCTCTTGTGGGCTGAGCGCAAGGCGAAGCGCCTCGGCCTCGTCGTCAAGCGCGAGCACGAGCACACGCTGCACGTCCGTCTGTACCATACCGCGCAAAAGCTCGATGTCATGGGTCTTTTGTTGATCGGCACGTCCGTCGCGCTCATCCTCCTTCCGCTCACCCTGGCGAAGGGCGCGAAGGGCGGATGGGACAATCGTGAGTCCTTGTGCATGAATTTTGGATCTTTGACTCACGCACTAATCAGCGTCGATGATCGCTATGCTCGTCGTTGGCTGCGTTTTGCTCTTCGGTGTCGCCATCTGGGACTTCAAGTTTGCCTCGTACCCGGCCATTCCGAGGCGCTTCGTCATGAACCGCAGTGTCATGTTTGCGTCGCTCATCGGGTTCTTCGACTTCGTACGTCCCATTGCACATCCTATCCTACTATCGCTAACACCTACTACAGATTTCCTTCTACCTCAACTATGCCTATCTTTATTCCTTCATTCTCGTCACGAAGGATTGGTCGGTTAATATGACTTGCCTTCGTCTACAATTCACTCACCCGTCATCAGGCCGCTGGTCAACGTCACGTACTTCACGTCTTGCCAGAGCGTCGCGCTCACCGTCTTCGGTATCGGCGCCGGTCTGCTCATGCGCTATTTCAAGAGCTACAAGACCATCCTCATCGTCGGCCTCTGCATTCGTCTTCTGTACGTCCCTTCTTTCCCCTCACCTTTCCATCCCACTAACCCCCCCCTTCAGCGGCGCCGGTCTCATGATCCACTCCCGCGGCGCCAATGCATCCGACGCCGAGGTCGTCTGGACGCAGATCCTCCAGGGCATGGGCGGCGGTATGGCCTCTGTCACCATCCAGGTCGGCGCGCAGGCCTCCGTCACGCACGCGGACGTCGCGATGGCCACCGCGGTCGTGCTGCTCATAACAGAGATCGGGGGCTCCATTGGCACGGCGGTGGCGGGTGCGATCTGGACGAATCGCATGCCCGGGGAGCTGGTGAAAACCCTGGGCGGGTTCCTCAATCAGACGGAGATTGATACGATTTATTCGTCGGTGGCGGTTGCGGCGGCGTATCCGAGGGGGGATCCGACGAGGGAGGGGGTTATCACTGGTGAGTTTTCAAGATTTTTATAGGATGAAAGAACAAGGAGCTGACTATACTTGCAGCATACGGCAACGTTATGCACCTGATGTGCATAATCGCCACCGTGATGGCCATCCCGCCCATCATCTTCGCCTGCTTCATGCCCAACTGGATCCTCGGCGACGAACAGAACGCCGTCGACAAGATCAACCTTGCGGGAGAGCTGGAGAGGGAGATGGAGAACCAGCCTGCTGGCGCTGCCAGTGGATCCAAAGCCGTTTAGACGAATGGCACTTCTGAGGGTTTTCGGGCGTCTGTTAATGGGTTTACTGTGTCATCGTATATTAATTCGCTCTCACTGTATCGCTAGATCTTGTCTCATCATCTATAGCAAGCTACTATGTGACGCAGAGCAGTCGATCGTATATTTGGCCCATGCTGCGAACCCAGAGTCGGACTTTGCCACAAACCCCGGTCGTGAGAATCTATCATCATCCCATCATACATCCCAATTTGGCAAGCCTTGTTCTTTCATTGGACGACGATCTCGCTGTCCTGACCTTTGCGCGAGCTACGCTGCCGCGTCCTGAACCAAGAAGAAGGCAGATATGGTGTCCCCCACGCAAGTGACTCGAGAAATAGCCGGGAATACCACGGATATCGTCGTGCTCCCGTACGCAGATCGTGTCCTCATCCTCGTCACTCAATTGGGCAAAGTAGGGAACTTGGTTGGTCGATGTCATCGTCTCAATGGCTTCTCAGAGTACTGATTTGTCGCCCTAAGATACAAGCCTCTCTACCAGCGACAACACCCATACAACCCGCAGAAGCCAACGCCGATCATCCCAATGCACTTGCACTTCCCCCACCACCTCCCGGAATCCAAGTAACTGGGTTGCTCGGAAGCTCGTCGTCGGACCACCAGCACACACTTCATTATCTCTATGCATCGCAGATTGCTACGATCGTGTGGACGGCAGAGGGAGGGGGCGCTCTGGCAGGCCCACGACGCGACGTGATCATCGGGCTGGCTCTGCGAAAATCAGCTCCCTCACCTGACGATGATGGATCTCTATCCGAGGCAGAGAGGGAGACCTATAACGCGATCATGTTGCTGTTGCAAGAAATACTCAAGAGCTGATGATACTTCTAGCCACTGAACCATGTCCCCTACGGCGCCTATTGCACGTAAGCCCCTCTTAGTGGGCGCGTATCTCGATGTCCATCACCCAGCTGCAGGTACTTGCTGACGCTGTGCACATCCATCAGAGGCGCTTGCGAGAAGTTGTCATCACTTCATGAGGCATCGCTGTCGCTCGCACGCTGATTAGCCACTGTGTGAATTTATGTTGACCTTTGGCCACGATGTTCACCTCCTCCCCCCGTCCTTGCGCCCCCCTCGTGCTTGCCGTGCGCCTCGCAAATGGCCGTCCGTCTGTAAGTTGAGACCGGGCAGCCACGAGTGACTCGTGCCGGAGCCCCGCGCCGATACCCTCCGTGATCAAATTTTGGAAGCGCCTTGAGCAGGTCTTCCGGATCCCTCTCTACTGCCCAGTCGCGTCGGAATCTTTTTTCCTTCGCGTTCATCGTCCCTTTCCCTCCCCGCATCGCTCCAGACATGTCGCTCACCGCCCTCGACCGCCAAATCCGCCCCATCTATGGTCAGCAAACTGCCCTCCCCGCGAGTGCACACATACCCCCGGCGCACGTTTTCTGACCCCGCGCATGTATAGATGCGCTCGACACCGGCTCGAACAAGTCCGCGATCGTGACGTGCAACAAGCTGCTCAAGAAGCAGCCGAAAAACACGCTCGTGAAGGTGCGCTACACGTGTAGCCGACTGGGTGCGCGGAAGCTAACGGGTGGACACTTCGCAGGCGCTCAAGTCGCTCGCACTGGTGCGGTCGCAGAAGGTTGAAGAGTCGCTCGCGCTGTGCGATGAGGTGCTCGCTACGAAGCCGACGGACGATGCTATCCTCACCGCCATGATGCATGTTTTGCGCGGCCTCGGACGCAGTACGCATGCCGACTTGCGATCGAGCGACCCGGTGCTGACGGTGCATAGACAACGACATGGTTGCTATGTTCGAAGACGCGTTCAAGCAGCAGCCTAACAACGAGGAGCTCGGCTGCCAGACGGTCTTCGCTAACATCCGTGCACTCCGATGGAAGACGGCCCAGCAGGTGCGTACACGAAGTCAGGGGCACCCAGCCACCTACTCACAACACCCCTTAGCTCTCGCAAAAGCTGTTCCGAACCTTTAGCGACGAGCGCTACCTCTACTGGAGCGTCATGTGCAGCGTTTTGCAGGTGTGTATGCCATACTTCCCCTTCCGATCATGCCTGACCCATGCACAGGCTCACGACCCCACCACACCCGAGAACATGAAGCCGATCCTCTTCAAGCTCGCTGCGAAGCTGCTTGAGCAGTCACCCAACCCCTCCTTTGTCAGCGCCGACCGCTTCCACCTGCATATCTCCGTGCTCAAGGAGACTGCGGATTGGGAGGCTGCGAACAAGCTCCTCGACACCGACATCGGGCGCGTCATCTGCGATACGAACCTCTCATGCAATGAGCTGCGGCGCGAGATCATACGCGCGCAGGGTAAGCTTCGCGAGGAGGGCGCGACCGCGGAGGTCCGCATCGGTGAGAAGGGGTGAGTGACAGCGATGCCAGTAGGTGCAGCATAGAGCTGACGGTTTTCAGCGACCGCAACTGGTTTGAGTTCGTCTCCTTGCTGGACGGCACTTTCGCCGAGCCAGAATCAGAAGATGCGCAGGAACGCGTGACGAAGACGCGCACATTCCTGGAGAGCATTAAGGAGAAGGACGGCAAGGCTGACCGTTCCGCACATTTGGCTGCCCTCGAGCTCGAGAAGCGCGCCAGGGAACATAAGCTCGGCAACGGTATGCCTTACCGATCTTTTATCTTCTGCATCCCCTCATCTTTGTGGCAGAGTCCCTTGTGCCGCAGCTGAAGGCCTATTTCGAGGCCTTTGGCACGAAGGCCGTTTGCTATGAGGACCTTAAGCCCTACGTCACCGTCCTTACCCCCGAAGAGGCCACCGAGTGGCAGGCCTTCCTCCAGCCTATCACCGAATCTTTCGTGCGTCAAGGCACATTCTCGATTTTTTATGGACCTTGCTCACCTCGTGCTAGACGAACGGCAACGAACTGCAACGAACTATCAACGCCCACAAACTCCTCCGCCACACCTCTAACCCCACCGTCGATTCCGAGCTCGCGAGCGTGCAGACCTTCACCAAACAATATCGCGAGGGCCTGCAATTCGGTGACCACCTTCCAACGACAGAGCTGCAGCCCGCAGACGACCTTGCTATCCTCGCCGGCCAGACCTTCGTCAGCTTGTGGACGATGACGGGCGAGCAGAAGCACCTGTACAGCGCGGCGGCCTTCCTGGAGTACGCCCTGACGAAGAGCAACCAGGCGTTTGAGATGCGCTTGATGCTCGTGCGGATATATCGGTTGATAGCGGCCCCGGCGCTGGCGTTGGAGCAATACCGTGCGATGGGCGCGAAGAACGTCCAGCAGGATACGTTGTCGCACTTCATCCTGTCGAGAGCATCACTGTTCTCATTGGCACCGGTCGGCGACGTCACAATGATGGCTGAGTGCATGGAGTCCATGCAGATCTATCTCAGCAACGCGAACGAGGTGCGTTCTCGCTTTGTTATCGGCTTCACCCTCTGTTAAACAGCACCTCTTCAGACCAGCGAATTCATTACCCGCGCCTTCAATGCCGAGAAGTACTCGCAGATCCCCGAGTTCATCGCCTTCGAGGAGCGCCTGGAGACGTCCGTGCAGAAGGACCTCGTCAAGATGGAGCACTTGCGCATGCGCCTCACACATGAGACCATCTCGAACGACGTGACCGACATGGAGCTCATCGAGCTCCAGTTCGGCTCGGAGAAGCCGCCGCACGACAACCGCGACTACGACATCCTTGTCAACTACCAGCCCGCCAGCTCGAAGTCGTTCCTGGAGCAGACGACGCTGTTTGGGAAGGTGGAGTCGGTGAGTGAAGTGGGCAGGTAAGCTGGGGATGTGGAGCTGATGAGCTTATAGTGCGGCTGGTTGAACATCTTCCTGAAGATGTACATCCGTGCGTTGCAGATGGCGAGTGATCTGGATGAGACGGTGGAGGACAAGTTGCTTGTCGGTGATCGGCCAAAGGTTGCGACTGACGCCGAGGGCCGTAAAGCCAATCGCGAGAAGCTCTTGGAACGGACAGACGAGGAGCTTGCAGAGGTGCGTCGTTGAGCGGCTACTTTGCATCTCGCAATCCTAACACTTACTCGTAGCTCACCGATGATGAGCGCGCACTCGTCGACTTCGTGAAGGAGCTTTCGGACTGGGCAGAGCCGCACCATGACTACACTCGGCCACCACCAGCAGTCGTTCTCGCGGAGGCTGCGAAGGTGTCTGAGCAGCGGACCGGGCACCCGTTGCGTGGGATCGAGATCCCGCCACTACCGGCGAACGGGTCTGCGAACGGCAACTGGAAGAAGGACGAGGAGCAACCACCTGTGAAGGACGCCCCCGAACTTGTGCTGAACTTCTTCGATGGTGCGCCATCTGTTGCAGCGAATTGCTTGAAGACTGATGGTCTGCTTCAGGTCAACGGAAACGTTTCGAGGAGGCCATCAAGCAGCAGTCGCCACTGGAGGCTATTGCTGTGGCGAACTTGACTGCTGAGGCGTTCTTGTTCACCGTCATCCTCAGCATGCGATTCAAGAACAACTCGATTGTCAAGATTCACAAGCTCGGCGCGTTCGTGCAGAGCTTCAAGACGATCCGTGCAAACGCGATCGCCCTGCTGAAGGACATCTCCGCTGCCCTGATCGCGCGCGCCGAGCAGGAGGGTACCTCCGAGGCACGGAAAGCCTTCGTCGAGGACTGCGCCCTCGTCACAGCGGCTTCGGTGGACCACGACTTCGTGCTCAACGTCGGCAAGAAGGTAACAGACTCGCGGAAGAAGATACTCGAGGGCGTAGGGAAGGGCATCCAGAAGTTGAGCACGACGTACGTGCAGTTCTGAAGAGGGATTTTACTGTATGTATGGAATGGGGATGTAAAAGTAATCTACCTTATATGCCGCACGTCACATAGACTAGTACTACACCACCACTCCAATCTTAGCGGATTGTAACGGCCTGTACAACCTGTTTGCTGGATCGAACTTCGTCAGTGCTCGTTGATCCCGGATTTGGTAGGCTTTGTTCTGAGGCAACTCCCGAATGCGCACGTGGAGCGTTCCTTGTTCTTCTCGATACGCGACTATTGTTCTCCTTCTCCGTCATCACGCGTCTAACTCATGCTGGGTACTTCCCAAACCAAAGACAAGCAGGAGACGGAATGGGAGGCTGACTGGTGGCAGCTCCAACCCCTCCTTGACCGCACGCCCACCCGGCCAGTCGAATGGTCGACCTCCTCCCTGATCTTCACCGCGGACCACTCCAGCCCCATCCTCACCGCGCGCCATTTCTCGTCCTCCAAGCAGTTTGAGCTTCCCCCACCAGCCAACGCCGACGAGATCGCGGTTTTCATGACCACCTTCCGCCCGCCGACGCTCATCTCTGCCGCGCCGTCAGGGGACTGGCTGTTCGCGTACTATCCTGGGAATGGGAAGAATAAATGCTGTTTATGGCATCGCGGGGACGCGCTTGACAGCTGGACTGTGAACGACCATTGGTCTGAGCCGTCAGACGTGATTGCCGCAGAGTGGGTGGGCGTACCACGAGAGGTGTGTGCATACGTCTTCCGCGCGAGATCCCATACTTATACCCATACAGTGGACAGTCAACGACGATGGGACTGCCTCCCGTCTACCTCCCCGCGGATCCCCCACACCCGTGCTATCTCACGGCCTCGTCGTCGTCACTCGAAATCATAGCTTGAAGCTCTTCTACTACCGCCACTACCAGAAGAATGTCAAGATCATCCCCCTCACACTTATGAACATGTGCGTGAACGTCGAGGCCAATACGAAGCCCGAGATAGAGGGCCCACCTCTGCCCGGCTGCGTGCGGCTCTGCGCGAAGGCGGCGATCGGCGTGAACTACAACGGTATGCTATAGCCTTGCACACATCCTCATCGGCCTGCGTAAGCTAATCAGAAGCCAAGATTCGTCTCTGTTGATTGCTTCCCGCCTGTATCGCGTCCCAGCACGGAACACAGGACCCCAAGATCCCTTCGACGTGGATGACGATCCACAAGGCGTCGAATGGGAGCAATGGGGCGAAGAGCCTACCATAGAACTCGCTGAGTGTGCCCTTCGGTTCAACGGCGAGCAAATGAGTACGTCCGACGTGCTAATAGACGTGCAAATTCTTCATGCTGTTTCTAGGTCTACATGTGCAGGTTATGCCACCATTATACCCTCGCAACGCAGCACCCATCGCCGAACTGGCATTTGCGAGTGCGCCACCGAAGGCGATAGAGGGTCAGCAGACCCCGACAACACCCGGAGAGCGCTTCCTAGTCGTGTCGCACCTGGACTTTGGAGACTGTAAGGCAGCTGTTGGTTTGAAACAACGCACACCTAACCAAAAGCAGACACATCGCCCCCGAAATCAGAGCTAAGTAGTTATTCCCTTGTTCTCAAGGACGAAAAAACGCCCAAGAGGCGCTGGGTAGGCTCTTTCAACATGTTCAGCTATCCAGCTCGCTGACTTCGTCCGCACCAGGAAGTCAAGGAAGAAGCGACGCGGTCTTTCGAGCCGGATGTCGTAACATCGCTCGCGCCATGTAAGGTGCCCACTCGCGGAACTTATGCGACCGTCTTGCATCGCTCGAGCAAGTACACTCGAGGGCGAGAGCGCGTATGCATAGGGCGAATTCACCATCTAAACTTGTACGTGAATCCTGTGCGCCAGAAATCGTCTCACCCATTATCTTACCTGCGCTGGTCAGACCAGATCTCAGCGATGCCCCGAATTCTACGCCAACCTCTATCGTAGTACCCGCAAGGCATGTCGGATGCGACTGTACGTGGCCTGCAAGGATTTTCGTGAGACGAGCTCATCCCCTCGCTCAGTACCTCTCTACACCACCATCTCCCCCAACGGCACCCTTCTGTGTGCTATCGCGCACAACCTTGCGCTTACGCGTCCCAATGTGTACTTGCTCCCCCAAGCGTCGTCGGACCCTTCAGCAATGGCGGAAGACGACAAGCCACCTCCGCCCCCTCATCTCGCTCGCCAGATCGCCGCCGCGTTGTACAACCGCCGGCGGACGGGCGACCTCACGCATCTGCTTTCCCTGGCCGCAACACCGATTGACGGAGCCCGCGATACCCTCGCGGGCGTGCTGCAAGTGCTGCAGAAGAACACCGGTGGACGGACGCGGGTGGACTATCGGTGGATCGTGTTGGGGCTGGCGGTGGAGGTGTATCGGTCGCGCGCACAACGAGCCAAGGATGAGGAGAAGACCGAGCTAGGACGTCGATGGCGCGCGGGGCGGGATATGTGCTCGCTGTTCGCGATACAGCTGGCGTTCAAGGAGTGCAGTGACAACGATGGGAAATACGATCTTGGTGCGCCGTGCTTACTTCGATATCGTGTTGTGGGGGCGCTCATGTTGCCGTAGATGCTTTGTGGCAACTCGTCGGCTTGTGTAGCTGGTTCGTGGGCTATTTGGAGAGGCTTATGAAGGAGATGGTACAGTTTGGCAACTTACCTGCTCCGGAGAAGCCCAAAGAGGATGACGATCTGTTCGGGTCGGCGCGTATGTTCTCTCATACTCAACATATGGTGTCATCGGTCGCTCATGACTTTGTAGCTGCATCCCCCGAAAACTCAACTTCAACTGCTCCTTCGGGCGCTGAGACCATCCCATCACCTACGCTGTTGCCTTTCTCGCACGCCGCACTTGCGGAGACGCTGCTACACGTCGTCCAGCAGGCCAATAAGTTGCGTGAGCAGGTGAACACGGCGCAGATCAGCAACGAGCGCGCCTTCATGGCGAAGAATGTGTTCGTCGATGTGGTCGACTGCGCGGGCGTGTCCCTAAAGGATGTCGAGAAGTTGTTCGAGGAGGTGAAGGATATGGTGGATGAGTCGATCAATGGTAAGCGGTGCTCGTCGAGGGACGATAGCATAGCTGATAGGATTGTGCGTATGACAGAAACCCAGCAGCGGCTCAGTCTTGTTACGTGCAAGCCGATGCACGACACTCGCCAAGCGGTCCACACCATCGCGCGCAAAATCGCCACTTCGCCAGTGCTCGATAAGATGCGCCTCTTCATCCGACCCACCGATCTCGTCGACGGCCTCGGGCGCCTGTCCCTAGGTGACTTCGATGCCTCGTCATCCAACGCTGCCGACGACGCGGCCACTCCCCTACCCGACACCTCCAGCGGCGCGAGCAGCGCTAGAAAAGACCGCGACAGGGACATGGTGACGAAGGCGCCGCTGGGACAGCAACGGGAGGCATATGTCTGCTTGCGGTGTGGTGGGAAGTCGGATTTGCCGGTTGACTTGGCGGATCCGGATATCGGGTGTCAGGGGTGGAGGATTTGGGAGGGGAGGTGGGCGACCGAGTGTATATGTGGGGGCTCCTGGATGACGGCCGCGAATGCTTGATGTTGGGGTGTCATATCTCTTTGAAAAATGCATTTTCTCCACGTGCAAGTTGAACGCCGGCATCAGAAGGCTATCACTCCCAAATCGGGAAGGTCTTGTTCTTGCGTTCATCCCATCTGCTCCTCCCAATCTACTTCCATGAACCTAGCAGCCGCTGTGAGACCTCTAATACAGCCAATGGCGCCCTTCAGTCATACGGCCCGGACATGAGCGCGTCGAGGGAAAGGCGGAGTATAGCGCGTTCACGTGCAGGGCCGCTGAATTGACATCGAACACTGCGCGGGACCAAGGCGGGAGGTCAGAGGGCCATCCAGGCGCGCGTGACGCGCGTGGGCTGCGTTGGTGTACACGGGACTCGGCTCGCTCGCTACCTGACGTTGCGGTTCACACAGGGCACACAGCACACCGCGTCTTGTCACCGACCATCACCATCCAGCCATGGTCTGGATCCCGCCGCCCTCCGTGGCGGCATTGCGACACGCGCAGCGCATTGCGCACTCCTGGCAGCGTGCTGGGCTGACCTGTGGTGCGTGCGACGTGTTGAGCGCTGCTCGTGCTCGATGCTCATCGAGTCATCATCTGTCAGGCCGCCGCGCGCTTCACACGTCGGCCAAGGTGTGCGATGCGACTAGCTCGGGTCCCACCCTTGAGAGCACGCCCTACTCCTCTCTCAGCGTCGGCGTGCCGAAGGAGGTCTTCCCCAACGAGCGACGCGTCGCGCTCACCCCCGCCAACGCCGCACTGCTCCGGAAGAAGGGCTTCAAGCAGGTCCTGATCGAGCGCGGCGCGGGTGCTGAGGCCCAGTTCACTGACGCCGCATACGAGGCCGCTGGCGCGACCCTCGTTGGCCGCGATGAACTATTCTCTGGTTCGGATATTACTCTCAAGGTTCGGCCTCCCCTCAAGGGTGAGGAGGACGCGCGGTTGAAGGAAGGAAGCACGTCGATTTCCTTCCTCTACCCGGCCCAGAACCCCGATCTCGTAAAGACGCTTGCGGAGCGCAAGGTCAATGTATTCGCTGTGAGTCCCCTCAGCTTCAGTTGGCATTGAGTGCGGCACCCTGATTGCGGTCGTAGATGGACATGATACCCCGTATCTCGCGCGCACAGGTCTTCGACGCACTGAGGTACGTGGAAATGGATGAATGTCGCCTCTGCATCGCTGACATACGCGCCAGCTCTATGGCCAATATCGCAGGATACAAGGCAGTGTTAGAGGCCTCGAACCACTTTGGTCGTTTCTTGACAGGTCAAGTCACTGCCGCTGGGTGAGTACTGGATGACCAGTCTTCCTCGGCAGCATGCTGACCCTCCTCTAGCAAAGTCCGTATCGAAGTATATCGCTGAAGTATTTTCTGACATTGCTTCGATAGATCCCTCCCGGCAAGGTTCTCGTCATCGGTGCTGGCGTCGCTGGTCTTAGCGCTATCGCAACTGTATGTATTTTTTTCAGTATGTGGCTTTCGTGGGCTGGCTGAACCCAATCTAACAGGCTCGTCGTCTTGGTGCCATCGTCAGAGGCTTCGATACCCGCTCGGTCGCTCGTGAACAGGTACAATCGCTTGGTGCAGAATTCCTCGAGGTCTCCGTCCAGGAAGAAGGCGGCGGAGGCGGAGGCTACGCAAAGGAAATGTCGAAGGAGTTCATCGAAGCGGAGATGGCTCTCTTCATGGCTCAGTGCAAGGACGTCGACATCGTGATCACAACGGTGAGGTTTACACCCTATCGCAAACCCATTGTATGCTAAATCATCTATAGGCACTCATCCCCGGCAAACCCGCTCCGAAGCTTATTACGGCCGAGATGGTGGCCGCCATGAAGCAGGGGTCCGTCATTGTCGACCTCGCCGCCGAAGCAGGCGGCAACTGCGCCCTCACGAAGCCCGGCAAGCTCAACGTCGTGAACGGTGTCACCATTGTCGGCTACACGGACCTACCCTCGCGCCTCCCGACCCAGTCCTCGACCCTATACTCGAACAACATCACCAAGTTCCTCCTCTCCCTCGGCGGCGACGGCAAATTCGCGATCGATCTTTCAGATGAGGTCGTCCGCGGCTCGCTCGTGGTGCACAAGGGGCAGATCCTCCCACCCGTCGAGCGCAAGCTGCCCCCGCAGCCGACCCCGCGGCCGACCCCGTCCAAGGAGGAGGTCGCGGAGAGCAAGGCGCTCACCCCCTGGCAGCAAGCCACGCGCGAGGTCGCCGCCGTCACCGCGGGCATGGGCGGCGCCGTCGGGCTCGGCAAGGCCACCGGCGCGGCCTTCATGGACAACTTCTTCACCTTCGGCCTCGCGAGCCTCGTCGGCTACCGCGTCGTGTGGGGCGTCGTGCCCGCGCTGCACTCGCCGCTAATGAGCGTGACGAACGCGATCTCGGGCGTGGTGGGGATTGGGGGGCTGTTCATCATGGGTGGGGGGTATCTGCCGGGGACGGTGCCGCAGGCGTTGGGCGCGCTGTCGGTGCTGTTGGCGAGTGTGAATGTGGCGGGTGGGTTTGTGATTACGAAGAGGATGTTGGATATGTTTAAGCGTGAGTGGATGGTGGTTGTATAAAGGTGTGAAGTCTACTAATATTGCGACAGGTCCTACCGATCCGCCCGAGTACAATTGGCTTTACGCGATCCCTGCGACAGTGTTCACGGGCGGCTTCTTGGCTGCTGCGAGCACGGGCATGGCTGGTCTGGTGCAAGCGGGCTATCTGACTAGCAGTCTGCTTTGCATAGGTACGAAAAAACACACCTCCTGCTCGAGGTATATGCTCACTGTTCTTCAGGCTCCTTGACCGGCCTATCTGCGCAGGCGACCGCTAGACATGGCAATATCCTCGGCATGCTCGGCGTCGGCTCGGGCATCCTCACTTCCCTCGCGGCGGTGGGCTTCCCGCCTGAGGTTCTCGTACAATTCGCAGCCCTTGCCGCCATTGGAGGGACCTTCGGCACCATCATCGGACGCAGGACGTCCGCAACAGAGCTCCCGCAGATGGTCGCAGCTCTTCACAGGTGCATCGGTTTCTCGATTAGTCTTCCCAAATCCATTGACTAACCCACGTACTCCCAGCGTCGTCGGCCTCGCCGCCGTCCTCACCTCCATCGGCTCCGTCGTCGCCGACCCCGCGCACGCCTCCACCCTCCACCTCGTCACCGCCTACCTCGGCGTCGTCATCGGCGGCATCACCTTCACCGGCTCCATCGTCGCCTTCCTCAAGCTCGCCGCGAAGATGTCCTCCCGCCCACTGGCCCTCCCCGGCAAGCACCTGATCAACTCGGGTATCCTGGGCTTGAACGCGGCGACGATGGCGGCGTTCATTGCGAGCGCGCCCGCGGCGCCTGTGACGGCGGCGGCGTTCTTGGGCGCGAGCACGTTGTTGAGTTTCATACAAGGGTTTACGACGACGGCGGCGATTGGGGGCGCGGATATGCGTGAGTTGGGATAGTTGGGGAGAGTGTGTCGAGGCTGATGAGTGTGGACAGCTGTCGTGATTACGGTATTGAACGCGTATTCGGGCTTTGCGCTGGTTGCTGAAGGTGAGGGCATTCCATGATCTCTGGTGGTTGTTTCTGACACCCGTATCCAACATATAGGCTTCATGCTGGACAATCCATTGCTCACAACTGTCGGTGCGCTCATCGGGACCAGTGGTTCTATTCTGTCATACATCATGGTCAGTGCTTACTCTGGTTTTCTCCAAGAATCATTCGCTGACAATCGCAGTGTGTTGCGATGAACCGGTCGTTGACGAACGTCCTATTCGGCGGCATAACACCCACTGCGCCGCAAGCAGACGCAAAGATAGAGGGCGTCATCACGAAGACCTCGGTGGACGATACGGTGGAGGCTTTGTCGAATGCGGAGAACGTTATCTTGGTACGGTCCAACCATCGTCTTATATCTGGTCGTGCGCTGACAGAGGGCGTAGGTTGTCGGCTACGGGATGGCTGTCGCGAAGGCGCAGTACGCCATCTCTGAGATATGCTCTATGCTGCGCTCGAGGGGCGTAAACGTGCGGGTGAGTAGCACCGCCGGCATCCGCCTCAGTCGATAACTGACACTGCGTAGTTCGCCATCCACCCCGTGGCCGGACGCATGCCAGGGCAATGCAATGTGCTGCTCGCTGAGGCGTCGGTGCCGTACGACAGTAAGCCGGAGTGCTTTCTACTGATGATCTATACTGACCTATCTCTGATCCAGTCGTCCTCGAGATGGACGAGATCAATGATGACTTCAAGGAGACCGACGTTACGCTCGTCATTGGTGCCAATGATACCGTCAACCCGATCGCGCTCGAGCCAAACTCCTCTATCGCGGTATGTCCCACCTTTCACGAGGTCTCTGAAGGCTCTGACGCTATAATTGACATAGGGCATGCCCGTCCTCCACGCTTGGAAATCTGTGAGTATCTTTCCTTGATGCGATTGCCACGGCCTTCCTATCGTTGCCCCAAATGCTAATCACCTCTGCAGAAACAAGTCATCGTGATGAAGCGCGGCATGTCGAGTGGCTACGCGGACGTGCCCAACCCAATGTTCTTCATGCCGAACACGAAGATGCTGTTCGGGGATGCGAAGGATAGTTGTGAAGGTGCGTATCGGTTGCTTGGCTGATCTTCCCTTTTGGCTAGCGTTCGATTTCGTTCATGCTAACGTTGAGTCCTCAGCGATCAAACGAGGCCTGGAAGGCAAGGGACAGTAGTTGCCGAAGTTGATACCAGCTGTATATTACTAACGAAAATCGATTATGGACTTTCTCCCCAGGTGGTCGTTGCGCAATGCGCTTGCGGCATCAGCCAGAGTTGGAAGCGGAAGTGGATGCGGAATACTGACCCAAAGTGTCATGCAATGCAATTTCCATTCGTAAGATATACTCCTCGTGCGGTAGAAATCAAGTTATACGCTGGCGGTAGTGTCACGAAGGGTGCACGAATCGCGTGAGACATACATACATCGAGCGACAGCTGCGTTCAGTCGTAACTTAGAAGTTTCAACAGGGCGTCTTTGACCAGCAAATTGCCACTCCTTCTCTGATAGCCAACATCTTGAATTTGCGAACGTTTCCGTTTCAAGACTTTCTCAACTCCCGTTCTATCCATTGAGTACAATTACACAGTAACTTCAGAGCATGGTACGACGCGACAGCTTAGGGGAAAGCAAGGGATACATGCAAGGGTCGGCCATCCAGACCGTTTCGCACTCTGGCTGAGATGATGGGGTCGATGTAGATGAGGGTATGGCATGCGGCCAGTTGAAGCGGCAACCGACTGCTGTTCGTTCTGGTTGATACATGAATAGGCGATCGACGGGTCGGGAGTAGAAACGCACCTCAAGCAACTATTCAGTCACATCTTGGCTACCCTATACCACTTCGGCTCGTCGCCCTCCTGGTGAATATACTTCGCAACAGCGGCGACCTGCTCAGGGTCCGGCAGCGAGCTGGTTCGACGAGAGGAATTGTCCGCGAACACGATTGCTGGAGCTTCATGGTCCCCGTCGCGAACGAACGTCAGCTCGAAATTGTCCATGTTGCGCAGATCGAAGCGGTTGAGGCAGTGCCTGGGAATGATGGAATACAGGGCCTCCATCTCGTTTCCCCACCAAGACTGGTACTCCTCCTCGTTGAGCCCCGGCGGCGCTGGGCCGAAATGTGCGTCATTGAACGACTTCATACCCTTTTCCGTCAGCATGATGGCATAGACCATGTGGCGAGGGCGAGGGCGAGGGCGAGGGCGTCTCCTGTGCGTCGAGGTGGAACTAGGACGAGTGCGTCGACTGCTCGACTTGGCGGTTGTCCGCGCCCTGGCCGTTCCCGGGGCAGTTCCAGCGGCAAATGCGACCCGCTTAGAGGTGGTGGTGATGGGCGCAGAGATTGCACCCTGCACTTTAGGCGCGGAGGAATCTGGCGTGGTCGATGACATGGACGTGGTTCGAAGCGAGAGTGCAACAGGCGCGGGACTATATCTGCCACGCGTGACGCGGCGTGTGACCCGGTCCGGATCCGGTCCGGCATCGCCCTACCCTCGACATTGTTCATCTTCAACGTTCGCCACTGTCGTATGTGTACGCTCTTCCGATGCCATTGTTACCTTGCCACGGGATGTGCGCCGAGAGGAACCTTGTCCCCCTCTGGCTAGCATGGCTGCTGCGCTTTAATTTGCGAGAGGCTTCTTCGCTGTCCGCGATATTGTATCCAGGCTTCTTCTCGCGTCTCGCGCTCTGAGCTGGTCCTTATCGTTAGATCGCATGTCCGATGTGCCTCGGATACTCGCCTCTCTCTCAGAGAATGCTCTTCGGCGTTAACAATGGCAGCATCGATAGCAGGCTTCGGCGGCGTGCCGCTGCGGCAAGCTCGAGCTCATCTACCTCAAAACATTGTACGAACAATGCGCATCGCAATGGGGCTATTGAACATACTCCGTGCGTCGAACAATAGTGCTCTCTTGCTGGGTACGCGGCCCTTCTCTCTTTTATTTTGCCCGCCCGTCTATAAAAGCTGAAAGTACGTCCAGCAAGATACAGCACTGTCACTCCCCCCACAAAGCATCCATGGCACCGCGGCGGTTCGTCACGCAGACGGCACATAAAGACGCTATTAGTCTTGCGTCGTCGCTTGCTTTCAATAGCGGAAACCGGGAAGCGCCTTGGTACGGCGTGCAGAACCGCTACCTCTCGGACCTCCTCTCCGCGACTATGACTCTTTTCCCCCAGTATCGGATAGATCTACATTCATCCCTCTGGAAAAAGCCGTTGAAGGCCTCCTCCGCGCCGAATTCTGCCGCGCCGGCGTCTGCCCCGACTTCAACCGCCGCGCCACCCGCTGCGCCCGACCCTGTGTCGACGATCCCCGACTCGTCCACTGCGGATGCTTCCGAGCCTGAAGTCGTGGACTTGCACTTGGACGACAACTCGGATCCTGAAGAACTGGATGCTATGACAGTCGATACGCATGGTACGTGACCATGTCGCATGTCACTTACAATGGCCAATATGCTCATGGATTTTCCGCAGAGACGGACGAAAGTGAGGACGAGCACATCAGAGCCCGCGCGATCGCTGCGCTCGATAGCGAGGAGGTTCAGGCCGAGACTGTGGATGAGGTGGATGCGTCAGACGGCTCTACCGACGACGAGGATGAGGATGAGGATGAGAATGAGGACGAGGACGAGGACGATGGGGAGAGGGCAGTCGACGTCGACGGTGAGCTCGTAATCTGACGCCGAAGGTTATACTCGACTAATGATCGTTCGTAGCGGATGATGAGGGTGATTGGGAAGACGTTGACGACGATTTCGAAGGCGAGCACGGCAATGAACAGCGTGGAGCACAAGAAGATGGCGTGGATGAGCCTGAAGGTGCGCCTCTACCTATCTGCCTCGTTCGGGCGCTCATGCTATGACAGTAGACGAAGATGCTCGTGCCCCGGCGCATACCTCTGTGCCTGTGGTACATGGACCTCAGCTCAGGTATCGTGCCAGTCGAGCTCAAGCTTCGGGCCAGACGGCCGCCGATGAGACTGACACGTCAAGTGTGTTTTCTCTCTTTATCCTCTATTTCGCCTTACTGATCGATTGCATAGGTCCTGTCCGTCGAGCCTCTCACCAGTACACGAGCCCGTTCCCCGACGACAAGTCTGATACCAGCAGGAAGACCGACAAGGACAAGAAGGGCTTCCATCGAAAGCCCGACTTCTGCATCACACACACCATCAGCGCCAACATGCGCTCCACGCCTGCTGATGGTGAGGACGCTGAGCTGCATGCAGTCAGGTTTGAGATCCACTGCGGTCGCCAGACACAGCATCGATGCATCATCCTCATCGAAGAGGACAAGCGGGCCCCAAGCCGCAAGCTGACTGGCCGTCAGCGAGCAATGAAAGTGAAGCGAGAGCTCTCGAGTGCCACGTTCCAGCTCATCACTTACATGTCTGCCTACTTCTACGCCGTGCCACATTCCCCCGGGGTGATTGGTCGGGTCACCTCCGGTATACACTGGAAATGGCTGCTGGTCAAGCCAAAGGATGTGCCGAAGTATGATCCGATTGCGCGAGCGCCGAGGAGGGATCCTCCTAACGAAACCTTGCACGATTTACTGATCAAGCAGTACTCCAACGCGCCTACGTATCACCTAGGATCCAACATATCCGACACGGCTCTGAACGATATGAGGACCAAGCTGTACACACTAGCTAGAGATTGCACGAAGGCGCATGAAAACAAATAGCCATGTACTGTATATACGTTCCGCCAAAACATATTGTTGCGAGCTATACAGCGATCGCCAATCAGGAGAAGAACACCACCTCAACAATCTAGTCACTCCTATACCAATGCGGCTTGTCCTCCTCCTGGTGCATGTATTCGGCGACTTCGGCAATAACCTCGGGAAGCGGGGGTTTGCTAGTGGTGCGCTGCGAACGGTTGCTCGCGAATGCGACGGCTGACGCAGTACATCTCCGTCTTTGACGATAATAAACGCGCGGTGATTCACGTCGCGCAAATCGAAGCGATTGATGCAGTGCCTCGGGATGATGGCAGACAATGATACTCGAGGTCGACTCCACCAGTTCCGGTATTCTTCTGGGCTGAGCCCCGTCGGCTTGGGGCCAAGGTGCTCCGCATTGAACGACTGCATGCCTTTCTCTGTGAGCTTGATAGCGTAGTAAATGCGCCGCTTCTTCTGAGTGATGAGTGGCTCGGAATGGTTCTTCGCTTCGAGCATGCGACGTGCTCGCAGGGAGTGCGGTACCACTCGCGTCCTCTGCACGAGGCGCAACAGTCGCGCCCTCGGTCGCAGGCAGAGAAGAGGGGTCTTCTGTCGATGACATGCTCGGGCGCAAGGAGGAGACGCGTGCGCAATATCGCTCTGTGGCATGCGACCCTGAACTCGGGTTCCCGGCCATTGCCGCTTGAGTCCCACCGGACTGAGTCCGACAAGACGACATTGTCGCAGTGTACATTTCCAGAATGGCGGTTCGCAAGCGGCCCGACTTGACTGCCATGTGCCGCCATGTGGTAGAATCACGGTTGTTCTTGATCCTTATTGTTACCACCAAGTTGCCACATAACCTTGACATTGTCATTGACAATGCCAATGTCGTCGATTTCGAAAGACGGGGCTGCACCCGCAGCGAAGGACGCACCCTTGAGCTCGACACCGGCTATATCTTCCACGCTCGTTGTCGAACAAACGCCGTATTCTCGAACGGGCAAGTCGCGGACGAGCAAGACGAGCGATCGGCGCGCTCGTTCCAGCGGACCCATCCCAACGCCACTGCACAAGAAACGCCGTCGCCGCTTGGTATACGCAATCAAGCTCACGGAGGAAGGCATGAGATCGTTCAACGAGGAGCACTTCGGACCTCCGCCTGCTGGGCTCACCGAGGAGCAGTACGAGACCTGGTGGGAAAAGCGACAATGCAGTCTGTCCGCTATCATACCTAGGCACTGCATCCACCGCTTCAACCTGCATGCTGCGAATCCGAGTCTGGTAACCCTCATCCGTGACGGGAATACCCTTGAATCGGCGGTGGCGTTCGCAGACAACTCCTCTCGTCGCACCAGTGCGCTGCCATCCCCGCAGCTCGTCGCCGATGTTGCCAAGTATATGCATCAGGAGGGCGACAGGCCGCAGTGGTATAGGTTCGCCAAGACGGGTGATTAGTCGCTCGAGGTGCGTTCCTTCTCTATCTCGCTTAGCGCTTGTTCACGAGGCTTTCAGAATGTATTGGGGGCGCTTACCTCGCAAAATGCCTCAAGGGCCCGAATCTTGTCACTCCTCCACACATTACCCTCTGCTCAACCGCACCATCATCCGGATCGTTCATCATCCCACATATGCCCTTGCTTTGCTCATGCTGTCCTGTGCAATACTTTCTGTGTAATACCACAGTAATTGACAAATTCAATCACTTGTTCGCTGCGCGCGGTGCCTCGTACAGGGATAGTGGCGACCTAGGCCGTGCGCCCTCCCGCACGCTGTCAAGCGCCGTCCAGTCAACAAGGCCAAGGAGAGAAGTCGGGAGCGACGTGTACGATGCTATGTATGCAGCGCGCGGGACTGTATCCACATCGCGTGAACTGCAGCTGGCGCTATAGTCATAACCTGGTCTGACCGCTCGCTGAGAATCGCACAAGTCCAAGACTGCACGTAGGTACCATTGCCCACCACAGATAGACTGGACCTGCATCGAAACGAAGAACTATGTAACGAGTGTGAAATTCAATTCTACGGAGCCACTAGAACACCAATCATGCCAAGTGAATTACCAAGTAAGACGGTCTCTTCGTCGACTCTGGCTTTCCAAGTGTTGAGGACCTAGACGGCGGTGTACTCGGGGAAGAGGACAACGTCGGCATCGATTTCGCACTCTGTATCGTTACCTTCGGGAAGCTGGGTGGGTGTAAGCCAGATGCGCGTCACCTCTGTCACTCAACGCTCACCGTGCCGTCCTCGAAGTACTGCCTGAGAATGTTGCCCGTGCAAGTCGACTTCTGCGCAATCGACGAGTGCCCATAGCCATTCTGCTTCACCAGGACAGCGTTATCGCTCCCAAGTCAACTGGCCAGGCTCTCCGCGTTCTTGAAAGCCGTTCCAGGGTCCGCCTACGGGGGACAGGTCAGTGAGATACAACGAATGTCGCAGACGAAGTGCTGACCGCGTTCCCAAGAACGAGGACCCGGTTCTTAAGCTGGTTGTTCCACGGACCCGTATAGCGCTCGACAGCTCTCGCAGGCCACGCAAAACAACTGATAACCGCCAAATTCCACCACTTTGGACCGAAAGTAGGCGACACATCCTTCGAAGCCTCGACGATCGCATCGAAGCTATCACGCATCGTCATATTGCCCGCGTCGATGCCGTCGCCGCACCAGATCGCGTGCGCCTCGTACGTGACCTGCGGCTGGTGCTTGAGCGGGACGAGCTGCTGGGCGAGCGCGTCGGGGACGGTGCTGTTGGTAGAGAGCGCGGCGAGCGACCGGTTGTAGGCGACGGCGATCTTGTCGAAGGTGGACCAGGTGGAGGGCATGAAGAGGGCGGTGAGGATCTGGTAGCGGAATTCGACGGAGGTGAGCGTCTTGCTCAGGTCGACGCCGGCTTCGTGGAGGTCGTGGGCGCGCTGCAAGAGATCGATAGGTGAGGAGTGACCGAGGATAGAACTCTCGCGACTCACGTCCATGTACGACTGCAGCCGCGCCTTGAGGTCGGCGCCCGTCTCGTCGTCGCTCTCGAGAAGGTGGCAGCCGCCCCTGCCTGCGGCGGCGCAGTTGTCGACAAGTCCGCTGTATGTATCTTCGGCAGAGAGGAGGTTGGCGCTGTAGATCTGCAGATGTAAGGATGAACACGGTCCCGCACAAGAATGTCAAATAAAAAGGGATGCAGACTCACATCCGGCGGGGGCCTGTCGTACCAAAGAGTGGGATCTGCGAGCCATATCAAATGCGTGAATTTGACAGAGACATGCAACGCTACTCACCTACGCAGGCGTCGAGGACGACATGCCCGACACGGTCAGGGAACACTGTACATGATCTATCAGACGCCACCCATGAGAAATATGAGAAATCATGTAAAACTCACTATTGACGAAAGTCGCCCCGACAACTGTACCACCGGAAATCCCCCAGAAATTGATCTCTGGCACGCTAGGCTCGAGCTCGTCCGCCAGCGCGACCATATCCCGGACCGTCGCCGCCGTGCCAACATATTGGAGGCTCTTCCCGCTCTCCGCCTGCAGGCAGCGCTCCGCCAGCCCACGAAACTTCGCGTCCATCTCGTCCACGTGCGAATAGAACTCATCGACCTGCCCGCCGTCCGTCAGGTTCCCCTTGATGTCCAGCCCGTCCTCCTCCAGCGTGCCCGCGAAGAACTGCGCGCTGTCCTCCGCGCTGGCGAAGCAGGCGGGGGCGCCGGGCGTGGAGTATCCGAGCCCGCCGCGCACGTCCCAGGAGACGACGTCGTAGTGCCCGCTGGTCTCGTCGCCGACGGTCGCGCCGTAGGTGTAGATGAAGTCGAGGCCAGAGCCGCCGGGGCCGCCTGAGTCGCGTGTCGGTCAGCGATATACTATACGCATAGAGTTGTGACAGCGCACCCGGATTCATGAACACCGTGCCCCAGCGCTCCTTGCTCGCCGCGAGCTTGACCACAGCGAGCTTCGCGGTCCCAACGGAGTCGTCCGCCCAGTCGAGAGGGACTTCGAAGAAGCCACAGGTGGTGTTGAGGTTGTCGCTGGTGTACTTAGCATCCAGATCGCTGCACGCGAACCAGTTGATAGTGGAGTTGCGCTTTGTCACGATAAGTGACGGATTTTCGGGAGACTGCAGCGCGACGCACCTTGACCAGAGGCACGCTGGACGCGCGGCCGAGGGCAATGAACACGCTCAGAATGAGCTGCGACGACACGGAAAGCATCGCGCAGTAACCAAAGCGCGAGAGGAGGTGAAGATGAAGAGACGTACAGCGATTCGCCGACCTTTATACGCCCGCGGGGCCGAGTCGAATCAGCTCACGCTCGGCACAACTGATTCACTGCTCTGTCGTCAGGTATCGTGCCATAATCCGATGAACTAATCATGTTTGTAGGAGGGGAATGAATCCAGTGTGCAGAGTAAGGTGGGGAATTACAAGTAAACGATCCTCACGCGCTGAGTCGGCAAATGGATATTACCGATGCCGAGTGAGTACGCAAGTTGAAGTCTACAAATGCTCGGGCAAAGTTGAGAGGAGCCAGTTCGCCCGATAAATCGCAGCAGCTCGAGACGCGGCGAGAGGGTGAGCAGCAAGAGTACAGGTGGACTTGTACGTGTTCAAGGGGTCGGGTAGTGCCTGTTGCGCTCTTGCAGCTCGTCGCAGCCCCTGCTTTCTGATGTATGCGCTGATAGAAGGTCTGGCGGGATGAAGGGGTGTGCGTAGGAGGCCTTGGGTACCAAGAATAATGGTCGATGGAGGTTGCTTGTTGCGCATGAGCAGTAGTCACCTGAGCGCTATGCGACGGCGATGGGCCACCGATAGGCACCATAGGACATAGGAGATGTGTGAGAAGGAGGGTAGGTTTGGATCGGGTGGACAGAGTCGCGAGCTGTGGTCAGCAATGGTTCGAAGCTCTCTTGAGCATCGGTGCAAATCGAGAGCAATCCAGAGGATGTCGACGCGTTAGCTCCGACGGTGGTGGTGGCAAGGGCAAAGAAAAGCGAGGGGCGAGGGCGGGGGACGGGGGACGGGAAACACTGAACGATGTCGCACTGGATGTCGATGAGGGAAGGCACACAAATCCCTTCACCAGATAGTAAGTACGCTGCCAATGTCGAACTGTACGACACGCACCTGTAAGTCAGCCATATTACAGGGAGGGGTACTCGGACGATCCAAGGGGAGGAATTGTGGGGGGACGGAGAGGGGAGCTGAAGAAAGCAGGAAGGACGCCGTCAAACGAGATCAAGGCGTTATATACTCCGCCAGCGCCGGCGTCACCGCGCCGTATTCGCGCTTCGCGTTTATGCGATTGGCTGGCATTTGCCGGTCGGGATTAGCCGGTCGTGCCGCTTCTGCGAGGTTCAACGCAAGGGCCTTGCTGGTGGACACGAGCATGAATAAAAGCGATTTGGGTATCGTACGTCAGAGTACATACACAAGAGGAGTACGAGGATATGAGTGACAGACGTAATCTGAATGGTTGTACCCCAAGTTCCGCCCACATTTACCCACTACGACCAAAAGAATCACCCTTGACGAGAATGAGTGCACACGCGGTCGAAGGCACTGGCACGGTCTGTGCAGAGAAGAGAAAGAGCTCATTTGTACTCTGAGGTTTACTTGGAGATCCTGCCCAAGCGAAAAGCGATATTCGAAGTTGGATGGCTCTGTGCATTCAGGTCAAAGAGCTTTGTCGCCGTCCAGCCATTGGCTATTGACTCTTGTCGAAGAACATACCAAGAGGACTGACGTCAGGTCGTCATCGCGTCATCACCCAGGCAAAAAGAAGTTTGGAAGCCCGCAGCGCGGGCGGACCACCACTGTTACGCCCATGATTTTTCGACTTGCAAGACGAGATTGAGATGGCAGGCGCGCAAGTACAGGAAGAAGTAAGCTCCTCTCAGCCCTCAGGAGAAGCGAAATCGCGTAGGACAACGGCTGTGCGAGGACGGCGTTTGTTGCTTTGCCGGAGGTACTGGCAACGGTGAGCCGCGACGGCCGAGTCTGCCCTTGTTCGAGGTCTTGTCATGCATGAACGAGCGCTGCCGCCAGTACCATGCAAGCGTCCGCGTGCCATCTAGCGCGTCGAACGTGACGCTGACAATTTATCTCAACTTGGTAAGCGCCAGCCGAGCGGACTCAGCGGAGTGCACTTTTGCTTCTTTCAAAGGCAAAACAGCGACAAGGACTATCACAGACAGATTTCCCTGGGTTGATGCCTCAATTGAGGGGTCCATTCACCTCAGAGAAAGTGATGGTGCAGACGCAAACAGAGCCAGGGACGCAGAGAAGTAGCAATGCCGCAGAAAGAGTCCCAGTGATCTCGGCTGAGAACAAGGCTCTTGATTTATGACAGTTTGATGACCGGTCGATCGTCGCTGAGACGGAGCTCTCAAGAAAGTCGTCAGCCTATCTTTCTAGAATAAAGAGACTAAAAAGAGCGGATGCGGTCGAAGCCCTTGTGTGCTTAGTTGGTCAACGAACATGAGGTCAGAAGACAACGAGGCGGTCCCGCTCTGACGGGCCCAACGAATACCCCCGAACGGCGATCGCCGATCACAACAACCCCGGCTGCACATTTCGGGAACAATGGGCGTCCCACACACCCACTTTTTGTGACCCCGACACGCGGCGGTCCCTATCAACGCATATGATGCCGAAGCCCGGGCCCGCCGATCTCGTATATAAGAGCGCGCGCCGTATGCAGCGGGTCACCGCACGACCCCCCGCGTCGATTAATCCTTAGACTCGGTAAGTCTTTGGCTTCGACCATCGCAGGACCTAAGGCTAACGCGTCTTTCCAAGACCTACGACCCTCTTAGACTAACGACCCGTGCCGGCCACTTAATCCTTGCGAACGACACAGATTGCACGACCGCACGATCGAACATCCATACTTCAACTATCTTTTAAGGCCTCACGAACGCACGCATAACCCACGCCTCTCCCTTCTCATTGCCCAGATCTTATCCCATTATGGCCCCCATTAAGCGATCCTCCTCCAAGACTATCTCCTACCCTATGCCTCTCGCTGCCTCTGCTGGCCAGAAGGCAGCCCCGGTGCACACCAGCTATACTTCGGTCCACGCCACTCACACAACAGCCCACGACGGCAACGACGACGTCAACTTTCCCGCCAAGCAAGCCCCCAATGCCACCTCGCATCGCCTCCGCAAGCGCGGCCGCGATAGCGAGGCGTCCACCCCCGAGGACGAAACACCTCGTTCCCGCCAGCGTACGTCTTCCCTCCTCAGTGGCACCATCCGCAAGGCGCCCGCCACCATCGCCAGCGTCCTCTCCGCCGTCCGCCCGCGCAGCAACTCCAAGTCCAAGGAGAATGTGCCCGCCACCCGACCGCGCGAGACCGCGCGCCCCGTCAGCGACTTCCTCCTCCCCAAGCCCGAGGTGAGCGCGCCGCGCTCGCGCCGGGGCTCGGACGCCTCGATGTGGTCGCTAGAGACCGTGCACGACGATCAACAAACGCGCAGGCGGCGCGCGGACTCTGACGTGTCCATCAGCACGCTGCGCGGCGTGGCGAGGCCCCGTGCGCCCACGCCGCAGACGATGTCGCCCTCGCACTCGCCGCGGTCGGCGCGCCCTGGCGACACCCTGCGCGCGGGGACGCCGTGCCCTCTCGAGCGCGCGACGCCGCAGCCGACGCTCAAGCGCGTCCGCGGGTCCATCTCGGATAGGGATACCTCGGATGCGGACTCGGACGACGCAACGAACAAGCGCGTCCGGGTGAAGCGTGACGCCGCCTTCGAGCGGCGCAGGTGCGACTCGGATGCCTCCACTGCGTCCGACGACAGCGTCTATCTCGCATATGGCGCTCCGGTGATGCCGACGCGCCCTGCGGAATTCGAGAAGGCGCGCAAGACGGCGCCTTTGCCGGAGCGCAACGCACGCCCGAGGCCCACTATCGCGACGGAGACACCACGTCGCAGGTCGGCTGAAGAGCCTCGTCGGAGGTCCTCTGAGGAACCAGAGGCCCGTCGCAGGTCTTCTGAGGAATCGACTCCTCGTAGAAGGTCGTCCGTAGAGCCGGAGGTGTCGCCTCTCGCGCGCTCGACGACTTCTACAAGCACTGCGTCCCCAAGGAGCAGCCTGGAAAGCGAGCCAACGCGCTTCCGGGACGCTCATGACCTTGTTCATCTCGCCGCGTCCGACTACAACATGGATATCGTCTTCCTCCGTGCTCCCATCTTCGAAGAATGGGACGTCAGCGAGGAGTAAGTTGTGCAACTTGCACGAGAACGTACCAATGCTAACCCTCACGGCAGAGACGAGATCAGCGTCGAATCCGCCTTCCACCTCACCCTCAAGGACGAGGAGCGCTGGCTCACCACCGGCCTCGCGCCGCCCGACATCAAGCACATCGACATCCGCTGCTACAGCAAGACGCACGGCTCGCGCAGCGAGCTCTCCAAGCGCTGGACGTGCCAGCCCACGGGCTACAAGCTCTACGACTGCCGCATGCACGACGGCATCATGGTCGACTCCGACTGGCGGCGCACGAACCTGTACGACCCCGAGCACCCCGCCGCGCTCCCCTGGCAGAACGTGCGCGGGTGGGCGAAGCCGGTGATCGTGAGCTTCCCGGCGAGCTGGTTCGTGCGCGGGCAGTCGCGGGTGTTTGTGCTGGATGTGGTGACGAGCTTTGGGCACGGGAAGGAGGAGGTCCTGCGCGCGAAGGCGGATATCACGGTCGGTAACCTCAAGTGGGAGACTGTCAAGGCTGCTTAGGCGACGAAGGAGGAGGCAAGTCTGCCTGAGCGAAATGTTGTTGTAACAATTTAGAGATTGGATGGATTGAGGGAAGGTGCGCGGGCGTACCATGGTTGGACATACCGGGTGTAAAATAAACAACTGTACTGTACATTTTGCCTAATTCCTTGTGCATAATTTCACCTTTCTTCCAATCCTTCGAGTTGTACTGGGCGCGAACGAGACAGGAAGGTGTCCAGCGGACGCGAAGGCCTGTAGTGAAAGGCGCATGTGCGGCTTGGCGCGACAGAACCAAAAACTTTCGTTCGCAGGTCCTCGGAGCACTAGGAGGTGACTGAGAGCGAGGTCATCGTGGCAGAAGCAGAAGGCGGGCTGGCTCAGTACGAGGTGGCGCAAACGCGCGCGTGACGCACCGCGAATCAATTCAGCCGTTTACTCGACTTGCTCTCGACGCCCATCCCGACTTGAGGCTCCCTGCTAAGCCTTCTCACCCTCAGCAGGCTTTAGAACCTGGAAATAGAACAAGATGGACTCTATCAGCGATGAAATCGAGGCCATTCTGTACATCGCTCGCGAAGTGTCAGGTGCGTGCACGCTTATGCTGCGCTCGATGGCGACTCACAACCACCCTCCCAGTATACAAGATCCCCCCTCTCAAAGTAAATGAGGGCCATCGCGCGGCAGAATGGGGCGATCTCGGTGCGCCGCTCGTAAGCACTTTCCGAACGCTCGCCGTCCCTTCACTCACTGATGACGATCCACTCATAGTGGAAGGGCCGGATGCGCATCATCGAGAAGGGCGAGAGCGCCGCGCTACTACTCGAGGACAGTCAGACGGGTGCGCTATGACCACATGCTGGGTGGTGCAGTGAACTTACGCGATGCGCGCAGGCGAACGTACGTCGTCAACCCGCAGCCAGGTTTGCGATCGTGCTCATCATCCCCTCCTCCCCCTTCGTCCCAGTGTTCGCGCGCGCGGAGTATGACCCCGCCAGACCATCTGTCGAAGCCGTACTCGACTCGTCCCGCTACTTCGTCGTCCGCGTCGAAGACGCTGGCAAGAAGGCGTACATCGGCCTCGGCTTTGCCGAGCGAACGGACAGCTTCGATTTCAATGTTGCGCTGCAGGACTATACCAAGTGCGTGCGTCGTGATGCATGGTTACAGCCTGTTCATACGTTCATAGGCGATGGAAAGCGCGGAAGGAGCCGCCTGCGGAGGATGAGCCATCACCGCACCTTCCTAACGGTCCCAAGAAGGACTACAGCTTGAAGGAGGGGCAAACCTTCTCCATCTCGATTCCTGGACGGAATAAGCCCGCCGTTTCGAAGTCCAGTGGTGCAAACCTGCTCGGTGGTGGAGGTTCGAGTGGAGGTGGAGGTAGCGGCGCGTTTCCTCTGCTACCTCCACCGCCGAGCGGAGGTGGTACTCGCAAGCGATGAGCGCGTCCGATCTTGCCGAAGGGCTGTACGTTTGACTCGTTGTAACTTGGATAACAATGCACTGTCTGAACTTTGCACAAGCAATTTTGGTAGCCTGTGACCGGAAGATGCAAAGGATCTTTGACGCACAGAAGGGTTGGTAAGACAAGGAATGCGGTGTGCACTTCATTGTGGCTGGTATAGATATACATGATTCTATTTGGTCCAATACTTTAATCGTCATTAGTGTCCGGTGCGGATACATTAGGCTGGGGGGCCGATACCGATACCAACACGTCGTGGTATTAGACAATGATGTGGCATACCCTCTACTGGTATCCGAAAGGTATCATAAGGTGGTCGTGAAGTCCAAGGTGTGGCTACGGTCCGAGAAAGGGGTCGCACTACCTTCCAGGAGGCGCACGCTACCGCCCTGACGAGAACATGTTGTCCGACGGCGAACCTGTTGGTGATGGCGCGCCGGATGTTGGGACGAGGGTGCCTGGTAGCGACGAGAAGGAGCTGCTGGTGGAGAGCACTCGCAGCTTCTCGAACGGCTGACTCTTCTCGACCACGGGTGACCGCGCGCTCTTGGGCCGCATTTGCGCCCACTGCTCGCACTCGTGCGTGTTGCTGACCAGTCGTGCGCGCGGCGGCTGCTGGTTGTATAACCACGTCGCGACGAGCACGACGGACGAGCCGAGGACGAAGGTGAAGGACATGCGGAAGTCGAAGAGCGCGACGGACGCCATGAAGGACATGACGATGGAGAGCGACGTCGCGAAGCCCTTGAGGATGTTGTCCGAGTACTTGATCACCATCGCGGTGACGAGCCCGCCGGCGACCTGCACCGCGACCGTGGCCCACGCCCAGGGGCCAAAGTTGTGGAAGAGGACGGAGAGGAGGCCGGAGGCGCCCATGTCGGCGTCGCGCGCGGAAACGATGATAGGGGCGAGCGCGGGGAGCAGGGAGAACAGCGAAAGCTGGACGTTGCGCACCCAGAGGTCGCCAGGGGAATTCTTGAGCACCATCTCGAAGTAGACGCCCGCAAGTCCGGAGGTGAAGCATGCGAGGGCGACGGCGAGGAAGCCCCAGGTCGGATTCATCTCGTGCCCTGCGCTTCCATGTCCTGCGCCGGCCTGAATTTGTACGATGCCAACTCCTATCGCCAGGCACACGAGGGCGAGCCACTGTACGGGCGCGAGCTTTTTCCTGAGGAGCACAACGGAGAAGGCGGCAGTGGTGAGGATCTTCATCTGGTAGCTGACCTGGAAGGTCGCAGCCTCCAGATTTGTCGCTGCGACATACTGCAGGTTATTTTGGATAACTGAGGGGGAGGTTAGCCTTGCTGATTGGGTACTTCTGAGAGGGCGGGGGGATGGGTGACGGTCGTGGTGGCTCCTAACCGAGCTCGCCGATCACGATGAGGGGGAATGAGGGGCGATAAGCCACATTAGGCTCGGAAGCGCTCGTCGTCGTGGAGGTTGTCAGGCGCAGCTATTCCCGCCCCCACGCCCAGGAACCGCGCCATCCGCCCCCGCCCTCCATTCGCATGCACAGGGGCCCCGATCACTCACCATACAGGATCGCCGGAATGGAGAGCTTCCAGCAGTCGGGGCTGAACACATCGCGCGCAACCCGGTTGAGGCGGCTGCACGCGCTGCGCACGAGCTGCGCGCGTGCCTTCGGGGCGTCGAGGAGGTACGGGGACGGCGGGGCAGGCGCTGCGTCGACGCGTGCCAGTGCGAAGAGGAAGGAGATGGCGCCCTTGAGGATCTCGTTCATGAGGACTGCGGTCCCTGCCGAGTACGCCTGCGAGGCGGGCGTCGACACGCGCGAGTAGTGCATGATGATGGTGAGCATCGAGTTCTGGACGGCCAGCGTCACCAGCCTGCGCGCCGTGTCAGTACGCGATCTGAGACTTTGGACGCGGGTACGCACGAGATGTACTTCAAGGGTATCCCCCAGAGGCTGGGTGTGTTTGGTGCGTTCCCGTTGGCATCGTTGGCGAGCCCGAGCTGCTCCTCGTCGTCGTCGTCGCGGTAGGCGTCCGCCTTGGTGATCCCATGTGGGGGGAGCGTGATGGAAGTCGGTCGTGACATGGCGCTCCGGACGACGAGCGGCGATCTAGCTGAACGAAGGACAAAAGACGACCAGAGAAGGACGCAGTGCCTTATAAACGAGCGGCTAAAGCTTGAAACGAAGCCAGCGGGGGCTGTTGCTTTTGATATAAACAAGCGCGCTGCTGCGGATATCTCGCGTGGCTCTTGATGAAATCAACTGCACCGCGCCACCGCGCAGCTCAAAGCGCAGCGTTCGAAGCCCACCCCGTCTCACACATACAACTCTGCTCCATATCACTCCACGTAAGGTAGACTTCTGTACAAAATAGCAATAGACTGTCAGTGTGCATAGCACCGAGCCTGTACCGGACAATTCCTGCCCCAAACCTCCTCCTCAAAGTAGCCTGCTCTTCCGATCACCCTCCCCATACAGGTTGTAGATGCTGTACGTCGGACTGCGGTAGTCGGCGAACGCGTCCGGGTTGGAGTGTTCCAAGCCCATCTGTGCCAGCGATGGCAACGTCGGCGGCGACGGTACCCGCGGTGGCCGTTCCCCTATCCCTCCGCGCATCCCACCGTTGCCCGCCTTCCTGCCTGCGTCATCGACCGTGTATGTGCTCGCCCGCCCATCCATCAGCATCAAGCTTCCCAGTGACGCACTCGCGTCAGGCGCTGGACTCGAGGGCTCATCGCTCTGTGGGGCCCGCGCACGGGACTGGCGGCGCGCCCGCTTGGCGGTCGGAGCCCGGCGCGGGGGCGCGACGCTGAACGAGTCGTCCGGATACACCGTATCGTGCGGCGAGGCTGGCATAGGGTACTCCGTCATGGGCGACGCGAGGCCGAGCTCCATCGCAAGCGCGCGTGTGTCCCGTTCCTTGCGAGGCGTCATGACGTGTGTGGGCAGAGGCGGCTCTTGCTCTGCAGATGTTCCCAGATGAGGCACCGAGGACGAGCGAGGGTAAGGCCCGGAGAAGTAGGACGACTTGACCCTATGACGTCCGCCGCTGCTCGACCCACTGCTGGGGAGCGGCGGCATGGCAGGGACCTCCGTCATAGTCGGTGACCCGATATCGCTGCCTTCGTAAGCCAACATGGTAGATTCACGAGGAAGGTGAGTTGTGGCTACGCTCAGGCGATTCTTCGAAAGAGTACCCTTCGACTTGGCGCGCCGCAGAGGACGGGTGTCTCCGCCTGTAAAGCCATTCCCAGAGCTGCAATCGATAGCGACACCCACTTCATGCGCAGGAATTTGTGGAGAAGCCGGATAGATCGATAGCGAGGCAGCAGAAAGGCGGTTGACAGCACGAGTAATCGCGTTTGAAACTTGTTGAACTGGCGCTGGGTACTGGAAACTAGCGAGGGCAGCAGGAGGCGGCATAGGCGGAGCGGCAGGATAAGCAGCACGACTCTTTTCGTCCGTAGAATAGTACTTGGGCGGCGAAGGAGCCTCGCGTGGCGCGACCGCTTGCGCCGGAAGTACGACCGCGGGGGCTTGATTGTACTGAGTCCACGTCCAGAGCTGACCGTTGCTGCCAACCTCGGGTGAGGAGCGTTCGTTGCCGCCGAATAAGGGAGAGTCGCCTCCTTCTTTCTCGTAGAGCGCCTCTTCATCGCGGAAGGGGTCTTGCAGAATCGGCAAAGAGGGCGTAGGGTGCTGACGGCGCTTAGGCGGCCTGCTAAACCACCGGACCAGAAGTACGACCATGATGAGAGCGCAAGCAGAGCCAACAGCGCAAAGGGCGATGATAGCAGCGGATATGTTGTGGGTAGGATGTGAAGGCGTCGATGCAGCAGTCGCGGTGGAGCTAGCCGATGCGGACGAGGTGCTAGACATAGTGTGCACGTTGATGAACGAGTGCGGCGGTGTGGTGATGTGCGCCGTGGGTAGGATAGTTGTCGTTGGAAGTGCACTGTGCGACGTACTGCCATGAGAGGATGGCTCGTGTGTGGACGTATGGGTGTCGTGCGCATCTCGCTCTTGCGTAGGACGCATGCCAGTGTCGGGGACGGGTTCCGGGACATCGGTCACGTAGTGGGGGTGCTCGCCCTTGTCCTTCCCGCCAGACTTGGAGTCCTCTGGGTCGGCGTCGGCGGCAACGGCATTGTGCGGACGATGCGCAGTGGGATGGACTTTGTGCTTGCGCATCTTGTTGGTGGACGTGTGCCGCTGTTCCTTCGCCATAGTATAGTGCGGCTCGCCAATTTCGTAGAGTTCTGCAGCCCACGCTTGGCGAGATGTTCGTCGTGCCTGCACGGGATCCATTAAGCGCGGGAGGGAGGAATACAAAGGCAAGAGACGGAAAAGGCAAGCGACGGACAGCTGCCATCCGGGGAATCAGCCGCACGTGGCGTGGCCAATGGTGGCCACGTGCTGCACAGCCGCACGTGCCTAATTTCACAACTGCAGTTCGACGAGCGGGCCGAGGTTCGACTTGCCTTTCCCCACCATTGTCACGGTGTCGGACGCGTCCCCTTTCTCCCTCGACGCGTCTCTGGGCTTCAGCTTTGCAACTCTCACCGTAAAAGTCGCGGTTGAAACACAACCCTATCTGGGCGCCAATCACCTAAACCGCCATCAATAGACATAGCGCATTCCCCCGTCCGTGGGAGTGTTCTTGAACACACAATTAGCAAGGACAATGCCATCGCTGTCCAGGTGCGTGGACCAACTTTTGGCCACCATCGCGCATTGACCCGCTTGCAGTGAGATGGGCAGCGAGAGCCAGGCCAGCCAGATGTTGCGCCTGGTCACCGAAGACGACAGCAGCTCCGGCAGCGCGTTCTCCAAACAGAACGACGCGTCCGACCTCCAGTCTTCCAACGACATCCCCGAATCCGTACCCATAGAGGACGTCGCGCCCCAGTTCTACCTCTACGGTCTCGGCGAGTCGCAATCGCAGCGACAAGGGGACGACAGCTTCGCCGAGGGATCGCAGAAGGAGAACCTGGGCAGCTCGGGCTCAGGCCCGAGCAGCTCACAAGGAGGGAGCCAGGTCGGGACGCTAGCTGAAGCACGGGTCAACGCACCGGCCCCTGCGAAGGCACGGGCAGACATGGCCCCACCGCTGCTTATTGTGCGTGTTACATTCAAGCGCCAATGGTACTTAACCCTGACCGCGTTCTTCTTTCAGACCTCGAGCAAGTCGCCGCAGCCCTCGACGACTTCCGATCGCAGGTCACGCTCCCCTCACCTGACCGCCTCGCGCTCGCGACTGCCGACGTCGCGATCAAAGCCTCGGCCGCTCGTCGAGTCCCAGCGTTCTCAGCCCCTTCCGGAGTCCCAGCCTCAAGAATCCCAGGTCCCCGAGATGGGCGACGTGGACTGGGCGCGGTCGCCGACCAAGGACGCGCACGGCAATCGGCTCCTCAACCGCAAGAACTCGATTATCCCGTCACAGACGTCGGACGACAAGAGCGAACGGTCGGACGAGAGTCAACGCGTAAACCAGTCGCAGCAGTCCGACGACTTCTCGCAGATTGGAAGGCAGCCGGACGAGTCCTCCCAGATTGAAGAGAGGCAACCGGATGACTTTTCGCAGATGGGCCGGCAGCCGGACGATATGTACGACGACGACATGCCGATGGCGCAGTCCCTCGGGCTCTCGAATGAGAGCCAGGCAGTGGGGCAGGACGACAGCCAGACGTCGAGCCATACGAGCCAGGTGTCGAGCCACACGAGCGCGCTGCGGCTGTACGCAAACAGCTCGCGAGAGGAGGACGAGGACGAGCTGGTGCCTACCCAGCTTGAGTCGCAACCTTCGCAGTTAGCGACGCCGCCCCCGGATGATGAGCCCACGCAGGCAGAGACCCAGCTGGAGACGCAGATCGAAACACAGATCGAGACGCAAATTGAGACGCAGGCCGTGAGCGAGAGCAGCAACAATAGCAGCGCGGCGCCGCTCCCGACGCCAACGACGCCGTTCGACCTGTTCAGCATGACCGCCGATCAGGTGCGAGGGGGTTCCTCTGCGGCGCTTTCGTCTGCGGCTCGCAGTCATGTCAGCGCGTCGTCGGCACCTTCGCCAGTTCTACCTTCTGCTGGCCCCTCGTCCGCTGTCTCGTCTGTGTTCTCCAACCAGCCACGGGTCGCGCCTCTGGCCCCGCCGCCGGTGCCCTCGTCCGCTGCATCTACCACATCATCTCGTGCGTCCGCTGCGTCCCCATGGGATGAGCTGTTCTCCAAGACCGAAGACGAGCTGCGTGCCGAACGGCTCGATGCTGCCTCTCGGGCTGCCTCGAAGGATTCCGTCGCTGGCTCCAAAAACCTCAGTGCTGCCTCCGCGGACTCTACGCCTGCCTCGTCGTCGAGTACGTCGACTAAGAGGAAGGCGCCAACGCTCTGGGACTCGCTTTCGAAGGACAAGCGGGCGAGGATGAAGCCGCCTCCGATGCGTCCTGCTGCACAAGCCACAGTCGTAGCTCAGGCCTTTGGCGCGGCGCATTCCGCGACGCCTGGAGCATCGGATGTGGCGACCGCGGGCTCGTCGGGGGTGTCAGCCGCGGATCGGGACGAGGCGACGCAGTTGGAAGAGCCAACACAGCTAGAAGAGCCTACTCAGCCGGCCGACGTCGAGACCCAGCCAGCGGTAGACGCGCAGCGTGCGTCTCAGCCGAAGGAGGAGGCCACCCAGCTAGAGAGCCAGCCAGCCCAGCCTGCAGGCGACGTACAACCGGAGGACGGGCGGCCTCTCGACGACTTGCGCTCCTCCCAAGAGGTGTGCTCCTTGCTCTCGTCGCAGCAACGCCCTCTACTTTCGTCTCCGGAGCGGCCTCTGTGGCAGCCGAAGCCGAAGCCACAGTCGCCTCTCACACCGCGCAGCGAGGTCCGGTCCCGTTCTCCAGTGCTGCTAGCCACCCCTGTGCGCGTTCCCCTTCGCCATGCAGTTGCCGACAGCACGCCGCAGCGCCAGGACGAAGAGGTGCCTGACTCTGAGCCCCTCCGCGAACCCCTGCTCGAGCACCGCGATGTTCCCAACACAGCCGACGATAAGATGGACGTGGACGAAGAAGAGGAAGAGCAAGACGGTGACAAGACTGTACAGGCGATCGTCCCGGAGCCCGACGAAGGGGATCGCGCTACGGAGCCGGAGGAAGAGGACCGCGCCACTGAGCCCGCGTCCGAGCCGGAGGAGCCCTCTTCGGACTTCGAGCAGTCCATCCCGCTCATGGAGGTCGTGTACGGGGACAAAATGAAGAAGGCAACGAAGGCGAAGGGCAAGGGCAAGGCGGTCGAGCCGGAGCCTGTAAGTGGCACACTCTTAGTGGTTTAATTGCAAGCTAACGAGTTGTAGAAGGTCGCGCCGGCCATACCGAAGGGGAAGGGCAAGCAGCGTGCTATGCCGCCTCCTGCCCGCGTCACACGTGGCAAGCGGCAGCGTTTGATGGAGCCCGAGGAGGAGGAAGAGGAAGAGGAAGAAGAACTGCAGCTTCCGCCGAAGCCGGCTCGTCGCGGGCAAAGGGGCTTCTCCCGAGCTGCCTCAGGCTCGCGCAAGCCCGCCAAAGGACTTGCTTCCAAGCGTACTCGCTCCGGCTTCAGCAAGAAAGCGAAAGAAGAGGAGGTCGTCGAGGACAGCGAGGGCGAAGATCAACATGATTTCCTCCCCGACGTTCAGCAGCTCACTGAGGAGCCGGAGCAAATGTCCGACTACGACGGCGAGACGAACAGTGGCAGCAAGCGCAAGCGCGTCTTCAAGTCCGAACTCACTGGCCTCTCGCGTAGCTCGCGATCTACCCGCACGCGCACCGCCTCGATGACGCCGGGCCCTAGCCGGCATGGATCGACGCTGACGCCGTCCGGCAGCGTGGCGCAGCTCCTGGGCATGGGGCAGGCGACGCGTGTCTTCGCGCGCTGGAAGAAGAAGGGCGACTACTATGCCGGCTTTGTGAAGCAGGTCCTCAAGCCGGGCAAAACATACCTGGTCTGCTTCGACGACGGCTCAACTGCGGACGTCTCAGTAGAGCATATGCGCTTGTTCATCCTGCAGACCGGTGACGAGGTGCTCGTGCGCAACAAGCACAGCTTCGTCGTTGATGCGTGCCGGATGTACACCGAAGGGCGCGTGCGCGTGAAGAGTCCGGACGACGAGACGGAGGAGGGCGAGGGCGAGGACCTGTCCTTGAAGGAGTTCTGTATCTCTGCGAAGGTCATCGACAAGTCCTGGACCGAGCGTCGTGTGCAAGCGGACAACATCCGGGCGGAGGACGATCTAGCCAGTTCGGCGCTGGCGCCCTCTCCTTCACGATCGTCGCTTCGCAGCATTCAGGAACCCGCGCGCGGCGTCTTCGACCGCATCGCTTTTGTCCTGACGCACAGCAGCGACCCAGCCGCGAAGGATAGCTACGAGAAGCTCATCGTGGCGAACGGTGGGATCGTGCTGACGTCCTGGGACGAGGTGTTGGAGATTCAGGGGAAGACGCCGGGAGCGGGAGCGAACGCGCGATGGGTCATCCAACGCGAGGCATGCAGTGTGCGCTATCCGCCTACCTACGACAAGCTCTTCCTGCTCTCTTCCAGCGACATGCGCACGATCAAGTTCCTGACTGCCCTCGCTTGCGGCGTGCCGTGCGTCAGGCAGGACTGGGTGACGGAGTCGCTAGTGCGCAGTGTGAGTGAGCTTGTGTGAAGGTCCGAAAGAAAATGCTGATAATGCCCTAGAAACTCCAGGATTGGCGCCACTACCTGCTACCTCAGGGCCTCTCCGTGACGTACAACATGAGCGTGACGCAGATGGTTGACGTTCGATGGGGTGAGGACCGTGCGCACCTGGACCTTTTACACGGCAAAACAGGCAAACTGCGTCTGCTTGACAACCTCCGAATCGCGCTTGTAGGGCGCGACCTCATGCCTCGTGCGAATGCTGCGGCTAACTCGAAGGTACGTCTCCCTTTCTCTCTGAAGGCATCGAAGCGTTTGCTCATCCCGTATCATAGGCGGAGCCCGGGATTGCTAAGGTCCTGATCTGCATGGGCGCACGGAGTGTCGAGGTCGTTTCGCGCGAACAGGCTATTGCCAACCGGCTCGGCCACTACGACCTGATCATCCTGCGCACCGGCGAGAACACACCGACCTCACCTCCGGCGTCGTTGCGCTCGAAGAACGTATGCTCCTGGGATTGGGCCAAGGACTGTCTTTCTCTCAGCAGGCTCCTCCCTTACACATGGCCGGCGCCTGCGGAAGACTAAAAGGCAGGTTCCCCGAGTTCTGTCGTGCTTTCTTGAAAAGCTCTCGTCTGTAATTTATCTTCCCTTAATCCCATCTAAAGCATCATATATCTCCAGCTATCTAGATCCAGGTTTTCTTGCTTTCGCTACACTGCCATGATCTAACTCATGTATGCAATTATGTCACACTGGACTCTCGGACGTACTCAAGACATACGCCCTCCCACCCGTATCTAATCGTATCTTGTAGCACCACATTTCTTGAATTGGGGTGGTCAATCGATTCCCGACATCTCCTTGACAAGGAATTACGCGCGATGCGAACTAAACCCTTCTTCAAATTGGTTGGGGCTTATTGCCGTTTGCAGAAAGTTTGCCACGGCCGCTTTGACACGAAAATGATGGCAGACCGGGACGAGCAGCGATAGTTGGCAGTTCGAGAGAGTAACTTGAGACGATTCTTAGCGGTCAGCACTAGTACATGTAAGCATTATGGTGAGTAACTACTGCTTGTTCTAAGCTCTCTTCTGTGCGCGAACAATCTCACCGAGCTTGTTCAGCCCGTATTGCTTCGAGACAATCCCGTCCTAGTAGTAGCACATCTAGCCTCTACATATCCTTCGAGCAGAATGGGGACTCGCAAGATTTCCGCGCCATGCAAACACCGAGAGCAGCCAGATTGAATAGGACAATGCGCCGGTCCAGAACCAATGTGCGGGCGATTTCTTCAGCGCCTCATCGACAGCGGCTTTGGCGTACACATGTGTGGGAGTGGAACCCTCTGTGAAAGGTACAAAGTCAATTAGCGCACAGAGTAGAGGACGGCAGGGTCGCTTACTGGTCCCTCTTGCGAACACGTCCCTAAAGCTATGCTCGATAGGCTTGTACATCGAACCCCCAGGGAAAACTCCGTCGAAATTCAATCGCGGCGCCAGGTTGGACATGACCGTGCCCGTCACGAGCTTCAATCGTGTGACTGTCAAAACGCGCGCTTGACGACGAAGCTAAAAAGTCGAATCCACGCACACTAACAACCTTCACCCTCTGCTCGACGCGCAGCGTGTCAGCGATGGCGTCAATAGCTGCCTTCGAGGAGCCGTACGCCCCGTTGTAGGGCATATATGATATGCTGGGGCCGCGGTCTGCTTTGATGAGGAGGGGGATGAAGGCGCGGGTGACGGCGTAGTGCCCGATAACGCTGATGTCGAAGAGTTGGCGGACCTTTTTCCATGTCTGCGTCCGCTACCGAGGACGAGTAGCCTGGCAAGGTCAAGATCGTCAGAGCATAACGGAAGGCCGTATGGGGAACTTGGGGAGCATACCGACGCTACTAGGAGGGGTGAGTCAGCCAACAAAGTCCAGTCTGCTGTAGCTCTCACACTCACGCGTTGTTCACCAAGATGTCCAAGGTCCCACCGGTGCGCTTGGAGATTTCATTTGCGACTGGCGAGATATCGTCGTCGTCGGTGATGTCCAGCTTGATGGTCTCTATCCCGTCCTTCTCGAGACTCTCCATTGTCTTGAGGCTCCGCGAGGTGGCGAAGACGCGGAATCCTGCACGACGGCGCGACAGCATCAACACGGGCCTCATCCCAACTTCCGATTGCGTACCCCTCTAGCAAGCGCATCGCCCATGCATTTCTCGCTGCATCTGCGTGTCACCGTCAATATAAGTAGAGAGCAGTGTGACGGTATTCACTCACCCAGTGGCGCCGTGATCAAAACAGTCTTCCGCGTGTCAGTCGCCATTATTCTCGTCCTTTGCAAGTGCTGAGTCCGTGTAGCGTAGGTGGCAATCCGCATGTGCGCAGCAGCAAATCCGATTCAAAATGCCTGACTGCAAACGCAGCCCTTATATACTAACGCGCGCTCTGACACCTTTCGTCATCCCCAGGGGCAATATATGGCGTATCCTCCTACTGGAGTAACCATAGGGAAGACCTCGTCGCATCCCGGTTGCGCCCAAGCGGGAGAAAAACGAAGATCACGAAAAATGGATAGCGCCAACCGAGCGCCTCGGAATGGCAGATGGGAGCGCTCGTCCTAAGACCATTCCGGAGGGGACCAGTTGCCAAGGAAGGGGCGTCAACAATTGCCTTGAGTGAGTGTATCAGAGGGAACGTGCTCGTTAGAAATTGTGGGTGCATGACCGTGACGTTGTGGGGAGTCAAAGAACTTTACAAAAGGAGATTCGGAGCCAGAACAAACATAACCAAACAATCTCCAAACTTGTCACTTGAACGCGACAGTGATGAGTTGGAATATGGGGAACGAGGCCGCGCAGAGCAGCCAGCTCGCGATTAGCTTGACTCTGAGCACCCGCCTTTGCTGTCGACGTCGCGGGCGGCGTTCCGGACATCGCCCAGAACAGACCCTTGCATTCCTTGTTGGGGCGTCGCTGGCCCTCAAGCTGTTTGAACGCCTTGCGATCCATAGCTGGAACGAGACAGCGCCGCAGCGCACAGACGCTGATGTGGTATCTAAACGCCGGTACACCGCATTGACAGAAGCAGCCAACATCTTTGCGTTCGAGGCAGACGCGGAACGGGAAAGCGCTTTCTCACGCAAGGGTGACACTCAGAAAAATCATCATGTTCGTGAGTCTGAGTGAATTCTAGCAGAAAAAGAGGCCAATACTGTACTTCATCCCCATCTTAAGCCTTCTTCTGTGTGCGTGCGATTTCCGCCAACTTTGGCCCTTCACAGTGCGTCTTGTCCTTCTCCCTTCCCAGATGTGGTCACTGACGAGCTGTTTCCAGTCATGCAGTTGAAGGAGCGAGACCGTTCCACTGCACCGGGGCCTTGGCTGAATGTGTCAGTTACTACGACATCGGGTCTAGGACACTAGAAAAGCGCTCGATCGACCGAGCGTATGTACTCAAAGACCTCTACCGCGATGCGAGCAATCCAAGCGAGGTCGTCGAGCTGGAATGGAAGCTCGCGGAGATAGAGCAGCACGCGACGCGCATTTTCGAGGACATACACAACTCCGTTCCGAAGGGGAAGCTTACCCTTGCGCGCTCCGACCTCGACGAGTTCCGCAAGTACCTCTTCCTCGTGTACTTCCGCCGACAGGTGCTCGGCCTGTACTACTACGACAAGGACCGGCCAGAGGATGTCGCGCTTCGGAAGCGCTTCATGGCGTACGGCGAAGCAAACGGCCTGTAAACCCCCATCGACACCTGGCTACACCTCCTTCGCTACCTCCTTGAGACCCCGATGGACAAAATCGACGCCATCGGCGCCGCATGGATGGGCGAACAGTTCATGGACTCCCTCCTCGACAACTTTGGCATTGACTGCGAGTTCGCCATCGACTACTTCCCCGCCATCAACTTCGAGCTGCGGAACCAGGCGTACTTCGTCGGGTTCTGGGAGGCGGCGGAGACGGACGAGTTCGTGCTGACGCCGGGGCGTTCGGGTACTGGGAGGGCTGCTTGTCGACGCATCCGGAGTTCCATCTGCATCGGGTGTTCGTGATCAGTCCGCGGCTGGCCATCGTGCTGCGGTCGGACTATATGCGCGAAGGGGTGGGATTTGGCCGATACCGGGAGCGCGCGTGCAGTACGCTGCTTGGCCTGCCGGTGTCGCCGCCGGATATCGACTTTGCGAAGGCGGGGCACGATGTGGTGGTTGACGGCGAGGTGGCGTTCACGTTCCGTACCATGGACGATTACAACCCGGCCATCCGCCGCAAACGCGACCGGTTCACGATGAAGATCCACAAGCTCACGCCGGAGCAGACGTTCGCGGTTAATGCCGCCACGCTCCGGAGCACGCGCCCGGATGGGGCGCTGAGCTTCACGTCGAGGAGTATGGTCGTGCGTACACTTCGCCATTACATGCATCGCACGCCGATCTGTATGAATATGTGCTGGGAGAGCTATCGCGCGCTGGCGGACAGGCTCGCTCGACCGTTCGCTCCTGACACTCCGTCATTGGCGCGCATTGGCAGCTTCCCTCACGAGGAGACTTTTCACTGGCTTATGGACCTGGTGTACGAGATCACAAAGCCCACGGAGCCGCTCCCTCTGTATATTTGCGGCGCGGCGGCCGTGCGCAGGCTATTCAGGCCGACCGACGCGAGGGGAACTGTACTCGCTGAGCGATGCGGTCATTACGCCGATAAGCTGGTCGAGCACTTCAGCTCCCAGCCTGCGGCCAAAAGCGCGATCCCCCGCCGTGACGAGAAGGGAGTGGTATCGACCGCACACTCTCGACTACGATTCGTCTCTCAAGCTCATTGAAACGGCAAGGCCGCTGCTACGAAAAATGGTGCCCGCGTGCGTATGCTCCGCGAAGAGTAGCGCAGTCGACAGAATCCTAGAGGTGGCCGTTCTCGTCCGATTCCTCGACCTGATCGTCAAGAGTCCCCAGCTAGTCGCCGCCTTCCGCATCCGCTGCGCCTCCCTCTTCCGCTGGATGCACCTCTGCCCCCACCCAACACGAAACCCCAAAGACTGCCTCGACTACCCCTACGACGCCGACTGGCCACCCGTGCACCGTGACATCCGCAAGTAATTCAACAACCTGTGGAAGGCCATGCTCCGCGGCGAGATCACCTTCCCCAACCGGTACGAGCGCGGGCTGGCGCTACACAAGTACGCGGAGCGGATGTGGAAGACGCCCATGGAGGCTATAACCGACTTCTGTCATACGAAGCATGGGCTTCCAGCTGTTTGGCGAGAACGGACCGCATCCGGATCCGAAGATGGCGAAAGTACACGAATGACCTGCTTACTTATGGGTATTTGGATGCCAAGACGCAACGTTCGCCTGCCAGCGGAATAGCCACTATTATATAGTACAAGGCAATTATATGATACATAAAGGACCCGGACGGACTCTTGGCACGTATAGCTCACTGGAGTGGGTAGAGCGATTACGGCGGCGACCGCGTCTGCCTAATATCCAACCTCTCTAACCGCTTGAGGACCACTTGCATCCACGATGATCTGTGATACACCGACTCGTCCGGCGTGAAGAAGTTAGGTTCAACGGCCAAAGCCTGTACGAGCACATGAGTAAGAGGAGGCGTGGTGCAAGCTAATGCGTACCTGGTACCCCTCGATTGACAGTGGACAGAGGTTCAGGCGATGCGACTTTCTAATCACATCTGCTCCTGTGCGAGCGACTGCCGTAAAACGTCCTGACGAAGGGTGACGCTGAGCGTGTCAAAGATAGCAAAAGACGGTAGTCATGACGAACACACATGATGATGATCGTAGGCCACTTGAAAATCATCACGCGGCAGTGGTGCGCCTTCGTGCAGCTGCATAGCCGTCTGCATCCCGGCTAGGAGTTCAATCTGCCAGTATAAGAGCTCGATGCCGTATTCCCGCATGCCAGAGATACCCGCGCGCGCCGAACGGTATACCTCGGGAGAAGCTTTCGGGACTAACGAGCACGATTAGCCCAATGAGAGATACACGAGACGTAACGAACCATTGCCCATGATCTGATAGACAACTTTGCATATGGCGAGCAGTGCCAGTACAAGGCTGCCAACGCTTGCTCGCTCTTCACCAACGATGCTCTGCACTGTCGGTACCTGCAGCACCGATGCGATGACGAAACAGATCGCTTCCGTAAGCCCGACGACCCTAAGGATGCCGGCAAAGACTTTCGCTGACGCGCTAACGTCATCAAGGTCCTGTACACACGTCAGCAAACTTGGGATCCATATCATGGTCATTATTTACCGTTGGTACTGAGTTGAGCACGGCTACAAGATATCTTATACCCCTCGCCACATCCTTGACAAAGGTTGCGCGCACAACCTCGCTGCGTTCTGTCAAAGCCACTTCAGTAAAGATGAGCACTTAAGAGTAAAGGGAACTCACCGACGGAGAAGGGCGCCCATAGGTCGGCCAGGCCCTTATTAATCGAGTCCACTGTTGCAGCGATAACGCGGAACAAGATGGCATACTTGATCAAGACAAAACTTGCTCTGCATGAGGGTGAGACGAGACAAGCTCATGCGGAGAAGCAGCGCGCTCACGGATCGCCGGGCTCGATTGCTTGCAGAGGATCGACCACCTGCTTCTTATACCAGTATACTATCCTGGGCATGAGAGGGATGGAATCTAGGTTGGGACCGCGAACGTCCCACGCCAAGTTCGATAGACGGTCGCAGTGTGGTTGGGTGGAGGATAACGCTTGCAGTTCGTCTGACATGAATTTGAACGAAGGCGGCAGCAAGACTGATGGATTCGATCTTGCATGCTGGTCATGTCGAGCATCTGAGGATGGCGAGGGAAGGAACGGCCCCCAATCGTTCGGCGAGGTTACCACGTCTGGGAAATCGTCCACTGCAGATGTCGAGGCGGGATACGAGCGAGGAGTTCTTGACGAAGGCGAGTCATGGCGGATTGACGTAGAATTCGGCAAAGGTAGTACAGCAGCCAGTGCGCGAGCAGTCGAACGTTGTGGGTTCGCATAGAGGGCGGGCTCAAAGGGGTGCAGCTCGAGGGGCTCCAGTGAAGGGGGCGAAGAAAGGGCAGAAGGCAGCGAGGGAGCGCAGGCCGATGGAGCGCGAGGGAATGAAGCGCGGATTGACGGAGTGCTAGTCGACGGCAACAGATTTGTAGAAGGCGAGAAATGGGCCGGCAGAGAGGATGTCGAAGCGGAAAGCGGCAGATGCACATTGCGCCCTTCAGCGGACTCGGCGAGATAAGGTCTTCGAGGCGACGACGACGACGCTGGGTGCGAAGGACCGCCTGTGGACAAAAGCGAATATATGCGTTGCGACGCCATGACGTGCTTTGAGCGATTTTGGCAGGATAGATAGAGAAGAGTAATGACAGGCGGTTTGGATAGAGAGTGTGTACGAGGCAGATGGATGTTCGGTTCAGGCGTGCTTTGAATTCGAATTCCCTGTGCTGGGTGATGCCGATCGTCACAAGTTCGGCGAGTTCCGAAGCACGAGGGAAAAGCTTATTAGGGGCACGACGCGCAACCCCTTGCCATAGCCGTTATAACTCGAAAGGCTGTTGCACGGCAGGGCCCGCTACCATTCTGATTCTCAGTCCTAATATTCCTGGTCTGCGTTTGAAACCCCCTACATACATTGGAAGCCATTGCAGCGCTTCCGCGAGTTCAGGAAGCTCTTCCACCAGTTCATGGGCCCGCGGGCGTGTGCCGCACCTGAGTTTGCGGGCATGCAGGAGAGGGAGACTCTGAGGTAAGTACCGAGTCCAATATGCCAAGCGAGGAAGTAGGAGGAAGCGAGCTCATAAGAGCGCTGCCTAAGCGAGCGCAGGTACACCACGAACATGTGAGCTATTACTTCATGTCAGTGAATTGTACCCTCGTCAGGAATCAGAGTGCTGTGCTTTGCGTCACTTGACTGGCCGTGGCTAGCGCGATGCGCGGTCAGCTCTCCGGGACGAGCTGCGCCACAATACACTCCAGCGCTTCTCCTCGCCGGTCCCTCGGTGCCCCTTTCCGCGCGCGGGTCGCAGGCGCGTGGGCTGGCCGCGGGGGCAACGGTGCTGGGTGAGGTCAGGAGCCCGATGGCAGCAGCAGCAAGGGGAATGGCATTCAACGGGCTCCCGCGGCAAGCCCAGTGTTGCTGCTGCGGGTTTCAAGCGGGCTATAGCACTCCTCTTTTACGCCACGAGAGGAACTCTCTACGCGTATCTAGAGGTGCTTCTTCTTTGCGTCTTTCTGATACGCCTGCAGACATGCCCTCCCAGCGCCGTTCTCAGCATCTGAAGGTACTGTAGCAAGTGCGCGTGCCGACACGATATCGAGGGCAGCTTAAAGTACCCGAGTGATACAGGTAAGCGTGAATACTTATGTATCATTATCGAATAGTCCGAGATTGTTAATGTTTCGACAGAGCTCGGCGACCAAGTATAAGCACCCTCGGAATGTGGCGAAGGCTTTTCCCCACTACTATAAGACAAGTGCCACTAGAAGTCGGTGACGGTTCAGTAAACGCGCAGTACCAGCGGTCGTGCGCGCCGTCGATGCGAGATGGCGCTGACGGTCGAGGTGAGTGTAGGAAGTAAACGGCTCAACGACCGTTATATGTTCGAGACCGTTCGACCGTAAACTGCTGTTCAACAGACACGTCCAAAATTTGGCGGCCCGCGCCGAGAACACGGTACAATGGCTCACAATGCTTGCCAACACCGTGCGCGGGCTTCACCAAAGACATATGCGACACCTGTACAAGGCATGTGTCATCCTCGTCATGGTTCACGGAGCTGCAGTATGGACAGGGAAGAAGTGTGGGCCACATCAAGGCCCTCGAGAAAGTACAACGACGGGCGCTGCGGCTCATCTGCGCGGCGTTCAGAACCACGCCTATCCAGGCGCTCGAGATTAAAGCTTCTATCCCGCCAATCCGGATCGCACTCGACTATGAAGCGCGCCGGGCAGGCATCCGACTGAACAAGCTCGATCAGCGTCACCCACTCATACAACGCTTACCCGAGGAGTGGAGGGATCCAACCGGCTACGTCGCCCCTCCCCCTTTACCGAAACACCCACACTCACGCAATAAAGAGATCTTGGAGAAGACCACAAAGCTGCACGACCTAGCGAAATTGACAAATGTGCGAGAGGAACGGATCCTACCGTACGCAACGCCACTGTGGCGCCGCGATGTCCCCGACTTTGGTGGAGGACGACTTGTCATCGCAGTCAAGTTGGACGACAACCGCGCGAAGAAGGCCGCAGCCAGAACTCACAGAATCGAAGCCCAGAAGCTCCTCGCCTCCAAGAAGTCGCTACTCGTGTACACAGACGGATCGATGCGACCCCTTCATCGAGTCCGGCGAGTTGGCGCGGGCGCAGTTGGATTTCAGGGGGGCAACGACGGGGGAAGACATGTCTTAACCCAGCACATAGGACTGGGCTCTCGTGCAGAGGTCTACGACGCCGAGATGGTGGGCTTATGCTGGGGTCTCCAGGCCGCCCTCCACTTCGTCAAGACCCACCCAAACACCTCCACCTCTTCGCCGACAACACGTCCGCTATCAGCGCCATCTTCGACCCTCTCCCGAGGAGCGGCCAGATGCATTGCATCGAGTTCCACCGACAGGCCTGCCAGTTCCTGGACGGCGACCCCTCCCGCACGCTGAACATTGCATGGGTACCCGGACACCAGGACGTACGCGGAAACGACGAAGCCGACGAGCTTGCGAAGGCCGCCGTTGAGCTTGCTAGCACCCTCCCCGGGTCACGGGCGAAAGGACGAGCAGCACGCGAGTGGAAGAGCGAATGGGAGGAGAAGCGCCATGGCGGGCATTTTGCAGCTGCCAACCGAATCCCCCCTTCCCTCAACCACACCGAACGCTTCAAGGAAACAGCTCGCGAGGTGTTCGGTCGTGTTCTCCAGACACGTACCGGACACGGATACACGGGCGAGTTCTACCATGATTTCCCACGTGATGTCGACAGTGACTGCCCCTGTGGGGAACCCTTACAGACACGACACCATATTCTAGCTGAATGCCCGATATTAAGGAACATCGCCATCTACTCCGCGAGACATCCCGCGGTCTCTCGCTCCCCGTTTTACTAGGGACGAAGAAGGGGATCGCAGCCCTCACGGAGTTCATAGCGGCGTCCGGCGCATTCACCAAAACCGGTGCACCCCGTGCACCCCCATCACTCCCCACACGGGAGCAGGAACCCGAGGTACGGCAGGACGACAAGAACGACGGGAGGAGGAGGAGGAGGAGGTGGAATTGCCCCAAGCGGTCCCCTCAGGAACATATGGGGTGCCCGTACTACACAAAGTGTGCTAACAGTGTGCTACGGAGCCAAACAAGATGGATAGAAGTCCCGGCAGCCGAACCCCGTGGTTAGGTACCTTTTTCCGTCCCACTACCATTTTCTTGTTTGTCCATGAAGCCCCTATACACATGACACACGCACATAGTGCCCTTATGTACTAATACCTACCAGTTCACCACTCGACTCAACCACAGTATCGCGATGGACAGCAGTACGAGCAGCAGTCGCGGGACTTGTAGATTATCACCACTATGGTTGCAAATCCTGGACAAAACTCAGTATACCGCTACTGATCGAGTGATTTTGCGTGAAAATAGTGGTGTGATCACTGTGATTTGCGTGAAAATGAGTGATTTTCGGTCTCAAATCACGCACCAGCGATTCACTAGGCACTCGCCAGGTGCGTGAAGATGCGTGAGCATCAAAATCACGCAGAAACTAGTGATCACTAGGTGCGTGATTGGTCACTGACCACTGACCGCTCGGTGCGTGATTCGATCACTAGCAATCAGCCACCCAAAGCGATGGACCCCTTCCACTTCCACTATTTTCCAACAAACTCCTTGTAGACACACGTATTCTCCGTCGCTAGTACTGTAAAGAACGTTGAAGATCTGGCTGGATGCAAAATCATCCGTCTACGCGCCTTGAATTTCAATGGCAAGGGGGTCCTTGTGGGTGTTCAAGTTGATCGGCAATCACCGGCGCGTGAAAGCGATCAAAATGGTGCCCCTCGCTGCGTGATGAAAGCGACCGAATCGCATCACAAGTGCGTGAACGAAAGCAGTACTGATCGAGGCAAGCGCTCGAAGCACAACTGCTTAGTGATTCACTAACCACGGTTTTTGTCCACAATTTACAACCATACCTGCCGGGCCTCCAGATGGATTAACTAGGTCATGAAGGACATCACCGTCTTTATGGCAATTAAAGGACAGGACTCGAAACCGCGCGTTCTGGGCAGGCATCACGCCAAGTGCCCCTCACGAGGAGGAGCGCGGGGCATGACGTTCAAGAGGCGCGACTCGTACTTGGCTGCGGCAGCAGCCTCCGCACGTTGCTTGAAAGGGCAGCACCGGTCGACAGAGGCGTGAGCCTTGTCAGTGCGCCCCGCGCGGTCACAGTTCGCGCACTCACGCTTGACGTGAGGGCATGAGCGGAGATTGGTGCATCGAGGGGAGTGGGTGCATTTGGCTGGACATTGTTTAGTCATGTGTGTGCCGTTGCAGCGAGCGCAACGGAGGCTGGTGGGTGTCAAAAGTAGGGTATAGAGAGCGAGTCTGCCTCCTCCCATGGGCGGACGGTTTGTCTCGCGTCCACGCTTTTGGTCCGCCTTCCTATTCGGGAAGAACTTTCCCACGCCTCTCCGGGGGCGTCCGTATTTATCCGTACTGTACATCTCTTTTCCCTCAGTCGCTATTCCACTAGCAGGAAGACTGAGGGTATGTTATCTCACTTACTATACTCATACTATTTACTGACTGTACTTTAGTCTTGCGCGTCCTGCGCTTCTTTAGGTATGAATATTAGTCGCTATTCCACTAGCAGGAAGACTGAGGTCTTGCGCGTCCTGCGCTTCTTTAGCTCGTGAAAGGTTATGAGCCCCGTGGCCTAAATCGAGCAAGACTTCGATCTGCGACTCACTCTATCCCACTCTGCGCCATGGCTCCCAAGGACAGCAAGGTCCCAACGCTCACCGACGCGGCAGACTGGCCACTCTGGCGCCTCCGGGTCACCGACGCCCTCAACAGGGACGATCTCACCTCCGTGGTGACTGGGTCGGAGAAATCCCCTCCCCCTGAGATTGCGGTGACTCCACCGACGCCGACAACGTCCTCTCCCCCGTCCACGTCACCCGGCGCTCCGGCGACCACCACCACATCCACAGGATCGGGCTCCTCCCCCACCACTCACCAAGTTGCGCGGAGGGAGACCTGGTCCTGGCGGAACGCCCGCACCCTCTCCACCATCCGGGAGCACCTCTCGAATGACATAGCCCTCGAGCTCCATGAGTACCAGCACGCAAGCGAACTCTGGGAGAAGCTCGTCGAGAAGTTCGAGCAGACCAACACCAGCGAGATGGCGGTCACCGAACTGATCAAGATCTTCCGCGCGAAGCTCGCCAACGGCGACGATGGAGACGTCTCCCGCGAGGCGATGAGCGCGCATATCCACCGCGTTCGGCAGTCGGTCACCCAGCTCGCCACCCTTGGCTACCCCCTCAACGCCAACCTCGTCCCCCTCATCCTCCTCGCCTCCCTTCCCAGCTCGGAGAAGTGGAAGATTGTCTCGTCCGGCATCTCCGCGGGCAGCTCCAAGGCCGCGCCCCTCACCTTCTCCTACGTCGAGGCGAAGCTGATGGCACAGGTGACCAGCAAGGAGGACTCGGACGACGAGCAGGCATACGCCGCCTCCTCTTCTCGCGCGCCCCCACCGCGCAAGCCCAAGGACAAGGGCAAGAAGAGGGCCAAGGCGAAGGCGTCCTGCGTCATCCACGGTGAGGGGCACTCCACCGAGGAGTGCAAGACGATCATTGGGCAGAAGGAGAAGGCGCTGAAGAAGCGGAAGGAGCGAGCGGCGGAGAAGGTGAAGGCGAATAAGGTGAAGGACTCGGACTCGGACTCAGACTCGGACTCGGATTCAGACGTAGACGACACGCATGTAACCGTCTCGCGCCGCGCCTACAAGAAGATTTCCGCCTATGTCCAGTCTGATCCTAAGCGACCGCAGCGACACCAAGGTTCGCACATCATCGACTCGGGTGCGTCAAAGACCATGACCCCCGACGAGCGCCTCTTCGACGACAGCACTTACCGTGTCCTTGACCCGCCGCGCAACATCTACCTCGGGAATGAGTCCGTCATCAAGGCAGTAGGCATTGGCACCGCCTGCTTTGCCTCTAAGACACCAGACGGTGTGCGCGCGCTGACTATTCGGAAGACACTGCATGTCCCCGACCTCGCGTTGACGCTCATCTCGGTGCCCCAGATCACCAAGCGTGGTCTGCGCGTGTCCTTTAAGGACAACGCATGCACTATCCGCGACTCCTCCGGTGATATCGCCTGCGTCGCGACGCGCAAACATGGTCTCTATCATGTTGACTGCCAGCCCATCGGCACGGATGAGCGCGCCTTCACCGCCATCGACATCAACCGGCTGCACCAGATCATGGGCCATACGAACTTCGAGAGCCTGCGCAACATGGTCCGACACGGGCAGCTCGGGGAGGTCGACACGCTCACCGGCATCCCGTCCTTCTGTGAGCCCTGCGTCATGGGCAAGATGAAGAAGCTCCCCTTCAAGCGGAGCACCACACCCGCCTCGCGCCCGCTACAGTTCGTCTCCTGCGACGTTGGTGGCCCCGTCGACCCCGCTGCCATTGGCGGCTACCTCTACTGGATCGTCATCGTCTGCCACTACTCCTCGGGCGTCTACACGCTCTTCACAAAGAAGAAGTCGGAGGTCTACAAGAAGCTCCGTCAGTGGCGCATTGACATGGAGCATCAGCACCGCGACTCTATCGAGCAGTGGGAGTGGCTCCCCGGCTGGGTTGAGTTCACCCGCACAGACGGCGGTGGCGAGTTCTGCTCGAACAAGATGGAGGCCGAGTTCCGGCGACGCGGTATCATCCACGAGACGACGGCGCCCTACACACCTGAGCAGAACGGCATAGCGGAGCGCATGAACCAGACGCTGGTCACCCGGGCAATCGCTAACCTCTGCGCAGCCAAGCTTCCCCGGAAGTACTGGATGTATGCGATGGAGTACGCCACCGACATGATCAACCTGTCGCCCGCTAGCCGCCAGAAGGGAGAACTGCCTATCAATCGCATGCGCAAGGTCAAGCGCCCTATTGACGTCCACGCCCTGCACCCCTTCGGTTGCCCCGCCTACCCGCTCATCCCAAAGAAGAAGCGGAAGGGCAAGTTCGCCGACCGCGCCCGCCGGTGCATCCTCATAGGCTACGCTTGGTCTGAGGGCACAAAGGCGTACAAGCTCCTCGAGATCGCCACTCGGAAGGTCATCATCTCCCGGCACGTCAAGTTTGACGACGCCTCCCCCTCTCCTGACGAGATGCGCGTGGGCGAAGACGATGTGTCTGCCGAGCAGTGGGAGGACTTTGGCAAGTACTTCCGTCTGCCGCCCAAGGACGCTCCTGCACCAGATGCGGGCAGTGACAGCGAGGACGATGACGACGACGATGCGCCGGCCCAGCCACCTGCAGCCGGGTCAGTGGGAGCACCTCGTCCACCCACGCCAGAGCCAGTGGGAGATAATCGTCCACCCTCACCTGACTCAGATGAGCCACCGCCTCCTCCGCGTCCACCGAAGACGCGCATACCGCGCCGGTCTCTGCCACCGGCCACGCCACCGGCGGCTCCTGCCCCCGCTGCTGGTCCATCACGCCGCCCTGGCCTTCGCAAGCCGGAAGAGCGAACAGCGAACCAGCACAAGGACCAGGGCTACATTAACGCCCGGGAGCGGCAGGAAAACCACCGGAAGGTGTCCGCCCAGCAGCGGAAGCAGCGTGAAGCGAACATCCGCGCGCGCGAGCAGCAACTCGAGGACAATCGCCGACGTCGAGAGCAGCCGCCTCAGGCGGAAGCTCCTCCTCCACCTCCGGCACCAGCTCCCGAACCAGAACCTGCACCAGCGCCTACCCAGGGGGGTGGGGATCCCCCGGGTCAACCCGACGAAGAGGGCGAGTCAGTGAACTTTGCTTTTCTCAATGACGAACTCTTCGCGGGCGCAGCATCTGGTGGTCGGTCGAGCAGCGGTGCGCGGAAGATTCCCACCACTTGGAAGCAAGCCATGGCGAGCCCGGAGCGCGACAAGTGGTTGGACGCGCAGTCGGAGGAGTTGAACAGCTTCAAGCTGAACGACGTCTACGAGGAGGTACCCATCCCGGAGGGCATCAAGCCGATTACCTCCAAGCATGTCTTCTCCTTGAAGGAGGATGCTCAAGGGAACATCGAGCGGTACAAGGTGCGCATTGTGGCGCGCGGCTTCACTCAGCAGGAAGGAGTCGACTATCAGGACACCTTTGCGCCCGTCGCAAGCCTGGAGTCCATCCGCATCATCCTTGCCCTCGCCGTCCGCCTTGGTCTCTACACTGACCAGATGGACGTGAACACCGCCTACCTCAACGGTGAGCTGCTACAGACGCTCTACATGCTTCCCCCGACTGGTGTGGACATCCGGGAGGGTTACTGCTGGCGACTCAAGAAGTCGGTCTACGGCCTCAAGCAGGCCGGTCGCGCGTGGAACCAGACGCTCCACAACAAGCTCGACAAGCTCGGGTTTGTGCGCCTCAACTCGGAGACTTGCCTCTACGTCTTCCGGGACGGTAAGCAAGTCTGCTTCCTCGTCGTCTACGTCGACGACCTCCTCCTCGCCGCCACCTCGCGTCCTTTCATGGACAGCATCAAGAAGAAGCTCACCGCTTCCTTCAAGATGCGCGACTTGGGTCCCGCCAAGTACCTCCTGGGCATTGAGATCATCCGGCACCCGGGCAAGCGCACGATCTCCCTCTCCCAGAGGAAGTACATCGACACCGTACTTGAGCGGTATGGCATGTCGGACTGCACGGGCGTCAGCACTCCCATGTCCACAAGCACTCGCATCTCCGCCGATGACCGGAACGACAACGAGGTGCGCACTCATATGGCCTTGGTCCCCGGAGGTCCCGTCGTCTCCTACCAGAGTGTAGTGGGCTCGCTCATGTACGGGATGATGGGCACCCGACCGGAAACTGCCTATGTGGTGGGGGTTCTTGGCCGCTATAGCGCCGCCCCCAAGGCTTGCCATTGGGAACTGGCCAAGCGCGTCCTCCGGTACCTCAAGAAGACGCGCGACTGGTGCCTGGTCTACGATGGCGCTGACGCTGGCATGGACCTTGACTTCCATGGGTACACCGACGCTGACTGGGGCGGATGCAACGACACGTCCAAGTCCACCTCCGGCTTTGTGTTCATCTCAAGTCGGGGTGCCATTGGTTGGTCTAGCAAGCGGCAGTCCATGGTCTCTCTCTCGTCTACCGAGTCGGAATACATTGGTCTAGCTAATGCTGGTCAACACTTGGCGTGGCTCCGCTCGTTCTTCGAGGAATTGGGACGTCCGCAGGCCGGTGCCACCGAGCTCAGGTGCGACAACCGTGCGGCCATCATCCTCAGCCAGGATGCTCAGTTCCGCGCCCGGACCAAGCACATCCAGCGGAAGTACCACTACATCCGCGACGGACTGGTTGCCACCGGCGAATGTGTCGTCCTCTGGTACCCCACGGACGAGATGGTTGCGGACATCTTTACCAAGGCACTACCTCATGAGAAGCATCTCAAGTTCTGCCAAGGTATGGGTTTACGGCCTGACTCGAGTGGGAGTGTCAAAAGTAGGGTATAGAGAGCGAGTCTGCCTCCTCCCATGGGCGGACGGTTTGTCTCGCGTCCACGCTTTTGGTCCGCCTTCCTATTCGGGAAGAACTTTCCCACGCCTCTCCGGGGGCGTCCGTATTTATCCGTACTGTACATCTCTTTTCCCTCAGTCGCTATTCCACTAGCAGGAAGACTGAGGTCTTGCGCGTCCTGCGCTTCTTTAGCTCGTGAAAGTGGGGTCATCGCTGAGAGGGCACGCGTCGGACTTGTGGCCCCAGTCTTGGCACCAATAGCACTGTAAGGGCGGCGGTATATAAAGGTCGGTTTGGCAGGGTTTGCCTAGGACGCAAGTGTTGTTGTCTATGAGGTCACTGGCAATGGCGCGGGCAGTCGCGTTGCGGTAGTCGCGGAGGCGTAGCACGAATGAACACCGGCTCTTGGGGGTGCCAGGGCGACGAGAAGACGAGGGGAGCGGGCGCACGGACTCAATGTTCTCGAAGAAAGGGATGAGGTGGGCGTTGGCGTGGTGTATTTGCATGGATGCTCCGGGGGCCTGTGGGCGGAACTGTCCTGAGGCACCGTGTATCACCACTTGTAGAGTCGGGGCACTCACTGAGGCGCCGCTCGCCAGACAAGCTACCCAGGCCTGCTCCATGAGACGCAGCTTCTCCAGGTCCTTCGCCTTCCGCACTTGGAGTATGAGTCGATCACTCGGCTCATGTCGACGAACCCCATGGAGGTACCAATCCGGCGTGAAGTGCTCGGGGTCGCACACCCTGAGCACCGTCTCCACCTGTTGCTTCAGTTCCGCAGGCGAGGCCTTGCGGATGGGGTCGTGGGCGGGGACGCTTTTCAGCGAGACCGCGAACTCCAGGGCTGGCATGGCGGCCGCCTTCGCGTACGAGACCGAAGGCAGTTTGGGAACCTGGGGAGGCGCTCCGGCCACAAGGCGACCTTCCAGCTTCTCGTGGTGTACGCGAAGCATGTCTTCGATCGCTGTGAGCAGGCTGGACTCGGCTGGCGAGTTGGCGGTGGAGCAGCCGCCGTGCGTTAAATGCTCCTTGGCCGCCAGGACTAGTAGTTGGGCTGTGTTGCGTTTCTCGGCCTTAGCGCCGGCGAGTACACCCCATATTGCATCGAGAATCTTCATAACGTCCCCCTCGGCGCGCAGTGCGTCGACGAGAGGGAGGTCCTTTTTGACCACGCCCGCACGAAGCGCGGCTTCCGGCGGAGGCACATCACTCTCCTTCGCGGACGTGACCTTTGAGGCTGACTGCCGAGATGAGGTCGGGGGCCCCATACGAGCGTCAACTTAGGCGGGAGTGCTATTGCAGTGCGTGTACAGAAGTCTTCCGTGATGGTGGGAAGCAAGGAGTTTTTTTCCGTTCCCAAAACCCACTAACACAAATGGTATCGGGAATGTTACGTGACAGAAGATGTCCCTCGCACAGGTAGGGCATCATCACCGTGAAGGGCCGAGCTTCTGGCTGTACCGTTCATAATTGAGCGGAGGTGGTCCTTTTGATTGTGTGTGATCTTGTCCACAATAGTCGTACTCAATTTGACGTCTGAAAACGCCCGTCTGAAATCCTGCGCGTTGCTGTCGCTGTGCTGCCTCGACGACGGTTGCCAGAGAGCGACGGCGGCGTGCCTGGCGGGCGGGGCACGCGATAGCTCGGCAAGTGCCGACGTGGAGGCGGGGGGCGGCGAGCAGCGACAACATCGACGTCGGGGAGCAGAACGTCGTCCTTTCCATCCCTTTCAAGTCATGACTAGTGCTCGTGAATAACTTATACCCCTTCCTTCAATCCCGGAGGCCCGTCGTATGCGGGTACACTTTACGGGATTTACCGAATATTGTCACGTGAGATGTTCGACTTGTGTGCTCGCCCTCATAGCAGCGCGTAGATGGGAATTTTAGCGGTAAAGCGGCGTGCGATACTTTCAAAAGCTTTAGATTAGAGTTGAAGGTCTGTATGAACGAGTCTGCGTAAGCACAAGCACTGATAACGCATTTTTTCTCCAATTTTTTCATTTTTTGACATAATCCCTTGCATGGACCGAATTCTGGGGCGATTCTCGACGTATGCGGCGAGGAATTCCATGAGAGCACCTTCGATAGGGTATACGACGCCCTGTTCATTGACGTCGATGTTGTCGCTGCTCGCCGCCCCCCGCCTCCACGTCGGCACTTGCCGAGCTATCGCGTGCCCCGCCCGCCAGGCACGCCGCCGTCGCTCTCTGCCAGATGGGTCCTCCAGATGGGTCCTGCTATGGGAAACGCACCGTTCGCCCTGTGAAACCGTTCGTCCAGGGAGTAAAGGGGAAGGGGCGGGACGTGGGCGCGTCAATTGGTTCCGTGAGACAGACCGGCCCGCCCGGATGAAGCGGACGAACGGGACGAACGATCGGGGCGAAGCGATCACTTCCGAGACCGTGCGTTTCCTATTTCCCAACCGTTCTCACTGGCAACCGTCGTCGAGGCAGCACAGCGACAGCAACGCGCAGGATTTCAGACGGGCGTTTTCAGACGTCGAATTGAGTACGACTAATACTTCTCACCCCACGTCTCGATTGACCAAAAAAAGATCAGACAGTCTCGAACCTAGACCTAAACAGAAGTTTTAGATCCCTGCCAAAATGCATATATAAAGGTCCTGATCCTTCCTTCCTCCCTTACGACTGACAAGATGGAGCGCCAATATGATACTGTATGTTAACCTTTTCTCCCTCACAGCGCGGGCTTACCTATCCCTAGCATCAGCAAATCCTCCTTCAGCCCATTCTTCACCTACAGCGCCAGTCAAAGCTAATTTTGCTTGACTTGAGGAGACTGAAGGCGTCGTTACTGAAGGCTTACAATTCTGACCTCTGGCGTGCCTATCGGCGCGTTGCTGCCGAGGTGGCTGTCCATGTTGACAAAATATTCAAGATCATTGCGACGTGCTGCGGTATCCTCGACAGACTTGGCGACGACCTCACAACCTATCGACACAAAATGGGACGAAAAGCTTTTGATGCGCTGCACGGAAAGCTGCATGCAGCACTCAAGACCGTATCTCTCACCTCGGCACTGGAGGCACTCCGGCAGACGATGCGCATGCAGCTTGTGTACCCATGGGGATTGGACGCCTTCGTACATGGGACGCTCATACCGTTCGTGGAGCAGCACGCACTTCCCATACAATTCGGCAGAGCGGAAGCCCTTCTGCAGGGCATGCCCCTTTTGACCCAGCTCGAGGAGCGCCTACAAAACACCGTGCGCATCACACGCGAATGGGACTGCCTGTGGCGCGAAGTCTGCCGTGGATTTCACCCGGAGGCCGTCCTGCGCATCCACCAGCTGCCCCCAGAAGTCCGCGCGCATGTCATCGGACCGGTAAGTGCAGTCATAGCGGTGGCAGAACGCTGCACATACGACATACGCAAGATTTGTTATGATATTGGGCTTTGTAATTGCGATAGGGCCGGGCGTACTGACTCCATCGATCGCTTTAAGTATCTCGACCCTAACTACATACCCTGACTTGTAACCATGCCCCTAATCTAGCCAAAGATGTCCTTTATCCCATCAGCCTTTCCAGGTATTCTGGGCCGCCTACTTTACAGCTCCCATCTTCCTCCTCCCGCGATGATCAGGATAAACTCCCCGAATGATGAACGAACATTCTGCCCTCTCCCATCAGACTCTTTCTGGTACAACTCGTTGTCGGCCTTGGCCTTAAGCTTCAGCGCTAGCCTGGATGTATTCTACAGAACTCACGCTTAAGGAAAGTACTTCTGAGTCGAGGTCCACATCTGGCCATGAAGAGCGCGCGCTTACCTGAGAATCACAAGTCGGCCTTTCACTCCCTTCCACCGCGTTCACCAGTACCAGATGACATACCCACACACACATACTTCCATCCTCACCTACCCTAGAAGTACCTATCCCAAAAGCCCTCCGTCCCTGCGGGGAGCCTATACAGGTAACTCCTCCAGACCCTCGGTCGACGGATGCGGAGGAGCGCAAGGTCAAGCGACTTTCATTGTTCTGTGTAATTACTTCTCGAAAAGGCGAACTTTGTACGTACGAAGACGGGCGGACGCCTCGCGCCGCCCTTACTTACCGATTACTTCACGCACGCGGGTAGCGAGCGCCCTACGCGACGCGACACGTTGACGAAAGATATCTCTTTTCCCCCGAACTCTCATCTAGCCTCTTCGTCGTGACACGCACCGAGCGAGGCCAGACGGTCAGAGGGGAATCCTTGATTGAGTCGACGCCTCGCACGTTACCGGCGAGGCTAGGTGGCGCAGGCTACGTTAACCGGCCTAACGCACCTCTTCTCATTGAGAACCACTCCGCGGCTCGAACCCGCTCACAGGACCCCACGCGCGCGGCATACAGTTGCCGCAGTCCCGTTAGTCGGCGCCTTGAGAGCCTCTACGCCCAAGAGCTTCAGCACGAGGTTGTAGATCTCGACGTTCGCGAAGGTGTCCCGTGATGTGCCATCCCTTGTTCGGGCGGGAGAGCCAGCGGCGCGCGAGGGTATCCCGACTCTGATGCAGGGCCTTGATGACGGTGGTGAAGGGCCCGTGCGCGACGAACACGGCGTGCATCGACTGCTCGCGGTTGTCGTAGCCGTGGTTCTGGTTGACCGTTGGCATCAGCATACGTCCGAAGCATGGCATCGTCAACGGGAACCCAACTCACCCCCTCGCACATCCCGTCCTCGCCCTCCTCGTGCGTCGTGAGCGCGTAGCCCATCTCCGGGACGACATACACCGGTGCAATCCGGTCGATACCCGCAAAGTACCACCGCTGCGGCATCGTCTCGTGCGTGAACACGTCGAACGCGCCGTCCTCGAGCGCGTCGGCGGCCTTCTCCAGCCGGCCGAGATACTCGGTCACGCTCGCGCCCTCCTTCCAGCGGATGCCCATGCTCGGCCAGCCATCGACGTGCGCGATGGCCTTCATGCCGTCGGACCCGAGGATGTCGTCGACGTAAATGAATTCGGGGTTGGAGGTGTCGGTCATGCCGTGGTCTGAGATGAAGACGACGTCGACGATGGAGGTGAGATTGCGCGCGGCAAGGGAGGTAGCGAGATCTTTCGCGAAGGTGTCGACGTAGCCGAAGGTTTTCTGTGCAGATAATGAGAGGTGCATGAAAAGAGAACAGAGGGTAAGGACGCACGTTCACAAGCGCGGACATAGGTCGAGAGATGGCTCGTACGCTGCATGTGGCTCAGCAAATGAGCGCCAGAGGATGCGTGAATAGTACTAACCCATGATAAGCTGTGGTCGCTCCTTCAAAGGCAGGTCTATCCACTCTAAGATCTGGTCTAGCTTCTCCTGGAGCGGCACCTTGTCCTGAGGAACCGCGTCAGTCACACTAACCGACAAGGTGATATGGACGTCAAACGTACTCTCCAGGGCTCGAAGTACGTCGGACTGGCGCCAGAGGCCATCTTCGGAGGGCCGGGCCTGCGTCGCAGTGAGTACCTGAGGAGCGCCAATGCTATGTTCTCGCTACGCATCACATTAGGTTCGCATTAATGAGGCCGGCCTTCTCAGCAGTCTCCCACTTTACGTGAGGAATGGCGGCCTAGACGCGAGGTAGCACTCACGGGCTCGCCGTACCACCACGCGGGGTCCCAGGATGCAGCAGCGGAGTTGTACTTGAACTCAGTCTTCAAGGACGGATCCCAGAAGTTCTACAAACGGCGTGAGCACGTCTTTGAGCGCATTGGGGTTCATGAGCTCACATTCGCAACGATTGCATGGCTCTCAGCTTGCAGGCCAGTCCTGCAGGGGGCATAAAGGCTATTCATGTAGGGTGGCCCAAGCGATCTCACATTATGGCCCAGTGGCTACTGAGAGAGGTTCAAAACGTGCGTGAAGGGCAAGTTGAGAGGGCTTATGGGAAGGTTAAGGTCTGTCCAGGAAGGAGCGTCAGTTTCGGGATAGGCTGGGGGCGCGTGCAGCGTACAGAGATAGGCGTCATGGACTTGGCGCGCAAGCCCTGCTTTCTGATGTCGAGGAGGTGTGGAGTGAGGCTGCGGTCCAGGTAGTCCGCCCTGCTTACAGTCAGCCCGATGCTCCCTTCCAATTGCCGAACCACGCACCTTAGCCCGTCTATCGACACAATGAGCACCGTCCACCTGAATTCATGCGTGTCGTTCGAGCGCAGGTCGCCCGTGTCTTGTATGGTATAGCTGTTTTGTGGTGGGGGCAGCTCTACGTACCACGCCCTCGCAAAGACGCCGGTTATAAGGTGGAAGATGAAGGATGAAGCACGCAGAGCAGCCGGCCTTGCGCCGCCTTCGCGGTCGACGTCGCTGAGGTCATTCCGAATGTCGCCGGAGAGCAGGCCCTTGCTCTCCACGTAGTCGCGTCGCTGGTCCTCGAGCTGCTTGGACGCCTTGCGACCCATTGCTGGAACGAGACAGACCGCCACAAGCACTGATGGGCGCTCAGCTGGGGAACCGGCCGACCGGGCCGCGCTACTTACATAAGCAATTTGAAGAGAGGCGAGTCGTCTGGGCTTGTGGAGGGCATAAGTCGCGCATATCGCGACCTAAAATCATGCGAAATATACCAGTAGAGACGTCTCAGTGTACTGTATTGCACTGTGTGGTTTGCGAAGCGGGGCGACCGGGTTGTATGAGAGATATTCGAGGGAAGGCTCCCCTAGCGCTGTGGCAGTCATAGCGCGAGTGCACAGAAGCGGCACAGCTCTGGACAAGCTTTGTGAAGCAGTTCAGGCATAGCCACGCTGCATAGGGCATCTTTTGGATTTTAGAGCGTGGTTAGCACGGCTCGAAACCGCCGGGCGCGAGAGCTGCACCTTGCCTGTAACCGCAAACAAAGCTTATACCCAATGGGACCTCCAGTACTCATATACCCCAATGGATATCCCTTTCTAAGACATTCTCGCCCTCTCATCGAAGGTTTTGCCCTCGCAGCTGGCCTGAATCGGTCAGCGGGGTGCGCGCAATAGCTTACATAAGCTGCACTGGGCGAGAAACGACGTCCTTCAGGGGCTGCACCAGACCTTCCGACAGAGCTTTGAAGTGGTATTCATACAGCAGAGGCTGAATGTACTTGCATGAGTGCTCCTCTGGATCTGGAGACGTTATAAAAACACAGGAACTGCCAACAGAAACAAACACAGGAGTGAACCCTCCTAAAATCCAAAAGATGCCCTATGCAGCGTGGCTATGCCTGAACCGCTTCACAAAGCTTGTCCAGAGCTGTGCCGCTTCTGTGCACTCGCGCTATGACTGCCACAGCGCTAGGGGAGCCTTCCCTCGAATATCTCTCATACAACCCGGTCGCCCCGCTTCGCAAACCACACAGTGCAATACAGTACACTGAGACGTCTCTACTGGTATATTTCGCATGATTTTAGGTCGCGATATGCGCGACTTATGCCCTCCACAAGCCCAGACGACTCGCCTGCCATCATTTTCGTGTCAAAGCGGCCGTGGCCAACTTTTCTGCAAACGGCAATAATGACAACAAACACGTGACTACCACGAGGACAAAGCGCGTTCCCTGTCTCAACCATGTCGATCGAAGCCCACCCAACTTGGCTTTCTACCGTCACGACCTCGAATCCGGACGACAAAAATGCGAAGATCTCAGAGAATATCTGCCCTTCTTCCACTTGACACTCGTGGGCCGGTTGCGGCGGTCAAGTCCCCAGCGCCCAAGCGCCTAAAGGGGGAGAATGATATGCAGAAGGAACACCAAGCGGAGATGATATTGCATAAGCCTAGCTCGACTATGTTCCTCCAAGACATTCCCCTTGACATAGTTCTCGAAGTACGTTGCCACTGCCTTGTTTCGTTGTTAAACCTAACGTGATCACGCCACTCCAGATACTCGGTCACGTCGATTCCAGCATCTCTGTTACAACTTGTCAGGACATCGAAGTTTTCGAGGAAATATCTGATGAACCGGTCGTCGAGCAAAATCTGGAAGAAGAGCTTCACCTGCACGGACCACGGTCTCCCCTCGCCACCGACGGATATGGACCTACCGAGCTTCGTAGCCCTCATCGTAGACAGGTTCTGTCATGTGAGCTCGATTATTCAGCCATGCTCTTGACTGAGGTAACGACTTACGACTGCCTCTACTAGTTCTGCCACGAAACTCCAGATGATGGTATCTTGACTGTGTGGGGCGCGCGCGTGCGATGTTGCGGTGCGTGCCAGAATAATAGGTATGCTCGGCTTATTCAATCCTGGGATGTCTCTCTCACCTCCATCTAGTCGATGCTTTGTTCGCTATAAGAGCTTGGTGAAGTTCAAAGTAATCAAAGACATCAAGGCGCTTTTCCCAGCCGACTGCCCTATGAACTATCTTCCCCATGTTGATCGCTCAGGCAAGCGCTGGGCGTTATGCCGGTCTCTTACATGCTCATCTTCTGCAGGATTTATGGACACGCTATATCCAAGATCGTGGTGTGATGCTCTGGCTAGAGAGTTTCGGCAGCAATCTGAGAACGGTAAAGAGAAGTGGTTCGCGGGGTGGAGGAAGAAATGTCGTCATATTATGGAAGTGCGCAGTCAATATTGTATCTGGAACGATTACCAGGCTCACCACGCTACAGCACGCCAGGATTTGCGAAAACTGGGAACGGGAGAAAAAGAAGAGGGAGGAAGACGAGGCAAACAAAGTATTCGACGATCGATTTGACGAGTGGGTTTCTCCGCCTCTCATCCTAAGTGGCAATCGACTGATGCACACGGCGGCAGGATCGTCCGTAGACTGAGCGACCTGGGCTGGGAGGAAGATATGCAGGACGGTATAATACTCCACGAAATTGCTTCGCACAAGCTTGTCAACAAGAATCACCAGCTTACTGAAGAAGGCATGTTATCTTGTCGTACTAGTGCGGGTCATACTGACCCAAACGCAGAGTGGACTGCGATGCGCAGGCCTTTGCTGAAGATGTTGCCCAAACTGAGCCAGGAGCGTTTGGAGGAAGAACGGGGTATCACATTGGCGGAACGTTACAGGATTCTCGAAGAGGTGCAAGATGGCCGCCTTCGCCGCAAAACTCATTTGGAGCAATGCTTCATGCCCGGTATGGGCGATCTGGCGGACGTCAAGGAAGTCATAGACTTTCTCGAAGGCACGTTGCTCAAGCAGAAGCTCACCAAGGAAGATATGCAAGCCCTCATCGACTCCATCCCTCAAGCGCACTGGGATACATGGAATGCCTCGCGCGAGGCTGCCCTGTTGGACATGCTCAACGAAGCAGACACGCTACGCAAGACGCCGGCGAGCGCGAACGATCTTCAGCTTGCGACGACGGTGTTCACATTTGTCAAGTACAGCCCCGAATACTTCACCTACCCCGAGGTGCTGGCTTATCATCACTGGGTGTACTTGGAGCATAAGAGGGCACCGCTGAACCGGGCTGCTTGGTCGACTGCGAGACTGAGCGTCGATGCCGAACGCCAGCGCTTCGCGGCGAAGGTTGTCAAGCTGGCCGGATTGGACCCTAAGACGGCGACGAGCGCGGATATGGACGCCCGCGACGTGTGGTTCGCGTCCGCGAAAAATGTGAAGGCGTGCCATCAGCCATTGAAAGCCTTGCCGTGGAGACTTGCGGTGCGTTCTCGCCTGACATGTCCTTAGGAAGTTGGGCTGATGTTACAGCAGATTGGGTTGGACGGCGAGGGTGATATTGTGAAGCTACCCGTCAAACGCATCGCGCAAGCCCGGGAGGTACGTGCACGGAATAGTAACGATTCTCCGATGACATGCGTTACGATCGCCAGAGGGAAATAGACTTGAGGGTGGGGCGAACAATACCGTAAACCTCGTCGTACTTGTGCTTAATAAACAGAGGCCCAGTGCAAGCATGGATCGTGGCTCGTACTCATACCTTTCTGATCTGGTTTTGGCTACCGACATATCTGCGTCCCAAAGAGTACGAGGCAAGTTGATTATTTAGAGGGGCGACAATGACATCACATCGGCGTACTGGTCGACGATTGAGGTCAGAATGGTGTAGACGCCCCTTCACCTTCGACCATCACAACACCTCTATCCCCATGTCCACCCTCACCTTACGGGCTGCATCTGCAGTCAGGCCGCATATCATCAACATTGCCCCCACCGGCCCTTTCCCCAATTCCGGCCCTTCAAAGCTCCCTGCCGTATTCTACCACCCCTTCAACAACATCAAGGGCGAAGAAAGGGAAGTGGCTAGCAATGGCGATGGCGCTTTGGAAGCGTGTGAGGGAAAGGCTTTACCTCTGAACCCCTCCGATATTGAGCGCCTTGTCTCGACGAATGGCTTCGAGCCATCATGGCGCTACGGCATGTTCCCTTTCGACCACTTCCACTCGAAGTGAGTCAATCTCATCGTTGAAAAAGCCTGAATTCAGCAACACACCCGGGCCAGCGTCCACGAACTCCTCGTCTCCTACACAGGACATGCGACACTCATGCTCGGCACCACGACCAAGCTGCGCGTGCAGCCTGGCGACGTACTGCTGCTGCCTGCAGGCATGGCGCACCGCTGCATCGAGTCTTCACCGGACTACTGCATGGTCGGGTCCTACCCCAAAGGTGCGGAACAATGGGATACATGCAGAGGCGGGGAAAGGTGGGTAGAGGAGAAGATAAAGGCGTTGGGAAAGGGCGGTGTATCTGTGGACTCCATCTATGGCGAGAGAGATGGAACTCCAGTTGGAGAGGCATGGAATCTCTATAATCAGTAGTGAGAGAACAGCGTGCTTCAGAACAGAACAAAGGAAGAGAAAAGGGATCAACGAGAACACTGTTCGACTAGGACAGGAGGCTCAGCAAGTACCACACGCACCTTGAGCATCCCGAACAGGGGCGCTGACTGAGCAACCCGCCTTCCCCCCGGACGCCATCCGCCGCACCGCGCACAGGGAACCAAGCCCTCCCATTCATCTTGCGCACTGAGTCCATTATTCCTGCGCACTGACAGACGGATAAATTATAACCGCGGGGCGACTTACCTCTGCTGAGCATAACCACTCAGATGCAGGCACATTTACCAACCAATCAAGCCCAAATATGTCCACAATAGCCGCGCACACGACGGTGCGCAATGGGTCCGGCACCAGGACATGGAAGCGACCCATTGTACTGCATGCATCTGCTGAGCAATCCAGGGGTCGGTGGTGAGTCTGCATTGACATGTTGATCGTCGAGGAGGTCAGATGCGCCTTCGAGGACGGTGGCACCTTCAGGGTGTCCACTGGGAAGTGCGACTCATGGCGCTGGACGGTTGGCATCCGTGGGGCTGCCACCTGCCATGGGTGCGACGCACAACGAATACCGCTGGAAGGTATTGCGCGCCAGGAAGAGTGCCATATATAAGAAGACTGGAGTCGGCGGAAAGAACTAACTCAGCACAGGCTCATCGACCTCTGAACAATTCCCAACCCTCACCCAATCCAATCGATACTCGACATGTTCGTCCTTGTCCTTGGGTGAGCGATGTCAGCCTGGGTGATCTACGACTTCTTGACGTGGTCGTAAAAGTGCTTCTGGCTTCATTGGTTTCCCTGCCGCGCAGGCGCTCGCCCGCGCTGGCCACAACGTCTACGGGCAGACGCGCTCGACCGAGAAAGCCGCCCAGCTCACCAAGGAAGAGAGTGAGTCGCCATTGCCATCAATTCACTCACCATCCATGTCTCCTAACCCCCCTCGCCCCAGTCACCCCGATCGTCTGCGCCCCCGACTCCGACGGCTGGCACTACCTGATCCCCAAGCTCGACGTGGTCATCGACGCCGTTGGCGGCATGAATGTGCGCGCGCTCGACGAGGCCGTGATCTCCGCTACCAGTGCCGCCGCCGCGCGCCTCCGCCCCGCCGGCGCCCCCAAGCTCGCTTTCGTCTACACCTCCGGCGGCTGGGTGCACGGCGACAGCCGCACCGAGATCGTCAGCGATACCACCCCGCTCGCAGCCCCGCACCCCTTCGTCGCGTGGCGCCCCGCGCTCGAGCAGAGGGTGCGGGAGGAGAAGGTGCTCAACGGGATCGTCGTGCGCCCGGGGCTGCTGTACGGGAAGGCGGGCTCCTTGACGGAGGGGTTGTTCAAGAGCGCGAAGGCGGGGAAGGCGGTATGGCCGGGGAAGCCTGGGGGCAAGCTCTCACTCATCCACACCGACGATCTGGCGGACCTGTACGTGCGTGTGGCGGAGCGCGCGCCGGTTCTCGGGGGTCTCGTTTTCGACGCGGCGAACGGGGTCGCGGAGTCGACGGATGCGATTCTGGAGAGGCTGGTCGCTGTAAGCGGCGCCAACGGATACGAGTTCAAGGAGCCTACCAATCGTGAGTGCGAGGCAATTCAGGAGAGATGCTGAACTGACATACAAAACAGCGTTCGAGGAGGCCGTTGCAGCATCCGTCGTCACTCGTCCCTACCTTGCGCGCTCCCTGCTGGGTTGGGTCCCGAAGAAGGCTGGCCTGACGGATAACATGGAAGTGTACTATAATGCCAGCGTCGCATAAGTAGCGGTCAAATTTACCCGTCAATTAGTACGGTCATGTTTATCTTCCTGTATTATGCACCCTGGTCGTTGCAATTAAGCAATCATCCGGTCAATTCATCCATGTTGGCGTGCTTGTCTGGAATTGCGAGAGTGCGACACCCTTGCCTTCCTTCTGGCTTGCTGCATCGAATGACAGAGCACGTCCTTCGCCTGGTGTTTTGCTTGTACTGTCTCGATTGTGGGTCAAGGAGAGAGAAGGCTTTCCAAATGAGCTTCAACTCCGCGCGCGAGAGGAGAGCATGGATGTGTGTAATTACGATGGAAAGTGTCTAAGGGTACACTGTAGCGTGTCAGACGCTGTTGTTTTCCGAGAGTAATGGTGCGACGTACTGCTATCCTTCTGCATCAACGCCCAGGATGAATGGACCAATCCAACCCACGGCTATGCTGATGCCTGGGCAGTCGACTGCTGCGCCTGCTGTAGTGCTGCCTGCTGCTGAGCTGCTTGCTGCTCGAGTAGCGCTCGTCGTATCTTCGACTCCGTCTCTGGGCTCTTGACGACCTTCTCGAGCGTGAAGCGCTTTCGTGCCGAGAGTGGGCGACAGTTGCGGATGATAACTTCGTCGTCCTTCTGGAGAACTGGGCGAGGATTGGGGTCAAAAGGGTCCCCTGGATTTACACTCTGTGGCGCACCATTGTTCTCATCGTGCGTCAACAGCTTCTTCTTCTTGACTACCATCTACGGGAGTCTGTAAGTTCGCTGACCGTACCAATGAACGCGCCGCACGTACCTTGCCCGTAAGTTGGTGTCGGACCCAGCGCGACACGGTAACCGTCGCCGTCTTGTTCATGACACCGGACTTAGTCACGACACCGCGGAAAGCCATGGCCGGCATGCTGGGCAGAATAAGGAGGGGACGGAGGTTCGTCGAGGTATGTCGGGAACGGAGGTGAAGGCGCGGAGGATTCTGTGATCGAGGAATATCCGGCCCGCATGAATTCTTCCCACGCCCCACTTTTCCTCTCCCCTTCACCTTCATCAAAATGCGTGTTGAGAAGTGTTATTTCTGCTCGACGAATGTGTATCCGGGACATGGTAAGCTTGGGATGTGATTGCTGACATAGAGAATGCTGACCTCGACTAGGTTCTGCGTTTGTGAGGAACGACGCCAAAGTCTTCCGCTTCTGCACATCAAAGTGCGTTCCCCATTCCCTCCTTGCTTACACACCCTTCTGACGGTCCAGTAGATGTCACAAGAACTTCAAGTATGAGAGCTCATACACCCATCACTCTATACATTTTAACATGATCTCAGGATGAAGCGCAATCCCCGTAAAGTGCGGTGGACGAAGGCGTTCAGGAAGGCGGCGGGCAAGGAGATGACCGTGGTGCGTAGCCTTATCCTCTCCTTTCCGCCATTATCACTCATCTATGACCCCTCAGGACTCAACGATCGACTTCGAGAAGCGCCGCAACGTCCCCGTCCGCTACGATCGCGAGCTCGTCCAGACCACGATCAAGGCCATGAAGCGCGTCGGCGAGATCAAGCAGAAGCGCGAGCACGCCTTCTGGAAGAATCGGTACGTCCCCCCCTTCCCCGGTCTTGAACCCGCTTCCTGATCACATCTCTCCCTCCAGCATGGCCGTCGCCCGCGAAAAGCAGAAGGCGCACCGCGTCAAGACGAAGGAGGCGCTCAAGGCGAAGGCCTCTGCAAAATTGGTCGAGCCGATGGCTGGCGTCGAGTCCACGTCCCCCATTCGCGAAAAGATCAAGGTTCCTGTCAAGAAGAGCCGGAGCGCACTCGTGCCCGGAGGCGGGCAGTCCATGGGGATGGACGTGGACTGATCGTCTTGAGCGTATGCTCCGCTTCGTTGTTCACTCACTCACTTGCTTTACATGTCACTACCCCGTCCTCCATCATGGTTGTAATACATAGGATCCGTGTATCTATTAGTACAGGTTGTGCAGGCAGAACGCGTCATGATAGTTCGTCAGTCGGGCCCAAGGTAAACACTCCCCGTCCTTCCCTTAGCTAACTCTCCTCCTCTCTACTTCCTCCCCGTCCACCCCTCACCGCGACTTATACTTCGCCTCATTATCCATCCTCACCTCCGGGTCCAGCGTATTATGCAACCCCAGCAGCGTCTTGCTCACCGCCTCGCTCGCCCCAATCATCGGCTTCAGCACCGCGATTGGCACCGCGCGAATCACGGGCCGCACCGCGCCCTCGCTCCCCGAGCGCTCGTACATCTCCATCGGCACCGCGAGGATCGTCTGCGCTGCGGAGTGCAGGTTCCGGGACAGGCTCCGGTAGGCGCTCTGGACGCCCGCCCGTACGCCCTCGGGCTGCTCTGCGTACTTGCTGATGTGCTCCTCGTCCTCGTCGGAGGAGCTGCCTGCGAGGTCCTCGGGGGAGACGCCGGCGGGAACTTCGGCAGTGACGAAGGAGTCGGACATGCCGCCGCCACCCATGGTGACGCCCCGCCCGCCGAGGACGCCCTCGGCCTGCTCGAGGATGACCTGCGTGCCCGTGGCGAGCCGTGCGCCGAGCTTGATAGCCTCGATGGCGGTGCTCTTGACGAAGGCGGTCGTCCCGCGCTGCACGCCGCGCACGATCCGGCCGTCCTTCTTGTACTGCGCGATGGGCAGCAGGACGAGGTCCGCAACGCCAGAGCCGACGTTGACCATCGAGCGGATGGGCGCAACGCCGGATATGACGTCCACGAGCTGCGTTGCCTTCACGTCGGGCGTCCAGAGGTCGTTTAGCGTGTCGCCGAGGCGTGCCCATCCGGTTATGCCGTGCAGCGTGAGGTGGCGGAGCGTCATCTCGGCGCCGTCGAAGTGGAAGAAATTCATGAGCTCAATGGTGCGACCCTCGCGTAGCGCGCGGTAGTCGACGCGACGGGGCTTGTAATCCAGCTTGAGGTCTACAGGGAAGATCTCGGCGTGCTCTGAGGGGGGTAATGAGCAAATGCACGCATGCAAAATTTGACTGACTCACGGAAGTAGGTCTGGTCACCCTCGCCATCATCATCGGCAGTTGATTCGGGCGCATCGGAGTCCTTAAAGCTGAAGAAATGTTTCAAGAAGTCGAGCGCATCCTGGTCGACATGCAGCCGCAGCGGCAAGATCTTGGCCTACGCAAAGTCAGCAAGCACATGCAGTCTTTCAACATCGCATACTCACCCTCAACCTCGCTTCCTCCGCCGAGTTTCCCTTCACCGGCTGAACCATACGCAGCTCAATCCGCACCATATTCGAGTCCGTCTCCCGCACATTACCCCTCGCATCCGACCTGAGCTCCGTCAAGAACTTCTTCCACGTCGACGTCTTGATGTGGTCCAGGATCTCCAGGTCGCGCACCGTCGCAAACGTGCGCGACACCATGTCCTCTCCAGGCCTAAACTGGTCGACGTCCGCGTGCACGCCTTGAAGCCGGAATTCAATGGACGGGCCCTTCGCACGCGTGAGACGCTTGCCGTGGACGCGCACTGACTTCTGTTTCGGCTTTCCGGAAGGACCAGGCGCACGAAGGGATTGCCACGAGCTTTGGCTGGCGGTCTCCGGGTCCTCACGGAGCTCTTCGTCAATGGCGGCGATGAGTGCGCCAGGCTCGAGCGCGTCAAAGTCTTCGTCAAGGCCGATATGAACTGAGTTGAAGAGCACGGCGCTGACGTCGTCGGAGTCAGTCTCCTGCGTCTGCCCGTTGGCGACAAGCTGGCGAATTTTCGCAAGCCGCTTGCGCATCTCCTTGACCTCCTGCTCGATGGTCTTACGAGTTCGCGCCCAGTCGTAGCCATCGTATAGGAACAGGGTAATGTCGCCTTCGCGAATGCGGACACGCAGGGTCGTGGCACCTAGGCTGTCGATTGACTGGATTAAATTTGTGGAAAGGATCAAAGCATACAGACGTACTCGGATGACTGCGTTTGCGACTCCGGAGGCAGGGTGTCGAAGTAGTTCTCCACGATATTGATCCCTTCGGGTCGCAGCATCTTGATGGTTTCGCCACCTGCTCTGGCTATGACACCTGCTTGCGAGCCCGTAGGTGCATAGACCGGGATCTCCTCGCCCTCGTCGTCGAAGTCCTCGAGGTCATCATCGCGAAGCTCTCGGAATCCAGCGGCTGCGCCAAAGGATTCATCCAGATAGTCAGGATTGGTCGGAAGGTCATCCGCGATAAGATCAGGAGCAGGACCTAGTTCGGGCACCCGTCGATAAACCTGTTCGTCGACTAGAGCACATCAATATCTGGAGACGGCGTAGGAAAGATGTGAGCGTACTCGCAAGTGCAGACTTGCTCAAGGTTTGCTCTCCAACCATGCTCGGACGCGCCCTGACCTTCGGTGGCTTCTCAGCTTCTGGTGGCTTGAACTGCGCGGCTAAGTCTTGGAAGAAGGCACCCATCGCTGCTCCTGTATCCGCGCACAAGTGAAGCCTTAAGCCAATCCGCTCGATCATAACCTGGGCCTCCGTGAGCTTTTAACATAGCCCATCTGTATCCCTACGTACCCTGACGTCGGGGAGGCCATCAACGGTCTGAGTTGAGACGGTCAAGGCGAGGTCCCCCAGTTCCGCGATGAGGGCGTATCCAGCAGCCTAATGCCAGGATAAGTCCTGGAACATGACAAAGTAATCAAGGAAATATACCTTCCAATGCACAACGCCTCCCTGCTGATAGTGATTCTCAGACGCGTCTGCCAGGTCGTCCAGCAAGAAGAAAGCAAGGGCCGGCACGGCCAGATTGAAAGAAAACTCCGGCGAGTCTACGATCTCCGTGGAGAACTCCAAGTCTCCAAGGTGGACGACTGCTGCACCGGGATGTTTGGGACCAAGCAGTCGCAATGAGCCGTCGAGGATCTGGACAGACACCCGTGTGCGCTCGCTCGGAGGGACAGATTCAAAAGCCTGCATTGGTGGTCATTACAAAGGCATGCAGGTCACGAAAGACTCGGACTTACTCCTGGAGGTGCTTTGACAAACCTGCCGAGGTCCAGGGCCCACTGATACTCAGGGTGCGCATTGCACGTGAAGCCAAACAAATTCAGCTTGATGCGAGACTCCTTTGCACCAGTACCCGGTAGTGCTGCAGAGACGAATCGTAGATTGAGCATGGCGCGCGGTGCCTTATCCTGCGATAGTTCAGTGTTCGGCGATGGGATCTAATCATCAAGGATAATCGCATACCAGGCTTCGTGGACTTGTCATGTTCAAGAGCGAGTCCATCGCCCCTGTTGACGTGGTGTTCATGATGGCCAGCTCCATGAGGTTGACGGTGATCACGGTTTCGTCCTGAAAACAATCAGCATGCAATCGAGGTAAGCTTGTTTGTAGCATACCTTGCCCTCCGGCTTGACCTCTAACAAGACGTCCGCGTCAGAGACCTTCAAGTCGAACGGTCTTGCGCTCTCCAGCCGGCTCTCTTCTCTCGGGACCATCAAACGCACGAAAGCTACGAAAGAAGGTTAGTAACGCTTCAACACAGTTCATGCACAAAGTCACCTTCCGACATATTGAGCTTCACCACAAACTCGCTGCTTGAACTGCTGGATGCTCTATCCGTCGTGCTCGTCGCCCTCGAACCGCCGGCAAAGAAGTCGCTCCCAATCATGCTCCCGGCCTCGGTTCTGGCCTCATCCTTGCTGCCAAGTGTGCGGTCGAGGAATTGCGTCACGTCGTCCGCTAGGTACTGCAATCCATCTACCGAAGGCTTCGTTGCGTGGATGTACGCCGATGGTATATCGACCGTCAGGAGGGACCGCCCACTTTCGGCTTTTCCAAATGATATTCGGGGGCATAACGCAGGTGGACCTTCGTCTGCTTCGAAGCCCGAGGCCTGCTCGCCGGTGGGAGAAGATGCTAAGGGTCCCAGTGACAAGACGGATACGACCTTAGCATCTTGAGCGTATGTCGTCCCCACGAGAATTCGGCGACACTTTGCGCTCAAGAAAGCGTCTAGAGGTGGCGTAACCGACGTCGATGTGGCAAATCGCGCGCCCGTGGCCCGAGGAGCGTCGTCGCGATTTGAAAGGCCCACATCGTGCAAATCGAGTACCAGTGTCCCAGAGCGCGGCTGCTTTCCTGGCGGTGGTGGGCACCGTACGTGGACGCGGATGAGAGGCAACCTCACGGAAGCATTGAGGGGTGGCTCGGGCTATCACTCGAGGTCAGCACTGGGTCAATGTAGGTGAAGCTCATCTCGCGTACCTTTCTCTTCCGTTTCATAGACTTCCGCGTCTTCGGCGGCTCAGGGCGGCGCAGTCCATAATCCATCCCTAGATCCAAATCATCCAGCACCATCTTCTCCAACCTCCGCCTCTCCCGTTCGCGCTCCGATACAGCAGGCGCAGGCTTCGGCGTCGCTGGAGGCGTCTCCCCGTCCGAGTCGGACCCGTACCCTGCCTCGCCAGTTGCAGGTCGCGGCGAAGGAGTCGAAGAAGACATCTCCTCGACAAACTTCGTGATCGAATCCAAATGCAGGGCGTCCAGGTCGACGAAGAGCGACAACGGCGCGAAGGTGACGGCGACATTGCTATCGTTCTTCGCCTGCTTCTCCTTCGCGCCCAGCTGCAGAGATGCGCGCGCCATAATCGCAGAAACCTTGATGCCTTCAACCGCCTGCTTGTTCTTGTTCTTCGTCCGCCACGCCGATACGCGTGGCCCAGCATTGATCGGCCAGTTCGGCACCTCAAATATCGGCAACTCTGGTACGGCGCCAGATTGAGGGTGAATGTGGGCGGATGAGTACTGTGCAGTAGCATTTGGGTCCACGATGAGGATGGGTCGTGCCTGTTGTTCGCCTGTCATCGATGGGATGAAGGAGAATACGGACATATCCGACAAAGTGAGCGACGACGAGACAGACTTCGTGTCGATGGCCGCGGAAGCCTTGAGCGTGTCGAGGTGGAGGCGTAGGAAGCCATGGGGGAGAGATGGAGGAACCAAGGGCTTGGCGTGGAATGCGTCCAATGGTGCAGGGCCGCTAGGTAGGACCAAGAGCACTACGCCCCTCATCTCGAACTGCACTGCGATGCTTGGGAACAGAGGAGACGCTGCCGCCTTGGAGGATGACGCCGGCGCTGTTGTGGGTGCAGGAGGTGGAGATGGAGGGTGGTACGATGCCCATCGCGCCGCGCATTCTGTGATCCCACAAATCTGCCAGGCTCGGATGGCGCACGAGAGAAGACCGATTGATATCGACAACTGAAGCACCTGAGGCCCATTCTCCGTAGGCGGAGGCGTTGTCAATGTCAAGCAGATAGGTTCGGAATCGAAGCTAAGGATGGTCTCTTCTGCCGCATTGTACGAGGGTGCTGCAGGGGATTCTGCTGCAGGTGGCTCAACCTCAGCTCTGCCGGCAGGTTCTGGGACACGACCTGCGGGAAGTTCGGGTGCGAATTCGGTCTCTTCCGCTGATGGCGGCTCGTCTCTGTCGGCAGTGGACACTGCGCTCTGGTACATGCTACTCGCCACCGAGCTTGCTGGAGATGCCGGCCGTGGGGGCAGAAAGGCGAGCGACTGGGACATCATCATCTGCGTATCGTCATCCAGGGACGATGATGAGGATGCAGGTGAAGGGGAGCGTCGTCGATATAGGGAAGACGTAGGCGTACCCGAAGCCGTCGCAGGTCCTCGCAATGGCGGGGGCGGAGGTTGGAGATCGCGCACGCTGACGGACATACCCCGTATAGTCAATGTCCGTGACTGCCCTGAGGGTGCTCCCTCCTCGATGGGTGCTTGCTCCTCGGTGCGATACCGTATTTCGGGAACTGTGAGCGTGAACGCGGTATGCTCGGGTAGGACAAGCGATATCTGGACATTGGTAGCATCGAATTCGAAGCGCGCTAGCAAGCGCTCGATGAGCGATGCGAATATAGATACGCCGGCAGGGTCGTTGTCTGGGTGCACTTCCTCTTCCTCCTCCGGCGCGGACAAGAATGGATCAAACCCTCCAGGCAAGTCGTGATCAAGGTCTGGTGCATCCTGGTGGAATGATTGACGGAGGAGGGCCTCTTCGCGTGCGTTCAGTTCTTCATGGATGAAGGACTCCGCTACTGAGACCACAGAGTCTGCCAGGTTCGGAGGTTCCTGAGGTGCTGACGGAGGTCGGAAATGGAATGTGAGATGCAGTGAATCCAGTGAGAGTCCAAGTGTTGAGGTAAGTGGGTTAGGCCAAGGTATGCGAGCAGACACCTTCGCAAGAGATCCCCCTTGCAGTTCGATGGGTAAGCCCCCAATAAGCCCGTTGATTGCCTGTGGCGCTACTTCAGCACAGTGACCGTGGAACCTTGCAAGCAACGCACCTCATTATCCAGCTCCAGATCATTTACATGGACGTATCCCGAGCCAATCTGAGACTCGATCTGGTGTGCATCGAGTTGACCAGGCTTCAAGAAGTGCCCGAGCGACTTCTTGAGTACGAACGAGATGAACCGTTGCTGGATACTGCTCGTCGGCAGAGCGAAGTTGAGGGACGGGATCTCAGGCAGCCAGGAAGTGATCCATGAAGTCATATGTCCCGCTGGTCGTTGGACACGTCGAGGACGGCACACAACGTGTGGGAAGGATGCAAGGCGCGTAATGATTCCGCGCCCCCGCGCCATCATCTCCTCGCGAACACGTGAGCTCTCATAATCAGGCTGCGCCTTGCGTCCTACCATCACCACCATAGATCGCCCATACTGTCGCACCCTCGGAGAAGCCTTGCAAGTGTGAGTCTTTCCTCGATATTGTATAAACAAGACGATTGAACATCCAAAAGCCAAGATATATATGCAATACCATGAAGAACCTATGTTTATTGAGGGATGCAGGTCATGATCAACATCCATTTACGCGACGCTCGCATCGTAGTACACCTCAAGATTATCCGTCAACCCAGCTTTCTTCGGAACCCATCCCAACAGAGAACGCGCCAGGTAAGGGCGGATGATGGCAGACGACGCGATGGCCTGCTCGAAGGCTGCGAATACTGTAAGCACAATCGTCCTCTCAGTAATCCTGAGCACTCACGGTTCGTAGGCTCCTTGAATTCGTACCCGCTGGCCCCGCTCACGGCTACCAGCCTTTCCAGAAGTGCGTCCGTTGACTCCGCGATCCCGTTTGCTGCGTCAAAGACCAAGCCTCCGAGAACCGGCGCGCGCTCCGCCAGGCGCACGTACAGGTCCGCCAGGTCGTCGCAGTGAATGAGTGGCAGCTTGCCTCCAGGCGTCCCCGGCCAGATGGCCTTTCCCGCCTTTGCGCTCGCAAACAGCGCCTCCGTCAGCGAGCCCTTCTTCCCGTACAGCAGCGCCGGGCGCACGACGATGCCGTTCAGCACCTTGTCCTCCTGCACCAGCCGCTCGACGGCGGGACGCCATGCGACGAGTGCCTGCGGGGACGCGAGTGGCGTCGTGTCGCTGACAATCTCAGTGCGGCTGTCGCCGTGCACCCAGGTGCCGGAGGTGTAGATGTAAGAGAGCTTGGGGGCGCCGGCGGGGCGGAGGCGCGTAGCGGCGGCTCTAGTGGACGAGAGCATCGCCTGCGAGAGCGTGCGGACGTCCATGCCGCCAACGGCGTCGATGACGACGTCGAGCTTGGGGATCAGGTGGTGCCAGCCGTCGGAGTCGGGAGCGCAGACGATGGGGGTGACTGGGAAGTGGATGTTAGGCTGAGTACGAGTGGGAAGCGAAGGACGGTTGACAGCGACGGCTTACTCTCTTCTTTAGCCAGCAGGGTCGCTTTATCGCTCGAGCGCGTCTGACCGTAAACGTTATGGCCCGCGCGGGCGAGCGCTTGAGCGGCAGGGAAGCCGATGAAGCCAGAAGCACTGTCATGACCCAGTCAAGAGGATGTCGACATTTGCGAACGAGAAGCCCTTACCCAAGGACAAGGACGAACATGTCGATTATCGGTTTGCTGGTTGTTGGTTGTACGTTGGGGGAGGTTCAAGAGATGTAGGCCCTAGAAGCCGTATGCTCTGAGCTGAGTCCCCAACCTGCACAACCTTATATACATCGTCCTCAATTGTGGGTGGCGTGTCCTGGACCTGCTTGCGCGTCGGACTCGCAGTCCTACGGCTGCCACCCGTCCAGCCTCATGAGCTGCGTCCTTCCCCGGCACGCCCTTCGCTGCGCCCTCTGCCACCCAGCCCCGAGTCTGCAGGCACATACACCCGCTCGCAGCCCCTTCGCAGCAGCCTCAGACTACGGCCAATCGCAATCAACAATGCCATTATTCAGCCACGCACGGAGCCCAGTGGGTCGCCATTCATGCCGGACCCACACGCGTCTATTGTGGACGGATTTGGGACAGGATTGGTAAAGGTGTCAATTGGGTCTACGTGTCTATGCTCAGCAGAAGTAGACGAATGTAAGCAGGTCGTACCTCAGTTGGCACCTAACCGAGGAGAAGCAGCGCTTAGAACGTATGAACGTCGTGGTCGCACGCGCGCGGTGCAGCGGAAGGCGTCCGAGATGAGTCAGCGTCCTTCGGCGCTAAGACGTCCAGACGCGGAAGGTATTGATCTTTTCATTCTCACGACCACACTAGAGTGATCAATGTTCATCTGGCATTGACTGACTTGCGTATGCGCCTGTAGTAATCTAACAATATCCCTTAAATTCTACGACCCCTCCCCATTTCCAGCTTCAGATTACTCGCCTCTCGCCATAGACTGAATATACTGACTAGATCATTCTACCTGAGAAGGCGTTCGACTAGTTAATGCTGCTCGCAGCTTTGGCACCCACAATACCAGCGATCACGCTCAGACGATGGATGAGAGAAAGTAGTTGAATCATCTTATTCCTTCCAAGTGACATAAAGGCACGACCGAACCTCTACCCTACGAAAACAAACCACGACGGCACTCTGCGCTAGGCACCGCGTGATAAAAGTACACAGAAAATCGGTGAGTACAGGCGATGACCAGGTCGTCGATGATCAACTCGCGGACACATGCAGACACATACACGGGGGACGGAATACTGGTACAGGTAAGCCAAAAGAGTGGAAGGGGATGCGCCGCACGCTCGCGAGCGTCGACATCCGGGACGGTACCCTAGACGGGTTGCTCAAGCCTCCTTGGTCACGAACTCCTGGAGGACGGAGAGCGCCTCGTTGACCTTGCCGGCCATGGCATCGGGCGAGTCGAGCAGGGACAGGAGCTCGGCGTTGTCCATCTCGAGGAGCATGCCGGTGATCTTGCCGGCCAGGTCGGGGTGCGACGCAGCGATGCGCATGTAGATGACCTCGCCGAGCATCTGCTTCTGCTCCATGGGCGACACAGCAGCAAGCTGGGCGGCGGTGAGGGTCGGGACCTGGGGCGCAGCCGCCGCGGGCGGGACGGCACCCGGCGGGGGAGGCGGGCGAGCGGCGGCAGCGGGGGGCGGGCCACCGCGACCAGCGGGGACGCCGCGGGCAGGGGGACCGCCACGGCCGCGAGGAGCACCGCGACCACCACCGGGGTACATGCCGCCATACCCCTGCGGGGGAGGAGCCTGGCCGTAGGGCGCAGGGATGGGCATGCCCGCTACCTGGCCGTTGGCCGGCGCAGGAGGGTAGCGGGGGCGCGGGGGCATCATACCCGGCTGGCCGTACATCATGCCACGGCCTTGAGGAGGGTAACCGGGGCCAGGAGGGTAGTACATCGGGCCGTTCATGTAACCGGGCATGCCTCCAGCGGCAGCCTGGTGCATGATCTGGTTACGCTGGGCAATCTGGCTCTCGAGCTGCTGACGGCGGACCTCGCGGCGCTGGGCGTGCGAGACGTAGAGGGGCTTGCTGCCGATCATCTTGTTGTTCATCTCCGCGACAGCCTTGCTGGCCTCTTCAGGCGACGAGTAGCAGACGAAGCCGAAGCCCTTCGAGACACCCTTGTCGTCGCGCATGACCTTGGCGCTGGTGATGGTGCCAAACGGCTCGAACTCGGCACGAAGCTTCTCATCGTCGACATCATCGTCGAGGTTCTTGACGTAGAGGTTCAAGCCCTGGTACTTGCTGAGCTTCTCGAGGCGAGCCTGCTCATGGGCCTTGCGCAGCTCCTCCTCGCGCTCGGCCTTCTTCTGCGCACGCGAGACGAAGAGCTTCCTGCCGTGGAAGTCCTTGTCGTTCAAGTTGTCGACGGCCTTCTGCGCCTCTTCGTGCGTCTCGTAGTTGACGAAGCCGAAGCCCCTGCTTCTGCCCTCCTCGTCACGCTGGATGACGGAGGAGGTCACGTTGCCCTGCTCCCTGAAGAGGGCCTCAAACTCCTCGTCGGTGACCTCCGGGTCAATGTTCTTGATGTACAGGTTGGTGAACTGAGCCTTCATCTCGTCAATCTTGGACTGACGCTCCTGTATACATGTGTCAGAGTGGATATATGCGCCTCAAAGCGACTGACAAACCTTGCGGGAGATGTGATGACCGACGTAGACCTTCTTGTCGTTCAAGAGCATGCCGTTGACATTCTTGATGGCGTTCTCGGCTGCCTCGGCGGTCTCGTAGTGAACGAATCCGTAGCCCTTGGAGTTGCCGTGCTCGTCGGTCGCGACCTTGCAGGAAAGGACGTTGCCGAAAGCAGCGAACGTGTCATGAAGGGCCTTGTTGTCGATCTGTTCGTCAAGGTTCTTGATGAAGATGTTGCCCTGGCCAGTCTTGCGCAGGGCAGGGTCCCGCTGGGACCACATAATGCGGCTTCAATGATCATTAGATGATTTTTGCCGCGGAGTGATGGATATGTGGCTCACCAGGGACGGTTCTTGATGAGGGAGTAGTTGAGCTGCTCGAGAGCGCGCTCACCATCGGCGGCGTTCAGGTAGTTGACGTACGCGTAGCCAAGGGAGCGGCGCGTAACAGCGTCACGGCACACGCGGATGCTGCGGAGAGTGAGTGGCGGGCTGGTTTCTGGCAACGGCGAACACGCACCTCGCCACGGGGCCGATCATATTGAAGATCTCGAAGAGCATGGCCTCCGTCACGGTCGGGTCGAGCTCACCCACATAGAGACTGGCTGAGGGGGGAGAGCCAGCTCCAGTGCTGACAGGAGCAGAGTAGGCGGGGGCCGCCGGGGCGGGAGCGGGGGCAGGGGCGGGCGCAGCTGCCTCTGGGGCAACGGCGGCGGGAGGGGCTTCAGCGACAACGGACATATCGATGGTTGTTTTCGAAGGGAATTTAGTGTTTTCTGGTCGTTACTGCTTTATGGACTTTTCTGGGACTGTGGCGATGGTGGTCAGCGCTCGAGTGGCGGATTTAGGTTGTGAAAGGGCTCACAGAAAGACGAGATCAACCACCGAAATATAAAATTTGGGCTTTTATATCTTTTTGGCTACGAGACACGAGGAGAGTCAGTACAAGGGGAAGACGCGAGCAGGAGTGGGTGGCGAACCTTTTTGAGATGAGGGTTGGAGATAAGATGAGATGATGGGCAGCTCACTTTGTGTTTTCTCCGGCAATTGCCTTTCGGAGTTTGAACAAATCGGCTGACTAAGCAACGCAGTGACCAGGAAGGGCCCAGCCACGGGCGCTGGGTTCTCTTTTGTTGGATACAAAGGCTTGTGTAGCGCGATAGTGAAGAATATACGCAAGTCCTATGTGATACAACGACTACAGTACTGTAATGTAAGGAATAGATAGCAACATAAACCCGAATTCATTGACCCCAACCACCGCTGCCTCCACCCCATCCTCCTGCACCGCCTGCTTGCTGGAGCATAGCAGCACGCTGGGGATTCATGCCCGGCGGAACCATACCACCAGGTGGCGCAGGTGGCACTGCTCCCCACCCGCCATTGAAGCCGGGAGCAGGCGGCATAGGAGGCGCGCCGAAAGCGTTGGGTGGAGGAGCAGGTCCGCCGGGGAAGGCATTGGGTGGTGGCGGAGGTCTGGGCGTGACGCCGCCGGGGGGTGGAGGTCGAGGTGTTACACCTCCCGCGTAGGGGTTGGGTGTGCGACCGCGGCTTGTCATATGTCCTGGTGTTGCGTGTCCGCGTGCTGGGGTACGACCACCAGCACCAGGGTAGGGTGTCTTGCCACCGTTGGCAAGGTTTTGTGATTCGTGGAGATGACTGAATGTGTATGAGCACGCGGACGACAAAAATACGAGACAGGTACTCACCGGACTTTGAAAGCATCGCAAAGCTCGGAAACACCGACAGCTGCTGCATCAAAGAGATAGTACGCCTCCGGCGCGACACGAACGGGCTGATGATGTGTGTTAGTATGCTCACAAATAATCAAGCAGAGGAGACTCACCCATGACTGCACGGTAGACCCTTTGCTCGCCAAGAAGCAAAGGTTGAAGTGTCCAGGCTTTTTGCGATTCAGCGTGAACCCATACATACTACGCTTTGGGTTTGCTGCCAGCTGCTGTTTGAGGTACAGATCTGCGATGATTCATCAGACATAGCACTAGAGAAGCGGCGCAGTGACTTACGAAGCTCATCCTCGGGGCCCTTCTTGAAGCGTTCATGCGCCATGAGGTCATCGACCCGGCGTGCCATCGCCTGAACATGGTTGACGATGAGCTCGTCGAGGTCGGAGTACACATGGGTAGGGTCGACGATGAGCTGGTTGCTGACGCCCGTCCCAGCAGCGTCTGCGTTGGGTTCCATAACGTCTGCAGAAGAGGTCAGCGATTGTCGAGCTCAGCCATCTCATTCACTCACTGATGTGCTGGTACAGGCCATCGTCAACCTTCCAAGTGACCGCGAGGTGATTCGTGCCCTTCGAGGACGGGCGTATCACGACGTCGCCGCGGTTCTGGTTTTCCAGATACTCCTCCGCCTGCTTGCTGTTGAAGTTGTGGAAGTCCGGGTGCTTGACGACACGGCGCGTCTTCCGCTCCTCGGCCCGCTTCCTGCGCTCCACGATGTCTTTGTCCTTGTCCTCCCGGTTGTCGTCCCAGTGCATGTCGGGCTTGACCTTGCGGAACTGTTCGTCACCAGGGGCCAAGTCCATAGGACGGGTGGACAGCTCGAGCATCAGCGAGTCGTTGGCGATGTCGAACTTGTGCTCAATGACGACGGCGGAGACGATCTGCCCTTTCTGCAGCGCGGCGTCGATTCGCCCAGGGCGATCCGCGGCGTACTCTTCGGTAACATATGCCTCGACTCCGGAGTCTAATCTGAGCGTCGCCTTGCCGGGTTGTATGCGCATGACGGCGGCCGAAACGATAAGACCACGACGCAGCGTCTTGTACGTCTCCCCGCTCAGCATTGTCAGGACATCCCAAGCTTCCAAAAGCGGGAAAGGATCCCGATACTCGCAGAACGGGTTGACGAGCTCGCTGCGAATCATGCCGAGCGTATGCCTCTTGGGTTCGTTGTTCGCCTCGAGCAAGCTGATCGCGAAGTCCACGAGGTTGAGATCGTTGAGCTTGTTCTGCCGGTCCGGTTCCTTCATGAGGACGGAGACGACGTGCGAGGGATGGACGTCGTGGAGATCCTCTTCATCGTACTCAAGAGCGTCGGCAGCCATCTTGCGCGCGAGCTCGTAGTCTTCGGGATGTATACGCGTGTTGTCCAAGGGGTCGCTTGCCAGCTCCTCGTCGACGTCCATCATCTGCGCGCGCTTCTTGGACGCGGACGACGTCATGTCGTTGACGTTGATCCGTAGAAACCCAGCAGCATTCAAGAAGATCCTGGTTGTCAGAAGGCCTTTCTTGATGAACTGCTCCCTGTTGGTCAAGCTTCCGCCCTAAGCGAATGTCAGCGAAAGGCGCTCAGCACCGGCAAACAAGGACGTACCATCGCCGAGATCTTCTTGACCAGAGCTTGCGCTTTACGTGGACCCAGACCGCACACGAACGGTAACAAGTGCTGGTAGTACGGATCCGTCACCGCGCGATTGATATCCACGCCGACTTTATTCGTGACGTCGACCAGCCGGCGCTCGAAGGCGGTCAGCAGCTTCTCCTTAGGCACCTACAACTAGGTGAGTACATCGCCATAAGCGACAGCACGAAAACTTACCCATTGTTGCAAGTCCTCGTCGAGGGTGATGGCCGTAACATCCGAGCCCAACGCCGCAAACTCGTTGAGGGGTCCCTGAGTATAGCGCGCAAGACCCACGCAGTAGCGCGCAATCGTGGGCAACGTCGTGAACTCCTCCGCCGCCCGCCGACTATGCTGATAGATCCGCGCAACATCGTCGGGGACGTACACAACGGGCTTCGGCGCAAGGCCGCCCTGGTTGCTGTACTCCCCCAAGATCTCCTTGATACGCTGCGAGAGCTTCGTGGTCGCCATCGAAAAGCCGCCAATGACGATGACGTCCGGGTTGCGACGCCGTATGAGGTCGACGAACTCGTCGCGGGGCTGCTGGGTGTGGAAGTTCTCCAGCTGAGTGTAGTCCCGCATACGACCCTCTGAGTCGACGAACACGGCGTGGATGGGATCGCGCTGGACGTCCCCCTTGCCCCACGACACAGCGAGAACCGCAGGGACTGCACCCAACGGCGTGTCAGTATCTGTCTGCGACTTCCAAGGCGCGACGTGGATGCGCTGCAAACGACGTCAGACCGAAGTCGTTGGGTCTGAAGAGACACGCACCTCGTACAAAGCCGTCCCACACTTATTCGCCATCGCGTCCTCGATTTCCTCCCGCAGATAGTCGCGCACCCACTTCCGCCCAGCAGGGATGAGGTGCTGCTCGACTGCGTCGTGAACAGCCTGCCGCCGCTCCGCGTTCCACAATTTTGAGGACTCGCCGAACGCATCTGACGTGCAAGCATCGTTGAGCAGGTCCTCAAACTGTTGCTGGGCGAGCGGTGAGAGCGATATGGAAACCGTGACCAAGTGCTCAGATTCAGCGGCGAGGATCTGAAGGAACTGTGGCGTGTCCAAGAACTCGGTAATCGGCTTGTCCAACAGGTACTTGAAGGCCTGGAAAGCGTCTCGATACGTTGCTGTACAGACAAGATGATAGAAGACTCACATAGAAAGGATGCGTCACGTCAATCTTCGTAATACCTCGCTCGGTCGGACTGACGCTGAAGACGGCAGAACTCTTGAAGACGTCGCGAATGGCCTGGCGCAGATTAGGGTCCTTGCCAAGCTCCGTCGACAAGATCAAGCGCGCTTGAGCGAGCAGCTCTTCAGGCGACTTCGCTTTGGTGGGATCGGGGTCGATGTGCTGCTCCGCGTAAGCAAGGGGTGTTTGCTCGAACTCTTCGATGAAGTGCACGGGCTTTCCATCCTTCTTCGACACCGCGTGGAAGTTCTCGACGATCTGGCTGGCAGTGAGGCCAAAGCCCTGCATAGATGTTAGTAATTGGAATGAATAGAGACGGGGTGCACGTACATGCGCGACCCGGCTAGCGATGCTGTTCTTCGCCACCTCGTATGCGGATATTCGACTCGGGCGCTTGTGTTTCTTTGCCTCAATCTGCTCCTCGTTGTCGTCGTGGAAGCGGAAGGTGTCCGCGTCCTGCTTCTTGTCCTTGTACTTCATCATGAGCCACTCGGTTGCGTCGGCGATAGACTCCACGCTCTCCAGTTTCGGGAAGATTTCCGTGTCGTAGTAGTCGTCCTCTACCTTCAAGCGCGCATATGACGCAGTGAGTGACCGCTTCCGTTCTAAGAGTGCGCGGAATTTCTGCCCTAGCGTGTAGATGCGCCATAGATCGTCCAACGACAGCAGCCCGAACATCGCCGCCTCATCCTGATTCGATTCCCTGGCCTTTGCCGCATCGAAGTGGATGATGTGGTCCCGCTTGTGCGTCCAGATGTACGGGACCTCGTAGCCGGACACGAACATCGCGCGAATAGCATACGTGACGGCCATGATCAGCGACCCGGCGAGCTCCCTGTGTTTCGCATACTGGCCGAAATAGGTGTTGTTGATCTCGTTGGAGATGCGCTGGGTGACCCAGAGGGCAGCGGCTTGCACGTCAGACTCGGAAAAGGGCTCCGGCATTATCACCGCAGACGAGCCGGAAAGCCCAGAGGAAGTGAGCTGCATGCGCTCTGGAATGTCTTGAGCGCGAATGAGGTCATCGTCCTCGGTGAGCAGTCTGTTGCGAATTTCTGATGGCTCAAAGACCTGCAAAAGGGAATAAGCTCGAGTTCATGACAGCAATGGTGGGACGCACGTCCTGGTAGCGGGTCTCCGGCTGCTCTGTTGGCTCCGCAATCTCCTCGTCCGCCTCTAGAGCCCAATCATAATCGTCTCCGCCAAATATATCGTGCATCTCGTCGAGGGCGCTTTCATGGATATGTCAGTAGACGGATCGCAACGCCTTGCGCAGAACAACGCACCCAGCGTCGATACCCGCCAGCTGTGGCAATGCGCTCCTGACGCGCCTCCGCCGCTCCGCTTCTTGTCTGCGACGCTCCTCCCTGCGCTCCTGACGCGTTTCCTCGTCCATGGCGCCATCCTCCTCTTCGTCGTAGTCGATGAAGTCGTCGGAGCCGTATTCCTCGTCGTCGTCCCGGCCTCGATCGTCGTCAAAGATAGCTTGCACGTCGCCAGGTTTTGGGAGCGCAATGTCGTCGTCGAGGTCATCGTCCGAATCAATGACGTTCTTGCGTCTGCGCGAGCCAGCGGGAGGGGATTCTGAGTCTCGACCGCGACGGAGGCGAGTCAAATTATTGCGTCGGAAAGACGTGCCCGTATTTTCTTCAAGGAGCTCCAAGTCATCCTCCTCAAGTGCCTCCTCCTCTTCCCCTGCGCCAATCGGTCAATTTGACAAGTCGCGAACAATGAAGAATGGGGACGCACGACGCCTGTGCCGGTGCTTCTTCTTGCGGCGCTTGCTCCGCCGTTCGCGTCGCGCTTCTTCCTCGTCTTCCTCTTCCTCCTCGTCCTCGTCCACAATAAAGCCTTGACGAATTCTCCGTTCCTCTTCCTCGTCGTCTTCCCCTTCTTCCGAGCTGTCATCGTCTGCGCCTGGCATCACAACATCGCCTTCCGCATCTTCGTCTTCAGGGGGCGGCTCCTGCTGTTCTGCGTCCTGCATGGGGACGTCCTCCCCGACAGGTTCCGGTGCATATTCTGCAGGCGGCGGCGAGCTCATGATGGCGGCGGCGAGCAACCTGAACAATGCGAGCCAGTGCCGTCAATGGATGCTGACTAATGCAGCGCCACATATTCCACGTGAGGTTCGGCAACGCCCGTGAATGCTCAGGTTCTCACACCTTCGTCCCTTCCCCGAACCGCTTGTCAGAACCTGGCTTTTGCGTTAACGAGGACTAAAATTGCTCTGTCAGCCATGGAAGCTCATTAGGGTGGTAACTCACATGAGACTTATTCTGCATACAGTGGCGATCTGGCTGTGTTAGAAGGCCTGTCCGGTGCTCCTCACCATACCTAGGGATTCGAGGTCTGGCCCATCATTTACGACGAACTCAACAGTACATGCGTCTCCCTAACGCTTCAGAGGCGCCAAGTTCCCTCTTTCAGAGGGAAACAGACAAACATGGTAAACCAATGTCTGACCATAAGCCTAACCGTCTGAGTGTCAATAATGTGAAGTACCTGGCCGTCTAGATGTGTTTCAAGAACGTATACATGCGTATACCGAGATCCTTCCACTTGTGCCGCGCAACAATCCACATCCACCGTGTTTTCCCACTGCCTAGTCTCTCTTGGCAGTGACCTACTTCAGCTTCAGCGCGATATCTGTTTTCTTATACGAGACTTGATGGGGAGGTTGCGTCGGTGGTTATCGTGCATGTGAGGTATGAGTGTTATAATGTTCAGAATTTTTAGAAACGAAGCTGTAGTGTGTCAAGCCAAAATTGTGCATGCAGTAGCGAGCGGAGGTGTATTGCTCAGATTCTGGTGGAAAAAAGAATGACGGCCATGCTTTCACACCGCGAATCAGCCTAGGGAAAGTTCCAACTGTCTGAGGGGGTATAGTTGGCTTCTATCTACCGCTCTGAACCCTCGGATGGCCATGGAAAGTGATGAGGGAGGATTAGAAAGCGCCACCTACGTCGTTCGAGGAAGGCAAGTCGGTCCGGGATTTCCGCCCGACCGCCGGATTGCCGGGCATCAAAAACGTGAAGTTCGACTTTTCAGCCGTGACGCGCTACGTTACTTGTGCGCTGCAAAGCCCTTGCCTTTCTGCGAAATATGTCTGCAGATCCTCAGGGTGAGCTTACAGCTCGCATGCGTGAATAGCTTGGTATTGACTCTTTTTGCCAGATCTAAACCTTATGCGCCTCGCCCTCGCTGAAGCGGCTCGGTGCGAGCCTACACCTACCGCATTCTGTGTTGGATGCGTCCTGGCGTACAGGGACCCATCCAACAGTGAGCCTGCAGTACTTTCCACTGGCTACTCGAGAGAACTTCCGGGCAATACCCATGCGGAGGCCAACGCCTTGACGAAACTTTGCGCCCTGACTCCGGCGGAAGTTGCGGCGCGCCTACCATCGTTCGACCCCTCCAAGGCGTCAGTCGACGACATTCTGCGACAAGTAGACGTATACACGACCTTAGAACCTTGCTCAATCCGCACATCCGGCCTCGCGCCCTGCGCGGACGCGCTCATCGCTGCTGGCGTGCGGCGCTGCTTCATCGGGGTCGGCGAGCCGGACGACTTCGTACAGTGCGAGGGCGCGCGCAAGCTGAAGGACGCCGGAGTCGAGATCGTATGGCTGAAGGGAATGGAAGAGGAATGCCTGTCCGCAGCGCGCCGGGGCCATTGAAATGGCGAGATGTAAAATCACACGAAGTGTATGTACCGTCTGGTTCCGGTCTCCATCCGCGCGGTGGAAGTTTGCTGGCTGATTTGTAGGCCCCTTGCGCTTGGCTATGACAGGGAAGGTCGGGGTTGAGCCGCCGTTGGCGGTGGGGGGAGTACCAAAAGTTCGTCATTGTGCCCCATCAGACGGCTTTTCCAACTGAATGACAGCCAGGGTCCCCGCACCGTCTCCTCCCATCTAGAACGTCGGGGAGCGTGCCCGCGCGCGGCCCATTCGCACCCTCCCGGCCGAGGGAGGCGCAGGCGCACGCGATGCGCGGGTTATCGCTATCTAATCTGATTTGCAACTGTGTTATCCGATATGATGCGATCTAATCAGATGACACGATCTTGTGCGCCGCCCGTCAGCGCTGCCCACTCGCTTCAGAATTCGTACGTTCCTTGCGCGCACACTTTCATCCTCCCGATCCCGGAACAGGCGTGCCGATTTTCCACGACCGGCTCCACTCTAGATCTCGCAAAATATCGCGAGGACCGCATGTCTCGTTCCATGCACGCCTCTTGGCGGGACTGATATAAAAGCACCGTCTGCCCCTAACCCGCCGGCTCTCTCTCACTCCCCCATCTGGTCCCCCGCTTCCCGCCAAGCACATCACCGCCTATCCTCCCTTCCTTTTGCCTGCTCGCCCATGTCGGAAGTCTACGATCTCATTGGCCTCGGATACGGCCCCGCCAACGTCGCCATCGGCGGTGCGCTCGTCGAGAGATGGGAGAAGGACAAGGTGCCGTGCCCGCCGTTCGTCGCTCCCCATCGCCGACTTACCTCCACCCCGCCAGACGGCTCCCCAGCCCAGCACGATTAAGAAGGTCCTCTTCATCGAGAAGCAGGACAAGTTCCGGTGGCATCCTGGCATGCTGCTGCCCGACGCGCGCATGCAGATTAGGTGCGTTCCTATTCATGCAGAGTTTATCTTCGTCATCTGATCACCCGCCGTATTCTAGCTACCTCAAAGACCTGGCCACGCTCCGGAACCCGTCCTCGCCCATCACCTTCCTCTCTTATCTGCACGCCCACGGCCGTCTGCTGAACTTCATCAACCGCGGCTGCATCATCCCGACGCGGAAGGAGTTCGCGGACTACCTCGGCTGGGTCGCGCAGTACGTCCAGGATCGCGGCGTCGAAGTCAAGTACGGGCACGAGGTCATCGGTTTGGAGGAGGCGCCTGATGGCCTCATCGACGTGCGCGTTCGCTCCGTCGCGACGGGCGAGACAATCGTCTTCAAAGCCAGTACGTCACTCCGCCTCCTCAATTTTACTTCCGCGGAGACTGATCGTGTTTTTCAGAGGATGTGGTGATCTCCCCAGGCGGCTCGCCGCGTCTCCCCGACTGCGTCAAGCCCGTCTTCGACCACCCGAACATCATCCACAGCTCGTCGTACATGGCTGACATCAACAACATCCTTGGTAGGCTGAAGGAGCAGGGCGAGCGTCCGCTCACCATCGGTGTCATCGGTGCGGGCCAGTCAGCCGCGGAGATCCTGCTGGAGCTTCGCAATCGCCTGAGCTCCATTCCGTCTGGCTCTGGTCGTCATCAGGTCAAGATGGTTATGCGCCGCGGCGCCCTGCGCCCCAGTGACGATAGCCCCTTCACGAATGAAATCTTCGATCCTGAGTGTCAGTCAAGCCGTTTACTGCATTTGTGATGATCTCTGACGTGTCCAACAGCCACGGGAGCATGGTACGAGACTTCGAACCCCGAGATTCGCAAGTCTCGCCTGCAGGAGTACAAAAGCACGAACTACAGTGTCGTCAACCCGCGCACCCTCGATTCGGTAAGCTTCCGCGGCGTTCGCAGGTTACCTGCCATTCCTGACACTAGCATACAGGTTTACGACGCGGTCTATGATCAAAAGGTGGACGACGCCATTGCGGCGCGTCCGAACGGCGTCCAGGCGACGAGCCCGCGCGTGACGCTGCTTCCCTACTCGCACATCCTCTCCCTCAACACGCCACCCTCCGCCCCTCTGTCGCTCGTCATCCAGCACACCATCTCGCGTACCGTCAGCGAAGAGTCTTTTGACGCGATCATCTGCGCGACCGGATACCAGCGCTCAGGATGGGTGGACTTGCTCAAGGCGTCCGGACTCGGCAAGCGCTTCGGGCTCGATGCGAGCGCTGAGGCCGTACAGCTGATGCCCTCGTCTTCCATCGCGACCTCGCCGCTTACCTCGCCGACTTCGCCACCCGGCCTCGCGACGTCCTCCATCTCCTCTCCGAGCAGCAGCGCGGGTCCGAGCACGCCTGTCATGAGCGCGTCGACGTTCCTCGATGCCGACATGCAGCCGCGCAAGATGTACATCTCGCGGAATTACCGTCTCTTGCCGGTGGAGGAGCAGGGGAAGGAGCAGGGCAAGAGCGCGTTCCAGGGACGCATCTATTTGCAGGGTGTCGAGGAGGCGACGCACGGGTTGAGCGATTCGCTGCTGAGTGTGTTGGGTGTGCGCGCGGGGGAGGTTGTGGGTGACATGTACGCGTGAGCGGGTAGGCCGTTCACACACTATCAAATGTATATTCTGGACTAGCTATAATGGCGTATATATTGGGTCTATATTCTCTACACACCTAAAACAGAGAGAGTTCCTTGCCACTGTATACTTGGACGAGTTTGGATGCTGCTCTGATCTGCATGACCACCGCAAACGGCGACGGGGAAATTGGTTCCGCGAATAAGCACCGGTCCGGGGTCCGAAGGGCTCCCTCCGCATCGCGCCCACTGATCAGCACATGTGGCCGGCTTGCCATCTCCCACGACGGACGTAACTCGTGGTAGCGGCAAGCGACACAAATTTCTCTCCCTCGCCTTTCTCCATCTCCCACCAGCGATACTCAGGATGGACTTTAAGAGCGAGATGACTGACAGCGACGGCGAGATTGCCCAGACGCCACTGGAACTCCAGATGGGTGAGTGCTGATCTCACGCATAGGCGCTTTGTGTTGAATTTCCCCCAGCGATGGGCGAGGCCCTCGAGCACCAGTATGAAGCTGAGGAGCTTCACAAGATAGATGGTGTCCATCCCTCGCCCACGCCTGGTGCGCTTACCTTGTACCGGATGCGCCACCCGAAGGCGAAACAAGGCGCCAGGTCGACCGATGTTCGCATCGAGCTCACGCGCCAGGAGCGCCTCGATCTCTGCGCTACCATCTTTGAAGAGGGCAAGCGATACCACCATGACACCTTCTCCGCTCGCGACGTGGACCCCCTCCCCCTCGGTCGCAGCCCCGCGTACATCAGCCCGTCTACCAAGTTCCGCATGCTGGAGGCGATCTCGTCCGCGGAAACGCATCTCAGGCTTGTCGACTCCTACAACTTCACCGGGCTGCCCTCCCACCTCGCCATCTACCTTGCGCAGCACCGCCAGGCGGTCGAAGCGTACATCGACCGCCGCCGACACCACTTGGCGCCTATCCGCGCGCTCCCCGTCGAGATCCTCCTGCAGATATTCACCCTCGCACGCGCGACCCTCGGTACCCGCAATGCTAGCCTCATCAATGATACCTCCCAAGCGCTACCCTTCGCCCGCGTCTGCCGCCACTGGCGCGACGTCTGTCTACACAATGGCAGCCTCTGGTCCTCTATCGACCTGCACGTCCCCGATCTTGTCAAAGGGATGACATTCGGGAACGAGCGGGTAGACAGGATGCATTCTATGGCCCGCCGGCAGGATGGCCTGTTCAACGTCATTCACGAGGACGTGCACTTGAAGCCCGGGGTCGAGGATCAGCGTGGCTGGGCCACAATATACCGCGCTGAACTCCTTCTGGGAATTCACCTCTGTTACTCCGGTTCTTCACCGCTTACGATCCGCCTTAGTGGCGACTTGCCTAGTCATGGGCAGAAGGCGGAGCTCAGCGATACCTTGAAGCGACTGTCGACCTTGATGGCGCGCCTTGCTGAACACTCTTTGCGATGGCGAAATGTGAGCATTGATGGTACGCTGCTGGACTGCCTTCCGATAGCTCGTGGACCGTTCCCTGCTCTCGAGTCTTTGAGGCTAGGCCGGGTATCGTGGCGCGATCATAATTTCTCGAAACCATTCTTGAGCGCGAACAAACTGCGCTCCTTTGCAGGAGTCACATTGTTCCCTCCAGGTATAGGTATCCCATGGGCTCAGCTGCACGATATACGGCTCGAAGGTGGCATCAACCCGATTTTGGAAACCTTGGCCGTCTGCGACAATCTCAAGGTATGCACGATCGCGAGGGTGAATAAACGCTTCTCTGGATACCCCCTACCGGAGCGCACGCCGGCACTCGATATTCACACCTTGCGCTTCGTACAAGCGCGCTCGCCCGAAGAGGGCAACCCGGACGCCCTCAGCATGATGTTCCAAGTCCTGCGCCTCCCCCACCTAGAGACCCTCGAGGTCCACACGAGCGAGATACCCGGTAAACGCTTTCGCTGGTGTCCCGATGAACTGGCGGACATGCTCGGCGCGTCGCAGTGCTTGATTACGCGCCTCGCGCTCACCGGCGTCTCAGTTACGCTGGACGAGCTCTGCGACCTCTCCTTCCACATGCCGACGCTCGAGACGCTCAGCCTCGTTGAGTATCGGCACGACGACAAGCGGCTCATCGACGAGGACTTCTTCGCGCGCATGGCGGATGTCAAGTTCCCCAAGCTGCGCCACCTGGAGCTCGATGGGCGCATGCGCGTGCAGGACGACAATGTCATCCCGGCGATGGTCGAGGCGCGCGCCCTGCGCGCGCGGCTGATGCCACAGGCGTTCTGCGCGCTTGAAAGCTTCAGCATCATGCTCCGGCGGCGGTACGCTCTGCATCGGCGTGCGCTGGTGCGCCTGCATGCTGCGCTGCGAGACGGCTTCTTCGAACGGTGGGCTCCTCCGCCATCTCTGTACCAGCGACCTGTGATGTCGAATCATGATCCTGTTGCGGTGGCGAGCACGGCACAGGCGCGGCGTGTGCGTCTGATTGACGCGCTCGAGGACTTTAGCGCTACGGATGATGAAGAGGACAGTCAGGTATGGCATATGAGACTGCAACGGCCTTGTTTGCTGACGCTTTGATCAGGAAGTCGAGATCGCGTAGGCATGGCCATGGGCTCAGGTCGCTAGAGCTTGCCAGCATCACTCGTGTGTAATAGGTGCAGATCCATCTTTGATTAAGGACCTTCTCCCGGCTTGTTATACACGGTATACCCACCCTTGTTCCTTCCGCTATACGCGTTGCTCGGACTTGCTACTGTTGTACCTGTAATGTAAGATTAGATGGATCTTCCTGGAATAGTTGTTTGTGATGGACTTCTTCGAAAGGAATTCCGACAGCAGGTCGAGGCGGTCGGTGAAGAGCAGTCTACAAGCAAGGTCATGTATAACGAGCCCGCTTTACAGCGTAGCTGATGTGCAATTGCATGGATAATCGTACAGGTGAGTGGTATAGGTCATGCTGAGCGTCCAGTATCAGATCTCGCGCTTGTCGTTCAGGCATCCCGCAGTACAGGAACATCGGCAGTAACCCTGGTAGCAGAAGTTCATAATTCATCCACTGCAATTGGCCTACGGTCAGAGTTTCGGGATCTAGCACAGATCAGCGGCATGTCGAGAGCCAAGCGGATGGGCCGCATACCTTCGGGCCAGAAGCCCACGGGGATCTTTCCATCTTGCTTCACCACCTTGTCGAACTCCCCTGTTTGCGTGAGATGCTCGGAGAGGTGCGCGGGAACGGTCGGGTCGACGCCGAGCCGGCGGAGACACGCCTCGTAGGTTCTCCAGAAGTTCGTCCACCCATACACTGGCTGTGGGTCCCGGGAGAGCGACGTAGACGCGCGCCTATCCCTGTCCGCGACCCGCGGCGTCAAATCCGGCTCTATGAGCACGATAAGGCCCCCGGGGCGCAGCAGGCGCGCGCACTCGCGGATGAATTGCGGGTAGTCGACAAACTGTCTCACGGGTGCTCGTCAGTTCGTCAGCTGCGCCGTCGGGATGCAGGGAGAAACACACTCCAGTGTGCACCGAGCGCGCGTGGATGAAGTCGAAGTAGCCGTCCGGGTAGGGCAGCGATGCCTGATTGCAATCGCAGAGCTCGAATCTAGAAGCCGCATTGTCGTCGTGGGCGACCCAGAGCATCAGAGGACAACATACGTGCAATTAGAAGGCACCTCTCTGCATGGCGCGCGGTCAGCAACGTAATGCGTAGCGTGGTGGGTGGCACTCGCCTAGGCTGTATCGGCGCGACATCAACGCCTATGACCTCTGCCGACGGGAACTCGTCCGCCATTTGGATGGCCCTGGGATTTGTGCTCAGTGCGCCACTCGATATGATCAGTCGCTAGCGCGGCTCACCACATGCCTCCCCCAGTGCCTATGTCTAGGACTAATGGGGTTGCGATCAGTCCAAGAAGGAAACAAGGACAAAACCTTGAGCTTACTGCGTCGCTGAACGCCTGGCACGGGTCGCAGAACCTGGTGCACAGGACCAACATAATTCTTCCCATGGAAAACGAACTGAAGCATCCGGTGATGCAGTTCTGATCTCTAAAAAATAGGGTGAGTTCTAGAACCAAGGAGCGTGAAAACGCTGCTTACCCGTACTTCATCGTCGTCGGCCGGTAGCATGTAAGTCGTGTTCATCTTGTTGAGCAAGCGCCCATGAAGAGGGTAAAAGAAATCGCTGTCATCGTCTCCGACGGTACGCAGCTCTGTTGGCATGTAGTAGTGATGAGCGCCAGCCATCGATCTTGTGAGGTGGAAAAATCGGGAAGACGTGCGCCGTGCAAACGAAACATCCCCAGGGGAGGGAGCGGCTTTGTGTTCATCACCTCCGCCTCCTTAAATACCACAGCCTGCCGCAATGGATGGTAACCATGAAAATGATAAAGTTTAGGCGCATTAGGATAGAGAGGGCCAGGAAAACGGACAAGACACGAAGGTTTGTGGTGCCTGCGGGACGGCGGGGGAAGGCGTTGTGAGAGAGCAAACCTTGTTGTTTGCGGACACTCGTCATGTTGACGCCCGCTATAGAGCAACAAGCGCTGATCTGCTTCATTCCGAGTCAGATGAGGGTACAGCTGCTCACACCAGGTCGAGGCCACGTCGGACCGCGTCCATTGGGACTGTCCATCAGCTTCGGGAAACAGACTGAGAGCAGTGTACAGCACAGACTTAGGCTTGCGAGCAACGTGAATGGTTACTATCCGGCGCATCCTGTATACCGGACTGAATGCAGGACTGCATTGCTGGATTGACGTCAATGTGCACCCTACCATTTGACTTGTTAAAACTCGTTCTTGGGGCGTTTGGTCGTGATCTCGTGCACGAGTACCGTGCGCGTGGACTCGCCGTGCCAGCCGCGATTGCTGCTTGCAGTGACCATGTACCTCCCTCCGGGGTCGATAACTGTGCGTCCGGACACAGACGGGTCAGCTTGCGCCGCAGACCTTCCCGCGAAAGGATGAACTCACGCATCTGGGAGACGAATCCTCCGTGGTGCCCGGGTATGATCCTGAACTGGACGCCGCTGCGTGGCTTCATGGACCCGTCGGGCTCGCCCGTCTCGGCGACATTCCAGAGACGTATGTTGTCCGTTGACGCACTAGCGGTACCTTTAGCACACGGTCCCTGCACGCGCGCCGCAAAAGGGACCCTCACCAGGCGATGTGCTTTGAGTCAGGGAACGCCACGACGCAGGAGACGTCCCCCGAGCTCGGCGGATTGCGAATCGTCTTCCAGATCCTGGGCGCCTGCCTTGACGACCCCGTCTGCCGAACGTCGTATACCTCCACGATCCCGTTGCGACGTGCAGCGTAGACCTGATTGCCGTCCGCGGACCAGGTCGCCTGCGTAGCGTGAGCAAGCTAGAAGGGGGAGCGTTTTGGGCAGGATTACATACAGACATGCACCACGGCCGCGTTTTCTCGCTCATGTACAGCCGCCCGACGCCCTGCCACCCGTTGAATGGGTCGTAGCCGGAGGTTTTTACGCGCTTGTCCCAAAGGACAATTTGCCCGTCGATACTTGCCGTCATAAGTATGTCGGGCGAGAACGTAATCCAGCGCTGCGCGTCGAGAACAGGAGGGATATGTTTCGGTGCAGGCGCCGAGGACTCTGCTGGCATTGCGAGGCCGCCTGGCTTCTGGTTCTCGTCTTCGTCGTCAAACAGAGGATCAAAGTCGGAGCCTTCGGATTTGGCGTCCACGTTGTCCGTGTCCTCGTCGTTGACAGGCTGTATACTGAGCGGGGAGCCAGAATCTGAATAGACAGCATTTTCGGGTCGCACGGCGATGCAGGACAACTGTGCACCGTGCGACGCGAGGTGGCGGACTTGCTGGCCGGTGTTGAGGTCCCATTCCTATGGGGATCTCAGCTCAGGGATAGACACAAGAAGGTGCTGCGTACGATAGCTTCGCCGTCCCAACTGGCGCTGAAGAACCCCTTCTCGTGATGATCGAGTGCTAAAGCGGATATGGGCTTCGTATGACCCCGCATAACATGGCATAGCCGACCAGGACTATGGCGCACAGTAAACAAGTTGATCAGACCGTTCTACAAACCGCGTTAGTGTTCGATAGGAGCAGAATCGGAAGAACCCAACCGCACCCGACAACCAGATAGCGCCCAGAGCGCATCCGAGTGCATGGCTAAGCTGTAGACGCTTTCAAGTGGCGCGTCACCCGCACTGTGGCTGTCATGCAGCGATGTCGAGGGGTTTTCCCACCAGCATCTCAGGTGTCCCGCCTTCATTGTGCCCTCGATGATATTCGCATGGTGTCGTTGCGGCGCGGTCAAGAAGTTCTTCTTTCCGTTGGCGGAAGTATAGACGTCGTAGTCACGGATATAGCCGTCCTCAGAGCCTGTCAAGAGGTGGCTGATGCAAGCAGATGACGCCAAAGCATGTGTGGGCACAGGATGCGGAATGGCAATGATAGCTTCTACGGTGAAAGGGCGCGAGAAGTCGTTCCGACGGAGCTGCTTCCTCCGGATACAAGCAGGAGACTGAGACCGTCTGCGCTTCACCCTTGCTGTGGGTGTCACAGCAGGCGGAGATACGGCCATAGCCGTATCGTGGACAACCGGAGGAGGCTGAGGTGGCGGGGGAGGAGTGGCTATCATCTTTAATACTATGTACATGATTTTGATTTATCGAAGATGACTCACGTTCATGTAGTTGAGGCGGAGATGACTGCTGTTGTGGATCCGATGGGTCAAACTCTAGCATCGCTTGGGCCGCTTGCTCATCTTCGAGGTCGGGTTCGCCCTCGGCATCTTCATTGTCGGCTGGAACTTCTTCCAAGTCAAGCTCAATACCCATTAGGTCAGGTTCGCTTTCCGCTTCTGCGTCTTCATCCTCATCTTCGTCTGAATCGTCACTGCTCGTCGTCTGTGGAATTTGAGCCATAGTGTGCGAAGCCTCAGCGAATTGACCCACGTCGTCTGACGGTGTATTATTGCCAGCTTCTTCAAGTACACCGTCCAAAAGGTCTCCTTCTATTTCTCCATCTCCATCTTCGTCCGCGTCAAATATCGAGTTGACTTCATCTTCAAAGTCGCTGTTGGACATTATGGCGCGTGTCTCGTGTGCCACCGGAAGGCGTCCCGTGGTAATTTCGGGAGTGCAGGTGTTCTACGCAGTCAAAATAGATTATGAAGCTCTGGCCTGAGGCATAGAATCAGCCCTGAGGGAGCGCCGAGACGAAGGATGATGAAGGTGCGAAACAAGAGGAAGTTGAAGTCGTCGTTCACGTGGCTCCTTGTCGGACATAGCCGACGTGTCCGGCCCGAGCAACCGGCGCTCCTTGCTTCCCCCCACCGACATGGTTTTAGCAGATCTTGGCCGTAAACTCAATGCGGCCCTCTCATCACTCAACAGGGCACCAGTCGTAGACGAGAAGGTATGTTTCTACTACATCTGCAGGAAAAGGTACTAAGCGCTGGCAGGTCCTCGATGCGACGCTGAAGGAGATCACTGCCGCACTTCTCGAGTCCGATGTGAACGTGAAGCTGGTCGCATCACTTCGCTCAAAAGTCAAGACAAAGGTCAAGGCGATATTTGAGGGAGGGGACAAGACCAAGGACGTAAACAGAAAGAATGTCATCCAGAAGGTGCGTACGCCCACCCTCCCTTATGAGATCCCCAGTCAAGATCTTGCCAGGCAGTATTCGATGAGCTTGTCGCACTCGTAGACCCCGGCGTCGAGCCATACAAGCCAAAGAAGGGGCACACGAACGTCATCATGGCTGTCGGTTTACAGGGGAACGGCAAGACGACAACATGTACGAAGCTCGCCGTACACTACCAGAAGCGCGGCTTTAAGTCAGCGATCGTGTGCGCGGACACCTTCCGTGCGGGTGCCTTCGATCAGACGAGGCAGTCTGCGACCAAGGCGAAGGTCGCCTACTTTGGCTCGTACACGGAGACAGACCCGGTATCCATCGCCGCTCAGGGTGTAGCCAAGTTCAAGAAGGAGCGGTTCGAGGTTATTATCGTCGATACCAGTGGAAGGCATAAGCAGGAGCAGGAGCTCTTCGAGGAGATGATTCTCATCGGGCAAGCCGTCAAGCCGGACATGACCATCCTTGTCCTCGATGCCAGCATCGGTCAAGCAGCAGAAGCGCAGGCGCGCGCTTTCAAGGACAGCGCGGACTTCGGTGCCATCATCGTCACGAAGATGGATGGACACGCAAAGGGAGGAGGAGCCATCTCTGCGTACGTCTCTTCACCGTTCCCTACAATCTCCTCTAACTGACCTGCCCAGCGTCGCCGCGACCCAAACCCCCATCATCTTCCTTGGTGTTGGCGAGCACCTTCACGACCTCGACCGCTTCGCCCCCCAACCCTTCATCTCCAAACTCCTCGGCCTCGGCGACATGCAGGGCCTCATCGAGCACATGCACGACCTCACCGCGCAGAACCCCGACAAGCAGAAGGAGATGGCGAAGAAGTTCGAACAGGGCAAGCTCAGCATCCGCGACTGGCGCGAGCAGATTTCGAACGTCATGAGCATGGGCCCCATCAGCAAGATCGCGTCCATGATTCCGGGACTGCCGGCGGAGATGCTGCAGGGCTCGGACGAAGAGGGCTCGTTACGGATGAAGCGCATGATCTACATCACGGATAGCATGACCGCGGCGGAGCTCGACTCGGACGGGTCGATGTTCATGGAGTGGGGGAAGGACGGGAAGCCGACGGGCTTGACGTGGCGAGTAACGCGTGTGGCGAAGGGCAGTGGGACGAGCGTAAAGGAGGTCGAGGAGCTGCTATGCCAGTACCGCATGATGGCGAACATGGCGAAGCAGGCAGGCGGCAAGAATGGATGGTGCGACTGCATTGCTAGCGATACGACATCAGCTCACCTTCGCGTAGGTTGCAAACAATGCAGAAGATCCAGTCCGTCGCCGGCAGCAAGGGTCTCGGCGCGAACGGCATGCCCACTCCCGCACAAATACAAGCCATCCAGGTAAGTCTTCCATCTTTCGTGACGCAAGACTACGCTAATACCGTGAATAAGCGTTCCATGCCACCAGGCATGCTCCAGCAAATGCGCAAGCAGATGCAGGGCGGTGGGGGCATGCAAGAGATGATGAAGGCCATGATGGGCCAGGGCGGTGGCGATGGTCCGGATATGGAGGAGATGCAACGTACGTTCTCGTCGCTTGCCTCAGTCCTTACGCAGTACTGACGCGACCTCACAGGAATGATGGCGAGCATGGGTCAGGGAGGCTTAGGCGGACTGGGTGGTCTAGGCGGACTAGGAGGCCTCGGTGGCGGCATGCCGGATATGAGCGCCATGATGAAGATGATGGGCATGGGCGGTGGTGCTGGTGGACGATGAGGCATTCCATGGGACATCCGAAAGTACGTTATAGTTCCGAACACGCTCTCGTGCGGCTGTAGCCATGGTGCATAATGTGTGGTCTTGTATATATTGTATCATACGCTGGTATCTGTTTTGCTCCTGGCGCGGTCAGCATCGATGTCTACAAGTTTTCAGGAAAGACCAGATGCATACAGTACTTGGTCGTGACGGGCCACTGACATAGCTACATTCGAACGCCCCCAGTGGCGAAAAAGGCATTTGATACGCGCCAATTCACGCTCCTCGAGCGGGCGGCACGGAAAATACGGCGACGTACTAGCACTGCAACCTGTCAGATATTGCTTTGACTTGGCGAACTGAGAGTACCTAGCTTACCGTGCCTTTTTTATGCTCGGCCACACAGGTTCTGTAGCGTTCTGCCACCGGGAACACCCTCCAGCCGCGCCTGGCATAAGAGCGGTAGGAGTTCATCTACCTTCCGCCATTGCTCTGCCTGACCCCGAGGTGGGTTACCGAATGCGGACAGCAACGCTTCGTGTAAGCAAGGGAAGAACCTGGACAGAAACAACGCTATTTCCGACGGTGAACATATCGGAGAGTTGTAAAGCACCAGCTTCCCCAAAGCGAACTGAGCGCAATCGACGTCAGCCCCCTCCGGTATGTCCGCATCCCATGCGCGGACCGAGATGGAGAGCGTCTCGAGCTGCTTGCAGTGGCGGGCGAAAGGAATGAGTCCGACCACCGTGCAGTCGGGCTCTGCCTTTTTAGCCCCCTGGATATCGATACGCTGTATTTGTGGCCAAGACTGGGCCATCTTGTCGAGGTCTGCGTTCCGCAAGGATATGGTCGTCCCTGGCACGTGGAGAATCAGGCTGACGAGGTTGCGGAAGTCAAACAGCAACTGGAAGCTGCCCAGTGCAACACAGTCGTCGTCGACGCGCGAGGGCAGGGCAGCTCGCGACATGGGAGGGTCCGCCCCGCGCGTTATGTTCAATATCCGCAAGGTCTGCTCTGAGGGGTTCTTCCGCAAATTCTGTATGAACCTGCCTAGAGCGCGCGACTCCCCGACCCGCGTGACATACAATTTGACCAGCCGAAGGTTCCGGGACCCAGAAACGAGATCTGCGACGTCGGAGAGTTGCCATGAGTTCAGCGTCAGGGATTGTAAGGTGGGAGGGGCGGTCGATAGACAGTTGTCCAACGTGTTCGTGCTTTCAAGACGCGTTGTCCGACTCGGATCCTCGCCAAGCTTGAGAGAACGTAAACGTGGCAGAGAGAACATTGTTGACAGCAGGTTGGCGTCCACGTACGTCGCCAAGGATAGGCTCTCCAGATGATCCCACCCGGACAGTAGGGTGATGATAGGCCATCCACAGTGGGATGGCAGGAACAGATCCAGAGAGGTGATTGGATGCGCACGACGCGCTTTGAGCGCGAACAGTATGCTCAGCTCCATTCCTCCTTCTAACGACAACTCCGGATCGTCGTTGACCTCGTCATATTCGGACATTGATTCTATGGCCATACTGATCTGGTGCAACGGTGGGCGCGTAATATTCGGAAGGCATGCCGCAAAGGTGGATGGGCCTAAGTAGACCAACTCGCGTAGATTTGGGAACAAGTTTTGATCACCACAGGCAATGACGACCTTCGCGAGCGCTTCAGGTGCACCGCGAGTGCTCTCATAACCGAAGTCGAGGTGCAAGCTTTGTATGAATGGTGTGTAGTGCTGCACACGTATAACATCCTCTGGCGTCAGATAGCTCGGGATCGTCTAAGGATCCGATGAACAGACCTCATCACCACTAAGATAGCAAGGAAACGTACCGTGTTGCCGTTCTCACATGATCGGTGCAACCCATATTCTATGGCTGCCGGAAGCAGGTTAAGAACATGATCGACGTTTTCACATCGTCTCCAGAGCAGGCTGAGCGCTGATTCGTGAAACGTCTTGCATGTCCTTGCTAATATGGCCAAGTGACTGTGATTGGAGTACGCGAAAATCTTATGTCGCAGCTCCGGTGTTTGGAGGACCGCGTGCATAGCAGAGTGGTGCTACAGGATGGGTGATACCGCTCAGTCGAAGGGAGGCAACAACGTTGAGTACGCACAATGTCACGGTTCAAGTCGAGTTCAAGGCATCTCAACGCCCCAAGGGCTGCCACGTGGAGGTACAGTCACAGTCACAAGGACCAATGTTCGATCCTGGCGGACTATACCTCGTTGGTTTACGGGGACCATCCACTACTAGGGTCGATATATAAATGTGATAAAATGTGATACAACCTGTGTGACACAGGATACATCCAGATACGCTCAAAGTGATATTTACCTACACGACAGGAAGCGCACCAACAAGGAACATCAACGGAGCTAGTACCCCTTCCGCTCCTTCTTCCACTTCTTCTTCTGCACGGACGCCGCGTTCTTGTTGCCGAAGAAAAGAGAAGACGTGTGCTTGTCAGCACCGGTCTTCCTTGATATAGACGATGTCCCGGCGAATACGATCTACAGTCACGTCAGTACTTCCCCCTCTGCGAAGCGTAAGGGAACCCACCGTCCACGTCCCCCATAAGCCAATAAGACCCTCCACAACGCTGAACAAGGTAGCAAGAGAGCCTACGCTCTTTGTATTCCACGCCAAGAAAGCAGTGAGATCGCCAGCTATTGCCACCGGTGCGAGAAGGGGGTGATAGTTCGTGTTTGGTTCTCGTGAGGGGATGGGGTCGTTAGAGGGGATCTGCGAAGTTGTTACTTAGCGCTAAAGATCTATAAAGACTCACACAAGACGCACATTCAAGAGTACAGCGACGGAGGTTGCCGCCAGCCAGATGCCGAAATGCAGTGCAAGAAAGGATTCGAGCGGTGTTAACGCCCTCCGGCTATCGTCTTCCGCGACGACCTCGGATAGGAAGAGAAGCAGACGAGGGGAGAAGGTCAAGATGAAGGCCAAGAAGCTGAATCTGAGGGGTTTGATAGATCAATCTATCGTTCATGCGAGTGAACAGGCGGACCCTTACAATCCAGCAGCGACCCAGCTCCACGTCGACACTGCGCTGTCCGGGGTGTTGAATGCATCCAACAGTGTTTCTGCAGTCTCGGCTTGTCTGTGTGGGCGCTGAGAGAGGTCGTCCATCTCGATTGTATCGGACATGATGGCAGGAGGTAAGCGGGAGCGCTGCGCGCCACGACTGCAGCGCGCTAATTAACGCGTGACGTCATCACTAGAGGAAGCCCCGGCTTCGCCGGTTGCATACCTTGCTTGCATCTCGCGCGTGAGTCTGAATCCTGCTGTCGTTGGCAGCAAGAGGTGGTCGATCCGTCAATCGGCGACGTAGATCTGGCCACGCGAGTCGCTGATCGCAGCGCTCGCTCCACAGCAGGCCGCGCTCGTCGCCGTCTCCCAAGTCGACCTTGACCTTGCTTGTACAGCTCTTGGACGCAAATCATGTGTTAGGAAGGTGCGTTTTAGTCCGAGGCAACCTGCACCATCCACCACCTAGTTCGAGAACAAGTACGAGCAGTCAGGTTCTCACGGTTGACGGCGTGCACGTGGACCTCGAGGCCGCGCTCTCCTGAGCCCCCGCCCTTTGGCAAACAACCTGGTAGAGAGTTATGGGCGCAAAATGGTGCGGCAGAAACGCACTCGCCGAAGGAAATGTGTGTTTCTACTCGTAGGAGCACACGAGGCTGCAAAAGCCCAAGGATGCGACTTTCTCAGTGGTAATGCAATATTACCTGGATGCCACTAGGCAGTGTGAGCGTGTACTCGCAGATAGTTCAGCTGCTTATATATTCCTCGTAGTCTATGGGCATCCAGGCGCACAGACACCTCCATATATACAACCTCCGGATGGCCTGAACTTGCGGTCTGCCTGCGGTATGCCCTCGACAGGAGAGGTTAGATCAGGTAACCTGATCATAGGCTTGCAATCCGTGTGTGAGAGTACCTAGCTACGATCGGAGGATTTTCCGTGTCCTCAGAGGAGTGCTGATGCTTGTTCTCTGGACTTCAACTCGACGGCACGTGCATGCACATGACGCGGACCGGTGCTGCGATCAGCGACTCGCGTGGCCAGATCTACGTCGCCGATTGACGGATCGACCACCTCTTGGTTGGCAGAGCTCGTCGTGTGGTGCCGTACAGGACTTGTGGACGAAGGTGTCTGCGCGTTTACCGATGTTGCCTTCGGAACGTGCTACGCACATGGGGTCATTTTTTATGGGGTCAATAAGACACGGGAAAGACCTTGCAAGCAAGGTGATGCAGCAGCTGCTTGCCGCTCGCCCGCGTCGCCTTCGGCACTGTATTCACAGGACTCTTCGGCGACTTGTTTTGGGACACGTTCCGAAAGGGCGGAAAGATGTAGAACTAGGTGTTGCTTTGTCTCGAAGGCTTCCAATTCATGACACGAAGTACATGAATCCCTTCTGTCGACGCTACAACGCGTGCGCCGGATCTGCACCCTTCAAGCTCCAACCTATCAATTCACGCATGTGAACGACGTCCAAGGGACCCTTCACCGACTCGTCCTGTATCGCACGCACGATGGCCTCCGCGACGTGGTCGACGTGCATCGGCGGAATGGTCAGCGCGTTCGCCACCGATGCCAGCGCGGAGGGGAGGTCTGGAAGTATGAAAGTCAGTACGAAGGATTCGGTAAAAGTTCATGGAGAGGGGCGGTTAACAAGAGTTCGAGCAGCAAGGGCTCTGTCTACGGTCCAGTACGCACCTGCGGGGTCCCTACCGGGTGATGCTAACGAGCGTAAGATTGACGCGGGGGTCGGAATACCCTTCGGCGCCCCTCGCTCGAGGTTTACGAAGAGGTCAAGCAGGGCAGCCGGAGGCGTAGATAAGGGGCGCCAGTGTGGGTGGTACATGAAACCTACGAAAATCAGCATATTGACCCTAAGGACGAGTAGAGCGCCGTCACACACTTGGCCGCGCAAACACGCTCCGTACAGGGGCATTCTCTCTCGAGATAGTCGCCTCAATCTCGCGCTCTGCGGCGCGCTTGCTAGCGATGTAGCCCTCTGGGATCAAGGGACGGAAAATATCCTCTGCAGACGCGAAGACGAAGGCGAACTTGTCCTCCGGCTTCGGCTTGCGAGTCGAGAGGGTGTCCGAGAGAACGTTCAAGGCTGTTGATAGTCAATGAGCATGTATACACCTTCCGATGCATATCGAAGTGGGGGAGGGCATAATTAACTTGCCGCTCTGCTTGTTCATTGTCTCGTAACTCCACCGTGAATCCCGCTTGAGTGGGTTGCGCGACCCGGGGAAGAGGTTCTTCACCAAAGCCAAGGGATTTGAGTCGCGCACGCTCTGCTTGTACTCCCCGCCTTCGAGAAGAGTTCCGAGAGTGTGTACGACAGCGCCGTAGGGGGGTGATGATGCGAGTACTTCTTGGAGTTCACCGCGCTTGTCTGCAAGTACGTCTGCCTTGCGCCACTCGACCTGTGGAAGTTGTCTGAGTATGGGCAAAACATGATCGCTCGCGAGAGGGAGAACGATGAGGGGGGCATTCCGGGGTGATTCAACGCACCCTCTTTACCCATGCGGGAGTATGGCCCTTAGGCGTTCGCCAGGGCTGTCCGGATGAGCTGAGCAGATGTAAGTCGACGAAGCCCCACCACAGATGCGGAGCACGCACCTAACGCTCGTCACCTCCATTCCCTTCGCCAAAGCCATTCGACAGACGGCCGAGCCTGCGCATCTGGTCAGAGATGATGCTCAGGCCACGACTGACACCCTCGGAACGGACGTCGGCGTGGGGAGGATGTGCGCAATCGACTGACCCAGGAAGCCATTGCCTCCGACGACAAGAATACGTTTCGCGGTGTTTGGTACGCTCATCTAAAGCAGGGAGCCCTCACTGAGGGAAATACAGTGAAATGACGCGACCGTCAGTGACAAGCGCCCGGCACCCAGGTCGCATCTCGATCGGCAGTCGGGCCGGCGTCTCCGGTGCTCTGAATTCCAGACTCCTCCAGTTATCCGCGTTCATGTTGCAAGGCGTTGCCCGCAGACTCAGTAGCCCCATATCGTCTTTTCCCAACACCTTGTCACAGTTATACCTCTTCCCCTGAACGACAAAATATCCTTGTTCCCTTGAACAATGTACGCCTCCGTCGAGGCTCTGCTTGACTTCGAGCCGAAGTTGGTGAGTCGTCGCCCTTAATTCCGCACCACTCTCTTTATGTCTAATAATGTGTAGCCCTCAGACGAATCTCTACTGTCAACACTTTACAAGAATGCGCCTCTAGAATCCCCCCTGCAAACCACGCTGATAACCATCCTTTGCGCTGAGAGGAAAGACCATCTGCAGGGCCTCAACGCGGAGATCGCTCTCTTGACCGACGCCCTCTCGCGACTCAAAGAGCAGAAGAAGAGAGTCAGGGCCCAGCTACATGTCTGCTCGTCGGCCATACATTCGCCCATCCGCGCCTTACCCGCCGATGTCATGTGTGATATACTCTCACTTGCCGTTGTGCGCGCGCCTTGGGATCCACCATAGAATTTGGAAAGATCGTCGCCAACCGCATGCTCACTGCTCAGGCTGACCCAAGTCTGTCGTGGGTGGCGCCAGGCTATGCACGACATGCCGTCCCTCTGGCGAGAGCTGCTTCTGTCATGGAATCTCCTCGAAAACGATGCTGACGCGTGGCGTATTCAAGTATGGTTAGCTCGAGCGCGCGACTTACCACTCTCTTTTCATATGGGAGCCCAAAATTTTTGAACCAGTGCACTACGAGTCACCCTTGGGACGAAAGCGACGACAGCATCGACGAGGAGGTAGAAAATCATGTGGCTGGCATCGGAGACATCCTGGGCCACCAAGTGACTTTCCCGACGCACATGATACGTGATCTGCGCCTCGTAGGGAACGCAGAAATTATGCTGCCTCACATAGTCCCTCTACCTCGTGACGCGTTCCCTGTGCTCGAACGTTTGCACCTCAGGTTTCACGAACCCAGATATGATCGTGGCTTCACTCCTTCCATCGTCGCGTTTGCCGAGTCAACGCGACTATGGCACTTGCGCTTCGAGGATCATATTCCCGACCTCTTGTACGACCACCTTCACCGCCAGAGCTTGACTGACGTGCACCTGAGCCTTTTCGAGCCTGTTCTCAGCCGGCTCGTGTTCTTGCGTCAATGTCCGCACCTCGAACACCTTGACTTCGAGTCCAGGAAATCACCAGCGACCTGGTCTAGCAGCTCTGACGATCTTGTTACACTGGGTCGCTTGCATTCTCTGTCCTTGCGCGGGCACCGGTGTCATTCCCTCACAGAAAGAATCAGTACACCCAATCTTCAAGCTTTCTCTTGGTACGGAGCGACGCAAGAACCCGGTCCTGACATGCTGTCGTTCCTCGAACGCGCACCTCATATATCCTCGTTCGCACTGGACGAGGTCGCCTACAAGCAGAGGAACGCGGATGGGGACCTTGGGGTATCGCTTCTGCGCCGCCTCCCGCGTGTCAAGCGCCTAGGATTCGCTGTATACGATCCGTCGCTATTGTGTGTCTTCAAAGCGTTGCATATACGGCCAGGGGAGGATGCCCTTGCCCCAGACCTCCAGGAACTCGTGCTGGATCGTGTCATAATCGGCGAAGGTCACGGTTGCGCCAACTCCTTCGTCAATATGATTCGCTCGCGATGGCAGTCATCGCAATACCGGATTCGCCGGCTGGTATATCGCAATCGTCTGAAGGATGACAGGATAATGGAAGTGCTGCAAAATCTCTCGGATGAAGGGCTCGAGGTCGAGCTTTGAAGCTGATGTTGCGGTCATCATCTACACGCGGACTCGGACAAGGGTGATCTTAGACACCTCTTCTTTGAATTTGTAGGCATATGGCAAGTACTATATAAGCTTCAAATTGACATCGCTTGTTCAAGTTATTCGTTGAGTGAAGGCTTCGGACGAGCAAGCTTTTATTAACATTGTTGGACTTGAACGTTGAACGTCAAAATGTCCGTGACCGTGACATAACAGGAAGTTTGGGCCGTCGCCGCGTCGCAACGCGACTTTGACCTTGCCATTTGCATGCATCGCTCACGCTCATGCACGTCGCTCTCAAGATCCATGAAGTGGTCTCCATAATCTGTGATTTCGTTGCAGGTCTGGGAGACCACGCTTACCAGCATCGTGGGCTGGTCAATTTTGCTCTGACCTGCCGATCCTTCCTCGAGCCTAGTCTCAATGCCCTATGGGAGACACTGCCTAGCTTGTTTCCCCTGTTCTTCTGCCTCCCGAAGGATATATTCAGGTTAACGACGATTCAAGCCAACTACTCCAGGAGGCGGTTGGTGAGTGCGCTTTCGCTTTTCTCAAATTCTTCGCAGTTTATCCTTGATAGAAAATGGCCCGAACCCCCACGCCGGATGAATGGGCCCGCGTCCTTTACTATACGCCTAGAGTGCGACGAGTGGAGTACACGGGAGACAGTCCTGCGTCAGTGGAGATTGCGCCATCGTGCTTCGAGGCTCTGGCACTGTCGTTTCCGGGCAGCGTCCTGTTCCCTAATGCCCGCCGGCTCTACATCGACCTCTCGGTGTATAAAGCGTCTTTGTCCTTCACCCGGCTTCTCGTCAGTCCGTCCATAACAGACATTGGCATCGACTGGACCGAGCAACGCACTGCTCTGCAAAACGCTTCCATCGCCTCCCTTCTCGGGGCCAGATGCAGACCCACAGTCCTCAGCTTCGATCGGTACTGCTCTGCTTACGAGTCCACATCTTCGCCGGTCATACTCGACATGCTGCACGCCGTCATCTCGGAGTGGCCGCAACTCCAAGTGGTCACCTTGACGTTCATATATGCCAAGACGCTTCGTCGCATGGCATCCTTTCCCGACCTCGAGACACTGGCCGTCAACATGTACGGACGGGGGCAAAGCTGCATTATTGGCGACGTAGTGCCGATCGACGACTCCGAGAGCACATTTCCTGCGCTATACAGCCTGACGATCATGCAGCTATCTCCGGAAATGGCCGACTGGGTGCTGAGCTTGATCACCAAAAGCCCCGTCGAAGACCTTTCCCTCGGCCTGAACAAGCCTGCGCCGGCACAGAAATGGAGCCCCATCTTTCGTCGCTTGGCGGGCTGGGCGTCCCGCGAGGTAGAAACGCTGTCGCTAGACCTTAGCGAGCGCGTGTACTACGAAGACGAGGAGGAGGAGGAGGAGTTATTAGACGCAATCACTGTCGATGACCTCGAACCGCTCTTCCGCTTGCGAATCGTCACCAGTCTCACCCTCGACCTCCGGTGGTTGATGATCAACGACGAGATGCTGGCCAGGATAGCAGCGGCGTGGCCCATGCTGAACGGTGTCAAATTCCAGGACTACAATCCCAAGCTGCAGGGTGCCTTCGTTACACTGGATGGGCTCGCCATTATCGCGCAAAGGTGCTCGCAGCTGGACAGCTTGGCGAATCTTCCTCTCAACACTTCCATAACGCCGGCCCAGCCATTGGACATTCCCATCATGAATCCTCTGTCCGCGGCCTTGAAAGCCAACCTGTCGGTCACAGCGATAGATGTGGGGAGCTCTCCAGCGCCGCAGGATCCGGGATTCGTTGCGCGATTCCTGACACTCTTATGTCCTAACCTACGTGCGGTTTCGCATCCCTACACAGAGGCAGCTTGGAAGGCGGTTCACGACCTACTGCCACACATGAAGCAGGCAAGGATGGAAAGCTATGCGATTGGGCACGCTATGGCGCTCGCAGGCGTATCGCTTCCTCATACCTCTCAGGCGATATGAGATTCGTCTACTCTGCTTAGCTTGCACGATACGCGAAGGTAACTTGAGCATCCCTCCTCCTTTCCTCCCATCTGACGCAGCTACAGGTGCATACCTTGCGACGGCGTCAATCTTACAACGCGCGCGTACGTCGCCTAGGAGCAGGGAGTAACATGTTCATGGTCATTGATCAGCGGTAAGTACACCTCCGTGTAAAAATACAGGGATATAAACGAAGGAAGATAGATACATCGCGAAGGCCAGAGATAGTAGATGAAGGGTAGTCAAGCGTGCACCCATGCAGGGGACGGCACCTGCCATGGGCAGTGGGGAATCTAGGATAGGCTGAGCGACGAAGAGCAGACGACACAACATGCGAGCACGATAACATTTTGTACAGGGCTGACTCGAGCGCGGCGCAACCATGGGGTGGGCTGAACAGGAGGTAGTCTCCTGGCGCGACGAGAGTAGCGTGACTCGGCGGGGTCGACAGCGTGTCATTGCTGGACTGCGAGTTGAGCGCAGTGGGGCGAGGGATACGGCGGCGTATAGTGGCGGATGTCGCAGTAAGATGTTCAGTGCGACAACTCGGGCTGCAGCACCATCTGCGCCTTGCGCTTGCGATCCTCCTCAAAGGACTGCACCGCCGAGATCATGTCGTACAGCCGGCCCACCCGCGGCGCGCCCCGCTCGCGCAGCGCCGGAAACCCGCTCTGCACGACGCCCTCCAGCTGCGGCCAGATCTCGTCGGACGTCTTCCCGTGGAGGGTGACCATCTGCAGCTTGTGTGCGCGCGTCGGCAGCCGGAGCTGGTGCGGGTGGAGATGCACGGAGGCGTCCGCGGCGTGGTGGACGTTGCCGGCCTCCGCCTGCGCGGAGTAGTAGTCGAGCAGGGGCGAGGTGGACGCGTAGAACTGCTGCAGGCGGCGCGCGAAGGTCTCCTGGGGGGTGGTTAGCGGGGTGATCCGAGTGCGTGCGGGGATGAGAGTGGAAATAGGGACTGGCGCGCGGCGGAGATACGCACGGGGTTGTCGTCGGGGCGCTTCGTCAGCGGCTCTCCCGTCTCGTCGTCGAGGCCGTCGATTTTAGGGGGGTTGTAGGACAAGTTGTAGACGCGGCCCGAGGGGAGGTGCACCCATCGGTCCGAGATGCGGCTGAGGATGACATCGTCGGGAACGTCGAGGTTCACGACGAGGCTGAGGGGCATGCCCTGCTTCCTGCAGTGCGCGTTAGTTCACGGAAGGATGTCTCATGTGATTGGCACGCACTTGAGGTGTGCGTCCAGCAGTTCTCCCTGCCCGAGAGTGCGCGGAAAGCCGTCCAGTATCCAGTGCTGGGGGCATGTGAATAGGAGCTCAGGTAGCATGGGGAGCGCTCCGGACCTTTCCCTTCAGCTCCTCGAGCTTGCTTGTGACCACCTTGAGCATGAGATCATCGGGGAGAAGGCCGCCCTGAGCGACGATCGCGTCCGCTTGACGCCCGATATCCGTGCTACGGAGAGCATGAGCAAGGTGCAGACGGCAAGGAAGTACTGGGGGCAGGAAGAGGACTCCGGCCATCCAGCAGTGTAGAACGCACCGTTCAGCTATGTGCTGCCGCAACACATCCCCCGACGAGATCGACACAATGTCGTACTTCTTCGTGAGCCGACCGGACAGCGTCCCCTTCCCCGCACCGGGCTTCCCAAACATGACCATGCGCAGAAGACGGTTACCCCCCTCCTCTTCTGTCTGCGCGCGGTGTACCGGCCTGAGCCCGAACGAAGGGGCGCCCCTCAGGACTGCCGACGCTGCATAGCCGCGCTGCCCGAGCTGTTTGCTAGCCAAGCGCATGTGGGAGAGGGGGAAAGCACAGGCGAGCATGGCGCAGCGAGGGGGGAACAGCGCGGGGTGCGGTAGGGTGAGGGAAGGAGGGAAGGAGGGAGCTGGGCGCGAGGCACAGGTTCGTTTTGTAGAAACCTTGGGGAGATCGGGGCGCGCCCCCTCAATACAAATGATCTCGGATTCGGACGCGCCATCCCGCCCACTTCCCGGCATGATGACTCACAGCAGCGGTCTGGCCATCGAGAAATCGTGTCATGCGACGTTCGAGAGGCGCCCACGGGCGGATTCCGAGTCCCACTCCACCTCTCGCTGCTAGCGAGTATCCGCGGAGGAGGTAGCTTTCATGCTCAATGGGCAGTCTCTTTCAGCGGCCGCTGGCTATAGCATAGTAGGATCACCGGGGTACATAGCGGATGCATGGACGGCGAATGCAGCCAATTGTACACAATGGAAACAACAGGAGGTAGGAGTTGTCGATGCTCCCATCGATTTTGGCGAGGGCGACATCTCCGATTCACCTTGATTTCGCCATCTCACGCGAGAGTGCTGTACCCTGAGCCCTACCGAAGCGCATACCTGTAGCCGATGGTCAGCGTCTAGCGGACCGCAGCGAACAGAGGAGCGAGACCCTACATTTTCACGACGTAGAGGCCTTCTGGGAGGCCCTCCTGCACCTGCTCCCGCACGAGACGAAGACCGGCTAACTCGAAGGCCTTCTTCCAAGCCATGTCAGACCTATAAACAAACATTAAGTTAGCAGGGATCACTGTCAACATCAGGTCACCCTACCTCGTCAGACTCGAGTCATCCTCATCGAAAGCTTCCCTCGGCTCGCCGTTAGGCCCGTCCGAGCAGCAATTCTCCTTGATCACGATGAGGCTCCTGGGACCCCGGAGGGACTGCCGGCTGCGCTTGAGGAACAGGATCAAGTCGGGATCGCTAAGATGGCCCAGACACCATTGACACCAGACGACGTCGAAACCGCTCTCTACTCCTTCGGGTTGGTATCCTACCCGACCGAGAACGGATACATCCTGCTCGGAGATCGGCGCGGATGGGTCGAAGGCTTGCAGGGTACCTTGGACAAAGGTCACACTCTTGGACTTGTCTTCTACACCGCGCCATTTTGCTTTGGTTTTGCCCTGGCCGCGTGAGAGCGCCACCTGAATGAATTGATCGACGGGCTCCAGAAGAACGACGTCGGAGACAAGGTGCAGCAGGGTGTCTGCGGTGACGCGTCCTACGCCTGCACCGACATCGAGCGCTCGATGTCTACGATTGGTAGAGAGGGGGGATGAGTCCAAAGGCTTGAGCGCAGAGGAGACCGTGCAGAGCTCGGGAAGTAGGTTGAGGAGGAACAGGCGGGATCCCAGGCTTTCTATGCGCGGTAGGGACTACATTTCCTGCACCATGTCAGCCAGTTTGAGAAGTTGTTAGAGAAGTGCGCACCCCGGTCCCAAATCCGCCTAGCAGGACGTTCAGCGTCGATCGCCACCAGCAGTACAACCTAAATACCTAGCACGCCGTCCTCATCGGCTGCAGCGATGATCAGATACTCGACGTTGGGTCGACAGCTGGCAGCGCACCCTTTTGTTTGTTCCAGTAGTCAATGCCATGCTCGACGACGGGCGTCGGAACAACTTCCTCTGCCGACATGGTGCAGAGCAGAAAATGTGGCCAAACAATGCAAAATAACGCGTCCATTTTGCCCGACGCCACGCGACTCGGACGCGTCTTCATCACCGCCATGGCCGCTCTCGACGCTATCTGGGACGACGACGCCGAGCTCGCGTCGACCTCGAGACCTGGTGCTAGTGAAGACAATGTTGGAAAATCCTCTGAACCGTTGTTCATCTATGGCGACGAGTCCGACACGGACAAGGACACTCGCGCGCCTAACGCGGCAGGCGGCGGTATGGACGACGCGGAGCTCGAGGCGATGTTCGACGAGGGTGCGCTGGAGATGATTGACGCGCGCGCGATACAAGCCAAGGCCGAGGAAGCCGTCCGGCGAGAGGAGGCGAGGCGACCAAAGAAAAAGCCAGCGGAGCGACATCAGATTCTGCCTAGCAGTTCGCCACCGCCGGAGGGGTTCGACGACCACGATGCTGGAGGCGCGAAGGCAGGGAAGGATGGAGAGAAGAAGCGGAGGAAACCTATTGTGCTAGACGAGTCGCGGTTGATCAGTCCTATCGGCTTTCCTCAGCTTATTGAGGATACGAAGAACTTTAAGATCAAGGGGAAGGGGCATGAGGTATGTTACTCTCATTTCCACTGCAAGGAGGGTTATTGACGCTTAACACGGTAGGCAACAGACCTCAACAGGCTGCTGAATATCTACCAATTCTGGGCACATCGAATGTACCCGCGAACGCAGTTCAACGACACAGTCGAGCGCATAGAGAAGCTCTGCCATTCCCGTCGCATGCACGTACGTTCCATAACATCCCTCATACGCGAATGTAACCTGACCCATCCCCTCAGAACCAGCTCGGCATGATGCGCGACGCCGCCTTCGGGAAGGCACCGAAAGAGGACGCGATAGACCTCTCGGACAGCGACAACGACGACGCACGAGAACGACCACAAAACGGCATCACACTCCCGTCCTCCTCGTCCCCACGATCTTCACCTCCCGCACGCAGCCGCGCATCCTCATCTCGCCCGCCATCCCTCCCACCTGATTCCTCCGACCCCGGCGACGCAGTCATGACCGACGGCACGCGCTCGTCCGCTGCGCCAGACAACGACGAGGACGCGGAACTGTGGGCAGCCATTGAGGAAGACAACAATGCAATGCTGAGCGCAAAAGCGCCTGCTCCGCGACGGCCACCCACTAATGACTTTGACGACGACATGGACGACGCGTTTGCCGTATTCGACGAGGTTCATGGGGCCGGAGGGCCGCCTCCTGCGCCACCACCCCCACCAGAGTTCGACATGGACGATGACTTTGCGATGATGGATGAGATCGAGGCTGAGCAACGGGCCGCACCACAATCATCATCAGCACCTGCAAAGGCCGATGATCAGTCCGCTAAACCAGCTGCCTCGCAGAATGGGGCAGCCGCTACTGCTCCGAACTCTTCTCCACCAAAGCCGCGGACAACTTCAGACGTCGAGGACGAGTGGAATGACGACGATATGTACGCTGATGATTAGTCTATCTGCGTGTAAATGAGTACTAGCGTTGTGGATACCCCTGCCCGAGGAGATACACTGAAGCTATACGAGGAGATACTACATGAAAGCTATATGAGGAGATGCACTAAATCCCCAAGAAAAGATGAGAATTACGAGTACCCTAGAGTAATGAACGGCTATTGCTATGCTACACAAAAGATTCTGGAATGAAAGGTACGGTCAAAGTCCGTATGCGCATAATCTACCCTGACGCGCAGCGCCGAGGGTACCTGGTCGTGCCCGCGCCTGGCTGGGGGTGTCGTTAATAGGCATCCCGTGATGGAGTCCTCCCAGATGAATGGGTCGCAGATGAAGTGCGCTGAGATGAAGCGTTCCCCATCCTCATCCTTCGCCTAAGCTCCGCGGCGTCGAGCTCGAGCGACCCCCTGAGGAAATCCGCGGAGTCGTCGCTCAGCCACGCGCACACGGCCACGCTCACTTTATGCGCCTCGCCCCGTGCCAGCCATCGCGCGGGGATCTCGACGGTCACGGTCTTGATCCAGCCGCGCGCGCTGCGCCAGTCGGACGGGCTTTTGCTGGCGAGCGTGCGCACATCGCAGTTCGTGCGCGTCCAATCGGCGCCGACGGTGAGGCCGGGTTGGCGGCGGCAGTCGAGGAGCGCGCCATCAGGGCCATTGGGCTGGCAGAGCCAGCGGCGAGAGGGCTTCAGATTCGTGGCGCGGGGAGGCGGGGTAGTGGGTTCGCAGGAGAGACGGACGTCGAGGAGACTGATGTCGGGGGCTGCGAGGGCAGAGCTATGCCAGCGCTCCTCGTCCTCGACAACTATGTGGAGGCCGAGTTGGCAAGCGATGGATCTGGAGATGGTGCATGAGTGGAATCCAACTATCGACCGTCAATTTCCGGCACTCACTTGTCTGCGGACTCTGGCCCGTTGACGACAGTCGTGCGGAGTAGGACCAAGCTAAGGCTCAGATCAGAAGCTCCAAGACGCAGTAGCCCACGGCTGTCCCGGATGATTTCGCCATAGTCCATAACGCTACTCTGGTCGTCGCTATTGTCGTCATCTTCATCAGAAACTGGTTCCATGCTCTCGTCCTCGACCAAGCCCGAGTCCAAAGAGACCGCCAGATGCTCTAACGGGTCGCGATGCCCTGCTCTTGACGACAGCCGCTGCTGGTAGCCCGGACCTCGCTCACCCGCCCGGGAAGCCGCCCAGTCTGGCTTTGGTGGCACCGGCGGCGGCGAGCACGAGCCTCGCGGCTCCGAGCTAAGCACCCACTCGCTGAAGTGCTCGGAATCCGAGTCGCCTCGGCTCGCGCTGGACCCGGTACAAAGGCTGCTCCCGCGCGAGCGCGTCAGACTCTTTCGGATGCGGCGGAAGATGCTCCTCGCGCCGCTGCCGCGGGGGCCTGGCAGGGCGGACGCGGCCACGGCCCCTGGCGTGGGCGCGCGAGGCCGCGCCGCAATCGACGCATAAGACGGCTGGCGGGAGACCGGTGTCGCAATCGGCGCGCGCCGAGACGAGGCGGACGATTTCCGCAGGCGCACCGAGGGCGTCTCGCCAAAGAGCGTCGTGGCAAGGCTCCGTCGCGGCTCTGTGGCGGGCTCAGCGAGGGACGTAGGAGGGGCCGGCTGGCGCCGCTTGCGAATGACGCCGTTCCAGATAGATGCCGTGCGCCTGCGCCTCCGAGGGGTTGAGTCCTCGGTCTCAGCGGGGCACTCGTTCTCGCGGCCACGCTTCTTGCACGAGGCCGGCGCCGCGCGCAGTTTCTGCGGTGCGGAGATCACGAGAGGGGCGGCCTGGTTGTGCTTCCGCGCAGCGGAGAGGGAAGGGAAGGAGAGTCTACTGGTCAAAGGTGCCATCGTGAAGTCGTGAGGCGGGTCAGGTGAGCGTACAAAAAAGAAGGGGTGGGTTTGTGAGGGAGAAAAGCCGGTTGTTAGGTGAAAGGGAATGTGGTTGTAATGAACAGAGAAAAACAAATCGGATCCAGCCGATATCTAGAAAGTCCCGCAGGGGAGATGGTGGGAGAGGATAAGAGGCGTACCGGCCCTTATGTGAACGCGCACTTTGTTACATCAAACGTAGATTGGGCTTATTGTTCTTTGTTCCCAGAAAGGTCTGCGCTTTCCCGCGGTCCGATATGATGACGCACGTGTCAACATCTTCGTTCGTGAAGTGCCATACCACAGAGTTGAGAATGTGAGGAACTTGTCCTCCGGAGCGATGCTGTCTTGCTCACTGTTTTGACGCAAGAAAAATACACAATTTATCCTTGTTTGCGCACGTCCGTGTTGATGTGTAACACCTGTCACTGTCACGTTCGCCGTCATCTGCAACGCTCATTCTCAAGGAGTATGCGTCTTGGCCCGTATCGTCCACCGTTCCTTGGGCGTTGATATTTACCGTATCTGATTGCTGACAATTGTGTACTCTCTCACCTGGCAAGCAAACAGATCTAAGGTGTCGTGGACTTGCATCAAGGCTTCGCGGCAGCTGCTGACTTGCGCAACTTTGCAGAGCGGGCTTTAGCACCCATCCAGTGCCCGAACGCCGGCTACTTCCCGCCGGCTCTTACAGGTCTCTTATCTACTGCAGGGTCAGTACCTGCGTTAGTGACGCCTGTCTCCCTTTGCGCCGCGAACGTCTAGCCGAAGCCTGCAAGCTGTCCCGGTCCGGTCCCATGTCCTGTATAGACTGGCGCGAGGAGGTGATGGTGTACGTGTTGAACTTCTAGAGTCCGCTGCTCGCTTATAGGCTCGGGGGGCGAGGCGCTGAATACAAGGGAGATCGCTAGTTGTTAGCATTCAACATTCAGATGAACTGGCGACGATCTTACCTTGGTGCCTGGGTCATGTCGTCAAACAAGCCTGTCATTCAGGTTCTCTCTGTGATTTCGCTGAGGACTCCAAGGTAACATCTATGTGTGTTATTTTCGGTATGCGGAGCCCTTCAAGAAGTCGTTTGAAAAGGGAGGTGTCATCCCGACCGATTGAAGGTCCTTGCGCGTGAGTCTTCCCCCCTGGCCCGGTGCCTTCGCTGAGTACTGATGCAATGCAGATTGCCTTGCTCAACGGACCTCCCACGAAGATGAATGTATGTCTCCCACAAATTTTCGACATGGATGTCAACCACGATGTGACCCTCGACTACATTCGCTCGATCTTTGTTTCACTTTAAGAGAACGCCGAGGCCCACGACGCAGGCCCGGATAACGGGTGAGAGTCCCCTCCTGACGTCCTTCCCTTCGAAGTTGCGTATTGGGCTTACCCAGCAGCGGCAGGCATGACTCGGTGGATATTCTTGAAACAGGAAAAAGCGAGCTCCTGGGGCGATCGAGGGCGCGTGGTCATTCCCTTGTCCTCCAAGAGGAAATAGCAGTCGCTCCGAATAGGCGATAGCCTCAGCGGCCGATGACCATGGTTTGGGCATGAGGCGAGCGAAGGCGGAAGATGAGCGGCGGTCAGGCCGCGTGATGGCAGGTAGACGTAAAGCGCGGGGTTAGATGATGTGTATCGGCTAGAACGCGGGCCTTCAACCAGCGGGGCCCGGCTTCGCTTTCCTCCACGGTAGAGACGAATATAAGCGAGCGGTACGATCAGAAGCCCTTTCGTCTTTGGCCGCCTCCCCTTCCCGTCAACCATGTACGCTTCCAACTTTGCAGTATCCCGCCAGCAGTCGTATACGCGCAGCACCGCGCTCGCGTCAGACATCCCCACAGAACCCGACATCGGGAGCTCAGGCCCCGAACAATACGCGACGAGCTACTATTATGGACAGCCCACAGGATTCGCAGGATCAGGATCAGCCTGCACCTCCTCCGTCGCCTATGCCGCCACCGCGCATGATTCCCCCTGCATTCCGACTCTCGAGCCCGGATTGCACGACTGGAGCGCACAACTCAGTCAACCGTTTGCGGCGTCGTATGGGGCGGCGTACGCCACCAGCGTTCCCTACGCCTTCAACACCGCTCCTACGCCGGCATACGTCCAGCCTCAGGCTTCTTCGTACGCGCCTGATCTCCAGCTCCAATACCCGTACGATGACTTCCATGCGAATCCCTCGGCATACGCCGGCCAGCATTGGGAGTCTCAGGCGCAGCTACCTCCTCCGATGTCGTCGATGGCGGATCTCCCCGCCTCCTCGAATTCACGGCATTCGACCGCAACGGCTTATCACGAGGACGCCGCCTCTTATAAGGGCGCGGTCGCTGTCGCGATGTCGTCGTCTAGCCAGCGCCGACCTGCCATCGCGAGCCCCCTCCCTCGCCCAGCATATCGCGCCATCCCGCCGCCTGCAGCCCACTCCCGCGTCCACACCCCATCAGACATGGCCATACAGTACAGCCGCAAGCCCGCCGCGCTGCCAGTACTTGCGAAGTCGAAGCCAGTATCGTCTTTGAAGCGTAAGGCGCACGATGCAGAGCGCGTCATTGTTCCACCTACGCCTGCTCCCCGCGAGAGGAAGCACGCCTGTACGATGTGTTACAAGAGGTACAATCGAACATCTTCTCTGCCACTTATACCTGCTGACGTCGTTTCAGGTTCGATCGCCCCAGCACTCTGAAGAAGCACATCTTGGTCCATACTGGCGAGAAAGGTGTGACAGCTGCTACCCGATAGCCGGACCTTCTTGCTGATAACGGGTGACAGCTTTCGAATGCACGCACTGTCAGCGTCGCTTCAGTGTCGCGTCAAACCTCAATCGTCACATGAAGAAATGTATCTTGAAGCAACAGCAGCCCCTGCCCTACGGGCAGCCGCCGAGCTCCTCGCCGACAGAGGCCCGCGGTGGCGCACTCATCGGCCGTGCGTCTTCGCACTCGCCGCCTCCTCCCATCGCTCGCCGTATCACTGCCGCTGCGAGCATCTCGCCCCCTCCACCTCCGCCGCCGCCCCCACCGCCTCCTCATCCCTCGAAGCGCATCCGTCGCGCGCCCTCCCCGACTCGCTTCGTCCCAGCGTCTCTCCGCGAGTTCAACTTGCAGACGCCCGAGGCTGCCGGCGAGTGCGCCATGCCCGCCCCTCCTGTGCGTCCTGGCGACGCGATCCCGCTTCCCGACGCCGAAGAAGAGCTCGTCGACCCCTGCCGCATCACCGAGGCCATGTTTGCGCTCCTCTCGCTCCGCTGCGAGGACGACCCGACGCCGCCGCCGTCCGAGTCCGCGCAGCGGAAGCCGAAGCGTCCCGTTCCCGCCCCATGCGCGCAGCGCGCCGAGGAGCGCGACTCGTACCAGGAGAATGTCCATCCGTACCCGTGCTCGCGCGAAGGGTGGGCGAGCAAGCTGCCGGGACCGGCGCTTGGGCTGATGGGGAAGGGAATTGGGCAGCTGTATCGCACGGCGTCGTCGGCGTGGGATGAGATGACGAATGTGTTCAAGGTGAAGCCTCAGGATGTAACCGAGTCTAAGGCTTGAGAATGGACTGTCGATACGGGCTACTTATCCATCTTGGTCTGTCTGTTCTTTGTGATACCCTCTGACTTACTTAGCGTAGCTGGATAGTGATGTCTTTATGAAGTGCTTGGAATATATGGATCGAATTCATGTGATGATGCCCCCCGACGGAGGGTCATGGCAAGAGCGCGTATCCTTTTATAGACGAGGTGTAGGTCTTTCTCCGTGTCACGTCAAAGTCGAACTGTGACATCACATGATGATCACGGCAGGTACATATGAACGGCCCGGAATCAGACCGCCCGCTTCCCTTCTCTCTTGCGCTGACGTTGCGAAGCGAGGCTTTTGCTCTCTGCAGGGACCAACCACCAAAGCTATAGCTCATGGCATCTTCTGATAGCGACCCAGCTGTTCTTCTGCAATCAGTGCGCTCATGTCGTGCCTCGTGGTAAACAGACATCCTAACGTGCAGACAGGTAGCTGACGACGCCTTACGGGAAATACTCTACGAAAATGCCCCTTTTCAGACGATCAGCCAGCGAGAGCTGGTCAACAGCCTCGCTTCTGACAAAGCCCGTCGTATTCGGCAACTCGACGCAGAGATGGAACGCCTGACGGACGTCGTCTCACGCCTTGCGGCTGAGAAAGATCGGATCGTCCAGGATCACCACGTCTGTAGCTTGGCCCTGAACTCGCCTATCCGAGCTGTGCCAGCGGAGATCCTCTGCGAGATCTTTGAGCTATGTGTCGAACGCACCCCTTGGCACGAGCATCCACGCTCGATCCTTGACTCCGCTCCGCTTGCAGTCTCGTCGCTACTCGTAATGACTTGGACCTGTCGCAGGTGGCGTCAAATAGCACACGGGACGCCCTGGCTGTGGCGAGAGCTGACTTTGGGATGGAGGATGATCGATCATCGCTTTGCTGGCGCTTGTGTACGAGAATGGCTGACCCGCGCCAATACCCTGCCGCTTACCTATACGGTCGCTGCCCAACTACGTTCAGAGGGCCTTCCGACCCGACCACTGCTCATTCGGGACTTCATCGGAACCAGTGTAGTATTCCCGACGCAAAGAATGCGGCGTTTGCGACTGGTTGGCTTTGCGATGGACATCACACTGCCTCTGTCTACCCTTCCGTCAGATTCTTTTCCTTTACTGGAGGAACTCCAACTCGACTACCTCAAGGACCCAGCGAGCACCCCTATACCCACGACGGCCAGGGGCACAGAAATAATCGCTTTCGCGGAGTCATTGAGGTTCACCGTACTTCATCTGGAAGGATATATTCACAAGGGTGTCATCGAGTCTCTTCCATTGTCGCGCATAACCTCCTTGTGGCTTCAACTGGGTTCTCGTGCTGAAGCTGCTCTGTCTTGCAACGTCCTGCGTCGATGCCCCAACCTCACGTATCTCCGTTTGCATGCGGAGTATGCGCCTCGTGACCCTCACAACGACAGCTCGCTCATTACTTTGGACAAGCTAGAGACTCTGGGCGTCTATGAAGGCGCATACGAGATCTGGGAAGTGCTCAGCACCCCTCATCTCAAGAAACTCGAGTGGATCGCGAGAAGTTGCGAGTTCAATCACTACGTCTCTTCCTTCCTCGCACGCGCCCCTTGCCTCACATCGGCGACTCTGGTCGATGTCTTCATCGATGATGTTGCCGATGTCCGGGTTATCCTGCGCCTACTCCCGCGGATCGAGTACCTTGCTCTGCGTCGTTGCTCCCTGAGCCTTGCCCAGATGTACGACTCGTTGACTGTCCGTACTGGATCAGAGACGCTGGTCCCATGCCTTCGAAGCCTGGTGCTCGAGGACATTAACTCGTTTCAAGGCACTCCCTCGGTTGACGCCCTCGGCACCGTAATGCGCTCGCGGCGGGCGATGTCGGATGCCTCGCCAGCACACCACCTTCGCGTTGAATTGAACTGTCCCGACTTTGTGGAACCCGATGACGAAGTTGACCGTAAACTTGAGGCGATGCAAGAGGAGGGGCTAGATTTACATCTCTATTGATCACTTCGTGAGTCCCCCCATCCGCGCTCTACCCATCGATCTCATCACTGCGATACTGAAGTCTACTGTCGATTGTACACCTTGCGACCCGAGCTCCGAACAGACATACATCTCGACAGTCCTTTCCCTCCTGAAGACGACTCAGGTCTGTCGGGCACGGCGGCTAGCTATGCACGGGAAGCCCTCGCTATGGAGCGAACTCATTCTGAAGTGGCGGCCCATATCTCGCGCGCCCTACCATCACGAATTGCAGGCGTGTATCACGCAGTGGTTGTCTCTTGCAGGCGACTTGCCTCTTTCCCTAACGATGCGGGACTGTACGATCATGCCGCCGAATAGCACATGGTATCGCAAGATACACTGCGTCCCCTCCAGCGTGCATTTCGACGAGCCTTGAAGAGGGAGCAGGAAAAAGAGGAAGAATGTCATTCGTAAAACATAACCAGATGTTGAGTAGCGGACGATGTGGGACGTGTCGCGTCTACGTCGGGTGGTCTATTTCCCCTGCCGACCATGAATACTTCCCGGGTTTCCCTGACGATGGGCGCGAAAGCCTTCGACAGATGAAGGAGGAAGGACTTGATATCGAGACTGGGATGTAAATAATGAATACAGCCGCATGTGGGTCTGAGGAAGTGGAGAGGAAGGATCTTAGCGAGTGTACAGAATATCAAGCCTATAGCAGGATATGATCTCTTTGGAGTAAGTGCAACGACCTTGAAAGCCTTTTCCATCATGAAGCGCGTCCTTAATTTACTCGAGCAGAAGCGTCTTATGCTGTCGCATACTTTGTGGCACAGATATCCCACTTGAGAACAAAACCAACCAAATACGGAAGTCATCAAATCCATTGTTCTTGACCACGGACTCCATGTCCGGCCATGCAAGCACCTTACCAAGCTATCGCACCTATAGCACTCGCTAGCTTCGCCGAGCCAGTCACCGCAGTCTCATTTGACCTCGCCTCCGACACCCTCTGGGCGGGCACGAACTCGGGCTACATCAATGCATTTCACGGCACACAGGGCGCGCGCGGCGTCTGTTTCGCGGTTGGCGGCAACCTCGCGGTTAAGAAGATCGTTGCAGGGGATAGTGCCGTGCGCGCGTTTGGCGCGGGGAGCAACGGCATTGGCAGTTGGAGCAAGGGTGGCGTGAACAAGTGGTTCCATCGGTGCGCGGCGCGTTGTCTGGTCTGGTTATTCGACTTATGTGGCTTCAGATGGAAGCCCCCAACGAATGTCACGGCATTCACTAGCACCTCCTACTCTTCTCATACCCTCGCGGTCGCTGCAACGGTCCCGGAGATCGCGCTGCTGAATGCGGCGACAGGCAGCGTCGTGCGCACGAGCCCTGCCGCGACAGTGATAACCCAGATGGACTTTAGCCCATCTCTCCTACTCGCAGGATGCATGGATGGGTACCTCAGGGCGTACGATCCGCGCACGGCGCTCACCCCGAACAGCGGGCCTAGTGCAATTCGCGCGCACTCAAACAGTGTGCAGGGCGTGCAAGTGTCGGGGAACGAGGTCTTCACGATCGGCATTAGTATGAGGTGCGTCTGCCTGCGCGTAAAGATATCTAATGTGCTGATGCGACGCGTAGACAGAATCGCCCGATCCCTGATCAGCTTGTCAAGGTGTTCGATCTACGCCAACTTGCGACACCAGCGACCACGATTCTGTTCAATAGTGGACCATCCTTCATCTCCGCTATTCCCAAACGCCCGTCATGTGTAGCCATTGCGTCCGCTTCCGGTCTTGTCAACATCGTAGACGCGACGAAGCCTGCTGCATCAAGTAACGAGTTCTATCAGGTGCGTTCTAACGTCGTTAAGTACGGATGGAATTTCAACTTATCACCTTCGCAGCTCGATACTTCCTCCTACATCACTTCGATGGCTGTGTCGCCAACGGGAACCTACATGGCTTTCGGTGACGCGGACGGAATGATCAACCTTCTATCCCAGGCTGACGAGTCGGCCGTCGTGCCCTTCAACGGATTTGATGGCAAGCCTGTTGAGTGGGCAGACACAGTGCCGCCCCTACCTGACATCGAGTGGGATGAGCACACGTACGTTCCCATGATTCATTTCCAACCACTCCGGCTAAGGATCTTGGTAGACCTTTGAACTCCATCGGATTGCCTTATTACGAAGAACCTCTGCTTTCTGCGTGGAGCCCTCGCAGGAGCACGAACTTCTACCCACCACCCATGAAAATACCGCCGCAAATTCTCAGCGCCCTGAAATTCAACGACAATGTCGGCTACGCACCGTTGCCTAAAGAGCTGAAGGGCCGCCGTAACATGACACTGACTACCGCACGTCGGACGAACGGTCGGTTCAGAAGTGGGAAGGCAAGGGGGCAGGTAAGTCTCACATGACTTACTCCTGACGTCGGAGGATCTCACCATCATGCAGGATGCTGGAATCGACCTTGATGATACAGCGGACGAGGTTCCACGAATATACCGTCGCGTCGAGATCGAGTACTCCAAATTCGGTGTGGAAGACTTTGACTTTGGGTACTTCCCTCCACGCATCGAGAGTCGCTCAGCTTACCCTTTCAACTCAGCTTCTACAACAAGACCGAATATAGCGGCCTGGAAACACATATTCTCAACTCGTATACGAACTCCTTGGTCCAAGTGCTGCACTACTGTATGCCGATACGGCGGATAGCTAAGTCGCACATCACGACGAACTGTCCGCGGGAGCACTGCCTTTTGTGCGAGCTCGGCTTTGTTGTTCGCATGCTGGAAGATGCACGAGGCACGAATTGCCAGGCGAGCAATTTCTGCCGAACTGCTCGCGTACTGGCGCAAGGTAAACTACCTTGCCACGGACTTTTGTCAAATACTGATGTTCCTGATACCAGCTACAAATGCGATTGAGCTGGTCGACTATGGCCGGGAGCCTGCCAATGTGGACTACGCCTCGATGATCCAGACCTTCAACCGCTTCCTCGTCGACAGCATGAGCTCCGAGGGGAATGCTTTCCCGCAGAACCCGGTCCTCCTTCCCTCTTTACGACCTGCAGACGCGCATTCCCCAGCGGCGGCTCCCGTTACGCAGCTTATGGGCCTCGACGCGAAGACGCTGGTCATCTGCCGCACCTGCAACGCCGTCCGGGAGAAGGAATCCATGACGCACGTCGTTGACCTAACCTACCCGCGCAGGGTACGCTTCATTTAAGTTCGCATGGGAATCCTATCCTGACCCGCCCCCAGTCCCCCAACGACACCTCCACGCCGGACTTTGCTTCACTCGTGCGCGGCGCGCTGTTGCGCGAGCTCACACACAAGGCGACGTGCCAGAGCTGCAAGCGCTTCTCAACGTTCACCTCGCGGCGCACGATCCCCTCGCGGGAACTTCCACCGCTGTTGGCCGTCAACACCGCGGTGCACGACGAGGAGACCTTAAGGCCGTGGTTGGATGTAAGGCGGCAGCGGTTCTTGACGCCTCAGGTCGAGCTGCGCGGGGATATCAATGGGGTGGACGACCAGGAGACGGCCCTGTATGAGATCAGGGTGAGTCGGTCGTCTGAGCGATGCGGATTTGTGCTGATGCGAGGCATAGTCAATGGTTGTGCAGATTGTGGGCAAGGACCGCAAGCCGCATTTGGTTGCGATCGTCAAGAGTAAGGTTGGATTTTTCCCTCATTGAACGAATGCTGACAACTATATCGCGTAGTCCCTGAGGCGGAGAAGAGGACTGATCTAAAGAGCCCATGGTTCGTTTTCAACGACTTCGTTGTGGAGAACATCACAGAGGCGGAGGCGTTAAGCTTTCCCGCGCCCTGGAAGGTACGCGCGGTGATGCTCTGACGGGCACGAGTAGCTGAATCGTCTGCCAGGTCCCTGCCATCGTCTACCTCGAGCGCGTCGATGTCCGAGAATCCCTAGACTACAGCGGCCTCCCGGACGTGATGGATCCCGCTATCCTCTGCAAAGATAGCAATATCGCGGTGTGCGTCTCTCTCTCACTCCACTCCACGCTCACCCCCTTCCCCCGCAAATTGCCCACTCGATTTCTCCGAACTCACCTCCCTCCCCTTTCCACAGTAAACGCGACAAATCGCGCATCAAGCACGAGCTCCTCCGCCCCGACGAGCTGCCCACGCCCGGCACCATGGTCGCCATCGACGCCGAGTTCGTCTCCATGCAGCAAGAGGAAACAGAGTTCCGCTCCGACGGCACGAAGCGCGTTATTCGTCCCGCGCGGCTGAGTTTGGCGAGGGTGTCGGTGTTGAGGGGCGATGGACCGAAGCAGGGGGTGCCGTTTATTGACGACCATATCCATACGAGTGAGGTGATTGTGGATTATCTGACGGAGTTTAGTGGGATTAAGTGTGAGTGGACGGGTTGCATCCATACTCTATACTACTCCCTGCAAGGAACGAAGGATGTGCTGACAACACGATAGTTGGCGACCTGGACCCGGTGCATTCGCCGTATACGCTAACGCCGCTGAAGCTGGTGTACAAGAAGTTGCGCCTGCTGGTGGATCGGGGGTGTATCTTCATCGGGCATGGACTGTCGAAGGACTTCCGGATTATCAGTGCGTTTACTCCCTCGCCTTTTCCTTCTTTCACCTTCTTCCCCTCCCGCCCTTCCTCCCAAGGGTATTACGAACCAAAAACTAACCCCCCACCCAAGACATCTTCGTCCCTCCGGACCAAGTCCTCGACACCGTCGACCTCTACTTCGTCCGCGCGCGCCAGCGGCGCCTCTCCCTCCGCTTCCTCGCCTGGTTCGTCCTCGGCGAGCAAATCCAGACGGACACGCACGATTCGATCGAGGATGCGCGGAGCGCGTTGAATTTGTACAAGGCGTATCAGCGGATGGAGGAGGAGGGGACGTTTGATCGGAAGTTGGAGGAGCTGTATCGGGAGGGGAAGCAGTATGTGAGTAGGTTTTTTGAGGGGTTTTTGGGGGGAAGAGGGTTTGGGGGAGAGGGTTTTGTTCGAGGGGAGGCAGGGGTGAGGACAAGTGCTGATCACCTAACGTACAGAACTTCAAACCCCCGGTTCCCGCTGCGCCGCAAGCCCCCTCGACGCCGACGAATGGCGCTTCCGCTGCTGCTGCGTCGTTGTTCGGCAGTCCCATGGGCACATCGCTGGGACAGCTGACGCCGGTGCAGCTCAATCAGTTGGTGGCGGCGTTCAGTGGGCAGATGTTGGGTGGTGGGTATCCTGGTGGGCAAGGTGGGCAGGTGTACCCTGCGAGTCCGGGGAATCCGGGCTCAGGGTACAGGAGTACAACGCCGACGTATGGTGGAACGCCAGGCTCAGGGTACAGGACGCCGCCTGCATCGGGCTTCAACACTGCGCCAAGCTCGACGTTCACTACGCCGTCATCGACGTTCAACACCACGCCATCGTCCACATTCACCACCCCGTCATCTACGTTCACCACACCGTCGTTCAACGCCACGCCATCGTCCAGGTCGGGCTATACCACGCCTACGTCGACGTTCAACCCCGATGCACCACTGACTGGGACGCCGCCGCCGTTTAACCCCCAGCAGGCGTTCTATCCGAGTCCGGATCGTAATTGGCGGCATAGGTAGTGATTGGCGGCATAGGTAGTGATTGGCGGCATAGGTAGTGATTGGCGGCATAGGTAGTGATTGGTGGCGAAGTGGGTAGAGGTTGGCGGCACAGAGGCCGAGACGATGTATTTCTTGACTCTTTGCTGTAGCCGTAGTGATTCCTTTCTGTGTGTTGTATGTAGACTGACCTGATTCATTGCTCTGTGATTGCACCGCGACCCGGTCGGTGAATGGTTGGCCTTTGAGGGGATGTAAGCGTATGCTTGTCGGGCATTCGCGAGCGAGCATCTGATCAGTATCCGAAATATAGTATACATATGTAGGATGAGTGATGTACATTTCCAGGCATCAGAAGTCGAGATCGTCATCGAAATCCTTCCGTCGCTGGTACTGCTGCAAGCGTCAGCGAACTGCGAGAAGAGGGGAATACGACACGCACCACGATCGTGGACTTGGCAGCAGGCTTGTTGCCCCCTGCCCCTTCCATCTAACACACTTGATCAGCAGAGTTCACTGCTCAAAGTCAGGGCCACGCACCTGGTCCAGCAAGTCGATCAGTTGTGCCTCTGATATCCTCCCCCGAATCTGGCCCGACTGCACCAGCCGAACGAGTATCGTTTCTATCTGCCTTGACCTCTCCGGGCTCACGAGGGATATCCTCGATACTGCTCTCACTCGATCAGCATCCGCATCTCCCATGAATCCCTCGCACACTTACGCCTCTCTCGCGCGGCGGGCTCGAGGACGGTCGCCATGAGATCCCGGCGCATCTGCTCCTCCTGCGCGCGCTTCGCGGCCTCCTCCTCCGCGTTCTCTCCCTGTGCCGGGGCGGCTCCTGGGATCTGTCTGAGGTCCATTGTGGGTGTGTGTAGGGGATGCGGAGAACAAAGAAGTACGGATTAGGAAGGAGGGCGGCACCGACGGCACGCGATCACATGATTGATGCTCAGATGAGGTTCCTGAGGGGGGCTGTGGCGTTCAATCACCGCGCTTGGCTCCTGCGCTCATGGCATGGGAGAAGAGACTTCGCTCAGTCTGCTGAGACTCTCTGAAGCTGACTTCATGGCTTGTATTCCCTCTGGACTGAATGTACGCCCCCACGCGAGCTCGGCATCCAAAGCCGAACGCCATGTGGCCCTCGCCCCAGCCTCCTGTCGATCGCAGGCTGCTTTTCCCTCACGCGCCCTCGACCGAGGCGCGTCCTATCGTCGAGCGGTTGCCTTTTTCCCCTTTCCTCCTTCATACACGTCTTTTCCACTCGATTCCCTTTCCTCCGCCTCCCCATTGCACCCCCATCGACCGATTCTGAATCATGTCCCGCCGCGTGCACCTGTGGCAATTCCCTTACGATGCCCTGCTCGAGCGGTACATGACCTCGACCGCGCACTATACCCGCGTGCTCGAGCGCACTTCCGAGCGCGACGGAGATACATTCGAGATGCGCGACGCCGGGGACGGTGTGAGTGAGCTGCATCCTTTCCTCGCGACGTGCGCGTAGAAGGATTGGCTGACAGGCATAGTAGTACCAGTGTCGCACGATAATCAACCGTCATCCAAGCTGCACCTGCCCGGATAACTTTAGACCGTGCATGCACCTAGTGCGTTGGATTCCCTTCACGTTCCCACTCCTTTCATTCGTTCCCATTCTTCTTGAACCACGCCACCTGACGACCGCTCCCAGATCCATGTATTCCTGCACATACTCGGAGTACCCGCGATGTACGATGTCTGGTACCAGCCCGAGCTCGACGATCATACCTTGGAAAGCCTGCTGAGGCATCCCATCGGTGACAGAAGTGCCCGCACATCTCGGCCCTCCTTTCCTATGCAAGACTTTGCCTCCCCCGACTCCATATACCCCGACCACGATTTCTTCTCCGCGCCCATGCAGGGTCCTCAGTTCACTGGCCCGCGCATCAGCACTGTGGGCCAAAACTCCTCCCGACGACGCCCGAGTTCATCCTTTGACCATGCGGGTTCATCCATGCACCGTCCGGGCGCGTCTCTAGACCTTCCGCGCTCCTCGCTCGACCTTCCGCGCTCCTCCCTCGACCTCCCGCGCTCCTCTCTCGACCGTCCCAGCACATCCTTTGACACTCCCCGCTCCTCCTTCGATCACCCAAACTCCTTCGACCGCCCAAACTCATCGTTGCACCGCCCAAGCACATCCTTCGACTTCTCGCCCTGGAACATCGACGACGCGGACGTAGGCGACGCTCTCCTACAAGGCCCATGCGCTAGCATCGGGCAGTACAGGGCAGGGATACGGCAGCTTAACATCAATGGGGCGTCTCTGGACCTCAACAAGTCTCAACTCGAGGAGCTGAGGAGAGCGTCTCTCGACGACCTCCATCAGACGTCAGTAGACTTAACAAGCTCGTCGGCGCTGGAAGGCTTGCAAAGCACATCAGCCCTGACCCTCGACTCGCCGCAGAGCCTGTTCGAGCAGTGGTCGCCCACCGTGTTGACGCCTACGGGCACAGGACCGGAGGTGTCCACGAACTCTTCCGGCGTGTCCCCAAAGTCTTCTGGCGGGTCACCGAACGTGTTGCTGGGTGACTGCGGTGGTCACTCAGCCGACTACCAACTCACGCCCGAGCTTCTGGCTGCCGCAGAAGACGTCCTCGAGCGCGAGATCGCCAGTCTCTCGACCAAGCGACCCTTTGAGGACGATGCACGGGAGTCGGAGCGCGGGACTGCTGGAATGAGGGCAGAGCGCAAGGTAGCTGGAACGAGGGGAGAGCGCGAGTTGGCTGGGACGAAGCTTGCGGGCAAGAGGTCATTAGAGACGGAACCTATGCCCGCTACCAAGCGCAACTACGCGGAGGATGACGCAGGGGGGAAAGGACGAGAGGCGGACGACCGGGCCCTCGACAGCAGTACAGACCGACAACCAGCCAAGCGGGCGCGGCTCGCGGAGAATGAAGGGCGAACCCGCGCCGTTCGTTGGTGCAGCTAGCTTCGTCAGCTTCGACACGTAGCTGCTTCGTGGATTGGCTGGTCATGTCGAGCTCTTTTGGTGGGCGATGGCGGGCTCCTTCGGCGGAATGCGACGCTGATAGCCGGTCGAGGTGGGAGAAGGACCTAGTCTTGGATTTGGCTGAGGTGGGAGAGGCCCGAGGTGATGTGGGCGAGGGAGGAGGAAGATGCGGCTGCCCAGTTTCGCGAGCATGTTGATACGAGCCGGTGCTCAGCTTACGATTAAGGCGTACATCTGATAATTATATACCACGCATTCCTTACGACCCCTCCTTTGTTGTTTGTGCTTGTAGGAGCCGCCAGTAGTCCAGCGCGTCAACGTGGAGGGGGCTACATACTTACATTCGCCCACCAACCTGTCAGTCGCGCCGAAGCCTTAGACTCGCGCCGCCGAAGGCACCAATTTGTGGCGTAAGGCCGCTCGGAAAATCCAGCCACGTGGCCGTGCCGCTTTCTTCCCACCGTCATGAAGTTCAACTTGCTATCGCTTTCAATCCGTCGCCGCTTGGCATCTCGCACGCACACGTCGCTGTCGGTGTAAGGTGACTGCAAGGCCTTTGAGTGGCGATTGCAGGGGCTTACAACTATCGCCTCGCGCCGCTGCATGCGTGGCAGAGTACAGGCGGCCGGCGCGATAGGTACTTCCGTATACATACCACGGCCTTGGCCACGACGACGTCGATCAGGATGTCCAGCACGTTCTATCCTGATGTCCAGCACGTTCTATCCTGATGTCCAGCACGCTCTATTCCGATGTCCAGCACGGTCCCGATATCGAGCTTCGCGCTCGCGTGACCGCCCTCGGGGCTTCTGCACTCAGCCTGCCACATGGGATCCTCGCCCACCGCTCCCTCGCTGGATGAATGGGACACTCGCGGAATGTATAATACCCCACTCTCGGAGTGAATAACGCCCCTCTCGTCCCATATGCACGCCCACAACATGGCTAGCGGCGCGAATTCATGGCTGGCGACTCGAATTCATGGCTGGCGGTGCGACTGTCAATGCATGGCTGGCGGCGCAACCGCTCCCGAGGGTCATATCTATGTCGGCCTTCTCAGTCTATACCCTCGAGAAGTAGCAGTCCAGCGGTATCGCACGGTCAGGCGTTCCTAGCCACGCCGCCGACAATGTGGTCCCATACAAGGGGCGCGTCTTCTCATTCTCGTCTTTTCTAACCCGTGTGCGGATTATGAGAAGTACACGGGACATGGGAAGCGTGCGGGACATGGGAAGCAAGCGGCTGGGTCTCCGCCTCTCGAGGTGCAGGCAAGGTGGGAATGGTACCTATTCCCGAGCTGCCGTGGTCTCCGAATCGGTGGTGCGCGTTGCTCTGCGTACGCGTATCTTGGTCTCTGAGCGCCCGACCATGATTTCCCGAGGCTATAGGTGAGATCACTGGCAACTGGATTCACCGCTTTTAGCGTCTGTGGACGGTCTTTGCGGCGTCTCCGTGTTTGCATTGACACTGACGTGCTCACAGGATCCACAAGGAGCGTATGGTCAGCCGCCCTCGCACGAAATGCTCGGCGCGGAAGCCTTGCAGGCCTAGCCACGATGGACAAAGGACATGATTATAGACGCGAGGGTACAGTAATTCCGCACCACGCGTCCCCTCCACGCGCGCTCTCTTCTATCAGCTTTCCCACCTTCGCACTCACCCATCCTGCATTGCTCTCCAGGCCCAAGACCACCCTCCCCCCGGATCATTCATGATAACACCCAGCAAGGGGACGTATATAAGCAGGCTGGGTGGCAGCCCATAGCTCCCCAAGGTCAAGGTCTCATCCTCCGATCTCCTACACCGGTCTACCAGCTAGCAGCCATGTTCTTCAAGGTCTCCTCGCTCATCGCGCTGGCTCTGGCCGGTAGCGCGCTTGCGACGCCGCTCGCCCGCTCGGAGGACCTCAAGGTCGAGCTGAGCGGCGCGGAGAGCGTGACGTCCATCGACGACGTGAAGATCACGGCGGCGGTGACCAACACGGGCTCTGAGGCGGTCAAGGTCCTCAAGTACGGTACCGTCCTCGACTCGCAGCTGCCGACGCGCTCGTTCCACGTGACTAAGGACGATGCTGACGTCGCCTTCACGGGTATCAAGGTCAGTATCGTGTTGGATGGGCTCGACGGTATGCTGAGGACTGGCGCGTAGATGCAACTCTCCATCCCCGACCTTACCGATGAGGCCTTTGCCACCATCCAGCCTGGCGAGACCGTCACCGCTGAGCACGCTGGTGAGTCCAGTTTTGCTAATCCAAATCTCATAGTGCTGACACTGCGCCAGTCTCCGCGCTCTTCGACTTCGAGTCCGCCGGCGAGGGCGCCTACACCTTCGAGCCGGTCACCACCTTCATGGTCGCCAGCGGCGACAGCCTCGCGCCCGCCTCCGACATGCTCAAGACCAAGGTCGCCGCCAACGGCCTGACCATCACCATCACCGGCGACCTCGCGAAGCGCTCCATGGCCGTCGAGAAGCGCGCGCGCAACATCTGCACCAACTCCTCCTACTCCTCCTTCATCAACTCCGCGTACTCGGAGGGCAAGTCGCTCGCCTCGACCGCCGCGTCGTACATCGCGTCCGCCGGCGCGAGCGACTCCCTCTACCGCGCGTACTACGGCAGCACGAGCACGTCGAGCGTGCGCAGCGTGTTCACGAATGTGGCGAACGAGAACTCGAGCTCGCGCACCTTGTCGTGCACGGACACGTATGGCGCGTGCACGAGCGGCGTGATCGCGTACACGGTCATCGCCACCACGAACGTCTACTTCTGCCCGATCTTCTTCCAGGAGGTGCCCTCGACCTACCTCTGCACCGGCCAGACCTCCGTCGCGTCCCGCAACGTCCGCGGCGGCACCGTCCTGCACGAGCTGACGCATGCTACCTCTGGTGACCCGGACTTTCGAACTTTTCTTCGCGCTTGTTGACTTGGCTCGCAGGCACTGACGACATTACCTACGGCTGCTCCGCCGACCAGGCTCTGTCCGACGCCAACTCGTACGCCAACGCTGACAACTACAACGTATGTTCAACTCTATTACACGCTAGTATACCTTCTGCTAACCTTCCCACAGTGCTTCTCGACCCAAGTCTACGCCAACCAGTGCTAGATGGCTGGCTCAAAAGGCCAGGCGCGCGGCTTGCAATCCTAGGCAGCTAGAGTCCTTGCCATGCTTCACTGTTGGGCTCTTCGCTGCCTCCGTAGCTCGTCAATTACCGCCGCGCCCCTGGCCAATTGAATCCAAGGGTTGATGGGGTTATTATGGTTGGAATACACGGAAAGAGGTTTGTATAGTTGAAAGGTGTTCTCTGTATCGTATCTTCAGTACTGTCTTCGTCACTGTATATTGGTGTAGCAAAATGGTTACCCATACTTGTTGTATCAACAACAGGGGCCGAGCAGAGAAAGCGAACAAACATGGCCAAACAAGTACATGGCTCATTGAGCGCCCCGACTTTGCCGCTCGCTCATCTCGACTTTCCTTCGAGATCCCGGGCGCTCTTGAAGAAACCTGGCTGAAACAAGCACACGGAGTCCATTTGATACCGAGAGCAACTGTAAGTAACACTATCTACCCATACAACAGACCCCATAAACATAAAATAAGATAAGAAAAGCGCAAACAGCCATCAAGACCGGTGCGCAGACGCACAAATGCACGCAGCCGAGACCACGCGCAAATGCACGTCAAGAAGCAGTAAAACCATGCAACAGATGGGGTGTAGAGAGAAAAGAACAGTAATGAGTAAGAGGGAAGTGGGGCGCGAAGCGGACTGCCCTGGAGGTGTAACGCGTCATCTTCTACGTGAAATGATTCGTGTCGTCTCTTGCCGCTTCGATTCTAGGCCCCGGGGGCGAGAGAAAGGAAGAAAACGGGATCGGTAGATGCAGAGCAAGCGATAGCAAGTCGAAGCAGGGGACGTGTTACTTAGTTGTAGTGCCACGAGACTGGGGAGATGGGTTAGTATGGGACGGGATGCGATGGTGGACAGGGGACGTACTGGGCTCAACACCGTCGTTCTCGAGACCGATGGCGTTGAAGGCGGCGACGGAGAGGTCGATGTCCGAGCCGGTCGAGCACGTCGGGCAGGTGTCGGCGACGATGACGTCGACAGACTGGCCCGTCTTGGTGTTCGTGATGTGCACGGACTTGCCGCAGATGTCACCAGAACGGCCGTACTCGGTCGGGGTCATGGCAGCGACGTAGTCGTTGTCAGAGTGAACAGTGCCGCAGGAGCCTGCAACGCCGTTCTGGTAGAAGAACGTGGCACTGTAGTGACATAAGCATACACCCCTTGACAGAACATAGATGATACTTACGTGCCAGTGAGGTCGCCGCTGGAACCAGAGCCGGAGCCAGAGTCACCGCCGGTGGAGGTGGTCTCGGGGGCAGACTCAGAGGTAGACGTAGTCTCGGGCGCCTGGGAGGTGGTCTCCGGCGCCTGCGACGTGGTCGCGGGCTCCTCGTAGGTGGAGGTGGGCGCGGCCTGCTCGGAGGAGCTGGTCGAAGCCGGGGCCTCCTGAGAAGAGGACTCCTCATCGTCACCCTCATCCTCATCATCGCAGTCCTCGTAGTCACCATCGTCATCGTCGTCACCATCCGTCACCTGCGTGTTGCCCGACGTGACGGCGGGCGCAGCGCTGGAGGAGGTGGACGTGGCCTCGACGGCGGTGGACGAGGGGGCGGCAGCGGAGGAAGAGATGTTGGCCGGGTCGCAGTACGCGGCACGGTTATCGTGGAGGTTCTCCGTCGCCAGCATGGGGTGGCAGCAGTCATCGAAGAACTGAGTGTTGTGCTGGTTCTGGCAGCCGATGGCGAGGTAACGGGCATGGTAGACGTCGTAGTCCTCGAGGTAGCCCTCGGCGTACGTAGAGGGCCTGGTGATGGTCAATCGCCAGTAAAGCGGACGCGACGAAACACTCACTTCTCCTTGCGGGCGTGGTGCCAGGTGTTCATGGGCAACGCCTGCACGGCGGAGAGCGTGGCGAGAGCAGCGACGAAGGTAGCAGCGTACATGGCGCGAATGAGCAAAGCGGGTTCTCGGACAAGTGAGAGTGAAGGAGGGCGCGACTACAGGCGAGTCGGGATGTGCAGGATTTAAAGAAGGAATGAACCGCTGCTGGGGGGACGTAAGTGCTCTGCAGAATTCCAGGAAGGGGGCACGCACGCTGCAAAGGCGAGAAGAGCGCGGGACGTCCGAAGAACGGTAATGAGCGCGGGGAGAGAAACGAGGAACGAACAAACCGAACTGGCGCGCGCTTTATATATTCTCGGCGCCGGCCGATCGCCGGCACTGCCATTGTAATTCGCCCGGAAGGGGATGCTCACCCTCGAAATCTTCGACTCCGCACAGGTCCCGCACCGTGCGCAGCGCCACCCCGGCGTGCCTCCCCCGATGCTCAGCGAGGCCCTTGACAGCGCGAGCATGTGCCGACGATGGCAACCTCGCGAAGAGGCGGCTCCTGCTCATCGTCGCCTTCACCTCGGCTTCCTGCCCTCGAATCATCTCGACGTCTCTTCAAGTTCAACTCGAACTTCAACACGAAGCGCTGGCAGCCAGCAAACCAGCTTGTCCGCGGCTCGTTTCATTTCCATGGCGTTCGCCTGTAGCACGGGCGTTTTGATCGTTGCCATCGTGCTGCTCGCCGAACAAGCTGCGGCCACGGGACGTACCGTCACGTACGGCCTGCCATGCCCATTTGTGGCGAACAACGCCATTCATGCCATTGTCCTCCTTCCCCTCTTGGGCTGACAATCGAAGTCCCTCTTCATATCGTCGCAAGGATCAGTATAGAGTGTGCTCGAGCTAGCCTCACCCTGGAAAGGCGAACAACACTGACAAGGAGTTGGCATGTTCAAGTCCGCATTAGGTACACCTCAAACGTACAATGACATGCCCGCATCTACCTTGCCTCGCGTCCATTCAGGCGAACTCTCGCTGCCTCACGCCTGCCAACATGCTCGAAGGAACAACGTCTATTGAACTTCGAGGCAACTTGAGGGCCCTGCGTGATGCCTCGTAATGGCACACGTTCGGGGCGTAAGGGATGTGATTTCGGAGGACGGACTGTCACCCTCCTTCATCTTCCGCTCCATTCCTCCCCCAAGATGGACTGGCGGCTGAACAATGCGGAAAACCCGCGCGGTCGACGACGAAAGCCAAGACGAAGAAAATAATCTTCGCGCACCCGAATTTTCACCAAGTCCAACTCTCCCGGGCCCCGGCCCGCACAGGCACGCTTAGTCATCACCCGCCGCCGCGCTTTGCCACCGTACCCGCCCTTTCCGCCTCCGCCAAGACACATTCTTCGACGACGCCGGACGTACATAACACATGGGTGCGTGTGGCGGCGGGTGAACCGATGAGGGGAGGGTGCTAATCGGTATGCGATGCGACAGCGGCTTACAGCAACGAGAACCCGTTTGCCTCGACGCACTCGCTTGACGCGAACCCGTTCGATGACCCGGAGGCGCAGCAGGAGGCGGAGCGCCAGGCGAGGCTGCAGGAGCTGAGCGCGCGGGAACGCGACCTCGAGCGCAGGGAGGCCGAGCTCAACCAGAAGGCGGAGCACATACGCGTTCACGGGAGGAACAATTGGCCGTTCTGTGCGTGTTGCGAGGCCTCCTTGTCTACGATGTGAACTGACCGCATTATCCCCCACCCATCCCTCCTTCTCGCCCCCCACAGTCTACCCCCTCATCTTCCACTCCATCAAGGACGAGATCCCGGAGGCCTCGCAACCGCTCATCACGCGACTGTACCAGCTCTGGCTCGTCCTCTTCGGCACCCTCATCATCAACTTCGTCGCATGCATCTTCGTCCTGGTCGCTGGCTCGTCCGACGGGGGAGCGGACCTGGGCGCCAGCATTGGGTGCGCAACACTTCGATCGACGTGGCTGAATGCGCTGGCTGACGCTTGATGGCAGCTACTGCTTCACGATCACAATCTTCTCGTTCTTGCTCTGGTACCGGTGCGTGCTGCGGATGGCGTGGCGATGCGAAGGAACGTTCTGACGCGTGGTCCTTGCCAGCCCAATATACAATGGGTATATGAAGGAGCAGGCTCTGTATTATTGTGAGTGCCAGGCTTGTTTGGTACTTCTCTTTGTGCTGATGCCGTCTCAGACATGTACTTTATCTTCTGCGGATTCCACCTGTTGTACAGTGCCTACATGTGCGTTTAACTACCTTTTTTTTTATGTCCGTCTCGCTGACCTCCTCTCAGGATAATTGGCATACCCAGGTGAGCATCGAGGCGTCGCTCTACTTCCCCTCCACACCTAATCCATCTCATGGCCTCCCGCCCACTTATGCCACCTCCCCTTCGTCCGCATGACTTCCCCCTCACTCCTCCCTCTATCCCCTCCATCCTCTCCCCGTCCATCGCCTCCCCGTCTTCCTTGTCTCCCCTACCTCCTCATCCACTTTCCATACTAACGTTCTCATACAGCACCGGTTCCGCCGGCCTCGTGCAGACCATCAAGATGTACGGCGGCGGGCACATCGTCGCCGGCATCCTCGGCACCATCGCGACCGTCGGCTGGGTGCTGCAGGGCGCGGGGAACGCGTACTATTATCGGGAGGTGGGTGCTATTTCTGTGCTCGTCAGGATATTAGTGTGTTGGTGGCGGGATATATCTGGCAAAAATGTGTCTGGAAAGGAATGGTGAAGGGATATGTGTGGATCGGACAAGGGACAAGGATCAGAGATTCGTCGCATGTTCAGCGCCTTGCGATGCGAGGACCTCTTTCCCTTGTTACCGCGCCACAAGTGGGGTTACTGCGTCCCAAGTGGGCGATGCGCTTTCGTCGAGCTGAAGCTGACGTTCTTCCAGATCTGGATGCACCACAAGGCCGCGGGCCACACGATGGAGAAGGCGAAGGGCGAGCTCGCAACACACGGCGCAAAGGCATACTTCACGCGTGGATGAGCGGCTGCGTCTCTCTTATCCTTGGCTGCCCCTTGACCTCGACTGCTCTGACATCCTCCTTGACCTCGACTTCGACCGTGATGTGCCCGACCCTCGACTTCGACTGGCGGCCTGGCCGACTTCGGGCTCAGCATGGCAAGGGCGAGGGCGAAACCTACCTGACAAGAACCAACGAAACAACGAAACAACAAACAACGCGTCCAGCGCTGGCCTCTCGCGGACGCTCATGTACAGGGGTGACTATAGCGGCAGTGCGAGGGGGGAGCGAAGCGGACTCTGCATTATTTGGCTGCGAGTAGCAGCTTCTGGCGATGTGGCTTACCACCACATCTTGATGTAGTGGCACAAAGTATGATACTTGACTCGGATTGCTGCGTACTCATTTCATGTAGCTTGGACTCTGTTACTTATTCAATGCGCAGGATAAGTTATGGATCGTGAATGGCGTGTTATAGCGAATTTGACAGGGCCATCCACGTTGGTGCAGATGAGCTGGTTTTGCGAGAAGGGGAGAGTTCAAGGCATAAGTGTACAACTTTCCCTATCGCCATCGTAGCTGTGCAAGTATCATATGCGAAGCAGTCTCTTTGCCACGGTGAAACTCATCCGGTAAGTACGTGCATTGTCCCCTATCAGGATCAGAGTATGTTGAACTTTGAACGAAAGCAGTTCAAAGCCAAACCTGGAATCCCTCGTTCGACAACTCTTGCAGCATCTCTGATATGCTGTCCTGCCTCCCAGTGCCATCGATGATCACCCGGCAAACGTAACGACGTGACTGTAGTTCAGAGCGAACTCTCTTCATCAAGCAGTACGTGCCAGTGTCCGACTCCACCACACAATTCGAGGTCGCGGAGGTCCTGGGGGAGGATCTCCACCCCTGGCAGCACCGGCAACGCCTCGAGGATCCCCTGTAGCATTGGCCCTGTAATATAGACCAGCGTGAGGCGCTTAACCCGAGGGAGGCGGCGCAACAGTGACGTGTAAAAGCCCACACCGGTACTCGTACTCTCGAAGCTGACCCATTCCAGTGCGAAGGCATCTATTCGAGGCGCCCGTTCGAGGAAGGAGAGGATGTCAGAACATCGTCCGCATCGGAGCAAGAGAAGGATTCGAGACTGGGTGTACTGAGCTTCGGCGCCAGAAGATAACATTCCGTCCCGCGCAGTGACAGGAGCTTCAATCGGTCTAGCGTGACCAGGTCAAAGTCTTTGTCGAAAAGGCGGCGGAAAGTTGTGAGGGAATTGATATGTAGGCGCTCGAGTTGCGTACATTGGCCTAAGACGAGCTGACTTGGAATGGGCTCATACAAGCTCAGGTTTACGTCAGTCAGGCTGCGCTGGTAGAGATGCGTGAAGAAGAAATCGGGAATACGATCCTCGAGCCGCAGGTGCCACAGCCGCGTCGATTCGGTGAATGCAACGATAGAGGGAGCCTTGTCGAGCTTCTTCACCCAGTCCTCGTCCACAAGTATCCGGAGGTGTAAACGCTCGAGCAAGGGGAACGCATCACGAGGTAGGGAGGAAAGGGCAGGTAAGATGCTTTGTGCATGTCCGACGAGGCGCAGATCACGTATCCTGTGCGTCGGGAGCGTGTTCGGGTCGCCGAGGATCTGCCCCATGTAAGCCGCATGGCGCTCCATCTTCTCAACGATTGCGTTCCATTCCGACCAATCCATCCATTCCGACATGTATCCATGTTCGAAGACTGAACGCTCCCAGATCTCGATAGAGAAGGGTAGGTCGCGCGCGCGAGCTAGCCATTTCCGAGAGCAAGGCGCTCCCTAATCATGTTCGACGAGACCCCACGACAGAGGGAGCTCTCGCCACAGCGACGACATGCTATGTACGGCCTGGCGCCACGCGTGACAGACTTGCGTAAGTCTGTACAGAGAGAGGATGGTTGGCGACACCTTACTGAGTTCTCGTAGTGGTTCCCAGGGCGCGCGCTCGACGGAAAGTGAGAATATCTCACACATGACATCGTCGGGCAAAGCGCGGATGGGAGAGTGGATGGCCATATGGCAGACGCGTATGTGTTCGCTGACTCTCTTCTTCTGCCCTTTGAGCCGAGAGAGGGCATCGGTCAAGAGAGTGATTTCCGCGTTTAGCTCGCGCAGGTGGTTGCGACTCTCATTGAGGAGGTCGCACACCAGCGCGGTGTTCTGTGTTGTTTCCAGCGGCGCATTCTGGTAAAGAATTGCCCGGAAAGATGCGCCTGGAGGCTGTAAACCGTCAGACACACAAGAGCTGATGTCATATCGCAAGGAAACGACTGACCAACTTTGGCTCAGAATCAACGAGGGCTTGCACAGAGGCGTACATTTTCGAGGGGAGTACGAACGCCTTGTCGCCGAGGCGCAGGGGCGAAGTGATGGGCGAAGGAGACACGGAGACTGCCTCAGTTACGAAAAACGCCTCGCGACATGAACGCGAAGAACTCGAGGATTCGGAGACTGCCGACTCAGGGTTTTGAGCGCATGTCCTGCCGGTCCGGATACCATTGCAGGACCTCTGAAGTCTACGGTTGAAAAAGGATACTATATCATCAATCCTCTACGCCAACGTGCGCCGTCTATAGCACGTCAGATAGGCCATCGAAAGAGGATATGTTCGACGCACCTACGAGGTACTATCCAGCAAACAGTTGACACTGATGACACTACTCCTTCGGCCTCTTGTTCTCAGGAGGCGGTATGCCCGCCAGCGCCATCGCGTGTCCAAACACATAGCCCTCCAGCCGAGCCTGCCGCATATGTGGCAGCAAGTCCTCCACCATCTTCCAAGAGTCGCGGTCCTGAGCGAACGCGTGTATCTTGTTCAGATTGGGGAATATGAAGGACAAGAACCGCGCGACCGATCCTGGATTTTGCGGTGCTGGCAAGCTCGCGACGCCGAAGGATTCGACCAATGGGCAGACCATGCCACCCGCGGGCAGAGACCCGTAGGGTTCGGAGGGCACATCGGAGGTGTCGAGAGGGAGAGTTCCAAGGTTTCTTATCCGGGGGCACATACGCGGGAGAATGGCCAGGCCGGCTAGGGTTAGATGAGCGCCGTCGAGCTTGGGGTTGACATCTTCGAAGTAGAGGCTCTCCAGCGTCGGCCAGGTCGTCGCTATTTTGGCCAGCATGTCGTCGCTGATCATCAGCCATTGTATCTCGAGGGTGAGTGTGGTGACGTTCCGCAGGCTGAAAAGCGGCTCGAGGTCATCCAGGGTGATTGGTTCCAGCATCTCCTCGCTCTCTGCTAGCTCCTGGCGGGTTCGCAGCTCATACTCGCTGAAGGTAAGGTCTGTTGGGCCATTTTGCCGGTTCGCCCAGGCGCTGACGCGATGGAAGATGGGCCGCCACTTCTGCACAGGCGCGGGCGCGTCAATGTAGAGGGTCAGGGATTTGACGGGGCTGCGAGACATCATGCTCAGCGCCCAGTCGGCGTATTCCGGGGATACGTTCATCATCGAGAGGGATCGTAGCGCGGGGAACCCATCCTCTATATCATCCACTGGATGGAGTTCTCCAAGCAGACATTGAAGCCGCATCGCGAAAGTGCTGACGTCCAGTTTTTCCAGGTTAGGATACGATGCAATGCGGCGCAGCGTCTTCGTTAACATGCACGGCACGTAGAGCTCCTCAAGTTGCGGCCATTCCGAGAGGACAGAGTGCAGGATGTTTATGAAATCCATAGAAATGACAGTGGAGGAGCCATACTGGCCAAGTTTGACGACGGTGGGCTTGCATCTGGCTCCGAGGAGTGAGACGACGGACGCGGTTTCCAGCGGGCTGCGCTTAGCGTTCCAGTCAAAGGCAATCTCGTTCAAGGACGAGCTGATGAGAAGGCGAGTAAAGGCGATGGACGCTTCGAACATCGACTCCCTAACGTTAACCGTGCGGGCGTTAGGGAATAAGACGCTCCCCGGGAATGACAAGGCGAGAGCCTCGATGGACTCGTGCGCAATGTCGTACGGATAGGGATCTGCGCCTGCGTCATTCACGTATCTCACTCTGGGAGCGTGATGCAGGACGCGTGTCCATTCGTCGGGAGTGGGAACCCGGAGGAGTTCCTGAAAGGGACAAGAGTGAATACTGTGACAACCATGCCAGACGCGAGATGACGCTTACTATCAGCCGTCGCTTTGGAGCGCCAGCTCTGCCTTCGACAGGTGTGATCTTATAAATGTCGGACGGGAGGCAGAAGAACAGCGGTACAATGCTCGGTAGTTCCTCCCATAGCGCCTTAAGACTGGGTTCGAGGAACGACCGGCATGTCAACGCAAAGTCAACCAGCCCACGATGTCGCCAAGGGTGGTACTCCAGACCTGCTATGTAGTCGCAGATAATGGAAACCACTTCGGGGATTCTGAGAGCGGCGTGCATGAGCGCAAGATGGCAGCTTATGGAATACAAGCCGCGTCGCGACTCGGACGGAACGCGGCAACGGCCGCGAAAGCACCTGACCCAATGTCACGGTAACGCTAACGGTTGAACTTCAACCCTTGATGGACTGAGCAATCTGCTCGCGATGAAATATCGATACTACCCATGAAGGTACATAGCTGCATTGATACAATGACTAAATACGTGCTACATGTCCGCAATAATATGCAAAACACCTTTCCGGGCCGCTGCCCTAGTCGAAGTCCTCATCATGAGAAGAGCACGAACGCTCTTACACATACGCGTCTACAAACGCGCCCCACTTCTCGATGACGGGTTTCACTATACTCTCCCACTCCTTCCCCTTGTACTTCCCCTTCCGCACGCGTACGAACTCGAAGATCTCCTTGTGGATTTGCCCGCCTATGCAGCCGTGATCAGTACAACTTGCTTTCCTCAGCGCAGGTCACCTCCGCCACGCAGGTCATCTCTACCATGAAACCTAGCTACCCAAAAGAACATGGCATACTCACAATCCGCACATTTCCCACCGCCGTTGCCCATACCATTCGCGCCTACGGCATTACCCGTAGGTTTATCGACATTCGGCCAATGGTGGTCGAGGTACGCCTGACCTAGTGCGAGGTCGGCGAGCTCGAGGTGGATGAGCCGCTCGAGGCGGTGACACCATGCGCCCTTGGCGCCTGGCCGTACGCGCCCCTTCATGAGGGAGACGGCGCCGTCGGGGACGGGGTGGTCTGCGGAAGTAATGTTGAGGTCACTCGGTCCTCAAGTAAATGGGAAGTCGAGAGAATGGTAGATAGAGAAAACAAGCGAATCCTGCAATACGCACCGGAATCGTCAGGCTCCACGATCCCAGGATACCATCCCCGCAGGACCTGCTCCTTGCTCGAGCACTGCTTGCCCCACTGGTCGATGCGCTTGTTAAGGTTGACCGCGCGGCCAACCTTCAGCTTGATCGTCGACGGGGAGCTGGGATCCCGGATTTCGAACGTGTAGATGTAGCCTGGTTCATCTGACAATGTGCGCGACTTCTCCATCTCGGCGCGGAGGGCGACTTTCGTGTCGGGCTCGAGATATTCGGGGATCCAGTCTGAGGCGTGGGTCAATTCGTGCCTTTCTTGGGCAGTGGTAAATTGAAAGGACGTAGAATCACCTTTGAAGTCTACCCACGCCCCGTTCTTCCTAGCGTAGAATCCCGTCGGCTGAAGCACCTCCTTCGAGTGCTGGAAGCAGAATCGCAGGACCTCTTCGTCGTCATCCTCAGACGACCCGGAGCCCCTCATCGACGCCAGCGCAGGCCCCGACTTCACCATCCGCGTACACCGCGCCCCCGCTTTAGTCACCCCCGAGCACTGCACTTGACTTCCTGACGCTGCACCCTTCTTGGGCTTCGAGTCCTCCGGCGGCTCTGACGATGCGCGTGGTCGGTTAGGCTTACTTCCCGGTGATTTCTTCTTAGCAGGCGGGGTCGCAGATCCCTGCGCATCACCTGAGGGCCGCACAGGCGTCGCAGGGTGTCCGTTTGCATGCTGTCCAGGTGACGGAGTACCCGCAGGTGAGGGCGTGCCGAGCGGGGCAGGCGAAGGATTGGGAAGGAGCGACGTCGAGGCAGCGGGGCGGTGGCCTGGTGCGTATGCATAGGGATAGGGTTTGGGTCGCTGCTGCGGCTGCTGCATCGCGTGTTGCATGGTCAGCGATTGTTGCGTCGCGGGCTGCCCGTACGCATACGGATTCGGCTGCGACGTTGCATATGGCGCAGGCATCGCGGGCGGTCGGGGCAGGGGTCCGGGACCATTGGAGGGTGGCGGGGCATGAGCGTAGGGATAAACATTGGGCGCGGAGTTGGCATGAGGGGGCTGGACGTGGGTAGGGACGGGCATGCTCATGAGCATGGGCGGCGGTGGCGCGTACGCGTGTTCGACGCGTGGGGGTGCCTCGGGCTGCGGTGGCGGAGGGGCGGCCTGGGGGTCGTACTGAGGGCCGGCGGGAAACTGGGTGCGCGGGCCCAGCGGTCGGCGGCCGGGCGGGCCTGCGTTACCTAGGTTGAGCACATCCATGCTCTCAGCGAGGTTGTCCCCGCTCGCTGGCTTTGAGCTCTCTGGGCGGGAAGGGCGCGACGCGTTCGACGGTCGCGAGGCATTTGATGGCCGCGGCGCCTCGTTCAACGTTGGCTCGGAGCCTTTGTCCTTCTGCTCGCTGTCAGGGTCGGCGAGCAGAAGGCACTGCACGACGCACCTCAAAGAGCCTCTCCACCTTTTGGAAGAGGTTGAGGGCCTTTCCCTTCGCAGTGTACGCCGTGCCCATATCGTTGAGTTTGTGAGATATAGATGATGTTGTCCGTGAAAATGCAAGATGGCGGTGGTAGGAGTCAAGATCTGAATGCGGCACCAGAGATCAGCGCACCGGAATCAGAACAATGGGCGGTTCCTTCCCACGTGCGGAGGTGGCGGTGCAACCTTACTGCTTCCCAAAAATTTGATGTCAAGCTTGCGGTCAACGACGATGGCGGCGACAACGACGACGGTGAATAGTCCCCCATATCTGTTCGAAGGATGAAACGCACTGGGCTCCGAAGATTCGTGAGCGATATGCACTACGCTCCTAGGAGCGGCGGCTTAGAAACCCGTTAACTGATCCTTCCTCATCGGCGCTGTCCCCCTCGTTCTCTATATTGACGAATCATGTCAGACCATGTCATCCGAAGATGTCCTCAAGCACCTGGAGGAGATGAAGTCGAGTATGTCTTCCGTACGGGAACTAATAGGCTCTCTGCGAAATGAGTAAGTGTCCTGTTCTCCAGTCCGTTCTGCGTCCCTCAACTCATTGCAGCTCGTAGCGATGATCGACTCGACTGCAAGGACGGGATCTCCCTCCTCTCCCTCAAGCACCACATTATGCTCACGTACATGCAATCTTTGGCGCTTGTCAGCGCCCGCCGCGTCGTTGGACATTCCCTCGCGGTTCGTACCCAGCCGGCGGAGCCTTACAGCTCTGCAGAGCGCTCATCGCGCGGAAGCGAGCCTGGAGACCTGGTCGACTCTATGATCGAAGGGCGTATAGCTCTGGAAAAGATCAACATTCTTGAGGGCCGCATGCGCTATCAGATCGAGAAGCTAGTACGCCTCGCGGAAGAGCCTGAGAAGAGCACTAATGTTGCTGATGGTATGTTCTCCCCTCAGACGTTCTTTCACTTCATACTGACCCACTTACCAGATCCCCTCGCCTTCCGCCCCAACCCCCAAAACCTCGTTGACGCGCAGGACGACGACTCCGACGCCGAATCCGTCGCCTCCAAAGCGTCCTCCTCCGGCGACAAAGACCAGATCTATCGCCCACCCCGCCTCGCCCCTATGCCCTACAACCCCACCACCTCCAAAGAAAAGCGCGCGTCCAAACGCACCGCCCTTCCACCGCCCACCGCGCTCCGCGCCCTCGCCGACCCCGCGCAGCCGCACGCCGAATCCACCTCCGGGCTGGGGACGACCCCTTCATTGCAGTCTGCGCGTGCTCGTTATCTGAACCGCCTCACGAACTACGAAGAGGAGAACTTCACGCGCGTGGTGATGAAGAAGCGCGATGCGCTGCGGCGCGTGCGGGACGAAGAGGACATGGCGCTCGGCGCAGACCTGAGCGACCCGCGGCGCGGGGGGAAGAACCGGCGCCGCGGTGGCTTGGAGGACGAGTTCGGGGACGTACTCAAAGACGCGGAGCGCGTGGGCGGCGCGGGCGATGCGTATGAGGAGCTGAGGCAGAGGGGGAAGAAGCGCAGCTTGTTGGAGAGGAGCCGCGCGAGGAGAGGGGATGTGGCGGATGACGACGAGGGGGAGCGCCCTGGGAAGAAGCGGAAGACGCGCTTCGAGTTGGCGGCGAAGAGTGTGGGCAAGCGGATGCGGAAGCAGGGCAAGAAGGCATGATTGTGCTTGCTTTCTGTCAATCGTGTATGTATGCTGTACTACAGTCCGTCATGCGCGTATGCATTGCTCGGGTCGTGTCGCTTCATTCGACACGCCCACCCAGTGCCTTCCACATTGTCCCTAGCACGAAAGCCATGGCGTTGATCGTCAAGTAGAACACCATCGGAATCAAGCCCATGAAGAAGTTTCCCAGCAACCCTCTCCTGGTGATCGTGTCCCAAATCTCCGTCTTGATGACGCCTGGCGCCGTAGCCGACTTGTAAGGGCCTACAAGACGATAGAAGGACGTGAATGCGGCGCCAAAGCTGCAAAGCCAATTTCATCAGTCTGCAAACTTCGAAGACCGCTGCGAGAATGCGAACACCCACCAGTAACAAATAAGCACATGCATGCCATACTCCCTCCAGAGCTCCAAGAGGCCAGGCGCAGCCCCGATATCCTTGGCCAGCGTGCTCATATACGTCGAGTGGTCGACGCCGTACTTGATGCGCGCCGTGTCCTTGACGAGCAAGTGGTAGTGCGGTGGCGGGAGGGGCTTGCGCACCTGCCCCTTGATGAGCGAGATCCAGAAGAAGACCTGCATCTCGGCGATGGGCGGGATGGCACCTGCGAAGGACACCGCACGTCAGTAAGAGCACAGAACGACTGTACTCCCCGAGTCCCGACATTGACATCCAGCCGGCCGTGCAAAGAATCCACTTACCCACGCCCGGCCTCACAAACCCAATAAACGCCACCGACTCATCCCCCTCCTTCACCACATTCCTCACATCCGCGTCCCCTGCGGTTGCATACCCGCCCTCCTTGTCGAAGAACTTGAACTCCTGCCGATACCCCGTCGCGAAGATCACCGTGTCCGGGCGCACGTCTCTGTCCGCCATCCTTACCGAGTCTTTTCGGTGAGGCAGGTATGGGAATATTGCACGCCCATTAGGCAGGAAGCGCTCGGGGAAGGGCGCGAGGTCGACGGTGAAGTTCGTGGCGGGCGGGGAGTCCTCGGGCGGGTCAATGTAGCGGGAGAGGTAGTCGAGGTATTTGGAGCGCTTGCGGTACGGGCGGTTTATGTAGGGCATAGCTTTGTGGGACTAGAGGGGGGTGAACGGTAAGTCGAGATGACGGGTGACGGAGGAAGGGTGAATGGACGAGGGTCGGCCTTACCTTGTTGAGGAAGACATACGCTCGTCCCAGGCGTTCGGGTTCCAGTTCGCCCACCTTGCAGAGGATGAGCTGGTACCCTGGAAGCGAGCAACGAAGATATAACGTACCCACTGGTTACAACCCGCCTGGGTACCTGTAAGCAGCCAAAGCACGCGCTTGATGACGAAGTCCGAGATACTAGTAGTCTTCAGATTAGCCACGACCTCACTCATGCGCACATCAAGCACGTACAACCACCGTATGTGCGATGCCGCTACCCAAGGGTGCTGACCGTCAGATGCATCAGCGCGTGAGCAGCAAGAGGGGGAATGCACGTACGACGTAGGCGGTCTCAGCAAGGTTTGTGATGAGCGAGTCAATAGGGATAGGCGTCGGAGAGTCGAACTTGAACCCAAACAACTCGAAGTCATTCTGACAGGCATGAGCACTAGGAGGTCGAGCTTACAGCACGTCAAAGCTTACCAGGGCCTTGGGGAACGATAGGAACCTTCAAATGGGCGTCAGCTCATCTCAGGACGATGATGATGACCATCGAATGCTCACCCTGCACGAGAACACAGAACGACCTCCTCCGCACCAGCTTTCGCCGCTTCATACGCCAGGTCCATACCAGTCTCACCAGTTCCCAGTATCATCACTCGTCTCCCTGCAAGCTGATCCCGCGACTTGTACTCGTGCGAGTGGTAGACGGCTGGCTGTGGCCGACCTGGCTTCGGCTCAAGGACGTGCTCGATTCCAGGTATCTTTGGAATCTCAGGGAGAACGTGCAGGCCAGAGCAGACGGCGACGTATGCCGCGTGGATGACTTTGAGGGCTGCGTTGTATGTTTGTGAGTTGACTGTATAGAACGGACAGCACAACGTCTTACAGTTTGGATCCCATTTGCCGTCTGTGTCTTGACCTATGTACGACACTATGTGTCCGCCGGCAGGGTTTCGGGCTATATTGACGACGCGTGAGCGCACGTGTATCTTGTGCCATAGGTCGAAGTTGTCGCAGTAGTCTCGCAAATATTGCACGTATTCCTGTTGAGCCACGGGATAAGAAGAGACAATCAGAGCTTCAATATATCCTCACTTCTAGAGTGAGATGGTCCGGATGTGTGAGAGGCATGCGGAAGTCAGAGAAGCATGTCAATTGCTTTGAAGAGACGAGGTTGGAATTCTGACAAACGGCCAAGCCTATGAGCTTGAATTCGAATACAATCAAAAACGTACCTCGTAAGAGCGATACCGGAAGGTCCCGCCAATATCGTCTTCTTGCTCGAACAGTATTGGCTCAAAAGGATATTCTTCCCTCCTATTCTCAAGCAAGGTCTTCAGAGTGACCAAGCCACTAGGACCTAGTAAGTGGGAATTGAGTGGGCCAAAATTTTCAGAGAATATAAGCTTACCTCCGCCAATAATTACAACGGTCTGGGTCATCGTTGTATGGCAACCGCCCACGGAAGGCCTGCTCAATCCGGGTGTTGACAACTCGAGCGTAGATGGGTTCTCGCTTCCCAGCTGAATTCCAGTTCAGCTTCTAAGAATATTGATTGAGTGTGAGATTATCATCTCCAGGAGAGCTGATCGACTAACCTCGAGGAAATAGTGGGCGAAAGCAACCTTTATGGACGCGACATGTTGACGTACACTTGCGCTTGCTTGTCCTTGTTTACAACTGTTGATCTGATTGACGAGAGGATCACAAGTTGCCACAAATGACCGCGCTCCTTTCTTCTGACCATGATGTACACGCATGCACATTGTCCTCGAGCAGATGATTCTCTTCGAGAGGCGGGAGGCGGCAAGGGCAGTGCAGCTGTCGCGTCGAGTTCGTGAATCGATGTTGCCATCGCTGGAGGGATTGCCGCCTGCACCTAATTGAAGCTCCCCCGAGTTGGGGATATGCGACATCTATATGGTAACCAACGTCTAGCGATCACCTCAATTCACCTCCAGCCTCCCACGACTCTCACGGAGCATTGTAGTGTGACCCACTCTGAGTCCATGCTGGGATACATGTTCGCATCATGCGCCCTCGTCGAGCAGTCGAGTGCTGCGGCAATACAAGCGCGGCGGCAAGAGGTGACCGCGATGAAGGACCAGCGTCTAATTTGGACGAGGGAAAAGCTATGCGAGGACGGCATATAAAGCGGTCAAGATGTTCAGGATCTCATCTAGTTTCTTCGCACTCTTTCATCTGCCGCCGTACGATGGGGGCCTTTTCGTCTGCAGTGCTCATCACGGGTACTCTCATCGCCGCCACTCGTGCGTCTAGTCACTCGTTTTCGAATGTGAGTTAAGCGATTCACGTTGCAGGCTCTTGATCTGGATAATGACCCTGCTTTTAGCGTAATTCTACCATCGACTGGTTTTCATGCGGCGACCTCGACTCGTCGTACAATGCATACAATCTCACCAATGTTGTCTGCGGCTTCTACGAGGTCCCCCTCGACTGGGCAGACGAGTCCATCGGGACCGCGAAACTTGCTGTAGCGAAGTTCCCTGCTACGAAGGAACGTAAGGGTACCATCTTCGGTAATCCAGGTAAATTTTCCTTCCCCAGTCCAGGCCAAATGCACGCTAACCGTAAAGGCGGCCCCGGCGAGTCCGGCGTGGGCTTCATCTTCGAGTACGGCCCCAACGTCAGCGCCACCATCGGCGGGCACTACGACCTCGTCTCCTGGGACACGCGCGGCGGGCGCGGCCATTCCAGCCCCCAGCCACCCGCTTGCTTCAACACCTCCGACGAACTTACGCAGTTTTTCGCTGGCACACTCGAGGCTACGGGGCTGGATATCAAGGGCAAGCTCACGGACGATGGGCAGGTCGATGAGTTTTACTCTCACGTCGATGAGATGGATGCGAAGTATCGCGCGCTGGGGCAGCGGTGTGCGGAGGCTGAGAGTGGGAAGATCCTTCCGTATATCGGGACGGCGGCGACGGTCCGCGACTTGGTGGCGATGGCGGATTATCTCGATCCGGGCGTGCAGGAGATCAACTATTGGGGCTTTTCGTACGGCTCCCTCCTCGGCATGACCTTCGTGAATAGTGCGTCTTCGGTGGTGCTTGTGTCTGCAGCTTGCAGGCTGACTGCGTTCTTTTAGTGTTCCCTGATCGTGTTGGCCATGTCATTCTGGACGGCTGCGTGGGTGAGGGGCTCGCTCACTTCCTGTCGATGCTGGGGCTGATGACTGCATATAGACCCCATCCTCTACTACGACAAGCCCACGCCAGAGGTAAGCTTGCCTACTGTTCGGATTCAAGGATTTAGGCGCTCATTAGTTGCTAGCACTATGCCAACAACCTCAACACCACCGACGCCGCATTCGCTGGGTTTACGGACGGCTGTGCCAAAGCCGGCAAGGATAGTTGTCAACTTGTGAAAACCGGCAACGAAACAGGCGCTGATATCAGGGCGCGCATCCAGGGCTTTCTCGACGTAAGCCTTTCCAGTTTTTCCCAATGACTTCGACCGAAGAGTTTACCCTCTGCAGCAAGCCCACGACCTCGTCGCGTCAGGCGCCGACATGTCCCAAACCCTCACCTCCGCCGAATTCCGCGGCCAGATCCTTTCCGCCCTATACAGCCCCACCAACTGGGGCAAATTCGCCGCCCTAGCCGCCTCCTACGGCCAATCGCTCCAGGCCCTCTCTGCCAACAGCAGCGTCCCCGACGACCTTGTTTCACAGCTCGCACCCTTGAAGCGCAACGCCTCTACCACGTACGAGGGCCCGGCTATCTGGTGCGGCGACGGCGTGGACGCGGGGAATATGACGATGCGGGACGGGTTCGATGCGATAGTTAACGCATCAGAGGATGTGTCGCCGTTCTTTGGGCCCAAGTGGTGGGATATTCCGGGTGTACTTTGTTTTGCGTGGCCGGTGCGGGCTGTCGAGCGCTATACGGGGCCGTGGGACAATGAGCTGAAGAACCGCGTCCTGGTTATTGGGAATGCGGTCAGTGACGCTTGTTCGTGGTAGAATTAGATATCTGACGATTCTCAACTGTAGGCGGACCCTGTTACACCATTTAAGAACGCGCAGCTCATGGCTGATCTACTCGGCGACAGCGCTGTGATCATCAGGCAAGATGGCTACGGTCACGCCTCCGTGGCAGAGAAGTCGACTTGCACCGCCAATGTTGTCGGCAAGTACTTTGAGGATGGCTCGGTAAGTTTTCCGATGTGGATTAGGAAGCCCTCGGCTCTTATCCTCGTATTTGTAGCTCCCTGAAGGCAATGACACCGTATGCGCGATCGACGACTCTGTCGTCCTCTTCCCAGCTTCTGGCGCCTCGCAGCGACGCGCTTAAACCCTACTTATACCAGGATTTCTACGGACATATCCTACGTTAAAGCCTCTAAATGTCCCGCAATCCTTATAATCGCGCCTTCTCAGACATCGTTAGCGCCTTCCGCTCGGATAGGACGCCAATATCGAAGTTCAACCATTTCCATGTGATCGTGGGAAGCGCGTTCGGAGCCGACACCTCCCACCCGCGGCAAACACCGACCAGGCTTCTTCTCAACGTCCATGTCGTTGAGGACGCTCGTAGGGCACCGATCGCGAGGCTTTTGTTTCCTATTTTTCGCCCAAACTCCTTCACTCCAAGATCTTCTCCGCGAACATAGCTTATCATGGTGCGGCCCTGTACAACCGCCCTCACCGCCGCTGAGCTGACATACGCATCAGATCATGCAGCATGCTACATCTCTCCAGTACTAACGCTCATGCTGCTCTGACAGTGACCTTCGTCTCAACGCTGTCGGGGAGCTGTCATACAGGTCCCCCGCGACGTCGACGTTGTGCCGTATGGGGCCAGGTGTTAGTCATGTACCTGTCCCAGTAACAACAACAGTTGGGTATGTACCTCCGATGTCAAAGGACACGCCCGCGAGAGGGGACCAATGGGCGCCTATCTGATATCTGTCATGGCACTGACGGCACTAGCGTCAAGAATGAGTCAGGAAGGCCGATGGGGAGGTTCAATACCAGTGCCTCCCCATCGCACCGCCTAGTTTGCAGATATAAATGCCGCAGCTAACCGAGCCAGAATGGCAAAGGTCTCACTGTCCTCGACGATGCACAGGCCTCTCGCTGTAGTTGTACTCCTCCTAAGCCTACTCATAGCGACAGCTTTCTCCCTCGACGTGCTCGAGACAGCCCAGGTGAGCGACGCCAAGAAGCTCTTTTTGGCCGACCGCTGAATCCACTGTAGCGCGATATCGGGATCGACTGGTTTCCTTGTAGCGACTTCGACCCAACATATGCCGATGTTAGCAACGGGAGGAACACGTCCTGTGGTTATTATGAAGTCCCACTTGATTGGGCAGACGAGTCCGTAGGAACCGCTAGACTTGCGATTGTCGCCTCCCGCGCCACAGAGGATCGGCGGGGCACAGTCTTTGTCAATCCAGGTGCGCAAAGCCTGTCACTGATTCTCTTTGCTGTATCTCCGACAATCGACCAGGCGGCCCCGGTGCCTCCGGCGTCGGCTTCATCTTCGAGTTCGGCCAGACCGTCATACCAGCGATCAGCCCCCACTACGACATCGTCTCCTGGGACCCCCGCGGCTCGCACGGCCACTCAACCCCAGGACCTCCCGCCTGCTTCAACAGCACCGACGAGCGGATCCAGTACTTCGCCGGCACGCTTGAAGGCACAGGTCTTGACATCAAGGGCAACCTCACCGACGGTGATCAAGTCGAAACCTTCTACTCGCATGTGGACGAGATGGAAGCGAAGTACCATGGGCTAGGCGAGCGCTGTCTGGCTTCGGATACTGAAGGGATCCTGCCATACCTTGGGACCGCGGCAGCCGTGCGCGACCTGGTCTCGCTCGCAGATCATCTCGAGCCTGGAGTGCAAGAGATCAACTATTGGGGATTCTCGTACGGGACTATGCTAGGGTTCACGTTCGTGCACAGTGAGTACTTCTGGCAACAATCATCTTGTTCACGGCCGAAGCGCGTGCCTAGTGTTCCCGGATCGCGTCGGACGCGTTGTTCTCCAGAGCTGCGCGAGTGAGTGGCCCTACACATCTTTGCGGCATTTCCTGACTCTGGCAGATCCCATTTTATATGCGGATAAGCCCCCGACTGAAGTAAGTCTTCAATATCGGACGTTCTCATCTTGACTGCTCAACCGTCTCCAAGCAATTCGCCAACTTTCTGCGCGCCGCTGACAAGGTCTTCGAGGGCTTTGCTCAAGCTTGTGCGGTAGCCGGCAAGAGCAGCTGCCGGCTCGTGCAAAACGACGACGACACAGGCGCAGACATTCAGCAGCGGATCAGAAATCTCCTCGACGTGCGTTTGAATGCCTGCCTGCGCCCCAACGCACTGACCTCGTTCTATAGCTGGCGCACGATCTACTCGTCTCCGGCGCAAACATGTCGGACACGCTCACCTCCGCTGAGTTTCGCGAAAACCTATACGCAGCAATGTACTCTCCATCTGGATGGTCCGCCTTCGCCAGCCTGACGGCCACATACGCCGAGTCGCTCGAGCTGCTCGCAGCCAACAAGACCATCCCGTCGAAAATTAGCCAAGTACTTCGGATGTACAAGATCGACGCCAGCCTGACGCCCACATACGAGAGCGAGGCGATATGGTGCGGGGACAGCGTCGACGCCGGTAACATGACCATGCGCGACGGCTTTGACTCCATAGTGCAGGCTTCCGAACATGTTTCGAGCTTGTTTGGACCGCGTTGGTGGGATATACCTGGCAACCTCTGCTTCGCATGGCCTGTACGTGCCGTCGAGAGGTACACAGGTCCATGGAACAAGCGACTGAAGAACCGCATACTCATCCTTGGGAACACAGTAAGATTCCTCTCTTTCGCGCGCAACGCGACTGCGCTGACAAGTACAAATGTATAGGCGGACCCCATCACACCGCTCGAGAACGCCCAGCTTATGGTCGACCTCCTCGGTGACAGCGCCGCCCTGTTGACCCAGGATCTCTTTGGCCACGCCTTCTTTGCGGAGCAGTCGACGTGCACTACCAACATTGTTAGGAATTACTTCAAGGACGGCTCGGTAGGTGCAACACCATCGCAGTACTCGCGTTCGTCTCATCCACCAGCAGCTTCCAGCCGGCGGCACAATTTGCAAGGCCGACGATAGCGTCGTCCCGTTCCCCGCCGCTAACGCCTATACGGGCTCTGGCGGCGAGGCAAGAGATTCCTGACCGAGTCTAATTAGTCGATGGCCTTACAAACGTCCGATAAGCACTCATCTGTCGCTCGCACTCGCGCGCCGCATCCTGGTCGCCATCGACCTCATCACACCGTTCGCGAGAACCGCAGGTCAACGGGGATGCGCGAAGCGTTACCATGCCCGACTCGGCACAACAGCGGCTGCTCAGATGCTATAGACGACCGCGTTGGCAAAGCCGCGACGACCGTTCTACAGCATCCTCGCCGAGTGAACGCGCAGGCCGAACACTCACCGCTGAGCCCGAGCCTGCCGCCGAGGGTGGGATGGTATCTGTGTGTAGAAGTCAGCATACGACGAAGGGCGAGAGAATGGGCGAGACTTATTTGAGAGAGACCGACTCAGGCTGCGCCCCGGTCGACATCATGACATCTGCAACGCTCGCGCAAACCGCAGGTCAACGAGACAGACGCATGACCGTTACCGTACACCGCCCAGCATGGCAGTTTCGCGAGGACACCCCGGCGCTCGCCGAAACGAAGCACCAAAGTACTCACCTCGCGCCTACTGCGGCCAGGCGTAGTCAAAAGGATCTCTGGAGGGCAAAGCAGAGCCGCCAAGGCGTGAAGAGAACGAGAGACTCACAAGCAAAGGTTCCTTCCGTATCCTGGAGCACTTTCAAGAAAGGGACGCCCGTGAACTAAAGAACCTGTGAGCTACAGGCATGAGAACTTGATGACGAGAACTTACGATGAGGTGCAGGAAGATTGAAAGGCACGAGGAGACTGTCGAACGGGGCCGTGGACAGCTCTTATATAAGCAAACGGAGAGAAAGATAGGAGGCACCAAGGCTGTAGAACATTAGCGTCGATGCTCAGCCGGAATTACGACTGGACGGGACCATTTGCGTGTTTCGGCCGTAGCTCCAAAAAGGGAAATTTATGGTCGTCCCTTCCGACGTGGAAGGCCTTCATGACCCGCAGCGCCTGTTCTGTCGTCAGTAGATGCTGAAGGATTAGGTTCTCGTATCTTCAGCTTCGTCCGAATCGGTTCTGCGCTGTTATGATCACAACTTGCTCTTCCCGCCCCACCTGCCTCCCCCCCGCTCTTACTCTCGCTCTTCGTCGCCCTCTATCGAGGGTGGTCACAATCGGGGATCAGGGGATGGTACGAGTACACACGGATGTCCAGGTGCGATTAGACGCGACTGTGTGGGTGGCTATGAGCCGGGTCGCGTCGCGCTTAACACGTCGCATGCGCGACCGCGCAGTAGACGCTTGTACCTGTATGCTGTTCTCACCTGTATGGTCGAGGAAGCAGCCTTATTGTCGCGAGTCTGCCAGTGGTTCTCCCGTGGAGTCTCAGGCATCCAGGCATAGCGCGAACAAAATGGCGTGGCAAGTCTCAGAACATCAGACCTGGTCAGATCCCATTTGGCAGTATTTGCAACGCTTGTTCCTTTGCTCTTCCTTTCATCGCCAGCTGCGCCCACCTATCGCTCTCTTTAACCATGTCCAGCACAGGTAAGCCTGTTGTAGTATCTGCTGGGCACCACACATCTGATGCAATCAACAGTGGACGATCCGCTTTCTCCTCTCCCCGAACCCCCTTTTCCAAAGAAGACCACATCAGGCTCGTCGCACAGCAGCGTCAATTCCGGGGTCGATGCGAGCATCGGGTCTCGTGTGGCAAGCGACGGCGACAACAGATCATCCTCCACGAACATCTCTCCTCACGACCTACAACCGTTTGCACATCAGTTTGCAGTCCCGTGCCTGCGGATTTACGCTGACTAAGCCAACCGTGACCTGCATTCAACACGTCTAGCGCCGGCGCAGGGCTCTGGGATTTTTCGATAATATAGTCCACGATGTATCTTACCATACCCTTGCTCGATGGATGAGGGAATTCGCTCTCTTGGAGTACTTGCGCCAGTATACGCAGTGAGGACCCAATTCTCAACCGTGACAGACATCACAATCAAGGCACACGTGCTCGAAATCCACCCGCACGAGACTGCAAACTGATGTGCAAACGGTTGTATGGCGAGGAAGAGCAGGATCTCGTCAAGACGCTCCATACAACGAACCCCACCATCTGGGTCGCCATCGCCCCTGACTCCCTGACTGGGGATCTCGCTCATGAGTGTGCCACCGCAATACAGGCGCTCGCCCAGCGCCGACAAATCATTGACATCGACATCGCTTTTCGCGAATCGGAAGTCAACTTGCTTGCAGGCCCACCCCTTCTCCCCCCGGCGACCGATGTAGATCCTCTGGCGCACGTCAATGATGCTCTCTCAACTGCTCTCAGCTTGCCTGTCGCCGGTCTTGGTACGGATATGCAGGGTAACCTAGGCGCCTACTTCGTTGTGGGGAAGGAGCTTTATGCCTTCACCGCACGCCATGTTCTCTTTAGTCACAACGGACCTAATTACGAGTATAGCTATCCTCGTACGTGCATACCCCCTCCATTCATGGCCTTCATCTAATACTCATCCCAGCGTATCCCAAGAAGAAGGTTCTTTTAATGGGACAACGAGCGTTCAAGGAGTACGCAGCCTTTGTCCGCGAGAAAATCAACACGATGGAACTCCTCGTTTTGGCGTGGACAAAACACGTTCATGCCATGGAGACGCGGGGCGATACCAGTGACCGTGGGGTCCAGAAACTCGCGGACAAGCGTCGGCAGTTAGCAGCCTTTCAGGTCGAGCTAGTCGCCCTCAAGCACTTCCTCCAGCACGACATACCCCGCTGGCGAGAACAGAAGAACCGCGTCATAGGGCACGTCGTCTGGGCACCGCCGATGGCACGCGATCCCGAGTCCGGCTACACCTGCGATGTCTGCGTCATCAAAATCGACAAGCGCAAGTTCAAGAATCTTAGCGGGAACGTTCTCAGTCTAGGTGCGTGTGTATCCCACCTCATAATGAGAACTACCTCATTGCGTGCGTCCAGGCCGAGAGATCGCACCCCAGGAGTTCATCAGGCGCATGATAGCCTCCACCTTTGCGTCCTTCATCTACCCCGAGGACGGGCTCCTTCCTGCGCGGCATACTACCCATAGCCGACGTCACCAACTCCCAGAGGACTCCTTGCCGCGTAATCAAGCGAGGTCTTACCACCAAGACCACCATCGGGACGCTGTCAGGTTTCCTGTCCGCCGTACGGCACTACAGTATCTCAGGCTCTTTCGATACCGATGAAGTGGCTATCCTTCCCGACTCGGCTGCTCTTACCGACCCTGCTGCTCATTCCGATCCGTCCTTCTCTCGTGGCGGTGACTCTGGCTCGATCGTCGTCGATGATCTCGGTCACTACGTCGGCATGCTTACCAGTGGAGTGGGCGCGGCCGACACGAGCGATATCACCTACGCCACGCCAATGGACTGGGTGTGGAAGGTTATCAAACGACTTCTTCCTGATGCTAAGCTCGACTTTGATCCCGCGAGCTTCATGGTAGCATAATTTATTGTGTATGATAACTCGAGCTCTCTGTCTCGTCAACCATCTATTGTATCGAGTTCAAAAGATCATCGTCGTGGCGAACATGGAATACTGCTTCTAAACGTATGATTCCGCCAACTGGTCTTCATGATTACATTGGGGCCGATGCACCTCCGTCTCCTGCTCGTCAGGTAGACCAACTTGAGGATGGTTGCTTCCACGACCTTGGAAGAGTCACGACGAACGTCACCCCCGACGCGGCGTGTGCAATAAGCAAGGATCATGGCATGACGGTCAGTTCTCTAATGGCTCCGAGTCCGATGGCAGCCATACCAACAACAATGGGAGTTGCGCAGCCCCTCCAACGATGGGAGTAACAAACATGGTGAATAGAGTAGTATACACTTTGTAACTGTATGCGGAAGTAATGTATGTGCAGATGTGTCGAATTACTAGACTCGTTGAGTGCGTGCGTGCATGCGTAAAACAATAATGATATCCTGGAAAGTGGTCGTGCGTGCGTGCGTAATCAGCGTCCTATCGTGCTCATGAAGCTCTCGAGATCTAGGCCTTGGTACTCTTCCTCGGCGGGGAGGTCCTCCAGTCCCTGGAGAACCTTGTTTTGTAGGCCGGCCTCCGCGATGTCTTTGCTCTTCTTCTTCGCCGCGGCGGCCGCGTCTTCCTCTTCCGTCGTACGCTTGAATAAATCTAAGACGAGGTCGGTGTCCATGGATGCCAAGCCGGAGTTTTGCTGGGTAACGACGGAGTTGGCGATGTTGAGCTTGAAGCGTTGCAAGCTGCGAGACGTGTTAGTGCGAAGACAGGTAGAGGCCAGGTCGAGAAGCTTACCCCATGATCTTCTCCTCCAACGTGCCCTTCGTGATCAGACGGTAGACGTTGACGACCTTCTTCTGACCAATGCGATGCGCACGATCCATGGCCTGAAGATCTTTCATCGGATTCCAATCGTGCTCGACGAAGATGACGGTGTCCGCGCCGGTCAACGTCAGACCGAGACCACCGACGTGCGTCGTCAACAAGAGACAGTCGATACTGGGATCGCTGTTGAACGTCTGGACGATGGCGTGGCGCTTGCTGGCATCGGTACCTCCGTCCAACCGCATGTAGGTCACCGATGGCATGTGCTGCTTGAAGAGGTCCGATTCGATGATGTCCAGCATCTGCTTCATCTGGCAGAAGATGAGGACGCGATGCTGGGAGAAAGCGCCCGCCGATTCGGGGCCTGCGTCGATCAACTCGCTCTTCCCAGACTCAGCTGCAGAAGCGGTGACGCCGATGCCGCAATCGGTCAGCAGTTGCCTGGAAGTCATGTCAGATGAGTGAGCAAACGTGATGGGTGAGCGGCGTACTTAAGTGCGAGGAGCTTGGGCGCATGCTGGATGTCCTTCAGACCGTCAGCCGGACGATCGACCTTCAAGCCCAACCGGTCCAAGTTCGCGGCGATCGCCTCCTGGTCCGCCTTGAGAACGAGCGCAGGATGATTGCACAGCTTGCGCAGGTACTGAAGCGACTGGAAGATGTGCTGCTTCTCGACCTTCTGCGCCGCCGATTGCGCCGCCACGACGGCACCCTCCGCAGACGCGAGCGCCCTCGACTTCGCGAAGTCGTCGTACATGTTCTTCTGCATGTCGGAGAGCTCGCAGTAGTAGTCCTGGATGATCTTCGGCGGTAGATCGTTCAAGACGTCTTCCTTCAAGCGTCTCAGAAGGAACGGCAAGACCTGCTTGTGCAGCGCCTCCAATGCCAACGCCGCTATACCGATGATCAGATGAGACACACATATACATGAGAAGTCACGTACCAGCTTCACCATTCTTCGACTTGCCGTCCCGGTTGGACAAGATGGGCTTCCCGAAGCGTTCATTGAACGAACTCTCCGTCCCAAGAAAGCCCGGCATAAGGAAGTCGAACAAGCTCCACAGCTCGAGCACATTGTTCTGGATCGGCGTGCCGGAGAGGATAAGCCGGTGCTGTGAGTTGAGCGACTTGACCGCCTTCGTCAACTTGGTCTTCGCGTTCTTGATGACGTGGCCCTCATCCAGGATGCAGTAAAGCCACTGGATGTTGCCGAGGCTGGAAATGTCGTTGCGAACGACCTCGTAAGACGTGATGACGACGTCGTAGGACTTCAGCTTGCTCAAGATCTTCGTGCGTTCGCGAGCGTTGCCGGTGTAGAGGACTGGACGTAAGTTCTCGACGTACTTGAGGATCTCGTAGTACCAGTGGCCGGTGAGCGTCGGCGGGCAGATGATGAGGGACGGGAGGTGGACTGCGTCCGGCGATTGCGTCTCCTTGAACCGTTCCGCGCGTTCGTGGTGTTTGCTGGCGAGGATGCAAATGGACTGCAGGGTCTTGCCCAAACCCATATCTGACAGACTGCTCAGTACGGCGGCCAGTAGGTAGATGCGGGCTGCTTACCGTCGCAGAGGATGCCGTGCAGCTGATACTTGGCGAGGAAAGCCAACCAATTGACACCATCTTGCTGGTACTTGCGCAACTCCGCCTTGACAGAGACCGGGATCTCGTACGGCTCGACCTTCGATCCATCAAGCAGCTGCATGAGAAACTGGCGCTCCTCCTCGCGCCGCTTGAGCAGCTCTTCGGAGAAGCCTGGCGGGTCGGGTAGCCCGGCCTAGAACTAGTCAATGATTGTTGATACAGACTGCGGTTTTCGACCTACCTCAAGCGGTACCATCTTGACGAGGGAGGCAAAGGTGTTCGTGGCGGTTGCCCGCACATCGCCGTCCGCGTCGCTCATACGACCAAGTACGGGTACAACCATGAAGATAACATAGGGCAGCGCCTTGATGTCAAGCTTCTGTACAATATCTGGGGGATGCGTCAGCCTGCGGGGACAACCAGTGCGTCGCGTGAACACCCACGATAAAGCAGTTCCATCGACCCCTGCCGGTTCGTCAAGGACAGTGGATCTCCGAGCAGCGGTACCACCCTCTCGATCACGAAACGCATCGCGTCTGTCGTCAACACCGCGCACACAGTCGCGAAACTGCGCGCCGCAATCTGCCGTATGATCGCGTACTTGCTCTGTAGTGCGAGCAAGATCATCGGGAACAGTTGCGTCAACCGCGGCCACAGGTCCTCATGCAGCGCCGGAATGACCGCCTCGAGGACGGAGAGCGTGTCGATGACATTCTGCCCTGCGTTCGCGTCGGCGCTGAGGAACTTGTCGGACTCCTCCGGCGAGCTGGCGTTGAACTGGCCAAGAAGACCGCCGGCGATGGAGGTCCACATGTTCGGCACGACGTCTAGCAGCTGAGGGCCGAACCGAGTAGAGAGCCCGCGGAAGGCGATCGTCGCGCCGCGAGCAGATATCTGCTTGCTGTGGTCGCTGACAGTCTCCTCCTCGACTTTGGCGGTGGACTTCCCGTTCTTTTGCTGGTCCGCCGGGCGCAGACCGATCGCGGAGAGGATACCCTGATGGGCCTTGCGCTTCTCGGCGAAGATGGGGGTGTAGGACGTGTCCTGGCAGAGGAAGGTGCACAGGTTCTTGACGATCTTGTCTGCGGGCGCGGGCTTGTACTTGATCAGCCATTCGATGAACTTGACGATGGCGTTGCCCGAGCGCGCTTGAAGATCCTCGTTCTCCTCGCTCTGTCGTCCTTGTCAAGATCTTTCCCTGGCGCATTACCGAGCAACAACGTACCTTGACACTGTCCATGATGCCCTTGACCACCGGTGTCACCTTGTCGGGCACGGCACCAACGTACACGATCGTCGCAGCAAACGCCGCCGCAACACGCACGTCGTACAAGCCCTTCGTCTCCACATACCGCTCGATCGCCGCTGCAATCGTCACCCGCTTCTCCGCCAGCACCGCAACCTCCTTCTTCTTCGCCCGCCCAAGGCTGTCCCGCAGCGCCTGGAACATCCGCCCCACCGCCGCTTGCGCCGTCTCGAGCGTGAAGCACCCCTCCTTCTGGCCCGTCACGTCGATCTCGGTGCCCAGGTACGGGATCGACGACTGGGGCAGCTTGCAGCTCGTGTGGAACCCGGCGAGCAGCTGCACGCAGTCCTGGTGGATGCGCGAGAGCGAGAGCATCATCTCGTGGTACGCCGGCGGCAGCGGCGCCTGCACCCAGCCGAGCGCGATGTCCGCGACGCCCTTCGCCAGCGGGCACGCCGCCGCAAGCCCAGGTGCGCCCTCGCCCGCCGCCGCCGCGTACGCCTGCGCCCACTCCGTCGTGATCGTCGCCGCGAGGTACTTCTGTATCATCGCCGGCGACTGGACGTAGTGAATCAGCAGCGGCTCGAACGCCGCGGTGACCGCGTCCGCAGGCCACGCCACCAGCAGCCCTGCAAGCGCGGTGGCACACGCGATGCGCGCCTTCCACACGACGTCCGGGTTGATGAGCGCCTGGTCTTGGCTTATCATGTTCTTGTCGACGTTGTGGCGCTCGATGTTGCCGTCGGCGTGCACGGTGGGGAAGAAAAAGCCGGCGGTATTCAGTGGGCAGCCGAGCGGGGTCATGACGGTCTCGAACCAGCCGAAGAGAAGCTCCTGCGTGACAAGGGACTGCAGCCAGCCCGGTTGGGTGGAGATTATGGCGAGCGCGGTGCGCCAGGCTTCGAGGGAGGTCTCGCGGATGTCGGCGCGCTCTTCGACGAGGAGATTCTGGTAAACAAGCTGCAGGAAGGCTGCGGAGATCCAGTCCTTGGGTAGTGTGGGCACGTTCATGAAGTTCGTAAGGGTCTGTACGACCGACAGGCGGACGTTCGCAATCGTATGCCGGAAGAAGGGGAAGAGTGTCGGCGCCAGGGCTGTCATGGGCATGCTGACCGTATCCTTCGCGAGCACGTCAATGACGACGTCGTACGCCACGAGCTTGCCCAGCAGGTCCATGACCGCGCCGACACTGGAGCTCAGGTCGTCCTTCATGTCGCTGAGGCAGGCCCAGAGAGCGACGAGGACACGGTCCAGCGACTCCGGCAGCTGCTTGACCAGATGCTCGGCGACGGGCAGCAAGCACGACGCGGCCACCGCGCGCACGTCGTCGTCGTGGTCGCCCAAGCCGAGGATGGCCGAGTCGACGACGTCTTGAAGGATTTGCTTACCCGATAGCGCGCCTTCCTGCACGCCATCGTCCAGCTTGACGAAGAGGTCGTCCCGAACCGCCACTTCGTACTTGAGGCCAAGCAAACCAGAATGCCGAACCTCCCAGACGTGCTTGAGGTTCAGCATCTTGGCTTTCGGATGCCTCGCCGTTCGTGTGCTGGTAGCGGGGACTGTACCTGTGTCTAATCAGCCCACTGCTCTAGACAGATGACTCATACACTCACCATTGCCATTCGTCGTTGTCGATAGGACAAAGTCCTGCTTGATCATGTCGAGCAGAATACTGTGTACCCAGGTTACCGACCGGCGCGGCATGTGCAGTAGGAGTGAGCCCATCGTTTGACTGATGGTCTCTCGCACTGGCGCAGTGACCTGGTCAGATACGAAGTCGCTAAACCGGTCGAGAACAAACACGCAGAGAAACTGTGCGGCTAGATGGTTGCACCATCGCTCATGCGCGACCTGATTTTCTTGCCATGGTGTATCGTCTGAAATCAACCTGTCAGTCTTCCAAACCACATCAGTCAAGCCACAACCCACCTTTCATCCCGCCACATTTGCCTTGCAATCTCAGCAGCTCGCGAAGGGCCAGCGCGGCACCGTGCCGCACTTGCCACGCAGGATTAAAGAGGTCGACAGTCAAAACACTGACCACACCCTCCCAGGCCCACGTCCCAGGCTTGACCTCGAGCGCTGTTGACTGTTGCGCCGTCTTGGGCGCAATGGCACCTCCTTTCGACGGATCAATCACGACCTTGCTATCCGGCGTCGGTGCCCTCCCAGCCGGGCTTGACAACCGTGATGACGGAGCGGATGTGCCATCTTCCGCTGCTACTAGTCTTGCTCTGGGGAAATTAGTCAGCCCACGTCCGAATCAGCGCAAGAGAGTGTTCACCGACTTGTTGGATGGTCCCGCTGGGGCGGCGGTGTATTTCGCACCGGAAGCCTGTGGCGGGGGCGCATGCACGACGGCGCTGTTGCCGGGCTTGCGCTTGCGTTTGAGGCGATTGCGCTCGCGTGCCGAGAGGTTGCTCAGGTCGACTTCGGGCTCGGGCGCCGCAAGGCCGTTGGTGGGTGCCGCAGGCGCTGGTGGAGCAGGCGATTCCGCTGGCGTGGCAGATCTGGCTTTCACGTCGGGCGCGACGGCGTCGACGGGAGAGGAGGCGGCAGTTGTAGGTGGTTGTTCCTCGACCTTGACAGATGGGGCGGCGGAGGGGTCGATTTCCATGGCGTCCGCGCTCGCGAGCTCTTTGTCGAGGTCCATCTCATCCGCGACGTCGTCAAGGAAGTCGAGGCCGAGGCGACCCATCGCCTCCTTCCTCGCCTTCTTGACCTCATTCGAGTCGGAGAGGATGCCCTGGGGCTTCAAGAACTCCTTCCCAGAGGATGAAAGGAGGAGCTTGCCGTTCTCCATCACGTTCTGTACGGAGAACGAGGGAAAGTCAGGCGCAGGAAGAGGATCTACGTCCATCTTGTTGTCCTCGTCCTCTTGCTTCACGCCGTCCTCTTGCTTGATGTCCGCTGGGTAGGTATTGGGTTGCCACAGCGGGACGAGCGTGCATATCTGCGAAAGCGCGACAGAGGCTGCGACACGGGTATCATGGGATCTGGAGTGTAGATATGGTAGGATCTGCGGACGTTAGACGCGTCGGGGAGGTGGGTATATGCGCTTACTCTTGCAAGTACGGCCATTAGCTCTGCCCAGGCGGCCGGATCGCCGCGCTCGGCATGCTGTCGGCTAACCTTGACATCGTCTTGTAGAGTGGTAACGTCGGCGGTGACGGCCTTCGCGGCAAGTTGCGCAAGCTGCTTGGCCGCTGTCTGGCGCACGGACGCGGAGGAGCCAGTGTCGAGGAGGAGAAGTAGCCGATCTAATCTGCAGTGAGTCAGCAAGGGCACGGGACCTGTTCGAATGTCCAAGCGGACCTGGAGGACATCCTGATTAGGCAGGAGTCGGGATTCCGGCCCGACGGAGGGAGCGATGTCGGGGGACGTGTTTCAGGTCGCGAGCGAGGCGGCGGTCCTTTTATTTGAGCCGCGCGCTGCCTCGCGTGACGGAAAAAATATCACGGACGTCACAGGCCGTGACTCGGCACGCCCGGCAATTGCAAATCCTACGACGCGCGCGTCATCTTTGCTTCTCGCCATCATCGCTGCCGTCGTCGACGATGGACGCCGTGGCGGTTCTGAGCGTCCTGAACGAGGCTGAGACGTACGAGGGATATGGTGAGCACGACTATACCCACTTTACTCGTCTCTCACCCTCGCAGACAACGCGCAACGGACGATCGCGGACGAATTAGCGGGAATAGCCAGCGATTCGACGCGTCTATTTCGATCGACACAAAGGCTGGACGACATAGCCGCACTCGCACACCAGGCCATGCCCCGCGCGGGGGCCCTACTCACCGGCTGGCGTCTCATTCACACCCACGCCTGCATCCTCGCCGCGCTTGCAGACGCGACGAACAACGCGTTCTCTGCCATCGCCCGCCTCGACAAAGCCATCATCATCTCCGGAGCAGCGGGTCACGGCTGCCTCGACCTCATTCTCGACCTGATCGACGACCTGCAGGCACCTCTTCGCTCTACTTCCTCCCACCCGACGGCATCCTCCGTCCCATTGAACACGAACACGAGCCCCCACCCAGCGAGGCTGCCCACCGCGTCATCCGCAGTCCGCGAATTGCCGGAACCCCCTTCCATGTCCGCCTTCCAGCGCCTTGCCGACCATCCCTTCGTCCTGCGCGGCTACGCCCGCGACTGGCCCTGCTGTGCCGAGCATCCCTGGGCGTCTGCCGCCTACCTACGCGCCGCAACCGGCCCAGGACGTCTCGTCCCAGTCGAAGTCGGGCAAGATTACCGCGCCGAAGAATGGTCGCAAGAGCTCATGCCGTGGGACACCTTCCTCTCCTACCTCGATTTTCTCGACCAACCTCCAAAGGCAGACTCGCCGCGCACGCTGTACCTAGCGCAGCACGACCTCTTCATGCAGTTCCCGCGCCTCAAGGCAGACCTGTTGATACCCGACTATGTCTACGCCTGCGTAGGGCCGGATGACTACAAGCCGCCCGCGAATGAAGATCGCCTGATGCTGAACGCGTGGCTCGGGCCTGCTGGTACTCTCTCGCCTGCGCATACGGTACATAGCTTCTACTGGTCGCCGGCTGGATGACTCATCGCAAAGTAGGACCCTTTCTTCAACTTCTATGGTGCGCTGATCTTAGGTGACCGATCCTGATCGCCTCGCTCATTATATGCAGTCCAAGTTGTCGGGCGCAAGACCGTTTGGCTGGCTTCGCCCTCTGCCTCGCCCTATATGTACGCCTATGCGGACTCGCAACATCCTGCAAGTGCTCATAGGTCCGAGCCGGGATCTTCAACGTCGGACGCTGACTCTCTGAAAGCCGGCACTGGCTCCTCAATGCTGAGCAACACCTCACGCGTCGACGTCTTCACTTCCGACGAGTCTGCATCAAGAAGAGAGTACCCTCAGTTTTGGGATCAAGTCGTACCCTCCGCTTCGAGCGTCACGCTCGACGCTGGCGACGTTTTGTTCTTCCCACCTGGCTGGTGGCACGCGATGAGGAGCGAGGCGACCAGCTTCTCGGTGTCGATGTGGTTTTGAGAAGGTGTCGATAGATGTGTTTGGGTAGTGGGACCAAGAACGAGTCGCTATTGCTATGATGCACACCGTTGCTTAGACGTCGCTGCTTTCTGATGACTATCCTGTACTTATTCGTCGGGTCGAGGTGATCTCACTTTGTCGAGGCGATATGCCTTTGTGCCCTGCAACCGACCTTTGTGATTGAGTTTGCCTGTGTGGAACAGAAGATGTCTTGTGAGGACTAGAAGAGATCTGTTGAATGCAGCTCGGCATCTTCCTACTCCCAGATCTTCTCGCCTTTGACTTCGGACAATGCAGTCGTGCATTCTATGAACGCAGGCGTATCTTCATTGGACACAGGCGTACCTTCCTTGAACGCTGTTGTACCTTCTTGGATGCAGTCGTGCCCTTCCTTGAAGGCAGTCGGGTGCCTTTCATGATTCCATCAACACGTAGCGTAAGAAGGACAGGCTCACAAAGGGGAGTTCTGCCGTCAAGCCCGTGCCACAAACAACAGTGGGTGATGGAAGTGATTGTGCTCAATCAGGCTACTGGCGAGCGATTGCTAGGATCAAAGGAGAAGATGCAGTCAGGCACGTCTACCGTTCGTTCGACAGGTCCCTTCCTGACAGCGTACTTTTCAACGCCGTCGTCACGGCTGAGAAACAAGATCGCGTGGTCCTCTCTGGACCAACAAGTGAATGTCGACCCCGACTCGCATTGCATGAGCGAAAGCGATAGATAGCAGTATGTAGAGGGTAAATACAGTATATGACGCCACGCAAGGAGAGGAGACCCATGAGGTATGGGTGACTAAGAGGATCCCGAACCGACGAAAACCACGCATAATAACGGATTGAATAAAAAGAAACGAGGGTTAGGGGCAGTGCGCGCGCGAAAGGGCACGCAGCCGATGATATTGTATCGACAGATGGGTGTTTCGACAGGGACGAGATTATGGTCTCGACAGGGGAAGAGAGGGTGATCTCGACGAGGATGAGAGATGGTCAACTCGACAGGGAGGATTAGGCAATTGTTTCGACAGATGAGAAAGGGACATGGACAAGGAAGGAGACATAATAGCTTTAGGCAAGATGGGACATACGTACGTACACGGACGCGGGAAAGCACGCGCACGTAAAGATTATGCACAAGCAAAGTACAAACGCGGTGCCACAAATCTAAGCGACGACCGCGTCAAGGGCGCCGTAACCCACAAAGGGCTTGACGCTAAACCAACAAAGGCCTTAACGTTAAACCCACGAAGGGGGCGCGGTGCCCCACTGGGTCTTACCCCGGCTCGCCCGAATCGAGCCGCCCGTCCCTCGTCCGCGCACGACGTGGATGCCCAAACGTCTGGCTCGTCGGCTGCGCGCTCCTTGGAGGCTCCGGGCTCGGCGTTGACTTCGCCGACGCAGACGCCTGCGCACTCCTACTCCTCGACAGGCTCGACCCAAGGCGGTTCTCCTCAGGTAGGCCAAGAAAACTCGTCTGCTGCCCCAAGAAGCTGGTCTGGGCGGCGGATGCAGAGGTAGACGCGGGCGTGGCCATGGGGGAGTAGAGACGGGTTTGACTCGGCGTCTGCGAGGTGCTGCCATTGTTCGAGGGCGTGGGGAGGGAGGAGACGTGTAGGAGGATCGCAAACTCGGTCGTCGCGTTCGTGAGCTGGACCATCTTGGCGCGCAGCGTGCCCGACCGCGCGTGCGGGCCGCCGTACATCTTGATCATGTTGGAGAGCTGAACGACCGTCTGCGGAATGAAAAGTGAGTTGAGTCCCTACTGACGTGCATACACGCAGACTGACCTTCAAGAACGTATGCGCGTCCTCGCGCAGCGCCCTTTTATCCGACGTTGAGTCGCCGTCTTGCACCAGGCCTATCAGCTCGACCAGTCGCTTCGTCACCAGCCTCGCCTTATCGAGGCTCTCCCGCACGTCGTGCTTCTCGCTCAGCACGTCCGCCAACAAATCCTCCATCGTGTCCCAAACGCCCGGCGCGATATCCACCGCAAGCTTGACCGCCTGAACCGCTTCCTTGTCCACCTGGTTCTTCGCCGATGAGGGCAGGTCGAAAAACGACGTCTTCTCCGCCGCGACGGGCGATGAGGATGGTGATCGCGAGGACGCGTGCGTTGAGGTTTGCGACGCCTGCCGCGAGTGCGCGCGGTTGGTATCCGAACCAAAAGGCGACGTGGGGAAGGGACTGCTGAGCGATGGTGTGCTGCCGTTCATCTGAGGCGTCACAGGTGGCCGCTTGCCTCTCGGTACTGGCGTTCGCGAGCCACTAGGTAGCGGTATATCAACGGACGGTAGCGCCCTCCCTAGCTCCACGTCCTTGTAGCTGAACGACCCTGCGTGTCTCCGTGATGGGTGTCTACTAACACCGTTCGACGACGTCGAGCTCCCTGTGTGCGTTCGCAAAGGAGGTCCTGGCCGGACTGGCTTTGACGGATAGTGGAATGGCAATGGCCCGCTGCTCGACGATGCCTCGGATGCCGCGCCCGCGTGATGCCTGCGCACCCTCAGTAGTGGCCGAATTGCGTCCATCTGCGACGACAATGTTTGCCACGCCGTCGAGATCTCGGCTGTCGCGCCGTACAGGGTCAACAGCATTGAGCGCAAGAATCGCACGTCGTCCGTGTTGATGACCTTGAGCTGCAGTGGGAGGACGCCAACAACGCGTCCGAACGCTGACACAGTGTCCCTGCAGCTCTCCACAACACCGCGACACACTGCCGGTGGTGGTTGGGATTTCCGGCTGAGCGCGTCGAAGCGGTCCAAAGCGCTGGTGAGGGACATCATCTCCGCCTGAGCGGGCTCGGCCACTTTCTTGAGAAGTGAGGATAACCGCTCGTCAATGGGGAACGTCGTGTATCGGTCCAAGGCGAGGTGGATCTGCACCACGGCAAACAAGATACTTCGCGCGCAGTCCATAAGGCAGACAAGCGGTTGAGGTAGAGACCGGGTGATGGCGGCCTTGGGTAAGGATGATAATCGTCTGAAGTAGGAGTTGCGCTCAAACGCCATGGACGGAATTGCTCGTGGCGGTGAGGGTGGTGGCCGGTCGCGCGTGAATGGGCGCACTATTCGAGACGTCGAGCTGAGCGACGAACTTGAGTCCTTGCGAGTGGACACCGGCGAGGGCATGGAATAATCGTCCAGCCCATAAGACGGTTTCCTGGCTGTGTGGTTTACGTCTTGGGATTGCTTCTTGGTGAAATTCAATCTCGCCGTACTGAGGTCAGGTAGCGCCTGCTTCAGGCGGAAGTCTGAGCCGTTCGTAGCAGCCTTGACACCTTCGGCAAACGATCTATTGCGCGCGTTGTGATCGTCTGAGCTGCTAGGTGGACTCTTGAGGCTCGAGGTTGATGGCTCATCGTCCTCGAAGAATGTGACAGAGTCGGCAGGACTGGGTAGGTAGAAAGAGCGTGTGGGTGATGGTTCTGCGTCTTGCGACTGCAATATACCGAGATGAAGGGGAGGCAGGCGCGCCGATGTTGAAGGCTCAACCTCTTGGAAGGACTCAGTTGACGATGCGGATAGTGTGGAGTCCACTGAGAAGGAGCGCGCATGTGGCGTGATGCCATCGTCAAAGTCGGTTGTCCCCTTCCGCAAGCGCGACCACTCTTGAAATGTGTCGTCACTGTGGCTGATGTTAGCAATCGGCTAGCAAGCGACGGCAAAGCACGCACATGGTATCCTGCAACGAGTCCCGGGAGTCGTCGAGGAGGTCTGTGCTGCTTGTGCTTGCACTGTCCACGCTCGCCTTGCGCGGCGAATCCGCAAACAGGAACCGCTGCACCGACTCGACCCAGTCGACCATGTCTTGCCCGGTCGCTCCTTCGCCAGGTTCGAGCACATGCTTTGGCGGATAAGTGATTGGGTTCTTGTCGACCTTGAGCACCTCAAGCTTGCTCATCTGCGTCATATAATGTGGTAGCTTCGTCAACTTGTTCTTCGACAAGCAGAACACCTTCATGGCACTTAGTAGGTTACAACACCATGTGTACTGCCCAACGTACGCGAAGATGCACGAGCTCCCCGGGCTCATCTGGAAGGCGCTTGATCTTGTTGTGGCTAACGTCCAGCGTGTCGAGTGCGATCATGGTGGTGAGCTGCGGTCCGTGTCATGAGGTGATACGCGCAGGACGCACGGGCGCACGCACCACGCGCGGGAACTCGGTGAAGCTATTACTACGCAGGTTCAGATAGCGCAGCTGCGTGAGCTTGACGAATTGGGAGGGCAGGGCGCTGAGCTTGTTGTAGCCGAGGGCGAGCCTGCAGGTAAAGGGGGAGGGATGGAGGTCAACTTCGCGTGTCGTAGCGACCTTACTTCGACCACGCACCGTTCGACTGGGTGCTGGTCGGAGTTGCTGTCGGCGCCGAGCTCTGCGAGCTCAAGCGCTGCGTTTGCGGGAACCTCGGAGAGATTCATGCGCGAGAAGCTGAGGGTCGCGCCATGGTCGGGCGATGTGCCGAGGGCCTCGAGGATGACGGCGAGACTGAGCACACCGTCTGAGCTCTGCCAGGAGTCGTCAAGAGCCGGCATCGTCGTCGTCGTCGTCGTAGGCGACGTTGCTTATAGCGACATGGACGACGGACACAGAAGCGTCCGGGGCCGCCACCGCCGTCGGCCTTCGGCAAAGCCTGTACGCACGTGGTGCACATCAACTTGTTCCCCCCTCCACCTGCTCTGTTCACAAATTATACATTACTATTCTGGTCGTACATAGTGTTACAAGTAATACATCCCGAAGGATCAGCTATATGGTACATCGTATGGTGAGGAGATGGATGCAGGGTCAGTCAACGAAATGCAGGTAGTGGGTGATGATACGAAGTCCAACAGCAAGATGAATCGGACACAAAAGCGAAGCCAGTCACGATTGCGTCCATGCAGAGAATAGATAATCGTTCAGCGGTCCTCTACACCAGTCAATTAGCTTGGAAAGTCGTTCTCCGGAAGCTGAGGGTTGATGTAGATGTTGACGAAGAAAATATACCCTGCGGACATCACCGTGGCGAGGACGACCCCGCCGGTCCAGGCGCTCTTGAGATCAGAGATATCGCTGTCGGTTAGCTCCATGACGTCGTAGGCGGCGGCGCCGTGTGCGAGGACGCTGCTGTTGCAGTAACATCGGTTGAAGAAGTTGCTGAACTGGAAGACGCAGGCGACGATGACGAAGCAGGCGTTGGCGATCGCGAGGAGCTTGCCCATGCGCCGGAGAGCGATGGCGAGGGTCGCGGAGATGGTAGGGTACGGTCTCTCTGGCTTCGTTGACTCGACGGAGGAAGGGGCGAAGGCGGAGCTGGAAGACTCGACGACCATGGGCAGCTCATAGGAGATGTTCGGGAGTGCTTCACTATGGTAGGGTTCCGTGGTGATGGTGGAGTAGTGCGCGAGGATGCTAGACAGGACCATGATGAACCAAATCATGGTCGACACGAGACCTGAAGTGAGAGTGTTGTCAGTTGCGTGAACCTTACGGCTGGACGATCGTACTGACCGTAGAGCAAATATGCACCAGACCGGCACCCTAGGCCTGTCGTCGGCGTGTACCACACGATGATCACCGCGGAGCCAGTTGTTGCCCATTGCAAAGCGAGGGCTGCGACCGATGCGATCGCCATCCGCGTCCAAACACCGGAAACCCACTGCGGTACAGGTCGGCCAGTGTAGCAATACGCCTCAACATCACTGCGCGTTCCCTCGCGGTTAGACCGTGGGCGCGGAGTGTCCTTGGTCGGTTGCTGGAAGTCGCGCCCATCCCTCGCAACGGTGACCTGCTGCTTCCTCTTCGTGCTGGCGGCTCCAAAGGCCTGCGCAACCGTCTCCGATGCCCGGGCCCAGGAGAAGACGCGCGCGTAGTTGTAGATCGGCGCGCTCGCGTGCATGTCGTCGTATAGCGCGCCGTGCCCAACCCTATAGAAGTCCAGGGCTCGCCGGTGCGAGTTGAACGGCATGTTCTTCGCCCCAACGATACCAGTCTCCGTCGCAACATACGCCCTGCTGTTGGCGTGGTCCATCGCTTTCTCCAGCCTGTCTGCGTCGCACTTCGGCGAGATTTGCAGCCAGCCAACGACAATGGGGAGTAGCCAGAGCCAGAGCGAGCCATTGGCCTGCCCATTCGCGTTGATCTCCTGGCTGATCTCGGTAAAGGCGTTAATGACGGTGAAGACGTAGGCGATGACGACCCAGAGGATGTTGGTCACAGCTGAGATGGACCACGTATGCGTGTACTCTAGCCAATGCACGAGCTCCGACCACCACTCGTCGTTGTGGTGCAACGCGACGAGAGAGGCGAGCAGTCCCCCATCGGTGTGTACGCGCAGCGGTGACTGCTGCAGACTGCTGAGCGCGCGTACGGCGAGGCGAAGGTTGGGGTAGCGGTAGGGGTAGAACCTCTTTGTGAGCCAGTGTGAGTTGAGCACGGTGAAGACGAGGGAGTAGCCAGCGAGGGTGGGCGAGCCAATAGCGAGCATGACGGACATGAGGTTGTCGACGCGCAGGCGTGCACCGAAGGGCAGCTGCGACACGAGCGCGAGCCAGGGAAGCAGCCATGCACCAAATTGCTGCGAGAACGTCGACCATGAGAATGGCTCCGGACCCTCGCCGCACGACCGGTTGCATTCTGCGACTGAGATCGCGGTGACGAAGCATAGGGGGTCTGACTCGTCGCAATCATAGCGAGGGCTATGCAAGGCTTCGTTGACGTCGATGCGATTGCCGTAGTTGTCTGTGATACCCAGCGAGGATATGATCTCGGGGTCGCTGATGTTGACGCTCCTGATGTTGGCGAGACAACTATCGAAGTTAACCCTCCTCGCCCCTGCGCCCAGGAGACAACCTGAGAATCCGAGAAGAAACACGACTACTGCGCGGCCGTCAGCCAGATACTCGAGCAGAACAGAAAGGCAACGCACACTTGACCAAGTACATGTTACGCGGGAGGTCGCGGGGGCCGTATTGCGGCAGGGCGCTAGGAGGTCTTGCGGCTGCTAACTATCGCTTGCTACACGGTGTTGGCTGGGTCGGAGGTGAGGGAAGGGAAGGAAGATATGTGCCCGCAGACAGCGGCTTTTGTACGCTGTTGTGGCAATGCGCGTCCCCCACTAGCACCCACGCGTGGACATCGGGCATCACCCGTCCCGAGGAGGTGCGAACCAACGGGAAACCAAACAGTGCCTGCAATTGGGCCTGAAGGGGATAGATAATTCATTGCCGGAACTTCCAAGGCAGCCCCCGCAGCCCGGGTATGAAGGTCGGGGACCCCGCGTTTGTTGATGGTGATAGCCATGAAAGCAGCAGACGACACTGATCAATGTCACCGTATGCACTACCTAGGCGCTTACGCAACTCGTCTATTCGAACCTGTGCTAGGGGTATGAGCATGATTTTGTCAGTCGAGCGCCACAGAGGGCCAGTCCAAGGTCGTTCATTTTGAAAAGGCAAAGGGTAGTAGGAAGGTAAGGGAAAGATCTCCCATTCAGCAACGCGCAGGAAGGTGTAGACCACGGACAGGTGCCACGTACGGGAACTGAGGCGAATGGACATTATCATCGTGAGTCAAGTTCAGTACTCACCCTAGTGTATATGGGCACATTCATGCTTGCCTTCGACTACGGGAGCAAAGGTCCGCTGCTGTACTAGCCCGAATCAAGCGGGAGGTGTACCACCTGCATGCGGAGGCGCCCGGCAGTGCTGTACTCGCCTCGAGGCTAATTATCAGCATCACCAACCAACATGGCGGATACCGCCCTTATCGCAAGCTGGCAGGCAAGCTTGCGCATCTGACCAGGAAAGACGGTGAAACATAAATACGTACCGTGGGAAAGTCAACGGAAAGACCCGACAGCCACATGTCCCCAGCATACGTCTTGCATGTCAGCCACCGTCCAGCCACAGATAGCACTCAATTCCTATCCTGCCATGCATTCGCTCAACCTGTCCGGCAACACGGAAGACGCAGCAACACGCACTAGCATTGAACGGATATACGGCGCCTCGAGCGCCTAGAATACACATGCACTTCTACCTTCTACGCAGTCGCAACGTTGCAATACACTCCCAATGAGCCCAGCAACTACAACCGCGCCTTCAGCGGCACAGCCGCCCGCTCCGCCTTCGCGCGATCCCTTAGCAAGCGCCGGAGCTACGCCAATCCAAGTCAGCTCTCAGAAGCCAGATACATCGCACTAAGGTTGCGATACACTGAACTGAGGTCGCGACTCACGATTTTGCCCGACGGATTCTTGGGTATGGCGTCGATCATCACGACGCCACCAGCGAGCCGCTTGTACGCAGCCTTGTTGTCCGCGACGTGCTGTAGAGGCGTGCGTCAGCGGGTTTGAAGCGCGCGTCAGCGGCGTAAAGAGAGGAGTGGGTGATGAAGGAAGGAATTCGGGGAATTGTGCTCGGTCATCCGGAGACCGGGTTGTTATCCCTGTGGATCTCGTGGCGCAGATCCCAGACGGACGAGCACAGCAGCGGGAAGGTGGGTGCATGATACAGTACGTACCTTGGCGATATCGGCCTTCAGCTCCTCGAGAGCAGCCCCGCCGGTAACCTTGCCCTTGTAGCTCTCGTGCAACACGACGAACGCAAGCGGGACTTCGCCCGAGTACTCGTCCGGCACACCTACGACGCAAGCATCGGCGACGGCGGGGTGCTGCAGCAAATGCCCCTCCAGCTAGATGACATGTAAGTCAGCAAACGTTCATAGTCCTGTGGCAGAGACAAAGTTCGTGGCGCGGATCTGGCGAGAGATTCGTTATCTGGCAACCGGGCCGTGATATCCTCTATCTCAGCCAAGACCTTGATGAGCAGCGCACAGCCCTGCTGAGGCATTATGCAGCCACAGAACCTGCCTGCCAGCCACCTCACACCAGGACTCCTTCTGACTCACCTCCGCAGGCGCGACCTGGAAGCCGCGCACCTTGATCAGCTCCTTCAGCCGATCCACCACATAGATCTCGTGGTCCTTCACATAGCCCTCGTCCCCCGTGCGCACCCAGCCGCCAGGGAGGAACGTCTCCTTCGTGCTATCGACCATTTCAGCTGACATGTCCAGTCAACAGAACCGCCTGCTCACGCTTGCTCGTTGTTGAGATAGCCTAGGGCGTTGCTGGGCGCGCGCACCAGGATCTCGCCAAGTTCGCCCTCCTTGGCGTAGGTGCCGTCGGGCTTGAGGATGCGAACCGTCGTCCCATCGATGATCATGCCGGACGCGCCAGGCGTGCCAATCTTTTGCGAGGGCGGGACCATGCTGATCGTGGTGCTCGTTTCCGTGAGACCTGTAAGTGATCTGAGTGGGATATTCTTCATCAACGGTGATATGAACGCACCGTATCCTTGCCCAACCGTCGCATTTGGCATCAGCTTCGATGTCTGGTTAAGCAACTCCGCGCTGAGAGGTGCAGCGCCCGACATGATGAATCGGACGTGGCTGTAGTCGCGGCCCTGCGCCGCTGGGTGCTGCGAACGAAATGAGGCGACGAAAAGCTGGATCCCAACTTGACGTACCTTATTCAAAAGCACGATCTGCGGCGGCACAACGCTGGACGCGAAGTCAGCTCGAACAAAAAACTTTGACCCGCTAACGCAATGAGCAATAGCAAAGCGGAGGACGTACCACATATGCGTGATTTTGTGGCGCTCAATACTGTCGAGCCAGTCCACCAACGAAAACTTGGGCACGACGACGAGAGTGATCTACGCGCACGTCAATCGGGGACAACGCTTGCCGGGCGCATTGCTTACACCACAGAAGAGGAAAAAATGTGTCTAAAAGAGGGCATCAGCGGCCATCCTCGGAGAAGCTAAGTAGTAAGCACGCTAAACTTACCACGACCACTAAGCCGTAGATGTCTGAACATCCGTCAGAATAAAGGATTTACAGATGCCAGAGTGCACGTACGATACATGGGTAGCACTGAGATTGCTCATCAGCTTGCAAAATCCTTCAAAAAACGAACAGTCCACTCACCAGCCAACGTCTTGTCCCCAACCTTGATGCGCGTCTGATTCGGGTTCGCAATATCGTTGTGCGTCGCCATCTGCAGCACATTCGAGATAACCGCAGAGTGCGGGATCACGACCGCCTTCGGCCGCCCCGTCGTGCCACTCGAGAACGACAAAAACGCCACCTTCGTCTTCCCCTCTCCCGGCCGAAGCTTACGCTCCTGGTACCCCTGTGGCTTGCTCGCGCCCATCGCGACGAGCTCGTCGATTGTCTTCACCGGCGAGGGGCGCGAGGCGGCGTTGGAGAAGCGCGCGATGCGTTCGGCGGGGAGGCCCGCGGCGCGTGCGGCATCGAGGGCGGTGGCGAGGAAGTCAGAGTGCGCGACGATGGCGGTGGCTTTGGCGGTTTGGAGTTGGTAGACGAGCTCGTCGGTGGTGTAGGCGGGGTTTGCGGGGCTAGCAAGGAAGAACGTCGGGTGAGATACGATGGGAAAGGAAGGGGGCGAGGTAATTCACGTTACGACGGCTCCGAGCTTGTGTACAGCCCAGACCGCGATCAGGTAGTCTGAGGGGGAGGTTCAGCACTGGGGAGATGCGGAAAGAGACGTACGCACCAACATCGTTGGGACTGAAAATGCAGACTAGTGGGAATTATTGATGATGTCTTGAGAAATGATGTTCGCCTGCTCACCAGCGTCGTTCTCATCTGCATACAACGCGCTTCAGTGAGAGTTTACACATGGCTATACGGCAACGTACGGATCCCAAACTCAGAGTGAAGTGCATTCGCCAGGGCTAGCGTGCGTTTGCGCACCTGAGAGAACGTAAGGCGGTGATACCCTGTCAAGAGGCTACCTACGCACCTCCGGGTACGTGATCCCCTTCCCCGTCCTATCCTCCACAAACCACGGCACAGAGTGTGGTACCTTCGGTCGCTCAGGCATATCATGGTCGAGGAAGAACTGAGGTATCGTGAGGTCGTCCGGTATCCGGGGCAGCCTGCTCGGGTACGCCGAGCAGAACTCGATCACTTCTGCGGTCGGGGACGCCATGATGTCGTGCGTGCGCCTGTGATGATAGTTAGGGACAAGAAGACAAGGCCACGGGGGTGAGACAGCATACAGTTTACTTATAGGTAGTCGGCAATCCGGTTAACTCTGGACACGATCCGGTATGGGAAGACGTCGCGTGATGCGGCGGCGAGGGGCCCTGAGAAGAAGCTATGGAAAGCCCGCGTGCGATGGGCGCGTCGACGTGCGCGATGGGCGCTGACAGCCGCCGTGGTGGCCCCATCGAGCGCGACCATAAAGCGCTGTGGACGTTGTGGACAACATCGAGGGCGAGCCGGGTCCAGGGCAATCGCGGCACTCCCGTGTGGGGAAGGACCGGTTCCCCGACCTGTGACGTAGCACACAGTCACGGTTCGACTTCCGAGCTGCGCTCCCACCGACAGCTCTTATGCTCTTCCTTCCCGAGGAGATTTCGGTTACCTGGAAGCCGGCGGGACGCCTGCGCATCTGCACTATACCGGAAACCCGTACTGAAGCCCCTCACGCTCAAGAACGGACGCTGTCACCTTATCCTCTCACCCAAATCTCCTTCACGTGCACGTCGACCTTCCCCACGGGGTCGATGGTCCCGTTGCTCTCGCAGTCAGAGCCGGGACACTCACACTCACATAGATTCGATTTCTCCCAAGTTCCAGTGAACAAATCATTGACAAAAACGCAGTCATCCTCCTGCGATAGAGGCAGCGCTCGCGCGACTTGTCCTGCATACTGTCCGACAAGTATTACAGTATTACTTGGCAGTCCACCAAGGTCTATATCGTCCCTCCTACAGCTCATAGTCATAGAACGGCTTCAGCGCCTGCATCTTCTCCATCATCTCCCGCAAATCCGCTTCAGCCACCTGCGCCGCCTCCTTCGCCACCGCCGCCTTCTTCTCCAGCTCGTCCGCCCTCAGTGGGCGCAGCTTCCCATTCTCCTCCGCATAGCCCAGCGTATCGAACTCCCGCAGCATATCGCTCACGCTCGCGCCGTTGCCCCTGCGCAGGTCGTATCCCTTGCGATTGAACGCGAGCACAGCGCGCACGGCCGCCGTGTTTATGTCCCGGTGCAGCTCCTCCAGCTTCGACAGCTGGATCTCCATCCACCGCGCCCGGCGCTCTAAAGCTGATGTCAACGTGCCAACCTCATCGTCTGTTTCTGGATCGTCCCCACCTGCGTCGTCGGCGAAGTCGTCCCCCTTGAGCATGTCCCGCAGCACGCCGTCGAACGATGTGTTGTCATCCCACGTCGCGCGCGGGAGCAGCTTCAAGAGGTCGCCGATGGTTTGCGTGAGCGTGTCGAGCAGCGTTTTGAAGGACTCGACGGCGCCGTTGATGGAGTCGGGAGGGACACCGCTGGGGAGCGATACGCCCGACTCCCCAGCGCTGGAGAGGGCGGACAAGGCACGGACGAGCGGAGCGTACTCGGAGGGCATCTTCGCAGTCGGATTGATCTTGCTCATGTCAAAGAAGGGATGGGTAGGGAGGTCGAGCTCTGGACGCCAGAGGTGGATGTCGTCCATGAGGTCCTGAATCGTCACCGGGAGGTCGCGCTCGACCGACTCAGCGCGGGAGTCGCTGGACATAGAAGTGGCGACAGAGTCCTTGCTGGGGAGGTGCGAATGCGAAGGGACGGAAGCGTCGTCGTTGGCACCCTGCTCGCTGTTGTCTCTGTTTGCCTTGACAGGACGAGGGGTCACAACGGGCTTGTTCTTCTTGGGCTTCTTCGAGAGGATAGGCGCATGCACTTCTGCTACGGACGACTGAGCGGGCTCGGGCTTCGGCTTTGCAGCCTCGACATTCGCCTTGGCCTTGTCCTTCTCCGCCTGCGACTTGGCTTTAGCCTCTGCCTTCGCAGCATCGGCAGCAGCCTTCTTCGCTTTCGCCGCACGCTCCTTCTCCGCCTGCGCCTCGCGCTCCTTCTGCACCTGCGCCTGACGATCCCTCTCCAGCTTCGCCTGCTGCTCCTTCTCCGCCCTCGCGCGCTCGCGCTCCGCTGCTTTGGCCGCCTTCTCCTGTTCCAGCCGCCCCTTCTCCTCCTGCTCCTTCTTGGCCTTCTCCGCCGCCGCCTTTTCCTTCTCCGCGGCAACGCGCGCCTTCTCCGCTGCTTTCACGGCCGCTTTCTCTTGCGCGATGCGTTGACGCTCAGCGGCGCGCTCAGCCGCGGCGGCCTTCTTCGCCGCTTTCTTCTCCGCCTTGGCGTCCAGCACGGGCTCCGCGGCAGTCTCGGGCGGCGTAGCAGCAGCTTTGTCCTGCGGCGGCGCAGCCTGCGTGGCCGTAGTCGACGCAAGCTCGGGGAAGTCGGTAGGATCAAGCGTAGGAGGGGGAGGTTCTGAAGGTGGTGCAGTCGTTGAAGGGGTGGGAGAAACTAAAAGAAGATAGATAACGAAGGTGGAAAGGGGTGGGTTCGTGTCAGCTCTGTAGAGGGGCGAGAGCATACCGAACGAGGGGAGGGAGTGTCATGAAAGATGGGTGGGTAGTTACAGTACGCCTTCGCTTCTATTGCCGCGGGACAGCCACATGCTATGGACGACGGACGACGGACGGAGAAGGTCGCAGGGAGGCGTTAATGCCGGTAGTAGACTTTGCGCACTGACAAAGTTCGGCACTCGGTACGCTGACCTCCCTCCCCTGGTATGGGAAATGTAAGACTCACCATGAGAGTTGGCTGCCTCCATTACATTGGCAGGCGTATTTTGAACGTTGACGGGAGGAAAGGACAGTCCAGGTGGCGGACCGAACGCCAGCGATGATTGCGAGTAGTCAGATCTCGGCGCAGGAGACGCGAAACGAGCGGTCATGATGGCCGGATCATTGAAAGCCTGGCTCTTGTACATCGGTCCTTGTGCTGACGGCGATGTCAGTATGTCGGACCGTGAAACTCAACTCTACACACCTGCATTGCCATTGCGCATCCCAGGAGGCGGAGCCACATCTCGGTTTCGGCTACTCTGAATGAAGTCGCGCAGTTGCGCCTCGCTGAGGTTCGTGTCGAACGGTTGGAAGCGGCCCATCTGCGCGTGTTGCTGCTGCGCGTACTGTTGCGGCTGGGCCTGTTGTACCAAAGGCGACGGAACAGCAGGCGTCGTTCCGTATCCCATGTCGTGCCGAGCTTGCATGGCTGCCCACTGCTGTTGCTGCTGCGACAAGTCTGCAGACGCGCCCCGCAGAATCGGGCTCTCGCTGTTGGCAGCGCTTAGTGGCGACGGCGCATGAAGAGGCGAGTTTGTCGACGACGATTGCCTGCCGCGAGCAAAGCCGAAGCGAGAGACCTTCCTGACCGAGTCGTCGTCTAATGCAGAGCTGTTTGATCTCCTCGGGGACGAGTCTCCGCCATCAGCAAACGGATTGAACGACCCTGTATAGCTCGAGCCTCCCGTTGACTGCCTCTCCATTGGCGTAGCCGTCATCGGTGGCCTGATCGCTAGCGGGTCGTATATCGCCCGACTGGGATTATGAGGATACGCAAGGCCCGGCGGGCCCATGAACGATGGTGAAGCACCCGTCCGCAAAGCAGGGAAGGCGTCCAAATATGATCCATGGAACGGCATCTCCGCCTCCATCTCCAACGTCGGCAGCTCGAAGTCTTCCGTCTGCTCCGCGAGCTTCGGATCGAACGTGAAGCTGAAGCCGCCGCTTTCGCTGGGCTTCAAGGCCTCGAGCGTGCGGTCGAAATCAGGGAACGCGGCGACGGGAGCGAAGGCCATGTCGCGGCGGAAGCGGACGTCGTCGATGAGAGCGCGTGCCGCGTTGGAGACGGTGTAGCCGGTCTGGGGAGCAAGGAGCGGTGTTTGGGGAGACGCGGTGTCCGGACGAGGAGGGCGAGGCGATGGCAGGCCTGGCGGTGCAGAAAGACCCGGCGGCACAGCTGGCAAGCCCGGAGGGACGTCGGGGACGGTCTGCGGTAGCGCTGAAGGTTCTGCAGGCGCTTCCTTAGGCGGAGACGGCGGTCTGGCGTCTGTCGGTGCAGAGCCTTGTTCAGACTCAGGTGCGGCAGACGATGACGGCGCAGGCGAATGTGAGGGCCCAGGTGATGATTCCTTGACCTTCTTCGTAGCCTTGTCCTCCGCTGCGGGTGCCGTCGGTGTCTGGTACACCTGTACTGGCGTCTGCGGCCTTGACGACGTCGTTGACATAGCCTTGGAAGCCTTCCGACCCGGGCGAGTTTCTGTAGCAGTGCTGGACGAGGTTGGCGTTGGCTCTTTTGTTGCCTCCTTCGCACTGGTTCCGCGGCCTCGTGCACCTCGCCGCGTCGCGCGATGACTGCTTGTGCTTGCTGCTGCCGCCATGGCAGCTGCAGCTGCAGGCGTTGGCGAATCGCGATTTGACAGCGTTGGTATTGGTGCTGGAGTAACTGCAGGCTTGCTTCCCCATGCAGCTGCACGCGGTAGGCCGCCTGTGTCGACCTGATCGGGCTTGCGACTCCGACTCTCTGTCGCCTTCATCGTGTGTTTTCTATTGAGAGAAGTCGTTAGTAAGCAGTCCTCGCAAAAAGACTACCACTGACAATGTAGTGAGATCCTCCTTGGTAAAGCAGTCTTTCTCGTCGCCCCACTCATGCAGGTTCATACACGCGTGATCGGTGCAAGTTGCGCCACGCAAGAAGGACATGCAGTACTTCGTTGTACCGTAGCTTGCGCGCATGACCTCCTTGCCACCACCGGGTGACGGAGCACCATCGACAGCCGCGATCGCACGCGCCGCGTCTTCTCGTCTGTGGTATGTGACATACAGCCCAACCACAGGCGCGCGGCCGCCCGAAGGTGTCCGCTTCACAAGAAGTATCTTGCTGATCTTGCCATATTGGCCAAAGTACTCAGAAGACCGCAGTGTGGGTATGAGCTAGGAGAATCATATGGTTCAGTGCGTGATCGGCGGAGAGATGTCTCTGGAACGCACCTCCTCCTTCGCAAAGCGCGGACCGATCCCGACAACGTACACCACGTTTCGTTGTACGACGCGCACGTTTGCGAGGTGGCGGCGGCCCAGAGCCTCCAAGTCCTTCCGCTCGCGCTCGCGCTGTTTCTTCTGCTGAGTCAGCCGCTTGTGGCTAGAGCGCGTGGGACGATCACGAAAAGCAGAGGGAAGTACTCGTCAGCACAAAGAGCATCAGGGATGGATTGGGCACGCACTCTGACGCGGCAAGTGGCTTGAACTCCACGCCCTCGTCCGTGTAGACGCGGCGGCAGGCGGGGCAGCGCTTGTTGAGATTCTCCTTGATGTGGTGCCAGCAGAAACGGCATATCTGGCAGCCCGCCCTGTCAGATCGCGCGACGATCACCGTGCGGACGCGGTGCGCACCTGGTAGCCACAAACGCAGGGCTTAAAATTGAGATCGGAAATATCCATCTCTTCGAGGCAGAGCGGGCACTCGGCGTCCTCCTGGAAAATGGCGCGATTGCCACGTCAGACATCGCCAGTGGTGCGCAGGTAGTCACTTACGCCCTCGTCGTCGCTCCAGTACGCGTCTTGAACGCCGGCCAGGACGTGCGACTTTGACTGGGGCACGGAGAAGCAAGCGTGGACGACGGGTGCGGGGAGCGATGGGTGCGCGTGCAGCTTTGTGGAAGACATTTCCGGGCAATTTCAGGCGCGCGAGAGGGAGACTCAGAGGCTGGTGGAGGCAATAAAGGAAGGAGGACACCGTTGTTGCGTTCACAATGAGGTCCGCGACGCCCGTGCCAAGCACACGTAAACAAGCCCGGAAGTTCGACTCTCCAAACGGCGGTGTCTCATGCCCGTTCGCGAAGCACACCGCTGCCGTCTTCAGCTATATGCTCTGCACCGCTGCAGCAGACGGGTACTAGGATCGCGGCTGTATCTGACCCGGCCTCACTCCATTCATCAAGCGGATCAGGTCTACATCTTCATTTGCACAAAACCATCCAGTCAATCGTTCCCTCCTCTCCGTACCTCTCCCGCAGCCAGTCATTCGCCGCCTTAAAGTGCCCGTTACCCAAGAACCCGCGATGAGCCGATAGAGGCGAAGGATGTGCAGATCTGAAAGGAGTTGTCAGCACACTGATCAGGCCCAGGCCTACGCAATGTCGTCACTCACTTCAGCACAAGGTGTTTCTTCTGCTCGACAGCTTGTCAGGTCGATTCTGGTTGTGTGTGCTGATACGCACCTCGTCGATCCCGAGCTTCTCATACGCTTTCTGGGCGGGTAGCCCCCACGCCATGAATACCACGCCTCGCTCCTTGTGGTGATCCAGGACAGCGCGAATGGCTTGCGCAGTGAACTGCTCCCAGCCCTTCTTCGAGTGCGAGTTTGCTTTGTGGGCTCTCACGGTTAGGCATGCGTTCAGCCATAGCACACCCTGTGTTGCGACTGGAGAGAGATCACTAGAGGCGATGAGCACCTTCGACGCGATGCAGACTTGGTTCGTCAAGCTCACCCTCTATCCTTCGGTGGCACAAATTCTGGAAAGTCCTCTTTCAGTTGCTTGTATATATTCTTCAGCGAGCCCGGTGGTTTCGTCGGCGGCAGGACCGAGAACGATAGTCCTATGAGAACAATTCTCAGTAGGACTCCAAGAGATGCGATTCTCGTGCTTACCATGAGCTTGGCCCACATTATGATATGGGTCCTGAAAAGGACATCGGCCAAAAGCTCGGGCTTAACACGATTGTGCTCTTACCTGTCCCAAGACGACGACCCGAACGCTGTCTAAAGGGGTATAGTTCGACCAGGAATAAACGTCCTGCACTGCAGTCGGCGGTCAGCTGTGCGGCGTTCTCCCTGTACGAAAAAGACTGACTCTTCGGGTATATGGTATTCGACCGATGCTCAGCCGTGAGGAAGTCTTTGAGCTGGGACCGGTAAGCGTTGGCATCACAAATGCGTGGACGACATTTATTACCTGACGAAAATATGACTTGCCAAACTCGGCCTGTAGCGCCTGATGCCACTGCGGCTCCATCGTCTCCTTCTCCAGATTCTGCCAGGTGAGGGTACCGACATCCAGCCGTCTCTCTTCGCTGTGTAATGTAAGTCCTGAGATGAAGCTGACTGACACGTTCGCAAATTACTCACGTAGCCTCCGCCGTCTCGAAAGTGGCTTTAGCTTTGCGTTCGGTGCGCTTCTGGAAGATAGAGGCGACGGCTTTGCCAGAGGCGCTAGTGCTGGTTGAGGTACCTGCAACGGCGACCGTTGCCTTAGTAGAGACCTTGATTTTTGCGGCTTTGGGCATGGCGTATAGCAAGTATCGAGTTTGGGGTGAAGAAACGCAAGACCGTAAGCTGATAGAGGTATTAGGGTCTTGTCCAGGGTGCTTCGCGAAGAAAGGGATATTTACGAGAGCCTTGTGAGCGTGAACAGCATGCACCCGAAGTGGGTTGAAGATGCTGGTATTTCTTTCAAATGAGTAGGATCGTTGCTTGTGGTCGCAACAAACACCAGATAGGAGCTTGGCTCACCTTGTTCGAGAAGCTCGGTCAGTCGCACAGTCCTGCACAGAAGTGGCCAATTTGGTGGTGGCAGACAGACAACCCGTTATTCCGCCTCGTACACGTGATCTTATGTGCTCTAAACAAACTCGTTGCCGAGAAGCCGAGAAGCCTCGAGGCTCACGCTGGCGAAGTCCCCGCAAAGTCGCCACCGCGTCAAGGGCAAAGACTTACACATCGAAAGTTAACGGAGACTGTTACCTTGCCTGGCAAGGTCCCTCTCGCCCTTATTTGAGCCCATGAATTTGTACGGTGGGGGCGGAAAGGAAGGAGAAGGAGCTGCGGCAGAGGATAATCAGGCGAAGGATGGGTGGATCGTTAGATAATGAGGCGATGATAGAGCATAATGGAGCAACGGTAGGAGGCGAGGGGACGGAGGGAGGAGGGGACGATACCGATGGCCAGTAAGGGGCAGCAGCGGAGGCTACGGGAGCTGCGCAAAACATAATACCGTGCTGATATGGATACCCATGGACTGCATGCGCTCCAAATTAAGTCTCTGAGCGATATAGTACAAAGTATTTGCCGCCATGATGCGCAACAAAGCAACACATAGGTTAATCGACTAAGAGCCAAGGAATCGCCATCCGCCCTCGATGTCGCAGCTGCGAGGAAGGAAGTTCAGAAAGATACTCGTATCAAAGGTACGGATGCGTACCGTGCAGAAACATAGCTATCGCGGAGTCCATCGTTAGCCAGTGCGTCGAGCCCGTGGATCTGCGAGCACGTCAGCGATGGTGATAGGTATTGGAGACTCGCCTTGCAAAGACCTAGAGAAGGGTTCGGGCTTGGCAACAACTAAACACTCCAACGACGCCCGGCCCTGAGTCCGAACGCCGCCTTCACTCTCCGCACGCCGACCTCAGCTTGCAGGCCAACGCGCATCGGGAGCGACGAATAAAGCCGGGTGGCTACCGCACTGGAATGAGAGTCGAGACTGCTCTCCGCCCCTTCCAGCAATCACGACCCCCATCCCGACACGACATGTCCACCGACCCGCATCCCCGCTTACCACGAATCCGCCTTGGGAGCGCCCCGAAGGACGCCCTTAGGTGGGAAGCTCTGTCGCCAGTCCACGGTTCGTAAGGAAGAGAGCCGCCGGGCTATATACCCATCGCGGAAGTAAAGTCTGGTGGCGGTGCGGGAGGAAAAGCAGCCCAGTGGCGGTGCGGAATAGATGTTTGTTGACGACAATCTCGCGTGTATTTGTGATTGTTGATGCGCCCATATGTGTCACATGACCTTTCGCATGTTGCCGGTGGCGTCGTCGCTCCTTGCCTGGTGCTTTGCTCACCATCTCGGGCTAGACCACTGTTCTTGACCATGATCAAAGGTCATTACATTGAACTTCATTGCAAGGTATCTCTTGCCCTTCAACCCCAGTGAAGAGTCACGCTACTCGCGGATATCTCACGCTACCAAAACCTACCCTGCCACAGCGATATCTTACAATATGTACGAAGACAGTTGAAATAGGTTTTTAATCGTGCTTTTCTAGCCCATACTATCGCGCCCTATTCAGCCTTTTTGCGGTAGATTGCAGTAGCAACGGATACACTACTATCTACTCAGGAATATCACCGTCCACCATTGCCTCCCGCGCTGTGCTGGTAGCCATGCGCGCCTTGCGAACGGCCGCCCCCAAGTCCCGCCCAGCACGCGCGCATATACGCGGCTCGAGCCTTGCACAACCGTAAGCACTACGTTCAGCCTGGGGTGCGCTGACGCACACTATCACGCCGCCGCATCACCACTGCCAGCTGGCTGCTTGCGTGCCTCCAGATACTCGGTAAGCGTGTTTCCATACGTAGTCTGCAAACGACGATTAGAAGACACCTCTTGTAAACACGGGCTATACTGACCTTCAACACCTTGCAGCGTTCGGCGTATGACTACGGGATATGTCAGGCTCAGTGCCGGCGATGCTGCCCGCATGCGTACCTTCTGACCGCCGGTACTTTTCATTGCATCCCAAGCGGCCTTGACGACACCATGTGCGACGTCCGGGTCCTTGTCGCGAGACTCGTGTGCATACAGATTGCTGTACATTGTATCAGGAAGCGACGACGAAGCGGCATCGGGACTCACAACGGCGTCGTCGACATGCCGGGATTCCAGACGCGCTGCTTCCTCGTACAGCTGCGGGAAGCGTCGTTGGCGAGCGGCGGGCCTGTCGTCGAGGGCGCTGCCGATGTGGGCACCTCAACATGGGGAGTGGTCGAATCGGTGGCGGTGGTTATCGTGAGACTACTGATAGGCGGAGAAGAGAGGATTTGAGGCGGCGGCGCAAATTCTTCAAACTCGATTGCATCCAAAGGCGCGATGCCCGCACTGCATGTCACCTAAGATAGCGGATACACTTACGCCTGAGTGCCACGTACAGAGAATCAGCGACCTATAATTTAAAGTCAACAACCGTATTAGCTACGAATGATGAGAACACATGCCTTGTACTGAATGCGATCATCTTCGTCCGTTCTGACTCTCTTGGACGGTTGCTCCGCATCAGCAGGGCCAGGATCCAGCGGCCGCTTCGACGGAGCATCGCGAAGGGATGCAGCAGGCAGCAGAACCGCGCGCTGGAGTTCACGAGAAGGCACGTTTGACGCGTTTGGCGAGGGCACGACAGACGAGAATGTAGCGGGTGATGGCGTAGCGGGCGATGGCGTAGCAGGCGATGAATACAAGTCGACGACGGGCGCTCGGGAGGGTTTCTTGTACGAGAGAGCTGTGGGGCCGGGTGTATGCGTACGAAGAACAGAAGCAGCACGTTCAGCTTTGATGATGGCGCTCTTCGAGACTGTGGCGAGGTCCGGATTGTTTTGCTTCCAAGAGGAATAGACTGCTTGATAAATGCGCATAAGCTTCCAGTGATTGTCGCAGTAGTTGACCTCTGGGAACTGCGCATATACTTCGTGTTGGAGGAAACGGAGGACGGTGAGGTTGACATAGCGGTAGTTGGGGACCCTGATGCCTCGATCACCTAGGTCTCCGAAGCACTGGCGGACAAGGGTGCGGATCTGCCCTACGCGCGTCTCGGTTATGACCGCACCGTCCTTGTTCCGTAGGTAGCGCATAGAGGTGTTCCTGTCTTGAGGATCGATATCGGGAGCAGTGCTGTTGGAACCGTAGAGCGTCTCGGTCCAGCCAAGCTTGGTGTGGAGACGGATAAGAGCCTTGGCGTCAAGTTCGTCCGAGCCGAAGTCTGGAGGAGGGATGTTGTCGCGTAGGATGAGGCCGTTCGCGTCACTGCTGGAAGAGACGACCGGTGCGTTCACGATTCGTTCTTGATGTCGATCCATCTTATCTTGCTGCTTGTCGATTCTCTTCAGCGTCGTGTCGATAGTGGCTGTCGCATCTTCTAAAGCCTTGACGGCACTCTCAAGTTTCCCGCCAAGAAGCCTCCGGTTCAGGTGAGCATAGGCTGAGGAGATGGCAGTACCACGTACTTGATAGTCTCCCTCTCCATCTCCAAAGCAGTCACCTTCATCTGGAGCTGTTGGAACTGCATTTGTAGGACATTCGTCGTGTTCAGTGTTGCTTGCAAGTGGAAAGCGGAGTTCGGCTGGGCGCCAGACTGTGTTGGAATAAGCCCAGAGCCATTTGTCGCAGCGAGCTGTTCAAGAAGTTCAGAAGCAGAGTAAGCATGTTGGAGAGAGTTAAAGTCATTCATGGTGGGGGGAAGCAAGGAGCAGGGCACCGGCGCACAATGCCGACATGTAGCCGAGTTAGGAAGTAGATGTGCGTACATAGGGACCATCATGTACATACAAACATAAACTCGACTCGAGTAGGTAGCTTTGTGTCCATGCTGCATGATACTATCAGATATACGGAAGCATAACTAATCCTCGTCATCCTGTGCATTGGAACCATCAAGTCGCATAATATCAAGACCCAGCTTCTCGGCAAGGAAAAACCGGGTCACAAACTCGGGCTGGGGCAAGTACGGTAGGCTAGATGCAGAAGGATAGCCCGGAAGCGCACCAAAGAGCGGAAGCGGTACCATTCCAACCACAGACAGGATAGTCTTCACCTCGATGACCTCCACCGACCGCCTATCCAGGTCACATGCAACGAGAGCGCCCGAGGATTTCTCGAGGAGGCTCTGGTCGGGGTCGGAGTAGCGATGCACCATGGCAAGGCCAATATCCTGACCAGCGATGTGATGCACAAAGTAGTATAAGACTTCGGCAATGTAGAGCGACCTTGTTGCGACGTCCCGCGCCTGTCAATGGCTTCAGTCGAGCGCCAGGGCAATTCAATCAGAACCCACCTTCACATTGCGTGCGATGCGCTTACCGCTCCCGTGTGCCTTCAAATTCTCCTTCCACGCAGAGCGGGCAATGTTACCGTTGGGAAGTACGAGCCGCGCCCATCGCATCACCTGTAATTGGCTGTTCGAGCGGGGCCGGCCAGTGATCCTGCTGATATAACTCTGTAGCGCCACATTGTGCGCGACCGAGAGCACCACAGACGTCGTGTCCCGTGCAGGTCTGAAGCTGAAGCCTCTGCCTAGATGGTAGGCCAACCGTACGTTGCCGTTTGAGGATGCATTCGATGGGTTAAGACTTGGCACGAGCGACATGATGGCATTGATCTGCGCACGACGCACGGCGCGTTGTGAGAGGTTCGCGTATGGGTTAGATGGCTGCCGGATCTCCTGACCGAGGTTGCCAATCGTACGCTCCATCGTCCACTGGGAGTACAGACCTGGCGGACCAAAAAGCTGAATCTCCCGAGCCAAGTGCGTGAGCGAGTGAACACTCTGTCGCACGAAGTGGATTCGAGCTGTCTTGCCAGCATAGTAGAGCCGCTCGTAGTCGCGGACGAATGTGATGACGAGCTGGTGAGCCCGCCTGAGATCAGATAATGAGATAGAGCGCTGGTGAAGAATGCGGATGGCGCACACGAGGTTGCAGAAGTTGCGATAGTACGGTTCGGGGAGGAGCTTGTAAAGCAAACCGGGTCCCAAGACGTAGATGTAGTTGAGGTATTCAGCTGCCTTATATCCGCTGTTAATCTTCTCGGCAGGGTTGCGAGGGGCGCGGTCGAAGAGGGTTGGAAGATACGGAGTAGCATCCGCAACGGTCTTGCCGTGTGCCTGCAAAGTATATGTTGGAATAATCACGAGCGCGAGTAAAAGATTGACAGACCTTCCATACATCTCCTCGAAGGACAGCCCATGCCCACGCACTCAGAGCATCACCTCGATTGGTGTCGCATTCGAGGGTCCCCCGCCAGAGAGAGATCATCAGATCCGGGAGATTCAGCGCTGCATGGTGCATGAGGTCGCCGGGACAGCAACGGGGAACGGAGAGAACACGAGGTAGACCGCTGAAAATACTAGGCTTGTTGATGCCGGACTCCTGCCTGCGTGCAGCAAACTCCCGCTCATTCCGGGAAGCGCCAAGGTGGGCAAGGTTGCGCTCGTATGTGGCCTGGCTGAAGGTCGGAAGGTGTTCGACGTCGTATGCGTGTGCATTACAAGCATCGCCGTGACGGTTACAGCCAGGATAATCGATGGCCCTCGACATTGCAGGGTAGTACTGAGACCCTTGAGGCTTGTGACGTCCTTTGAGGCCGCAGAAGCGCCTGCAGCCGTGCGTGGCGAGGTGGCCGTTGTTCCCGTTTAGATCTTGCATAGCTGGTCCATCTGCGGTGACGAGCAGGAGGTAGGGGCGATCGATGGTCATCTGCCGCTTCATCCCGTTCCAAACTGGAAGACCGTGCTTCTGTATGGCGGCGAGATGATGGAGCGAAGGGAAGAAGAATGACTCAATGTTCTTTGGCTTGCGAGGACCTGGAATGACAAAGGACGGCATGACAGAGCTCATCTTGTATCGCACCTCAGGGGAGAGGTCCAAAATCACGAGTATCGCGATCCAGGCGTCGCTCTGTTTGCTCCGATATAATTGGGCGCCGTCGATGGAGACCATGATCACCGTGTCGTCCTCGTCGATCTCGTGCGCCTCGAAATATGCCTGGCCACAGAAGATGTCATCGTAGTTGTCGACGTTAATGACACCATTCGCGTCGGCCTGAGCAGTTGTCAGTCATGCCAAGAGCCCGAGATGCTAAACATACCTTCTTCAGCAGCTCCTTCGTCTTCTCCGAGCGATACGCCATTGCGCGAGCTGCATCGGGATGTCGGTATAGCGCTTGCAGCTGCGGGCCCACTGGCATCGTGCTGAAGGTCTGCTGAGGGACTTTGACACGACCGTGAGATGCCGCAAGACGGATAGGGTCGTATCGCGAAGCGCCACACTCGGGGCACGTCTCGAGGATGGCGTAGGGACCGGTATACGCGACACAGGAGTTGTGGCACATGTCGTGCTTGATAGGGATGACACCGCTGATCCGCTCGACAAGTCCTTGGGTAGTAGCATGAGAGGGCACGGCAGCCTCGTCAGGAAAGCGCCGATTGATAGCTTGTCTCGTTGCCTCATAGACTCCTTCAGAGGCGGTAGATGTCGCCGCAAAGAGTTCGAGCGCCATAAGCGTGTCGGCGTCTAGGTCGACAACAGACGTGGGAGGATTGAGTAAGTGGTAGAGCTCCTCACCAGCCATGTCGCCATTATTGATAGTGGCGTCCTTAACGGCCTGAATAAACTCCTGCGACAGCCTGAACGATGGGATTGTGGACTTGATTTGGGAAGCAGTGGGTGCATCATCAGTCTCCTCTGGGGCCTGCGGATCGTCTGGAGCTATCCGGTTACGAGCGCCCTGCGCTGCAGTTGCCGCTAACTCGATATCTTCATCCAAGTGGGTGTCGGATACGTCCTTAAATATTTTGAGTACAAGTGGTCGAATAGAATCGTAGAAAAGAGTCGCACCAAGGAGCGCGCACGAGCAGTCGGCGGCGATTGCGGTGCTGGGATAGCGACACGACGCCCCGAAGGAGAGGTGGAGGCTGCTTGGACATTTGTGTTCTCGGCATGCGGTACAGTCGCGCGCGCTTGAGGATTGTGGCGCCGCCAGCGTTGTGCCGAAATCATGGATCCATGACCGTCTTTAGAGCAAGCAGAGCAGTTACAAAGGCGAATCGGCTCGGTAGAAGCCATGTCGGTTGCGTGGGACGAGCCTGGCGAGCTGAGCGAACAATCAAGTGCTATTGATCTTATATACCCTGTCTGAATCGTGTACAGCGGTGATTAGGTCATATTTCTAAACCTGTAGAGCTCTCCTCGTCAGCTGCATTGCCAGCTAGAAGTCTACAGTACATACGTTCCTTTCATCTGCCCCAACGCCAGAGCAGCTGCGGCGTAAGCAAAATGTCGCTTGGTGTCCTCGGGTTTGTACCAGCTGTCGTGCCAACGAGGTTCTATCAGGATCCGAGGTCCTGTCGGCCGATATAGCTGGATCATCGGTGCACCTATCTTCACGATGCACGGTTGACGAGGCGGCCATGGTGGTGGACGCAGAGAGCAGTGCGCGATCACATGACATCAATATCTGGACGAGCGGTTGATCCCGCGCCTAATAGCACCAGTAGCGGTATATCTAAGGACTCGGAACTTGCTCCTCTTGAGATGATGACCACGTCTAGCATTGTACAAATCATCAGTCACTTGGATTGTGCACTATGAGGTACAATAGCTCTACTCCATTGTTAATTGGACCCTTTCAAATCACCGCCAATCTGCGAGAGCTGCGGCACGTCTGCAATCAGAGAGATTGAGAGCGGGATGATACGTCTTCCCTCTGCATCTCGCACGCATAGCTCGCACGAGAGCGGCACCAGATATCTATCAAGATCGCTTGGGGCATGCGGACCTGCGACGAAAGCGTTACTCGTCGTGCAGGGTCCTGCGTCCTGCTAGAAAGTCAGCCCACCGAAATTAAGAGGCATCCCTCGAGTCAGTATACGCACCGCGTCTGAGATCATTAGGCTGACAGGCGTAAGTTCCTGCTAGGCTCGCTGCGCGTGAACATGCGGATCATCAAGTGGGATACTGAAGGACGTACCGAGTCTGGATGCTGCGCAACAGAGCCGATGCATACTGCATTGATGCTGGCAATCTCCAGTGCGGGCTCCTTGGCCGTATACCTAGCACAGTGAGCACTAATGAGCGCGCGGCGCTGCTGACAGGCGCATAGCGTACCTATCTGCATGTGTTCCAACTTGGGTTTCGTCGTGCTTCATGGCGACTTCAGTGCGCGTCCAGATACGGGCAGGGCTCGCCACTGGGCTTATATACGCGCGCGTACAACTTACGGATGTAGCGGCACTTCGATATCGGACTCCAGTTTGCGGCAGTCGCTAGTCTGCAGGGACGTACTGGCGCTCGTACGCTCGCGTCATCGGAAGTGATAAATTTGCTTGAATCGAGGCTTTGGGATGCTCGACTGAACGAAAGAGGTCGACGAGCGGGCGAGGAATAGACAGTTGATGTAATCTGATGTCATGTCGATCGTTAGCTTGGTTTCGGCCGAGCCGAAGTCGCGTCGAGTAGATTGTGGTTGGTTGCGGTACGACGGGGTTTCTTGTGGTAGGGCAGTTCTCACTGGGCTTCAACCCCACCATTTAATACGGTGCTCTTGGACGACGGCCGAACCCACTCGTTACCTCACCCATTACGTTTCCCTGTCCTACATCTTCTTAGAACATACTTCCCCGTCAGTATTTACGTGCTTCCCTTGTCTCTCGTCACCTATGCATATATGTCCTCTCCCAGGTGTTGCTGTCTCAATCTATGATCCATGTCTTCCCCCCTTTCCCTACGCGGTCACATGACCTGCACGTTGACCCGCATTTACTCATCCGATCGCGGCACCGGTCCGTCTCCCGTTCCATCTTGCCTTTGCCCGTCATCACGATGCTCAAGCGCATCCCGACGACAAAGGATGGCAAGCCCCTCGACCGCCTCCAAGAAAGCCGCATCATCAACAAACCCTTCAAACCGCCCACCATCGCCGCCAACGCCGCGCGCGACCAGCCGCAGCGCAAGCGCAAGCGCGTATCCTATAAAGATCAGGACGGCGCCAAAGACGACGATGACGACTCGGGCGACGAGGCGGCGAAGCGAAAGAAGAAGAAGAAGCAGTTGGACGAGAGCTACCACAATGAGGAGGAGCTGCTCGCGGCGGTGAAGAAGTTCCCGGTATACAAGCCCAAGCCATTCGACGCGATGCACAGGCGCTTCTCGATGCCGACGATGCGGAATAAGGCGGGGGAGGCGGTCCCGCTGGTGCCGACGGGGGCGTCGCTGGGGATCAGGCCGCTCGCGAAGCTCATCCCGCGCCCGCTGTTCGATCCTATGGCGGACCATGCGATCGTGCTGTACGACCCGACGATCGACGATAGGGAGACGGACGAGGAGCGGCTGGAGAGGGTGAAGGAAGAGGAGAAGGCGAAGATGGAGGAGGAGGCGAGGGCGAAGTCGGAGGGGATGTACAACCCGCACAAGAAGCTGCGGACGCTGCTTGGGGAGGACAAGAAGGGGAAGACGAAGTCGGAGAAGGTGCCTGTCGTGATCGACCCTAGGCTAGGCAAGGTGCTACGACCGCATCAGGTCGAGGGTGTGAAGGTGCGTGACCTGCCTGAGTGCGCGTCTGAATGGGTCCTGACAACTCTGCGTGCAGTTCCTCTACCGATGCGCGTCTGGCATGGTCATGGAGAACACGTATGGCTGCATCATGGCCGACGAGATGGGTCTTGGGAAGACTTTGCAATGCATCACCCTCCTATGGACTCTGCTCAAGCAATCCCCTCACGCCGGCAAGCCCACCATTGAGAAATGCATCATCGCGTGCCCTTCTAGTTTGGTTAGGAATTGGGCCAACGAGCTCAGTATGCCACTATTTCTAGTACACCTGGATGTATGCTGATGTTTGCCGCAGCCAAGTGGTTAGGCAAAGAGGACACCATTTCCCCATTAGCAGTGGACGGCAAGGGCACGAAAGCGGAGCTCATCGAGAAGGTCAATCGTTGGGTGTCTGCTTCTGGCCGGAATGTCACTCAGCCAGGTGTGTTGAAGCGATATTTATCCTGCAATGCATAAGCTCTAAAATCGGTGCAGTAATGATTGTCTCCTATGAGACTCTCCGATCTCTCACCGACTATCTTGCACAATGCCCAATTGGTTTGCTCCTCGCCGATGAGGGTCATCGATTGAAGAACTCTGGTAGGCCTCCGCCTTTGCTCAGGCTTTCCATCTCTTATCTGCTATACAGAGAACCAGACCTACCAAGCCCTGGCTTCCCTCAATGTCCGTCGACGCGTCATCCTCACCGGTACACCCATTCAGGCAAGCTTCATCCCGAGAAAAGTGATATCGTATATACTTAAGCTCGTCCTTAGAACGACCTCTCCGAGTATTACTCCCTCCTCAACTTCTGCAATCCCAACTTCCTTGGCTCGAAGAACGACTTCCGCAAGAACTACGAGAACATCATCATCCGCGGGCGCGACGCCGACGCCACCGACAAGGACAAGCAGGAAAGCGAGAAGAAGCTCAGGGAGCTCACCGGCATCGTCACCAAGTTCATCATCCGGCGCACGAACGACCTGCTGTCCAAGTACCGTGAGTATCCCTTTGTTCATGCGCGCTTCGAGGCATGCTGACGGCAACACACTCTCGCAGTCCCCGTCAAATACGAGCAAGTCGTCTTCTGCGGCCTCTCCGAGTTCCAACTCGCCCTCTATCGACTCTTCATCACCTCCCCGGAGATCAAGTCGCTCCTTCGTGGCACGAACTCGCAGCCGCTCAAGGCTATCAACATTCTCAAGAAGCTCTGCAACCACCCTGAGCTGCTCGACCTGCCCAACGACCTCCAGGGCAGCGATCACCTTATCCCCGAGGGCTTCTGCGGCGCCGGCCAGCAGCAGGGAGGCTCTGGGCGGTCAGGTGGGCGCAGTGGGAGAGGTGGTGGCGGCGCAGGCGGGAGCGGGAGCGGGAGCGGGAGCGGGCAAGTCCGCTGCGACTGGAGCGGCAAGTTTGTGGTTCTGGAAAGGTTTTTGCAGCGGATGCGGACGACGACGACGGATAAGATTGTGTTGATTAGTAACTACACGCAAACGCTGGACTTGTTCGAGAAGATGCTGAGGGGGAAGAGGTGAGTGCGGTTTATTGAAGGTGGGATACTGGATGCTAAAGGCTCGCCACAGATACGGCTACTTCCGCTTGGACGGCACGATGACCACGACGAAGCGGCAGAAGATGGTCGACGAGTTCAACGACCCCAACAACACGGAGAAGTTTGTATTCCTGCTGTCCAGCAAGGCCGGAGGGTGCGGTATCAACCTAATTGGCGCGAATCGCTTGATTCTGTTTGACCCGGACTGGAACCCGGCGGCTGACCAGCAGGCGCTGGCGCGTGTATGGCGTGACGGGCAGAAGAAAGAATGTACGTCGCGGCGAGCTTGACTCTGCATAATCGTCTCATCTCACAAACGCACCCACAGGCTTCGTCTACCGCTTCATCTCCACGGGTACCATCGAAGAGAAGATCTTCCAGCGTCAGGCGAACAAGCAGGCCCTCTCCTCCTCCGTCGTCGACGAAAAGGAGGACGTCGAGCGCCACTTCTCCATCGACTCCCTCCGGCAGCTGTTCAAGTTCAACGAGAACACGCTCTGCGACACGCACGACACGTTCAAGTGCAAGCGCTGCAAGAACGGCGTGCAGGCAATGAAGGCGCAGGCGCTGCTGTATGGGGACGCGAGCACCTGGAACCACTTTACGAACGCGGAGCTGAAGAAGAATCACGATGATCTGTTGAGAGCGGAGGTGGGGGAGCCGGAGGTGTCGTTTGTGTTCCAGTATATCAGCCATTGAGCAGGCTCGGGTTGCACGCGGACTTCGCTTTGGGACTTTACACGGTGGGGAGGAGGGAGTGATTAGGGATATGCATTCGAAGACATCGTATAGCACTGTATAATAGATCAAGACAACGAGGAACAACTGCATAGACATAAGCATCATTCCCGCGCATGTAAAGAAGATTGGGCACCTCATTGGGTAGACATGAAATTCTCGTCCTTGATCCTCTGCTTAGTTTCTATCCGCCTCTTCGCACGCAGTGCCTTCCGCGGGTCGTCGTGCACCTTGGGCTCCAATATTGTCCACAGCCACTCTGGGTACTCCTCGTCCGGCTTAGCCAGCACTGGCGGCTGGCCCTTCAGATAGTTCAAGCCCACAAGCACGGTGTCTGCTGGGCAGGACGACTTGGGTGCTAGGAAGCACGGTCAGACAGACGCCTGGTGGTAAGAGTATACGAACGCACCTGCGGGTGCCGGCTCAGCGGCCTTGGCTGGCTTCGCAGCATAGCTCCGTGTCTGGAAGAGCACGCGAAACGCCTGGCGGCGCGTGCAGGAGACGAGGGACATGGCGGTGGTGATGGCGGCGGCGGGCAAGTTCGCTGCCTGCCATTTGCGGGAGCGCATTCGATCGCGCGCCGCTCGGGCCGGAGAGCCACTTCCCACTCAACACTGACATTCACGACCACCCAACTATCGACACGACGACTATGGCTACGAAGGCAGGAAAGAAGCGCGCGGGCCCCTCGACTGAGGACGTGCCGAGGACGGGCCACGCGACAAAAAAGACGCGCTTTGTTGAGCCAGTGGACGATCCAGCTAACTTCGAGGAGAAAGTCAATGAGGGTCTAGAGGACCCCAGCGCACATCGCAAAGGACGCGTCAAGACTGAGGGCTACGACTCTGACTCAAGCGACGAGGGGGAGGGGGTGGTGTTCAGTCGGCAGAAGGGGAAGGAGGAAGAGGAAGAAGACGACATGTTCGCAGTGGGGGACAAGGACGACGACAAGGCGGGCGAGAGCGCGAAGAAGAAGAAGACCGAGTACCTCCGGCTGGGGGACATCGAGGGGCAGGAGTTCAACGACGGCGCGCGCGAAGGCGACGAGTCCGAGGAGAGCGACGAGCCCGAAGACGAGGACGCGGCGGAGCGGAAGAAGAAGGAGGGCATGGGCTTCGAGCTCTCGTCGTTCAACATGCGCGAGGAGATGGAGGAGGGGAAGTTCACCGAGGACGGGAGCTACGTGCGCTCCTTCGACGCGCACGCGGTGCACGATCGGTGGATGGAGGGCGTGGACGAGCGGCAGATCAAGCTGGCGCGGAGGCGGAAGCGCGAGCAGGATCGGATACAGAGGGAGAAGATGAAGGCCGAGGAGCGCGAGATCGAGCAGAGTGGGGGGAAGCCGGCGCTTGAGCTGCAGCTCGTGCCCTTCCTGAAGAAGGGCGAGTCGGTGCTCGAGGCCTTGCAGCGTTTGGGCGCTGTGGCGAAGAAGAAAGGGTGTGTTCATCTCTTATTCTGCTGTGGTATTCATGCTCATATGCCAATCCCCCAGTCACAAGCCAAACAGCAATAGCATGCAGGTCGATAAAGCCCCCTCAGGCCCGACCGCCGTCGAAACCATCACCCATCTCGCCTCCAACATCATGTCCGTCGGCGATGTCGATGTCTACTCGAGGACCTACGAAGAACTCGTACGCTCCGTACGCTCCTCCGGCCTCGTCGAACCGGACTGGGACCCACCGTCCGCAGATGTCAAGTACGAATACAAGTGGGACATGCCGGGGACGGATGCGCCGGACCAGACTTTTGGCCCCTTCAGCGAGGAGGAGATGAAGTCGTGGTACAAAGCGCACTACTTTGGACAGTATGGCGAGAAGGTGAAGGTGCGGCCGGTAGGTGGGGAGTGGGGTGATTGGGACGATGTCATCCTATGAGCTCGTCTGCGCGTCTGTGACCATTTCTCGCCTATATCTTCAATTTCCATGCTCCTGTATCCCTATCGTGCTGTGTATTGCTATCTACCGCATCGTCTTTGACTACGCGGCTTTGGTGATGGATGCGCTGTTGTGTCACGGACCGTCAACTTCAAGTGCAGTGAGTCAACCTCTTCATCCACGCCAATAAACTCAGACCTAACGGGAGGTCAATGAGATTGCACGCGGACCGCGACAGACGCAAGGTCAAGATTGTCGCACTTGAACCAAGAGAACATGGTGAAGGTCATTCACCACCCTCATGCATTTCCTCCAGACGTGTCTACCATGGACTGAAGTGTTGGGGCCTTTACCACTTTCTGGGGTTGAGTCGGAAGGTCTTCAGTCCCTCTTCCTTCTTCCAGGGCACCTCCTCTTCCCAATGGGTGATGACAACCGCCGCCTGCTCGGGGCTGATTGCGTCTCCTCGAAGGTACTTGCGCGCCGCACGAATCATGCCCTGATCCATTCCTACAACAGCATCAGCTAGCCAACTCGATTGCCGAGCCGTGCGACTGACCACTCCACACTTCGTCGAGCAATACCAGAGGTGCTTTGCCAACCAGCGCACGCATCAGGAGCGCCATGCGCTGCTCGCCGATGGTCAGGTCCGCGAAGGGACGCTGCTTGAACGCCTCTGTCGCCTCCCCAACCGCGTTCCCCACCCACGCATCAGGGCCGAGAGCCGCGAAAACCTCTTCCATCCGCGAGAGGCGCCAGGGGATATCGGGCGGCGCCATGATACCCTTACCGACGCCCTGCTCGCCCCCGGGCACGAAGCCGCCGTCGAAACCCGTGCCGACAGCCTCCCAGGCCGTCACACCCGGCCGCCGCGGGAAGGCGTCGAACAGCTCAGGTGAGAGGACGCCGATGAGCGAGTGCAGCTGGGGCGTGGGCGTGCGGGAGCGCGGCTTGGAGAAGAGGTGCAGGTGCTTCTGCGTGTAGGACTGCGGGTGGTCGCCGGTGAGGAGGGACATGAGCGTCGTCTTCCCGGAGCCGTTGCTGCCTTGGAGGTGCCAGCGCTCGCCCTGGCGGATCTGCCAGTCGAGGTTGTCGAGGACCTGGGGAGCCGAATGAATGAGCTTGTCGTCTGAATATGCATGGGGAGGTGCGCTTACGACTCTGTTCCCGTACTTTACGCCGACGCCGCGCATGTCGACGAGGATGTCGCCGGCGGGGGCCAGCTGGGTTTTCGCTTCCTCAGCGGTGCGCGCCTGGTGGGCGGCCTCGTCCGCGAGGACGTGGGCTTTATCGCCGACGATGACGCGGTCTCCGCGCACAAGCGCGAGGTGTGTGATCCACTCCGGGATCTCGTCGTGTGTCCGCAGGCCGAGGAGGATGTACGGCGAGCGGTTTTCGTGCAACTCCTTCAGGGTGTGAAGTAGGCGGGGTCGGCTCTGCACGTCGAGGCCGGCTGCATGGCGTTAACAGGATGCGAATGACAAGAGGGCAATATACTCACTGAGCGGCTCGTCAAGCAAAAGAAGTTCGGGCTGCTTCAGCAAAGCGCTGATGATACGCGCGCGGCGGGTCTGCCCATTACTGAGCGCGACACGCGGTAGGTCAAGCAGCTCTTGCAGCCCTAGAGCGTCGACGAGGCGCCCGAAGAAGGCAAGCTTCTCAGGGGATATGGGAGGCGGCGGCTCGACCGCATCGTCGTCTTCAAACTCAAATTTCTCCCGTGGGATCGTCTCTGGGAACATGCTCTGGCGCAGGGTTATGCGGTCCTCATCGCGGACAGCGCCGTAGCGAGCTGTGTAATCGTAGAACCCGCCTCCGTGCGCACGGGCGCGGTTCGCGAATGAGACGAGCGTGACGCTCGTCAAGGGATCTATTCCCTTCTTCGTGAGGAAGGGTAAGGGCCCGCCCGGAGGGTACGGAGTGATACGGTGGTGGCCCGTAAGCGTCTGTCGAACAGTCTTCAATAACCAAACGCCTTATACGAAGCAGAGATTGTCCTACCTCGAAGACCGTCGTCTTGTGTCCCGTCCCGGAGCCAATGACAGCCCAGTTTTCGCCAGGCTTCACGGTCCACTCGAGGTCCCGGAGCGCGGGCGGCGCATGGTTTCCGTCGCCAAAGCGGTATACGTTTGCCTTGGGGATATGAATGAGTGTGGCATCTTTGGACGCATCAGTAGTGTGGCACCGCGTATGGTAGAACAGCAGCAGCCCTGGACGACGCGCAGCAAGCGGCTCGAAGCGGGTCTGCGCTGCTACGTTCGGCTTCGCAAGTCGAAGCATGACATGCATGACAGACGGTTGTCAGTGATGATTCTGAAGGGAACTTGCGCCGCCGCCAGGTGACTCCCCCACGCCATGCTTACCTAAGCAGCGTAAATGTCAATGCGCGCCTAATTTAGCCGTGTTCTGCGTAGCACTCAAGTAGCACTCATCATGCTCGCCGCCTTCCCTCGTCCCTTCTTCACACCAAGGGCCTTCTCAACCGCGCGCCGTTGGGCGTCCACTGGAGGTAGACCTCTTATTGGGCGCTACACGGATGTAGTCCCGACGGAGCTCGCGCGCGTTCAGTCCGGGCGAAATATTCGCTTGCGCGACTACGAGCAGCAGCGCGCGAACGGACGCCTTAGTTATGACCTCAAGTTGAAAGACGGGAAGGTGCTCCCCGCCGAGGGGCCCAACTTCATCGGTGCGTAGCGCGGTGCACCGGGTGTGGGCGTACTGACACGCGCTACAGGGCCGAATGGGTGCTCGCTGCGACCACCACTGAGCCCAATGTTCCAGGAGGTGGTGCGGAACTTCCGGGGGAGGAATGTGACGATCTACGTTCTCAAAGAGGGTGAGCGGCGATCCGTCGTCCCTGTCGAACGTGCTCTAACCTACCGATCACGCAGGCACACCGCTACCGCCAACCCTTCAGATCCTGCACGAGCACTCTGACCACTACTCGATGCAGTGCACTAAACCCATGACGCTAGAAGGTATGTATGAAGTCCTACATCCTTTTCTGCGCTACGCAGTTACCTCTCCCTCTCCGCCCCTCGTTTCCGAATCCACCCAGCACTCTCCCTTGCCTTCAATCTTTTTTTCCTTGCGTCGCTTGACTCTATCCTCCGTCGTGCAACACCTCTTTCCTCCGTCATGCAGCACTCCTTCCCTTTCGTCAAGCAATACACTTTACCACCGATGCTGACACGCTTCGCAGAACTCGACGCGGAACTAACAAAGTTCTTCGAAACGCATGCGCGGGTCCTCGATAAGTTCGAGTTCGACGACGAGTACCCCTTCTCAATAGAGTAGTGATCCCCTCTCTATCTGAGGGCGGTCCCTTCTCCGTCCGGGGGTGATCCCTTCTCCATCTGAGGGCGATCCCTTCTCTGTACGGGGGTGATCCCTTCTCTGTGCGACGGGTGGCCTCTTCGACATATCAGGGTGGTCCCTTCGCTCTCGAGGGATTCGTTGGCGGAGTGATCGCCCGGCTTGACCTTGCCATCAAGCGCTCAATACCTTGCCTTCTGTACATCCGGGCGGCCTGTGCACCAGGAGGACCGCGTCTTCTGTACATCAGAATAAGGATACATGCCCCACCACTTAATTTTCTGTCCCGCCTTAAGATGTCGTCGAAGATCACTGCCTCAATATGCCAAATTCGCTCCTTCAGCGCGTCGGAAGCCCTGGGTGCCCGCGCGACAGTGCGACGCACTCGAAAGGTATGGCAAGCCCTCCCCTGTCTCACGCAGCGCAGTCAGAATAAGTGTCTTCAGTCTTACAGCCCTATGTGCTCTAAGTACATGCATATGCAATAATGGCCCAATATTTTACATGTCTACTTAGACGGTGAAGGCGCAGACAAACGGCTACTGTATATGTGTAACGAGAGGAACGTAGACAAGTAAAAATACGCGAGGGGTCGGTACTGTAAGAAGTGAAGGTGATGGCGATTTTGAGCGGCGGCTTATGGGGCGGCGTGCGGCGGGTGGTCATGAACGAGGTGCGACTGATTGGCACCGACAGTCGCACGAGAGTTCCTACTCGCACACGCGCCCGGTCTACTCGGAGCGGGACCCTGAAGGCGGGCGAGCGGTCTATGACTTGAACTGCGACTCGCTCGGGTGCTGCTTGTAGTCGTCCAAGCCGTCCATCTGCTGCGAGGTGTCGATGCGGACAGCGATGGCGCCCGTGGACGCGCCGGTTCCCTGGAGCTACGAGGGGTGTCAGCCCGAACGACGAGCGGCAGGAAATATGGTGAGGGCTTACGCGAGGGCCGGATCGATCGCGGCTGGAGAGGGCATAGCTGTCGCTGTGGCCGCCAGCGAGCGACTGCTGGATGTGCTCACGACTGTTGAGCGTGACCATCAGGCAGTTGGTGACTAGACACATATTAGCATGCGTTTTCGGTAGGCAGAGGGAGGGATGACTTACACAGGCGACCCTCTGAAAATATTCGCTTGAGGTTAGCCAGTGTGCCAGATCACAACGACGAGGAGACTGACCAAGGAAGAAGGTAAGCATGTAGATGAAGGTGTCGGGCCAGACGTTGATCTTTAGAATCGTTAGCAAGATATATCCTCGACTCAATTACTTGACGTACGGCAATGCAACACCAGAGAGCGGTGAAGCTCGTCGGCAATCCGGTGTTGAAGGTGAACACGATCAAGCGGTTGAGCACGTCGTTCCTTTATCACAAAGTACGTCAACATCTCCTTTTCGTCGGTTGGTGGGCGAATGGATGACTCACGATCGCTTGAAGCCCGTCTTCGACTGTTGCAAGCAGAAGATCATCGAAATCGAGATGAGCACGTCGGTCGCCGCGGAGGTGATGTTAATCGCAATGTTGATGTTCTGGGAGTCGTCAGTACAAGGTCAGTGGGTTTTGCGGGGCGAGGATATCCACCTTAATTGCCGGCAATTCCGCGAACGTCGACATCTGCGCGCAGCGGACCGAGAAGACTGTGATTCTCGCTCAGAAAGATAACAGGAGACGTTGTACTCTCTACGTACCGAAAGTACAAGCTTAGGACGCGATGTCAGCAAACGGAGGAATCAATGGATGGAAGGACTTACTGAAAGCGGAGATGGCAGACGCAATGAGGAGAGCGGTCACATAGTAGTTCCCGTGACTCACTGCGAAAGTCAGTCAGTAAATCGTCGTGGTCGTTCAACAAGAGTACGTACGGCGGTATACACGATGGCAGTAGAATCTAGAGAAGGAAGAGATCGTTGAGCAGACTTCCTCATAGAGACGAACGCATCGCATACAGCTGGACAACAAAGGCCAGCAGGCCAACGAAGAGCACCTGGTAAGCGAGCGTGCTGTGGGATCATGAGCGGAATGTACAGCGGAAGCAGGGATCTCGGCCTACCCTTCAAGTTGGCCCAGCGCCAACGAATTGCCATGGTTTGTCACGCAGTACCAGTAGACTGCGAGGTACGGTCAGACGGGAGGGGAGTATGAAAGGGAGTATCGGGATCGCACCAGATGCTGCCGGGAAAACACATGTCAATTATCGACGGAGGCAAATGATGGGGCAAGATCGCTCACAAGCAAACATTCCCTGTTGAACAGTGTCGAAGACGAGGATGAAGATGACCTGGCAAGATCGTCAGTGGTTGGGGTCATCGTCGACAGTCCAGCACACGCACCAGGCCCTTGTACACCCAGCTGTCCTTCCTGGCATACACACGATAGTAGTGCCAGCCCTGAAGCAAACTACCTGTAGGCACATTAAGCCACGCGACCGAAGACCCAAAGCAATAGCCGCACATCCGTAAAGGCTAACAGTGACCGGGTCAGAGACAACGATCTAGCAGTGTGATAACAGCACGCACACAGAGGACAGCACCAGGGAGCTAAACAGCATGCCCAGCCTGTCGTTCAAGCGCCCGCGTCAGCGTCCATTCCCTTCACACCAGTACTACGGAATAGGCATACGTGAGATCGAGCGCGGTGGGTGCCATGGCTTTCTACAGTCCCGGGGCGAATGGGCAGGGAGGGGCGAAAACTGCGCGCGCTTGCGTATATAACGGCGCACGCCGAGGCACGCGACGCAATTGTGGTCGCCGCGAGCTTCTCCGCGTTGATCATCAGAAAGTTCATGAAATGCGCATCAGCTAAATGGGGGGCCCAGGGTGTGTGCGCGCGCGACACCAGCGCGACATCCCGGCATCCTGACGGGGGCCGGGTGCACCCGTCGGCATGGGCGCGCAAGATACGCCAAACAGGCGAGTCTTGTGAGCGATGGGAGTCCGAGCGCAGCGTGGGATGGCAGGGAAGGATTGGGAGGGGATGGCAAGCGCCCGGACTTGCGGAGAGGCTGGATTAGGTAGCTCCATTCGTTGCCGTTCAACGTGAAAGTTCTGACACAGGACCAAGGTTTCTCACACTTTCGTGCTATCCTCCGACTGCCCGCATGCCGACCAGACCCTCGTTTCTGGGCCTCTTGTTCGACCTGAACGCCACCAGCATCGCGGGTCAAGCAGCGAGCAAGCGCCTCCACATCCCGAAGGTCGACCAGACGGCCGCGCCGTCCATCTGGGGAGGACGGGATCTTTGATGGGGTCCTCTGAATGCGTTGCAGATCCTATTCTTCCCACAACTTCCGATAGATCTTCGCTTTGTATAGGGCAGGCCTTCCAATCGATGATGATCTGTACCTGCAACCGCGTCGTGCGGCGAGGTATTTCAGCCTTCTCAGAGCATGCAAAGCTTCCTGCGGCGCGGACGCACCCGCAGGGCTCCTTCTCAGGTTCATAACATCGTGCGAAGGAGCGCGTTCTGATTCAGAGCATGCAAGGCGAAGGCGTACTTACCAATGAGCGTCTTCGTCCAATGAGGAGGACGCTGCGAGCGAGGGTCCAACAGAAGAGAAGGTCTCGCTGAACAGCGAAGTCGACGAAGCACCTTCCTGCGCATGGAGCGCTAAGAGAGCGCCCGTAGGACGATAAAGTCGATCATCGCGAAGTCGTCAGGGTTTTGCCTATGCTACAGGAAGTCGTTATTACACCGCAACACAAACGCGCAGCGGAAAAAAACCGGCAGCGGCTTCCAGAATGACACCAGCGACGCAGTCACCAGAAAGCGCTGGCAGGACAAGCCTCTGGCTCTCCAGCGGAGCATGTCATGGGCGCTCAGTGAACCCCTTGCCGGCGGATTCCCAGCGCGGCGCGGGCTGTCGGCCAGAGCGCCCGAGCGGGGCCTGTGACGTCGCTGATCAGCGGCAAAGTCCGGCGGACTTGTAGAGAGTAGCACTTGTCCATAACCCTCATCGTGCATCCTTCCGAATGAATATGAGCACGTCGCACGCGCAGCTTTCCGAGATGCAGTGGGAGGACGGGTCAATACAAGCTCACAAGCAACAGAAGAATAACATAGAGCATCCAAAAGGTCTGTATATACACTTACGAGCGGCGCCCTCGCGATAATCAGATTCGGTCAGCCTTCAAGTTCGACAAGAGGACCAAGCTATATCAGTGTACAATCTGCCCTCACGCGTCGGACTGGAAGCCAAAAAGCCAGGCTATGCGTCACGAGCTCACAGCGGTCCACATGAAGACTTTTCGCATCAAAGACGGCTTGCCTCCCGCCTCCGCCACGGACATAGAGCAGGTGCAGCGCAGCCCTCAGTCCATCGAGGCGGAGTCCCCACCGCCCCGGAACTGTGCGTCGCCCTCTGTCCTACGACCACAACATGACTAAAGCGAGAATGGACATTGCGCACGCCTGTCCGACGAGAATCCGACCACCAGCAGTGACACTCCACGTCCTTACTCGCGTTTCGATCCACTTACCGTTTCGTACCCTGAATACACTTCTCTCCCATCCGAAGTCGCCCCCGGATGCATCACGGTACCGGGCCCGCGCATTTCCTCCGATCCTGAAGAGCAGCTTTTCGACAATTTCGCGGGCTCCTGGGCGAGAACGACTTTCGCTGACTCTGACGAGTTTCTGGGAGCATGTGAGGCTGGCGATGCTGGCGCGAACGAAGGGTACGACACGTGCGAAGAAGACAATACGCTGCGTACAATGGACGAAGCGCTACGCATGCCGCCCCCGCCAGTCGTCGACAAAGGTGAGTAAGCACCGTGGCTCCCGACGCGATCAAGTCTGACTTCAGTCAGACGCACCTTTTGCTTCTGTTTCTCTGGTAGATGACGACAGAGAATGGAGTCCTTGGAATGGGAAGGCGGTTTGTTGCGTTCCTTGCGCTCTTCGTAGCATGCAGGCTGACAAACTCGATGCAGGACTGCTTGATGGACATAATGAGCGCCTTCCCGCGCTCTTCGATGTCGAACTCCCAGCTCGAGACCATCAGCTGGTTCTGTCGAGCTATCGGATGCGAGACGACGCTTCCGAGTGTCAAGCAAGTCTATGACCATCGCGATGCCATCCTAGCATGCGCAGGCGCTGCTACGGAGGTTGTAGAAGGATCGTTAGACAATATCTACTGTGTCAATGACCTCGGGAAGATCTTGCAGCACGTAAGTCCCCCTGCAGCCCTCAACGCCGCGGTCACTCATGCTCATTCATGAAGGAATGGGCCAACCCCTGCGTGCGCCCGCATATTGACGATTATCCTGTAGAATACGGCCCCAACGATGTGTTCGACCGACAGGCTCAGGGGCAGCGCTGGTGTATGGAGGTTCACGGAAATCTGAGCGCGCCCATGTATCGTGGTCCTGGTGATCAAGATTTCTTCGTAGACGAGCCCGCGCTTGTTGATAGCCACGACGGTCCGCCCTATGTAGCCATGGTCACGCGCTGGTTCAAGCGCGACGGACTTGTTTGGGGAAGAGGGCACGCAATGGAGTGCGATAGCTCCGGAAAGGAGTATATTATTGACGGCGCGCTATGTCTTGAATTCAAGGGCAGCGACCTCCTCCTCAACTATGTGAGCTTGGAGAAGCTCCACCCCAAGCATAGACTTCCATCCCCTAACCAGATCAGAGGTGAGGACAATTTTCCTTTGATGTCGGGCCACAGCTGATGCAGGCAACTCAAGGCGTGAAGTGTGGTGGCGCACTTGACCATGATATTATGCCGTGGACTGAGCCTCTTCCTAATCCCTGGCGTACCAAGGCCAACGGGAAGCGTGTCTTCACCCCGCCTATCGAGTTGTACTGCGACGACACGTCTGGCAACCAATCCAAGCGTTGGAACAAGCATAATTCTTTTCTATTCACGCTTGCGGGCCTGGATCCAAAGTACGCGCATCTCATGTACCACATCCACTTCCTCGCCACTTCGAACATCGCGCCTCCGCTCGAGATGCTAGAGCGTATCGTCGATATGCTAGTGTAAATATATGACAGTGTTTCCCGCTGGAACAGAAGCTGATGTCTGCCCTTAGGGACCTTCGCGAGAACGGTGTTGAAGCATACAACTACGTGCATCGGGAGGTAGTCCTCCTCGCACCGTGGATACTCAACAAGCTTGGCGACAATCCGATGCAAAGCGAGCTCTCGTCGCATATCGGAACGCGCAGAAAATGCCATTGCCGCATCTGCAACCTCCATCGAGACTGTCCCGCAGGTCGGTCGGAGCAACAGCGCATATACGACAGCCTTAGCGTGCGTGCAGTCCTTGAGAATCATCACACTGCCTAGATCATGACCGCACCACAGGTAGGCTCACCACGAAATATAGAGGAAACTCGGGAAACCCTCAAGCGACAGCTTGATTGCTTTCTGCGTGGCGCACCTACATCGGCAGGCTCCATCGCGACCGCTACAGGCGTAAAGGATCAGTATTTCGATCACTTCTCGACGAAACTCGGCCAAGCGTGCTCGGAGGAGAAGGAGAAGGCGCATCGCTTGCGGCAAGCCGGTGACGAGGAAGGTGCAGACAAGGTCACTGCCAATCTGGCAGCCCTCATGCGGGAGCTGCGGGACGACATGCCCGCTGACCTATTCAAACCAGGGCTCCGTATTCCAGGTACCGTGTTGTTCACTTGAAGGACATCAGCTTACATCTCGAAGGTCTCGATCCCAATGCAGATACGCCGGTCGAAGTTCTTCATACGGTCCTCCTGGGCTTTGTCAAGTACTTTTGGAGGGACGCGATCTCGCTCCTGGATGATGGGAAGAAGAAGAAACTGATCGCTCGGCTCGACAGCCTCGACGTCTTTGACCTCGGCCTTCCTCCGCTTCGAGGTCAGACGCTTGTACAATATGCGGGCTCCCTCACGGGACATGACTTTCGGGTTATTGCTCAAGTTGCGCCTGCCGTACTGTTTGATCTTGTGGACAACAATAGATACGAGGCTTGGCTCGCACTCTGCCGTCTGACACCGCTAGCGCTGCGGCCCGAGCTTAAGTCATTAGAAGCGTACCTGGTGAGCTGGTATATTCACCACGAGCTTCAAGTTCTGCACTCTGACGTTGGCATATCAGATCAGGTTAGAGCATTCCATCGACGACTTCCTTGCATGCACAGCGCTCTGGTCGAAATCGTGGTTCAATAAGCCAAAATTCCACTTAATTTTACACCTCCCGCGCCATATCCGTCGTTTTGGCCCAGCCATACTGTTCGCAACCGAGTCGTTCGAGTCCTACAACGCAGTAATCCGGCTGCGTAGTGTGCACTCAAATCGGCACGCCCCCAGCCACGATATTGCGATGCAGTTCAGCCATCTACATGCGGTGCGGCACCTCCTCAGTGGCGGTATTTACTTCGACAAGGACGACATGAACATGGTATGCCCCCTCCGAGCAGGCAAGAATGTCCGCCGCCTTCTTGATGATCCATACCTTGTCCATCTCATGGGTATGGATAAGCTGTTTACGGGTGAAGCAAAGGCAGGTGAGTCTGGTGCTCCGTGGTCTGCGCGTCAAGATACGACTAGTAATCGACCTTCTAGGATCCTTCATGCGCATTCCGAAGATCGACAGGATCAACTGGAGCTGTACACTGGCATGCGCTTACGGACTTCAGCGCCCTCTGGACACGATCGCCCATCCCGCAGCACCCTTGTCTTGGTGCCAGTGGGTCACCCTGTCGAACGGAGACATCGCACGACTGCAGAGCATAGTGGTCCTGAAGTCGGAGGCGCAACCCGGGTTCCAGTTTGGTCGGATTGAAGAGATTCTCGCCAACGAAGAGACACGACGTGTAGCTGGTGTCCTTCTCCGACCATGGGTGCTTGGCGAAGAACTTCAGCCCTACCGCTTCCCCTCACTGACGCCCGACTGCACGCGTCGTCCTGTGTGGGTATACATCGATGTGAGTGCAAACAATATTTCCTGCGGCAGACAGATTAAGACGCTAATCATTTCGAAGTCCATCGACGCCGCTGTACACGCCTTTCACAACTGCAGCCAATATGCGTGTGCTCCATCGAGGTCTCGGCGCAAGGTTCAAGAACGCCTTCAACGGTCAGAACACAGTGACGAGTATCTTCACGACGCAGCTCCGACCGACCTTGTGCTGAACCTTGCTCAACTGCGCAGTGCCGCTGTCCTCGACCCATTTCGGCCGCATACTCGCTATCCTGGACTTTCGCGTGAAGAGGTCGCTGAGCGGGCGGCTGAGGCGGATGATACCACCGTCAGAGCGCCTCTGCAAACAGCGGGTAAAAAGCGACAGAGGAAGACGAAGGCAGTTACAAACCAAGAGCAGGCTCGTTCGAGCATTTCTCAGCGGCCTGCGCATTCGAAAAGAGGCGCTGGGAATCCTCGCACGTCTGTCGATCTGCTTGCGCAAGGACAACCTGCGTCTCAGGCCCCCTTCACAGGGCATCACGAGTCGATGGGACCGCCGCCTGCAAAACGCTTCCGAGCAGCAGAGACTACAGCCTCTGCGCGCCCCGCTAGCTACCCATCCATGCAGGCACAACCCGAGCATAGTGGCAGCGCTCCCGCCATGATGTATGCTCATTCCCAACGACTGAGCTCGAGGGAGCACCACAAAAATTCGGGTGGCATACTAGGAAACGAGCGGTCAGTTGTCCTCAGTTTTCCTTTCTCGTGTTCTATGAATTAATTGTTGTCACTTCAGTCCCTTTTATTGGCAACCCAGCGATTTCTTGCACGGTCCAGTCACTCACCCTTCTATTCCACGACCGACGCAGCCTTCGATCTCAGCCTCTCCCGGGTCTGTTCAAACCTGTACGTCTCGATTATGAAGTGTTCTGACGGTCTTGACGATTTCTCAGTGCCGACAGAACACTGGGCAAGGAGAGATATTGCACACCAGTACGAGGGGTACCCTGCGGCCCCATGGACTTCGCGCGCAATCGATTGTACAGCCCAGCAGCGCGCTGAAGCAGCCCATCAATCGGTACCTCACCCACACCATTAGACCAGATGTTTGCTGCTCCGGTACTCACTTTGTGTACGGTACAATGGCTGCGAATATTTGTTTTATCTTGTAAATCCGCCTTGACGATGGCAGAGGCGAAGCGAGAAGTCATGTGAGCGAGTCCATGCGGTCGCAACCGACCGATGATGCCATTGTCAGCGCTTCCACGGCCGCCTCGTCCCCTTCTTCACCCAACCTGAGCTTGAACTTCCCTTTTCCCGAGACGGCTCAAGATGCGTATTGATTTGAGTCTGTTCATCGATGCATCCAGCAATCATCGTAGCGGACAGGAAGGAACTCGGTCGGTAAGCCTAGGGGAATATCTTTCCTATATTATTGACCTCAAGGTCTGTGCGAGAGCTCTTCACGTCCGCCTCAAGAGCTGTGGCGCGAAGATGAAGGCACGCTGCAAGCTGAAGTTGAACTTTCGGGGATCCATCACGTGGGCCCGGGCCAAGCTGGTGAGCAGCGTGCGCCTCTGCTTTCACCTCCGCCTCCATGTTCGGCCATGTCCTTCCAACCAAACTATTCATATAATTCAGCCACTGGTGACAGCCCCCTCTGTCAGGAGTCAGTCTCTGGCGGTGTCGACCGACGCACGCCATTTCTGAATTCCACAACTCGTGTTCATCCCTACACGCACAACGAGAACCACCATTCTGCTCAGCGTCGCGCAGAGTACCTCGCCAGCACTGGTCCTCCATCTCTTGGGCTTCGTCCTTCTACTTTCCGGGAGGAGATGGGCTACGAACGTCCGGGTACCTCGGAAAACACGTTAGCAGCGACTCGAGCTGGCACAGGAGTCCCTGGGCGACCGCCCCTAGGAGATCTCTCCACCGCCCGAAGCGCCATATCCAGCAACAACACGGATAATGAACAACGACACCTCATGTACGGTGATGCAGCCAGCTTCGGGCCTCAATCGCATGCGCGCGACCTGCGGCACGTCGATAGGATCGCAAACGAGTTGAAGATCACCGACACAGCGCAACGGAACTTCCTTTACGACGTTGCAGAAGTGCGTGTGCCATTGTATAGCACGAAGCCTTTGCTTACACGCCTACATCTACAGTGGAGTCCAACGCAGGCTATCCCGTACGTCGCCGCTACCCAGAGGATGATGACGAACATGCTCGTGTGCATGCAAGAATCCCAGCGCAAGCTCGAGCACGATATGGAACTCGTGAAGCGCACCATCGCTATAGAATGGGAGCCTCAGCCAGGCCTTCGGGTGCGTTGTACTGCTTCAAGTCTCAAAACGATCTCACCCATCTCATTGATGCAGGACGCACTCGTCAAGGTCTACCAACACTTCCTAGTTGCTCCCCGAAACACCTACGAAGACATCTCGGAGCGCGCGATTGTATGTACTATGATTCCTGTCCTCACTCCCTGCTCACATCGTCGCGAGCAGGACTTTGTCGAAGCTAACCTCGCGCGCTTCCAAATCGACTATATCTATAACTACCACCCTACTATCAAGGAGAAGGTTCAAGACTTCATCACCTCATCAGCCACCGAGATACGTAGCTCATTTCGTAAGGTGGTGAGTAAGGGTGCCGTTCAGACAGCTCACTCGTGAGGCCTAACGCGCGCTCGCAGCTCTTCAAGTCCATTGAGGCGGGCCAGGAGATACCACTCGAAGAATTCACGCAGTACATACTTAAGGATTATGAGGCCTACGGCACGCGCGACGTGACAAACCAACGCAAGGCAACATTTGCGCTCATGGTAAGCCTTCCCTATGCGTCGGTACTTTTCGTCAGTAACTCACTTTATTCAGCGCAAGGTCGCCCATCCCCTCCTTCGGCCGAAGAATAACGAAGGGGGAACGGACCGCACGCGCTACAACTTCTACGAGAACCTGGAGATAGTGCTTGACGAGCTCGTCGAGGCTCACGGCGATAACCGTACTGATCGTGCGTGGCAAGTGTAAGTTTACTCCGTTGTACATGCACGTTTGTCCGCTATTGACCGCCTATTACAGATGGGAGCTAGACATCATCAAAGATGACGAAGCGAAATTCGTTGGACAGGCGAAGGTGCAGAGGCCGCGTCGCAAGGGCCGCAATACACGCGACCCAACTGGCCTTATTGTCAATGAGCCCGCGCGTCCGCCGGATGCTTAGGCTGCGAGCGGCTTTCAATACATGATAGTTGACATATCAATACACAGTGTTAGTATCAGTCCCAGTGAGCGCGAGCCGCAAGCATGGATTTATATCAGGGCATTCCCTATAAGGCAATGATCTAGTTGAACTTCAGTGTCCCGGCATCTCCCTCGCTTCGTCATGTCCCGTGTCGACACCAATTTGGGCAGGTGGGGCGGGTGGAGTAGCCGCTGGAGGCCAGCGTCAGGATCCGCGAGCCCCCAGCGGCTTGCTCTGACGGTTGTGAGCAGTGGCGAGGCCGCTCAGAAAATTCCGCTGCGCGTTTGTGTTGCGGTGTACAACAGTGAAGGTGGGCGGCATGCCGAAAGAGCAGTGAATGTCGCTCGGAGGTAGGGGGCCGTCGAAGATCGCAAGAAGCAACTTAGCAAGTGCGAAGTCGAACGGCAAGTCAAAGTCAGCGAGCCTATCATAATCAAGCGCCGTGCCCAGTCAGGCATTGCTCCACGGTGTTGAGAAGGGCTTGGTTCTCCAGTGCGGCGGCCACACGTTCCTTGTCGTTCAACTGCTTGTTCACTTTTGGCGTGCCAAGAAGGACGAGAAAAGAGCGAAGCCAAAAGTCAGACATTCCAAGAAAAGGTGTGGAGGATATCGTCAGCCCGATATGAATGAGGTTTGTATGAATGACTTACGCGTATGTTCACTTTGATGCGACCCGGGCTTGACGTGAATGTCGACTTTATAGCGGTCTGGAAGGCTGCGAAGCAAGCGGACGCGGATAGACAGCCCTGGGAGCGCCCGACGACCGCCGCAAGAGAAACCAGACGGAAGAAAGAAAGGAGCGGAGGCCAATCGTGCGTGCCGGGGCGGTGCGATGGGAGTCGGGGGACCGTTGAGAGCGGAGCAGGGCCCAGAAGGATCACAGGGAAAGGTAGGAAGTGGACATGTTCAGCATGTGGTGGCGCGGGCGGAAAGAATTACCAATTACCTATCAAGGTCGACATGCCGCAGTGCGGGACGGTGGGCGTGAACTCGACGTCGATGAAGTTGCGGTCTATAGCGATCTGAGGCGCAGATACAACGCGCAGCTCCTCAAGCGTGTTGGGATGCTCAGGATCGTATATATTTCGGATGAGGTCTGCGAAGGTGTGAGCCCCGCGCTCGAATATCGAGCCTTCAAACCAGGCTTACCAAAGATCTCTTCCTGATCAATCGGTTCTGCGCCATCATTCTCTGGCACATCCTCTTCCATATCTTCCATCCATATGTTCTTCCCTGTATACAGAGACGCCTTTGGCGCAGACGACGCTGCAAAGACGGTCGGATTGGCGTTGAAGAGCTGGGACGACATGACGGTTTGGGAGTACAATAGCCAGGTCTAAGCGTACTGCTCATGGCGCTCACGTGTGATCGGGACCGCCGGGCCGGAACAATGTTTTGACTTCGTGACCAGGCGCGGTGGCTGGTCCTTGCACTCGCACTTCATCGTCGTACATTCCAGTCGTCAAAGATGCCTCTCAAGGTGAGTACACTGCTTGTACGCGTTAACGCAGTATACTGAACCAGTCATCAGCGAAAGCGCACCGAGGACGCAGCAGCAGCTGAAGACGGCGCGGCAGCACGTCCGACGCGTCGTTCTGCGCGTAATGCGACCGCCGAGTCGACCACTGCAGCTTCCAGCGCTGCTGCCAAACCTGCCGCAACCAAGAAGGCTCCGGCGAAGACCTCGAAGGCGAAGAAGGCGTATGCACACAGTGATTTCGCCCCGCATCGACTTACATACCTTTAATACAGAGCCGATCAGTCCGACGGAGAAGAACCAGTCAGCCCTTCATCTTTTCGCAAAGACACCCATCTCTGACATCTTCCTAGCCTCCCCCGAAGAAGGCACGCGCGACGAAAGCCACCACCACCAAGGCCGCTCCCGCGAAGGGGAGAAAAGCCCCGACGAAGAAGGCCCCCGCACCCACCGACAGGTAAGCGCCCACGGCACTCACACGCTTGCCACCCACGCTCATTTCGCGTCTTCCCCTCCTCCTCGCCCTGCCTTCCCAGCACGGATGATGTAAGTCGCAAGTCTCCCGATCGTATGCCTGTCGCGTGGCTAATGACACCCCGCCCCTCCCTGATCAGGCCCCCGACGTCGGGTGAGTGCCAGCACCGACGCTGACCCTGCTCTCATGCGGCTCGCGCTCTCGTGCTGCTGTCCTCGCTTCTTTGCATCTGACCTCTCCCCTGCCAGCGACGACAACGGTGAACAGGCGGGCCCGAGCAGCAGCAAGGCCAAGGTGCGCCGCGGCGTCTTTGTTCCGTGCGATCTGTACCCTGTGTTGACGCGTCGCGCATTCACAGACTCCGAAGCCGGCCAAACACGAGCCGTATACGCCCGCGCGGGCGAAGGCGCTGTTTGACGCGTACGAGGACGCAGACGAGAAGGATGTGATCGGCGCGGAGGGCTTCATGCGCCTATGCGAGGACGCGGGGATCGAGATGGAGGGAGCGCATCCGCTCATTCTTGCGTGGCATCTGCAGTGCAAGGAGATGGCGAAGATCAGCCGCGAGGAGTGCTTGAAGGGGCTGGAGAGTTTGCAGTGCGTGTGCCGACCGAAGTGTGGCGTTCATGGCTAATACCCTCTTCAGAACGGGCACCCTCCCCCAGCTCGGCATCGCGCTGAAGGACCTGGAGACGCTCCTCGTACATGGCGAGACGTCCAAGGAAACACCGGCGATTGGCAAGGTCCAGCCATATAACAAGGCCGTGTACCAGTCCTACGCCGCCGACCCGCAGAAGAACTTCCGAAGCCTGTACAACTACTGCTACACCCTCATCAAGCCTCCGTGTGTCTCCACACCTCCCACCCCCTGATACCCGCTCACCTTGTCCTTAGGCAATCCAAAAACATCGACATGGAGGTTCGTTCGCCTCACAAGTCGCCTGTTCGCTGCCACTCACCACCGTATAGACTGCATGCGCGATGTGGTCCGTGTTGCTTGCTCCGAAATACCCGCACATGAAGAAGATCGTTGACTTCACTACTGTACGTCGTACATATTTTGCTACTTGGGCCAACGTTGCTGACTATCCCCAGGAGCGCATACAAACCCATCGCGCTGCAAATAAGGACCTCTGGCAAATGGTGCGCGGTTCCTTTCTCGCGTACTTGGCATGTAGCTGATAGCGCATATCCAGATGCTCGAGTTCTGCGAGACCGTCAGCCCGAACCTGGATAACTACGAGGCGGACGGGGTGAGTTTCTTGTCCCGCACGACCGTTATGAAGCTGACGCAATATGTGCAGGCATGGCCGACGCTCTTGGATGAGTTCGTAGAGCACGAGAAGGGGCAGCAAGGGAATGGGCAGGAGGCGTAAACGTGGTGTTGGACTTTGCCTTCGAGCCCTGGACAGTCACGTCAATCTACAGTCCATCTATGCCTGACGCAAGGGGCTTGCCTATATCTATACACCCGCTAATCTAATGCCCATGCTCGTGTATGCTTAGAACTGCTACTCATATGCCTAGGCAGGATCTGCGCTGTGCATCAAGGCTGTCAAGTTCATGACTTCTCGGGTGCAGTGCCTCTTCGCCCCGCTCGACACGCGTCATCGCCTCCTTGCCGAATCTCATCGTCTGAACTTTGCCTCCTGCATCCATCTCTTCCGATGTACGAACACGCGCGAACGAATTTCTGGACGATGGCCAGCTTTCATTGATTTCTTTGGATCCATTGTTTCGAAATAGGCAGTAATGCCATGTCACTGTTCACCAAGTCCCTGCCAGCGTCATGTGGCTAGCGTCCCGCATTCAGGTGCGTTATCGGTCAGCTGGACCTGGTCTTGCCTGACTGCCCTCCCTAGTGAACAGCTCCATCTGAGCTCTGCGTGCGTGCGGAGAATAGCCCATCGCTTCAGGTGGCAACCAGGTCCGTGCGAAGAAGGCGCCCGGATGGTCGAGGTCAGGCGTTCCCCCTTCACCTGGATGACGCATCTCTTCGACGTCCACAACATCCACTTGCATACCACCGTTCTCAGTTTGCGTTACACACCGCGTTCAGCATCGCGCTCGCGCTTGAGCCCAGGCTCTAGATCAGCTTAGTCAGCATTGCGGGGACTTGACGGGGAATCCATCGTCTTTTGTTCCAGACGACGACGAAGGCCTGCCATCTCGACGATCCCTGTCACTCGTTTGTTCCCCCCAGCCAATGCACTAGCTAGTGTCCCCCTTAACATAAGCCAAAATGTCGGACACTACCACCGCTAGTGCGTTCCCCTCCGTCTCGCCTTGTCCCCCGCTCTAAACTCTCTTCACACAGCGGCTACCACTGATACGTGAGTCGCGTAATGTGCGCGGGAGTGCGCGAGATGAACGTTTGCTAGCTCGACCGATTCCCCCACCACCACCACTCGTGAGACCTCGCCGACCACGACCGCGGACCCCACGACTACCACGGATGAGACCACGACGCAGGATACTACCAGCGAGGAAACTACTACGGAAGACACCACTACGGAGGAGACCACCACTACGCAGGACACCACCACTTCCAGGGAACCCACGACCACCCAGGCGACCACTACATCCACCTCTGATACCACGTCGCAGGAGCAGACGACCACGGAAGACACCTCCACCTCGACGAGCAGCACCCGGTCCTCCTCCACTACTTCCTACTCCGTCTCTACCGACCCCGGCGGTGACACCGTCACCCAGACCGTCGTCGTCCCCGTGACGCCGACCCTCACGCAGTCGCCGACCACCAGCAGCGGCGCGTCTGATGGCGATCACTCCTCCGCCTTCTTCGACAACAAGGGTGCCGTAGCGGGCGTCTTCACCGTCGTCGGCCTCGTCGTCGTTGCTCTCCTCTTCCTCGCCGTTAGCATCATCCTCAAGCGTCGCCGTGCCAAGCGCTTCGACAAGGAGGTGCGTGCGCTCACGCATCCCACATTCACATGACTGACTCGCACAGGTTGAGAAAGCGGCTGCCGAGGCTGCCATGGCATCCGCGCCCCAGTTCGACGATGAGGACTACGACTACCCGGCTTCCTCCACCGGACCCTCTGCGGGGACCCAGCCCTACTCCGACGTGTCCTCGCACGGGACGTATCAGCAGCAGCCGCTCGCCGTCCCGCCCGAGAGCTACAATATGCAGGACATCCCAGCGCAAGGCGGCTACTATAACAACCTCGGCGGAGGCGCGTATGCCGATAATCCCTACGCTGTTGCCGGCGCCGCAGGCGCGGCGGGTATCGGTGTACGCCGCACCCTGTCAGGTGCAGGCTCACCCGATGCGCATGAGCCATACGCGGCTTTCTCTGGCCCGGAGTACTACCAGCACCAGCAGCAATACCAAGGCCCTGAATACGGGCAGCAGGTGCACCAGCCGCAACCTGAGTACGCTGCGCAGGCGCCGCCAAACCCCGAGGCCGCGTATGGCGCGTACGGCGCGCCTGTCGCAGAGCCCCAGGGCCGCCAGCGCACTCAATCGGTCGCTGGCGGGCGGAGCATGCTCGACCATGGTCCGGATCCGTCGCCGCAGAGCCACAGCGGCGAAAGCTACGCCGCGCACTACGAGGCAGGCGCTAAGCCTACGCACAGCGAAACAAGCGACCTGCCGAACCCATTCGCAGCGTCGACGCCCAGCGAGGAGGAGAGCGATGACGAGTCGGACGATGAGCAGCAGCGACCGAAGGTGCTTAAGGTTGCGAACGAGTAGGCGGGCATGGTTTTCACGGTGGTCTGACTGTCAGGCCCCTCGTCCTTCCAAAACGACTAGTACCATCGACAAGAAGTTTACTTCCCCGCTCCCACTGTCTGGTTCTCCAGGACTACTCACCCACCGCTTACTGTGGATAGTGGATCTTCCTTCTATGTTTATCTGTGCGTTATTGAATGGATACCTCTGTGTTGTCGATTGGATACCTCGGCGGGACCTGTTGTGTCGCTACTTTTGTATCTTACTCGAGCACGCAATCATCCTTTTTCCCCTTCCCTCGTGAAAACAAATTGTGGAATGCTGACACGCGTTGTCGGCCACGGGTGGTGACGGTGAGGGGTGGGACATCGTGGGACTTTCAAAAGTACAGTATCTACGAGCAAACAGAGGCAAACAGTGGTGTTGCGAGTGCTTCCTCATTGACCGTCGGTCCTATAGTGTAGCGGTTATCACAGTGGATTCTGATTACAGCCTTCCACTAACGCAGGTTCGATTCCTGCTAGGACCTCTCTTGCATTGGTCCATCTGTTCTTTTTGGCCGCTGCCGGGGACAAATGATGGTGCACGGAAGGCACGTACAACCCCCCGTGTACAGTCAAGCAGCCTCCAACCCATACCCACCGGAGTGCCTGCGGTTCATAGCCTTGACTGCGTACAGTATATTGGCAGGGTCTTCGAGGACTGGCAAGTCAGGCAGTTTTATTTATCAGTTTGACGCCTGTCTTGGAACCAACCTTGAATGCCATTGCCATATCCAATTTCTACGATGATGGCCACACGTAAGGTAAGTAGAGCTGGGCGCTATGCAGGCCTTCACACATCGGTCAATAGTGACTTCAGTGCTTCTCCTTCTCCTTCTCGTCAGGATACAACTGGAGGTGTATGTCAATCTACGTCGATGACAAAGGGGGAGGTGATACGAACCTTCCCTGGGTTCATGATGTTGAGCGGGTCGATGGCGCGCTTCACCGTACGCATGAGCTCGATGGTACTCTCGCCGAGCTCCTCGGTCAGATACTCCTTCTTTCCGACGCCGACGCCGTGCTCGCCAGTGCCTACAACAGTCGTCAGCATCTTCTCGCATCCCACAGCCTGCAGGCCCCGAATCGGATGTTTTGCCAGCTACTTACAAGTACCATCCATCCGGATCGCGCGATGCACCAGCCGATGCACGGCGCCCTCGACCTTCTTCAGCTCCTCGTCGTTCCTGAAGAGCAGCAGCGCGTGGAAGTTGCCGTCGCCGACGTGCCCGACGATAGTGCTGGTCAGGCCCTCCTGCTCCAGATCGCGCTTCGTCTCGTGGACAAGGTGGGGGAGTCTGGATACGGGGACACTGTAGAATAGTGCATTTAGCGGGGAAAGCAATTTGAGCAGACGAGTCATCTTGGACGGGCGATGATATCGTTGAAGGGAGCCATGACAAGTGAATAGCATGAAAACAAGACGCACCAAACATCCGTCGTCCAACACCTTGAGCCCGGATGTGCGCCGAGAGTCGAGATCAGCGCGTACTTGCGGTTCTGCCACAGAGTGTCCGCCTCCTCGTCTGTCTTGGCGAACTCGAACTGCGAGCTCCCATGCTTCTTCACAATCGTCTTCAGCGTCTTCGACGCGAGCTCGATCGCGCCCGCGTCGCCCTGCACTTTGACGAAGAGCGTGTCCGAGACGGGGTACGGCTTCTCGACGAGGCCGGCGGTGTTGATGGCGGCCATCACTGGAGGAATGAGTCAGCCAAGGGCGCACATGTGCGGGGTTTTTCGATAAGAGTGCCACAATATAGGGCAGACGCAAAAACGAGTTAGAAATATACGTACTGTGATCGTCAACGAGCTCCAGGCATTCTGTATCCTCATCAGCATTCACCAAACAGAATGACATTGAACTGAAGCGCACGCATCAACGGCCCATATGGGCTCTGCAGGATTTCCTGCACGGCGCTGACCGCTGCGCCGACGTTCGGGAACTGCGCCATGGCGACATTCGTCGGGAGGCGCGGCGCAAGGCGGAGGGTAGCTGCATAGAATGGTTAGTCTCAGTGGTAAGCAGCGTAAGAGAAAGAAGTGAGCGACAGGGCGGGGAAGGGTGAATAGGGGAGTCAAGGGTAGGTCAGAGGCTGTGCCACAAAGTCCGTTCACTGACCCTCAGTAACAATTCCCAGTGTTCCCTCCGCGCCGATGAACAGCTTCGTCGAATCCCACCCGGCAGACGACTTGCGCGCGCGCTGCCGGGTCTTGACGACTTCGCCATTGGGGAGTACCACGGTCTAGCGCAGGAAAAGTCAAGATGTATTCTATAATTGCGATGACATTTGTGGCAACTCACCACATTCAGGAACCATTCGCCCTTTGCCGTGCCGTAGCGGACGGCGTTGGCTGGGGAGAGATGAGTACGAGACAAAGGAGATGCCGAGTGAGTGGGCAGAACGCACTCCCGCTGCAGCCTGTGCCGATCATGCCGCCGATGGTCTGTTATGGGGCTTAGATTGGCATCAAGCACGTTTGTTTTCCAAGCTCACTGCACCAGGTCCTGGGTCAAGCTGAGAGGAGGATGAGTAGGGTATTCATGCACGTAAATGAGAGTGCTTACGGGGAAGAAAAGGGGGATGCCCTTCTCCTTAAGGGTGTCGTTGATAGCTTCCCATTGTACGCCGGCTTGACAAATAAGGTCGCCGTCGTCCACTGAGAGACGTCAGGTTTTCCTACAAAGACGACCAAAATTGGGAAGGGCACACCATTGATGCGTATAATCTTGTTCATCTCCGACATGTCGATGCATATGCTTCCGGTCTTGTAGCCCGCGAAGTGCCCCTCCAAGCTGGTAGCGCCGCTATACGGCACGATAGGGATGCGATGGGTACGCGCAATGTTGACGATGGTGACAACATCCTCTGTACTTCTGGGGCGGACCTGCAGGACCGTCAGAGGGGAAGAGGATCGGCACGTCCGCGGTACATACCACAACCGAGTGGGGGGAAGTAGGGAGGTAAGTATTGTCTGACGAGCCGTACTGCGCGGTGATGATCGGGTCCGTCACGACGCGCCCCTCTTCAGGGAACGCCTCGCGCAGCTTCTCGATCGCCTTCAGGACGTCGCGGTGCGAACCATAGCCGGGCTTCACCGCCTGCGTGCCGAGGCTGCCGCTCTGTCTCTATGGTAAGTTTAGGGTCCCCTCGGCAGAATGTACACGCACGAAGAACTTCCCATCCACCCAGTTCGTCACGCCGACGACGGCGATCGCAAGGACCGCGGCCTGGACGACGACGCGGAGGCGGAAGGCCTCGCGCAGCTGCTCGGCGTACGTCTTGGGAGGTGGGGGAGGAGGGGGGGCCTTCTGCTTCGGCTTGCTCATGTCTGGAGGGGGAGGGGGTTGCGGGTGCACAACATCCTCGAAGCGAGGGAGGGGGCGCGTCTGGCGCTTGACAGGGCGTGGGAGGGGCTTGCTCGCGGGGTCCTCGGGCTCCGTCGCGTACGTGCGTCGGAGGAGGGGCTGCAGCAGAGCCCTTGGCTGCTGCTGGCTCTGGCGGCATCGCACCCTCAGGAACGCGCCCGATACCCTCGTCGAAGACATGATGAGCGGGAACAAGTCGCAAGCGCGCGCGAGAACCGCAGACGATGGCGCGCACCGGAACACGGCCCGGGTGGCTGACCGACTTTGTGGCGTTCGGGCGCTTTTTTGACTTGTCGAATCCTGGACTTCGCAGGAACCAGGTTTCCTCCCAAAATCCCTGCCTTCTCTTCTCCATGCTCGCCCTCAATGGACCGTCGAAGAGCGCCAAGCGGGTGCGGCTGCTCCGGTCACTGCATACGACTTCGACGACGCTGGCAATGAAGCAGAAGAAGGCAGCTAAAGAGCCCGCGTCGAAGCCCTCACGGAAGCCGTCGAAAGCCAGGGTCCCCTTGCGCCAGCACACCAAGGTCTCGCTGCAGCAGCAACTTGCATATGATAGGTACCGCAGGGCGCAGGAGGAACAGCAGAAGGAGGCCGCCAAGTCCAAGATCGACGACAAGAAGGCTGCTCCCTCCGAATTCGCAGACGCGACGGCGATGACTGTGCCGCGCTCTAAGCATTCCTTGACGCCCGAGTTCTCCTCCCCACCGCTACTTCCTGGACTTCTCACGAGTCTGAAGGACTACATCGGCCATGATGCGGCGCCTACCGACATCCAGGCCCTCAGCATGAAGTGGATTCTCGACGAGGGCGCGAGCGCGTCGCAGTACGGCCAATACCTGCTTGCATCGGAGACGGGATCCGGAAAGAGCATAGCCTATCTCCTCCCCGTTCTGCAGTCTGTCAAGCAGGCAGAGATCTCCGGCCGTCCCTTGCGACCGTCACCCTCCCGCTTGTCCCCTCGCGCCCTCGTCCTGGCCCCCACCCACGAACTAGCACGGCAGCTTACCTCTTTCGCCAAGGGCCTCGTTCACAATGCCAAACTGCGTGTCCTCTGCACAAGCCAGGCGAACAAACCCAGCACCCACGCGCGCCACGACAGGACCGCGCGTGCGCTCGAGCGCAACATGGATGACCTCTTCGGCGTCACGGGCGAGGAGGGCGAGTTCGAGATTGCGCCGCCAAGCAGATCGCAAGCGCGCGCCGCGGATGTGGTGGTCGGCACACCGATGAAGATTCTGGAGATGAATCGGGGCATAGGCTGGGATCGCGCCGCGCGCGACGCGGAGGTGGATAACAATGGTCGTGATCGGCGCCCTGGAAGTGGCGTCGCCGAGCTTGCAACGCGCACCGCAGAGACGCCGGGCATTGGCTACGAGAATGTGGAGTGGTTGGTCGTGGACGAGGCGGATATCCTCTTCGGTGCGTACGATCACGTACAAAGGCCGACTCATGCTAACAATGCCCAGACCCCGACTTCCAGGAGTCCACCCGCCTGCTCATGGCTGACATCGCCGCCGCTCGCGGGCTGCCCATCTCCCCCACCGTCATCCCCGTGGAGCCCAAGAGCCGCACCAAGCCCGTCACCCCCACCCCCAACCTGCCCTCCAAGCGCCGACAACTCGCCCCCTCCCTCCCGTACAACCTCATCCTGTCCTCTGCCACCATCCCCGCTGCCCTCCTCGCCTACCTCGATGCGCACCACCCGGACATGGTCCGCCTCGTCTCCCCAGGCCTTCATAAGCTCCCCAAGAACATCCGCGTGCGGCACGTACCGTACACTTCCGGCACTGGTCGTGAGCGCGACGTCGAGCGCGAGATGCGAAGGGTGTGGGCGGAGGATGGAGGGAAGACGTACTCGAAGATCGTCGTGTTCTGTAACAAGTCGACCAAGGTGCAGAGGTTGGCGGCACTTCTGGAGTCGAGGGGCATCCGCGCGCTGGCGCTTACGAGCCGTCCGAGGCGAGGCGTCGCGGAAAAAGACGATGCGGAAGACGGAGCGACAGAGGGCGAAGAGCTGCCGGTGGTGACCAGCGCGCGCGTGCGGGGCACCAACCGGTATCTCGCGTCCTTTTTACGCCCCGCCGTCGGCCGCAAGAAGGCCTTCGAGGAAGAGGAGAGGGCGAAGGAGGCCGCCGCGCAAGCGGGCGAGACCACCGAAAAGTGGAAGCGCAACATGGAGCTGCTAGAGCAGGCGCCCGCCCCCGCCCTCGAGGGCTTCTCGCACCCCGCGCTGAACGCCCCCGGCGGCAGCATCGCGCATCTTGGGCTCTCCGGCGGCGCGACGGCGGGCTCCAGCGCCATCGCCAACTCCTACACCTCCCCCAGCGGCCTCGCCATTCCCTCCCACTCCCCACAGGCATTCCCCAAGTTCGCCCCCTCCGAGGCGCCTCATGTATTGATTACCACGTCCCTCCTCTCGCGCGGACTTGACTTCGGGCCCGACGTGCGGACCGTGTTTATCATGGACGAGCCGAGGAACATGGTCGACTTTTTGCACCGCGCGGGGAGGACGGGACGCGCTGGCAAGATGGGCGAGGTGGTCGTGTTCTCGAAGATGAAGGGGAGGGGGAGCGCGAGCTCGAAGGATATGAAGAAGCGGGTGTCGCAGTTGAGGAGATAGATGGGTCCTCCTTACTGATTGGGCGGCCACGATAGGTGTGCTTGCCCCTTTGCTTCTCTTAGTACCCCTCCTCTGCATCGTCTATCACCACCACTTATTGTACAGCCTATAATCCCATCTCATCCCTGCTCATTGGGGCGTCCCATCTCGAGCAACTTTCGGCTACGGAGACCCGCCGTTCCTTGACCTGCAATTGTCAAAGCTAAGGTTCTCGGATTGTGGTACTCTCCCATCCTTATTGTGCTGTTCAGCTGACCTTGTCAGAATTGCGCCCCTCATTGAATGTACCCTTCTTGGAATCTGGGAAGATACCTTATTCGAATGACATACCTGTCTCCGCAGCCGACAAGACAATAATCGGAAACGGCTATCTCTTCCTTGCGGGGAAGGTTGAGTTCATTGGCTACATTAGCTTCATTAGTTTTGGGACTCCGGTGTCGGCGAATGCTCAGGTAGTGGAAGTCTTCCTTTATCTTCTCTTTGCCACGAAACCTCAGATGTGCAGGTTGACGATGTATTAGCAGTTCGATTGGGGATTCGTCCGTCGAACGAATTGCCTTCGTCAGCCGGCATCTCTCTTTCAGTCCGGATTCAGGAGTGTCGTCGTCATGTTGAACGGACCGCAATTGTCTTGCCCTCGACTCATCTACACTCTGGTCCGTGAACCCGACCTCAATTGTGCGTGTACGTCCTGCGGCTTGACGCTCGGGCAAGCTAGCCCCTTCAGCGGTCCGCTTTCCCAACAGGCCGAAAAACCTGGTAATCCTGTAGCCGTGCAAACACAATAGGCAGAAAAAGCTCTGAGAATGCATGAGGTGCGTGTTGTCTTTCCTTTACACGGCGCCTGACGAATGCAAGATGGGCGCTGCTTCATGCACTCGCTCAGTGCAACCACACTTTGTATGGCCAAGAGAACTCGCCTCCACCGCCTTGATCTACGCACTATCACTCAACAGCGTTCGCGTCGCTCCTTGTTAGTCCGCACGTCTCTTCGTAGCTCGTGTTGTGTCACTGAGCTAACAGCGCACAGTACATCGGGCTCATACGGCGCATCGGGTCACTGTATAAGGGCTGTGCGAAGGACCGTAGCAGTATGCGGCGAGCCGCCTGTGAACAATTGCCGATACCTTTCACTTGGGCGACACGTCGCTTATCCGTACAGGAGAGGGTTTGCTCATGTTCCTCCTCACTCGAACATGATAGCTGACCTATATGGAAGCAGACAAGAGCTCTCATCCAATTTGCTGTAGGCTCCGCCATTAGCCGCTCAGGGCGCGGGAAATGCAGAGCGGAAGCAATTCATAACCCCGGATGGGAACAACGCACATCCGGATTTGGAAGGCCTTTGTCCCACTTTCCGTCTTCGGCGAACAAACAGCGTTGCAACCGTTGATGTGCGTATCGATGGTGCCTCTCCGGGATGGGGTATGCATGGTCTCGGTGAGAGAGAGAGAGAGAGAGAGAGAGAGAGAGAGAGAGATGGATATTTGGGGTGGGCAGGGTGGTGAGGCGGTATGGGAACCCGTGTCCCGATAGCTGCAGTGCGCCCATGCGTCGCAGAAACCCGAGCGCCGACGCAGAGGTCGCACTTCCATCATCGAATAGCGCATGCCCGCGGCGAGCGATAGGAGCGCAGGTGCGCCTGTCTGCTCGGGTACGCAGCAGACGGAAGCGAGCAGCTTCAGACTCAGGATGGGCGGCGGAGTCAGAAGGGTACGTACGTCTTCCGTGTGCATAGCACCTGCGCCTTCGATGTGTATGCATATGGCGTCGCGTGTACGCGACTAGCTACGCGTGCGTGGGATCCAGACCTCAAGCAGGAGGGTGCGCGGCAATCGGTGGGCGGTTCCCCATCTAGCGGACAATGATTCAAACCATGCGGTTCGTGTTCGGTGCCGGGCGAGCGGGGAAGTACAGGAATTCATGTCCGCTAAGAGTATGTAGAAAGGCGCACTCTCGCTCTAGCTAACCCGCGATAACGCACCCAATTGTGAACTCCAACTTTGGCCACAATAAGCGCTCGTTGAGCGGATTCAAACGGGGAGGTCGGCGTGCAAGCGCCGCACGTGGTGTCTGCATGTTCGGACACGTGTAAGACAGCATGGCGACCGATCGGAACTAAACCAAATCCGGAACAACAAGGCTTCCGAGCTTAAATAGTTGCCGTCGCAAAGCCGTAAAATCGCCGACTCCGTTCTTCCCTCCCACAACCAAGTCGAACATTCGAACTTCACCCTCCCATCTTGCATTGAAACGTATCTATCATGTCGTCGCCGACGTCGTCAGAGGTATGTTTGCCAACGTTCGCGCCGTTACCCCTACTGATCGCGCGCCGCAGTATTCCTCCCTTGACACTCAGTCGTTCTTGGTACGTGCAAAGTATGTGGCGGACAAAGTATGTGCTTACCCGGTATGCAGATACGCAGGGTCCCACCCCCAGGAACGTACAAAGTGAAATACAGCGGCGCGCGCTGGGACTACTACCTCGACGTGCCCCAGGCGGGCGAGACGATTGACATGTCCCTCGCACTACCCCATTACCGCGCCCGCAACCAACCCATTGACCACCGAATGAACATCTTCGTGGGCAATGAGACAGGCCCGGTCAAGCTAAAGATCGTGCGTCCCACCCCCCTCCTCCCGGTAACCCCTAACTGACCTCCCCCTCCCCTCAGTGCCGCAACACACACCGCACCCGTTTCTCCCTCGAGGTCTCCGCCTCCACCTCCGACGTTGTCGTCTGGATCCCCTCTGACTTCAAGGGTACGATCACGCACTCGGGCAAGGCGACCTTCTCCGCGGGCTTCGTCAACCACGTCGCCGCGAACGCGCGCATCAACGACAAGGCGCTCGATGCCATTGACGGCAACCTCGACGAGGACGTCGTCATCGTGTCTACGCACGGCACCGTGAACTTCCGCATGTGGGACGTGCGCACCAGCGCTGTCGAGAACCCGCAGAAGGAGGCCATCAAGCGGATATTCGGGGTGAAGCGCCGGGCGCCCGAGACGCCGGTCAACTGGGACTTCCTCATTCAGGAGTAGAGCTCCCCCGTCGCTACGCACTGCTCACCCCTGCTGTCTCGCTCTCTGCGCTGGACTGGCTCCTTGCTGCATCATCATCATCATCCCGCCTCGACGGCTCCTCCCTGGACCAATGCCTCCGCACGCATCTATGTCCCCTGCATGATCATCACGGACTTCGCCTTCAATTGTACACATTGCTGCATACCATTTAACCATTATACCTGTTCCGCCATTGTCACCGGCCTCTCCGCCATACACAGTCTCGACCCCCTTGTAGCTTTATCTCCTCTCCTCAACGCCGTGTATCCATACCATCTCTAGACATGTTCCCTTCACGAACCATCCTATGCCTTGTTCATGACCTTCACATATATCAGCAACATATATAGCATTCCAACGTTATGCTCGTATACTCTTAGGTTCCCTTACGACTACATTGAATATTCATCACACGTACAGATCTCCCGAGCATGACCTGAGACAGCTTTAGGGGAAGGGGCAACGGTAGTCATTTGTAAGTCTCGCCCATCCCTGACTTGTAAGTCTGAGTTCGTCGCCAGACTCACCTCACCCCGACTGAGACAAGCGCCGGCGTGTATGAGCGCGTTGACAATGACCCGTTGAAGGCGTCCCGCACGCGTATAGAGCTCGAGAGGTTCTCGGTAGAAGATGCACAGGATTCCAGAGGGAGGTCCGCTAGCCCGATTCCCTCCGAGAAGGCCTGATGAGTACTCTAATAGAAAATATCAAGCTATTCGAGTGCAGGGACAGAAATACTTGATAACGAGTCCGGAAGGGTCAATAGTAGCTTAAGCACAAGAGGAAGAGCTAGCGCGTAGTGGATCCGCAAACTCTATCCTCTGACCCGGCAGCTATTGAGGATGTCCGCGAACTACAGAAGGATGTCCGTGAACTACAGAAAGATGTCCGCGCGCTATACAAGAATGTCCGCGAGCTACAAGCGAGGGCCGGCGAACTACAAAAGGGAGTCCGCGAACTAGGCTTTGATGCGTGTGCGACGGGGTCGCGCTCGACTAGTGTGAGTAGGTAGGGCGCGTTATTGTTATGCGCGGTGCTACTGTGCGATCCGTGCCCACTGTGCGGCGAGTCCAAGACGCAGGACAGGGAGAGGCAGGAGCGGCGAGGACGCTATCGAGGTGGCATGCAGTAGTTTGTGCGCGTAAGGGAATCTCTTTGGCCACAAGAAGGTGCAAGCGTAGCGCCCGAGCTCATGAAGCAGCGCCCACGTAGCCTTCGCACGACGCCAGATATGAGTTCTCTTTGCAGGCGATTCCGGGTAGACTTGCCAAGCTTTGCTCAGTAAGAGGTTCGGATAGTCGGACGGAAGACCGCTGAAGGTGCCAGCTCGCCCGAGCGTCGAGGTCGCAGGCAAGGCGCCCAACAAGTGAGCCCGGATCCAGGCCAGGGTAGGCAAGAAGGACGAGAACGCGATACCAGCGGTCCCTTCAGAAGGTCAGCAGGAAAAGCAGATCGCTGGCGACGCAGGCTCGCCTGAGATATAGAAAGCCAGCCGATAGAGGTCAGCCCCAAGGGAGGGTCTGGGTAAACAAAGGAATCGCGCTAGCCATGTAGGGAGCTCTTGCGTCAAAGCAGCGCTCAACAGGAGAACAGTCGTGGTTCACAAGGGGGCCACTCCTCGTCTTCGACTAACCTTTCGTAGATGTGCGAACCAGAAGATGCGGCGTTGATAGAAGATGCAGAAAGACATGAACGCACTGAGGCATACGCCGACACGGTTCCATGAAGACAGTTGATGCACGTTGGCCTCAACCCAGCAAGAGGCATCAAGCCCGAGGCCTGAGGCATCCAACGCCTGCAGGGACAAGGTTGAAGCATGAACGTCGCGGTCAAGGCGGGTTCGAACGTTGGCCGTGACAGGCGCGTCCACACTTCACGTGCCCGATCGCGTCGTCACTGGTCACGTCTACCCCGCTTACTCCTGCCCACCGTGAGACTCTCTGCTCGTCGCCAGTGTCATCGAGCTCGCCGTGGACAGCGCCGACCAAACCTATACTACGGCTCTGTGCTATGGACCGCTTTTTCGTCACTTCTGTCGAGGACCCAACCGACTTCCCCGCACCCAGCCTGCGGCAACTTGACGGCGCGCTCCGGTGTACAATCTGCGGCGAGCTCTTCGATGGGCCGGTTTCTGTGCCGTGCGGGCACTGCTTTTGCTCGGGGGTGAGTGAGCTATGAGGACGTAGACGTATGCGGTGAAATGCATGTGCCACGCAGGGGGCTGACAGTACAGTAGTGCATACGCTCGTCGATGGCGGACAAGCAAGAATGCCCGATCTGCAGACATAACGCGAATGAGGGCACCTTGCGCGTAAACATACAAGTAGAGGACATAGTAACCGCGTGGAAGACAGCGAGGTACGTGCTAAGCGCTATGACTGATGGGAACGCGCTAATTAGGGTGGATGCAGACCGTATATGCTCAAGCTCGCTAAAGACGACGCGGACGCGCAAGCAGAGGCATCAACTGCAGGGAAGAAGCGCAAACGCGGCCCTGAGCCCAGTACCTCTCGTTCGAACTCCAATACCACCGCGGCTGGCAATGCGGAGGTCAAGCGCGAAACCCCTGAGGAGGACGACGACATCGAGATGATAGGCTCGTTGGGCGCCAAAGCACAACGTACGTCCACTTCTCTCACTTGCTTACCGGTCCCCACTGACATTAAGCTGGTTTAGCGGGCGACGATGACCCCATTGACTGTCCTGTCTGCTTCAAGCCCGTCAAGTTCAAGAACGTCAACTCCCACATCGACAGCAACTGCAAACGCCTTCTCCATACCCCTAAACCTACCAAAGCTTCTACATCCACATCCTCGTCCTCCAACGCCTTCTCCAAGCTGATGCCGTCCGGAAAGTCGCGGGGGAAGCATAAGGAGGACGACAACGCCGCTCCGCTGCCGAAGGTCTCATACGACACGCTCAAGGACAAGAAGATCAGGGAGCTGCTGGCGGACGAGAAGCTGCCGACTACGGGAGACCGGGCAACATGTGTGGAGAGGCATAAGAAGTGAGTATAGTCACCGTGCATCAGGTCGAGTGGCATACTCATTGTGGCGTAGGTGGGTCATGATATACAATGGGAATCTCGACCGGTCGGCGTCGAATCGAAAATCGCGTGCGCAACTGCAGAAGGAGTTGAAGAACTGGGAGGAGACCATCAAGCCGAAGAGCTCGAAGAAGCCTGCGGTCGAGAATGCGGAGGCTTATGTCGTGAGTTGTACAACTATCGCTCTGCATGACGAATGCACTGACAATGTCCTCCCAGCGAAATCACAACGACGATTTCAGGCGCTTGGTCGAGCAAGCGCGTGCGAGTCGCCCGAAGAAGGACCGGGACAGCGCGCAAGACTCACAAGTTGATGCTGTTCAGGATGCTAGGCAAGACGAATTCACGCCCTCCTCGACCGAGCCGACGCCACCGATGTCGTCTTCGCCCAACAAAGACATGACCATCATCGACTTGAACTCGTCACAGGATTCTGCCGAGGTCGTTGCATAGGTAATCCGTCTGCCGATGCTGAGTTGCCACATCTTCTGCATCTGTACTACATGTCAAGGTCGTCGTCGCTAGATCTGCTGCTTATATATCTCTGCATTCGTTATTTTCCAAGATTACTTAGCCTGGCCAATTCGTCAGACATCTCGACGAGTTGTCTGCCTTTGTCCACGCACCTCCGTCTTCGTGGCCGATGGTAAGCTCAGATAGCATCCTTCTCTTCTAGGACGAACGAGATATCGTAGCCCTCGTCCTCAAAGATGTCCTGCACCAACAGATCCAACATATCCTGCCTATTCCTCACACACCACTCAAGATAGCCAAACGCAATCGCGTGCGCCACCATCGTGTTTAGCAGGTCACACTGCCAGTCCTCCCCCGTCGGCAGCGGGCACTTGTACCCAAGGATCCCCAGCGCCATCATCGCCCCGGTGATCAACTTCTCCGCGTCCTTGATATCCTTCCACGACCCCGGCCGCTTCAGCTGCACGTTCCGCCGCGGGCGGTACGTCTTCGCCATCGGGTGCAGCTGGATGTGCGCATTCGCGATGATGCCCTCCATCGCCTGCTGGTACTGCGTCGCGAGCAGGTTGGGATTCTTGATCTCGCCCGGGGCCGCGCTCAGGGCGACGGAGAAGTAGGCGTGCAAGGTCCGGCCCATCTCCCAGCGCGACTGGATGCGCATGTTCCCTTTCAGTGCCTGGATGGTGAGCAGGTTCATGGCCTCGTTGGCGGTGCCGGGCCAGTCCTCGCGGATGCCGAGGTCGAGGGGGATGTGGGGCTTGTTGGGCGGGGGTGGGGCGGGGATCTCGAGGAGGAAGGCGGCGAGGGCGGGGCACTCGGAGCGGAGGGCGGTGCGGAGGCGCGCGTTTTGCGCTGCGGATTGGATGATGTGGGCGACGACTGTGGCGTTGAGAAGGCGCTCGAGGGCGGTGCTGTGTACGGAGGATATGCACCCGGCACCTGCCGCTCGTAGGAGCGGGCGTGCAGCATCTAGTAATCGTGAGGACGCGGCAGGATCGAGGCTACCTGGGCAGAGGACGGCGTCATCTGCCGCCTTGATCTTGGGTTCGCGGTAGAGGTGCGCTAGAACTGAGTGGACAGCGCGACGGTGGTCCTGCAAAAACTGTGTGTCTGAGCCGATCGCGAACAGATGGGGTAGTCGTCCAACAAATGTCGATGCACAATCGTAGAGCGAAGCGCGAGGTGGCGTTTGCGAAGATTGTAGTACGAGTGACATGATAAACGCGAACACGTCCTCGTTGAGATCATTCACCAATACAGGCGAAGGGCCAGAAGGCTTCGGCGGATAGAGGAGCTGGGAGAGCAGCGCTTCATAGCTCGGCCGCTTCTTCATATCCTCGAAGTCCATGACATTCCGTAAGTAGTAGCGCAGCGTGCGCACCATGAAGCTCTTGTTCAAAAAAGTGACACCGCCTGTGGGAGCAGTGCAGAGCAGGACGGCCTTGTTCAGATTCAGCGTCTGCTCCGAGGTGAGTTTGAAGATCTTGAAGGTGAACGTGTCCTTCTGCGCCTGCTCCGATAGACGGTACTCCTGCAGCTGCTGCGCGAGCTCTCCAGGCGATGCATTCCGATCCCAAGGTATCCCGTTGCGCCCATTCGCGTACGTCGGTTCGGAAAACTCGAGCGGGTAATCCGCGAGCACGCTCGCAACCTTCTTGCGGAGTTCCGGGGTGCAGTACTCTGGACGGAGGGCAGAGTTACGGAGTACAATCGCCAGGCGCGGGCTGAGGATGAATAGCCGGTGCATGAACATCTCGCGCGCCTCCACATGGAAGCCCTCCGTCATGCCGAAGGCGCTCGGCGTGAGGACGAACTCTTCGCCTTCGGCGGCCTCCCAGACACCGGGAAAGTACGCTTGCGCCTGCATCTGGTACAAGATGGCCTCGAAGTTCCGCCCGCCGAGGTAGTTGATCATCTCCGTCTCGGACATCGAGGTCAGCTTCTTGTTGTCCTTCATCCACGCCACGCCATCCCTGTTAATCTGCTCGTGGGGCGTCTCCAGGAAGTACTGGAGGAAGTGAAGCCAGATGTCGGCTGGAGTGTGCAGACCCTTCGCCTTCCCGTATTCTTCGAGGCGGTCTCGACCTTCCTCGTTCCCGGGAAGGTTCATGTCGAACAGCGAGACCCACATCGTGCGACGGCGGTAGTGCATGAGGAATAAGAACTTCCGCAGGGCTTCGAGGTCGGGACGAGTGAGCGTGAACTTGCCCCACGGGATGGATTCGTGGATGCCTCTGATGATCTTCGCGGCCCTTTTCTCGAGCTGACCAAGCTTCTCCTCCAGGTGGTTGACGTTAAAGCTATTCCTCGCGTCGCGGTACATGTTTTGCGTGCCGAAGATCTTGCCTATGGGGCGCGTGTCGAGCGTTTGCTTCTCGACATCGTAGTACAACACGTATTCGGGGTCGACTCCTGTTCGACGATAGGCCTTGTTGCGTTCGGCTTTCGACCTGAAAGGCGATAGTCAGTGGGAGCAAACACTTCATTATGATGTCGAACTTACAGGACGGGTCCAACTTGATACCTACGCAGGATGAAGCGAGGGATGAAATGGTGGAATTGATCTCGCGGTGGCTTATTCTTGTTCTCGCGAGGGGGGCTGTGCGACGGTGGGGGTGACTGAGCAGGTTTCGACATAGTTCACGGGACCAATGTCCGCGATGAGGTTCTACTGTGTACTCGGCAGGGAAATAGCGACAATTGTGTATAATGAACGCTGGATTGGCGGGAGAGTTGGCCGCTCGAAGTGTGCCTCAGACTCAGGGAATTACGCGTTGGGAGGTTCTTTCAATCAGATACAGCGTTTTGGTAGGACAAGATCCACCAAGTCAAAATGAACATGAGTGCACAAGAGTGAACGCGTCAGGGAGCGCGGAACCAAAACCTGTGATGTCACATCGTTTTCCGCGGTCACGTGATCGGCATGTTGAACTTTCACCGTCCCGGCAAGGACTTATAAGGGTACAGTAAGGAGATAGGGGCGCAGTGTCAGACGTCCACAGAGGGCTTATATGTGATGTTTACGTCTTTGACGAAGATCATAAATCCAGCTCTGGCTTGATCAACGCCTTAGGGATCCACTGAAGCACGAGTTGCAGTCGCAATCAGCGCTTGCTTCGCGGGTCGGGGCTTGCATGGAGCTCATTGACACTCTAAAAGGCATTTTGGTCTGCCCAAGGTACGGGTGGAGACAAGGGCCATGTTAATATGGATTTACCCTGGGCGACGGCAACTTGCTTGCCACGTATCTGAAGTTGAACTTTGTGAGGTCAATGTTCCAGAGTTCGGGTCGAAATACAGGTCCATGGAGTCCAAGAAATAAGTAGATACATTACGAGTACATTTTAGTTATATGTCAGTATATCCATCGTACTCTTCGATGAACGTCGACCAGTGCGGTTTCACTATGCCCTCCAAGATATCTGGTCGCATCCTCGCCAAGAAATCCAAATACCCATAAGTAAGGAGGTCGTTCGCGTACTGTCGCATCTTCGCCATCTTCGGATCCGGATGCGGTCCATCCTCATCGAACAACTGGAAGCCCATGCTCTGAATAAACTCCGTTATCGCCCTCATAATCACATCCCCCGCCTCCAGCGACTGATTCCGCCTCGGACGCGCCGTCGGCCGCTCCTGGAACCCTGGCGGCTTATCCGGAAAGTACTCCTTCACCATCCTCGCCCCCATCACCGGCATATTGAGCGCGAACGCCATCGTGATCGGCCCCTCGATCGCCGGCGTCTTCCACATCCGCTCCGCGTACTTGTGCAGCGCCTGCCCGCGCTCGTACCGGTTGGGGAAGGTGATCTCGCCGCGGAGCATGCCCTTCCAGAGGTCGTCGAATTTCTTGCGGATGTCGCGGTGGACGGGGGGCCAGTCGGCGTCGTAGGGGTAGTCGAGGCAGTCTTTGGGGTTGCGCGTTGGGTGGGGGCAGAGGTGCATCCAGCGGAAGAGGGAGGGGCAGCGGAGGCGGAAGGCAGCGACTAGCTGGGGACTCTTGACGATCAGGTCGAGGAACCGGACGAGGACGGCGACCTCCAGGATTTTGTCGACGAGGCTGCTCTTCGCGGAGCATACGCACGCGGGCACCACTTTTCGTAGCAGCGGCCTTGCCGTGTCAGTGAGCTTGAGAGACGAATCGTAGTCGAGAGTGTGCGGTCGATACCACTCCTTCTCGTCACGCCGGTGGATCGCGCTTTTGGCCACAGGCTGGGAGCTGAAGTGCTCGACCAGCTTATCGGCGTAATGGCCGCATTGCTCAGCGAGTACTGTTCCCCTCGCGTCGGTCGGCCTGAATAGCCTGCGCACGGTCGCCGTGCCGCACATATACAGAGGGAGCGGCTCCGTGGGCCTTGTGATCTCGTACACCAGGTCCATAAGCCAGTGGAAAGTCTCTTCGTGAGGGAAGCTGCCAATGCGCGCCAATGACGGAGTGTCAGGAGCGAACGGTCGCGCGAGCCTGTCCGCCAGCGTGCGATAGCTCTCCCAGCACATATCCATACAAATCGGCGTACGATGCATGTAATGGCGAAGCGTGCGCACGACCATACTCCTCGACGTGAAGGTCAGCGCTTCATCCGGACGCGTGCTCCGGAGCGTGGCAGCATTCACCGCGAGCGTCTGCTCCGGCGTGAGCTTGTGGATCTTCATCGTGAACCGGTCGCGCTTGCGACGGATGGCTGGATCATAGTCGTTCGCGGTACGGAACGTGAACGCCACCTCGCCGTCGACCACCACGTCGTGCCCCGCCTTCGCAAAGTCGATATCCGGCGGCGACACCGGCAGGTCGAGCAGCGTACTGCACGCGCGCTCCCGGTATCGGCCAAACCCCACACCCTCGCGCATGTAGTCCGACCGCAGCACGATGGCCAGCCGCGGACTAATCACGAACACCCGATGCAGATGGAACTCCGGATGCGTCGACAGGCAGCCCTCCCAGTACCCGAACGCCCCCGGCGTGAGTACGAACTCATCCGTCTCCGCCGCCTCCCAGAACCCGACGAAGTACGCCTGGTTCTGCAGCTCAAAGTTGATCGCGGGGAAGTAGTCGATGGCGAAGTCGCAGTCGATGCCGAAGTTGTCGAGGAGGGAGTCCATGGATTGCTCGCCCATCCATGCGGCGCCAACGGCGTCGATTTTGTCCATCGAAGTCTCGAGGAGGTATCGTAGGAGATGCAGCCAGGTGTCGATGGGCGTCTGCAGGCCGTTCACCTCGCCGTACTGAGCGAAGCGCTTCCGAAGCGCCACATCCTCCGGCCGGTTCTTGTCATGGTAAGACAGACCGAGCACTTGTCGTCGGAAGTGCACGAGGAAGAGGTACTTGCGGACCTCATCGAGGTCGGCGCGCGCGAGTGTCAGCTTTCCCTTCGTAACGGAGTTGTGTATGTCCTCGAAGATGTGCGTCGCGTGCTGCTCCAGCCCCGCGAGCTTCCCCTCCAGCTCGATGACCTCGAGCGGATTGCTCGCATCGCGGTAGAGGTCCTTCACGACATATGCTCGGTCGATCGAGCGCTTCTCAAGTGTTCGTGTCCCGATGTCGTAGTAGTCGATACATTGCGCCAAGGCCCCGGTGCAGGGAAATGGTCTCGCGCCTTCGACTAGATGACTGGGGAGATGTATCGTCAATTGGTGAGTATTCAAGAGGGCAAAGGACAACACGCACTGTGAAGGGCTAGCCTGATACTTCTCGAGAACGGCGCGCGGGATCTCGTGGTAGTACTGCTCCTCGGGGAGTCTGAAGCTCGTTCGGGATGTTGACTTCCTGGACCGCTGGGAAGACGCCGAAGACGACGCTTGGGCTGGCTGCGAAGACGAAGGTTCAGCTGTCTTCAATGTCGACGATGTAGCTGCCCTCGAAGACGACGGTTGAGACGCCTGCGAGCTCGACGACTGTGCTGCCGTCGCAGATGACGTCTGTGCTGCCGTCGCAGATGACGCCTGTGCTGCCGTCGAAGATGATGCTTGTGCTGCCGTCGAAGACGACGACTGTGCTGACTGCGACGTCGACGCCCGGGAAGACTTCTTCTTCGACTTTCGAGCCATTCAGATTTCAGCAATACACAGCTGGGAGAGATAAATGCAGTTCAATGGTGGTGGTGGTGGTGATAGTCAGAGTCAAGATACTGCTTTACGTGGTTAAGAGCGAACCAACTAGAATTGAACGCGGTGGCGCGTGACGTCACGCGTCAGACCTGGTCATCGTCGATTCGCGTGCGGTCGTGTTCGTGCTGGCAAGGCAGCCTCAGTAGCCTCGACCATGACCTCGACTCGTGCTATGTCCTGCACGCAACTCCTCGTAATGAAATGAGCGTCGCTGCGTACGCTGAGACTTACAACACCACTGAACTAATGCTCTTGGTGAAGACACCTCTCCCTTGGCAGCATTCGCGTTCCTCACTCGATCACACCAAAAGTTACAATTGTACAAGGATACTGCATTGTGACCAGAGCAAAGCGACCAAATAGTAGTTGTGCGACGATGTATACGTATATATAAGTGATGATGCTGAAGGGGACGCTTGAATCGTGCTGAGAGGTACGGGAAAAGAACTATACATGCATGGGTGGGGAGTGATGGTACGTGCTGATTGTCAACTCGGGAACCAGGCGCGAAGACAGGGGATTATGGAAAGGGGATGGGGATGGGAGACGATAGGGGAATGAAGAGAGCCAGCGCTGGCGGCGCCAACGTCGAGCACGACACAGATGATGGTGACGAACAAGACGAAGGACACCGCAGGGCGGAGGGAGGGACGATGGTGGAAGATGTGCACTACTTTAGCAACCACCGGTTCGATGCAAAGTTTTGTTCGTCCAGCCCGGCGCCCACGCCGACTGCCCCGCCGCCAGAAACCTTCGTCGCGATGACGGGGCAGGGAGAGGAGGCGAGGTGTCGCGATAGCGGCGGTATGCGAGCCCGTGACCTTAAGGCTTTCGGAACTCGCATAACACGGTGTATATGGTGTTGAACGCAGTGTAGATCTCCTCACGGACCTGGGATGTGAGTCAGCAAAGACGCTTATGATGTGACCGATCACAAAGGTGTGCCACGGTCACGAACAACGGCGAAGCTCACCTTGGCACCGGTCAAGACGATCTTGCCAGAGACGAAGATTAGCAGCACGACCTTGGGCTTGATCATGCGGTAGATGAGACCAGGGAAGAGCTGAACGCGTCGTCAGCGACGGCATACAAGCAAAACGACGTGGCAACGCACCTCAGGCTCGTAGCTGCTGAACTGTCCGTGCGAGTATGCGAGCCCCTCCAGGCGGATGGGGAAGCGCACGTCACAACTGCCGACGATGTTCTGGATCTTGAACTCCGAGAACTTGGCGTCGAAGCCGAGCTTCTGGACGATGCGCGCATACTTGCGGCTAGCAAGACGCGAATCGTCCTCGCTCTTCGCACCGGTGACGACCATCTTGCCCGACGCGAAGATCAGGGCGGTCGTCTTGGGGTCGCGGATGCGCATGATGACCGCGGCGAAACGCTGGTGGTGGAACGCGTAGGCACAACCCACGACGCTCATGAGCAAGAAAGGGTACTAACCTTGGGGTTGTACTCGGCATTCCTGGCGTGGAGAGCGATCGTCTTGAGGTCGAGGCGGCAGTCAAGGTTGACAGTCGCGACTATGTTTTGGAGCGTGGGGACGATGCCCTCGACGGCCGTGATGTGCTGCTGCTCAAGGGTGAGCGGCGCAGGGGTGGCGGGGACGGGCGATGATGGTCCGGCCGCGGGTGGCGACGTCGGCTTGCTCGGAGCAGTGAGCTGCTGGGGCTGGACGAAGCCCTGCGATTGCTGCTGCTGGGGCTGCCTCGACGATCCCGGGAGCGCGAGGCCACCTGCGCTCGACTGGGCGAGATACGGGTTCGACGACGGGTAGAGCGCCTGCGAGGCCGCTGCCTGCTGTTGCTGCTGTGCTGCGAGAAGCTGTTGCTGATACTGCTGCTGCTGAGCAGCAGTGACCTGCGGACGGCCAAAGTTGATCTGACGCGTAGGCAAAGACATTTTTTCTAAATTTGCAGCTGCGTAGACCGTGGGAACCGGGGAAAGTAAGAGTCAAGTTTCGAGGCGAGCCGCTCCTTATATACCCAAGCCCATTTCAAATTCAGTCACGCCTTACATAAGCTTCGATGGGCTTCCTTTGTTCCGCGTGCACACGATAGCCGATAGCAACTGATGAAGGGGACAAAGGGCGCGGCCATCGCATTCAAGGCTCAGCGTCGTTGGGCGCAATGAGCAGGGTACTCTTAGATCGAATTCACACAAGGACCAGAGAGAAAAGACGCAGGGCTGTTGGGCGAAGTCCGGTCAGTTCATGAGACTCGGGTAAGCGCTGTAGCCGAGTATCAGGGGCACGCACCGTATGTTATGGAGCGCCCCACGTCGACGGCGGCGACGACGATGACAAGAGCCCAAGCCTATCCCCCATTCCCCTCCGCTCGCTGGACTTGCAGTCGCTTTCGTCAGGTAAAGATGCGAGAGGCGCCAGCAAAGCAATGGAGAAGGAAGAGATGATGGCGCACTCAGACTGGTCGGATCCAGGTTTCGATGGGTCCAAAGATGGAGTGCGCCGTACGTATGCAGCCATGACGTGTGTTGACAGCGGTCGATTGGGAGGGCCGCGCTCACCGGGGCGAGGAGGGAGACCAGCCAGAACCCATCGTCGGCGAGAGCGACGAAGAAGAAGGGGACAAGGAGGAGAGCATCGACGAACAGCAAGCAACGTTGCTGGCAGTCAACAAGCGTGTGGTGCGGAAGCACGGACTGCGCAGCCGGTCGGCAGGACGGCACGGGCAGCCTGCCACCGCTTTGACCGACCCCAGGCACACCCCCGCGTCACAGCATAGCGCGCGAGGTGTCGGTCAACGCCGCCCTGTGTCCGCTGCGGAGGCGCAGCGCAGCCAAACATATACTCTAGCCGTATACACCCAAGCCTGCTCGCCGCCCGCCAGATGAGGACGCGTTCATGACCGCGCTCGCCATCGCAAGCAACGCCCCCAGGCGCTACATCGCCGGCGGCGCCATCGCTCTCTTTGCCGTGGTCTGTACCCCACGAATCACATACTTCCCAGCTCCCTCCGCTCATCGCGTCTCCCACAGATCGCCGCACACCTGCTCCTCACTCTCACGAACTACCGGTATAGAGCCCTCGCAGTCCGCTTCGGCTTGTCCCCAGATGGGCTCTTCCTCCAGAACGTCCTATATGAACAGCCCGCGGCGATCTACACCCACTTCTCCGCGCCCGAAGACGCGCGCGCGAACGCGACCTTCGTCGTCTTGGCTCGGAACTCGGAGGCCAAGGGCGTAGAGCAGAGCATCCGCGACATAGAGGCACGCTTCAACGCTCAATACCAGTACCCCTATGTCTTTCTCAACGACGAGGAGTTTAGCGATGGGTTCAAGGCGTGCGTGATGGCATCCGCGAAAGTGCGTCGCTCGGCTGACGAGGCTACCGCAGGCGCGTACTGGCGCTCACGGACGCGCCGGTCGAATTTGGTTTGATACCGAGCGAGCACTGGAACCAGCCCGACTGGATCGACGAGGAGCGTGCGCTTGAATCGCGCAAGAAGATGAAGCATGACGGGGTCATGTATGGAGGTGCGTCGTCGGCTGCTCGTTCCCGATCCACCGCTCATTACATTGCAGGCAGCCTCTCGTACGCGTATTCCCACTTTCCGTCCCCCCTCGCTAACATCTCATCCTCCCCCCTTTGTCCAGCTACCGCAATATGTGCCGCTTCAACTCAGGTGTGCGTATACCAATCCCCCCTCTTCCCTGCTGCACGATCTGAACCGGCCCACAGTTCTTCTACCGCCATCCCCTCATGCTCAAGTACCGGTACTACTGGCGAATAGAGTGCGTCTTATCATATCTATGCACAGGCGCTTAGATCTGACCGCCAAATCTTACCGCCCGCATCTAACCTTGCCGTCTGCACCTGTCCACGCTGCCATCCTTCTCTGATGCCAACCTTCCTCATTCGCTCTTCCCTTTGTTGCCCGCCTGTTTCCTTATCGTACTCCGCTACTCCCTTTGTCGTCTTTTGATGCGTCGGTCCCTTGTCGGTACCTGTCCATCACCTCCGCCTTCTTATTTGTTCGTACCTCCGCCTTGTTACCCCAGACCGGACGTCCACTTCCACTGCGACATCAACTTCGACCCGTTCTTGTTCATGCAGCAGAACAAGAAGGTTTATGGTGAGTGTTCATCCAGCTTTTTGTTCGAAGATGAGGCCGCTTGTATCCTCGGACCGGGCTGCTTGCGCCCGCGCGTCTGCCCCGTTGATCTTGCTGCTCACCACTCGCAATGATCACGCTGGTCTCCGTCATACGCGATGACCGAATCACTCGTCAATCGCAATGATCGTACTGACCCCCATGCGCAGGCTTCACCATGGCCGTCCACGAGATCGCGCAGACCGTGTCCTCGCTATGGTCGACCATCCAAGCGTTCATTGAGGCGAACCCAACCGCCCTCGCGCCCTCCAACTCACTCGACTTCGTCTCCTCCGACGCCGGCGCGTCCTACAACCTCTGCCACTTCTGGTCCAACTTCGAGATCGGGGACATGGAGTGGTACCGAGGGGAGGTGTACAGCAGGTTCTTTGAGTGGCTGGACCGGGCGGGTGGGTTTTATTATGAGGTGGGTGTTGTTGCGTTGCGCTGTTGGTGGGGGCAGCGTTCGTTCCGGCGGACGCCCTTCGCCCGTCCCCGGCCGATGGACGATAGCGCATCGATGCTGACGCGCTTTACAGCGCTGGGGCGACGCACCGGTGCACAGTCTTGCCGTCGCGCTTTTCCTCAACACCAGTCAAGTGCACTTCTTCGACCCTATTGGGTACCAGCACGATGATTGGTCGCATTGCCCGTTGAATCGGGACCTGTGGGAGCAGGGCGAGTGCGATTGTCGGTGGAGAGGGGAGTTTGGTGAGTACATTCATTGATGGGTCTAGGGGACCTGTTGCTGGTATAGAAGCGAGCTGGCGCTTGGGGCGACGTGAGAATAGTTGCTAACAACCGCTGCAGACTACATGCCCGCGTCGTGCAAGGCGCGCTGGGACCAGCTGAAGCTCAAGACGTTGAACGCCACGACACATTTATGATGATCGCGAGCGGGGCGGAAGGCGGCCAACCCACGTCGTAACAATCACCCTCCCTTCATCGTGGAAATTCAGTATAGAATCTGCTGTCCGTCCGCGTTCGGCAAGCATACAAGCTCTGGAAATGGATCCAATACCCCTTGGACCTGCACCATTTCTCTCGTCGTCTGTCGTTCGCTGGGGACTTTGTACAATATTTATGCTCAGCAGGACGTACCTTATCGCTAATGCCCATTAGAGTACCAACACAGATAGTAGCATCAATGTACTCTGCACTGTACCATAAGACGTTCGCTGGGGAGAGCGAGACATGAGTCAGACGTGACGTGACAGTGACGCCACATAATGAATTTGAGATCGGCAAGCGGCCCACCTGCCCGCCCCTCGCTCCTAATCCAGAATCATGTCCGCAAAGCGGGGAAGGAAGCGCGACGACAACCTCCCGCCGAACCGCGCCCGCGACGCCCAGCGCGCCTTCCGGGCGCGCCGCGCGATGCACCTCCAGGAGCTCGAGGCGCGCATGATTGAGCTCGAGGAGGAGAACGCGGCCCTCCGCCGTGCGCTCAACCTGCCCCCCGCAAACCGCCCGCCGCTGGGGTCGGGCCCGACGGGGAAGAACCCCCCGAAGCCGCGGCCCTCGAGCGCACCGGCGGCGGTGCAGGTGCAGCAGGTCGTGGTCCCGCAGGAGCAGCGCCCGCCGTCGCCGCCGCCCCCGAGTCTGGCGGCGCTGCTTCAGGGGGTGCCACCGCCGCCACAGCAGGTCCAGGAGCAGCAGCAAGCAGAGCAGCAGCCCGAGCCGTACCCTCCCCCGCCCCCGCCGCGCGCGATGGACCCCGCGCCGTGGGCGATGAACGGCACCGCGCCAGGCGCATACCCCGGCAGCTACCCTCCGCCCCTCGGCCCCCCGCCGCACTCGGCCCCATACGGAGGCCCGCCCAAGTACCCCCCTGCGTTCCGCGCGTAGGGCAGCCCAGGCCGCCGTCGCTGGTGAGTATCGAGTGCATGGTGGTGGTCTCTGCCAGCCCGCGCTGCTTTTTTGAAATGGTGGTGTAGGTCGGTGTATTGATGTGTTATGGTCGGTAGGGTCGTTATTCAAATGATGGGCGCCGCGCGAGCGCGGAGGGCGTGGAGGGGCGTGGGGAGAGAGCCCGCGGGCGCTGGGGATTCTCGACGACATACGCGGGGAGGGGTGGGGGAATGTATATGGTGAACAGGCTGGCGGACCGCGATCGCGCCATCGGTTCACACTGGGTTTCCGTTATGGGTGTTATGGGCGCCGAGCAGCGCACATATCGACCTTCAACTTCGACTGTACAGGCTACCTTCTTGTTTTATTCTTTACCTTATTCTTCTTGACCACCCGTGTACTTAGAATCGGCCGTATGCGACGGGAAGACTCGCTAGGGTCTTGTGATGATAGCCTTCCGAAATGCCTACAAAACAACCGAAAAATCTGTGAATACAACTGTTCGTTCTTGCCCATCTACGACTCGAAGCCATCTCACATGCCGTCGCACACGCCTGCCTTTTGTATCAGCTCGTCCACAATAGGGTCAATTGCATCGGTCGCGACGTAGTGCGCACGATCTAGAGCCTGCGAACTTCGTCAACGCTACAGTTCTATCCAACCAACGAAGACTTACCATAAGCTCGACAGTATGCGCCTCCGTCAGCGCGAACTGGTCGACTACCTTCCATCCATATGTACGTGCCAACTCCGCCGATCTCCCCGCAAGGTAACCCTGTCGCGTACTCGTCCGCTTGTCCTTGTGCATCTGTACGTACTCGTCCTGCCGTGGTGCGACGGCGGGCGTGGTGAGGAAGATCATCTGCGCTGGAGGAGCTTCGAGCTGGCAGTTGGTGATCATGTCGAAGAACTGCGTGAGGTCGGCGAGGAATTTGGCGGTGGATCGCCAGTGGGCGCCCTGGAAGTGAAGGATGAGAATGAGGTACAAAGGGGGTAAAGACATGCACGCACCGCAGAGACGACAAAGACATCGACTTCATCCAGAAGCGTGGCAAGCTCGGTACAGGTTGTAGCCGCGTGATTGATTTGTGGATCCCTGCAAAACAGTCAAGAAACGTGGGTGGGAAGCAAGGAAATCGAACGGACCACACGAAATTCAAGCTGAGGGCGCCCAATGTGGCGTTCTTGTCGTGTACCTTCTCGCTCTTCATCATCATGTCCGTCGCGCCGGAGAGACGGTGGACCATTGCGTCGTATGCCACACGTCCATGGCTGTCTCCCTGTCATGCTTCTATTAGTCGAGCGCGCATAAAGAGAAAGATAGTTGCATACAATAAAAAGTACCCTCTCGGCGCGCTCCGTGCATAGAGAGGGATCGCCAAAGCGCAGACCTGCGTGCCTAAACCGACACCCCTCAGGGATGAAGCGGTAGCGCCCGTGTACGGGTACTTTGTGGCCCGCTGGATATGGTACAGGAGGGTAAAGAGCATCGAGCGGATGATGCGGAACGTAGACACCTGGAATGGGATCGTCGCCGTCGCAGGCCGGAAGATCAGCGTCAGGTGGAGGCGAGGAAAGATCAGAGGTGAGGCGAGAGGCGTCGTCCATTGCGAGAGTGCTCCGCGCGGGGTTTAACAGATGCGGGCTGTATGCCGGACATGAGGAATCGCAGACATCAAACTCGATGGGCTGGTTGAAGAGGGGGCGATCGAGGTTCTCCGCCCAGGTTGCGTTGCGCTCGTTGTAGGCGTTGTAGTCCTGCAAGCAGGGGTGAGTACGTTTGTGGCAAAAGTCACTGTGTTAAACGCACCTCGTAATAGTGTGCAGCGGTCAGATAGACGCGGCCGGGGTTTTGAAGCACGACGTCCATTCGATATGCGCACGACCCTTCGTGCACGGCGCGCTCGGTAGCGAAGCGCTGCGCCCCGTCGACGCGTAGGTAGAAGCCGTCAGGCCCGCGCTCCGCCTCCATCCATGCCTCCCACTGCGTCTCGTCGCTCGGCGCGTACAGGTTCGACACGAGCGCAAGTTCGCAAGCCCTCGACTCCGTGCGCGCGATCCTCAGCGTGAAAGCACTGCAAGAGGTAGGTGCGCGACACAGCTCCGTCCTGAACTCTGGCAACGCAGAAGGGAGCTCCTCGCACGTCTGCAGATCGTGCAGAATGGGTAGCGCAGCCAGGTCCGGTGAGGGGCACGGGTCGGGCCCCGAGGACTGCAGCCTCGCGAGGAAGGGAGGCATGAACTCAAGATGGCGATGCAGCAGGACGCTGAACGACCCGAGGAACGCCAGCCCGAAGGCGGCGGGGAGACGACCGACAGGCATGAGAGCGTCAGGGGCAAGAGCCTGAAGGGGTCGTAGTAGACAGCGTCGGTTTACATAGCGGGTCGCTCCGGGGCGGGCGCGAGCTGAATCGGCGTCTGTCTGAGACTGTGGATGGCCGACGCCAAACATTCGCAAATGGCGGGATTGCCCAGCTGGCAGTTAGGAACATGAATTGCAGGTTCAATCGCACACAGAGCCAAGCTTTGGCGCGATAGATATCGAGTGGCCCTGCACAGATGGCCGTCATAGCCAGGAAGACACAGCGCTGAGCAGGCGGGAGCATACGGCAAAGTCAGTCACTTGAGCTTCTGATAATCGAGTGCTCGCAATAGAAAACTTCGCAAGGATGAACGTCGGGAGCACGCTGATGAGGATTTAATGCCTGACTGGGGCAGGGCGAGTTCTAAAAGGTCGCGAGCAGGACGCAAGATGCGTGTTACGCGTGACATCACACGCCGCGCAGGTCCTCCAACTTGTTTGCCACAAATCAAACATCAAGTGCTTCTACTGAGCAGAGTACACGATTGACGATCTGTAACAGTATATAGGAGAACTATATGAGAGAACCATTGTCCGTGCGCATAACCTCTTGTCCTGTTTACTGGCGCGCCTTCAATTCCCTTCCCTCGCGGCCGTGTCCCGTCGCCGCAGAGATGGATATGGGAAGTTGAGCCTTGAAAGAAGTGTTTAAGCAGCCATGCTAATGGGCACGCATCCCATGTTGACAGCGCCGCGCTGGTAGTTGTTCTCGCAACAGACGGCAGTAGACGACGCCTGACAGCCGTGGCCGCCCACGACGGACAATGGGGTGCAGTCAGCGTAACTACAAAAGAAGGTCAGATAGGGTAGATAAAAGTAAGAAATTTTATGCCGACCTGCTAGCGTCGGGGTTGGCCAGGACCTCAGGGCTGATACCGAGACCCTGGAGGTATTCGACGTGCGAGTAGTCCTTGTGCTGGCAATGGGGCATGACTTTCAGCGACACCATGATGCACAATACGCGAGACGCTCACGCTGTAAGTCGTGTTGCAGCACTGGACCGACTCCGCACGGCACTTCTGACCACCCGGCGCACGAGGTACGGCGCTCGCGGCGACGAGAAGGGGAAGAGCGGCGAAGAGAGCGATAGTGAAGCGCATATTGAATGAGTGAGAGGGTTGGGTGAAGAGAAAGTTAGAGAGAGTTGGTTGAGAAGCGAGTGTTGTAAGTAGCTCAAGCTGAGTAGAGTAGCTGAAGCTGGGGAATACTGGAGGGTGAGCCTGCCTTTTATACCTCGTCGTCGCGTTGTTCTCGCTTCTAGCTGAGCCCAAGCCGGGCTGCAGGGAGCGCGTGCTATCTTCATGGGAAATCAGGAAGCGCATCGGGCCCGTTCGAGGGATGAATAGGCAGCACTCCGTCGCCACCTTCGATAAACCTAGTACCCGGCCAGCTAGCGAGATTCAACCAGGGCAGCCATAAGAGTGGATACGCGCAGACTACAAGAGTATTCCAACAGAAAGAGATAGGGCGAGACAATCCAGTCTGCGTGTAGACGCCACGACGAAGCTCGCGTTCGCCAGAGTGTTGGATTTCTTCGGAGAGAAGTGAATGGCTAGTATGTTGCGAAAAGGTTATCTTGGTACGGATATTTTGATAGCGTTCGAGCTATGCCGTAGGTTTGCTTGCGGGAGCGATATACAGGCCGTGTTGCTGATAGTTAAGCAAACTGGAGATCCTACTCAGCGCCACTGGCTTCGGTGGGTGTCGGTCCCGAGAGCTGCAGCAAACGTAGTTTGTGACAGAATATGTTCTCATAGGCCAGAGGAGAGCCAAAGAAGGAGGTCATATGCATGCAGTGGTAGCTCCGGACAAGGTGTCGAGTGTGCATTGATTAATGTTTGATGGGTGCCACGCGTGGACCCACAAAGCGTGACAGCGTGATGGTGTCACTATCCAGCTTTGTTCTGAACTTGGACACGACCATCTCCCTCGTATTTCCTCATGTTATGCATGCACTCTCATCGGGCCGTCCGTGGAAGCCTTGATGATCCTTTGGACCCCCTCAAGCTCGATCCCTGAACATTGCTGATTCGTTGAGGCAAGACCCTGGCACGTTGTTCTTGCCTTGAGGATGGTACAGGTTGAGGCGGAGTGATTGACAGTATTTGTCAGTCTGCGAGCCTTCCTCATACTCGCGCTGGCCACACTCTGAAAGCAATGGTTAGCATGAAGAGATAGCAATACCTACATACGCTTGAACCCAGTGGCTGTAGAGCGCCGGGTACGGCGCTCTCGGTCAAGCCACAATCTATGGAGGTGCTGAACGTCGGGACGGCCGGCGTCCCGAGCCCCGACATCCATCGCGACGCTGCGCCCGATATTAACTCCGGCGGCCTCGAGGTCCGCCGCCTCATTTACTCAGGGACACCCGGGAGCAGTGTCGATCTGGGTAATTAGGAGCGCGTCCGTATACGTACGCGCTTGGAGTCGGGCCAGCTTTTTGCATTCTGCCCTCATCTCGTCTGTTCGGTCTCTTCCCCTCCTCCTCCTCACGTCCCATCTCCCCCTGCGACATCACCCTCGCAAAACTTCACGACCAACGACCATGCCCGCCGTACGTCCCGATCTCCGCTCGTCATTGCACCATCATCGCTGACCCAGCCTGCTCCAGAACGTCTCCGCACCTCGTTCGATGTCCACAACTCACTGCCAGTGCCAGTCTACCTCCTCCACTATGGTCCCCTCGGTACCCGTAGACCAGGCGTGCGGCTCGACGACGTGCAATTGCTCGGAGTTGTGAGTTGCCTGACTCCTGTTTAACGTGCCACGGGCGCCGAGCTGACCTACTCCTAGCTGCTTTTGCAGGCCGAATGATTGTCGGTGCGGAAGTGCGAAGTGAGGGCCATGTGGTGTGTGTTCCTCATATTCGTGTAACCTAGGCCGACGCTGACGGTTTCTCCAGACATACTACCCCTTCGCTTCGTCGTTCATGCTGTAGTGATCATGGCCTTGAGCGTCTTACCGCCTTCGAGGCGCATTATACCCCTGCCTCTTGCTGCATCCCACGTCATCATGCATCTATGCCAAAATATACCACGTCAATGCTCAATATTTGCATCATACAATCCGTGAGCGCAGGCTCTACGTGTGGACTGGACGGCGCGTGAGCTTGGCCGGGTCGACGGAAGACGAAGGATAACGCGCACCGTACGAGAGAAGAGCCGAATAGCGTATCTCTTACCTGTTAAACGTATCTGCACATCACGCAGATGCGCCGTTCGAGTGGACATATGCGAAACTCCAGAAACGAACTCCAAATTGTACAACAACAATAGGCGGTAAAGATAAGTATTGATGCTTTCCTTCTCAGCGTACAAGGTCAACAGCGGCAAGAAATAGGATATAGCGCGCGACGGCGATTTGGGCATTCGGGCGAGATAGACGATCAACCGTAGTTCAGGCGGAAAATGTCGTTGAAGCTGAAGAGATCGAAATGTGAGTTAAGAGCATACTATGAAAGGGTGTACGCACACATAGTAGGTGCCGGCCTCGGGGAGGAGCTGGAAGACCTGGCTAAACTGGAGCGGGTTCTGGCTGTCGTCCACCTGGATAGGGTCAGATCGAGCCTGAATATGTAGCGCCGATGCACTCACGATGAGCATACCCGTCACGTTGACGAGTATTGACTGGACGGTAGGCGAAGATGGCTGCGCATCAAGGGTGGTGATCTTGTGCTGCACTCGGGAGAAGGGCAAGCTCTGGCCATACGATCGTCGATGAGCCGCGATTGCCTGTAGGAGTAACCGAGCTACTCACCGTCAACTTCGCCGCAATAGCTGCCGCGCCCTGGATGGGAGCGCCCTCGAAGGTGAGCATGGATGAGTCCCGCTGGCAAGATGGGTGAGGATCTGAAGTCGATCGAGGAGGGGAAGGCGCCGTACGTAGAGGGACTGGAGAGCGGCCCTATCCGTGTCGAAGGTCTGGTAGTAGAACTGGACAAACTGCTGCCCAACGGCGTTGACGTCGGCCATCTTTATCGGACGATAGACGCGTGAGGGGGGCGAAGATGGTGGTTGGAAGAAAGAGGCGGTTGGGCGCCAAAATCAGCAGTACCGCACGTGACCGCCCGGCGCGCGGGCGTCCGCTTGGCCCTCGTCGCTGTCCATCGTCGCCGCCGTCGACGTCGACGACGAAGCTTCCCTCGGCGTTCTCACCATGTCCCAATTCACTGTCCCCGTGGAAACTGCCGCGCGCCCGAACATGCGCAGGAAGTCTTCGGCGCAAAACCTCCTCTCGTCGTTCAAGCCGACGACATCGTCACAACCCGCACCACCGAGTACGGCCACGCCGGTCGTATCGACATCCATAGGCGCCGCGTCAATGAACAGCGTATACCCCTCAGTCGCCACACCGACAGCAGGCGCGAGCTCGCGAGAATGGGACGCGCAGTCACTTCACTCCGACCCATCTGCGTCTGGTCATGGTGGCGTTACCAGTCCCGCGCTGGGACAGGGCGCGTCCGTGGATTACCTGCGAGATGTGATACAGAAACGGATCATCACCCTCACCTACCTGCGAAGCGTGTTCGAAGGGTACGGACGGTCATATTGACCCTGCCGCAACTGACGGTTCCTCAGCAAGAGTCACTGGTTTCATACGATAATGATCTCCCGCGCCGACCTCGAGCGCGAGTTCAACAACAGCGAGATGCGCAAGCGGTGCGCAACATTCCCTGCCCCTCCCTGCACACCGTCTCACCTATCCCCCAACATGCAGCACGTCACGCTTCACCATCCTCGGCATGTCCCTCGCCAACCTCCTCGACGTACACCAGCCCCCTGACCTGCTGCGCGGCCTGCTCAATACATTGGCAGAGTACGAGCAGGGGAAGGAAGATTCGGAGAAGTCCAAGATGGTACGTGCCCCGGACTTGCTCACGCGCTCTACCACAATTGCCCGACAGCGCCAACCGAAGCGCCTTTTCAGGCCCGGGAAGAAGCGCGTCGCAGGGGGAGGCATCGGTGAATACACCGTATCCTACGCCGACACCGCTGCAGACGCGACCTATGTGGTCACACCGCACGTCGTACGTCCTTGCACACCCAACCCTGCGAACGATCTGACTCACGCATACTTCTACGGCTAGCCCTTCCAACTCGACTACCTCCAGGTTCTCATCACCCTCATCGACATCATATCCGAGATCTACAGCAAGCTTTCCAAGACACTTTCCCCCTCGCCCTTCCCTCATGCTGGTGGCCAGCAGATGCTGGGTCCGTTAGGCTTACTGTCTCCGCACCCTGGCGTTTCCTACCTCTTCCCGGAGGGCAGCGGTACCGATGACTCCGGTAGCCTGTACAACATCGCGCATGCTGGCGTCAGCGCGGGATATACCCTTGGTAGTCCACCACCGACAACCGGCGCACAAGGCCTTGCAGACTCCGTAAGCAAGATCGATGGCAAGCTGAAGGTACGCATATTCGATACACAGCGCTACCATCTACGCTTTGGTCTATACCTATCCTCGTTGGGTGGTGAGACGCCGAGCTTGAAGCTAACACACGCTGCAGAAGATAATATCAACACTGTTGAAAGAGCTTGACCAAGTCGCGCGTAGTGGCATCAAGGACGAGCTTGCATCCCTTGATCCCCTCTTGCGGAATACGATGTCCTTTGACGGTCGCACTATACATGAGTACGATTAGACTTGTGTGCCAGCAATTCGCTCGGCTTTTATATGCACGCACGCTGCTATTCGAGGTATGCCTTCCTACACCACCTCCAAGTTACGCTGCCATCTGACCATGTTCATCAGATCACCATTTGGTTGTGGGTAATAGCCCTCGGACCGCTTGCAGGTCTCCTACCATATCTTGAACCTGCCCCGCGCGCTCTGGCTCGACTACGCGCTTGGGTATCTTCTACTGCACGGAGCCAAGGATCTTGGAGGACTGCGAAAATGTACACTACCCATCGTTGGTTTCTGTCTCGTCGCGTACTCTGGGGACATTCTTGAGGATTTACTGTACCACCACCCTTATATCTTTGTTCTTCTGTAATGGCCATGTTCTGCCTGCCATAGACTTTAGCCCGTTCATTTTCTGTGTCATAAGTCGAGGGAACGCCAAGTAAATCGATTCGCAAGTACGTGTTCTATGGGTACGTTTGTTGCGGCCTGCCTTGAGGTACACAGACCGCTTACCAGTACACAGACGGCTTACCAGTACCCAGACCGCCCTCCAAAGCCTTTAGCTCGAGCCCCTCACTGCTGCCGCTTCCTAAACATCACCTTCGCCGTCCGGCTTGGCGACGCGGATGTCGTGTTCCACTCGTTTTCGGGCTTGACACGCGAGCCGCCCTCGAGCTGGACGTCGTAGTGGAGGACGAGGTGCGCGAGCATGGCCTTGAGCTCGTTGGCGGCGAAGAAGCTGGGTGGGGTATTATGATTAGCAGTTAGTTGACGAGAGAGAATCGGATAGGGTGTGCGGGCACGCAGTATGGGAGTGGGGACACGCAAGTATGCGAGTGAGTGCAGCAGGGCAGACATAGCACCAAAGCAGTTCGTAGAGCGACCGAGATAGAGGAGGAAACTGGGTAAAGGAATAGGAAAGCCGAACGCACCGACCAGGACAAGCATGATACCCATGGCCAAAGAGCAGGAACTCGCAATCCGTGTTGACCATCTGGTACTTGGTCTTGTCCGCCTCCCGCATGCGCGAGAAGCGGAAGCCGTCGAAGACGTGCGCGTCCTTGTAATTCTCTGGCCATGGCAATGTCAGCACCATTCACTCCAGACTGCGTAAGGTGGCAAGGGCAGGAGTTTGGATGGAGATGGTGGGACGACAAGGAGTGGCTTCCGAACATACCTTCCGTCCAGTGCGTCGCATGACTCGCCACGCCGACCATGGCGCCCTCCGGGACCTTCGTTCCATCTGAGAACGTGTAACCACCCTTCTTGACGACCTTCCGCGTCATGGAGACTGTGAAACCCATCAGTTGAGTGCCCTTACACCATGCACCGAAACGAAGTCCTCTTCGAGCAAGCCGACGTCCACGCCAGGCGCTTCAGTCTTTGGACAAGAGGGAGGAGACTCACAACAACCCAACCCATTATATCTCCCCGACTCCCTCAGGAAACTATCCAGCTTGTACATCTCGCGCATCGCCGTCTTCGTCCAGCCGTGCTTCGCGATGACCTCCTCGACCTCTTCGCGCAGGGGTTGGAGGTACTTGTGCGGTTCGGCGGCGAGGTGGAAGAGGACGTTGGCGAAGGTCTGGGTGCGTGGGTGGAACAATGGGGGATGCGGTGGAAGTAGTGAGCGGTGAGGGTGGAGGTTAGTAAAAAGAGATTGATAAGAGTGAATGGGGAATTGCGCACGTACATTGGTCGACGTATGAATAGCGGCAAAATTGAAAGACATGACGCGCAGGACGACGTCTTCCACAGTGCGCAGCTCAGCCGGGGTGTGGTTGAGGATCCACGAGATCAAGTCCACCTATTCGCCCGAATCAACCGTCCGCGTGAGATGGTACACAGGCAACCAAGCAACATACCGGCCTGTCCGCCCTATCCCTCCCATACTTTGCGTCGTCTGCAATGCGCTGCGCAACGACAGCGCCGATGTGCCCCGAGAGGTATTTGCGTTGGTTCTTATATGGGGCCAGATAGCTGCCGATTAGGCTGCGGAGACATAGTGTGAGCTGAGGTGGGCCGAGGGGACAGAAATCATGGGCGCATGAGATGCAGGAGTGGTACGCACGGGCGCATCCAAGCAGGGTACTTCCTGATCTTCATGGCAGCTTGAAAGACGTCGATGGCAAAGCGCATGTTGGATGCTATGAAGTCCTTGTCGCGGCCTAGATGGGTGGTAAGATATGTGGCAAGCAAGGCTTGAGGAGAACGCACAGAGAGGCAGTCCAACAAAGTATCGGTTGCTAACGCGCGACACCATGGACATGGTGGTCATGAAGCCGGGTACGGTGCACCACTCTATCGTGAAGGTCAGTCCTCGGGCTCGCTTTTCGACGACGAAGAACTACAACCGACCTTCGCCCTCCTTGAAGGTGATAACGTCATTGAAGACGGCCTGCACTTCGTCGTAGATATCCGCGAAGCAGTGGGCGATATTCCGAGTAACGTCCGACTGAACGATCTTGAGGTGCTCGCTGTGGTGCTCCATCGTCGTTCCCATGGTATACTTCATGTGGATGACCTTGGTAATAATGCTGTCAACAACGCGACGATCGAGTACGGGCTAAATCACAGCGTACCTCCTCAACAGCCTCCCGGAACGACAGTTCGTCTTCTCGCGCTGCGCGGAGCTCGTCGACGAGCTGATGCCCGCTGACGACGACCATCCAGCCGTCCATGGTGGGAACGCGGAAGACAGACCCCGGATACTTCTCTACACCCTCCTGTATGATCTCCTTCGCATGCTGCTGGAATGCGCGTGCGTCGGCGTACGACGACAGCGCTCCGGACGCCCCGACGACGGGGATGCCGCTGTACTGTGGCTCGATGAGCATGACGCGCGTGAGATACCTTCGCACGTACATCCGGTCCTGCTAGGGCCTCGTAGAGCTTGTAGCCTGCTATTGAGGCTACACCTGCAAGGAGCGCCGCCTGCACCGGCGAGTCGAGCTCGAGGAGGCCGTGCTCGAGCTTGTCGATGAGGGAATCTGGTGCAGTGGACATGGCTGGTCGGTGTCAAGGTGAGGCTGGGAGGGTTACAGAAGCGCAGGCTGTATATGAAGGAAGAGTCGACCCATGACCGTCGCCGTATATAACGTCGGGGAAGTAGCCGTCGTGGGTTCTCTTGCGCGCGTGGATCGTCAGGAGGATAGCCACGTTGGTAGTTAGGACCGAGGCTGTCATGACAGGCATGGATCATAGCCAAGGGCCAAGTCTGTACGCAGCACAGGGCTGTCATGGGTAGACGGTGAGAAGTGAGAAATGCGTCGGAACGAGAGGACTTTCGCGCGAAGCCAAGTGTATCGTGCCGGATCAAGGCAAATGCGGAGAGTCGGAGGTGGCTACAATGTTCGACGTTCCCTCAGCCTCCCGTTCGACGAGAAGAAATATCTCCGCTGACAGGTCGAAATGTGAGCATCCGAGGTCCGAGGTGTACGATTTTGTCAGTGGGCACATCATCACTTTAGCATGATCAGGGAGTGAGTAAACATGGTTTGAAGGAAGAGGAGAGGATGTCGGCCGCTTGGAATGACCATGTCGGAGTAACTCCGAGTATGCGTCCGCGAGGAGAAGACAAGCAGAGTCAAACAGACGCGCCATTGTTCTCGTTTTATTGACTTTCTGAGAGAAAAAGAAATTATTGCGTCTGAAGGTAACTTCCAACATAGGTGGAGTGCAGATGGCGATATTCGCCACGTATGGTGGTGGCATGAGACAAGGAGGACCGCTGTTTGTTTGCGCTTGCCCTGATGGTGTTTGCCCAAATCCGTTTTTGTCCCGGACCACCACAAACTATTCCTCCGCTCGTTCATCGCTCTGCTTTCCTCGCTATCTCTGGACTTGGGCGCTCTCTGGGGACTTCGCACGCTCTGCAACCTATCCGCTATTGACCTGTCCGCCGATCCGGCCTCGCTTTCTCCGAACGCTTAGGCGCCCATCTCGGAACGTCATCCCCCGATGGACCTCTTTTTCCTCCCGAACGACCCCCAGCGCGCGACCGTCGTCTCCGCCAACGACATCGCGCACTTCCGCATCACCACCCGCAAGGGCGTCACGCGCGTCATACGTCCGGCGGAGAGCGAGAGCGCGAGCATCGTCGCCGAGATCCAGTGGAACAACTGGGAGTCGCCGACCGTCGTGCGGTCTTCGTTGTTGGCGAGGAAGTATATACGCGATGAGGGTCTCAAGGGCGTGCGCGCGGCGGAGTTCCTGTATAAGCGCGCGCGATTTAGCTCGTACGTGACTGTTGATGACCGCGAAGCTTATGCACGAGACGAGTCTGCTCTAGTTCCCGATGCTTCTTGGGCAACGACGGCGTGGAGTATAGATGGAAGCCAGTGCGCGGAGTAGGTCTGCTGGTGCGTACTGCTGTATCACGGCTTCGATCGCATACCAACACGATAGTTCCCAGTTGACGCGGGTCGACACATCGGAAGAGGTCGCGCGCTTCTTTACGACTACCCCCGTGGACGGCGCATTCAAAGGCGAGCGGCGGAGTACTCTGCGCATCCAGGCCTGCACCATCGACGTCGAACTCATCCTCCTCACCTTCCTGATCATCGAGAAGAAACGTCGAGACGGCGTCGACGCGAGTCGATCCTTCGCACATGACGAGGACCCTCAGGGAGACGGTGGAGGGGACGGCGGTAGCGCTTAGGCGGTCCCTCTTTGGCTCAACGTCATCGCGACCCTCTTGATCTCCGCTAGGGCAATCTCTCCCCTGTCTTTTCTCCGTCGCATTCCTATGCTTTCTCTGGGACTTTGGCTTTGGCTTTGGGCACACTGGCGCTTTCGATTCGGGCACACTGGCGTTCTGGGTACACTGGCTCTGGGACTATCTGCTTTCGAAACAAGGACTTGTACTGTCACACACTCCTCAGCTGCACGGACTTCTGTTGTACACCACTGGTGATTGTACTCATAGCCTGGTCTCTGCAGTCAATGCATTCACTGAGCTGGATACTGTGAGGTTTTGGTCGTGTCGTGTCCGTATAACCGTGTGGAGTCGTGATCGTACCCATCGTGGGCCAAGGTCATGTCAAGGTCGTAAAAGGTGAGATACATGTGCGCGGTATGTGCTATTGTCCGTCCGCTGTACAACGAGTCCAATGCTCTGATGAATGTTGAATGGGGGGGCATGATGAAGCATGAAGGTTCGTGAATAGGACGAAGCATGAAGTAAGATGAAGTAGACGAGCGCGCGAGGCAGGCAATGTAGCTCGTACGCGTCCCAGTGAAGATGTAGCTCGTGGGGTAATGGGAGCTTATAACAACCCATTCGGGCAGCTGTGTAGCATCGGCGACGGCACCTCTTCGACCTGGCGAAATTAGCTCGCCAAAGTCACCCCAGGCCAGCCTATATGTATCGCCCTCTCAGTTCTGCAGCGGCGACACTGCCCTGGGTATGAAGCCAGGCGGCAGTTCATCGCCCTGCAGCTCGATGACGGGCGTACCCGCTGGCGGCATGCCAGGGGACATGGGCGACATGACGCGCGGCACGCCTGGTGCCATTCCCTGTGGCATGCTGGGTGACACGGGCGACATGACGCGCGGAGTGCTCTCCCCTCGCGGCTCGCGCAGCTCGTCCGGGAGTTGGATCGTCGGCGTGCCCGTCGGGCTCAGCAACCTTTCGTCCGGTACGGTGCTCCCCGAAGACTCGGTATTGGGGGCGGACTATGGGTGAAGCGGCAAGCACGGGTGAACAGGCAAGGGCCAGCGGAGAGCACGAGCGCGTAGGTAGTCCACCAAGGCATCGGTGGAGGGTAGGTGAATCGGAAAAGAAAGCATGTCAACGATCAACTTGTAATCCTGCGCGGAGGCGGCGGCGCGCTCACCGGCGGCTCGATCGCGATCTGGGGGACCGAGGACGACGTCGAGTTGCGCTTGATCTTCAGGCGGTCCTTGACCCAGCCGCCGATGGACGCGCGCTTTGGTTGCGCGTTGGAGCCGGAGGAGGTGGAGTGCGAGTTGGGCGTGTCGCGCGGGCGGTGCGGGGGTGGTTGCTGGTATGGTTGCTGGTAAGGCTCAGCAGGCGGTTGCTGGTACGGCTGGGCCTGCGAGGGAGTGCGCTGGCGGGTATAGGGCTGTTGAACAGGCGGTACCGGCATGGACGGTGCGGGCGGCAGGTTCTGGCTTTTGAGGGTGGGAACGTACGGCGCGCTCGACGAATACGTAGTCAGTGGCGTCGGCAGCACGATACGCTTCGGCTTCGTATGCGGTCCACTCGGCGGCGGCCCCCTACTCTGGTGCGACATCACACTGGGCGGCCGCGGCGCTGCCGACTGCGTCCTATGCCTCTCCTGTGAGTGTGATTGTGATTGCGCCCTATCCCGCGTTGGTGGCCTGTCGCCGTACACTGGTGCTGGCTGCATCTGCTGTGGCGGAGGGGGTCCAGGTGGCGGCGGCTGGGCAGACAGGTCAATTCCGCTCACGCTCGGGTCGAAACCATTCAAAGAGGCGAAGCCGGTCGAAAGCGCAGAAAGGCGGGAGGGAGGTCTCACATTACCGCGTCTTGGGTCCCCGCCGTCTTCCATCCCGCTACTATCGTCCTGCGCGTTCATGTTGTGCGCCTGCCACTCGCGCACCAGCTCGTCGGAGCGGCGCCTTCGCTCTTCTTCGGTCGGTTGCGAATGCGCGTGCGAGGGCGGCGGGTTGGGGATGGGGGACCTGCCTGGGCCGCCGCCGTCACCGTGGCGCAGGAGGTCGTACTGGGACATGGTCGTGGACGCGTCGGAGGTAGTGCGACCTATTGGGAAAGCATGTGCTTGTCGTGGACGCGACTCGGAGTCCCGACGGCTGCGTGTTAAACGTGCTGGCTCATGCGAAAAGTAATCTTCATTCTGTGGGGCCCTGGGTGAGAATACGACCTCCTCCTCAGCGTCGTCGGTGGGATTGGGAGGAGCAAGTTCATGCGGAGGAGGCAATAAGATGGATTGTGTTTCTTCATCGAAGACAGGAATGTAGTTGTCCGGAGGAAGGACGATGGAGCGTTTCGATGGGGTGGGGGACGGGACGTAGGGGATGGGGTAGACATTGATGTTTTCGGGTTGCCGAGGCTGGGTAGATCCCTGCCTCGTTGGTGGCCGCGGTTCTTGCCTGGAAGCAGTACGGCTTTCCTGGCGGGTCGGCGTGCGGACGACCTGCGGTGCGGGAGGCTGAGACTGACTTCGAGGGCGAGAGAAAGGGCGCGTAGTTCCCGCCGATGATGGAGGACGCGCCGGTGTCGGTACCGGCATCGCGCGCATGGGTGTCGGCGACACTATCTCTGATGTCGGCACCAGCGACTTACGTGCGGTGCTATCAAACAGTAGCTCGTCAGTGCTAACTCCGTGAGCAGGTGGGTAGACCACGTACCGTGAAGGCGGCCTAGAGGACGAGCCAGAGGACGTAACCGAGTCCGACGGCACATACCCGGTCCCATCTGCTCTGTAAACTGTGCCCACAGGGTCCGTGTACACCCGGCGTGGCACGAAGCGCCGCCAGGAGGACACTCCCGCGGCACGGGTCATGCCCTCCCTCAGTCCATGCTCGTAGCCTTCCTCTCGGGCGCGCTCCGTTTCGATTTGCTCAGCGTATCGTCGTACGCGGTCCCGGTCCCGCGCGGCGCGCTCCTCCGCATCGACCCGCGCTCGCTCCACGCTGTCGCAGACGTTCTGGGCGCGGGCAATCTCCCTGTTGGCGGTTTCGAGCTGCAGCTTGTACAGCCGGAGCTCCTCGCGCGCGGCGGCGAGTTCCTGTCGGAGTGTGGCGACGGTGGTGACATGTGTGCGTATGCCGGCCTCGAGCGTCGTATTCTGGACCTGGAGGGCGTTCGCGCGGGCTGTCTCTTGAGAGAGGCGCTCGTTGGTGATAACGAGCAGCGCGGAGAGGGACCCTGACTCGGAGGCGCGCGAGGCAGAGCGTTTCCGGGAGTGCCTGGCGAGCGTGGAGAGGATGGAGGCGTAAGTTTCCGAGTCGTATTTGCCATTGCTCGGTGTGCGAGCGCGTTTCAAGCGCGGGTCTTGTTGTTGAGCCCGGGTAGGCTCGGGGGCGCTTGTCGGACGGGGAATCGTGGTGTCGAATAGAGGGGAGGGCGGCGTGGTGTAGGTGGTGTCTTCGAACTCGCTAGGTATGGGTATTGAGAAGAACCTGTATACATAAAGGGTGCAGTTGAGCGCGATGACGACAGCATACTAGCAGCAGCGTGGCTTCATACCTTCCGTCGTTATTAAAGTCATCGTCTTCATTGTGAACGGCCATTTAGGCTCGGCGGTGCGGGGACGAAGGAGGACCGCGGTAGGTGCGCTGCGTACTTAAACGGCTAAAGATCATCAGCGATCGCTTAGAAGAGTGTTATCCGAGGCATGGGCAGGTCAGAGGGAGATGGACGACCAGGAAAAGAGTGTCACCCGTGATTGAAATCAGTAGCGATACCATCGTCGCGCGCAACCTACACGTGTCGACGGCATGCAAAACACCTGGTCGTGCCGGCCTATAGATGCCAGAAGGTACGATAAGACGGGGTGGCGCGAGCAGATGACCGGCTAACGGGTGAAGAAGAGCATCGCTGTATAGAGAACTTTGACCTCCCTCATTGATCGTGCGTGTTGCCTGTCGGGGCGGGGTTCCTTCTCGCGGGAGTGCAACGTTTCTCCATACCCTAGACTGCAGGAAATGCGTGCTACTTGGCACTGGTATTTTGGGCATGGCAACGATGCCGACGGGCGCCTCGAACGTGGTCAAGGACAACGCGTTTTGAGTTCGAGACTGACTTTGATATGAGGCTCGTGGCTGCCGCGTGTTGGCCGAATTTCACCCGCTGGCAGTAGATCTCTGCTTCGTTCCTGCCATCATGTCCGACGACAAGGTCATCGTCTTCGAAGTCTTCTACGGCGTCTCCTCTCCATGGGCACTTCTTGGTGCACCCAGAGTCGAAGAAATCGGCAAGAAGTACAACCTGACCGTGCATTTACGCCCCATCGTCATCATCGAAGCAAACGGGGGAATTCCGCTACGCACGAGAACAGAAGCACGTCAGGACTGTGCGTGGGGGTCCTTGCAAGTGCTTGCTTCTCGCTGACCAGCTGAGCAGACCATGCTCTTGACCTAGCGCGCTGCGCGAAGAAGCTAGGCGTACCGATGGTTCCCAAGCCCAAGTACTACCCCCCTCCGCCGGGCGGCATATCACTCGCTGCGCAAGCCATCATTCGCGTCCAGAAGATGTTGGGCCGTGGGCACCCGCTCGCGCTGGCGTTTAGCTACGCCATACAGCGCTGCATATGGATCGACGAGGGCAACTACTGCGATATCGAGGTCCTGAAGTCCCTTGGCCGCCAAGTGGGCCTTCCTGAGAACGTCGTCGACCAGGCCATCATCGACCGGAGAGGTGACCCTGAGGACGAGGGCGTCAAGGAGTGGCAACAGAACCTGAAGGACGCGGAAGCCATTGGTGCGTGGCTATGCTTCGGCGAGCGAGCGTAAGCTCAAACGTAGTAGGCATCTTCGGGACGCCCAACTACGTTGTCAACGGGGAGATCTTCTGGGGTCAAGACCGACTGGACTTTGTCGAAGACCGCATCAAAGAGCTGCTGGCGGCCGGCTACAAGGCGACGTAGTGCCAGGGTCCCTCCGTGTTGTATCTCTACATGCTGCCTCAAGGCTGCGTTCGTCTCGTCAAGGCTTTGGCAGCACCACGGCTCCTAATGCACGACACATCTCGGGCAATCTCTCTTGGAAAACATGCAACCTGGACAAGCCTCGTGGACATCTATCTGCCAGGGCAATTCCTACAGAGTCATGGTGTCTACTCGCCGAAGATCTTCTCCAAATACGCGAGCCAGTTCTCTCCCAGAACTTTCCGAATCTTCGTCTCGCTCCAACCTGCGCGCGCCATGGCCTTCACCAGCTCTCGCCTCTCCCGTAACGGACCGAGGGGCTTCACGACCTTCGCATGCCCCCACGCCGTCAAGCTTCGCGCGTAGCCCTTATCCTGGAAGTCGAAGTCATCAGCAAAATTCTCCGCCTAACGAACTTCTCTATGCCGCAGACACCAGGCTTACCTTGTTACACCATGCCATGAAGTCGCTCGGCCGCCCGTGGCCTTCGCTTGCGTCGCTTCCAATACCGACAAGATCCTCTCCGATCAAGCCAATCACGTAGTCCAACGCCTCAACGTAGTCATCCACCGTCGAATCGTTGCCCTATCAGCAAGTCAGCAAACCACAAGACCCTCCGCAAGACTACGCACCTTCTTCATATGCGGTCCGAACTGCGACAAGCCCACGAAACCGCCCTTCGCGCCGATGGCCTTGATTAACTCATCGCTCTTGTTCCTCGGATGCTCCTTCAGACCGCACGGCAAGATATGCGAGAAGCATGGCGGCTTGCCCTCGGGGGCGAACTCGATAACGTCCGCGCTGGTCTTGGGCCCGACATGACTCAAATCGCATGCGATCCCGACCCGCGCCATCTCGGTCACGACTTCGCGCCCGAAGCCTGTCAAGCCCGAGTCGTTGAGCTCGGTGTAACCTGCTCCGGAGTAGTTCTGGGTGTTGTAGCTGGGGGAAGTGGATCAGCTGGTACGGACGCGAGGATGGGGAGCTTCGCGTACGTGAGCTGCATGATGCGGACGCCGAGGTCGCTGAAGATGCGGAGGAAGTCGTAGCGATCCTCGATGCCGGCGGTATTCTGCCAGCTAAGAATTACGCCAGTGACGCCCTTCTCTTTCGCGAGCCGGAGGTCCTTGACGGTGCGGGCCTGCATGATGAGGTGCGGATACTCGTCGAACCACTTCTTCCACTGTATCGTATACGCTCAATCACTACGATCATGATACCAGACCACCTGAGCACGCACCTGAACGATGTTGAAGATCGAGTCCCGGAAGTTCTCCCATAGCCCGCAGGTGACGCTGACGCCGTCGATCCCCCCATCGTGCCAGGCCTGAAAGATCTCCTCGCCAAAGTTGCAGATGTTGAGCCCGTCGAAGTGGATGGCGTTGTCGTAGATCTGGAGCGCCTGCTCCTCAGTGACGGTAGCCATTTGGTCGGTCGTGTAGGGGTGACTGTAGCGGGAAAGGGGGAATGAGGTGACTGGCGGAGGTCAAGGCGAGTACGGTGATAGTGGTCGCAGAGATCGGTGGCCGGAGGAGAGATTGCTCGCGAGAGGAGAGATCGGACGGGGGTGGACTCGTCCGGGGCTGGCCCGAGGGATTAGGCGCCGGGCAAGCGACGCAGCGTCAATAAATTATTGCGCGAGATGACGAAGACGGCGGGATGTGGGCGGGAAGGCGCGCGACAATCCCGACATGGTGGCTGAAGGGCTCCCCCGCCGCGGTGCCTTTCAGGACCGACTTATCAGCGGAGGCAAAACCGATTGCGAACAGGGCCTGCCGCGTCTATCAGCACATCAGCGAGATAATGGCGTGCTGGGTGGGAGGGGCTTTTATGGGTGGGGCGCGGGCTGTGGCTTGCTCTGATTCTTCGACGTCTGACTCTCGACGGAGGGGATCGTTGCTCGTCTGCATCGTCGCGACATACGACTACGAGCTTCATAATGGCCGCCACCACCGACAGCGCGTCTATCGAGAAGCAGGTCAGCGAGAACGAGTCGCTGCCTCCGGCCCGCGAGAAGCAGCCGCTTTCGAAGCGCATATTGCGCGTCGTGTGGGATTCGCTCGACAAGTCCCCGCAGGAGCGGAAGCTCCTAGTCAAGATTGACTGTGCGTCGTACTCCTCTACTCGCTGTCATATGAGTACTGATGCTCTGCAGGGTGGATCTTGTCCTATGTCTGCGTCGCCTACTTCATCAAGTATTTGGACCAGACCAACATTAGCCAGGCGTATGTCTCGGTAAGTCAGCATGCAGTATACGATGCCAAGCTCGCTGAATAGGATGCGCAGGGTATGAAGGAGGACTTGAAGCTCGCCGGCAACGACCTGAACCTGCTAACAACATGGTGGACGGTTGGCTACATTCTCGGCCAGCTCCCCTCACAAGTCATGCTATCTTACGTCCGTCCTTCGAGTGAGCATTGCCTTCCATCTGGTTTTGACAGAGATACTGACGTCCTTTATCTAGTCTGGCTCCCTACGATGGAGCTCTTGTGGTCGGTGTTCGTTATCGGCATGGCGGGCGCAAAGAATGTCAAGACGATGTATGCGCTGCGCTTCTTCGTCGGCTTGTTTGAGGCATCTGCATACCCCGGTATCATGACACTCTTGGGCAACTGGTATATTCCCGCCGAGCTAGGCAAGCGCTCCTGCATCTTCCAGGCGTATGTGTTTTCGCAACTCGGTGCTACCTTCTCTAATGCACCCGCAGGTCTTCGTCCGCGGCTCAGATGTTCAGTGGCTACTTGCAGGCCGCACTGCACTCCGGTATGGACGGGCGTGCTGGCTTGGCCTCCTGGAGGGTGCGCATTCGCTACGGCTCCATTTTCAAGCAGCATCTGACATGTCTCTCAGTGGCTCATGATCTTCGACGGCATCATCGCCGTGCCCATCTGCATCTACGGCTACTTCGCCATTCCCGACTCGCCCACCACGACGAAGGTCAAATGGCTCAACGAGCAGGAGAAGCAGATGACGCGCGAGCGCATGGAGCGCGTCGGCCGCGCCGCCCCGCGCAAACTCACCTGGCAGACATGCCTCGACATCGCGAAGGCATGGCCCGTCTGGCTCTTCAGCGCCGCGTTCATCGCGCACGTGCTCGCCATCCGCATCTACTCGTACATGAACCTCTGGCTCAAGGCCGCGGGCACGTACTCGACCGAGGCGGTCAACATCATCCCCACCGGCGGGTACGCGCTGCAGATCGTGTGCACGCTGCTCATGGCGTGGACGTCGGATGCGATCCAGATGCGGTGGCCTCTTATTATCGTTGCGGCGACAGTCTCGATGACCGGCACGATCATCCTGTCCGTTTGGCCGAGCACGAATAGCGGCATCTTCGCTGGGTGGTACCTCACGTTCTGCGAGACCGGCGCCGGCGCGCTGTTCATCTCCTGGATCAACGAGGTCCTCTCGCACTCCGAAGAGCAGCGCCGCATCGTCATCGGCGTTGTTGAGACCCTCGCCTTCACCTTCCAGGCGTGGGTGCCGTTGCTCATCTACGTACGTCCTCTCTCATCGAGATTCACGTTCTCAGTACCCAACTGACAACCTTGCAGAACACCGGGGAAGCCCCGCGCTTCCGCATCGGCTACCAGATGGCGGCCATGTTCTTCGCCATCGAGATCCTGCTCACGCTCGTCATGGCTTGGTTATGGCGTGGGCGGAACACGTCGGGTGTGGATCTCAGGGAGGAGAAGGACATTGCCCTCGCGCCGAGGCAAGAAAAGGACCAGGCAGCCCTCTGATCGGGCAGCGTGTGGTTCACCAGCAGTTTATAGCTTGTTTGGGCGTCTATTGTATTTTCTTGTGGTCCTAGGAGGATTCCGTGTAGTCTTACGTGCTGATAATGACACGAACGCTTGCGCTTCATCCGTGCACGAATATCGTGAAGGAAGTGCCTTCGTGTCGTAATTCTTCTCGACATCGTTGGTGTGTAGTACAAGGCATTGTCTTTTCGTTGGTCGTAATCCTGATATCTATCGTTCCTCAGCAGCTCGCAAGGCCCAAGTCTAGGAGCTGCGAGCCCGCCTGGATGTAATAGTGATCACCTACAGAGATGGTTAGCGCATGCTACTTCTCTCCATCGCTGTTCCCGATACTCACCATACACAATCCCCGTCCTCGAGTTACCTTGCGGCATGTTCACCGTGCCGTTTGAGAGCAGGCTCTGCCAGTCTGACTTCCAGGCGAAGGAGGTGATGTCGGAGAGAAGCTGCGAGGCGGGGCGTCAGCTCTGACCGTGATAGCAAGCGGAGAGCGCAGCAAGAATTGCAGAACGCAGCAGGAAGCGGGGTAAGCCTCACCTGAATAGCCGCGTCCTGGTACGACTTGGCTTTGCTGCTGTCGGTCTCGTGCTGCGCGAGGAGAAGGAGGGCGCTCGACGCGATGGTCTGCGCAGAGGAGTCGGCGGGGCGGTTGTCGGTGGGCGCTTGGAAATCCCTAGAGGCCGGTCAGATCATGCGAAGGGCAGAGAAGGACGAAAGGGAAGTCGGAAGGAAGGAAAGGATACTATATGGGAAGGAAGGAGAAGATGCGACGTGGGAGGGAAATGTGTTACTAACCATGGTACAATCCCATCCTGCGGCACATGCGCGATGAAGTAGTCCGCCACCTTCCGGGCAGTCGTGAGGTAGTCCTCGATGCCCGTGTGCGCGTACACTGGCGGGGACGTATTAGCGAGAAATCGTGTACTCCATGCGAAGACGCACTGTTCGCGAAGCCATAGATGGCCCATGCTTGACCGCGAGCCCAGGTGCTTATAAGCGACGTTAGCGAAGCTCAAGTAAGTTTTACTATGCAACGCACCTATCATTAGAATATCCCTGCGCCGTACGCTTCGCCGTGACCTGGCCAGTGCTTGCGCTGTAGACGATGACATGCCAGGTTCCGCCTGCGATCCAACGCTCAGCAAATTCCAACCTTGCTGCATTAACAAGACCAGACCACGCACCATCCTCGCGAATGTGGTTCCTCATCGTCGTGTTCGCATGCGAGGTCGCGATGTCAATCAGGGTGTTGTTTCCGGTCAACGCCGCAGACTGGAAGAGCACCTCGAGATTCATCATGTTGTCAATGATGACCTGGAACTCGTCCGCGTTTGATGAGTCCCAGCTCAGGGTGCATCCGACGGTTGGGTTGAACCGCGCCGCTAGCGCGTTGGCAAACTTGTTTACGCCTGTCTTCGCCGTGTCGTTGCTCGAGTTCCTGCGCGAATCGAGGTCATTTTACATGCGCGGACATATGCGAAGAGCAACATACACCTTCAACTCTTCAATGAACGGGAAGCTCAAGAAGCCCACATCGTGCCCCTGCGTCGTGTGGTCTTCCAACGGTACAAGCCCCGCGCTCATCGCCCTTCCCAACTCCAGCCAATCCGCCCCACCCAGCCCATTATCATCAGACGCGCCGCACTTGTCCTTGCGCGCGTTCAGCAGGTACGCCGTCGCCGGGAAGAACCCGCTCGTCCACCAGTCCGCCTTCTCGAGGTTCCACGTGCCTGTGTTGCTGTCCGTCGTGTGCGGGTACGAGCTCGAGCCCGCGCCAATGACGCGCTGCGCGGTGGCGGAGACCTTGCTGGCGATGTCCGGCGAAAAAAGCTCGGAGGGCGGGGAGGCGCGTCTGCAGGGGCGCGCCGCGGCGAGAAGGGGGAGGACGGCGGCAGCGAGGGTGGCTGTCAGCATGGTCGTGGGCGTCAGGCAGCTCGGGGGCGGCTGAGACGGGGCGCCGTCGATGGAGACGCTATATAGCCATCGCGCGTCGGACCGGATTTAGGGTCTCGCCAGGTCTTGTGAGCGCAGCAGCGCGCCGCAAGGCGTCAAGGGCCCGTGCCGAGCGATATTAGTGATGCGAAGGGGACCTGCCTCCACGACATGCGATGAATGCGATGAGGCCTCTGCAGGTTCAAATGTCCCGTCCAGACCCTCGAGAAGGTTGCCACAGGCTAGGGGATAGCAATCGGATAAATCTGACTGACGCGCGGTTGAAAATGCCCGCTGATCGACGCTCTACGGGCCGTGCACTGTATACGAGCTTACAGCGTATGATGGGAGTATGGTAAGTGTGCGCCTCGGGGGCTCCAGGCACGAGTAATCATCGAGAGAGTTGCTGGGACGACGTCTTTACGTTCCTGCCCGTAGCGATTGCATGGTCGGGGAGTACGTCGGGCCGCCATCGGTGCGTTACAGGACTCTGGAGTCGCCTGACCAATTGACAGACGCACAATGAATTCTGGGATATCGCGCTGTACACAAGCTTCCGATTATCTGTGTCCTTGGGTTGCGGGAATGAAGGGGAAAACGCTGGAGGAAATCCGTCCAGATGAAGGTCAAGAGCAGGAAAAAGTGACACGTGACGCCGTGTCGGCGACCGGACCGAGTCCACTTCAGGCAACGCTGGCAAGCAAAGCCAAACAGAATCAGCTCGTCTCGAGCCATCACCCGACACCGAACAAGTCGTCGAGAAAGTTATCTACTGCAGAGGCACGGATGATACGCAAACGCTCCTTGCCATTGATTCTCCTTCTCATCTCTTCCTGGCGAATGCTACTCACTGTTTGATTCGATACGCATGAATTTACCTTAAAGTCGAGTCCGCTATTGCGAATAAGCGTCATGCCGCACCCAAGTATGCAGGCCAAAAGATCTAAAGGAGTTCATCTTCGGAAACGTGGATTTTGACCTTCAAGTGCTTGCTTGATAGCTGCTGGGAACCAGGTGATTTGCTCGCTCTCACACTCGCTCATGTGATGCTCACTGAGAAGTCGACGCACAAGGCTGTAGAAGGACCTTCCCATAGCTCATGACTTCGGACGGCCCGTAGTTCGGTAAGGCTGACTGCTTGCTCTTGGACCGCTTGCTACCTGCACCCAAGAATCTTCCATCGCAGCAACGATGCACTCGCGGATCCCTCTGGTTTCGCTCTCTTTTCTTGCGAGCGTTGCCAGCGCATCGTTCTCCCAGATCAGCTTGGATAATCTATACAACATCAAGGCTGCCTCTAATGGCACTGATAGCGCCTCTGCAGATTTTGACGGCAGTGGTCGCGCTTATCCTGCGGAATACTTGCCCAGCGAACCGTCTTCTGCTTATCGCGGGATTGAGGTAAGTTGGTTTACTCCATAGGTTGAATATTGTTGTGCATACAACTTATAGACTTTTAGTTCAATCTGCCGCCCTTCCGGGACGCCGATGCGTACGATGCAGTACGCTCCGACTCTCAGGACGTAGTGCTCTACTCCAATGCATCCTACCACTCCTTCCATGCCGTCGCGACAAGCACCTGGCCGCCTTCTTCCTACGCACAGGCTCGTGCAGGTAATCTCACGCTACATTTTACGGATGGCTCCGAGGATGTTGTCGGTATCATCGTAGCGCCCTGGTACTCAGATTCGCCCTTCGACGGCCCCATCCACACGTAGGTACCTTCTCTCTCCATGATATCAGGCTAGAGCTCATCATAAAGCTCACCATCAGCCCATGGCACTACGCAAACGCGAGTCTCGACTACAACACCACCATTGACCACAACATCACGCACATCCACTACGTCACGACTCGCCTCCCCAGCGATCGGCCGCTCACTTCTATCACCCTCCCAGCGAACACTACATACATCAACTGGTTCGCAATCACCCTGCAGGAAGCCGCGTCGCGGGCGGACGGTCCCGCACTCAGCGTGCAGCACGTACGCTCGACGACGAAGTGGATCGACATGTTCGATGTCCAGCAGATTGAAGTTCTGCTTGATAATCTAGCGTCGCTGAGCGGGGACGTCTCGCAGTGGATCACCTCTCGGCATAACGTGTCCATCGAGTCCGATGCGCTTGAGACGGTTGTTCCTGCCACGTTCCAGCGGCTGCGCTCAAACGATCAGGTGTTGTTAAAGGTCGGCGTCAAGCTGAAGGACAGCGTGGAAGTAGGCTCGGAGGTCAATGCGAATGTCGTAGTGCAAGATGCGGCATCTGGGGCGCAGGTGGAGATAGCAAACGCCGAAGGATGGACGATTACTGCAGGAATTCCTCAGTGGCAGGCGAACGACGACAGCTTGGGGACGCACGAGAGCCCAGAATGGGTGAGTAACAATGTTCGGCTCCGCTCAGGGAGGGGATTGAATATAGGCAAACGCAGTTCGACGACGCCAAGTTCGGGATTTTTGTATGTCGGCCCAATGGCTTGTCATTGTTTTGATAGTGCTCAATCTTGCGATCGTCGCCTTCCAGATCCACTGGGTAGGCCTTCTTGCTGCTTCGTGTCTGCTTGTGCTCTGACCCAAAGGATTCCTCCAGGGTGTCTACAGCGTCCCCGCCTGGGCCCCCACCGGCGTCCAATACGCCGAATGGTACAACTGGCAGCTCCACGTCCCGCCAAACGCCTCCTCCCCTACCTGGACGCACCACCTCGAGACGTACGGCCAAGACGTCGTGTACGACGACTTCATCGACCAGTGGGACACCTCGGAGTGGAATCCTGATGATTGGGTCGATCTGTTTGCGGAGGCCGGTGCGCGGTATTTTGTGCTGACGTCGAAGCATCATGAGGGGTTTACGCTGGTGAGTGCGGTGCTATTTTGGAGTGAAAAGTAGTGGGTGTCTGGTTTAATAGCTCACCGCCATGATCTTCACAGTTCGACGCGGGGAACTCGACGAACCGAAGCGCGCTGTTGATGGGGCCAAAGTGAGTCTTGCTCATCATCCGATACCATTCCGACGCTTACTACGAGGTCGTATAGGCGCGACATCGTGGGCGATCTCTTCGCAAGCGCGAAGGCAAGACAGCCGGATATGCGGCGTGGGGTGCGATACATGTATCTCCCTTTCAAGTAGATGCTAAGTTTCCCGCCTAGACCTACTTTAGCTTCCCCGGTACGAAGCTCTCTGCTCACCCGAAGAGATCCACGAGGCTGACGAAATCTCATTCAGAATGGTATCACCCCGACTACGCGCCGTACGGTCGGACCAAGTTCCCTGGCCAACCTGCGCTCAACGCATTTACGGGCGAGTGCTGCGACCCATACACGGGGTATATCCCGGTCGACGAGTTTACAGAGGGCGGTACGCCTTGATTCACCTTTACGACGAAAGCTCACACTTGACGATCGTGCAGTTCAGCGGCCACAGTTAGAGCAATTGTTTTACAAGTACGACACGGACATTTTGTGGTGCGATGCGGATGGCGCGAGTGCCTTTCCGAGAATCGGTCAGCTTGAACCTTGCATGAGGGAGGGAACAGCGACTTAGTTCCATCCCAGCTGCCGATTGGTACAACTACGCCGCCGCTCAGGACCGGCTGGTCGTGCGCAACAACCGGTGCGGCTCAAATCAGACTGACTTCGTGACGCCGGAGTACGCGACGTTCAGCGCGCAGCTGGTGAGTACAGTTTCCAAAGCGACCTCGCCCATTGCTTACAGCTTGCCCCTGAAGTCGCAGAAGTGGGAGTCCAGCGCAGGCATCGATCCGTTTTCTTATGGGTATAACTCGGACACGTACGTATGGAAACGACCACAGCAACGGTGTGCTTAATTTCCTCTAGACCTTCCGACGGCTATGCGAACGCCTCGACGCTCGTTCCTCAGCTCATCGAGTAGGTTCCATGCTGAAATGTCGCCCAGTCCCTGCTTACTGACAATTCTTATTCTTCTAGTATCGTCTCCAAAGGAGGCAACTACCTGCTCGAGTACGTTCCATCAGGTCCTGCGCGAGTGCACTGATCATGACCGACCTCTACGTCAGCATCGGGCCTATGGCCAACGGCACCATCGTCGACGAGGAGGTCGAACCGCTACGCGAGATTGGCGCGTGGCTAGCGCATTCAGGAGAGGCGATATACGGCACGAGGCCGTGGTTCGTGCAGACCTCTGCGACACCTGGCGTCGACTTCATCGATGTGCGATTCACCACCACTGTCGACGCGTTCTATATCATCGCCGTTGAGCGCCCTGATGGCGAATTTCTGCGCGTTCGTGCGCCTGTGCCGATCAAGGAGGGCGACACAGTCACTTTGCTAGGTGCCGATGACAGCGAGCTGGAATGGGCGATCGAGGATGGCATATTGTCTATTGCATTCAAGGAGGATGTACTGGATCGGATACGGTACGCGTGGGCTTTCAAGGTCGAGTACAAGTGACTGTTGTATGTGTACACTATCAACCAGAGAAAGGTAACGCTATTCATTAGACCAAAAGGCGCTGCGCAGCATTCAGTCCGACTCGTCGAGGTCCATGTCGTCGTCCGAATCAGACTCAGAGGTAGTAGCTGCTTCATGCATAGGGTACAGCTTCACACTCATTCCAATGCGTTGGAGGTCTTCTAGAAGAGCGGTATGATCCCTGAACTCATGACCAGACCCAATGCAGACGTTGTACAGTCTGTCAGAGCCCTCGTCATGAATCTTCCACCGAGACAGCAGCATCGCTATAATGCCGTCCTGAAGGCGGTCGAAGTCCTCTTCGCCCCGAGGCAGGGAGACTGTGAGCGAACGAAGCCGAGGAACCAGTCTGATCGGCAACTCCGCCAGTCGCTCGTAGAAGACTGGGGTGAAAACGAATGACCTGGTCACGCTCAGCGTCTGTAGCGCAGGCATGTATTTCAGCGCGTACAGCAGCCGCCCGGAGCTCTCGTCGACCCCTTTCAGGACGAGCTCGCTCAGGCTTCCCAGCGACAGTCTTTGAAATCCCCGGTTGAAGAGAACGCCACAGTCGCATCGCGGGAAGATGTATTCGACCTTGAGTTTTCGAAGATCAGGGCAGTGAAAGCACTCGAAGAAGGGTTCGTCGCTGCCGTACAGCTCCGAATCTACCATAAGGTAGATGTCGCGCAGCCGAGGGAAGGTGACACGCTTGATCCGTTCGTTTGTTGGATAATCATATGGCCAAGCAGGGTCGACGTAGACCTCCAGATGCTCAAGATTTGGGCACTTCAACAGCAGATGGACAGTCGCGTCATCGTCAAACGACATCCACCGAATATCGAGTGACGTGAGGAGGGACCAGTTCAACTGGACGAACTTCTGTGGATTCGGCCAAAGCTTGACCACAGAGCTGAGCTCTAGTGTGTGCAGCCCCGGCGCATCGGTGAATGTGATACTGGGATCACCGTGAGGTAGTGATTGGTCTGGGAAGTCCTCGGCACTGAACCAGAGACAGAGCGACCTGAGACTGGGAAAGGACCCAGCGGGCATAGCAAGGATATCGCCACTTGCGTCGGTAGGGTCAAGGGTCAGGCGAAGGGACGTGATGATGGCGGCGTGCGGTCGCAGAACATCGACCAGGTAAGGCGAGAGGCAGGACCTCGGCTGTTGCACCCCGCCGCCGTCCACACTGAATTCGAGACGAACAGGCCAGCTTTCAGAGCAGCGTGATAGCCACTGCCTCCATACGTCCACGTAGTTCGCTTGCCGATGTCCCAAGGCAGGGGGCAGGTAAGGGACATAAAGGTACACCCAGAGCTCAGGCGATGCGAAAGTCACTTGACGCCACAGTCGACATACATGCGCCAGGCAGAAAGGGTCGTAAGAGAGTGTGATGTAGCTTGAGAATACTTCCCTGAGCAGCTCTGGGGGAAGGGACTGTATCGAAACCACGTCGTGCTGCCCGGGCCATTGGTCAGCATGATTCTCGCTTGACCGAAGTAGCATGAGTGGAGCATCAGTCCCCTGTAGCCATGGTCAGCCTTTACAGTCGAACTGCTGGTGGTAGCATGATGCGAACCTCGGCGTGTTCCAGCTGAGCAGTGTCGCTGACGCTGAGCATTTCTCTGGAATTTGCTTGGTAATATTCCATGGTAGTTGCGTGTCGTACACCTCTCAATTGTTGCGTGGTAGAATTAGATCCGTTGGGGGGGGGGCGTGCCGACTGAGGAAACAACGATGCTGGGAGTACGAGACAGGGTGTATTCGACAAAGGCGCCTGCGGCCTCATGCTTTCTCGGCAATGGCCGAAATTTGTATTTAATTTGGTCCAAGCGCCTCGTCGTTCGCCGCGATGAGCACAACATATGAGCGCGCTTCACCGTCGCTGCCTTGCTTAATACAGCGTGTGGTCTCTCGCGAAGGTCACTCCCTTTCACCCTAGCTAGGATGGTTGAGACGGAGACGCCAAGGCTTCGGCGCATGGCGGGTCACGATGCCGAGCTTTAGAACTGCTGCGAACACCGTCGCCATCATCTGCTAAGCGCTGGGCAGCGGCGTGCTCTTTTGTACTCTGCTTCCACCTCCGCCTCTGTCTATATGTATCGGTCGCCACAATGAGCGCTGCTAAGCGTCTGCGGGCCATTCTCCTGCTCGTTTCCGTCATTCTCGTGCGTTGAACAATCAAACCCCCGTCCGCGATGCTAAAGAACATCAAAGCTTTCTTTCTTCGCCCTTTTGACCGTCTTCAGCGACTCGTATCGGGACGCGCCGGGCCCCTTCGATGCTGGTCAGCACGATCTGCCCCACGGGGCGCCTCCTGCGGGTGCGGGGAAGATTGTGGAGAGCGCGAAGGTCGCGTCCGAAGTCGCGCACTCGATCGCACAGGACAGCTCCCGTCCATCCGTCTCTCCTACATCCGGTGGTGACGGGCAGCCCCGGCTCGCCAACGCGACCTTCGTCATTCTCGCACGCAACTCCGATCTCGAAGGCGTCGCCAATAGCATCCAAGAGATCGAGCAGCGCTTCAACGCGCGATTCCATTACCCTTACGTGCTTTTGAACGACAAGGAGTTTACGACGGACTTCCGATCGTGCGTCTCTTGCTAGTAACCTTCCCATCTCGACTGATCTCTTTGCCAGAGCGATCGCCAATGCTACACCTTCCCTGGTAGAGTTCGGGCTTATCCCTTCGGCGGACTGGGTTCAGCCGGACTGGATCGACGAGGGAAAGGCCTCTGCGTCACGAGCGAAGATGGTTGAGGACGGTGTCAAGTACGGAGGTACGTTCGCCTTGTTCTGCAGTCTTTCGTCAAGGACTCACTTTCCGCATCTCTCAGGGGATGTAACGTGAGCATGTAGTATCATCCCTATGACTGCTCCGTGTCCTTACGCATCTGGTCCAGCTATCGCAACATGTGCCGTTTTAACTCCGGGGTATGCACATCGTCGTTTTGCTGCTCATTTGTCGCTTACCCGCTTCCAGTTCTTCCATCGACATCCACTCATGCAGAAGTACAAGTACTACTGGCGAATCGAGTAGGTTCCTGCCGACTAGACCTTCGCCTTCTTATCTGGTGTCCAGGCCCGACGTTCACTTCCTCTGCGACATCCACAACGACCCCTTCATCTACATGCAGGAGCACAACAAGACATACGGTACGCTCTCGCGCCATGGCCCGCCGTCGACGGTCAGCTGACCTAGTCTCAGGCTTCACCCTCGCGGTGCACGAGATTCGCGCGACGATTCCCACCTTGTGGGACACGGTCACTGCGTTCACGGACCGGCATCCAGAGTACGTCGCGCAGGACAACGCCATCGACTTTATCTCCAACGACGCCGGCCGGAACTACAACGGGTGCCACTGTACGTTCTCCGTCGCGCCTTCGAAGCTCGCCCTCATCCCTTCGACAGTCTGGTCCAATTTCGAGATCGCCGATATGGATTTCTTCCGCGGCGACGCGTACTCGGAGTACTTCGACTTCCTCGACAGGTCGGGCGGCTACTACTACGAGGTAGGTTCACTCGATCGATTGCGCCGTCGCTATGCCTGACCACCGTTCGTAGCGCTGGGGCGACGCACCCGTGCACTCTATAGCGGTCTCTCTCTTCCTCAACGCCTCGCAACTTCACTTCTTCGACCCCATCGGCTACCAGCACGACGACTGGCGACACTGTCCACTTGACCGCTCGACGTACGACGCCGGCAACTGCTCCTGCGACTACCTCAAGGAGTTCGGTAAGCGATTTGAACACTTGAGAAGACTTCAAGGATTGATAAGTGCGTAGACTACTCCGGGGGCTCGTGCAAAGCGCAGTGGGATCACTTCGTGCGTACGAACGGGCTGGATAGACAAGAGATCGCCGTGCCCGAGTGGTAGCTGGTAACCCGCGACATATTGTACGAGTAAGTTATTTGTATTGTAATGGTGCTTGCTTTCCTTTTCCCAACTACAATAAACTGGACTCTACATCGCGCACATGACTCCCGGGACTTCACTTATCCTTTGGCAACCGGACCTCTAGCCCCTCCAAGGAACGCAGCTTCCTGTATGTATCGGGGGCCAACCGTTGCTCGGCTCGGTAGGAGAATTCGAAGGCGCGCAAGCACTCCACCTTGTCGGAACGGACGCGCGATTTCACCATCCGGCACAACTTCCCCTCTGGGTCCACCTCGCCGGCCTCTAATAAGTCGGCTTCGCGCACCTCGATGTCGGTGAATACCAATTCTGTCAGATTTGGTAGGGCGGGGGCGACACCGTCGTCGACCCGGATGCGCTCAAATAAGGCTGGCCATATGAGGCACTCGATGAAGCGGAGGAATCGCATGGTCCGAGGAAGGGCTGCGAGGAATGCCATGAGATCGTCTTCGTCGCTGTGGATATCCGCGCCGCGCAGCGTCAACTTCCAGAGCGCGGGGAACTGGGGCGCCGCTAGTAGTAGGTCCTGCCGCTGTATTCCCCATGCCCATAGGTAGTGGTCGCTCCGAAAGTGCAGTGTCAACCTTTCCACCGCAGGGTACCTCAGTACGCGGAAGAGGTTTGTGGGCCATTGGAGCTCATCAAACTGCACCTCGAGATAGTGGAGGCGGGGAAGGTCTATGTAACCGGGCGCAACGGGCAGACCTTCACCACCACTGATGGTCCCTTGGATGACGGCGAGCCATAGGCTTTTGCACTGGAGCAGGACATCGACAATTCTATGGCTAGCAAGACAGCCCTCCAGGCGTAGAGTGGTAACTTGCGACCACGGAAGGGGCAACCAAGACGACAGTGATTCCCTTGTAAGGCGGTACATCATCTGAATGGTAACATCCGTCAAGAGTGGACAACGCTTGAATGCAGAGATGGTCTGCTCAGCCAGCTGCTCGTCAACCTCATAGCTACATGACTCGGTGATGGACAAGGATTGCAGCCGCGGGAAAGCATCCTCGGGAAGTCCGTCGAACATGCTCGCCATATCCGCAGGGTATCCGTTGACAAAGAGCTTTCGGACCTGCGACGCAGGACGCACGTCGCCAGAATCGTCAATAGGACCCTAAAGGAGGCCGGGAGCGATGACTCCCTCATGCGCGCTATAAGGCGTATATGCCGGATGTCCGAAGTCCTGCACGTAGAGATCAACAGTGAGCGGTTGCGCTCTTCTGAACCAATTAGCGACATGAGGCATATGCTCGGGAGACAATGCCTGAGAACGCAAGAGCGATAAAGTCGTCCAAAGTTCCGGCACATTCAGTGCGATCGCGCGCCATCGCGAACAGACGTGAACAATTCTCATAGCCGACGAGATCGCCTCCAGCGTGTGATATCGGAAAATGTCGACCATGAGCTCGGGAGGTAGGCAATGGATCGGAGCAGACAAATCCTAGTGAATGAGTTGGCAGATGAGCTGGCTTCGGCATCAGGAGTATAGACGTTCGCTTACCATGAGCTCTGCCTTCGCTCGTACGCAGACTTGAGTGTCGAGATGAAGATGGTTCCCAAAACCCTTGTCAAGGTACGTACGAGGACCGCTGCTGGTGGTAGGGTACTGTCCGGGTACAGACCGATTTAGCGACCGTCATGACGCAGCCGGCCCTAAAGTGCTAGTCACGCGTTGGACCCACATTGTCAAGCTCCCCTTCAGTTTTTGACCACTTCAAACGGACGCATCGATTCCAGGACCAAGAAAACGTGCCGAGCACAAGGTAGTAGTATGCTACATATAGTACGAAGCGATTTTTGTAGCAAGCAATGTCACCGACTTTTTCCCATGATGGGTACATATTCTGCGCTGCGCGGATTCCAAGATGCTGTAGGTACTCAAGCTCGTCCATTATGCGTGTCTTGGTAAGCGAACCTCCAGCCCTTCAAGCGAGCGCAGTCTCTCGCAAGCACTGGGGCCCAACACCCATTTTTCGCTCGGGGAGAAGGTCACCTCGAAGGTGCGCAGGCGCTCTACTTTGTCGTAGCAGACGCGCGACTCCACCATCCCGCACAGTTCCTCCTCCAACAATGCGCCATCCCAGGTTGATGACTCTTCGAAATTGATGTTGCTGAAGATGAGAGTATTGAGAGATGGCAGGCAAGCGTTATCATCGTCGACTCGGAAGTGGACAAAGAGTTCCGTTTGTAGGAGACAGTTGTCAAAGCGAATGGATTGCAGTGTTGGAGGAAGGGCCACGAGAAGATTCATGATGTCGGCTTCAGCAAAGCGAGTGTACACGCCGCGCAGTGTAAACTTCGAGAGTGCAGGGAACTGAGGGACTGCCTGGCATACAAGATCCCACTCTGTGTCGCGGCCCCATGCATAACCCCAGGTTTGGAATGCCAGCGTTAATTCATGCAGCATGGGGTATCTGACGATGCGGAAGAGGTCCGCTGGCCATTCATCTGTGGCAGTCGTCACTTCAAGAGACGCGAGGGACCAGTGGTCGATGACACGGACTACGTCTGACGCCTCTGCGCCACGATGGTGGATAGTCCCCTCAAGATCTGCGCGCTGGAGGTCGGTGCACTGGGTCAGGATATCGATAACCCTGTGGGTGTAATTACACCGACTCAACCGCAGGTAGGTGAGTTGCGACCAGGGAAGGGGAAGTAGGAAAGACAGTGGTTCCCTTGTAAGGCACCACAGGCCCATTAAGCTGACGTGCGATAGCTGAGGGCAGTCCCTGAATGCTGTGATAGGCTGATCGACGAGCTGGTCGATGACTATATTGCTATAATCGCACTCAATTTCCAGGCGGCGTAGCTGCGCAAAGGCATTGTTGGGAAGTCCGTGCACGATGTTGACGAAGTCCCTTGGGTCCGCAAAGACATAGATCTCCCGTATCTGCGATGCGGGATGTACACTGTAGCCGCTGGAGGCGAGCAGGCCGCGGACAATAGCGTCCTCAGGTCTATGGTCGAACCTGAATTCCGGATGCTGGCGAGACTGCACGTGAACATCGACGGGAAGTGGTTGCGCTCTTGTGAACCAGTCGACGACGTGAGGAACGTGCTTGGGAGAGGACACCTGCCGACGGAGGAGCGACAAATTTGTCCAGAGCACCGGCGCGTTTAGCGCGATCGAACGCCATTGCGAGCAGACGTGAAGAATCTTCATAGCGGACGAGATCGCTTCTGAGGTGCAGTGCCAGAAGATCTCGATTAGCAATTCGGAGGGTAAGTTCTGGATCGGGGCGGATAGATCCTGTTAAACGCGTCGGCGGATGCAGTGACAGGTGCCTCGAGCGAGATTCCGTTCGAGCAGCACTTACCATAGTCTGATCCATTCAAAGCTTCTACGGAGTTAGATGATAGGAAGAAGGCCCGCGAAGCACTTGCAGAATACGCGTGAGGTACTGCGTAGGAAGCAATTGCAAGCGCCGACGTTCACATAATCGAGATCATAGCAGCCTGCCCTCAAGTTCCTACGCGTGGGTACCACGTGTCAAGTTGATGACTCACGTTGGTCTTCCAAGCCGGTTGAAAATTAGCCTGTCTCTTGCCTCCTACGCGTCTCGTCAGCTATGCAGCGCCCTGAAATATGATTCCGCCTCCACAATTGGCCCCCTGTGCACTGTCGTACGAAAATTCTCAACGGACCGCATCCGCACGACCATCTGAATCTGCGGGTCTCGCCATATCTGCCGCCCCAAGGCGAAGCATACTATAGTCGCCGAAGTTATCTCAGGGATGATTCCCCCTCATAGACCTCGCTTGCGCCCGTAAACCTCGCTTATCCCACGAGAAGCTCAATAAACTGTATACATGCGGCTGTCATCCGGCCGGCATACCCACAGATCAGGAGACTGAACCGCGTTGACCCAGCGTATATAACAAGGGCCCCGTCACTCCAAAAGTCTCATCCTACATCTCGTAGCTCCATCGCACCTCTTGACAGTCATGGGAAAGTACACAACATCGATGTTCCTCGCTGATCAGCTCGGCTACCACGCGGCGGCGTACCAGAAGGACCTTTCCGGACAAACAGCAGTGGTCGTTGGCGCGAATGTAGGACTTGGCTACGAGGCGGCGAAGCACTTCTCTACTATGGGCGCGGCGCGCGTGGTCATGGCGTGCCGTAGCAAGGAGCGTGGCACTGAAGCGGTCGAGCGTACGTCCAATCTCCTGTTCGCGTTTCCCAGCGCGTGCTTATGCACACTTTTCCAGGCGTACAGAAGGAGACGGGCTTGAAGAACACGGAGCTGATGCTCGTGGACCTCGCAGATTTCGCCTCGACCGCGAAATTCGCGGCCGAGTTGGAGGCGAAGGTCGACCGCCTTGACCTCCTAGTCCTGAACGCGGGCCTCGTCTCAAATGGGCCGAAGCGCGCCGCGACAGTGGACGGGTGGGAGCAAGCGTAAGTTCTTCAGCTGTGGTGGCCATATCTCCGCATCAGATTTCTGACCGACTTCCGCAGGATACAAGTCAATGTCATCGCGTCGTCCATCCTCGCGCTGCTGCTCCTGCCTTTGATGATCAAGACCTCGCGCGAGAGGCATACGATTCCGCGCACGGTGATTGTTGCCAGCGCCGTTCATTTCTGGGCCGCGCGGTGGGGGAAGGAGATTACAGATCAGCCTGGATTGCTGAAGGCACTGTCGGACTTGGAAACGTTCAAGTGGGTCCATTTCATTTCCATGGTTGAGCCAAAGGAATGTACTAATTTGTGCGCTCGCAGCCCTATCAATCGCTACTGGGAGACAAAGTGTACATCTCGTTTTCCGTCTCCCTGCCGCGTGTCTAGACTTACGCGTTGGTCCAGTGTTCAACATCCTCTTCACCCGCGCCCTTAATGAGCGCCTCCGGGCCACGCACCCCACCATCATTGTCAACGCCGTCAACCCCGGCCTCTGCACAACGAACCTCACACGCAACGCCGACCTTCCCTGGGGAATACGCGTGCGGCAGGCCTTGCTCAGCGTCTCCGCCGAAGTTGGCAGCCGTGAGCTTGTGTGGGCGGCACTCGCTGGCAGCGAGCAGGCGGGATCGTTGCGCGGGCAGTATATCAGCCGGAACGCTGTAGTTGAGCCTTCGGACTTCGTGCTGAGCGAGGAAGGGAGAATCGCACAGGATAGGGTTTGGGTGAGTAGTATCCTTTTCAGGCGAGAGGTCCGCTTTCTGACGATCTTCCAGCGAGAAATCGTGGCTGTTGGCGAAAAGGTCGATCCGAAGATCGGCCAAATCGTCAAGGAATATTCATTGGACGTCTGAACTTTGTGTTTGTCGTATCTGTATGTGCTACCTCGAGGACTTGTCCACCTGTATCGCTTCCCTTCTCATGAGCAGCGTGTTTCTCCATCTGTTCCCGTGGCTGCACGAAGCCGGCGTTCGTTATGACGGACTGACTGTTATTGTCCCGTGTTTCTACGGGTATGCTGCTCTGTCCGACTGGCACATGACCTACACGACCGCGTCCAGAATCAACATACCGGCTCTGGCCTCACAAACAGCTGCGAACGGCAACACAGTGGCATAACGAAGCGCCGCAAGCCGGTACGCAGTGAGTCTGAGGTCGGGGACGCCGCGGAGGATGCGGGCTTCCGCATCGGGCACCTGTTCATTGTGGCCCATTGCGGCTGTCGATTGGTGAGCAATCCGCTGTCCATTTTATCGACGAAGGCTGATAGTGATGTCTCCCAGACCATGCTTAGTGCGTCTGCAAAGCACTGATTCGACGAACAAGGTTGAGATCAAGTTGCACGACGTGCGTGGTAGTATCGAGCTGGGAAGGAAAGGTGAGCGATCGGAGACCAGATGTCCTCTAAAAATGGCGTGAACTGTGCCTTCAGTCGAGGCGCGGGATGGACGGTCGAGGCACCTCCCGACCGCAGTTGACCTGCGTTCAATTTAGCGTCTGTTATCCTCGAGCATGGGCATGACCGACGCTTGCTCCTGGTCGACAAGCACGACTTATCTCGCTCTTGGCACGTCGAAGGCGTAGCAGAGGCACACGTCTAGTGCTCTTCATGAGCGTAGGAGCCAAAGACCCTGCCGGTTAGCGTCGAGTATACGCTCAAACGCCGCGCGCGGGCTTGCAGGAATCAGAACCAAGTCCGAAGGGCTTGGCATTACTTTCCCACGCCCCTGTTGCCCCGCATTTGATGGGACGTGCGCTTCTGACTCCGAGGCGATATAAGGACTCAGACGTGGATTGGCGCTCCTTCGATGTTGCCGCCAAGCTCGTTGCCTCCCCAGCACCGCAGTTCGTCGCCAACGCCGCCCTCGACGACATACCAGCAGCCCGCTAGACCTATATAAATCACGCCGCAACACCCATCGCCCGTGTTGCAGGCCAACGCCAACATGTCCGTCGCCGTCTCGCGCTCCTTCAGCTCTCTCGCCCGCACTGGCTCCTTGAAGGGCGCCTCCCGCCTCCGACGCTCGTCGCTGGTTGCGGCCTCGTCTCCGTCACTGCCATGCGCGAGGGTGGGGGTCGCGGCGCGGCCTGCGTCGACGTCGACGCTGATGGGCACTGGACTGCCGCCAGCCGGGGTGCAGAGCGCCATCATGATGCCCGCGATGTCCCCCTTCATGCAGGAGGGATCGATCGTCGAGTGGTGCAAGAAGGAGGGGGAAGCCTTCGCTGCAGGGGACGTCCTGCTGCGCATTGTACGAGTCATCCATCATCGTGCACCACGACGACGCTCATGATCTTCAGGAGTCGGAAATGTACACCGTCGATGTGGAGGCGCTTAACCCAGGCTACCTGGGTAGGATCTTGGTGCGTCGTGTTTTCACCCATCCAGACAGCTCGCTAACTCGCGTACAGTGTCCTAGCGGAACCCGACACATTAAGGTGGCCCAACCGGTAGCTCTCGTCGCCAAGGACGCCGACGAGCTCGCTAAGATGTTCCCCCGCGCCCGCGTGCAAGTCTCTACTCGCTCGCGGCCTCCTCGGATCGAGGTCCCCAGCCACCCCCACTTGTCTCCGGCCCCTCGCTCGGCTACCATCGAACGCTCTTCGCAACCCCTGCACTCGGCCGTGCTTCGGTCACCTGCGGCTACACTAGAGACTGCGGGGTCCGCGCGGGCTATGTCCACGTCCGCTACATACTCCCCTAGCCCTAGCGCTAAACCGCCGGGTCGGACGCACCATCAGCGCACCGTGTCTGAGAGCGGCGCTTCTCCGCAGTTCCAGGTGAGTTAGCGTGCCGTACTCCCTCCTCTATCGCAGAGGGGTGTGTAGGTCAGTTGCTGATGCATGTGGCACAGATGGATGGTGTCTCCCTCCGGCGCCTCATCGTGTCCAACCTCGCGGCACAGAAGACGCAGGGCAATGGTATGTAGCACTGCGTTATGCTTATCTTCGACCTGACACTGATTTAACTTCGAAGGTGCGGCGCGTACACCCCAGTCAGCTGCCAGCGGCGACTATTTCGAGGGTCTCCTCTGAAGGGCAGTTGACCTGCTTGACTCGCGACATATTTATGTTCCCTATCAAGCTCTCGTCCTCGAAGGATTGCCCCGGCTCTTTACCCTTGTCCTAGTTTTTTGCTTTCATCCTGACTTCCTCACCCTCGTTCCTCTCATCTTTGTGTTCTGTCGTCTCACCATTGTACCATACGCTTCATCCTCGTCCGTCTTTCCGTCACGACCATTAACAGTAATCTGTACCATACGCCGGCCGAGTTATCGTTATATCTAGAGGCACTGTGCCATGTAGTGGGCTATGTGCTCTTGTAGGGGAACAAAATCAATCTTGGGTTTTGCTTGGAAAATCCGTCAGGTGTTGCGATGCAAAAGGACGTCTAGTCGAAGTTCAACTCTGGCTTGTGGGCGCTTGCTTGTCATTGCATGTGATTTTTCGGGCGGCGGTCCGCTTCGGCCGCGCTAATGTCTAGCCCATTGTTACGTTTTTGGTCAACGTTTGATCTTGTCCTTGTACTCTACGCAGGTCGCGGAGACGTCCAACGTCCTGTCTCCTATTCCACAAATACAGCTAGCATAACAGCGCTGGACAACTTAACGCTGTGATGGCAGCGCAGACGCATAACGCGGCGACCGCACTCCTTCCTACGGACATTCTCATCAACGTCCTGCACTACCTGACCCCATGGGAAATACTGACCTTCCGCCGTGTGCGTCTCAACATGTATCTGTCTCTCCATGCGTGCTCACGCGAGCTACAGGCATGCCGGCACTTCCGCGATGCGACTATGCACCGCGTCGTCTGGATCCATGCGCTTCAACAGGTGATCGACGACAACAACGTCTTCCCACCGTCGTTCCCTCTAGAGAAAATGTCGCTCTCTGAACTCACGCACGCCGTCTTTGCGCCCCGGAAGTTCTTCAATCTCGTACGGCGCGCCGACACACTGCCTGACCAGAAGGTCGCGCCGACCGCGCAGTTCATTTCAACCCTTTGGGACAACGAAGATGACCTCGGCAACCATTCATACCAAAGTGTGCATCTACTTCCCGGTGGACGATACGTAGTCGCGGCCATGCAGAAGGTCCTCCGTATCTTCGACATCGGCTACGGACCGCGTCCCAATGTTCGCACCCGGCCCATCTTCACGCTTCGCTGGACGCAGCTGGAGAACATTGCGCAAGGCGTGGAGAATACGTGGTGTGAAGTCCCACACGTAGAGTGGGAAGTGGACGGAGAGTCAACCGACGTGTTGTTGTTGTTCATATCAGTGACTCCGTATCCAGGGTTCGTACTTACCCTTCTTTCCGTGCTGGCTCTCATGATATCTCCAGGACCACAAGACCAGCCTCTATCGTTGTTTACAAGATCAGCGACATAGCCAGCAGTCCCCGAGGCCAGCAGTTGGCGCATCTGACGCTCTATCCAGAGATGTCGTCCGTTCACATCAAGAGCGTGGAGGGAACCCGCCTGGCATTCACCGCCTCGGAGTGCTTGGTCGGAGTCTGGGACTATGCCGACAACAGCATAAGCTTGTGGCGAACCGAGTCTTTGCAACAGACAGTACGACTTCCACGTTCAGACCTGGCAAGCAATCACTAAATGCACGCTCGCAGTGCATACTTTTTGGCGATTCCGCTTTTTGCGCAAGCTTTCATCGCGGACTCGTCATCTACGAGATTCCTCGGCTTCAGCCTGTGCACGCGGGTCTCAGCGTTTTGGAAGAGCACGCGTTCCTCCCCATGAATATCATATTCCAAGTGGGGAGTACGGTCGCTTCGTATAGGCGAGGGAAGGACCGGTTCTTCGACGTGCAAGAGGACCAAGGTCTAGTGACCCGCTACGTTTTCCCGGACTCAGCGCCCAATGCGCCCAGCGCAGGTACAACCCCCGTTCAGGTCTCGCAGTTCCGCGCGCACGAGGAGTACCCCGCGGAGATCATCGACATACTACGCCTCCCCCACCTCCATGTTGGCGACGAGGGCGTGTACACGGGCATACACTGCCCGGGGCTTTCCGAGTCCGACCCGCCAGGCGACGCCGCGCGCGTCAGTCTTCATCTGTCGAGTAGGCGGCCAAGTCCGGACGAGCAGCCTATCAACGCCTCTGTGACTCTCACGGACTGCTACGACCCTTGGTATCAGCGCGGATGGCGCACGGACTTGATCGACTTCTGCCCCCTGAGCGGACGCCTTTGTGCGGCCAACTTCGATGGGAATCGGCTCTCGGTCTTCGATTACATCACTCCGTACCCAGGAAGGGGATGAATGTATCTCTTGAGTAGTCAATGTGATTTCAAGGCGACCGACATCACATCCTTCTTCTGTCTTTTGTCTCTTGTAGGTATGTAGGTCGGCAAGAGCACAATTGTGGGTCCTTTTCAGGGGTGGCACGTGGTGCGGTTGCCAGCCCGATGGGCGAGAATCAAACCAGACCGCCATCTTGACGACAGCCTCTACCCTCTCGCCAGCTGTGAAGTGGGCAATCTTGTACCGGGAACGGCGCTCGACACTTAGCCCGTCCATTCAATGAACATGAGCGACCACGCCGTAATGACTTTCGAGCCTGGTGCTCTTCCCCGCGAGGGGGGATTCCTTGGTCTGCCGCAGGAAGTCCTTATCAGAATCCTTCGCTTTACGCATCCCCTCGACATCCTCCGCTTGCGTACGGTGCGTCGCGAATTTCTTCATGCCCGAGACTGAGAAACCTGAGCTTTCTCAGGTATGCAAATACCTTCGCGACTTGACGCTCCAGCGTATCATCTGGATCAACGCGCTGCGAGCGGCTGTCAACAGGAACGATGTCTTCCCACCTACCTTCCCTCTCAGCAACATGTCGGACACCGAGATTGAGCACGCAATATTCGGTCCTATCGAATTCTCCAGGATGGTCAGACAGCAAGGAGTACGCATCCTCGGCGACCACGAGACTACCCCCGATACGCCCTCCCTGCCCAAACTACTGCCCGTTGCACGCCGCGTGTTTCCCCTTGAGATCGGGGCCACGTCGCTCGCGATACACCCTCCCGATGTAATCTTGCTGCCAGGAGGACGCTACGTCGTTATCAAGACGGATAGAGCCATTCATATCGTCGATCTTGGCTATCACCCTGACTCCGTAATCAATGCGCGTCCAGTCTTTACTCTGCGTAAATCGGACCTGCTTAACATTCCGACGAATGATGATACTACGTGGCGTGTGGACAACTGGTCAGCGAGTGGACCTATGGGCGATCTGCTGCTGTACATCTCGGTTCAGCAATCCCCAGTGTAGGTTTGTTCTTTGGACTCCTTCCATTCAAGTTCACAGATGATTTGCAGATCCACAAACCATGGCGCTATTGCGATCTACAAGGTTGTGGATATAGCCAGTGCACCAGCAGGTCGTCAGATCGCACAGCTGACGATACCGGATCCTTCCCCCTTCCGCATTTGCAACGTCGAGGGAAATCGTGTCTGCTTCACTTCCGAGAATGGGGTTGTGGGAGTCTGGAATTTTGCCAGCGGACGCGCCGCCCGATGGCAGTCACGCAGTGCTTCTCTGAATAATCTGGTGCGTATGCTACCAAACCTCGCCCCACTCAGACTAACGCAGCCTCAGGTCGTACTGGCGCGAGACACCGTCATACTATGCATCCCAAGTTTTGGCACTATTGGCTATGAATTACCAGTACTGGAGCCAACCTCTACAGGCATCACGGGCCTCGCCGACGTAAAGACCGCCTTCACCCTCACTATTCCATTGCCTCGCTCGATGCGGCCTGCTGGCAGCTACGGGGCTTACTTTGGGAACGGCCAGGAGCACTTCTATGACTATCGCGCGGGTGTGGTTAGGCGTTTTGCTCTTCCAGGGGACTCACAACCGATGCCGTTGCCCCGCGAAGTAGCGAGGTTCAAGGCCATCCCGGACTACGAAGCAGAGTGGCTGGAGTGGTCCTACCTTCCTCGCCTGCACGTATGCGAAGACGGCGTTTTCACGGGCAGCCACTGTACTGGCCTGTTCGACGACGATCCCGAGCAGCCAGGAAGAGACGCGAAGATCAACTTGCACATGTCAGATCGCCGGTTTGGGAAGGACGCGCGGGGGATAGACGTGGCTGTCACGCTCTTGGACTACGAAGACGACGAGTTCCGCTTCGAGTGGGTGCCTCAGTCGATCGACTTTTGCCCAGTTTCCGGACGGCTTTGCGCCGCCGATAACGTCGATGGCGAATTGAACTTGTCGGTCTTCGACTACCTTGCCCCGTGCGCTCGCAGTGTAAGTAAGGCCTCGTAGCTTGAATGAATATAACGGATACATACGACCTACTCGTTGTGCTGTACCACCGACTTCACATATTTTTTTGCGATGGCGTACAGTCTTCCGTTCCACACTCGCCGCTTCGGTGCTTGACCGTACTTTTTCCTTGCGGGTAATTGTCAGTTGTGGGTCCACATTCGGCAACTAAACTCTCAAAATGATCGGTGATCAGACTAGGACACGCGATTGCCAGTGTCGCATATGTCGACTTGTACAAAACCTTGAGAGCGCGCTAGTGCACTTTGCGTGGACGTCATGCCCGACCTCGGCGGAGACGAACGACAGCTGCTACCTCTGCATGAGCTTCAGGGAGATGGTCGGCGTCGCTCCAGCAAGCTCGAGCTCCCGGACGATGTCTGGATCAACATTATGCGCTATCTGAAGCCCCTGGACATTGTGGCGCTGCGCCAGGTGCGTTATTCTGCTTCGAGTCAAGGGTTTTTCATTCGAGCAAGTACTGTATTTTGATAGACCTCTCGACGCCTCAAAGGGCCCAGCCTCAACAGGGCTGTTTGGATGCACGCGCTCCGAGTCGTCGTAGCAGACAATGGTGTTCATCCTTTGACCTTCCCCATCGACAAGATGTCGACCGCGGATCTCGAGAGCGCTGCGTCGTGTCCTCAGAAGCTCACTCGTATCCTTCTCCGCTTCGGGCAGAGCTTCCTTGCTCCCGTACCGCACCCTGAACCTGTGCACCGACGCGCCTTCTACATCAAGCAGGAGGGCGACAAACCCGTTGTCCGGAGCATTAGACTGCTTCCTGGCGGGAGATATCTCGTAGTCGAGAGGCTCGAAACAGTCCTCATCATGGACCTCGGCTGGCGCACGGAGGCCGTCATCCGCCGCAGCCCGATCTACATCTTGCACAAGAAGACCATTGGGGCTGGGCCTACGCGAGTCTGTACCCTGGAGCACCTGGTGTGGGATCAGGGCAATGGGAACCTTCGACTGTTCTTCGTCCTTAATGGGGATAGCTTTGTGTAGGTCCATTTCCTTCATGCATACGTCGACCCAGTCGCCAACGAAATTACTCGAATAGAGCAAACTCTGGCGGACCCGAGGTCATCGTTCACGAGGTATCCGACATTCTCTGCCACCCTCAGGGTTCCGTGATTGCCCGCCTCGACATAAGATCGGCATCTGGAGTCGAAGTCGGGAACTTGACGGCCCAGCAAGATTGCCTAGCAGTAGCCGTAGGTGATCTCACTGTTGTGTGGGATTACAAGAACCATAGCATGGCCAGTTTTGCCGGTCTTTCGAGTCCAGTCAGTTCTTTTGATTACTTGGATTGGCAATAACTTATCGAAGGACAGATGGCGCTCATACATGGCACCCTCGTCGGCAGCGGCTCTGAGTATGAGACCCTCGAGGTGTATTCTCTCCCGACACTCAGTCCCTCGCTTGCAATAGACCCAACACCCGCATCGCTGGCGCCCAAGCCGCAGCTTCAGTTCTCGCATTTCAACGTTGCCATCGTTTCTCCAAGCCTTGCGTTGCACCTCCCTCACGATTGTTACGAGCACGCCACCTGTTTTCTAGACAATGATCTCTGCCTCATCGAAGTTCGCTCCGATACTGGCCAACTGACGCGCTACGTGGTGGAGAAGGTATCACCAAAGCTGTCGAGTGCTCGAGCAGCCGTCTTCAAGATCGCTGAGTTCAACATCGGCGAGCACTCGATTCAGCGCCGGTACAGAATGAAATACCTGCGCGATCTTCGGGTATGCGACGACGGCATAGTGACGGGAGTAATGAAAATCGGAGCTGGGGAGGCGGGCAAAAGTTCTGCGATATACGTTCATATAGCCAGCAAAGGAGGGGACGACGCCCCTTACGAGGACCGGTTTGAGGCAACAAAGCGGCTGCTGGGCGCTGAGGATTGTGGTTGGAGGGAATGGGATACCTTCGACTTTTGCCCTATCTCTGGGCGACTGTGCACCATCGTTGGCTCGTATGTATCCGTCTTCGATTATGTTCCTTGCTTGAATAGGACGGAATAGGTTTACTACGAGCTTGTATCACGATCCAGCTCGTCTTGTCTCTGTCATTGCGCGTCGTCGTCTTACAGCTGCTATCAGATATGGTATGCTCTCTGGATTCCTCTGTCCTCATCAAGGTCGCATACGAGACGATGGATTGTCAGGACTTGCCCGAGTCAAACTATGGCCAGGTGTTATGTGTTGCTGTTGTGTTTGGTGGGTCCGCTCGTCTGAAGCCGTCGTCCTTCTGATCTTCCGTTGATGCACCATTGAACCCGACTTGAATTGCGCGCGCTCGTCAGATAGCAGCGCTCTTCAATGTCATAATTAGCCATCGGAAACAAGGCCCCCACCCTCGCAACATGATATGGGCAATACCCTCACCCACAAAACACCGCCCACCGACCTCGGCAGATGGGAAACGCTGCTCATAAGCCAGCGCCACAACGTGCGCGTGTCTGAGCGCCCGCTCGCAGCTTTCTTACTCCCGGACCCCGAGTAGTATACCCTCCCTCGCCGTCGCTGGCCAGCCCGAGATGTGGGCGCCTTCCACTCTTTCGACTATGGCAGCGCTGCTGGCGATGCAGCCGCTGGTCGCTGCTTGGGCGCCGGATCACATCCTGCGCATCAACAACGCGACAGTGGCCGCGGACTGCACTGAGCGACAGTCGGTGACGATCAATGGGACGTCTCCGGGCCCGACTTTGCGCGTGAGGGAAAGCGATGAGAGCGTCTGGATACGCGTCTACAATGACATGGAGGCGGAGAATACGACGCTTCACTGGCAGTGCGTATATTGCGTCGGGAACGGAGATCGCGAGCGCTTACATGACCTACAGTGGAATTTCGCAGTATGGATCTCCATTTGCAGACGGGACGCCTGCGACTAGTCAAGTGAGCAATGCCTTAACGTTCCCCCGAAATCTTGCTCATAGACGGGCTCGTTGAATAGTGGCCGATCGCACCTGGCGGTTACTTCGACTACGAGTTCAAGCTAGATCCTGGCTCGGCCGGAACGTACATGTAGTGCGTGCTACGATCACAACTTGCTGACAGTTTGCTGAGCGCTTCGACCTACCAGCCATACCCATGTCGGGTTCTCAGTGGTGACTGCATGTGCGTCCCCTTCGTTCGGTCGCAATCCTCTTTCTCAACCACCACACAGACGGCGCGCTCATCGTCGAGGACAAGGAGGCACCCCCATTCGAGTACGACGACGAGCGGCTGGTAGTCCTCGGCGACTTCTACTACAAGTCGGACTACAACCTCTCCTCCGGGCTGCTCGCAGCCCCATTCCAATGGACGAACGACCCCCAAGCGCTTACTGTCAATGGCAACGCGTACGGAGAATGCGATCCTGCAGTCAAGACATGCAAGTCCGGCTGCCACACCGAGGTGATCAGCGTCGAGCCCGACAGGACGTATCGAATCCGAGTGATTGGGGCAACGGCGCTTTCGTTCTTGTGTGAGCCTCCTTCCCTCTTCCCTCGCCCTCACACCCACATCGCTCATCGCTCGCTCACCTTCCCTCTCAGACATGGCCCTCGAGGACCACCCCGGCTTCGAGCTCATCGAAGTCGACGGCGACTACGTCAACAAGCATAACGCCTCCTTCCTCGAGGTCGCCTCCGGCCAGCGCTACTCCTTCCTCCTCCACACCAAAAGCGTCGACGAGCTCCGCGCGCTCGGCAAGACGCGCTTCTGGGCGAACCTGGAGTCCCGGTGGCGCACGACGCGGAGCTATGGGGGATGGATCTTGGAGTACAAGGTGGACGACCTACTGGCGGAGGGCGCTGACCCGAATGCGAAGGTCCCGCAGCTGAACAAGACGATACCTTTGCCGGCCGAGGCACCGTTTTGGGTCATGAATGAGTTGACGCCGTTGGACTCGACGCAGGCTCCGCCGGAGGATAGCGAGGTTTCGCGCGTCATCTTGGTCGATGGGACGCAGTTGAACTCGGGGGATAAGGCGCACCAGAAGACGTTTTGGCAGACACATGGGTATATGGTGCGTATCGGCGTCGTTATAAGTCTCGTTTCCCAATTGCTGATGCCAGGTATCAGTACACAGAGGACATGCCCTCAGTGCCCTACCTCATCCAAGCATACGAAGGCGGACTCAACATCGACTACGATGCCGCTCTCGCTAACGACGGGTATGACAACACCACGCATTCGATGCCCATCCGCGCGGGCGAGGTTGTCGACATTGTGTTTCTCAACGTCGCGAGCCCGACCGGCACGCTCGAGGCGCATCCGTGGCATAGTGCGTTTGCCTTACTCATCGTGAGGTTGCTTTGCTGACGGCGTACACCAGTCCACGGCAAGCACCCGTATGTCATGGCCTACGGCCTCGGCGAGTTCTCGCAGGAAGCGTACGTGGCGGCCCGCAAGAACATGACCGCGCCAATCAAGCGGGATACTGTGATGGGTGCGAGCATTCTCTATGGCTACCTTATCCCACTTTGCTCACTTCCAAATCTAGTCTACGCCGGCCCCGAAGGCATGGCCTACTCCAACACGACGATCCCTCAGGGGCAGGTCGCTGGGTGGACCGTGTTCCGCCTTCGCGCGGATGTCCCGGGAGCGTTCATGCTTCATTGTCACATTCAGCCTCATTTCACGATGGGCATGGGCACGGTGCTGCTGATTGGGATGGAGGAGCTTCCGCCGCTGCCGGATGGCTTCGCTGACCAGTATTTGTGAGTGTTTCCTTGCATGCCATGCCACTCTTTGTATGCGTGGCACCAACCCTGAATGGTTTCGCTTTGTGCATCATATTCACAAGTGCTTACCTTAACTCAACAGGACATACAATGCCACGCCGCCCGCAGAGCCTTTGAGTTTCTTTGCTCATGCAGGGTCCAGGTCTACTCGAAGATCACATTAGTTATCCCTTTCACATATTTATGGCGCTTAAGTTATGTGAGTGGCTTGTTCGAATTTTCGTGCGGCGTTCATATCAATGTCACAGGTCAGAACACGTACATACCTACTGATGTCAATCATTCATCCATCGATTGAAGGAGTCTGGGCTTCTCGTTCTCGTTCTTCTGTCATGGCGGACAGGGACTAGCGGCCTTTGTCGCAGCAGTGCGTTGGCTTCGAGGCTAACGAAACATACTATATATGGCAAGTTTTGGCGCTGACCGTGGTTGACGTCATCTCCGTCGGCTCCGGACTGTCATAAATGAACAATGGCCGTGCTAACCCCGTGATGGCCACGGGTCAAAGACAATGGTTGTCATAAACGGCTGGCCAGGGTCCACGCGTATATAAGGCGCTTGCGGCATTCCTGACTTGCATCTTCCCTCCATCATGTCCTTCGACGCGAACATGGATCAGAGCCCAGATTTCGCGCCGGCGCCGCCACCGCAGCCTGTCTCGACTGCCACTGACGACGCCAAAGCTGAAGAGGCGCGTCTGCGGCGTATTCGCGCGGATCCCATCCTCGACAAGATCTGTCGCTTTCACGCCAGACTTCTATCCTGGGAGGACGTCGTCAATCCCTCCGTCGACCCGACGAAGCTGCCAAAAGCCTCCTACAAGCGACGCATCGTGCCCTACAAGTGGCCTGTCTACCCTGACCCCGAGGACATCAAGTGGCCGACGATCTACGATGGCCCGAAAGGCAAAGAAGCCGCGAACGGGTGGCCGCTGTGGGGCGCGTCGCTGCACAGCTTCTACGCATATGAGATCGCGATGCCGGGCATCTTGATGTCGGCGATGGGCACGTTGAGTCGGACGGGGGCGTGGGCGAAGAGCGTTGGTGGCGAGTATCCGGACTGGGCCCGCCGCGAGATCGAGCAAGCCATGGACGAGCCTGACCCGGAACAGATCGAGGTCTACGATGTCAACAAGCTGCTGCTCGCTGCGGAGGAAGGCCGAGAACCAGCAACAAAGGAAGAACGAGAGTTTGTCAAGGCAAGAATCGCACAGTACGACTTGGTGAGTGTATCTCCTTTGTGCTTTGCTCCTCACCAGAAGTGGGCTTACGCGCTTATTAGGGACGCAAAGCACTGGTTGACCTCGAGTCTCACAGACCAGCACTGCCTTTTTCTACCGAGAAGCCGAGTCCCAAACTGGAGGCCCCACTGCGTATGCTACCGCAGGTACTGATTGTCCACGACCCCTGGAACACCCTCTCTATCGACTACATCAACGACAAGCATCAAGGCGACTGGACCCAGAAGAAAGACAAAGTGCGCAAGTACCGCCTCAGACACACCAGCAAATCCGCGGACACGGACAACCAAGTCTCATGCCTCATCGTCGGGCACGAAGACGGCGCAGGCTACGTACCGCCACCAATCCACGCCACCTCCCCCTCCGACTCGCTCGACAAGCACGCGGAAAACAAGGTCGCGCACCTCTACCTCGACCCGACGCACAAGAAGGGCGAGGGCAACCATTCGTCCGTGTTCGAGGCGGAGCTGGAGGTCCCCCGCACGCTCATCTCGCGGCCCGAGCTCTGCGACCGCTGTGTCCTGGAGGAACAGTGGAAGAGCTGGGATTGCATGGATGTCATCGGCATCCAACACCCAATCAAGGATAGTTGGGAATTCCGTTCTGCGGGCGAACAGTTGCCCAAGGCGCCCAGCTCCCACGAGAGGGCCAACTCCGGCGCGAGCTGGGAAGATATCCTGAAGGCCAAGGTCTCCGAGTTCGTCGAGGCGCTGAAGTCGGGCGAACCTGCGCGCTTGCCGCGCAACGTCGTGTGTGGCGGTCGGTTTAAGATGGCGCGCGCGTGGCACGCTGTCAACCTGCGACCGGACTACGAGCCGCAGCCCGCGCCGCGCGCTGAGATCGTGGCGGGGACAGAGGAAATCATCGTCAAGTACCCGCCGCGCAAGGACAGGAGCTACAAGGTCGAGCGCAACAAGTTCGAGATCAAGACGAAGGTGGAACCGCTGGACCCGGTTCGCAATCCCGTATGCCCACATGGACGAAGGGGCGACGCAGTACCCATCGCGCGCGTCCGCGTCGCCGCGAAGCTCTCGCACCGCGGGGATCCGCACCTGGCGAGCGAGGCGAAGGCCTACGAAGGGATGCCGAAGCATCTGTCGGAACACTGGAGCGGGTATAATATCCGGAAGCCGCTGCGCGCGCCGACGCCTTTGGGTGCGGTCCTGCCGCAGTGCTTCGGGTACTATGTGCCGGAGGCGGGGGAGGCGAAGGGACAGTACTTGAGCCCGATCTTGCTGGTCGAGGACTGCGGGGACCAGGTGACGGATAAGAGGCTGGATGCGAGTGAGGATGAGAGGTGAGGGTGTCAGGAGTTCATGATTGAGAGGAGAGCATTGCTGATCATTTGGACAGGCAAGAATGCGCGGACATGTACCTGCGACTGCACGAAGCGGGGTGGGTCCACGGGTCTGTCGCCTATCGCAACACCGTTGTGCAGAAGGGCCCGTTGTACCTCCCGCCCGACGAGCGTACAATGGACGAGCCGAGCTTCCGGATCATCGACTTTGGGCGCGCGGTGAAAGACGAGAAGGAAGGGCACGAGCTTCGGTGGCTCGAGAATGAGGACGTCCTCAAATGCTTCCATTGCGGGAATTGGTCGAAGAAGCAGCGAGTCTAGACGAAGGAAACTCAGAAGGAGGGTTGAAAGTGTTAGAGGTTTTCTCAAGAGCTGAGGTCATAGTTTCCGGGTGTATACTACTAGCGGGATGGACCCGTGCGATGTTTCCCGGGGGCAAGTGAGCGTCTCTGGCAAAGCAAACTGGTTGCTGGACAGTAGTAGGTACATTGTCATCGTTGATTGAGAGGTACTTCCGCCTAGAGCAATCAGTGCGAGTCGAGCTATGGCCCGTGAGTCACGGCTCTCCGCTCATCTATCTGTGTACAACATTTAAGGCTTTTTCATTATATTTCCATCCCATTCTCGCGCCAAGGTTCGCCATCGATATTCCGATCCCCATCCCCCTTACATCGTTCTCCGATGCGCACGTCTCATGTCAACCCACTATGCTCTTCCTTGTTGGACTTCAGCACAATTTTACGCATTTTGAGTGCTTCTTCAGCTGATGTCTATTAAGTAGAAATGGTATTACACCGCGTCTGCGTCGCGTAAAGTCGGCCTTGACTGCACGCTCAGAGTAAGAAGGAAATGTGACTTCAACCTAAGTGGCGCTCGCCAGCGTAGCCCTGCACGGGACCCATATAGGCATGACGCGCTGGTTGAAAGGAGAAGGGCACGCGGGTTCTCCGAGTCAGAGCCAGAAAGGTATAGTCTGAGCGTCGTCCAATGGTGAGGTTTAGAGGTTTTGTCAAAGCGGATCGCCCATTCAGTAAAAGTCCCTTCTTCCTTATAGAAGGGATAGTCATATTATTGCCAAGCTCTACGATCGGGCTCTAATGCTAACATCATCGGCACGAGAGGACAGTGGAGACCAGATAGCACATACGCACACGGGCGACCTCTAAGGTAAGATGGAAGGGGGTGGCAAGGATCCTATGGAGCTTCGATTGCGTCCAAGCTTCTTTCCTACTCAGATCAAACCCTCCAAGAAATCGTCGACCTTCTTGGCTTTTGGCGGTGCGGGTGTCGAGGTTGTTGCTGCAGGGGCAGGCTTTGAGGGCAGGTAGTCCGCAATGACAGAGTCGAAATCGGCGACTGGGGTGGGGACGGCAGCTTGACGAGCCTTAATCGAGGACTGCAGCATGGTGGAAACAATGAGCCGGCGGATTTCTGCACCGTCGAGGGGCTGAGAGGAAGATAGGTTAGTATTCAAACACATTCCATCATGAATGTAGGACACACCTTCTGCAGCGCCTCCTTGCCAGCCGCGGGGATCTTCTGTGGTATAGGCGACTCCGGCGGGGTGAAGGTGCCGAGGGGGCCAGACGCGAGACCCAGGAAGGTAAGGATATCACCCTTGGTAATCATCCCGCGCTTCCCCGTACCCGTAATCTTCGAGAGGTCTGTGATGTTGTTCTCGGCAAGTAAGCGGTGCACGGAGGGGAAGAGCGGGCGGTCGTGCGCTGGCGGGTGGTAATCGTGCGCGTCAGCCTTGGGCTCAGCTGGCGCGGTTGCAGAGGGAGAGGCGGAGGGGGGAGGGGCAGGGGATGCGGAGGAGGACTTGGCTGAAGGTTCCTCCTTCTTAGGTGCAGGCGCGTCGTCCTCCTTAGGTGGTTCGAGGTTGGAGATGTCGTCGCCCTCTTCAGCGAGGAGTGCAATGACCTTGCCGACGGGGATACCCTTGGCACCGTCGTCGACCTATTAAACAACTCAGTGAGGTTCATGAGGAAGTCGGTATGTTAGCGCACGATGATCTTGCCCATGATTCCATCCTCCTGCGCCTCAACGTCGATCGTTGCCTTGTCGGTTTCCTACAGAGCGTCAATTTCCTATTCCACTTCCAAAGCAGTACCACAACGCACAATCTCCAGCAACACGTCCCCAGCAGAGAACGAGTCGCCCTCCTTGACCTTCCACGAGTGGACGCCGCCCTCGGTCATGGTGGGGGACATAGCCGGCATGCGGAAACTTGTGATCGCCGCGCGCACCGCACTGTGGTGCAGCGCGCGGCGCGCAGCGAGTGCGCTGGTCGCTGCGCGGGCGGAGGCACTCAGGCGCAGGCTGGACATTTCGACGACGAGAGGGCGGTTGGAATTCGGGACAAGCCGCCGCCTACGGCTTTGGGGCGCGCTCCACGTGGTTGTGACGACTACTGATGTCACGGTTGAAGTTGAACTCGAGCTCGAACTGGTTCAGCCACTGTATGGGCAAGTCTCGTGAAGCGATATCTGGATATTGTCGCGCCAGATTCTCATGGGCCTGATATTGGCGCTGCAAGCGAATGATGAGAGGTATCTATACTGCCACGGTGACGCATGTCCACTTTACGACTGGGTAATAAGGATGCAGGAGGATAGGACGTCAACGGCCATGTATAGTGATAGTGGTTTATCCCTATGATAGATCGATATACAATCACGAAGTTGGGGAGATACTCGTACTGTGCTCGTGAGTGCATGGTCAATGCGGAACAAGAGGGCAGAATCTGGAGAAAAAATGGTCAACTAGGGAGGGCAACTTATATGAGGCGAAACCCACCCGAGCGGCTCATGGCAGTATCAGCTCAACATCGCCAACGAGCAAGCCTCGCACGCGTGACACGAAGTCAGGAGGGAATACCCTATTAGTCCGAGGCCACAGCTCGATGCGCTGAATGGGCGAGACCGAGGGTAGATGCGCGCGCGAATCAATCATTGCTACGAACGTGTCCACTATGGCGTCGTATTTGCGTGCACCAGCCGGTGACAGCTTGATCAAGTGCAATCTCTGTAAGCAAGGCAGAACAAGTGTATCCCGGGAACGGACAGTTAGATCGTCGAATAGGCGTAGGACGTTCAGGCTACAGTCGTCAAACACAAGCAGTTCGACTTGAGGTAGAAGTCGAAGTAATGGCCTCATGGATGCACCCTCTGCATCTGAAACGCAGAAATCGCATGCGGCGAAGGTCAAAAAGGTGATGTTGGGTGCGCGCTGTAGGAACGCCGAGAACAAGGGCCGTGCGGATTGCCAATACAAGCCTTGGAATTCCGCGGTAGAGAGGTTGGGTGTATTAAGGCTGGTCAGGCAGGTGCTCCTTCTCTCGAAACGAAGCACGCGAAGGTGGTCCATCAATAGAGGTGTCGCGAGTGCATCCCAAAGCTGGTACAAAAACATGTTTAACGGCGCCTTCAGCCCCCCTTCATCGATGTGGAGGGTTCTAAGACCGGGACAGAGCTTCAGAATTGCGATGAATGCGTCTGAGGGTCCGCCTAGCCTGAGCGTCAAGTCGGTCAAGGCAGACCACCGTAGACGAAGGTGCTGCCCAAACGTGTTGTCAACGACCGCCGTCAGATGAAGGCTGGACAAATTGATGGCATCCTCGAAAGTGTATATATTGGAGACGGTGGGTCGCACTTCCCCATCGTCCGTCCGCTCTGGAAGAAAATGCAGCTGCAATGATTCGAGACTAGAGAATGCGAGCGGACCGAGGGAGGAGAGCGCAGGCACCACATGGCGCGCATGCAGCGCAAGACGCAGGTCTTTGACACGACGGGATGGAAATTGGAGGCCGCTTCTCATCATTCCGGATACCGCGCGCAAGCAGAGCGTCTCCCTCGCATCCTCGTTCAAGGCCTCCCAAGCGTGGCGCTGACTATAGCTAGGATCTGCCCATATGGTGTATGACAGGGGCAGATTGGACGCATGCACAGGCCATTGCTCTATGCAAGATTGGGCTTGAGGGTTCGCGATACCGCGCAACGTCAGAATCAGCTGCTGCCAGAGAGTTGGCGTATCGTGTAATATCTGGCGCCACCAGCGACAGATATGTGTGAGGCGCAAGAGAGATTGCATGTGTGGCGGAACGGAATACTCGAAAGGTGGATCTGAGTGGGGTGTCGGTTCTATGGAGAGGGAGAAGATGTCACGTAGGGCGTCGACAGGCAGAGTGCGGATTGGCGATGCGGTGGCTTTCCGCAGAGCGTTGCATTGCGCCTCCATCCTTTCTCTCTCCCCGCGGATCAGGTCTAGTGCCTCATCAAGACACGCCTTTTCGACTGCTAAGCGGCGCAGATGTTCCTCTCTTTGAGTCAGAAGTGTGCTGATGAGATCCTTTTGCTGTGAAGATGCTAGAGCAGCATTAGAATACAGAGTGTCGAGGAGGGACGAGTCGCTAGGCTGGTTTGTGACCTCTCAGTGAGATCGGCAGGAGTTATGCCAGAACCACAACTCACGAGTGATGGGCTGGCTTCCAACAGAGCTTGGACGGATGAGTACATGCGATCAGCTCTGTTTCGCTGGTATCTGGAGATGGCAGATCTCAGGTGAAGGCGCTCGAGAGGATGTGGTCAGAGATCAAGTTGATGTCGAACAATGAAGTACGCTTGTCACGTCACTCTGTTCACCCAGATTGTTTGACTGTTGAATGCTTAATTTTTCTGTTTCTTGCTCCCTCCCACCATCTCGTTGCTCCAGCTATCGTAGGGGCTGGGACTCTACTTGTCCGTACGTCGACTCAACCTGCGCCGTCTGCTGTCAATCAATTGTTGCCTCGTGTTCGGCACTGTTCTGTGTGACGGCGAAAAGTCACTGTCACGATAACCCTCCATTCCGAACCGCGACCGTGACGGTGGACCAGTGTGGCGAGGATGTCGTTCACGTCACGCACGAGCTCGATCTTATCTCACCATGGACGACATTCATCCTCAACGACCCCCTCGACGTCCAGCAGAATCATGGAAGCCCTACTCACGATCCTCACCGGCCTCACCCTCCGACTCTCCATCCCCCTCCTCTCCCGCGGCGGCGACGTCCGCGTCCACTCTGCACTCATCGGCCTCTGGGAAGGCGTCGTGCTCTACTACTTCACGCGCAAGTCCCGCCGCTCGAGGCGCGCGGACATGTACATTGGCTTCGTCACTCGTTTGTTCGTCGACCTCGTCGTGACAGAGTCCCCCCTCCGTCTCGCACTCGTTATCATCTGGACCGGCATAGGCATGATTGTGGCGGACATCTCCCCAGGCCTCTACCGCGACACCGGCCTCGATCGCAAATGGCGCCGCCTCGTGCGCGACCTCCGCGTCCTCCGCTGGGACGTGCTGTCTACCATGAAGCCCAAAGCTCGCTCGAGCACCCGGCGCTCACGGACCGGGGGCACGGTTCGTTTTGAGGAGGACGATGAGACGGACACGGCAAGCACGCTTATATCGCCCTCTGGGACGACGCCGAGCTCGCGTACCGGATATGCCACGCCAACACCCACTACCACGAGGCATAGCACGACCACCGGATATGCGCCCTCGACGACCTCATCGCGTTCATACGTGTCAACATCATCCACCAGTTCCTCCTCCACGGCCACGCCGCAGAACATCGACGGACGATCGTCCTACCACACCGCCCGCCGCACTATCGCCCCAGTTCCCGGATACTTCCCAGGCGGTCTCATGAGCGAGACGGAATCGCAGGCTTCTGGTGCGTACATGCTTTTTGTGTCCCGCGCTACAAATACTCATATACATTCTGCAGTCCCCCAGTCGCCTACGCTTTCCAACTTGCCCCCGCTTCCGCCCTCCCTTCCCACGTCAGACCAACCCTCTGATGACAACGATGACCTCTACGCCTCTGACTCGTCCGACGACACCGAAGTGCCGCTCGACATACCGGACATGTTCACTGGTAGTCCCCTTGAGCCGGTGCATGAGGAGTATCACACGCAGGAGGAGTACTACACACAACCCGAGCACACCACCCCGGCGTTCTCCACTGCAACCTCTTCCGCTGCGTCATCCATCGCCCCGCCCTCCACCTCGCACTTCGAGACGCCGGCCGACGTGGTGGCGCCGCCCGAGTCGGAGGTCCCGGAGATCGAGGACGAGCACTTCCCGCCGACGCCGCCGCGAACAGAAAGCCCCGCCCCGTACATCCCGTCTCTGCCACCGGCCCTCGCATCTAACCGCGGGCCGTCTGCGACGGAGCGCGCTCTTGAGCGCGCCGCGAAGCTCGGGATCAAGCCCGTGATCCAGAAGTTCCACTCGGTCAAGGCTTTCTCTGCGCCGGCGACGACTGCGCCAACCCCAAGGGTGGCATCGCCGACTAAGCCCGTGCAAGTGGTCCCTCCACGCCCGGCGAGGAGCAGCCCCGCACCCGCGGTCCCCAACCGTGCTGCCTCCTGCTCGCCCCGACCCACGTCTGCTTCCCCACGGCCCGAGCACGCCAAGCGGGGCTCGTTGGACAGCACGAAGCGCATCTCCCGCCTCGGCATTCAAGAAGCGCCCGCGCCGCCTGAAGAACGTCCACTCTCGACGGCGACGAGCGGGTTCTGGCCCCTGTTCTCCTCCGGCACCTCGAGCAAGTCGAGCAAGCACAGCAAGAAGGGCCCACCATCCAGCGCTGCGAGCAGCGAGGCGCCAGACCCGAACGACCTGAGCTTCCTGGAGCCGCCGAAGCCGAGGCCTGTGAAGAAGAGCAAGGAGGAGGCAAAGCAGATGCGGAGCGTGCCCGAGGGCGAGGAGGTATCGTCCTCTGCTAGCAACGAGGTCTACGCGGACGCGGCGGCGTTGGAGCAGCAGGAGAAGGCGGAGGAGAAGTACAGGGAGTCGCTGGTCCGGGATGCGGAGTTCTACGACCAGGATCCGGAGGGGCAGCAAGATGGGCAGCAAGCGGACGGACAGCAGTCAGAAGTGTCTGCCATTCCTCAGCACCTGCGTGAGAACCCGAACGACCGGACGCCGCCTCCGTCGTATGCGCTGGCGAACCCGCTGGATGAATTTGTGGGCGGGTTCTATGTGCCGGGGGTGAATGACACCCAGCAGCAGCAGCGGGAGAAGTCGGAGGCTGGCGCTCCTTCGGCTGTGGGTGGGCAATCTAACGTTGGTGCGCAGTCGAACGTTGGCGGGCGGTCTCGTGCACCGTCGACCACGGGCGGGCAGTCGAATGTCGGCGGGCAGTCGACCGCAGGGGGACGTTCTGCCGCGCCTTCGCAGGTCGGCGCGCAGTCGAATGCCGCGACCCAGTCGAATGCCGGAGCCCAGTCCAATGTCGGTTCTCAGTCCAATGCTGGCTCTCAATCCACCGTCGGTCCTCAATCCACCATCGGCCCTCAATCAACCGTCGGTCGCCAGTCTAGCGTCGGTCGTCAGTCAAGTGTTGGCACCCAGTCTAATGCGGCCAGACGTTCAGTGCTCGGTGGTCGCTCCGCTATCGGAGGTCGACCGTCGACCGTGGACGAGGAGTCGACCCAGCCTTCGACGGTTGGAAACTCGACTGCTGGCTCCGCTTGGGGTGCGCGATCGCAGGCGCCCGCGCAGTCCAATGCGGGTGCGCCGTCTACTGTCGGTGGGGCGCCGTCCACTGCGGGCCCCGCGCAGTCCAATGTTGGCGGTCAGTCCACTGTCGGGGGCAAGTCCAATGCCGGAGCTCAGTCGGCCGTCGGAGGCAAGTCTGCTGCTGGTGCCAAGTCTAACGCGCCCTCCGCCGCTGGTGGTCAATCTGCAGCAGCCTCGAATGCGCCTCCGCCTACAGCCGCAGGTGTTCCTCTTCCCGAATCGGTCGTCGAAAGCACCCGGGCATCGACTGTTGCTGGCCGGCCCGCTCAGTCGGCTGCCGGTGTTCCTCTTCCTGCATCTTCTGTAGGCACTGCTGCAGGTGTTGCCCTCCCTCCATCCGTTGCGCCTCCGTCCATTGCGCCTACTCGGCGACCAAGTGTGGAGGACACACGCTCTGCATGGGGCGCCCCTTCTATCTATGAGCGCGAAGACGACGACAACGACACACTCGCACCGGATGACTCGATTTCGATGGCGCCCGTACGCAGTTACCGGCAGCAGCCACCCCCTCTGCAACAGAAGACCTCGAGAGGGAACCTCTGGGACCGCTTGGGTAGCGCGCTCGCTGGGACCCCGAAGCCCGCGGAGAAGCCGGCCCAGCCCGCTCAACCCGAAAGACGAGGGAGCGCAGAAAGCACGCGCCAACGCACGTCAAGCAACGCAGGGCGGACGAACGCGGGCCCGCCTCCCAGCGTCTACCCGGGGAGCTCGTTCGGTCGCGGGGAGACGGAGGCTGGGACCCGGGCGCCGAGTCAGGCACCGGGTGCTCCCAGCGCAGTCGGAGGTGCGAGTGTGTACCCTGGCAGCACATGGGATGGTGCTCCGAGCGAAGTCGGTGGTGCGCCAAGCGAGGTTGGAAGCGTGTACCCTGGCAGCACTTGGGAGGGTCGCGCGAAGACCGAGGTCGGCGTGGCGGAGAGCGAAGTTGGCAGCGTCTATCCGGGTAGCACTTGGGGCGGCGCCAAAAGCGTCGTTGGTCAGAATGCACGTCCTGCTGTGCGCGGTGGCAAGGCGGAGAGCGTCTACCCAGGCAACTTCTTTGGCGATGAGGCGAGCGTTGCGCCAGAAAGCGTTGTCGGCGGCGGTGCGGGCGCGAAGAGCGTGTATCCGGGCAGCACCTTCGGCGCGCTAGAGGAGCAGCGCGAGGACGAGGAGGTCAACTCGGGCTTTGGCTCAGGGCTCACGACGCCGGAGAAGCGACCGCAAAACATCGACGAGGTGCTCGCGGCTGCAGAGGGCGAGGATGAGGACGAGCCAATTGAGGACGAGACCGAGATCCCCGACACGCCCCTGGAAAAGGCCATGTACGCTCTGAACATGGACAAGCCGAAGGAGGGAGAGGCTCCGGGAGCTCTGCGCCGGCGCAAAACCCGCGTGTCTCGTATCGTGCACGAGATGTTGAACGACACCCAAGTGGTGGATGGCCCGAAGGCCCTCGAGTTCAACATCACCGGCAATGCCAACGCGGTCGACTGCCTTCGGAAGGTGGAGCAGCGTGTCGCAACACTTGTCGCGCGGCAGCTTTCCGTGCGCAGTGATCAGGGTAGCGTGCACAGCGGCGAGGATGTCGTTCTCACCGTGACGGTGCCCAAGGGTATCAAGGGCGCGCCTCTCAAGCGCAAGTTGACCAATGGGCTGAAAGAGTACGTCGTTATCTTGGTTCAGGAAGCTTTGGCGCGTGCTGACGATCTTTTGCAGGAAAAAGTTGACTGTAGCGGAAGACAAGAACAATGCAAGGGTGATCAGCGTAGTGATCCCACAGAAGAGCGTCGGCTGAGCTGTTCTTCCTCCTTCATTACCAAGTCTTGTCTGTCTCGCGCTACCTGTCCGTCTTTGCTGTCTGTCCGTGTTGCTTTCGAAGTGCTGTTTACATACCTTCATGACTTACGATTTCGAACACTTCTCGCGATACCTTTACTTACCTTGACGGCTACCAGCCACTACTGGCTGCGGCAGTCGCACGACATGCTGACCTTTTTTTACGATTCGATGCTGCTTACGAACGGGCTGGAAAACCCAGGTGTACTACTTCATGACGGTGTCTTGACTATATTCTTAGGTAGAACTGAATGCTTGATATTTATCGACTTGCATGAGTGCACAACGTTGTCAATGGACGAGGGGGCCCGCATGTTGTGACTGAGCGTGACTGTGGCAAGTTCACGCGTAAAACTGATGCTACCCTCCTTGATCATGACCACTACGGCCTGGTGGTGGCAAGGTGGTGGCCAACAAAGTTCCTTCACTAGGTCAACGCTACCATAGATAACAGTTTAAGTGGCCATGTATCCATCCGTTCAAGCCCTGCTTGACGCCAGTCTTCCATTCGTGCGTAGTGACTTTCCCAAATTCCCTTTTATCTTACTGACAGAAAATCCTGTAGCCCGATGACCCATCCGTCAATGACATCCTACATCACAATGCTGCTCTGGAGTCCTCCAGGCAAGAGGATACCATCGGCAAGTTGCTGTTACAACGGGAGGCATATCTGCGCAGCTTGACAGCTGAGAAAAGACGTCTTGATGAGGCCATGGGCCTCATCCTCAAGGAGATCAACTCGATAGAGGCTCAATGCGATGTCTTGCGAAAGTCCACCACATCGCCTATTCGCGCCCTGCCTGTCGACGTCCTCCGTGCAATATTCTACCTCTGTGTAGAGCCGACTGTTCTGGATCCAGCATTTGAATGCTCTGTTCCGCCACACATGCAATCTCTGTTGCGCCTCACCCATGTCTGTAAATGGTGGCGCCTGATCGTACACGACATGCCTACTCTGTGGCAATGGCTGGTTTTGACGTTGCGCAATCTCGCTCACCCCGAGGCCCATTCTTGCATAGAGCAGTGGCCTGTGCACGCGTCCGATCTGCCCTTAGCTTATACAATTTGCGCGGACCCGAAAGACCATCCCTCTTGGAACCTTTTGAGTGGACGAAATGCTCTTAAGGCGCTCTGCTCGCGCGCGGTATCCCAGTTGATGAGGAACCAGTCTCAATTCCCATCTCACCGCTTGCGCGTTCTGTACATCATGGTCCCTGCGCAGTACTTGATTCCTGCACTCTCCCTTCTTCCACCACGCGCATTCCCCAGGCTTAGGTCCTTACAGTTATACCTCCCGAAACGGTACTCTAACGAAACTGGACGCGCGCTGCCGTTGACGTCCCCTATACGCGCATTCGAGGATGCCACTCGACTCACCACATTGCAGCTGGTCATGGTCATCGACGAGACGCTGGCAGACCATCTTCATCTGCCATGGTCTTCCCTTACTGCTCTAACGCTTCATATACAAGGACCTTCTTGTGCATTTATCGCGATCTTGCAACTCTGCCCGCGGCTCATAAAGCTCCACATTGACGAAAGGGCTCTGAAATTCCCGCCAAACACACACCTAGGCATGCTCTGGGATACGCTTGCTGGGCGCGGCATGCGGCATGATGATCTCCGCACGCTCAGCTTTAAGCAGACAAGCACCTGCCTCACCAGCCTTGACGCACCCAAGTTGTCCAACGCCGAATTGCATGGCATCATTTGGCATAGTGCGAGGCCCTTGTTCGTAGCGTTCCTACAGCGCGCGTCCAACATCACATCCTTGACTCTCGTCGATTGCGATTTCTCCGACTCACACAATGATGGCTTGCCCCTGATGCCGATGTGGCGTCTCCTCTCGCAGGTCGAAGAGCTTGTTCTCGATAATTGCGCATTTAGCGTTCTGATGCTCGTTGATGAGTTGATTGTCCGCTCCGGAGAAACGCCTGTTCTCCCCTACCTCAAAGATCTGCGCATCCTCGAGCTGAGAGGAAACCCGCCATGCGATCCCGATCTCATGGTGGACAAGTTTGCTGCGATGGTCGAATCGCGCATGCGTCCGCGCCCCGGGGTCTCGCCCATTCGCCGTGTCGAGCTGTGGCCTCGGGATCAAGAGACATTTTCCCCTGACTTTTCCCTGCGCGTTCAGGATATACTGGGTGACAGTGTCAAGCTGGTGCTACCTTGAGCCACGGAGGTATGTCGTAGTACTCATGTGCTACTATTTTTCCTTTATGCTGGACTTTACTCGATCGATTATCAGAAAAGCTGTTGAGGGCTTCAGCCTGAGGGCATGGAGCTTTCGAGTCCCTACCTGCCTCGGCGCTGTCGTCTCCATTTCGCGCAATGGAATGCGGCTACTTGATCCTCTCATTGAATCGCCTTCACGCGCAGTCGTGCTGTCTATAGTCTATAGTAGCCACTTCGGTCTTCAACGTAGCTATATACATTGTACGCCTCAAACATCTGTTTCTCAGGACGCCAATTTCGTCCGTCTAGCATTGCTCATATATAAACACATTGCCATGCCCTCTTAGAGAATATCTTGTACTCCATACTCTCGATCCTAAGTAAACGCCATAGCATCGCTCATGGTCTTGACCGTCTTGCCATCCTCCTTCGTCACCCAGTTGAACAGCGGACGCGCGGTATGCGTGGTATACCACTCGTCGATGGCGTCTAGCGCTGCCTTTCCCCAGTCATAGGCCGCGTGCGCAGATCGGTCGGTGGGCCCGTCGACAAACAGAATGATGCTCTCGTTGTACGGCTGGATGAAGCCCGCGCTGATGCCGTTCTTGATCATCTGCCGCAGCGGGTCGTAATAGCCGAGGACGTTGAGGAGGATGACGGCTGGGCAGGGTTGAGTGTCAATCGACGGTGAATGGCTATTGAGATTGGAAAGAACGACTCACGCTTCCGATGAATGCCCAGTTGCGTCCATGTCGATACTTCCATGACCTCCTCGAACGTGCCGAAGCCGCCAGGGAGGCCGAAGAATACTTCAGCTCGTCGCGCCATCTCGACCTTGCGGTCGTGCATTGAGTTCACGACGATCTGCGAATCGGCACACGATTAATATGAGCCGGCTACCTTCAATTCGCGAAGTCAATTTACCGTCTCGACCGCTTCTCTCCCCTTCTCATTGAGCTCGACGGTCACCTTCGACTCTGACTTTTCGCCTTCGCCGCCTTGCGCGACCATAGCGTAGGGCACGACGCCCGTGACCTTGCCTTTTCCGTTCAGGACGGCGCCAGAAACGGTGCCCATGAGGCCCTTCGAGCCACCGCCATATACGAGCGGGCGACCAGCTTTGGCGATAGCAGTACCGAGAGCTGCGCGATAGAATGTTGTGAAGACGATATTTAGGTTGCAAGATGCAAATGTGAACTTACAATCTGCTGCTTTGACATAGGCAGGCTCATTCCCAGTAGAGGACGCGCAGTATACGGCAACAGCCGCGGTTTTGCTGGGTGCTGGCGAGGCAGACATGGTCCTTGCGGCTACTGATCGGTCAGAGATGGGTCCTGATCCTATGTCGATCATCTGTGGCTATGTCGAGAAAGGCATGGAAGAAGGGGGGATAGACAGCCAGAGAGATCATCGGAGAGAGGATTCCATGCCAGTCACGCGTCACCTCTTCTCTGACAACCTCTGAAGGGCAGGATCGTCTCGTTGCTTCAGAAGCCTTGCCCTGAGGGTGAAGTGATGGGGCTGTCACGTACCTTTTCAGAGCTTCTTACTGGAGATGGTGGTGGTCGAAGGAAAGAAGGGAAGCAGCGTGCTTGTAACAGCCGGCACGCACATGTCGGCCTTCCTAGGCGTGACTCGCCCTAACTGACTCCCTGTCAATGTCACCGATGACATGCATATCCGGTGCACGAGCCGGGGACCATCAAGTTCAATGATATAACTGCGAGAGGTAGAATAGACAGAAGTAATCGGGGTGAAAAGCAAGCCTGGAATAGAAATATTCATTTGCTCAAGTCGAACATGTCCAAGCGTATTTGGTTTCTCGGCAAGGATGCCGACGAGGCACAACAAATGACAACAACGCGTCTGGCCAGCGGCGATCGCGTCGCGTCACCGGACACTCTTGGTTCTTCCCCTCATGGCGGACTGGACGGCTGACTCGAACGAGGCTCTGTATCTCTCCCTTGGTATGTACCGGGCTGCTAGCTGGGTATATGCGTCAGAAACTAACCTTGGTGCAGTGCGCGCTCCCGAGGACCAGCAGAGCTTGGCCGAAACGGAGTTGTACACCAACTTCCACCCGTCCTTCACATATCCTGTAAGTCCTCTCCTTGATCTGTGCTACCTCGATGATGACTGTATGACGAAGATATATGGCGAAGACGAGAAGATATACGGCTACAAGGACCTGAACATAGACGTATGCGCCACCGCCTCCCCCACTCCCTTGTCTTACCCTGCGTTAGCTCAGGTTCGCATCCGGGTCGCTCGCACAATACCTCCAGGTCAACTATGCTGAGAAGCTACCGTCTTCCTCAACGGTCGACGATGTGGAGGGAACCCTAAGCAAGTTCATACCCCCGGGTGCGTTACGCTCTATGCATTCCGAGCGACTCTCCTGATGATCTCATGGATGCAGGGTACTATACGGACGAATCAGAGTTCAACAAGCGAGTCTCGGAGGACGCACTCTCTTTCAAGCCACCCGGAGAACGCATCCACACCTACACCCGTCCCTCCCCAACTGCTGTAGGAAAAGGCAAGGGAAAAGACACTGCGTCTGACCCGGATAGCGCAGAGGTCGTCGAGTTCGAGGTGTACCATGTGAGCACTGTTAGTTCCCGTCACTGGTCGATGCTCAACGTCTGCGTGTAGGCGACCTGGAGCACGCCTGGTTTCCGAGAGTACCACCGTCTCATGCAGTTGTTCATCCTACTATACATCGAGGGTGGCTCCTACATCAACGAAGACGAGGACACCTGGGAGTTTGTCGTACTGTGCGTGACAATACTTGTGTCGCCATCCCTCAATCTCACCTGCGCTCTAGATACGAGAAGCGAAAGAGACGAGACGACCCAAGCGTTGCGACGTACCACTTCGTCGGCTACTCATCTCTCTACCCCTTCTACTGCTACCCCGAGCGGGTGCGAATGCGCTTAAGGTACATCTCCCGTTCATTCTACCACCCTCCCCATACTAAACCCTCCCCCCTCCAGCCAATTCGTCATCCTCCCACCCTACCAACGCCACGCCCACGGCTCTGAGCTCTACAGCGCCATCTACCAATACGTCCTCTCCCAGCCGCAGATCGCCGAACTCACAGTTGAGGACCCCGCGGAGGCGTTCGAGGACCTGAGAGACGTGAATGATTTGCGCATGCTCCTTGATCATGAGCAGTTTATGAAGGAGGCGTTTGGCGACGAGGGCGTGTCGCATGGGGGCGGGCGCGCGGGTGGGGTGGGGAAGGCCGGGCGAAGTGGGCGGGGCGGTGGGGGTGGTGGGCATAAGGCGATGAAGGGCAAGCTGGGCCCGCCTGCGGATAAGGCGTGGTGCGAGAAGTGGCGCGTCAAGCTGAAGCTGGCAGGGGTGAGTGGCGTTTTGACTTCGACATCTGACTGCGTGTACCTTGTTCTACGTGACCGCGACCGCGGGACCTGGTGGCTTCCTCTCAACGCGGGAACCTCAACGTCTCGACGAAGTCCCTATCCTCATTCCATTTACTGATTGAACCTTCACAGCGCCAATATCAACGCCTCATCGAGATGCTCGAGATGATGCACATCAGCCCCGCGGACGCGGCGGCGTTGCGCGCGTTCCGCTTGCAGGTGAAGGAGCGACTGTATAGGTTCAATTTCGTGAGTTGGGGTTTTATGTTCTCTGACTTGAACGTCGGTTGGTGGTGGCGGCGTGCGTCCTAGCACCCCATCCCTCCTTCATCTACGATCCCCTCTCATTTGCTGACATCGACCTGCAGGAGGTCCTAGCGCAGTTGGAGAAGCAGGAAAGGCTGGAAAAGCTGGAGGAGACGTTCCAAAACGTACAGGAGGACTACGCGCGGTTGATAGCGAAGGTTCGGTGGCAATGAATGTGTGTTGGGTTGTAGATCCATCCTGATCGGCGGATATACGGAGCACGCTGCAAACGGCTTGGCCTCACATGCACCACACCATAGGAGCATCGGGCGCAATGACTTGGCTGAGGGACTTCGTGTACGTCGAGTTCGAGTCACAATCAACGGTTCCACGCATTCTCGGAAAGTGCTTCCCCGAGAGCGGCGGGCGCGAAAGCAGATCAGCATGACCTTCGGAATCCTCGAGATGTGCAGCTGTGCTAGCTTTTGACGGGCCGATTCAAAGCAGAAATTGATGAGCGCGCCTCCCAGTCTGGAGAACAGTATTCTGCGGTGTGCGGAAGGGCGGCCAATGTCGGCTATCTAACGTCGACCCGGGCCACGCGACCCTCATCAATGCCAATGATAGAACTGGCATTTGCCGTAATCCATTGATCCCAATTTGGCAATGAGCGCTTTTCCCACCTTTGCATTCACCGTGGACTCAGGCGTCCAGATTCCCTTGGAGCTACAGCTGAGTGAGAGGAGTAAGTAGTATTAGTCTTGGACGGAATGATCCGGTCACATTCATACCTCTTAATGCCATTATCGCCGAATTATGGGTTACGAGCTGCACCGCCACCTGAAAATCCATAAACAAACAAAGTCGTGCTCACGTGACCCAGCCCGGTGGACAGCCACCGCCAGGAAGTATATAGGCCAACGCCTCTTGCCTTCTTACTTCGTGGAAACCGTGCGTACAAGATCTCCGTGGAGGGTGACCCGCCTGTTACATACAGCGGCGCCCGAGGCGGCGTCGAGAAAGCCGGGGGCTAAGGTGGCACGGATATCTCTCGGGTCCGGCGGAGGTTGGGGTTCGCCTCAGTCCGTTGTCCGTTGGGATCCAGTTTCTGCATGCCCTGGGGTGCTCGACGAGAGCGCTTAGCCTGCAAATTTGGGCGGGCGCGATGGATCTAGCGGCTGAGAGGCGAGCCCTGGGTGGCCGCCCTGCTGCGCTCGGCGTAGGAATCCTGAACTTGTCCGCTCGCTCGCCTTTGGCGATAGCGTGCGGACGACTGGGGAGGAGGAGGGCGTCGCTTTGGGAGGCGCTCGCCCGCTTTGTGTCGTCGTCCTTCGCTCCTCGAGCGATACTCACGCCAATCTCTAGATCGCCGAGCATCAAGATCCTCGATATTTCGCTGGCCGTCGCCTTTTGCCACGGAACTCGCCCAGCGCGGGCACTTCGGTACGTCTTCTTCCTGTTGGTTGTTGGAATCTGCTCATCGTCTCCCGCGTGCAGGACCTTGATCTCGTCGTCGCCGTTCTCGCCTTGGCCGCTCTTTTGCTCGCTGTCGTCTACTGATCCTGTTGTATCTTACCTTGCTGTCTATCGTCTCTTTGCTCTCGCATTCGCAATGAATATGCCTTTCTACGTTCTTGCACTTGCCCGCGTCCGATAAGGATTTTGCGCTCCCGTTTTCATCCTCGAGCTCATCGTCGTCTTGATGAGCACGTCGACAGGCGTCCGGCATGCGTCGGCGAGCAGAGCTGCGCCTCCTCCAAGGAGATTGCGTACCCACCGTCCGCGGCGACGCCAACATTCGAGGAAGCAGAGGCATCAGCGCCTCCTCCCTCCTCGCGACGCTCACGCCGTCGTCTTTGTTAGCACCTCTCACTATGTGCACCATGGAAAGGTGAGTAAGATACTCGCGTTCGTCCGTGACGATATCCTCGCTCGGCGTCACCATCGAGGAAGCACGTAAGTGTCTTGGTTTTGCATGGTTCCTCGCGATACAGGGATGCGCCTGTCCTGCCGACAGAAGTTCACCCAATGTATTGATCGCATCGACTTGAGGTGGATGCGGTTCGAGCGCAATGTGCGAGGGGTCATCAAGAGCATGGTGATGTATTGCTGAGAATACACGAGTACATGGGTCGTACGAAGGGGGTAGGAATACGCGTTCGGAGACCGAGGCAGAGGTGATCCTCGATGGCTGACGGTGGACTACAAATGTCGGTCTGTTGACGCGTGAAGAGGTGAGAATATGACCTTGGAGTGGAGATGGAAACGGCAGTAGAAGAGAGTGGGTTCCCCTGGTCGACCTCTGTATCCCGAAGGGCTCGATTCACGCACCAACGTTCCCGGAACCCAGATTCTGCGATCGCCGAGCGCAACAGAGAGCTCTGCATGTCAGTATTGCAGCAAGCAGGGTTCAGTCCAAGAATGACACTCCAGATTGGAGGGACGGCGGAGCGCGCTGGGTAATGAACTTGGGCAGCATCGTGCGGTCTGCGAAGGCTGCTACGGCATCACGGAGTAGCGAGAGGAGCGCGTCGACGATGCCGCCGGGCATAAGTAGTAGAGATCGTGCAGACATAAAAGAAGCTGTCGACGTCGGGAGTCTTGCCAGAGAGGCCGGGTCCGGGGAACAAGCCTAGGGATAGCGAGAGTAGAGAACAAGGGCGATGCGCGCCGTCGATCACATCAACCTGCTTACTCCCCGCTCTCACAAGTACCTGGTTTCTGTAAATATATATTGCGCTAGAACCTAGCCCTCTCATCAAAGGAAAACATGGAAAGTCAGAACGATGAATCTACAGGTAATCTACGAGCTGTAACGAAGATCCACTGTACATCATCAAGCCGTCGAAATCCTATCTAGGGCTGGGGTCTGCGTGGTTTAAGATATAACCATACGGCCAGCAGAAAGAGTGCTACAGAGCCCGCGCCCATAGCGATGCTCCCCGCCCACGCATCCCACACGCTTTCGAAATCGTCCGCAGTGAAGTCCATCACGTTGTACGCACGGCTCTCGCCTAGGCCGAGGACGCTGCTGTTGCAGTAGCACCGGCTATAGAAGTTGGCGAATTGAAACATGCAGATGATGACAGCGAAGGACGCGTTTGCGACAGCGAGCGTTTTGCCTGAGCGGCGGAGGAGTATTGCGAATTTGGCGATGTACGGGCGGGATGGGATGGACGCCTTGTTCGGATGAGTGGAGACGCTGATGAGGGTAAAGGTCAGCTCGGACGAAGTGCTATGGGCGGATCTCACAGACGCTTTTGCCGGCCTGCTTGAAACATGGACCAGCACGCTGGACGAGACCATCAGAATCCAGATGATGGTGGCGATGGCACCGTAGAGTAGATAGGCGCCGGAGCGGCACCCCAATCCTGGGCAGATCGATGATTAATTCGACGCTTCCGCACTGAATTCTACAGCCTGCGCACCTTTTGTCGGCGTGAGGATGATGTTCAGGATCGCGGAGCCGGTAGCACCCCATTGCAACATCAAAGCCAGTCCCGATGCGACAACGATGCGGGTCCATACGCCCGGTACCCAATGCGGAGTTGAAGGTCGCTTGCCACAGTATGCCTCGACATCACCGCGAGTTCCCTCTCGGTTCTCTGAAGGCCACGGGATAGCTCTGGAAGGCATCTGGTAGCGGCGCCCATCGCGAGCTACCGGCCGGTGGGCCTCATGATTTGCGCTTGCAGATTCGAGGGCCAGAGCAATCTCTTCCGCGATACGCGTCCAGCTGAAGATGCGAGCGTAGTTATAGATGGGTGGGCTGGCGTGCTGATCCTTGTACAGCGCCATACGGCCACGCCTGTACAGAGACAAGCCTCGCTGGGAAGATCCCAAGCTCTCGACGGTAATGGGTGGACCATCGTCAGTGGCCAGCCATGCCTTTGCGTTCGCCTGGTCCATCGCTTTCGCCAGACGATCAGCGTCGCATTTGGGCGATATACGAAGCCATCCAATGACGATTGGTAGAAGCCAGAGCCAGAGTGTCCCATTCGCCTGCCCGTTCACGTGCACAATGGACACATCAGTAGCCGTTGTGAAGGAGTTGAAGACGGTGAATGCGAAGGCGAGGACGACCCATGCAATATTGGCGAAAGCAGATATAGACCATGTATGCGCGCCGGAGTGGTCGAGCCAATTGGAGAGCTCGGACCACCAGCAGTCGTTCTCCGGCAGGACAATAAGCGAGGCGAGCAAACCGTCTTCTGTCCGCACGCGTAGCGGCGACTGCTGCAGACTGCTAAGAGTACGGACGATGTCGTGCACGTTGGGATAATGGTAGGAGGCGAAGCGTTCGCTCACCCAATGCGAGTTCAGTGCGGTAATGGCCAATGAATACGCGGCAAGGGCGGGGGAGCCGACGGTGAGCGAGACAGAATTCAGGTTGGCCAGTCGGTCGTTGGCACCGAACGGTAGTTGAGACAGTAACGCAAGCCAAGGAAGTAGCCAATTCCCAAACTGCTGCGAGAAAGTTGTCCACGAGAAGGGCTCTCTCCCTGAGCCGCACGTCTTCTGGCATTGATGGAATGTTACGGCGGTAACGAAGCACAGCGGCTTATCTGGCCCAGCATCCACGCAGAGGCTTCCCGCGTTGGAAGCAGCGTCGAGCCAGTCGTGGGGGCCGATAGGCTTTCCAGAATTATCAGTGATGCTGTTGTTGAATATGGAATAGGCATCGGAAAGGGTGCTGTTCCTGATGCTGGCCAAGCAAGCTTCGAAGTTGACATTCCTCGCCTGTGCGTCGGCGCAGAAAGCCAACGATACGACCATCAGTATACCTACTACCAACAAGTCAGCGGAAAGGCGTGAGCGACTCCGGTAGACCATGATCGCAACGCACGCTGGGTAATGAACATTGTGTCTTGGTGTAAGCCTTCAGGTATAGCGAATCCTTGGGCGAGATGCGAGAGGTTCACGTCCGGCCTAACGAGGCGTTAATATAATATACATCTACCGTCAAAGCTTCTACCTTGCACTGGATTCGCTGTCACCGCGCGATGCCCGCCTAGTAGATGACTATAGAAGGGAGGAAATCGAAACCTTACGCCTTTCGGGACATTGGGAGCTGTCGCAAACAGTGTTACTCCAGAGTGGGTACTGTGCAGCTTGGCTCGGATTTGCCATAGCCAGTGCCTTCGGATCTAGTCCACACTGTTTTCGACACGTCAGTTGACGGGAAACAGCGCTGCATAGACGGATCAGTATACTGTTGACGCGAATAGCGTAGCGCCCACCGTCGATTAAGCGCCCGCCCTACACAGGATGGACTCATTGTAGAGCCTGCAGGATGGGCGTGCCGCCCAGCGCCACAGAAGGATGATGACAGGTCGGGCGTGTTTCGACAACGCTGTGCGGTCGACCTGATATCCGAGGATCCGGCTGAAGCACAACGTTAGCAATGGGCCGCTTGCACCGTGGTAAGGAGACCTACACATTGCCGTTGGAGAAAAGATCGCTGGCATACGGCCGGCATCTGGATGAAAGACCCATCACTACAGCAGTCAAAGCGGATTGAGGTACACGAGTCAAGACGAAGTTGACATCCTGGGTCATAGATGGTGGGGATACTGAGACGAGAAGGTACATACCAACTGCATAACAGCATCGCGGACCTGTACATGACACGGCAGTTCAAAGATTGTAACTTGGCGGATCCACGCTTCTTCGGCAGCGATACTTCGTTGCTAGGACAATACGCTAACACTCGCTTGACTCGATGTCCGCCAACTTCGGAAAGCTGTCTTGCTTGTCAATGTGAGTGCACGTTGGCGCTTAAGCAGATCACTCACCCGCCATACCACTTCTGAGGTTCTGGACCTGGTCAGTCTCACAAACATGAAGTCACTCGCCCTCCAGCGGATGTCAGACCCTACTTGACGGAAAACAGAAAGCATGCATCCAAAAGGGTATTACAATAGCGACTAAAAAGTGCGGAAGATACAAACGATAACAGGGTCCCCCATCTACACGCCTGACACAATCCTGCGGAAAGAGAATCAGTTAGTGAATCATTGGCCGCATACAAAATCATGAACGTACTCCTCCGCCTTGTTCAAGGCCTGCACCATGCCGATGACCTCCTTCCGGCGGTTCACGATGTACTCGCTCTCCTTGAGAAGCTCGCCGAGCACCTCGGGCTTGTACAGCTCCTGCAGCAGCTCGCGCTGCAGATTGTCCTTCGAGTGCGCGACGAGCTTGAGCGTGATTGCCTTCGGGACCATGTCGATCATCTCCCGCTTCACGATGTTGAAGTAGGAGTGGATGAGGAGCTCTGAAATTAGCGCATACCTTGTCAGCACACAGTATGATGGAGTATACGAAGACGAATCACGCACTGATCACCTCCGTCTCCATAGTCTCCCGCTCGTTCAGCGCCGCCTGCGGCTTGATCACTGGCGGCGGCGCCTCCATCACGCTCGCCCCCGACGCTGGCTTCCTCTTTGTCCTCGCGCTTGAGAAGAACGACCCAAAGAAGCTCGGCTCCTCTTTCTTCGCGTCCACGTCCAGATCCCGGTTGTTGTTGATCGTCCCCGGCGCCAGCCTCCCCGACTTCGGATCTGCCCCCGGCGGCGGTGGACGGGCCGCCGCAAGCCGCTCATTCACGATTGCCATCGCGCGGTGACCGTTCAGGAAGTCGGGGTGCGTGGTGTTGACGTAGCAGGCCTGCGCGGCGACGAGGTCGGAGACGAGCTTCGTGGTGGGTGTCATGGACTTCTTGAAGAAGTTGACGACGACGTGGTTGAAGCGCTCGCGCAGCGCGGGGTATCGGCGGAAGGCTTGCTACAAAGCCATTGAGTCGACGTAGAATAGGCAAAGGCTAGTTACCGTACCATCTTCGTAAGTAGTTGGCCAAGGATGCGGATCAGCTCGTCGTAGACGAGTTGACAGCATTTGAGGCCCGGGTCTTCCAGTCGTCGGATCTGCTGCTTGACGATGATCTCGAAGGCTGAGGTGCCAACGAAGATGGCTGGTGTAGAACCCTGCGACTGATTTCAGCACATTGTCTGGATGCTGAGCAAGACGTCTCGCACCGAAGAGTTATACAAGATCGTCCGAATGTCGCCATCCTTGACTTGGTCAAAGGGATCAATACTCCGTATGCCATTGTTGAATAACTCGTGGAAGACGAAAGATATACGAGCACCGCCAGACAGCTCGTTCAAGGACAGGTCATTGGTGTTACCATCAATCACTGTCCTAAACTCGTTCGTGAACTCGGTGATGACGTTCAGCACGACGTTGCCGTCATTGCCTGCTGTAGGACCGCCCAGCGATTGTAGCTCCGCGTTATACTTCGACTGTTGCTGGGATATCCGTGCTTTGATATCAGGCAAAGTCGCGCGGATGTGGTGCATGAGAAGCTGAGGGAATATGAGTAATGTTTTACCAGGAAGGGTTCTAGCACGCACGCCATTGAGTTTCCGTGCAAGGTATGGAGTTCCGCAGTAGGCCTCCTTGCCTGCGTATGCCGGATGATTCGCGAAGAATTCGCGCTCGTACTCGAGTGCAGCCTGGATAGCCTTCCCGGTCTCGATATCACGTTGACCACGGTTCACCACTGGGATGTATCCGAGCCGCAAGGGAATGATGCGTCCTGCGAGAATGTCACGTACGTCCGTGCCCTTGTCCCTGCAGGGTGTAAGAGGCGCTCAAGAAAGACGCAGGTTACGCACATGAGATCAATCTTTGTTAGCACTCCGATGGTACGCAACCCCTCTGGGTCCACCTCGCGTGCCAGCTTCAACCCGTCCGAGTTCGCGAGATCGGTGTTGGCAGCCGTGACGGCAAGGATGATGCAGGACGGCCTTGAGATGTACTTGAGCACCATCTCGCGTATCTGACGCTCAATATCCTTCGGCTGGTCGCCTACGGGCACCTTCGTCAGCCCGGGCAGGTCGACAAGCGTGAGGGTGACCACGGTCGGGGAGAAGATGCGCAGGTTGATGGGCTGGGGGGAGATGCCCGCGTTCTTCCCCGTCTTCGCCTCCGTGTCGCGTACGATCTCGTCGCGGATCTTGGAAAAGTCGTAGAATTTCTGGCCGGGGAGGTGGAGGAACTCGCCCCATTCGTCGGCGTTCGCGGCCTTGTCCGAGCTGTTGTCTACACCGTTCGCCTCTGCGGGGAGTTAGTTAGAGGTAAGGGGTTTGACGCGCCACGCACCCTTATTCGAACCAGCGGGTCGATTGATCAGTTGCAGGACCTGCGCAAAGGTGAGGATGGAGGTCGCGCGGCAGCTTAAGCGCCCGTACCAAGGGTCTCCTCGTCACAATACCCGTCCCTCTGGGAAGGAAATCGCGTCCAACAATGTTCTACCCTCGATCCTCAGTACCTGATATATTGTGCTGCAAGTCATTGACGCACCTCAAGCACACTACTCTTCCCGCTACTCTGGCTGCCGAGCACGCATATTTGGGGCAAATCTATGGCTGCGGCCGAGGAACCCACAGCGCTGAAGGCATCCTGAAGCTTGTTGACGATTCCAACGACCTCTGTTCCAAGTCCAGCCGACATTGAGCAAGGCACGCGCCGCGCGATGGAAGCACGAGTGAAGATGCGAGAATTCTGGAAAAGGAAATTCTGCGCATCCTTTGGTTCTCAACCTCCATGTTCGTGCAGCTGGTACGCGTATGCTGCACTAGCGGACTGCGTATGGCAATGCAGATGTAGATATTGTGTGTGCAATGACTTGACGTGTCGATTTCTGACCTCGCCAGGACGCTGGACAAATCACAGCTAAGCGCAGCTCTGGGGTCCTGCCGCTCTGGCAACACTCCGATAACGCGGGGATGCTCTATAATCCAGAAGAACACGCGACAATGAATCCTACTTGATGGTATTGAGAGACTCACATTCGATGTCTGGCCATCCCGACATGCGCTCGAACCTTTGTCAACTCCCGTGAACATATACCGCAGAATCGGAGATGGACTCTTCGCCTATAAAGCAGCTGTCTTGAGCCCGTCGTGTGCATTGTAGCGTTCTTCTCCTGTCTCGCAAGCGTCATGTCTGCCATAACGCTCGAAATCCTGAAGATCACCGTCGGCGCTGGTTTCCAGCTCACCTGTCCTGCTTTCGCCCAGTTGCGCCAGACGGCCTTCTCAGCGGGCGTGAAGGACCAGTGGTACGGTATGATCCAGGACCGGTCAAACCTGCTATGCTGGCTCATCGGTACGCACCGCTCTCTGCTTGGCTGTCTACTCTATCCTGACTTGGACTTCGCGCAGAATGGCCCGCCAGCATTCGTGATCCTCTATCCTACGCGGGCCCCGAGCCATCGAAGATAAACTTCCGAGACTCTATCCGCGCTCTCGATGCCCAGCAATCGCCCACGTCCTGGCTACTACCCTTCGAGAATGCAGATCTCATCCGACCGGCTTTGGTTGCGCCTGTCTGTGAAATTGTGAGGGCTGGTTTGAGGCATGAATGTGAGTCGCTGAGCTAACTGTCGTAATCTACAGTGTGATGTCAACCTCAAGCCTGGCGTGGACCGGACCCGGCCTGACATTGCGAAGTCCCTGCACAAGACCTTCACCGACTGCTACGATGCGCCTGATGGAGGGTTTACGGGCGGTTATTGGGCCGTCAACACCCTCAACGATCGGCACAATGTGTACCTCCTCGGGTGGGAGAGCAGACAGGTATGTTTGGCACTGAAAACAGTGTCGCGTAGTCGCTAAAATGCATTCAGCTCCACGCCAAGTACTTCGCCACCCCTCTCTGTGCTCTCGAGCTTAAGAACCTGGACCCGTATAGTGAAGGCGGGGAAGGTCTTTTTGTGAATCTTACGCATGAGCGCAATGAGTAAATTCGGTTGTACACATATTCCAGCTTCCTTTCATACATCTGTAATTCAATCATCTCCCTTCGCTCAATCATCTCCCTTCGCCAACACCGGCCTCAACATCCTCAGCACCTCCTGCCCGTCGATCCCATCTTGGTTCGTACTATGCGCCAGATCTTCCCACCGCTCCGCATCCCTCAACGACTTCGCCGCCACATGCGTGAAGATTCCGTACGCGTCGCTTCCGAGCTGCACCCTCAGCGGCGGTCGTGCCTCCCTTGACACGCGAATGATGGCATTCGCCGCCTTGTCGAGGTCTCCGATGGGCGTGTACGTCTTGCGCATCGCGCGGAAGACGTTCGAGGGCGCGGTGGGCGGGTAGTCGGGGTGCGGCGGGATCGAGGTGTCGTCGTTCCAGGTGGTGGGAAAGCCGCCAGGCTCGAGGATGACGGCCTTGATGTTCCATTCGGGTGGCATCTCGTTCGTGAAGGCCTCGGTGAAGCCTTCGAGGGCTGGGGTGATTAAATGAGCGGTGAGATGGTGGGAAGGTGGACAGGAGACTCTTACCGAACTTGCCCGCATTGTAGTATGCGAGCGTCGGGTTTGCGCTATAGCCGCCGATGGAGGAAACGTTGAGTATGCGCCCGCCGTGTCCGGGAGGGTTGACAGTCTTGAAAAACTGCAGTGCCTGCGAACTAGGTAAGCTGCACTGCCCTCTCTTCCTTTCAAAACGTACAAACCTCCTTCGACACATTTACCGGTCCCCAAAACAACGTCTCGAACTGATCGCGCGCCACATCGTCCGGTGTCGCCTCAATTTCGGCGCTCACCGCGTACCCCGCGTTATTGACAACCACGTCAAGGCGCCCAAAGCGCTCCTTCGTCTTCGCAAAAGCATCCTTGATCTGCTCGGGCTTCGTCACGTCCAACGCCACCAGCAGGAGCTGCGATTCCGGATATTTCTCCCGCAGCTCGGTCAGCCCTGCCGACTTGGCGGGGTTGCGCGCAGTGGCGACGACGCGCTCGCCTGCTTCGAGGACGCCCTTGGCAAGGTGGAGACCCAGGCCGGAGGAGGTACCAGTGACTAGGGGAATGATCAGTCGTCGAGATCGTCCATCGCCATGAAGCAAGGCCTCTTACTCAACCACACGCGAGAATCGGAAGACATAGTTTGGCTGGGTCAATCGTCGATGAGCGGGAAGAGGTGTGCTCTGCCTTGGCCCCTTTCGCCAGCCTTAAGTACTCTGGTCTTCCAGACGTATTCTCAGCACGCGGCGCTAGATTGCCCACGCTGCCGCCCTGGTTGCGCGTTCGCTATGTAGAATGCGGAACAAAGACGGCCTCAAGCGCTGACGCACCGACGTACCGCGGAGGTCGTCGGCTGCAGAATGGGCTTGGGCCGCTTCGTGGTCTGTATACTCTCGGGGTTGCCGCAAATGGCAGGGCCGTATCCGAAACGGAAAGTATTGTTCTCTAGCCGCGGGTCCGCGGGCTCTTTCCTCTGTAGAAGAGAGGCTTGGGAGTAGTATGGGTCACAGCTCGCGGTAGTTTAGCGCCTTTGGCCGCAGGTATGTCTCTTCGGCTGGATATTCATGACATCGTGGCACTTACCAAAAGTCGCGATTACAGCAGAGGGGTGAGAGTTCTGCTTCGAGTGCGGGGTTTATCCTTCCGTTTCGGAATTTCGTCGATTCTCTGACGAGACAGACTCGCCAGGATGGTCATGATGGTCGCACGAACGAAGTGCCACCGCCTACGTGACGTTTTTCAACTTTCGTGACAGCCCGTGAGAACGTGTCGGAAGTTGCCGATAGTCACGTTCTTCTGGTCTGCTCTCGCGTTCAACACCGTCATTCCCCAGCAATCAGCGCACAACTGGTTCTCGTCCTGTCTCTTAGCTGCCTGAAGGCCGTAAAACTCATATTACAGGAGAATCGTTTCTTCTTCCGCGACCCAGGGCTTATCGTTGTTTTCGATTTCCTCTGGCTATCTACATGTCTGTCCACAGCACTACATCGAGATCTTCTAGCCCTCTCCACGGCTACCCTGAAGAAGACTTGCGATCAGATGGAACGAATAACCCAGGCTACTTTCCAGCAAGACTGGGGCAGACACTGGACAAAGGGCGATATTGCATCGTCCGAAAATTGGGCTGGGGCCAGTACTCCAGCGTATGGCTCGCTAAAGACCGCGGGTAAGTGAGGATCATATCTCGCTCACCGCTTCCTCTGATGATTGAAAATAATGACTCAGGCAAGACACCTTTGTCGCCCTCAAAATCTTGACTTGCGAGGCGACGAAAGCCATGTCGCCCGGCAAAGACCAGCTATCAGACGAGAAGGAAATGCTCGAGAAAATCACAGCCGCCGACGCCACCCACGAGGGATATCGCCATACTATGCGCTACATCGGCTCATTCAAATTCAAAGGACCGCAAGGAAGTCACTGCTGCCTCATCACCGAGCCTCTCGGTTATAGCCTCGACTATGTTCGCAAGCTACGAGGTGGAGGAGACCTTCGCGTCGCGCCGAGCATCGTCAAGCGCGTTACCAAACATATTCTGCTTGGCCTGAAATATCTTCATGATGAGTGCGGAGTCGTCCACGGAGGTGCGGCCGAGGTTGACATGTGTAGGTCAGCGCATCTAACAACTACGCCAGACCTCAAGCACGACAACATCCTCTTTCGCCCGCTCGACCTCAACTCTGTGGTTGCATACGAGCTCGTAACCAACCCGTCCGTCACATATGATTGCGGGACTGAAGTCAACCCTCCCGTCGTGCCTGTCGTCTCGCAGAGCTTGTCTTTGTCCTCGGATCCTGTCATCAACGAGAAGCTCCTCGAAGCAGTGATCGCTGACTTTGGGCATTGTGCGTCTCACACATTGTCCGTTGACGATATGGAGGTTAATTCTGATGTCAGCACACTGGCGGAATCGTCACCTCCAAGAGATTATTCAACCAACAGCTTTGCGCGCGCCTGAAGTCATCTTGGGTTATTCATGGAGCACGCCCGCAGACATCTGGAACTTAGGTTGCTTGGTAGGTACTTTCGTAGACGAGTATCGTCGACTGCTGAATGATAAGCAGGTCGCTGAATTGCTTATTGGGTTCTTTCTCTTCGAGTCTCATAACGAGAAGTCGTGGGACTACGACGAGGACCATCTCGCTCGTATGACGGAAGCGGTACAGGCCTCGTTCGAGCCTTCCTTCCTCGATCGCTGCGCCCACCGTGATAAATTCTTCAAAGCCGATGGTGAGTTGGTCTTTACAGTTGATACGCTGCGAGATCACCAAAGTCGTGCGTAGGGTCTTTTTCTCATTTCACCAAGCACGAGGAGCCGACTTGGTCGCTGCGAAAACTGCTGGAGAAATTCTCAGAGCTGCGCGTTGAGGAGATACCACTGGCGGAGAGCTTTCTGCGACGTTGTCTGCGCCTTACGCCCGAAGAACGAGCAACCGCGAAGGATCTAATTGACGATCCTTGGCTCGCAGACTCCGCCTGATACGGGAGTATCCGCCTAGCTACATCAATCCCTTGAATGTTGGCGCTGTCCTCAATCCACCCTGATGGGTCTTTTCCTCGTCCTGTTGTCCAGCTCTTCGTATGAGCTGGCCTCCTCCTCCGGCGACCTCCACACCTATGTAAAGAAACAGTCACTCCATCTCGCCGGCCTACCGCCATACTCCAAGCGCCGTACGAGAAAGATGTTTGTTGTCGATCAGGCGAGGTACTGTAGAGCAGGAAAGGAAGGCTGTCATCAATATTCTGTCATCAAAGCGGTCGATCTCATAACACATTAGGTCTGGTCCGTGTTCTTGCCAGTGGGTATTGAGGTAATACAAGAGTACAAGGATACAAGAAATACAAGAGATGCAAAGTTTGAAAGCGACCTCTACTACAATGAGTGGCTTCAGCTTACGTCTTCCATGGGACTATCTACATCTTCTGTGCCGTCTGTGCCGCATGTTGCAGGACGTTTGTCGACGTCCATTCGCCTCGAGCAACAACAGACCTCTAAGAAGGATCTCGGCGATTGCGGGTCCCGAAGGTCAGCTAGAGCTCGCTCGCTCGCCAGCTTCCTCGATACAAGGTGATTCATGGTGGTAATCGGCCCTGCCAGCAGCGTCTGAGGGGCGTCAGCGACAGCAACAAAAAGCAATAAGCAGCTTGATAAAGATACTCACCCCGTGCAAGTAGATCGCGATGCCGTCCGGATATTGCTTCCTCTTTGGTGGTGTTCGTCTGACAGCTTTTTCAGTCTGACGACTAACAGGAATGTTACGCGTACGAACCTGAACTCGATTTGCTCTCGGCATGTTGATTTCGCGACCCAGATGATCAGCTCGCTGACCGGATCTCGCGGCATTGCAGGCGAGAGGTGCACCAGGAGTCCTTCCATCGCCTGCTCCACGACTGCCGCCGTTATCTCGTAGTCATATCCAGTATCGACGAACACGGCGCCGACAATGCTCTCAAAGATGTCGCTGAGGACCTTAGGAGGATCCAGTTTCCATCCTTTCACGAGGATTTCCGGGTAAGGCTTGTCTTCGAGGATGGGGGCGTGCTTGTTTATGGCTATACTGAGCTCGACATTGTTGACGAGGACGCTCTTGTGCAGCTGTAGGTGCTTGACCGAGAGCGCTGACAGAGCTTGATTGCAAACTGCACGAGCCCGCGGTAAGCTGAGTTGATCCGAGTTTGCGTCAGGGAATTTTCTGTAGAGGTAGTCGACGACGGCAAGATTGATGACGGCTGCAGATCGTATGAGTGTGCCTACGCAAGGACAACAATGCTACACTTACCATCTCCAAGAAACTCCAGCCGTTCGTACGAGCCATACGAATCCAATGACGCGAAGGACGAGTGCGTGAGCGCCTCGCAGAGCAAGCCGCCATCCCGAAAAGTGTAGCCCAGCTTCGCCTGCAACTCCGAGAACAAATCTGGTGTCGGCACCCTTCGCCGTCTTGGATACCTGCGCGGCCAAGGGACGCTCCCACCGAATGCGAGTCCCAACGCTGTCCCTGCATGCAACGCCGTATCGATCCCACCTGTGAGGTAGCTCGCGCCCAGGATCGCCTCCATGCAGTCTTGTAAGCTCCTGCGCGGGAAGAGCCTCCTCGCACACCTGGCAGGTACCTCAGAATCCTCGACATAGTCCCATATCGACAAGCTGTGCGTCTCCGATGTGAGGAACCGCTCCAGCTGCACCTCCCTCGCGCGCGTCAACAGGCACTTGTTGGAAATGCAGATCTGGCGTAGCGGTGTAAGCTGCCCTTCGTGACGGTGTGGGTACTTGTTGAAGAGGTGGACGGTCGTAGAGAGCTCGAGCACGGCGTCACCGAGGGTCTCGAGTCTTTGGTTATTGAAGGGCATACCAGCGCAGGGAAGGGTGAGAGCCTGTATGAGTAGGTCGCGCTCGATGTAGGGGAGGCCAAGCGCTAGTCTTGCCCTGTCTGCCCGATAGACGTCGGTAGCACGGCGAAGTAGCGATGGGAGAATATGTAGCGCACTGAGAATGTCTTCGGATAGGTCGATCCACTTCGTTCGTCCTTGCGGTATCAGGGCGCCGTCGGGGACATCCATTGGTCGCATCGAGTCCACATCGCCTATACAATAGAGTCTGCTGGAAGAGCGTGGCATCAGAGTAGTCTGGATAAGGGGGCCGTCGCAGGGTACTCGTGCCTCCCAGTTCTTCCTCGTCCATCTGTCAACGAAGTAGTCATGGTATGTCGCCTTCATGCCTTCCGTCTTCGATCGTAGCTTCGCCTCTTCTCGCGAGCCTGGTGGCAGCGAAGAGAGCACGGACAAATCTTCGCGCACAGCACATAGTCGTCGCAGCCTGGCGTGCTCGTTCTCGTTCATAACCGCCACAACTTTGTCAGGGTCGACGATCGACCAGTCCGAGCAGCCGTATGGTTGTCGCAGCAGGCGTTTAACTGCAGCGAAGTCCGGACGCATCTCAGGCGTCAAAGGCAAGACGAAAAGCGACATATGCTGGCCTGGAAGCGGTCGTGCTGTGATGCGATACCAGATGCAGAGTCTGGTGTATTCGCCCAGCAAGTCGCGTTCGTCCTCGTCGAAGCACGTCTCGCGCGGCTCGCTCAGCTTGATGTCGTACCCCTTCCAGCTCAGCTCCGCGTCCAGGATTGCCGACCCTGTGACAAGACCAGCGACGCAGCGACCGTCTACGAAGATGGGGTGCAGCCAAAGCCTCCTTCCAATCGTCCACGGGTCGACGACGAGCACGTCAAGCATGGCGGGAATCCCGCTGATGTCGATAACGCGCCCATCCGCATCGACGCGCGCCTTCTTCCGCGACCCCATCGGGAGCAGGTAGGCGTCGAACACGTCCTTCGCGTGCAAGTATCGCACTGTGCGGAAAGCGGCTGAGCGCTTGGCTTCCTTCTTCGTCGCCTTCGTCGCACCTTGGAAGACGAGCTCGGCGGGTGGAAGCGGGATGCTGCGCGGGAGTTGGACCGTCGAGATGAAGTCGCCTGTATACACTGGTGCGGGAGGCGGCGAGAAGGGGTCGCGAGGTATGAGACTGCATAGATGGCCTAGGAGGCCTATGGCGTTGTCGTAGGTCAAAATAGCGCCGGTTGAGGGGACAACGAAGCGTTCGCGCTCGGCCAGCATCTCAGGGCTGAGCTCCTCTGCATCGTCATCCACGTTAACGCTCGTGGCATCCTCAGCGCTCCGCGTATTGTACACCTCTCGCAGCTGTGGCTCGCACTTTCGAAAGAAGTCATACTTTGCTCTCGATGGTTCGTCGCCCTCAGGAAGCATAACAACGAACATGGAAGATTTATTTCTTGCTCTTCCTCGAGATTGTAGATAGCCTACGAGGTGTTGGAGGGGGTCGAACCGGACAACGAGGTCGCAGGCCTATCGTGCAAGATTAGCAGGCTGAGGTCTGCCTTCGTGCAGAGACCTACCTGGAAGTCATGCCCTTCCTCAGCGACAGACGTTGCTATCACTACGTATACATTAGGATTACGACTAGATGGGTATTTTAGAAACATACAGAGGTTGACTTCTCCAGAGCGAAACTGGCTGGCTACATCACGCTGCGACCCGATGGCCTTCGGGCCATCAATCCCTGGATTCTGTCCTATGAAAGAGGCACAGCGGACGAGGCCTTGAAGACGCGAGAGGCGAGGCAGGATGAGAGCTAGACAGAGTGCAACCTGGCGTTGGTCCACGAAGACGATGCCGCGAGACGTAGCAAGGTCTTGCGCAAGAAGTACGTCTACCAGCGCGTGCACTTTGGGAGAGAACCAGTCGTCAAGAAGAGCGTCGCTTGCGGCCAGATCGGAGAAGTATGGCTCGTAGTCAGTGAGGATGTCCTCGATTGCGAGCAGGCAGCGAGCATGTGCAAGCGACATCTTTCCTGTTGTGGAAGAACCTGCTGGGTCGTCGGCCGCGCGTTCGAAAGCCGTTTCCGCCTGAGGTCGTAACCGCGCGACAATATCGCTGAGCTCTTGATAGAGGTACAGCGACGCGCAATACGGCCCCAGGCTGGCCAGCGTCACGTCGTACCTGCCCATAATCTTCCTCCACATTACGTCCGCTCCCTCCCAGTCCAGCGTCCCAAACACCTCCACAGATCTCCCCATCCCCGGAAAGCTCCCCCGCCCCACCTCCTCGGGATCCAACGCGCGATACGTCTTGATGACCTGCAAAAGACCACGTCGGTCGGCATCCATCCTGCACTCAGCCTCTGACGCGGATGCTCACTTCGCGCGGCCGCGCCGTGTGCGCGTCCAACTCGCCCGCATGCAGACGCACGCCCACCACCTGCGCGTCGAGCTTCGTCTCCAGCGCCGCGAGCGCCTTGCCCGGGTTGCGCGCGTCCCAGATCGGCGACGCGGTGAGCCCGAAGACGCGCGGGCGCTGGCCGGGCGCGCAGTGCCGGTACTCATCCATGATCTGTCGGTAGGGATCGTTCTTCTGCGCGTGGTGGCACTCGTCGAAGATGATGAGCGACGTGTGCGCGATGCTCCAGTGCGAGTGGGTGAGGAGGTCGAGGTAGATCTGGGCTGTATACCCAGGTATCAGCTCCGCGCTAACCCATCGCAAGTCCACAGACGCACCTGTCATCACCAGCACATCGCTCGTCGCAAACACCGCCGCCCACCCTTCCCGGTCGGCCATATCCAGCGCGTTCTGCCCGTGCTTCTGCGTCACGCGCAACGTCGAGTTCGCCGCGATGAAGTTCCCCTGCTGCTCGACCAGCGCGACGCGGGGGACCAGGAACACGATCAGCTTGTCCTTGTTCTGTGGTTGGCTAGCGATCCATTTGATGAGCATGAGCCCGATATACGTCTTCCCAGAGCCTGTGTCGAGGGCAGCGATCCTGTTCCCCGCTTGCGCCTGGCGGAAGATCTCTTCTTGGTATTGGCGGGGACGAAGGTCACCCGGATTCATGAGTTTGGGCTCGCCAAGGTCTTGCGGGGCGACCGCCATGGCTGTCGAGAACGAGACGCGTGAGAAGCCGGGCGCCTAACATCGATGTCCGTGAGCAATGTTGGGAAAGCGAACCGTCACGCCGTTACGCGCGGTGCGCCCTGGACCCACAGCTCGCCCTCGTCGAAAGCGTCAAGCAGTGTAAAGAGCTCGGAGGGCATGCGTGTTACAACATAAGTACAATAAGTGAGCTACTATGTAATACATAGAATACACGTGTATCATTTTCTCTCGACGAAGGTCATAACCTCCTCAGAACGCGACCTTGCTCGCCAGCCCATCCAACTCGCGCTTCCAATTCCTGTGCTGGCTAACCTCATACGCGAAGTTCGCCACGATGCCCTTCTCGCTCGGGCCGATCTTCAAGGCGTCCGAGATGAGCGACGACGCGGTGTACTTGCCCGTCGTCACCACGCCGTACGAGTTGGTGACATCCGTGCTATCGCCGGAAGAGAACTGGAGTTCCTTGAGCTCGAGCGCGCGCTGGAGGACGGCGACACCTAATAGATATGTCAGATGATGGTGGAAGGAAAGACGAACAAAGACACTCACCCTCGCCGATCGCGCCAATAGCCTTCAGGTGACCGAACGCCTCGCGCACCCAGTGAATGCAGCGACCGTTCGACACCAGCGCGTCCGCCGCCTCGCGTCCCGACGGGATGAACAGCGCATCGAACAAAGTCGAGCGCTGGCCCTCGAAATGGTGGTCCGCCATGATCCCACCCTCCGCACCGACTGTCGTCCCCGCCGGATAGATCTTCCCCCTCCGCGGGCCAATGAGGAACGGCAGCGCACCCGCGCTCTTCAGCGCCGCCTTCACCGCCTGCACCTCGTTCCCACTGAACCCATCCGCAATCAAGATCGCGATCCGACGCGACTTAATCGTCGGCTCCTTCGGAAGGTAGTACGTTTGCGACAGCGTATCGCTCTTCTGGCCCTTGTTCGGCTTCCCAGGCTTGTCGGGCACCTCGCCTCCAACGTTCAGCGCGACGTTCTTCGCGAGGTCGAGGTCGATGTTGCTCAGTACGCGCGAGTACGACTCGTACACGAGCGGGTCGTCGCAGTGGCTGAGCTCGAAGGAGAGCGCGGAGAGGACGTGCGCCTTCTCGAAGTCGGTGAGCGAGTTGTAGAAAAGCTGCGCCTGGTTGTAGTGCTCCTGGAACTTCGCGCCGCGCGCGCGCTGCTTGATGCCGCTGATGCGCTGCGCGAACTCTGCGTAGCCACCCTCCTCCTTGGGAACCGGCGGACCGGCCTGGAAGCGGTTTGGCCAGTAGTTGACCTGCCCCTTCGTGATGCGCGTCTGGTGCTGACCGTCACGGCTGTGACTCATGACGGGGCAGACAGGGCGGTTGATGGGGAGCTGCTCCCAGTTGATGCCGAGGCGGGTGATCTGCGTATCGAAGTACGAGAAGTTGCGGCCCTGAAGCAGAGGGTCGTCGCTGAAGCCGATGCCGGGTACGACATGGCTGGTGCAGAACGCAACTTGCTCCGTCTCCGGGAAGTACTCGTCGACGGTCCGGTTGAGAACCATCTCACCGATCGGCTCAAGAGGGACGAGCTCCTCGGGCCAGATCTTGGTCGCATCGAGAATGTCAAACTCGAAGTTGTGCTCGTCCTTCTCAGCAATGGTCTGGATGGCGAACGTCCACTTCGCTGGAGCGCCGTTGTTGATGGCTTCCTCGAGGTCCTTGCGGTGAAAGTCTGACGACTCATTAGCGCGTATTCTAATCGCGAGAGAGAAGAATGTACCTGGATCCTGACCCGCAATCTTCAGGGCCTCGTCCCAGACGAACGAATGCACACCGAGCTCGGGAATCCAGTGGAACTTGACGAAGTGACGCTCGCCGGCCGCGTTGAGCAAGGTGTAGGTGTTGACACCAAAGCCCTGCATCATGCGGTACGAGCGAGGGATGCCGCGGTCGCTCATAGCCCACATCACCATGTGCGACGCTACGCATACAGTCAGTCTTTTGAACAGCATATATGCGCCATTGACACGCACCCTCAGGCTGAAGACCGACAAAGTCCCAGAAGTTGTTGTGCGCGGACTGTCCCTGCGGAACCTCGTTATGAGGCTCCGGCTTGACAGCGTGCACGAAGTCGGGAAACTTGATCGCGTCCTGAATGAAGAAAACGGGAATGTTGTTGCCAACGATATCCCAGTTGCCCTCGTCGGTGTAGAACTTGGTAGCGAAGCCGCGCACGTCGCGTACGGTGTCAGCGCTTCCACGCGAGCCCTGCACGGTGCTGAAGCGCACGAAGACGGGGGTGGTGCGAGATGGATCGGTGAGGACGCCAGCGTATGTGTACTTCTTGGCGCGGTCGTCAAAGACCTTGAAGTAGCCGTGCGCGCCTGCGCCGCGTGCGTGGACCTAGTGATGTGTGAGATGAAGGAAGAGGTGCGAATAAGGAAGGTGCGTACGACGCGCTCGGGAATGCGCTCATGGTCAAAGCGATGGATCTTCTCGCGTGCGATCTGGTCTTCAAGGAGGGAAGGCCCTGCGTGGGTGCCGTCGGTGACCTTGAGCCTGCGTACAGTCAGCAAGCAGCAAAAGGTGTCAGATATGCGACGCACCAGTTATCCGTGTCGGAGACGGGAACACCGTGGTCGGTGGTGAGCTTCGTCGACTTGGACACCTCGACGGTGTTCTGCGCGAGATCAGACTGCTTCGCGTTCGCCGTCATGCTGGTAATTGCTTGCTTGATGGCAGACGACATTGGGAGGTAGAACGGCGGACGAGGTGGAACAGACTGGCTTATATACTCCAGGCCGTGGACAGCAGACGGACATGACGCGGAGGCGGATGGACGAATCAGAGGGCGCGCGTTGAAGGCGAGCGACGTCAGATGACGCTCATTATAGACAGCCGCGCACGGGGGCGACAGTAATGCGCTCCCGTGCGCGATGGACCGCGGTTCGGGTATGTTCTCTGCGCGCAGACGACCTCCCCTGCCTACGCCAGTCCTGACGTCACGCCAATCCTCAGCGCGTCAGGTGCCGCCTTAGTGAGAAGCTGCGCGACCGTACACTGAATAATCGGCCGTCCTCTGGGCATCCCGAAGGTGCTGGGGATTAGCATTTAGGCGACCAATGCACAAAAGATGGTGTCAGGACGAGCGGAAGACGATGATCGGCGCTTGGCGCCCGCGGAGATCGAAGTTCATTTACACGTGACCGTGACTCCCACGGTTGAACTTTGCTCGACAGCGAGTTGGAGGTATAGAGCCTATCGCTGAGCCTTCCGTGGTAGCTCTGCAAATTTTTGCAGAGTATAGTAGCCAAGAGTGGCCTCTGAGGAATTCTCTCGAAGGTAGAGCACCGTTCAATAGGGCGAGGCATTTTGGGGATGGCTCCCACCAATGTAAAGCGCTGCGTCTGGTGTTCACTGCAGCTGACACTGGGCCCTGCAAGCTTCGCACTACCTTTCTCGTCACCTGGATTGCCTCTCAAGAAATACCGCATCGTTGTATTGTGCACAAGACTACACAACCGCCGCAGGCAAACGCTGCATACACTACTCCTCCCCGACCTCCCATTGTACTTCGTCCCCACCCTCGTCCCCTTCTAGGGTTAGGGTCAGCCCCGCCTCCCTAACGCAAAAGAGCCCGCCCAGCTAGAGTGGCCGGAGCGGGACGGGAAAATATTGGGACGGTGCATGAGCCGAAGCCCATACAATGCGCAGGTTCTCCCTGAGGACAGGGTCGCCGTGCTATGGAGAGCCCCCACGCACCACCTGCCCAGATACATGAAGGGGCAGATGCCATCAAGGTAAGTATGAGTTGCCCAGGTGCGAAGAGATGGGTTTTGTAGCGAGCGGAGGACGCACGGACCAGGAGGGGAAGGAAGGACGCATGGATGAGGCGAGGCGGCGGCCGGAGTGGAGAGGGAGGTTGGAGTTCGAATTCGGGGAGGGTGCTCAAAGAAGGTCGGATAGGAAGCCATATATACTCAGATTTACTTCCTATAAACCCAAATTCTCTACTAGCGTACACAATAGCGACTCTATACATACCCACCTGAACTCGTCTACGGCCATTCCATATCACCCAGCGACATACACTTGGGCCGAAGCTGCTCGCGCAACTTCGCCTCGTCCTGTTGCCCTCGTCCCCAGCCCACCCACGCGATAGGCCAAACAGGCACAGTGCAGACGCTCTGCAGAAGCTTCAGCAAAGTACAGCAATGGTCTGCAAAGTTACTCACCTCCCTCCCGCAAACCTCCTTACACTGCATCCAAGCCGGCCAATCCAGCCAGGCAACCAAATCTCGTACGCGAGCTTGCCAAGCTTGGACATCACTCCCCGCAGTCCCCTTCCGATCATGCAAACCACTCCGCGCCGTTGCGACAACATCCCAGCTCTCCGCAAAAAGCGCGCCAAAGTCATCGCAAAGGCGACGCACGACGACATCGATACTCTCGCGCAAAAGCTGCTCCTGCGCCGTCAGCAGCATGCCACCCTTCGCGAAACCCGTTGCCAAGCTCTCGCAACGCGCGCGCGCCGCCTCGTCGAAGAGCTCCCGCCCCGACGCACCCGGCTGCGTCCCCGGCGCCATATACGGACTGAGCGGCGTGTACGCGAGTGCGCGGACCCGGAGAGCGGTCTCCGTTGCATTCTCCGCCTGCCCACTCAGTACCGCATCCATCTCGGCAATCCTATCCGCCCACCCCCACACCACGTCCCGCGCAAGGCCTTGCCAATCTACCCCACTGCCCCGCATCTCTGCCTCACTCCTCGACAGGACTTCGTCCAGCTCGTCCAGCACGCTCTGCACGTCCGCATCAGAGGCCTCCGCCCACGCGCGGTGCACCGTCATGGTGTGATTGACGCGGGAGGGAGCTAGGCTCGTGAGGCGCGGGTGGTAGAAGGTGACGAGGGAGGCGGGGAAGAGGGTGATGTGTGGCTGAGGGATGAAGGGGCGTCGGGAGGCGGCGCGAAGCCATTCATAGTTTCCGGAACGAGCGAGGGGAGCGGGTTGCCACCAGCGGCGAGGCGGACCACGGTGGGGTGGGCCGCGGTGTGGGGGTCGATCTTCCGGGGGATCCGGCACGGGGCGCAAGCTTTCTTGATCCAGGAGGTCCTGTAGTACGACCTCTCTACCGGGTGGTGGTGGGAAGGGGAAATCGGGGAGGGTACCCGGTTGCGTGTCGGGGGGCGTTATGTTGAGGTTGCTGACAAGCTCAAGCGCTGGCGAAGAAAAATTACACCAAATCACTTCGCTACAAACCCCGTTAGCCCACGCCCTTCACCCTAACCAAACAGCCTCACTCACAATCCCCCATTCATCCTCACGATCCCCTCCACCCCTCTTGACGCGCCCCATTCGCACAGCCCCTGCGCGCGCCCATAATCATCCCACCACGCCGGCTGCGTCGCGTTCGCCAGCCCCTTCCCCGCCATGACCGCGTGCTGCGTGTCCAACCATCCCGGGCCCCACGCCGCGGACATGCCGTTGAAGTACAGAATCCTAGCTAGCCTGGTCGTGCGGTAGGTGCGCAGGTACGTGGGCCCAGGAATCTTGCTCGCCATGACCGCGTAGCTCATCTCGGGGTCGAAGGCGAGCCATTCGGGGGAGGGGGTGGGCAGAATGTCGTCTTTGCGGGCGTGGTAGAGAGTAGTGTAAGGGGACAGGGTGCCTGGTATGATAGAGTGGCCGTTAGGGTGCCAGGTGTTGGGCCATTGGGCGAGGAGGGAGGAGAGCTCGTTGAAGATGAAGGGCGCGACGGTAGAGAGGTCGCTATCCTCCGTTCGCGTGGCCGAGATCAACGGAAGAGCCAGCAGCAAAGCAAGTATCCTCATCAGTACCGTCGCAACATGAACGATGAGCGCAAGCAAGACGCAGACGTCGGCGACACTGCATGATAGCGGGAGGAGCGCAGCAGCCGATCGTGCGGACCTAACCCGGGCCGAACTTTGAATACTTCCGCGGCAAATGCCGAAAAAGGCATTTTATGGCCACTTGCCGTGTGGCGCTGTGCGCTTCGAGGGATCACGAAGGACGATTGGCGCGTTTATACAGCATTATCGATACAACATGAGAACAAGCATTGACCACTAGTCTAGGACTTTGCCTTCTGCTTCTCCTCCTCGCTCGGGAACTTTGCGAACATATCCATCACCTTGTCGATGGGTGCGCTCATCAAGCCCACAATGGTCTCGAAAGGCGGCTTATCCGGCGCAGAGGGGTGGGGGCTATCAGTGGCATGAGTATGTTTTTTTGCTGCATAGGAAATATCTGCTGCATGAGAAAAAAAACGCACCGCGTCGGCGCAATCATCTTTGTCCGCGCAAATGAGCCCGCAGCGCTTTTGCTATCCTCATCCATCAGCAGCGCCTCGAGCTTCGGCATCTCGTCCCGCTCCTCGGTGTCGATGTGCTTGTGCAGCGCGCTCATGGTGGACTCAAGGAGCGTGTCGAACTCGGTGGAGCCGGGGTCGAGCTTCTCGAGCTCGTAGAGCTTTTCTTTGACTTCCTGGGAGGGGGGAGGGGAGGGTCAGATGGGGTACGGGCGAGGGGGAGGGAAAAAGAGGAAGGGAAGAGAGGGGAGGAAAGAATGGGGCAAAGAACGCACATTGTGCTCCTTGCGATTCTCATCAGCGAGCTGGGTACCGCGCGTGCCCATGTACTTCTCGAAGAGGGGGTAGACGACGAGTTCCTGCGGAGGGTCCTAGAGTTACTCGCTGAAAGCAGACAGCACGCAAAAAGCGCACCTCGCCGATAGAGTGCCGCGCCACCTCCCAGATCAACTGGCGCGACCAGCGCTGCTGAGCGTCGAAGTCGCCCACAGACTTCTTGTACGCCTCATGGTAGGCGAAGATCTGCATGGAAGAATGACTCGAGTGAGTAGGAGCCCGCCATTCGAGGGATGAGAGAGCATAACATACATCCCGATGGTCCTCCTTGATTGCGTCGCTAATCTTCTGGTTGCTGGTCATCGTGCTAGTAGTCGACGCGAGGCGAAGAAAGGTGCTCGATTGCTGGGTAAGGCGACGAGAGAGGAATGAAGGCGCTCTGCAGAGTATGCGAGTCGAGAGCATACTACTCTGCCTCTTCCCGCGCAGCTGTCTTCATATACATGGGCCCTGCCGCCCTATGGCCGCAATGTCGGTGACCTGCTGGTGACGACTACATGCGAATCATAGCGTCTAGTGGGCGATGAGCAGCACTGTGAGCCTTTCATGACGCGATGACGATGAAGTAGCATGCGGTTGGCCGAAAAGACATGGTGCCGAATGCATTGCGCTCAATTGGCTTGCAATCGAGCGGATCGACGAGCTAACGAGTCGCTCTTGCGTGTACGGGACTGGTCATCCTGAGTGACGGAAAGTTCAGCAGTACACGGCCAGACGCTAGTAGCGAAAGATTGAAGAAATGCGAAAATCAAATTGTCCCCTCGTAGAGATTCTTGAGAGCGCGTGAGATGCAGTCTGACGCAGCGCGCAGATGTTCGTTTTCTGGTGGCCGCTCGACTCCCAGCGCCACCGTGGGACTTTGCCTGAGCTTCGGCTCGGTCCGCCCTGCTTCCAAGACGATGCCGAACGTCGGCGCGCCTGGTGCCACGCGCAGGGAAGACGAGCGCTGGTGCGAAATTCGAACTTGTGTTTTTCTGCTCTTGACCACCATCCTCTGTGCGAGGAGGCGAGCTCGATGTCATGTCAGCGCGCACAGCTGTGGGCAGCGCAGGTAGCGTGTCTTCTGCTCTCATGATCTTGCTGCCTCCTGACGCTATTAGTGTCGCAGACATGCCCGCAAGCGGGCGGGTGAGTACTTTCGAGGTGAGCAGGTCGCCCTCTTGACTTCGTCCTTCTCACTCGCCCGACCTGCAGACGGGTCGATCTCCCCCCAGGGTGATTGCGTCCAGAGCGCTCACGGCGAAGGCCACTTGTTGGCGGCGCAGGCGATGGCGTGGCGCGCGAAGTGTGCAGTGGGGTGAGGACCCTGGGCCGGAGACGAGTGGGCATCCCGAGCACTTGTAAGCACAGTATGCATAGCCTGTATGTTGTGTATGTAGCTGTAGTCGATGGCAATACAGTCTGTTTCTCTATCTACTTTGCGAGCCCAAGGCCAGTGAGCAAGGCGAGGAAAGGGACCCCAGCGCGCTGGCGAGAGCACCGAGGTGACGTCACTTGCGAATGTTTTGCAAGCGCCGGCGCTTGCAAAAATTTCTTATAGAGACAATTTTGAATCCACCTCAAACGATTCCAACATTCTTTGATACCGGCGGTTGCATGAAAACTTCGCTCCCACCGTCCGGCCGTGTACACCTCCTCGTAACTATAGGCGTTGATGCCCGGCTGCAGCCCTGCATACCATCGCTCCATGCGGGGCAGGACCAAGTCAAGGAAGTTTTCATTGTTCCCAAATAGGTAATCTTGTGCAATCACATGACAAGTTCGACTACTCGGAGGCAATTCCGGAGTCTGCGATGCTCGACAATGCTGCGTGTATGAATTTGAATTGAAAGATGGTGATACACTGCGGATATGGTACAAATGATAGCTATAGTACAGGTACATTCTAAGCAACTTACTCGGACTTCATCTCGTCGGTCGGGAACTTGGCGAACACATCCTTGATCTTGTCAATCGGCGCGGTCATGAGCCCCACGACGGTCTCGAATGGAGGCTTGTTGGGGGCGGATGGGTGTGCGCTGAGTAACGGTCAGAAAGCAGTTATTGTGCGACAAGAAACCGATACTCACCGTGTCGGGACGAACTTCTTCGTCCGGCTGAAGCTCTGCGCGGCCGTAGCGCTTCCGTCCGCACCGAGATGAGGCTCAAGCTCTGGGAGGTCCTTCTGCTCCTCCGAGTCGTTGTGCTCGTGAAGGTGCTTCATGACGGCGGCGAGGAGGGTGCTGTACTCCTCGCTTCCGGGCCTCATGGACTCGATCTGGTAAAGCTTCTCCTTGACGTACTGAAGTGGGCGTCACGTCGAGGGTGGAACGGAGGGGATAGGATCAACGAACCTGGTGGTCAGCACGATCCTGATCGGCCAGCTTTAAGCCCTTCTCTCCCATATGCTGCTCCATCAACGGGTAGACGACAAGTTCCTGCGAAGGGGTGAGTTCAAGAAGAATGAAGATGGGCAAGCAACGCACCTCCCCCACAGCATGGCGGGCTACCTCCCAGATGAGTTGGCGAGCCCAGCGCTCCTGCGCATCGACATCTCCCGAGGCCTGAGTGTACTTGTCGTAGTACTCGTACATCTGCGGGAAGCGTGTCAGCGCATATCTTCCACTCATGGTAGCTAATGGCACGCACCTCCTGGTGGTCCTCCTTGATCGCGTCGGTCAGGCTACGGCTCGACATGGCTCGGTATGCGACTAGACGTTGGATTCCGGTTGAAAAAGCTGGCAATTGCGTGGGCAATCGACGCGCGGTGGAAGTCGCTCGGGTCAGGAGGGTTCGGGGGAGCATAGTGTGGAAGGGGAGGGGTTTTTATACCCGCCATTCATTGAGGATTTATAGCGAACCCGCATAGTCTGGCATGACGCAGCTGACGAAATGGCCATCGGCGATTGGCTGAGCGGAAAGTACGTGAGTGGCAGAGGAGACGGGCTTGAGACGGGGATGATGTCGAGGATGACGGAGGACATTGCTCTATCATCACACTCGCGTGCCGCTCGATCACATCTGGACCAACAACACTCCTTGTCCGAAACTATACCGGACTTTATGAACCGTCGCTGGAAAAGCTGCTATGTCTTGTTGACCAGGTATGTTAGGTAGCTGCCATACAACAGCCTGAAGATGCCTGACGCGCTGACTCGCATGGTAGGCGCAGTTTCAGCAAGACAGAGCTCACTCTGCCAACTGAGGTGGTCGGAACAAGAGCGGGTCGTCGCCATCGCCGCCGAGCAGAAAGAGAGCACCGAGTGCGAATGCTGAAGAGGAGCACAGAAAGCCCAGAAGGTCTGCTCAGCATGGAGGAGTTTGACGAGGACCTCACCCTCCCTATGTGAGACCACTCCCATGGCATCCCCGGATCAACTTACGGCGCGTCCTACGCGTACGGCTCAACGACGACTGCTTCTTTCTCACCCTCGGCCTCACTCTATCTGTTGGCGGTCAGTGTTTCTCACTGACGCGTCGCTTCGCGGCCTTACAGTTATGTTCAAGCTCACACGTTGATCACACATCTCTAGAGCCTATCGCCCCTTCTCTTGATTCTGCCAGCTGAGCGTTGTCGATCCTCGTCCATAGCCTGATTAAACGAGAGCGAAGGGATCTATCGACGACCCCCGCTGCCTGCAGAGCGCCCACGAGGCCGTGACGCTGCACGAGACCTCATGAATGTAACTCGACGCGACGCGTCGTGTCGCAAATCGATTAGGCGCTTCACCACTTTCACCACCACCATCACTGTACACTACCTTCTCTTACTCGCGACACGACCCAGACGCCCAAGTCGCCTACATCACGTCTGTACACCTTCACGACACCCTTCTCACGTCCTTCTCTCCCCGCGACCGTCGAGATCCTAGCTGGTGCTAGAGACGCTACGGACAGGCTCCACGCGCTGCAACGACCCGCCAAGATCTCCCGAGCCATCCGTACCCCTACCACACACTACCCGACTTCCCTCAGCGCGATGGACGCGATCGCCTTCCCGTCTGCAGCGCAGACCTTCGTGATCGAGCTCCTCGACATGATCATGCTCACGTACCGGGACGACGGAGACGTAGCCCCCTCGCCCTCGGAGATCCTCAAGCTTGCTCACGTCTGCCGTCACTGGCGCGACGTCGCGCTTGGTCAACCACGCCTCTGGACCCAGCTCGTCGTCGCTCTCCGCCAGCTGGCGACGCCGCGCAACGCACAGCAAGTGATGCGCTGGTTCGGCCGCGCGTCCCCACACCAGGTCGATCTTCAGATCGGGGACCCGTGGAATTCGTCCAACCTTGCTGTGGGCACCGTCATCCCGCTCGTGCTGCTCCGGGTCACCTCCCAGCTGCGCGGCCTACGCATCTACTGCGATCGGGACTGGTACCAGCTGCTGGCGGGCCTTCCCAGCGACGCCTTCCCTGCCTTGCAGCGTCTCCACATTGAGGCCTCCAACCAGACGCAGAACACGGCGCAGACGATCACCTGGACGTGCCCGCGGCTCGAGCAGCTCTTCCTCTACAACATCACGCGCATCACTGCATGCGACAGCCTCGCGGCCATCATGCATGCTCCGTGGGCGCAGATGCAAGAACTGGCCCTCACGGGCATCGATGCCGAGTACGACGTTGGGCCTGTCTTCTTCCAATGCGTGCGCCTCCGCCGCGCCGAGCTCGTCCTCCACGGCGCGTTCTTCGACGATCCGGCGCACAGGCCCGCTAAGATCGTGACGTTCCCCTTCCTGACCGCGCTGAGTGTCACCTTCGAGGTGTTCCCGGAAGAACTGGGCACCTGCGCGCACTTCCCCGCCCTCGATGCGCTCCATCTGTACGACGAGCGCAACTGGAGTGCGTTCGGGCAGCCTTGGGCCCCTCTCTACCTCTTGGCGGAGCGGTCAGCGCAAGTGACGGACCTCACGCTCACGCTCTTCGATCTAACGGGAGAGGGGGATCGGGATGCCTGGCTGCTCTTCGAGCGCTTCTCGAACTTGACGCGCCTGGTCTTGAGATCGGTCTGCGTCTACCCTCAAGAGGTCGGGTACATCGGGGTCACCGCGACGGACGGTGGCGTCCTTCTTCCAAATCTCGAGGTCTTGCGTTACGAGGGCGCATCTCTGGCCTGGGTCGGTGTCCTCCAAGACAATGTCGGCGTCCTAAAGCTAGCGTATCGCAATATTCACTCCTTCCTTGAGGAATATGTTGTTCCTGGACATATCCCGCTGAAGGAGTTTCATGGCAGCTGGACCGACGAGTTTTACGATAACCTTGCCGAGGATGACGACGCAGCTAAGGACGACGACGCATGCCAGGACCAGGCTCAGGAGGTTCCCGAGAAGGAAAGCTCGGCCTACCCAGTGGAGACGATCGACGAGGGCATCCTACGTTCTCTTAGGGAGCTACGAGACAAGCTTGCACCGACTGTAGATATCAGCTTGCAAGGCTTGTAAGGGCGATACCAGGACTAGCGACTCATACCACTAGTGAGCTTGAGCTACACGGAAATTCCGTTTTGCTCATCGCTCCTGGGAAGCCCACGCTTGGTCCACCGTCCTGAGAGATGACCTTCAAGTGTAGCCCCGCGCGTGTAGTCTCTGCGTATGCAGTAGCTATATTGAAGGAGCTGAAGGGGCAGGCGCCATTGACGGATTTTCTATACGGAAGTTGTGTAGCTCAAGCTCCCTACTGCTACACTTCCACACTTTCTCTTTTACGCACTCCAACGGAACGCTAACGGCCTTCCACGACAAGCTAGATGACATGTACGACATACTTGTACACTACCCGCGTCATACTGTACTACACATCCACATCTTACACACCACTTCCACTTCCACTTCCACCGCCCACGGCACACTAGACACCACTGAAGACCTACCATAGACACTACTTACTGGCACGCTAATGTACGCTACATAATCGCATGAATTCCTTGGTTTGAAGCTTTCCGTAGTCCGCTGAAGTGTGCCCGACTGTTTGAGGAGAGCTGTGTGCGAACAACGTTGGGTTGCCTTCTACCACCATCATGGTCTAAGCGTTCGACATGGTCGAAGACCGTCGGATGGGAAATAGACACTGCAAAACCGCACAGTAACGGTGTTCAAAGCACTGGATGCGTGAGCAGTTACCCATGAATGTGATCGGCAACTACACACGCTCATCGGCGGCGTCCTCGCACTCGGGGAGGGGCTTCGATCAGGGGCCGATCTGCCCCAACGTCCGGCCTACGCCGCTGCAGCAACATTGCTCGCATTCCCACCCACTCGATGGTACCCTCAGTGGGCCCCGATGGATGCTTTCCACTGAAGGACGTCCTGTACGCCTGCGAGTGCATCGGTGCCACCCCGCCCCTATAACTTAAGGGGCAGCACTGCGCAGTACTTTCCCCTGGCGCTCCGAATGTGCCGTCGTGCCGCCAATCCCTCCCCCACTCTACATTGCTGCCCTCGACGAGCACGCTCAGAGTGTCATTCTCGATGCTCCTGGGGCCCGCATGAGCACGCGCAACCAGCATCTATACCGTCGGGCGTCCGCGGACACCGCGGATGCTCGCGACAACGGTGTTCGAGCATTGCGATGCGCAAGCGTTGCTCGCCGGAATCAATCACGCCCGATCCTCGGCGACGTCGAGCGTGGGGAGCTTCGATTGGGGATCGCGTCCGTGACGAGGAGAATGTGTGGTGAAGGTGCCCACAGCACGCCACCAGCATCCCCTCCCCCCGCCCCTATATCAGTATGTATGGCTGCCGGAGCCCTCTGGGTACGCACGGTCTCCGTCCCTTCACACAGGCTCGATCACGTACAGCCCAGCTGCCTGCGAAGAAACGTGCGAAGACACGTAGGGCTATCCAAAATTCATTGTGCATTATTCCATTCACCATCACTGGTATACCAACCCATCCGTCAACAACCCATCCTTGCCCATCAATTTTACAAGGACCTGCTGCAAGACAGCTCAGCGGACATCACCCCTCATGCCTCCCGCGATGCTGGTCGTTGGCGCTCAAGCGCGTCTGGATGGCGCCTGCGTGGCTTTTGCGGAGATGGCATCGAAGACGGCTGCAACTCCCGGGCTGACTTAATCGCCCTGTGTATGCGCTTCTGGGAAAATGTCGCCGACGTCGACCCCTCTATTTGCGGGTGCTCTCAGTATCCTGTGGCCTGGATTCACGCCCTCTGCGCGCACCCGACGGCATGCGATACACTGGGAAAGTTTAGATTCAACATCTTACAGCTATTCGGCAGGCATCACACAGTCTCGCTGCCCACATGCGCGTGGGTGCCGGCTTCAGATGGGAAAGGTAACCAGGATGGAGGATTGTGACTCACGGCTTGCGGGAGAGACCAGGAGGCGGCCGAACTCGGGTTGGGTTTGCTACAATGGTAATTCTGTGTGTCGTTCGGCTCCGTAGCGCGTACATCAGCACTGTATGTCGTAGTACGGGCACCCCGTATGTTCCTTAAGGGACCGCTCGGGTAATCCACTCCACTCCACTCCACTCGAGGGAAGATACGCGTGATCATCCGAGCAGCGTCCCAAGAGTGGTTCTCTTGAAGCTGAAAAGCTGAAGTCAGCACACCGCAGTTGAGAAGGTCACAGGCTTGAGTAGCGCTAACCCTGAGTTCTCGCTCGCTGGGTCAATGGAGGCGCAGTCAGACGAGTTCTGCGGTATTCAGATGAGGTTGGCTTGAAATGGAAATAATGCAGCAACACCGGATGCGCCTCGTTCGATTCTCGAGTGATGCCGAGGTTGCTCCTGATAGCGTGTGCCACGGTGTACAGACCCACTCGAGACAGCGCAGAAGTGCTTGAGCTTGACGTATAACAGACATACAACCAGAACGCAGGCTCAAACATTTGTTCAAAGGACCCGGATGCGCACGCCTGTTGCAGCCTCGAATTTGGCAAGTATTTGGGAAGCGGCATGACATTTTGACGAGTTCCGCGGCGTGAGGAATCGAGCCCGTCATGAGACGAGCTTCAAAAGCGCAAGGTTGAGCGCCTTGATGTCGGCAACTTAGGGCGATGGGTCAGATGCTAGACAAGGTACATGTATCGGACGATAGGACCTACTAGCACATTGACAGCGAGGTCGAGCATACTCATGACAATAGGTTGAAGCGCGATTGCTCAGCACTGTAGTACTTGCTGATGATAGCGCATTCAGGCGACTGACCTGCTTTCACGACCTGAACACGCTAACGCCGTGGCACGGACGATCAGGCTAAGGACGAGGGGGATTTAATACAGGGTCTTGTCGTAGTTTACATCTTTGCGTTCATGCTCTTCGCATCTACTTCCGCAAGCTCTCGAAGAAGGTCGCGATGCTGGTGCCCTTGAAGCTGTAGATCCGTATGAGTTCCCGGTATGCATACAAGCAGACAGGGAAACAGAGAATTGTGGCACCTACCCAAGGTTGTTAGCGCCGGGGTCGATGAAGGCGCTACAGCGAAGGTCAGATGCGCCATCGGTCAAATAAAGAGGTCAATACGCACATGAGCCCGCGGTCATTGGGCAGGCCGAGCTTCTCGGTGAGCCATTCCGAAAGCGCCTTGCTGCGTGCCTCGTTGATCTCGCGAGTGGTGTTGAGGTCGGTCTGGCGTGTGGGTTGGCGGGAAGATGGATGATGAGCGGGTGAATGAGCGAGGTGGCGAATGAGAGTGAGTTGACCAATAGGAAAAACACGAGGTACGTACAGCCGACAACATATAGGCAGGCTCGTGCGAGCCGCCAAAGCTCAACACCTCGCCGGCCTGGATGCGCACACCAACAAAGGCTTCGGGTTTGCCAAGGATCTGGCTGGCGGCCTAAAGGGAAAATTTCAGCGAGCGAGGTGAGGAGAGTCGACATGATGCTGACCTTGGAGAGCTCGAGGCTGAGCGCCTTGACGTCGGGAACCTGAGGGAGGCGCGTGAGTCACTCGGTCGACAAGTCGGTCGAAGGAGAAGGGAGATGCACTGACCGAGACGTTTGTGGCGAGATCGACGAGAGGCATGGCGGCGTTGGGGAGGGAGGGAATACGAAGAAAGGTAGAGCTCGAGAGGTGCCGAGGGGGAGAAGCCGAGTTGAGAATCGCGATAGAGGATGCTTCACCCCCAGCGTCGCTATCCTCTTATATAGCTCGAGGCGGAGACAAAGCCGGATAAATGAGGATGAGGAACGGGAAGACCAGGACCGGCTTCGTACGCATCGAAGATGTCTGCGCGCGCGTCACTTGAGTGGTCGGCATGCGACATCCCCACAGGAGGCGCGCGTACGAGATGGGGTATGACTCTGAGAGGGATCATATAATGACCTGAAAAGGCATTAAATCAGCATTTGCATTGTACACGTGCGGGAGGAAACGGTGAAAGCGTCCATTCAAACCCGACAATGACGGACGTTGGCATCTTGGTCAGGACAGTCGAGCATTAATCAGGGTGTAGTGTTGCTGAGCAAGTCCGAGTCGGGCGTGCAGGATCATCTTCCTTGGAGATATTCGTGCGGGGATGGGGCCGATTGGATGAGAATTGAAGGGACCCACAACAACAGCAAGCTCACCAACGGCAGCGTATCTGAGGCACAGCGTGCGGATTTGAGCGGCTCGGTAGTTAAACTTCCGAGAGTGACAGAGATCCTTGAGTAGTTGGACAAGGGCGCAGCTTTCATTCATCAGGCGAAGTCGGATTCAATGTGCCATCGCTGGCGTCGATGGAGATGTCGAGGAGAAACTGATGTTACATCTATTCGCTTTCCTTTACATTGATTGTGAGTTATATTTCCTTGCCCTAGATTCGGACGCTTCAACCGAAGATCGTCGCGAAAGTGGTTCCCTGGTAGCTGGGGGGAAGTTAGGTCGCGTACAGCGCACATCGCCTTGGCAATACTTACCCAAGATTGGCGTTGCCGGGGTCGATGAAGGCTCTGAATTGGTGGTGGTTGAGCATGCGTATTCGCTGAAGGCGAAGCAAATGCACGAACATGTAACCACGGTCGTTGGGCAGGCCGAGCTTCTCCTTGAGGAACTCGGAGAGGGCCTTGCTGTACTTCTCGTTAGCGGATGGGTTGACATTGCCAAGGCTGGTCTGTGCATGTCGTTATAAGATGAAGGAAAGGATAGAATGATCGACGTACAATGACCAGTTGGAAGGCCGGGTCATGGGTACCACCGAAGGTGAGGGTCTCGTTGACCTTGATCAGGACGCTGATATAGCTCTCGGGCTTTCCGAGAATCTTCGCGCCGACCTGCAAGCCACAGTCTAGTCCAGAATGAGGGGGCTGATCGACTTCAAGCCAACCTTGGACAGCTCAAGGCTGAGCGCCTTCGCGTCGGGGATCTGTGACATATTCAGTCGCTGATGACGTGTCAGACGATGGAAAAGGGCTTACCTGAATGTTAACGGTGAGGTCGAGGACGGGCATGATGGTGGTGAGGAGCAAGAAGGCTGGGAACGTCGACGAATGGTTGCGCCATCGAGGCCGGTCCGCGTCGAGTCACTGATCTCATCTCTCTTCCTCCCCCCATCCTCCAGATCGTCGGAAGGGTCGACGCTGAGCACCGTGATGGCTACCCCTCAGTTCCCCCCAGAATCACTTGCAGCGGATCCGACCGCACCACCCACAGTCGCCTCGATCGGCGAGGCTCTTGCTGGAACCACCCTGACGGAGTCGTGCGTGAATCGCCATGCCCCTCCCGCTAGCGTTGACCTCACCATGTCAGGAAGGCAGAAGGATCGTCGTCAGCTACCCCAGTGATCAAGCCCGTCCCTCAAGCCGACGGCGAACAGGCGCAGGTCGTGACGCCGTGGGACGTGCAGGGCGGAGTCACCAGCGACGGCAAGCAGAAGGCGATCGACTACGACAAACTCATCGACCAGTTCGGCACAAGAAGGATAGACGATGCGCTCCTCCAGCGCTTTGAGAAGCTGACTGGGCACAAACCCCATATCCTGCTTCGGAGAGGGACCTTCTTCTCGCACCGGTGCGTTGATCGATCGTGCCGCGTAGGCCGTTAGCTGACGTGCAATGCAGTGACTTTTCGCAAATATTAGACCGCTACGAGCAAGGGAAGCCGTTCTTCTTGTACACTGGACGTGGTCCGAGCAGCGATAGCATGCACCTTGGCCACATGATACCCTTTGTCTTCACAAAGTGAGAACCACAGCTCAAGCTCGCGCACCCCCCTCTGACCAATACTTCCAGATGGATGCAGGACGTCTTCGATGTCCCCCTTGTTGTCCAGCTCACGGGTAGGTCGTATCTCCGATCGCGCCCTCGAGCGCTGCTGACATATCTGTAGACGATGAAAAGTTCCTGTTCAAGCACCAGTTGAAGGTCGAGCAGGTCAAGGAGTTCTCGCGCCAGAATGCCAAGGATATCATCGCCGTCGGCTTCGACCTCAATAAGACCTTCATCTTTAGCAACTACGCCTACATGAACGGCGCCTTCTACGAGAACGTTTCCCGCATCTCCCGCCAAATCACCTATAACCAGGCCCGTGCGACCTTTGGGTTCAACGAATCGTGCGTCGCCCTTCCCCTCACCCATCCCCCTCCTCTGACGTATCGCCCTCAGAGACAATATCGGCAAAATCCACTTCGTTTCTATCCAAGCCGCACCCGCTTTCTCCAATTCCTTCCCTCAGATTTTCGGCACCGCGTCCAACATCCCTGCGCTCATCCCCTGCGCGATCGACCAGGACCCATACTTTCGCCTTACGCGCGACATTGCGAGCAAGCTCAAGTATCCCAAGCCCGCCCTTCTCCATTCGCGCTTCTTCCCTGCGCTGCAGGGCCCGCAGACGAAAATGAGCGCGAGCGATCCAAATAGTAGTATCTTCATGACGGACAAGCCGAACCAGATCAAGAACAAGATCAACAAGCATGGATTCTCGGGCGGGAGGGAGACGGAGGAGGAGCACCGTCAGTTTGGAGGGGATACGGAGGTGGATGTGGCGTATCAGTACTTGACGTTCTTCTTGGAGGACGACGAGGAGCTGGCCAAGTTGGGAGAGGTGAGGAGACGTGTTGATTCAGATCTATGGAGTGCTTACCATGTTCGTCAGGAGTACCGTGCTGGCCGCTTGCTTACTGGCCAGTTGAAGGCCCGGTGTATCGCGCTGCTGCAGAAGTTCGTCGCGGATTTCCAGGAAGTGAGTCCCGTTCATGCGACGCAGTGATCATACGCTCAACTTGTCGTAGCGCCGCTCCAAAATTACAGAGGAGACCGTGAACGCCTTCATGGATGGAAGCCGCAAGATCGAGCCGCGATTTGGAAAGGCAAAGACGGCGTGACTAGGAGACAGTATGCCACGCGACATCTTGTATTCGGTATTTATGGCTATACTGCCGTCGACGATGTGCACGACCTTTCCGTTGCTTCAAACCTTGCTTCAGCTTCTTCAACCAACGAAATACGCTGCGTCAGATGTGCTTGCCTTGAAGGTTGGTCATCTTTCATTTCTTGGGTCGCATCGGCGTCACATCCCCGTCTCCACCATACATCCCCTTCGGACGCCCAGACGACGGGAGACCATGGACGATTCCCCACAGTGGTCTATCTTTACCGCCAGGCCCACGATCAGCAGTATATATATGCGCAAGTGGCCTTTCACCCTCTTGACTGCGGTTGCCCTCCACCACGTCGACTGAACGCGAGCTTGTCGGCAAGCTCTTCAAGGCTCAGGCCAGACGAGATGCGCTCTGTCAGCGCTCTTGCTTTACTCTGCATCTTCCTATGCTCCCATCTTGTTGTCGCAGACCCAGCATCTCGCGGGCTAGCTCAGGCTGTGGCCCGCGTCGCTAGGCATCGAAATATGGCGGTTGCGCAGGACGCCCTTCCCGAGGAAAGCAGCGAATGGTACGTTTTGCGCTGAGAAAGAAAGGCAAAGTGCGTCAACTCACAGCGGCCAGGGAAATGGATGCCGGATTACAAGGCTGCCTCTAGAGCGAACTTATCGTTGGCTTGAAGGCTGGCATACCATTGCGATCATGGTAACCTTAGTACGAGAGGCAGGGAGACGTTGAACAGAACGCAAATTGGGGTTGATGCGCTCTTTCCCTCGGACTGATTGCTCGACTTATTGTGGGCTCAAGCAAACAGGCCACGCCGAGGCTGTTCGACGATGCATGCATAATGTGGTTGCGCACGTATTTGCAGACATACACGGAAGATATTGAAGAGTGGCATTCTGTAAATCTACGAAGGCGCGATATGGATGGGCATCGTTACTTGTCCTCAAACATTGACTATCATGCCTTCTTCCGAGAGCTCGATGATATCCCGCAAAACAGATAGCTCCAAAGGATACGACGAGGACGTGTACTCGAACGACTCCAAGCGCGATACCGAGGAATCCTCTACCGGCTTGTATCGTGAATGAAGCATGACTCGGAGCTGCGCATCCCGCATGCCTGCACCTCCCTCAGAAAGGTCTGCGTTGGACGTCAAGCTGAGATAGCGCAGGCGGGGAAGATAGACGGGGCTGTTCTCCCGAACCGACAGACGCTCGTAGAACTCCTCGAGAGATATCTGGCACAGGGCGATGCTTAGCGATGTGACGGAGGGTAAGAGTTGAAGAAAGGCGGTCATATCAGTGAGACCATCCATGTCGCATCTCCGTAAAGTGACTTGCTCGAGGTGCGGTGAATGGGACAGCATGGCCGCGAGTGCGTCCGAGAGCTCGAGGCCATCTTCGTCATTCCCGAGCTCAAGGGTGAACGATGCGAGGCACGGCAAATGCAGTTCCTGACGGAAGAAGGAGATGCTGCCGTAGCAAGTCATCGAAAGAGTGCGTAGCTGGGGAAGAATGATGGGTTCAGGTGCGCCCAAGGTGTCCCAAAGGAGATGACGCCCAAAATGAATGTTGGCGCGAAGAAGAGCATCGCATTCTCGAAGAACGGCGTAAAATGCACTGATCGGACCTCGCAAATTGTTGAGAGATAGATTGGTGACTGACGACCTAGAAAAGAAGATCACGCGACAGTCGAGCCCCGATGGTTGCTGTAGGTCGACTGTGCGCAACGGCGAGTGGGCGTATAGAGTGAGCGGGCTGTGGTGCGTCATATCCCCATGGACGATCTTGAGTTGCAGCAACTCCAGTACAGGGAACGAAGTTCCGATAGAAGAGGACAATGGCAAGCCTATGAAGGCCATGTCGAGCGCCGGCATGTGCAACCGCAGCTCTCGTATCCTGTGCGTTGGGAAGGATTCGACTCGATCAAAGACGGTGAAAGGAAAAGAAGTAGAACTGTGATTGTACCGCGAGCGCCAGGCAGATATTAAATCATCGGCAATGGCCACCGTGAACGCTATCGGTAGCGGCTCGGCACGCTGCACCCAAGCCACCGTGTTTGAGACCGCGCGCTGGCCGTACGCTTGCATATTGCGTAGTGAGATCTTCTCCCATAAGCGTGGCGCTCCATGCGCGACTGAGCGCCAGACCCGGCAGACTTGGGTGATTGCGAGCACGGTCCCGATAAACTCGGACCCCCAAGCGAATTTGTCGACCGGAAGGTCGTGATGTACAGCGAGAGAAAAGATGTCGACGAGCAGTTCCGCTGGGATACGTCGAATAGGTGATTTCATCGCTTGGCGGCAGACGATGAGCTCCTTGGACGCAGCGGCCCGCTGGGCGGACAAGGCAGAGATAACCTCTTGCAAGCGCCCAATGGCGAGGTCGACAGCGCCAATGTATTCCTCTCTCTCCTTGACGAGACCATGTAGAGTGTCTGACGTTTCCGACGGGCCATTCTCGAATAGGATTTGCCGCAGAACTTCATCTTGAGGCTGCAATCCAGGATAAGCACGGGCTCATAAAAATGTGCTGGGGCACACACCAATGCTGGCCTCTCAAGCAGCGCGGTATACGAGTGCTTCTTATGTTCTGCGCTGTCCATTGATATCGCTAGATGTTGGGCGATAGGTCACTCGTTCGGCAGATGGCAGTCGCGGATACGATGACTTCGCCACGTGGGGCTAGCGCGTCTTGGTACTATGTTACCTTGCCTAGCAAAGTCTCTCGCCACCCTTAATTGAAGCCCAACTTTTTGCAGGCACGATCAGAGAGTCAACAGTGCCCAACTAATGACTGAACGCTCTGGGCTCCGAACCCGGAGCTACCCAGGACCGGATCTCATGCCGGTCGCAGAGCCCGACTGCTGCTGCTCTTACCGCCACTGTGCCGCAAATGTGCCGTGGACCCGAGCTTTAGAAGAGCCGTGCGCACCTCGAGGCCTCGGGAACAAGCGCTTGAGCTCTGTTCAATGAACCTGCACGAATCGTAGATGCGTGCGCAAGCCGCGCGAGATGTGTACTGATGACTTTCGAGGGCTGACCGTTGACGAGCTTACGTCGAGTGCCCGCGAAGCCATGAGCGGATGTCTGCTCTACTGTAGCTGCTAGGCAAGGTCCAGAGCCGGCGTAGCCGGGGCTTCCTCTAGTAGATACCTGCTGCGTGAATAAAGTGCAGAGACAAAGAAAAAAAAGACTTCGCCACGTGAATGTGGCGTTCACCCATCTTCTCAGGGTCAGGTGCTTGCACTGTTGAACTTTGGTGAATTGCTCAAGGCAGATTAAAGCCCATTACAGGCATCGCCTACTGTGTACACGTATAGAGACGATAGGCGGAAAGTTCAAGTAACTTCACTACGATTTCTCCACCCAGTCTTCCCCACACGCGTCGAAGTTCACCGAAGCTGCCCTCTCCTGCTCAAGCACAAGCACAATTCCTTGCGTTCTAATACTAGAGGAAGCGCCGGCTGCGCCCGGCGGAGACCTTGCTTGCGAGACAAGATCGGGGTTCGAACTGAGGTAGGTCAAGCGTTGTTTGTCTGTGTGTACTAGAAATCCCGAAGAATAAAGGGTCTGCAAGAGACCTTGCAAGCAAGGTGATATATAGAGATTTCCTACAATCTGTGTCACGAAGACGGAGCGTGTGGGCCACATGTCCGCATGATGGATGCAACACACGTCCTTCGACTGTGTAGCGGGTCGGCAAATATCGTGTACTAGTCTGAGCATGGCTGCATCTGGCTGAAGGAAATATCATCGGCTTGGACCTTCAGAACTGAAGAGATGGATCATGACGCAAAGGTCGAAAATTAACAGCTCTTCTCAAACATTCGCGCGCACTTCAGCGGACTACAGGAAGCTTCAAACCAAGGGATCCATGCGATTATGTTGCGTACATTAGCGTGCCAGTAAGTAATGTCTAGTAGGTCGTACAAGTGGTGTCTAGTATGCCGTGGGTGGTGGAAGTGGAAGTGGTGTGTAGGATGTGGATGGTGTGTAGTACAGTATGCCGTGGGTGGTGTACAATATGCCGTGATAGTGTACAGTATGTCGTACATGGCGTCTAGCATGTCGTGGAAGGCCGTTAGCGCTCCGTTGGAGTGTAGAAGTGCGAGAGCGTGGAAATGGGAAAGTGCGGAAGTGAGAGTGGTATGAGTCGTTAGTCCTGGTATCGCAGTTACAAGCCTTGCATCCAGATATCCACCGCAGGCGCAAACTGGACTCGTAGCTCCCTAAGAGAGCGCGATATGTCCTTGTTGATCTCCCACACTGGGTAGGCTGACTGTCCCTCCGCGAGCGCCATCGGCGCTGCGCCCTGGACTGCACTGGCGTTTGGAGCTACCTTGGCGCCCTGAGCTGCGGGGGCGCCCTGAGCCGTGTTGGAGCTCTCAGCGTAGAACCCGTCGTTCCAGCTGGCGTGGAACTCCCTCAGCGGAAGCAGGCCACAAACGACATAGTCCTCGATGAACGACCGAATATTGCCGTATGCCATATTCAGGAGGTCGATGTTGTCTTCCAGGCCGCCGCCGGGGGCCAGAGAAACGTCCTCGTAGTGCAGGACCTCGAGATTCGGAAGAAGGACACTGCCGTCCGTCGCGGTGGTCGCCATGTACCCGGCTTCCTGGGGATAGATACAACACTCTCTCAGAACCAGGCGCGTCAACTGCGGCAGGCGCTCAAAAAGCAGCCAAGGGTCTGACTGTCCGTCGCCCGTCAGGTCGAAGAACGTGAGCGTGAGGTCCTTCACTTGGGTTGACTGCTCCGCGAGAAGATAAAGAGCGCCCCAAGGGTTCCCTGCATTCCACCAGTCGTCGTCATAGAGCCTGAGCACGTCCAGCGCAGGGAAGCGCGCGCAGGTGGCGAGCTCCACGGGGAACACCTCGAACGTGACGCTGAGCGAGGTCAAGAAGGGAAACGTCACGATCTCCGCGGGTCTGCGCGCCGGGTTGTCGAAGAACGCGCCGTTCAGGACGAGCTCGGCGCGGCGGAGGCGCACGCATTGGAAGAAGACGGGTCCAACGTTGTACTTGGCCTCAGTGCCTGTAAGGACCAGCTCCTGCATCTGCGCCCACGGAGCATGCATGATGTCCGCGAGGCTATCGCGTGCCGTGATGCGCGTGATGTTGTAGAGGGAGAGCTGCTCGAGCCGCGGGCACGTCCATGTAATTGTCTGCGCCGTGTTCTGCGTCTGGTCGGAGGCCTCGATGCGGAGACGCTGCAGGGCAGGGAATGCGTCGTCGGGAAGGCTCGCAAGCAGCTGGAACCAGTCCCGATCGCAGTAGATGCGGAGCTCGCGCAGCTGGGCGGTGACCCGGAGCAGCACGAGCGGGACGACGGTGCCCACGACGAGGTTGGACGAATCCTGCGGGTCCCCGATCTGAAGATCGACTTGGTGTGGGGACGCGCGGCGGAACCAGCGCATCACTTGTTGTGCGTCGCGCGGCGTCGCCAGCTGGCGAAGGGTGATGGCGAGCTGGGCCCAGAGGCGGGGCTGGCTGAGTGCGACGTCGCGCCAGTGACGGCAGACGTGGGCAAGCTTGAGGATTTCCGCGGGCGTGGTGGCTACGTCTCCGTCGTTCCGGTACGTGAGCATGACCATGTCGAGGAGCTCGATCACGAGGGTCTGCGCTGCAGACGGGAAGGCGATCGCATCCATCGTGCTGAGGGAGGCTGGGTAGTGTGTGGTGGGGGTGTAGATGGCTCGGGAGATCTTGGCGGGTCGTTGCAGCGCGTGGAGCCTGTCCGTAGCGTCTCTAGCACCAGCTAGGGTCTCGACGGCCGCGGGGAGAGAAGGACGTGAGAAGGGTGTCGTGAAGATGTACAGACGTGAGGTGGGCGACTTGGGCGCCTAGGTCGTGTCGCGAGTAAGAGAAGGTAGTGTACAGTGATGGTGGTGGTGGAAGTGGTGAAGCGCCTCATCGATTTGCGACGCGACGCGTCGCGTCCTGTTACATTCATGAGGTCTCGTGCAGGGTCACGGCCTCGTGGGCGGTCTGCACGCAGCGGCAGCCGTTACTCGACGGTTCCAGAAGGGGGATGGGACGCAGCAAGAGTAGTAGAGTAGTAAGATCAGCGGATACATTTGCCCCACACCATTTGACGCGGCTTTCTGCAGACGTGCAATGGGCCGCATGCATCCTTGGGGTTGCGCTCATGAGAAGCGCTGTCGAGAGCAAGGGAAATGTCATTTTGGACCGCGCAGTGGCCCGATAGAGCGCGCCGAGGGCTGGTCTCGGGATGCCACTATAAGTCCTCTCCTTGCTCGGGCGCCGACTTCGTTGAAGGCAAAACGAAGCCAATGATGACCGTGCCGCCACTTGGGTTTGGTCGGGATGTGCGGCTGAGTGATATGGTGCGTTGCGTTGGAACCGGCGAAATAGGGGACCACGAACAAGGGGACAAAAGGTTGAGCGCGCGCCGCAGCCGCTGGGACAGCAGCGAAGGCGCAACCGAGTTTCCTTGCGAGCGGGGGTCGAGGAGAGCTCCGGTGTCGCTTTTGGCAACTGAACCATGTCTGAAATGGACCAACTGTGCCCGACCAATGAGATGGACAAGCGACTGTCGACGGGCTTCCTATCAAGTAAGTTCCCCTCGTTCGCGTCGTTGATGATCTTCCCCCAGCCGCAGAGTATTTTGTACGCTTCCTGTTGAAAATGTGATCATGCCGTGCAGCTGGGGAATGCAGAACCAGGCGTTGACTGTAAACCGGCCGCAGAGGCTCCGACCGGTCCCATTTGGGGCCAAAACGGTGACAGAGGCGCTCGACATCGGCGCCGTACTTGTAGGGCGCGTCGTGGGTCGGGCCGGGTATGACACGGGAGTAATCGCGCATTGGGAGGGTGCGGTCTTCGTCAAATTCCTCCATACCGCCATCGGCGAGCACCGCATATTGACTGCAGGACCATCATTCGTGATGATTCGCTTGCGCAAAGGACGGTGCCGACACAGAGGTGATCGGCCGCCCAATCGAACCACTTCGCGAGAGGACCGGCCCTCATGACGTCGCGACCAGCGATTTGGCAACCCGGACGTAGGGAAGAGATGAGGGGATACATTGCACCAAAAGTGCAGGCAGAGTTACTCAATGGAGAAGTGCAGTGTACACTGCCGAGTGTCTGTCGTTTTCGAGCATGTCCGGAACGCAGCGCACGGCAGAACGTCGGTAGCCGCTGGAGCAGGCAGGCGCAGGCTGGCCGGCTCCCACTGTCCCAGGACCCGCGCTCCTCGATGGAGACCGCTAAGGGCCAGGGCCACTACAAAGTTCCAGTCAGAGCTTGTAATCACCGGGTAGTGTAGCAAAGCAGATATTGTGTGACGGGTGGTGCATCGTCGGGATAGAAGGAGATTGCTAGGAGAAGTCAGAAGTCGGAAATCCAAAAGGAAGCACGTGCAGAGATTCTCACGGTCAGGTGGATGGAAGGTTGAACCTTGTCATGGCATTCATGTCTATATCGCAGGCTCTGGGTATCATAGATATGTAAGTTACACAGATTCCCTACAAGACCTGGATACCTCATCGCATCCTGAATACTAAAACCCTTCCCACGTGTCAGAGGCTATCGAGCTTGTTCGCGGCTGCTCGAGCACGACCACTAGTTCCTCTCTGCCCTCCCAGTCCCTTCTGCACTTCTCCACAAACGAAGGTCTCATGGGCCACATCTCAACAAAGCGTACATGGCGCACAACTACGGTCTCTCTTCGTAGCCTGATCATCAGCAAAAAGAGGTCGAGGTCGAGTTCGCCGAGTGTCTCCGTCCCGTTCCTGCAGTTCACCATCCGTAAGCGTTCCAGACGGGGCACATACACGGATCCCTGCATGCGCTTTGGGCAGCTATCCTGAAGCCATAACCCAGCCAACATGCTCTCGAAGAACAGATTGAAGCGAAGTGAGCATTGATCGAGGCTGAGCGAGTGTAGGGATGGTGAGGACCCAAGGACGCGCCGTAGCTCGTTTCCCTGGAAGATGATCTGGGAAAGGGACAAGGAGGTAACGTGGACCGCGCGCTGAAAAAATGCGTCGAGTACGGGCGCGCTTGCGGTGTCGACGTGCAGTTTAGAGAGGCCGGCTGGATCGAGCGCGAGCAGGCAGGTGCTGCCCGAGGGGAGGCGCAGCGTGCGCAGATGCGGTAGTTGAATGGGGGTTTCGAGTTCCGCCAGCGACGCGGTTGGCGATCTCAACATGTGGCCCTCGACAACTTGCAAGGATATGAGGGAGCTGCGACAGAGCCGTACGATGTCGAGGTACGCGCTGCGAGTGCTGCCGGGGAGCTCGAGGGATAGATGGGTCAGCGTAGACCACGACAGATGAAGGCGCCGCTCGACGGCCCCCGCGTTCCACACGACCTTGAGGCAGAGGCGGCGAAGATGCGGCGAGTCGGCGAAAGCAGTGATGGGCGCGTCCTCGGGGGACGGCCATCGGTTGTGGTTCAGACTCAGATGCAGGGCCTCGAGTTGGGGGAACGAGGTCGGCGGAAGCGACGCCAAGGCAGCGACATGACCTTCCGCGAGGAGGATGAGGCGGAGGCTCTGTATCCGGTGTACCGGGAAGCATTCTAGGTTGCGGAAGAGCTCAACGACGTAGTTCACGCAGAACGCTTCGTCGCTTGCATGTAGCTCTGCGCGCTCCGTGGATCTGCCCAAGGTCCATGTTATGCCGGACAGAGCCTGAGGGAGGTGACCCTGACGCTGGTCCGCGATGACCGTGAAGGACAGCGGCATAGCACCCGCACGGGCAAGCCACAACGCAGTCTGGGAGATAGCGGGGACGTGCATGACGGGTACGCACCCAGAGTCCACACGCGCGGGGCTCGTGTCGCCCTCTACCCCCGCGAGACGTACGTGACCCTCGCTGCGCATCCCAGGCCGCCAAACGAGCGTGGGCTCGCGCCACAGCCACGGCATGCCGTGGAGGGCCTGGCGCCAGAGGGGGCAAACGTGAGTGAGGGTGAGGAGTGACTTGACGTTCTGGGAAGCGTCGCTAGCGAAGGTTGCCATCGAGGTGAAGCTTGTTTTCGACGCTGCCGGATGCTGGATACCAAGCACGAGCATAAGGATTTCGCAAAGGACGTCCAAAGACAGGATATCAATGGGACAGCTAGTTGGAGGATGGGCGGTCTGCACGGTCGTAGAGCGCAGGTGGGTGGACACTTGCGACTGCACCGCAGAGTTGACCGCGCCGTACGTTGCGTGCGAGGCATCTTGCCTTGGGATGCCGCCCTCTGCTCGCCCCAGAGATGCGTCCTTCAAGCTCTCGCGCAGTGATTTGGGCAGCGAGCAATCGAACTGTGGCGAAAACATGTCAACCGAGGCCAACAATACTGGCTGCGCGACGTACCGTTGCGGATTCGACGTCCAACGGGACATGCGCAACTTCATATCTTTCAGCCATTGAGCTTGCACCTTGAAGTCTTGGTCAAGGTCGAACGAAGGGTAGGATGGCTGTAGGAAGCGAGGCAGCGGATGCATTCATAAGGTCGCGCTGGAAATCCCTCACCGTCCTTCCGCCGCATCGTAGGGCGAGTGGAGCCCACTTGGGGTGGCGTCCGTTGATAGAGAGATTCAGACCACGGAGTTCGAAAGGAAAGAAAGGTAAGCTCGTCTACGAGAGCAGCATCCAAAGAGGCTTCGCTGAAGAAGTGAATTAATGACGCGCGCGCGCGACTAGCCTATGGATCATCTGAGAAAGAGTTGGTATGTCGCGGACAACTTGTCTCAGGCTGCGAATGTACGAGAAATTGCTATGCGGATGTGAGTCGCTTGCTATATGAGATAGAGATGTAGATCGGCAAGATTTGAACGCTGGTGTGCGCTAGACTGTACTGTGAGCGTCGTGCACATTATGTCCTCAAGATGACGATGCCCTTTGAGGCGAGGACAGAGATTCAACCACAGGAAGAAAGGTCCTAATGCCTTCATGAGGCCGGGTCAGGACCAAACAGCGTGGCAGGACTCAGGGTTTAGCTTCTTGAAAGAGGGTCTAACGGGTTTGTATAGCGAGCTTGGCCAAAGTCAACCTGCAAGTACCTGGAGCAACCCTTTTTGGAATAAGCGTGGGCGTTGGAGCGCCGAGGCCCAATAATTGATGCAGCAGGCAGTTCCTGGCACATCGTGGGGGAAGCCTGGGCTTGTTGAATCGTTAGAGTGGTCGCTGCTTGCTGCAGAGTTCTTTCATTCCCAAGGGGAAAAACGCATAGGAGGAAAACAAAAGCGGGCTTGTCGCTCACTGCGGCATCCATCCTGCACGAGTCGATGCGAGAAGGCCGCGACGCGATGAGAGAAGGAAGCAAGAGACAAACGGCAGACGCCGGCGGCGCTGCTCGGCTTACGACACGGATTTGGAAATGGTTCCGAGGCGCGCGGCACGTGGTGCGCGACGGGACCCGGGCCCCCTCTCTTCATTACGCGCGGTCTGGGCCGTAAGCAGCGCGCGCGCCCTGCCTCCTACCGTCACCATCCCCGGCCACCGCTGCAGCCATCTGAGCGCACGACGCTTCCTCGCAACCCCAGTCGTCCGCGCTTGATCACTGTCGCTTCCCCTCGGGCATACATATCGGCCCCCCGCGCCGACCGGGTCATCACTTGCGCTCCTCCTACTCCTCCACCATCATGATCACGTATGGGCAGCAGACGCTGCAGAACATACGCCAGTACTGCCAGCGTCTTTTCCTGCAGTTTGGACAGTGAGTGCTAGCCTGCTACCTTGGATGCAAACTAAACCCACGCCTCCCCAGCCACTGCGCCACCCACCAGATCCGCGTCCTTCTCATCTCGGGCGTTGTCATCACATCCCTCTGCTACCCCGCGCTCGCCGTCTACACCTCTTCCGTCCCCGAGTCTGTCTCTATCCTCGACACCTTCACAGGCACGAGCGCAGTCAAGGACCTGCACAACCTCTGGTCTTCCCACAGCACCCTCCGCGTGCAGGAAGACGCGGTGTCGCGCGCGCGTTGCGGCGTCGGCCGCGTCCTACGCCAGGAGCGCGTGCTCGTGGAGAGTCCCCTCGATGACGACGACGGCGCGGTCAACCACCAGATCCTCTTCTCCACCCTCACGCTCGAGCGCAGGATCGAGGACCTCATAGGCGACCGATGTCTCAAGCGCCCCGACGGCCGCGGTTGCTTCGTGCTATCCCCCCTCGCGTTCTGGGACCACGACCTGCGAAGCCTGATTGCGGACGCAAACATCCTTGACACGCTCAGCTTGACGAAGAACGTCTCCGTCGCGGGCGTCCCGCTCACACCGCAGATGGTCACCGCAGGGCGTAGCTCGCCTGACGGCTCCAGCACGTCCTTCGACTTTGCACGCTTCCTCGTCCTTACGTACTTTTTCCCCGAGACGGACTGCCTCGCGACGAGCAACCACGCCGCGTGGCTAGAGGTTGTCTCCACCGCAGCATCGACGAACGCCAAGATCAGCGTCGAGGTGCAAGAGCCGTCCATCGTCGCGCTCGAGTACGATCCTTCCCTATCGCAAAGCCGCGGCCTCTCTGCGCTCTCCGCCTTCCTCTACCTTGCCTACACCGGCGTCCTGGCATACATCACTATCTGCATGCGCCGCATGACTGGTGTACACTCCCGCCTCGGTCTCACCTTCACCGCCATCGTCGAGATAGTTGTCAGTACTATCACTAGTCTTAGCGTCTGTGCCTTGGTAGGCTTCAAGATTACCATGGTTCCTTGGTAAGCATAGTGCTAAAGGTGATACCGATAGCGGACCGTTGATCTCTATTACCCTCCTTCTAGGGAGATCCTTCCCGTGACGATCGTATTCGTCGGCGCTGAACACATGATACATCTGGTAGGCATTGAACCCAGGGCCATCCGATGCAGCTACTTATACCTATCAATCACCAGGTATATGCCGTCACCCGAACACCGATCACGGTGTCTGTCAAGGAGCGCGTCGCAATGGGTCTGAGTGTCGCCGGGACGTCGAATACTCTGAAGGTCGTCTCATATAATGCCATCCTTGGCGTTATCGCCGTGTTCTCCGCGGGCGCGATTCGCCAGTTTTGCACCTTCGCTGTCGTGGTGCTTGTTGCGCATTGGTTCCTCGCACACACGTTCTTCCTCACCGTTCTGTCGATTGACATTCAGAGGCTAGAGGTGAGCGCCTTCTATTGTGATGATATGGTTTGTATGCTGACACGGAACAGCTGGACGAACTTCTGCGGCAGAACACAAGTTTGGGACCAGCGATACCGGCGCGGGAGCGGCCGCTGGGGCATCCAAACTCGTTCGCCAACAAGGTGGTGTTCCTATGCAGAAGATTACTGAAGGGTCGCGCGACCAAGAACATCAGCTTGTTCATGGTGAGCAACTACATCGACATATAGACTATGGCTAACCAGAATGTAGCTGCTCGGTATTACCGCTACACTGTACTACGCGACGACCCCTGCTTCCTTCGTCCTATCGTCTTCAGCGTCTCCAGCAGCGCCCACTGTCAGCGGCGCCCTCACTCGCCCGCGTACCAACATCACCCACTACGAGCACAACGCCAACGAGCCACCTGCCAAGCAAATCTGGAAGCTCCTCAACCCTGACGAGATCACCCCCTTCCACGTCGTCGCGCAGGCGCCGACCCGCGTCACCTTCATCCCTGAGGCGTCGCGCGCTGCTGAGGACCACCGGCACCACATCCGCCTCGGTTTCTCGACGCGCACGTTCCGCTTCTTCGCGTGGTTCCTCCGCACGATCATCTTCCCCATTTCGGCGACTACGACTGCGCTCTACGGCCTCTTGCTCTACCTCTTGAAGAATGCAGAGCTCCTCGAGGCGCAGCGGCACCGCCCCGAGGCGGATGCGCCGCCCGCGAAGGAGGATGCGAAGTCGTTGGAGGGCGAGGTCGCGTTTTCGACGCACGCGCGCGCGTTCACGAGCGACGTCGAGCTGCTCGCGGCGAGCGCGCTCGGACACGTCGTCGCCGCCGTCGGGCTGCAGAACGAGGTTACGATCTGGCGCACAAGTGCGACCGGCCGGCGGTCGCACGTCTCGATCGACCTCGCGGTTGCGCTTGCTAGGTCAGCGAGCTCTTCCTCCGCCAGCCCCGTCATCACCGCGATCGCGGTCGACGGGCCGGGGACGCTGTGCGCGGTCGGCACGGGCGAGGGCGTAGTGGCGGTTTTCCAGGTGCTGCAGGGCGCAGTGCGTCCACTGGCGACGATGGGCGTGGAGAACACGAGCGCGGGCGTCGTCGACATGGCGTTCGTCGGCGCGGGGAGGCCGCAGGAGCGGCCGGCGCCATATCGGACGCCCCCGTCATCGCGCCCGGTGACACCGGTGCCACAAGCGGCGGAGCCTGTCCTGACGGTCTGCTATGAGAGCGGGCTGGTGGCGAAGTGGACGGTCAGCGCGAGTCCACAGGCGACGTTTGTGACGCCGAGGCGCGGTGCTGGGGTGGTGCGGACATGGCTGGTGCGCTCGGGCGGGGAGGGAGGCCATTTGCTCGCGGCGTTTGCGCAGGAGGACGGCCGGCTGGAGCTCGTCGATCTTAGCGAGGATGGTAGCGAGAGCCTGGTGCACCCGGAGCTGTGCTTGCACCCTGGAAGCGCGGTCGACCGGGTAGCGCAAGTTCATGTCGCGGCGATACAACTGGAGGGCGAGACGCGAGTTGTCGTGGCGGCTGCGACTGATGCAGGGGTCGTGTCACTATGGGATGGCTTGACGGGTGATGTCATTGCTGTACTCGACGACGCGCATGGCACTGTCACACGTCTTCGCATCGCGCCAGTCAAGAGTGACGCCTGTCGACGCTGTGGCCACCATCCGCTCGAAAGCTTCGTCGTCGCCCTCGCGGCCAGCCAAAACGTGCGTTTCTTCCAAGCCTATCTCTCTGACGACAAGACGCAGCGCTGCTCCTGCTCCCGCGCGCGTCAGTTGCCCTCTTCTTTGGGCCGCCGCTCGCGCAGCAGCAGCTTCGCCGGCGCGCCCTCCCCCGTCCTCGGCCGCAAGCGCCTGCCCTTCAGCGACGACGCACCCTACCCGATCTCGGGGCACGGCGTGCACTCGCGCCGCGCGTCAGAGAAGGACCGGCGCGGGTATGGCGCGGATACGCTCGGCGTCGAGGACGCGGCGCTGTTCGACCGCGATGCGCGGCCAGTGAGCGCGTTCTGGCAGCGCGCCTTCGTCGTCGCGGCCGCGGAGGCGCCGTGCGCGATGGGGAGCTGGGAGCAGTGCGCCAGGGGTGTGGTGGGCGTCCGCCGGCGGCCGCGCGCGCTGGGGAAGGGCCCGCCGCCCGTGCCGTCGACGTCGGCGTCTTCGTGGGGCTTGACGAGCACGGTGCTCGAGCGGTGGGAGGTGTGGCGGTACGAGCCCTCGACCGGCGACGTGTGGTCCTCGCCGCTATCCGCGGTGTTTGATGCGGCCTCGGTGCCGGATGAAGGGGACCACGTTCCGCGCATGCCGTTCACGCGTGTGTATCCGCTATTGCTGGGTGGAGTGTGCGGGTTTGCTGGATTCGGCAACACGGTGGGGATGTTCGAGTTCGGGGAGAGATGACAGCGTTTGGAGACATGTCCGCTATGCAGGTGGAGGGTGCCGGTGGTTGCGGGCAACCGGAAAATGTATTGTATGGCCATAAACATGGAAGATAATGTATCAAATGGATATACTTAGAGTATCTACAGATCTACTGACTATTTGCATCGTTCTGGGATTGTGGGGGTGTGGTCTGGCCGATTTCGAGGTGAGGACGGTGTGGCCCATCTACAGCGCCTATGGAGGGGGCTTTGCTAGAACTGGCGACGCCTAGCAAGGCTAGGTGAGTGCGCCTGTCTGCATGGTTGTATCTGGTCTAATGTGTCTATAGCCCTCGGGATTGCCTACAACGGTCGCGGCGTAGTCAAAAACGTGGACTTTGGCTGACCGCCGGCCGCTCATTGGACGCTAGCGGTACCCATGGTCTCGTGCTAGCGCAGTGCTGTCAAATGGCTGCTAGTCCCAGCTTTCTATAACATCGGCGCGCCATCAAGAACTGCCGCCCTTCGCCCAACGTCGTCTCCCTTGAAGAGCAATGCCCTCCAATACTCGCGTTTGGTTGAGTACGCTCTTCTCCATTGACTTCATGGACATCGCCGCTAACCTCGAATCCGTCAGTAACCGGCACCTCCTCTGGACTTGGCCTCCACCTAGCGCGAGGCGTGCTCGAAGCCGGCGAACGTGTTGTCGCCACCGCGCGCAACCCAGCCAAGTCCTCAGGCCTCAATTCTTTGCGGGAGCAATATCCAGACGCGCAACTCCTCGTTCTCGTCCTCGACGTGACGAATGCCGAGCAAATCAGGCAGGCTTTCACGAAGACGAAGGAGCATTTTGGCCGGCTCGATGTCGTGGTCAATAACGCTGGCTACGGCGTGAGCGCGGAGATTGAGGCAACGGCAGACGACGTTGCACGCGACCAGTTCGAGACGCTATTCTGGGGTCCGGTGAATATCACGAAGGAGGTTCGTCGGTCATCGTTTGGCGGCGACGACGGATAACTTACAATTTCTCCAGGCACTCCAGTTCTTCAAGACCGTCAATCCGCCGGGTCACGGCGGACGCGTCTTGAACGTATCATCAATCGGAGGTTACAGCGCCAATCCGACGCTGGCATTCTATAACGCCGGGAAATTCGGTGCGTGCTGTTCGTACATGTTCTGCGTGGTATCGTACTGAAGCGATTCTTGTAGCCCTAGAGGGCTTCACGGAGGCTTTCACCCTCGAGATGCCGCCCGAGTGGAACATCAAGGGCGTCATCATCGAGCCCGGAGGCTTCCCCACAACCTGGGAAGACACTAACTCTATCCCACCTCACCCTGACTACTCCGCCGCCGCACCCTCTAACGTCTTCCGCGCGATGAGGAAGGCTTACACGCCCATTGGGGACTTGGACAAGGCAGCACAGGCCATGATTCGTATCTCGAAGGAACCAAACCCGCCTCTGCGCGTGCAGCTTGGCAGCGATTCGTTCGGGATCTTCACGCATGTAGCGAAGAAAGCGCTGCGAAATGCGGAGAAGTGGGAAGAATTCGCGCATAGCACGAATCAGGATGGCATCGATGGACAGGAGGTGCTAAAGGTGCTACGTCCAGTACTTGCCAAGGGCGATGATTGAAAGACAATGTTGCTACGAAGTTTATATCTATGCGCTGACATTCGCAACCTCGTAGGAGCCTGACGATCCCTGTAAGCAAAGGAAGCGAAAGTAAGCTCATACTAAAACGGACATATTGACCCAAGCTACATGTTCAAAGCTTCATCGGTAGGTTTGGACTTCATGGTCAAATTCAACTTGCACATCCTGCACGTGGAAGTCATATTGTCGTCGGCAACCGCCGGTGGCGCACCATTCGCCGAGAGCTCCCGTTTCACGTGGCGTCCGTCCATATCCTCGAGTGTAACGCAAAGCACAAGCTTTCCTCGCTCTGCTATATCGCTGAGGGCACCTCCTCAACTCTTATGAATAGCCCCACGGGCACCCTCTCGGATATACAAGTAAATGAGTCTCTTCTGCCCAGCCTGAGTACTCTGGATGCAAACGCTGATTACTCCGCCAGTTGCAGGATATGCCCGCGAATATAGATCTCGACGGATGTCTTCTGCACAACGATTCTCCGGACTCAGACCAGAAAGTCGCTCTTTTGCGTCTCCTTCGTGACCTAGAAGCTCGGGTGCGCGCGCTCGATCAGACATCGACGGACGAGCCTACCTGGGCCGATCATGTCGAGGAACCCAGTCCGCTCGACCACGAGCTACAGTTATGCCATATGGCGCTCAACTCTCCCATCCGTCTAATGCCCAACGAGCTCCTTGCGTGTATCTTGCGTCACGTCCCTCATAAGCGATCCTCGCCGGCTTCTGTTTTCAAGCACGTCCAGGTCTGTCAGCGTTGGCGCGCGGTCGCTTTGGAGGAACCACAGATATGGACGAAGCTCACTCTCGAGGATTCCCAGGCCACTGGTGCGAATGCGGTGGAACAGGTCCACGCATGGTTCAGGAGAGCGCACCCACTGCCTGTATCCTTCACTATCCTGCGGCCCTGGGGACACGGGCGACGGCGGGCAGACTCTGCTCATATCCTCGATGAGAGCATCTTGCCGCTCACTTCGCAAATGTCTACTCTGGACATTGACGGAACCTTAAAGCGTGTGCTCAGCTTCACGCGGCACCCGCCGTGCTCTTTTCCGGAGCTAGTCAGGCTTCGCCTTAACCTCCCCCACAAGTATCGAGGCGATTCGCCGTTGCCGTGCTCGATATTTGCAGACTTGGGTCAGCTTCGCGCACTCTCCATCGGCTCGCTCCATTCCCTGACCCAACAATGTCTCGACGTGGCCATACCTGCCCCATGGGAGCAGTTGCAGGAGCTCGAGCTCGACTGCATATCCGACGTGCACGACATGCCACGGATATTCTTGCAATGCAGATCGTTGCGCCGGGCTGTCCTGCGCTACGGGTATAGACCGCTGCATCTCCCGCAGCCGCCTCCGAGCCCTGTAGAGTTTCCTTATCTGGAGACGTTGACGCTGAAATCGGAGCGCTGGCTGGGTGCGCTACTAGATGCGGTCCTTCTCCCCTCCTTGACGGCATTCGACGTGGAACTTGGCGAATATCGACCTGGGCATATCTCTTGGGCTGCCTGGTCACAATTGGAGACTCTTGCTCGAAGAGCGCCTGACCTGCAGAGCCTGACGATGCGCCACATCGATTTCATGGGTCGCGATGTCGCTTTTGCGTCTCTTTTGGAATGTGTGCCGCAGTTGGAGCGTCTCGTGCTCGTCGACGTCACTGCGGACCCGACGTGCCTCCTTCCGCTCTTCTACGACGAGCGCGAGCTGGTCCCGCAGCTCAGGGTCCTGCGTTTCGACAGGCTTGATGTTGGAATTAACGACATGGAAGAGGCGGGTCCAATTTACGCGGAAGCTTACGAGCTTCTGTACGAGCTCCTGGAGTACCGCGACTTCCGCTCCGTGCGGGGCGAGTTCTCTATCGACTGGAAAGCCTTCGACTACGAGGAGATGCCACTGGACATATGCGAAGATCAGGTGTACTTGCTAAGGGACATCGTAGGTCATTACGAGGACGGCACGATCATAGACGTGGAGGACGTTGAAGGCATAATCGAGCGCATTCAATCTCGCGAAGATGGATACTGCACGACAGACTCTGGCATGGACTCCGATCGTGACTACTAGTCTTTGGCTTCGTCATATGCGCCCACTGTATGAGGCCAGGGTGTCAAGGTAGTACTGTAGTACCGCACCTTCTGAAGCTCTCGACCTACTAGAGAAGCGTCGGCCCTGCCTCCCGACGACCTTGCTTGCATGTGACACGCACGCTGCGGTGGCCATAGTTCCTCCTCAAGAAATACTTGCCGACGTCCAGCGCTTGATCATGTCCTATAAGAAGGCTTCGTGATACTCTGCCTCTTGTTTTTTCATTTACTCGGGCTCGCTCAAACTTGCTCTTCGCTTCGAGTCTTGTTACCTCAGCTTTGACCGAACTATCCGAGTGTTTGTGTTGACCCACTGCTCATCTGTTTTTGCTGCTACTGTCGGTGTGTGGAGAGATATTATACGGAGGACTCCTCCGGGTCTCAGCTATTGGACGTAAAGATGTGGATAGTCGTATATGGGTTTCATCTCAGGCTACTCTTTGTAAATACTTCCCAAAAAGGCATCCATTGTATGTACAAACACGGCCGGATGCTTCGCACCACCCTTATTTACCTACTACGGTACTACATGTACACGACAGCGAGTGTCCTACATGGCGCCGCGTGCCGAGAAATGCAACTGTTCTTCACCTCTTACCCTCATCTGCCTCCTCTTTATCGCGACACGAGGGACGAGAATGGTTTTGGATTGAGTCCCCGTCTCGCACGTTACTGACGAGACTAGGTGGCGCGGCAACGTTAATGGGCCCAACACAACTCTACTCATCTGAGAACCACTTAGATCTGCGTCCCGCTCGCAGGACCCCGGCGGCATCACGTGGGGCACGTGGGGCGCGCCCACAGCCGCCCACATGCGCGCGGACCGGCCGACTGAGCACTGTAGCAGGCAGCAGGTCCTGTCCCAGGACTCAGAAGAAGAGCCTGAGTGGAATACGTGCAGGTCAGAGCGTTATCGAGTGATTGAGAGAGAGAGAGGAAGAGGAGGACGGGCAAACGAAATATGGCTGCAGGAGTCTCGAGCCGATGGAAGCAGAGCGCAGAGGTCGATGCGCTCGCCGCCTGCGTGACCGTCGCCGCGATTCCTTCGGACGCGGCGACGTCACTCGGCTACTGCCAGTCCAAAGCGCCTGCTTCGCTTGATTCGTTGATCGACTTTTTACTGCATAAATTCCCTGATCGAGATCGTCACCTTGTTCGGAGACGAGAGAAACAAGGACAACCGTCATATGTTTGGACTTATTTGTGAAATAGGTTCCGCCCAAAGGCACCTGAGTAAGACCTTGCAAGCAAGGTAACTGCAAAACCCGCGCAACGTCATTATCCATTGCTTAATAGAAACAGAGCGATCTCCGGAGGTGAAAAGGGAACATATGTTGAGTCAAATTTCGTGAATGACAGCGTTTACGATACCGCATACTCCCCCGCCTGCAGGCGCCCATATAGCTCATCGGCGACGCCTTCCACCCATACCTCCTTGTCCTCGTATCCCTCCATAAGTGCCTTGATCAACATCACCTGCTCGGTGCAGTACATCAACGGCACCTTGTTGTAATCGAACCCTCGCCACCCGATGCGAAACTCGCGCAGCGGCGTCGGCCCCAACCGGAATCTCAAGAGATTGAGGACGCAATCGTACGCGGCAGCACAGAGGCCCCCGATGAGATACGCGTCGTCGGTGCCGAGGTCGACCTCCGGAATGCGAAGGACTTCGAGGCGGGGGAGGAGCATGGGTGGGTTCGAATCGTAGAACACGCTGAGGTCGCCAACGTTGTCGAATCGGCACTCCTCGAGGATGAGGGTGCGCAGCTCGGGGGTGCGGCGAAGAAGACCCTTAAGCTGCTGAGCATCGCCGTTCAGTGGCAGGTGGCGCAATGTGAGCGCATTGAGCGCGGGGGAACGCTCGGCAAGGGCGTGCAGGCCTGACCACTGGAGCGCGAAATCCGGGTACGCGTCGTATGAGTGGTGCGCGAGAGTCAAGGAGGTAAGCGCCGGGAATTGGGCCGCCTCCAATAATTGAGCAGGCCAGGTGTCGTGAAAGCCGCATGTGAGGGACGCGAGGAAGGGATACGTGACATCCTTGCGCTCTGCGGGCGGCTCGGAGTCTATGTGATCGACGACAACATCATATTGTGCGGCGTGAAAAGCGGCGCGACGTAGGCGGCTGCACTGCCTGAAGACGGTAGCGACTGCATGATAGCCACATACATTGCCGAGCTCAAGTTCTTCGAGATGCTGCCAGGGCACTGTTAGGCTTCTATCCAACCTCTCGTAGATCAGAAGGTCGACTTCGGTGATAACTAGACAGCGCAGGCGCTCGCAGGTGATGAGCATCTCCGACGAAGGCCCCATGCGGTATTCGTCAAGAGCCACGCGCGAGAACGGTGCGAGACGCAGCTTGACCAGATTGGGAAATGCGCGCGGCGGATGTTCGCGGAATTCACGAATGACCTCGGTCGGAATCGCAAGGTTGAGGTCGGATACGCGGTTCGCGATGTACGAAAGGCCATCATCAAGGAGATGTGGCACGGGTGACGGAGGGCCCGACCTCATGAATCCGCCCTTGCCCTTCATGGGTAGGAGTTCGAGAGACACATGAAGTGGATGCGCTCGTTGAATCCACGCGTGCGCTTGCTTGACCGAGTTTTCACCGATAGCCTGACCGTCCTCCAGCGTGAGGCGTGTCCACAGGCGTGTATCCCCGAAGGCCGTCTCGCGCCATCTTTGGGAGACTTGCGCAAGTCGGAGAGCGGACGATGGAGTGCTTTCTCCTGCACGCGCAGTATAAAGAACCTCTGCAAGAAGCTCGGTCGGTAACGTCGAGATCGTCATGGAGCTCGGAGGCAAGCACGCAGAGGGCGTGATTCGACCTCAGAAACAGAATGACCTGGAAGCAAGTCAGTTCATTGACGTTGAGATTGAAAGCTGAGGATTCTACCTGGGCTGGGTGAAAGCCTATAGACTCGGATTGAGGAACTGTGACCAGATCTCCTGGTTCGTCGACGACGAAGACAAGACGCGATTCGAGATATGATGGGATTACGGGACTCGGTCCGAGCCGGCGTGAGCGGTCGGTCACAAGTTGGTCACAGCCCCTTTCACTGACACTTTGCCTTTCACAGCTCGATTGCACACTATCAGCACCATCCACCTCACGCCCACAGCGTCGAGTGCATCCAAGCAACAAGCAAGGGACGAGCTTGAAGACCCACAAAGGTGTGTATATCGCGCGATGATGATCATGCACTCCGGCTCGCGGGAGGGTCTACTTCACCGACAGCGCCACCTGGGTGGCAGTCCTCCTGCTCTATCGTCTCTCACCTCAAATGGAATCTTGCTGACGAATATTAGCTAGGACCGTGTTAGGACTATCATCTCCTACGAACAGGCTTTGGCGCGATGAACCATCCCTGCCCTCCGCCGCTGGCATACATGGGAGGCTGTTTGTTCCCCAACCAAGAGCTCACTCCGATGCAAACTGCCTATCTACGCGCAGCCATCTCAGTGCGATCTCAGCAAATTGCTGCACTTGAACGTGAGGTCCAAATCAACCGCATGATCCTTTCGTCTCCGATACGGAGGCTGTCACCCGAGCTTCTCGCGCATATCATGGTCCTGTGCATTTCGACCACTCGCTGCGCTCCTCGCCATGCTCTTGCGCTCGCGCACGTCTGCAGGTCGTGGCGCGCAACGGCTTTCATGAAAGCCGACCTCTGGACGCGTCTTAGCATCAGCTGGGCACAAGCGTGTCATGCGGATGCTATCGCTCACACTGCTGCGTGGTTTTCGAGGGCTCGCTCTCGACCTATGTCTTTTTCCATCTTCAAGTATCGCGATTTCCTGGATTTCTGCCGACCTCCACCATCACTCTGTCCGCTTCTCAAGTTCGTGCTTCTACAACACGAACCACAACTTCTCGAGCTTCACATTGCTCTTCATGTTCTGTGGCTTCCCACTTTTCTTTCCTGCGCTCGGGGGTCCCTCCCTATGTTGCGGAAGCTCCATCTCGACGTCCAGTACACTGCGCACTACATCTCGAAAGGGTTCTATTTCCCACTCGACGCTCTTCCTCGGCTGCAGACATTACACGTACGAGGCGCCAACATGCTCATTCCGAGCCATGATCCGCTGTGTAACGTCCTATTGTTACCGTGCGCGCAGCTGAAAAACCTGCAGCTGGACGGCGTGATGGGAACACATGAATGGGGTGAGATCTTCCTTGAATGCACGTCCCTCGTCCGCGCCAGAATCAGCTCCTTGAAAGGACGGGACCCCCCGCAATGGCCATCGAGTGATGGCGCTGTACCGAGCGAGGTAGTCGTCTTCCGGCATCTCACGCAGTCAGAATTGTACTACAAAGAGCTCCCGGGCGCTGTCCTGAACGTTGCGCGCTTCCCTGCTCTCACTACGCTTATCCTCGGATATCTTCCCAAAGCACGACACGGCGAAATGGTGGAAGATGACGAAGCAACGTGGACCGTGCACCGCGGTCTCGCGCAGCACTTGAAGAGTCTGACTTCGCTCACGGTGATCGGCTTTGATTTCGAGCACCCTCAGACCGAAGATGCGTTCAGATATATTCTGCAGAGTCTCACCCTCCTCACCCACCTCGCCTTCGAGAGCTGCACCTTGTGGTCCTTGGATATCCTCAGCTTCCTTACCACGCCAGATTCCGTCCCTCTCCTCGAGGAGCTCCTTTTCTACAACATGGAGATAAAGGAGAGCTTCCTTTGCTCGCAAGATGAATTGGAACTTCGTAAGGACATCTGGGACGTTGCGATATTCGAGGAAACGTATGCGTTCATCGAGAAGTTCCTGCGCGAGCGGGGCCTCGCAGAATCGTCCCGCCTTCGCCTCTTCCAGTTCAGGCTCTTATCCTTCGAGGAGGACAACGTTGAGGACGAGTTCGAGCTGGCACTTCGGCGCCTCGTGTGGCTGGCAGCGAGGTGCTTGACAGAGAAGGGGCTCGAGATAGATCTCGACGCGATACCCATAGATAAATTGGATATCATTCCCGTGAACTCGGACAGTGAATCGGAGGACAGTGCGACGCGTTCCTTTCCCGTTGTTCTTCAGGACTGATGACTTCTCAGAGGACGATGGGTATGAAACGGAGACTGCGTCTGAGCAAATTTACGGCTCGGCCTCCAGCGAAAGGCGATGAGGGATGTGCCAGCCCGGTCGGTATGATTTGAGCAAATTGCTACTCGGGATATATTGTATATCGAGTCAAGCGGAAAACCTGTGATGAAACATACAAATATACTGTGCTCGATCTCCACCAATGCCTTATGTGGCGCCGGTCCGGGTACGGACCAAGTTCAACTTCAAGTTGTTTTACCGGACCGCGTGCACGTGTCAGCACGTGAAAGCGGAACCGAATCGGCAATCACCGGAAGAAGTATCTGTGCCGTCGCGATGTTGCGTCCGCGCACCATCATCGTGGCAGACGCGAGCTGCTGTTATCCTTTTCGCAAAGAAATTCTTGGACATTATGCGCAGCCTGACGAATGGTACCGTGCGTCGACAGGTGAGCCTTGGTGATTTGTATTACAGTACTCGCAACGATAGGTTTGCGGCGTTTTCGGCAACGACCGAGCAAGGCTGTCTTTCTCTTCACCGACCACGATCACAACGGGCTTGCGCTCTGGATTGTGGACGTGCGTCACAAGCCTTTTAATATATTGAAAAGATGTTGTCTTCAATCCTGTCTCCCGGGCGCAATCTCTTCCTCTGTATGGCCCCATCTCCTGCGTCCCGAGGCGAGGCAACGTTGTACATCCACTGAGTGTCCTTGCTTCGCAGTCTTACACCAGCCAAGCGCACAGTCAATACACGCCTTGCTCTTTAGCGCCTTGGCGCTTCATTTCAGACCAGTGACTGAGGCAGTGACCTGCGCGTGTTCCTCAATTTGACGACGTAGCGCTCATATAATAGATCCTCGTCAGTTCATGGTACGAAGGCTCGTGTACACTCTATCTGGAGCCACTGCTCGACCAGCTTTCAGCGCAAACCTTCCTCTGCCAAGCCTGCGCCACGATGTTGAACACGTCTCCAGCATCGAACAGGCGACCAGCTTGACTATATTCTTCATTCAAACCAAGGTTCTGTCCAGTGCTCGAGGCGCCCTCGTCTAGTTAAGCTCGCGACCTGCACCTATCCTGACCCTCCTCCTTTTGAACTGTCTTGAACCTATCGCACCCCTCCCGAACGACGCGGATGCCATCATCCCGTTTCGAAGGCCAGCGGTAGACCCGCCATTCAATCTCCTTCGCCATCGGCTTCTGCGGCGGGCTTCTATCCTTGAAGCCTGTCTAGCTAGCGCCCTCCCGTGCTCTTCCTTTGCTCTTGGCTGCTTCCTCTCTCACCTGAGATTGCTATCTTGCGACCGAAATGCACCCTCACTCGGAAGGACCGCCCGCTTAGGCTTGTATACTCCCACCGACGCGTTTGTGGCAGCCGCTTTCCCCCACTCAAAAGGATCCCGCCACAAGTGGACGTCGATTGGCCGGTGCGAGGCTGTCCTTATCTTCGCGAAGCACAGCTCATTCGGACAGACGAAGATCTCAGGTCTCACGCAGCGCGTGACCGCGAGGTACGCAGGCGCGAACAAAACCAGGATAAACGGCGGAAAAAGTGGGCGTATTTGTGGCGCGTCGCGTCGGCCTCGCTGCGCACTTCCACGTACCTCCGGGCATGCTATGTCGGGCTCTATAGAGGTGAGAAAAATCAATTTGTACATTGTATAGGCACCAATTTAGAACGCGCTCTACTCTGGTATAGAAGGCGCTTTATGCTGGTACAGAAGTACGGTCTGCGTCCTTCGAGAAGCAGCCTCGTACGAGCCTCTGGGCGGACTCCCGGCCTTGCAAGATGCAAGTTTGGATCGAAGCCTGCGGGAGGACGTGATGGATTTAGCTCCATGCAGTCTACTTGTAGACCAGGAAAATCCCCGCGACTCGTCAATGTCTACAGTGAGTTCGCCATTTCCCTTCATTCATGTCCGCGCGGTCGCGCTGCTGGCAGAAGACAGCGAGGCCGACGAGACGCAGCCTCAGCTACCGTCAGGCGTATCCAAACTTATCGCGCCGACGCGTCGCAAGAGCGCCGGGTATGGATGCTATGAAGGGCTGGGTGAACCTCGTCTACCGAGTGCATGCTCGCCACCCGAGTCCGAGTCGTAAGATAGACAGATGAATGTCTTTCCCGAGTTTACGGCAGTGAACGCATGCGCGTCGTCTACAGACCTAGACTAAGCATCCATTCACGCTATACAGTAGGACACGGAGACGCATACCACCGTAATCGCCATAACTCCCGGAGGGCCAACGTGCGTCTTGCAATTGTACGTGAGCCTGGACAGCCCAGGTGAATTGTCAGCGCCAGCGCCGAGATAGCCTTGAACGCCGGAGAGATGAATAACGAGTGTGAGGCTAGCCTAGCACAGCGCCCATATACCATGTCTGTATAGCACGATGAACGTTTAGAGGCCGGAGTATTATGGTGAGCTTGCGAGCTATAGACGAGGCAACGCCCATGTAGCAAGCCCAGGAGAGTCGGTGGCGCAAGCCCATGTTCACCGAGATGGAGCAGGCAACAGGAACGGAGCCGAGGTCCACATACGAACTTCGTCGACACATCAGCCAGCGTAAGCGGGCGGCACGTCGGATGCATCCCGTAGCCATGTTCGAGAGTCGACACGTCCTCCTCGCGGTTGCCGGAGTCCACCTCCCGCGGCTCTGCAGCCGACCCAAACGGCGGCACAGTCGCCACTGCCAAGCCCTTGATGCCCAATCCCGATGTGTGGTGCCAAATCCCGACGCTGATTCGCTTATGCCCAACCTTGATTTTGTATCACCGTTTCGGGACTTTCTGTCGCGCCGTGTCCTGAACCGTGTCAGAGAAACCCACCGAGCGACGGGCGCGTCCACATTCAATCTTTCCGGCGATCCCGCGCAAGCGAGGGCGATCAGGGGAAATTTTTGCGCGAGGGACGAGGAAGATTTCTGTGATGCTAAGGTGGGAGGGCCGAAGAGGACCGACCGCACATATGAATGGGGCGGACGGAGAAGGCATGAGAAAATACCGGAGATATTCTGGGAGGGAGCCTCGTGGGGCTCGGCTATCTCCGGCGGCGACTTCCGTCCTCCATTGAGTGGCAGAGGAGTGTCTCCGGCTGGCTAGAGAGGGCACGGTTTCGTTGGGAAGGCCGCGGCAAAGAGCAAGGAGCCTAGACGACGATAGGCAAAGCTAGGGTGAGCGATATAGCCAGGGGCGCTAGTAATGAGGAACGTTCACACAAGCGGGATAGCGGAAGGGCCAGGACCACTGCTTGACGCCGACTGCATGTGAGTATAAGAACCGTGAGCATCAGTCAGAGTAGAGATTATTCGATTAGTCGCATTCCACGTACGATGCCCTACGCGATAAACGAGATCACAAGTTGCATCACCAGTCGCCGGTCGGTGCCACAAAAGCGCCAGGCAAGAAAATAGTGCGTAGCTCTGAACGAAGCGCATAGATATGGTCAAGTCATCTAATGGTGGTCAATCCGTACGAGTATAAGAATTGGCAAGGCGTACCAAGTATTGAGTACCTGCTTGAAGTTGTGGAGTCATCTTCGCGCTGATTGCTAGAGCTTTTCGGCCCAGCAGCGAACAGCCCGTGCGCCAGCCCGATTATCTTCTCGCTAAGGAGAGCTTTTGCGTCTGTCGAATAAACATATGCGTCAATCTGGCAGCGTCGATCTCCCCCACATAGAATACCTCCGTCGACGCTCACCTAAAAAGCTTCCGCTGCCGTCCTGATGCTTCCGCCCGATGACGCTTCCTCAATGCGGGGAAGGCGAGCCTCGTGAAGCGGCGGGCGGAGCGTGAACCACCCGCGAGAGACTTGCAAGTCACTTGTGAGGGGGAGCGACAGGCGGTCGTCCTGACGAATGATTTTGTCTCAGTGAACAGTAGGTGTAGAGCGTTAGGAGGCGTACCTTTGTGCACATGATAACAAGATGGAGATGCGTATCGAGAGGGTGACGACAAGGGGCGGCGCGTGCAGACGAAGCGGAAGGTGTAGACGACCTCGAGGATACCAGCAGACGAGGCAACAGAATTCATGAGGAACTCTCTAGGTCTCGGTCTACAGCTCCTGTACTCTGAGTACGCTTGGCGAATGGGAGCCAGAAGGTGGAGGCGATGCTGGACTCCGGAATACTCGTACGGTCATACCAAGCAAAAGGGAAAGACATGAGAAAAGAGAAGAGGGGGAGGGCGCACCGCCTCCGGCGCCGCTAACGGTGAGGCTTTTTGAGCTCTGCGAGGACGAGGTAATTCCGCTGTTCGTAAGCGCCGGACGATGTAGGTCCTCGAGGCCTTCCGCATGTTGGGACGCGACCTGGAGGCAGTGTAAGATATTGTAGACGAGAAGGATCGACTTACGCGCCACAAACCGTCGCTAGAGCGGCGTGTCCTCATCTGGAATTGCTATCGATGGCTTCAGACGCACAAACTGTATGAACACTACCCATCGGACGCCCCGGAACGCAGACACGTACTCGCCTGTTGACTCGTAGACCCCTCGCTGCCCTCCCCGCGCGCCTTCGCTGCTCTTCTTGCGCGTCTTCGCTGCCTTTCCTGCGCGACTGTCGGCAATTGGCTCGCGCCCACCTCTCCATGACTCGCGCCCGCCTCCCATGACGCGGTCAGCAGACCGTGAGTTGACGGCACCCAATGCCGCCTTCGCGTCTTCCCCCCAGTGTCCACGTATGTCGCGTACGTACACGGACGCTCCGATTGTGTACGCACCCTCCGGCTCTGCCTAGCGCCTGCTCACGGACCAGGTCTTGCCAGCGGGCACATACATAAACAGGGCCCGCCAAGAACGCCTCTTTCCTCGGCATCAGCGTAGGGGCATAGACGGAATCAGCGCAGAGGCGTAAACGAGGGCGTGGGCGTAAACAGCGCTCCTCAGGCGACCTGCCCTCGCATCAACGGTATGTTGGGTTATTATGGCCGGTTGTCACCGGGGCCTTAGCGAAGTTGTTACCGGGTCTGCAGGCGAGTTCGTCAGTCAATTTTCACGCGTAAATTGAGGGAGGCGACGTGGAGGAAGTAGGCGAGAGGGATGTACCATCACTGGCGTTTGTCAGAGGAGCCGCAGACCACTTCGAAGGCGTCCGTCGTCGGGATATGTGGTCAATCAACGGTCCCCCACACTTATGCGGGGCGATGCGGGGGTGGCGAGTGGGGTGGGGGAGGAGCGCAGAGGAATATAGTTGGTGCTCACCAGCGAATAGAGCAGCTCGTCGGGCAAGGTGAGGACGACGGGAACGACGGCAATAGCAACGATTTATTTCGTCGGGATCCATAAACCAGCTCGATAAAGTTTGCGCCACGACGAAGGTCAGCAGATCGCCTGATATGCGTAAACAAGCAGACTCGCCCGTACCATTAGATCAGCGGGAATGTTCGAGTGCCCCCACTTGGAGTTGAGTCCTGGGAGTCGCTGGGACAGGAGGGAATACAAACGAGATCGTACTGATTGGCTAGGCTCGTTAGATTGTATGCTCGGAATCACCCAGCTGTATGCGGCTCAGGATCACCAGGCCTACATCATAAATCACCAGGCCGTATGACGCACCATCTTCGACGGAGGGGGGACGGATTGCGTCGCACATCGGAATCGCGATCGGTCGTCGGTCTGTCGGCGGACGACGCTGCTGTGTCTCCCACTCCCACTCCCGGGAGCCTTGGCGCGCGCTCGCCGTCGTGTGACCAGCGGCTCGTGTGACCTTGCCAATGCGTGTGACGACGGTCCGGCATCTCAGACGGTCGTCCTGGGAGGGGTCCATGGGAGACTTTGTAGGGGTCCCGCGGAGGAAAAGGCTTATCGCATGTGATATCGATTTACATTATGTGATTGAATGGTCGATGGAGGGGGGCTGGTACCACCGTCGATGGCCGAGCGATGGGGGTCCCGATGCGCAGAGTACAATAGCTGCTTGCGACTATCGGCGTACTGTAAGCTAGTAAGCAACTCTCCGGACTCGCGGGGATGCAGATGTGCTTGGCAGGCAAGCAGGCCGATACGAGAACATCGGGAGACGCGCGGCGGTCAGAAGGGGCGCCCTCAACAGGCTTGCAAAGCAAAAGGCTGTGGCAAGAGACGCGGACTAGGCGTGACTCATCCCCTCTCATCTGTAAATCGTGACAGGCGCGTGACGGGCGGGTGCCTCTGCCACCGAGATCTCGAGCACTGCCTCCGTCGAGCTTTTGGTTCCGTGCGGGGCAGATGACGCGTCGAGGACAGGCGTTGGGAGCGCGAAGCGCGTCCGGCATAGGAAGAGGCATGCCCAGAGAGAGCCAGAGCGCCTGCTCCCCAGCGTACTTCCCTACTTCCCGTACTTCTCATCCACCCAAAGACGTCGACCACGCTGCGAATTATGCAGGCACATCGCTAGTGATCGAGGGTGCAGATACGCAGGACAAGAGGCGCATTACATTGACAATGGAGGGACGCGCTGCGGGAGTCTGACACTTCGCGACAGGATAGGCGCACCGCTTGTCTTGGGGGGTGTCTAGGGCCATACCTCAGACCCGTAATTCTGCACGTGGCCGCGTTGTGTGGCGCCGCCGAGTGCACAATGGAAAGGGGCGCCCCGCGGTTGCGACGCAGCAGCGCTGGGTTGCTGCGAGGAGGGGAGACAGGTACGGCCGAGGAACGGGGGTGCGATATTGGGCGTGGCCGGCGATTACCGAGATTTCGGTGAGAGAGCGCGGGATTGGTGATCCTGCACATCTTCACCGTGTGCGCTGAGCGAGCTTGAATTTGTTGAGCGCACATTGTCAGCTGAATAGAGTAGGTGGTCGTACGCGCGTACCGGGCACCCAGTTCGGCTTCTGTGATGATGGTTCATCGATTCGCGGCCTGCACCTTAGATGGGCGGCCATGAAAGGGAGACGGTACCTGGTAAATGTCAATAGGTGCTCGATTTAGAGGCCGCAACATGAAGGAGCTGGAGACGGGCAAGATGGGAGGGCGCGACAATCAGGCTTGGAGCCAGGGTAACCGTGGTGCGGCTGTATCACGGAAAAAGTGGCACGGCGGGTGACATGGGCTTGCCGCGGTCTGGCGTTCTGAGAAGCGCGGCGCGCGGGAGGGGGAGAATGGGCGGGGGAAGAGGACCCAGTGCCATGGCTAGACGTGGTGTGGCGGGACCGAACGGATATAGCATCGTGCCAGCTAGGACAGTAATGTGTTGAGGAGGAGACCAGCAAGGCGCAGCGCGTGGGGGCTCATGTCGCCTCGCGCGCAGGAAATGACGAACGAGCACGGAGATGAGAGTGCGAATCCCTACAGCAGATATATCCATGAGTCGCGCAACGTGGTCGGCTTATCGCGCGCGCCTTTTGCAGGCGCTGCAAAGAACGATCCAGAACGAGAATAGGTGGCTGGCGCGAGGCATCTTATCTGGGGCGTGGTGGATGTATCTGTTACACTGATGCCAGCGGGGCGTCATCGCGGTCCAGTCGGTGAAGACTGAACAGGGATTGCTGTCGCGGGTCGTGAACGTGCGCCGGAGAGAGCGCGGGCAGGGAGGCGTGGCGACTACCGCGGCGGCGGCGATCCCCATTGCGAGCGGCAGTATTTGGTGCATGTGGCAGTTAGCCTTTCCCTGAGAAGGGACCTGGCTGGACGCGTCCAAAACTCGTCTGAATTGAGCGAGACGGTCGCAGCTACGCGAAGTGCAGCCGGCTCGCCAGCCGCTCGTCGTGCCCAGCAGCGTCAACGCGTCTTGAAGGCCGGCGTCTCGGCGCGTCACGGTGGACGCGTCAGCCGGACGGAGACTGGCGGGGGTCTGATCCCGGGAAAGACGCCAGAATTTTAATTTTTATCGGGATCGAGATCTGCGGACCCCGGACACCCCCGAGTACCAAGCCAAGTCCAAGCGGTGGCTTGAAATACTCCAATGATCGCATCCGAGTCTCGTTGCGCCTACGATGTCCTTCTCACCCGCATCGCCGCCGTCCATCCTGCTCACCGTCAGCAGCAACAACCGCCACAGAGCACGTCCGTACTCCTCATCCGTCTCCTCCTCGTCCGCCTCGACGAGCAGCTCTGTTAGCGACCGCGGCGAGCCCCTCTCATCGGAGACCTCCCTCAGCGGCAGCGAGGCTGGTCCCCTCCCCAAACGACCCATGCTGTACACCCCGCGCGGCCGCGTCCGCTTCGCCCCTCTCCCCGACCCCAGAAGATCCGTCCTCGTCACCGAGTCTGGTGATGAACTCCCGCTTCCCTTTGATGACCCCGACATGAATCGCGTCCCCGCCGCCGCGTCGGTTAGCTGCCCGGCCATCACAAAGACCGAGTCCGCGCCGCCCATGCTCGGGAACAAGGAGAACGAGAAGGACGAGCCCGTGCAGTACGCGACCGCCGCGACCGTCCTCAACAGCGCGCCACCGCTCGGCTCGCCGCGCAAAAAGAAGTCGCGACCGCTTTCCAAGACGCTCCTCCGTCCCTTTTCGATGTCCTCCTCGGGCGGCGACGCGGACATCAAGCGCTGCAGCTCGCAGTCGCCCTCCGAGACGTCGCTCACCCCCACACCCTCCCTCGCCTCCAACAATAGCACAGCCACGCACGTCTCATCCGCCACCCTCAAGTCCTTCCCGAGCCCCGAGGAGATCCTCACGCTCGGAACCATCAACCTCTTCCGCACCTCCTCGCGATCCTCGGACTCGGGCAGTAGCCTCCGCAGCGGCTGGGGCCGTCGGACGTCCAAGGCGTCGCTCTACAACGGCGGCTCCCCGCTCACGCGCAGCGAGAGCACCCAGTCGTACGCGTCCCCGGCGAAGGCCGGCTCCAGCTCGTCCTCGGTCCCGTCCAGCCCGCTTCTCGGCAAGAAGAAAAAGAAGTCGCGTTCAAGCTCTGTCTCCGCGCCGGAGCGCCGGATGCTTAACGGACGTGTCTACGGGCGCCGCCCCGTCTCCGCCGTCAACCACTTCCGTACGGCCCGGGACACGGATCCCGAGTTCGTCGAGTGGGGCTACGGCGGGATGGGGAGCGTGAAGAACGAGGACAATCGGTGGAGCAAGGTCCAGGGCGCGACGTCCTTCGGCTCACGCGATCCCGATGAGGACGATGGCAGCGGCATGGGCTGGGTCCGCCGGAGGAAAGAGCAGCGCGAGCGCGAGGCCAGGGAGAAGGAGGAGCGCGAGAAGAAGGCTGCATCGCCCGAGCCTGAAGTCATCGTAACAGGTGCGTTCCCACCTCATCGATATCAGTGCCAGTGCTGATTTTTGCGCCAGCACCACCTCGCACACCCTCTCCAAAACCCACCCCGCCAACGCGTCCTTCCCAAGATACTCCCCGTCAATCCACCACAGCCGCGCCGACACAGCAGCACGAGACGAAACTGGTGAACATCCCTGCTGGGTCTCAGCGCGGGCACCTCCGGACAGCCTCGCGCAGCAATTCCCTCGGCCTCACTGGCGTCGACGAGCCTCCCCAGGAGGCACGCGAGCAGGCGGAGGAGCTCTCGCGGCACCTCCGCGAGATCTCGCACACCACGTCGTCCGAGGAAGATTCGGATAGCGAGTCTTCGGGCGATGTCGAGCGCGAAGAGGATGATGACGAGGAGGACGAGGAAGAGGAGAAGCGGACGGAGGAGGCGCGCCGCAGTGCGAAGGCGGCCGGTGTCGAGCTCGTTAGCCGACATTCGCATTAATTCGCACCGAACGCGAAGAAAATCCACAAAAATTAGGAAGGACGATGACGAGAGGAAGGACAGCCCCGGCGCGCCTGCCCCTGCGCTCGCGCTCGACTCAACCCCCGACTCTGGACGGTGCTATATTGGTTCTGGGACTCTTTCATATTGATCATTTGTGCGTTGGTTTCCTTGCTTTTTCCTTGCCCTCCTCCCTTTCTTTCGCCCGTCTGCCCTTTTACCCTTCTTTTGTCATCGTTCGCCTGTGCTGACTAGATACCTCCAGATACTTGTGTGTATACCCTCCCGTCGCCGGTTGCCCCCGGCCCGTGTATCATAGCCTGTTTCCCTCCTGCAATCTTCTCCCTCTTCGGTCTTTTGTCGTTTCATCAGCATTCTATCCCCATTCCATACTCGGATCGACATTCCATTCCATACTCGCCGCTCAGCATCGCCACCAGTCTCCATTATCACAATCACTATATTCATTATCACCACTTTATTCGCACTATTGCTCAATTCCGATCCGCACTACTCAAAGCCGATCCGCGCTACTCATAGGCGCGCGCTATCCGACGCCGGCTCCGCCATTTATAACAGCACTTGCCGTCTCTCGCCACCGCCGTCTTCGCCAGCTTGTCAGTCCCTGCCGATGCTCGCGTATCCAGGCATCGCTCGCGTGTCCGGCGGAATGCCTCCATTATTCCCGTCATCGCGCGCCGGTCATCGCCCCTGCTACTCACTGACCCGCTCCCCACCGTCTCCCGCCTCATCAACTCGCGCTTTTCCATCCGACTCGACCAGTTGTTCGCTTCGCCATTTGCCCTGTATGCTCATTCAACCAGTTTCGCGTTCACGTTGGTTGTCTATAGTTGGATTATCCTTCTTCGCGGGTGGTGTCGTGGGCTGCGCTACTGGCCCTAGGGTCACGTCGCGCTACTGCCCTTCGGCTGACGCTGTGGTATCATTCGCCCTGGGCTGGCGTCGCACCGCCGGCCGCGGTCTGCCTTCGTAGGCGCGCACGCAGGGACTAGCCTCTGGCCGACGCCGGACAGCGCCTGTCATCGCGGCTCCACGGTTCGACGATCGCAGGTTCGCGACGCTAGCGTCGACGATCCCTTGTCAGGCAGCGCTTCGCGGCGTCGACAGGCATCGCTTCATGGCATTCAGAGGCCCGCCTCGCGCTGTCGATAGGTCCGCCTCGAGGCTCGCAGCAGGGCTCAGGGCAAGGGCAGGGGGCGCAGCACGTCGGGCACGCCACGCGTGCAGCTCATCGCTGTGCACTTGGTGTTGCGCACCATGCATCTGGTGTCGCCTACCGTACTCCTGGTCGCCTACCATACCATACCTCCGGTCGCCCCACATACGTCTTGCGTCGTCGGGGCGTGTCGGTCGCGTATGTCACGAACTTACCACCCTACTCTTGTTCCATCGTCGGTCGCTTGGTGTACCTACTTTACGCAGCATTACTTATGATATTTCGCATGCATTTATGGATTTTATGCGCTTTCAGAGTTCTGCTGCAGTGTGCTCGTGTGAAGGCTTGGCTAGTCGGAAGATGATAAGGTGAGCAGAAGCAAGGTAGGCTTCAAAGATCTTTCGGAGGACTCCGCCTGGCTTCAACTGTTGAAGCTGAACTTCAACGTTGACGAGAAGAGGGTGCTTGCATCATTGCTTGGAAGGGTACGTCTAGGACTTCTACTGACGTTGTGAACAGTCATCGAAGGTGAAGGAAGAAAGGAAGGAGGGAAGGGTGCACATTGTCTGTTGGTTTCTCACAAGTCAGTAACGGTGAATCGACTGCGGGCTTGGGGTTACCCTGAAATGAAGGGTACTGCTACGAAGAATACTCGAAATATCATTACAGTATAGACCGCAGTAGGCGCGCGGTAGAATGGAAAGTGATCTTGTTTCTCAGGACTTGACCTCAGCTAACGAGCGATTAGGACGCGCAAATCGCATAACAAAAGATCTATCAACTCTACGCCTCCCGCCACCAGCCCGTCGCTATCTCTGCTCCTTCCCAAGCCGAGTATGGAAGCCCTCATCGCGACCACTGTGAGGTCAGTACCGCGGCTACTGGATGGAGCCGTGACGCACTCGGATGGACCCATATGCGATGCGCAGGATGGGCTTCGGTCGGGGTGCTACTAGAGGGACTCCTGGTACTCGGTGTACCGCCGGGGCAAGTGGACGTGTGGGACCCACAATGGCTTGAGTACACTGCTTTGTGTTCATGGATGGGGCGGCGGCGGTTGGCGCGGTGGGAAGACGCTCCATGAGGAGCTTTTATCAGGAGTTACTCAATGGATGACTGAGGAGGGGAGACGTCGATGGCTGAGATTGTGGCACGCGCACCTCCCTCGGTGCCACCCAGATTCTCAGCGCCTCATCCTCGAGCGGGGCTGGCGCGTCGATAGTGAGTCAACGCCCCGCCTGCTCTTCATCATCGTCCTCCACAGGTCGGCGTCGACGGCGCTGGGAATGTGGCGCGCGGGAGAGCAGGTGACCGTGGCCCGAAGCAGGTGACGCCGGCGCGCGAGAATCGGGCGTCCGAAGCTCATGTACGCGGAGGCTAGGCCGGGGCAGCGTTTTGCGCCGGCAGACGGCGGGTGAGAAATAACACTCGCGAAGGGGGGCACAGTGGACTTCGGCGAACGCGGTGGTCACAGACGGCTAGGACGGACTCGGAGCAGTCACGGCGGCGAAGGGGAGTCAATGCATGGATGAACGGGGATCAGACCATGTTGCGAGGCCCATGCCATGGGATCGTCTTCTGCGTAAACGGGGAGCATTCGGACGGACTTCGTGACTTGGTGAATGGAGGCCGAGGCGAGACTGCTTTAAAGGAGTTTGGAGTCGCCGGTCATCTCTGCAAGCCGTCCGCCACGTCCTCGGCGTCGATGGGCCATTGTTAGCCGTGGCGCGATCGACGGGCTAGACGGCTGCGATAGGTGCGCACGGTCTGCGTCGAGGTTCTGCCGCTAAGCTGCTGGATCGTAAGTCCCAAAGTAGCCGCAATGAACACGGATCACGAAGTGCTGCATACACGTACTCAGTCGCGTTGTGGAAGGTGCACAACATCCGAGCCCTTGACAGCCTACCTCAGCTGACGTTCGAGTCGTCCGGGAGATAGCCGGGGTGACGTTTGAGCGCAAAGGAGTATGCAGAGCGCGTGTGAAGACCGGGAGTTTCCGTGCATGCGGGAGTCGAAGCATAGGTCGTATAGGGTGTGACAAGGGAATGGAACGTCTGGCAAGTGCACTGCAGCCGCTGCTGTGCCATGCCATAGATGGTCCTTGAGCCATGGAACGGAGGCTAGATCCTCATAGATTTGAAGCGATTGACTAGCGAAGGGTCCTGCTGTGGCACCGACTGTCAACGCAGATGAAAGAGAGAAGGAGGAGCCGTACCATCACCGGGGCATGACGCGCGAGTACAGCTTGTCGATTCCTCAATGGGGAGTGACTACGTGCGGTGACCCGCCCGGAACCAGTCGCTCTTCGAGCGGAGATGACCTACCTATGTTAAGACTTGTTACCCCGGTAATCTTGGCGTCGACATTATCTTCACCGTGAATACAGCACAAAAGCGACCGAGGATGAATGACCAGACCAGGCCCTTGAGCTTCTTGCCACTCACGCAGAAGCGACACTACGCGCTTGAAGTACAAAATAGAAAAATGCTTGCACTTATAGAATATACATATAGTCTGTGAATGAGATATGGCGTAAGCATGGCGAGTATCCCGAGGAAATCAGCGTTTATTCACCTAATAATCGTCCGAGTAAACGGACTCTTCATCAGAGAGATCCTCGTTATCCGAATCGATATACAGTCCCCCAACGTTCACAGTCAGGGCCTCGCCCATGCTGCGTTCGTAACCCTCCTTGATCGACATGATGCGCTCATAGGCGGCCATGCAGCCCCCATCCTCTTCGACCTCACAGCCGTCGAGAGTAAAGTCGAGGTTGCGGAACCTCAAAGATGCCGTCTGCCGCGCTTTGAGAAAATCCCCTATGGCTTCGTAGGCGGTCTCAAGCCACTCGTTGGAGTAGTAATCATCATCCGAGTCGAGCATCAGGTTGACTGAAGTGAAGCGTAGATCGAGGAGCGAGGGGAATCGCGTCGGCTCGTCACTGAAGATATCCAGCACCAGCGCGGGCTTTAGATATAGACGATGAAATGTGACGTTCGTGAGTGCCGGAAGCTGCCGCAGGACTTGTTCGAGCTCTTGTTCGTGCGGATGGAGAACAAAGTGGCCGGCGAATTCGAGGGTGGTCAATCCCTGCGAGCACTCCGCGAGGCGTAGCAAGCTGGACCAAGCATCGAACGCGCCCCATTTCTCGTGATTATCTTCGAGCGTCAAGCTTTCAAGAGCTGGGAAGCGCGCCGCATCGAGGACTTCGGATGGAAATCTCTTGAACCTGAGCTTCAAGGTCGTGAGCGCAGAATATGTCACGATAGACGCCTGACGCTTTCCGTTCGTCGGCCATTCAGGAAGCGCGTGGTCGGCTACATCTATCTCCGCCGTAATGAGATTTGCGCATTGAAGGAAAGCAACGTCCCATTCCTGTGGGGTATGCACAGATCCGAGCTTCAAGTCTTGAATCTGAGCCCACGGGAGCGGGAGGGCGGTGATTATACTGGCGCTCTCGGATAGAATATGATCGAGATGCTGGATGTGTACGCTGCGCAGCGCGGGGCACTCGAGCAAGCATTGCGCTGGCGGGGTACTTGCGTCGAAAATACGCTTCTCATTCGCTCGAAGCCAGCCAGTGGTCTTGATGTGTAGCGCCTGGAGTTTGCAGAAAGATCCGCCAGGAAATTTGACGAGAAAGTCGAGCCAAGGAGGAGGGCACATGATGTCCAGCTCCCGTAGCCGCGGCGCCAACCGCTGGAGCGCGACATCGAGTAGAGGCGACCTTGCAGGGCCAACATTGCGGTACTCGTTGTCTTCGGAGATCGTCAAGGAAAGTCCTCGCTTTCCTGCTCTTTGGCACCAGGACTCGACGTAGTCCACTACCCCCGCTTTACACGCTTGCCGCAGCGAGAGCTTGAGCTGAGTCCAGAGACGCGCGTTGCCGAATGCAGCGTTGCGCCAGAGTCTGCATACATGCGCAAACTGGAATGGCGAAGAAGATGCGGCGAGGGACATGACCTCGGCGAGCAACTCAACGGGGAGTTGCTGAGCGGGCGACGTGAGGGCGGTGGCATCGAGCAACTCGGTGCGGTGGCTTGCGTCTTCTCCGCTAAAAGTAAACAGACTGTCGAGAACGTGAGTCGTCCGCTCGGTGTCTATGGCGCGACTGATCGTTTTGAGTGGCTGAAAGCGCGCGCGCATGAGCATACGAGATCAGAGTGCGAGTGCGTCATTACACACCTGTAGAGCTACAGACATGACTTCGGATCACTGTTGAGATGGGGATATCTCGAAAGAAAGACTTCGTGAAGCAATGAGGAATCAAGCTCGAAGGTAGGTGGTGGCAAGAGACAAGAGTTGAGAAGAGGCGGCGCGAGCCTCATGCCAACTTCGGCAAAGTGCGGAGTATTCCCACGCTTTGTTCTACTGGGGCCACATCGCTTTCTGACGATCTGACAACGCATGGTGTTCACTCATAGCCAGTTTTGTTTTATCCTGATTTGACGGCATACTTGATCACATTGTTTAGCCACATAATCTGCTAAGTACGATGATCTCCGACTTCGTGAGCGCCGTTTGTTACGCGAAGCCACACGATTTGTGGCAAGTACACACAAGATATTTGAATTCGTACAATTGATAGGGGGGGGGGGGGCGTTGAGCCAAAGAGACAGAATAAGAAGATCTGTGGAATAAGTACCTAGAAGTGTGCACACAACGCCAACCATCCTAGTATGGCTCAACTGTCGTGCAGTCCTTTGATGCGAACTGACAATGCTTTACCCATACTGCATTCGTACTCTTCCCGAGACGATATGACGCGCAGATATTCAGCCAGGATTTCTTTTTTTTTTCCGCGGCCCGCGTTGGTAAATTTGAAGTTGCGTGATTCGAGGTGCGCCATCCGCCGCGCGTCAAAGAGGTCCGCTATCGCGTCGTAGTAGATGCCCTTCAGCAGATTGTTATGGCCGTTGTCGTGCTCACGCACGATGAAAAGAGTGGAAGCGCAAGTCTAGGAGCGAGGCGAGATGCTGAGGATCATTGATGAAGAGGCACAATAGTGTCGCAGGTTTGTGGTTGTGAAGTCAAACGTGAGGTTCGCCAGACCGCCGTACAAGGGTGTCGATCCAGAGGCGAGGGCAGGTTATATCCAGCTCCTACGAACACGGGCCTAGCTTTCGAAGTAAGAGGTCAAAGAGAGCGCAGCTTTCAGCGGTGATGCTGCTCTATCTGGAAGGCTGAGCACGCGCCTGTATGAGTATCTTGTGCCAAATCGCCCCGATGTCAAAACGCACCGGCATAGTCGTGTCGTCCCTGCGATAAGGCACGTTCTCTCTTCTATACCGACGTCAAGCTTGGTTTGGCGGAGAGCTGATAGAGAGACGCGAGGTGGACGTTCAAGTAGGTGATGGCGAGCGACAAGGGTTGCGAATATGTGGCGCGGGTCATTCGCCGATTTCGGTTCACACGCCTTATTCGGACTTGAGCTTGAGTTCTGACCACCACTGTGGCGCTCGCCGCGTGCTGGGATCGATGTACCACGAAAGATTTTCCCTATTGTTCTTGCATACTCCTGCTTGAATTCTCCCAGAAGTGTGGGCTTTGCCTAAGGCTATGACCATTCGTGCTGACGTGCTCAACTCGATTTACCCGGCCTACTTGCAGGGGTGACTAACACGTTTACCAGCCTTGGGAGGGCGTCAAAGGCAACCACGAGGTCAATTTAACCGCTGCGTACTCATGCCGCCCCGCCGTGCAGCCCACTAAGCAACCTCTGGATTGGCGCGCGTTCTAGACGACGGCGCCGAGCCATGATATAAAGTCCTGCGCGACAATGTCCTTCGAACACTCTTCCTTGCCGCTCTTTACATCCCGACTAGTTTCCCGTTCGTGCACACTATGTCTAAGCGTATCCTCACTATCCTCGGCGCAACTGGGAAGCAAGGCGGCTCCGTCGTCAACAGCATTCTCGGCGACGCCGCTGCATCCAGCAAGTTCTCTGTTCGTGCGGTGACGCGCGACGTGACCAAAGACAGCGCGAAGGCGCTTGCTGCCAACGGCGCTGAAGTCGTCTCTGTACGTCTCTTTCCATCATTCATGCTGGTTGTCGTGATTTATGACGGCGTACAGGCCGACTTGAACGACAAGAACTCCCTGCGCGAAGCCTTCAAAGGCGCGCACGGTGTCTTCGGGGTAACGAACTTCTGGGACACCTTGAGCGGCGACAAGGAAGTCGTTCAGGGCAAGAACATCGCTGATGCGTGCAAGGTACGCATCGATTCCAGCTCTGTTCTCCGGTCCCGTCGGGTTCTTACCAGCATTTTTAGGAAGAGAACGTTCAACACCTCGTTTGGAGCAGTTTGCTCAACGTGAACAAACGTACATATACTCTCTTACCATCTTTTGCATACTTCGCTTGACCAAGCTTTCCTAGTAACCAACGGCGTCCTCTCTCAAGTCCACCACTTCGACAGCAAGGCCGCAGTCGAAGAGTACATCCGCGAGCTCGGCATCCCCGCCAGCTTCTTCCTCCCCGGCTTCTACATGTCCAACATCCCCGGCCAGAATCTCCGCGCGGGCCCCGACGGGAAGTGGCAGTTCGCCATGCCCATGCCCGAGGACGCGCCCATCCCGCTCTTCGCCGCCGAGCGCGACACAGGCAAGTTCGTGAAGGCGATGTTCTTGAAGCGCGAAGAGGTGCTCGGCAAGCGCGTATACGGCGCGACGGGGTATACGACGCCGCTGGAAATACTCGACGCGTTTAAAAAGGTGTACCCGGCAGCGGGTAAGGACCTGTCGTTCCAGCGGCTGCCGAATGAGGCCTTCAAGGGCATCCTGGCGTCGATGGGACTTCCTGAGCCGATTCAGGAAGAGATGCTGCAGAACATGCGGCTCGTATATGAGTTTGGCTACTACGGTGGCGAAAAGCTCGACTGGAGCAAATCGGTGAGTGAAGCAATGCGTCCGCCGTATCATCCTGTGCTTACCATTCCTCAGCTCGTTGATGAGCCGCTCACGACTTGGGAGGAGTACATCAAAGGGCACCCAGCTTTCGCGACCGCTCAGTAATTTGACGGAGACAATTTTCCTATCTGATACGCTCTGTCCTTCTCTGCATCTCTATCTACATCTCAGATCTAGTGCTACAGTGGAATATCCGTGTAACGCGTAACCGTACTCTAGCTAGGTGAGCGCTCTCTAGCGAGTTCAGCGCATCGTGACAAGCTCTGCAACAATGAGTTAGCAACCATACTCCTACGAGCTCGATGCGAACTTACCCTCAGAGGACGTCGGATGTATAGCCACCGTCGCGTCCAGGTCCTGCTTCCGCGCGCCCATCTTCACCGCAACACCGAAGCCCTGCATGATCTCATCGCTGCCCATGCCGAGTATGTGGATGCCGACGACGCGCTCCTCGGGGCCGGCGCAGATGAGCTTGTGCACAGTGGGCTCCTTGTGGTCCTCGTCGACCATGGAGAAGTAGAGGGAGCGGAAGGAGGCTTTGTCTGGGAAGAGGGGTGAGCAAAGGACAAAGTGAGGGAATAAGTAGACGTACAGATCTTAATGTTCTCGTCGCCGTACTTTTCGCGGGCCTGCTTCTCGGTGAGACCGGTGGTGCCAATGGGCGGGTGGCTGCGGGAGGTTAGAATGTGAAGAGTAGGAGATGTAGTGGCTACTCACGAGAAAACGACGGTCGGGATGTCATCGTAGCTTAGCTTGTCGTCCTTGAACTCGGGAGGGCCAAAAAGCCTGTTCCCCAAGCGACGACCGGCCGCAATAGCAACCGGCGTGAGCTCCGCCTTGCCCTGCGCATCACCGATGGAGGTGATGTTTGGCACGGACGACACCTGGTATTCGTCGACCACGACGTAGTCCTTCTCGTCCGTCTTGACGCCCACCTCCTCCAAGCCGATGTTCCTCGTCATCGCGCACCGGCCAATCGCCCAGAGCAGGACGTCGGTCTCGATTTTGTCGCCCTTGTCGGTGTGCACGGTGAGCGGGCCGCCCTTGGTGCCCTCGACACGCGTGACGTGCGTCTGGCGGTGGATGTTCACGCCCGTCTTCTCCATCCACGGCGTGAGCGTCTGCTGGATCGTCTCGTCGAACGTGCGGAGGACGGTGTCGCCGCGGATGAGCAGGTGCGTCTGCGTGCCGAGCGCGTTGAAGATGCCCGCGAGCTCGACGGCGATGTAGCCCGCGCCGACGACGACGACGCGCTTCGGCTGCTCCTTCAGCTCGAAGAAGCCATCCGAGGTGATGCCGAGCGACGCGCCGGGGATCTTGTCCTCGGAGGGGATGATGGGGTAGCCGCCGGTGGCGATGTTGATGTGATCGGCTTCGAGGATGTACTTGGACTTGTCCTCGAGCTCGACTTCGACCTGGTTCTTGGAGAGGAGGCGGCCGTAGCCCTTGTGGTACTCGACGCCGTCTTTCGCCCAGTTTGTCGCGTAGATCTGGTTGAGGCGGCGGATGTACGCATCGCGCTGCTCGACGAAGGCGGACCAGTCAAAGACAGTGTTCTCGCCGCCGGTCATCTTGTATCCCTTGGCGTGGTTGTGGAACTTCTCGAAGAGGTCGGCGGCATGCCACATCAGCTGGGGGAGGGGTGAGTGGGGGAATGGTGTATAGACAAGGTGTCCTCACCTTCTTGGGTACGCAACCTGAAGGCGAATCAGCAGACGCAGAGGGGGATGTGTCTAGCACTCACCGACGTTCACACAAGTGCCTCCGGGACGGTCGGTCATCTCAACAAGCGCGACCTTCTTCCCGTACGAAGCCGCGCGCCGCTGTCCGATCAGTCAGTCGGATTCGCGTGCATAGCACTCTATCCACGCACCGAGAAGCCACTACCTCCACTCCCGCCGCCGATGATGACTAGGTCATACTTCCCTGGCGAGGGCTTGTCGTGTATCGGTCCGATGGGAGGCATAGTGTTAAGCGCTCGTCGTATCTTCCCACTGTTCAGCGTAAATTCATTGTTTGAAAGGCTGCACGAACCTGGTAAAGGCGTTGGGACGCGAGTGCCGTAGGTGACGCTATTGGGCGAGGTGAAGGAAAGGAAAGGCGCGTCAGCACTCGCGATGCCATTTTGTATCAGACAGGGGCGATGCTCACGGGAGCTTGCGCAATGAGCGCTTTATTTGACCTTCCACGCGGCGACTTACGTGATCGGCGGTCATATCCAAGGCGCGCATTCCTCCGCAATGTGACCGAACTCGGCTTTCCTTTTGTCGTCGGTGCCACAAATACTGATGCACCGTCTATCGCCAGGATCTGCAATCTCTTGTTTTCTGAGAGTAGGTGTGCACCTACGAGCGACCAGGGAGGTATGCATCTGTGAGCGGTATAGTCAGCGTCCGCACAAGATTCCGTTGTCAGCGCCTTACTAACCAGTCACGGGCCTGTCGAGTCTGTTGATTCCAGCTGCCTTGTTTCAGGTCTGGTTGGACTGTTGAGCACAGAGTGTTTGCCGCTGCAGTTGATCAGACCAGCTGGGCGCCAATGGCGCCGCCCAGCAGTCATGATGTCGTCTGAGGCGAATTTATAAGCCACGATCGATATGCGCCGCGCTCGGTTGTGCTGGTAAGGGGTGAAATGTCGGTAGCAAACGAGGAGACGCGCCGATCCATCTGATTGAAGGCCAGAAGAGTTGGGCGTCCTGATCTCCTGGATGTGACTAGGGTACTTCTTAAAATGATTGTACGAGTGGATAGCTAAGGGGCGGTGAATGAGCGTAACTTTGTATGCAGGGCTGCAGAAGATGACACTGGCCTACTTCTGATAGTCGTGATGTTGCACGTCAAATCGGGGTGGGTATATGCACTAGGTGTGAGTGATCTGATGAAGCATAACTACTCACCGCCTCACCCTTGCTCAGTATAGCCCCTCAAAGTATGGCCATCAAAAAGTATGAAAATATGATCATATGCATGCAGAAGAGCCAGAGAACGATGCAGATGAAAGCGTTGAGCAAGACGCGTCAGTGTCATTTATGCGTGCGGGTCACGTCACGCCATGTCCCGTGATCGCGTAAGCCGTTGTTTCGGCAAGTCCCGAATTGTTCAATTCCGTGCTTGTGTTCGAACGCAACCCCGGCACTGTTCTCCAAATCTTCCTTCCGGACAACAGGTCGTTGGAAAGGAATCATATGCTTTCAAGGGTCTTGCTTCTCGAAGGAAGCCGCTCAATGGTTATGCTTCCTCACTTCCGTGACCCGCCGACGGACTGAAGCGACGCAAAGCTCACCTGCCATTGAATGCTGATCTAGACCTTGAAGGCATACAATGCTCGACAACAACATATCGCCTATCTCTCGCAAGCCAAGGGAACGTTATCTCTATGTAAGCTCACATGGCCGCTCATTACGACTAACTCGCATGGATGACACGCGTCTCCGTTTCCGACCGCCACCGACTCTTGAGACTTCTGTATGCCTCTTGCTCTTGACGGTGTATCTGCGTCTGTACGCTACTCAGATCACACCGATATTAATTGCTCATATATATTCTCAGACCGCCATGAACCCATCACTTGAATACGTATTACGGCTGGCGTCCTCGCATGCGAACTGCCAGATTCTGCGCGACCGACATCTCCCTGATGCCGAAGAGGCCCGCACGATAACCAACATATCTTCCATCATACTCGAAGAAAGGGCGCATATTGGCGCGGAGATCCAGCGCTTGGAGAGCTTGCGTACCATGCTCACCGCCCAACTGGAAGTCAGCCGCGCCGTGCTCGCGCCAGTGCGGCGGCTGCCGGCCGAGCTGCTCGCTGAAATATTCACCTTGGTTGCTGAGGACGATGTGTCCTTCCACAACATCCAGGTCTGCCACTCGATTCTGCAGACGTGCACGACCTGGCGTGCTGTAGCCCTCGGCACGCCCCGTCTGTGGAATCACATTGTCCTCTACAATGGCCGAGTCACTCGCAATACCTTGCATGCTCTGGACTTCCGCCTCTCCATCATCGCCTCCGTGCCTCTTCATCTCACCCTCGGCGGCCCGCTTTGGAGACGACCCAAGCTCTGGCGCCTCCTGCTCTCGCGCGCCACGCAGTGGGGCTCGCTCATCTGGCGCGGCTCCGCCTACAACACCTTCCCCTCCGACACACCCACCATGCAGCTCTCCGCCCTCGAGTCCGTCGCGCTCGAGTTCACGCGCGAGTCCGCGGACGTCCCGCCGCCGATGGTCCCACTCGACCTCTTCACCTGCGCGTGGAACGTGCGGCGGCTGACGCTCAAGGTGCACGACCCCGTCATCGCGGGGCTCAAGATCCCGCAATTGTGGCACCTCACGCACCTGTGCTTGATGGTCAACACGGAGTTCGAGGCGAACCCCCGGGACTGGGAGCTCATTGCGAGGATGCTGCAACAATGCCATCTGACGCTGGAGAGCCTCGACATCAGTTCGACGCGCCCTCGCCAGTCTGCGGATCCGTTTACCGATATCGCGACACCCTTCGTCTTTCCGCATCTGGCCTGGCTCAGGCTGTCGAGATACACGGACTGGCTCCTCGAGCACATTCGCGCGCCGCCGCTCGAGCATCTCACGCTCAGAGCCATATCGCTCTGGCCGTTGTCGTCGACGCGGCTGGCAGCCTTCGCCCAGCACTCGCCTTCGCTGCGTCGATTGAGTCTCGAGAACGTGCGCCAGCGGTACTCCGTTGACAGCGCTCGGCTAGTGGACTGCCTTCGGACTCTGCCTCGCATCGCGCATCTTTCCATCTGTAAGCTAAGCGAGCAGTGGCTGCCCTCGGTCGACTTGCCGTGGTTGGAGATGTCGATGTCTCTCATGGACGCATTGACGTGCAGCGCGGGCGCGCCAGTCCTGCTGCCGGAGCTCAGAGAACTAGACGTGAGGTATGAAAACGCCATACAGGATGAGAAGGATGGAACCCTTCAGAAACTACGCGAGGAGACGCAGAAGATGTTGCTTTCGAGGAAGGAGGGACAGGCGGAGGACGAACACAGGATTGTGGCACTAACCAAGCTTACTACGAATATACCTGGTCTCTGATACCGACCGGATGGTGGTACTGTACAAGATAGTCATGCTTCTCGATAGGACGTCGCTCGATTACAATGGTTTGCAGATTTCTAGTCTAAACAAGTGGGCCAGCGGCCCCTGCGGGGAACTCCTACAGACACGACAACATATCCTGGCAGAATGCCCACAATACGAGGAGCACCGCTACCTACTCCGTGACGCATCCCGCGGCCTCTCGCTCCCGGTTCTATTGGGAACGAAGAAGGGGATCGCAGCCCTCACGGAATTCATAGCGGCGTCCGGCGCATTCACCAAAACCGGTGCACCCCGTGCACCTCCATCACTCCCTACCTGGGAGCAGGAACCCGAGGTACGACAGGACGACGAGAACGGCGAGGATGGATAGGAGGCCCGGCAGCCCAACCCCGTGCTTAGGTACCTTTCCCCGTCCCTTATCACCCTTTTTCTTGTTCGTTTGCGATACCCCGAGACACACGACACACGCACAGAGTGCTTTTACCTATTATATCACCATTCAGCTCAACCACAGTATCGCGACGGACAGCAGTACGAGCAGCAGCCTCGGGACTAGTAGATTATCACCACGGGTATGCGAAGGGCCCTGCCGGGCTTCCGGATGGAGGGAGTTCTGGCGGAGGACCGCGTCTTAGCTTCACCTTAGCTTGTAGCGGTATAGAAGTGCAGAGTTTTTTTTTAAAAAAAAAAAGTGGGCCAGCGGCAGACCAAGTACTGCGATGATGTCATCGAGCACGTGCAAAAGCGCACCTCGGTGACCTTTCCGAAAGAGGAAAGAAATGCTTCTTGGACTTGTACCATCACGAGGCTGGGACCCGGACCTACTTCTGTCTCTCACATACGGAATTTATGTGATTTGGAAGCCCTAAGACGACCTTTCGACGAGAGGATACGCTGCAGCGTGATCAGCACCGTTGACGCAGCCGGTCGAGTTTACCCGCTCTCCTGACCTGCTGAATCGGCCGGACGACGCGCGATCCTGCTTCATAAGAATCAGAGATGTTGGCTGAGAAACAGGAACATCTCTCGTCCCACTCTCGAGCCGACTCTGGTGAGTATAAAGGCTTGTGCTTGTTGACCTGGTGGAATCAACTTCCTCACCGCCTCCTCGACTTCCTCGTTCACACACACTCGACATGATCAAGCAGATCATCACCGTCTTTGGCGCCACTGGAAAGCAGGGCGGCTCTGTCGTCGATAGCATACTTGGCGACGCCACCGCCTCGGCTAAGTTCGTTGTTCGCGCGGTGACGCGGGACGTGAACAAGCCCAGCGCGAAGGCGCTTGCGGCCAAGGGTGCTGAAGTCGTCTCTGTATGTCAATCCCTTTTTCTTTCCTGGGTCGGACACATTACTCACGCTTCTCAGGCTAACTTGGATGACAAGGACTCGCTGCGTAGCGCGATCAAGGGCTCGTACGGCGTCTTTGCGGTCACTAACTTCTGGGAGTACCTCAATGGCGACAGAGAGGTCGCCCAGGGCAAGAATATCGCGGATGTCTGCAAGGTACATGCACTGAATTGCTATCTCTGCTGGCTTTCAGGTTGCTGACGGCTGCGCCCAGGAGGAGAGCGTCCAACATACGATCTGGAGCAGCGTGCTCAATGTCACGAAGCGTGAGCACCCTTGCCAGAGTCCGTATTCAACTGAACTCAAGCGTTTTCAGTCAGCAAGGGCGTCCTCTCGAAGGTCGCCCACTTCGACAGCAAGGCCACGATCGAGGAGTATATCCGCGACCTCGGCATCCCCGCTACCTACTTCCTCGCCGGCTTCTACATGTCCAACTTTCCCGGGCAGACCCTCTCCATCTCGCCCGACGGCAAGTGGACACTCGCCCTGCCCATGCCCGACGACGCCCCAATCCCGCTCTTCGCGGCCGAGTACGACACGGGCAAGTTTGTCAAGGCCATATTCCTCAAGCGCGAGGAGACGCTTGGCAAGCGCGTCTATGGCGCGACGGCGTATACGACACCGATCCAGATCGTCGACGGCTTCAAGAAGGTTTTCGGGAAGGACGCGGTATACAAGCGGCAGACGGGCGACGAGTATAAGGCTACGCTTGCTGCGCGGGGGTACCCGGAGGCCATACAGGAAGAACTGCTGCAGAACATGCGTCTCGTCTACGAGTTCGGGTACTACGGTGGCGACAAGCTGGACTGGAGCGTGTCCGTGAGTGATGTTCGTCCCTCCATTCGCGCGTATTCTCATCGTTGTCGTAGCTTGTCGACGAGCCTCTCACGACGTGGGAGGAGTACATTAAGGACCAGCCCGCTTTTGCGGCGGCGAAGCAGTAGGCGGGGAAGCAGTAAGTGGGGAAGAATAGAATGTGTATAAACTTCGGAAAGTCGAACATAAGTCACGTGTGATCTCGGAGGTAATTAGGCGCTCGGCGCGCATGTCATGCAAAGTCGACTCCCTTGTTCTCAACCGCCACCTGCCTCGGCGCTGTCTGGCGCGACGCTCCTGCGTACTTCATGTCGTCTTCAATGGAACTCACACTCGTTAATTTATCCAATGATGGCATCCTGTGCGGTCGGCGCACCTCCAATGCGAATGTTCAGGTCTCGGTGGCGTTGCAGCCCTCCGAAGCGACGTCGACGCGCATTCCGAGCCATTGCTCCGAGGATGGCATCACGCTTGCTCTCCTCGCACTAGGGGAGAAGGCGCAGAAGTGGACCATAGAACATGAGCATCTTGTCACTCGCGCCTCGACCATCGCAATGCCTTCCTGGAGAAGCATCGACGTCTCGGAGGATTGTCCATGGCGGGTTTACTGCCGCAAGGTGCGTGGTGTACAAACACTCCCTCCTTCTCTCATTAACAACTTGCTAGATTCGCCGCCACCATCGCATACTTTACCTTTTCCCCCGCCGAAGTACAGCGGGGTTTCTTTCGGATATGCACGACGGGTGCCCTTTATCTTCTCTTCTCTTGCCTGGAACCCATGATAGGTGCGCCTAACATCTCTTCGCTCTCTTCGACCACTCACTCCGCACAGCATGGCCTTCTATGGCTGGCCTGTCGCACAGTGCCAATCGATCGATACTCCCCTCTCAGTTCAGCTCGAATCCGGCATTCGTGTGCTCGACATCCGCCTTGCCCTCGTAAAGGACCGCCTCATCGCCTACCATGGCATAACTCCGCAACGCACTCCCTTCCATGACATCCTTACGACCATGCACGCCTTCCTCACTGCCCCTGCTTCTTGTCGCGAGACGCTCGTCGTCTCCATCAAGCAGGAAGACTTCGCGACCACGCCGGCACCCAAGTTCTCCGCTGCCGTGCACGCCGAGATGTTCAGCGGGCCCGGCGGCAAGGAGATGTGGTACCTCGAGAACCGCATACCGCGGCTAGGCGAAGTGCGAGGGAAGGCGGTGCTTTTCAGCCGCTTTGGTGAGAATGGCGACGGTTGGGATGGTGGGCTTGAAGTGCTTGGGATCCACCCCACGACGTGGCCGGACAGCGCGAGAGACGGGTTCTCGTGCGGACGCATGACTGGTATCCCATTCCCTCCTTCCGAGAAGGTCGTCCGCGCGGCGGAGAACCTGCTACCACCCGACGAGCCCGCGCCGATGCCGATACTCAATGTCCCCTTCTTCCCGCTCGCCGCGCCGCCTACTCTCGCGCAGGGCTTCGGCTGGCCAAAGTACGGGCTCGGCGTTGAGGGAGGGCGGCAAGAAGGGGCAGGGCGTGGCGGGCCGAGGGGGAGAAGGGGGGAGGGGAGAAGGGGGAGGGAAGAAGGAGGGTGAAGCGCGCGAAGAAGGGGGAGGGGAGGAGTACGTACTCGCCTCGCCCCCTCCCACCCGTTAGATCATCCCCCCACCTCCACCCCACCTTCGTCGTGCACGGTAGTACGTAGGAGAATGTGTAGGATAGTCAATAGAATTTTGTTCGTCGAGTTGTAGAGTGATGCGAGCGTCGACAAACGTGAGAAGGGGGGATAAGGTGAGGGGTGAAGGGGGACACGATACGACACGACGCGACGCGGAGGCATGAGATGGACAAGGGAGGAGGTCGTTCGAGATGACTTACAAATACAGGGAGATGACGGTGGTCCAGGTGCGTAGCACGAGTCGCCGACTTCCTGCTCATCCGATTCATTGCTCAACTCGCTCTCGCTCAACGAAGGGGGAGAAAGGGGATTTCATTCTTTGTAAAGCTACTACAGGTCCACTACACTACGAAGGATTGTAGTACACAGTGCACAGAGTCGCGTCGCCCTCGCCCTCGTGAAGGTCGGTACTTACCCCAACATGCCGCGCCCCCGACTTCTCGCCAGCTCCCCTACCCCACCCCCAGACGCGCTCACTCACCTGCCCTTACGCCTTTCGCCCCACCTTCCCCGACATGACCCTCACCTAGACGACACCTCCCCCTTCGTAGCTCCTCGCATCCTCCCGTTTCGCATCCCCCTCGCTCATCGTGCGCTCCTCCCCCCAAACCCGAACTCAACCCTCCCCTCCACCTCGACATCCCTCTCCCTCGTCGCCATCGTTGCACCTGGCCCTTCGCCTCCCTCCCGCCGCATATCAACTCCCTCACCGCGGCCTTCACGTCGAGAGCGTCGCTTCGCTCCCTCTCGTCCCATATCACCCGCTCCCACGCCCTTCACTTCATCCCCCCTCCTTCGATCTGACCCTCACCCCGATTTTCCCACCCCTTCGCAACGCCGCGCTCGCACCCCCTCACCTCACTGATCGCGCACCCCTCCCTTCGATGTCAACCCCCACCTCTCCTCGTCATCTCTCCCCTCCCTCGTCGCCGTCATCGCACCCTCGCCCTTCGCCTCCCTCCCGCCTCACATCAACTCCCCCACCGCGGTTTTCTCGTCAAGACCGCCGCTTCGCTCCCTTCCGCCGCATATCAACTTGCCCTCCACCTTCCCCCCTCCCTCCTCAGATCAACTCGCCCTCCCCATCGACTCCCTCCATGCTCATCCACGTCCCTCTCGCGTCCCCATCACTCGTCCTATTCCTCGACTCGTCTCATTTGCACGTCGAGTCCTCCTCCATCTCGGGCTCGAGACTCTCTTCGGCCGCGGCGAGGGAAATGGCCTTCACGCGAGGGGGCGGGTGGGGGTAGGGTAGAAAGGGGACCCTGAAATTGAGTCAGTACTCGAATTAGACGGACGAGGGGGGCGATATTGCGAAGGGGGGTAGGTGCGAGGGGGGAGGGGGGAAGGGGGAGGGGTACGAAATGAGCAGAAAACTCGTTAGGAAGGGGTGGGGCGAAGCAGTATTGTCGAGGGGGAGGGGGAGAAAGGGCGAGGGGGAGGAGGGCGAAGGAGGAGAAAGGGTAAGGGGGGAGGGCGAAGGGGGAGGGGGGAGAGGTTGGAAGCAGAAGGGCGAGGTAGGTGGAAAAGGGGGGAGGGGTAGAGAAATAAAGGGAGGGGGTACGAAGCGGAGGGGGGAGGGACGAAAAGGTGGTGGGGAGATGTTAGCGAGGGGGTGGTGAATTCATAAGTCTCCCCATCTCCTTCACCTCCGCGATTCGCAGGGGGTGGGAGGAAAAGGAAACGATCAAAGAAATGGATGGGGTTACGCACCTTTTCTCGAATCCACCCATCATCCGGCTGCCGTCGTAGGCAATCCCCCCATTTCGTCGACGGCGCAAAGGCGGGGGAGGTCCTCCACCTTCTTCTCTCCCACCCGCGAGGTCAAGGCGAAAACATTCTGGCCAGGGGGTCGTCAGGCTACTACTCCATGCGCAAGTCAAACCCCTCCCGACTTCGGGCAAAGAGGGGGGAGCGCCGTAACGGGGAGGGCACCCCTCCCCCCGAATCGCTCGCCGGCGCACCCGTGAGGTTGAGGCGAAAGAAATCTGTCAAGGGGGGTGTCAGTTCACAAGTACAGGGGCGAATCGTCGAACGACTCACCAACGTGCATCCAACAGAAGCGTACCCCTCCCCGTAAGGGGGCAGGGCACCCCTTCCACCCGAACCGCTCGCCGAGGGTGCGCGCGCATGCCTCCGGCGGTTTGGGGGTCGCAGAAGTAGCTGCGAAGATGTAGGTCAACAAGCGAACCAGGGGACTAGCGAAGCCTAACTCACCGACACAAGGGGTGGGGGCATTCTAGCTGGTTTCTCTGCAAAAAGGGGTCCCCCTCAACGCACCCTCCGCCTAGGAAGGGCCCGCTGGCCTCCCGGCAGCTCGGGCCCGGCAACGACTGACCAAGAAACGAATTATCAGCGGTCTATTCAAGCACGGGGAGTTATCACTCACCGCACCGCGGTAAGTGTTTGTGGAAGGGGGAAGGGTGCCCCACCCTCGTCGCATTCCTCGCCAGGGAATCCCGCGCGTGCCTACGGCGGGTTTGGGCACGCAAAGATATCTGGGACGGGAGGTCAAAAAGCGGTCGGGGATACTATCCAGGCGTAACTCACCGACGCATGGGGGTAAGGGCATCCCACCCATTTTTGTTTCTGCAAGAAGGGCTGGGGTCCCCCTCGACGCATTCTTCGCCTAGGGAAGCACGCGCAGGCCTCCGGCGGCTCGGGGGCTGTGACGACAACCGGGTAACGAGCGATCAGCGGTTTATCTTGGGCTGTGAAGACGTTACTCACCGGGACAGTGGTTCGCGAAAGGGGGGGAGGGTACCCCACCCTTGTCGCATTTCTCGCCGAGATAGCGCACGCGTGCCTCCGGCGGTCTCAGAAATGCGAGAATCCCTGAAAATACTGGTCAATCCTCGATACAAAATACAAGCAAAGAGGGTGGTAAGCGCACCAATGTAAGGGGAGTGGGGTTATTTCTTCGAGGGGGCCCCCTCCCTCGCGTTCCTCACCTATGAAGTGCACGAAGGCCTCCGGAGGCTCGGCTTCCCCAATAAATCGACTGTAACCAGGAAGTTAGTGTTCATTTCAATTCCGTTAATCCAAGGGCACCCCACCCTCGCCGCGTCCTTCACTCGAGGGAACCCGCGGCTCATGCCTCCGGCGGCTCGGGGTCAGCGGAAATTTTGCCTTGAAAAGGGTCAGTACAATATATCGACATATTCCGCTTCCGGCATACTCACCGCAACCGACGCTGCTCTCCGGGCGACGCGCCGTCGTTCCACGAGGCGTACTCGGCGACGTCGACTCGCTCAACCGGGACCTCCCGCGTCGCGTATAGCCCCCCGGTCTCCCAGGCTTGAGAGTCGCGTGTAGGGCACAGCGCGAAGCCACGGGGCGGCGACGGTCGAGGAGGCCGACGTGATCATTGCCTCGACGACAGCGATGATGACGGCGGGTGGAGAAGGGGGAGTGGGAGCGGTAGCGGTAGCGATCGGGGGCAGGCCTACATATGAGGGCGCGTCAGCCGTCGCATGCGGTCAAGGCGTCGTGCAAGCTTACCTTGACAGGTGAGCTCGGCGCTCTCACGTCCAGCGAGCACGGCGGGGTTGCATACTGTAACGTCGCGCGAGGAGCACGGTCGACCAACTCAATCGCGGTTCTCATTGGGACACGAGATGCGTTCAGCGTCTTCGTCGATATGCACCTCAGCGCTGAGGGCGGCGGAGAGGGCGGGTCGGGCAAATGAATTGGGAGGTGCGGGTGAGCGCGGACATGACCACTGTCGTCGCGCGTACGTGGATGATGGCGGGTGGCTACGATATTCTGTGAGTAATGTCGCGGACCACGAGGCACGACATCCAGGGAGTTGTGCTCACCGGAGAGTACGGCGACGTCCGCCGTCGCTGTGCGGACTGGTTGCAGTCGGTGTTCGCAATCGAAGTCAGCGACTGCTTGACGTTGCGATTCATGGCGAGCGGGAGACGTCCATGGCTCCTCGTACAGCGTACATCACTGTCGGCGTCAAACGTGTCATTCCACGTCGGCGTCGTAGTAAACGGCGGCACTGACCAAGCGCAGCGCATGTCGGGACACGCGGAGAGACGCCGCCGCGTCGTGTTGGTCATCGCCGAGAAGCGGACATAGTCGAAGTAGCCTGCGGAATCATTAGTGACCGAAAATAAGCAAAGTGAAAAGCTTACTGAAGACAGGAGTCCCGGATTACTAACTGTGAACTCGAGTCAGTAATGAGTGAAGGCAAGGCGATGAATTGACAAACCTATGCATGAGAGCGAGCCGCATCTAGGACGTGTCAGATAAGAAACACAAAGCGATGCAAGGCAGAGCTCAATAGGATAGACGAAGAGTAAGGAGGGAGGTGAAGAGAAGGGGGAGAGAAGAGAGAGGAAGAGGCGGAATGATGAATCCAAGGCTGAAGCGCCCGTGTTCTTATACCGCGCCAGGCGGCTATACCTTCCGCGCTACCCTCGCCAGAACTTCCAGACCAGGGTCCGCCATCAATCCAAGAAGATGGGGCCGAGGTGCGCCCAGAAAAAAGCGGAAGATTGGGGAATAGCGCGCTTCGCGCGCATACAATCTTCCGCATCCTCCCTGCGCGAATGTCAGCTCCGGCGCAAGAGTGAGGAGTCGAAACGTACCGTGTCGGCTGCGGGATGCCGCCCGTGGAGTCGCGGAGAAGGTGGGGGAAAGACATCGTCCAAAGTTCCGGGAAGAGTGCCGCTGCACCTGCGAGTCGTCCTGCGCCTCCCCCATCCCGCGCATCGCGCAGAGCACGTCGAGAGTGAGCGAGTACGGTACACGAGGCGGTACGTGACGCGTGACGACACGCGGGTCGACGCGGACGAGGCAGAAAAAGGGGGGAAAGTCGAACATAGCGGGATCACGCTGGATCTCCATTTAGAAGGCCTTGAGCTGCACGCAAACAAGCGGCGCTTGCAACCTTCCACGACTCGATTTCTCCACCGTGAGTTCGGGCGTCGGCACAACACGTGTTAATGACACTGTCAACATGCTCTGGGGGTAGAGTGAGCAGGGGTAGGCGGGAGATGTATGCTACCCGCCAAGTGCAGGGTGGCCGCTTGATGTCCTGCGGCGCAGCCTCCACCGCCGCTCGTCGAGCTTCCATCAAATTGATGAGTTGATGGAGGAGGGAAGCGCTCGAGACCTCGGTACGAAGGTCGGAAAGGCGGCGGGGAATAAGTGAATGCGCGGGTGAGGGAAGTAGACGCTATGAGTTTTTGCAGGATTACGAGCACGGCTTACGCTCGGCAGACGCGAGAGTGTTGAGAAAGTGAAGGGGACCTCATTCGCATGGCGCTACGGCTCAATCGGCGCCGGCCAGTGGACAATGGGTGATGGGGTGTAAGTAGGGTGACGAGGAGAACAAGTAAGTATGGCGTAGTGCAGAGGGTCAGGAGACGATTTACGCGTCGGAGTTGTCGAGGGGGATGTCTATAGAGTATGTGAATACGATCGCTTGGTCAGCGCGCGGTCATACAGGAGGAATCTATGCGTACCATCGCGACTTCCGCGCCTGGCGGTCTCACAATTGATGATTCCCGGCATCATCGTAGCATATACTTCATGGATATTGGATTGTTGGTATCTATAATCTTGTACTGCATGACTAGATACTCATCTGTAAGGCTGCATTATAATGGGGGATAGGTGCCGAAGGCGAACGACCTTACCGCGCGCTATCCCAGCTCATTATGCGTATTCGACGCGACCCAGACGTGTTGGACACGCCGTTCGGCGAGGATGGGCTTGGATCGTGTCGACCAAGCGCTGTGTACGCTCTCTTGCGCGGGGGACGAGGTCGATGGGCGAGGACGACATGGACGTGCGGGATAAGAGCGGTCGGCAGTTGCCGACCGGTGTTCGAGCCGGTCGACCGACGGGCGCTTATTGGGCGCTTGTTGACTTTGACCATCACCATTGTCCCCCGCGTCGTCGGCGGTCCCGTCTACGGTCTTCCCCTGGCGTCAGCGCGCTTTTTGATGCTACCGGATGGCATCCCCGCCCTCTTCGTCGGACTTCCCCCTGAATATAATTAGGTTCTAACCCCTGCGCTCGCGCTATCTTGAGCATGACGAGCGCGCGCGCGCGCTCTATCTATCCAAGGCCTATGTTCCCTTCCCGAGCTGATCAGCCTAATCAGGCACTTCTGCGTCTGCGTACGAGGGATGGGAAGGTTTAGGTCATCATGTCAACATGTCAGCTCCGTCCTGAAGTCCGCGCTTCAAGTCCTTCCGTCTTCGGCAACTCACGCGGCGGCTTCTTCTGACCCTGAGCACCACATTCTCCGCCAGCGGTCGCGGCGGGTCCGTGCGATTTTGCCGCGCGCTCGCGTGTCTTGTCTGCGCCAACCCGGTCGCATCTTCCCTCCGCTCGACCATGAGATGAGCGCGAAGCGCGGTTTTGCTCGTTCATTCTCCCACTACCTTCCGAATCCACTTGCGTGCCATGATACACCCCTCCTCCTCTGTATCACCCGCCTCATCGCCGCATTCCACATCCTCAGGCCGTCCTCCTCCTCAGACTCTCGACTGTCGCTCCTTAAGGCCTCAACTCGAAGCTCGAATGTTTCGACAAGGGTTTCCATCCGCCGAGCGGGTTCTCGAGGTGCGTGTGCGCTTTCTCGAGAGCGTACTCTCTGCTGACGCACTCCTAGGTGTTCTCGCTCACCCTACCGACTCGTGAAGCATTGTATCTTCATCCGCCGAGCAAGCTTAAGCCTATTGTCATGTCACCTTAAGCCTGCCCCGTCCCATTTATTTACATGTCCCGAGCGCTTGCTACTCATTGAGTGCATGCCCATGTCCACCTTCCCTTGGAAGCCTTGACGTGACCTCGAATGTGTCGTCTTTCCCGCTTTCCACTCAGTTGTCCTGAATGAGCTTCTCGCCACTTCCCAAACGAGCTTCTTGCTGCTCCCCGAACAAGCTTCTGCCGCTCTCCAAACGAGTATCTCACCGCTTCCCAAACGAGTTTCTTGTCGCTTCTTCAATGACTTTCTCGCCACCTTTCCCATGAGTTGCTCGCCATTCTACATTGCTTACTGAGTGCCCACAAAATCACCGAGCGCATCCTTGCTCTCTCCGAGTCTCGTACAATGCTCCTCTTCATCTCACATGCTGCTGAGCGCTTGTCGGTAGTCTCAGCAGCTTGTTCATGGTCTCGATGTGTTGTCTGCTGTCTCAACACCCTGTTGACAGTTTCAATGCGCTTTTCTTTGTTTGTGCTTCATCAAAGGTCTATAGTACCTGCCTGCCATCTCTACTTTGGGTTTGAGGTCCCAATACTCCGTCTGATGTCTTTGCTCCTTGGTCATGGTTCCAACACTGCCCGAGGCCCCGACACACCATTTCATATCTTGACACTCCGTCCGCAGCTTCAACACGAAGCTCGCTCCTTACATGTAGCTGCTTCGGCGTGATCTACCGGCCTCAACTTCTGTACACTAGTGTTGAGATGTTACTCATGTCCTATGCTTCTTCTGGAGCAGGGTGCACTTCTGCGACCTGTACCAGCACTCGCCTTGCCACGGTGAAAGTGCTCCTTGCACCACGATACAGAGTAGTAATTGACGTACCTTGTATGTAGTACTCGCCTCCGAGCACAGGCCAAGGATAGCTCGTACGGCTTGCTGAGTATGCTACCGGCCCTCGAACCTGGACCATGGACCTCCCTTACATCTCGACTTCATGGCCGCCTCGACCTCAATCAATTATGTCTTCCGCAGTCGAGTGAAGATGTTGTCTGCAGGGACTTGCCCCTGTCGATCACTCCACGGACAATGGGATGCTATATGGCAGTACGTCTGAGAAGTAGGAGTGAGGACATGAGGTGGAGGCAGGCGGTAGGGGCTCTCTTGGCAAGTCATGTGCTTTGAGGGAAGAAAAACCGTAGGAGAGGCAGTCTGCTAGCTGAATACAAGAGAAGTAGCACAGAGATAGAGCAGGAGGAGCACTACCACCTCGCGCTTGAATGACAGCGATAGCTGTAGTGAGTCTCGCCCGACCCCCCATGTCACGCTTACCTCCGAGATCGGGCAGCTGAGCAGGCCATAGCACGAGTCCAAGGCCGAATCGCGCGAAATCCCGCGGTAACTCGCTTTATATTCACCCCCTCTAGTGATCCCGCAAGGTCCGAAGCCGAACGAGCGAGATTTTTGAAAAGCGAACATCGTTGCGGTCCACCTTGTCAATTCTCGAATTCCGTCCCGGTTAGGAAAGCCCACGGTTGAACTCCAGTCACATCACGCCCCGATGCCCAGCGCGAAGCATCAACGCGAGGCGGGCGAGCGTCAGGGCGAGCGACGGCCGGGCCCCACAACAAAAAGTCGTATATTGCGAGGCTGACGTGCGGCAGAGAGTTATAAGGCGGCGAAGGCGGCCACGGCGGTGACGACGTTCGGAAGTCGCCCTCGTTCGCGCCGCCAGCCCGATCGTCCGACGTCATCGATCCCGCCTCACTCCCACGCTGCTCGAGCTTTGGCGGGGAGAGCGTCCTTCACGCTGCCTGACAGGTGCCTGCGACGCGCGTCCTGGGGCAGACAATGGCAGGCGAGGGCAGGCGATGGCGGTCGATGGCAAGCCGCACACGCGCACCCGTCCCACGCCACGTGTGATCTCGCAGGTAATCAGGCGCTCGGCGCGTATGCCATGCATCTTGTTCTCAACCGCCACCTGCCTCGGCGCTGTCTTGCGCGACGCTCTCGCGCACCTCATGTCGTCTTCAATGGAACTCACACTCGTTAACTTATCCAACGATGGCATCCTATGTGGTCGGCGGACCTCCAATGCGAACGTACAGGTCTCGGTGGCGTTGCAGCCGTCCGAAGCGACGTCGACGCGCATTCCGAGTCATTGCTCCGAGGATGGCATCACGCTCGCTCTCCTCGCACTAGGGGAGAAGGCGCAGAAGTGGACCATAGAACATGAGCATCTTGTCACTCGCGCCTCGACCATCGCAATGCCTTCCTGGAGAAGCATCGACGTCTCGGACGATTGTCCATGGCGGGTTTACTGCCGCAAGGTGCGTGGTATACAAACACCCCTTCCTTCTTTCACTAACAGCCTGCTAGATTCGCCGCCACCATCGCATACTTTACCTTTTCCCCCGCCGAAGTACAGCGGGCTTTCTTTCGGATATGCACGACGGGTGCCCTTTGTCTTCTCTTCTCTTGCCTGGAACCCATGATAGGTGCGCCTAACATCTCAGCGCTCTCTTCGACCACTCACCCCGCACAGCATGGCCTTCTATGGCTGGCCTGTCGCACAGTGCCAATCGATCGATACTCCCCTCTCAGTTCAGCTCGAATCCGGCATTCGTGTTCTCGACATCCGCCTTGCCCTCGTAATGGACCGCCTCATCGCCTACCATGGCATAACCCCGCAACGCACTCCCTTTCAAGACATCCTTACGACCATGCACGCCTTCCTCACTGCCCCTGCTTCTTGTCGCGAGACGCTCGTCGTCTCCATCAAGCAGGAAGACTTCGCGACCACGCCGGCACCCAAGTTCTCCGCCGCCGTGCACGCCGAGATGCTCAGCGGGCCCGGTGGCAAGGAGATGTGGTACCTCGAGAACCGCATACCGCGGCTCGGCGAAGTGCGAGGGAAGGCGGTACTCTTCAGCCGCTTTGGTGGGAACAGCGACGGTTGGGATGGTGGGCTTGAAGGGCTTGGGATCCACCCCACGACGTGGCCGGACAGCGCGAGAGACGGGTTCTCGTGGAACTGCAAGGAAACCCTCGTCCGGACGCATGATTGGTATTCCATTCCATCCTTCCTCTCTATCCCCGAGAAGGTCGTCCGCGCGACGGAGAATCTGCTGCCACCCGACGAGCCCGCGCCGATGCCGATTCTCAACGTCTCCTTCTTCTCCGCCTCGTCCTTCCCGCTCGCCGCTCCGCCTACCATCGCGCAGGGCTTCGGCTGGCCAAAGTACGGGCTCGGCGTTGAGGGTGTCAACAGCCGCGTCGGGCGATGGCTGCTCGACAAGCTCGGGCAGACGGTGCAGGCTATGCAGCGCGACGAGGACCCTTCCGACGAGGAGTTCGAGGAGAAGGCGCCGAAGAAGCCCGCCATGGCGGAGGACGAGATGTACGTCGTGAACGTCGATGCCGAGCCGCGGATACGGGGCTGGGCGTTCACCGACTACTACGCGCGGCCGGAGGCCAGCTTGGTGGCGCTCATGATTGAGTGCAACTATCGTGGGCGTAAGGAGGGCGAGGAGGGCTGGTAGTGATGCATGGCGTCGGGCGAGTGGCAGGGTACTAGGCTCAACATCGTCAGGATTATCTGGCTTATAGACGTACATTATTTCTTTTGCGGCTCTTTTATAGGATTTCACGTATCTTTTCCCTCGGCTCTCGCTTGGATCTCATATCTCCCTTTCGTCTCTCCTCTTTTCCAGCATACCACCTGCCGGCTCTTAGCATAGGATATCACCACTGTATAATATCTGGCAGCATGTACATACACGGGCCTGCGCACTGTTTCATAGTAGTTGTTACAGTCGTGTACATTTCAAGTCAGTCTTTGTCCGACCGACGTACGACACTCGTTCAAGTTAATGGTCTCTGCATCACGACCGAGAACGATGACTTTAAGGAAGGCGCAACGTATGCTGCTAACCACGCTGACTTGCCTATATCTCATAGTGCTGCATGCATTTTAGCCGCTCACTATGCTCATGCGTAGATCGACCATCTCCTGATCGATGCATACTATTGTTACAATTTTGACTGGGGTCTACAAGCACGCCAATGAGCTGAGAAGGTGCATCAAAATGACGAGACGAAGCGAACCTCACTGGAAGATCAACTGGGGGTCATAATATATGCTGAGGAAAGAGTTAGCCAGATCCGTGCAAGTTCACCTGCCCCATTTGCAGCGACACTCACATGTTGCATCGGCCCTTGGGCACGCCCAACTCTTTCTCGAAGAACGCCTTCAGCTTGTCGCCAATCTCCGGGTTCCTGGTCACACTCAGCCTTTGGATGGCAGCCTAGTACGAGTAGTGTGAGCGAGGGCTGCCGGCATGCAGAAGGAAGGGGTCAAGTACCACGTGCACTTGCGCGGAGGGCTCAAACGTGCCACCATAGGCCAAGTTCTGGTTGTAGATCACGCTGACCTGCACCCACTCCTCGGGACGATCAAGGGCTTCTGCGGCAGCCTACCAGCGTCAGTGAGCAGCTTGTCTTACGCGTGATGAACACGATAGCATGATGGCGAATCAGAATGAGAACTAGCAAGATATATACCTTTGAGAACGCGAGAACGAAGGCCTTCTCGTCGGCGGGCTGGCACACGTGGTAAGTCTACCTACTACGCAGCGACAGAGTACTAATCATCCCACCTTCACGTTAGTCTTCAGGTCAAGGACGGGCATAGTGGTAGCGCAGCGTCACACGAGTTTCCGGGGGCGGATACGAGGGGCCAAAAATGTCTGCTTGTCGCCCTTCGCGTTCATAAGTAGTCCATAACCTCCTTCTCACCCCTTTCATCCCGGCCGTTCCGCCCTGCTTCGCTATCAAAAGGCCGCATAAACCCAAACTTAGCCCTAACCGAGGTGATAGTTAGGAAAGGGTCGCGCCGGCGTCGCCCGTCCGCATACGCCCAACGGGCCGTGCGGTCCGGCCTACTGAAAGACATGCACACGTCGAGGGATGTTGACGGTGTGCAATAGCAGCAAAGGACCGAACATGGCCGTGAAGCAAGTGAATCGGACGATGGAGTCTTCAAACATACAAGTACAACGCGCACACTTAAGGTCTTCATGACAGTCATACACATTGCGCCTTTCTCCGTCTACTGCTTTGCCGCCGCAAAAGCAGGCTGGTTCTTGATGTACTCCTCCCACGTCGTGAGCGGTTCGTCGACGAGCTACAGCGGCAGTGAGAACGTGGGTGTATGGCGGGACGAACATCACTCACCGACACGCTCCAGTCGAGATTGTCGCCGCCGTAGTACCCGAACTCGTAGACGAGTCGCATGTTCTGCAACATTTCCTCCTGTAGAGCCTCCGGGTACCCCTTCGCCGCAAGCGTGGCCTTGTACTCCTCGCCAGTCAGCCGCTTGTACACCTCATGCTTTCCATAAACCTTGTTGAACCCGTCGATTATCTGGACCGGCGTGGTATACGCCGTTGCGCCGTAGACGCGCTTGCCGAGCGTCTCCTCGCGCTTGAGGAAGATGGCCTTGACGAACTTGCCCGTGTCGTACTCGGCCGCGAAGAGTGGGATGGGGGCGTCGTCGGGCATGGGCAGGTTGAGCTTCCACTTGCGGTCGGGCGAGGCGGAAAGCATATCGCCGGGGAAGTTGGACATGTAGAAACCGGCGAGGAAGAAGGTGGCAGGGATGCCGAGATCACGGATGTACTCCTCGACCGTGGCCTTGCTGTCGAAGTGGGCCACTTGCGAAAGTACGCCCTTGGTCACTGCAGAAGCATTAGTCGTAGGTCAACTGCTCTTGCAAACGCACTCACGCTTCGTGACGTTAAGCACGCTGCTCCAGATGAGGTGCTGGACGCCCTCTTCCTAGCTGCGCGTGGGAATCATTTTGGCGGGCACAAGACCGTACTTACCTTGCTGGCATCTGCGATATTCTTGCCCTGAGCAATCTCCCGGTCACCGTCGATGTACTCCCAGAAATTCGTGACGGCGAAGACGCCGTACGAGCCCTTGATCGCGCTGCGGAGCGACTCCTTGTCGTCTAGGTTGGCCTGAAAAGGGTAAGATTACTATTCAATTCCCAATCAAAGGATAGGGATGGCGTACCGAGACCACTTCGGCGCCCTTGGCCACGAGAGCCTTCGCGTTGGGCTTGGTCGCGTCTCGCGTCACCGCACGGACAGAGAATTTGGACGACGCGGTAGCGTCGCCAAGTATGCTGTCGACAACGGAACCGCCCTGCTTTCCAGTGGCGCCAAAGACGGTGATGATCTGCTTGGACATGTCGAACGCTGAGGAGGCTTGGCTGGGCAAGTTGAGTACAGAGTTCGAGCAACACAGGCTTTTATACTCACTGAGACGGTTCCAAGTGGGCCGATGGTTCTCCCTGTTTCTCAGCACGCCTGTGAGTTTTAGCAAGCAGGACGGCGCGTCGTCCGGCAGATTCAGCAGGTCAGGAGAGCGGGTAAACTCGACCGGCTGCGTCAACCATGCTGATCACGCTGCAGCGTATCCTCTGGTCGTCAGGCCGTCCTAGGGGTTCCAGAATGCATAGATTTCGCATGTCAGAGGCAGAAGTAGGTCCGAAACCCACCCTCATGATGGTACAAGTTCAAGACGCATTTCTTGCCTCTTTGGGATAATCCACCGAGGTGCACGTGCTGAATGACATCATGGATCTACTTTACTGGCCCGCTGTTTTGATGTACATATACTCGCCCCAAATAACGCTGTCCGGAGGCTGCTCGATGGCCTGCAGATTCTCCCGCACCATCCACTGTTCGTCGCCGTATAGATACTCCTCTGGAATCAAGGATGTCTGTTCCCATGTCAAACCGGGACATGCAGGATTTACCAAGTTGGAGCGACGGCGGAGAAGCAGATTCTCTCGACGCCGGCGGCTTGCGAAGGCGAGCGCAATCCATATTGGGCGGTGCCACTCTTACGCAGCACTTGGATATACGAGGTCCGCTGTCTGAAGGGTCGTATAATGGATTTTCAGAGACTTCTAGCGCGAGAGCCAGAAAGCGTGACCTCCATCCCTCATAGTCCGGCTCCGCCTAAAAATCCAGAGAACGGGTGTGATCAATGAAAGCGCCAAAGACGGCGGGGTACCCAGCGCAGATGTTGGGGCCAGACCACGACTGCTTAGCTGCAAAGACGTCCTCGGACTCGAGCCTGTCCCAAGGTAAGCCCTTGCGGACAAGGTCAGCGATACTGTATGCGAGGGATTCCATGTCATCCCGACGCAAAGGTGCTAGGACGAAATGTCAGCTAGGGACCTCGGTTTAGAGGATAACTCCAGCTCACTGGTATGCATATGCATGTTCATGCTATTATAGCAAGGGGTTCCTAATCCATGACCATGAAGTGATGCACCTTCTGGTACGTGGACTTGCGTGACCGGATCGCGATAACGCCTCGCAAGGCCAAATCAAGCCGGCCCAAGGTTCGCTGTCGAAGAGGAAACTTCCAGGTTTGATGTCGCAATGCACGAGGTGGTGTGAGTGGACGTGGCGGATAGCATCGATCTGGCAAGAGTATTAGACTGAGCCTTCAGCGAAACAGCAGCAAGGGGCCGGCTCGTACCATTTGACAAATTAATGTGACAAGGTTTCGCATAGTATAATGGTTAGATTTGCGCCTTGGGAGGCTTAATTTGTGCTTGCGTGGCAACGTGTCGATCGTTGGCCCAAGCCTCTCGAGCACGATATACTCAAAGCACTGGGACCGACCGTAGGCGTAGATTCTTGGAATAGCTTGGTGACCTTGATCAGGCAATATGAGCGCGTACAAAGGACTGCACCACGTAGACACGGCGCACCTTGTAAGTTGTACAGCCAACAGAGCACATGCCTCGTGACGACCCATAGGACGAACGACCTTCGAGTCAGTATGGCACTTCTTGACTGCGACTACCTCTGGCGTTCCGGCGTCGCCCTTGGACACGCCTCCAACGTATACCTTCGCTACATGGCAGTCAGACCTCCCTTCGAGCACAGACGTGGTCACGAAACTGACCGTAGCCTCCGTTGCGATGAGCTCTTCGCGTCGTAGAAGCATCGTCGGACGTGATGACGGTACAAGTAGAGCAGATCTCAAAGAGTCGTATGTCCCGGTCGCGCTTGCGTACGAGGGCAAGGAACAAGCAAGAACGAGCTCAAGGCAACCGCATGTCTAGACGCAAATGGCTAGACGTAATTTCGCCCTGCATTATCGTCCATGAACGTGCTTCGATAGCGCCAAAATCTTGAGTAAGAGCGCCAACTGGCCTTCATCCTCTGAGCATGAGACCTAGCGTTTGAACGTCTGTAGTGCATTAAGAATTCCTTCAGGCGAGTTGATGGAAGGTGAAGGTTTGAACCAAGGTACTTATCTTCAGATGCTGTTCGAGTCCAAGCGGAATTACCGGAAACGGTCACATCTCAGGGTGATCCACAACTCACAATTCCCACGGCTTGCCCATCTCGAGAGTCGACGGGGAACGCACAGTAGAGTCCTGCTCACCACAACGCAACTGCAGATGATATCCCCTCAGTCCAATTTTTACACATGCTGCGCGCACACCACGGCGTCGAGTCCAATCTTTCCGAGCAGCCTTTCTTCGCCTGGATATCGCAAAGCCAGCGACCCTCGTAGGTCCCAGGCCTTCGGAAAACCGACAGACCACATCCTGTTTAGCCCATGAGCGGTTAGCAGCAAGGAAGAGTTGCATATCTTGGTCATACTGGCCAAGAGCAAGATATGGACGCTTCAAACCTATCAATCGTACTATCTCAGGTGTGTAGATCAAGAAGGATGGACTTACCAAGCATCCAAACCAGCGAAGTCGGCCGGAAGAGATGGGGCTGAATCGACACATTCAGCTGCGGCCCGTGCGAGAGGAGAACATCGCGTAAGTATGTATAAAATTGATACTATCTATTGTTTTCCGAACAATAGGGATCTCGACGTCGAACAGGCGATTCAAGGTAATCATGGTAATTACGGACATCGAGTTCAGGGCCAGGGGTATACAGCTGGAGAGATGAAGAGCAAACGCGGGCGATACAAAGGATCAAGAACAAGCCGAGGCCTTCCAAGCCTTTGTGAATGGAGTGGCGCGTGTGGTCACAAAGGCCGACACGCGTGGACGGAACGTGCAGCGTCGGGCTGCATATAAGAAGGGCTGTCAATGAGAAGCTCGCCACTCATAACCCTCATCTGCCCTTCCGCGCCTGCTCCATCCACGACCAGCCTTTTTCATCGACGCTCAACCCATTTCACCCGCGCTCAGCATGCCACGAAGTTTCATGGAGAGCCTAGAGTCCTTCGCCGCAGAGACCGGCGTCAAGTTCGAGATCGACGGGCGCCTGGCGGACGTCGAAGCTGGGCCGGCGAGGATCATCTTCGTCACGCGTACTGCGAGCGTGCATGCGTCCATGCTTCACGACGTCGAGGTCACTGTGCGGGATGTGACCGGTGCGACGCTGGCGAGACATCGTCTATCCCCCGGCACGGCGTTCCTGAAGGTGAACATCGCGTCGGTGCCAGGGCCTGTGATCATCGGTATATGGTGAGTCCGCAGTGAGGCTCGAGCGATGACATGCTCAGCCAGGCGTAGGCAAACATTCGGGAGCGTCGTTGAGATGGTCGAGATCCCAAGGCGAGGGATACGCGCGAGGTCGGAGAACACGGAGAAGACAGATGTGGCGGTCGCGAACGCGCTCAGCGTTAGGCCGCGAGACAAAGGCGCGCTGCAGGTCTTGCATACGCTGCTTGCGGGGATCACGGCATCGTTGCAGGCAATGATGACGTTCCCGGATCAGGCGTGGGATTGGGAGATATGCCCGGAGACCTGTGATGGGAGGGGACAGGCGACGGGGATGAGCGCTCGCGCTCGCGGGCTGCCAGTGGTTTGATTTGATCGTGTCTATTGTCAGCGCCATCTGCCTAGACTACTTTATATACCAGCAGTACTAATACGAGACGTCAGCAATTATAGAGAGCGCGAAAGTTCGTCTACGCACCTTGAAAGGACCTTCGACCGCTGTTCAGCGTAGTGACCCCCGATTGACAGCCGACTGCAACGCGGAGCGTAGCTACGCGCTTGTAAGTGCCGCCTATGTAAGAAAGCTGAGCCCAGGGAGGCTCTGAGGAACGGTGTGCGGACTGAATCTGCTTATTATCTGCAAGCGGCGCGACGCGCTGGCCTCCATGCAATCGTCAGAGGTGGCAATTCTCGGGCGGAAGCAGTTGCATTTTCCTTTCCATATCGACAAGAGTAGATAGATAACGTGTGCAGAACTTGATTTGAGTTCGTGTCGCGATATTGCCCAAGTTCGAGATGACGGCGGGAGCAGAACAGGGCATTTCCTTATTCTTCCGAAAGAGGAAGGCCTTGTCCTTGACTCCGACTTCCATGTTCGTCACGCCTGCATAAGATCAATTCTGTTCGCTCGTCACAAAAAGGGGAAGGATCATGGACCTCACACAATATTCAGGCATAGCTCATCGCTTGCGCGACCCACCTCACTGACAGCTCAACAAGGTCCGTCGAATTGCGGGCTACTGTAACCTGTACCTCCTCCGAAGCGGCTTCAAGCTTCAGACCGCAAGGCTCATGAAGATGAGCCACACGCAACTCTAGCTGCAAGCCATTACAGCAATCGGCTTTGACCACGCACACAGCGCGTGGTCTGACCCGTGTTTCTTGCAGCGTGCAAGTCTGCTCTGGCACTCACGACCTACCACGAGCCAGCGTCTCATTTCCACCATCCCATCAGCCAATGCGCGTTGCTATCGAGACTCGCATAGCAGTCGGTGCCTTCGGTATGTTCTGGATACTTTCCCGAACATCCAAAAAAGCTCACTACATGTCGCGATGACAGGAAAAGTTTATCTCTGTCGAGTAACGAGTGAGGAAGAAGTAGGCCAGCTTGTCGCGGTTAAGAAGTCCCGTATGACACGCTACGTCTCTACCGTGAAGAATCCAATGCTGCGACACGAAGCGTGCGCGATGCTCGAGCTACAAGGTAGGTGTATGTCCAACTTGAATCCCCGTTGGTGTCGCCGCTCACCCCTTTTGGTCCTCAGGTCACCATAGCATACCAGAGGTTTACGCTTGGGGAAGCTCACAGTACTATGAATACCTTGTGATGGAACTACTCGGTGACCTCGTCGACGCCCCGTTACTCACAGACGAAGGCTTGACCCTCCGGAACCTCGTTGCCCTCGCATGGCAGATGGTAAGCCGGCGTCCTGTCGTACGAGCGTTAGCTAACTTCGACATTCACAGATCGACGCTCTCGAACATGTCCACTCGCACTACCTGGTTCACTGTGACGTCAAGCCGGACAATCTTCTCTTCAGCTCAGACCCTGCCGTGGGTCAGATCAAGCTGATCGACTTTGGACTCGCGAGACCATACCGAGACGCTCAGACGCTCGAGCACTTCTCGCCATCCACGCTATCCTGTTCAATTGGTACCAGACACTATACCAGTATCAACGTGCAATACCATCACAGTACGTCGGTACTATCCTCGAGCGTCGAAGGAGCTAACATCTATCGCTCAGGTCCTTCGCGGCGAGACGACATGGAATCCCTCGCGTACACTATTGTGGACCTTCTTTGTGACGACCTGCCATGGGGCGATCCAGAGCTACCAGGCTCTGAGATACTCACTATGAAGCAATCCTGGTCCGGGCCTGCCATTTGCACAGGATATCCCCCCGTATTCGGCGAGTTTGTCGACTACACTCGCTCTCTTGCATTCGAAGAGACGCCTGATTACGCGGGCTGGCAGGAACGTTTCCTCGCCATCTGTCCCGAAATTCGTGGCCGTCCGCGCTACGATGCTTCCGATCGAGGACCCAAGGTGGGCGAGCCGCTTTGGTCTGGCAACGTGGAGATCAAGTCTGTCCGTCCTAAGCCGACGTCCCTCGATCACCCTGAGCTTTCGCGGATTGATGCGCCAGTGTGGCAGCCCGAATCAACTTGGGCCGACACTGAGGAGATCGATGACAAAGACCTCTTTGGAGACGAACAAAGAACCGTGCGAGAGAGGCTACAGAGGCTGGAGGAACCTCCGGCATGTCATTGGGTAGTGCCGGGTGAGACGATACGTGCGGTTTGAGTCGCGGTTTACATCGTGTTCTCTTGACGTCCTGGCTTATGTTACTCCGTGATTCATATCCAAAATGACTTGAACCTTGCATCCCATACCTTGAGACGTAAAAAACGACGGCGAAAGGTGCGAGAGACCCGGATTCGAACTGACGTCGAGGAGAGCGGGATCAGCATCCCCCGGATCAAAACCCGCCACCCGTCCTCCGAGCTCGGCGCGACGGAAAGCAAATCCTTCTGTTCCGCGCGTACGCTCATGTTGAACACGGTTGCTTCCCGCTCAGCTCCAGCTCTCATTCCCGAACTGTACACTCTCCATGAATTTAGAGAACTAAGAGCTCCTCAGTCTGCCGCAAGTGAGCTGGGACGCGCGTCCCACCCAGCTCCGGCATAGGTGGCACCAAGGTTCGGCATGGTGGGTGCATTCAAAAGTGGGCGCCCGAATCGGGTACCCTGCTCTTGTGGCCGATTCGGCTGCCCGTTTCGGGCGTATGGTGGACGCATAGGCAAGCGTGGCGCGAGACCGTCTGTGGGTATAAAGGACAGCGATGTGGACACCTTCAGTCCATCGCTAGTTCAGCCTACGCAAAGTTCCCCTATAACCTTCTTAACTCTACACCATGTCTTCTCAGCTTGTTTGGGTCATCACCGGAACTTCGTGAGTATCTCTCGTACTTGTACTATATAAGCTGCGCTAACGGACTTGTAGCACTGGCCTTGGTCGGGAGCTCGCAAAAGCTGCGCTCGCGCGTGGCGACAAGGTCATTGCAACTGCTCGCGCACGCTCAATTGCCAAGTTGGATGATCTGAAAGCCGAGGGCGCCGATGTTATCGAGCTCGATGTAACTGCGCCTCTGGACACGCTCAAGGCTGCCGCAGAGAAGGCGGTAGCCATCAATGGGCGCGTTGACGTCGTGGTCAACAACGCAGGCTACATTCTCACTGGTGCGATTGAAGAGTGCACGTATGTATCGCCGATATATTCAATGATCTGGTGCTGACCTTTTGAATAGTCCTCAGGAGACGTTCGACCAGTACAAGTGAGTGCGGTGTGAGTACTCGGAGATAGCGTCTTGACCCTGGTCAGCTCGAATGTCTTCGGCGCATTGAACGTATCCCGCGCGTTCCTGCCATACATGCGCCAGCGCAAGTCCGGGACCGTTGTCTTCCTAGGCTCGCTCGGCGGCTGGAGGGGCGGACCATTGGCTGGCCTCTACTGCAGCACAAAGTGGGCTCTCCGAGGTTCGTTGGAAGTCCATTGTCTCTGAGTTCTCGAACTGACCCCAATTCTCAGGCATTAACGAATCCCTTCACGCCGAGATCGCACCTCTCGGTCTGCGCAGCGTCTGCTTCGACTTTGGTTACTTCCGCACCAAGTTCCTGACCGCCGACCACCGCACGCCATACGATCCCCGCATCGAGGACTACCGCGAGGCGACGGAGAAGGTGAACCAGGCATTGCTTGGTGCGTTTCCTCCAAACATCCTGTCGCGCCCTCGCTAATCAGGTCTCTCCAGCCTACAGCGAGAAGCAACCGGGAGACCCGAAGAAGGGTGTGCAAGTCATGCTCGATGTGGTCCGCGGGGAGGGCGTGGCGGCTGGCAAGCCCTGGGAGATCAACGTTCAGCTCGGGTCGGATTGCTTCGCGGTGGTGAAGGAGCACTGCGAGACGGCGTTGAAGCGTCTCTCCGAGTGGGAAGACATCACGAAGAGTACGGACATACAAGAGTAGAAGACTTTGGCGATTGGGCGCCTGCTCCTCTAATGTGTACAACTACAATATAACTATTCGGAACTTGGAAAATGCCATTGGAACTCTTCCTTGTACTCCTTTCGTGATGAGCGCCCTCTGGAAATGAGCCCTAGCCTCGCCTGAGCCTCATTCTGGTGACGAGGTCCCGCGCATCGTGACGTGTGCCACCACCATGATAAGCGCCCGCCGATGTCTGCACGCGGCAGGCGCACCTTGCCCTCATCCTCGTCCACGACTTTCATAATGGCTGCTCTTCTAGCCCCCCTCGTCTCTATCTACAGCTATATCCTCGAGCCCATCGCACCCTTCACCTGGTTCGGCGTCGGACTCAGCACCCTGGATGTCCTTGCCGCTGCGCGCCTTTGTGTCGCGCTCCGCCAGATGCGCGAGGCGCTATACAAAGAGCACGTCCGCAAGCATGGCAGCCCGGTCGGTGTCGAGCACGACAAGTCCTTCGTGCGCGATATCGTGACGACGTGGACGGTGGTCTATGGAGGGGAGGCGGTCGCCAGTGCGTGCTCTTGCTTTTGTGGGGAACTGCGGGGAGCTGACGGTGACGCGTCGTAGATACTATGCTCGGCACCCCTCCGTCTTTTATGGTATCTGGCGTGGTGCCTGCGTTCTACGCCGCGATGCAGTGGGCGGCGGACTCCCTTCCCGCCGTACCAGCACCCTCCAGGGAGCTCGAACTCCCGCTCTCCATCTTCGATGGCTTCTCGCGCGCGTTCCTCTTGTGCAACCTCATTCCCCCGGTTGTAGTAGCGAACGCGCAACCTGCGCTTGCCACCTCGGCATGGACGCTGCTCCTCGCATCCTTCGTACGCCTTTGCTTTCTGTTTTGCTTGCGTGCCAACGTTAATCGGTTCCCCCATCCTCCAGATCACTGCGAACGGCGGCTTCTTCCTCACGAACATGCTCTCCTTCCTGAACCCTACCCCACTGTCCCTTCAGACCCCGCCCGAGCTGCGCGCGTACGGCTGGGCGACAACCGATCTGTGGTGTGCCCCGCTCGTCACCGGCCTCTTCGCGCTCCTGACGCACGCACAACCGTTCTGGGCGGATGCACATAACGTGCTGTCTGGAGTCTTGAGCACCGCAGACAAGCCTGTGGAGGCTGTCGACCCGGAGACGGCGAGGGCGGCGTGTGCGTTGTTGCTAGCCCTCATGTTCTCGGTGAGAACGACGAAGAACTTCCCGGCAACGAAGAGGAGTGTGGAAGGTACGTCTGCATGCTGTTCTCCCCTGGATCAGTATTGATACTATTGCTCATAGCTAACGGGGACTCGAGCGAGGCGAAGAAAACCCAGTAGGCAGCGAATCACGGACGATGTATAGACTTGCATTGTTATACGTCCAATCTATGTTGTACGTATCAATCCAGGAACAAGACATTGCCCAATCCTGTGTCGCCACTGCGACCATATACATCGGTCTCCTTGCAAGCGAAGCACGCTCGAGGATGGTTTTACCCACCTCACGGTCCCTCCTGGACTCTCCCAATCGGATGAACTAGACTGCATCTCAGTCATCGTAGGTCAGCACGATGAGCGCGTGCGAACGACCGATTGCGGACACTCCGAGATTCTGGGCGGTTTGAACAAAATCCATCAAGATCTAATAACCCCTTAGTCGACCATGACTTCGCCTTCATAATCGTGCATCGGAGGGTCCTCGAGGGGCTCCAACTGGCGCACCATCGCACGTTCGTCGCCGATGAGATGCTCGTCTGCGACCGACACTGCCCCCATCCAAGTTGAGTAGGGGACGCAAATTCCGAATTGCGATAGGTTGGGCGGCGTCACCGATCGCATGCGCTCTGGTCTGTGCGACTCTGGCTTTGGGTCTACGGCGACGCCGGATGGTGAAGAGTCTGAAGCGCGCCTACCGACCTTGGGACCGTAGTCCCCGGCTTTGTAGAGTGGCTTTCCGTCTAGCTCTGGTGCCACAGACAAGAAGCGGGACCGCCATCCCGCGTAGTCGGGTGTATCTTGGTACCCTAAGGATCGGGTGTAGTCCAAAAAGTCACCAAAGACGGCGGGATAACCAGCACATAGGTCGGCGCCAGTCCACATCTGCTTGAGCGCAAAAACTTCGTCCGCGTCCTCCATTCTCGACCACGGAAGCCAATTGCAGAGTAGGTTGATGATGGAGTACGCGAGAGATACCATGTCGTCTCGACGCGAGGGATCTAATATCCGTCAGACACAGGCAGTTCAAGCTCGAGGACGGATTACTCACTGCGATGAAGATGTACGTTCACGCTCGTATACCTCCTAGTACCTATATGCTCGGTGATGGTGGACTCTGGGACGTGGCGAAGAGTGTTACGGTCGCGATAAATCCTCGCGATGCCGAAATCGATGAGTTTGATGTATCCGCTGGCTAGCTGGAGGTCGAACAGAAAGTTTCCGGGCTTGATGTCGCAGTGAATGATGTGGTGGGCGTGTACATGTTCCACCGCATCTATCTGTAACAAAATACTCAGCATATAGGCATCGCCGCCCTTTCTACGCTGACGGGATTGACCTACCATCTGGCAGGTTAATGCAACCAGATTGCGCATCGTCAGGCCCGTCGAAGTTGACCGGAGAGGTTCCCTGATATCCTTTCCAAGGCGCTCCATAACAAGGTACTCGAACATCTGGGATCTCCCCCACGAATAGACTGCAGGGATGTTCGGGTGTCCTGTTTGTCGCGGCGGTAAGTACGACGCTGAACCATTACGAAGGCAAGCTCATACGTCTCACCTCGCAGCTCGAGCATAGCGCAGGCCTCATGGAGCAACATTGGGTTCTTCGCAAACTTGTAGTCAGTAGCGGATCGTCCCTTTTTGACAACGATGTCCTGCGGCACCGTTGTGCGGCTGGATATCACTCGTGCAGCGTAGATTTTGCCTGAAAGCTATTATAGGGACTTCAGAACTGCACGTGTGCGATGATGAGCACACACCGAAGGAACCCTCGTCTATGAAGTCTGCCTCGTCGACTTGTAGACGCATCGCTCTCGCAGATCAGCGGGACGTGGGGATGACAAATAACTCAAAGATGGACGTCGTACCCAAGGGTGACGAGGCACGAGGAGGACAGCTGCTTGAAGCGTACCAATCCCATGAGGCTGAAGACGTGTCCTGCAGTCGCGCTAGGTCCGCCGGAGATCACAAGCCGGAGGACAAGAAAATGCAAGATATATGGCCGAAGAGGACAAGTGCACAAGTATATAAGGTAAAAAAGTGCTGCTTTTTGACCAAGACGAGTGAAACATCGACTTGTGGGCGGCGGTGATATTCTCCGCGTATATGGCACACAAGTTTCGAAAGAAGTCTCTAGCCGTACAGATCGCGCACCGAAGAGAGTTAGTTTTTCAGAAGTTAGAACGGAACGATGCGCTCTGGAGGATATCCTGCTGCCTGGTAAACCCACGGGCGCTCCATGCCTGGCGTCTCTTCGATCCTCTCCAAATGAGAGGCCACCATCTCTTGCTCGTCCCCAATGAGGTCTTCGTCCAAGATGGCGAAAGGATTGGGCCACTCGGACGTCGGCACCCAGACGTCGTCACTGAGTGATGCTGAATCGGCGGCGCTCTCCGGCGCAGGCTCGAGGTCAACGGGCTGCATCTCCTGCGGCCAATGCGACAAGCCTACGCGCGGGCCGTCGTCTGCATAGTCGTACAACGGCTCGTCGGGAAGCCCGGGAGCTAGCTCCCGGAAACGAAGCTTCCACCCGGAGTAGTCTGGCTCCGCGTCATATGCCATGGCGCGCGCGTCGTCGAGGAAAGCGCCAAAAACTGGCGGGTGTCCGGCGGCAAGATCGGAGCCGGACCATTTGCATTTCTCTGGCAGAAATTCCTCGTCGTAGGTTCTCCGTTTGTGCCAAGGTAGGCCATCGCATAGGAGCGCGAGGACGGTATAGGCGAGGGACTCCATGTCGTCACGGCGTGAGGGACCTGAGTCGTAACGCGGAGTTAGCTACGAGATGTGCCATATAGAAGGGTACGCACGATAATGGTAATGCATATGGATGCTCGCATACGACCTTGTTCCTAAAAACCGGGAGCTGCGGCTCTCGGGCTTGTGAGCAAGGGAAATAGGGTCGCGATACGGTCTCGTGCAGCCGAAGTCAATGATCTTGATCAAGCCGGTGGGTCGAAGGTCGAACAAGAAGTTCCCAGGCTTGATATCTCCATGTACAAGATTGCGCGAGTGCATGTGTTGTACGGCGTCGATCTGAGAGGCGAGGTAGCAGTGATAAGTCGTTCGTGAGCGAGAGTTATGAACAGTAAAGATTGACTTGGAAAGCATGCAAAGCGCCTCACCATTTGGCACGTCAGCGCGATGAGGTTGCGCATTGTCAAGCCTGACGAGGATTTGAGCGGTGAAAAGATGTTGGGACCAAGCTCCTCCAGAGCCAGGTACTCGTAGTATTGTGTTCTTCCTAAAGCATATACTTCGGGAACGCTAGCATGTCCTGTGGATATCATGATATATACGTCAGCCAGCAATCGGCTTGGATATGTCGACCGAAGCCGAGCGAACGAACCTCGAAGACTGATGATGGCGCACGCTTCATGGCGAAGCATTGGATTCTTGACATGCTTCGTCGTGTGAACGACCTTCACCGCAAGGATGCGCGGCGGGCTCTCGCTTGTTACCCGCGCACGATACACCCTACCTGTGCACCCATTAGTCGCGATGGCACTTTGGTCTTTTCCTCGCTGAAGGCAGCGGAAAACCTGAGTCTCACTATTTCCGCCGTCCTCGATTCGGCTATCTAGGTAGAGACGCATTCGAGCCGTTAGGGGTTCGCGGCGAGCGCGAAAGGTGGACGTGTGATGAGAGGACAGCGGTCACAATGTGTCACAGCTCCCTGAAAAGGAAATTTTAGGAGCCTTCGGGTGTTGCCGATGGACCAATCTCACGTCTAACTATCACCGTCATCACGGACGAACCTGGTCCGTTCCCTCGCCTTCCTGTCTCGCGCTTGCCTTATCCTGCCCACGTACTCGCTGACCCGAGCCAGAGGGACTTTCTTGATCAGGCCAGCCCCGTTGTTGGGTGCGCATGCGCTGTGAGTTTCCGGCCACAAGCCACACTCAGGCGGCGATGCGGTTGGATATTGAGGAGAGGATCGGGACCGGTGGATTTGGTGAGTCTTCTGTTCTGGCTCTATCTGCCCTATACCGACCTGTCACCTTCTCTAGGCAGGGTTTATGCCGCAAGGGTCCTTGGGGAACCGCAACGTAGGGTCGTTGCACTGAAGAAGGCGCGGGTCGAGGACAGCATCGAGAACCCGATGCTACGCCATGAGGCTTGCGCAATGCTGATGCTCAAAGGTAGGCTCATCTTTACACCGCCTTCTATCCGTTAGCTTGCTTGACTCTTCGCTCCTCAGGTCACCCGAGTATCCCTGAGGTGTATGCTTGGGGTCGCTCGCAAATTTTTGAACATCTCGCTTTCGAACTGCTCGGCAAAAGTGTCATACATCTAGTGTATTCCACTCCGGGTCTTACTCTACGCAATCTCATCGCCTTGGCTTGCCAGATGGTAGGATCTATTCTCGTCGTTGCAGTTCCTTTCTTTCAATGATCAATTACCACTTTCATCCAACACGTTCACTCTCATGGCATCGTACATTGTGACATCAAGCCTCAGAACTTCCTCCTCGGCCTCAACGGCCGCCAAGGTCACGTCAAGCTCATTGACTTCGGCCTCGCCAGGAATTTCCGCAATCCGTTAACGCAGCAACACATTCCCGTAGAAACCATGCGCAGTCATGTCGGGACCCGGACGCACATGAGCCTGAACATTCACTTGCACCATAGTAAGTAGGACTGCACAGCATCAATACGCGGCTCACCTCCACCGCGCAGACCCATCTCGCAGAGACGACATGGAGTCTCTGGCGTACACGATCGCCGATCTCCTTTGCGGCGGCCTCCCTTGGTCGAAACTCAACTCTTCCGACTACTTCGCCGAGAAGCAAGCATGGACCGGCTCAGCGCTTTGCGCCGGCTACCCAGAAGTCTTCGGCAAGTTTGTCGATTACACACGCTCCTTGGGCTTTCGAGAGGAGCCCGATTACGAGACGTGGCGACAGCGCTTTTTGGCCGTCGACCCCGAATTGCAGGGTTACCCCTTATACGATTCCTCGAAGGCTGGTACCGTGGTTGGAAGACGCCTCGGGGGTACCGCTACACCGCCCGCTGTGTCACAGCAACAACCATCCTCGCACGTGGCTGACAAGGATTTCGACTGGATCAGTATGTCGACCTGGGGCGAGCGGTTCGAGGTCGCTTCGGAGGACCTCTTTGATGACGAGCAGGCGATGGTACAACAGCTCCAGACCATCGAGGAGCCGGTTCCGAGATATTATGAATGGGAGACTATTCATCCATTTTGACCCCATGGGCGTACTGCAATATCTAGACAGGGATTTTTTCTCGAGATACTATTCGTGCTTGCCCCGCTGTGCCGTACACCCGTTCGCCTTGGTGCGCCAGATTTGACAGTCCCCGTTCATCCGCCACCGTTTTCCCGATCCCCCGACCGTGAAAAGCGGGTTGTGAGGCGAACCATCTACTTTACCAGGTCCACCTGGGTCGAGCCTTTCATACTTCTAGACGAATACCTTTTTGGGGACGAAGGAGCCTTGGTGCGCCAGCATTTAGAGAGGATCGAGGCGCTGCCTATCAGGGGCCACAAGGACGAGGTTATGTACTTGAGCGACTAGTCATGTTTTGTAGACGGGTGCTCTATATCAATACCCCTACACAAAATTGCAGTGAACGACATCGGGTGGATCAGGGCAGGCGATCGCGTCGAAAACTTTCTGTGGCTTCGTGAGTCACACAAACGAACTGTGACCAGTCACTCAAGTCATGATGACGCACGTGCTGCGGACAGGTCTTCCCCCTCCCGCACCCAGCGCCGTCGGCGTTCTTTACACCCCCTCAGAACCGGTGCTATGCAAGCGCTTCCCCACAATGCATATACACCTAGACGACCTGATAGCCTGCGGCGGCAATGGTGCGCCTTGCCTTCAGGAGCGAGCTTTGTATCGGATGACCCTGACTTCTGCCCTAGGAAGAGTCTATCGCGCTCATACGACGAGCGGAGAGAAGTCAAGGATATTTGCGGTCAAGAAGCTACACACGAACAAGCAAATAAAGAGACCCATGTTGCGTCACGAAGCGTGCGCCATGATACAACTTCGCGGTTGGTTCACTCCCCCTAATAGTGGTGTGCTTTTAGCTATCCTGACGCCTGCATGCTACAGGCCACCCCAGCATACCCGAAGTATACGCATTGGGACGATCTCAGTACGCCGAGTACCTTGCGCTCGAGCTACTTGGGTCAGACATCTACACCGGCACCTTGGACACCCTGTTGGGCCTAACCATGCGCAACCTTGTCGCGCTTGCATGCCAAATGGTAAGATTCCCAAACTGACATCGCAGTAGACCCCTCAACTCACCTCGCTCCCACACGCAGATTGACGCCCTGCAACATGTCCACTCGCATGGCATCGTCCACTGCGATGTCAAGCCCGGAAACTTCTTGTTCGACCTCAACCTCACGGGGAGAATCAAGCTCATCGATTTCGGGATGGCGAAGCTCTATCGCGATTCGGAGACCCTTGAGCACAGGCCCCAGGGCCGTATCCCGTACCTTGTTGGCACCAGAATGTATGCGAGTCTCAATGCGCACTATCATCTTGGCGAGTACCTCCTGTCCATCAAACGGCGGGATACTCACTGTGCGTAGTGCCCTCACGCCGAGACGACATTGAGTCACTCGCACTCACTCTCCTCACGCTCCTCTGCGGGCGCTTGCCCTGGCAGAACCTGCACGGCGCCGCAATCTTGCCCCAGAAAGCAAAGTGGTCCGGAGGCGCCATCGCCGTCGGCCACCCGCCCGTCTTCGGCGCCCTCCTGGACGACGCTCGTACATTTGACTACGACGCAGAACCTCAGTACGCTGCGTGGAAGCAGCGTCTTCGAGGTCTGGTGCCAGGATCAGCGGACTCAGCCCTGTACGACCCGTCCGACCGTGGATGGCCGGTCGGCGTAGCGCATTGGCAGCACGAGTTACTTGCTGTCCCAATCTCCACCCCGCCGCAGAGCGTCCACGAAGTGCTGCCGGATAGCGATGACGACTGGGTCCCGACATCGGATTGGCCGGAGCCCATGAATGTTCCGCTCGAGGACCTGCTCGGCGACGAGCGCGAGACGGTGGAGAGGGTACTGGAGAAGATCGACGAGGTCCCCACCATGGACGAGATTTGGACGAATCCGAACTTTTGTGGGCCAGAGTATATGGTCGATTATTAGGGTATACATCGCGTACCCGATGGCCTTTCGACTTACATAAGCACGATGGGCAGAGCATAGGAACCATTGTTTGCATGATTTTCCCGCAGTCGATGCTGCAAGGTTGAGTGGGCGGAGATGGTCCAGCGGGAACAGGGAGGTCGAAGATGCATCAGGGGTCATCGTCTTATGAACAAGCCATGACCATGAAACCCCGAAGCGGCCAGTTAGAGCGGTATATGCGACATGCAGTTAATATGCAGTCGCCCATTGTCCGTCGTACCCTTGATTCGATACTACGAACCACCGTGTCTGTCAGACGGTCAAGACGCATCTTCGACGGCATGGCGTGACATGGCCAACTTCGAGAACATGATTGAAAGACGGTGGTACGACACCCACCTATACCCCTTTCGACGGTGCGTAAGCGCTCCACGCCCTACGCGCGCACCTTCATTAATACCAACACCGGAGCATGATATGAGCGCCGCCGTTGTATGAAGCTGGTCATCGTAGTATGAGTGCGACCTGGATGATAGTACCCGCGCCTTGATACCCGGAGCATGACCTCGATATGCGATGCTTGAGTGGTGCCGATGGTTGAGGGGAAGAGAGATGTTGCAACAGAACGGCGGCCAAGACTTGCTATCCAACTTTGTCGTAGTCGTAGCAGATAGTGATCTCCCACAGGAGTTCGACGATAATGCCCAAGGCGGCGTTGCTGAACTTCAGGGCAAGTACGAGGCGGGACGGCCTCCTTCAGACTGTAGGCCTTTGGACTCGACCAAGAGCGTTTGACTAGAATCCATAATTGAAGTCCTGATGCAAGTTTCGTCGCTCGGGTTGTGTAGACGGTCACCGCCAAGCATACCCTCCAAATAGATGTAATCGCATATCTGGCTAGTGTACACTCAAAATAGTGAGATCTCCGGGGCCTGCGAGGGGAATGGCGTCAGAACGAGGGCGTTACAGTGCCGGCCGATGCTTGGCATCGACAAGATGAAGGGTTCTAGGACCGGATGGTACATGATGCAAGAGGAGAGGAGAGGGGAGGAGGAAGAGGGGGAGGCAGGATGCGGATGCGAAGAGCTGGATTTGGGTGGGAGAAAGTCGTATGGAAAGGGGGGGTTGCAGGAAGTAGATTGGTAGGAACGGGTAGAGATTAACAGGAAGTACGCCTCACCTGTCCCCTGGTCTCGTATGGCAACCAGTCCGCCGTCCCCGCGGGCAACAATCCCATGGACCTGCACTTCCACAGCCCGACGCCGATCGTGAGCAGGTTGCACGCGAGGTAAGCCAGCTTCTGCAACAGCAAAGTCGATGTTGCCTTCGTATCCGTCGCCGTGGAGGGCGCGAAGGGTGCGAAAGCTGTGCGTCACAGGTTAGCGAAAACTCCACCACGCGCCGTACTAAGCGCAGAGCAATGGACGCACCCTGATTGATCTTCGCCAGCGCCTGCAGAGGGCCCAGCATGAGCATGAACACGATGCCGAGGTTCCAGATCTGGATGCCGCCGCCGGACATGTAGAGCATGAACGCCTGCATGGGCAGGCTCTTCGCAGGCGCGATGGCAAAGTCCCACGCGCGCTTCTCCTTCAGCTCGTCATAACGGGAGAGAGGGAGGGAGGCGGCGGGCTTCGAGGGGCCCTTGGTCTGAGGAGGTGTCGAGAAAGTGAGTATATGCACTTGCGAGCAAGATACTGCGACGCACTGAGGTTGACTTGGAGAAGCCCGGTGGCGAGGGGAGGTTCCTCCATCTGGGGCGAGTTCAGGCATATATCCTGCGCATATATTCAGTACTACGAACTTGTTGTTGCTTTCGAGGGACGCGTAGTCTAAGGAATGTCTTGTCGACATGATGGCGGTGGCGGCGGCGACGACGGCGACGAAGGACGGTGATGGCGGGGAAGGATGGCAGCGCGCGGCGCGCCAGTCCCGGCGAACCGGCCCTACGAACCGAGCCACGCGTCGTCGATGCGAACAAACAAAGGCTTTGTTTGTTCGCTCACTACCCTCAGCGTCGACATTTACATAGCGATAGGTAAGAAGACACCAGAATTGTTCTCAATCAGCCCGACCCTCGGGAGGCATTCGAGGCGATAGCACCCAGAATAAGTGTCCCAACTTGGTTTACGACCCTCGGAGCACAGAACAAAGCGCCAGTTCGAACAGGGAAGTATGGGAGCGAAAGTAGCAACGAGCGCATGCCCTCTTGGCAGGCCAGCACGCTCCGGTTTTCTCATGTAGCTAGAGCACCCCCTCCGACGATACACCGAACACTGCAGGCCCAATCCACCGCGCTCTGAGAACCCTTATCTGTCAACAATGCCCTCCCGCAAGATGGCTGCCTCCGCGGCTCATACATTGGTTCGCCCCGCGGTCCGCCTTGCGCATCGCGTCAGCTCCCGACATTGAGAACAGTCAGCGCCCGACATGAAGAGCAGTCATCCCACGTTCATAAGCCACAGAGACGTTCATGCACCAAGTTCAAAAACCATACAGACGCGTTGCACCAAGTAGACAAGGTTCCGGACGTCGGACAATTCATCCCGCGAGCGCTGCCTATTGTCGCCCAATGACATGCCATTGTCAAAGACAAGAATGGAAACAGAATAGCACATACGGCGCATACACTCGCAATCAACCGCCCCGGTCCAATCGCCCCTGCCGGTAGCAAACCACCCCCTACTGGTAGTGTATCGGAGGCCCCATCTGCGGGATCTGGCCGCCAAAGCCCGGCGGGGGCGGGGGCGCAAATCCACCATACACAGGCATATTTGGCGGGGGTGGTGGCGGCATCATCCCCGGGGGCATCATCCCAGGCGGGCCCATGCCCGGCGGTGCCATTCCAGGTGGCATCCCTGGCGGCGCCATACCAGGCGGCGCCATCCCTGGCGGGGGCATGCCCATCGGCATCCCCATCCCCATCGGCGGCATGATCTGCTGCGGGGCGAACCCAGGTGGGGGTGGGGGCGGCGGCGCCGCGAGCGCGCCTGCAAACTGGCCCTGGTACGGCCCGTTGAAGCCCATTGCACCTGGCGGCGGGCGCGCGCCCATGGGCAGCGCGTTGTTCTTCCGCGCTTGTGCTGCCAGGAGACGCTCCGCACTCGTGCCGTGCCGCTCGCCCTTGCCGTCCTTCTTGAAGGCGTACTGGACGGTGATGGCCTTGTTCATGAGGAACTGGCCGTTCATGGCCTCGATCGCGGCGTCCGAGGCCTCAAAGTCGGTGAAGGAGACAAAACCGTAGCCCTTGGAGGTGCCGGTGCCGGGGTCGCGGGCGACCTAGTATGGGGGAAGAATGTGAGGGAGGTAGGTGAGGGGGTAAAGAGCCGATCGCGCACCTTCGCCGTGGTCGCCATCATGCCGAACGCGCTGAACGTGTCGTACAGCAGTCGCTCGTCCACATTTTCGTCGAGGTTGCCGATGAACAGGTTCGCACCGACGTCCAATTGCTTCTTGTCCGAAGAGGCCTGGGGTAGCGCAGCGCGTCAGCTTCTTTCTCGTGTACCCCTGCTCGAGGCGCGTAGGGGGATGGGAGTTCTGCACGGACCTTGTTAACACGGATGGGCTTTCCCCAGAGCTTGATTTGATTCATGATCTTACAGGCATATTCCGCATCCTCCTCCGTTAGGAACTCGCAGAAGCCGTAGCCCTGGTGGCTCATCGAGATTCGGTCTTTGGGGAGATGAACATTCACTGGAAACGCGTTTGAGTGTCTTGTTCGAGAGTGTGTGACAAAGTGAGGGTAAAGAGGAGTAGGAAGGGAGAAGTGGAGCAGGGGAACGCGCAACACACCTACTGGGCCCGCTTGCAGCATAAGCTCCCAGACTATCGCGTCTGTAACGCGTTCGTCCAGGTTTCCCTGCAGCGAAGTTAGTATTTGTTTTGTGCTATGTCTCTGAAGACGCACTAAGTAGACCGTCGCCTCTTGGTTTCTGTCATCTTGTGGTCGTCCAGACATGGCGGACGGGACGAAGAGTCGTTCAATGGGTCATGACGTAAGCAAATTTACCGAGAGGGACACGAAAATGATGGCCACGTTTTCCCTTTGTTCAACTTCCCCGCCCTCGAACAAATCAACTGAGTCTGTCAGCACCTCATCCGTTTGGTCTTCGTCACTTGTTTGCCTGAAATGTCGCCCCATATATCGCAATGTCAGTCTGGTGGTCAGCCTTTATCCCTAGCTCTCCCGAATCTTCTGCAAGTCAAAGTCCTAGCACGCTGAACTCAGACGAAGGGTTCAAGATACACCGTTATAGCTCCCTCGTACACTTACATGTGTCGACCTTGTCGTATCAATACCGAGACAAGCGCTATGCAGCTGCGCCGCACCAATCCGCGTCGCTTTTGGTATGGCCAGCCCGACGTCCATCTACCTCGTTTGATGCTTCTTGGTATCAACTTTCGGTCTTAGCGGAATCGCTCAAGGGCTCTCTCGTGACTCCATGCGCAGGGAAGCAGACCATGCGCTTGGAAGGGGCCTCGAGCCCTTTCTGCGGTCTCGTCAGGACTGGCAGGCGAACTTCTTCAGGTTGACCTCGGTGGCTGCCAATTAGCAAGTCTATATAGGTATTTCTCCGACCTGCCCTGCCCCTGCCTTCCTCCTATTCTTCTTCCCCGATTCATTGCAGGTCCTCGTCCCCCCACTAACCCAACCACCCAACCGCTTACCCCGCGCATAACCTCTGCCCCAGTATAGCCCGTATCACCACCCGTCCGCCAAGCCAAGCGCTCTGCCCCACCGCGCCGACGGTCGGGCAGCGCATCGTACCGTCGCAGCCCAGCCCGCCCTATCGCCCGCCGCCGTCGATTTGCCAATCCCGGCTGCACACACCCTTCGCACACTCCACCCGGACAGCCCATACACTCGCTAGCAGGCCCCCTCTAGCGGGTGATGTGGTCCTCGTAGGCCTGTTCTATCGCGGGCGCGCCGTAAGCGCGCTTTCGAGCGCCTTCGTAAGGGCCCATCTCGCCGCGCGTATCAGTGTCATGGCTATCCTGGTAATGGAATTGGTGCTGTGGCGGCGGGTATATAAGCGGGCCTGCCGCTTGGTGGGGGCTTCAGTGTAGCCCCTTCCCGTCTTTTCGTTGAGGACGCTACAGCTGCAGCAGGTCAAGGCAACGACGACGCCAGCCTACCTCCCGCACCCTTACAAGCCGTGATGTATCCTCGCGCTCTCGTCGTTCTCTTCTTCGCGGTCTTCCTCGCCGCCACCGTCAGCGGCGCCCCGCTCAAGCAATTCAAGCTGAAGCGCGGCGACGCGACGCCCGTGCGGCGTGACCCGCCCGCGGCGCCCTCACACTGGTGAGTACATCCTTCGCTCATCGTCCTGCGCTCCACCACTGGTACCCTCACAATCCCCCGCAACCGCCCTGGTCCCGAGCCTTGCCTTGACCTATCATCCTCATCACCTTCTCCTCCACCACGCACCTCGCTAACGACTCGCCTATCCTAGGGCGCGCGCCGAGGAATGGATTCCGAAGCCGTCCGGCTGGCGTCGGGCCCACGCGTGAGCGTGCCATGTCGACGCGGGCATGCTGCGGCGCCTAACAGGGTGAGCCCTTCTTCCACCGCACCCAACGTGCAGAGCATCATCTTCTTTTATGTCTTCCTCTTCTGCAGTATCTTGCCATGACAGAGGGGTGACCATACTCCCTGCCATGGAATTCCTGCTCGTCGAGAAGCAAGACCCCGAGCTCATAATTTTCGCAGGACTGTCGACTCTTTATAGGCCCCTTACGGCGCACGACTCCACGACGGCTTCGCAACGTCGTTCACGTCCATGTCCTCTGTAGTACGAAGTCGATGTGACTATCTACTTCCCTTTCTTTGACTTTGTATCCCGTGTTTGTATACGTATCGTCTATCTGTACCAGTACACTTTGTAGATTCCCAACGCCTAGGCCTCAGGCCTCCTATGTCCATATCGTTAAGCGCTCGCGAACCCTGTTCGAAGCCAAGAAGTTGCAGCCACTGCCGCCTAGCGAAAGAACGAACCGGGCAAACAAGGACACCAGGAAACTCAATGCCACACGTCTACCGAGCTCGAGGGCTGCGAACGTCTATGTAGATTGGTGCTTTGCCCGGGTATCACAATATTATCTTCACTCCGCCAGACCACCCTATCAACCAGGACCCACAGAAACAGAAGAAAACGAAGAGGCGCGCACGAAGGAGGGACTGAAGGACACCGATGACCAAGGGAAGGTTGATCGAGGACTGAGCACCTCGGAAAAAAAGTGTGGAAAAAAGACATAAGCAACCTCAAGAATATAGCTTTAGCTTAGTAGTAGGCTTGATTCCGAAGATATAGATTTAAAATCTGTCTGTAAGAGAGGCAGGAAGAGAGCAATGGGTGGCTGGCGGTAGAGTAGGAAGATATACGCGAGCGTGGCGGTAGAAGATATGGAGCAGGACGTGGGCATGATGTTACTCGTAAGGAAGACCGTGAAGACACGAGGGCGGGCGCTGCAGCAGCTCAGAGGATGACACATTTCGGCCCCTTCTTCTTCACCACGGGTGGCTCCAGCGCGGCGACGATGGCCTGCGGAACACGCGTTAGCCAGGCACGGCTGCGGCGGCGACCGCACACTCACCTCATCAAACACGTTCTTCAATCCCTTCTGCGTGAGTGCTGAGCACTCGACGTACTTGACCGCGCCAAGTTCCCGAGCGAGCCGCTCGCCTTGGTCGCTCGTGACCGGTCTCTGCTTTTGCCGCGCCAGCTTCTCGATCACCTGCGAGTCGTCCCTCAAGTCGATTTGCGTGCCGACGATGAGGCAGGGCACGCCCGGACAGTGGTGGCGAACCTCCGGGAACCATTTCTCCTTTACGTTCTCGAAGGAGGCTGGAGATGTTACACTAAAGCACACAAGAAACACGTCCGTCTGCGGGTACGACAACGGCCGGAGTCGATCGTAATCCTCCTGGCCTAGTCAAAGTCAGTCTGAAGGATAGCAGACATGGCCAAGGCGACACACCAGCAGTATCAAACAGACCCAGTGTATAGGGGTCCTCGCCGATCATGACGGTCACGGCATAATTGTCGAAGACCTGAGGGATAGTTGGGCTCGCGAACGGCTAGGAGGTGGAAGCGAGCGAGCACATACGGTGGGCACATACTCGCTCGGGAACTTGTTGGTCGTATAGGAGATCAACAGGCACGTCTGTTCACAAGAGCAACCGGGCTTGTCAGTCGCGAAGCATGGGCCGGTCGCGGGCAGCGCACCTTTCCAACCGCACCGTCTCCAACAACTACACACTTGATGGTCTGCATCGTTCAATGGACTAGGGTCGGGACAAGTGGCAACGCTCTGTGACAAGTGAGGGTCAGCAGGCGAACATCATTAACGCCATCAGGGATCGTAGAGCGGAGGTGCATGCATGTGTTTGGTGCGGGAGGCGTGCGGGCCTCAAGGACGACGAAGGGCGGGGAAGCTGGGCACTGACCGGTAAAGCGCGGGTGCAGCGCAGATGGAGAGGTAGAAGGCAGGGAGAGGGCGGCCGGCTCGTGCAGCGTTCGCGGTCGTCGAGAGACTGGTCTCTAGAAAACCTGATAGGGTGCTCGTCGTCAACACGAGGCTCGAAGTCGGCGGGAACGACGGCGAGCGCAACGCCAACGTACGTGGAGGAGCAGCGGAGTCGTGAACGGAGAGATGGAGAGCGCTGTCGCCGACGGTCTTGAAACGAGTTTGGTCGTCGCCAACGTCTGGATCTATGCACGCACACCGTGGCAAATGCCAAACATGCGCAAATTTACGTCTAATTTAATTTGATGCGCTAACTTCCGGATAAACAAACCGAGTATCCCGCTCCTGGACCCACAGCTGGCGGTGAAGACTCTGTTGGTCGTCCTTCCCAGCTCATCTTCATCTCAGCCCGATGGGACAGTTGTCTCACTCGACCCCAACCAGCACGCGCGGCGATGCGCGCCTTCCTTTCTAGCATCCCGCTTCGCGGGCGCGTGAGCGCGCCTCTTTCCCACAACGCCACGTGCAATTTTGCAGGACCAACTCACGGAGGCAGAAAATTCAAGGTGATCAGGACTGGCAAGAGCACCCCATAATGCCAAGGTTACCAGTACAGCACATGGCATGCTGCCAATCTAATCATGGGCATGGAGACGCAAACTCGGTACTTCCTGGACTTATAAAGTTGACGCCGAAGTATGTGAGCTGAGTATTGATTGTAGCCCTTTGAACAATATTGCTGTCCTTCCTGCGCCCAGATGATGACCAAGTCAACTCATGCGCTGCACTACTTTGGTGAAGGGGGGCGAACAGAGACGCCCGTTCAGTGGTACAATATTGCGTGCTACGGCTCCCTTCAGTGATTTGGAGCGAAGGTCGAATAAGAAGCAGGGCTGGAGGAGGATATTGAATTGCAATTGCAGCAGGTTCATGAACTGCTTACCTCCGGCGCGTTAAAGCGCGCAAAGAGATTCTTTAGAACGTACGGAGAGGGCTAGGAAAGATACTGATCGTGCTGCACCTTCGCATTGCACGTACTATCAAACTCAAGGTCTGCAAATGTCTTCTGCATGTTGTGCGCATAAACGCGGTTAGAATCGCCAAGAAGCTGCATATGTATACAGTACAAAAAAGCGCATATAATACGCAAGAAAAGCATACAAGCCATATTGCACGACGTCGACGCCTTGCTATCATCACTCCGCACGTCGTTTCGAGGCTGCACTCCAGTTAGCTCAAAACCACAAAACGCTGTTCAGGAACCACTCACAACTCGGCTGCGCCCACCAAACGAGTTGGCCGCCTTTCGACCCGGTAACAATAAATCCCGGCTTCTCCCCGTCGCCTTCGAAAGCCTGTAAGACCGGTATCAGCATACCGGGCACTTCGGGCATCGTTCCTCGCCGCCCACTCACCGCCGCGCAAGTAATCGGGTCGTCTGCGAACGTAAATCCCGGTCAATCGACTGCCACCCTTCGACACCATGAGTGGACAACCAAAAACGCACCTTCACTATTATTCATCCCGTAAACCACCTGCGCCTTCGCCGTATCCCACACCAGGACGCAGCCCCGCGCGGTGCCGTGCACGACGGCCTTGCCCCCTGCCGCGAAGAGCGCGCCGAAAGATGGCGCTGCCGGCCGTCCTTCAGGCGCGTACACCCGCTCGACGCCCGCCGCACCGGGCCGCAGGTCGTACAGCACCGCGTGCCCGTTCGCGAGGCTGACGAGCGCGCGCCCGCTTCCCTGAACCTGATCGATGTCGATGGACGTGCTGGGTGAGAGGGATCATCACGTGAGCACAAGCCGCCCGCGCGGCACGGCGTACTCACATTGCCTGCTCGAAGACGTGCAGCGTGCGCAAGGTGCCGCTGGTCATGCCGAAGTGCCACCTGGGAGATGTCGGCGCTTAGCATAAGATAAGGTATGATAGAAGTCAGCAGCGACGCACAGAAGACCGTCGCTAGTCCCGCCAACCAGTGCCTCGCCATTCTCCGCGAACTTCATCACAGTGATCCTGGGCTGGTTGAAGAGCTTTTGCGGTTCGTGCCAGCGGCCTGTGTCCAGAGGTCTCAATTATGTGGGTGCCCATATCCCGATCAGCGCCGAGCTCACCGTTGTACTTTTTCAGAACCCAGAACCTCACATTGCCATTTCTCTCCGATATCGCAATGCGTCCCTGCCACACCGCCGACGCTGGATGCTGCCCGAAATCCGTACCATGGATGGCCGCCCGCTTCCACCTGTCGTTGTCCCTTTTCTTCGTCTTGCACGGTGAGCGCCAGAACACTAATCTTGAGCTCAGACAAACATACCTTCTCCCACTTGACATGGCCATCGTCGTGCAGAGCATATATGACCTCACTATTGTCCAGGAAGCCAAAATCGGCGACATGCTTCGAGTGGCCTAGCTTGCTGACTTCCTTCCGGGTCGATGTCGCGCAGACGCGGATGCGGTTGTCGAGGGCTGAGAAAATAGTGAGCGTCCAAGTCCAGGTGACTTGCGGAAGAATAATCCTTACTGAGCGCAGCGACGAATTTCCCACTCGCGCCAATGACGATTCGCTCGATGGGCATTGGCCGGCCCATGTCATCTGTTAGCTGCGCGACCTGGTATCCGTCGACCAGAGGCCACCTGAAATTGTCAGGCCGGTGCATCTTCCGCAGAGCAAGGTAGTCAGGCAATGGTGAGTGCGCAATAGTAGTGTCCCCATGCGCAGGTGACGACGACCGACTACTGGTATCCGAGTACCGGTCGTCCTCCCTCTCTCGTTCTCGCTCTCGTTCTCTGTCTCTCTCAGCGCCTCGCGGGTCCCGACCGAACTCATCAGGCCGCGACCTCCAGTCATTCTGCGAAGGCCGGTAGCAGTCGCCCGAGACCGGGGGCAATCCACCGTCGTGAGATCCTGGCCTGAAGCCATCGTAGGAGGCGGGCCTATAGCAATCGCTCCCCGACGCCATTGAGGGGAACGGCCCGTCTTGACTGTGTCGCTGCTCGCCCGGGCGATACGAGTCGCTCCCTGGCGCCAACGGTGGGAAATAGGACCCATTCCCGTTGGACCCAGGCCGATAGCAGTCACTCCCCTGCGCCAGCGGCGGGAAATACGGGTCCGAGGGCGAGTACGCGTCATCGCCGTTCGACGGCCCCCCGTGATTCGGCAACGGCCCACCCTGCGTCTGCATCGAGTCGCGTCTTGGCCAGTTGTTGATTGCGTCGCCGTCTGGGTATCGATCGTCGGCGCCGCCATTGAACGACCCGTTCTCCCTTAGGCGGTTCTTGTTGCGTTTACCGGAACGACGTTGGGCGCCGCTGGGTTTGCGGGGTGGTTGGGGGGCTGAGGCCGAGGTAGGGGTATAGACGGCAGGTGTAGGTTTGGCGGGCAGGGCATGGCGCATGGGGGCTGGAGAAGATGAGCATACGACCCAGGCAAGATATAGGAGGTAACTTACTAGCAGCTGGGATAGATAACACCGGCAAAAGCGTAGGAGGCTGGTTAGTAGGTGGCGGAGGGGCTTGGTAAGTCGGAGGCGGAGGAGCCTGGGTAGTCGGAGGTGGAGGCGGAGGCTGGGCAACGGGCGGAGGTGGCGGATTCGCAACCGCCGGCACCGATGGCCGTCTTTCCAGCGGATTCGTCCAATGGCCGTTCTGCGCAGCCGGCGCGGGAGGGGCTCGTTGCGTGGGGCGGGGTACTGTAGTATTTAGCCTTGCCTTCCCTACTCAATGGAAAATCGAGAATACTCACAGGCTATAGGATGCGCATGAGCGTCAAGAATACCAGGCGAGGCTTGCCCCTGCTTGAACTCCCCGATGGGCTGGTGCTGCGCCTGACCCGAAGGCGGCAGCGGCAGCGCTGGCGAGGGCGAAGTCGTATGCTCGTCCAGGCGAATGCGCTTCCACCTGTTGTTGGGCAGCGACGGCAGCCTGTTGGCCTCGCTCAAAGAAGGCGGGGGCGGAGGCGCTGACGATGGAGGAGGCGGAGGTGCCGAAGCAGGCGGAAGAGGAGGCGCCGAGGTAGGTGGAGGTGGCGGTGCTGAGATGCCCGTCGGCGGGGGTGGAGGAGCTTGGGAAGGCGGAGGGGGAGGAGGTGCATGAGAGGGCGGTAGCGGTGGTGGCTGCTGTAGTGTACTTGGCGAGCGCTTATTTGTCAATGCGGCAGGCGGACGAGAAGGTGAAGCATGCCGAGGAAGATCGGGAGAATTGCGCTCTGGCTTTACAGAGGAGGGTGCGGAGGGTGGTAAGATACCCGCGTGTGATTGGTGAGAGGGGGTGATAGCATCGGCCGCAGAGAGGGCGGAGGTAGACCGCGCGGAGCCGTTGACAAGAGGGGAGAGTATACGGGGCTGAGTCGGAGGTCGTTTCGATGCTTGGGGCGGCGGCGTCGACTTCGTCTCGCCGGTGTAGGAACGCTTGACGCCCTAGACGACATTATGTGTTAATTCTAAAGGCCTCCCACAAGGGACATTGGCACGCACCAACACAGTCGATGAGGGTCCTGGAGAATCAGCAACCTGCGCTGGCTTTAGAGCGTCGAAAGAACTGAGGAAGCCCCCAGAGACAAAGGGGTTTGGTATTGCAGGCCGCTTGCGCTGCGGGGCACGCGACACGTGGATCGTCTCGTACTCCTTGGGCTGCTCGGTCGGACATGGCGGAGCGGATGGAAATGGCACAGCGGTCGCACTTGACGTAGCAATTGTACTTGGCGCAGGAAGCGTAGAGGGCGTCGCGAAGAAGTCCTTTGCGTCGCCCGGCGTCTCGGTCCTTCTAGCCATCGAAGGCACGGGTGAGGGCGTAGGGCGCACTTCTGTCACCGTGGACGATGTCGATAGTCCGGGTACGGAAGAGGAACCTCGTACGGAAGCCGAAGGCGAAGCCGCGCGGCTTTCGATTTCTTTCAACCGCTCCTCATCGTCGCTATCGACGTCCATCGCAGAAAGGCTGCGCTCGCGCAGTGGAGGAGCGCCCTCGTCCCCGCGCATGGGTGCAGCGTCCTCGTCGTCACTCTCGTCCATCGTCGAAAGGCTGCGGACCTGCGTAAAAGCTTGTTAGTGAGACCTTAGTAACCATTGGTGAGCGTGTTCGAACCTCATCCTGCTCCTCTTCCTGATCGCGCTGCGAGGATATCGGGGTCATGGGCTCGACTGGACGAGAGTAAGAGATGTCTGCCTCCTTGACCGTACTTGGAGGTTCGACGGGCGCATCCGTCTGCATACCCGACGAACTCGTTACTCGGGGCGGGACGACAGGTTCGGTGGCTTGCGAAGATGCAGAGGCCATCCGAGGCACGGCCTGAACGAGCTGATGAGCGCGCGAAGGCTGCACCTGGACAGGTTGATCAGTCCATGAGGGCTGCGCCTGAACGAGTTGATCAGCGCACGAGGGCTGCGCTTGCGTGGATCGGCAAGAAGTAGTAGGAAGCGCCTGCACAGCAGCATCGCGCGCGGTGGTCTCGGTCTGTACGCTCGCAGTGGCATACTCAGGACTTGGTGGGACTATTACAAGTATAAGAGGGGTAGATATGGTGAATATAAGCATAACGTACTTGGGGGAATAACTTGCTCTTCGGGCGGTCGTAGCCATGTTCGCCGCAGCTTCGGCGGTAACGCGACGGGTTCCTCTTCCTCTTCTGCTGGCGGTGCAGCCTCTACAGGTTCCTCAGCTTCCGAGGGGGGCTCTGAAGCAAGGGATCCCTGAATCATAAGCACCCTATCCTTGAATTCCTTGTCGTCTGTGTCGACAGCGAATAGTAGCTCCTTCCCCGGCTTCACCTCAATGCGCTTCGCTGCAAAGAAACTGAAGTATACGACAGAGGAGTTCGCGTCTTCCTCCTCATCCGAGCCATCCTCTGAGATGATGACGCGCTTGAGCACGATGTGGGGGCGCGCGGAGGAGATGTGGTGGCGGATGCGGAGCGCGCCCTTGGTGCCCAGGAGGGACGCGAAGGGCTGGGTGGGGACGGGGGGTTCGGGGGAAGTCATTGGGGAGGCGCGCATCGCATTTGGGCGCGCGGGAACCAAGAGTTCACGTCTCCGTCGAAAGATGATGAGGGTCCAGGTCAAGCTGAGTCTGAGGCAATCGCGTCCGCCCGCACGTGCTTTACGACGGACTGTGGCGCTTGGACACGGAATCGGTCCGGGCACCGATCACCGTTCTCCAGGTCTCCTCCTCATCCCGACCCCTCACCTGGCTGTTGAGCTTGTTTCGCCGTACGCCCGGAGCAGTCGTGTACACGCCCTGACGCATTGCTTGCGCTGTATTGCGTTGAGCAGATGAGCTGCGCTCAATAGGAATTGACTCTGCCATGTCCCCGCCGCAGCGCGCATCGCTTGATATACTTCTAACGTTCGATCTCTTCTAGAAGGCTCAGAAGTTCTTTCGACGCATCCAACTCACAAACAGCATGCTTTCGAATGGTATACGATAGGCAAGTACTTTTCCGAGCCATAAACGGTGTACCCTCCTCGCTCACCCTCATCTGGAATATGACGCGCTCGCACTTGCCTCTTGCTTGCTTCTCTCGCTTAAGCCTCTGGGTACTATGGGAACGGTGCATTGCTTTCAGACACCATATACCATCGCGCTAGCCATCCTCTTATTGTCACCAGCCACTTATTGTCTAGAAGGCCCCACAACAGAGGGTTATATATCGCTGGTGCGTATCTTTCTTCTCTCTGCCTCCCTCACAATCCCCTCACTCACTTACTCTCTGCTCCCTCAGACGCCTCCGCAGCGAACGAGAAGCCGGACGACATAAAGGTCGTGACATTTCATGCACGGTGTCCACGCGGCCTGGTCATAAACAGCTGTGCGGGCTCGTCACAGTCACAGCACGCAACCTATAAGAGACGAAGGCCCTAGCACTGGTCTTTCCTCACCTCACTTGACCCAAGCAACCAGAGCATCGACTAACCTTTCTCCCAGTTCAACCCCCGAAGCTCCCGCGCAAACCTCCGTCTTGCCACACCTCGTCTGTCACCAAGATGGCCCAGTCCCAACACGCCACGAAGTCGTCCATCGACGCGCAGCTCGAGCGCTTCCTCGAGGTCGACAACATCTACAATCAGTCTACCCTGCCCGGCCTTCAGATCCAGTCCACTCCTCCTCAAGCGCCCTACACCATTGTTCTCTTTACTGAGAAAGAGGAAGAGCGCGTCACAGTCGACCCAAGGGCGCTTATGCTCTTCACCATTACCGTACACGGCGTGAAGGCCGACATGAGATGGTGTGCGCCCCGAGCTGTAGGGGCCAGCAAACACGCGATTGTGGTTCATAATGGAGTAGAAACGACGATGCTGGCGTGCCCGGACCATGGCGAGAGGACACTGTATATCGATCTCACTACGCTGGAGAAGATGGCAAAGGAGGTGACCATTACCGCAAAGTTCGTATTGTGCCATCATTCTGGCCTGTTTGTACTAAAATGATCGTCAGGCATGGTGGAAACCGCTGGGGCGAAGAGCAAGTTGTCGGCCTCGACATCCGTGCGGAGGTTCAAGCACCACCGAACCCGTCACCTGCCAACAGCAATGCCCTGGGGACTCCTCCACGTCGTGTCTTTAGCTCGTCGCCCGCGCGTCGTCATCCTGAGCCTCTGCCCGCGATCTCTGACCCTCTACCACCGCCTCCGGTCATCACCTTCAGCGACGCTCCGCCCAGATCCACCACGCCGCCCGGATCACCTCCTATTCCACCGCCTTTCCCTGCGACACTCTCCGTCGATAGTGCCCTTGAGCGTGCCGTGGAAAGACCAGATCTCAGGATCTTGACGTACTACAACGAAAAGCGTGAGCCTGTTGACGCTGTAGGTGGCATGCAGCGCACGAAGCGCCGGTCGGAGCGGTACACTCCCTATGGCCCGCGCCCGGTCAAGCGCGCCGTCTATAAGGTAGTGTCTACTGCGGCAGATGGACTTACGCTCGCAGGTGGTCTGCTGCGTGGCTGGGCAGACTCGTACTTCGGGGACGTCGACCAAGCTGGCGGACTGACGCATGCTGTTTGAACATTTCTATCGCCTCCTACCTGTACGCATACCTTATCGAACACGCACTGTACTATTTATTGCACACGAACACTATGTATCGACCTTGGACTTGAATCCCAGAAGCGCCAGCCGCCATTGTGGGCGCCTGGTCAAACAACGTCATAGCTATTGACACAGCCACCTATCAATTTTTGTGCGTAAATGCAAAGTACGTGCCTTCGCCTCACCCTCATCGTCGTCTACGGTCCTCGAAGGGCATCCGCCCACCATGAGTCAAGGCCAAGATGCTGCAGAGCAGAACATCCAGATGTGGAAGGTCAAGAAGCTCATCAAGAGCTTAGACAGCGCCAGAGGGTGCGTACGGCGCGCGCGGGACGTGCGGGCGGGGCGCTGACTGCGATCGCAGGGCGGGAACGTCGATGATCAGCCTGATCTTGCCGCCAAAGGTGAGGGGGATAGTGCTCGTGGTATTGGAGGAGCAGCGATGAACGTTTGGCAGGACCAAATCGCGCGCGCGTCTGCGATGCTGACGCAGGAGTACGGGACGGCGTCGAACATCAAGTCTCGTGTGAACAGGCTGTCGGTGCTGGCGGCGATCACGAGTACGCAGCAGCGGTTGAAGCTGTACAACCGCGTTCCGCCGAACGGGCTGGTGCTGTTCGTTGGGACGATCCTCACGGACGAGGGGAAGGAGAAGAAAGTCTCCTTCGATTTCGAGCCCCATAAGCCGATCAATACGTGCGTGTGCCCCTTGCTTTGTGCTCAGCACCCACCTCACATCACATCCTCCCCCAGCTCCCTGTACCTCTGCGACAACAAGTTCCACACGGAGGCGCTGCAGGAGCTCCTCGAGTCCGACTCGCGCTTCGGCTTCATCGTCATGGACGGCAACGGCACGCTCTTCGGCACGCTCGCGGGCAACACGCGCGAGGTCATTCACAAGTTCACCGTCGACCTCCCCAAGAAGCACGGCCGCGGTGGTCAGTCCGCGCTCCGTTTCTCGCGTCTGCGCGACGAGAAGCGGCACAACTACGTCCGCAAGGTCGCAGAGCTCGCCGTGCAGCACTTCATCACGAACGACAAGGTGAACGTGCAGGGGCTCGTGCTTGCAGGCTCGGCCGACTTCAAGACGGAGCTGAGCCAGAGCGACATGTTTGATCCGCGGTTGGCGGCGAAGGTCATCAAGGTCGTCGATGTCAGCTACGGTGGTGAGAACGGCTTCAACCAGGTGAGCTACATGAGCAATTTCTACGGCACTCGCTGACTGGGTTTTAGGCCATCGAACTCGCCGCCGAGTCGCTTGCAAACGTCAAGTTCGTGCAGGAGAAGAAGCTCATTCAGCGCTACTTCGACGAGATTAGCCAAGACACCGGCAAATACTGCTTCGGTGTCGACGACACGCTCAAGGCGCTCGAGCTCGGCGCCGTCGAGACGCTCATCGTCTGGGAGAACCTCGACATCACCCGCTACGTCCTCCGCAACGCCGCCGGCGAGGAAATCATCGTTCACGCCAACAAGGAGCAGGAAAAGGACCGCGAAAAGTTCATCGACAAGTCCACCGGGCTTGAGATGGAGCAGGTGCAGGAGCCGCAGGCGCTCCTCGAGTGGTTCGCGGAGAAGTACCGCGACTTCGGCGCGAACCTCGAGTTCGTTACCAACCGCTCGCAAGAGGGCGCGCAGTTCGTGAAGGGCTTCGGTGGGATCGGTGGCTTGTTGCGGTACAAGGTGGATTTGGATAGCTTGCAGACGGTAGATGACGAGGAGGACGAGTTCTACTCGGATGATGAGGATATTTGACGGTTTTGCCCGGCTCTGAGGAGCCCCATCCAGCTAGGGGACGCCGGGTGGGGTGGAAGGGAGGGGAAGGAGGGGACGACGGTGGTGTGGTGGCGGCGGAACGAGGCGGTCGTCACGGTTCGAAGCGACGTGCCCGACGAGGGGCGCTGCGTCAAGTTCCCGCTGGAATCAGTCAAGATCTGGCCCGTTCGCTGCGTGCAGCAGGAGGTGCGTTGCTCGTCCAATCTCGGCGTCCCCAAATAGCTCACGCATCGTTTAGAAAATAGCAAACGAAGGATACCCGTATGCATCAGCGCGGGTAGCCGTACCCCTGTTCTGAGCGTATTGTAATACTGGTCGTGTATGTATGTAACATATCGTCTTGACCATCTGAGGCGACACCTGCGTGTAACGGATCTGGCAAAGGCTAAAGGTTCATGGGACCAGTACCTACGAGCATAAGTAATTCCGGACGCCGAGGGCGCGCCAGTCTATCGCGGATGCATGACCTCCCACTTGTATTTACTCGCAAACGGCTCTTCAATGTATTCCAAGTTCTGGCGCACCGTCGTCTGTTCGTCGCCGATGAGGTCTTCGGGTCGAACGGAGATGCGTTCGCCACAGGACCCCATGGACATCCAGTCAAACACACCGAAAGAGGAATCTGATCTTGGCTGCTTGAGCACAGGGCCGTTCGGTGACGGTGCAGTATCACCAAGGCGTTTTCCCACCAGTGGGCCGGGCTTCGACAGGTCATAGAGTGGTTGACCTTCGAGCCCTGGAGCGACGCTTAGAAAACGTCGCTTCCACAAGTCGTAGTCGGGCGTCTCTTGAAAGGCCAGAGAACGCGCATAATCGACGAAGTCGCCAAAAACTGTTGGATAGCCAGCGCAAAGTGCTGAGCCTGACCAGAGCTGTTTGAGGGCGAAGTAATCGTCGGTATCGTGCGTAGCCCAAGGGAGATCACCGCAGAGAAGTTCTGCGATGGTGTATGCCAAAGATTCGATGTCTTCACGACGTGAGGGGCCTATGATATCGGTTAGCCTCAGAATATCAAGTCATAGGGGGTACTCGAGCTTACTGAGATGCAGATGCATGTTCAGGCTGATATAGCGATAGGTTCCAAGATGCTTTTGCAGGGCCTCCTCTTGAATATGCTCATGGGTCGATGGATTGCGATAGTTCCTTGCGAGACCGAAGTCTATGAGCTTCACACGGCCTTCGTCAGAGCCCACGCCAGCGAGGAAGTTCCCGGGCTTGATGTCGCAGTGTACGATGCCATGGAAGTGGATGAACTCGATGGCGTCTAGCTGGATCATGACGGAATAAGTCGGGACTGCCCAGGGGGACCTGGTCGAGGCGAGCTCACCATCTGCCAGGCCACAGCGACGAGGCTTTGCAAAGTGAGGCCGTTTGGTGTCTGGGAGAGGCATCCAAGATCGTCCCCGAGCTTCTCGAGCGCAAGGTACTCGTATATTTGAGAGCGCCCATAAGCGCACACCTGTGGTATAGCCGGATGGCCTGCGGATCAAGACTCAAGTTGAGCATTAATGCCCTCCCCACTCGAGAAAAATGGGGGCATTCATTGGAACGTATCACCCACCTCTGAGTCTGATCATCGCGCAAGCCTCGTGTCGCAGCAGGGGGTTATCGACAGAATCCTCGGTGCGCGCTTTCTTGACCGCAACAATCCTGGTGTCGGGCGCGCCGACGATTTTTGCAGAGTAGACTGTACCTGCATAGGGTCAAAAGGCGCTCCTTCCTGCGTGTTGGACCTACCACAGCCGCCGTACCCGATGCATTCAACAAGCTGTAAGCGCATTGTTGCTCAAAATATGCTCGTGGCGAAGCGAGTGAAGACTGTTCAGGTCATCAGTCGAAAGCATCAGGTGGGACTGAGATGGCGCTGCTCACCTACTAAACACGCTTGAGATGGTAGGAAGTAGCCTCGATGAACGGAAAGAAGGGAAGTGCGGTGATATTACGTCTAGTGGCGGAGGCCGCCGAACTGCATCGCTGGAATTAGAAGAAAGGCAGGAATTGCTCCTTGAAGTGAGATACCGTGGTGTGCTCTTGAGAAGGATCCTATGCTGTCGGAGCTCTGACATTCAGGACCAGCATATCATGCAGCTTGGTCCAACTTTGACGAAGCTGAACATGGTCACAAGTATTGTGACCACACGCTCGATTCGGTAACTGCCGGCGTGACTTGTGCGCGCTTGCTATTTTGTCTTCAATTCCTCTTCATTCACGCGTTTTCGCTCCTAATTCACTTGCTCGTTACCATGGCGGCGAATAAGCGAAAGGCAGATACAACCATAGACAAGCCTGGTCCAGCCAAGCGTGCGAAGGCCATAGACGAAGCCACAGCCGACACGGCGAACCAGACAAGCGCGCCTGAAGCGCCAGCGCCGATCCATCAGCCAGACCACCAGGACCCACCTGATATGGAGGCAGGTGCAGCGAGTGAGAAAGTACCTGGGACTGTGAAGACACCTCGACGGCGTAACAAGCTTGCCCCACCACGTCCCTGGCCTACGGTAGCACGCGCCGATTCGGCGACGGGACCGCGTTCAGCGCACAAGGAGGGAAAGAACTACATCTGTATCACGCGGAAGACGAGCTTGGGAGCGTACTTGCGTCGCTGCAAGGACTTAGTGCTGAAGGACGGGTGCGTGTCATGCCTCTATGCAAGTTCCCCAGACTGAATGATCGCAGGTATAAGACACTTCATCTGAGCGCGATGGGGGCCGCAATCCCACACCTTGTGCAACTTAGCGTCGCCCTTCCTCCCATCCTTCCGTACGACCCGTCGGAAATCCATTCCGAGATCACGACGGGCACCATCCACGTCCACGATGAAATCGTTCCGGACAACGAAGACGAGGACATCACATACGAGAAACGCGGCAAATCAACGCTCATGATCGTCATGAAAATTGGAGACGGAGAGTACGAGGGTAACGACAGGAGCAAGAGCCTCGAACGGCGCCGACGGGGGAAGCGTACACAGACGCAGGTGCCACCCCTCCCATTGAGCTGAGCCGCTTAGACCGGCGGCAGCTCCGCGTCATCCGCGGCATTACCGCCCCACGCATGACGCGGCCGGCCGGCGATGCCGCACTCATAATCAAGACCCGTTGCCACAGCCCCGCATCATCGTCTCTTGCTTCTCGACCACCACCAGCGAGAAACCCAACCACCCAGACTCTACCAGCTTATCGGCGTCCAGCGATGCAGGCTGCGTCGCACGGAGCGCGGGCGTCTGTCCGCAGCGCTCCGAGCCTGTCAGCCTGGAGCGCAGTGAGCGCCCCACGGCTGGCAAGGTCTATACATACCTCTCATACTGCCAAACTTCGACACACCGCAACCTCTACCGCGAGGAATGCCTCGTCCTCTGCTACGGGGGGTGCCAAGGGCTTGTTCGAGCGCTCGCGGGCGTTCGTGAACAACCTTGTCGCTCACCTTACTGCTCCGGGCATCGGGGTGAAACCTCACGGTCCCTACGTCGGTCATGGTTATCACCAGGCTGCTCGTGCACCCATTCACTCTGGTTACTCCCTCCCCCTTCGCACCGCACTCGCTCGCCCAGCCCTCAGTACCCCCGCTACCTTCCTCCCTCGTGCACCGGGCGTGCCGCGCTCGATCGCCCAGGTCGGCCTTGGTACTGCACGCAACTTCTCGACGGCGCGCCCCATCTTCCAAAGCCTGGCGGAGAATGTGCCGGTCGCGACCCGCGCTCTCATCGAAGCCGGCCCTGACACCCGCCGCGCCAAGCACCGCGCGCAGGCCCGCAAGATGGCGAAGCAGGACAAGGAGAACGGGCGTGCATTCCGCGCGCCTGGGTTCGAGAAGCAGCAGAAGAAGCTTACCAAGGAGGAGAAGGCGGCGAAGAAAGAGCAGGCGATGAAACAGTACTTCGCTGCCCCCTCGCAGGCCGCTGTCGTCACCCAGCTGCTCATCCCCCTCGCCCCCACCCCGACCGAGCGAGTCCCACTCGCTCCCTCGACCACTCTCGCGGAGACCATCATGCCCCTCATGGAGGTCGCTTCCGTTCATGCGACCCACGGTTCGCATCGTATGCGCGTCGCTGCACTGTTCGATCGCCTGGACGGCGCCCGAGTATGGGACCGCGGCGTCTCGTGCTCCGCCTACTCGCAGCTTGCGGGTACCTCGGGCGTGTGCACAGTACTCAAGGTCGAGTTCGTGGGCTGGACGAAGGCGGAGGTGCGCTCCGTCATCGGCGAGAGCGGCACCGGCTGGTGCGTCCTTGAGGAGTTGGAGACCATCCCCGGCGCCGACTTTGCGAACGAGGACATGTCCGGCTACGATAGCGACGTGCTGTCGGAGATCTCGGGATTGACTGGCTCAGAGATGGACGCGTTCAGCGAGCCGGATCTCGACCTATCCTCCCCGTCCACCATCGACCCGTCGCAGTCGTTCGTGCTGCCAACGCTCGACTTCTCGTCGTCGTTCTCAGCGACCGCGCACTCGGCGGCGGCGTCGGTGTCCGACTTGTCCTCAGCGCTGTCTGATGTCGGGTCCGACTCGCTGTCCGACCGAGCAAGCTACGCAGCGGTCTCGTCGACGAGCTCACCGGTATTCATCGACCCGCCTTCGGAGAACGGGTGGTACACGTTCAGCTCTGACTTTGGGCGGCGGTCGGGGATGCTGTCGGGAGAGGAGAAGCAGGATACGCTCGAGCAGCAGTTGTGAAGGATGCGAAGTTTTGCAGATTTGAAGGGATACATGTTCGCCAGTTTCTTGTCCTCGTCACGACCTAGTTAACGACTACCTTTACCTTCTCTGTGTGTACTGACTTGTACTTGCCACCCTCGTTATTCCCCCAGTAATTCTGGTAATCATACATCTTGTGCGAAAAGCCCGCCACGCAACGAAAATGAATGCAAGGGTTGCTGACTGTTGTACGTGTACTGCAACCGTGCGAAGGCATTGGCTTCCTCAATCCCCATAAGGAAGTGATATGCAGGCGGTCCGCCACCCAGCTTGTCTTTACAACCTAAGCCACGTACCTCTGGTTGAACTGTGACACCCGCCGCGCGACTTCAGGCGTAGTGAGCATATCGATAATTTCGAAGATACATTCTGGTCCGAGTCCGTAACTACACCTAAACGAAGTACTGCAAAGCTCGTCAAAGGGTAATCCGATGTCGTCTTCCACCTGTCCAGACGATACGAGCTTGATGATTTGCTTTGCAGCCGGTATCGTCGAATCCCCTTCACATTCCCACCCGAGCTTAAGCTGGCCGCCTACGGGAGACTGGGCTCTTCGCGGCATCCTAGGGTCAGAGACCGGACTTCTTCCCATTCATCGTCCCTTCGCCTGAATTCCTCCGTCGCGCCCTCACTCCGAGGGTCCTCGAAATCCTCGGGGTAGGCCAGATTGACCCGAGCCATACCGTCGAAGACGTCGACCAAGAACTCAGCCACATCACGCCCGTTGGTGATGTTCACACACGCCTGCAGAGGAATCTCGACGGGGTCGGCGCGCCTGTCCCCGGCGTCGACGAGGGTAGTCCGGTATGGGATGTTGGTCGCAGTGAAGTTCATGTTGATGTGGCGTATCTGCGGGCAGTGCTCCGCAAATGCCGCCAGAGACGCCAGGGTGCACGCGATGCCTTCCTTCGGGCAGATCTCGCAGTTCATGAAGATATCGAGCTCGCGGAGATTGGGCCACGCCCGAGCCATCTGCAGACAGTCGTCGTCCGTCAGCTCCGTGCCTCCCAGGGGGCAGATGTACAGCTTTGTGAGGCGAGAGAAAGCCGTGAGGGGAGCGATGTGCTGGGATAGCAAGGGCCAATCGAACGAGACGAAGAAATCGTCGACGGTGAATTCTTCGAGATGTTCGTACGAGCAGTGCTTTCGCATGACTTCTGTGAGCGTGGTGAGCGCCGAAGACGGATCGGCGTCGGCGCAGACGACCTTGAGAGTTTGCAGCGGCCGGCGGCGAGTGACGGGCGCGCACTGTATGATGTCGATGGCGTCGACGAACGACAGGCCGTTGTTCAGATACAGGCGACGAAGTGCGGGAAAGGCGCCCTCCGAGTAAGCAGGAGCATGCCTAGTCCAATGTCCTCTTCTCACCACCGCGCAACCAAGACGTAGGTCGAGTGACTCCAGCGCCGGAAGACGCGACAGCGCTTCGAGAAGCATTGGGTCGCGGTCGAATGGGAGCCTCAGTACAACTTCCAGTAGGTGACGCATGTCCGACAGGGCTCTGATGAAGGCGCGCAGCCCAATTGGTCCGTATGCATCGTAGAAAGTGCTTCCCACGGTTTCATCGACACGAAGCCGAGTAAGAGAGTTCCCGTTCAGTGGGATGGATCGATAAACGAAGACGTCCAAGAACACGTTCTCGAGGTCGAGCGTAGAAATAGAGACGTGGGGCGGGATGATGGCTTCGAGAAACATGCAGCGCTCACGATAGAATTCGCGCGCCGAGCGCTCGTTGACATATACATATTTGGGAGGGGCATCGCGGAATTCGAGAGTGATGAGGTTAGGAAACAGTGTAGTGGGTGGAGGACTGTCAGCGATGAGGGATCTGACGGAATCGTCCGAGAGCTTGTTGAAGCGGAGGCGTTTCACGAGCGGAGATAGCTTGAGGAGAGGCGCCCAGTGTTCTGCGGACAAGGCGTCCAGAGCGACCTATATGAACGACTGAGCATGCATACTATTGACAGTCTGAGCTTTGAGACGCACCGATGAGGACGTGCGTGCTATGGGGAGATATCAGTAGGTGGACATTTAGAGCCCACGGCACGACGTACCACGACTGAAGGCGCCCTCGGGTAAGAGGCGCAGGAGGTTCGTCAACCTTATATATGACCACAGAACGGGGTTTGCGGCCTCATGCCATGCCTTGCAGGAGCGCGAGAGGCGGGCGAGGTCTCTTCTGTGCAGTACGTCCTCGCGACAGATGAGGGTGCGAATTTGCGTAGATAGGTCAAGAAGCGAAAGCATGGTAGAGCTGAGACGTGCGGGTATGGGCTAGTTTGGGAGTGAGGGTAGACGGTGGCGGGTGGCAGAACGTTGAGTGAGGGTGAGAGGCAAGGGCCGCTCTGCTTTTGAGCAGCCCGCGCCTTTGTGCTCCTTTGGGTTAGTTTGATTTCGGATCACTCCGAATTGCGGAAGCATTCATGATCACGATCCACGACTGAGTCTTTGAGCGCTCCGAGTCGGAGACCGGCGTAAAAGCATACAGTACCCTCGACGTTACCTGTTATAATCTTGACAGAATGGGCGCGGGGTGATGCAGGCGATGACAGAAACCGATTTCTTTGCCACAAATCCCCAGCGTAAATTCACCGACGAGCGGTAAACAATCATATAATCATCAGTCCATGTTGCAAGCAGTACAGATCCCGGAAGGTTAGGCGCGAAGCCATCTATGTATGCATACTTCGTGTACAGAGTAAGTGAAGACGGACAACCTTCGCCCAGGACCCGTATCTAATGCAACACATAACTCAACTCTAATACCATACTTCTGTCCGAATCGTAAGTCCGATAGAGAATGACGTGAGGTCCGTAAGCGCGTGTATGCTCGTAAGGAACGCATGAGCCCGTACACTGGCCCTAAAACAGCGGAAAACAGCGGAGCCAGTGCTGACGGTGCTGCTTACAGCGCAGCGAAGGCCACGACAGCAACGGCAGCCGCCACACCGAACGTGCCAACGCCCTTGAACGCGCCCACCGCCCCGTTCTTGTCGTCGTCCTTGTCCGCGACGACACCGAGCGAGGCAGGGTCCGCAGGGACCTCGACGCAGACGAGCCCCGAGTCCGACGCGGTGGGGATAACGGAGATGGTGGTCGCGCCGCCCGCAAGGGACGTCGAGACGACCGTCGGCTCCGCGTACGTCGAAGTGCCGTTGACGTAGACAATGATGCTGCTTGCCGAGGGCTGGGTCTCGTTGGTGAAGGACGAGGAGACGGCGCGGCGGTCGTAGGCCGATGAGGAGCCCACGGCGGTGGTGACCTCCGCCGCGGAAGAGCTGTAGGCGGTCGTGACGGGGACGCTGGAGCTGCTGGGGACGTAGGTGCTCGAGGGCGCGCTGGACGAATAGTACGTGGTCGGGGCCGCGCTGCTTGAGTAGTACGTGGTCGGGGCCGCGCTGCTGGAGTAGTACGTCGTCGCGTTGGCGGCGGAGCTGGAGCGCACGCTCGTGACTGTGGCGTTAGCGCTGCCAGTGGGCGAGGCAATATAGTACGTGGAGATCGTCGTCCCCGACACGGTGTACGTCGTCGGCTTGACCAGGGACGCCGGGACGCAAGTGTAGCTTGGGACCGCCGACGAGCTGCGCAAATTTGTGGTGAGCGTGAGGGCATAGGTAAGCGTGTGAGGCATACCTGACGGACGACGTCACGTTGCTGGCGGTCGTCGCTGCAGCGCTCGACCACGACGACACATTGGTGGCGGTCGCAGCAGCGCTGGTCCACGACGTCGCACTGACCGCGGCCGACGACGAGTAGTCAGCGTACGACGATGAGCTGTACACGTCGCTGGAGTTGCTGTCCTGGCGCGGGATGTACGAGCCGAGGGCGGGCACGGCGCCGACGATGAGCAGACCCAAGAACTTCATGGCGATGAGCGAGAAAATTGCGTGAAGTTGAAGGGAGGAGGCAACGAGGAGGGCAGACGATGCCTGGTGGACGCAGATGAACTTGGACGGGGAAAGTCAGGTGCACCCAGCGTATCCTTTATACCACATAAGTCGAACCGTCACGCTTTGAAAGAGTGGCTGTGGAGGCGGCCCCAGGAACCCGTCACGGAAGAGCATCCCAAAGGCACCTCGGTCGACAAGATGAATGAGAATCGATGAGCAGGCAGTCCGCAGGCGGCTTCGGCGTATAATTAGGGAGGACGCGTGTCCTGAAGGAGGTAGCGTGCCGGCCTCGAAGGCAGACAGTCGGTTGGACGGCAAGATTCCGTGAGAGGACGCGGGCGGGGATGGCCATCTGCCCCCGTCGTCGGCCCATATTCGGGCTGTCCGGCAGAGGGCACTGCTGAGCGCTCGGAATACAGATCTGCATCTGGCAATCCAGGAGGCGGGCGCGATGGACAATTGAATACGGTATGGTCGGCCTGCCACATGGAATAGGCAGCCCTCTGCGGGAGAAAAAGGCCGTCAAGCGCGCGCAGGGAGAAGGGCGCCTTCCGGGCGCCCTTCACCAGCGGTAAACTGACCGCCTTGGCAAAGACCTGCGTGCGGAGATCAATACGCGGGTCTGACATCTATGTCAGAGAGTATGATGCTCACGTTTGTGCGGTGAGGCGACGTTCTTCAAGCAACACGCTGCGAGTCGGCACCTACTGTTTCGAAATAGGTTCTTGCTGTTTTACTGACAGGGTTTCCTCTCCAGAGACAGAGGATAAGCTCCGCTTCGTAGGAAACAGGTTATGTCCTTGGACCATCTCTCTGATGTTTGAGGTTCCATTGAACGCGAAATCTCAAAGACTTGTCTTAGGCGCTAAGCAAGACACAGTTAATAGAGTTGAGAGCCAAAGGTGGGGGTTCGCCATTGATTATGGCCCGCAGAAGCAACTTGAACATGACGGTGGGAAACAGGCGGCTCTTCTGCTTGCTCTTGTTTGCTATCGTCCCTGATGAGATGGGTTCATGTTTGCATCACTTTGGCATCATCCCGCGTGCGACCATGATGTTGGACCCCCTCACCAGCACGCATGTTTATCTTATTAATCGCTATCGTGAAATCTAGGTACCCCCTCGGCGCCCACCAGCTGCAGCTCCCTTGTCTTGTCCGTATTCGTACTTGCCTGCAATCTACAACACGCCACGAGGCAGCCGGCCACTCGCGCGGAGTTCCGCCCTCTATTGTTCTTTTGACCCTCATCCCACGCGTCGCCTATAAGCGAGGCCTTCTCACTGATTGACCTGCGTCCATATGATGAAATATGGTAAGAAAGACTGATCATATCAGGCTATGGAAGGAACCGTGCGTGCGGTCAACTGCTTTGGGACGTCGGCTATCGACTCTTTCGCAGTCACTGAGCGCCCGGCGAAGCGCGCGGAGTTGCAGCGGCTTCTTGACTCGCTCGTATAAATACGTGTGTCCCTCTTGAGTCTTCTTGTTGTACTTCGTGTCGTTCCTATCATGACAGCGATATTGGCGCACGGCGCGATGCCGCTGTGCGAGCTTGGCCTTGCTGGATTAGTGGTCTGCTTGCTTGTGCGGCTAGTTCGTCGCAAGCAGTCTCTGCCTCTGCCTCCTGGACCTCCCGGTATACCTTTCGTGGGCAACATTCTCCTGATGAGCCCCAACAAGGGCTGGGAGGACTTCCAGCACTGGTCAAAGACCTACAGTCAGTACATCCCATACACCTCCTGAACTACATCTTACACCCACTTCCAGACAGCGACCTCATCTCCCTCACCGGCCTCGGGCAACAAATCATCGTCGCCAACACCTACGCCTCCTCCAAGGCCCTCCTCGACCGCCTCAACCTCTCCGACCGCCCTCACAGCGTGTCCATGGGCGAGCTCGCGGGCTGGAATCGCGCAACCGTGCTGCACTACTACGACGACGTGTGGAAGTTGCAGCGGCGCTACCTACACCAGGTGCTCGGCACACGCGCGGGGCTCCGTAAATACGACGACCTGCGCGAGGGCGCGGCCGCGCGCTTCGTGAAGGGACTCATCGATAGCCCGGGATCGCTGGAGGAGCAGTGTCATATGTGGGCGTCCTTCATTCATTCGCGCTCTCATTCCGCATGCATTCGGCAGCTCATCTTCCATTCATTCGCCTACTTCCCCTCCGCCTGGTGACCGGGCCGCTACGAGCGAACGAGCGCTGACCTACTTCCTCTCTTCGACGGCCTGCTTCCTCTCCTCGAACGGACGCTGACTTACTCTCCCCATTCCCTCCTCTAACAGCTACACCACCGACCTCATGCTCCGAATCGCATTCGGGTACAAGACCATAGGCCACGATCCGATGATTCAAATGGCCGAGCGCGCCCTGGAGTCGTCCTCCGAGTTCACCACGCCCGGAACCTGGCTCGTTGACGTGCTGCCCATCCGTGCGTGTGCTTCGTATTGTACTCTTCGTCACACCTCTGCACTGTGTACTTTCTCTTGTACTTTTCGTGCCCCTATTCCCACGTCGAAGCACAGTCTTTTCTCCTGCTGTCTCCCGTGCTACTGCTCCGTGGGAGCTGGGAAGCTCCTCTCCGCTTATCGTCCGCTACTCAATTCCCCAGGTAAATTGCTCATCTCCTCACCCGCAGTTCGACACCTCCCGGCGTGGAACCCCCTATCCAAGCTTCACAGCGCGGTGGAGACCGAGAAGCGCAACATCCACACGCTGTTCGACGTGCCGTTCGATTGGGTGAAGCGGGAGATTGTAAGTGTTGAGTCCAGGGTTTTCGTGGCGAAGATGAAGCACGAGGCTTCAAGTTCGAGCGCGCCACTAATCCCCGTCTGAGATACGCCATTTAACCCACCATTTCAGGCTAGCGGGAAACCGCCACAATCCTTCACGGGAGAGTTGCTGTCGCAGCCTGATATGACGCCCGAGGGCGAGTTGGAAGTAAAGTGGTCAGTAATTTTGCTGCGAGCGTCATGAACCTAATGAACGCAGGCTGACTTCATTTCTCGAAGGACCGCCGGCACGTTCCTCGCCGCCGGGTCGCATACGGCGAGTCTGAATTGCAGTTCGTGCGCTCTATAAGAACTTACCTGCCTTCCCACCTTCCCGTCCCCACCTCCACTCACTCACAGACCACATGGACCATGTTCGCCTTCTTCAAGCTCATGGCCGCGCACCCGGACATTCAGAGGCGCGCTCAGGCGGAGATCGACAGCGTCGTGGGCGCGGAGCGGCTACCAGAAATCAGCGACATGGACGCGCTACCGTATACCTACGCATGCTGCCTGGAGACGATGCGGTACCATGTGGTGGCGCCGTTTGGTGAGTGGGGAGTGGGTTAAGGAAGAGATTTGGAGGGAACGGTGTTTGGAGGAAAAGGAGATAAGAGCTGACACGAGCTTACGCCCGTCAACAGGCCTCCCGCATCGCGCTATGACGGACGACGCGTATGGAGGATATCATATTCCAGCGGGTGCGACGGTGTTTCCGAATTTATGGTGCGTTGTATTTTGTGGCTTCGATTTTCCCGCCATCCTGCTTCGAGCTCCGTTCTTTAAGACTTCGGGGTTCCTGCCATCCTGTTTCGCGCTCCATTCTCCTTCAGCTTCGCATGACGCCTTTAACTGGTCATCTGCAGTATCTTACCCCTTCCCCAACCTCGCTTTTTGCCTGATTTTCTCGCCTCGAAGCCCTACGGCCCGCTCTAACGATGTTTTTCTCGCAGGGCCATCTCACGAGACGAGAGCGAATATCCGAATCCCCACGTATTCAATCCGGAGCGCTTCCTTTGTAAGAAGAGACAACGGAGCCCGCATGACTGGGCTTTTGGGTGAGTAGTCGTGCAAGCGTCGCATTTAATTAGCACCACGTCCGAGCTGCGATTGCGACTGATATTTCTTTTCTAGGTTCGGTCGCCGTATTTGCCCTGGTAAATGATCTGTCTTTCATGGTGTCGAGTACGGCTAACGAGACGTCAATGATAGGTCGCATGCTAGCAGATGAATCCATATTCATTGCATGCGCTACTGCTCTCGCGACGCTCGATTTCTCGCCGAAGGTGAGGGATGGACGGCCTGTGCCAATCGACTTATCCCAGATGGCTGGGCTGGTTAGGTGAGTGATTTGTATTATTTTGAAGATGATCACTGACCTCAGGCAGTTTGCCTACTTCATTTGAGTACGATGCGAAGCCGCGCAGCGAGCGAGCGCGGGCTTTGATCATGAACGCAGTCATGGCGCATTAGATCAGGTGCCTGTGGCCGATGGTAATGGGAAGCCGGCGGACATCTAGTCGCGCGGCTTTGTATACATATAGTGTAATCATCAACATCATGTACAAGAAGGAGGGATGCCATGTGGAATTTATGGACTTCAAGTTGATCGCGGATTCGCGGCACAAAACACATCTTCACCGAATGCGTAGCTCCATCTAATCTACTGCCACAGAAGCTGCGCTGGATTGCTTGACGTCCCAGCCAACACTCATACAACCTACGCTATGAGGGTCTTGAGACGGTGCCCGTCCGGTCAGCCCATTGTTCTCCCAAACGGGGATATGTGATTACCGTGCCGGCTTGCCGTGATCTCAATTCGCTGTCGACTTCTTGTTCTTGGCTACGACCTTCCTTTGTGACTTTTCCATCTACAAGCCCTTGTAATCTGTCATATCCGTGAAAAAGGCCTCGAGACCTTATTGCAGTCGAAACAACCTATTGAACACGACAAGAAGACAGCGATCAGCGGTACCCTCTCCGCGCTTCAGCGATGTCGCTGCCATTACTCCTTCCCCCAAGCGCCATTCCTACTCCCGTGGCAAATGAGTGGACACCGAAACGATATCTTGAACCACCTAAACCACCACCTGTCGATGAAGCAAAGGTGCAGGAGCAGGAGCTGGCGAACGCGCGGAACGCGCTGGATGGCAAGATGCTGAAGAAGACGCGTCCAAGGAGAACGGTGGACTTCAATGGGGGCATGGGGAGATGGAATTTGGTGTGTTCTCTGGCTGCTATTGGTGCACTGTCTGCTGACGCCCTCGCTAGCTCAAGAAGCTTGGGCCGAACCCGAGGTACCGACCATACATGCGACCGAGTCCCCCTCATGTTATCGACGTGCGTTGTTCTTGATCGTGGTATATCCAAGATCTGACGGCCTCCTCAGCTCCTCCCCCCAAAAGCATACCCAGAAAACGCATCTACCTCCCTCTTGACGAAGTACGTCCATACCTCCACCAACAAGATTCGATGTCCCGTAAACGTCGTCACAGTGCGTCTATCTCCTTCATGTCCATGTGCATATATTCATCTCTCTCTTCTCTACAGTGGACTCCCGAAGCAAGACGCATCCTCACGGGCTCGACGAGTGGCGAGTTCACGCTATGGAACGGCCTCACCTTCAACTTCGAGACCATCCTCCAAGCGCACGATACCGCGATCTGCACGTTCGAGTTCTGCCATTCGGGTCACTACCTGGCGTCCGCGGACAAGACAGGCGTCATCAAGTACTTCGAGCCCAATATGAACAACTTGAACTCATGGCAAGGATCGAATTCGCGCGAAGCCATTCGCGGGTTGAGCTTCAGTCCCGACGATCGACGGTTTGCGACGGCGAGTGACGACTCGAGTGTGCGCATATGGTCCTTTCACGAGAGTCGGATAGAAAGCGTGCTCACCGGTGCGTCTCGGTATTTCGTCATGGTCGCTGCGACATTCAAGTACTTCTGCAGGTCACGGCTGGGACGTCAAATGCGTGCAATGGCACCCTACGAAGGGTCTGATAGTATCCGGTAGCAAAGACAATCAGATCAAGTACTGGGATCCTCGCACAGGCACCTGCCTTTCCACCCTGTACGTTCCCCTCCTCCCGATCCCCTCGTATCGAACGCTCATCATTGTCTAGCCACTACCACAAGAACACCATCCAAGCACTCTCTTGGTCACCAAACGGCAACCAGATCGCATCCGCCTCGCGAGACCAAACTGTCCGTGTCTTCGACATTCGCGCCATGAAGGAACTCCACCTCCTCAAGGGCCACAAAAAGGAGGTCTGCTCCGTCACCTGGCACCCCACGCACCCCGTCCTCGTCTCCGGCGGCTCCGAGGGCGCCGTCCTTCACTGGGACCTCGGCGCCGCGCCCACCGAGACCTCAGGCGCTGCAGGCTCCGGCTCGACGACCCTCGCCCCGCGCGCTGTCGTCAACACCGCGCACGACTCGAACGTGTGGTCGCTCGCGTACCACCCGCTCGGCCACCTGCTCGTGTCCGCGAGCAACGACCATACGACGCGCTTCTGGAGCCGCGAGCGGCCTGCGGCGAGCGGGGCGGGCGAGGATCACGGGCAGGAGGAGGAGCCGGAGGAGAACTACGACGTGGACGATATGCCGGGCTTTGGCTTCGCGGCGCGCGGGCCGGAGGGGCAGGATGAGTATGGCCAGCAGGGTCCGTACGGGCGGCAGGATGACTTCATACCTGGCTTTGGTGGGGACGCGAGCTTTGGCGGGGGCGCGAGCAACGGCCCTGGTGGTGGTAGTGCAGGTGGGATCAGGCAAGGAGGACCTCTGCCGCCACAACAGAGCCTGTATCATGGCGGTTTCGAATCGCGAGGCAGCGAAGGTGGCGATGACTGGGGTGGCAGTCATGGTGGCGGAGGTGGTGGCGGGGGCCGACCTCAGCGTGGTTGGGGATCGAGACGAGGGGGTAGGTATTAGGTACAATGTGAGTGGAACCCAATCGCCAGACTTCAGCCAGCTGATCACGCGCAGACCGATGAAGACGATGCTATGATCTGCAGTACATTATCACAACGACCATACTGTCTGCGGGAGAAGCAATCTCTCCGTGTTACGATCTGCCACACCTTGGACATCTCCAGACACACTCTCAAGATATATCAGGCCTGCTTACCCTGTTTGACGGGAGACAGTCGAAGTCCAGTTATACACGCTCCGTAGGGTCCTGCGGATCCTGTGGTATGCTGTCCTCCCGCTGCAGTCCGACATCAACCTCCGAGATTATCAGAGCTTACGAGTGGTCCGATCTGCGTTCGAATCACGGCCAGTGCGCATATTTTAGGCGCAATCGCCTGCGCCCCGGCCAACCCGCGGCCCAACCAGTGACTTTTGCGGATTTTTCAAATCCATCCCATAGCCAACGTCCGGCGCCATCGTCGTGGACATTAAGCGCGGACCGGTATCTGTCCCTCATCATGAATGTGGCATTGCGTACTCTTATAAAAGCTGACCGCTCTAGACGCAGCGGTACAACGTCTTGTCGTCGCTTTCATGTCGCATCTCTGGCATCGTCCAGCTCATAACGGGGTTTTGCTCTTGCAATCAGTCGCGACCGAGGTTGCCCTTCTTCTCGTTCTTTATGGTACGCCTTCTCTGCAAGGTATTCGTCTCCGACGCTGAACCAAGGCCAGGCGTACATGCGGCCCTCTTCGTCGCGTCTATTCCCGCACTAGCGTACGCGATGGCACCACACCAACGAAGCTTTAAATTTACTGACGCTTCTTCTGAACGCATAGCCGCCGAGAGGGAAAGTCGACCCTTCTCACCCTTATTATTGTGGTCATGTTTGTGTCGTCGACGGTTGTGACGGCGGTTTGGACCCGGCTCTATCTAAGGGAGTTTACGCCCTGCCGGTTCAACCCCTCGAATTGTCATGACATGTCCGCCTCTATCGATGTCATCGAATGGCCATCACGCGTCAATGTGAGTTCATTGTGGCTTTTGAAATCGCTCACCGTGTACTCACTCTGTTAGTATATCCTCAACGATGCCCTTGTCGTCTATAGGGCTTGGGTGTTGTGGCCAAACAATAGGACGGCGCGAGGTGTACTCCTATTGTGTATGTTCTGCAGCTTCGGTAAGACATGTCTTGCGTTACGTCGCATCGTATTGTGGCTCACCGAACCCAAGTCGGAACAGTCATCGAATGCGTCTGGAGAACGTATCCTGTGTTCGACTTCCCGCGCAAGGTTTCTGTACCGGGCCTTATGGGAATACTGCTCTTCATTACCAATCTGACGGCCACTACGCTCATCGGTATCCGTTTTTGGTGAGCAACCCGTCAACACAGAGCTCCAGTAGCTGAGACTCGTGATGTTCAGGATCTACAGGAAAGATGTCCGTGCTTGGATAGCGCCATTGCGCTCGACACGTACGAGGGTTGAGACAATCCTCATGCTGCTTCTGGAGTCCGGTGTGATCTACTGCGCTCTATGGGTGCGTGGCACAGCTGATACCTTCTTCAATTCGGGACGTTGAGTATGTGTCTTATCGCAGGCTTTCTTCCTCGTCACGATAATTCCTCCTTCTGGCCTCAAACACAGTTACGACCCTACCCAAATTGCCATATTTCGCGTCTTCGATGATATATTATATTTGTTATCGGTGCGTCTCATGGGTTCTGACTTGGTCAAAGCTCACGCAGTTGCATCTAGGGCATTTACCCTACCTTTGTCGTTGTCGTCGGTGTGTTGCATCAACAGTCCACGGGCATGTCTACGATCGGTGCCCAAAGCAAGTTTCTGGAATCGCTACGCATCCTTCCTGAATGTGATACCGAAGAATGTCGACGCGAGGCGCGTAGTATGTCTGCGAGCGAGTGCAATTAGCGCCGACGCTAAAATTCGATGTCTTGCTTCGAATTTGCGGATTTTCTCGGTTGTATGTAGAACTTAACAGGGTCAAGCCTAAGCTTCGTCGTCTACTAGTTCCCGTCCATATATGACAGTTCGATTCATCTATTTAGTTGCTTCATGACGGGCAGCCAGCAGGAAAGAGCAAAGCGCCGCTTCGTGTTCGCCGCGATGAAGAAGTGGAGAAGGAATCCCGTCTCGCGCGTTCTACTTCCCGGCTAGCTCGGAAGGGGTGTTCTCACCCTTTCGAGCTGTAAGGGTTCGATCCGTCATCTGTCAGACGGCGAGATGCGCGAACGAGGGGTCTTAGAAATACAACCTTCGTCCAGAGTATAAATCGTGAGGCCTCCTTCTAACCGCTGCTCGGCAGCGCCTTGTCAATCCCACTGCGAGACGATGCGTTCCGCTTTGTTCAACCTCGCCATGATCGCCTTCGCTTTCCTTCAGGTCAGCGCTCGGCTTCCGGGTAAGTGACCTACACTGCGTGCCACCTCTTCCGTATATTGACGAGGCCCTTCTTTTGACAGCTTGCATGAACTCGTGTTATGACGAGCTCTGCTCCGGCCAAAGCAAACACACCTGCTTCTGTGGCTACGCAACGTTCACCATGGACGACTGTCTCGAAAAGCATTGCCACGAAATACCGTGGAATGCCCGCAACGAGCTCTGCGAGTACTATACGAGACTGCAAAAGGAAGAGGATGAAGGTGCTTGAAGCGCAGTGTTCAGACCAAAAGTTGGAATTGGGCAAGCGGAGTGTACATGTTATGACACTACAGCCATCAGTACCGTCGCCTCGCAGAGTGTTGCCCTGTACAAGGCCATCTTGCCGAACCGAGAGCCCAGTATGAAACCACGCGTGCCCTCTCAGGAAATGTGTCTCGAGCCGCAGTCAGATACCAGTACGGGATGATACTCTCTGGAGGGTATCCGATCGCCTATGAACGGGCGGAGTGCGTGTAGGCACAACTTGCACTTCGGACGACCAACAATGCTGCCCTACACGAGCGCTCGTGTCGGAAGGGGAAGATAGCAGTGGCTCAGGAAGTCCGGGATCTGGCATCCGGATACACATCCTCGTCTCGTGCGATGGCCCTATGCGAGTGCTTAGCCGCGTTAAAATGCACGGCGCTTCCACCCTCACCAAAGATTTGAGGAGATAATCGCTCCTTCAGAAAAGATGCACCCATCGTAGAAGCTGTTTTCCATGGTTAGGTGGGGCACGGCTGAAGCTTCGTATCAGCCCACGCAACACTCACTCAACCAGCCAACAAGGCCGCCCGGCGCACCCAAGGGGAACACAACGTGCCACCTGAGCGCCTCGAGACAGCAAGCGCGCGTGTACGGGCAGTCATCCATGTCGGCGACGAGGGGAAGGCGGTCGCTGCCGACGACGCGGTCGATCTCGGCCTGCGCACGGTCCTGGATTGTTGGATGGAGGCAGATCATCTTCATGAACGCGTACGTGGTCCAGACCGTCTGAGTAGCGGCATTGTGGGCTAGTATGAGCTTGACAGGCGCGGCTCGATAGACGTACCATGTGCAATCCTCCAGCGAACAGCATCGCGGCAGACCTGCAGACGTGTAAACCGTAAGCCAAGAGACGATGTCGATGCAATGGGCCGCGCGTACCACTTAATTGCAGACAGATCCCCGTCCGACAGACCCTTTTCAGAGAGCAATTCTGAAACGAACGACGGTCCAGCCTGCCCTTCGTCTATTTCCTTTTTTACCCACTCGTATGGCGTGTTGACGAGCTTGCGCAGGTTATCGTGCTGCTCCTTCACGGCCTGCTTCCAACCGGCGCCAGGGCACCAGTCTGGGACGTAGCGCACTTGCATGCATCGTGTCAGTGTTCTGAACTCGATGTGTACCAGCTGACGCAGAGATGCACGCACGAAAAGGGAAAAGGACATCCACCATCCATTTTCCAGGCGCGCCGAACTCGGAGGCGGCGTCGGTGATCTCCTCGGCCATCTTGATCATTGGGTCGTAGCCCTTCGACACGTACCCGTAGGTGACGCGGAGGATCAGGTCGCCGGCGAAGCTAATGCGATGGGTTCAGAACCCAGGACACACGCACGGCGGGGAGAGAAGCAAGCAGATACGCACGTATGGCAATGTTCTTCCATCTTCTGGGGCTCCTCTATGAGGTTGGCGACAAAATTCGCCGCCACCACCTCCTTCATCGCGTCGTAATGCATCAGGCTGGACCGTGTGCCGATGACTTGGTGGAAGAGGCGGCGCTGGCGCTTCCACACGTCGTTGAACGGGCTGAAAATGAGCGAATTCTTCCACCCGACGAGCTCGTTCATGGTCATGAGCTGCGGGCGGTCAGAGGCGAGGAGCCATCGAGGATGGTCTTGGCGGAGCCGAAGGAGTTAGCAATGATGATGGTCTTCCCGAGTCCGGTGAGGGAGACAAAAGGGTAGTCTGGGGCAGTTGTCAGCGTGCGCCACGGGCAGGCGCAAGGATACGCGGCGGAGACAAGGGGCGTCGTACTCAGCTCTGTGCTCCATTGATGTAAGGTCTCCCAGCCCTTCTATGGATGCACGAGCAGGATTTTGCTGACAAATGGTCCTGGTAAAAGACGCTCGGGCGGCGTCTGCAAACTTCGCACGAGTAGCCGTGTCGCGAGGGTGGCGACCGCGGCGCCGCCCACTTCCAGTTCGTGTTCAGACGTACCACAGTTGGAATGAGTTCCATGAAGGGCACAGGTTTCTGGACGCTGGAGGCGCCGGTCTGCCTCATAGTGAGCCTGGATCAGAATAATAGCCTGCAACCCTATGAAATTCTGGTTTCCGTCGCCGTTGAAGCCACGGACAACCCTCGACAAAGTATGTGCCGGTATTCTGCGGTACGATCAACGAGCTGTGCGAATATACGAGACTGCCGAAGAGGAGGATGGGCGCACTTGACAGTGCTCGTAGCAAAGGTCGTAGCTAGACCTGATAGCAGGCTCGACTGACATGTGCAGATTTTCAAACAGCCCTAGTAGTTGCAGTGGAATTCCCTATTAGCGGGCCCAGCGAGGACATTCTCGGGGCGATGGCCTGATGGTGGTAAGTAAGGAGGTGGATAATGCCGGGGATATACACGTGTATGAGCGCTATTATGTACTTTAGGCGTCGGACTACTGTACGTCGCGGTATTTGATTCCAGCGGTGCTCTTGCAAAAGCTGCAGTCACGTCGAGGGTCATCCGTATCCTCATCATTCGACTGCTCCAGGAAAGCCTTCATTTCTGCCTTCTCCAGCTATACCATGAAACTCTTTCTTGACAATTTCATTGCGGAGGGCGGCCAAGGTGCGCATCATCGAGCTACGGCGCTCGTGCGGCAGAGATTGCGGCTCACCATTGACGCAGCAAGAGTATATCGTGCCCATACCACGGACAGCACACATAGCAGGGTGGTCGCTGTGAAGAAACTGCACACGACCAAGCATGTCAGGAATCCTGTGTTACGCCACGAGGCGTGTGTTATGATCGTCCTTCAAGGTGCGCATCAGACCCTCGTGATGTTTCCCCGTCACCACGAACTCACTTGTTTGCTGAAGGGCATCCGGCTATCCCCGAAGTGTATGCATGGGGACGTAGCCAGTACTTTGAGTATTTGGCCCTCGAAGAGCTGGGTCAGGATCTGACGACGCTGTCGCCACTCACGCTGCATAACCTGGTCGTATTGACTTGCCAACTGGTGAGCCAGCCGCGTTGTCTGCCTGCGCACTCTCACTCACTACTTCGATTCGTGGCGAAGCTCGACGCGGTTCAGTTTATACATGCCCATCACATTGTCCACTGCGACATAAAGCCGAGCAACGTTCTCTTTCAGCGGCATCCCTCTGGCGTAGTCAAGCTCATCGATTTTGGCATGGCGAAGCTCTATCGTGATCCTACGACACTTCAGCACCGACCGCAAACGTCGCTCAGGTGGATGCATGGCACGAAGGGCTTTGCAAGCATCAACGTGCATTATCACATTCGTGAGCGCATCTTCAACATCTTATCAGCTATGTAGTGCCTACAATCTGACATTTATCATTCTCATTAAGGGCCCTCGCGTCGGGACGACATTGAATCCCTCTCGTATACGGTGCTAAGCCTCCTGTGCGGCGGACTGCCCTGGCTGGATCATGACGCTGAGAATGCCGACGTTGTGCGTCTGAAAGTCATGTGGTCCGGCGCTGCGCTGGGGTACGGATACCCACCTGTCTTTGGCGAATTCCTCGACTACGCGCGCTCTCTCAGGTTCGATCAAGAGCCGGCTTATAAGGAGTGGAGAAAGCGGTTCAAAGCAGTGATGTCTGAGATCACTGAGCCACCGAGATTCTCAGTATCCGACACAAGGAATCGTCTCCGACCGGCTACCTGGGCATCCTTGGCACATCACACACATATTCCTACTCCGCCGTCAAGTATCGCCGAGGATGCGGTGGGGGGAAGCAACGATATGTTCAGTCCCACGTCGCCTTGGTATGGCCCTGTCAATATCCCAGACGAAGATCTCGTCGGTGACGAGAAGAGACTGGTTTCCACGAGTCTTGGGCACATCGACGAGGTACCCGGCATGAAAAGAGCATGCATATATGTTTTTCTAGGAAAGGATGAGCGGATGGTCGCGGAATGAGTTTTGTACTGTATATAGAGATAGGCTCCTTTGGTGCTCCTCTTCTGTCGTTGTGTCATAATAACCTGCAGTTCAACCATATCCACCATCGCCTCTGCTTCGGGTCTCATACTATGAGCACGCAGTTTCACTTGTCTACTATACCTCTGCACCTTGACTGATATAATAGCATCTCAAAGCCAGCGAATGCGAGGAGGAAGAGAATCATGGAAATAATATTACGTGAAGTCGATACAACGGCATGAGGCGAAGATACATACAGTACGTAGGTCGGTCAATAACATAAGAAGGTTCCTAAAAGCACACAGCGATACACATAGAGTACAGCGAGAACGTCAGACAAGGGACAGAGCGAGAGCGTAATCGTGGCGTGCACCCACCCCCCTGCTCGTGATACGTGCTCGGGAAGGCGGGCGACATAACGGCGTGGGCCGCGGCGCTCACAGCTCATCGTCGGTGACCTCCTCACCGCGCTTCTTGCGCGCCATGCGCTCCTTCTTCAGCTTGCGGGCCTCGGACGACGTGATCTTCTTCGTCTTCTTCGTCTCGATCTTGTTGCCCATCGCATCGTACTTGTCCTCCTCCTCGCCCTCCTTCTTGTCGATCCGTGCACCGGAGCCCTGGCCCTCGACCCAGTTGTGGCCGGACGCCTCGAGACGGCCGTCGCGCATCGCCCAGACCTCCTTGCAGATGGACTCGGAGAAGTCGCGGTTGTGCGTGATGATGAGCACACCACCCTCGAAGGTCTTAAGCGCCTCAATCAGGGCCGCGAGCGACTCACGGTCGAGGTAGTCTAGAACGAAGGTCAGCATACGTCAGAGGTGAAGGATAAACAGCACGTACTGGTCGGCTCGTCCAAGCAGATGATGTGGGGGCGACGCCATGTCGCGGCACCGAGGACGATCTTGACCTTCTGGCCACCGGAGAGACCGCGCATGGTGTTGTGCGAGACGAACTCCGGCTCGAGACCGAAGTCGGCGAAGTGCTTCTCAATCTCGCGACGAACGAGCGGGCGCAAGAGACCGAGGCGCTGAGCCTCACGGGTGTCGACCTCCAGAACTTTCTGCAACGACAGTCAGTACGAGGCAAAACAGGATTGAGTAGAAGACGCACCTTCTCGAAACCGCGCTTGATGAGCTCGTCACGCGGCAACCAGATGTTCTCGGACGACGAGAGGTTCTTGAACGACACCTCGTACTCGTAGGACTGCTTGAGCTTCTTGCGCGCGACGATCTCGTCGATGATGCGCTTCTGCCCCTCGACGACGACGGTGGCGCCCTCCTTCATCTTCTTCTCCTCCTCCTCGGTGATCTGGCGCGTCGCCTTGCTCATCTCCTCCATATCCTCGCCAGTCTGGTAGCGCCAGAGCATGTACTCGAGCGGCGTCTTGTCGAGGTGGTTGTCGATGTGGTGGAAAGCGTGCTGGGCGACGTAGCCGATGACCAAGTTCGGGTGCTTCCAGATCTCACCGCCCTTGTTCGGCTCCATCTCGCCAGTGAGCAACTTGACGAGAGTGGACTTGCCGGAACCGTTGGGGCCGAGGATAGCGACACGGGAGGAGAGGGAGACTTGGAGGGAGATGTCGTAGAGCTGCTGGACCGGCTGCGACGGGTACTGGAAGCCGACCTTGCGCATCTTGAGCAGAGCCTTCTCCTTCGTCTTGACACCATCGAGGAAGGGCGGGTCGGGGAGCTTGAACTTGTAGTCCTCGGCCGCCTCGAGGGTGTAGTACGACTTGGCCTCAGGCACCTTCTGGACGAACGCCTCGAGGTTACCCGCGTACCGCCTGATCTTGAAGCGGTTGAGGTGGAGGACGTCGGTGATGGTGTTGTTCAAGAAGCCGGAGTCGTGCGAGACGATGACTAACAAGGGATGAGCATATATGCTATGGGGGCAGGGCGTAAGACGTACTGGAGGTGCAGTGCGTGAGGCTGGTGAGGTAGTTCTCGAGCCAAGCGACGTTGACGACGTCCAAGTGGTTGGTCGGCTCATCGAGGAGCAGGATGTCGGCCTTGAAGAGCATGGCACGCGCGAGCGCGAGCTTCATCTTCCAACCACCGGACAGGGAGCCGATAGCCTGCTTCTGGCGCTCGTCGTCGAAGCCGACGGAGGCGAGAGTCTCGATGATCTCCGACTCGCCGGCCTCGACACGCTTGTCGCTGAGGATGAACTGCAGGACCGAGGTGTCCTCCTCGCTGCCGTCGATGTCGTGCTCGACGTAGAAGGTGCGGACCTCGTCGGGCGACGGGAAACCCTCGACCTGGCTGTAAGGTTGTTAGCCCCGTGCGCGCAAAATGAGCTGAACTCGACGAACCCGTTGGTGATGGCGCGCATGAGGGTCGACTTGCCGGTACCGTTCTTACCGCAGAGACCGTAGCGGTGGCCACGCTTCAGGCGGAGGGTAGCGGTGTTGAGCAGGATCTTGGCACCGTAAGCGAGCGAGAACTGGCAGTTGCACAGGTCCTCGCCCTCCTCGTCGTCCTCGTGAACCTCGTCCTCATCGTCCTGCGACGCCGACTTGACACACCACTCGCGGCAGAGGGTGGCCGGGTCGGGGTTGGTGGTCGCGAAGGCGATGTAGGGCGCGAGAGTCTCCCAGTCGTTGGTCTCGAAGTTCTTCGCGTTGATGAGGTTAGCGGCGAGGTGCGCGGCGTACATGGTGTCGAGGTTGGCAACCGGGACTTCACCGCCCATCTTCTTCGCGAGCGCAGCAACGGTGTGGATGACCTGCTTGCCATCGGCGACCTTCAAGGGCGGAAGGTCGGAGCCGTCGTTGTCAGCAGGGATCTTGCCGACCTGGCGGAGGGTGTCGATGGCGCGCTTGACAACGCTGCGAGCCTCGGGGTCACCGATGGTCGTCTCGACCTTCAGGAGACCGGGGAGGAGCTTGGGGATGAAGGGGCGGACGGTGACCTCGGAGTCGACGAGCTTGGCCATGTTGTCGATGATGCTGTAGGATTATGTAAGCGACCGCAGGAGCAAGAAGTACGGGGTCACGTACACAGCGACCTTGCGCTTCGTCGCGGTCAGCTTCTCGCTGAGACCGCGAGAGAGCAGCGGGACCATGAGGGAGAGGGTGGGGGAGTCGACTTCGGAAACGAAGGTGGTGGCGGAGAGGAGCATGATGGTCTTGGGGACCTCCTCAACCGGGTTCTCGAGAGCTTTGATAAGGGCCGGAATGAAGCGTTCAATGTCTTTGTTCGACACCAGGGCGGTAACCTTCTGGAGCGAGTCGCGGGCGGCCTTCTTCACGTCGGCCTTGGTGTCCCAGATCGCCTCAGAGAGGACCGGGACGATCTCGGGCGTGTGCTTGGCGGTCTGGGCCGGTGCGCTGGCGACGAGCTGGTTGAGCGCGACGAGCGAGCCGGTCTTGACCTGCCACTTGCCGGCGGTCTTGATCTCGTGAAGAAGAGCAGGGAGAACGAGCGCAGTCGCCCACGGGTTCATCGCAGCGACGAACTCGCGGACAGCCTCGACGGCCGCCGTCCTGACAGCGGGGGTCTTGTCGGCGAACGCCTCGAGGAGTGCATTGTAAAGGCCGGAATCGACGAAGATCGGCTCGAGGGCCTTGACGGCGCCGCCCTTGATGAGCTGGAGGACGGCGTTCGCGGCAGCCTCGCGGGTCGCGGGGGACTTCTTGTCGGCGAGGGCCTTGATGACCGCATCGGCGAAGCCGGCGTGCTGGAGGGCGGCGGGGCCCTCCTTTTGGGCGCTAGCGGCGAGGGATGCGACGGCAGACTCCCGCTGGGCCTTGTCGGCGCTGAAGAGCGCGGACGTCTCGGCGGGCTGGGCGCCGGCCTTGAGAGAGGCGGGCGAGGGAGTAGCGGGGGCGGTGGGCGTGGCGACAGCGGGCATCTCTGATGTCTGCGCTCATCGCTGTCAGCGATCTGCGCGATCGGCCAGTTTTTCAGCGCAAACTCACCGTGGGGTATGGAATCGTGGGGAAAAGTGGATCTAAGGAAAATCGCTACCAGCGGCGAACAAGAACAGAGAACGCTTCTATTCTACGGTGGCGAAAACGCCTGGACGTCGTCAGCGGCGGCGAGCAGAGCGGTCAGGCGGCGTACACACCTCTAGAGAAGAACGGCGGGGGAGATGAAGAGGCGTGAAAAAATCCGCCGCCGCTTTTATATCGGATCCGGCGCTCACATGATCCGCCGAGCCGGAGCCACTGCAGAGCCACAGTCACGAGCCCCGTCTGCCGGACTGGATCCTAGCCAGATCCAAACTGGATCGCGAGCTGGACTTGCCCCGCGGTCAGCAGACTCTCCCCACAGCGCGCCCGTCGCCAACGCTACAACACACGATAATCGCATTTATCCAGTCCGGAACGGCCTACAGTCCGAGTGAGAGTCGCTACGGGACATATCTCTACCCTGCTCCGGCCTATCCCCCTCCACCGCGCTTACAAACGACGTGCGACGTGCGAGGGCGATGTATTCACGGCCCATCCTTCCTCAGTCCTTCGCATTCGCGAAGCTAAGCGGAGCAAACGCCTGAATCGAACAGTCAGCAACACGACCCAAACCACGCCGACAACACGCACATAGCCGCCGCCCTCGTAATGCTTGCTGTTGCTCTCGACCCAATGCAGCCGCAGCGCGTGCAAAAAGGCAGACAGGCCCTGTGACCACGATCAGCCTCGCCCGAAACATACGCCACGCCAGCTCACCTCCATAATACAAAGAATCGCGACCGTGAGCACGAACCAGAAGGCGGCGACGATCAGCAGGCCGATCCATCCCGTCAAGCCAGACGCGGGCAGGAATTCCTCGATGGTCATCGACCACAGCACCTCCGAGAGCTGCGCGTGCGCGAGCGAGAGCGCCCAGAGACGCAGATACGACGCTGTATGCGAGATGCACCCGAGACAGAACTCAATGGTGTGGATCACCTGATGAATAACCACCTCCCCAAAGTCGTGCTCCTCCTGCGAGGCGGCATGTCAGCCATCTATGAACTCGAACATGAACGCGGGACTCACATGTTCCTCCGCCGCGTCCTCGACGATGGCACGCCCGTTTCCTTCTTCCTCCCCTTCAAGGGCATCGTCCGAGCTCAGGCGCGGCGGGCCGTCCGCATCATCGCCATTGAGCCCAACGTAGCCCTGCTCGTGGATCTTCTTCATATCCTTCCAGATCAGATACGGCTTCGCCACAAGCAGGATAGGCACACAGACGACCGCGAGCAGGAGAAGTACGACCTGCACGAATGACTGGCCGCCGTAGAGCCTGTCCTCGACCGTGCCAGGGGACAGGAACATGGAGATGAGCATGTTCAACAGCGACGGCGGCGGGATGTCCGACTGCGTCCAGTCCACCGACCACTTGTACAAGATGCAGATCACCAGGTAGCCAAAGATGGACTGGAGGAAGACCATCTGCGGGATGAAGTTCGTGTAAATGTCCTGAGTCCGCTTGAACTTGAAGTGGTTCGGGACTTGAAGGCACAAGGCGAAGGTCATCTATGTCCCACGTTCAGCGATACAATTCACCGAGAAACACACGACCACCTACGTGAATAACACCCAGCACAATAGACATCTTCATCTTGTACGAGTTCGTGAACACCAGCGCATTGTCCGACTCGTGCCAGGCGGGGTCCAAACCGAAGGGATAGACGTGACCAGTCGACTCGGCAACGACCGAGCTATTGGACTCTGGGAAGCGCCACCCAGAGTGCCAGATGTGCAACGACTTGGAGAAGATGTCGTTGTACATGAGGCCGGTATACATGGAGAAGACGCCCATGAGCAGGATGATGTACCGCCCGCTACAAACAACGCGCTGTTAGCACTGAAACGAGGCTACGCGCAGGCCGCGACGCACTAGAAGAACTGGCCCGTGATCTGTGGAACAGTAACAACGACCATCAGTCTGCTGAACACCTGCAATGAATGAATGCAATCCCCGCACCTCGTCCAGCTCAGACCTGCCGAGCTTGCGCTCAAACAAGATCATCAACAGCGCGGCCGTAAAGATGATGAACCCGTGCCCGATATCACCAAACATGACAGCGAACAAGAAAGGGAAGGTAACGATCGCGAAGAGGCCGGGGTTGACCTCCTGGTACTTAGCGATACCGTAGGCGTCCATGATGGTCTGGAAGCCCTCTGTGAACTTGTTCGTCCTGTTGAACGTCGGCGGAGTCTTGCTGGTGCGCAACTCGTGCAGAATGGGCGGCACGTTGGTACCGGACTCCTCCTAGAAGGCTGTCATTACAGGTACAGAGGCTGTTGGAATCAAACTTACCGTGGCATGTCGGAGCGCCATCTGGATGGTCCCAATGTCCCGCGTCGGGGCCCAGCCCTCCGCGATGAGCGTCTTCCGCCGCACATCGTAGTTAAACAAGTTGAGCGTCTCGTAGATCATCTTCTCCTTCTTGATCACGTCCTGCCAGCTGCGCAGGCTCTCGGCGATGCGCTGAAGCTCGCTACGGCGGTTGGAGCCGGTGTTGTAGAGCACGGTCTGCAGGTCCTCGAGCCGGGCAGTGACCTCGCGGAGCGCGTCGGCGCGCTTGTCCGCGTTGGCGTCGATGGGGTAGAGCGTCGCGCCCATGGACTCGGCGATCTTGCGAATCTTCGCGAGGAGGACCTCACCGTGGGCGAAGATGATGAAGACGTTCTTGCGCGTCTCCTCTCCGGTGACGGGGTCGACGAAGGGCTCGACGATGTCGACGTGGTTCATGTAGAGGTTTCCGCGCAGAACGCGCCAGAGCACGCGCTCGAAGGTGGGGACGCGGGAGCGCTCGATGGTACCAGCGACGAACTCCAGGTCGAAGGAGACATTGCCGGACGAGACGTGGTTCTCGCGGTCCTCATGCTGAAGCAGAGGCGCAGAGCTGTCATCCAGCGACTGACGAATGTCTTGGTCATGGTCGTGAGCCTGTGCGAGATGTCAGCGCCTTCGCACACACTGCCTCTCGACGGTTACGCACCGAGTCGAAGAACACCGCCGTCTCGCGCAGGACGTGGCGAGCCTCAATGAGCTCCTTCGTACGGTCGCTCAGCGTCTGGTAGCTGTCGTTCATCTTCGTGAGGCGCGACTCATGCTCTGCCAGCGTGACGTCGAGCTCGTCGATCGTTTGCGCCGCGCGCGGGCCAACGGTAATTAGAGGTGCCGAGTCATACAGCGGACGAATGGGTACATTGTCGCGTTCCTTCTGGATCTGAGTCGCGAAGAAGCGGACGCGGCGGGCCATCTCGTCAATGCGCCGAATTTCGCCCACGAAGGAGCGTTGGAAAGGATTGACTTCGGGATTGAGCTGAGGGGAGGGGGGATTGAGTGCGCATACATGTAATGAGTATGTTCCTACGCACGTCCTTGAACTGGACATTGCCTAGCTCGCCGAGCTCAGCGACAGTGTCATGCGCGACTTCTGTCGGCACGAACAGCTGCACCAAGCTCATCTGCTCCGAACCTGCGTTTCGTCAGCATGTAGTCTATGCCTAGCAAAATAGATACGTACGGAGCAGACTTGGGTATTCGTCCGACATGACTGGCCGAACAATGAGAGATAGCGTAAACGGTTGGGGACAGGGACTCGGAACGAGCGTACGGTGCGTGACACCAGGTCATCGTCACTGTCACAGACCAAATCTGGACGTCGCACGCGCTCGTCTTCAAGACTTCCATGATCACTGACTAGGACGTTCTCTGTATCACTTCCTCTATCGTATTCTGAATTAGTTCGACGATCTGCTCCTCTTTGGGCTTGATAAACTGTTGCATCAAGCGACGAACGCCGTCAATTGGCCCAATGAGAACTGAAACCTGTCCCCCGGGCTCTCTATCTGATAGCTGGTATAAGTAGGGCCTGGCAGGTCTCTTATAGCTTTTTTCTACGATTTTTACATCAAGTCTACAGGTCGATTGACTAAAGCGTTTACTCGGTTCTAGGGCACAATACTCTTAGCGGCCGTTCAGTTTCCTTCCTTTTTGAGTTAATCCCTTCGGCCCCCGTCGAGCTTTTTGTGTCTCTTACCGCCTCGTCATGGACCTATCTCACGTTGATGATTTGGCCGGGGAGTCTCTATTTGCTGCGAGTACCCTGGGACGCGTCGCAGTCGCTACAGATGCGATATGGCTCTTTCTCAGAAGGCCGTACGAGCCTCTTCCCCCTGGTCCTCCCAAGCGCCTAGTCATAGGCAATATCATGCTCATGAACACGAGAAGGGCTGGAGACGCTCTGTCAATGGAGTAACGATTTTGGTGAGCAACGACCTTCATTTCCTTGCCCCCCTTCACTGGCTATTTGCCACCTCAACCAACAAGTCGTGTCTCGCATGACGAGCGCCCGTGGCCTTAGACTCGACCTGGACTCAACGCTCACCCTACAGGCTCCCGAAGGAGGCCTTCAACTTGTAGAATCAGAAGCCGCGCGAAGCGGTATAGTATAACCAACAACAAGCCTAGCCGCGTTGCTCGCAACGATCAGTTCACCACCAATGCAACACGCCACACCAACAAATTACTTTGCCTTCGCAGCAGTCCAACGTTCCATTCTGCCGAAACCTGACTCCGGTTGTCAGGAAAGCGACTCTGATGTTATCCATCGATTCTAGGGAGCCGTGTAGAACATTCAAGCTCATGGTACGGACCCTTGACAGTTCTCACAGCGCCCAGGAGCCTGTTTCCTTCATGAACGGCTCGACGGTACGCCCACTCGCGGGGCGGAAGTGTACCGCTCGAGCGAGGTCAGTAAAAGCCGTTTCATCAAAAATCGACGCACCTTTGGATAAAGCCTCGACGGTCGACATGTCCAACATTTGGTATTCCTGTTCAACCGACGACGTGTACAGAGCTTCTATTCATGTACAGACCTGTTCGGTTCCGTTGCTGCGCTAGCGGCCGTTCTAACCTCTGCCTGACTTATAAGGGAGTCCTTCGATGAGCCAAGGTACCGTACCTTGTCGACTCTTGCCATGAACGTCTCCCACCTTTTTGACCCAAATACGGACGCGTTACCTTCCGCGAGCACGATGGGCGGCGTCGCGGTGGTCACCCTTGCGACATGGCTCCTCGTGCGAAGTCTGCAACGGCCGTCCGAGCCTCTTCCGCCAGGACCCCCCAAGCGCCCAATCATCGGCAACATCCTGCTCATGGATCCAGAGAAGGGCTGGGAGACCTTCCATCAATGGAGCAAAGAGCTGAGTACGGCGCCCCACGCCTCCTCCGCGTATCCTTGCGCCTGCCCGTGGCGCGCGCTGACAACTGCCCCAGACTGTCCCCTTGTCTCCCTCACCGGACTCGGGAAGACCATCATCATCACCAACTCTCTCGACTCCGCAAAAACCATCCTCGAGCGCTCCCTGGCCTCCGACCGCCCGCAGCTCATGACCATGAACGAGCTCGTTGGGTGGAAGAATTCGCTCATTTTCAGCCCGTTCAACGACGTGTGGAAGCGCCAGCGCCGCCTCTTCCACCAAGTCATCGGGACGCGGTCGAGCCTGACGAAGTACGACGCGATGAAGGAAATTGTGGCGGCGAAGTTCGTCGCCAATCTGATGGAGGAGCCGGGGAAATTGGAGGAGCATTGCCATACGTGCGTATTTGTCCATGTCCCAACATCGCCACTTGTCTACGTTCTGACCTCGACGCACTAGCTTCGCTGGCGACCTGATCCTCCGTGTCACCTACGGGTACGTGTCAAAGGGCTACGACCCGATGATCAAGATGGCCGAGGAGATCACCGACGCCGCTTCGGAATTTGGCGCACCGGGAAAGTGGCTGGTCGATATATTTCCTCTCCGTGCGTCCACCATCTAGCTTTCAGCTAACTGGCCGAGGGACTGATATGATGCATGCAAGTGCGCTACGTCCCGGACTGGTTCCCTGGCACCGGGTGGAAGCAGGCCGTCAAGGAGCAGCATGACAACGTGCAAAAGCTCATGAATACGCCGTATGAGTGGGTAAAGAAAGAGATCGACGAGGGCAGAGCGGGGCCGTCCTTTGCGTCGGAGCTGCTCTCGGAGAGGAATATATCGGAAGAGGAGCTGTTCGCGATTAAGTGTTACGCATCGCTAGCTACTGCCAGACCTTGCCCGCGACTGATTATGCCTGCAGGTCAGCCGGCTCACTCTTCGCAGGTGGCGCGCATACAGTACGTCCGACAGCCGTACCCTAGTATCAACGAGTATAGGAAGTCACACTGACTGCCCCATTCACACTCAGACCGTCTGGGCCGCCTATGCTTTCATGAAGATGATCTGCCTCCACCCCGAAATCCAGGACCGCGCCCAAACCGAGATTGACAGTGTCGTCGGCAGCGACCGCCTTCCGCTCGTCAATGACATGGACAGCTGCCCGTACACTTGGGCGTGCTGCCTAGAAGCGCTGAGGTGGAATGTGTTATTGCCTTTGGGTGGGTTGATTTGTCGTTTGTCAGGTGATTTGTGGGTGTTGAGAGGGCTTGTGTGCGTTACAGCCGTACCCCATCTAGCGATGGACGACAGTTCTTACGAGGGGTATCTTATTCCGAAGGGTACGATTATTATCTCGAATCTTTGGTGAGCGACTCTGTGTGTCATGAGCATTTTACGCGCAGATTGGCTGATGATCATATAGGGCCATCGCGAGGGATGAGAGCGTCTACCCTGACCCATACACAATCAAGCCCGAACGGTACTTGGGTGCAAATCCTCAGCGAAGCCCGCAGGACTGGGTCTTCGGGTGCGTCGCAACCGCTCTGCAATGAATGGGGACTGCAGCTGACACGTTCGCCGTGCTAGATTCGGTCGTCGTGCTTGTCCTGGTGCGAGCATCGATTTTTCGATAGGCGAATATCTTACTAAATTTCTCGCTCAGGTCGTTTGATGGCGCTAGAGTCCATGTTCACCGTCTGCGCGACTACGCTCGCAACAATGCGCATCTCGCAGAAGGTCAGGGACGGTATCCCGGTGCCCATCGACACGACGCAGACGGCGGGGCTAGCGAGGTGAGCTTTGCGCTGACGGTGTCAATTACGTTGTCATGAACTTCTTCGCTAGCCGCCCAACGCCGTTCGAGTACGAGATCAAGCCCAGGAGCGAGCAAGCGAAGTCGCTGGTGTACGATGCCGTCCTAGCCCAATAACGATTTGACTTCAATGCATCTCGCGCCATTGACAATGATACTGCCCGGCATGACAAGCGACTGGATGACCGGCGGCCGCTGAGCTAGCTGTCGTTGCTTGCTCCGTCACAAGCGGTGACCTGTCCTCGACTTGGAAGTATCTGACGGATCCAATGCAATTCAATCTTTATTCTGGCGATGCACTGTCTCGTCAGTGCAGACATGGCCGAAGAGTCCTGCTCTGGGAAACGCACCGTTGTCCCGTTGGCCCATAGAGCGATCCCCGCCTTTGCCTTCTCCAAGTGCTTAGGGGAGCTAGGAGTCCTCGGGCGTCGGCTGAGTCGATCGTAGATTCCAGCCGCGTCTTCTGTCAGACGAACTAACGGAGACGCGGAACAATCAGTTTAGTCGAGAAGGTGCCGGGGCTCGAGTTGTCTGTCCAACGGACTGTCGAGCGGGAGGGACTTTCGCCTGTCTACCGCCCCCACGAGTGATTTCAACAACCATGAATCTGACTCGTGCTTCAGGATCGGACTGGATTGACAAGCTGAGGCCCTGCAGCTAGGCATTTGGCACCCACTGTCGGTAGGCAATCTACTTTCTGATTATCTTGGCAGGACGAGCGCTAACCGCTGACACGTATGCCATGACTACCAGGCATCGGAAGCGAACGGCTTTCAAAGTCAGATTGCCTCATCATCAATGACGATTTGGCTCTGTGTTCTTAGTTGCAGGCACGCACGACGATGGCAGTAGAGGACGGTGGGTGTGCGATGAAAATTCGCGACGAATACACTGAAGAAACATCGAAAAGAGAGACGTGGCGGGGGCGGGGGAGCATATGCGGAGGCGGGGAAGGCCAAAGAAGGAAAATGCGGAGATCGAATAAAAGACCTGCCAAACGCGGATGCAAATGTATCCCCGGATGGGTTGACAAACGTGGGAAAAGCAGGAACCCCGCCCGCTGCCATCAAACGCGTCCCTTGCTTTCCTCCCTCTCTCCCGCGAGGAGAGCACCGTGCTCGTCGTCGTTCCCATTGCTGAGCACGCGTTTGTCGCCGCACCGGACGATCTACGCCCCTTAGACGCCGTTCCCTCCTAGACGCGCCGCCCATCCACAGGCGTCCCATTATCTTACACTCCTTGCAACTACATCTGCGTTGGTGAGTCCATAACTTGTGCGCAGACGCCCGGAGCTAACGACGCGACAGTTAATATCACGTATAACGTGAAGCCAGGCATCGGACATCCACGCAGCCGACGAGATCGCCACTCGTCCGCTAGCGGCGTATCGTCCATCCCAGCACCATATACGAGCTTCAGCGACTCGCCTTACGACTCGGAATCTCGGACCCCTTCACACGCTCTCGACACGACTGTACGCCTCAACAACGTTACCGTTAGGTACGCCCCACGAGCATACTTCCCACCTCCCCAATTGACCTGTGGCTATAGCACATCTTGATTCACGACCCAGCACGTTCTACACATCTACCATCCAACATGGCGTCCCGGTCTTCCTCCTTCGACCTCAATAACACAGCCAAGCCGTTGCCGATAATCCCTCGACGGTCTTCGGCCCTGTCCAATATACCTTCCGGCGCGCCGGAGCTCATGGGCAATTCGTCGGTCAAAGTGAAAGTGACAATCGAACGCCCTACGCCTCCCCACTCCAACCGTCGTACGCCGCCTGCCTCGGCCGTAGGGTCGGACTCCTCCAGCGACTCAGAGAGCCGACGACTGTCACAACCCCGTAAAGGCGGTGACGGTCGCGCCTCGTCCTCACGTATAGAAGAAAAGACGGGCCCCTCCTATGCTGCTGTCAGGAAGCAGCAGCGCGGAGACGCTCGCAAGCGCCGACCAGTTGCTGCGCTCTTCGACGCGTGCGGCTCCAGCTCGGAAGAGGAAGCGCCACCTACGCGGTCGAGCCGTCGAGTCCCTCGCGCCAAGGTCCTGTCGACGCCATCGTCATCGCCGTCCCTTCCGTCGACCCCAGTACCGGAGAAAGGCTTGAAGCCTAAGAACTCGATCATATTTCCGGGCGTGGCGGGAATGACAGCGTCGAGGTCGGCTTCGTTCAGTACCCCCTCACCGTACGATGGATCTAGCATGATCAGGAAAAAGTCCGGGGAGCCTGTCAGGTCGTCGCTGAAAGGATCGCGTCCCAAGCTTCGCGCGGACTTATCCATCGTCACCACCGGCTTGGATATCCAGACAAGCAAGAGCGAGCCTACGACGCCAAACAAGTCCGTTCACTTCGACTCGAAGCTTGAACACGTCAGACTCTTCATCGCTGCGCAAAAACCACTGGCAGTCTCAGTCGATGGGAGCCCTACGGAGGACACGAGCGGGACGGAAAGCGACTTCCCGTCTTTCATATTTGGCGACTCGGTGCGACCGGTCCCCGTCGTCATGCAGCTGTCGAACATGCCGCCTATCATCAATGTGCACTCCGACGTAGCTTTGGAGGAACTCAAGATGTCGCCGAGCAGTCTGGACATCGTGGGCTCTGCCCGAGTGCGGAATTTAGCGTTCGAAAAGCGGGTAGCCGTCCGCTTCACCTTCGACGCATGGCAGACGACGAGCGAAGTTACGGCGAAATTTATATCCTCCATTGGCGACCGCTTCGACCGATTCGGCTTCACTATCCGTCTAAGCGACATCATGTCTCGGGTCGAGGGGAAGACGCTAGTCCTTGCGCTTCGGTACAGCGTCGATGGGCGGGATATATGGGACAACAACGGTGGTGGCAACTACGTGGCGACTTTCAAGAAGGCGCCACTTGCGCCGCGCGCCAAGACGAAGATCGAGGAGTTGTCGAGCGAGAGCGACGTTGCCGTCTTGCAGGAGAAGTTGGAAACCGTGGTGCGCAAGCGGGATTGTGCTACGACGGCCGGTGCCACCTTTATGTCCAAGCAGTCCAGCGAGCCTACAACTCTTCGCCAGCTGCCGCCCTCACTATCTGCGCGCTACGACTTCAGCAACTCCTGGCGAAACTCCTGGAGCGGCGCTTCCTCATCCCAAACAGAGGCCTATGGGCGCAGGCACTCACCAACAAACGTCTCATCGATCCAATGGCCCGCGAAGCAGGCAGAGAAGAAGGCCTCCGCTTTGTCGGGCAAGCCCCTGCTGGGCTCCCCGCGTGAGCCCGACTGGATGGGCTCGACAGTGTCTTCGAACGCACTCACGAATCCGGAGCTACGCGATCCTGATGCGATGAACACGCCGGGCGGCACACCGCGCCGGCACCAGCGTGGCTACTTCGACTATGTGAGCCCGCTGGACAACACCACGCTGCGCCGCACGCCACCGGGGACGCCCAAGTTGTGGTCGCTGGATGACCTGACGCCGGTGTCGAGCCCCAAGCTCGCTTTTGGGGGGATCGAGAGGGCGAGTGAGGGCAGGAGTGATATGTTTTCTCCGCCGCCGCTGCTGACGGTGTCGTCGTCGGATATGGCGCTGGGCACGGCATTCTTCCCGGCGCTGCAGAGGATGGGAAGCACGGAGAGTGATGCGTCGACCTCGTCGATCCTCTCCGGCGATGAATCAACGCCGTCCATTGTTTCCCCGTCGTCAGGGTCGTCGCGCTCGTCATCGCCTTGCCCGTCAGACACGTCTATCACGAGCCCCCACGAGGACTATAGCCAGTTCTTGAATCGGTGAGTGGTGCCCGCAACGCTGACTGCAACCTCGCTAATAAATTTTCAGGTTTTGTTTTTTCACTGGTGATTCATCCTCGTCACCGCTTCGGCCGCCCGTGCTGGCGAGGTCTTCGTCTTCTTCATCAGTCTCGTCGAGCGGAAGTTCACAGTCGGTGGCGCTCTCGGCTTCTAGCTCGACGACGACTATTACGCCTACGCCTTCGACGGCTTGCCTCGCTTCGGCGGATGATATTCATAATTTCTCCACCCCTCGCATCGCCTTTACGCCGCCTCCTGCGCCGGCGAGTATCTCCACCTAGAGGTCATGGCCCAGGTCTATTCGGCGCTGAGCACTCGCCCCCTCGCATCGTCCGTCCCCCTGCATACCGCCCTCCTGTCCGCCGATCCATATTTATGCCGATATTATCTCCCCACCCCCTTGTACCTTGTATAGGCCTCGTTCACCTTGTGCGGGCCCTTTTCCATCTACACTATGGTTCTGTATACATCTTTGCCTCTTTCCTCTTTGTCTGTTTGTCTGTACGATTATCCGACGGCGGTGGTGGTCGCCAGCGGTGGTTGGGCGATGCGGTAAACATATATACATCACATATCCTAGGTCCTTGTTTTTAGTTTCGATACAGTACGACTCCATATATGCCGCGAATACATTAAGCGTAGACTTCCTTTGCTTTGGGATGAGGTCGTGGCAGGTGGCAGGTTGAGCGACGACTCAAGAATGACTGAGTAATAAACATGTAATGGGCAGACAACACAGACGACAATTGCTCCCTGTCAAAGTTGTTGAGGTTGCAGACATACCGTGGCCGCGACGATGATTCGACAGTGGCGGGTCGAAAGGCCCTTGGAGCGACTTGAGCGCGAACAACCAATTGCAATCAGGCAGGAATATCTGAGCGCCACCATTCAATTTTTGCGTCGAATCTAAGTTTGATTGCCAGCTCGAGCTCGCGGTCGGCGTTTGATGTTCTCCTTTGTGCAGTAGGACTATCTATTACTTCTAGCATACCATGATATTCCGAGGAAATGTAACAATATACCCATATATCGTTCTGAATTATAAGAGAAAATCATAAGATGGCGAGCGCCGACCACTCGTCGGTTATTCGTTTACAGTATTCGCCTATGAAGATCCATCAGCAAGAGCCGAACAGACAGCGCAAGAGCCATAAAGAACCGCGCGCAGGAACTTACTTGCGAGGGGGACGTAGGCGCCGAGCCTCTGCAGCGAGTGTATGATGACACTGACTTCTTGATGGATGCCCTCGATGGTGTATGGCGGCATCGACGCCGGGACCATCGAGTGCATGGCGCCCAGGATGCGTATGTAGAACCGCGCGACCGCACCCCAGCAAGACTACCCGCGGCTCGTCAGTGCCTTATAATGTGCAACAGTCCAATCACGCACGCTGATGACCGGGTTCAAAAATTCGTAGTCGGATTCGGCGAGCTGGCGAATGAACGCCATGACGGAGTTCGATGCGAGGAAGGACTCCATGGCGAAGATGTCCTTGTGCGCGTGTATGCACGCGACCTGCGCCATGCTGTGCACGACGAGCAGCTCGACGTCCACGTAGGGCGGGTTTGGCGGCCACGCTTCGTAGCTTGAGAACGGCGGAAGGATGGTGATGAAGCGCTGGACGGCATTGGCGACGACTTGGCTTTCCAGCCACGAGTCGCCATGTTGGGGTCCTGAATCATCGGGACGCAAGTCAATACAATATTATTTCCGGACAATAAGATGTATGCTCACTAGAAGCCAAACGTGCTGCACGTTCATACAAAGCAGCTGACTTTGCTCTGAGTGCAGGAATGTGCGCCGTCGGCTCGTCGAAAGTGCCGTCATCCAGAAACAAGGTATTGATCGGGCCGGCACCCAGCCAGTCCACCTATTAATTTTCAGCGACTCCGGTCGCCAAGGACAACTAGCGCACTTACTGGGGAGTTTTCGCCCGGAGCCTTTGGCCACGGTGTTTTGATGCGAATCTGGTCGCTCTCGCCGTCTGGAAGTGCGACAGGGAGGCCGTTCGTGACAGACCAACATCGATCGACCATGAAGACTTGCCAGAATGCCGCGACGCGATCCCGATGCTCATCTGCGTCCCGTGGCGGCGGGATCTGTATCGGCGAGATCTGCTCTGCATCGTCTATGAGGCCGGTGTCGCCGTATGCGGGGAGCTGATGCAGCCCAAGGCCAACCGCGAGGCGCGCCGCGGAGAAGGAGTGGCAGTATCCCTCCAGGGCGCGTGCGTTCGCGTAGAGGTAGACGGCAAGCAAGCACGACGCCTGCACGACGTCCACGAGCCGATCGGAGTGATCCAGCGCGACTGTGATCTCGCGCAGCGCGCGGGAGAAGAACGCGGGCTCGCTCTCGGAGAAGTACGGCGACTGTGCGTAGTGGCACCCGAGAAGGTACACCGCGTTCCACAGCGCAGGATGGGGCGGGCGGTCGTGCGAGGCGTGATGGAAGCGCGAGATGTCGCCGTCGAACCAGCACTGGTGCCGATGCGCTAAAAATACTTCGAGGCTGGTATAGTGGGTTCAATGGTCAGTCGGGCGGGTCGGTGCGAACACGTTCAGAAGCGCTCACAGGACCTGGCGGTTGGCGTCCGGCAGGACCTCGTCCTGGTCCCATGCTGGGGCGGAGGAGCTGCTGGGGCCGGTCGCGTCGTCCGCACCACCCAGCGGCGGATTGAGTCGCACGGGGTCGGAAAGAACGCTGTTCACGAGGTCGATGGTCTGATCGCTGATGGCCAAGTCAGGATGCGCTTCAAGGTCGACTGGTAGTAGTGATGTGAGAAGGCGGTGCCTGCGGGCGATAGAGAGGGATGGGCAAGTACGCACCCAGTCCCGGGAAGACCATCCCATCGAGCGCGGCAAGATCATATGCGCCCGTGGGCTCTCCCGTAAAGAGTGCATCAGCGATGGCATCGGTGTCAGGCGAGGCGCATGCATGGGGGGAGGAGCCGCTCGATGAACCGCTGCTCGTGGACGATTCTCCGTGGGTGTCGGCCTCTAGTTCGCGGACCTTCTTCTCGAGCATGGCGAGCTTTTCGCGCAGCTTCTGCGTGCGGCTTTTCTGCTTCCTGTCGTCGAACTCGCACTCGTCGGCGCGGTTCATCTTGATGCATTGCCGGCAGACGGGGCGGGTGCCATCGCATTTCTGCAGCGAGAGGATCGTCAGTGCACGACGGCCGCGCTTGGTTGCATGAACTGACTAGCTTGCGCTTCCTGTGATCGACTCATGAGCACGCGAGGGAACGCCAAGTGATGCGGGGTAAGCACTCACCGACAGCAGAGGCAGGCGGACCCGCGCTGAAGGGCACTCGTGTTCTTGCGCGCAGAGGAGGGCATGAGGGGGGAGACAGAGAAGAGCCTGAGAAGGGGAAGACGTGCGTGGGGGAAGCGCGACGGAGATCTACGCTACGGAGGTTCGGTGCGGGTGGGGAAGCAGGCGATCGACGGCAGGCGCAGGTCGTGGGAGCCTGGGCGCAGAAGGACGGCGGGTTCTCGTCCTCCTTGGTGGGTGGAGGGCCTTATAAGTCGGCGCTGGAACGTGTACGTGAGGGTTCAGGAATAGAAGCCTCCAAAGTGTATGGACCAGATGTCGGTATCGCATTCGGCAGGTCGGACGAATCATCGTGAATCGTGATGCCTCTTTGTAAATGAGCACGAGCAGACCTCCGGAGATCTCTGTTGACATCGCCCTGCACCATCGCGTGCGGCCCTCGTGGTCAATGACAACGGACAGCAACGATCTTCAGGTCAATAGCGAGGCCGTTTTGGTGAGAAAAGAGCGCTACCCGGCGGAGATGGGCGTCAGCTACTATGCTGCGGCAGTGCGGTAATCCCTTCAATTTGTTGGGTTGAACTGGATAGTTTCCGCCCTATCATGTGTTCCCCTCACTGCTAGACTCAGTCAGCCACACACGCATCTCATCTCATCAACAGGTCTGCAGTATGAAGGGATCCTGGAGCAGGGCTATGCACCTCACGCCCACGCTTCATTACTTGGAAGAAGCGCCCCATCACCGGACAAGCAGCTCGAAATTCCCGCGGCCGGAGGCGCGAGCGAGACAGCAGCGAGACACATACCTCGAACATATTAAATACTCAGCAATATGTACAGGGGTATCGAACTCTATGCATCGTCTCATCTGCTCTATGACTTCTGGACAAAGATTTTACGGAGGTTATCCCAGACGACGGCGGGGGACTGCGCCGCGTCTACGCCGTGCCAGATGCCCTTCTTGCGGTAGTAGTCGACGACGGGGCCGGTCTGCGTGTGGTAGGTCGCTAACCGCTTGCGCAATGTCTCTGCGTTGTCGTCTGAGCGCTGGATGAGGGGCTCGCCGGTGACGTCGTCGACCATAGGCTTCTTCGGCGGGCTGGAGGAGGCACGGTGAGCGGGTGAGCGACAACATAGCGCGAGAATACTCACGAGAACTCCTTGTGGTACGTCCGTCCGGAGGCAGGATGGATGAGGCGGCCGGTAATACGCGAGATGAGCAGCTGGTCGTCAATGAGGAGCTGAACGACAGAGTCCAGCTTCTCCTTGCGGTCCGAGAGCATGCCGTCGAGCTTCTGAGCCTGGCCAACCGTGCGGGGGAAACCGTCGAGGACGAAGCTGAAGGGGGAAACGCGTCAAAAGCATTCCGCGCGCGCGACGCGTCGAACCACGCACCCGTTCTTGCACGCCTTGTTGTTCTCGAGCTGGTCCTTGATCATGTTGACGACAATGTCGTCCGGGAGCAGCCCGCCGGCGTCCATTATCTTCTTCGCCTCCACGCCGAGCTGCGTCTTCGCGGCGACCTGCTCACGCAGCATGTCGCCGGTGGCGAGGTGACACACGCAGAACTCGTCGCGGATGCGGGGGGCCTGTGTGCCCTTGCCTAGAGACAGGTTAGAAGCTTTCCCCCACCACAAACGCGCCACGTACCAGCACCCGGCGGCCCAACGAGAATCGTGCGCAGCTGCTGGACAGGCGAGCGCGGCGCGGAGGCCGAGGCCTTGACCTCTAGCGCCTTGATCTTCTCATTGAGCTGAGAGACCAGGGTCTTGAGGTAGTCGAGCTCGTCGGATGCACCCATTGTTGTGGTGGTCGTGTTCGAACGCAAGGGAACGCCAGCAACGCGCGCCGTGCTCGAATAAAAACCGCCAAGCGTCCGTCTATTCTCGTGGGAATTTCCTCGGGACGAGCCGGGTGCGCGTGGCAGCCAGCGCACCGCGTCGGGGGCTCCGCGCTGCGCCGCTTGCGCTGCACGGCGACCTTTGCGGTCCTACGGGACGCCTCAGTCGTGTCCGCCCCCTGAGGAGGCGCGCCCCCTCTGCGTGCCATCATCCCGCCCCCTACCCCGCTTCATCTCTGCTATATCGGTCTTGCACAATGCCCCCGGCCTATCTCGAGGCTATCTCACCGCCACGCACGTCCCATCGCGCTTCTGCTGGCTCTCATCTGGACGACTATTCAGTGCGAGGCCTTGATATCCGAAATCTCAGCCCACCTGCCTATCAGGTCCTCGGGGCCCGCGCCGAACGACTGAACTTCCCCCGATGCTACGGGCCGCTCCTCGAACTTCTGTCCCTCGCGCGCGCTCGAAACGTGCTCGACGCTCGGGCGCTCGTCGCGGGTATTCTCAAGCCACCTTTCCGCCGCACCTGTACTTGTACGCAACGGCTCTTCGGACCTGGGTGGTGAGGTTGAAGGACAGTCGCAGCCCAACAGGTACTTGGCGGCCTCTGAACATCTCGTTGTAGTCCAGGTTCGACGACTTCTACCCTCCGACGTTGATCTACCGACCTTCGAAGTAATAACTGCGTTCAGGGTCTGCGTAGGTGGCCCTACGCCCGTCCCGCCAGGGCCCCCAATTACGCAGACCGTCACCCCACGTCAGCGACTGCGGGTCTTGTGCACAAAGCGCCCGTCATTACGCCCCTCCTCGTGGAGGACTTTCGAATTCTTTGCCCCAAGCGCGAAACGACCCAAGACAATTTTTGTGATTTTCTTTTCTGCCATTTTTCGGCTCTTCAGAAATAGGCTCTGGTCAGAGAGTTCTGTCCTACCGGTACCGCCTCTGTTCAGCATCACCGCTACTTAGGATCGGACCAGCGCCTTCGAAGCCTACCGCGCCTTACGTCGGACTGACCCCGATGCAGCCGACTTGATATGGCAGACACCGACTTGGTATGGTAGTCAACGTCGCAATTCCCATCGATTCCCATGGAATCAGGCGCGCGATGCCGCACGACTATGCCTGGAAGCCGCCCGAATCTGGCAGGACAGAAACGCGCCCTCGACGACAGCGAGGTCGTCGGCCCGTGAGTCAGCTACGCGCGCGCCGGCGCCCCAGGTGTATACAGGCGCGAGGTCGAGGTTGGACGTGAGGCGGCGGATATATGGTGGAGCTCCGCTACGAGCATCAAGAGTAGGAAAACGTACTTCGGGACGTTAAGGGTGGGGGCTAGCGTCTCGGTTCGTTGAAATGCTATCGTGCCGGTGGGATTTCATAAGTTTGTTGGCCTCACTGGTCTCTGCGCTGGTGAGAGGGCATTCACTTGTAGATGCTTACCTCTATAGTGGGGTTAAATACACCGGGTGCGCGGGTCTTCGCACTCGATGTGCGCAGCGGTTGAGTTCAAAGCCTAGAGTATGCTAATTCTTCGGTTACATGCCGCGCTGTACGTTAGGACCAGGGATACAATGGAATATATCGACAGTGTCGTCGGGTTGCATGAAGGAAGCCCCACAGATGGACTGAAGTAAGTGAACTCGAAAGAACTCCGATGCTGACGAAGTTCAACCTCGGTCTCGGCATTTCCCGATGTCATCATCACGTGATGTTGAACTTCTCTCTCGGAACCGCGTTTCGTGAAAAGCGGCTGAACGACTCCGAGTACGCCTAGACTTGGAAGCTTCCAAGTCGGCGACATCAAGATGAGCGCTCAACTTGAATGCTCTACTGCAAGCCCTTCACAGAACCCTCCCGCTCCTTGAGCTCCGCCCTAATGCATACCTCCTGTCCCTCGTCATAGCTCGCGTCGCTCAAGTTCTCTAAAAGATCGTGGAGGAGCTCAAGGACACGATCATGGATGAAGTGATACTCGTATCCGCGGAATATGTAGGCAATCCGCAGAAGCTGCAAGTATGCCCGCATAGTAGGCTTGAAGGGCTCGAAATACTCGTGGAAGCGACCTTCGATGTGCGCCTTGAAGTCCCGGACGCCATTCCGGAGGAGGACGCGCTTATATTTGGACAGAGTGGCGGGATCCTGAGCCTCGAAGAGGCAGTGGGTGATCTTGTGTAGATGCGCGATGGACTGGCGCCGCTTGGGATCTGCGGTGGCTGCGAGATTCTTGACGGAATATTCCTCCCTTCGTCGACCTCCAGGTCCACCGCGAGTTATGCAGATGTAGAGTAGTGCCCAAAAGAGCGCCTCCATGTCATGTATGGCGCCCTGAGCGATGGTAGGGCATTGTGCCTCAGGTGCGGAATTGGCGATGTCGCCTTCATCCGTGTCGTCGCCGTTGGCTCTAACGCTGAGCTTTGACTCCGCGTTGTCAAAGATTGGGATCGTTCCTAGCATCTCGGGACTCATAAACGGCAAAGTCTCCTACGCGCGCTATCAGCCATGGATATGGGGTAGTCACAATAAGCAAAAAATACACACAGAGCAATACCAGCTCTGTCGCTGACCAGTGCCACTGGTCGCTCGAGAGAAAAGCGGCGTTGAATCCGGCTGGGCAAGACCTCAGCAAACCATGCCCCCACGGCACAAACGGAAACGAACAAATTCAACGTCCCACCTCAACGTCTCAAGAGTGAAGGTCTGATCGGGATCGGCCCCGCGGTGATTGACCATATACGCGACGGCCTCATTGACGTACGTGAGGGCCCTCGATTGGGCCTCCGGAAACTGTGCTTTGGTGACTGCTGTGCGTGCCATCGCGCGCAATGCACTCGAGGACACGTCGGCGTCGACTTGGCCTATGAGCATGCCCTTATCATAGTAGAACTGCAGAACCATGGACAGAATCGGTGCAACTTCGCCGAACTCGCGCTCCATAAATGCGGAATACGCGTGAGAGGCTGATGAGCAAGCCCGTCAATTTCTGGCAGGCTGTCAAGACGAATGGAGAAACGTACCAATCTTCCTCTTACCGAGATCGAGGTCGAGGTCGATGAGGCATCCCCTTGTGATGCTAGCTTCACCCTCTGGCCGGTGGAGGAACATATTGCAGGGGTTGATATCACACAGCAGGACCCCATATGCGTATAGATCTTTGTCGCCTGAGGGTTGCGTAAGCCTCGACACGGATCTTCGTGTCACATCCTACTCTGAACGGCGTCCATGATCGCGCGTACCAGCTCCCGACGGTCGGCGAAGAGATTTGCGGGGTGCCCCACGGTTGACAGTACGATACGCGTGCAGATGCGCATCGCGTTGAGCGGCTGACCCAGATATGCGCGGCAACTTGTGTCGCACAGTGGACCAAAACAGCAAGAAGAGATTCGCGTAGCAAGTAAAGGGCCACAGCTCTGATGAAGGCGTGAGTCAAGCGTTGGACATGACCGTCGGCAATCGACGAAGGCAGGCCTGCGTGTTCATTTTAACGTCAATAATCGGTTCCGGATGCTCTGACTCCGTCGAGATGGGTAGTAAGCTAGAAATTAGGTCCTTGGGAGACCCCAATTTCTGTCTCACTCCAAAGAGAACAAGCGCAGAATTGAAAGAACGTCACAGTTCAGGACAAGGTTTTACAGAGTTGAACACGCGCGTCATGAACGCCGCGGCATTTGCCGAAAACATCCATCGACACCTACATTCGCCCACACACTCGCCCGCAATCAGAGCACACATTGTTTTCTTCCCAAAAACCAGGTTGTACGAGTGGCAAGGTGGTGAACAGAGCCAATATCATGGCAATTAGACGATTATAAAGGGAGGCCACATTAAACGAAGTCCAAACCCGCATTCCCTCGAACCTCACTGGTCCTGTACCGGCAAGTCGCGCAGAATCAGCCTCGGTTTCTTCATCGTCGGAGCGTTCGTGCTCAAGCTGCTATCCGCCTCCATGTTCTCGCCCATCATGGGTGACTGCATCTTCCGCTTGCGCACCGCCTCTGGGACGTCGACTGTCGACGGCGTCGAGCTCGTCTCCCGGGAGACCTCGTCCTGTCGCATGCCCGGCTCCGAGACGATGCTGCCACGACGCGACGTCGCCTGCGCCACTTCGTGCAGCGTGTTGTAAAGCGTCAGGTCGTAGCCGATGCACTGGAGGGAGTAGCACGGGACGTTCCATTCGCCCGTGTCGTATCGGCGGCGCACTTCGAGCTGGGCTGGAATGGTTGGAGTCTGACCGTGCTCCATCGCGTGCGAGGCAATACGATGACAGTGAGCCTGCTTTGTCTGCATCGCGTTCGTGAGGTATACTTTGTGAGGAAAATCAATGCATACCCTTTCATCGAGCATCATCCACTCCGAGAGCTTCATCTCCTGCCCGGGCATGCCGGCAGTCACGTAGCGCCCAAGATACGTCCACTGAAGACACCATTAGTCCGTGAAGCAGTGAACGCGTCAAGTTATCGTTACCTGTCCTGGACTCCCCTCAACGATGAGTTCGAAGTGCGTATCGCCGGGAGCGAGAAGGACGGGATAAAACCAGTAGCCCGGTTGCGCAGAGCGCGGGACGTGTAATGGCATACACGCTGGAGGGCGTGGCAGGAAGTAGAGGCTAAAATGAACGCGTCAATATCAAGGAGTACCCGCGTATGACAGCAACACAGACCGTGTGCCACTCGTGTATTGCTGTCAGCCTATATCAGCAAAGCCGGACTCTGATGCATGCAGGGCTGCAAACTCACCGATGGTAAAGAGTGCATGAACGCCTCGGGCTCGGTGAGGGTGAGGGGCGATACTTGAAAGTCCTTGTCCACGAACGTCGTAGGCGGGAATTGTTTGTGCACCGCATTCATCCGACTATTGCATGCCTCCGTGGCAAGTGCGGCGGCCTGGATCATAAAGGCTTGCACCTGAGAGCGCGTCAGTTGGTGGGCCAGCGGAGTCTGCAGCCCAATACACACCTGACTCGTCAACGCTGCGCGATCCGCCTCTAGCGCAGAGTTGCGGAACCGCAGGTCATCGCGCTCCTTCAGCGCGGCCGTGAGCGCGTCTCTCAGAGGTCCGTCGTCCTTCTTCGTGACCATCGTTGACCTGTCCTTCTTTCGGAGGGAGGTGAGGTGTACGTCGAGCTGGGTGAGGAGGCCTTCCAGCCTAGCAGGAGGACATCCCTCGAGGCCATTCGGCGCGCGATTCTCCTTCGCGCTGCAGGTTGCCTGTGACGATGTTCAACCTGGTCCTATACCGATTGACGGCAGCACGCGCACCTTTAGCTCCTCGAGCTCCTCTTTCACCTCGCGGTACCGCTTGCCCCAAAACTCGACAACCTCCGGCGCGAGACTGGCGTCTATGGGTATAACGGGCATGATTTAAGATCCTGGGGTATCAAGGAGAAGGGAAAGAGGCGGGGAAAAGAACGCGCACGTCGCTGGCTATATAGCAGATCATCGGCGGAGGAAAAGCGGAGAACAATGGCTTCGCTGTTTGCATCTATTGACGCGTCGAGCGGACGGAAGGAAATCCTACGTCAAATGTCAAGAACATATTTCGACATTTCTGCTCACCGGAGCGCACTCGAGAGTGGTGCGCGCCATCTCTTAGCAAGGGAAAAGCGCTATGTCCTCGGACGGGGGCACTCGTGGGCGTATGGGACGCAATGGGCATTGGGGCGTGCCATACATACATCCGGGCGTCTGTCTGCCTGCTAAGCTATATGCGACGTGCTCACTCCGCCTTCGCCTTGCCCTTCCGCGAGTCCCGAGTGTCGCTCGCTAACCAGAACGCGGAGAACAGGAAGAACGCGACGCTGGTGCTGATGGCGCCTGTGTAGTACGGCCACGCCGCGCTCAGGAAGCGCGGGTACTCGTCGTGGCGTGGGGGCACGACGGGGACCGTCGTTGAGCTTTGGAGGTGGGTCCAGCTGGAGCCGGTGTCAGCGAGTACAGCAGTCTAAAGGTTGTGTGACACGCACCCCTTCCGCCTATAGTCGACTACGAATTTGAAGACGCCATGGCGGTCCGGCGCGCGGAATGTTGTCGAGTATTCGCCCGGGGTGCCCGGTACAGGAGGCAGCGCGGTGCGGATATGCGGGTCGAGCATCGTGAACTCGAGCTGCAGGTCATTGATGCCAGGGTACGGCTCGAAGGCAGCCGTCTCTGGGTTGTACTTCGAGATTTTGGCGGTGAAGACCTGGTTGAAAGTCAGTGGCCAGACTGTGAAGCTCAGTTATGGGCTCACGATGTTGTCGTTGATTGTGTACGCTTCCTTAGGCTCCGTCGCGTTCACAAGGTGGTGCGAGGTCTCGTCGATGCGCAGGACCATCGTCTCCTGGAACGTCCAGCGAGCAATGTCCTGCACGAACTGCGCATTGCCAGGCAGGCCACCCGTAGGCAGCTCCTTCTGCGCAAACTCATCCGTGAACATCTCCGTACCGCCAACCCACATCACGCGGCCCCCGTTCACCACCTGGAAGCCCGCGACGACGCCCATCGAGCTCCCGGCCCACAGGCCTTCGCCCCCCTTGCCCGCCGCATCGACCACGGCGCTCGCGCCAGCGTCCGTCTCCGTGTCAGTAGCGAAGCTGTGTGCAGGCGCGTTCAGTACGGGTACCAGCAGCGGGTTGTTCCCCAGCGCGAACGGGACGCCTGAGAACCACACCGGCGCGAGGTCCTCGGTCACGATCGGATTCCCTTGCGGCGGCGCGATGGGCACAACTGTACGCGGCCCATTGCGCTCGGGGAAGTGCGAAATGAGGGGTGTTCCGGGCGGGGGGAGGACGAGCGAGAACTCGGCTGCAAGAGTGGAAATGGGCGTCTGCTTGGGTGAGAGCGCAATGAGGAGGTTGGTGTTCTGCTTCGCCAGCTCAACGAGCGTTTGGGGGGTGATGTCCTTTGCGGGGGCTGGGGGGATTCCGTCAGTGGGTCTTCAGTGCTGCGCACGGACGCACGACGCACTTTTGGTGTCAGGCGCAAAGTAGACGACGTGCGCAAACGTTGGGTAATCATCCTGGATAATAAGAGGAGCCTCGTCCTTCGGCGCGCGGAAGGTGAGCTGGTATCCCTGGCTCTCGAGGCCATTGAAGAAGGTCGTGTAAAGGTCCCGGTTCTTGGGGTCGACGACAACGAGCACAGAGTTCCCCGTGCTCGACTTGGCGACCACGGATGATAGTAAGCCCAGAAGGCAGGCCGCGAGTCTAAAGAGTCCTCGCATGATGTACGGGTGAGGCGACCTCTGGTTGGGGAAAGGTGAACTTCAGGTGCGCCACGTCGCGCGCAGACGCGCCTCCAGATCCCACGTGGCGGGAAGCTCGGCCCGATGCGACGCTTGCACTCCGAAATTAGACCTTCAAGCTTGTCCTGAGCCATGTCGGTCAACAATCTACTTCGTGCTCGTTCTGTTCAAGCGGCGACTGGTAACTGGCTGCCTTGATGTCCTGGGTACATACTCAGGTTATTAGCATGCCCCTAGCGGAGCCAAAGGCTTGACGCCGCCTTTTGACGTCAAGAAAAGCATGCAGGCTGCGCTCCTCGCCTGCAAAGTGTAATTTCTGACCCTTGACTCACACTCTCATCTTTGTCGATCCCTTGGTGCTACGTGTATCTCTCTCTGCTACCGCAGCGCTGCCCTGTTCTGCGAGTCTTCACGCGCAACTAAGTCAGCATGATGCGCAGCGCGGCTGAGGAAGCCTCGCACGACACCGAACATGCGGATTACATCCAGGTTGCGAATACAGACTTGTTCCTGCAGAAGCTTTTCCCTGTACCCTCGGACATCGTCGATGAGGTTATGGCGGCTCTGCAGAGCCCCGTTGTTGGGTCAGATTCACAGGCAAACACTGAGCCAGTCTACGCCGAAGGACGCTGGACCGACTTCCCCGCTGACGACAACACTGCGGCAGCTGAGCTGTATCCGGCATTCGTTCGACTGGCGAGACGCGTTGCCGAGGAGGTGGAGAAAACCCTTCCGAAGCGGCCAGCGGACGAACAGCGCGTGCTGTGCAGTCGCTGGCACCATTACCCAAACGTTGAGGGGTCCGAGTCCGAGGATTCTGAACTGGCGACGTGGCCGGGTTGTTTACTCGCTTTCGAATCAGCAACGAGTGAAGAGAGCCAGGTACGCCTCTTGTGTGCATGGCGCATCGCATCCTCCTAACTACCCCGCTAGGACGATACGTGGTGGCTGCAGGTCATCGCGGTCGTCGAGGCGAAGCAGCACGACAGGCAGGATTGGACAGAAGTCGTGCAGCAGCTTCTCAATCACCTGAGACAAGTCCTCGTCGAACAGCAGAACCGGCGCTTCGTCTTCGGCTTCGCTCTCAGCTCGAAGCAGATATCTGTGTGGCTGCAGGACCGCTCCGGCGTGCTGGGGACTGAGGTTCCCATCAACTTCTGCGAGGTCATCTTTACTTTCTTCTCTTGAAACGGCAGTTTTGATTGATACTTCGTCCATAGGCGCCCGAAAAACTAGTTCAGCTATTGGCCGCATTCGCCTACCTTCCTGCGCATCGTCTTGGGTTCGATCCGGATATGCGACTGTATCGCGGCCCCAATGAGGTTCCCCTGTCTCCGTACCGCATGTCGTCCTCACCGAAGACGTACATGTGCTCGCCTCAGGATACGCACTGGGTCGTTACCCTGGGCGGCACGGAGTATATCACGGCCAGGGCTGTAAACACTATGTATGATGGGCTATCCGGAAGCGGAACCCTCGTGTGGGTAGTCGTGAAGTACGACGATAGAAACAAGCCTCCGCCAGACCGTGAGGTATACGCTTCGCGCTCGTCTCCTCCATTCCATGCTAATCTTTTTGATCAGTTATATGTTCTTAAGCAACAGTGGCACATTGAGTGCGAGGTCGCGGAGGCGACGCTTTACAAGATGGCGGGAGCCGGGTCTGACTGCGTCGGCAAGGTCATCGACGACGAAGATGTCCAGGTCGATGGCCAGGTCGACAGCACGGCGGGAGCGATACGTCGCGATCTTCGGCCGTCTGCGCCAAAGACAGGCTCGAAGCGTTCTCGGCTTCAGGCCCGACTCGATGCGCGACGCGGACAACGGCATCCTCTCCAATACGTCGAGGGAGGCGCGGGCGTCGAGCGCTTCGTCGTAGGGTGGCAGGACGGCAAGCTCTCCAACCGCATCCGCACGCGCATCCTCATGTCCACTGTCGGTCACCCCATCAAGTCCTTCGCTGACCGCCGTGAGCTCGTCCGCGCGATGATAGACGCCATCAAGGGTGAGTGTTCACCACTAGGCCTGGTGTTGGTGCGCGTATTGACACTTTCGCGTAGGCGACAAGTACCTGTATGGACACGGCGTTCTTCCTGGTGATGTCAGCCCGGGAAATATTTTGATACGTGGCCTAGAGGACAACGTCCCTGTGACGGGCGGATGCATCATAGACCTCGACCGAGGGAAGAGGAAAGCGGGTGAGTCCTCGAGAAAACAGCTTCCTTACGGAACTGAACGCCATATCCAGCCTATACCTTGCCGCGTCCAAACTACGACAACGAAAACTTCGCCAAAGGCCTGGAGCAGGTCAAGGTCATGGTACCTATGAACGTCCGATTGGACTCGAAGTCCTCTGCCGAGATCTGCACACTTGCATTGCGCGCAACCTCGCGCCGGATCGGTGAGAGAAGCGAGGATGTCCGCAGAGCAAGACTTTTGGCCATGAACTACGTTGAAGTCGTCGCTGCGTACATGCACGATTTCAGGCAGGTGTCACGGGAACATGCTTTTACCCCCCAATCGTTGCACTGGGACGTCGACTTGGTGAGTCATTGTACGGGAGGACGTTTTGCGATGCTCATGGAGCTCAGGAAAATCGCAATCACTTCACTCGGTCAGTTTCTGACGACAATGACCACCCGGACTGGACTCGCTCGGTATGTGATTTTTTGACTGTAACTGTATAGGTGCTGATGCGACCTTAATCAGGGGACCGTGCCCTACGTCAGTCCTGAGCTCCTGGGCGACCGGGCGGCAGTGTTTGTCGAATACGCAGTCAGAATTCCGGCTGAGGACATCTATCCCGATGCTGTCCACGACATCGAAGCTTTCCTCTGGGTCCTCGTCTATATATGTGTCACTCGCAGCGGTCCCAAAGGCGAGCGGCGCGAAGAGTTTTCTGTCGATCCCAATGAGGTAGAGGATCCCGACAAGAATAGAGCGGTAAAATGCTTGCTTGGAGTCGCCGCGAACTGTTTCGACAACGAAGATCAACGGGTTATACGTGGGTACAAGGCAGACCTACACAAAAACGGTCTCCAGGCGCTCGAGCAGCGCATTCTCCCGTGCTTCCACGGATACTTTCAGTCATTCAAGGACGCCGTGCGGGCTCTCTTTCAGCTCCTACAGATCGCTTACAGGTTTCGTGCATACGAGTACCTCACCATTCACGACCGTGCCATCGAGGTCCTTAACGACCTTTTGACGAAGCTGCAAGCGCCAGAGTACGATGAGCAGGAGAACCCGGCGACCGTGGCGGAGCTGAATAGGAGAGAGGAGTTTTTCGACGGCTTGCGGAAGAGTATCGACTACCTATCTGCCGAGCGCGAGACCCCAGAGTCTCCCAAAACAATCAAAACCCTGAAATCGGGTGACGCCCAGTTCCACAACCCGCCCGCAGCCAGATGCGACTGAGCATGTTACGAAGAAAAGGCGCTCGGGCTGTCATGTATAGACGTGGATATGGAGTAGAATTCCGCCTGTGAGCATGTTTTTTATTGCCGGAGTATCTGGTGTATCGTATAGATATTTCTTATGCTACTCTCGGGCGAAGATCAACTTCGTTCACGTGATGATGCGTGATCCAGGATCCTAAGTGCCGCTGCACGCGGCAACGACGTTGCTTCCTGCCATCTTGTTGGCTCACAGCGTCTTTACTTCATCGTCATGATGAATGCCGAGTTTGAGGCGAATTTCGCTGAGGAGACGGCTGAATGCTTTCAGATCGCTCAAACGGATGACTTCTTATCGAAGATGTTTCCCGTTCCCTCCCACATCGTGAACAGAGTAATGGAGGCACTGGGGATCATAGAATCATCGCAACCACCCGCCGCAGGCTCGATCCATGCTGATGGCCGCTGGTCCGCTTTCCCGACTGACGACAATGCGAAGGAGGACGAGTTATACCCAGCGTTCATCAAGGTTGCCAGCCGCATCGCCGAAGAAGCTAGGAAACTGGTACCTGATGACGAACATCGCATCCTGAGCAGTGTTTGGCGCGACTATCACACCAAATCACCAATGTCAACCAGCACTACCGCGCCGCGTACGCGCCCTCGCTGCTTACTCGCTCTTCGAAGCCTGGAAGATGAAGGGGATCAGGTGCGTTGCTCTCGCATTCTCCTGTCACATATTCTCAATCTCGCAGGACGCCATCTGGTGGTTGCGAATCATAATTGCAGTCGAGGGCAGACGAAAAGACCAGGAGTCGTGGGCTGACGTCGTGCGCCATCTGCTTGGATATCTTCGTCAGATTCTGGTGAAGCAACAAAATCGGCGTTTTGTGTTTGGTTTTACACTTGGGCTCGGACAGATATCGGTCTGGCTTCAAGATCGCTCGGGGGTTTTAGGGACAGACGTACCTATTGACTTCCACAAAGTGCGTTATCATCTGCAATTATCTGATTGAAGTACTGACCCAAGGTCTTCGAAGGGCCCCCGTCAAATCGTTCAGATCATAACTGCGCTTGTCTATCTTCCTGCGCATCAACTGGGATTTGATCCGGATATGAAGTTGTATCTGGGCCCTGAGCGCAATCCTCTTCCACCGTATCGCCTGGTAGAGTCCCCGATGGACAGAATGCGCTCGCCGCATGATACGCATTGGGTCATCACCCTGTCCAGCACGACGTACATCACAACTAAGGCCATGAGCTTAATCCGCTCTGGAGAGATGCGCGGGAGTGGAACCATCGTATGGGTCGTCATGAAGTATGATGAAAGGAAGAAGCGCTCGTCTGAACGCAAGGTATACACCTGCTGAACCATGTCTTCCTACTCGCGTTGACCGTACCTGGTAGTTGTATGCTCTCAAGCAACAATGGCGCAAGGAAAACGAAGTCTCGGAGGCCGACCTATACGAACTGGCAGGAACTGCGTCTGACTGCATTGGGAAGTTTATCGCCAGCGAGGATTCTCGGATCGACGGGATAGTTGATAGCACTCTAGGACCGATACGTTGTGGTCTCGACTCGGTTCCCCCATCCTTGAAGCGTTCTCGAAGCGAAGCTCTCCCAGATGAGCGTCACGAGCCACACCTCCTTATCCATTGCACCCAGAACGGAGCGGTCATCGAACGCTTCGTGGTCCGAGATGAGAACAGGGTTATCAACCGCATTCGTACCCGTATCCTCATGTCGACGATTGGCCATGCCATCACGTCCTTCGCCGATCGTCGCGAATTGGTGGGCACGATCTTAGATGCTATTAAGGGTGAGTTCCCCATGTCAAACGCACGACTATTGTTGTCCATACTGATCATTGTGTAGGCGACAAGTACTTGTACGAACACGGCGTTTTACCCTGCGATATCAGTCCGGAAAACATCATGATACGTGGGCTAGAGGACAATGTTCCCGTGACCGGCGGATGCATAATAGACCTCGACCGAGGCAAGAGGCAGACCGGTAAGATTCGTCACACAGCCTGCTCACATTCACACTAATTGTGTCGTGTCCCCGGTCAAGCTGCCCCTGACCGGAGTATTCCCAAATTCGACGATGATCTGCTCGAGACCGCTCTGACGGATGTTGAGGATGACTTGCGCAAATTGAGACAGCGCGGTCGATTCCCAGCAATAGTTGATAAGGAGATTTGCAGACGTGCACTGCGGGCGATCACTCGGCGAGTGGATCCAGAAACCCTGGAGGGTTCGTCAATCCTCGATATCTCGCTCAACGCTGTCAAGTACATCGAACAGGCCATCTCATACAAGCAACATCACAGGCAAGCACCACCCAACCTGGATTATTCCATAAACACATTGCACTGGGATGTTGATCTGGTCAGTCGCATCTAGAATGATATTTCTCGATGTTAACAATGTCTCTCATGACACAGGAGAATCGCCCAGTCTTCACCCGGTCGGCGATATTTCGTGATCATCCAGACTGGTCTCGTTCGGTGCGTGTACTCATCCTCGGTACAAGGCCAATTTCTAACCTCATCATAGGGCACGCTTCCATACATCAGCCCAGAGCTTTTGGGCGCTCGTCCACAGGTACTAGTGGCCGGCTCCATTGATACACCGCCCGAGGACATCTATCCAGATGCCGTCCATGACGTCGAGGCCTTTTTCTGGGTCCTCGTCTATATCTGCGTCACTCGCAGCGGTCCGGGAGGTCGGAGACGCGAAGAGTTCCTGAAGAAGCCCGACGACGTGCTGGACCCCGATCAGCGTAGGGCGGTGGAATATGTGCACGAAGTCACCGCGAACTATTTCGACAACGATGATGCGTCGCTTCATCTGAAGTACAAGGGCGAGCTCCATAAGAAGGGTCTTCCGGAGTTTCAGAGGCTCATCTTCCCCGCCTTCCATCGCTACTTCTGGCCATTCAAGCGCAGCTTGGAAGCTCTTTTCCAACTCCTCCAACTCGCTTATAGATACCGCGGCTATGAATACTGCAGTATTCATGATCGTGCCATCGAAATCCTGGCCGACCTGTTGGAGATGTTGGCAGCGCCCGAGTTCGATGAAAGCGCGACACCAGCGAACGTAAAGGAGCTGGAGGAAAGGGCGGATTTCTTCCCCAAGTTACAGAACAGTATTGATCGACCGCCGCCCGTCAAGCGCGACGACCCGACCTCGCCCAAGGTGTCCACTTTCAACAGAAACCAATCGTCAGCGCCTTCCCAGTTGTCCGTTCCAACAGACGCTGCAGCCACGCATGCTCAGAAGAAGCAGAAGCGTTCGGGGGATTATTAGATTTCTATGTGTTCGTGGATTGGGAACGTCTCTGCCTCACTTCATATAGGCCTAATATTGTTGTCATGTGACTGAAATACAGATTTGATTACTTCTCTTCAACTACGTCGCCCCAATTCCGTGAGTTCGCCAGCGAGGAGTGAGTGTCGGGCCGACGATTGGGCGTAAAGATTTTGGTCATTATTTGGCTCGGCCTACTACCTTTGACACCTATCAAGCCTTACAAGCGTACAGTCTTTGGTCGCACGCCTTTCGATTCCTTCGAACCCTATGGATCTTCATCTTAAGACTTGCAGTACAATCGGTTCTGCAATCCCAATCAGGGTGTCCCGCGCACCTTCTAATCATTATATTTACGCTACATTGTCATGCTTTGAAAGTCAGATGCGTGATAATCTCAAGAGAATACAATGTACTTCATTTACACATACCACAATCTCTTTCGCACTTAAGTCCCCATCTTGCAGAATTTTGTCTCGCCGACCGAGTTGAACTTGAGTCACAACGTGACAACGCGTGATTGAAGCGCGATCGAGCGCGTCGCGCCTCCGCGCGCCAATGTTCTTCTCCCGCCGCTTCGCATCTCAGTACGCCCCTCGACGGCTTCCTCCTACTATCAAGGAGATATTGGGGTCCAACATACCTCAGGAGACGTCTGTATCCCTGAATGGCTGGATAAAGTCCATACGAAAGCAGAAGAGGGTCTCTTTTGCTGTCATCTACGATGGGAGCAGTGCGAAGGGCATTCAGGCGGTCTTCCCTAACACCCTGAATGTGAAGGAGTGCGTGGACAGGCCTCAGTCAATTGAATCATACTGACCGTACTGTAGCCTCACAAATGGCTCGAGTGTACGACTGACTGGCAACCTCGTCCCCTCGCCAGGCTCCGGTCAGGCCAAGGAACTCCAAGTCAAGGCCGTGGACGTGCTGGGAGCATGTCCGCAGGAGACGTATCCTATCCAGAAGAAGGACCTCACCAATGAGTATCTACGAGAGAACGTGCATCTTCGAGCACGGACGACTGCGATAGCCGCTATGCTTCGGTTAAGAGACTGCCTTCACCGGTCGATACATGACTACTTGAAGGTGCGTATCAATACTCTTCAATTTACTGCTATGGCTTACAGGCGCAGTAGAGCCAATCCTTCGTCCATGTCCACGCTCCCATCTTGACCGCCAACGACGCCGAGGGCGCCGGCGAGACCTTCCGCATCGCCCCGGTTGCCGCCCACCCCGATGCACAATCCACAGAAACCCAATCCCCCACCGAGTTCTTCGGCGCGCCCGCCCATCTCACGGTCTCCTCCCAACTGCACATGGAGGCCTTCCAGGCCGCCCTCTCCCGCGTCTACACCGCGAACCCCGCCTTCCGCGCGGAGCGCAGCCAGACGAGCAGGCATCTCGCGGAGTTCTGGATGGTCGAGCCGGAGTGGACGTTGACGGAGGGGATCACGGAGGTCTGCGACGTGACGGAGGACTTGCTGAGGGATATCGTGAATAGGGCGTTCGTGGAGTGCGCAGAGGATATCGAGGCGCTTCACGCAGTGGGGGGACGGCTGGAGCGGCTGGAGGCACTGAAGGCGGCAGTGTCGCCGGATACCCTACGTTGGCGGCGCATGACTTACACGGAGGCCGTCGAGACGCTGCAGCGAACTGGCGTGAAGTTCAAGCAGACCCCTACCTGGGGCGCGTCCTTGTCTTCTGAGCACGAGCGGTATCTGGCGGAGGAGGTCGTGAAGGGGCCTGTGTTCGTCACGAACTACCCGAGGGAGATCAAGGCATTCTACATGCGGGTGGATGGTGAGTGCAGTCGATCCTTCTTCGACAACGTTTTGCCTAACGTCGACCCTCAGATCCTTCCCTCCCGCGAGAACAGCAAACCGTATCCTGCTTCGACCTCCTCGTCCCGCACATGGGCGAACTCGTCGGGGGTAGCGTGAGGGAAGAGCGGGCGGACGTGCTCGAGGAGAAAATGCGCGAAGAGGGCATGATCCTGCCAGAGCAATCGTCAGGTAAGTCGAGAGTTTGTATACGTATTCCCGCGCTTTTGCTAATGCAGAAGTAGACGAAGGTCCATACGCATGGTATCTCTCGCTGCGCAAATTCGGGGCAACGCCGCACGGAGGCTTCGGTCTGGGCTTCGAGCGTTTGGTGAGCTGGGTGGGGGACGTCGACAGCGTGAAGGAGTGTATACCGGTTCCGCGGACGGTCGGGCGTATCGACTTGTAGCAGAAGGGGAGCCACGCTTGTAGTAGGCACTGTCCCGTCATAGCTCGCAATCCCACCTCATGCTTTAGCAAACACCAAAAGCAACGGGAGTGATCCAACGTATATATGGTGCTGCATGAGGGTGTACAATCATGATCATAACTTAAGAATCGCCCCAGGAGAAAATAATAGTAGTACATAGTTTGCGCGAGTCCAGTGTTCCTCAACCTGTTATCAGCCGCATCGTATCCCAGCTATTGCCCGCCCGCACCAGCCCCCTGAACCACGTCTTCCCAACCGGCAAGAAGTCTACATGCAGCACGCCCTGCGCCTTGATCGACTCCTGCTCATTCCTGGTCTTCCCCAGCCCGACGCGCTTGTAGAACGCCCGCGTCACCTCCTTCTCCTGCGCCATCGTCAGCGCCTCCCAGTCCCTGTGCGAGATCCGCCGGTGCAGCGCCGTGTGTATCGCGATCAGCACGTCGCCCAGCTGGATCGGCGGCACGCGCACGTTCGCCGCGCCCCCGGGGTACTCGAGGTCGATCGGCCACTGCGGGAAGTGGTCGCAGACGATGTGCAGGCGCGTGATGGGCGGGTGCGTTGCGGGCGTCGCCATGTCATGCGAGGAGGGCGGGACGGTCTGGCCGCCGGGGAGGAGCCGGCGCGGGGAGAAGACAGGCAGGGAGAGGTCGAAGATGAAGTCCTTGGGCGGGTTATCCGCGTTCAGCCACGGGTGCAGCTGCAGCGCGGGCGAGAAGGAGGGGCCGACGGGGTAGGGCGAGAGCAGGCCCTGCGGGGTGACCCAGTCTGGGGTGTAGGGCGAGTAGGGTGTTTGGTAGGGCGACGGGTTGGAGAAGGAGTGGCGCCGGCCGTGCGAGAGGGCAGGCGTGGCGAGATATTGCGGCGGAACCGCGGCGGGACTGTGCCATGATGGGCGTCGCTCGCGGGTGTAAGTGTCGTCCCGCGCTGCCGACCAGCCTGGCAGCTGCGCTGGTGCATGGTAGGGCGACTGGTGTGGCGAGTGGTATGGCGAGTGGTACGGCGTGTGATGGGGAGTATGGTACGGTGACGCGCCAGCAACTGGCCCTAGGCGAGGCGAGCCGGGGAGGGAGGCTGCGTTACTGTACGGCGATACCGGGAGGTGGGGGTCGGGGACGAATGGCGAGAACTCCTGGTCCACGAAGTAAGGTGTGAGGTACGCATTGGGCGGATATTCCGGAGAGTAGACATAGGGTGCAGACATGGTGGGCGGAGTAGAGATTGCGGTGGGTGTTAGGCGGCGGGTGGGATGACAAGGCAGGCGGCACGATGCAGCAGCTCGAGACTGCTATATGTAGAGCACTGGGGGGAAGTGCTATGCAAGTGACTGTATGGTAGCTGCGGCTCGTCAGTACGACGAGACCTCGTCAAGCAGTGAAGGCGGGACTCACAGCGGCCCGCTGCTCTGTGCCTCGATGCAGAGATCCTCCTACAGAGACCTGGTTCAAAAGTCCCGTCGTTTGCGCGGATGGGGACGATAGATGTGTGCGCTCAAGGGGAACCGGCGAGGGAGCTCCTGAGATGCTGGCGACTAGCAGATGAAGGTCGGAAACAAGCAGCGATGATCAAGGGGAGATGGGCGCTCAGGAGCGCCGAAGCTTATATCGATCAGCTGCCGTACCTACGCTATCACTGGCGCCTATTCAGAAGATGCCGTTTAGACGCCCATCCTGCATGTTGGCGAAGGTTCTTGAGGGATACGAAGACACTGCTCGTAGCCCAGCCTCAAGAAGAAGACCCGAACATCGCACAGCATGGCGGCAGAAAGAAAGAGTTAGCCAGAAGGTAGACGAGTCGTTTCTTTTCCTTTTCTGGCATAATCAACACCGAAAAGGCACGAACGGTTTTGGACCCACAACCACATCGCGGACCAAACAAAGACCACTTCATGGCATTAGGACATGGGTTGCGCAGGGATTTCGACTTCTATACACAGATTTGTACAACAGTAAAATAAGTAGAGTAGTCGTAGACGATGTGGCAACAGGACGGAACACCGAGATGAGAACACAATCTTCTACAGGAGTACTGTATGTATATAGACAATGTGTGACTGGACGCGCAAAGGACAGGCAGAGACGATGTATGTATGTGAATGTATGTACAGTGGTATGCATGTGAATGAGAATAGACAGAGAGAAAGAAAAAGAAAAATGCAGGAACGCGTGCTCCAGCGAAGAATTGGCGTACGCGAGCAAACGATTATGCCGATATAGGAAACATAGGAAGCGAGCGAGCGGTGGCACCTCAGCGGGTCAACACGTTATGTACTTTTCCCTGGTATCTTGCAGTTTGCGCTGCGTGGTGGAGGCCGTCACCGAGCGCGCGTCGATTCTGGTCACCTCACCGGGTACACCTCCTGGCGCGCGATGCTATCCGGTTCTGGGGGATCCACCAGCGAGGCGTCCTCCAACTCATCATCGTCAACTTCTTCGTCCTCTCCCCAACCATCTTCCGCCTCCGCGGCAGCGAGCTCGTCCGCGAAGAGGTTCTCGCCGTTGCCCACGAAGTTACCGCGTGAGAACATGTCGTCGCCGTCCTGCGACAGAGCCGCATCGACTGGTAGTGGAGACAGCTGCCCGTCCGACAGTCGCGAGGGCATGTGCGACTCGCGGGGTAAGCTACCTGGCCCACTCGCCGGCGAGTCGTGCAGCGGGCGGTCCTCGTCGAAGGCGTCAATCGGCGTGCCAACATCCCCCGGTTCGTTACGCCTGAACCACGCGCACGCCCAGAATGCCCGACTCCCCACCCGCATTCGACGCGACGTATCGCGTACAAGCAGCCCCTCTACCACCTCCCGCAACTCTGGGCTTAGCGCCAGGCGCGCGCCCATCAGCTCCTCCGGCGTGGCCGTATCATCGCGCGCCATCGACGTGTCCTCCCGCGCTCTGGCCGTCGGATCTCGCACCATGACGGTGCTGTCGCGCTCCATCGTCCGCACCTCCTGCCGCCGCCCTCTATCACCTTCCCGCACACCCTCGGGCCACGACCAATCGCCGCGGGCTACACGCATGAGCCACTTGCGCCGTGCAACGGGCGTGGGCTCCGCGCCCTCGCCAAATGGCAGACGTCTACATGCTAGTGCGTATAGAACGACGCCGCATGCCCAGGAGTCTGTCAGGCGCGGGTCGTAGCCACCAGACGTATAGGTCGTGCTCGTGACAAGTTCGGGCGCTGCATAGGCTTCGCTACCGCATTTCGTCTTGAGTAGCGGGTTATCGGGGTCGATGAAGCGCGAGAGGCCGAAATCGGTCAACTTGACTAAGGGCTGCGTCGGGTTGTATGACGGGTGCGGGTTCTCCTCGGATGGAATAAGAGGGGCTGCCAGTAAGATATCTGCCAAGCGGTTAGTCAGACTATACTGAACCCCGATAAGCGAGCTTACTTTCGAGCTTGATGTCACGATGAACCAGCCCAACGCCGTGCATCCAGCCAACGGCCTTACTCAAGTCTGAAAATATCTTCCGCGCCGTGGTCTCCGCTGCAGAACGTCAGTAAAGCACCTAACCCATGCCATCGCGGACTCACTCAAGGAGTCATACCCTGCGTCGCTATTGACAAGACCTAAGAGATCGCCTCCGGGTAGATAAGGCAGAACCAGCGCGTGATAGTTAGTCGTCGTGAAGTATGAGAGCAGCGGGGTGATGTTGGGGTGGGATATGTGCTATATGGCCGTCAGTCGCCAGTCGCGCGTTCATGCAGAAAGGACGTACTCGCAAGACCTCCACCTCGCGAATGAAGCTCACTCGCGTTCGGTCCCTCTCCGAATCATCCGGCGTACCAGTACTAGTGCCCTCCAGCACGCCACGCGACGTAAGCTTGACCGCGACAAGCTTGTACTTCGGTTGTACACGTGAAGGCCTTTCATCGTCGCTGGCCAGGGAAGACGTCGCACGATCACTCTCGGAGGGCTCCCTATTCCTCCAGACCCGCTCGAGCGATGATGTCGGCGGCAATAGGAAGAAGGACACGTCCTGCATTGACGGATTGGGCGAGATACCGAAAGAAGGCGATCGGGGCGGAGGGGACGAGGGCATGTCCCCGTCGCGCTCGTCGAGGTAGATACTCTTGTTGTCCTCGCTGCCCGTCTTCCTGTGCTTGCTGGGCCCGCCGTGCTGCGTAGGCACGAGCCCAGGGACACGTTCTGGGCCAAGACCTAGCTTGGCTGCAGTTCGCGGGCGGGGAGGCGCTATCTGCGGCAACGGCGGCGCTGATGAATCGGCGGTGTTCACTTTCGACTTGACGCTGGCCTTCCGTGATACCGATGCGCTCTTTACGCTATCGTCCGACCTTTGTCTTTGGCGCACTGAAGAGTGACGAGAGACCGAACGGTTCGATAGGCGAGATGACGTCTTGCGCTTGATCTGCCGTAGACTGCGCTTGCGCTGGATATCCAAAGACACTTCTGAGAGGTCCTCTGCCAACCATACGGACGAAAATGTGCCCTGCCCTAGTGGGCTGACAAGCCGTAAACGGACGCCTGGGTCGTCGGAAGCTGTCGACCTAAGTATGTGGCTGGGATGTAGAACGTCATCGTTGTCGGAGAGCTCTTCCTTCTGTACGTGATGGCCGGAGGTGACACGATCGGGAACATAATGAGGCGCCTTGGGCGTTTGTTCCTCCGCCAACGCACACGCCTTGGAGAATGTCGGTTCGAATGGATTTGGTCGCGGCGTCGGCTCTCCTTGCTCGGCTCGCTGAGTCGTAGCATGGGATGGCACGGTAGGCGAGGGGAGATCGCGAAGCGTGAAGCCATTGAAGTTGTCGGGATTGATGTTCTCCAACTCGAGGTGCATGAAGCCACGGCGGTTGCGAACCGGGGGCGGAAAGAGCAGCTTCCTGCTGTCGTCGCGCGCGTCCATCACGGGAAGGACCTCGATCATGGGCGGGGGCGGGGAGCTCGCGGCGGCGAAGAAATCGGCAGTGCGGGACCGCGGCTGGTGGTTCTCGCTCACGACGCGGCGTTTGGGCGAGGTAGCCGGGGGCAGAGTCGGGGGGAGAGTGGGGGACGGGGATCGCGTGCCGAAGGGCGAGCTGAAGAAGGCGTGCGTCTTGGAGCCCGAGCTTGGGGGCGGCGTGGTGGAGGGGGACGGCTCGGCGGGGAGGGATATGTCGGAGAAGGTAGAGCGCGAGGAGGACGCGCTAAGCGACGGGGCGAAGACCGACATGCTGTGGCTGCTGCTGCGCTGCGGGTGCGCGTGTTGAGCAACAAGTGGGCGTTTGACGACGAATGACATACTGGACGAGCCGTCAGCGGGACACCTGCAGGCTGCTGCTCCACAATGCGAGGCCGCTTCGGACCGCGCGTCGTCTACACAGGGGCTTCGGCCGCTACTTGCTGCGGCTCTGGGCGTGTACCGGGGGGGATGGGGGACGAGGAGATGGACGAGGAGAAAGAGATGAGAGTCGAGGACAGGGACGCTGACAGTGACGGAGCATCAAGCGCACATCAGCTCGGATGATGAAAGCAGGATGAAAGGACCTGATTCCGCAAGTCCGCCCGACGCCGTTATCCCACGTGTAGGCTCCGGTCCGATGGTGTAGAAATATCAACCTTACACGTGATCGTATACCGCTCAGTCATCGCCTGGGCGAACGTTCCTTGACTCTCTTCAGTACGTATCGCAATGGAGCAGAGATTGGACTCAACGAATTTAGCGAAGTCGAACGAGCGACTTCCCCGCGAAAGGGTCGGAGAATATCCTCCACATGGATCCCCGACGCAGCCGTTTCATCCCCATGGCCTTGAGCGACGTCGATCCTTCGGACCGCGCGATGAAGAGGGCTCGAGCCGTGCGGGCGTCGTATCGTTCATCAGCGTATCGCCTAGAGCTGAGGACAAAAAGTTGCTGTTGGGTGACGCCAGGTGTTCCGATGAGGGTATGTCTCCGTCCGAGCCTTCACTAGCTTCACTCGGATCGTTCTTGGCGTCTTCGGAAATGGCGGTCAGACAGGGTACAGAAATGACGTCTGGGGGACTGACGATCGTCCAGTGAAGGTTCCTGAAGCTCTAAATTGCGGAGACGCCCGAATGAAGCAAAGATGATATCAAGTTCGCCGACGTCAGTTTCCTCGCAAAGCTTGTAGGTGTTGACAGAGATCTTGTCGATAGAGCCCCGAGATCTGAGCCCCGATGAGGCTCTGCGTGATCTTGAAAAGTTGCCGCGGAGTGACCAGCCAGTAGGGGGCGCGCAGGTGGATGCAGAAAAGGACTTGAATTCACCAAAGTCGGCGAGCGTCGTAGAGCTTTCATATCCCCCAAGCAACGTTGTAAGTACTGTTGAGTCGGGCAAGTTCAGTGCACACAGAAGTCCGCCACTATGCTGGGGAGAGTTGTAGCGAGTATATGCGCTATTTAACAGGTGAGTGTGCATCTGAAGTCTTCCGAGAATTCCTCAGCTGTCCAGGTGCAGACGCAGTCCTTCCCATAGTCATTGGGATGAATATTCACAACGATTCACATGGAAGGAAGAGACAAGGGGCGTTTGGAAGATGAGATGAACGCGTCCAGCAAGACACGCACTGGCTGAGGTGACGTCAAGTCGCGTGATCGTGTTGCTTCTGTTGACTCGGCAAACCCCGGCGAGTTCAACTCCAGCGCAGGCCCTCGAGTTCGGCTCGAAAAGTTTCCTCTCTTGCCAAATGAATCACTCATCCTGCTATACTTCGGGGAGACAGAGACAAAACCCTCTGATACTCGTGTATTCAATTGAAGTGTCCCCCTTCCAAGCTCACCTGTGCAGGCCTCGATCTGTCGCACAACAACATAATGAGCACCCGCGCTTCAGTCATGGAGCGGAATGATACACTTAAAAGCAAAGATTGATGCCTATGGCGATGAAGGAGAGGATGCGCGTATTGAGCCCAAGGCGTCGCATCGCGAGTCGCGAGCCCCAGGGTCGGATCCCACGGTCCGGAACCCCGGCCGACTTCGCACACAGGCGATACATCGCCACCGGTGCTTGGCGGTCGCGCAGCCGCAGTGCTACAAACTGCCTCGGCCCTCCGTCCTCCTTACCTCCTCCCATCATGTCCCCCTCGCCAGTAATGCCTACCTTCTCCCCCCATGCGCGCGCCTTCGTCGACTCCGCGGCCTACCTCCTTGCGCGCGACGCGGGATCGGATCTGACGCCCAACACGACGCAGAGGAATACGCTCATCGTCGCCGCGGTGTATATTCTCGTGATCGCGATTCTGTGGCACGTTCCGTATCTGAATATGATTAGTGAGTGGGTAGAGGGAGGGAGAGGGATGGAAGGCTGACCGTGTTCGTGCAGTTTATCCGTTCAAGTAGGTCTTGTTCAGCGGTGTGGCGCGAAATACGGAGCCTAATGTGACTTTAGGTTGCTAACAGTTGGTTTTCATGAGGTACGTCTGCGATCTCGTGCTATGAAGGGTCCCAAGCTTACCACTCGCAGATGAGCCACGCCTTCGCGGGCCTCCTCACCTGCGCGCACATCCACTCGATCGAACTTGACCGTACGTCCTGCCAGCTCTCACCCTACTTCAACCCCCTGATCCGGCCTCCCCCTCCAGCGAACGAAGGTGGTGCCACCTCAATGTCTGGCGGCATATCCTGGATCACTCTCCCCGCGGGGTACCTCGGGTCTTCCTTCATCGGCGCCTGCCTAATTGCGTGCGGCTTCAACACCAACGCGAGCAAGGTCGCCTCCATCGTCCTCGCTGTATTCTTCCTGTTCACCTTGTGGTGGGCAAGGAGAGATTGGCTGTAAGTGGAACCTCTTCCCTGTGTTAGGCCCTCGGCTAAGTAGCGACGCCGCACAGAACATGGGTCCTCATCCTTGGCATGTCCGGCCTGATCGTACTCTTCTGGTTTGTGGCGGGCGGTGTAGCACTGAGGTATCTGGTACGCATCCTTCCTCTCCCTTGCTTTCTAAGTTCCCTTACCCCTCCATGCAAAGGTCCTCTTCATCGGCGTTATGTCCTGCCTCTACGTCCTCTGGGATGTCGTTGGTATGGCCTGCCTAGAGTTCGCTTCTGAACCCGCTCTAACACCACACCCACAGATGACACCATATCCCGAAAGATAAACTCGTCCGACGCATCCCAGTTCGCCAAGATCTGTGGCTGCTGTCCGTCGCAGGGTGAGTCGTACGATTCTTCATCTCTCTCCTTCCTTTCTCGCCTATTGTTTCCGACTCTGACCTGTCCTTCACTCAGTCTGGGGCGTCCTCTGGCTCCTCATCGCCTTCGTGTTCTTCGCGCTCGGCATCATCGTCGGGTTGGCTGCGTTCAAGGTATGTCGAGTCGCTTCTTCCTTTCGTGTCTTCCTCTACTGTTACAACCGTGCTCACTATACCCTACCCCTCCAGGAAACCGCCGCCGAGCAAGCCGAGGACTCAGAGCACTTCCTCCCCGTCCCAGGATCCGACAACGGCGCTGCAAGTCTTGGGAGCCCGATAGGGCTGTCGTTGACCTTGCTCGCTGTTGGGGTGAACGCTGTGTTGGCGTTGTAGGCCTCGGCGGCGTTGTTAGCCTCATCACGAGCCCCCTGCTGCGAGCTGCGAGCTACCACCAACTCTATCTTGTATGTATAACATCCCGCGTGCGCCACGAAGCGCCGCTGCTATGTCACTATCTATTGAAACGGACTTCGCTAACGTTGACGAATTATCTCAGTACCCTCTACGGTATACCACGTTGTTTATAATGAATGATGATACCCCGCCTGTGCGAGGTGTGTAGCGCGTGTGCTGGACATTGAACAGCCGGGTATGTGTAGTGCAAGTGTGGTGGTATAGGTTGGTATCATATCCTGGGTATATCCCGTCCACTCTCCGTGCGTCGTCCTAACGACCATCCTCTTACCCCTCTCCCTCACCCTTCATACCCTCCCTTTCCCTCCTCGCCTCCTACCCCCTCTTCCCCATCCCCCACCCCTCCTACCCCTTCCCTCCACCTCACAACCCACACATCGCGATATTGACCTGCCGATAGGCCGCCTGCACGACCCCGAGCTGCACGCCGTGCCCGCACGTGAGTTCGTTCATGGCGGTCTTGGAAAGTGTCGCTTCTTCGAGGGAGGCGAAGACGACCTCGTCGATGCCGGTCATGGTGTCGGGGGCGGGTGCGTCGGCGTGGTCGATGGCGAGGAAGAAGATGCGGCGGGAGGACGGTTTGGCGGAGGTAGTGGTGGTGGCGAAACCAGACTGAGGCTCGTCGACAGTCGCGCCCGAATCGTCAAGTTGTGCGGTACTGCCCGCATCCGCACCCTTGGTATCGCCCACGACCTCATCCTGGGCCGACGCATCCTGCCCCGGCGCCTTCGGCCACTCCTTCGCCCCCGCCGCACACTCATACCGCAGCTCCCAGCACGTCGCGCACGCGCTCGAGTTCCACGCCGCCACGGCGAACACCGCGCCAACGAACGGGAAGCTCGGCAAGGAGGCGAAGGTGGGGAAGCCGAGGGGGATGAGCCCGCGCGCCCCGTCGGAGCAGGCGACGGCGGTCATGGGGGTGGTAGGGGTGTCGTAGATGGGGTCGAAGCCGACGCGGAGGGGGGCGAAGCCGGCGGGCAGAGTAGGGTTGGTGGATGTTGCGGATGTGTAGGTAGGAATTGTCCCGAAGGCAAAGGCGAGACCACAGACGGCGAGCATAGAAAGGCGGGCCGGCATAGCTTGTGCGTTGAGGTAGGCGGGAGGTCGAGCGATGAGGTAGTAGAAGGAGCGACCGGCCGGCGGACGAAGAAGGAAAGTGGCGGCTAGGAGCCTGTTGAAAAGCTAAATTGGCAGCAACTGTCAATGTCACGGTGTTGTCCGCTTTCGAAGCCTAAATGAAAAGGGTACAATTCCAAGAGAACATACATACAAAGGCAGATACATGGTGGTACATTGAACGCTACTTCAATAGCGGCTAGCGGCGCTATGGGTTGAAGTTAGTGCGACATTTGTGGCAAAGAAATTCACGCACTCACTGCTTCCCTATGACCTCCCACTTCGCTTCCAGCCCTTCGATCTCTCCAGCTCGCCGCACGACGCCATCGACCTCCAACTTTCGCAGATGCAGATTGACGCTATAAGCCGCGGGCTCCCATAAATTCTTGGGGTAGTCCTTGTAGATGACCGCGACAATATCCCTCGTGGTGATCGTGTTCCCGTCCGCCAGAGCCCCGTCGCTCTGCAATACTGCGATGATCTGCGACTCCCGCTCTAGCCGATGCTTGATATACGTCTCGATCGTCTGGCACCCGTCCTTCACCACGGGTCCGTGGCCGGGATAGAGGACAGTGTACGCCGCGCCATCTCCAGCGGCGCAGAAATCGAGCATCTTGCGCAGGCTGGCGAGGTAGGCGGAGAGGTCCTCGAAGACAGCCGTGCCTTGCCCGAGGACGGAGTCGGCGGTATACAGGGCGCCGTCCTGGGTGATGTAGAGCGCGATGGAGTCGGTAGTGTGTCCGGGGGTGTGGAGGACTTGGAGGGTCGCGGAGCCGTCGGCGGTGGTGAGGGTCTGGCCGTCGGAAAGGTCGTGAAGATGCGCTCCGGTAAGAGACGGAGTATACGAGTCGGTTGGCAGCGAAGCGAGGATGGAAGGAAGCTTTAAGTGGGAGGAGAAGCTCGAAGGCACGCCAGACTTCGCGTCGAGGGGGTACTTGTGCAGGCGGGGAGGGACGAAAGGGAGAGACGGGTTCCTTTCGTTCCAGAGATTACGCAGAAGCGCGAGTACGGAGGGCAGACCGCCGACATGGTCATGGTGCCAATGGGAGATAATTATGTCGGAGACGTCGGGCTTATTTGGGTTTGCAATTTGCGCTTCCTGCTTCAGTGCAGACTCGAGCACGGTTATGTACTCCTCAAGGCCCTCGCCGGTATCGAGGAGTATGTAGGGGTTGGCTGTGCCGATTAGGTAGGTATTTGTGCCTTCATCCGCACGTTAGCGATATGTGGATTAATGAAGAGAGATCCTACCTTGCAGAGTGAATTTGCCTGGGTTCTTTCAAGACGAGAGTCGGTCTTTGGATACGTTGAAAGCTACTCCGGCACTTACTTGACCGAGTACCCGGACGACGCGCTCGCTGAGCTGGCGAGGACGTTAGGGATGTAGGAAAAATACAGAAGTGTCTTCACACTGACCCTTGCGATAGAGGGAAGACTCTCAAGCTTATCCATGTCGTTCAGAGGTCGTACCGTCGAGATGGAGGAAGAACGCAAGTCGAACCTTTAATAGAGTAACGTGATTAGTGATGATATCACTGGGTCTGTGACGACACAAACAAGTACAATGTGAACGGACGCTTTGCCCTCATCGCCGTTCGCTATTCACGACCACCACACATCATCATTATTCCAGTGTCAGAAATGACAGTCAAACCAAACAAAAGGAACACCCTTTTGGCGAACGCGAGTGCTCATTTTTTTAGTATGTCGATGTACACTTGCAGCACTAAACGGTGCGTGTAGTATGACTGGTGTTACATATTCATCCGACGGAGCTCGTGACGAGGCGAGATGGGACGAGGAAGAGTGCCCTCTGGCGCACTGTCTGAACGCGGTCACAAGCCGCATGTACCTCGTCTGTAACACCGACAGAGCCAGCCATAACCACCAAAGCCAGGAATCCACGACGCACCCGAATACACAGGCGGACAACGGGCGGCTAAGGGTCTATAGCCACGATACCTAGCCGTGGGCGCGCACGCGTTCGTACTTCAGTTACCTGCTGGCCATGGACCACGTGCATTCGGGACCGGGTGCATGAGGACGCTAGCAATTCTCTCCTGGTTATTCTCTCTCTCTCCTTTCAGTTCATCCTATGTCAAGTTCCTTCGTTACTCGATGCGACTCTACCTGGACAACCTCATAGCTAGCGGTGGAAACGGTATGTAACATCAAATCTGTGGCAACAACTTCGGCTGAGGCCAAGGCTCACCACCCGTACAGGAAGGGTATATCGTGCCCACACGACGGACACCCCGCACCCCGCGATATACGCTGTGAAGAAGTCGCACACCACCAAGCTCGTCAAGAATCCCATGCTTCTCCACGAGGCATGCGCTATGTTACACCTCCAAGGTATGCACGCCCGCCGCATGCGCAACGTTAACTGACACGATGACTCGACTTGCAGGGCACCCAAGTATTCCCAGAGTCTACGCTTGGGGTAAAACCCAGTACTACGAGTACCTCGCCCTCGAAGAGCTGGGCTCGGACATCTACGAACCATTGAAAAGTGGGTCGGGACTTACGATGCTCAACCTCGTTGCCTTGACGTGCCAGATGGTGAGTACGAAGGCTTCCTTCTGGCGTGACGGCTTTCATTCAACTTCTCCCTGAAGATTGACGCGTTGGAGTACGTTCATTCCCTTCACCTTGTCCACTGCGACGTCAAGCCCGGCAATTTTCTGTTCGAACGCCATCCCACTGGTAGAATTAAGCTCATCGACTGGGGATTGGCGAAGATATACCGCGATCCCGCGACTCGTCTGCACAGGCCTCAGGATTCCATTCCTACTTTGATCGGCACCAGAACATACGCAAGCATCAACGTGCACTATCATGTTCGTAAGTGTAATCTAGACCGCAAGCGAAATATGACCTGACGAGCATCCCCCACTTCAGGGCCCACTCGTCGGGACGACATAGAGTCTCTTGCGTATACCATCCTTCTCCTTCTCTGCGGCAGTCTGCCCTGGCTGGTATGCAGGCGGAATAACGAGGCTTACTTGCGCGAGAAGCTCAAGTGGTCTGGGGCCATCATCGCAAACGGATACCCATCCGTTTTCGGCGCTTTCCTCGACTACGCGCGCACCCTAGCATTCGACGCCGAACCCGATTACTCGGGATGGAGGCGCCATTTCAAGGCCATAGCACCTGGACTTCCCGAACCGTCGCTGTTTTCTCCTTCTGATACGAGTGCTCGTGTGGGGCAGCATTATTGGCCGCCCGTAGTGCACCCCGTGCCTGCAGATCCTCCGCCGAACAGCGAAGCCCAAGAGATATACGGTGACGATGACAATTGGGTGCCCACGTCGACCTGGGCCAATCCTGTGAATGTTCCGGACGACGATTTGTTGGGGAACGAATTGAAGACGGTTTCAAGGTGCTTAGAAAGGATCGAGGAGACACCTGGGATGGATGAGCCTTGGCTTCACGAGGCGATTGGATATCCTCCCGAGACGATTGTTCAGTGTTGGATTTGACTGGTAACGCAGCCTCAGCGGTGGCTATTCACTGAGCTATCCTGTCATGTATCCGCTTGATTATCTTGCGATGTATACACAAAGGCTTTATGTACAGTGGAATTTCTACATTTTGCCATCCATATACTGTCGGACTCCGGGAACGCGATTTAGTGATGAAGTCACTGGATCTGTGACAAACAAGTGCAACGCGAACGGACGCTTTGCCCTCATCGGCGCTCACGTTTGCGTCGACCCACGACCACCGCACACCATGTCCGCGTCGCCGTCGAGCGCCATGTCTGTGGACGCCCCGAAGCGTAAAAGGTGTGTGAACAGTGTACTCGGCATCGTTAACACGACTAATAGCAACCAAAGGTCACCCTCAGAAGACGGCGAACACGATGCACCGCCAGCGACACGGCGGCGCTCGGCGTCCCCCTTGCCTGACGGGATCCCTCGCATCAACGACCCCGACCCCGTCCGCCGCGCGGAGCGCGAGCGCCAGCTCGCGGCACGTGTCGCCGCGCTCGAGCTCGAAAAGAGCGACAAGCCAAAGGAGAAGGAGAAGGACCCGGAGGCGGATGCGAAGGCCGAGTTCCAAAAGCTGCTCAACACGCGCTCTGGGGGCGTCTACATGCCCCCTGCGCGCCTGCGTGCGCTTCAGGCTGCGGCGGCATCCGACAAGTCGAGTCCGGAGTACCAGCGCCTGGCTTGGGATGCACTGCGCAAGAGCATTACGGGTATCGTGAACAGGGTGAACACGCTCAACATCAAGCAAGTTATTCCGGAGCTCTTCCAGGAGAACCTGATTCGGGGGCGGGGCCTGTTTGCGCGGAGCATCATGAAGGCGCAGGCAGCCAGTTTACCCTTCACGCCCGTCTTCGCGGCGCTCGTGGCGGTCATCAATACGAAGCTGCCGCAGGTGGGCGAGCTGCTGCTCACGCGGCTGATCAGTCAGTTCCGCAAGTCGTTCAAGAGGAACGACAAGGTGCGTCACAATAGTGTCTTCATATGCTTTTGCTCACAATGCTGCAGACGATATGCCATGCGGCCACTACGTTCATTGCTCACCTTGTCAACCAAGGAGTCGCCCACGAAATCATCGCCCTCCAAATCCTCGTTCTGCTTCTCGAACGCCCCACGGACGATTCCATCGAGATCGCCGTAGGCTTCATGCGCGAGGTCGGCGCCTTCCTCCAGGAAAATTCACCAAAGGGCAACACCATCGCCTTCGAGCGCTTCCGCGCGGTCCTCAACGAGGGAAAAATCAGCCACCGCGTGCAGTACATGATCGAGGTGTTAATGCAAGTCCGCAAGGACCGCTACAAGGACAACCCCATTATCCCGGAAGGCTTGGACCTCGTCGAGGAGGACGAGCAGATCACGCATCAGATCCACCTTGAGGAGGAGCTTCAGGTGCAGGAAGGCTTGAGTACGTTGCAGATATGCTATCATGGTTCTGTACTGACGGTGTTCGCAGACATCTTCAAGTTCGATCCGAACTACCTGGAGAACGAGGAAAAGTACAAGGCTATCAAGGCGGAGATCCTCGGCGAAGGCTCTGACGATGAGGAGGAATCTGGCTCTGAGGAATCTAGCGAAGAGTCTGACGACGAAGGAGGTACGTTGTTATATGCTCGTTTCTCTCGCCACCTGCTAATTGTGTGTCCAGTTGCGGAAGAGAAGGAGGGCATCGAGGACAGGACGGCCACAAACCTCACCAATCTTCGCCGCGTCATCTACCTCACCATCATGAATGCGCTGAACTATGAAGAAGCGGTACATAAGCTGCTCAAGGTTCAGCTCAGCGAGGGTCAGGAGGTAAGGCATCCCGCCTAGCTTGCGCTTGTACCGTGCTGACCCGCCGCTGCAGATCGAACTGGCGAAGATGATCATCGAGTGTTGTTCGCAGGAGCGCTCTTACTCGACCTTCTACGGCCTCGTTGGCGAGCGCTTCTCGAAGCTTAACCGCGTCTGGACAGACTGCTTCGAGGAAGCCTTCACCATCTACTACGACACCATCCACCAGTACGAGACGAACCGGCTGCGGAACATCGCGCGCTTCTTCGGGCACCTGTTCTCCTCGGACGCGATCTCGTGGAACGTGCTGCGCGTGGTGAAGGTGAACGAGGACGACACGACGTCGAGCTCGCGCATTTTCATCAAGATTATGATGCAGGAGATGATGGAGGCGATGAGTCTTAAGGGGCTGGCGGAAAGATTGAAGGACCCGGAGATCAGGGATGCGACGAGGGATATGTTCCCGATGGATGTGCCGAAGAACACAAGGTTCTCGATCAACTACTTTACGAGTATCGGGCTGGGTCTGGTGACGGAGGAGATGCGCGAGTATCTGAAGGTTCGTCGTCTGTCTGCCCCGCGTTCGTACTGAACGCTGACCTTGTTCGCAGAATGCGCCGAAGATCATCATGGAGCAGCGCCGGGCGATGTTGGAGAACGAGTCCTCGAGCTCCGATTCTGACTCTTCAGATTCGGATAGCTCGTCGGATTCTGACTCTGATTCCGACTCCGACTCGGACAGCGATGACGATCGCTACCGCCGCCGCTCGCGCACGCCGCCTCGCAAGCCTCGGGACTCGCCCCCACGTCGCGGCAGCCGCTACGAGCGCTCCGTGTCTCCACCCCGTCGCCGTGGGGATTCGCCGCCCCGCCGTCGTGGGGACTCGCCGCCTCGGCGTCACAGGGACTCCCCTCCTCGTCGCCCGTCACCGTCTAGGTCGCCTCCTCCTCGCCGCCGGGGTCGTGATGACAGCGTTAGCCCTCCGCCTCGCAGGCGTAGGGACTCGCGAGCTATGGATGACTCTCCGCCGCGCAGGCGTGACTCGCCTCCGAGGTACAGGGACCCCCCGCCCAGGCGTCGGCGGGGTGACTCTCCTCCTCGCCGTGTACGGGACGACTCTCCACCTCGTCGCACTCGCGATGACTCCCCTCCTCGTCGTCCGCGCGATGACTCGCCGCCGCCTCGTCGTGCCCGTGATGATTCGCCACCTAGGCGCTATCGGGATCGCTCCCCTCCGCCTCGCCGTCGTGGCGACTCTCCGCCTCCTCGCAAGGGGCGTCCCGTGTCGCCTCCTCCTAAGGGCGCACGCACGCCACCGTACAACAAGAGCGATAGAGGGTACGAGAGGGACGGTGGCCGTGCTGGGGACAGGTCGCCTCCGCCGCATTTGCGAGACCGTGACTACGACAGGCGCCGGTGATGAGAAGTGGGTGACAGCTGCATGTACGGGTACCGCAGTGTTCTCAGATGAGTAGTTCGACTGTGCAGTACCGACAGGCATACCTTGTGCGGCTTTCGAATCTTACCACAATGCAATCTATATCACGCACAAGCTCTCGAACGCTTTTGTGACCAGACGAAATCCCGAATCCATTGTCAATGTCGGAAGGTATCATGCAAGTGAAGGTAGGTAAAGCAAGAGACTGAGCAGTACTAGGAGCTACAGGCAGATAAGGTATTAGATACGGCTATAAACATAAGTGCGGCATGGCAGTCAAGTCCAGGGGGTCATGTCTACATCGTCAAGTCGAACGCAGCCAGTGGAACGAAAAATGACGCAAGGTCCATAAAGTAGAGAACATCAATGGGACAACATCTATCTATGCGCTCAAAGCTACCGTCTGAACGGGTTCTTCGACGCACCAGACGCGCCCGTAGCACCGGTGTGCTCGGCGTGCAACCAGTAGTTGCCTGGCAGCGGCGGGCTCGCCGCCAGCTGCGGCTTGTACCGGTTCGCGTACTCCTCCGCCTCGGTCTCGCCGCGCGACTTGCCGAACTCGCCCGTGTACATCGAGCCGCTCGCCCCGCTCCAGCTGCTGCCAGAGAAGCGAGAGCGGAGCGCGGGCTCGTCGCGCACGGGCTGCTTCGGCTCGGGCGCGCTCCGCGGCTTGCCGGTGATCGCAGAGTACAGCGAGGGCCCCGAGAGCCGGTTGAGGTCGTGCGAGGGGCGCTCGTACGCCTCGAGCAGGGACTCCATCTCCTTCTCGTTCCGCGCGCTCTCTGTCTCGGCGAGGCGGCGCATGCGGTACGCGTCGCCGACCTCGGGGTCGACGTAGTACCGGCGCTTGTCCGCGTCGCGCCCGTGCCCGCTCCCGCCGAAGAAGCGCGCGAGGCGGTCGCGCCAGCCGCCGCGGTGCGCGAGGTTCTTCGCGCTCGCGAACTTGGCGGTGAGCTTCGCGCGGCGCTTGCGCGCGTGGCGGCGCCAGAGCATGAGCACGACCATGAAGATGAAGGCGCAGCCAAGGGCCATGAGCAGGATCTGCCACCACTCGAGCTTGTCCTTTGAGCTGATGACCGTCGGGCTGTCGATGCCGGTGACGGTGGGCGTGGACCCGGAGCCCGTGCCCGTGGGCGTGGTCTTGACGAGCTCGCTCAGGCAGACGCCAAGGCCGGAGATGACCTTGGCGTTGTTGTCGCAGTTGGCTGCGACGCAAGAGCCCTCGCGAAGGACCTGCGAGGCGCTGGAGCACGCGAGGCATTCGTCGGAGCCCGGGCCCGAGCAAGACGAGCAGCTCGAGTCGCATGACTGGCAGCTTGAGGTAGTCGCATCGTAGTATTGCGACTGGCTGCAAGTCGGTAGACAGCGGCCGTTGCTCAACACGGGGCGGTCGGACGGGCAGCTCGAACATTGGTTGAACGCCGAACCAGAGCACGTCGCGCAGTCTGGGTGACAGGTGATGCACTTCCCCGAAGAGCTGAAGGCATTGTCGGGACATGAGGTCACGCACTTTCCGTCAGCAGTCGCTAGACGGTTGTTTGCGCAGGTCAGGCAGGTTGTAGCGGATCCCGCGCAGGAAGCACAACTCGAGTCGCAGGCTGAATGACAATTAGACTGTGGCTATAACCATCATCCTTTGAGACGTACCGGTGCAGGTCATGTTGTCCTTCGGGTCGATGAAGGAGCCATCGGGGCAGCTTGATACGCATTGCCCGTTAGAGAGGAAGTGACCAGGAATGCATCCCGTGCAAGTCGCCTTGTCGACCGTGGAGGCGACGTCGAAGGACTTGATCTCGCACGAAGTACATTTGGAACCGCAGGCTAAGCTGATGTCAGCAATGGCCACGACAACAAAGAGTTTCACTCACTGTCGCACTCGCCCTTGTTGTTGTCCGCAATGAGCGTGGTACCCTCACAAACACCATTCGAGCCCGCCGACACGCAGGACCCGTCCAAAAAGTACGTCCCGGACTTGCACGACGCGCAGTCCTTCGACGTCCCGCCCGTGCAGGTGTCGCACGCACTGTCGCAGACCTTGCAGCTCCCATTGTCGTTGAAGCTTCCTTTCGGGCACGTCGCCCCACTCGAGTCCGTCTGCGATGGTGCGGTGCACTTCGTCTTGTCCGCCGAGTCCTGCGTGAAGCCGTCCTTGCACGACAGACAGGCGCCGGTGTCATCCGCGCACTTCTCGCAGCCCGCGAAGCAGACCTTGCATTCGCCAGTCGTGGAGAGGAAGTACCCGTCCGCGCAGCCGGCGCACTCCGTGCCGTTGTCGCCCTTGGTCCAGCCCGGGAGGCACGAGCAGGAGCCGTCGGAGCCGCACGCGCCGTTGAGGCAGTTGCAGGAGGAAGGGTCGTTGTCGATGGAGACTGAAAGGCAGACGCCGGTACCGGAGATGCCGTCGTCGCAGTCCTTGCAGCCCTCGGGGCACTTGGTACATGACGGCCCGAAGAACCCGTCCTCGCACTGCTCGCACGAGCTGCCGGTGAAGCCTGTGGCGCATGCGCAAGTCCCGGACGATGTGCAGATGCCGTTGCTGGAACATGATGGGGAGCACCGGGTGGACTGCATGTCGAGGAGGGTCCAGTTGCCATTGCTGCTGGTCGGCAGCTGTGAGACGTCTGGGATGGATTCCCAGAAGACGAGGCGATCGTTCGAGCCACCGCTCATCGCCACCCATGTGTTGGACGCGAGCGCTATCGACTTGGCGGAGATGGAGGTAGAGTTGGAGAAGTTCGATGGTGAAGAGGGTAGTTCGTGATATGAGGCGGACCCAGAGTACAGGAGCTTCGAGTAAGCAGAGAAGCCTGGTGCGACCTCAAGCTCAAGGGGGAGGGAAGACAGTGATGAGGAGTTCTCGAAGCCGTCCGAGGGGGTGAGGGATGCGGACGACGAGGTGAGCATGTCATGTAGCAGTTGTGGGCTCGTGTCTTCATCGTAAGTGCCGGGTAGGAGATGTAATGGTGTGTCTTGGCCATCCGCGGAGAGAATGGAGCCAACTAGAAGACGTTAGCGACGAACACGAACATAAACAGGCGACGCACTCGTGATGTTAGTCGTGCCCTGGATGCATTCACCAGGAACGCAGACTACAGAAACGTTCGAGTCGGCGGCAGCTACGCTTGTCGTCAAGATCCATACGCCAACAATACTGGTTGTGCACTCACCAGCCACGCCAACCAAAAGTGCGCATAATGTGGATAGGTGTCGTATCATCATGCCCGTCAAGCGGCGCGTGAGGTCTTGGAAATCGGGAAAAGGCCTGGTGGTAGGAAGCAAGGAGGAATAAAATATAAAATGCTCCGACCAGCGAAGAAGACAAAAAGAACCGTTGCGTATTGTGCCCAATCGGGAGGACAATGAAAACGGAACTATTTTGATCCCATCAAAATGGACACAAAAATGTGTGACAAGTGCGTGTCACACAACCGTGACATGTTCGACTTTGCTGTGCAGGCAGCTGCAGCGGCATTACTGATAAGGTACGTTCTTCAATGCCTGACAGTGCATCAATATAGTACGACTCTGAGCCCAGGGCTGCTTTAATGCTCCAAAGCGACTATGAAAACTCTACCGACCGCATGTCCGCGGGTCCGCCTCGTATTAATACGGAACGATGTGCTCCGCAGGAGTGCCCACAACAGGCCGCACCCAGGGCCGCGCCATCCCAGGAACATCTTCAATCCTCTCGAGGTCCTGGTAGACCGTTTCTCGTTCGTTGCCCAGAAGATCCTCATCTGGAACATCCAAAGGTTGGGGCCAACTGCTCGTCGCTACCCAATCATCATCGCTGCCCAACACCTCTCTCACAACGCTCTTCGGTGGGCGTTGAAAGTTTGCAGGCTCAGTCTGCTCCTCTGGGCGCCGATATGATTCGCCCACCCGGGAGCTTGTGTCAGAGTAGGAATAAAGCGGTGGCTCGGGAAGGTCTGGAGCCATCGCTTCGAATCGCCGCCTCCAGCCAGCGTAATCGGGCTCCTCGTCAAACGCGAGTGTGCGGGTGTAGTCGAGAAAGTCGCCGAAAACGGCTGGGTTTCCAATGCTGAGAGCGCCTCCGGACCACTTGAGCTTCTCGCGCAGGACGCCCACGCGTTTTATGCCGTTCACAACCCATGGAAGTCCGCCGCAAAGAAGGAGCAGGATGGTGTATGCGAGGGATTCCATGTCATCCCGGCGAGAAGGACCTTGACGACGACAATACTCGTCAGGTCGTCAATTTCGCAGACGATATAGACTGCGCTCACATTTGTGATAATGCACGTTGATGCTTGCGAACGACCTTGTCCCAAGTAGAGATGAAATAGAGCCTTCAGGTCTGTGCACAAGGGTCGCAGGATCACGATATAACTTAGCCAAACCCCAATCAATGAGCTTGATTCCACCAGTCTGGTGGCGTTCAAACAGGAAATTGGCAGGCTTTACGTCGCAGTGAACAAGGTGGTGAGAGTGAACATGCTGCAAGGCATCAATCTTCGAGATGCAGAACAGTCAGTACAGGAAGATATGATACAAGAAGCTTCCACGCACCATCTGGCATGTCAAAGCGACGAGGTTTCGCATAGTAAGCCCTTCCGGGCTCTCCAAAGGTGTATAGATGTCCGGACCCAGCTCTTCGAGGGCGAGATATTCGTAGTACTGCGTCTGACCTAGGGCGTACACCTTGGGTATGCTGGGGTGCCCTGCAGAACAAGTTCGGTGAGTACAACTCGTCAACTTGGTACACTGTCCTAGCGTGCTCACCTCGAAGATGGATCATGGCGCACGCCCTGTGCAGCAACATAGGGTTCCTCACATGCTTGGTCGTATGCAATTTCTTGACGGCGAATACTCTTGTCGGTGCGTCGAGGTCAATTGTGTGAGCACGGTACACCCTGGCTGTACGGGTCGTCAGCGCGCTTGACCGATCGTATGATAGCCTCTCAGAGGCAGAGATGCAAAATGAAATCGCAGGAGGGAAAACACTCACCATTTCCACCGGAAGCTATCTTCTCGTCAAGAAAGAGTCGCATCGGGTTGCTGAGTAGGCGACAAAAGTAAGAATCCGCTGAAGGTGAGCCGAACAGCCCGTAGTGGATAGTTGGCGAGCAAGAAGAGGTCGTGCCACAACGCCGTTCAGGCGTGGCCTGCCAGCAAATGAATCGACCTTGAGGCGCGTCACCGCTAAGTCCGAATAAGTAGACTGCATTACTAAAGTACATGTAGGTCTCCGAGTGTCCTTGAGGTGAGTATATGCCGTCATGAACCTACTCTGGAGGATCGCGAGCCACCTCCCTCACAAAGCGTCGAAGTTGATCCTATGCGAGATCCGCCGCCTCTCCATCTCGTCCTCCCGCTTCTCGTTCAGGTGCAACACAAGTACGATCACCGCCATGACCACCGTGCCGATGATGACCGTCAGGGTGACCCACCTGTGTGTCGTCATGTCAGCGCAACATTCTTCACTCTCCCCACTTACTCTTCCCCCTCAGTCCCCACACGACCAACATCCACCTTCAAGACAGCAAAGAAAAACCAACCACTCACGGAATCCACTTCCCCGGCCTCAAATACAACTCCCTCTTCCACGCCTCCCCCTCCCTCGCCGACGGGTGTATCACCACCTTCGAGTTCGGCACCACGCCCTCCATGTTGATGAAGTGCTCAGGCGCGTGCACCGTCGCGCCCACGAACAGGTTCTCGATGTAGTTGTTCGTGCGCCCGAGCCCGAAGAAGGAGTAGGGTGTTTGCAGGCTGTGGTAGCCGGTTTGGGGGAGCTGGCCGACTGGGCGGTGGCGGTGAGCAAGGTGCGTAATGGATAGAAGTGGGGTCGGAGTGGCTAGAGCTGGCAGAGGAATGAACGGAGGGGAGCGACGTACATTGCGCAGCACTCCGCCTTCCGGAGGTGTCGAGGACGGTGTACTTGTACGTGGCGCCGGAGTAGCTTACGCCGAACGGCTGTGAACGAGTCAGCGCGGACCATTGGCGAGAAGACCGTTCGCGTCGTACATGATACCGCGTCCCATTGGACGTGTAGCACCAGCCATTATCGCAGGCGCCGTTCAACACTGCGCGAGTATATCAGCATCACAGAAGACTACTATAGCCAAAATTGCGCACCTATCGCCTTCATGAAGAACGCATCGTAGTAAAAGTTGTTCTGCACGAACAAGATCTTCCCGGCCCCACTACGTCCAGAGCGTTGCACCATGATATCCAGCGTGCCCTTCTCACCGTAAGCCCTTCACACAATCCTATATTGAGATCCTGGACACTCACATCCTCATCCATGTCAATGAAAGACACCGACCGCGCGTCCTTCACAGCCTTGAGGTCGTCCACGTCCTTCTTGACAACCTGCCAGCCTCGGCGACCTGCATCCGCGTGAGTGCCGGGAGTTGACTACCGCATAAAGGGCTTACCCGAGCCATCCTTCTCGCACCCTGCCACGCCCTTATCGCAGGGTACCGACTGGATGAGGAACGGTGTCAAGGTCATCGACTCCGCGGCAATGAGTAGCATATCGGGGAAGCCGTCTGGAATACGCATCAGTCAGATGGAGCGAGGAGGGATAACATTGGTAGCCTGAGCTCACCCAGGTTGAAGTCGCCCATCTTGAGCGACAGGGGCACCGCGGGATCGTACGTCGCATCCCTCACGACCAACGCGCGCGTCCGAAAGAGGTCGGTGAAGGGGAAGCGGACGAAGGTCTATTAAGCGCATCAGTCAACCAAACCCTTCCAATTGGATCCCACTGGCGACTGATGCTTGACAGCCGGGCGCACACCGAGGCCCACCACCCTGCAAGACGCCTCACCCACCTTACTCTCCGCCGTCAGATCGAACTTGAAGTTCGGATCCGCCGTGCACAGCTCATCCGGCGTCCGGCAGTTCCTCTGCTTCGCCGACGGGCTCGACGACGCGCAAAGCGGAAGCTGCTGGTTGTACGCGATGTTGATGTAACAGTTGCTGCCAAAGCCGTTGTCGGAGACCTTCTCGCAGGTGGGGAAGATTATGTCGATAGTGCCGTCGCGGTCTGGGGTGGGGTGGGTAAGGAAAATTAAAAGGGTAGGTGAAAGGGGGGGTAAGAAGGATAGGTGGAAGGGGAAGAGGGGGAAGAGGAGAGGAGGAGGTGATGGGCGAGTGGTGAGTGGGTGGAACCGTGAAGGGGAGAGGGGTGGAGAGAGCAATTGACATACCAACGTCCGCGAACGAGATACTCTGCACGCCAGAGGGCAGCCACCCCTCATCGGCGAGCGAGAACCCGGCGTCCTTGTTGTTGACCCAGATCTGGTAGCTCTTGTATCCGTGAGGTTTATCGCAGACGAGGAAGAGGTCTGCGTGATAGAAACGGACAGGCTCAGCAATGACAACGCTGCAGGAGGGCGAGACGGAACGACCTACCCGCTAGACAGTCACCGTTCAGGTCGATGACGGCGTTGCTGTGAGGGTTGGAGAGGAGGCATTGGTTGCCGGTGAATGGAGGGTCGATACTATATTGTTTGAGAGTTAGTAGATGATATAGGAGGATGGGGAAGGCATGAGGGCGATCTGAGGGAGGGCGAATGAGCTAACGCACACGTCAAACATGTAGTCCGTGTTCTTCTCCTCGTCCCACGTATTATTCCAAACGGCGAACATGTTGCTGACCTAGGCGGTAGCGGCGCACATGAGGGGGGGCTCATGCGGAAGGGGACTGAAGAGGCGTACCGAGGGCGTTACACCCAGTAGGTCGATGCGCATATCACCGTTGATGTCGATGGGTATTGGCTGCACCATTCCGGATGGTGGTACCGTAATGGGATGGTCAATGTCTAGGGTGTTCAAGCGCATATATGTAGCGTCGCGAATGTATCGAACGGATGTAGTTTGAAGTTATATGGAGCAAGCACGATCGTCTCGTCAGCCTTCGTTGTGACCCTCAGCCCGCGCCACATCACGCACCGAAGCCGCCCTGCGATAGGGCGGGATAGACAAGCATGTTCATAGTATACGAGTTGCTTCCCTCGCTCATGACGAGAAGGTCAAGCTTGCCGTTGTGCGTGAAGTCGCCGGGGACGACATTGTATACTTTCGAGGGGTGGTGAAAGGTGGTGGCGGGCTGGAACATGAATTGCTCTTTGTAGATTTATCAGCTGTCAAGGTTCCGAGCTGCGCTAGATGTTGTGTGCGAGGGGAGAGACGCGGGTGGCGCGAATAGCACAAACGTATCCACTCACCATGGTTCCACAAGTATACCTTCAGCGTCTGCTGGTCGTCCTCAATCGCCAGCACGTCTAGTCTGCAGTCATCATCAGCCTCACCACTCCCCCTCCGCACGCAACACCTCAGCGCACAACTGGTCCCCATTAAAGTCCCCAAACGCTATGACGCGCTCATCGCCGGAGAGGCCTCGCGTGCCGGCGTCGATCAGCGAGTTCTTCGTGAATCTCTCGTGTGTGAAGGGCCAGACGGCAGAGCAATGGGGTATCAAGAGTAGGAGGGGGAGGAGGAGGAGGCCCTGCATCGGGCGCGTATGGTAAGGTGGGCGCCGAGAACAAGGGACGAATGAGTTTGTGGGTGTTTGGGTGGACGTGGTCGGCGCCTAACCTGGACCCTGACTTAACTTGTTCACTGATACCTCCATCTCACCCATGCCCTTTCTGACTTCGTCGTCTTCATTGCAAGGAAAGCAAGCACGCTCTGGGAATGTACTACACTCGAACACAATTCTCTACTCTTCCCCGAATCCAGTTATCGTAGCAAGCACGACTCAAGGCTTTCCCTCGAACCGGAAGACCTCCGGTACTTCCTGCGTCAAACATCAGCAAGACTCTCATACGTCTCTGCTGACGCCGCCCAAAGTGTATCAAAGCGGATGCGCAACAACAGCGACACCATGTACGAACGCCAAGGAGCACTCACCGTCCACCAAGGCACCTCCTTCCCGCTCCCGGTCGCGCCCTCGTTGAAGCTCTCTTGCATCCCGTCGGTCACCGCCCACCACTTCTGCGTCTCTGGATCTTCGGCAACCTGCAGGACGCGTCCCGTTAGCCGATCAGCATTCCCCTTTCCTTCAGTCTCCATCATCATCTCGTCCATCCACTGCATCGGTCGCCCGTTTGCATCACCTTCCGCAAACCATTCGCCTCTTCCCCCAACGTACGTTCGCTGTCGTCCACCCGACAAGCACCGACTCACACCCACCTTCTTCATATCCCCTTCGTAATTGCTGCCGGTATACTTCATCGTCGCGATCAGCAGCTTCAACGGCGCGTAGTAATTGATGCTGTAATCCACAATGTGCGCGCGCTCGAGCGCGGCAAGGACGCCGGGCCAGACATTCGCATGGATGGCTTTGTACTCTTCGAGGGCCTCGTCCTTGAGCTGCGAGAGGAGGGTGCGTACGGTCAGACGATGTTGGGCAATGCGATGGAATGCCCTTCACCTTGATGATTTGGCAGATGCGCTTGGTGTGAGGGACGGACATGGCGTCTGCAATACGTGGTAGGGGAATTGAGGTGGTAGGAGCGAAGACTGGTCACTTGGCGCCCTCCCTTCAAGCTCGTCGTGCACCTCACCGGACCGTCGCGCTTCTGAGGATCCGGGCAAGACGGGCCGCCTACCCGCTGGTCAGCGCTTGCTCCGACTTGGCAGCGCTCGATCAAGTACTCAGCAAGCGATGTATACAACTCTGAGCCTATAGTATTTCTTGACACTCACAACTCATCACTTTCTGCCGCACCTTCTTCAAGTCTTGCCATATTTTCTGGATCTGCTATGCATCACAGTGGGCATGTTCATCGCCTCGAGATTGGACCTTGTTCTTTCTGCTCACTACGATATATGCAATACCTCCTTAGAACATGCAAGAGTCTTTGAGCTCCAATGTTTGCCTGTGTACTCTGTCGAAGAGAATGCTCGAACAAGAACAATACCTTCCGAATGGGGCACATGAGGACAATAGACCGATCCAAGCGCCTTTTCCCCGGAAGTTACTGCCAAACAAAGGGAGCGCCTTCGGCAATGTGAAATGCAACGTGCGGAAGTACCACGACCCCGACGACGACCATGGCCGACACCAGCAACTACGACTACCTCTTCAAGGTGGGATGAGCTGCCTACCCAGCCCACCACCCAATTGAACTGCTCCCCAGATCGTCCTCATTGGAGACTCTGGTGTCGGAAAATCGTGAGTCTTACTGCAAGTGGAACGTGCATGCATACTGATTGACCTCTTCTATAGCAATCGTAAGCGCTCCGTTCAATGATAGGGAGGTCGGAGGACTGATTGGGCGTAGTTCTCTCGCGTTTCACGCGCAATGAGTTCAGCCAGGACACCAAGTCGACCATCGGCGTCGAGTTCGCCACGCGCTCAATCACTGTAGAGGGCAAGATCCTGAAGGCGCAGATCTGGGATACTGGTATGAAGGTCGACCACTCCCCTACTCCTACCATACTCACACGATGCTAAAGCTGGCCAGGAGCGCTACCGCGCCATCACCGCTGCGTGCGTCATTCCCTCCCCTCCATCCCATCCCCCAACCATGCGCTGAACGCCGCTCCCTCCATCCAGCTACTACCGCGGGGCCGTCGGCGCGCTGCTCGTGTACGACATCTCGAAGCGCGGCTCGTACGAGAACGTGCAGCGCTGGCTGAAGGAGCTGCGCGACCACGCGGACTCGAACATCGTCATCATGCTCGTCGGCAACAAGAGCGATCTCAAGCACTTGCGGGCCGTGCCCACGGATGAGGCGCGCGCGTTTGCGGGTGCGTGGTGCGACGATGAGCGCATGGGATAGTCATGGCTGACTGGCAATGATAGCGGAGAACGGCCTGTCGTTCATTGAGACCTCCGCGCTCGACGCCTCGAATGTCGACTCGGCGTTTGAGACGAATTTGACTGGTGCGTGATGTTGTAGCTCCCTCTCATCCGTTGCTCACGTACGCTTTCCCACGCAGACATCTACCGGATAGTCTCCAGCAGGACTCTGGAGTCGTCCGCCAACCCCATAGAAGCACCCTCCGGCAACACCGTCAGCGTCGGCCCCTCCCTCGACTCCAACGCCAAGCAGAGCAACGGCTGCTGCTAGTCGGTGCCGTCCTGTTATGTCGATGCGCTAGACGAGGAAGCTGCATATGCCTCACGAACATCCCGTCCTCGGCGATCCTTGCTGTTCAGCAGGTTGTAGCCGTCCGAGCGAGCTCTTTGTGCGCTCGAAGAACACCGTACACACCTGTGCCAGGACTGGACATACGCTGCTCCCCTCGCTCGCATTTTGGTCTGGATATCTGTATTCTAGATACGTGCTTCTGTACCGTGTAATGCCCTAACGCTCTTGTCGCCACAGTGACTACAATATACCTCCTTCATCTCACTTGACCGACACCTGTAGGCTGGCTTGCGAGACTAGACGCCTGAGGCTGATGGAACGGTGACCAGTGAGCGCTTTCAGTACGAGAAGATAGAGGTGCGTATTCGGATAATTAAGCTTAGGTCTCCATGAGCATCATACAAGGTAAGTGAAGATATACATGAAATCGCTATCAAGTACAGAGCAACAACGAACATATCGGCCGATGACTTCTCGAGAGCTTCAGATAATTAATTGGGCGTAAGAGCGTCACTCAGCTTCTGCTCGAGCAACTTGATGCGGTCACCCAAGTTCTGCTCTAGAGCCTTGAACTGTAGCTCCAGGAACGAAGGCTCTCCACGAAGCGCCTCCTCCTTGACGAGGATCCAGATATGATTAGGATGGTCGCCTGCGTGCGACGTAATGCATGTTTCCTTGCAGGCGAAGACGCCCTTCTGCGGCCCTGTCGATCATCGGTTAGTCTTCGCAAACAAATCCACGGGCATACTTGACTTACTGTTGGCATAGCAGCTCGCGCAGAACCAGAAAGGCGACGTGATGGTGTGCCTGCACGAAGCGCTCTGGCAAACGTGCGACTCCTTGCTGGACTTGCCATGCGCTCGGTAGCTGCGCCCAAGCCATTTGGACGACATTTCGAACTCGCTCTCGACATCGCGCCGGACATGCTCGAGCGCCTTTCGCGCCATGTCGTAGACGAGCTTCTTGTCCTTGTCGTGCAGATGGAAAGGGATCCTGACGAGAGTGTGCGAGCTCTTGTGCACCAGATATCCGAACGTTGGCGTCTGCGTTATGCATTCGTGGCACAAGTCGATCTGGGTCCGCAGACCAGCTTCGACGCATTGCAGGCATGCGTATCGTTCGCCGGAAATGGAACAGTCGCAGGCGTCGCAGACGGCGTTGCTGTTGCGTTTTGGTCAGCCGCCCATCCCCTCTCAAGACACACAAACGTACTGATGCTTGGTAGGTGGAAGAACACCGGCATCCGCAACCACCCTTTTCAGACCCAGCTCCGAGGCGAATGCATCGCATTGTTCGTTGTTGAGCGCGTCATCGTAAGTGCCTTCGTAGTAGAACTGGAGGAGGTTGTCCTCTGGGCGACTGTCCCCATGTTCTCCTTGGGAAGCGATGTGCTGGAACTAACGAGATATCAGTAAGGAGGATTGAAAGCGTTCCGGATATATTGACCATGCCGAAGGCGTAGGTGTTCAGTCGCGCTTGACCCTGCTCTCGTGAATGACGAAACACAGCTTCAAGAGCATTCAGATCATTGAAATCCTTGCGTCAAGTATATCAGACACACCGCTCAGCGTCAGAGCACGCTCTTCGGCCGCTTTCATCACTTGCCGCAGGGATTCCATCGCCGGCACCAGCTCCTGGGCACTCAGCTCATACTTTCCACCCAGCTTGATGAAGCGTAGGTGGCGACGAAGGATTAGGTAGAGCAAAGGATATATGTACTATCGGGTATGAGTGTCGTGCCAGAACTACGTATCTCAACAAAATTTGACTCACCCGCTCAATACGGCCGTCACCCTTCACCATATCCAGCGTGATGTGGTCGTCAATCTCGAAGTGCACCTCCTCCAGCCGCTCTTCCAGGCGCCTCTCTTCCATAGCCGTGAATTCTTGAACCTGCGCAAGCACTCTGCTTCGGGCGCATGGACGCGAAACGTCAAGGCCACGCATGAGCAGTTCGATTCGGCGGAAGGCCGCACGATTGAGATAGAAGTCAACCGTCTCACGGTTCACCGGATGCAGGTCGTCGAGGAGCTCATGCATCTTCTGCATGGTCCGCAGGATCTTGGTTCGGTAATGAAGTAGGGACGAGTACCACCCTATGACGATATCAACCGGCGGCGAGGATAACAAGATGGCCAAACGGTGACCTTCGCCCCAGTAAATTAACCAACGCATCAGACTAGACAACTGTAATCAGCGTCAGAAAGGACGGCCGAATCGATGACCGACCTCCAGTCGTCTGGCCGAGACGAAGTGAACGCATTGACTTCCCATGTGCTGACTGGAAGAGAGTAAGCAAGCAAGAAGGAGGCTTGTTTGATGAAGTTCACCATAACCCGTGCCATCGTCATCCAGCGCCTCAGTGATGGGTTGGACAGTCAGCATGGTCAACGCGTCAATCGCCCACTGTTCATCGCTCCTGATAGTGTTCTTGTTCTTTGCCGACTCGGACGCGGCGAAGGCGGCACCATCAGTGGCGTGGGCTTGACCCCACGTATGGAGACTAGACGAGCCTTCGTCGTAGGGGTCAGGAATTACAGTGTTGCCTCGCACAGGGTGGATGCGTCTTCCACCATATACGCCGTGTAGCCTCTCAATGAGATGATCGCGTAGGGCAAGCGTGAAGTACTGGGACTTGACACTGTTGCGCCAGTGCTGTAAGTCGCGTGAGTATGGCAGTTTGCAAATTTGCAGATAGGAGGATGTGACTTCACCATCTCCTGCCAAAGCGTCTTGATTTCCTGCAAGCCATCAGCTAAGAGGCGCTCACCCAATGAAATATCCCGTACCATATCGTCAATCCGCTCATGAGGACCTTCTCGCAGCTTCGCTACGACGTTGGCGCTTTCCTGAATGATCGAATCCTCGATGTTTTGCAAGGCTTTGACCTGAGTACTTATAGTGAGTGACAACGGAAAAGTGAAGTACTGCATACTGACTATCTCGTCTTTGGCTTTCGTCAACTTCCATTCGTATTGCTCCATGTTCTCCTTCAAACCCTTCTCCAAGTCGCCACATAGCTCCATTTTCAAAGAAGATAAAGTCATTCGACGCTCCGTCTTGCTGCCTACCATTATGATCATGTCGCCCTCCATATGCAGAAGGCTTTCCAGGGCATCCTCGTCCTTCTCGCAGTGGCCCGCTCCGCCATGATGTTTGATGAATGCTCTGGCTTCGAGCTCGCGCGTAGTGTCAAGGCGAACGAGGAGCTCACGCATCATTTGGGTGCTCTCGTAGATAGCGCCTCTCGTCCGATCGAGATCCTCCGAGTTTTTGACGTCGAGCAGCAGGCTCAGTTGCCTGCGCCTCATTTCGAAGCGCTCGGCGAACTCCGCAAGAGTCTGCTCGTAGAAGTAGCTCTTCAGAATTCGGACTGGAATTGAGACGTCAACGAAAGGTATGATCGAGCCAAGGCCGTAGGTACATACCAATCATGCGCTTCTTCACATATGCGTCGCATGCGTTGCCACACTCCGTGATATCTCTGGAAATATCCTGAAGTAGAGATGCGAGCTTGCCCCGAATACCTGATTCTTCCGCATCCTGGAGCTCTTGAGATGGGGAGACGCCATTCAAGCTATCCAGATGAATTCAGCGATGTTATGCGGGCAGGTGAGAGAAGGACTGACTGGTCCAACACAGCAAGCATGTCCATCATCGAGATACACAACGTCAGCACCTTTTGGTTGTTCTCCTGACGCTTGAGCTCGAGTTCAATGACGCCCTTGAACGCGAGGAGCGCCACTACATTCAAAATTCAAGTATCCGACGAGTCATCGACTGAACTCAGTACTTACGGTCGATGTAAGGGTGAATCTTGGCTACAATGTCCAAGGCCTTAAGGAGCACACGGGCGTCATCGGTGAAGTGATAGATGCGCCCTCGAAAATGTGAAGCAATGTCTTCGATACTTTTCTGTTGCTTGCCTTCCTGAGACTGTGTCGCGATCGGTAAGGGTCCGTCCGCTATCTTGCCTTCTAGTTGGGTCGTTAGCCACTTTTCACATGACTCGCGCGAAATAGCGTGCACGCCTTTGGGGCAATCTTCAGTACGGTGGAAAGAGAACTTGTGATACATGCTGTGCCAAGAGGAGCGCTTGTTTTTGAAGGCGGAATAGACCGACTGCCCATCCTCGCTCTGCAGAAGCCGTCAGGTTTCGGTCGCGGATTTGTATCGATACCACGCACGCTGATTTCCTGTGAAGACCTAGTGGCAGGATCAGCGGTATTGGCAGATTCGTGTTGGCATGCTGAATCTTTGTGGTGGTGATGGTGGTGGTGAAAGGGCAGGTGCACATGAGGCATGGTGAAAACGAGGCACAAATATCAGTGTGCTTGTGTGTCTGACAGTGAGAACTGGGTACGGGCAATGGTGCTGTACGACTGACTTCCTTCACAGCGCCTTTTATATCGGGAGTCCTAGATGTTGGGGTGACGTCGACGTCTTGCACCTATCGCACCACGCCCTATCTGATTGTTGTTTCCAAGTTCTAAACCCTAGGACTATCCCATGAGCTATAGCGAGAGCGGCCGTTAAATGGCTCGGACGGCGACCAAACGCGTTCATCCCGTGCTTGTCGTGTTCGACCCTGGTACAGGGCAATCCCTCTGGATTAGCATGGTCTCTGCATGAGCCTCGAGGAAATTTATGGTGATCAATAGGTTCCTTACGATGTCGATGTTGCCCTTAATGTGTAGCATTATCCGAGGCCTCAAGCGAAGGCAGGACGGCGAAAGAAGTTGCGCAATAGGATTTCTGCAAGACAGTTAGAGAGTCCTAATTTGCTACATGACGCCCGTCGAGCGGCTTACCAGGCAAGCCCGTATTACCCAGTTGTACATGCTTCCTTATGCATACGATCCCCACGCGCCTTGGAGTCAGAATCCGGCTCAAAAACCTGGTGAAGGTAGTCGGATACTCGTAATTCATTAGTATCCTAGGAGCCAACCTTCGGCGCCACAATACTCGGAAGCCTTGACACCTTACATGCTAGGATAGCCGGTACGTAGGCGCGTATCGCATGCCATCGAAAGGCCACTGCATCCTTGGGCGCGGCGCGGAAGTTCGAAGGGGACGTCGCACCGTTCATCTCAGCCACCAATCATCATAGTCGGAACATAGATTGCTCGATAATCACTGGACGTGAAGGGGTGGCCGGCGCAGCAGGAGGAGTGTGACAAAATGTTTGGAGCCGCTTGACGGAGAAGTACCGGATCAAACCCCGATTCAGCTCCTTTAAGCCAATCCGAGATGGAGCACTTCCAGCCGTCGCATGTAAGAACAATCATGTATACACCAAACATGGAACCTCTAAATCTATGACAATCTATGAAAACATTTATGACTCCAGCTCGCGCGACCTATATCCAACTACACACGATCCTCGGGAAGTCGACGACTTGTTGCCTCTACAGGAGCTTCCGCTTCCATGCTATCCGAGTCGCACTTCTCTTTTAGCGATGTCGTCGCCATGGTCAGCCCACTCTCCAGACCTGCAGGCGACTTCGGCTCAGCCGTCAAGTCCGTGGTGCTGGGCACGGCGGTCGGAGGCTCCGTGATCGCGGGCGTTATGGCGCCAGCTGCCACTTTCTCTGCCATGACATCTGGGAGACCGAAGTCCTGCAGTAGCTGATCAGCACGACCGCGCGAGCGATACAGCATCATGATACCGACCTTCAAGAACAACGACATGACCAAGCAAACCGCTATCAGCGGTATATAGTACACGTAGACCATATGCAAGCCGTGCCCGAACGCGGCGTAGACGCCTTCCGCGACGTCCGAGGGGAGGCTGTCTGGGAGGTCGATCGACCCTCCTGCGAGTAGGGAGTCCCGGATGTCGGACGGCAGGGCGGCGGGGAGCTCGTCCGAGATGATGTTATTGAGGATGGCATTGCTGATGGCGACGCCGAAGCTGGAGGGCATCGTGTGAGAGATAGGTGGGGAAAGAAAGGTCAAAGCACATACGCGCCACCCATGGTACGGAAGAAGTTGCGAGTGCCGGTCACGACGGCGCGGTCCTTGCCAGGCGCAGCGGCCTGCGCAGCAACGAGGGCTATGATCCTCGTCAGAAGTCACTCACAGCTCGATCGCATTTTCCACGTACTCGTCTGCAGGATACCGCCAGTCCCAATGCCCTGAATCAACAGAATCCCAATGATCTTCCCGATACTCGTCGTCCGCCTAAACGTGGACTGCAACCCGCTCCCGATCAACCACAGCGAGAAGCCGACGAGGATTTGCGGCTTCACGCCGCCCGTGTACATCGTGACCTGCCCGTTGAGCACGCCGGAGACGGACTGGATGAGGAGGAGGGGGAGGAGGAGGGCAGCAGACTTCAGTTCGCTGAAGCCGCGGAATTTCTGATAGTAGATGGGGAGGAAGTAGATGTTGCCGTCTGGGGACGGATGAGTGGGATGGCGGAAAGGGATTCAGAGCGAGGACTTACAGTATACCATACCGTAGAATAGGTTCATGCAAAAGACGAGACAGGTCGTGCGGTAGGTGAAGAGTCGTACTGCCAGAAAGAGTAAGGGATGAGCGGGTTGCGATCTCTTGGAACGAAGTCGATCGCGTACAGGGCATGACAGGAAGCCTGCAGAACTTCCATTCCACTACGGCGAAGAGACCCCAGACGACGCCGCCGGCACATAAAAGGCCAATCACAACCTACATCGGTCAGCATTACTGGCAACCCGTGTTCAATGAAAGAAACTCACACCAGACTTCCAAGGGAAAGTGGACCCGCCCGCAGATATGGGTACGAGCAGGAAGATGTTACCAGCGAGGGATAGGAAGCTCCCCAAGTAATCGATTTTCCATAGCTTTTCGCGGTAGTTCCCCGAAACCGCTTTCAACCTGTATCTGCGTCAGACGGGCAGAATTTGCAAGCGAAGAGATACACACGGGATATAGAGATATATGATGATGGCCGAGATGACGGTGCACGGGACCGGCAGCCAGAATACGTAGCGCCAGGACGCCTGTTGCGCCAACGCCGCGCCTACGAAGGGGCCCTGACGGCGTAATTGAGCTGGCAGGCTGGTTGAGGTAAAGGCCAGACTTACGACGGCAGAACCGAGTGCAACAGAGCCCGCAATGTAGCCCTGCCATTTTCCTCGCTCTCGAAGGCTTGTCACATCGGACATGACGATCATAGACAGGGTGCCAATCCTGACGGAAGGACGACGACGATAAGCATGCAGTAGACGCTCAAGGGAGAGCAATTTACCCTCCACCGCCGATGCCAGCAATCGCGCGGAAGACGTATAGCTGCACCGGGGTCTTCGCAAACCCGCAAAGCAAGTCACCCACGGCGAAGATGAAAAGCGCAGACATGAGGAGCGCTTTCCGTCCAAAAATATCTCTGCAACGAGGATGAACGGGTCGAACACAACGCAGAAGGCCGCCACGTACGATAGCCGGCCGTATATGATTTGGAAGGACGTTGTCGCAACCAGGTAAGAGGTTCCGACCCAAGTGATGGATTGCCCAGCATGTATGTCGGTCGCGATCTATAATCGTATAGGATAAGTAGCTGTCCCTCGCATGCCATTTCGTGCGTGCTCACCTTCGGCAAGGCAGTCGTAACAGATGTCGTGTCTAGAAAGGACAGAAAGATCCTGCACACGACCACCCTACAATGAGCTCGAATCCCGATCAGGCAAGGTGGACGCTCACGCGGATCCGAGGCCGAGGAAGATGATGAGTAGCTTCTTGAATGAGAGACGCGTCGCCTGATCCTCAATCGACGGCTCGCGCGATAGCTGCAGCCCGTCCTTCGCCATGATCGTCGTCTACAGCAAAGAGCAGGCTTCCTCATGGTGAAAATTGTCGGACTGGCGCCGAAGCCGAGTCCGCATGTTGTCGGACGTCCTCAGCCGCCTGCGTAAGGTCCCTACCTTCAGGGTGTATATTCGGGGGCTGTGAAGGGGGCGTGACATTGGCTCAAGAAGATAAGCTGCTTATCGTCGGCATGAAGGCGGAGAGTAAGAGTCAGTGAAGAGACTGATTATCACTACGATTTCGCTGGCGCCTGCATCATCAGTAATTCTGCGTGTCGAGATGCTGAAGACACACAGCCCTAGATTTGAGTAGTAAATAAGCTCATCGCCTTCACAAGTCCTGCGTGAACCTTGTCGCTTCGCCCGTAACAATGGGATTCGAATCAGAAGGAGGCTAAAGTTACCATTGAAGCTAGTACAGGTGCAAGTTCATCCTATCGGCCTTCGAATGAGCTGGCACTGGTGTATCATTCTTGGGAACTCGAGCTATCGCAATGAACGACGAAGCCGAGAACAACGTTGAATTCAAGAAGCGCCCGGCCTTGTTCAACTTCCACGTGGCGTCCACGTCCTCCCTTCGCGCCGAATTCGGGCTCGTGTGGCGTCCAAACACCTCCGCTGTCTCCGCCCACGTCCTCCACCCTCGCCTCACGTTCTCTCCTCATACCGCCATGGCCGACGGCAGCAACTACGACTATCTCTTCAAGGTTAGGGCTTGGCGAATTCTTGTCCCAAGTTTCGGGGATTGAATGCGTACACAGGTCGTCCTTATTGGAGACTCCGGTGTCGGCAAATCGTGAGCTTTACAACTCGTTGTTCGCGTACTTTCCCTCTGACTAGTATGCAGCAATCGTTAGTATACATGTGGACCTCCATTGAGATGTAATTGACGCGCTTGGTGCTAGTTCTCTCGCGATTCACGAGGAATGAATTCAACCTGGAATCGAAGTCGACCATTGGCGTGGAGTTTGCGACACGATCCATCAGCGTTGACGGCAAGACCGTAAAGGCTCAGATTTGGGATACAGGTGCGTGCCTCGCGCAATGACTGGCGACGGTGTACTGACCGTCTTGTCCTTTGCCAGCCGGTCAAGAGCGTTACCGCGCCATCACCTCTGCGTGAGCAGTACTTCCGTCCAGTCCCTTGCTACTTCCCTACTTACCCTACCATCCTCTGTACACCAGCTACTACCGCGGCGCCGTTGGCGCCCTCCTCGTCTACGACATCGCAAAGCACGCAACATACGTGAACGTAACACGGTGGCTGAAGGAGCTACGCGACCACGCCGACTCAAACATCGTCATCATGCTCGTTGGCAATAAGAGCGATTTGAAGCATTTGCGCGCCGTACCCACCGACGAGGCAAAGTCGTTCGCTGGTGCGGGTGTCTCTTGATCCCGTGTTGACCTGTCTGACGGCTGCCGCAGCGGAGAATAACCTCTCCTTCATCGAGACGTCCGCATTGGATGCGTCGAATGTCGAGTCGGCTTTCCAGACCATCTTGACGGGTACGTCTGTTCTTTCTTATGTGGTGTTCGCGGAGACTCAGGTTGCTGCAGACATCTACCGCATCGTCTCCAGCAAATCACTCGAGTCCTCCGCGAACCCCATTGAGCCGCCGAACTCCAGCGTCACCGTGAGCGCAACCGTCGACCCCACACCACAGGGCAACAAGTGCTGCTAGACCTCGATCCCTTATGCGCTCGCTGTTGATGTTGAGCGTCGAGGTGTCGTTGCTCTCTTGCTTTCCTCTTTCTGGTATCACTCGCTTCCCCGTCTGCATGTCTCGCTGGTCGACGTAATGACTGCTTGCGGCGTCCTGTAGTCAATGACTGTTGGTGGTTCGGTCGTCGGCGGTGAACGCTTGCGCTTGGTGGATGCGGGGTAGATGCCCGTAGTCGGTGCTCTCAGTGGACGCCCGCGGTCTGGGTCTTTTATGAATGAGCTTCGATAGCTCGACGTACTTGATGTGGATAGGTATACCGTTAACTCTCTACTGTCTCCTCCTTAAATATTGTATGCCCTACCTGTGAATAGACACTCCTGTCGGGGCTGGGCCAACGGTACCCCGACGTCTCGCATGTTCTGCCAGTCGGAGGAGACCAAGAATAAACATGCTATATTCGTTATAGGTTGCGCGCGGACCAGCTGCAAACGAACACTCGTGGAAGAATTTAGTATGCTACCGAAGCTGTCGCTGAATACGACCTCGCCTGTCGTGTGAAGCAAAGAACGGTATCGGGCCAATATTGATACATCGCAAGTGATACACCTCTGAGGCATGTTCAATGAGAAGGACCATGCCTGTCTACATAGCATGGATGTCGGTTGCTAAATCGTAGGACGGAGGAGCATCCCATCCTTCGGAGGTCCATACTCCCGAGGCTTCTACGGACCGTGTGGTCGGCAAGGTGTTCAAACGCTCGCGTTCCAGCTTGTTGGGTACAGATACATCCTCGCCAGATTCATCCTCTGCAGTGGCCTGGGACACACGAGAGCAGTCGCTGAGCGATGGAACCTGTACAGGTAGCAGGAACGCCCGAGGAACGAGCGCGTACTCGCTCGCGGGGTCAGACATGTCTGCGCGCGTTATGACAGCCCAGCCGTAGCCACCTGAGCCTTCGACGACGTTAACGACATCCCCGGCGGCAAGAGACTGCTCGAGGGAGTTCTCCGCCTGGAAGTCGAACAGCGCATGGTAAAGGCCTGCAGGTAGCGGTGACTCCGGCTCGTCTCCGACAGACGTGTTGTCGCTGGCGAAGGACGACCTCTCGTTGGTCTGTGCATGATACGCGGGCGGCAAGTGCGGTGCGCTCCTTAAGGCCTGAGGCGGTGGTTCACGCGATGGACTTGGCGTCCTCCTATCGTGCATCGAGGATGCTTCGGAGTGTTCATCCCCATCGCTGACCCCGGGGACGTGATGGAAGTATACGGCACCTGCGGGGTCGGTCCCATCCATGTCGTAGTACTTTGCCCACGCAAGGACATTAGGCTCGCGATACCAGGTTGTACCCTGATACTCGTAGTCGTGTTTTGGGCCATCGTACAACGCGGATGGTGCCGCCGGTGGATGATTACCAGCCTCCTCATCCACGTCCACCCTCGCTCGGAAGGCTTTCCCCAACGCGAGGGTGTCATGGACAGTATGTATGGAGAAGATGAAAACGGATAGGGAGTGGTAGCTCTGCATGACTCAATAACGACATGCTTGTGGAAAACTATCCAAGCTCACCTCTAATGCCTGAAGGTCGCATCTCGAACCCAGATCCTTCGCGAGATTCAGCCGATCCTGCTCTAGCTTCTGCCCCCTGTCGCAGGTCTCGCGCCAAACTCCCTCCCAGCGACGCGCAGCCGCATCGTACGTTGCAGTTCGCTCGCTTAGCGTGGTCTCGGCTGTATTCAGCTGCTGGTGGGCTTGCGACAGCTCGCTCTGGATGGTCCGCAGTCGCCCTCGCACGTCCCGATGCTTCATCTTCCGGGAAAGTGTCGCAATCTGATATCTAGCGGACTCATACGCTTCCCTTGCTTTGGCCAGCCTGAAGTCCGCCTTCTGCTTCGCGCGCGTCTCGGCTTGCAGGTGTGCGAACTTGCTTTGAAAGCCAACGTAGCGCTCCTTCAGTTCGTTGGCAGCCGCGAGGCAGGCGCTGAAGGACTCGAGAAGGGGAGCTTGTGCCGCCGCTTCGTTGTTAATGCCGTCTAGAAGGATACTACAAAGCGGACGAGAATGCCCACTGAATACGTTACGAGTTGCACCACTGACAGTGACAGCACCTGAGAAACTCACCTGATGTCCGGCTCAACGAACTGTTTGGCGAGCGATTGCATCTTGTGTTCGACGAGAGACAGGGTGTTGATCCTGCAAATGCGTTCATGGTTAGAGGACAGAAGGCCGCGGCTGCAAGGAGTTACGCACTTGACAAGGAGGAAGCTGATAAACCAGTCCACTACCTTATGCGCTTCTAGGACATGCCTCTCCAGCGCTTGAACGCCACGATCTCTCTCGTCACGGAAGAGCACGTGCCATCTCGTATTATCTTCCGCGCCGTACACCTCTTCGTCGCTTCGCTCCGTCGGCGATGCCTCGAGAATGGGCGCTATGCGCTCGGGTGGTGCGGGCCTGATAGTCCTGATGGTGAACGTCTCAGGATCGAAGACGACTCGGACCGGGGGGATCTCTGATTCGGCCAGAGATGCGCGCTCCTCCAGCAAGCTCACGCGCTCGCTCGCTGTGTCCGAGAGCTCCACATAATCGTTGGCGGAGGCTTGTTGCAGCAGACGCAAGGATGCGATCTCGTCGCTTGCTTCTATATCCCGGCGCAAGCTGTCCTGTGTCTCGATTGACGCGTCCGGGAAGAGCGCGCTCAAACTGTCGTTGAACGCACGGATCTCCTGCACGAGCAGGCTGAACTTCGTCTTATCAAGAATAGCCCAATACGCGCGCTGAGCCAGATGTAAGGGTAAAGCACGCCACGGGACACAATATCCAGACGAACCTTTCTGAATGTCGTGATCCTGTTGTTACGCCGAGACGACCTCTGCAGGCTTGCGTATGCTTTCTTGAAGACCGATTCCAGGATAGTCGCTGACGACGCATTGTTTTCGGGCGAGATGTCGAGCACAGCCGAGACCGAGGAACGACCCGAGGTTCTCTGTAATCCATAACGACACTGCAGCGCGTCCGTGTCCTTGAACAGATGGTGGATGCAACCCAAAATTCGCACGACCGCATCGCTCACTTCCGGCCTGCCCAATCGTGGGTGACACGGACCTGGAGACGTGGCGCCCTCCTCCGGCAACCGCACACTGGAAAGGCCGACGGCCTGACCCCACATAAGGAGGCGGACGCGCTCGACTTCGAGTTTGACGCGCGCGATTTCGCTGTCCATGCCGTAGTTCTGCCCCGACACGACGATGTCGAAAACTCATGAGGTCGTTCAGCGGAGGTTCGTTGGGGACTACACGATGCTCACCTTGCACGCACGTCTCCCATAGCGCGAGGATAGAAGTAGCGCCGATGACAAGTCCAGCAACTTCCATGGTAGTGAGAGGGTAGAGGTCGAGTTGAGCGGCGAAGAGGGAGTACGAGACACGCGAAGTCGAGCGCTCACACCTTAAACAGTGTCGCTCGATCTCGAGGCTGTAGCCTGAGAGGCCCTTCTATCGATGGTCGCACGACAACATTAACCATGGCTCACACGCACCCACTGTACGTGATGTGATTGTTCAAAGATGAGTGCAGAATCGGTCAGTTGACTCACCAGTGCGGACGAGCGCATGTGAGGGCGACCGGTGGGCGCGCTGGCGCCGCACTTCTGCTGTGGAAACCGCTGCTATATGTATTGTCAGTGCGAAGTAAGTCTCGGTAGTGAGTTAGAGGAATCGCACCCATTTGTGTACGCACCGCCCCCGAACTCGGTCGTGAAGTTCGGAGATTGCTTGGACGGTTGCCGCCTGAAATGAAGGATAGGAGTGGCTCGAAAGAAAGGAATATATACGCATATCCTCATTCAGTGATTATACCTTGAATAAATAAAAAATACCAGTATCTCGCAGTAGGCGAAGTATAGGTAGGGATTAGGTACGATTCCGTAAGCTAAGCACGACAAGGTGGACGTGCTACTGAGCGAAGCAGAGCAAGGAGGAAAATAGACAGAGTAAAGATGATCGAGCGGACGAAAGAGATCACTGAGCAAAAGGAAACCCAAGGTTGATCGAAAAGACCAAGCAAGAAGACTGAACACGAGCACAGGTACGGGAGGATTAAGTATGAACAAGTCGTAAGTATATCCAGAGCAAGAAGGATGAGAAAGCAGATAGACAGCGGGGTGAGTGCAGGGTGATGTCGCGTGAAGGTTGAGGTCGTGTGAGGGGTCGTGGAGGTAGAGGTGATCGTGAAGACGATGCGGTGAAGAGGAAGGCAAGAGGAGAGAGGGCGAAGGTGAAGTATGTCCTGCAACAAAGGGGAGGCCAACCGCCACGCAGCAGCGCCACCCATGCTAGAATCGGAGCACGACAATCGAGGTGTCATCGATCCAGGCGCCATCGATGTCGAGGGTAAGCACGCGGCTGACGCTGCCGCGGTCCTCGCCTCCTATAGCCTGGCGCAATAGCCGCAGTGCCAGGTTCTCTGCGACGCGCGGCGCATCGGGAGGCAGTGTACGTCTGCCATCCTCGACATCGGCTGCCCACCGACGAAGGACAGGCTCGATGCCCTGCTCGCCACAAAGATCGGTGAATCCGTCCGACGTGAGTACGAGGAAGCGAGCGCGTGAATCGAGTTGCCGATGCACGACGTCTGGTTGCGCAGTGATGTAAGGCGGCGTACGATTGCGCTGGAGGAAAGCCTCCCAAGGGCCGCGATTTTGGAAACCGGGAGCAAGATTGTAGAGGATGCGACGGCTGAAGACGGGAGGTTGTTTGAAGGGCACGTCGCCGAGGCAGCGGGTGGGGGCAAGAGCACCGAGAATGCGGCGGTCGATGACACAGTCGGGTTCGTCCGGATGTTCGCGACGTATGCGCTCGAGTTCGGCATCGTTGTAGCCATTGTGCTCGGCTGTGAGGCGCTCGACAACCCATTGATTATTCTCTGATTTATACAGAATTGCTACGCGTGATTAGCTTCAGAGATTTGTTTCGAAGTGGAGACTTACTCGCTGTACAGTCCCCTAGATTCGCCACCCAGAGGTTCTCGTGGTTGGGGTCGACGAGCGAGACTAACGCCGTGCTTCCGTACATGCACAGGAGTGTTTTCCGATAACGCTCACCGCCTTCGTGCTGATCGTTGATAATAGCGCGAATGGTGGCATCGTCATAATGGTCAAGACCTTCGATCCCACCGAAGATATCGAGCACATCATGAGCGATAGCATCGTCGAACGCGACTATTGAGCGGGAGAATAGGTCACAAATGAAGGCAGGATCATCGAGGCGAGCGGGATTTGTGGCATGCGCCTCCTCCAGGAATTCCTGTACGATGATCGGAAGATGGTGCGCGACGTGATCGACAGTGGCGTCCCCGAGATGACCTGTACGGAGGTTAACGCTCTGATCTCCGCATGCGCCGCCACATAACGCACCATCGAAGACACCTGTAAGAGTCCAAGTGCGGCCGTGAACAAGCAGCTGCTTGACAGCATAGCGGTCCTGAGTCCGTGCGGAAGGAGCTGGCTGGAAGTTGACACTGTCTGCGCGCAAGCCTCCAGCGGACTCGAGGGTTGCGGACTGAGGTTTCGCGAGTTGGCGGAGCTCATTCCAGATGTCCTTCTCCTCGAGGAGCTGGTAGGGGAGTGGCCAGGGCGCGTCGTCCGGACCAATGCGGTTTCCGGGGACGTCCTCAGCATACGCGAGCATGGGGCCTGCGAGCATGTTCCAGAGGCGTGCGACGGGTCGGAGGAGGAAGCGCAGTGGCGCGAACTGGGGAGGGGAATGAGTGAGGGAAGTGGGGGAGGCGCGCGCGCGTACTCACCAACCAGGAGCGCCAGGTGCGGATGAAGAACTGTCGGAAGGAAAAGGCGCGGGGGCTAGGGCTGCTGACGAGCGTCGGGGACAAGAGGGGCGCGCATGGTTCGCTTATAGAGATAGGTGCGCGCTCAGCTGACCAAGACGTATTATGGGTGTGACTGTCGCTTGCGTCCGCACTAGGGCGATCAACCGGGGCCATCCAGCGCGCCGTGGCGTGCTCTGCTGGCGAGCAATGGCGAGGGGGAGAAGGGGGGAAGAAACAAAGGCTATGAGCTGGCGGAAACGAGCAAAGACGGCATGAAGTACCAAGTCAACCAATAAAAATCCCGGCTGGCGCTTTCTTGCCCACTTGATCCGCCGTCTCCGGCCACGTTCGCCTCGAGGCGCGCCGCGCGGCGCGTTCATGATCCGCATCTTGGAACCTGACTCCCGTCACATTTCGCCCGCCGAATGTGTCAGCGCGTTTGTTGACTTCCACTTGGCCGTCGCGTCGCTGCTGCTTTTGCAGGCGATTGACCACCGACCGGGTGGGAAGCTGGAGTCTAGAATGGACGACATGTGAGTCAACATGACTGTCAGGAACAAGAGGTTTTATGAATTTATTTTGCACGCTCCCGCCCAAAAAGTGATGTGGCGTTGCACAGCTTTGTTCATGTTTAATCATCGAATTTGGGTTCGAAGACGCATGCCCGGCCACACGATTCTCTGCTTTGCAATCCGCGGCATGTTCTACCTCAAGGTCATCGATAAATAGCTGTGAAGGTGACGTGGTGTCGCTGTGTCTGCAATGGCGGGCACCCAGAAGGTTCAAGGGCGCACACGATACCTCGGCGATGCCGGATATGCGGACGCATTGCATCAAGGCGCCCTGGGTACAAGTAATATGGCCCATGGGCGGCCTTCTTTGAGGCCAGTTGCACAGCACGGAGTCGACCTCGATTCTGACCGCGACGAAAATTCCCAAAGATGCCAGTGTTGAGTGTACTCAATCATTCACACCCTCTTCATATTCGGTCCGATATCTTTGTTGTGGGCACGCTCACATTTCCCTAGGGCATGCAACGGTAGATCTGGTAAACTACCGGTTCAAAAACCGCGGTATTTCTGAACTCCGCCTACCGCGGTAGTATATTCCGGTCAAGCCGCGGTTTACCGCGGTTGCCACGTGCTTCGTCGCTCACAGTACACCCACAAAGATAAACATGTCACCGTCGTTGCCATTCTGCCCGAAGTAGCCTCCCTTTCGACACGGCGAAGTTCGTAGAGGCCGAAAATTATATAGAAGACTATGTTTATATAGCCTATCGAGAATAAAAACTGGTTACTGGGAGCAAATTGCCGTCTCGAGAATATCCACAGCTCTCTTGATGTCGAAAGAAGGCAGCTTTGCGAGCGAGCCTACCACCATGGACGCGTTGAAGGTGTCGTGGCTCATCGAGGTCTGCATAAAGTTGACCTCTCTTCGGCCCTCGGAGAACGCGCGTTCGACATCAACGGTGGTGGCTATATTAGCGATGAGCATCAGCGAGACTATAGTTTGATGCTGGATGAACTCACCTGGGGCTGAGCAGTAGTTTGACGCAAAACGAGCGAGACGGGGGGTAGTTTCCCATTCCTGATGCCAATATGCGATGACACCGCCTCGTTGCTTGATGACCGCACTCGGGACGATCCCAGAGTCCAGGTAAGCAATGATATTGTCCTTCGATGGCAACGTAGGCGCCGGGCATGAGGTTTCCTTTGCCCGCGAACGGCGCAGCGAAGCCCAGCCAGCTTGCTGTCTTGGGGCCTAATTTTCTGTCAATGACACCAGCGTGAGATACACGATAGCCTACGCACCTCTGTGATCATCGTACTGATGTCTTGTGTATCGGCTGATGCTGCGTCGGAGGGACGCGCTGCATAGGATTTCTCCCAGCGATCGACGACGAGCTTTCGCACAGATTCGATCTCGTCTTCGTCCCAATCACGGTCTCGGAACCACTGCAGTTTTTTGTCCGGCGACAAGGCTGAAAGGCCGGGCTTGAGCAACGGGAGAGATGGAGAAGGAAGGAGTCATGCTTACCGATCGCGATGCGGTATACCTCGCATTCGCTCGTCATTGAGAAATATTTGTTGGTCATGATCAAGCCGGCATGTGCGGCGATGCGAACGACGGGTGACGCGGGCTTCTTGTCGAGATTAAGTGGACTATCTCGGATGTTGGTCAGGTCCTCCTTGATGTCGTCGAGGACCTCAAGGACATCCGATATAAGAGGGATCTCCTTGCGCGAGAACGCCTCCGTCGCAGGTACGAAAATCTGAAAATCAGCGCATCAACAGATTAGCTTGCCTCGGGCATGGCAAGCACTCACTCGCAATAAGTCACGTAACTCTTTCGCAAGCTCCCACTGGCGCTGTGAAAGATGGTACGCTTGCAGCTTGAGGTCGCTTTGAGAGATTAGCGCCTCGACAGCCGCCTTGAGGACAAGGTAGTCATCCAGACACTTGTAATCGCTATTCCATCGTGTTGCTACGCGGCGCGATATCGTATTGCGGTCGTCATTGTCTGGCGGCGCGCTTTGAACGAATTTTTCGAAAGCTACACCGAGCGTGGAGGGCGCATCGTTGATGCGTCGTGCGAGACCGGCCACCTAGAGCAAGCTGTCAGCACTCGAGTCGAGAAAGTGGACTTCAGGCTCACCTTTGTCATGATAGAGATGCTCTCCTTTGCCTGCGATTCCGTGAAAGTGACGCCCCGAATGCGCATCTCGAGGATGGCGCGATCCTTCACTGACTTGGCAGCGGCATCGTCGTGCTCGAGCTCACCCGTCGATGACTGCGCGACATCATCTTCGGTCTGAGCCGCGGCGGTCTGCGCGAGTTCCTCGTCCTCCGGGGACACCGGACCCTCTTCTTCGTCATCGTCCTCAGCGTTGGTGGTGTCCTCGGTCGCTGTGGATGTGCCGGCATCTTGCGAGGTGCCCGAGCGTTTTTTGCGCTTGTACTGCTTGTAGAAGAAGAGCAGTATGGCCTGATTTCGAGTTGTATAAGCGACGGGGATGGTCAAGTACAGGGTACACACCTTAGCAATGAGGTTGAGGATATGTAAGAGGCAGCGGAGGCGCCATGACGTGCCCTCGAAGGTGGGCAGTATATTACTGAGCTCCGTCGCGGTCGTGTTGCAGTTGCTCGCATTGTCCATGTTGAGAAGCATGAGCTGGAAGATTTTGAGTACGAAATTCCGACGACGCAACGCAGTACTTACCAGATGAGCGATATCATATCGTTCTAGGCAGTCGAGGATCTGTTCAGCCAAGTACTTGCCAGTATGGCTACTCTTGAGCCTTAGAGATGTCAGCAGGTCACAACGGCGGTAATGGCTGTGTATGACTTACTTAATGAACTCGAGTACACAGCGGTGCAGACCGCCATCCGCGTACCACTGCAGCACGAGGCCGAGCTCGCCCGTCGTTATTGGGCTCGTCCACCCATCAACCATAAGATGGAAGGGAAGATTGCGCTTCTGAGAAAGGCGTGCACGTCAACATACTTGGGTTTCCCGCACGACACAACGTCTACTCACCCGCAGGTATTGGCTAAGGTCGGTTGCCATGCCTTCGTAGAGGCGCTTCACATCAGTGGATATGGTTGCGGGCGAAGGGAGAGGTGTTCCTGGGCGTAGCATTTGCACCTCCATGGCGTAGAACCTGTCTCTCACCATTTGGAACGGCCGATGGCTCGTCGCAGTGCGGAGTGCGAGGAGGGCACGATGGGCAGTGGGGGAGTAGGGGATGGGATCTCCGTTGATCCCGAGGTCTACGCCGCGGTCCTTATCGCACGCTTTCGCTGTCGAGATGAGCGCCTGCGTCCCGTCGGACGTGTGCATACGGCGACGCTTCACGACACGATGAGCGGGATGCTTGTACTTGCAGTGGAACTCGAAGATGATTTGGCGGTAAGTGGGGCTTCGAATATCATTATCACGGACGACCTTGGTGATATAGTGACTATATACTGCCGAGCGGAAAGTGCTATGTGATGCGGCTGCGATCTCCAGGTCAGGACTCGCTCGCGCGCATGCAAGATTCGCGACGCACCAATGATATCCGTGTCAGGCATGTCCCAGACTTCGAGATCAGTCCTCTTTGCAACGGAGTTCTTCGTCTTCCTCCTCTTCTTAGTCGGTCCTTCGAAGACGACAGGTGAATCCGGTGCTCGGCGTGCTTGTCCCACAACTGCCTGATCGGACGAGGGGGCACGATTTTCAGCGCCGTACATGGCGGGGTTGGGGGCGGGATATCCCGAGAATGCAGCATGATGTGGAGAGTGGTACTGAACGTAGGAGGGAGATGGTACTGCAGACGCGGGGGGAGAGGATGCGAAGGCGGACGAAAAAGAAGATGAGGAACCATGAGATGAAGTTTGTTGGAGAGATCGATGGCCTAGAGGATGACGTTGCATCTTGGAGGGGGAGGGCGAATGCGACGCGCAGGGACGAGCTGCAAGGGGACTTCGCGCTGATCGACGGAGGGATTAGGAGGGGAAGGCAGACTGCTTCCATTGCGCATATATATATGATTGAGCTCAAGGCATGCAATGCGGTGCTGGCTGAGTGTACACGATGCTTGGTAAAGTCCTGAATAATTCCCGCTACCATTTATGGTAGTGGGTCTTAGGGATGAAGCGCGAAATCGCAAATGCGCCGTCTTGCAAACTTTGGTGAGCTGTCACGTGCTAGCACATGACAAGGCCTTCGACGGTCTCGACTCTTCGGCGTCGGCCGAGCGCATCTTGACTCTTTCCATTCACCTGCGCTTCGCCGTGCTGTCCTCTCGCGGGTGCACAGAGAATAAATCCCGAGTCCCCTTCTTGTCTGACTTCGCCGCTGCTCGACGACTTCGGAAGTTTCGTGGTTTGGTCACATTACAACTCGCCTGTATATGCATGTCAATGCTGAATTCTGTCTCGTCGTCTCGAGTCTTTCGGTTAGTTCACATTGACTTGAGCAAGAGAGTCACACGGCATCGGAATCGGCCACTTTCCGAGGGCGGTTGCGCAGAAAAGCGCGCTGGAGATGCGACGAAGGCAGAAAATCAATGGCGCTGGAGGGCGTCGGGACCCGTCATACGCAGTGTGGCGGCTAAGTACAAGTGCTCGCTAGGCGGGCCCGCCCGATGAGACGCTTCAGTATATGGGGCATCGCAGGCCGCGGATGACCGTCGGGACGGGCATGATCGAGAATGACATGAATGAGAACAACAAGCTAAGATATCGGCGGAGCTGCTGTAGACAACAGGGCCATGGCTAGAAATTTGGATACGAGAGGCCTTGCGAGTCGCACTCAAGTAATTCGCCCTGAGATCGCCTGATTCCATTGAATAAATCAATAAGCTAGGAGGTGAGTGGTAGCGGGCCCTGCCGTGAAACGGCCCTTCAGAGTTATCCAGTGAGAGCGATGAATGCTACTGTCGACGCGGTGGCGCGCGATGGCTGTGATGGCTGTGTCTGATAAGCCGGGACACGTGCCAACCGCGGTAAACCGCGGTTCATCCGTGTACCGTGAGAATCATAACCGCCCATTCGGAACCGCGAAATTGCGGTACGGATGCGGTATATACCGGTTTACCGTCTACCGTTGCATGCCCTACATTTCCCCTTGATTACCGTGTGCTTTGCTGAGCACGTTCTGTCGATTTGGCTGTCATCGTTTAAGATGCAGTTCTGTGCCCGGTTGAGCGGCAGAGTGGCTAACTCTTCGCGGCCGTAATGCACGACAAACCTGTTCCTTGCTCTTGTATCTCGCGCTCACTCTCTTGCTCCCTGGTACAAAACAAGGACACGCTGGGAAGGCCGTGAAGTTCGCGAGGTACTTGGTGGTCTTCGGAGGTGTGTCTCTCGATCTTCTCTTCTCCTCTACCAGGCAATCATCACTAATGGCACTTCATTCCAGGTTTTTCAATGGGTAAGGGCCCAATTGACGCAAATCAGCGGCGCCGAACACACGTCGAACTCTCGCAACATCGTTCATAAGCGCTCGCCTCCATTTATCATGTGCCACATATTGTTCTGAATGCCCCTGTCTGTTTTCTCGCAAGCGCCTTGTGATTGTACTAGAATAGACGATGATCTGTCTACACGACGCTCCTAGTGCGACGTATCTTCGTGTTAGGAGAAAGTGCAAGACCATAGGGAGCTTTTGGTCACCGACGCGCGGATCCACTGACCTCCTTGGCCGCGCGCCGCCTTTGCCCGTGCTCACGTTATATCTATCTTTGAATCTTATCTTTCTAGCTCACGGTAAACTCAGGCATCAATTTTCTCTTGACATCGCAAGATCGATTGGTGGCGACCTTGATGCCCACATCCACGCCGCCGCCATCTCGACACTCTCAGGCTGCCTTCACCCTACGTATAAAGAACAGATTAGCTCAGCAAAATATGAACGACCTCTGCGGTTTCCAACGCTGGGTCTTTCCCCTCTGGCGAAGACAGTTCGCGCGTTCGCGTCAATTGTCATTGCGCCGACCCCGCGTGGACTTCGCCTCTCTGAGAATGTCCCAAGGCAATGGCTCACTGTATAAAGTCTCTGGACCACATATACACTATGCGCTGACACTTGACGACAACGTCTGTGTTTTGTTGAGCGCGAGGGCAATGGACCATGCGGGATCTTGATGAACTTCCAATGCGCTGCTCTTGTCATTGAGGGATTTTGTCCTCTTGTTTCCCTTCGTATACCAGCCATTACCAACGCAACAAGAGGAGAAGTCAAGGCCACTCCCGCTCATTATGTCTCTATCGTGTGATGCTGAGGGCCAGGTAAGAGCTGTCAGTGTGTGGGTCCATGTCGAGAGTTTCCGCATTTGGAAATTTATGGGCGTGATTATCCACGCGGCGGATCCACGACTGCGAACCTCCCAGAAATAGTGATGTCAGGCTCAATGTCATGCTCCGATGATCTCAGGCTGACTTCAAGGCTGACGTCCGCCACAAGCTGACCGTATAAAGAGGCCTCCCGGGATGTGTCCTACCCAGATATCCAGCTTCGAAACCCTACACTTCCAACCACTCGTACACTCGACTCGAAATCAGTATGCCTCACACTGGCCACTTTGACAATACCGCCGCCTCTGACAAGGCAGTGAAGAAGACCATGCAGGGTTAGCAGTAGCCGTCGTCGCTGGGATGTATCTAGCTAACGAGCTAACGAGCTTTGCAGCCAAGGGCCTTGGTCATCCGACGGCTGTCGACTCGCACCCGCAGACGGATAAGATGTTCCAGTCTGCGCCGGTCGTCGACGATGCTCCCAACGCACCATCAGAACCTATGGAGACGCTGAAGAACCCGCACTCCGCTGGAACCGACTCGGCCGTACGCGCAGCTGGCGCGACTGGCACGATGGAGGTGGCGCGAGACGCACCTGTAAGCTCTTTAGTTCTTCAAGGTCGTTGAAGGCAGCGCTCACCTGAGCTTCAGATGCGCAACCTCCCGCCAGAGACTGTCGACGTCGACAAGCTGTAGCTGAAACAAACCACGGACCAGAAAGTTGCATGTAAACAGCATAGTGTAATATTAACCAGACGGACATATAGTACACAAAGCATTAATTAGCAGAACGAGGTCAGCAGTATAAGTAAGGAGTCCAGAGCAGGTCCTTGAGGACATGAGTATCGTGCACGACGTATAGTAAGATTCGTAGAGGATGTGAGCAGAGCCCAGTCCAAGCCAGAAGCCAATTAGAGCGAGACCCCGACGCGCGTAGGTCGTAAGATATCGAAAAGCCGACTTGAAGGATCAAGCGACCTCCATGGACATCCGGTTGCGGCGCCACGGGAACCTCTTCTGTTGTACAACGGCATGGATGGTGCTCTGGAAGTGCCTGTGCGCTCTGCGGCGTCTGCCAACGCTGCTGCACTCCTGAAGCACCCGGATAGCGTCCTCGGGGGCATCCCACATCACCTGTAAACGCATCAGGAACTCAAACGTCGTCGGGAATGTCCTGTGGTACTCACGAAGTGATTGGCGTTCGGGATCATCTTGACTTCGATTCGAACACCGGCCTGCTTCCCCATGTCCTCGATCTGCCAGGCGGCGAGGACGATGTTCCACACCGAGCGGCTGCCGGTAATGAACTTGATGTCCAGCCCGCCCCACCGGCTATGCAGCTGCGGATCCAGCAGCGCCCCTGCCGTTATGCGGCCCATGAGGGGGATAAGCGCGGGGTCGATCAGCGCCGTGTCACCGCCCGCGCTCGCGGACGGCTCCGTCAGCGCGAGGAGGTCCGGCATGCGCTCGATGCTCGGCGTAAGGTCCTCGTCGGGCGACTCGAAGCAGAGCTTGCGCGTAACGGGGTCGTGCGTGTAGTAGCCGGAGACCCAGCGAAGGAAGTGCCCAAGCCGGTCTTCCAGCGGTATGCGCTCGTCCCTGAAGGGGTTGTAGTCGCTGGGAGGCACAATGCCGAGGAAGGGAGACGGCGTGTCTGCCTCAACTCGTCAGTATCATCGCCTCGCATCGGTTACACGGTAATCTCATACCCCACAGCATAATGCCCCGGACGTAGGTGCGAAGGACATTGCGCGTTGGTTCATCGACCAGATCGATGGCAGAAAGCGTCAGTTGGACAAAGAGCGTGCCCAGAGACCAGCCAGCAAGCATGATGCCGCCCGCACGGCCATGATGAGGGCGGGGAAGCTGAAGGGCAGCAGGAAGCCGTGCAATGAAACGCGCCAGGAGCGCGCCCTGCTTAGCGAGGACGCGCGACGGGTCTGGAGATGCGATCTCTTCGGCCTCTTCAGGCGTGTATGGCGTGCTGCCAGGGTACAGACGACGGTTGACGCAAACGAGGCGGATGTTGCGCGAGCGCGCAAGCGGCAGCAGACGGTCGAATACAGCTTCACGACGCGTTAGCAAGCGTCGGACGTGGACAAAGGAGGGGCGCACCACTATGCCAGGTATGGCCGTGAATAAGTACAATCGTCGTGTACGTCGACGACAGTGGCGCGCCACTGTCGGTGTAGAAGAAGCTGACGTCCTCTGTCGCGGCGAGGGTGGGCATAGCGATCGGAGCAGTTCGTGACGAAGGAAGAATAAGGTATGGGGGAAGGTATAAGAGAAGGAAAGGACGCGCACTGACACCGCGACAGCGCTGGTAGAAGAGGAAGAAGGCAAGACAGGGGCGCAGCAAGGGCAACGCCGATCTTAACCTTGCTCAGTGGCGTGTCTCCGGCTCCGGTGAATTGGTCTGCTCACTTGTTCTCTTGCTTCATTGACTCCATCAGACCGTTTCAATGTCCTTTGGCATGACAACGTGCGCGTTAGAACCCGCTCAGCCACCCTCAATCCAGTTTGACTCTTCCTTGACTCCTCCGTTGGATGCACCTTGCGAAGGCGAGGGTCCATTGTCCTTCCCATGCAGCGTGGATATGGCGCTGTGGCGGCGCCACTTTTCGTATCGCCCCCTTCATGTTATTGTTGCAGTGCAGCGCTGGCGGTTAGAGACAATGAGCTCGAGCCTCCGAACGGGAGATACGCGCGCTGATGTCACACGGAGAATTATCTACTCTCCATTGTGCCCTGTGTCGACCTGATGTGGTAAGTATAGCAAGGGGTCGGCTGGTAGTTGGCTGTGGGCCTGAGGCCGTCAGCGCCAGCTTCAAGCGAGGAGGTGGGATGTTCGGGTTGCGCTGGAGTGGTGCCAAGGCTACGCGCGCGAGGATTGCTTGCAGAGTCGGCGCCCGCAGAGGCGATATGGCGAGAACGCAGATGGGGGGGAAGAGCTAAACGGAACAAGAAGCTCTTCCATCATGACGACAGCCGATGGCAGCAGGAGGTACAAAAGCCTCATTTAGCCGACAGTCCAGCCTCCCCCTGGCCTCCTCCAGCCTCAACGTCCGAGACTCCTCGACGTATGGGCAAGAGTGAGCAGAGCCTGTGAAGGGTTTTCTCTATTCTACTGATCGAATGTGAATCCCTGGATGAGAAGGCGAGTCTGAGTATCCCAATGCGCACAGTTCTTTGGAAGGGTGTTTACGAGTCTTGTATGTGCAAAAACGAGCAAGTCAACGAGATTGCGAGATAGGGAGGGGACGTGACGATGCCTCGGTGATTGCCGAACAAATGAACGTATGCTATTTGAACAGCTTTGCCTTTGTTTGGCTGTATATGTATGCATGGCTTGCTTCAAACCGTCATGTCCTGAATATATCTTGCTTCCTCAAAGTGTTGCTTTTGTAGCAAGTCGTGCGTATGTCCTCGTAGTCGCCTTTTTTACGCAGTCCTTGATGCGATCCTCGCATTGGTGACATCTCGCATCCAGAGCGAAGGGATGCCCGTAAAGCGACGGTGAGTCCTGGGATAGTCAATGTATAGCAAGGTGTTACAATTGAACGCGAAACTACCGACGACATCATTGGAGCAGGGTTTTGGTATGAACGGCATGGGGACGTAGGCTTACGCTGCCAGTGTACTTCGCCCGGGAATCTGACCTTGGGCGTACTCGTGTCTGCGTGCTGTTTATTCTCAGCCATGGCTTGTCTATGCTCGATAACGTCTGTAGAACTCACCTTCACATGCCCATGCTATTGCTCCGTCCGCTTGCGCATCCGTACGTTCCTGAGCTCATTGGGCATCTTGCGGACGCTTCCCTTGAAGGCCATCGATCACGCGCCCCGCGATAAGTGCGACAGAGAACGTCAGTATACGCGATCCTCACACCCGACCTCGGCCTTCCAGTACAGCAATCGCCATTCACTCTACTCTTGGACACAATGGGACTCTATAGGGCTTGGCGTCTTCTCTCCGCGTGACACCAACGCGGTTCACTGCATCTACTTCGTGCACAGCGAAGCACATCCCCGTGCTTGACCACCCTCTGACCACCCTCGCCCCCGCTTATCTTCTCCTGAAAGCATGGCCGTTCCCAGTTCATTTCTCCGCGTCTTCGCATCCGTCCGCGATGACCTCCGTATAAAAGCCCCCGTGGCCCGGAAGCAACCCAAGGACCAGCTCCCGCTAGCCGATCAGTCTTCAGCTTCATCATGCTCGCCCTCGGTGCCACCGTCCTCAGCCTCGCCGCCGCCGCCTCTGCGACCAAGTCGCTCAAGGTGTCCACCGCGGCACCCAGCGAGCTGACCGACGTCAGCGATCTGTCGGTGACGACCACCATCGTGAACACGGGCGACGAGACGCTCAAGCTGCTCACCGACCCGCGCTCGGCGCTCTCATCGTGGGCGACCAACACCTTCGCCGTCACGCACGCCGACAGCGGCGCCGGTGTCGACTTCACAGGTGTCAAGGTCCGCTACTCCCCCGAGGCGGCCGCGCAGCTCGGCGAGGCCATCACGACTCTTGCGCCTGGCGAGTCTATCGATGTCGCGCACGAGGGTGAGTTCATCTCTGTCATGAAACCCATGCCGCGCTGACGCCCTTCTCAGTCGGCCGCTACTACAACTTCACCGGTGCTGGCGAGGGCGCGTTCCACTTCGAGCCCGTCAACCTCTTCACCGCCATCGAGGCCGACGGCTCCCTCACCGAGCTCCGCGCCGACACGGAGACCGCCGCCGTGCACCTCGCCGGCCAGCTCTCCACCTCCAAGGCGCTCTCGCCGTCCTCCCTCGGCGGCGCTGCCGACGCCCGCTTCGCGGCACGCGACCTGAAGAAGCGCGCGCAGTACACGTCCTCCTGCACGTCGACCTACCGCTCGCAGACCAACGCGGCGATCACCGCGTCGTCGGGCCTCGCGTCGAACTCGATCAGCCATCTCGAGGCGAATCCGAGCGGCTCCACGCTCCAGACGACCTGGTACGGCACGTTCGCGAGCAGCCGCTACCGCGCGACGCTCTCTGCGTTCGAGGCGCTCGTTGACTCGCCCTCCTCGTGGACCTACGACTGCTCCTGCACGGAGTCCGGCACCTACGCCTAGTGAGCTCCCGAGTGGCTGACAGATATGCATCGCAGCTGACCCGCTATAGCGTCTACCCGTCCCAGTACGGCGAGGTCTACCTCTGCGGCTACTTCTGGCAGGCTCCTGCGACCGGCTCGGGCTCTCGCGCCGAGTGAGTTTCATTTGCTATCGCTATCCGCGTTCATTACTAACGCACCTCTAGCACCATCATCCACGAGGGCACGCACTTCCCCCAGGTCCTCGGCACGGACGATGTTACCTACGGCGAGTCCTCCTGCAAGTCGCTCGCCCGCTCCAACCCCGCCCAGGCTGTCAACAACGCCGAGTACGTCGTCCGCTCACCAGGTGTTGAGATTTTCGCTGATGAACGCCTTCTAGCAACCACGCTTTCTTCTCCGACTACGCCTAAATCTCTGAATTGTGTAGGGAAACTGTTGTATGCTACAGGGTTGATGTAGGGTGGGATACTACTTGTACAGGTCTTGCGAATGAATGTTTTTACACAACCAGATTTGCTTGTTGTGCGCGAGTGAGGACTGAGATAGGATCAATATCTGAGAAGAGGCATGAACTTCAGTCAATCGGTAGGCAGACGTACTGGCATGGTGTTCAGGATGATTGAGTGTGGTGCATGGTGCACACCCATCATTATCGTACCAAGCAGCAGGTCTATGTCAAGCAGTCTACAATGTATTCCTTCAGTTGTACAGTTTCGCAATTGTAAAGCAGCTTTCACGCGCCCAATTGGAAGTCGACAACCCGCACGGGCGACGAACCCCCCGAGCTCTTCTCCTGATACAGCACCGACAGCACCCCATCCTCCAGCCTCGCCCTATCTAGCGTCACCTCCCCAAACGCATTCAGCCCCTCCTCCGTCCCATTATACGCCACATCCCAGTCCGTCCACCCCGACGCCTTGCTCGCCGTCACCACGTCCACATACGGCAACACCACATACACATTGTCCTCCGAGTCGAACGCGATTTGCGACCGGCCCACCGCGTTGATGGCGTAAGGGATCTCGACCTTGGTGAACGCGCCCGACGAGGTTTGGTAGAGGTGGAAGGGGTGCGCGTAGCGGGTGCGATCGGAGGCATAGTTGGTGACGCATTGGGTGAAGCGGCCGGGGACGTAGGAGATGATAGCGTGGGGGAGACCGGAGGAGTCGATGGCCTGGGACTCTTGGTTCATGAGACCGTGATCGGGATTGAGGGAGTCGACGATGATGCCGGAGGTGCTGACACCGATGGGACTGCTGTCCGAGGTGCCGATGGTTTGGGAGGCGTTGTTAGCCCAAGTACGGCCTGGAGAGGTGTAAGATGAAGGTAGGGAGCGCGCGAATGAAAGAAGCGTACCATAGTCATCGGAGTAGAAGTACACCGTGTCGTGGTTGGTCAAGCCGCCGCTGTTGCACGATACGCTGCCGCTCTGCTCTCGCCAGGTCCCCGTCACGTAGGCGCGGTCCCCATGGTAGGTGAAGCCGTGGATATAGAGGCTGCGCGCGCTGCTCGATCCATGCTCGGAGGAGTAGGATCCTGAAGCAGAGGACCACTGGCCAACGCCCTTCCACGACCCGCCAGCGTACTCCGCGAGCTGCGCTTCGCCGTTACCGGAGATGCCGGTGCGATATACGAACTGCAGCAGGTTCTGAGGTGTAACAACGAATTGAGGGTAGGTGATCGTCCTATAGAACGCGGTCAATCTTCGATAACATGCAGGACATGGTAACGTACTTCGTGATATCCAGATTTCCCAGCGTGTTCACGACGCTCCCGAAGCTGCTCGCTGCCCAGCTTGCGTCCCCCGTTGCCAGTCCTGCCGTGGAGGAAGTGTAGTACATCGTCGAGCTGTGGCAGTCCATCGCGACATGCAACACGCCATCCTCGGGCGATACTCCCAGAGCAATCACGTTGTGCGAGTCCTTCGCCTGCAGTGTGTGGTTCAGCGAGAGCTTGTCCCAACCGCCGTCGGGAAGCGTCCTTCGTGCGAGAGTTGCGACGCCGCTCGCATCGTACCACGCAGCGAATTGGTAGTCTCCGTGCGTTAGGATGCCGGAGAGCTGGAAGCTGTTGACATTGACGAGACCGTCGTAGGAAACGAAGTAGATGCCGCTGTTGTCAAGGACGGTGTTGCCGGTGAGGCTCACGGAGGGTGCGGCGATGCTAAGAGTGGCGGCTAGCAATCCCAAGAGGGACAGACGGAGGAGCGACAGTGCCATGGCGAGGGAATGGCGCGGCGTGATGCATCGCGAAGTCCGTCCTTTTTATGTGAAGACCTGCGTCGCCGGTCCCTGTGGTTGTCGGGCTACCGCGCCCATTACTGCGCTGATCTTCCCGGGACTTCACCGTCATGAGGCTAGGCAGCTGACCGGGGGGAGCGCTCTGTCCGACGGACCGGCCGTGAAGCATACGAGCAGAGATCTCTCGAGGGTGATTGGGGCCGTTCATGACCGTTGGACCTTGCGTACAGTGTGTTTTGTACGGCTGCACGGTCCGTTTGGCGTGAAGATGGCCACTGGGAATTGCAATGTTTACTGATAGATGGTGAAAGATAGATAGACCGTCCAGTGTTCAGGCACACAGCAAGCACTCCGGGTTGACATCGGGAGGTGATGCATTCAAGGGAAAACGAGGGCGGCTCTACTTGTGCATCGCATACAGAAGTGCTTCTACTGAACAATCTATCTGTATATCTGTGAGAACGTTCCTTGCAGGGAGATACTGTGTACGCACCTAGGGTCCCAACGACGCGAGCGCGGAGGTCAGAAAGGAGAATCCGAATGAGTCGATGATGACGGTTGGGATCAGGCGAGGCGGTCATCGTCGAAGTTGTCCGCAGCGATGATGACGCCCCTCGTACCGCTTAGCACCGCACAATCCAGGCTGCTTCACACTCTCATCGTCGCCCCCTCGACCTGCAGATAGTCATCTGCGCCGACGATGCCGCAAGTACCCTACTATATGCGCGACCCGGAGGCGTCGCCGCCAGCATACGAGGCGAGCGGCAGCCGGAGTCGCAGCCAGAGTCCTAGGCCCGTGACGGTGAACGGGACAGACATCAGTGCGTATGCATACCCTTCAGCGCGATCGCGTGCTCACGGTCCGTAGACTACGCGGAGTGGAAGGCGATAGGGAAGGGTCTGGTGTCGGCGGCCCGCGTCGCCCCCGATGGCCGCATCGGCGTCACTCTCGACCTCAAGGAGCGGCTTCCAGACCTGCCCGAGGACCATGCTCCTCAGGTCGCAGAGTTCGGCGTCGACGAGGGGAACTGGCAGAAGTACCCGAGCATGTCCATCGTCATCATGATCGTGGGCAGTCGAGGTGGGTGGCGCGCACGTTCATTCCAGGCCTCGCTTGCTGATGGCACCATCTTGTAGGTGATGTTCAACCCTTCGTTGCGCTTGGGAAGAGACTGCACAGCGATGGACATCGCGTCCGGATTGCGTCTCATGAGAAGTTCAGGGAGTTTGTGAACGAGCATGGGCTGGAGTTCTTTGACGTTGGCGGCGACCCGCAGGAGCTCATGTCGTACATGGTCAAGAATCCAGGACTCATGCCGGGAATGGAGTCGCTCACGAATGGAGACATTGGTAAGAAACGCAAGGTGTGTCGGATATGCAGCATATATGCGCCTCTACTAATGCTCTTTAGATGCTCAGCGAGGTAGGAAGCATGTTCAGTGACCGATCCTCGCGCTTAACTAATTCTGTAGATGATGAACGGCTGCTGGAAGGCCTGTCACTCGCCTGACCAGAAGACCGGTCGCCCCTTCGTCGCAGACGCAATCATATCCAACCCACCCGCCTTCGCGCACGTCCACTGCGCTGAAGCAATGGGTGTCCCTCTGCTCCTCAGCTTCAGTGAGTACATAACTTTCCTGTTTTCCCCATCATCGCTAACATCCTCCTAGCCATGCCGTGGTGCGCCACCGGGGCCTTTCCGCACCCTCTCGTCGACATCAGCTTCTCCAATGCCGAGGAGCGTCTCACAAACTACATCAGTTACGCGCTTGCGGACATTCTGACCTGGCAAGGGTAAGTCCATCATCCTCCTGCTTCCTCAGTCTGTCTTCATCATCTTTCTCCCAGCATGGGCGACATCGTCAACAAATTCCGCAATCGTGCACTAGGCCTACCTTCCCTGTCCGTCCGCTCCGGCCCTGGTCTCACCGATCGCCTTCGCGTCCCTTGGACTTACTGCATGAGCCCCGCGCTCGTGCCCAAGCCGAGCGACTGGTCGAATCATATCGACGTCGTGGGCTTCTACTTCCTTGATCTAGCGACCTCGTATAGTCCGTCGGAAGATTTGAAGGCATTCTTGGATGCGGGGGAGACGCCCGTGTACATTGGGTGAGCAGAGATCCGTCCATTCTTCTCCATGACTTTGCTGACTGGTTCATACAGGTTCGGTTCCGTCGTGGTGGATGACTCGGCAGAGATGACGCGTATCATCTTCGAGGCGACGAAGCGCGCAGGCGTGCGAGCCCTTGTCTCTGCAGGCTGGGTAAGTTGTTTCCCTTCGCCAAAGATTCGCCCTCAACTCGCTCACACGCATTGCAGGGGGGTCTCGGTGGCGTCTCTGTTCCCCCGAATGTCTTCATCCTGGGCAACATCCCGCACGACTGGCTCTTCTCCGACGGACGCGTCTCTGCTGTCGTGCATCACGGCGGCGCCGGAACGACTGCGATTGGTTTGGCGAAGGGTCTACCGACGGTCGTGGTGCCGTTCTTCGGTGACCAAGGGTTCTGGGGTGCGCTAGCTTTCTCCTTTGTACAGCCCGTACGAGGCACTGACATCCTTACTCCAGGTGACATGATTCACAAAGCCGGCGCCGGGCCCGAGCCCATCCCACACAAGAAGCTCACCGCAGAGAACCTCGCAGCCGCCCTCACCTTCGCCATCAGCGCACCCGCGAAGATGGCAGCGCAGCAGATGGCGCGGCAGATCGACAGCGAGGACGGTGTGCGGGCGGGCGCGGATAGCTTCTATCGCCATTTGCCATTGTTGAACATGCGGTGCGATGTGTGCCCAGAGAGGATGGCAGTGTGGTGGTCGACAGAGCTGGTAAGTGGAGGTTTGGGATACATGGAGGTTGAGAAGTAGCGTGATGCTGATGGCTAGACAGTGCTTGAAGCTGAGCGCAGTCGCAGCGCAGACGCTTGTAGATGCGAAAGAGATCAAGATGGAAAACCTTGACCTGCACAGTGAGCCTGAAAGCGCTGTCACTGCGTGTATCCCTGACTGACATCCTTCAGGACCCAAGGAATATGACTCGCGCAGAGCCTACAACGATCCGTTGACAGCCAGCGCGAGTGGTATCTTCTGGACAATCTTGCATCACTATGCGGCGGTTGCGCAGATCTTCACGTACGTCTATGCTGAACTCCAACGTCTAATTTGTACTCATCAACTGCAGTTCGCCGATGAACGGTATCGTGAAGACGACGACTGCCATACCGCAAGGGATCTACAAGATCGTCATCGGAACGCACGAGGGCTTCGTGAACCTCCCAACCTTGTACGGTTCGGAAGTTCGCAAGAGCGGGCCCGTGAAGGGGATTGCCAGTGGGATCAAGGAGGCGGGCAAGGTGTGCTACATCGACCAAAGTGAGTTATATGCATTGACTAAAGGCGCTTGCAGGGTCTCTTCTACGGCTACTACGATGGGATCACAGGTTTGGTGACCGAGCCAGTGAAAGGCGCGAAGAAAGAGGTGTGTGACAAGCTGGTCGGCAAACGAGCTCAGTAACCTGAGCGTAACTCCAGGGATTCATGGGCGCAATCAAAGGGTCCGCGAGGAGCTGTAAGTCCCTTCTCGCTCTTCACCTTGTTGTTTGCTCATCATCCGTAGTCGTCAACGTCACCCTCAAGCCCGCTGCCGGTATCGTCGGCGTCATTGGCCTCCCCCTACAGGGAATGCTCCGCTCCATCCAGTCCCCTCATAGCGAGCGTCAAGAGAAAGACCAACGCGCCGCGCGTCTCCAGGAAGGCATCGAGGCCGTCAAGACCCTGTCGAAGAAGCAGCGCGACGAAATCCCACGCGCGTTCTGGGCGCTGCGTGCGGGGACGGCGGAGCGTAGGCGTCGTCTGACAGCGTTGGCGGAGGAGCAGATCAAGGAGGCGGAGGAACAAGGGCCGGTGGAGAGGCCGGTGTTCGACTCGACGGATTCGGCGAGCACGCTGAGTGGAAGGAGTGGGAGTGCCGAGGGGAGTGCAAGGGGGGAAGGGAACACCGTAGTCGGTGGCGCGAGCAGTGGGAGCAACCTGGGCCATGTCAAGTCGCGCAGCGCGGAGTCGACGAGCTCAGCGTCGGTGCGGTCGTTCGGAGCGAGCTCGACGTCGGGAAGGAGCGTGGCGTCAAGTTCGAGTCCGAGGGTACATTTCAACCCTATAGACACTGCGAAGGGCCCGTCCAGTCCGGGGAAGTACGCGGCGTCGAGGTCGGGAAAGCAGTCGTCTAGTCTTGGGAAGAAAACCTCCATCGACTACGACAAGCTATACGAGGATGACCTGGCGTACGCGATGCGGCTGTCGCAGCTGGAGGGGCCCACGGTCGATGGGGCGGCGGGAGCGCCTGTGTCATTATCAACAGGCGAGGCGCCGCTCGCTATGCCCGGGTCGTTCGAGACGGAGCCGGAGCCTCCTCATGAGACGACGGCTGCATCGAGGGAGGACGCGGACGAGCAAGCATTCCAGAGGGATATGGACTTGGCGATGAGGTTGTCCCTGGGATAGGTTGAGGGCGGAGACGAAGGGGCGTGTTATCATCTAAAGGACAAGGTCAGCCAAGAGAATACATGGGTCCTTCCATCCGATTCGCTGACGCCCCTCAGATAAAGAACCATGTATGATTTGTCGATACTCGATTGGACTTGTACTGTACTCATCTTCCCCCGGCCTGTGTTCTGAGGCACGGGCTCCTCACTCCTCGGGCTCATCGTGACGTCCGGCCTATCCCGAACTTTCCTCTGGATTGAGCACGCCATCAATAGCACCCGTCTCTGTTCGGCCTACCCTGGGCCTACGCCGCTCGGTGAGAATTAGAGACTTGTTCTGATACTCAACGCGCAGAAATACCTCGCTCTGGGCTGCGCCCACATCACATTTTCGAGAAACGGCCTTCCGGCTCCTCAAGGTCGTCCCGTGTCCGCCCATCCTGGTCAAACGCGCCACTGACAAGCTGAATCTACAAGCTTCGTAGAGATGTCCGCCTACCCTGGAATTTTGTTGCCCGATGATCCCGAGAAATTCGTCCTGGCACCTGTCGGTGTTCCTTCTTTTGGGATTTATTGATTAAAGATTTTTGCATGGAGCGTAATCCTGGCAGGGTTTCTGCACTACACGTAGAGGTCAATGGACGGAAGTCTCAGTACACGGTACGTTGGTTCAAGCCATAATCTAATGGGTTCAACAGCGCCCGTGCGCTCTTCCCATCATCATCTGGCGTCGCATAACGTCGACGCATCTTTTCAGACGTCCAGTGAGTCTTCTGGAAGGCCGTGCAGGAGAACTGTCAGCGGCGCTACTTACATCTGCCTCCTACGGCCCTCAATCGGCTTCCAGGAAGCCAAGGCGGGGGACAAATCCTTCGCTTCAAGGGACGATGAGCCCTCTTTTCCCTCCAACGCGCTGATTTCGCCTCGTATGCGGGAGGCCCCTCAATAGACAATAGCAGTGATAGCCGCCCTACGAACATCCTGGAAGGAATACGCGATGTCAACCAATTCCCCGGCGGCTACCTGCGGACGCGCACCCTGACATTATCGCCCGAAAAGGCAACTTGGCTATCTTGCCAAGGGCGACCCTGAGGTGGGGTGCGCCGCCGTCGGTTGTGCGATGTGCTTCGCACCTCGTGCGACAGCGAGGGCGCTTTGGATAAGTATCGACGTGGGAAAAGCCGCGGCCTGGGATTGGCCGGAATATCGAGGAATAACGGCGACCTCGCCGCCGCAGCACGCTTTTTGGGGGATGTCTGACTCTGTGACCGGCCCGCCTCTCCTCAGCCTGATGGTACCACCCGCTCAACCGACTCCTTGCACCTCCAGATGGCGCTTGGGTCTCGCAGGCACTCATGGGGATTTACCCGGATTTCCATCTTTACAAAAAGGATCGACGAATGCCGGAAAGGTCGGAGGGGGAGCGTTTATTGGTTGTCCATTGTTCTATTCGATGGCAGTTGTTCTCGAGCTTCAGCTTGTTGCTCTAATGGCGGTAGGTCCCCGCGCTTCGGTGGTTATTCAAGGCGTTGATATGCCCTTCCATCAGCCGGCTACGTATTTACGGTGGCATTGGGGGCGCAGTCCACTGCGGCAGCCACAAGGTGAGCCCTTGCACGACACGTGCTACGTCGCGTATGCAACTTGCCATCTCTGGCAGACTCAGCGCATCAAAGAAGCAGGACCCTCTTGTGGAGAAGCCGCGCCAGACAATGTCCACGGGACGCGATAGCCCCAGACGTGGTCTTCGTCTCTCAGTAGGCGTCTAGGTTCGTTGACTAGGTTTCGCAGCCTGCGTTGGGTCGCGATAAGCCCTTTGAGGAGAGGGTTTGGGTCCTTGGAGACAAAGGAACGCCTCGGTTGAATATTGCCGCGCGGGCACCGGGGACCAACCGGGGACGGCAAACGCGGCGGATTCGATCATGATCGAATCTGAATGGCGGATCTGGGAACTTTGTCTTGTTAACCCATCCAGGTTCGCCGCAATAAAAACATGCTCTTTCAGCGGGGACCCAGGGCACGTTTCGTGGTGCGGACCGCTCTTTCCTTCCCGCCATGACCTCCCCCCTTCCCCCCACTGCAGATCGCTCGTTAACGCCGCCTTCACGTTCCCCTCCTCACGCCACCACCTCTGGTCGAGAGCTGATGTCCGTCTGGCGCGTCCCACTACGCTCGCGCGCCGCGCCGACCGCGGCACCGTCGTCATCGTCGCAGGTCCTCAGCTCGAGTGGGGAGCCTGCCGAGGAGGAGGTGCACATCCCGCGACCTTCTAATGCATTCATGATCTTCCGTAAATGGTATGCAAAGAAGCATGCAGGCGAAGCGGGTGGTGCTCTTTCACGTCGAGCGGGAGATGCGTGGAAGGCGCTATCACTGCTCGACAAGGCTGTTTGGGAGGATAAGGCAGAGAACGAAAAGCAGGAGCACGCGCGACGCTATCCGGGGTGGCGCTATCGTCCGCGTCGCCGCGGAAAGGCGTCCGATCCCCCGAGTCTGGATCCGTCGCAGGAGTCGCCATCTCGAGAGCCCGGTAAGCGTGCGCTCTCGATGCCCCTGCCACCGGAGCGTCCGCAGCGTGTTGCGAGAACGAGGCGCGCACTGTCTGACGCTGCGTCGGCTTTGTATGCCCAGGCGTTCCCTGCACGATCCGCTGCGCAATATGTGCCCAAGGAGACGGATGACATACCGGAGACTGAGGTTCGTGTGCAATCAATCGTCCAGTTGCACATCTGACCTCGTTCGCAGCAATCCTCTTCGTCCAGTGTACCTGCCACTGTACCGTCGTCCGTGATACCTCCCGTTGACGCCGCCGCCCACTCGGCCAGCCCTGAGTCTACGTCTCGCATCTCTCCTCTCACCGCTGTCGGGCATTCCTGGACGCACCTTCAGCACTGGCAGCCGCCACCAGAAAGAAATGCGGCAGCGCCGGTGATTGCTTCCGCCGATCCTCGATTTACCTCCGTACCCGAATCTGCCCCCGCCCCATCTCTGCCTGCGCCTGTGGGGCCGGCAGTAAATCAATATCACGTCCCCGAGGCTTATCCCCCTTGGCAACCAAACGGAGCGCCAAACGCGGAAGTATACGAGTACAGGGACACCACGACCATCGCTCAGCAGCCTCCCCCGACCCACATGCAGTACGTCCCAGAGCTCGGTGGGACGCCCATGTTCTGCCCCGGGGTGCAGCAACCGTATCCAGCGCAGCACTATTCGACCTTCACGAACGACGTCCAGCCCCCTTATGTGCACGACGCTGCGTACCAGCAGCAGCCTTACGAATATGGCGACGGGTATGCGCAGCCCTACTACGACCAGCCGTCCGGCTACTACGATGAGCAGGCGCCGTCGCTCACGTACGACGAGCAGGTCGCGCTCGCCGAGTACCAGCAGGGCTTGCAGCAGCTCGTCTACCTCACGCCCCAAGAGCAGCAGGACCACTACTATTACGACAACACTCCTTACGACGCCGCTCCTTATACCCCTCAGTTCGCCCCTCACCATCCTTGACCCCATTGTATTCTTCACCATCTGACTCTTTTCTATATCCCCCCTCCCGGTCCCTCCTTACTATGTGGATATTTGGTTCTTCTCGCGTGTTCATATACCCTCATCGCTGTTGTTTCTGGTGTTCTCGCTCCCGTGCATCATTCGCCCTCTTTCCTTGTTCGATAGTAGTATTTATATTCTCTCGCGACAAGTTCAGGATTCGAGGTCGATTAGAAGCTCAAGGGACACTCGTGTAGCTATACCGACCACTGTAGACTCGTTCGTGTATCATCCATTCCCTTCGTTCTGCTGCAATGCTCATACCCCGTCGTTTGATTTATTCACGGTACCGGTGCTATTCGCGTGAAGACTTGGTTGCCATGCTACCGGATTTGTGGCAACCTTCGTTGTAAATTGCTTCTACCTTCTTTAAGGCGAAGTCGAGAGCTTCAAGTCACATCAACGATAGGCAGAAATCGATACTGCATTCGGTCTTTGCGATATATACATCTAGCATACTCGCTATTCACGTTTTAGGCTGTAACGAGCGTGTGGGTAAGGTAACGACGGAGGCCAAGGGGCGCGCAAAGGGAAGGTAAGGCAGCGGCGCGGGAGAAGGCGGGCGGTATGTCACGGACGTCGCGGTATGGTATGTGAGTAGCGGTAAGTACAGGAACAGATAGATCCAAGAATCCCAGAAGCCCAAACAAGAATAGTGTATAGAATGCTGTTGCAGTGATATATGTGTGGGGATTTTCTTATTGTGGACGCGAGAAGGAGCACGGGGTGCATGAGTGGGTGCGCATACATACACATAGGGCGAAAAGGAGTGCTGTACAAGAAAATGATGTCGATGTCGATGATGCTGAGAGTGAGAGATGGAAATGATTACCAACCGATACATAAACAGTCCGCGAAAGCACCAGAACGAAAACAGGGCGGCGACAACAGATTGACGGTTAAATAGACGGGTGCGATGATGAGTATGTCGATGGAGGTATATACGATGGGAAAGATGATGAAAGACATCAACATTCGCGGCGGATAGGCAGCGTCTACTGGCTCATACCCGCCCGCACACGCCGCATATTCGCGACCGTCACGTTGACGCCTTCGCGCCCCTCGAGCCACACGCCGTTCTCACGGCAGCGCTCGAACAGGGCGCGATAGAAGGTAAGGATGCGGTTCTGGTCCGCGCGGGAGAGGGTCGCATAGGGGTTTGATGGCTGTTCAGGCATAGGAGGAGGAGCATAGAAGGCTTGAGGGTCAGGAGTCGCTGCAGTCGGGTACGTCTTGACAGGAGGCGCGGACGCCTTGAGGGCGTCGAGAGCGGCCTTCGGCAGAGGGGCTGCAGCCAGAGGATGAAGGGAGGTTTGAGGCTTGGAGATAGCAGGGCGAGGCGTCTCGATGATGAAGTCATCATCGTCGAAGGCATTGCTGGCGCGAGAGCTGCCGTAGCCGAAGGAGGAACGTGAAGTACGACCGCCGACATCCTCGTCCTCGAGCACGGTCCAGGTGCGAGGCGGGGTAGGCGCATCGACGAACTCCCAGGTCGACGAGGGCGACGACGCAGTTGCAGCCGGAACCTCGTCTTCCGTGACCTGCTCCCGAACGACGCTCATGCGGATGCCGTGGGTGAGCGATGCGAAGGGGTTGTGGAACCCAAGGGTCTTGCGCTTGTTCTTTGACTTGCGCTGGCCGTCGACCTTCGAGGATCGAGACAAGCCAAGGGAGCTGCTGGTGACCGTCGCAGACGTGGAAGCCGTCGGCAGGACCGATGATGACTTCGAGGGGTGAAGCATCTGGGAGGTCGTCGCTGCGCCAGCGCTCTTCGGGCCTGGTCGCCGACGCGACGTTGAACGACGCCGCGTGGTGCAGACGCTGCGCCACCTTGGCTGCTGCCTTCTTGCACTGAGTCATATGCTCCGACGATGCGCTGCCCCGACGGAATGACAGCGTGCGCTCGATGAACGAGGCGCCTGCCTCCTCCCGCGGCTGCTCGTCGTAGACGTTCACCTCGCCGTATGACTGCTTCTGCGCCGCCAGTACCCACTCCGCGACCGTCGAGTAGTTCGCTGGCTCTTCAAAGAAGACCTCCGACGCGTTCATCTCATCGAGGTCGACCTCCGACGGCGACAGAGCGGAGGGGGACTCGACATCGATGTCCGAGTCGGTCGTGCCGTCCTCGCTCTCGCATGCCGTCTCCGTGCCGCTCGAGTTCGTGTCATCCTCTGCCTCGTCGTTGGCAGCGAAGTGGATCGGGCTGCCCGTGCGCGTGTTCCACATCTCGGGCGTGGGCGCGCGAGCCGCAAGTGCACTGTCGCCGTAGCGAACAGCGCCATCCTTGCCATACAGGTCGACATGGGTCTCGCACGGCCACGGCCCAGTAGGGGTCTCCGCGCGCTTGAACACAATCGGGCTCTCTGCCCGCCGCCCAGACCGCCCCGAAGAGCACGAGCGCGGACGCAAAGTTGAGTCCATCCTAGGCGACCCCGACAGCGATAGGCACGACGTGCTCCGCAGAGCAACCGCCGACGCGGACGCGAGCCTGCGCCATCTCGGCCGCCCGCGCGTATCCCACTCATCGTCGACGCAGTCATGCTCGATAACCGTATGCGGCGCGCCCGCAAAGCCCTCCTCGTACTCCTCCCAAGGCACGACCTCCAGCCGCTTCGCGATCTCCTGCTCGCGCTGCTCCTCCTGCGCCTCCCAGGGCGCAACCTCGTGCCGCTTCTGCTGGATGGTCTCAAGCGACTTGCGCATCGTCTGCGACACCGCGTGCTTGCGCTCGAATGTCTCCGTCCGCTCGATAGTTACGGTGACGCCGGCAACGTAGCTCTGCCCCGGCTGAGCGTACATAGCATCGATCTCCTCCTGCGACTTGATGCTCTCGTCCCCGATGGATCCCGAGCGTGCCCGAGGGCGCTCAGCAAAGCGGATGGGACTGGGCTCGCGCCCTGCCCATGTATCGCCACCATTTCCAGCCCATTCCTGCCCATGTGTGCACACATCGCTGGACAGTGACCTGACCGGGGACACCTCCCTGGAAGGAGAGACCTCAACGGCCTTGCCTTTGCCCTTTACATCTACTGATCCTTCAGGGCCCGGCGGATGGATGAACACAGCATGCGGAGGGCGCGATGCCGTGGTAACGTAGTACGCAGGCTGAGCGATGACAGGCTCGTCTGGCGGCGAACCCGTGAATGCCGCAGGTGCAGCAGTAGACGGCCGAGTGGAGTTCTCGTGCAACAGCAGCGGCGCACGCGAGTTCAGCGACATCGAAGACGTTGCCAACGTGAGCGCTTCAACCTGCTGCGAGGTGGTCGCCCGATTTTGCCGGGTCGCCTGAGGCTTCACGCCGGACAGTGACGGAGACCGCGTCGGCTTGGCGGAGGATGCGCGCGTAGCCGGAGTGGCGGTTGGCGAGGGCAAGAAGCGCTTGACAGCCTTGTGCTTACGCACATTGACCTGGCGCTGACGACGGAATCAGTGCTGTGCTTGTTCTATATGCGGGCTACAACACACCTTCATTGCCGCAAACCCAGCTTCAAGATCCTCCTCGGGGATGTACGGCGCCGACGGGGGGCTGAACATCGCACAACCCATATCGCGGACGAACCTACAAGCGGCGTGAGTACAAAGGAGTACAAAGGAGCAAGGCCAATATTCGTCACTCACTTCAACGCCGGGAAGTCCCCCTTCCTCAGCAAGCTTTGCATCTGCTCCAACAGCCTGAAGAACACCTCTTCGCCATCATTGCCAACCTGCTCCGCGTACGAGCTTAAGTCACTTCGTCAGCACAGTCTCTTCGCCTCGTGCGAACCAAGATCACTCACTGCACCTCCACCCCATCCGGACCCCTCCTGCCTCTCCTCCTCGCCCTTGCCAGCTCCAAATCATCCCTCAGCCGCTTCTCAATATCCCGTACACCAATGAACAGCAACGTCGGGTGCGACTTCAACAGGGTATGCGGCCGAATGCGGTCCGGGTCATGCCAGTTCCATTCGGCGTCGGCACTGCAGATGAACTCCTTGAGGTTCGAACACCAGCCAGCGAGGAGGCCCTCGCGACCGCGGAGAATGCCACCAGGAGCGCCAGCCTCGAGGCCGCGACTCAACCAGTATTCCTCGATCGTCGCGGAGCTGTGACCGAGTTCGAGCTGGCGGATGCGCGAGCCGTGAGACTCGAAGAACGCCTGTGCCGTACGACTTGAGCATGATAACCCATAAATGCAGGAATGCACGCACCCCGAAGCCCTCACCCGCGTACGCGAAGTCGCTCGCCAGGATGCTCAGGTTGCGCAACTTCGGGAGCTGCCAGGCAGCCAAGAGTCTCAGCATCGGGTTCGAAAGGGTAAGCTGGGATTGGGAAGTATGCTGTTAGCGCGGGTCCGCATGCATGTGCTTTAATTTGTTAGTGCCCTCACCTTCAGCGTCTGCAATTCCGCCAAGCACACCGCATCCGCTTCCATCCCGCCATTCATCGCGCTGACGTCGTGCTGCGGGATGCCGTACTCGTCCAACGCGCCGAACTCGTCTGCATCCTCGTTCTCGAGGCACTGCAGCTCGAGCCACCGCAGCGTCGTGCTCATGCGGACGAGCGCAGGAGCAAGCGGCATCGGGTGAGCGTAGGTCGTCCAAGCGAGGCGCGTAAGCTGTCGGCTGGCGAGGATGTCAAGTACGGCATCGGGTGTACACTAAAATCACGTTAGTAGGTGGATATGTGCAATTGTCTGGGGGAGTAATGGGTGTGAGTGACTGTACGGCAAGACTCACCTGCCCACCAGCGTCGAACAAGCTATACCGCACGCCCGCATGGTCCTCATACACCTCCAAGTTCGAGGCGTGTAGGAGGATGGTGCACACGTCGCGAGCATCGACGCGATCGAAAACCGACGGGATCGGGCTGTCGTATCCTCCGTACGCGGGGGTCTGATCGCCACTACAGTACAAGCTGGGATCGAACTCGAAGTGACCTGATGGGTCCTCCTTGTCGTCAACCCTGCTCGAGCCATGTGCGTACGGAGGCATTGCGCGCGTCGAAGGCACTGGTGCGATACGGACAACACGGATGTGAATGCCGATATTCCCTTGCGAGTCCTGGTATTGCAACCGTTGGGCAAGGAGCCTAGCCTGCTCCTTGTGACTGATGTAGACCGTGTGGAAGAGATGCTGCGTGGCGATGGATGCGAATCTGATGAAGGAGCGAGCGAGCGAGTTGACGTTAGAGGGAGAGAAAAACAACGTCAGAGGGGTGGGTGCGAGGGCATTTTGGGACAGGCACGCACCGGCGGCAGGTGAGCATCAGAGCCATTTTAGTAGCCATGTCGGGCGGGCCAGGACGAGGGGAGAGGAAGCCGCGAGATCCGGCGGCGCTATCGCGGCCATAGGGTGATGAGGACTCGAGGAAGCTGGCGCGTTGTCAGTTGCAATTCTATTGATGAAGGGGAACGGGGCACGCACTCAAAGTCATCGTCCTCCTCATCCTCGTCCATCAGCTCCATGGGATGCACGCCGAGCCTGGGCTCCTTCGCCTTGGGCAGTGACGCCAGAAGCTCATCGTCCCCTTCCTCGGGTCCATCCCAGCTACTCGGTGTGACGCTTCCGGTCGCGTAGGTGAATATGTGCGCCCAGATCTCGGGAGGCAGCTGGGGCGGGAGTCGCTGTGAGGGGGTCGCACGGGGACGCGTGGAGGATGTCGCATGACTGGGGAGGCGAACGTCAGCATCGGTCCGCCAGTGCTGCGCGCGGGGCACACGAGCGGCGATACGGTGGGCGTACGCGGGGAAGTACAAAGCGGGGAGTACGCACTCGTGTTTGCTGGCTTTCCGCGAGCCGTGCTTGGAGAATAGGGAGCGGACCTGTGCCTTCATAGCTTGCGCGGCGAGGGAGGGATGGTGTCGTGCGCGGGTCGTGACGCGGGGGAGGCACCGAAGGTCGCGGGTGCGGAAGAGGATAAAACTGAGAGTGAATGGGTGAGTGCGCTGCTTGCTGCTCGGGTACACCGAGATCCTGCGCCGACGATGGTCGGTAGGGGTTGCTGCACGTCGTGGAGCTCGCTGGCGTCGCGGTGACGGCCGTCGGAGGGATCTCGCAGAGGCGTAACGCGGTCGTTTCACACGTAGAAAAGAGGGGAAATAGTAACAAAGTTACTCCCCGTGTGTGAAGATGGACGACGAAGGGAAGAAAGGTGCACAGGGGTCCTCGTCGTGGTCGATGGTGTCGGCGGGGAGGGAAGGATGAATCGTGGGAATATTCGCACGTGCGAGACGCGGCCTTCTGGCCAGCGTCTTGTCACGTGTCATTTCAATTATCCCGCGCTTTCACACCCCATTTTGTCGCACACTCCTCGGGCACCCCGATAGGCTTGAACGCTCGAAGTTTGCTCGAAGTGCTTCTAATGAGCATCTCGAAATGATACTTGCACTCGTGCCTAATTAAGGCCACTCCCTAACCTCCTTCACGGCGCCCAATCCTGCTCCTGTGGCCTCTCCTGCTCTTCAACCCTTCTCCGATTACTCCGAGTGGCGCAGCCCAGCCCAAACCAGCTCATGCAGGCCCTCTTAAGTCAAAATCTGCAGTCTGCAATCTGCTAGCTATAGGGCATACACGAACGCTTCTAATTCCCACCTTGCATCATCCCGAAGCCGCAACTCCAGCTCAAAACTCAGCGGCGACCTCATCAGAACCCTTCCGGCGGTCCTACACCCTTAGACGCCCACGCAGATCTCAGCGTCTCCGACGCGGATATACGTGACGAAGCGCCCCGATACCCACGCACCAGTACAAAATTTCCTGCACACTTTTCAGAATTTCTCGCACTCGAGACCGTCGAGGTTGGTCTGGGCAACATCGCAAGGACTCGCTAGCTCCTACCCGAAAAGGAACATCTTACGTTCAACTTTGGCTCTCGTGATCTCGCTTGCTCGTTTGAACGCCGTTTGCGCTGATTGGCTACTCGGACGCAATCATCCGCTATGCACTCGTACACGGCTGCGTGGTCGATTGCTAAATTCCGGATAGAAAACGATATTCGTTTCACAGACTCAGACGTTAGCCGTATTTTGGCTGATGAATATCTGGATTCGAGGTGTTCCGTCCCATTGCTGGAAATCAGGTATTCGCACCGCATGCTGCACCGGTCCGACCAGTGATTCGGTCCAAATTTGGTTTTGGACGACGCCACGAATTTGGATTCACAACACGGACAAGCAGGCTGGCTGACACACCGCAAGCGATGCGTGAAAAGACAAGTCCGCTTGTCCTTGACAACCATGAACCGACTGCCCTCACGCAGTTCCCGCGTCCACCCCCCCCTCCCCACCCTCGCGAATCTCATGCCCGCGTCTCCCTTCCGCCTCCGCGACTGCTGCCTGCCTTCGCTCGAGGGGTTCAGCAAGACCGATAGCGGTTTCCGCTTGAGCGCCTTGCGACGCCATGTGTGCCCTCTGTCCCGTCCCCTGATTGCGACTTGCGCGGCATGCTGCTCACAGGCTTTGAATGCGTCAGTGACGCCCTCGACGGCCCGATGTGCAACTCGCCACTAACGATGTACATCGCAGCGCCTCGACATGGGTTCGTTGTCAACACATCACGTCGTGAAGCCTGCTGACCATGACCGCCAGACACCTCCTAGCAGTGGAATCACTTCTAGACTATCCAGGTGTGTTGACCCTAGTCTCTCTGTATATCAGCTGCTGAGAACTTTGCAGGTGTTCACTATGTATATAGTGCAATTCCCTCGGCTGCAGAGCCCTCACAGTCGGAATAGTGCGGCGGTCTCGGGCGCCTACGGAGGTAGGGCATTACGAGGGGCTTCAGCGGGTTCCGTAGCGTCCGACATTGTGTACTCTATGTAGATCGAAAATAAAATAACAGTATTCTTTATCTCTCTCATTCTGTGTGATGCAAAACGAGGCAACGGGAGCGGCGACACGCAATACGGCGCGCGGCCCCAGCGGGCACGTGGCCTGTGATAGCCAAATTCTACCTGTTCGCCGCGATACCTAGGATTCGACTTGCCCGGATTACCTAGGAAACTGCTCCCAGCAGGTAAATTGCGGCTGTTCCTCCGTTCACCTGATTTCCAGGTGTGGACGACGCGGCCGTGTACGGAGGACGGCGCGTATATACGCGAGTTCTCCATCTTACCGCCCGCAAAGACACTCGCTTGTCCGCAAAACACCCTCTTGTAAACGTCCGCGAAGACACAGCTCAAATGCCGCCCTCTAGCGCTCTGGTGCGCGTCTCGAGGACGACTGATATCGCTCTTGCCATCCACGGACTCGGACATTCATTCAGCTCTTGCTTTCGGCATTCGCGTCCTGCGGAGTCGTCCCCTGATTCATCCAAGATTTGCTTGCCTATTCATTCACGTTCTTCTCCGTCCTTCACGTTATTCCTGGCTATTCATCCACGACCCGCTCGACCACTAGAAGCTGCTGCGTCACCATATACACTCCCGTAATCTCGCTCTGGGCACACTCGTAATCGCTCTACTGTCGTCCCTCTCATGATCACTCTGTCCAGTGTCCACACGCGCGTCAATCCCATGTTCTCCTTGTAAACCAACGGCCAACAGAAAGCAACAGCCGAGTCAAGGGGCAACTCTATCGGCCTCCTTCGGTCCGTGCCGCTATCCTTCCCGCTGACCCTACTGCTCTATTCACTTTTCTATCCGGGTTTTATCCCGGCCGCAACTACCATCACTGACGCCCACACTGCGACGTCAAGGCCTGGTCAACCCGCCGCTCGTTCCCTCCGAAAGTCCTGCTGCGTTTGCTGCGTCTCTGCGTCTATTGAGTGAGCTCACTGTAGGGTATCGGCCGTCTTGGAGCCCTTGACTTCTGGTCTGCTTGCTGAGCATACCGAAGAGTTTCTACATAGCTTCTGCTTCCTCACAGGGTCTGTAAACTCGAAAGCTTCGTCACAGGGTCTTAGTCTTCGAAGGCTCTGCCCAGATAAGGCCTTGTCTACTTGTGCTTAGGGTATACTGTTTACTACTTGTGCGACGTCTGCCCCGACCATCAATCACCGAAGCTCTATTCAACCAATCCCAGGTCAGGACCCTACATCCGCTTGAACACTTCTTTCTAACTTTCGAGCGCGAGAACGACGTGCGCTTCAGTTGTACCAAATTATCATGTGTCAGGGCTTACTTTCACTTCCTCTTTCTTTGGGCGTTGACTGATCTACAGGGTAATACAGGGTTCACTCAAATACAATTCGCCCAAACGGCGTCTTCACAACACCATCCTGGTCCCCGCCAGCCTTGACATGCAGCTCATACAGCGCCGAGCCATGCGTCCTGAGGTATTCGCGCTCCTCGTCGTCCTGGGGAACACTGAGAATCAGCGAGCCCTTGACCCCATTGTCGGCGTTTTTGGCTAGGGGGAAGTGGGCGGAGCGCTCGGTCGACTGAAGGGCCTCAGCGCCAACGATGTCGGCCACTTGCTGCTTCCTCTTCGGCAAATCCTCCTCGCTGACGAGGATGCGGACGGCCGTGACGCCCTGCGCGCCAAAAGGGTGCGTGGTATCGTTCGCAGACGAAGGTACCTGCGCCATTATATTCAGCAAAGGCATCCCTCACACTCAAGATCCACCCACCCTCAACCTCCTCTCCGTCACATCCCCACAAAAGAACGGGATCAAGCCCAGAACGCCTTCCTCCTCCCCCGCCGTGATCACCCAGTCCAGCCGCACGCCATCGGGCCTCAACCTTCCTCCAGGGACCTCCGCCTTATATATCGGCTCTCCTCCATGAGCCGTCGCGCGCGCGTTGACGAGATCGGAGATGCGATTCGGTGGGTCCAAGACGCCGTTCCCGAGGAAGGCGTAGTCGATCCAGCCGGAAGACTTGTTGGCCCAGCGGTGGGCCTCGCGCGCGGCGCGCTCGGGGGAGCCTGGGGGATAGTACGAGGGGTCGTGGGTGAAGGAGATGAGCTCGACGTAGGTGCCGTCGGGGAAGGACTGATTGAAGCAGAAGGTGAAGAGAAGGAGAAGCAGGTCAGAGTACAGTAAGCGACTGGGTAGGATGATGGCTTACGATGAGCGCGTTCTCGGTGAGACCGTCTGCGTGGGTGCCGCCTGGGAGGACGCTGGGGGATGGGTGAGTTCGGCTGATTGGCTGCGCGGACAGAGCTACGTACTTGAACCCAAGCTTCGTCAAGTTCTCCGTCGCGTCCTTCACATTGGGCGCCAGATGAACGATGTGATCGAGGATGTTAGTCGGGGGAGTGGGTGCCATCGTATTCGACGTCGATAGACCGAGCTGGTTGACGAAACTGGCAGGAACGACGAAGGAGACCACCCAGTAGATGAGAGGGAGAAGCATCACGGGGTTCGCTCTTGAGAGGGATCTTTATCGCCGACCATTGTTCATTGCGTGCGCGCTCGCCATATCGCCCGGTCACGAGTATCGGTGAACCCAAGTTCGGCGACCCGCTCGGGGTTAGGATAGCTAGCCTCAATGGCTACCTGGGAGAAAGAATGATATGAGTGCGCTGACGAAGGGAATGTGTATGCGCACTCGGGCCAGTCAGCCTCACCGAACGCGGTGCCACACGCGCGCGACGGCCAAAGCTCAGCGCGCAGTGTCGGAACGCGACGTCATGTAGTCATCATATCCGTCAAGGATATCGTCCGCGAAGCCCAAATCGACTGTCTTGCCCTCGTATTCGTCGTCGTCGCCGTCTTCGACGCCCAGCAATTGTGAGTGTCTTCGAGAACAATGGGAATGCCCAAAAGCGGAAGTGCGCGCGAATTCGACCGTGGGAAGAGACCGGCGCTTGTTCTGAGGCTCTTCCCGAACGATGACTGTACATCTTGACCTCTGCTTTCTTGCTCGACTAGCTGCTCTACCGCTCAGCGATACTTGAATCGACTACAGCTCAACACTGCACACAACTATTTCACTGAGGACACCATGGGCGCCCCGATAGAGATCGAGTCCGTCAGCCAGTGGAATCAAACCCTGCGCTCCGCGAGGGAGGCCAACCGACCCATTATCGTCGACTTCCACGCTGAATGGTGCGGGCCTTGTAAGGTGCGTCCCTCCCCCTTTCCCTCCCCAACCCCATCACTCACCACCCCTCTCCACCCGTTCAGGCCATCGCCCCCATCTACGCCCAACTCGCCGCCCAATACCACCGCGCCGTCTTCCTCCGCGTCGACGTCGACAAGAACCGGCCGATCGCCGCCAAATACAATGTCACCGCCATGCCCACCTTCTACGTCATCGTGGACGGGGAGCGGGTGGACACACTCCGCGGCGCGGACGCGCGCGGGCTCGCGGCGATGGTCGCGAAGTACGCGTCGGTCCCCCCGCTGCCTGCGGACGCAGAGAAGGCGAAGGCGGAGGGCAACGCCGCATTCAGCAAGGGGGAGTACGCGCAGGCAGCGGCGGCGTACTCGCGCGCGATCGAGAAGGCGCCGGAGTCTGCCGTCCTGCTCGCGAACCGCGCGTTCGCGTACATCAAGCAGGTGCGCGATCCGGGGACGCCGAAGGAGGAGAGGAAGAAGCTGCGCGTGCGTGCGGTGGTGGATGCGACGAACGCGACGCAGCGGGATCAGGCGTGGGGGAAGGGGTGGGTGAGGTTGGCGGAGGCGTTGATGTTGCAGGCGGACGAGGAGGGAATGGAGAATGTGGCAGAGGACAAGCGGGCAGAGGGGGTGAAGCATACACTGCTGGGGGCGGAGGAAGCGCTGCAGAATGCGATCAACCTGTCGGATGGGAAGGTTAAGGCTGGTGAGTGTCGAACTTGTTGCCCGCGAACAGTGCGTTGACGGTCATTCCAGAGGCGCAGGAGATGATGAAGGAAGTGAAGGCGAAGCTCGCGGCTCTATAGTGCTACGACGCCGTCAGGACGTCCATCTTATTATTCTGGACTATGGTTATGACCACTGTTGTACTTGTATGTGCGGTCAACCTTGCTATCGACTCTTTGGCTGGGCAGTATTCAGATCCGGTTCACCGCGCGTGGGAAGTTTGTACCGATCTTTCCTCTGACTCTTACCAAACGATGACCAGCCTCCTATTTTCTACTCGCATCCTCGACTTGCGAAACCACAGATCTTCGCCGAAAGTTTCCTAATCATCGAGACACCATGGCCGCTCCCGTCGAGGTACAGTCTGTCACCGTGTGGAACACCCTCCGGCGCAGCGCAACGGAGAACAACATACCCATCATTGTGGACTTCCACGCAGAATGGTGCCAGCCCTGCAAGGTGCGTCTTCCGATCCCTCCTGTCATTTCCTCGCGCCGATCAGCACATCTCTTCCCTCAGTCCATCGCGCCCATCTACCACCAGCTCGCCAACCAGCACCACCGCGCCGTCTTCCTCCGCGTCGACGTCGACAGGAACCAGCCCATCGCCGCGAAGTACAACGTCACCGCCATGCCCACCTTCGTCGTGATCCGCGGTGGGGAGGTCGTCGACACCCTCCGCGGCGCGGACGCGCAGGGGCTCGCGGCCATGGTCGCAAGACATGCGGCGGTGCCCCCACTGCCCCCCGCCGCGGAGCAGGCGAAGGCAGCTGGCAACGCCGCCTTCGCAGCCGGCGACCTCGCCACCGCCGCCGCGCACTACACGCGCGGCCTCGAGAGCGCACCGGACTCGGCCGTGCTGCACGCGAACCGCGCGCTCATGCACATCCGGCAGATCCAGCTGCGGGACCCCGCGAGCAAGGCGGCGCGCATGACGCTCCGCAGGCAGGCGATGCGCGACGCGAACGCGGCGACGGACCTCGAGCCGCGCTGGGGGAAGGGGTGGGTGCGCAGCGCGGAGGCGGTGCTGCTGTCGGGGGACGACGAGGTGCTGGAGGATACGCCGGCGGAGACGCGGGCGGAGAGCAAGCGCATGATGCTGTCGGCGGTGCTGGAGACGCTGTTCAATGCGGCGAATCTGTCGGATGGGAAGCTTAGGGCTGGTGAGTCTGTCTTGAAGCAGGTGTGGGAGGTCAGGGTGCTCATGAAGTGCAGATGCGTTGGCGATGAGGGATGATGTGCGCGCAAGGCTGGAGGCTTTGTCGTAGGTCAATGCTGCGAGGCCTGTGGTACATCGCGCTCGAAGGTCAACTTGTCATGTGCACAAAAAGAGTAACTTCGGCCGCCTTGAACCTCGGATTCGCTTCGCCCCAGGTGGGTTGGGAAGACATCGTGGGGGTCCAAGACACACGGTAATTAGAAGTGGGTACCCTCCTTCGAGGCGTGTTCCACCTCGGGAGGCAATCGATAACCGAGGGGGTGCCACGACTGCTTCGAGAGTCGCCCCGTCATCAGCTGAAGTTGCATAATCCCACCGCACGACAGCTACTTGATGTTCTACCCATGTTTCCCATTGGTTATCTGATGTACAAGTGTTTATCTAATTACAATGCTTTCGACCTCGTATTCGCAGCTCTTCGAAGGTGTCGTCGCAACTCTTGGAAGCTGTCGTCGCAGCCCTTCAAAAGCTGTCGACTACTGGTACTAGTCGCTTGGTACTGGTTGACTTTCAGCAACAGCTTGGAACTGATGCTTGAGCAGCTTAGAACTGGTGCTTGGAGACGATCCCCCAGAAGTACTGGCCCTGGGTCTTCGCGATCTCGAGCTCGAGCGCGGTGGGCTGGCGGGAGCCGTCGCCGCCCGCGAAGGTGCCGGCGCCCCACGGGGAACCTGGAGAAGGGGTGAGAATTGGGTTGCATGCATGCAATAAGAGAGGGGTGGGATTGGATTGGGGAAGGAAGTAGAGGATGCGACAGAGGTATCGAACGGGAAGGGGATCATGAGAGTGGAAGAGAGAGTACCCACCACCGTGGACCTCGTTGAGGTTGGCGAGCTTGGAGAAGGCGCCGCCGAGGGGTACGAAGATGATGCCGTGGTGGACGAGGGTGGACATGGTGTTGGCGACGGTCATCTCCTGCCCGCCGCCGGGGGACGCGGTCGAGACGAACGCGCTGGCAAACTTGCCCGCGAGGGCGCCCCTGGCCCAGAGCGCGCCGGTCGTGTCCCAGAAGGCCTGCGATGGCCGTGAAAACTGTACACGGTGCTGAAGTCACCGCCCACGCACCTTCCACTGGCCGGGGAAGTTGCCGAAGCGGGTGGGGATGCCGAAGATGAACGCGTCGAAGGTCGCGAGCTTGTCGGCGTCGATGATCGGGTAGTCCGGCTTGGGCGGCGCGTGGAGGAGCTGGAGGATGTTCTCGGGGAGCGTCTCGGGGATCCTGCGCGGGCGATGAGCGGCGATGGGCGATCGATGCTAGTGCGGACGTACTGGAAGATCGTGGCGCTGCCGCCGGCAGCCTCAACACCGGCCTTGACGGACTCGGCCACTATAGGAAACGGTGAGGATCGTTGAAGTGGTAGTGAAGTAGATGAAGCGCTCACACTTGGCGATGTGCCCGTACATGGAGTAGATGACGATCGCGACCTTGGGTGCCATTGCTGCTGGAGATGAAAAGAGCAAGAAGAGGATGAGAACGACTGGGGCAGTATGTCGCGACCGGTCTGTATTTATACGTGCGGGCAACCGTCACACCGCTCGATCTTCGCGAGATTTGATACCGTCTATCTGACAGACAGCTGACGACGATTCGCTGACGATAATCCAGACTCTTCTGACCAAAAGGCCCCTCCCGCACAGCTCCCATCTGGGAAATGCTGGCGCGTTTTAGTAGGCAGTCCCTCATGTCGCGCAGCGTAAGTCGGGCATGGTCAATGTGGGTGCGCTGAGAGGAACTGGCCATAAAGGGCAGGCGGTGACAAACGCGGGGCGCCATCACGTCAACTGACCGCGTAAGCTGCTTGCCTTTTTTGGTCCAAAGCTCTCAACGATTCCCACGCGCCGGCAGGGGCTCCCGCGCGGTCCCCTTCGCTTGCGAATCGATTGCAACGTAGAACACGCAAGAAGGCGCAATTCTTTGATTACGATGACAAGAGGCCATGGGCCTTCATTGACTGAGTAGAGACAGTGATTTTCCCTTACGCTCATAGGATATCGCAAAAAGAACGTAGCACTGCCAGTAAACTTAGCAAGCCCGTCTAAGTGTGAGCCCGCGAGAGGTTTTCGTGATGACTGCGATACTGGACACTTTTTGGACAGACCAAACTGACAGAGTGCTGAGGTATCTGAAGACCATTTGAAGGCGGGAAGTTACATATGAGCACTCGAAAGCACCTCCCCCAACCCCGGCTCGCTCCTACCCTCATCAAGAACACTGCTAGATTACGCGTAGGTAAATCGTTCGCACTAGATACAATACTTCAAGTTCATGGTCGTAAGATCGTCAGGTAGGTTCGCAAGCAGCGTTAGGCGAACTTGCAAGCAGCGTCAAGTGAGCTCGCAAGAAGCGTTCGTCGGTGGACACAATGAGCGACAACTTGCACAGGTCTGGTCAATGTCTGGTGGGGGACACGATCGGTCGTCCCTTTTCAAAAGTTCACCATCGTCCTAAGCTCGTCCGTTTTGCGAAAGTCCACCACCTCACAGCGGCACCTCCGCACTCAACCTCCCGTCGCGGCTGCTAGCACCGACAGTGATGCCAATCGTCCCGTTCGGCTTTGCCCATCCTTGCTGAACGACGTCCCAGATGGAGAGATCATACCTGGAAGGGGAGTCAGCACAAGGACCTTGCGCCTTCAGGCTCGAGGAGACAGGTGCTGAAGTGTAAACACTCGGTGCCCAAGTGCCCGAGACCGAACACCAGACCATCGAGAACAAAACCGAAACCCACCTCGACAACGGCAACGACACATGCTTCGTCTCGCCCGGCAGCGCCTCCACATTCGTGAAGCCCTTCAGCACAGACGGCGGCTCGCCCGACCCATCGGGCGGGTTCACATACAGCTGCGGGATCTAGAGAGCAGTCAACACCACATCTCTCCCACCACAAAAAAAAGTCCTCCAAAGACCTACCTCCCCACCGAACAAATCCCCACTATTCGTCACATCAAACTCGACCGTGAACGCCGGGCGGTGCAACCACAGCGCCGTCGACGAGCCCTCCGCAATCGGTGACGCTACGCCTGTTGCCCACGCGTCCGCCAGGTCCTGGTCCGTCCCGTCCGGCGCGTCGACCGCGGAGATGACGAGGTTCGAGTACTCAAAGTCCGTGTAGGACAGCCCGAAGCCGAACTCGAAGCGCGGGGTGATGTTGAAGTAGTCGAAGCGGCGGTAGTCGACGAAGAGGCTGGGGGGGGGGGTGGTGTAAGTATGTCGGGATGATGGGGTAGACGAGGCTAACGCACCCCTCCGTGTACGGAATGTTCAAAAAGTCCTCATTGGTGCCACCGAGGATAAGGCCAGTCCCATAGTCCTCCAACGACTTCGCGATCGTGTACGGCAGCCGACCAGACGGGTTCCAGCGGCCGTAAAGCACGTCGGCGAGCGAGTTGCCCGCCTCGTTGCCCGGAACGCCCGCCCAAAGGACCTATACACGGTTTAGTAAACGTATAGCCAGCACCGGTGACAGCCTATACGCACAGCAGTTACGTTCTCGTGGTCGATCCAGGGCTCGAGAATGAGCGGCCCGACACTGTGCACAACGACGATGGTGTTGTTGTTCTGCGCCGCAACAGCGAGGATAAGATCATCCCCGCCATGCCAGGCCGTCAGGTTCTTCCTATCCCCCTCATTCCCATCCACCGTGATATACTGCTCCCCACTATCCGAGTTCACAAACACAATCGCCGCATTCCGCCCGGGGGCCATCGTCTCCACCCGCTTCGCCATGTTCCCCGCCAGCGGCAGATCGAAGTCATCCAGCAGCCACGACACGCTCGTCCGGTCCTTGCGCGCGCGCCTTTGGATCGCCTCCAGCGGGGTGACCAGGTACGTGAAGTTCGCCGTGCCGGAGCCCCAGCCCATGGCGAGCACGCCGTCGGAGCCGCCCTGGTCGGCGAACTGGTTCGGGCCCGCGCGGCCGGGGCCGGCGTCGCTGCCGGCGAGGAGGAGCGCGCGGGGCTTGTGGAGGGGCAGTGCGTCGCGCTCGTTCTTGAGGAGGACGATGGAGGCGGCGCCCATGTTGCGAACGAGGCTGGTGTGCTCCTCGTCTGCCATAGGGTCAGAAGGGGATGTATGCACTGGGAGCAACGAACACTCACCCTGCGCGTCGACGTGGTCGTTGGTGGCCTGGTTTTCTGGCAGGAAAGCGTCGAAATTGGCGGTCGGGAAGGACGGGTCGTCCTGCTTCAACAAGTACCAGCCGGCTAGGATGCGAGTAGCTGGCGCAAGCAGTTAGAACCATCATACACAAAGGACAAAAGAACTTACCCATGTCATCGATCCTCGACTCGGGAATCGTACCGTTGTGGACGTACTCGAGCAAAGTCTCATACCAGCCAATACCACCGAGCTGCGCGTCACCCGGCATGGTCATCTAGGAAAAATATGGGTCGTGAGCCAGTGCCAGACAGCATATATACTATCATCACTCACGTCCAGGCCAGCAATGGGCGAGATAGCAGACATGGTAGCGCCCCAGTCGGACATGATATCTGAAGACTTGGTCAGTGATGGTCAAGGAAGTATACAGTGCGCACTTACAGCCTTGGAAGCCATACTCGCGCTTGACAACATCGTTCAGGATCTTGTCGTTCTCGCAAGCGTAGGTGCCGTTAATCGCATCTGTGGCGAAGGTCAGCGTCTATTGGATGAGATCAACGCGCATATATTCACTGTAGCTGCACATGATGCTCGCCACACCAGCCATGATACTCCGGAGGAAAGGATGTGCATAGATCTCGTGCTCCGTCCGATCATCGACGTCTGAGCTCTCAGTCGTGCGCTTGTGCTCTTGCTCACTATCAAAGAATCAGCATACACCCAACCCAAGCCCCTCTCCTTCAACCCACTCACTTGTTGATCAAATGCTTCGCACACGCCTGCACCCCGGCCTCCTGCATCCCCAAAATCGTCTCGTACGCGGCCTCGCCCGCCAGGTAGGGGTCCGCGCCGAAGCCCTCCCAGTTTCTGCCGCCCTGCGCGACGCGCCCGATGTTCATCATGGGGCCCAGCTGCACGTTCACGCCCTTCGCGACGTGCTCCTGGCCCATGAACAGCCCGCGGAGGCGGATGAGGCCGCGGTTCCAGGTCGCGGCGGCGTTAATGGCGGTGGGGAACGCGGTGACGAAGTCAGCGAAGCGGACGCCGAGGGGGGAGTCCTGCGAGCATGGGTGAGTGAGATGGAGAGGCGGGAGGTGGAAAGGGAAGTGTGAAAGGTGAGAATGGATGGATGATAGGCTGATATAGTGAGAAGGAAATAGACGCACCTCGAGGCAGAGCCCCGGGAAGTCAACTGAGCCGTCCGACGCGTTGATAGCACCAATGTTGCCCTGGACAGGGTCAGCTGAGCTCGTCTAAACGCGCGTACACAAATCAACGCACGACACATCGCCCGTCCTCCCAGCCGACGCCCGTGCTGATGTTGATCTTCTGCTCGAGTGTATACCCGGCGATCTGCGCGGAATACGTGAGTGGCATGCGGGATGAGGCTCTGGATGGGTGAGTCAACGCACCTTCTGCTGTGCCTTGTCCCATGCTTCCAGCCAAGCGGCCGAGAAATCGGGGATAATGTCCTGGTCATATGGGCCCGGTGGGGACGATGGGTCCGTCTCTGGGAAGACGCCGGGGACTGGCGCGTATGTCGGCGCGGGGAAGGCGGAGAAGGAGTACGAGGACAGGGGGATGGTGTGCGAAACCGTGGTCGGTGGCGCAGAGGATGCGGACGACTCCTCGGCGCTGGAGGATGTAGCTGACTCCGAGGAGTTGGATGCGGTGGCTGAAGACGTGATCGAGGCCGAGGCCGCAGAAGTGACGGAGGACGAGACCGCACTGGTCGACGAGGCGATCGTACTTCCCTCCACGCTTGATGGGAGGGACGAGGGCGCGGCCGAGCTCGCAAAGGTAGCCCCAGTGGATGTAGCTTCCACCGAGCTCGCAATGCTCGACAAGGCCGATGACAGTGGTGATGAGCTCGCCGCGCTCGAAGCGGCCGATCCAACGTCAGAGTCGGATACCTGGCGCACGTCGGGTCGGGCAGCGGCGACGGCGCCGAGCACAAGGAGCAGCAGCCTGCTCTTGAAGGGTGCCATGGTGGAAGGGCGCCAAGCTCGGTCGTCCGTTTACACGGCCTGGGTTTTATGTATGCATAGCCAGCCGAGCAGGCGCCTCCGGCGCGGCCGCCGTTCCCATTATGTCCGCATCGATGTCATACTCTAGACACGCGAAGCCTACGGGCTAGTCGCCCCGCTCGATATTCTTGAGCTGGAACCATGGCTCGTACGTGAGTCGCATGCCGTAGGCCCGCCGTAAACGCCTTCCCGAGCAGCTTCGCCTGCTGTAGCAGCGCCATGAGCATCGCCTGAGGCAGCGATAACCGGAAAACACACCAGTATCTTGCCCCAGCTCTGAGCTCTCCCCCTCCGCGTCTGCAGATCATCCTGGATCTTCTGGGGAAAAAGACCCGCCAAATCATACAACCCCAGAGTACCCCAGTTCCCCGCGACTGATCGCAAACATCCGTTCCATCGCCGGGGAGCTGAGTGACCGTGCGGCCGAAGGACGGGCGCACCGGGAAAATGTCGGTGAGCTTTTAGGCTGACGCGCCACAATCCAAGCAAAAATGTTCAGCTGGGCTGAGCGTTCCTCATGGAGCGTCGGCTGTTCTCAGAGTAAAGGTTGAGGCAGAGGAGTATCGGAGAACGCGCCAAGGAGGAGACCATGCTGGATCAACGGACACAAACAGCAATCAACAATGCTACTTCCGTGCACGTGCGCAAAGTTTAACTTGAGCAGCACCGCACCCCAGGCTGATTCCAATCTCATACGAGGACTGTTAGTGGTGAGGCCTGTCTCTCGGAGCATTTTACGGTCACCAGCTCGAGCACGAGCCCCATTCTCAGCCCCGACGTCGTCGCAAAACCCAGAATACTGAGGGCCCAACTGCCACAAGCCCCGAATGCAGCGTAGCGCTTCGACGATCATTATCCCGACCCGCGACAGCTTCCTTTCAGCTGAGCAACCGATCGACATTGTACTTGCCCTCCCGCCATCTGCTGATCACAGTGCCTTCTCGTCACCACTGGCCGGAGGTGGTGATACGGTGGACCACCGCAGCGTAATGACGGGCATGCTCAGAGAATAACGCTCTTCCAGCGCCCCGGGGTAGATACGACGAGAGCAAAACCAACCGGATCTGTCCCCTGGCTGGTGCAAGACCGTCTCTTGGGGTACAGTGGCGTTCGGGAGCCCTGACAATGTGACCATGACGGCCTCCAGGGCACTTTGTGGTCACTAATCTGCTATGCTACCGGACTGTGAGCGAACATACAGAGTACATGCACGATGGACTCGCAGGTGAAGCTGCCTCCGCTGGTCGCACAAACCTGACGGACGCCATGCACGGCATCTGTGGCAAAATAATCAGCTCAGTGAGTGGCATTATATTACAACGGGGTTCGAGCGCATTAACATGTTGAAAATGACAGCAGGCCTTCAATATCGTGAACATGAGCATACCATACAAATACAGTTCGGATTCCATCCTTGTCCGTCGCATTACAGCGCCTTCAGCCTCGCGGTCACATCCTCCATCATCTCCTGCGCCTCTGTCAAAGTCGTCAGCAATCCTATCTCACCACTGTACCATGCATATAACCCAAGCAGGCCGCACACAACCCCACTCACCCTTCAACACCCTCCCCTCCGACAGCCCCACCGCATTATACAGCGCCTCCTGCGCGCCCTCGAGCATTTTCCTTACCCCCTCCTCCCTCCCCTCCCTCCCCTCCACCTCCGCCTCCATCAACATCGCCTGCGCCAGCCTCACCCACCCTTTCCCCCACCGCTCGTCCAGGCGCGTCGCCACGTACGCGTCCTCCATCGCCCGGAGGCGTAGCTCATTGCGAAGGTCTTTGGGTGCCCCCGTATCGCGCTGCCCCTCCTCCGTCCCCGTATCGCTCACCCCCGTCCCGGCACCCTCAACCAGCTTCATATGCGCATACGCTCGATTTGCCCGCGGCACGGCCCACCCGGGGGCGAGCTCGACCGCGCGGGTGTAGTGCGCGGCTGCCTGCCCGTAGTCGCCCATCGCGAACGCGGCGTTGCCCTGCGCTTTCGCCACGTCAGCGTCCACCGGAATGGTGGCGTCGACTCCGGGATTGTGGATGTCGGGAACGGAAAAACGCCTGGCAGCAAGCTCCCTCAACGACCGCGCGTCCGACCCCATCATACCATCGACGGGGAGACCGCCGCTGAAGAGCCAGAAGAAGGGGAGCGTGTCGATCTTGTACTTCTTCGCGATGGCCGCGCCGGGGTGCTGGGTGGCGTCGACGCGGAGGAAGGTGACCTTCGGGTACTGCGCGGCGAGCTGGGTGAAGGTGGGGGTGATAGACTGGGAGGGGCGTCAGTATTAGGGTGGATATAGAATAGTACACATGGCATATATGCGGTGAAGGGGAAGCGTGCCAGACGGCATACAGAGTAGTATAGGACGGCATATATGCGTCGAGATATAGAGGAAGGAAGGAGAAACACACCTTGCATTCCCGGTTCGCGGGTGAGTAGAACTGCACTAGGACGAGATGCTCGTCCTTAGTCGTCGGGGTGAGGAAGGTGGTCCACTGGAGGATGGACTCGATTTCGATGGGTTTGCCCAATGTAGGTGGGTCGGCCGCGGACGCGGGGTTTGTCTTCGCTTCGTCGCGCGCTGCTTCAGCGTGCAGAGGATTTGCAGCTACAGGACTCGGCCCTTTGTTGACTGGGGTCGTATTACCGGCTCCCGGAAGGGGTGCGGTCGCGGGCTTAGGCTCCATGGAAAAGCACCTGGCAGCCAAAGCCAGCAGCTCGCGCCGGGTCGGCTTCACGCACCCATCCACGAGCCGCTCGCCCCTGTATACAATGAACGTCGGGACCTGGTCGATGTTGTACTTCCCCTCGATTCTCCTGTTCTTCGTCACGTCGACCTTTAAGAACACGACGTTCTCGTACTGCGATGCGAGCTGGCTGAAGATGGGGCCGAGGACCTCAAGAGGCGCGTCAGTGCTAGTCCGTGAGATGGGCACGAGGAGGAACAGGCTGCGAGCAGGACGCACCTTGCACGCCTTGCTCCTCGGGACGTAGAACATCGCGAAGGTAAGCATACGCGCCGCCTTCGCCGACTTGAGGGCGGCTTTCCATTCGCGGGTGGACTCGATTTCCATGACTGTACCCATGGCTAGCTATGAGCGGTGTGCTGGTCTGAAGTCGGACTATATGCTGAGGACGGCGCGGTCGCGTCTGTCTGGAAGGGAGAAAGCTGACGGGAATTAGGCGGCGTCATCATCGGGACCAATGTGAACAATGGCACGCGTCTTTCCCACGAATGTCGCGTTGTTTGCCATTGTTATCGAACGACAAGACAGAGCCGTAATTAAGTAGACGGCGGTACGCGGATGGTGATGTTCTCCACGACATACTCCGAATCCACATATACGAGCACTTGAGGCATCTGCGAGCTGTGTAACGCGTCAACAATAAACAGTGAGACGGAAGCTCTCAGAGAAACATACCTATTCAGCCCCTTGACTCTCAAGACCTGCTCCCAGTTGTAGTTTGCGAGTCCCCTCCCGACCTCTATTACATCGTCCTCCGTGTACTCTCTCGTTGGCATCTTCGAAGGTTCCGGATGTGCCGCACCATCCGGCGTCCCTGGCCTCGTCGAGGCGGATGAGCCCGGCGCCGACGCCTCCTGCTGCAGCTCCTCCACCACTCCCACTGCCTTTGCCAAACCAGATACCATCGGATTCGGTGCACCACCCCCCGCCGCTCCCTGACTCGCACCCTCCACCACCTTCGGCACCACGATCCGCACCGCCTGCCCCGAAGCAAATTTACCGATGACGCCCAACACGCCCGCCGGTAGCAGCCTCCCCCCACTCTCGCGCCGCGAGAGCACGCGGTGGGCGCCGTGGTCGACGACGACGCTGCCCGCGGGGAACAGCGTATGGCGCGTCCAGGCCTTGAGGTCGCGGATGGGGGAGGCAGAGGGGAGGAAGACGGTATGTGGCGGGCGGTGAGGGAGAGAGCTAGCAGCGTTCAGGGTGGCAGAGGAAGACGATGCGAGAGTCGGAGCAGCAGCAGAGGTCATAACCCCCTCGTCGGGGTTCGGGGACTCGAGAGGCGTAGCAATTCCCGAACGCGCAGAGCGTCGAGAGGCGCGGTGGTAGTTGATGATGTCGACGATGTTCATCGGGTTCTTGGAGGAGGTGATGATGGTGGTGACGCCGGCTGCTGTCGCGATGTCGGCGGCGATGAGCTTGGTCTCCATGCCTCCGGTGCCGAGGCTGGAGCCGAGGGTGTTTGTGGATACTGAGGGATGCGTCAGGGTTACAGTCAAGGAAGTACGGCGGCTCAGGAAGTTGCAGGATGCATCGCAACACCGACAGTGCACGCAAGGAAAGGGTGAAGAAAGAAACATACCTTGCGAGCGAATCGCGGCTACAGACTCTACGACTTCGACTTGCTTTGCAGTGGGGTCTTTTCGCGGGTTGGCAGTATAAAGGCCGTCAACGTCGGTCAGGAGGACGAGGAAGTCAGCGTGGATCATGGACGATGTGACCGCTGATAGCGTGTCGTTGTCGCCGAATTTGATTTCCTGGATTTCGTCAGGGGAGAGATGGAATAAGAGCGACAGAATAAATCACCGAGACGGAAATCGTGTCGTTCTCATTCACGATGGGCAGCACACCCATGAGCAACAGCTCATTCAACGTGTTGACGGCGTTGAGATATCGTGTGCGCTATGATTGCTTGAGTCAGTGGGACGGAAGAGGTCCAGCGCTGTACTTGCATCAGATATATCTCCTCGAGTCAGTAGAATCTGCGCAATGGGCTGGTCGACCTGACCAAACAGATTGTCGTAAAGCGCAATGAGACGGCCCTGTCCAATCGCCGCTAGCGCCTACTCATCGTCAGCTCCTTCTCACCGACCATTCTAGCCCTGCACGATGCCTACCTGCTTCCCCGACAGACTCTTCGACCGCTGCGCCATATTCATCCGCTTCAAGCCGATGCCAATAGCGCCAGAGCTAACGAGGACCACCCGATGCCCATCCTGCCTCAACTTGACCACCGTCTCCACCACAGATGAGAGCGTAGAGAGCAGCGGTTGATGCGTCTCCTCGTGCACGATGGACGACGTTCCTTGTAGGCGTGCGCCGCAATCAGGATCTACTGCAACCGCACGGAAAAACGTGACTCGGACCGAGTTTGATCACCACCGTGTAGGATTGCGAGTGTGAGGAGTTTTGTCGTGCCATCCTATATCGGTTGTCTTCTTGTTGAGTCAAAGTAAGGTGGAAAAGCAAGCTAGTCCACAGAATACGTCACAAAGTCCGAATACAACCTGCGCAACATGACTTGCCCGGGCATGAGTCAACGCCACAAACAGCACGTGGGTGCGATACACGAGGCGCAGTGGCTGTGCTGCCGTATGTATTGATTCGGGTCCGTTGATTACTCCATCTGACCCGGTGCCTCGCTCTCTCTCGACACACCCATTGTCTCGCGACGGCCTTGTGGGGCTGGGCATGAGTCAGGCCGAGCAAGTGGCCAGAGGTATATAAGCGAGGCGCTTCTTTTTCTCTGCAGGGCTTCCTTCGCTTAGATTCCTTGCTGGCCCTTCGACACGCGCTTTGTACAACGCTGCGCTCTGCTTGTCTCTTTGGTGGCTGCTCTTCGTCGCCGCAATCATTGAACCACTTTGAGGAACCTGGGGCTCGCATTCCAAACCCTCCTGTCGGCCAAAGACTGCGGAACTGGCGACATCGAGCAGTCTTCAGTCCACCCAATTCATACAGTAACAATGCGCCCCAGGGACGGTGTGCTGCGGGGCGAAGGCTTACTGAGCACAACGCTTGCGTCGCCTTATTCAACGCCGACGTCTTGATCTGCGCGGGCTTCTCATCCGACTGCGCTTCATGAGTCTTGACGAGCGCACCTTCAACGCGCAGTCCCTCGTACTCCTTCTGTTCATTCCTCGATACTCATCTTCGCCATTCCGCGATACGTGCTCTCCCTGCTCTGCCTACCTTGGCATTCGGACTACGAACCTCGCCCTTTCCTTGTCTGGATTATCGTATCCATGCCTCGACCACGACCTCCTCTCGCCCTCAACAAGAATCCTGTCTTCACCGCGAATTTCTGCGGACTTCAGCGTCACTTTCTCCGTCATCCCATGCTCCGAGCCCGACCATCCTTATCCCGCAGCATCCCGGGCGGCCTCTGAAGCGCTTCGTAATCGTATCGTTTCACAGCCTGATCTGCCCCTCCCCCTCAAACAGCTGACGATCGTCCTCTGCGGAGGAGGCGTGGCGCTTGCGGGGAAGATATGGTGCTACGCGTACGCAAGATCTTGTCGCGCATTGCACGCGCTCGAAGGCTGCGCTCGTGTCGGGAAGGCTGCGCTCAAGTCGGCGCAGCGCCTCTGAGCCCCGTGGTCGTCGTGCAGCACCCACATCGCGCTCCGAACACCTCGGCGGAGCGCTGATTAGCTGTATTGTGTACGGCCTTGTCCCCTTCAATACGATCTCCCTGCTCGAGGAATCCCTTGCCAAAGTCGTGTCCTCAATCTGAGCTCGAGTGGGTGAAAAGATATGTGGCGCCGAGGCCTCCCAGGGCGCGCGGAGAAGGCCCGCCGGGGGATTCGTGGGCGGCGGCGAGGCGGGGGACGGCGCGCTCGAGTGGTAAGGATCTGTGGCGGTGTGGCGCTTGGTCAGCCCGTGCCTCGGCGAGCATGCTCCGGGCGCCTCGGTGCCGCAGGAAGGACGCGGTGTGAGTCACCCTGATTCGAACATCGTCCTCGCAAAAAATCGCTTTTTGGTTTCTACGGACGATCTTTGCATCTCAGTCGTGCTCGCACAGCCTTTGCAGCACGATCCATGCCACCAGGACGTAAATCAAGACCAATTTTGCAACGGGGAAAGGTGCAGACCGCGGTGTAGCGCCGGGCGCTTAGCGAGAGCGCCCAAGGGGGCCTGGGAAGGTGTTGGGCGGGATGATAGGCGGACTTTGAAATCGCCCGACGAGACAGTTATAACCTCACCGCACGCGCTCGCGGACGATTCCCCACTCCCTTTGTCCCACCACCAGCAACCACTTCACTCGGCATCTGCGCGCAGGTGTCGTCTAAGTGGTATCGAAGAGCCCTCGACTTTGTGAGTTTCCATCCCCTTTCGCCTGCGATAAACGATTCGGCCTGCGTGGCGGCAAGCATACGAGATGGCGTACGCATATTCTGGACATGGACCTGCTGAAGGCGGTTGTGTGGCCCCGAGGTTGACTACGGCACCGTTATCGGAGCTGGATCCATCGCGCTCGTCGTCCGTTGGGAATCGGTCGACGGCGCCTGTTTCTTCTTTGCCTCGATCGTCGCATCGCGCCGCGGGCCACGCGTTTATCAAGCGAGAGGATCAGGATCAGGAGCTGACTGCGTCGTTGAGCAGAGTCTTTAGGCCGCAGTCCTTCGCGCTGCCGCCCCACACCAACAACTCTTCCCCCACCACTGCAGCCATAGCGTCCTCGTACACCCGCTCTTCCAACAGCAACACGCAAAATGTTCTCCGTAGTACTGCTCTGAATCAGTCTCCCGGTCTCCCCTCGTCAACGGTTACAACCAACGGAAACAATGCACCCTCGGATTTCATCTCCGGCCCCGTCGCCTCATATGCAAACCTAGCCCCCGACACTGATCGTCTGCGGACGTCACACCAGTCGGTCGATAACACAACCGCCCAGGCTTTGGCCGCGCAACATGCTCTGCCGATGACCCTTCCACCGGCCCCTCGTCCCACTTCCCAGCGCCCGCCTTCTGCGCCGCGCGCGACTCCGGACCTCCATCAGATGCAGCAGAACTATCTAAGGATGCTCTCGCAGCCTGATAATACCCCCACTGGCACCGAGTCGATGTCGTCTGCTACTATGGCGCACGACAACGACGTCTACCAGGCTCCCATGCCGTCGGCTCCGTATAGCCTGGATGGTTGGGAGCCTCTGATAGGTGCGCGCCTCACTGGCGGCGACGAATACGACACTGACTGGGACGCAGATTCCGCCCACGCCACTCTGACGACGCCCATGTCAGAGTACCACCCCACTCCGATGAGTGAGATGTTCGACGAGTTCCCGCAACTCGGCGCCTCTCCTGGCGAAGACACTCCCTACAACGATTTCCTCAACACCCCTGTTATTCCCGACGGCCATGACTTTGGTGTCAGCTTCGATCCGAATGCTCCGTTGTTCGGCGGCATGGAGCCCTGGGCTCCTCAGTCGCCGACGACGCAGTCGAAGGAGCAGGAGCGCGAGGCGCTGGCGTACATTGAGCAGCTGCTCTCGCCGCAGGCGCCGATGACCGACTCCTTCGCCCCGGCCCCAAAGATGTCCCCGTCCATGTCCACTGCCCACCTCGCTACGCCCAACACGAGTCCTGCTATGTTGGACTCGTCGTCGTTCGCGCCGCCGCTGTCGCGCCCAGCCCCGACGGGTACTCGTCCGGGCGTGACTCCCGACAAGCTCCTCGGCCCCGACGCGCCCACGCAGCCACGCAAGTACACCGCGCCGTCGTCGACCTCGCGCAAGGAGGCGCCCGCGGCGTTCACGCGCGGCTCCAAGCGCTCGCGGTCGGCCGCCTTCCAGGGCGACGACGACGAGGAGCTGCCGCCGCTGCCCGCGAACGCGACCGACGCCGAGCAGGTCGAGTACAAGCGCCGGCAGAACACGCTCGCGGCGCGCAAGTCGCGGCGGCGCAAGCTGGAGCACCAGCTCGTCACCGAGCGCAAGGCGGAGTACTTCATGCGGCGCTCGAACCACTTCGAGACCGTCGCGCGCACGGTGATCGCGATGTGGCAGGAGCAGACGGGCCGCCCGTACGAGCTGCCGGCGTTCCCTGAGCCGGAGCCGTGAGCGCGCGGGGCGTAAAATCCACGAAGGACGCGGTCTCTGTCTCCTTGAGCTCGGACGTCTAACGTTTCTCTGATATGTGTTGTATCTTGACGCGCACCTTGTACTATTACCTGAGTCTCCACCCCACCATCTTTCCCCTACCAATTGCTTTGGTGCGCCGTCCTTCTCTTCATCCACCATTCCATCCCATCCCCAGTCCGTGTCGTGTATGTTCCTCAAGCGCTGTCGACCTCTATGTATGTGGCTTCGGTCGCTCTCTCAACTCTATGCGTGTTTATGCATCCTCGACGACGATACTCTACTTCTGTACGCAGTATTGCAATGTCTATCGACCTCATTCTCGCAATCCTTGGGGGACGAATCTTGATCTGCTCCGGTGAGGCTTGTGCACTGTTTGGAGAACAGACGAGCAGTGTACGGCCAGAGCGACGACAACAATGGCAAACAATTCATTGGAAGAACAAAGACACATGCGTGAGAACGGCACATTGTTCGCTTCCTTCTCGTTCATATTGAAAATATGGACACCGTCCTACATTCACCAGTCCACTGCCAAAGGGACGCAGAATCGACTTCAGGCAATCGATACCAGCACATCGCGTTCGACTGACAATGATTGGACCTATACCCGTTGAAGCCAACACGGCCAAGGCGCAGGGGAACAGCGCATTTGCGGCTGGCGACTACGAGCAGGCCGCCACGCACTACTCACGCGCCGTCGAGCTCGCCCCGCAGTGGGCCGTCCCGCGCGCGAACCGCGCCTTCGCATACATGAAGCAGGTGCGCGACCCCGCGACGGAGGCGGGGTACCGTAGGACTTTGCGCACGCGCGCGATGGCGGACGCCTACCTGGCGACGCGCCTGGACGGGCGGTGGGGGAAGGGGTACGCGCGGCTGGCGGAGGCGATGTTGATGGATGTGGAGGCGGAGGAGGCGGGGGAGGAGGCGATGAATGGTGCGCCGGGGGGCACGCGGGAGGAGGGGAGGCGCAAGATGCTGGAGGGAGCGCAGGAGGCGTTGTATCATGCGGTGCAGTTTTCGGAGGGGAGGGTTTTGGAGGGTGAGTGTGGGCATATGCTGCGTAAGGTGAGAGGTTGAGGTTGCTGATGGCTTTGACAGAGGCTCAGAAGATGATGGAGGACGTTACCGCGCGGCTTGAGGCGCTGTGATGAGATCCAAACTGTACTGGTATGCTCCTGACGTCGGCCGTATGCATGCGAGATTTGACAACAATTACATGGCTTGCCACGAGCTCTAAGTATACAAACAAAGTCAATCTATCCCTACACGCGCACCTCGCGCCCATCTCCCCATCTTGCCGTCCACTACAAAACCGGCACATGCCCACTACGACACCGGCACACGCCCCACTACAACACTGGCACACTCCCCGGCTCGCCCCACTCGCCAAACAACAGGCTGATGCTCTCGCCGTTGTGCATCCGCCGGATGCTCTCCGCGATCGTTGGACTGATGTCGATGGCGACGAGCTTGGGGCAGAGCGCCTTGTGCTGCAGCTGCGGGACGGTGTTGGTGACCTGGAGGTCGAGGAGCTGGTTAGTAAGGGTGGGGACGAGGGGGGGGAGGGCACGGGAGGGTGGTGAGAGGAAGGTGGCGGGGTTGGGAATGGGAGGAAGATGGGAGTGTGGTAAGAGGAAGGTGAAGAGGGGGTAGAGAACGTAGTGGGGGAGGCGGAAAGGGAAGTGGTCATTGCAAACGCGGGTCACTATGGACTCATAGGTAGAGCGGGGACAGGACGTACCGCAAGCTCCACTATGGGGAGCTGGTTGATGACGCTCAATTTTGTTTCCGAGAGGAGGCCTGCTGGACGGTCAGACGGGTTGCGCAAGAGCATTTAGCAAAGGAGCATACCGTGAGAGATGATGGCGTAGGTGGCCTTGACGCCCTTTTCGTGCAGCGTCTTGGCGGCGAGTTGGAGGGTGATGCCGGTGTCGATCATGTCATCGACGAGGATGGCGACCTGGGGGGCGTCAACAAAGGAAAGGATGGAGGAAATAGTGGCGCGCCTTGTCTTGTACGTCGCCGACTAGGATTTCCATCGTCTCTGGTGCGTCTTTTGACCGGCCGTTGCGCTTGCGATGAATGAGGGCGAACTCGACGCCGAGCTTGTCGGCGATGGCGGTCACCCTACATAGCTGTTACTCGCCCAGCACAGATGGGCGAACGCCAGCCACACACACCTCTTCGCACCACCCGCATCCGGCGACACAATGATGCTGTTCCTCCAATCCGGGATGTGGCGCTTGATGTACGAGATGAAGAGCGGCTCCGTATACAAGTTGTCCACGGGGATGTCGAAGAAGCCCTGGATCTGGCTCGCATGGAGGTCCATCGTGATGACATGGTCCGCGCCCGCGGTGGTGAGCATGTTCGCGACGAGCTTCGCGGTGATCGGCGCGCGCGAGGCGTCCTTCTTGTCCATGCGCGCGTAGGGGAAGGAGGGGATGACGGCGGTGATGCGGCGCGCGGAGGCGGTCTTGCAGGCGGAGATGAGGATGAGGAGCTCCATCAGGTTGTCGTTCACGTCGCCGCAGCCGGTCTGGAGGATGAAGACGTCCTCGTCGCGGACGGACTCGGAGATCTTGACGTTGATCTCGCCGTTGGAGAACTTCTTGACGGTGCAGGGGACGAGGGGGATGTTGAGCCTGGGGATGATAGGTAGCTGTCGGCATTCGTGAGGGGGTCCGCTCACCTCTCCGACACGCTGTTCGCGAGATCGGGATGGCTATTGCCTGTACTGCATGAGTCTCAGGGGAATGCTGCAGGCGAGGGGGACGCACCCGTGAGGATCCGGATAGAGTTGTTGTGGTACATGGTGCAAGAGAGTGAAGCTCAGTTCATCGACGAGGTGGTGGGGGTAGACAAGTCCAGTGCATGAACGGTGATTGAAAATCACTGAATGCCACTGAACTCTGCGGTTTTGGAAGACCGCCGATGTCCGGCGGAACGGCCCGGGCCTACCACCCGGCGATCAAGTAAATGACGCTGGGCGCTTGTTCACGTTCCCATGCCTGCTCCTTTCCATCTTTCCGTAAACCCTCGATGGATGTTACAACATCGACATCCTACTGACGTAGTAGGCAGGAAGATTTGAAGGCTGTTCTGAAAGGTAGACGTGAGGGGAAAGAGCAGATGGATTCGAACATCGGCGTGACAAGTTGAACTCATCCGTGACAAGCGCGTCAATCTCGCGCGTGTGCCCATTGTCCTCTGCCATCACGATAGTCCCTCTCCACACACCGAGTCTCTCTTAATGGCACCGCAACCGCCTCGAACGCCTCTGCGGCGCGTCTCTACGAACTCTCTCTTCCGGCTTTCGCGCTCCCAGGCGTATCCCGATGCACCTGAAGATCTGGGCTTCATGGAGCCCGCCATTTCCGAGCTCTCTGACGAGATGGATACGCTACAGACGCATATCGAGGGCCTTCGACATCTGAGCGAGACACTGTCGATCTTCAACGAGTCTTTTGCAAGCTACCTGTATGTTATGGAAATGAATGGGCTCACGACCGACTGGCCGCAGGTACGGGTGGCATGCGGCCTGTGTGACGAGTTAAGACGGATGCATGCCTTGTAGATGCCCACAGATGCGAGCTTTGAGCAGGAGGGCAAGCGAGAGGGTATGTCGCGTTCCGCAGCCGCATCAGACCGGTACATTTACCGTCTAATCAGCTATGCGAGCGATCGCAGCACGCGAGGCTGCGAGGGCGAAAGCTGCAGCTGCAGCCGCCGCCGCAGAGGACGCTCGACGCGCAGAGAAGAGTGCTGCAGATGCGACCCTGCTAGAGGGCCAGACGACCATCGGTGGCGGACAGACCAGTCACTCCGTGGCGTCCGACAAGAAGCCGGTCAAGAAGAAGGCGGGGAAGCCCAAGCTTACTGCGAAGGAGAAGAAGGAGCGGAGTGTGAGTACAGTCCTGTTGTCGACGAGATGTAGCGGTGCTCAGTTCGATCAGATGGAGATTGAAAAGATAGTGAACTGCCTGCCGCTAGAGTTCCGAGGGAGCGATCCGGTAAGCCCATATTCGCGCGCTGAGTGCAGCGGCTGAAGATACTGCACAGAATTTGCGCCGCCACATCGATCTAGTCATCGAAGGCATGCTGGACGCACCAACGCGCGTTGTCAAGAGTGAGTTGCGTCACCCCGTGCTTACACCTCACCTTGACCCCCATCTTCAGTTCAAGACCTCATCAAACCTCCGGACCTCAACCAGGCTCGCGTCAACAAGTGCTTGATTGCACTGGTCAACCGGAAGATCGTCACGAAGGAGAACGCTACTGTTCGTATTCGAGGCTGTCCACAATACGCGGAGACTGACCGCCTACTCAGGGAACTACGCTCTATCACTGGCAAGGCATATGATCTCGGAATGCTTTATACCACCGTTACTGTATCTTGATTGTGTATTTCTACTGTCGCGCTTCAGTTTTCGCTTGGTCTGTCGGTTTTCGCCACAAGTTATCCTTCCCCGTTTGGAAGTTCTTGTTCCCGAGGTGAAGTCACCTTTGCGTAGCAGTGCATTACCAGTCGTTCGTTCTGCATACTCTCTTCCTGCTGACCCACTCTGTCCCTTCGTCCTCATCTTCGTCCACGAACCTCTACAATTGATTGAGTTGTACCTTTCGTGACCGGACCGAGATATGAGCTGCTCGCCATTACGTAACGCCATACTTCTTTGCTCTTGAACATCATCATCATGGCTGACGAGACGCCTTCAAACGAAATTCAGATCAACGTGAAGGGTGCGTTGCTGCTACTGAGGGATAGGACAGGGGTCTCACAGAGCGTCAGGGCCCAATGAGTTGAAGCTCCAGATCTCGATAAGCACGGACAAGACGGTGTTAGAGCTCAAGCAGGCTATCGCAGAGAAATCGGACGTGGAGGCGGACAGGCAACGACTCATCTACTCTGGTGCGTCCCTATACTACCCATCCAGATCCCCATCTCACACACCCCAGGTCGCGTCCTCAAGGTAGAGCTCCACCGCGTTCGTGGCGCTTGCTAAGCTGACGATGACCAGGATGAAGACCCGCTGTCCCTATACCGGATCGCGTCCTCGCACACCATACACATGGTCAAGGGCGTGTCCCGCTCAGGGGGGAGCACGTCCGCGCAGCCCACGCAGCCGCAACAGCTCCCCACCATGCAGACCGGCCAGAACCCGCACGATCCCCTCACGCAGCTAAACAGCCACCTCGGCTTCGGCGCAATGGCTGGCATCAACCCCTTCCAGGACATGGGCCTGAACCCCAACGACCCGAACATGGTGCGCCGTTGCGTTCTGCGCATCTCCTACCCTCCTAACCCTCCATCCTCTCTGTCCAGATGCAGGGCATGCTCGACAACCCGCAGTTCGTGCAGCAGATGTCCTCCATGCTGTCGAACCCCGCGATCCTCGATCAGGTCGCGGCGATGAACCCGACCCTGGCCCCGCAGATGCGCGCCATGATGCAGAGCCCGTACTTCCGCGAGATGGTGTCGAACCCGGAGCGGCTGAGCCAGATGCTGAGGATGGCGTCCGCGTTCAGGGAAGGTGGCGGGCTGGGCGCGAACCCCTTCGGTGGCGCCGCGGGCGGCTTCCCTGCGCCGGGCGTGCCGGGCGGTGGTAGCCCGACAACGGGTGGGACGCCAGCGGCGGGTGCGACGCCAGGTTCGGCGGGGGCGGGCGATGCTGCGGCGAATCCGTTTGCGGCCTTGTTTGGTGGCGCGGGCGCGGGGGCTGGTGCTGGTGCTGGTGCTGGAGGTCTCGGTGCAGGATTGGATCCAGCGCTCATGCAGCAGCTCCTCGGAGGGGGCTTAGGTGGTGGACTGGGAGGGGGATTGGGCGGCCTCGGCGGCGGCGCATTCGGCGCACCTGCTGCTCCTGCTGACACTCGTCCACCCGAAGAGCGATTCCAGGTCCAATTGCAGGTATGTTCACCGACTGTCTTGTTGCTTATATCGGATTCTGATGATATACTTTCCAGCAACTACAGGACATGGGCTTCACGAACGCGTCGCAGAACATCCGGGCCTTGCTCGCTACGGGCGGCAACGTGCATGCCGCAATCGAGTATATTCTCGGTGGCGGAGGGCTATAGCGGTTGAAGTTGTATCTTATACCTCGTGTAATGTGCTTGAGTAGTACTCTGAAGTGTATCAACTGAAAGGACTTGGCTAGCTGGAATTAACAAGTCTGTCAGGATGGTGTAACAGTCACGCTGCGTCACGCCTTGTTAGACGATAATTAACGACGCTCTCTCCTTGCCATGTACCACCACCGTCCGAGGGTAGTCGTCGCGTACTCGTCTGATCCTTTCCGAGCGAGATAGGCCTTCGGGTCGTGAAACTTGGCACTGCAAGGATTCGAACTGCCGCCCTTGCGTTTTCAACTGTCCCTGGTCCTCCCCGATTGCGCCGGCGATCGGATGCTTCGGCCCAGCGCGTCGACCTCGAGGGGCACGCGACCGCGCCATCTCTCGACTTTACTGGAACAATAGACAGCATGATAATAGCCAGCAATCGAGCATCGAAGTCCAGAGCTCGAGCGCTCGGAGGTACAACTTTCTACATAGGCGAGTATCTATATCTATATCCCGCCGGTCTCGACGCGCTATTCTTGCATTGAGTTGCATAGCTCATTGGACGCTCGGACGTCGCATGCGCATCATCATTTCATCTCATCCCGCCGGTGCCCGTACCCCTCTTGCTTTCCTTCCACCACCATCATCATGTCCACCCAGCTCGGGACGCGCACCGTCCTCGCGCGCCACCTCCCCCGGCGGGCTTACCTATCCCTCGTCCGCCACGCCTCGGACATCCCGAAGCGCGTCGCCCTCCGCGGCGAGGGCATCCTGACCTCCCCGCGCTTCAACAAAGGCACCGCATTCACCGAGCGCGAGCGCGAGGACTTTGGGCTCGTCGGCCGCCTCCCGTACCGCGTGAACACGCTCGAGGAGCAGTGCGAGCGCGCGTACGCGCAGCTGAGCTCGCGCGATCACCCCCTGCGGAAGAACACGTTCCTCCAGAGCATGAAGGACCAGAACTGGGTCCTGTACTACGCGCTGCTCAAGAAGCACCTGAAGGAGACCGTGCCGATCGTGTACACGCCGACGCAGGTGAGTGAGATCGGGGCTTGTTGGGACGCGGTGGCGCTGATCGCTCGCATGCTATAGGCGGACGCAATCGCGAACTACTCCAACTTGTTCCGGAGGAGCGAGGGACTTTACCTGAGCTATCCCGACAAGGATACTATGGAAGAGGCGTTCCTCAGGCAGATCACTGGCCGCGAGGTTGACCTAGTTGTTGTCACCGATTCCGAGGCCATCCTTGGTATCGGCGACCAGGGCGTCGGAGTCAGTTCCCTCATTCACTCCTCGATGACTCGGTCAACTGACAATTTGTAGGGCATCGCTGTAAGGATACTCGCGCTACGCCGTCGGCACGATCTTTCGGCTCACTCGTTTTTGTAGATTTCGGCGGCAAAGTCCGTCATCTATACGTGTGTCAACCTTTGATCATGAGGCCAGGAAGATGCTGATCATGCATACTACAGTCTAATAGGCAAGGTCGATCCTAGCCGTACACTCGCTGTTGCTCTAGACGTTGGTACAAACAACGAGAACCTGCTACATGACCCTCTATACGTCGTAAGTCTCCTACATCAGCCATTCCATCGAAGATCGCTGACAGTTCGCTCGCAGGGCTGGCAAAAACCGCGTATTCAGGGCCAGGAATACGACGATTTTGTAGACAAGTGGGTCCAGCCCAAGGGAGCACGAATTACACCCTAACACACACGCAGATTTGTGCAACTCGTCCGCAAGCACTTACCACACTCCTTACTGCATTTCGAAGACTTCGGCGTTGCGAATGCCCACCGACTATTAAGACGCTACCGCTCTGTGCACTCCGTCTTCAACGACGATATGTGAGCCAGTGATCGCTTGCCCATGCTCGTGCTAAAGTCATCTCTAGTCAGGGCACGGGCGCTGTCACCCTCGCAGGAGCCATGTCCGCCGTTGGCGTTACTGGGAGCTCCCTCCACGAGCAGCGTATCGTGATCTACGGTGCTGGCACCGCAGGTCTCGGTATCGCCACCCAGCTGCGCGATGCTATGGTTGCCATCGACGGTGCCTCTGTTGAGGATGCTACCCGTCGTTTCTACTGCATTGACCGCCCGGGTCTCCTCACCGACGACCTTCCCGCCGGGCTCATGCGCGATGACCAGCACGAGTGGGCACGTCCCGCTGCTGAGTGGGCTGGCGAGCGCAACGGCAAGGACCGTATAGATCTGATCGACGTCGTCCGCAAGATCAAGCCAACGATGCTCGTCGGTACTTCCACCCACGCCGGCGCCTTCACCGAAGAAGTCGTTCGGACGATGGCGAGTAATGTCGAGAGGCCGATCATCTTTTCGTTGTCGAACCCGAGTCGACTGGTTGAGGTGCACCCGCACGATGCGAACGCCTGGACGGAGGGCAGGGCTCTTTTGGCGACCGGGAGCCCGTTCCCGCCCGCAAAGATGCCGAGTGGGAGGGATTACCCGTGAGTGGTATACATCATCTATTTGTATGCAGAAGAGGCTTAACCTTGGATAGGATCGCCGAGTGCAACAACGCGCTCATCTATCCCGGCCTCGGCTTCGGCGCCGTCCTCTCCCGCTCACGCGAGGTGACGGACAACATGATCATCGCGGGCGCGCGCCGCCTCGCAGCGCTGTCGCCCGCACTAAAGGACCCAGACAACTCGTTGCTGCCGGATTTGCAGGACGCACCGGATGTGAACCTGGAGATTGCTGTCGCTGTTGCGGAGCAGGCGATCGAGGATGGGACGGCTGGTGTGTCGTGGGCGAAGGAGGAGGTGCGCGACAGGGCGAAGGAGAAGATCTGGGAGCCGGTGTACCAGGAGTATGTGTTTGATGAGAACGGTGATAGGTAGATGTGAGATAGAGCGTCGTAGAATACCTTACTGTCCACCTCGTAATGAAGAGCTTACCGCATAGACAAATGATTGAAGTGAGCGAGCGGATGCCATCATCCAACATCTTCCGAACGACCTTACGCAAGCTCCGCGACTAACAAGAAAAGAGGGCTGATAATTGCAGTCGCAGACAACAGCACGGCAGGAAAGAGTCAGTCGACCATCTAGCTGGACTGCTGTCGCATTCCCTCGGCGTGGTGGCTTCAGTCGGGCACACTATCCGCGGTGCAGGAGTCAAGGTACGCCCACTTGATTTACGGTACATGATTGCCATTCAACCAATCAAGGATCTACCTCGAGGATACCACGCGTCCCCCGAATGCGACCCGCCCATTGAGCCTGACGTGGTCGAGGAATAGAGAGGCGAACACTGAAAGAGTGACAAAAAGCCCTTCTTGATCTTCAACTGTCATCACCCTCGGTTTCCCACGGTTGCCGGAGAGGATACAGCGTCGAGTAGGCACAGAATGGAGACCCCGCGTCAACGGACAAGCCCCAGAGGCAGCTCGAAAGAGCTGGCAATGGAGGAAGACGCTAGGAGCACCCCTTCGACAACGTCGAGGAAGTCGGCGAAGTTGAAAACAACCCTAAAAAACGCGTACAACCGCACAGCGGACATGCTAACCACATCGCCCAAACGCGGGGCCCGTAAGCGCGTGTCTAACGAGCCGCAAGGGCACCGGGAAGACACCAGCGTCCTCGAACCGACCACCCCGGTACGGAGGTCGACCACCTCTGCCCAGAGGACGACCACGGATCGCCCGGAACTGTGGAAGGACGTCAGCAGCACCTACTGGGGCCCGCCCAGGCAGCAGGCAGCGGCTCCCTCGATGGAGAGCGTGCAGACGCAATACCCGGTCGAATCGCTCTTCTCCGACGGAGAGGTCGCGTACGGCTCCGACGCGGTCGCGGATGCATACCAGTCACTCGCGCAAGCCCTCACATCACACGAAGTCCTACAGGCCCTCAACATGGTGTCAAGCGCGCTGGCTAGCGCCAGCGAGCAAGACACACCACTCCCCGAGATACCGAAGAGCCTCTCCAGCGCCGTCACCCAAATTGCAAACATATGCTCGCCATGGACTTCGATCTACAGGACATTAGGCGCACAGCACCAGATGATGAACAACGGCTTCGAGACCGTCGTAAAACTGACGCGCGAAGCCAGGAAAGAGGCAACCTCTCAAGCCCGGAAGAACGAGGAACGGCTCGACCGCCTCGAGCGAGCCCTAGACGACATCAAGAACAAGCCACTCCCCCCTACCCCCCAACCACAATCACATGCCGCCAGCACGCCTCCGCCGCCAACGACTCAGTCGAAGACGCGAAAGGCAGCGACGACGCCAAAAGCACCCTCCAACAACACGCTGGAGGCGGACCACCCCAGCCGCCTAGCCCTAGAGATTCGGCCCGGGGGCTTACCCAAGGAAAAGCGGATGGACGAGCTCGCGCTTCGCGACCGTATCAACAGCGTCCTGCGCGACATCGTCGATCCGGCGAAGGTCCAGGTCGCAGGTACGAAGTGGAACCCGCAAGGGAACTGCATTGTCGTGACGCGCCAGGACCAGCTAGCGAGCGACCTGATCGAACATGTCCCGAAATTCGCAGAGCTCGTCGGCCAGGGAATGGAGGTCATCCCTCGACTCACCGCAAAGTGGCGCCGGCTCATGATACACGACGTCCGCACGGGGCTCTTCGACGAGTTCATGCCGGGCCTTCACACCCCCGACCAGATCAAGTCGGAGCTCCTATCGAACCCCGTATTCAGCACCCTCAAGTCGCTCGCTGAGGAACCGCGCTGGCTACGCCGACCACAGGACATTGTGACGCCCAGGTCGACGATTATCTTCGCAGTAACGAGCGAGGAGGAATATAAGAAGTTACTCAAGGCCAAGATCTTATGGGTGTACGGCCGGGATTGCCGTGTAATGCCCTTCGCAGATAAACCACCGGTCGTACAATGTCACAACTGCTGGTGCTACGGACACAATGCCCGCGCCTGCAAGACGAAGGCTAAGTGCCGACTCTGCGGCAGCGATCACGCCACCAATGAACACGCCGCCGCGTGCGAGACGTGCAGAGGGGACGAGATGGCCGGGGAATGCACGCACAACAGGAAGTGCCGTGGCTGCAGCGGCGACCACCCCTCGGATGACAGGAGGTGCCCGAAGCGGCTCGAGCAGTACGGTAACGCACGCGCCAACGACAGGGAACCCCGAACGGCGGCAAAGACGACGACCGACGCCGACGGCTTCACCGAGGTCACGAAGAAAAAGAAGGCGCGGGCCAAGAAGGCGGCGCAGCCGAAGTCGGGTGGAGCAGGGGAAGGCGCGTCGTCCGGTACATCCGCGAAGGACCCTCCCCCTCACCACAACCGCTTCACGACCCTCCCGATTGAGGGCGCGGGCAACACACCAAACGCCACCACCAACCCCGTCGGAGCCCTATGAACAGAGAAACCCGACAGCGAGACAACACGACCAAACCCATACGCGTCCTCCAACTGAACTGCTTCAAACAGGGAGGCCTGATCACCACTCTTCTGAATAAACATACCCATGACTTAGAACTAATCCTCGTGCAAGAGCCGCAATGGGGACGCATTGGTGCGCGCGACGGCGAAGACATCCGAGGCCCAATCAGCTGCGGGACCTGGACAAACATTCTACCCGTGCCGACTATTGGTCCCGACGACCCGCCACCACATGTTCTAGCGTACTACCACCCTCGAGACGACGTCGAGATCACTCTGCGGTCGGACATAGTCACCCACCGAGACATCATGATTCTCGACGTAACGCAGGGCGACGACACCACCACTATAGTACACATCTACAACGACCGCCGCCTCCCGGCCGCGCAACAAGCTTCCCATCTCATAGCAGACCTTACTCTCCCAACCCACCATCCCGTGCTCATCCTAGGCGACTTCAACCTCGACCACCCTCTCTGGTCGACGGAGCCCTCTCGCACGTCGGCTGGGGCCGACGAACTGGTGGACTGGATGTCAGACAACGGGTACGCTCTTCTGAACAAGAAAGGCTGCCCGACCCACTTCCCGCGACGCACGGCTGCTGCACCGTCCGTTCTCGATCTGACATTCGCGAACGGCCCGGCACAGCAGCTAGACGCGGCAAAGGGGTGGGCTCTGGCACCACAGTACCAGTACAGCTCCGACCATATAGGTATCACCTTCAGCCTGGACTACGGCGTCACCCCCATCGAGAATCTCACGGGAGAGCGCTACAACGTGAAGGAAGTCAAGCCCAAAGAATTCCGAGCCGCGTTGCAAGAGGAGATTCACCAAAGGCAAGGCGCATTCGAGAAGATGATGGACTTAGGCCAGGAGGTGTCGACGGACGACCTCGAAGATGCCACCACCGCCATCACCGACGCTATTCAGGCGACTCTGCGAAGGGTCGCGAAGATACGGAACCCATCAGTATCGGCCAAGCCATGGTGGGGAGCAGCGGTTGACGCAGCGACCACGCGCACGCGCGACCTCCAGGCCCAGCAAAAAGCGTACCGAGCTGTACACGGCCAAGGAGACCCAGAGATCGCAAAGGCAGTCAAGAAGTCCGACAACTACTTCAATAGACTCGTCAAGGCGACCAAAGCCCAGTGGGCGAACGAACAGGTCGAGAATGCGCAAACAGAGGACATCTACGGCTACCGCAAGTGGTCGCAGGGCGTGCGCCAGTACCCGTCCCCAGCGATAGCGCGTTCGGGAGGACGGGAACCGGCCGTCTCTCATCAAGACAAGTGTGATGCGCTCCGAGAAGAGCTATACCAGCCGCCGCCACCTCTTGACGAGATTTTCGAGGCGGACCTCACGACCCGACTCGAGAACGAGTTGCCATACGAAGATGTCACCGAAACCGAGATTCACGAAGCGCTGTTCTCGCAGAAGGGGAACTCGGCACCCGGAAGCTCTCAGGTCTCATACAAGATCCTGCGGTGGTCGTGGGAGATAATACGTCCCCATTTGACGGCCCTGTACAGACGATGCCTGTCTAACGGGTACCACCCGAAGCAGTGGCGGAAGGCGGTCGCCGTGGCACTGCGCAAACCCAGGAAGGACGACTACTCGCAGCCAAGAGCATACCGACTCATCACGCTGCTCGAGTGCATGGGGAAGGTACTCGAGCGGATTGTGGCACGACGTCTCACATACCTGGCTGGGAAACACGGCCTGGTCCCCGCAACACAATTCGGAGGTGTCTCGAACGCGTCGGCAACCGATGCGATATTGGCCTTCGTCAACGACGTGCACTCGGCGTGGAATCACGGATGGGTGACGTCGGCGCTGACCTTCGACATCAAGGGATACTTCGACTTTGTCAACCACGACAGACTTCTCAGCGAGCTGAAGGCTCGACGGGTGCCAATCGAAATCGTACGCTTCATCGCGAGCTTCCTCGAGGACCGAGAGGCCGCTGTCTGCCTGGATGGGAAGCGGAGCACGATGGAGCCGGTGCTCAACGGCATCCCACAAGGATCACCCCTCTCGCCAATCCTGGCCGCGTACTACGCCGCAGACCTTCTCGAGACGTTGCACAAGTTCGACCACGGGCAGCACGAGGTCTCGCCCCTCGGCGCGTTCATGTACGTGGACGACGGCAAGCTCTACGTGTCGTCTGCTTCGTTGATGAAGAACACGCACGTCCTCGAGCGCGCATACGATATCACCCGAGACTGGCTACGCCGTGCAGGCCTGGACGTGGACCGCGTCAAGCGAGAGCTGATGCACTACACCCGGCGCAAATGCGACGAGCAGTCCCCCTCCGCACGCCTCTCGAATGGGGATGGAAGCTTCACAACCGTACCAACGAGCTCCACGGTGCGATGGCTGGGCATATTCTTTGACCGTAAACTGCTTTTCAACAGACACGTCCAAACGTTAGCGGCTCGCGCCGAAAACACAGTGCAGGGGCTCACAATGCTCGCGAACACCGTGCGCGGGCTGCACCAAATGCATATGCGACACTTATACAAGGCATGTGTCATACCAGTCATGTTTTACGGAGCTGCAGTATGGTGGACAGGAAAGAAATGCCATGCCAATGCCCTCGAGAAGGTCCAACGGCGGGCGCTACGGCTTATATGCGCGGCCTTCAGGACTACGCCGATCCAAGCGCTCGAAATCGAGGCGTCCATCCCACCGATCGGGATAGCGCTCGACTACGAAGTACGCCGGGCAGGCATACGGCTGAACAAGCTCGATCAACGACACCCCCTCATACAACGCTTACCGGAAGACTGGCGAGACCCAACCGGCTACGTCTCCCCTCCCCCGCTACCGAAGCACCCGAACTCACGCAATAAGAAGGTCTTGGAGAAGACCACGAAGCTACACGAGCTGGCAAAATGGACCAGCCCGCGGGAGGAGCGAATCCTGCCGTTCGCCACGCCCCCATGGCGCCGTGATGTCCCGAGCTTCGGTGGACGACTCGTGATTGCGGCGAAGGCATCTGACGACAAGCAAGAGAAGAAGGCCGCTGCCAAAATACACAAAATCGAAGCCCGAAAGCTCCTCGCATCCGAGGAGTCGCTACTCGTCTACACGGACGGGTCGATGCGGCCCCTACACCGTGTACGGCGAGTTGGCGCGGGCGCCGTGGGCTTTAGAGGGGGCGCTACCGGCGGCACGCGGGTGTTCACCCAGAAGATAGGGCTGGGATCGCACGCAGAGGTCTACGACGCGGAGATGGTTGGCCTACGCTGGGGACTACAAGCTGCCCTGCATTTCGTTGAGACTCACCCTAACACCAAGCACATACACCTCTTCGCCGACAATACCTCTGCCATAAGCGCCATCTTCGACCCGCTCCCAAAGAGTGGCCAGATGCACTGCATCGAATTCCACAAGCAGGCCTGCGAGTTCCTCGACGGCGGCCCTACACGCACGCTGAACATCGCTTGGGTACCCGGGCATCAGGACGTTCGCGGGAACGACGAAGCCGATGAACTCGCCAAAGCCGCCGTCGAGCTAGGCAGCACCCTCCCTGGATCGCGTGCAAATGCGATTCGACGCGCGAAGGGCCGCGCAGCTCGCGAGTGGAAGAGCGAGTGGGAGAGGAAGCGACACGGTGGGCACTTCGCTGCAGCCAATCGCCTCCCCCCCTCCCTCAACCCTACAAAACGCTTCAAAGAGACACCCCGCGAGGTGTTTGGTCGCGTCTTACAGACACGTACCGGACACGGATACACGGGCGAGTTCTACAATGATTTCCTTCGTGATGTCGACAGTGACTGCCCCTGCGGGGAACTCCTACAGACGCGACAACATATCCTGGCAGAATGCCCACAATACGAGGAGCACCGCTACCTACTCCGCGACGTATCCCGCGGCCTCTCGCTCCCAGTTCTATTGGGAACGAAGAAGGGGATTACAGCCCTCACGGAATTCATAGCGGCGTCCGGCGCATTCACCAAAACCGGTGCACCCCGTGCACCTCCATCACTCCCTACCTGGGAGCAGGAACCCGAGGTACGACAGGACGACGAGAACGACGAGGATGGATAGGAGGCCCGGCAGCCCAACCCCGTGCTTAGGTACCTTTCCCCGTCCCTTATCACCCTTTTTCTTGTTCGTTTGCGATACCCCGAGACACACGACACACGCACAAAGTGCTTTTACCTATTATATCACCATTTAGCTCAACCACAGTATCGCGACGGACAGCAGTACGAGCAGCAGCCTCGGGACTTGTAGATTATTACCACGGGTATGCGAAGGGCCCTGCCGGGCTTCCGGATGGAGGGAGTACTGGCGGAGGACCGCGTCTTAGCTTCACCTTAGCTTGTAGCGGTATAGAAGTGCAGAGTTTAAAAAAAAAAAAAAAAAAAAAAAAACTGAAAGAGTGACACGCGTCAAGCCTTCGGAACATCCCGAAAGTTCAACCTTCACGTGAGCCTTGCTGCAGTGGAGGCCATCGCCAGCCTTTCCTTGTCGCCAACTGTTGGCAAATCTTTCAGAAAGTACAGCTTGCCTTTGCCTGACAGATGAAGATCACGCTAGAAATGGGACCTATAAGTGCGCTGGATAGGCCATAGGCCAACAACATAGTAGCATATTGGTGGCATAAATACAAGACATGGCGAGGACGGTGGTACAGGACATAGATAGCGTCCATCCAGTATCCTCCAGCAGCAGTATAGGTATTATGTACGGTACTAACACGCAACCGCATAGGCAGGTACGCAGTCTAGAAGTAAGCGGCCACCCGCGCGAAGACCAAGCGAGTGAAGGGCAGCCGCACCCTGCGTTATGTACACAGGGCGGCAACAGATAGGTAATAAAGTCCACAGTCAACAGATGAAGCAGTAGACGGACTCGGCGTGTACGGGTATATACAGAATTACGAGGAGTTGGTACAGGTACAGGGGGCAGGTATGCATGGATATGAGGAAATGAGACGAGCAGAGCAGGAGACAGAGACAAAAGAATACGACCCAAGAGACGAGAGGGAGTAATAGGGATGGGATTATAGGTTGTGAGGTAGGGTGTGAGGTGGGGTGAGGGGGGCGTTTTTAATAGCACGGCTGCGAGATGACGGAGGTGTCCATCTCACCGAGCTTCCGGCGCTTGGTCGGGCGGTCAGCCTTGCTGCCAGCGGTCTTGGAGACTGCGCGGGGTATCGAGACCGCAGGCGCGATGCGCACCGAGGGCGGGGAGGCGCTCGGGGTCTGCTGCTGCTGCGGGCGCGAGCCATAGCGCGAGCGGCGGCGAATGACGTCGGACGAGCCCGAGATGGGCCGCGGCGAGCCGTGGAGCTTGAAGTACAAACCGCAACTAAGAGAGGGAATCAGGTCAGCCGATCTATTATCGTAGAGACGAAGGGGCCACTCACGCGTTGCAAACGGTCCGGCCATCAGGGTCCTTGCGCCATAGCGGCGTCACCGTCGTCTGGCAGTTGTGGCACTGAGCATCGCAGATGATGCCTACGGGGGGCTCGGCCTCCTGCTTGACGGACGAGGGCGCAGGCTTGTTGGCGCCGTTGCGCGCGGTCGTCTTGGGACGCGGAACGCGGTGCTGCTTGTAGTACAGGCCACACGCGTTGCAGTTCAGCTCGTCGTTGAGGCCACGACGCCACAGCGGGGTATGCGTCGCGCCGCAGTTCGCGCACTCTGCCTTACCGCCATCCTGCGGGGAGCTGGATCGCGGCGGGGTGAGATCCTTGGCCGAGCTGCGCGGAATATCGACGGTCTCGGCATCGGACTGCTCGGACGTGTAGTAGGAAGACTGCCGGGAGAGGCTCAGGAGAGAGGTAACGGCCTGGAACGTCTCTTGCGAATGACACTGATCAAGCGAGTGGAGGGTTAAGGGAGAGGCTGCCCGCGATAACCGAGGGGGCAGGTCTGAGCCGCTGCCGGTACGCGCAAGATCACGGGAGACGCCGAATCTATTGCTCGGTTAGAGGAAGTACGAAGCGATGGGTAGATCACTTACGGTGGGCCCTCGATGAGGGGGGACGCGATGGGCGTGCGGACGGAGACGTCGGGCTGCGGAGAGGGACTGGCCTGTGGCCGCATGTCCATCGGCTCGCCGGTCACGATGGACCTCCACATCCTGCAGACGCGCGCAGGGGTGAACGCGCGCGGGAACTTGCAGACCCCGACGGGGAGCAACATCTGGAAGATGCGCATGAGGATCTCGGCCGGGACGCGTCGGATGGGCGCGAAGAGGGCGCTAGCGCGCAGGACATAGTCCTCCAGGGTGGCCTTCTCCTCGGCTATGCGCTCCAGCTGACCCTCGCGAGCGCGTATATCGTTTTGAAGCTCTGCTATCTTCGCGCGGACACTTGACTCCTCCACGTGCGATAACGGGGCCGGCCGCGTCCACATCTCCGCGAAAAAGAGGGCATACATGCTCTGGGAAGTGAAGGAGGAGGAGCGACAGGACGCGCAGAGCGACGAGCTCATTGTTTTTGGGATGGAAGGGGGAACGAAGGACAGGAGATGGGAGAGATCCAAACACATGCGCCGGCCACGTCCCCCGTTACTGATAGCCACAAAGCTTCCGCCAAGCATGGACACACTTCGGACTTTTCGGCAAGCGCTCGGCAAGCCTGCCGGGGACCCTGCCGCCCGATTTCCCACCGCGGAGGGAGGCTCTGCGGGGTACGGAAGCTGATGGTATATCGCATCGATATACATGCGGCTCTCAGCAAGACCCGTAAAGACATGGATCTCCTCCATTCTGCGCTCCCAGATCTCGCCCAGCGGCCATAAAATCCGCGCAAAGGGCGCGCAGCGAGATCGGAAAATTTCCTTCTTGGTGGCTGAGGCTGGCGACCCTGATCTGATGGCGCCGTCGCACCCTCGCGATAGCCAGCGAAACGAACATCATATGACGGCATGCGCGGTTCGAAAACATGAACCAACGGCGAATGGCCGGTTTTGCGACACGCCTCCTCTCGGACGAATGCTGGAAGATGTTGGACGAATGCGGACAGAACGAGGGGGCGCCGCGGTGGAACGAGGGGGCACATGTCCAAAAACACGAGTTGTCCCTGCAGCACGACCAGAACACGTTGCGTAAAACGGCGCTCGTGCGCAGGAATCTTTACGTGTCTGTGGCAAGCTGGAACTTGGCTCGACCGAGCATGCGTCCCGGTGACCTCGCGTTGCTGATGTTGATCTCCCTCAAGTCCTGCCTCCTGCGGTCGGCCTGCCCAGCTCCTGAGACGCCCGCTTGACGATCCATCGCGCCCGATGCGCAGAAGATGACCAAAGATGGTCACCTCCGCTCATTCCGCATCCAACTCTGATCTCGACTCTGATCTCGAAAGATATACGCCCTCAACGAGCAGAGTTGAGCCCAGTTGTCAACGATCCTGAGCGCGGATGCACTGCCAAAGAGCCTGGAATGCATCCGCAAAGCGTCCGCCATTCCCGCGACGGGAGATGAACTCATCCGCGGAAGCATCATACATCCCCCATGGGGGATCCCAGCGACGCCGTCGCGATACGCGCTGCGTCCGTCTCGATCTCTCCAAAGGAGAACGTTGAACGTAAGGAACGATAACCAAAGTCATGGACGCTCGCGTTAGCATGCCAGCCAAAGCCCCTCTACTCAGGAGGCCTATTGGACGTTGCACGTCTTCAGTCGGCTTCTTCGCGTCGCGCGCTTCCAAATCCTCCTTCAGTTCTGTGACTGCCGTCCGCAGTCGCGTAAGAACTTGAAGAAGCCCAACGCAAAAGCGGCCGACGCCTTCGCCAAACCTTGGCCATAATTACGAGCTTCCCGGCGATAAGAGGCTTTACTAATCATCGAACGTGAATGCGAGAAGATGAAGGGAGAACGCCGCACGTCACACGCTGCTGTTCCGCATAGCGAGCATGAGCGTAGGTGTAGACCGCAATCGGGATGTAGCCGCGTCGAGGACGTTGGCGAAGATGGCCGCTTCAGGACTGCATCACGACGCCCAGTCACTTGAAGTTACAAAGCGGCAGTCAGCTAACTTTCGTAAACGTCAGTGAGAAAGACCTAAGCGCAACCCTCGGGCATCAACACAAGCGGGACGCAGGCCCTGAGGGAGGTATGACATGCACGTGACGAATGTTCTTCGGCAAGCGCCGACGAACATCGCGCTGATACAGCGGCTCATTCGAACCCGCTGCGCGTAATAAACGAGTTGAAGGCGCGAGTCAATCAAAAGCGCCAGGGCTGTGCAGACTTCGCCTGTGCTTCGAAGTTGTGACCGATAGACACGGACGATGCAATCGACAAGGTCGAGCAGGTAGGGCAGAAGGTTCGAAGAGGTGGCAAATCCACTTGCGGCGATTGCGTTTTGCCTGCGTCTTAATGCCCAGGAGATTGATCAGGTGCTTGCTAAAGAGGGGAGAGAATTATGAGGAGGGCGAGGCGATGCACCAGGTGGGGCCCATTTGATCGCACGGGGTATATGTATGCTCTGAACAAGCTGGCGTCAGCGCATATATATGCAAATTCGAGGGCGCAGGCGCACCCTGGGATGGACGACTGGCCATGCCCTGACAAAAGGGCTGTGGAGCTCCGCAGGCGTAGTTAAAGGGTGAATGGCACGGTTTGGTCTGCTTGTGCAAAGGTGAGGTGGCGTATATCTTTGCATAGGTATAGCGTGGTGCCCTTGGACCGTTGCCTTCAACATCATTTCAGCAAATGAGTCCTTAGAAAAGAGAGCACTACAGCGTACCTCATCCATCGCAAGCACTTGGTACTCCATGAGCGGATTATGGCCGCCGCTCCCCCTCGAAGGCCGGCTGCCGGATGGTTGCCCTTCTCCGCTTTCTGGTGACCGCAGTGAGCATCCTGACGTCGCGCTCCTTCGAATGTAAGATACTTCTCACTCTGCGAGGCATACGTATGCTCCCTGAATTTGGGAGGAAGTGGACGGCCTCCATTTTGACCTGAGGGCGAAAGTGAGGCGGTTGAGTAATCGCAATGCTGAAGGAGAAAAAGACGCGACTTACTCGGCGAACATACCTTTATATCGCCGTCCTCGCTGTCCGCAGCAACGAGACGGTTGTCAGAGCGTCCTCAACCGGCTGCGAGGCGACGGCGACGCGCTTTAATGAACGCGCTTGCGGAGATAATGAGATCTCGCGTCGACGCGTCCGCTCCGTGGTCACATCGCCACGTGAAAGTCTATCACATCGGGCGGACCGTCTCTTGCTCTCTCTTTCCACCACCATTCACTCGGATGTCCGGCTCTTCGGATGATCTCTGAGGCATTCATATTTTCCCTGTGTTGACACGTTTCGTGCCCTGCTTGGCCAAGTCTCACGCGATCCAGCACCGCAATACATACACCACATCTCTGGATTTGGCTAAGGCTCTATTCCCTTAGCAATCCCACAAAACATTTTCAGAAAAAGACTGAGGAGTTTGCGCTCTGACTTCATCTCGAACTCCATAATTCCACCATGCATCCCATCTCATCGGTCCCAACTTCACAATGAGGAGGCTTTTGGCCGCAGCAGTGACGCCCACTCGGCAATCTCCTTACAAGGAGCTCAAATGGAGCTCGATATCTGTCTTCATCCCTTGTATCGTCTATCACGTTGACTCCCAAGAGAAAGACGCCCGGCTATCTCAGCATGCCGAGAGGTGTTAGAACACGGAAGCTTGTGGGTATTATCCCAGCTACCATCGCGCACAAACGCCACTGACCCACAATGCATAGGCTTTGCAGCCGCCTCGAGAAGGCATTCGGCGCATACTCCGTACTCAGGCAGGTGAGAAGGGAGTCCCACTGGTAGCCCAATTCCGAGGGCTCACCTTGTCAGCGGCTCGACGCAGGCGAGGTTGATTCTGGTACTCCAAAAAGGGCTTGAAAAGACTATGACCTGCGGTCCTCACATGCACCCATCAACGGCGCGGGATGTCGGTATGAAGTCCGTCTTCTCACGATCCGCTTAAGCCTTATCGTTGAATAGGACGCTTCAAGACCAGGGCACGAAAGCCATCCCTCGACCCGTCGTTCGTCTCTGATGGCGCTCTATCGGGCTCGCTGGTCGTCATGCCTGTCTTCCCACACGTGTGCGCTGATTCGTTATACGGGTTCTACGAAATGTCCTCATCTCTGTAGAAGGTCTTCGCTTTCTCTCTGACGACCACCATCCCTAGCATCGCACCTCTCGGGCGAGCTCGAGAGATTATCCAGACGTATCCTCGTGCTCGCAGGGACGATCCGGCCGACTTGGCGAGAGGACACCATCCGCACGACCAGGAACTATCCAATTTTCATCAACCGACCTTCTCACGCGACCGAGGACAGAGGGCGGCGCGGCACCCCAGTTCGATTGAACCGAGAGAAGTATAGAGATATAAAGGCCCCGCCCGCAGAGCGCGACGCGCTCGAGAGCGACATTCTTCCGTGACTGCGGCCTGCGGTATATAGCTGCTGGCGAGGACGGCGGCGACTTCGCTCAATGACTGGGCCGCGATGGCGGCCCCTACACACCCGGTGGTCGCTTCCGAGGTGGAGTTCTTCACGATTATACTGAAGCAGGTCTCGGTGAACCTTGCAACCTATGGTTCGCCCTCGCGCTCCCTTTTGAAGGTTTTGTGCGTTGACGCCTAAGGTAGGTATACAAGTGGCGCTGTACATCGCGACAATGGCAGCCCTCGCGTGAGTGGCTTTTTTCTGAGTTTTCGCTTCCAGTTGTCTTCGCGAGACTGACTATCGTTCTCTTTCAGTCGCACCAAGTCCAGCGCGTGGATCCTGAAGCTCGCCATCACCGCGCTTCTCGCGTTCTCCACTATAGGCGCCGCGACCCACACCACCTTCTATACGGCGCAGATGCCGCATTACAGCAGGCGACCTCCGCCAGGTCTGGAGGAAGGCCTGCTCTTTCGGCTAGACATCGTGCTCAATGTCGCGTTCAACTGTAACGTGAGTGTTTTTGTGCTGGACGAGACTGGATCGAATTGCTGATCACAGATCGACTGATGCTATTCATCGGTTAGTTTCTTATCAGCGATGCGATCGTCGTGTGGCGCGCGTGGGTCTTGTATACGGATAGGATCGCAGTGAAGGTTCTGCTTCTTTTCTGTATGGTCATGAGTACAGGTATGTCGCCAAGCTTAACTTCCCTCGCGCTTTTGCCTGAGTCGGCGTGCAGCCGGCGTCATCGCCCATACAACTTGGCTCATGCTGACCTACGGGCAATCCATCCCTGGCGTCCGTCGCCTGATCATTAGCCTTCCTCTCCTTTTCACGAATTTTGTTTCCACTGGATTGATCTGGCATAAAGTGTGGTACGTCTTAGGACTTGCATCCCTCGCGAACAAATCCTGATGAGTGGCTAGGTCGTACCGCCGTGCGGTGAGAGCCCTGCTGGGCCGACAACGCAACTCGACATTAGCAGAGAATATCATGCTCGTCCTCGTCGAGTCAGGATTTGTGTATTGCGGTCTGTGGGTACGTGCTCTTGTCGTTCTTCTGACGGGCCGAAATTGATGATTTCCAGGTGTTATATGTGGCAATCAACGGTGTAGATACAGGTGGACCGCACCCGAATCCCGCATACGGCGTCATTTTGACGGCCTACCACAACATCGCCGTGCGTGCACGGGTTCCTCTATAGATTCATGCTGACGACAACCATCCTTCAGGCCATCTACCCAACCTTCGTCGTCCTCATCATCACGATGCAGCGCTGTACAACGCAGCAGCTCATCGCTACTCATGCCTCCGTCTCTGTCCAGTTTGCATCCGACGAAGCCGTGCTATCTTCCGACGAGAGCAGGTCCGAGCCCGGTTCGTCAGGCTCTAGGCCAATCTTGTCCACAGGAAGGTCGACGAAGATCACCAACACGGACGAGTATTATGACATGGATGTGATGAGCCCCGATTCCGAGCGTCCGAAGCGGCCTCGAGAGAGCGAAGAGTGGTGATAGGTATATACTTGAACTTTTTGTATGTGTATCGATCATGATTTGTGTGGGTTATGTGTCGGCGAATTCGATGGATGTTGTATTTCCGGTCGCACTTATATCAGGGTGGTCGGGCGTCAAGCGTTAGGGCAGAACTATTGGTCCTCGCAGATGGTCCGAAAACCTCTGTTCTCAAACGCTATGAGAGAATAGTTATACAACACCAAAGAGTGACACCATGCACGCTATACTAATCAGATAAATAACGATGCCAGAGCGAAGTCCATAAATGAGCGAGTCAAACTAGGTCGAACAGTCCAGTGGATATATAACAGGTACTTAGGGGCTTTCGTGCGTCCAGAGTTTACGCAGCCGAACGGATGATAATCGGGAGCTGCGCCGTCGCCTCTGGCTGGCTGATCAGAGCAGGACGCTGCACGACCGACGCGCGGACCTTGAGGTCATCCACCGGTACGGCAAGCTCGAACTCGAAGGCGCGCACGAGGATGAAGAGGAGGGCTTTCATCCTGTATATCTGGTTAGCTCGTGTGTTCCGCGGCACTAGAGAAGTGCAACGTACTCGGCAATCGAGAACCTGAACCCAATGCACGCATGCGAGCCGGCAGAGAAGGAGAACAGGTGGCTCCACACAGAGGGGACGTTTTTGATCGCGTCTGACGGCGCGTCCCAGCGGTCGGGGTTGAACTCGTTCGCGTCCTCACCCCAGATCGACTTCTTGCGGTGCAGGCAGTGAATGGGAAGGAGGAATTGCTGGCCCTTGCGCACTCTAATCAACTCTCGTTAGCATCACCCTTCGCATCTCACCTGTCACTCCAACGCACTTGATCTCATAGCACACCCGCCCCTTCTTGTCCGTGTATGGCTCCTCAAGCGGCACCACGTCGTCGCGCATCGCCACGCGCGCGGTCCAGGGCACGGGCGAGTAGAAGCGCAGGACCTCCTTGACGAAGTTGTCCAGGTACGGGAGCGAGTTGAGCTCGTCGAGCGTGGGGGTGTCGGTGTCGAGCGTGCGCAGCTCGTCGCGGAGGCGGGACTGGACAGCCGGGTTCTGCGTGAGCTGGTGGATGGCCCAGGTGGTGCCCGTCGCGGTCGTCTCGTGCCCGGCGACCATGAAGGTGGGGACCTCTGCGCGAGGAGTGAGGGGTCAATGCGAGTGAGTGAGTGGAATGGAGAGAGGGACACGCACGCGACAAGACATCCTCATCCGACATCCTCAAACGCTGCGGCAAGTCGGCGGCCATGTTCGCGCGCACGAGCAAGGAGAAGAGGTCCCTGCCCTTGAAGTCGCTGCTGCCCGTCTTCTCCGCTTGTTCGGCCTCGGCGCGCGCCTGCGCGAGCAGGTCGCGCCCGATGCGGTGCATCGTCTCCATCGCCGTTTTCTCCGCCTTGTCGCCGGGGCCGGGCTACATGCGAGGGATCAACTCTTCAGTAGAGGGCGCAAATGAGATAGGTGAGACGCACGATCAGCCTCAGGGGCGGGATCCATGCTTGCAGGAGCAGCCACTGCCGGCTGTTGACCGGCGCACCGAAGAGAGTGCCAAAAGCCCTGCTGAGCTCGCTCGCCTCCTCGCCATTGTCGAGGGTGTTGAAGTCGTAGCCAAAGCCTGTATCCTGGGTCAGGGCCTGAATGGCAGCGGCGCAAGAGATGGCGTACCGGCTTTCCCGATAACATCGAGCGTCATGCGCGAGAGCTCGCGGAGCACGTTGAGGTGCGCGGACTTGCCGCCCTCGGCCTGGATCGCGCGGTCCCAGCATTCGCGAAGCTAGGGAGGGGCATGAGGGCGAGGCACTCCGCGGATTCGCAATGCTCACCTTGACCGACTTTTCGAGGAAGATGGGCGTCAACTCGCGGACTTGGTTCGGACCGAAGGCCGGGCTCTATGCAGTCAGGGTCATGTTAGGCGCCGAAGCTGCATCAACAGTCGGCCTAGCGCGCACCATGATCCTGCGCTACACAGTGAATGAGCATGAGCAGCGTCGGCAAAATACGATCCACGCACCTGCTGCTTGTGCTGCTCGCCCTCGGTGATCAGGATGCCATCACCGACTACGCGCCCAAGGCTGTAGCGCGTCGAGCTCGGCTTCCAATAGATGTCGTCCCGCGTCGAGAGGTGGTGCAGCGCGCGGGTGTCCGTCGTCAGCAGTCGGTCGCTCTGAGACGTGCGAGCTCTCAGCACGGATTCCTTGCGCAAACATGGCGCCAACTCACGCCCGCTATGCCCACAACCTTGAAGACGGGTCCATACTCCTCAAACCAGCGCGCCATTGCGTCGCCCGGGTTTTTCTGGCGGAAAGGGGGGGGGGGGGGTACGCGTTAATTCACAGGCTTCCTCTTTGCGATTGTGAACACGCACCGCGTCCCTCAGCATCGCAAAGTGGCCGACGAGGAACTTGCGCCATCCTGGATGAGGGGGGCCCGGAATGTCCTTCGTAGGGGACGTGTACCGGCGATACAAGGATCTCGCCAGGATGGCCCATCCCGCCACGCCGAGGAGCTTAAACACAACATCGCCGTCTATCACCAGGTTGATGTAATCCATCGCTGATTCGAGTGTTAGGTGGTATGAAGGATAGGATGCGTTCGGGACGAGGAGAGGGGGAAGATGGGTATCTCTCCCGCCGCCTGTGCCAATATAAGGACGTCCATTGCGACGATCGTCGCTCCGGGCACCTCGCGGGTCTAACCTGCAGCTGCTGCGCGGTCCCGCGGGAGATCTTCCGCCGGCGCAACGGCGGGGATTTCCGCCGCATATCCCATCGCACGTGGCGGTCCGGCCAACCCACTCGAAATCCAACTTTGTCCTGAACTCTCATCTTTCTTCGCTTTCTCCTCTACAGAGAGACTAGCTCCGCCTACTCGGCCTTGGGCTGCACAAGAGCAAGAATAGAGAGCCGGAAATGACGCGCAGGCCCGCCAGCACCCACCTCGGTCCTTCTGCAATTGAAGAGGGGCGAAGCCTGCGAAGGCGAGGACAGAGAACATCTGACTGAAGGCGCGGATAACTGTCGACCGGCCTGTTTGCCGTGGGGTTTACCGACGTCGTCGTTACGCTCGCGGCCGCTTTGCTTGACTTGACTGCCCTAGCGAGCTTTCTATGGCACTATGGGGATTGACGTTCATACCTCGCCAGCAGCGATGGACGAGTTCAATGGGGAAGCAGCTAGCCGACCTTGCGAGGGGGCCTCCTGAAGGACGAGCTGGTGCTAGTGGTCGCGCAAGGCAAGATATTGATGTGTCCAAGCGGCGAGCCAGCCGTCCCATCTGGGAATATCCCGAGCTCAACCTGAACCTCGACGCAGTCCCCGTCTGCCTGGTTCTTCGAAAACGGTCAAACGCTGAACAGTTCCGACACTCCTTTCTTCCCACATCACGCCGGCGAAGTGGATGACTTCGAATGGTGAGGCCCTTCGATGCTACTTCGTCCGCCCCAGGACTCCGTGCGATCCTCGATCCTGTTCTTACCGTCGTATCCGGCCTTTCAGCCAGCTACATCCATCCTACGCGTCATCATCCGCGACATTCGCAACATGCGGCGTCCTCGCACGACACATTCTTACGCCGCTGGTCCGATTTTGCAGACGTCAAGCCGCCGCCCTCGGTGAGAGCGCCATCATGACTTGGACTGCAAGCACTCTTCTGCTCAAGCTTTTGCTTCTCCGGTGCATTGGCCGAACGATAAAGGATGCTCTACGTCGATGCCCTTGCTTGCATCTGTCTCTCGAAAAACGTCTTCACTCGCGCGCCTGATTGGTACTGGAGATGACTCGGCATGTCAAGTGTAGAACGCGCGTACAATTCCAGTGGCCGTTCGCTCACACCATCCGATTGCCTCAATACGGTACGTGGGTCAGCCGCAAAGTGCCTTTTCTATTCGCGCCAGCAGACGCACCCAGAACAGAGATGTCAATCTATCCGAGCCGCTTTGAGGCGGTTCAGCACCGCCTCCCCCGGTATTCGCGACAGGCTATACAGGCTTGTAATGTAAAGACCGCTTGTGTTCCGCTGCGCCGTGGTCCGAAGGCGAGGTTCGAGAGGCCTTGGATCGTCGTAGCAGCAATTGGCGTCCTAGAGTCGCGCTCGTCGGGGCTGTCAAGTTCACGTCGCGTCCGTCGACGATATCGCGCTCATGTGCTAGTCAGACAATGGCATACTGCTCGTGTACTGCTGCGTGTCGAATATACGAGGTATACGGTGTACTGAATGTAATGGGCCTGGTTGAAGTTCGAAGAGCGATGATACTGTTCGACGCAGTCCGCAACACTCAGCAGTGACCACGTCCATATACACGTTTCTCAACATCTCGACGGCAGCGGAGACCCGGCAAAGGCAATGAAAGCTGTATTTTGCACCGCCGACGAGCCAAGGACACGCACAACGAGCGCAGCACCAAGCGCGCCGCCACACGACGCGATCGGCGGCAGTGGCTTACATAACGCAAAAAATTGCCCTTAAAGGGACGCGCGCCTTTTGCGGTCTCCATTGTTTCTCCACCCACCGTCATCATCTCCCCCTTCACGACCACGACCACACGACTATGCCGGGCTCCATTCGCATCTCGTCCACGAACACGTCCCCCGCGTCGTCGCGATCGCACTCGCGATCCTCCTCCGCCGCGCACTCTCTCCACTCGCCTACGTCCCCCGATCGCACGACGTCAGGGCCCGCGACGACGAACACGCTCGCGGTGACGCGCCTGCCCGCGTCCTTCTTCGACCCGCTCATTCTCGACATCCTTCGCGACCACTTCGCGCAGTACGGCCCCATCAATCAGTGGGCGCCGCTGTCGGGCTTCGGCCGCATCCTCGTCGTCTACGAGCGCGACGCGTCTGCAGAGGCCGCGCGCGAGGCGTGTGGGACCATCGTTGTCGAGCCGACCGACAGTCATGTTGCAGCTGAACCCATCATCCTCAGGGTGTACCGCGCGGACCGCAATCCCCTTGTCGGCGAGATGGAGGCGGTGATGAGGGAAAGGCAGCTGGCGCCGCCGCGGCCGGAGCGCAACTTCCTGATCAGCCCACCGGGGAGTCCCCCCGTTGGGTGGGAGCAGGCGCAGGAGGAGCCGCCGAACTCGGCGCCTCTGGCGGAGGACCTGATCCACGCGCTCAAAGCTCTGCAGATCAAGCAAGAGGAGGCGACGCAGACGCAGCGCGGGGCGGTGACGCTGCTCGATCCTGCGGAGCAGGGTGGTGCGGGTGTCGGTGTCTTTGTCGAGGACTGCGACGTGCCCTCGGAAGAAGAGGAAGAATCTCTGAAGGTCGGTTGGGAGCGGAAGGATCGCGGTGACATAGAGGAGGACTACATGTACGGCCAGCTGCCGCCGAAGTGGAAGCCGGTGACCGCGATGCCGCCGATGGCTCCGACGTCGATGCCCCCGATGAGGGCGTAGATTTATGGTGAGCGTTCGTCTCTTTCTTCCCATGAGATGAAACCTTCAGACCTGTTCCGACTATGGATGAGGATTTCTAGATTGCCTAATTTTCTCTCTGATCCCCCTCGCTCTTCAGCCGTAATCTTCATCATTGCTGACCTTCTTCCCTCAGGCTCACATCCTCCACGACCTGCACCCTTTCCCGCGGACTGACATCATCTGTGAGCCTCTCCTCCCATCCAATCCATACACGCTCTCCCCCTTTCCCCAACGTGATGAAAAGAAATTTCAGACCTGTTCCGACTCAACAATGGAGACGAACATATCATTGCCTAATTTTCTCTCTGATCTTCTACCCACCTCATATCCCTACTCTTATAGCCCCGTACACGAATGCTGACCTTTTACCCAGCTCCTTCGCGCACAAGATCCAACATCAGCATGCTCACGATCACGAACGTCTTGCACGGGCTATCATATCTTCTCTCGTATCATCATATCCCCTCTCGTATCTATACCTCGGACCTTTGCGCGTGGATTATGTCTAATGGCTATCGCGGCGAACGCATCTGTGCTGCACGTCGCCGTCTATTCACTGCACGTCGCCGTCTACTATTGCTCTCTATCGAACTGGACTCACTGTACTATACTCTCGGCACTCGAACGGATGTATCAATATCAATACTGGCTTGGATCTTTCCTAGGAATAATGAATGGGAACGGGTTCTCTTCGTTAGACGAGGATTGGTGTGGGTACATATGCGACCGGACAGGATCTGAGGATGAGGAGCCAGATAAACTCGAGTGATCGAGAACTTGGCGTCGAAATCAGGTCGGTTCAACAGACGTTCGCCGAATCGATTTCTGACGAGGCTACGGTACTCGAGCTATACATGCGACCCAGTAATCGCCTGAAGCTATATACACAAAGCATCGCTGTCGCACATCGCCGTCCCTTCATCCACTTCCTCCTACCCCTCCGGACGTGCTATATCGCCCACCGCGATCCTTGACGCGCGTCGGCCGGTAGCATGCGATTCCGGCACAAGTAGTCCCTAGTGAGTCCCCACCCGCTCGTCTCTCTTGCCTTGTCCGACCCCTCGCGCAAGTTCTTGTTTTCTGCCCCTCGCGCACGATCTTGTTTTCTGGCTTGGTCTCCTTCTTGTCCTCTGCAACCGTTTCAAGAACGATCCCGCAACCGGTGCTCTACCTGCGACTTCTTCGCCTCGAGCGCCTTGACACGCTCGTCCTTGCTTGCGTCGTAGGAGACAGTAACTTGGTTGAAGCTAAAAGGACGTGAGTGGGTAAGACGGTGGAGGGAGGGTGGTGTTTGGTGGTGAAGTGGAGCAACGATGGAAGGGAGAACGTGGCGAGAAAGTGAGGGCGATCAGAGGGGAGAGGACAAGAGAAAGTAGGTGACACGTACGGGTTCTCAGGCGACTTCTGGAACTGCTTGTAGAGTATATCCTGCGGGGCGATGAGTGCGATGCAGTGTATGAATGCGAAGGGAAACATACCTGCATCTGCTGCATACGCAGGCCGGGGTGCTAGGCAAGCGTCAGTGAGTGGTGCAGCGAGATGGGAAGGACGCCGATCGCCTACCTCCTTCTTGAGGTTCGGCAGCTCGCGCTCCTTGTAAGCCTCGAATGCTGCCTGCGCAAATGATCAGCACGCCGAGACGCTTCATGATCGCACCCTCATACCTTGAAGCGACGCTACAAACCAAGCAATCAGCACAAATCCCGCACCATCGACAAACACAGTACGCACCTCCGGATGCCTCTCCAGCCCCGCCGCCTGCGAGCCCACGCTCGCCTTGTCCATCTTCGCCGTCACCACCTCCAGCAGATCGAGCGCATTATCTAGACCCGTCGCCGTGTAGCTCTCCGGCTCCTCCGGCGGCGCGTCCGCCTTCTTGGGCTCGGGCTCCGCGGCGGCAGCCAGCCCGCCACCAGCGGCAATTGCCCCAGGTCCAGCGGGCTTCGGCTTCGCCGCCGCCTTCTTCGCGCCGGCCTTGGGGGCGGGCTTGGGCTTTGCGGCGACGGAGCTTTCCTCTTCGGCGAGGAGGCGTGCGTTTTCGGCCTTGCGGGCGAGCTCGGCCTTGCGCTTCTCCTCCTTGTCGACGTTCTTGTTGGCCTTGCCGCCGTCGGACCATTTGGCGGCCTCTTGACGCTCCTGAGGTCGGTTGAGATGCGCTGGGGAGGATGTGATGAGTGAGCAGACGCACCTTCTCCGCCGCGGCAGCGGCCTTCTTGTTTGCCTCGTTCTCTGCCTTCTTGGCGCGTCCGGACTCCTTCTTTGCGTTGCCTCCCTTAGGTGCCATGTCGTCGCCTGTAGTCTGTCGGTGGTGGTGGTTGGTGGTGAGCAGGAAGCAAGCCGGACGGGAGATGACGCTAGCCTTCAATCTAATCTTATCGGTGATCGGATCGATTCAGTTAGGCGCCCTCCGGCACGGTGAGCACGCCTCGAGGGGAGCGTGCGTATCGATGGCGGGCGACGTATTGAGCGCGCGAGGCGGTGCGCACGACCTTGCCTCCTGCATTCAGCTCGCTCATACTCGACCCTTTCCTCGCTCGCGCAAACATGGCCGCCGACATTGGCAAGTGGGGCAATGGGCCGCATTGTGAGTAGCCTTAGGTTGTGGAGCGCAGCTACTGACGTTGAGCATGCCAACAGATGGCCCTGTCCTCTCCCAGACTGAGCTCTACCTCCTCCGACCTGAGCTCGAGCTACACCCTATCCTCACTGGCTCCGACGGCTCCTTCCACCTCGTTATGAACATGCAGACGGGTGCGTCCTAATGTCAACCTACCCTCGCTTGACTTCAACTGCGCTCCAGGCCTCATGGGCGGCTTCAACGCGGGTTCCGCCGCCAGCGACAGCGAATTCGTCAAGAAGGACGAGCCCGCGACACTCCCGCGCGTCCAGCAGCTCTATATCATCTCCGACCTAGCGCCGTGGTGCACGACGGTACATAACGACGCGGGCGTGACGTTGGAGAATATATGTCGGGCGCTATTTCAGCAGTGAGTAGGCTTTCGTCCTCCTCACTGCGTCTGTACATTGATATATCCACTTCTTCCCAGATACACCCAAGAACAAGTGACAGAAGCCGAGATACAGGCCCTCCCTCCACGCGTACACGACCACATTCAGCGCACAGCCGCACATCGCGTTGCCAACCAGGCATACGCCCCCACCGCGCCTTGGGGCGCCTACACTCCTACCAGCCCCGCGCCGAACCGGTTCCAGAGAGTTGGTGAGTACTTGATCTCGCGTCGTAGCTACTAGAGCTCATTATGAACCACAACAGACTGGCTCCGCGACCGCATGTTCCTCGAAGGCCTGCGCAAGGACCCAGACTATGTGCGCGGCCGCCTCGGATTCGACGCGCCGAATATCTTCATTATGATTTTGACCAGCTGAGGTACTGGCCCGAGGAGGCGTTTGTTCGTTGTGGACAATTTCACATACTGCTCTTCAATGTATCCGTATCCACCACCTGTAATAACCGGATCTCAAGCGACCTTTTCGTCGTATGAGCAGACGCGACAGAAAGTCGAACCGTGCGACAGAGCCCCTATCTCTTTATGGCCAGACTCTGTTCCCACGGTTGCTTCTCTGTCTGCATATCCCATTTCCTTGCTCAACTGTTCTGCTCACGCCGCCGGCCATGATAGTACTCTGCCGAGGGAAACCACCCGTTCTCTGTGATACCGCATCAAACGGTGGCTTTGTCGTACCTCGGAGGAGTGCCATGCAGATCAGCGCTCAGGCGATCCGACACGCACGACCTTGAGAAATACCTCTCGGGCGCTGTGTCACGTTCAGCGTTGCGCCCTCGAGCGCCAAATGGTCTCCGTTGTATATTCGACCTCGCGTGCTTTTCAGGTATCCACGACCTTGCAAATCACAGAAGAGACCCTGCATAACATGTTGGATCGCCTCCCTTCCCGCGGTGGCAACTCTCCGGGAGGGTTGTTGCGTGAGCACTTAGGGCGTCCTAGGAAGAAACCCCCTCTTGCGCAAGAGCAACGCCTAGCTATGCAGCCTATTCGAATCCCGAACCGCATATCCGTCTCTCCGCGCGACGTACCCGAACATACGCTTCCTACCCGACCCTCGCATCTTTCCGAATCGCCTCTTCGCACCTCTCCGAACCGCACTTTCGCATCTTTCCGAGGGCCACCATCCGTGACGGAGGGTCCACTACCCGTTCCGGAGCGTCATAGCCCCCCGAATGCACTGCATCGGTATCCCGGATTATAGAAAGCAGCGGCGGTGACATGGGAGTAGCGACGGCAGTCGATGTTGGCGCGTTCCTGTAGCCAATCGAAAGACGAGTGTAGCCAATTCAGCGCGTCAAGGGCCAATCCCGGCGCGCCAAGGACCAGTCCCGGCGCGCCATCCCCAAACATCACTCACTCTTCGGCGGCGCGCACCTGGCGCATATAGCGCCAGGGCGCGCCCGGTGCGAGGCTTTCCCTCCTTTGCTTCTCTTCTTCCGTTTTATTTCATAGACGTGCGCGGAGCCCTCGAAGCAGCTTCACCCCGCTTCGCGCCCTGAACGCGCCGACAATGAACGCGTCAACCGCGTACAGCGAAGAGGAGATCGCGGCGTATGCGCGCCTGTATGAGGGGAACCTGATCCCCATGTATGCGACGGGTGAGTTCATTGTTCATATATCAGGCTCGGGGTCGAGTCTATGCGCCCAGTGCATGGTGAATGTCTTGCTAACAATACCTATCCGGATGTGAACAGTCGTGGGTCTGGCATGGGTGTACTATGACTGGGGTGCGTACATACATGGTCCTTCTTGCGATCCTGTCGCTGATGGGGTTTATTGTTCACAGCATTAACGATCGATGACGAAGTGCGCCTTCTGTGCTATCCGAACCTTGTGAGGCCGCCTACTGACGCTATTCTGTCAGGTCCGTTACGTCTGGGTCCGTCCTTCGTCGCTGTCCCCAGAGACAATTCATGAAGACTCATTATCGCATACAGCCGCAGAAGATGAACGTCGGGAAGGCCATATACCTGTGGGTGCGTGCAGTGCGACTATCTCTGATGCGCTGCCTGCTAATCATCGTCACGGATAGATACGATACTATACCCTTGCTCTATTAGCGTACGACGTCTTCCAGATACAATGGCTCGCTCGAATACATCCCGCGATGACGAATCCTATGCTGTGCGTGTTCCCCCTTTGCATCCATTTAGTCGCTCACAGTATTTACCTATAGATGTATAATCATGGACCCCGTAGACCGCCTGTCCGGCGCTGTCCTTCTCTGGTCCGTCGAGATCATCATGCAGCTACGCATCTACGCGATCTACGAACGCTCGGCGAAGGTACGTCGTCCCCTCGTCAATGTCGCTTTCACCCTCCGGCCATATCCATGTCTCGATCATATGACCTGCACGTACCGTTAATAACGCCCGAACTCACCACACGCCCATCCCAGGTCGCCTACGTCAACATCTTCCTCTTCCTCATCTCCATCGCCGGCTTCTTCTACGTGCTCATCACTAACGTCCTCCTCCGCGAGGACGCGATAAAGCACGTGCTGGACCTGCCCCTGCTGGGTTGCCCAGCGATCCAGACGGCGACGGAGTGGGCGCAGTGGTTGCCTGGTAAGTGGTGCTGCCGTCGGACGGTCGAACAACATGCGCGTGTATAGGGGCAGCAGACGCGCACATACATCCAGCATGTGAGCTAACTTGCATCCTCCAGCGACAATATTCGAAGGCATCCTCTTCGGCTTCGTCCTGTATCGCTCGTTTCGCATCAACTTTCGTAACTTGCGCGCCGGGCGCGGCGTCTCACTCTACGAAGTTATCATCAAGGACCACATTCGATATTGGGTGGGGTACGTCTGTGTCTGCTACACACTTGTCCCCTTCACTTCTGTTTCTCATTGCCTACGCGCCTGCCCTATTACCCATACCCACCTTTTCCTCGCCCCTCTCACGCTTTAGTTCGTTTTTTACGCCCGACACCTAACCGCTTACTTACCGACCTCCCCTCCAACGCAGAGTAAGCACCTTGCTCGTGCTGTGCAACCTCATGGTCGTCGTGCGTTATCCTCGTTTGCGCGCCCATGTCCCTGACACGAACGCGCTTTTCTTGCATTCTTTCAGGGAACGACGAAGATTCCGTGGTTCGGGTTTGGGTGAGTGGGCTGTTTCCCTGATCTTTGCTGTTCAACCCCTTCCCGGGCCTGTATCGCTGGCTTCTGGTGCATCGCTGGCTTCTCAGTTCCTTCGGACGTTTCCTCTCTAAGATTACGCCTCTGGCTTTTTTTCATCTTGGGTGCGCTTTCTATTGCGCCTGTTTCACAACGTATCATGTCCCCCTTCCCCTTCCATTGTCATACGAGAAATGATTCTACTGCGCGCCCACACATCGCTGACTACGCGCCCGAACGACTGCTAACTACGCGCCCTTTCAACTTACTAACATTGCGCCCAACGCAGCCCCTTCCACGCCGGCCTCGGCGTGGCCACCACGCGCATGCTGCTCAACATCCGCGAGGCGGCCGAGCGCACCGACTATTCCATATACCTCGGGACGGCGCCGAGGAGGGACAGGAGCGATGGTATGGCGTTGAGGACTTGCGATTGTTGCTTGATTTGCTGAGAAGTACATACACAGATTCGGAGACGCTCAATGAGTTCACGGCGACGGTCGAGTTCAGGCCGTCGGGGAGCGCTGAGAGTCGGTGGGATGAGGAGGAGGAGACGATGGAGATGGGGGCGATAAAGCATAGTCAGAGTGTTCTGGAGGCGAGGCCCACGACAACGAAGGGTGCGCAGAGCTTGACGGGACCGGCTCTCAGCTGGGAACCGACGCATAGTCAGGCGTGTATGGCGTACAAGCGGGAGAGCCCGTGTCTTCGCCACGGGTGCCTCAGATAGCGCGGCTTTACGGACGCCCACCTTTACTTGTAACCTCAGATGAATATAAGCCTTCATCCAACGACCGTGGGTTATATTGGCCTTACTGTACTGGCCGTCTATCACTTGCCATGTGCTTTTCTGTCCCGCCCGTTTGTACGCAGAGCATACGAATAATCGGCCTTACTCCCGTCGACGTACTCTGACGGAATAGCCTTATTTTGATGGCCAGGCCAACAGTCTTGACAGCCGCACTCCGCCATCGTGGCTGTCGCGCTTTGAGAGCCGGCGTGAATTACGCGTGATCACGCTTTTCTTTGAGGCTGGCAGAGCATGACAGCCTACGCGGACCCAGGACAGTCTGCGGTCTCAGCCTTACTCTCAACGGTCGGCTGATCAAGCCGCCTCGATGGTCCTGTCCGCACGTATATGCAAGCAATCAGGAATCCCGAGTTAGTTGTGTTGCCTTCGCCACCGTACCCGTACGTCATTCGAGGCTGTAGAAAGAGGTCAATGTCATCTGCCTTACTGCTAGTCAAGATGTTGTAAGGCATGAGCCTTACTTCCATCGCGCGGATTGGCCGATGTATAGACGCGTGAAGGCAGCACTGAGCGCGCCAGCAGACGCATCCCCGGCTTTGAGGCAGTTTCGCTTCGAAGACGGGACGTGGTACTGTGCAAAATGGTGGTCTTCACCAGTAGGGCATGTCAGTCGCAAAAGCTGTGCCTTCGTCCTGCCCGGTGCCGTCAAGACGGAAGGCAGCTACCTCACGGTGTGGGTCCGCACCGCAGGCCACGGCTTGACAGGAACTAATCAGCCTTACTCGCAGGCAGGCACGATAAGGGCGACGCTGTATTAGGCGGTACCGAGGAGTACAGATGGCGCCAGCAGGCCGGCATGACGGGCGGACACAACTTATGTGCGCGCCGCTTGTCGCCACGTGCTGGATTGATGGGGGCCGGCCCCAGCTGCTGCTCCTTTATATTGCAGATGATCGGACGGAGCCGACGCAGAGCTGAGTTAGGCTTGCGAGTGGGAAAGGCCGAGATTATTGCTAATTCATCCTGAATGTACTCACAACATCGTGTACCGCCGGAAACAGAGAAGTACGAGGTAGCGTAGCTACAGTCATGAAGCCTTTTCCAGTTATACAGCATTTTACAGTCATACAGCCTTCTACAGTCACACAGTCTATTACTGCGTCGCAGCTAAGACTTGCCGTGCTACCTGCACTCAGTGCCCGGTGACTTCCGAGGAAAGAGGTTATTGACTCTGAAAGAGCGCGACGCGCGTACCCAACAGTCGCAAGCAGTGTCATTCAGACAAGTTGGATCTCGAGATGCGTGATAGAAGGAAAGATACGCTTTGACTCTCTTTGACGGCGTCGGGTGGCAGGAGCGCTGATGGCGACTGTTGTTGGTTGTTGATACGGGAGGTACCGCTGGACCTACTCACATCAGCACGAGCAAACAGACGCGTACTTCTTGCCCTAACCCTGACCGCGGCTCCTATCTGAATATCTCTTCCCTCCTTCCCAACGACTTCGAACTTCAGAGAAGGCATAATCATAGGATGCAATAGGTTCGAAAGATATAGGATAGGTCCAAAGGAACGAATAAGATAGGTTCGATGAGAAGGTTGATAAAATATGTTCGTACGAACGTTCTATTTATTTGACAAGTTATACATTTGTACCCTTATTACGACACGGCTATTCAGTACACAAAAAAGCCCAGTACGGACAGGAGAAGAGGTATATGTAAGCCAACAGGGAGAGAGGGATATGTAGTACTACAGTTGGACAAAACACGAGATACTGTGTATGAGATATAAAATATGATGCTGTTCGTAACCAGAGTGAGGAAAGGTAATGAAGCAGAGTACCGGAGGGAAGCAAGTGAGACAATGCTGCGAGCAAAGCATGCGATGGGGGTGCTGATGTACAGTGTAGAGTGATCGTGCGACGGGGCGAACCACCGTGGAAAGCAAGCAAGCGAGACGATGGGGGGAAGGGGAATGTCGTCGGGGACGTCGACGTCTATGCTGGCCCTTTTCGCGCCGCGCCCGCAGCAGCGACCGACGCCGTTCACGCCTCGAGGCTAACCGCGCGGGACAGGCAGCTCGGGGTGTACGACGGGCGCGAGCGCGTGCGGCAGGAGCGCCCGCCCGCGTCGCGGTAGAGCAGCAGCGCGGCGACGACCTTCGCGCGCGTGAGCTTGTCCGCGTTCTGGAAGCCAATGTGGGCGGGCTGGCTCTGCGCGACGTTCGTGATGGGCTGCAGGGGCTCGGACGGGGGCGGGGGAGACGAGCGGGGCGTGGGGGCGGGCGCAGGAGCGGCGGCGGCCTGGACCTTGACCGGGGCCTGCTTGGGCGCGGGCGGGGTGGCCGGGGATGAGGGGCGGCCTGCGCCGCGCGCCCCCGCCGACGGCGGGCCCTGGTATCGGGGAGGGGTAGTGTGTGCGTAAGGCATGTTGGGCGTAGATTGGCGTCGGCCCCGCGGCTGGCGGCCGTTGCCCCAGTTATCGCGCGGGCCGCGGCTGGGCGACGGAGGGCGGGAGGCATACTGCCCCCTCCCATCCCAGCGCGGCATGCGGTTCTCGATCCCCGCGCTGCGCTGCGCCGCCGTCATGTAGGCGGCCTGCGACTGCGGACGGCGGCGACCGTAGTCGACCTTCTGGGGGGCGATCGGGTAGGGCGAGGGGTGCATGTTCATGGGCAGCGCGGGTACGTCCTGGCCCCAGATATCGGTGCTGCCGAAGAGGCCGTTGCCGAGCGACGCTGGCGTCGGGGAGCGAGCGGCCTGCTGCTGGCGTGCAGCGATCCCGGGCGGGCATTGGGGGGTATAGTGGGATGCAGCCCGGTTGGCCGGCCTGACGACCTGCATGTTGAGCACACGGGACCGGGGCGGGGGACGGAAGGCGGGCTGAGCGGCGTAGAGCGTCGAGGAGGGGAGCGACATGATTATAAGATTATGGAATAAGACAAAAAGTGGACAATGGGGACAATGTCGGGAATGAGACGCAGAGGGGCGAGCGAGATCTTGCGGGCGGGAGAGGAGACGGGCAGCGGAGCCAGTGGATATATGTAGCCCTCCCGGCACAGCCACCATTTCAACATCCGGCGCTGGAGTCCGCACTCGGTCCGATGGCAGCTCCTCCTATGTTGCTATTTTATTTTATTTCTTTTGTCTGTTCTAGCCATACGCGTACCGACTCACCGCCTGCCACCCCCAGCACGCCTCCCTGCAGCATGTCCGGCCACGACCAGCACACATACACGCCGTTCATGCACATATGGGGCAAACGCGAACCGATGGTTGCCGTCGGCAGCCCCGCCTTTCGCACGCGGTCCATCACGTGCGCGGACGAAATTTGAACATCGTACTTCCCGAGTTCGCCGCCGCACCCGCGCGACTCGAACCGCCCCCGACCGACAGCTTGTTACCAATGCGATGCGGCCAGCGCTGCACAGTCTCAGACCCAGAGGGAGGATAAGGCGCGAGTAGAGGCGCATGACAGCGGCGAGACCGCTCCAGCTTCCAGAACGTTCCGCCCTTGCCCCGCTGAGGTCACCTGCTGCTCGCACCTGCCGCCTGGGGATAGACCCTTTTCGGGCCACAATGGCCCCGTGCTCGTCCGCGAGGCAGATGCGATCAGCGAGAAGGACACGGACAGGGCGGCGCTATTTCCTTCTGCCTATTGTTCTGCGGGGGGAACGTGGCCAGCCAGCGCGCGCACCGCTGCAGTGACTCGCAGCGGCATCTCCCTCCGCCCATCCCTCCCTGCATCCTTCCATTGTGCGCGGTGACGTGTGCGAGCATATGCGCGCGCAAGGGAGGCGCACTCTGCGTCGGGCGTGGGAGCTGCGAGAGCGTGCGCCACCGGTGCGGCTATCATGCCAGGGCGGTGCGTGCCCACCCTAGTCTCAGCCACATCATGTTCGACATCCCTCCCCCATCATAGCTGCCTATCGAACCGAAAGCAACCCTCCTGTCTGGACGCTGCGATGCGGTGTCCAGCAACCAACGAGATTCACCGTCTGACGCCCTCGCTTGACTTTACTCGTCGGCTATCCCCTACCTGTGCGGTTGCTGCTCATAGGGACACCCGAACTCGGAGCCCAGCAAGCGATCTAAACGTATACGGGCATGCCGTGCCCCTCATCAAACACGCACAGGGCACGTTCGGGTGGACTTGACGTTAGTCAGGACTTCGAATCAGCGGAGTGCCACTGGGCTGAATCTGCGAAGGCGCGTCGCCTAGATGGGCGCGGAGGATGGACTGATCTGCCCGCATTGGTCTGAATGGCCATCACCGTCACCCAGAGCGTCCATCTTTCCCCAATGCGTCTGCCTCTCGCGCCGTCCCGCACGGCCGCATACTTCTTCGTCGACTTCCACATACTTCCTCGTCGACTTCCATCCTCCGCGGCGTCTTCTGGGCTGTCTCGTCCTCCGATGACCGTCTTGCTCCTCACGATGGCGTACGGCCTCGGTCTCCTCGTCAACATCCCTTGACCGCCCTGAAGGATGTAGCGCTTTTCATCCACGATGTTGGGCGCACCATCCGCGACCCTTCGATCGACTCCTGCTCAGGTTCCGTCGTCACGGGTCCGCGGACGGTACTAGGCGGATGCCTCCGTCTCTCAGGCCCCATCCCTGCGGCTCCGTCGTCGCGGGGCCGTAAGTCTTGCTCGTCGCGTGTTATCTGATACCCAGCTCGTCCCGCATACGTCTCGCACGTTGCGTGTCCTCTGATATCCAGCTCGTCGCGGGACCACATACGTCTCGCACGGCGTAGCATGACTGTCTCGCTTGCGCTCCCTCCACTCCTCAACGACGACCATCTGCCTCCGCCTCTGCAAGCGGATAAGACTTTGCGGTACCGCGATGTTGCCAAGTTTTCTCGGTACCGTCATCGTCGTCGACGCGATTACACGTGGTCAGTTCGATGTCTTCCAAGGGTCAAGTTGATGTCTGCCAGGGTCAAGTTGATGTCTGCTAGGGTCAAGTCGATGTCTCCCGGGGTCAAGTCGACGTCTCTCAGGGTCAAGTCGACGTCTCCCAAGGTCAAGTCGACGTCTCTCAGGGTCAAGTCGACGTCTCCCAAGGTCAAATCGGGCGTCGCCAGTGCCTTTTGAATTTACGGGAAGTCATCCAATATCTCCTCGACCTTCGATGCCTACGATAACGACACCTTGCGCGCCTTTCCGCGCCCTCTGGCATGCCGCTTCCGTCGAACAATGGTGGTGGATTCCGACGAACGGTGGTGTTGGCTTCCGTCGGACAATGGAGGTGGCTTCCGTCGAACAATGAAGTGGCGCAGGCCGGCAGAATTCGCAGTCTTCTCATCAGGGCTGGTCGTTCTAATCAGGCTTTGGCGTACTAGGGGCAGGGTTTGGCTACCGAGCATCAAGGTCTGTCGTTCCTGGATCAAGTTCGTCGTTCAGGATCAAGCTCTATCGTTCTAGGATCAGGCCTCCACCAGTCCATCGCGCCACCGTATTCACTCGACCACGCACTTGTCTATGTCATCAGACACCGTTGCCGTAAAGCTAGTCCCATCCCGGACCTGCGTGAATTCATCCGAGCTCCTCTCGACTTTGCGTGCGCCCCTTGGCTATGCCGTCACCATCCCCGCCGAATGAATTGATACTTCCCTCCATCCCCACCATCTCGCAACAACTGCGTCCCCGTATGTGTGAGTGCGTCCCCATGTGCGTCGAACATAGGAGAGCCCTGCCCATCGGGGAGTCCCGTCTGACCCTGCAGCGTTCATATCAGCTCTATCTATCCCACGGCATTGAGTGCGTTCCGGGCCCATGAAGGCCGTTGAATGTTCTCCTCAACTGCCATGCGATTGTCCGCCCGCAGCCATTCAGCCTTGTTCGCGGGCAATCACCCGCTTGCAGGATCATGCTTCTCCTCACCTTCTGCAATAGCCTTACTCACCCGGTGCCGTACTTATCCATTCGACGTCGTACTTCCTCATTCCACGCCATCGTACTTCCTCATCCCACGGCATTGTCCTCCGCATCCCGTGTCATTTCCCATACCGTAGATGCCGTACGCTATTCTCATCCTGTACCGTACCAGTCAACCATCCTCATTGTATGTCTGCCTCCGATTCCACTTGATGCGCCGCAGCATTCCACAGAAGTCTACATCGACGTCCAGTCAGTGTAAGTCGGTGTACTGCGTCCTGGGCTAAGTGTATGCTGTGAGTGATCAACGGTGCGTGCATGGAGCGCGGAGGATGCACGCACTGCCGAATACACAGGATGGAACGCATGTTTCGTCGGTCAGCATTTCATGGCGGACTCTGAGGACCGTGGAATGAGAGCGCTTGTCGGACGGAACACATGCTTTGTCGAGCGGGCCTGTACAGCCCATCTCGCACAACGTCCTCGTACAGCCTCGCGTGCAGTGCCCTAGCTAGGGCGACCACCGGACGGAACTGTGGGCTACCCAAGCGCTACCGCATTCTACCGTCCGCAACCCCACGCTATCGTCCGCGCCCCCGGATCCTCATGTTATCACCCGGGGTCACACGGCTGTGCGAAAAGAGTTTCCTGTCATAAAGGTCCGAAACGTGGGAAGCAAGAAGGAAGGCTGGCTTTATGGCCGTAAGTTGCCCGATTAGGAAGGCCTTGTTGTGATGATCCGGGAGAAGCGGGGCGGAGGCAATTGCGGGCTGGCAGGATGCGCTTCGTGAGGCTTCGCGATAATGCGAGTGCGTTCGATAGCAGTTGTGGTGGCGAGGGGAGTCGTCAACGTCGCCGCCGCTTGTGGGGGTTGGCGATGGGGATTGAGGATGAGCTTGAGGATACCGGGAAATGCCAGCGAAGTGACGAGTAAAAATCCAATTGAAAGCGTGCATAAATATGTGCGTACAGACGCGCGACAGAAGCGCCTATGGATACAGGTCTAAATCTATATGTGTATCCTTCCTTTGCAGACATCAATTTTTTTCCCTCCAAGACGTTCTCGAGGAGTCGAGGCGCCGCGCAAGCGACGAAGCAGTATGAAATGGTGCACGAGCGGGTGCCATTGGATGGCATATAAGCTTCTCCTGCTATCAGCCGAGAAGGAGCAAAGAGACGGCGGTCAATGCGCTGTATGGTAATGGGTCAGCAAGCGATCCTTGCGCGCGATAAAACAAAGCTTACGCTGATGAAAAGAACATGAAGGAGTCTAGAATGGAGGTGAGCACGCTCGGCGGAAGGAAATCGATTCAGAATGCTTACATTGGAACAGAAGGAACGCCTGCGATGCGCGTCAGAGGTAGGAGGGTGAACCGATGAATCCAAAGTGCTCACCGAGACCGTGTTCAAATCTGCGTCTGGACCGGCATAGAGAGATGTAACCATGAGTTGGCTGTGAGAGCGTAAGACCAACATGAAGCGGCTGTCAAGCTCCCCACTTACTTTACCAACGCCGGGGTCCCGCTCAGAAACGTTGCCACAAACCGTTCGGCCTTCGCATCCTTGGGAATCATGCCGCCGCCGACCATAGCCTCGACGATGAAGACCCCAGCGACGGGGATGACGATGAGCTTGACAGCCGTGCTGAAGACCATGGCGGGTAGGGGTAGTCGGGAGAGCGGGCGAGGAAGCTTGATGCGTGCGAAGGAGGCGCCGAGGAGGATGAGGCCGGAGGGGACCACGAGTTGACCAAGGAGGGATGCTAGGGAGGAGGGGGACAGATCATATCAGTATGGAAGGACAGAGAAGAGAAGAGAAGTGGGAGAATGCGAGTCGCGTAAGTGATTCACCTGTATCGAGGATGAAGTACAGTGGCGGATTGCCGTCTGGCCCATGCCAGGACGGGTTGCCCGTATTGACGAAAAGCGCCTTCAGCTCGGGGACGAGCGCGCAGGGTAAGGAGATACATATTGTGACCACCGTCGGATGGAAGAGCGCTTCCGCGTAGTGCAGAGTGCGCAGCACCGTCCGAGGTAAGGCACGCTCCCAGAATGTCGTCGGTCCATCTGAGTCCTCCGCCACCGAATGTGACGACGACTCTGCGATGGACTTGTTCGCGACCGACTTCCGTGCAGAGTCAACACTTGCTGAGCGGCTGGCGAGCGATGGTGGTGGTGCGCCGGGTACTGTGCGTGGGCGCTGAAGGTTCACAGATGGCCGTCGCCCGCGCGCAGAGACCGCGGACGAAGACAAGCGTGATGAACGTCGTGCGAGCTGGATATCAGGATCCTCAGCTGCATTCTCAGCGAATGCCTCCTCCGCCTGCGTCACAGGAGCCACATCCAGCGCAGCTGCACCGCGGAGGATGTCCGGTTGGTCTAGTACGCCTCTCTCCACCGTCGAGACGTCCATCTCCTTGCGAGAACCGCTGAATTCCTTCTTCGCGTCCATTTCTTCCACGTGCTTGTGAAGGACGTAACGAGCGATGAGCCTGCCTACTGGCTTCTCGTACCAGGGCACGCGCACGAGCGCAGCCTCGCCTTGAGGTATACCAGGGAGGTAGTCCCACGCAAGGCTACGCGCGGCGCCGATAACCCAGAAGGTTATGTTGTTGACGAGGATGAAGATCGAAATGAACGATATACCGAGCTCGACGTCCGTGGAGGGGTCAAACGGGGATTGCGCCATAAGCGTCACGACGACCGCGGTGGCTGTCGAAGGTGAGGTAGAGCGCAAAAAGCTCGGCAAAGCGGCTTACGAAGATTGCCCCAATTGCTGAGGCCACAAGCGACGAGGATGCCCTGCCAGAAGTTACGCGGGACATAGCAGAGCTCGCGAATGACCAGACCAGAGATGAAGCCCAGTACCTGGTACACGATAGCAAGCAGCGCGAGCGGCCCCATAGCCGATATGTTGCTATTATTGAAAGATGGCACAATGCTGGAGAATATGAGGCCAGGGAGCGACACGTTCAGCATCACTTGCGACAGCCCGCGTGAGGCGGCGGGGGTGAACATGCCCTTCTTCGACACCACGAAGCCCAGGAAAAAGCCGATATACCTGTTCATCGTTCCATGAGTGGGCGACCTGCTGCAGTGGCCGGACCACGTACATCTTGATCAGAGGCATGCAGCCTGCGTAGATGAGGTACCCCGCAGATTGCGCCATCGTGATGGTTATGAGGAAGAGGGGGAACGCGCGGGGGAGGGTGCGGAAGGCGGTTCAGTGGTGTTTTCGTGAGAAAACGAGGCGCATGGGGGCTGCGAACAAGCTGCGACCGAGTCAGAGAGCGAGCAGGAGGCAAGATACGTACGAGAGGGCATGCGATTGTGAGCGGCATTCATTTCAAAACGATCAGAACGCGCTCGGCGATCCTCGGCTTTTGCCATTATCTTATCACTGTACTTTACTCTTTTCAAAGGCGTGTGGGTTGTGGTCTCTCGATGGTCCAGTAGGCCCTCAATCGTCTGGAGACCATGCTAGAGCGCTGACTTGAACGACATCGACAACGGTTGACCTTGCCCGACTCTCGCTTTAGCTGGAATCGGAACAATAGCTGCTTCGTCGCAAGTTGCTTACTTCCGGGCCCACCTCGCGTGACCTCGTCAATTCCGCGAGTGATCCTCCCAAAGGCCCGAGACCACTGCGCCAGGAGACTGATTTCCGGCTAGGACATGGAGTAGGAGATATCTCACCGTCTCGCACTATTCTTGGAGACTAATAGGCAGCTGACTTTAGCCCTTTCGCTTGCCGTCGGCCGTAACGTTTAGGTAGAGTCGGCGGTCGTCGTAGAGCTTAAGCACTGGGAAGGTGCTGGTCCGGCAAGGGAATACTCAGCGTACCATGACGGTTGTAAGGAGGAGTCCGACGTGGCGTCCAGACCGATCAATAGGTGTCAGCAAACGTGATCAATGTGATAGCGCCTGAGAATTACCATAAGCGGTATATATTGGCCGCCAGCTCGATCTAAGGGACGAGCAAACTCTTTTGGACAAAACAGTCGCAAGATGATCAATAGATACTAACTCGCTGGATACATTCGATAAATATACCGAAGCGGATGCCGACGAACGAGACATCCACTGGTCGATGTTCGAGTCGTCGTAGATGAACTCGTAGTTCAGGTAGTGTCCATGACACAGGTCCTGATGGTAATATCCGCCGACCTTCCCATCCTTTGCGCACTGGTCGATGAGCGCCTGCGCCGCGCTATCCGGGTCCGAGCACTGGGGCGTCGGTGATGAAAGTGGGAAGCAGAGTCATCACGGCAGTTCCCGGGGAAGACCAGTGCCACGAATGCAACGGGAAAGTTCGCACGCCAGTCGAGCATTTTTTCGCAAGAACAGTTGACGATACAGATGCGTAAGCGCTACGGATATTGAAGGCAGAAATCACTGTCCAGAGGGGGCTCAGCAATGGAGGTCAAGAGCAAGCTCATCGCGCCCCCACGCGCGGCTCCCTTTGATCACCCACATCACTTGGTCCGTGCTCGCCGTCGCCCACGACGCCCCCACCTCTCCTCACCTCCTCCCCACCTGGTCCGTGCGCCCCTCCCCCCCATAAAACCCATCCCCCGCCACCCGCACACCTCATACTTACCTTGATGGCATCTGCCCCTTCACGTATCTGGGCAGGTGGTGCGCGGGGGTTCTCCATAGCACGGCGACCCTGTCCTCAGGGAAAACCCGCGCATTGTATGGGCTTCGGCTCATGCACCGTCCCAATATTTTCCGGTCCCGCTCCGGCCACTCTGGCTGGGCGGGCTCTTTTGCGTTGGGACGGAAGGGCTGACCCTAACCCTGATGGTGGGCGGGGCGTACCGAGGAACAATGGATGTAGCTGTATTTGGTAGTCATTCAGTCGCTGTAGATAACACAATGAATGCAATCACTCCTTCGCCTCAAGACTCAGTCGTTTGCTGAGAATCCCGCAACAGTCATTCAAGCAGACCGCAGCGCGGAAGAAAGCACAGTATATTGCATTACAGATGGCCTCGCGCTCAAGCGTTTTTCACCATGGCGAAGTCCCGAAAGAGTACATACTGGTCGACCGGCGTTGCCCACTCTTCCTCGTGCCCGCCAAAGAAAGTGCTGAAAAACGTCAGCACGAATCAACTCAAGGCGAAAGGAGCCAAAACACACCTAAAGAACAACCCCCTAAAGCGCGCCAGATGCGGCGAAGCTTGGCCTTCGTCATCAGGACCATCCTCGCCGTCCTGCGCACCGGCTTGCAAGCCGAGGAAGCCGAGGCCGTCGTCAGTGGTCGTCGTTGGTGCTACCGACTCTACACTGGTTATCGTTGGCGAGGGCGCCGATGTAATCAAGGGCGTCCCAGACGTAGACACCCCCCAAGGCACTTGCGCGCCCGCCGTACCCATCAATGCACCAGCAGCCGCGCCCGTCTGCTGCCCTTCTTCGCCTGGACTGTACGTGCCCGATGGCTCCCCTGGACCGTACATCCCCGATGGCTCTCCTGGGACTTCCGTTCTCGTGGGCGAGGAGACCACCGTCGTACTGATCGGAATCGCCACGTTCGTCCCAAGACTCGCGAGCAGATCGTCGTCGTCAGTTCCCCACGGAAGCGAGTCGCCCTCGCCGTCGTCGTCGGCGCCGCCAAGAAGGTTTTGTGCGCCGTATGTGTCGCTGGCTTGCGCACTGTTTGCATCGCTAACGATCGCAGAAGTACCCCCAGAGACGGAGTCAACCGCGCTCTCAGAGACGAAGCCAACCGGCGCATCCCCATCGCCCTCCTGCTGCCCGAGAATACCTAACAATCCGCCATCATCAGGATCGTCCACGGGTGCCGCGGTCGGCGTCGGCTTATGCTTCGTCGAGGTCGGCTTCGCTTTCTTCGATGTTGCCTTGGGCTTCTTCGTCGTCGTCGCGGTCGTCCCCGCCACATCCGGCACCGCAGCCGCCCTGATCCCCGTGCCCCTATAATACACATCGCTCCTCTGCACCACACGTACGCCATTCACATCGAGCGCGAACCCGCCATCGGCCTTCCCGGGTGTGTTGAGCGCGACCGTTTGCGAGACGGTCGTCCACTGCCCGGCGGGGAAGCGGAAGGCGCCGCGGCCGATGGAGAGGCCGTAGGCGGCGTCGCAGACGGAGTGCGGGTCGGCGCAGAGCGCGGCGGGTTGTTTGTCTTTGGGGGCATACTGGGAGAGAGTGTCAGACGAAAGGCGTTGCAAACAGTGAAAGCAAGCGATGGAAGGCAGGAAGTACGTACCAGATACAACTCCCCCACCCCTCCCTTCCGCCACATGAGTCGCGTGCTGAAGCAGTCCTCGGCGGGATCGCCGCCCGAGCAGCCGTCGCGGCCGCCGTAGAGGCCCGGGAGCTTGCCGCCGAGGACCCAGTCGAAGGTGGAGGGGAAGAAGACGGAGTAGGTGAGGGTGACGGAGGACGCGTTGCTGAGATCGAGCGGGGCGGCGTAGAATTCGGCCCCTCCGAGAGGGCGCGCGGCGGGGTTGATGGAGTCGGCGGGGTAGAGGAGTTGGAGGGCGGTGCGAGAGGAGTCGGTCAAGTCTGGTGAGGTGGAGTTCGAGGAGTCGTCTGAGGAGAGGAGGGAGAAGCCGTCGTCGTCGTCGTCGACATCGGGGGTTGACGAGGCCGCAGGCGCAGAGAGCGGCGGGAGGGTGGCGACGCGAACGTTGGCAGAGCCGGCGGCGAAGTGGGTGATATTGAAGGCCGAGAGATCGGTCATCTGCGCAGGTGCAGTCCAGGAGGTCGGTGCAGGAGCTTCCACTGTTGGCGACGAAGGCGGAGGCGGAGGCGGCGGGGGTGGAAGCACGAAAGGCTGACCAGCAGCATCGGAGGCGACAGGTGGGGACGGTGAAGGCGCTCCCGGGGCGAAGACGAAGGGCGAGTCGGGGACGGGGGCGGCCAGCGCAGCATCAAGAGTAGCAAGAGCAATGAGGAAGGCGGCGAGCATAGATAGGGTCGACCAGCGAGAACGGGACCTGCCCGTGAAAAGTACAATGGGCGTGAGAGGGAAGGAGCGCGCGGCAATCCCCGCGGGGATTTCTGGCACGTGAGGGTGATCCTGCCACGGTCACGCGGTTCGACGCGTCACAACAATTCCTCGAGAATTGCTTGTTTGCTCTTCCCGTCATCTTCTAGGACGCGCGTCCTATTGCGGTTCTGAACAGAAAAGCTCATACAGAATATACGCATTGCGCGCAAGCTCCAGGAATGTAATTCACTGAACACCCGGCGCCCTCTAATGCGCCTACACCCAGCCTATTGTTTGGTGCGCATACACTGATCTACTCAAAGGAGATATTCTGCTTAAGATCCATTTCTCTTTTCTAGCCGATCATTCTATAGGCAAAATAGACCATCACTGGACGTGCTGGTAATTATGGACAAGGTATGTTCTCTCCGATATTTCGGTCTGATAAATGGGCCGTCGACGTCGATGGATCGATTGGAAAACAACTAAACCAATCATTTTCACTCACAGAAACACTACTCCCCACTGCCAGTGTCTTCCGGCGCACTCCACTGGGGTTGATGATTTATTCAATGGCAAAGGACCCAATCCCCTGACGAATCATCTTCAGGCTCAGACGACCAGGTTACTACAAATTCGAAGAGATCCGACGTCAACTTCCGGGGCCTCCATGCTCGACTTACTCGCCTTAGCCTCAATTTTCGGAAGACACGACAGTCATTGACATTTGTGAGCTACACTTGTGTCTGCTTCTACAAATTCAAGCGTTTGGTCTGCGTGGCCCAAGGCGCGTTTACCAATGACCATCTACAACCGAGAGACCCGGGGAGTATTAACACGTAAGTCCAACTTTGTCTTGTTTTGCCCTTCCGCTGCGCCGCGCTTTGTGGTCAGCGAGTTGTCTGACTTTGGTGGCGAGGCCGCTCTTCTGGTGGAGTGGGTGTCGCGGAGACGGAGGTTACCTTGTATCTCGGTCATTGTTGCTGACGCTCTTTGACAGGTCGCCGAGGTAGCTATTGTCCATTCTTTGGCAAGTCTGAAGAGCAGGCGAGCAAGATTGAAGATTGAGATCGTAGTCCTGCGATGAGGGGGACGACGGATTTCCTGTGAGCTGCGTTTGTGTGTGTATGGTCGTCGCTGATCTTCTACAGTCCCCAAGGTGGGCGACCGACAAGATGATGGCTTCGCTAACAATTTCTACCCTTCGGAGAAAGGGTGAACAACAAACACGCGGCCGGTCTCGAACCCGGATCGATCTAAGCGTGGTAATGCCACGTGCGGGCGTCATGGTCGACAGCACCCTTGCCCGAATCCCCTTGTCACTTGCCATCGTCGTTGACGACGACCAACTTCACCGCCGCCGCTCTCGCCATCGCTGGCGCGCATCGAGCGTCCGCTCCTGTTGCCGCCACCATGTCCAACCCCAGCACGCCCAACCCGTTCGCGCTGTCTATCGGCCACATTCCACCCGAGCTTGTCGGTGAAATCTTTCTGTTTTACCAGGCCGCCATGGAGGCCGACGGCGCGAATCCTCTAATCGCCGCGCTCCCGCTGACCGTCGTGTGCCGTCGCTGGCGCGAGATCGCACTCGCCGAGCAGGCCTTGTGGTCCGCAGCGTTCCTCGGCGCCTCGGCCCGCGAGTCGCTCGCCGCACTCGCCGTATCGCGCTCTGGGCAGCGCCCCCTGCGCGTGCACCTCGCCGGCTCCCGCCTCTCCTACCCGCCCCCTGGCCCGCGCACCCAGCCCGCCCCCGCTTGGGACGCCCTCCTCGCCACGCGCCCGCGCTGGGCCGAGCTCTCCTGCCCGCCCCACCTCCTCGATCTCCTCCTCGCCCCGCCCTCCCAGCTCGCCTCACTCGCCCGCCTCACCCTCGTCGACCCGCACAAGGCCTTCCTCTTCCCCTCCACCCTCGACGGCCTCCGCACCGCGCCCCGCCTGCGTGCCGTCACGCTCAAGGGCATCGCCAACACGCTCGCCGCCCCGCTCCCCTGGGCCCAGCTCACGGACTTTACGGCGGACTATCTGGCGTACGACGGCCTCTTCCGCCTCCTCGCCCTCTGCCCGTCGCTCGAGCGCCTGTCGATCATGGCGCACAAGGCCCCCGTGTCGGGCCTGCGCTTCACGCACGCCCGCCTGCGCGCCCTCGACCTCGCGGCGGCGGACGTGTCGCAGCTCGCGTGCGTGCTCGCGCGCCTCGAGCTGCCTGCGCTCCGCACGCTCGCCCTTCGGCCCGTGGACACCGGCGCGCCGACCTGCATCCCCGATCCCGCACAGCGCCGCATTCGTGCGTTCTTTGAGGTCCACGGCCCGCGGCTGCGCTCCCTCGCGCTCGCGGGCGTCGGCCTGTATCTGCACGTCCTGACGGCGGTGTTCCGCGCCCTCCCCGATCTCCGCAATCTCGCGATCGACGAGGTGCACGGCTGGACGGCGGCGGACGCGCGCGGGCTGCTGCGTCGGCCGGAGCTGTTGCCGAAGTTGGAGAGCTTGACGTACACGTTCGCGATGCAGAACAGCCTGGCGCGATTTGTGGCGGACGTGGTTGACATCGTGAATGTACGTTGGGAGAGGCCGCCGCCGCCACGGTGGGCGCAGCCGTCGCAGGAATCATCGGCACCGCGAGCGACTGTATACAAGACGCCCCGGTCGCCTACGACCCCGCCACCCCCATCCCCCTCACCCTCGCCATCGCCTGCTACAGCCACCGAGTCGCCATCAACGCCCCCTGGCGCCACGCCCGCCTCGCCCTCACCCACTGGGCGCCCGATAACACATCCGAGTACCCCTGTCCCGCAACGCAATAGTCTGGGACCGACAAGTAGTGTCTTGATGGCCGCTGCCGCCGCCAACGCAGCTGCCAGTTCGTCCAATGTATCAGCGCACGAGGATGAAGAGATGCGTAGTCCAGGAAGCTCACGCGACGCTGATGAGGCGCCTGTACGTGCGCCAGGAACGAGGACCCTCACACGACAGACCGGCACGGTGTCTCGGGGTGCTTCGCCTGCGCCGTCCTCGTCCTCCTTGGCGTCCTCAATCAAGCAGCCATCGACGCCGGGGCCGACACGTAGTGTGCAGCTGAGCGCATCCCATACATCGGACGCTATCCCAGGTCCTTCGCTTCTCACATCACCGACGCCCTCGACTTCGCACTCCTCTTCTGCGGATGACCTAGCTCCCAAACCCACCGACGGTCTTGCGACTTCCACCCCTTCAAATCGCCCTTCCACATCCTCTTCGAGCCTCAGCGATCTCACACCTTCGCAAGAGAGTCCATCTACTCCACCTAAACCAAGCGGTCCTACTCCCTTTACTGGCTACTACCCTCACGCACCGCCTCCATCGTTCCACTCTGCTACGCACCCGCGCGCCTTGCGTACGCTGTGTATATCGGGGCAGGGTGGGCTGTGGCATGACACCTCACGAGCCGGGGGCGCACTGCGTGCGCTCAGGGGTGCGAAGGCGGCGGGCCTAGATGTGAGGGTGAGGGTCGGAGGCAGGGTGTGGGTTTAGCATGGAGCGGTGATGTACGACAGCGGTGGTGTCAGACAAGGGGGTCATGGGCGAAGAAATGTTGTGCTTGTAGATTCGGCAGCGATGGTGAGTTGGAACTACTGGTGCCGTCGTACGAGCGCTGACATCACCTTCAGATATCGTTTTGCTATACCCCGAAGAAGGGTCATCTTGACCCGCGCCCTCCCTGAAAGCGATCCCTTTCGCTGACTTACGACGAATAACGCCGGGGCATTCCGTCCTCACACGATGCCGTGCCCCTCCTCACGCCCTTGCATAAACATCGCAAATGGACCGTCCATACTCTCTTGGACTCGTTATGCATCCGTCTATTCTCGCATGGTATCATATATTCAACCCTTTCCTCCACCGAACTCGCTTCCCTCACCCTCATGCCCTCCATCGTCTCCCTCTTCTCGCTCCATCTTCCTTTCATCCCCATCGTCATCCCTGCCCTTTCCTCTCCCATCCACACTCACCTCACCGGCATCGATCTCTGTTTTTCTTTTACTTGCACGTAATTATGCTCTCATCTTCCGCATCATCCCCTCACTCTCACTGTCTTTGCCGATGCGCCTACTGACTGTCTGCGCTATCTTCCATCGTATATATTCCGTCGTAATACTCTGTCTGCATAGGTATCTGATATTTGCATGCTCTGATTTTCCTCTCGAACACAGCGTGAGACTCGCTTCTTTTCGAAGCTCATCTGTGACTGTAGGTATGCCGTCTTCGGTAGGAAACCGTCCTTGCGTTGGTCAGGACCATAGTTCAGAAGAGACGCGCTCGAGCTTTGGAAGTCAGGGGTCAGCGATCGATAGCCATCAGCACGCGCTTCGTGCGTAGACCACCACGAGTCTGCTTGCCTCCTGCCTTCACCTCACGAATTGCCACTAAAGCTCTCCTGCGGGGTTCCAACTATGAGCGGTACTGCGGAAGATGACCAGCATGCCCTTTTCGCTGCAATCGTACGCAGCCATCTGGCAGATGTGACCGAGCTCGCTGCTGAGCGGCGCGCCGCAAAAGCATCGACCTCCGCTAGCGAGCAGACAACTATGTCCTCTTCCAATGCCTCTCCCCCAACTGAAGGGACATCATCATCATCATCGGATGCACCCGCGTCCGAATCGCATGCGCCTGCATCTGGTCGTTCACCTGACTCTGCCCTGGATGAGGATACCCTACTCGCTCTCGAACTCTTCGCCGACGAACTGCAACGCATCTCTGGCTTGCTTGACGACCACGCTCTTGCTCAGCAGCTTGCGCAAGAGGAACAGGAGCAGGCCGAGCGTGGGGCAAGGGAAGCGCTTCAGGTCGCGCATGCGGCGGAAGGTTCGGAAGTCGAAATCAGTCCGGAGGAAACCAGACGACGCGCCGAGCAGCGCTCTGCTGAAGTCGGTCGACTCGCGGACGAGGCTGCGCAGGCGTACCTCAGCGGCTCGGATGAGGCGACGCGTGCGCGCCAGAGGGAGTTCGCGCGGCTGGTGAGGGAGCGGATAGAGGAGCGCGACCGCCAGGATGCGGCGAGGCGCAGCCAGGGCGCGCGAGCGCCTCCGCGGAGGGGATCGTATTATAACCAGACGCCGGCGCGACGACCGACTGCGTCGAGCACCCCGTCGTTCTCCAGGTTTGTTTTGCGTTACTTGAACGATCGAATGAAGCTGACTTATATCTCTGCAGCCTCATCAGTCGGATACCGAATGCATTCTCAACGTTCTGGAATTTTTCGTGAACAACCGACTGTACGGAGTGTGCCTTGACCGCCGAGTCGCGGTGTAGTCTTGTCCTGGTCCTTGTGTGCTGGAAACACCACTCACTGTGCTGGCGACAACTTCCTGCCGCTGTAAAGGCGCGGAAGTCGCCAGGTGATCTATTACCGCGTTCTTCATCATTGCAAGCTCGAACTGTGGAATCAGTATGGGCACTGGGGGTACAGTGTAGTACGTATAATATTGGACAATTGTTAAGTCGACATTGAGAGTCACGGTACTCATGGTGACGACTTGTACGATAGCGCACACAACAGTATGGGATCAATGTTAAGGAAGGTTTGGGGCGTCCTTTGGTTGCATCGCACACCTGTAGCATAGGTTAGAAACACAACTCGATGGTAACGGTTCAGACTGACTGTTTAATGCATTATACTAGGCATAGTAGTGCGCATCGACCTTCGGCATGGTGATCCCGCACTCTGCGCACAGCGAACGAGCTTCCGATCTCGAGCTCGCGAACGCATCAAAAGCCTCCCGACTTGCCGCCTCGAGATTCACGGTCTTGAGCTTGGGTAAAACCGGGAATGCACCGTCTGCATAGCGCAAGCGCTGCAGCAGATCATTCAAGCCGCTTGGCTGGAACCTCATCGCTGTCAAGTCGAGCCAGGTCAGGTTCGTCAACCACTGGAGACACCTGAAGAGGATGTAGTGCTTGTCCTCCATATAAGGATGCACTTTGAGGCGCCGCATATGCGTAGCCGCAGAAGGCACACGGAACAGGTACCTGTCCAGCTCCGCATGCACAGACACGGCGTAACATTCCTCGAACAGCATGTCCTGGATGTTCGGAGCATTGATAAAGGGGAGCAGATGAGCTGCCTGCGCCACGAGCACCAAACGCTTCAGCGAGTACAAGGGCAGTGGGCCTGTCGAAGAATCCAACTGATCGTGGAAGACTTCGACATGCAGTTCGAGGGACCGAAGTGTAGTGCTATACTGTCGGAGACTTGCTAAGAGAGAAGGCATGCGGAGTTTCTTTGCTTTCAATTCCAGCGTTCGCAGGGGAGCTGTAGGCGGTAGGGACGCGTCGAACGCATCCGCGTTAATGGAGGTGAACCTGCTTGCGTTGATGTCGAGATATTGTAGTGACGGCGCATAATTGAGAAATTGAGTTGGCCAAAGCCCAGGGCCAAATCCCTCGAAGGTGATGTGTGCTTCTTTGAGATTCGGGGTTGCGACGGGTTTTAACCGCCTAAATTCCTCGATCCCGCCGGCCCAGTTGATTGTACTCCATTGCGATGCTTGAGGTCGAAGAGCATCAACAAATAATGACATGCCTGCCCAGCCCGGTGATATCTGGAAGTGAAAAAGCCGCATTCGGATGCGAGGGAGATATTGTTCGAGGAATCCGCTCAACATTGCAGGCTTCTGGGGGACCGCCAAGTACATCCAGAGTTGCGGCGTAGTCAGTGCGACGCTTCGCCATGTTCTACAGACACGACCGATGGTTCGTTCAATCTGCGGGCTTATCGTGCGAATATGAGGCCACTGTGACTCTGTCTCGGCGACGACGTAGTCCAGAAGCCACACGAATATCTCTGAGAGGAGTTCGGCCGGCAAACGCTCTACGGGAGAAGTGAGAGAAGTCTTGATGAGACTCGTACTGTGTGTCTCCAGCGTTACAAGCTGAGAGAAGCTGGGGCCATCAGTCTGGCCATCCACTAAGCGCTGAAGTGGCTAGAGGACAATGGGCATTAGCATATGACAGTTCGCTGTCTTGCAGCGGGGCACACACTAGCGCAGACCTCATGGTCACTGATGATTCTTCCTGTGGATGTCAAGTAGGAAGGCGAGTGGCGGTGGGTTCAGCAGAGTGGTCGTGGTGGTTAATGGTCAAGTTGCGTTGGGGTGCACGACCGGTGTTACAATCAACCACGTGAAAACAAACAAAGCCAAGTGCGTGACCCATCGCGTTTATTGTTGATGCCTACACATAACACGGAGAGGCTCTCGCTCGGTCCTTTTACCGTTGCAAGCAGGTCCAAGCTGTTGACAAAAGGCTGTCAACACCTTGTCACCAGAACAAGTCATGAAGAACGCGTGCGCACATTGCCCAAGAGGATCACATCTGGCTTTCCTCCCGTACCGGTACCCCTGCCATTACCCAGACGTTGAGAGCGTGCTGGTCTCCTTGCTTTTGCGCCACCTTCACGGATACCTCAGCGAACATATCATCCGTTCCTCCCAGCGTTGCCCCCGCCTGTACCAGTAGTCGCACAACTTCACCGTGCCCTTGACGCGCGGCCTAAGGTTCACAAGTCAGCCAGCCGTCCAGTTTTGGATCGCATTTACTCACGTAGTACAGCGCCGTATGTCCGAGAGCGTCTCGCAAATGCACCAACGCCCCCGCGTGCAGCAGAGCGTCCACCATCTGCCCATGCCCATTCAGCGCGGCAACATGCAGCGGCGTCCGCCCCACGCCCGGCTCCAGCGCGTTCGCCAGTCCCGCGCCCGTCGTGCCGTACTGGGGCACCTGCGGCGTGTAGTGCGCGCTCTGCGCGGCGTGCACGTCCTCGTCTTTCGGGATCGGCGAGTCCTCGTCGGGGAGCCGCGCCCCCGCCTCTGCGAGGCAGAAGCGCAGGCACTCGGCGTCTCCGCATGCGGCGGCTAGGTGGACGAGGGAGGGCACGAGGACTGCCTCCGTCGCGCCCGCTTCTGCTGCTGTCCAAGACCATGGCGCGCCTGCGTCCTTCGTGTCCCGACCATCCGCATCGGCGTCGGCCGTTACAGTTACCGCAGGCAACGCTCCACCTGGTCGAGCTAGTCTCGCAAAGTGCCCGAGGGCGCGTTGCACGTTCTCGAGCGTACCCGCCAGCCCTCCTGGTTCGCCAGCTATGGCAGGCGCGCCTTCAGGCCGGGTGAGTTCACCACGAAGAGGTGTACGGATCAGCTCCCGGACAGCGGCAGGGGAGAGCTCGGGTTTCGACAAGAGGTAACTGAGCTTGGTTAGAGCACACTGCGTGTCGACTTAGTACTCAAGACGCTCCTCTTCCGAATAGCTCAGCCATGTACCTCTGGAGCTGAAAATCATTGTTTCGTTCAGCGAATCAACCAGCTCGCGAGAACACAGAAGCACTCACACATATCATATCCCGGCACCACCCCCGCCTTCACCAGCGCGATCCCCGTTTCATACGCCGCGCTCACCGAACCCTTCGTGCACTGCGAGATCGCCACGATGACCACACCACGGTCGCAAGCATCACGGATCGCCTGCAGCAAATCCTGCCGATTGGGCGCGTTGCCGGCGCCGAAGGCCTCGAGGACGACGCCCTGGACGGGCGGAGCGCAGAAGACGGAGATCATGGCAGCGGTGATGCCGGGGAAGAGGCGGATGGTGACTGGCGAGGGGATGAGTAGGTGGGAACTGCAGCTATGGCCCAAGTGAGGGAGTTACGCACCGACTTTCGAGCTGAGATCTGTGGGTGTGCGTCATGAGACGAGGCGAGGAAAAAGAAAGTTGGTACATACCCTTGTGAGCCTTGAACCGCCTCAGGCTCGTCTGCCGGATCACGTCATTCCAGTTGACGACGATATCGATGCCAACTGAGTGCGCTTAGTATCAGCGTGCAAGCCTACAATAGGTTTACTGGAGGTCAGCTCACCTTTGACCAAAGGCGCAAAATTCGGGCTGTCAAAAGCAGCGAGCTCATCAGAGGAGACCTTCGTAACGCGATTGCCGCGATATAGGGTATGGTTGAAGTAGAGGCAGCATTCTACAAGGTTTTGAGCCCACTAAGAGCGTGGGACAAGGAAATTACTCACCCGGAATGGTATAATGACCTGCCGTCAGCAGAGCACCCATCAGATTGTCTGTCGCGTCATTCCGTAGCTGGGATAATGGGATTTGTGCGCCGGTCAGGATCTTGTAGCGTCAGTGAGCAAGCGCTCTCCCGTAGAATCGTCACGATCAAATCAGATAAGGACTCTCCAACTTACCACCGTCTTCCCTAGATCTTCAAGCAAAAAGCTGAGCGCACTCGAAGTATACGACATCGTGTCTGTGCCGTGCAGAATAACGAACGCGTCGTAGAGATTGTAGTTCAGCTCGATCTCTGTCGCGATGCGGATCCAGTCTGAGGGCAAGCAGGTTAGCAGGTGTCGACCGCAAGCAGAAATTCGCGCCCGGTATCTCTGCAGGGCCAAGAAGGCGTCGACATAACCCACCTTTCATCTCGATATTACTGCTGTCCAGCAGCGGGTGCCACTACTCATAAGCATTGTCAGCCCATAGTCCACTTTCTCATCCTGAAGATAAACGCCCACCTCCATAATCGCATAACGCATCGCCTTGCGCACCGCCCCGCTCGAGACCACCGTCGCAGGCATGAGCAGACTGGGAAGATGCGCTTCGTAGTAGCCGTCGTCGTCCTCGTCTTGCTTGCCGTTGTCATCTCTCCTGAGATCTTCGCCCGCCTCCGCTTGGTCCCTCGTGTCTGGCTTCACTCTCTTCTGCGGCGGCGTGGGCGCCGCGCCGACGATCGGCCTCTTCGACCGCACGCGAAGGGTGGGGCCGTCAAGCGCGCGGGCGTTGGCAGATGTTGGCGATTGGGGTGGCTATGGAAATGCGTGTCAGAATGAGGATGAGTTGTATAAGAAAGATAGTACAAAAGCGGATACTCACAGACGGCTGCACGGGCGATGCGCGCCCGCTCCATGTTCGGAAGCCTTCGACGCTTGCTGCGTGCGAGAATAGCGAGTCTTGAAGCGGGTCGTGGAAGCGCGCCTGGCTATTGAGTTGATTCAGTCAATACTTCCAGCTCTGTAGATGGCATTCGCTTATATTCCTGTAAATATATGGGGCGGTCATGTAAAGGTTCAAGCTCGCCAACATGAGGCGCAACAGATCGCCAAGGGCGCGTCTTCGCGGAGAGTAACCAGATAGAAAGATTACTCACCTCCGTAGAGTCTGCGTCAGGAAGGCGGGTTCGGGCACGAATCCGTGCGCGCCAGTGAGCATACCGATTGTGCCACCGGTGTAGATGACGAGAACTTTGGACTCCATGTACTCCAGAGCGTTGACTGGTCGTCTAGATATTTTTGTGCAGCCTCAGGTATATCTTGCGGAGATGTCTCCGGCTTGACTTGTATATTCTGCGAGCAATCGGCCGAGCGCAGGTACGTTTAGAGAGCAAGGAATACAGTTCTAGGCGGGTGAGTTCAAGTTTCAAGAGAGGCGAGGCTTCAGAGTTGACAACAGAGAGCTTGTGAAGACCAAGCAGAAGCTGAACACGGCGGTTGAAGGCAACATAGACACCGAAAACCGCGTGGGCGACGGCAGCTGGGGTTTGCCGCCGCCGCTTCCGATCATTGTCATTCAGCGTTACCGTTACGAGCGTCACACTCCGTGTTCGACTTTCTACAGGCAGTAATGTTCATTAGGATGGAGGGAATCTATGGCTAGCGCTACATAGTCGTGAGTAGAAGCACAGAGTTACGAGAGGTAGCAGAAAGAACACGACGAATATAACAGAACCATTCAATCCGACGACGAATCCTCGTCCGATGTGCTCGTCACGCTAGCGAGATGTCGACTGCTCGTCCGCGAGTGTGCCCTGCTACCAGCGCGGCTTCCAGTCGCAGACAGCGTAGACCTGCTCGTCGTGCGCGGTTCTCCAGCCCTGCTGCCCGCACGCGACGCACCCGCATGCGACCCCGCGCGACTGCCCGCCTCCGACGCGCGGCTCTCGCGGATCCTCGCCAGCCGCTCCTCGCGCTCCTCCCTCTCCCGCGCCTCCTCCTCAATCCTCCGCGACACCGCCTCGTGCGCCTCCATCTCCGCGCGCAGCGGCTGCGCGCACTTGAGGATGAACACCGCCGGCAGGCCCGCCGTCCTTTGCGTGTTCGCCTCGATCTCCAGGCCGCCGAACATCCGGTTCGCGCCCAGGAAGTCGAACCGGCGCATGCCCTCCCCCAGCGCGCCGCCGACCACGCCCGGCGCGGGCGCGCGGTTCCCCGCGTACGCGCGCGCCACCGCGTGCCGCTCCGCGCGCGAGAGCGCCTCGTAGTCCGACCGGCCCGTGAACTTGTACATGTCCTCCTTGATCGCCTCGATCACCTCCCCGCACGTCACGCCGAGCGCGGGGTCCGCCGCGCGCACGGTGATCGTCCACGCGGTCTTGTCCGGGATGAGGCGCAGCTCGGAGAGGCGGGGGAAGGTCGCGGGGTCGTTGCGGCCGCGCATCCAGGACTCGTTAGGGCGGTCGATCGATTTTTGGCAGTGGGAGGTGGGGAAGGTCATGTTCCAGCGGAGGTGGGGGCGGTCAGCGGGGTCGTCGGGGGGTGGCTGGAGGAGGGGGTGGAGCTCGAGGGTGGCGTTGGTCACTTTGAGGAGGAGGGGGTTGAGCACGGGGCCATCTGGAGGAGGTCTGATCAGTGGTCGAAGGCATGAGAGGAGGTAGTACAACGCACAATGGGGCCCTGGCGCGAACTTGTCTACTCGGTCTCCAGTGTGCCCTCGTGGGGCTGCTGGAGGGCCCGGTGCAGGAGGTATCGGTGGCGGGGGCATCACTGGGGCGGGCCCGCCAGCCCAAGGCGTCCCAGGTGGCGGACCTCCATATGGATCATGCGGGAACGCACCATACGGCGCAGCCGGTGTCGCGCCCCACGATCCACCATAGGGCGTGTACGCAGAGCCCATCGGCTGCGCGCGATACCCATACCCTCCCGCATGCGGTGGCGGAGCAGCCGGCGGTGGAGGTGCGCCCCATCCGCCGGGCAAAGGGGGCTGTGCCGCCCATGGCGAGGTGAACGATTGAGGTGGGTATCCGACGTAGTCTTCGCTGACGCCTGGCGGTCGATGGGGACCAGGATCGGCAGACCAACCGTGCGATCGCGGGGGCTCGGGAGGCGGCCAGCCCGCGCCCCATCCGCCGCGTGCAGGAGGTGGAGGCCCTGGTGGTGGCTGGCCGTACCCGCCCACGTACGGTGTAGCTGGGGGTGGCGCGCCATACCCGTAGGGAGGATAGCCTGGAGGATACATGGGTGGGGCGGCGGCGGGATAGGCGGCAGGCGTATGCGGTGTCTGTGCCCAGGGTGGTGCTGCGCCTGGTGGTGGACCGCCTGGCGGACCCGGAACGACGGGGGGTAGGGGCGTGTGCTGGGGCGAGGAACCCGGGGTGCTGTCCAGCGGGGGAACGAAGGGAGACGCCATGGCTACTAGTCGCTAGTCGAGGGGTATGGGCTGCTGCGTGTTGTGCGCGACGACGTGAGGGTCCTGTCCTGCGCGCCGTCCGTGTCGTAAGAGCCGGTGCTAGTCGTGATCGCTGGGGCTAGTCGTATGCGTAATCAGTGGCGCCAAGTGCGATCGCTGTCCGCCGCAGCGAGCGGTAGGTGGCGGGCGAAGACAAGCTTCAGATGAGATGAGGCAAGGCAAGCAAGCAGGCCTGCGTCAATAGACGCCCATCACGTGTGCCCTGTGCCCTCAAGGCTCGCTCGCCTGTGTCCGGGACGGGGGAGATCGATATGTGCGCATCGATGGGGTAAATGGGCGCGCCTCTCAAGACGTACGCCGACACGATCGATACACGTGTATCATTCAATTATCGACACGCGAGCCGATGTCACGCCGACAACACGCGTCTGATTATCCCGTGTATCTGTATAGCTTGCTCCGCCTTTGAGTATGGTGGTGTATTGAGTCAGAAAAAGCATATGTACAACGGAAGACATCAGGATGAAGAAAGGAACTCGGACAGGAGACGAGGAGAGATGATGATAATCTCATCACGTGATATGTTGAACTTTCGGCAATGGCCGTGAATGCTGGAAGACCGTCAGGTTTCACGACCTGGCGCGCAATCCAATCTCATTCCCGCAATGCTACTCATTTCTTCCTACATACTCCATTTCAGGAAGCCAGCCTGACGAAGACCGGCAGCTGCGCTGAACCCTCCGGCTCGCTCTTGAGTGCCGGACGCTGTACTGCAGCAGTGCGGACTTTGATGTCGCTAGGGTCGACGGCAAGCTCGAATTCGAACGAGCGGACAAGGACGAATAGGATCGCCTTAATCCTGCCCACAACGTCAGCGTGGAATGAACGGCAAGATGAAGAGGGCTACATACTCTGCAATCGAAAACCTGAATCCGATGCACGCGTGCGGACCGCCAGAGAAGGTGAAGAGATGATTCCAGACTGACGGGACGCTCTTCACTGTGTCAGGAAGAGTCTCCCAGCGTTCTGGTCTGATAAAAGCTGTCAGCGGAAGAGAATGTATCGCCTAAAATGCCGCTCACCGAAACTGGTCCGCATCGTCGCCCCAAATCTCCTTCGCTCGGTGCAGGTTATGTATCGAGAGCATGAATTGCTGGCCTTTTCTCACCCTGGAATCGCATCAGCTCTCATCTTACGGACCCCCACCAATAATCATTATCCACTTACACGATCTGCTCATGCTCCCGCCCCTTCGTATACGTATACGGCCTCGCTAGCGGCACCACATCGTCCCTCGTTGCCACACGCGCCGTCCACGGTACGGGCGCATAGAAGCGCAACACCTCCTTGACGAACATATCAAGATAGGGCAGCGAGTTGAGCTCGTCGAGGCTGGGCGCATCGTTGTCGAGAGCGTGTAGCTCATCGCGCAGGCGGTTCTGTATAGCGAGATCTTGCGTGAGGTGGTAGATCGCCCATGTCGTGGCCGTTGCAGTGGTTTCGTGCCCGGCTACGAGGAAAGTAGGGACCTCTATAAAAAGGGAGATCAAAATTGTGTAGCTGAGATAGATCTGATCTACTCACGCGCGAGCACGTCCTCATCTGACATCCTCTCCTTCGCCGACTCGGCTAGATTGGCGCGCACGAGAAAGGAGAGCAAGTCGCGGGGTCTTCTCTCTCCTTCTTCATCTTTCCAGCCGACCAGCGCTTTTGCCTTCGCCTCCGAAAGTAGCTGACGTCCAATCCTATCCATCGTCGCCCGAGCCGTGCGCAAAGCCTCATCTCCGGGAGCAGGCCAAAAGCGTAGCGCTGGAAAGATGGGTTGGAGGTCTCGCAAGAGACTTCCTGCGCGCTCGAGCCAAGAGCTCTGCTTCCGCGGACCACCGATGAGCGTGGCGAATGCGCGACTGAGCTCGTTTGATTCAGCCTCGCCGTCGAGGGCGTTAAAATCGTAGCCAAAGCCTGAAGAGATACATAAACATCTGGACCACAGGACGTGTATCTCGCGACTGAAGAACTGATATACCTGCTCTGCCGATGACATCAAGCGTCATGAGAGAAAGCTCCCCTAGGACGTTGAGACGAGCTTGTCCTCCTTCATCTGACAGGGAGCGCGTCCATCTGTCGCGCAGCTGCGGATATAGTCAGAGAAGGCATGTCTATACGAATTCACATGCGTACTTTCTCCGCCAAATACAAGAACACTGGTGTCAGCTCGCGGATTTGAGAAGGACCGAAGGCTGGGTTCTGAACGAGGCTTAGCCACCATTACACCGCCTAGCAAGTCATAGTCAAGTCACAAAGTCATAGCACTTACCATGATCTTCCTCTGTAAAGTGCATGCTCAGGTGAGCTTTCTTGCCTTGCAAAAGGAAGAGCGTGAGTCGCACCTGCTGCCGATGCTTCTCGCCCTCAGTGACGAGGACACCGTCGCCAAGAACGCGCGCGAGTCCGAAACGCGCCTCCTCAGGCTTGTGGTAGACTTCGTCACGAGTAACGATATGGTGCAACGCACGAGGGTCGGTGGTCAGGATGCGGGTGGTCTGGAGGGCCTCTTGCTAAGCGTCTCGTCCAGAGAGAAAGGATGAAAATACGCACTCCAGCCGTGCCATAGATACGGAGGACGTGGCCATACTGGCGGAACCACCTATCGAGGGCGTCGGTAGGACTTCGCTAGAGCGTAATTTGAGCGAATGCGTCAAGGATCAGGGAGAGGTCGTACCTCCTCTGCTAGAAGCTCAGTGATATGTCCAAGCAGCCAGTGTCGCAGTGACGGGCGAGGAGGACCTGGGATGGTATCTACCGGAGCGCACAAAGAGCGATAGAATGCCACAGCAGCGCCTACCGCGACACAAGTGATGGTCGACTTGTAGATGTCCAGATCAGCAGCAAGAGCGCTGAGCGCGGTGACCGACTCGTGGATGGAGGCCATCGCTGAAGTCAAGGCTGCACAGAGAATGAGAGCGCGAGAGCTCTGGTCTTATATACCTTAGTTGCTGACGGATATCGCAACCGAGCTGCGTTATGGTCTGCGCGTAGCATACATGCTGAAGGACGGTATTTCGACCATTGCTGATTTGGATCCTGAACCCAAAAGCCAGGTATTGGTCGTCAGTACATGCAGGGATTCTTATGTCGGTATCACAGGAAGATATCATGGCAGCAGAGTTCCCTGTTCGACTACACAAGATGTCAGCGCTTCAACCTCTAGAGTAATGCAGCTGACTGGCACGCTTAGGTGTTACCGAGCAGCCCATAGCAGGCAGATCGCCTTCCCATGGCTGTACTATGAGCCGACTGACGACTGAATTCAAGCTAAACACCTAGTTCTGCGATCCTCCACTGGTCGACGATCAAACAACGTTGCCGACGATGACGGGAAGGAGGAAGGACGAAAAAGGAAGCTGATGATTGCCTTACACTGCGGCAAACAAGCCATCACAAGCCTCGGTGTGATCCGCACGTGGCCTGGACATATAATAATTGGAAGCAAGCGTTCGTTCAAGATCTACCGTTCACGACGTCGTACACAAGACTTGAGCCTACACTGAGATTCGCATTACATATGGAGCATTCATCGACTATTTCCTGTCCAAAGCTACGTCATTCACAACTCCATTCGCTCGCCAGCAAATTCCGCCCATTGCTCAAGCCACGCGCTTGACCAACACCGGAAGATTACCGACGGCCTTCGCATCACCCTTGAGCGCTGGACGGATCACAGCAACATGATGAGACTGGATGTCCTCCTCCTTGACCGCAAGCCGGAACTCGAACGTGCGGACGAGGGTGAAAAGGATGGCCTTCATCCTGAAAATAAAAGGCACGGGTCAGCTCGGCTCTGCAGGCGGTGGACGGACTGCCGAGAACGCACTCTACGACGGAGAACCTCCACCCGATGCACGCGTGCGAGCCGCCGAGGAAGGTGAAGACGTGGCTGAGGAATATGGCCGGGATGTTTTTCAGCATCGCGGCGGAGGACTCGGGCGCCCAGCGCTCCGGCCTGTACGAGTACAAGCGATTTGTGAGACGTGCGCGACACGGGGGATGCCTGGTCACCCACTTGAACACATCGGCGTCCTCGCCCCAGATTTCCTTCGACCGATGCATGCTATGTATCGGCAGCATGAATTCCTGGCCCTTGCGAGCCCTTCACGACACGGTTAGTCAGTGCCTTCTCCCATTGGTCTACCCCGCCATATTACTCACCTAATTTCCGAGCACACATTCCCATGGATATCGATGAACGGCTTCGCCAGCGGCACCACGTCGTCCCTCACGGCCTGGCGCGTCACCCACGGCACCGGGGAGTAGAAGCGCAGCACCTCCTTCGTGAACATGTCCAGGTACTGCAGCGTGTTGAGCTCGTCCATCGTGGGCTCGGCGCCGTCGAAGGTGAGGGTTTGGAGCTCTTCGCGGAGGCGCGACTGGATCCCGAGGTCGAGCGTGAGCTGGTAGATCGCCCACGTCGTCGAGGTCGCGGTCGTCTCGTGCCCGGCGAAGACGAAGGTCGGGACCTCTGCGAAATCCGAGCCATCAGCCACGTATCCTCATCCCACACACGAAAAAGGAAAAAATCCACTCACGCCCCATCACCTCCTCATCCGTCAGCCTGTCCCTCTGCGACTCCGCGAGGTTCGCGCGCACGAGCACGGAGAGCAGATCGCGCGCCTCCGTGCCCGACTTGATCTCGTTCGCCGCCGCGTTCGCCTTCGCCTCCGCAAGCAGGCCGCGCCCGATGCGCTCCATCGTCGCCCGCGCGGCCTGCTCCTGGCCCGACCCGGGCGCGGGGATCCACCGCAAGAGGGGGAAGACGACCTGCAGGTCCTGCCACTTGCGCCCGAAGCGCTCGATGAAGGGCGCGGACTTGGGCGGCACGCTGAAGAACTTGGCGAACGCGCGCGCGAGCTCGGAGGACTCGGCGTCGTCGTCGAGGGCGCCGAAGTCGTAGCCGAAGCCTGTATGTTGTTGGAAGGGGGCGGGTGAGAGGAGAAGGGGGATGGATAGTAGCGGGGTACGCACCGGCCTTTCCGATGACGTCCAGAGTCATCCGCGAGAGCTCGTTGAGGATGTTGAGCTCTGCTTCGCCTCCGTTGGCTGCGATGGCATGGTCCCAGCGGTCTTTGAGCTGTCATGAGATGTCAGACGAAGGTGAACGCTGTTCTCACCAACACACAAACCTTCTCAGAAAGGTCCGCGAAGAAAGGCATCAGCTGACGGATTTGCGCAGGGGCAAAAGCGGGGTTCTGACAAGGAGCGATGGGAAAAGTCAGTATCGCGTCCGTATTCCCAGCCGCTATAGCTGCCGCTCGCGAGCTCTCACCAGAATTCTGCGCTGTTGAAGGAACGGGATTCGATCAGCGTTTTGAGAAAAACCCGTGCTGTTTATAGCGCGTACCTGCTGCCTATGTTTGTGGTCCTCGACGGTCAGAATGCTGTCGCCGAGGGCACGCGATATGGACCAGCGCGTCTCGTCCGACCGGTGCCAGATATCGTCGCGCCCCAAGAGGTGCTGCAAGGCGCGCACGTCCGTGGTCATGATGCGGTCCCTCTGATGAGCGTGTCAGGCCTGGAGTGAGAGCTGTCCGTTAGGGAGAACGACATACCCAAGCGAGGCCGCGAAGACGGACTACATGACCGTACTGCGAAGTCCACTTGTCCAGGCCGTCCGTGACGGTGCGCTGCGCGGTCGTCAGTTCTTGCAACTCCGACGGGGACAGCGCGTACCTCTTCTTCGTTTAGCAGCGCACGGTGACCGACGAGCCAGTTGGGCAGGCCTGGCTGAGGAGGACCAGGAATGTTTCTCGTCGGCGAGGTGAGGGAGCGATAGGCCAGACGAATGGCGAGGAAGACGAAGAACGCGCCGACGACTTTGGGTGAATCGCGGACAAGAACGTCCAAGACGGTGTTGGGAGTATATTGCATGTCGTGTGGCAGGAGACTGAGAGGGTACGAGTTGTTGTACGACAGGCATACTGAGCAACGCGCCTCTTATAGGCCCTCCCCCTGCGGGGTTCGGAGTCCGTGGCGAGAATGAGATAGAGGGTGGCCTGTAGAACGACTGCGGCACCATACAGCACAAAGTGAGCACTGTATGCTGAGAGCAAGCTGACCTTCAACTTTTCGTGAAGGCGGGCCGAGCCTCAAGACCAAAAAAGGGTAGTGAACTCGCACGACGGCATGGCAATGACAACCACTGGGGTTCTTTGTGTTGGCATGGGTCCATATGCAGAAGGTTATGCGCAAGCCCGTATGCTCTGATAGGGAGGCATCAGGCCTCTAAGACGTTGTTTCCCAGAGCACGGGCCGTTTTCAGTCACTGAGCTGATGTACAAGTCGGGCGACGGCGACGCGGAGAAGGACACCGATTCCCAGGTTCTCCATGAGTCGTCTGCGGTTTTGCGGAGATATCAAGAGGGTGCCTGTGAAGCACCTTGGCTTTGAGAGAATAGCAGTGCTTAGGCGTCTGGGCATTGGGGTCATCCGATGAGCAGGTCCAAGGCAGGTCATGGTCAAAAGCAAGAATATATTGAGCGCTAATCACAAGTACAAACAGCTATTCTATTGTTCCTCGGCAGTTCCCGGTTGCCATCAGGGTTAGGGTTGGACCCTTCCTTCCAACGCAAAAGAGCCCGCCCAGCCAGAGTGGCCGGAGCGGGACCGGAAAATATTGGGACGGTGCATGAGCCGAAGCCCATACAATGCGCGGGTTTTCCCTGAGGACAGGGTCGCCGTGCTATGGAGAACCCCCACGCACCACCTGCCCAGATACGTGAAGGGGCAGATGCCATCAAGGTAAGTATGAGTTGTCCAGGTGCGAAGAGATGGGTTTTGTAGGAGAGAAAGGGCGCACGGACCAGGCGATGAGCAGGACGTGGGGGCGTCGTGCGCAACGGCGGCGGCGTGATGCACGGACCAAGTGATGCAGGCGATCGATGAGGGGAGGCGCGCGTGGATGCGCTCTGCGGAGGGCCTTGCTCTTCTCTACCATCCGGTGGTAACCCCTTCATAGCGCATTAGGTTCAGCGTGTTCGACTGTTTGATATCAAGGTCAAAGGACGTCGGATTGCAGGAACTTTGAGACCGAATTTGTGGCACAGGCTCCCTCACCGGCAATCGCCGTACCGACTTCGCTTTCGACTCTCGTCATCGACGTGGGCTTACATCTTGTGACTCTCTTTCCTAGTGATATTGGTGACTGAATAGCTTACAGGAATGCCGCGATGTACACATCTACTGAAGGAACTGCAGGTATCTATTGCCTTGCGACCACTTTCCTTGAAGAGTGCTCCGAGCATGATGGCTCACCTTGTGAAATGGACCGGCATATTCTCCGTGCTGGAGGAGAGTTCCACGATAGACGAAGGTCCTTGCAAGCAGAGTGACGCTATACTCGGGGAGACTTTGCGCACTGGCTACAGAACCGTCGAGAGTTCAGCAGGGAGCACATACTCGGAAGAGAGAAGGATGACGATGGGAATGGGGATTGAGGGCTCGAATCCGTATATATGCCATCAGGCTGTAACGCTTTTCCACATGAGTAGTGCAGAAGTACGTTAAGAAGGCGCTGAGTCAACGGGTTGAACAAAGACATACAGTCGCGCGTACCCAAGGACGACCAGCGCGCACACTGTTCCCCAGCCTGAGGCGGCCCTCTCCTCTCCGTGTGACCGTCGCGCAGCAACATGTATGATAGCAGGTCAAGAAGTCGAGGACGCGTGGCGGCGGCGATGTCGACGAGCAGCGTTCTGGACAAGGTTCCTTCCCCGCGTCCTTCCCCGCCCTTACGAGCGACCCCCATGGAGTCCACGTTGGTCGCGCGAAGGAATGGGTTCATGTGAGCGCTTAGACGTGAAGGCGAGTCTAAGCAGTGTGGTCATGCGAAGCACCTACGCCGGGGTGCAAAATCCGTCTTTGCTATCGCAGCGACCTCGCCTTGGGCCGGGCCAGATGGAACATCAGATGGTATAAGTCTTGACAGGTATCAATCCGAATCTACAAGTTCAGCCTCCTCCCTGTTCCTTGTATCATCCGCCAACATCGCGTCCTTCAACTCGCGACCTAGCGCGGCGGCCACAGGCCATGCGACCGCGTTTCCGATTTGTCGCTGCAGCTGTGGAGGAAGTCAGTCTTTGGAGTCACAGACGAAGGGGACGCACATACCGTATTGATATCGTGCTCGCCCTTGACGGATTTGAAGACGAAGTCGTCGGGGAAGCCTTGGGCGCGGGCGAGTTCGCGTACGGTGATCACGCGGCGGCACTGATATTGACCGTTAGACGAAAGGTCAATAAGTCGGGAAGGGCGGGAGCATACCCAGGGGTTCAGACATCGCGACTGCTTGGCTGTCGGCTTCATTTGCGTAGTGATGGTCATGAAGAGCGCTTTCTCGTCCAGGCGGCCAAAATAGGCTGTGTAAATTGTAAGCGGGTACCACCGTGTAGCGTCGCTTCGAGATGTCCTGACCCTTGTTGAACCCAGCCTGCCCATTGGCTGACATGGGATTGTGCAGCATGAAGGTATGGTGAGCGCGCGGTAGGTCTATGCAGCGATGGGATCAGCAGCCTGAGTCAGGGAACGAAATAAGCCACGTACGCCGCGCGTCTGCATTCGGTTCCATCGGGATGCCCACGACTCTGCACAGATGGCAGTGGGTTAGCACAGCGGCAATGAGGAGCATTCCTGACACACTTCTTCGCCGTTTCCTCGTTAAACTGCGCCGTATAGTGCTGGATATCACCGGTCGCGGGTTTCCGACGTGCATTGGCCTGGAACGTCGTCCGCGGCGCGTGCTCGTACGCATCCTCAGGGCTCACGTAGCCTATGCGTCCGATACCATCTGCTGGGAGCAGCGGGATGCCGTCGTTGACTCTGTGATCAGGTTGTTGTTCCCTACGAGGTCTGTAAGTAGACCGATGGCCTGCATAGCGCGCACGACGGACCAATGAAAGCGTCTAAGGTCACCGATCGCGTCTCCGATTGTCACCGCCTTGTGCGGCGCACGGCCTGCGCCCGGATTGACCGCCTCAATGCGTACAGGGCCCCCAGCGAGCTCTAGTGGCATGCGGATGCTGCCGCATTTCACGGGCAGCGAAGCTAGGTCGTGCGTAGGTTGGGGCAGTTGGGGGAGCGTGCGGCCGCTTCGGGCGGCAACGAGGAAGAAGCGGAGGCGGTCTTGGGGGGCGCCGTAGTGCGCGGCCTGGAGGAGGCTGAAGCGGACTTGGTAGCTGGGAGAGGGTGGGGGTCAGCGTGGAATTTGATGGTGACACGCTCAACGATGGTAAGGAGGATTGTGGGGAGAAAGGATTTAGGCATACCCAAGTTCAGTTAGTATTCGCACGCATAACTTGAGCGGCCCGCCCGAAATAATGGCAGGTCCACCACGCGTCTCGCTCAACTTCGCGTACACGAAGCCGCGCACGTTCTCCAGGAAGACGTATTCGGGCTTGAGGTGCGCGACCCAGGAGAGCACGTTGAGGAAGATGTTGTTCCGCGGGTCGTCTCGTGTGCGATGCCGGTTGACGGAGGAGAAGGATTGGCTAAGGGGGTGTAAGCATTGAGCTTTGGCCAGGTGGTAGTTATAGATGGTGTTTCGAGTTCTGGAGCACTAACCAGGGAAAGCCGGCCGTGATGACACGTATCTGGCCAGGCCGTGGCGGGTCAGGAACCTGCGTCTCGCCGTCCCAGAGCTGCTTGGGAGACGCGTCTACGGCCTTGCGATCGTGTACATGCACGGCATACCGCAGCATCGTGTTGACGCACTGATTGTACACCTTGACATCGGAATGGTTGGCTCTATCATCATTGTCAACACCAAGGCACTCCGAGGTAACTTCGAAGCACGCACTCAATAGTCCGCGCCGCCGACGGAGAGAGCTCGATCGCGTGCGTAATCTTGAGGGTGCCACCACTACCTTCCGCCAACGCTGAACCGAACGCGCCGACGCCCGCGCAGAGGTCGAGCACGGACCGCCGCGTCAATGCGGCCTCTTCACTCTGCGCCTTCTCCAGCTTCTGTTTGCACTTGGTGCACTGTGGCACGTCGAGGGATGCGGATAGCTGGCGTTGACCGTTACGGATTTTACCTAGGGCGACGAAGGTATACGGCGAGGCGCGGATCGAGGGAGGGAGCTTTTCGTAGGTCTTTGTCGAGACGACGAGGCATGATCGAAGGATGTCGTGTTTTGAGATAGAAGTCGGCGGTCCTTCGCTCAGATATACGTCGCGCTGTCGTTGAGGGTCAGAGAAGTTGTATATACGAAGAGAAGTCGGAGAATAACTTACGTCGAAATCGCTCACTTCACCGGACTCTGACCTCAGCAGATCCCGAGCCCGTTGCAAGCGTCGGACCTTGATCCGGGCTCCCTGGATACTTCGTATCTGACCGATATGTGCTGTCCCCTTTGCATCGTCTTGGCCTTTGAAAAGCACGTAGTCGTCACGGTGATAGGGAATTGGGTCCTCGCGCTCGCGGAAAGCACACAGTCTGCAGCAGAATTGCGGCTTTCCATCTCTCGCAGCTGGAGGAGGCCCGAGGAAGTCGTCTCGTGGGATGTCTGAGAAGCTGCCTACGGCGGAATCGTATGCGAATCTGCACCATCGGTCAGTACGCGTCCCCTTTCATATTACTCCGAGGAAATCCTCACCTCAGCCGCCTCTTGCCTGGCTCCGGCTCCACCTCTCCATCCCTCACAATCCCCACAGTACCACAGATATCCTTGGCCCGCACATCGCCTAGACACTTCTCCGTCGCAAAGACCTCCCTCGTTCCGCCCAGCTCATTCATCATTGTCTCGCGCGCGGGAGCGTACAACTGCAGGTGGACCCGCCCTTTGGGGCGGTCGATGAACAGGATGCGGGCGAGGGTGAAGAGGTCTTCAGGGGTGACGAGGCGGGCTTTGAGTGATTCGCGTGTGGGCATGTCGGCGCGTTTGTGCTTTGGGGTGAGGATGGTGTCGCCGACCTAGGTGTGTGTGTGTGTGTGGCGACGTCAGCTAGAAGTGGAAGGAGGAAGAAAGCACGAGCGCACCTTGTACTCCTTGTCGCCAATTTTAACAGAATGCGGATGTCGTTCTGTGTTACTCGAATATGTGATAGCCCGCGTCGAGCGCATCCGCTCGAGCGCGCGTATAGCCAGCCTATGCTCCGCCTTCGCCGCGAACACGGGGCACGCGGAGTCCTTACACACGTGGTCCTTGTCCTGCAAGTCAAGCGTGCACACCCGACTCATCTCCGCCGAGCCCCGCGCGCCTAGAATCTCGAGCGCGCCCTGAACGTGCGGTCGGGCGAGCTTAGCGATGAGCGGGAGGACCTGCGTGGTGCTCTGCGCCTCGAGCGCTCGCCGCTCGGGGTCGGGGGCGCGCGCCTTGCGCTCCGTGTGGGTTTGCGTCGGCGGCGGGTGGTGGCGGGCGGGACGCTCTGCTCTATGGATGCCGTCGCGCCGTCGTCTTTGCCGGCCTTTACCGAGGATCTGCAAGACGAGGTCCGCGAATTGCAAGTCCTCTTCGAACGCCTCTTCTTCTATCATCGTCGCCTAAATTGTTGGAAGGGAAACTCGGTCACCAGAGTGCCCTCAAGGAGGTGTCCGCACTCACCGCCTCCTTCAGGTCGTCCTTCGTGAAGACATGGCCGAACTCTTCCTCCTTTGCGAGTTTTTCCTCGATGAATTCCTCGAGCGAGAGGTCAGGATTCGAGAGGACGAGTTGTGTGATGCGGCGCGGGATGAAGAACTTGAGGTATTCGGGAGTGTACTTGGGCGTGGGTGCGCGAAGGATATACCATGCGTAGAGGGTCTGTATCCATATTCGGCTGTCCGGGCGTCAGAATTCAGGACCGCAAAATGGATAGAATGACAAGTGATGGGAGAGTGAATGGAGAGTGGACAATCAACCCGTGAGGCCGAATGAACCTGATACGCACGGGCAAGTGCCACGCTACGAACAACACGCGCCTCTTCGTGGTGCAGGCGCTACGACGTCCATCGCATTCACTTGTATCTGCTACGATAAGTCAGCGGCGACAACCGTTTGCTCACCTGTCTTCCTCCGCCACGGGGTCCCACCATATCTTGACGATAGCCGTGATGTGCGCGTATGTTCGAGAAGACATCATGCCCTTCCCTGGCTGAGATGGACCCGGCCCGTCATCGGTAGTGACAGAGCTCGAGTATCCTCCTCCCTCCTCTTCGTCTTCATCCTCGCTATCGTCCTCGTCTTCGTCGACCAGCACCGGCCATATGTACCCAGCCGCTTCGAACTGGTAGTCATTATCGTCGCTCTCGAGGTCTGCCAGGTTGCGGAATTCACCGTGACGCGGGTCGTAGATGGTAAACGAGTCCAGGTATCGCACAGGCTTGGTGTCGGCTTCGAGTCCCGCTTCGAGTTCGCCGGGGAGGCGGAGTTCAGCTGTTTCTTCAGTACAGCCTGGTGGCAAGGTAAAGTCGGGACTGTTAGGTCGCGTTCTTTTTCTCGACTGTTGGTAATCAGCGGTATTTGCGTGACTAGGAGGGTATGCCTACCTGTGAGTCTTGAGAGGGTTGTGTATTCGAGCGCTTTCTTGATAGGTTTGAGCCAGACGCTGAAGGACCTACGGTGGACTGAGACGCGCTGCGCGAGCCTTGGGAGCTTGTTCCAAGGAGAGTATGCGCTGAAGATGATGGAGGACTAGGCTCTTCTCCTCCGATTTGAGTAGTCTTCCACGCCATGACTCTCTGGGTTGGCTAGGTTTATGATCGTCGTGCTTCACAAGATTGGGTGATAAGCAAGAAGAACAAGTCAAAGCTATTCCATCACAAATTCGAGTAAATCATGACAGAGCAGAGGCTCAGCAGCAAAAGCTCACCTTGTCGAAGATGAAGTTCAAGTTCAAGAGGCGCGTATGCGCTCCTTCCCACGGTTGTTTGTGGAGGCTCGGAACGCGGTCACATGAGATACTTCTCACGGTTGAACTTGTCGCATCGCTGGGCGTTGCGCGACTGTATCAACCATTTCTACGTACAGTGAAAGCATAGAGCAAGGTAGAAAGAGGCGGTTTGTCGTACAGTCAGACTCATCAACGAGGCTGAGGTACTCGTGTCGTTCCTACACTTGGATGCACGGCGACACCCACAGCGGGTCTATGGGAAGCCTATGATCGACGGTTTGGGCTGAAAAGAACCTGATTTGAGCCATACATGAAAGCGCTTGGGTGCAGGTGATAAGTTTGAAGTGAGGCATGCATGTAGAAGACAGTAGTCTGCTTTAGGATAAACCTCTTGCAGGGCTTTCGAGGTCTGCTTTAGACTTGAGCAGGTACGAGCTTCACATAGTAGTATGGCTGATTATTGAGGCGAAGACAAGAAGAAATATGCATGTACAGCCGACGCCAGCCACTATGTATTCAGCGGGGTCCACTCGAGTTTGTCGGCGTTCTTGCTGAATACTGACTTCGGGCGTTCGATAGATCAAGGCGCTCTCGAGGTACAGAGAACTCTTCGTTTGACAACGGGAACGGCATTGGCTGCCTCGATATGTAGCGCCTCTAGACTCCGATCTAGAGAGTGTGAAAGATCTTTCGAAGGTGGCGGCGGAAAGCAAGGCGCACACCTGCCATCACTTCTCTCCTCCCACCAACATTGCGGTCCCCACGCAGACATCCATCCCTTGGACACCACCTCTACCTCATTTCTTGCCCTCAGTTGGCCGACTCTCGCATCACTCCGCCATGGACAGCGCCTACAAGGCCGACAAGGAGGCCTTTGTCTCTGGCCTCACCGGCAGCACCGTCGGCCACATCAATGCCATCTCCCTGCTCGTCGCCTTCGTGCGTGCCCTCTCCCCCTTCCCCTCCCACCCACTAAACTGACCCCAAGCTCTCCGTCGCAGTCCACGCTGGCGTCCAGTCGCGCTTGAATCCACGCCCCGCGCCCCTCCTCTCCTTCGCGATCCTCGTGCTCCCCCTCCTGCTTGGCATGACGCTGCTGGCGAACGCGCCAGGGGTGCTGATTGTGGGGCTGGGCGCGGCGGCGGCTGGGCTGTACGCGAAGGCGCCGAAGGAGCTGGACTCGCCGCTACCGAGCCGATCGCCAGCGCCCTCGGCCGCGTTCTCGACGTCGCCTGCGCGCGTCCCGCCGCTCCCCGCGCTCTCGACCTTCCGCGCGCACATGCTGCTCATGACCATCCTCGCCATCCTCGCGGTCGACTTTCCCGTCTTCCCGCGCGAGCTCGCAAAGTGCGAGACGTACGGGGTGTCGCTGGTGCGTGCAGCCTACCCTTTCCTGCATCGAGTACTGAACCCAGCCCAGATGGACGTCGGCGTCGGCTCCTTCGTCTTTGCTGCAGGCATAGTCTCCGCACTACCCATCCTCAAGGATCCCACCTACCTCCGCGCGCCCACGCCCCCCAAAGTCCTCTCCGTCGCGCGCAAGGCAGCGCCGATCATCGCCCTCGGCCTCGTGCGCGTCGCGCTGGTCAAGGGGACTGAATATCCCGTGTCGTAGTGTGCTTGCTTGTCTCGAATCATGCGCATGCTGACCTACACGCAGGAACACGTCACGGAGTATGGCGTACATTGGAACTTCTTCATCACGTTAGCGGTCGTGCCGGTGCTACAAGTCTTGTTGCACCCGGTGATCGCGCGCGGCGCGTCGGTATCGTGGTTGGCGGTGCTCGTAGGGATGAGTGCGTGCTACAGCGTCTTCATCTTCGCCCGTACTTATCTCGTACCGCAGCTCAACAAGCTCTCCTTACTGTCGGCGGCTTGGACCGATATGTACTCTACGCCCCAAGAGCGACTTTGTTAAGCCAGAACAAGGAGGGGATTGTGTCTTTGCTAGGTATGTACGCTGTATACAGCGTACCTTATGTCTAGTGACCGACATTGTAGGCTACCTCTCCCTCCACCTCCTCGGCCTCGCGACTGGCACGCTCATCCTCCCACCCTCGCCCTCGTACTTCCGCCGGATGCAGCGCGCGCCATTGAGTGACCCACCCAGCGCTACCCACTCGAAGAAGGACGACGATGCCGCTCGGAAATCATACGACAGTGCTGCCCCGTTCACAAGCGGGACGAACGACAAGCCCCTCCCACCACTGTCGCTCCCACGCGAGGACGACAAGACGGCGACGGAGCTGTTCGGGTACACGCTCCTGTGGTGGGCGCTGTTCTACATTGCCAGATACTTCAAGGTCGGTGGGCAGGACGTGTCGAGAAGAATGGTCAACCTCCCCTACATCCTCTGGGTCGCCGCCTACAACACTACTGCCCTCCTCGGCTATTTCGCCCTCGACCTACTGTTCTTTCCCCGCCTGGAGCGTTATGACCCGACGTCGGGGCTTAAGCGCTCGCCGGGTGCGGGTGCGGGTGCGAAGGCATATGCGCAAGCGCGAGCCCCTGCGCTGCTCGAAGCGATCAATAAGAACGGGCTGGCGTTGTTCTTGTTGGTAAGTAGTTGTTGCTGTAGGCGCGGGTGATGCGAGTGATGCGGGTGATGCGGGTGTGTTTGTATACTGTGTTCGGACGGGATTCGCATTCGCGTCTCTCCTCCCTTGCCCACCCTGTCTCGTCGTCCTCGCCTGCCCATCCCTGTCTCTTCTTCCTCGCCCGCCCTTTGGAGCCCTGCTGACGTTCACCTCCAGGCCAACCTCCTCACCGGGGCCATCAACCTGACGACGCAGACGATGTACGCGTCGAATACGAAGGCCATGGTCATCCTGACCGCGTATGCGGGGGTCGTGTGCTGGGTCGCGTGGGCGGTCAGGGGTAGGAGGGTGGTGAAGTTGTGAGTAATGTACGGTGCGCTGAATAGGGTAGTGAAAGCAATTGATACTCGCCACCTGTGGATTGCACGGACAGAGTACTATATCATTGGTCTTTTCCATGTGTACAACGCGAGAAGAGCTGCGTAGCCAAGGAAAACATACATTCTACTGCGCCATAGGTGGAAGGTAATCGAGTACATGCAAACGCAAATACCCATCCTTGCCACCTGTTACAGCACATAGTCGCGCGGAGACGGGGCAGAGGTCGATATTCCCCAGGTCGAACGACGATTGCCATACGGGGTCCTGACCGTCGAGTACATTAACCACTAAGTCTAGATCTGTTGGGTTGGCAGCTGCGACGCGTCCGCTTGCACTGCGACTCTGCGCGTCTCGGTGCTGCACGTGGATGTGCACGCCGGCTTGATCGTCTGCCATTTCGATGTACGACTGGATTTCGTCGACATCGTCCGGATATTCTTCGTCGTCCTCGTCCTCGTCCGACCCGTCGCCCAACGTCTCGTCGACGAGACCTGAGTAGTCAATGGGACCAGCGCGCGCTTCTGCTTTCCTCCGGTTGTGTGCCTCCATCGAACTATCGACCCAGCCCGAACTGTGTCCCATCCTGACAAGACCTCCGTCGCAAGCGCGCATCGGGCGTATGTGGCAGTGGTCCTTTGAGAGGTCGTATTCGTTGGGGTAAAACTTCGCATCCCCCGCGTCCGAGACTGGTATGATCAGGCTCTGGGGATCGGTAGGAGACTCTGGATGCAGCCGATACCGGCAAAAATGCCCGTGTCGGTCGAGGTGCTGGAGGTCGATGAACTGAGCGCCGTTGGCGCGATGCTGCAAGAAAATCGCATCGCCGCAGGCGTGGGTGTCGGATACCACGAAAATGGGGTCTAGGCGCAGCGGAGAGAGGGAAGAGGAGACGGGAGAAAAAGGTGGGAGCTCGTAGATAAAGAACGCCGCCGAAGACCGGAGGATGAGGCTGTTGCGTGATAGAATGGCCTGCGAAGGGGTAAGCGAAAAGGCCCAGCTGCCCAGCAGACGGGCGTCCACATTAGAGAAAGGCATCGATATACCTCATCGTCATATAGTTTGTCATCGTTCAGAGACCGAATAAGCGCCACCACGTTCAGCTCGAAATCCCACATGCCGAAGACCGTTGAGCCCCTGCCAACGAAGGCTACCTGATTCTTTACGGCATTATAAGATATCGCGCGTAGTTGCTCCGGACCTTCGAAAGTGAGTCTGGAGATCACTTCGCCGGTGGGTGTCGAGGAAAGGTTGCGTATCTTGTACGCTACAAGAGATACCGGACCGACTGGGGTCGCATACCTGAAGCGTATGTCAGCGATGGGTGTAAGCGTTGACGGAACACAGCTTAAGGACGTACACGGTGTCGTGTCGAAGGGATAAGGAAAAGATCACGACTATGTCGTCCCCTCTGATGATGTGCAGGCTTGATATGCAGTGCGCGGGGTCGTGCGTCAAGTCGCGTTTGATCAACGAGACGGATGGCTGGAGCTGCGAGGACTGGCTATATCCTCTCCCAAGGTCAAAGACACGAAACATCTCGGGGGAGTCGACAAGAAGGAAACGTCCTCCCGGAACCAGGGTGACCCCTTTTGCACGACAATCTCGTAGGCTGGGAGGCAAAGGGCTTCCCAGCGTGGTCTGACTACGCGAACGAGGCGAAACTTCCCCCAGGAGAGAAGAAATAGGAGAAGCGCGTCTGAGGCGTTGCATGAGGACTTGCGGTCGTAAGGCGGCATGGCGGAGTTCTTCCATCGACATTGCTCTGAGGTCAAAACTGGGCGCGAAGACGTTGTTCTCGTCGATGACTCGACGCAGAGCGTCAAGCCACACAGCGCGACATGAAGCTCGCTCCCTGACGGTCGTGCTCGTCTGTTAACATCGTAAATGGTTGAATTGTCTACTAAATCATTGCTAGTGCCCACCGAATGCAAGGAAAGGATGTCCAAGGGTTTCAACAAAGATTGGATTTGGATGAGAAGATCCAACGGCAAGCCAGGCAGAGACATATTCTGTATGTTATGTTGGCGTGATCAGAAAAAGGCGCGGGTGAGATGAGCGCCGATGGCGAGAGAGAGTTGAGAATAGGGGCGGACGAATCAGGCAATTGATGGCCGGCTCCGAGGGGTCATGTGATTATCCTCTCACGGTGTAGATTCGAGACGCGCCTACCACATCCGCCTTACCTTGAATGCAACGGGCAGATTGATGGCCAGCCAAACAGTTCTTATTTCTACCGCTTTATTTTGCGGCACTTGCGAAGCTCAAACAGGGACTAACAATGTCATGTGTGCGATAACCTCGGCTCACGCCTCGACCGAAGGAAAGTAATCGAAAACGTTCAGTTCCAGGCGATTCATCGACAGCACTTCCACCGTGAGCAACCTCCCAGACGCGGGGCAAAATTCCACGAACTCCCACCTCCGCTCCCCCCACGCCTCGTGGCTGCGATCCAGGATGCTAGCAATGGAGAGGGGATACTTGCGGTCCAGGCCTTTTTCCAAGTCCCGGTGCTGGACATGGAGAAAGACGTTGGCCTGGTCGTCGTTGGTGGCCTCATCGCTATCAATTGTCCAGTCACTGCCATTGTCTTCCTCGTCCTCGCCCTCGCCGTGCCCGTCCAAATCCTCATCGCGCGCGCGGTACTTGTATCTGATCTCCGAGTCCCTCCACCCCGTGCGATATCCGACCACAAAGACATCATCCGCCCACGCCCGCAGAGGCCTGAGTTGGCAATTCTTCATGTCGTATTTTTGCACGGGGTGCATGCCGACGGGGTACAGCTGCATCCAGGCGGTATCGGGGACGGGCATGAACAATCCACTAGTGGGGTCCGCTTCGAGGCGATAGCGATGGAAGCGGCCGTCGCCTTTGAAGGGATGGAGGTCGAAGAGGTAGGGCCCATTGCTGTCGTGCAGGGGCAAGATCTGACAGGACTTGATGATCGCCTGCGAGTGAAGTACGTCGCGGTAGGCGGGTGCATACACGGGCGGCGCGGTAGTCGGAGCGAATGGGGGTAGATCGTAGACCCCCAGCTTCTTCGCATTGGAGCTTTTCAGAATGACGGTGTTTGGCGTGATGAGGCACTGAAGGTGGCGTTGTGAGCATGTGATATAGACCGTCCTTTCGCGCTCACCTCGATCGACGAGTCTCGACGGGACCAGTCCGGAGGAGTGCGCATAAGCACGACTTCGTCCCGCCTATAGTCCCATACGCCAAAAACGTCAGACTCGCTACCGACGAAGGAGACTCGGTCGGAGCTGAAGGACTTGGGCAATAGCTCACCCGGCCCCTTGAGAGAGTATCTAGCGATCTCTTCTCCGAGGGGTTGATGAGGGAGTCCGCGTATAGCGTACGCCACGAGCGATGTCGGAAGGAATCCACTGTACCATGGTTAGCTGAGGTAACAGGTGCGCAGGATACGTACGTTGCGATGGCTGGAATCGAGAAGAACAAGATGACTTCGTCGCCTTCGACCTTGTGCATACGAAGGACGCAGCGCCCCGGCAAGGTCGGTATATCCTGGTCGTCGTCGGACTTGATCCAGAACATGATGGGCTTCAGAGTCATCTCGGGCTCCTTGCGCTCTGAATCGTCGAGATCGTACACCCGGAACGTACACACCGTATCCAGGAGCAAATACCGTCCGCCTTGCAGCAAGGTCATCTCCCTAGCATTGTCCTGCCTCTGCCTCATCATTCTAAGCAGGAAACCTCTATCCAGCGTGATTTTGCGGTGAGACCGAGGCCACAGGTAGCGAGGGTCGAAGCTCTGCGATGATGGACTCCGGGATTTTATGACCCGCAGCAGAACTTGGTGTCGCAGGGAGGCAGTGCGGAGCGCGCTGACAGACATGGATGCGAGGTCGAAGGTGGGTCCGAAGATGTTGTTCTCCTCGATGGAGTGGCGCAGGGCGTCTCGCCAGACGAGGAGGCCCAGCGTTGGGCTTCTGAGTGTTCTGCAGGTCTATGGAGAGTAAATATCAGCATGGGAAGGAAGTTCTTGAATTTCATCGTGTGGCGCACCGCATGTAACGACAGGATGTCCAGAGGCGTCAGATGCGAGTGGACGAGGACGAGGAGGTCCAGAGGGAGGGTCAGCAGGCTCATGGCCCGTTCCGAGTTTGCCCAGGTGGCTTTCGCCACTCAAGTGACCTGAGTGAGGGCGGGGGGAGGGAATCGATGCGAGAGCCTGCGCAGCTATAAGTAGGGAGCCAACAAAGCAAGCAGTCGGCGACGGAAGCACGGCGATCAACGCTTTCGGCTCCGAAAATCATGTGACGTTGTTTCGCACGGCACAACCAACGCTTGGGATGACTTCCGTGCATATGAGCCCTACTGTTGTACAAGGAGAGCTCAAAAATCTCTATTCCGTGGTATGAGGTAAGGGAATATAGTCAAAGACAACCGCCGTGTCGTAACAGAACGAGACCTGAATCAAGCGACCCGATACCGGGCAGAACGAACATTCTTCCGGTGCGGCGTCGGTATCGAAGTTCCAGGTGCCCTCGCGTCGGTCGACCAAGTCTACGAGGGAGAATACTCGCTCCTTGGTGCCCCCGACCTGATTGTGCCCGGCGATCACCGCTTCGCCATCCCCATGCTCGACGTGTATCGTCACCCGTTCCCGATCTTTCTCTCCAGAATCGGAGTCCGGTTCGATAGCGCGCGTGTGCACCATACTGTCGTCGCACGCGCGTAGAGTTCTCGAGATCGCAGCGCGGCGGCCTGGGCCTTCGCGAGTGGCGTCGAATGTAGACTCTATGACGAGCGAGAAGGAAGCGTTCGGACCGTTTGGTGAGAGTGCGTCGTCTGGAGAGGGCGCGTCTTCTAAGGAGGGCGCGTCGTCCAAGCATGGTATATCGATACGATATCGCACAAGTTTGGCCGGCATCTCACTTTTGTTCTCCAAAAAAGCATCAAATAATGGGACACCGACCGAGCGCTGGTAGACTGCTATGGGTAGCGGATTCAGACCCTCGACAGCCGGAATGATCTGAATAGGCTCCAGAACCGAGTGCTCGAGCGTTTCCGTCGCGAGGGGGCATAGGGGAGGAAGCTCGTACACGAGTAAGCCTCGTCCGTAGTTTCCGACGATGAGGTGATTCCGTTTGATGATACACTGTGTGAGTTGGTCATTAAAGTATGAATGGGGCGCGCGCACTTACCATCGAAGCACGAGGACAACTCCATGAGGCCACTTCGCTGTGAACGTAGTCCCCCACGCCTACTACCTGCGAATTTGGTTCTCCATACATCGTGAAGGAGACCAGATCTCCTTCGAGGCACCATAAACTCAAGTTTGAGTACATAGAGGAGACCTTGAAATCAAGCCGTCCCATGAGCTCGCCATGAGGGGTGTCGGGGAGGCCTTGGACCTTGTAGACTCTCGCGCATGCCCAAAAGTCATCTGTGTTGTCATGCCTGTGAGATCCACCATTAGATATTGTACTGCAGACGAAGCAGTTGAGAGATAACGCACGTTTGCCTCGTCAGAAAAGAGATGAACAGGAGGAGATCACCGCCGCGCGCAACATGAAAGTCCAGGTGGAACCTCAAGGGCCAAGGAGTGGGCAGTGGTTCCAGATCCTTGGTGGTTGTGATGAATATCGGGTCGAGTTCTGGACGTAGTTCTCCCAAGTCGTAGATGTAGATGGTGAAGCTGAGTAAGACGAGCAAGTATCGCCCTCCAGAAACCAGGGAGGCCGCGCTAAACTGATCGGTATACTCGCCGATGTCGATTTCGCGGATGTTTAGCTGGACCTCTTGTCGACGGAGTGGCTTTAGATAGCCGATTTTGTCTTCGGGACAGCTCGATGCGCAGCGTTCGACGCGCTGAAGAAAGACCTGGGGGCGGAGCGCCGCGTACGAGAGTTCAGAGGTAGACATGGTCTGCAGAGAGGGGAAGGTAGGCGCAAAGACGTCGTTCTGCTCAATGACTCGGCGGAGCGCGGCGCGCCACACGGTGCGGCGCAGAGTTGGGTCTCGAAGGGTTTTGCATGTCTAAGAAAAGTGAACAGTGAAGTGTAAGCGGCGGAGATGCAGGTTTGAGCTCAGAGTAACGCACCGATTGCAAGGCCTTGATATCGAGTGGCTTCATGAAGGACTGCACGACGGTGAGGATGTCCATCGGGAGAACGAGTAGGCTGGGGCCTGTAGACCCCGCCTCGATGGTGGTCATTGCTCAGGCAGTCGTGTTGCAGTGATCGTAGAGACCGAGGGAGGGGGAGCTCAATGAAGTCGAGTTCGTTCAGGACGAATTGGAGGCGCGGTCGCCGTTCGTGTCAAAGGGCTAATAGGCGCGCCCGGCGCCAATTCCGGCCCGGCGTTGCCGCTATCGCGTTCCCGACGACGCGTTCCTTCACGCGTCCATCATGGCCTCCCTCTTCAGGGCGTACAAGTGTGTCTCCTGCTTGGCGGAAAACGCATATAAATGACCTCCAAAACCCCAGTGCCGCCCTTCTCAAGCGCCCGATGCTCACGCAATGCCTGACCGCTGCCGTGCTGTTCAGCGGCGGGGACGTCCTCGCGCAGCAGTTTGTGGAGAAGCGGGGGTCGCTGCATGACGTGCGTGCTCGCATTCATCTTTGCAGCTGATGTAGCTGACAGTGAGGCCTAAAGTACACGCGCACCGCGCGCCTGGCGTTCTACGGAGGTGCGCACTAAACTCAAGACTGGCGAATCTCGCTCACTCCAATCCTCCCTTATAGGCGTTTGCTTCGGCCCGCCCATGACGCTTTGGTACCAGTTCCTCAACAGGATCAAGTTTGCGAGCTCAAGGCGGGCGGTGGTCTATCGGGTGCGTAGTACTGCTCACTTGCTATCGTGACCTGTGCTCAGGGACTTCGATACTGCAGGTCTGGCTCGATCAAGCGTTCTTGACGCCGAGTGCGTACCGTCTATATCCTGGCTATATGAGCACGACCTGACTAACCCCCCCTGCAGTCGCCGTCGTCTACTTCTTCAGCATGATGAGCTTGCTCGAGGGCAAGCCGTACGAAGCCCCCGATCGCGTTCGCTCCGTGCGTACTGCTCCTCACTCCGCAATTCGAGCTCTAACCTCTCTTGCTACAGGCCTACGTCCCTACCATTATACGCAACTGGTATGCTGCAGCACAGACCGTCATGATCTCTTTTCTCCACGCTAACACTTCTCAGGGCCGTCTTTATACCGGCCCAAATCATCAACTTCTCCATCGTCCCCCCGCAATTCCGCTTCGCCTACGTGGGCGTCGTCAGCTTGTTCTGGAGTGCGTACTTCACTTGTGCTGCGTCTACACCTTCCTCCGGCCGTTCCCCTGCATCACATCCTCCCTTTTCCTCGTGATTCGTCCTTCCGCGCACGGGCGATCGCCGTCCATCTCCTCGTTCTGCTCCTCTCGTCGTCCGCTATGAGGCACCCACGTCGCATTCGTACTATTCCTTTGAACCGATCGCTGACGCATATATGCTTCCAGACACCTACCTCAGCCTCGCCAACCAGGAGCAGGCGGAGCTAGAAGCACAAGCCGCAGTTAACACGCCTGTAGCGCTCGAATGATATACGACCTTGCGATGAGCGTAGGGACTTGAACAGCGATACTCGGCTGGACTATGCATTCCGGGAAGGTACGTCTATCTAGATGAGGCGACTGCGTTCGCGGCTCGAACTCATGTTTGTGTCCCGACTTGAGAGCATATGCCCCCTTCGGCTCGAGAATCTTATGCCGACCGAGGGGCACGAGGGGACGAGTGCTTGCATAAACTGCGTCTAGGACTAGCTGCTTTCTATGTAGGAGAAATGCATGAGAGTCGCTGGCTCCGGGTTATAGGCGTGGACGCAGCATGCAGGGGCCTCGACGAGCCACCTGCGAGTCATGTGACCGCGCCTCGGTGTCGCCGATCGGATGCACCCCTTTGACCCTTGACACCAACGGCCACTGCATCCCTGATTCGTCTTGTGCGTTTTTCTGACTCGAGCAAAGTGTTTCCTCTCTTCTCTTTTGCGATCACTCTGACGCAGCTGCCTGAACGATGTCTACTGTCGACGCGGGGTCCACGAGCACTGCCGGCATGCTCGTTCTCCCAATGGACGTCCTCATCATCGTGCAGTCCTTCATGAAGCCACTCGACATCCAGGCCCTACAATCGGTGCGCTACTCAGAGCCTTGGTCTGATTCTCCTCCGTACTCAACCGACCACCCACCCCACCTCTCACAGACCTGCAGAGCTTTCCGAGACCCCACGCTGCGCCGCACTGTATGGCGAGAGGCGCTCCGCCGTGTCGTTGAGGAGAACGACGTCTTCGCGCCTACCTTTCCCTCTCTGCAAAGCATGTCTACCTCTGAGCTCTCGTACGCAGCGCTCCGGCCTCAGGTCTTTCTCCGGCGCGTCAGGCGATGCGCGTCGAGCTGCCCCGAGGGCACGATCGGTTATCTGGAGCCACTTCGCCGGAATGAAATTCAGCTATACCTACACGAGCGCGACGAGGAGAATGACCGTCTGCAGGAGTACAACCCGTCCTTCCTGATTCCCGGCGGACGGTATCTGGTCGTCACGCTCGCGTACTACGTCTACATCTACGACCTGAGAAGAGTATGTCCCGCCTACGACCCCGTATTTGCCATTCCCGCCGAGGCGGTGGACACTTTGCAGGGTCCTCACCACAGGAAGTGGGGTGTGTGCTTCTGTATGCCTCGCGGCGATGACCTCTTTCTTTTCATCACCGTCAACATGGAGACCGAGTGCGTGAGTTTTCGCGCTTGTCTAAGTCTGAAGGATTACTAATGGTGATATTCAAGGACAGAGCAGACCCCTTGGGTCTCCGCCGTGGTATACAAAGTTCAAGGCCTTCCCGGTAGCCCTCGTGGCGAGGTTGTCGCACGATTCGATGCCCAGCAATCGTGGTACCCGTGTCTACTCTCTCTAGATAGCGTTGAAGGGGAAAGGGTCAGTTTCACTGTGGCTGCGTCATTTGTGGGCGTGTGGGACTTCGCGCGCAATGAGCTAGCCTCATGGACCTGCTTTGGTGTCGAAAAAGTGTGCACATCTCTTCGGCTGACCTTTTCGTGGCTCACCTCATGCAGTGCATCATCGTGGGGCACAACTTGGTCGTCGTGACCAGGGAATGCGGTATCCTGGTGTACGAAATACCTCCCCTTGAGCCTTTAACGACGGACAGGCTGTACGACTCGGCGTTGGCGCCCATCTACGTTGTCCTACCTCCCGAGAACATGCGCTTGCGTACTATAGCCCTCTGCCACAGTTGGGAGAACGTTCGCTTGTTCGACCTCCGCTTCGGCAAAAGTGGAGCCATGGCGGATACCGTCGTGTGGTATCGCATCGAGCCCCCTCCCCAGGAGAGCCCGAACGATCCCGTCGGACTGGTTGTGGAATCGATTCGTAACCTTGCATGCGAGGGGCCTGGACGTCGGAGTGCATTCGAGCACACCTTGTGCAAGTGCGACGATACAATCATAGACACCCAGTACAAAGAATGTTGTGAAGACGGAGCCAGCCGGGATTCGACGCGCGTGACGATACGCGTGGAGCCATGGAACGGCGAGGGAGAGCAGGGCACGGTTGTTGTGGACCTGATGGACCGAAGTGACCCTTTGTGGACCCGTGAGTCGGACTGCTCCCGAGTTGGACCAGAGGAGTGCACCTTCTGCCCAATCTCCGGTCGTCTGATCCAGATGGCGAAGGACTATGGCGTTGTTGTCATCTTCGATTATGTTCCTTCGCCGTCAGTCGATGACTAGATAGTTTTAAACATGTTAACGACACTTTGGGACTTCCTATATATGCTTTGTATATGTGAATGTTCATTGTCTCCATTTCTAGGATCAAGCGTGCGTCGTACGATGCATACCGCGTGAGGAAAGTGCCTGAGAATAACACAATCCTATGGCCTGAAAGTACGAGTTTGCTGTACAAGCTGAGTGATGTCTATGAGGCAAGGTGGGTGTGGCGAGCGCCCACTAGATATCAACCGTGAGAGAGAAATCACATGATCATTCAGAGCGCGAGTTTGATTTGCCTTTTGGGTTGGCCCCTGTCTTGTCTGCGCCGCTCAGGATCACCGGAACCTTCGCCCGTCTCGTGGACAGTCGAAGGAGGGAATTCCCTGGTCATGGCCCTGCTGAGGCTCCCTTCCGAGCTTCTTGCTCACGTGCAATCGTTTTTGACCCCTTTCAACATCTTTTGCCTGCATTTGGTGCGTCGCCTCGTGTTTGGACGTGGTTCATCGACATCGAACTACCGTACAGACGAGCAATACCATCAGGAAACGAGCCTCTTGTCGCGCTGTGTGGAGAGAGGCACTATGTCGGACCATGGTGGAGAATGATATCTTTGGACCGACATTCGACCAAGCACACATGTCTATCGAAGAACTCCGTTGTGCTGCCCTGCGCCCTCAGCTCTTCCTGAACAGCATTAAAAGCGATTCATCTGACGGTCCTGACTACGGATGGCCTGATTCCACCCGCGAAATCGTGCTGGAGACCGCTTGGAATTTCACCCAGTGGGAGGATCCTGTAAAGGGGCTTCATCTGATTCAGGGAGGCCGATATCTCCTCATGGACACTCACCTTTCCCTCTGTATCTACGACATGGAGGATCCCTTGAACGACGTGGAAAGGCTCGAACCCATTTTCTCGTTGGACAAACACGGCAACAGAGCGGACGACGATCTGAGGCCGTGGCTACCTTTCGGAAGCACCCTTGGAAAATATGCATGTGTTGGAGACGAGATCATTCTCTTCTTCTCCTCTCGTCCCAATCATATGTGCGTGCATACCATGTGTTTTGAGCTCATGCATCGTTGCTAACCCATATCCTAGGACGAACTCGCCAGCATCGCTTCTGGCGTACAAAATCCGAGGCTTTCCCTATGAAGTCACGGGCGAAAAGCTGGCTCAGCTTTCCCTGACAGGGCCGGAGGAACTGAGCCCTCGCTCTTTCTGCGCCACTGACCGTCGACTGGCTTTCGTTGGCCATGGGTCGGAGATCATTGGCGTATGGGACTACGAGCATAATCAGGTCGCGCTGATGAAGGTCTCGGACCGATATGGCCTTGACTGCCTCAATGGGGTAAGCGCCTTCATGAACTTATCTATCACGCTTGCTCAACCTTCGCAGTGCGTCTTGACGCATAATAGCATCATCTTCAAGAACTCTCGAGGCTTTTATACATACGCTATTCCGCCTTTCGCGCCGGCGACGATGCCGCCGCTTCCTTTGAAGCATGAAGTGATGCACTCGATCGAGAGCGGTTGGATTGGGTCTGGCTTTCTCTACTCAACAAATCAGGCTGGCGCCACTTTCCTCGACCTCCATTACCTTCGCGACGACAGCTACCTCGACAGGTACTGCATCGAATCCGTGTCGCCAAACGATTTTGCCAGCTTGCTCGTGCCAGCGCCGACCTCCGAGAACCTGAATCTGTATCCGGACAGCGGTTACGAGATGCAGTGCTGCGATGTCGGAACGCCCCGTGCCTGCGTCGGTAGCGTGTTCATCCTGGGGCATCGAACAGGATGGATCGATCCCGACATCGACGCGCAACTCGGGAGGCGCGAGACTTATTTCGAGCGTTTGGGCATCCCGTACGAGGAGTGGAACGAGGAGGATTATACCGAGGAGATGGACGAAGCGATTGGGCGCGAGAACGACCAGGCGGGCGTGTTTATCCACGTCGAGCACAGAAACTCGGCACGAGATGAGGACGGTCAGTATGACATCTCCGTTGTTGAGCTGCTGGACCGCAGCAATTCCGCATGGGGGCAGCGTGAATTGCGTTTCGTGGACTTCTGCCCGGCGTCTGGTCGTCTTTGCGCCATCGTGGAAGAGGGTGATGAGCCTCCCCGATTGCTTGTTTTCGATTATCTACCCGCTTCCATGTAGACTCAATATTCTACCCATATTTTGCACTCGCTGCGCACTTTATATCCCGTTACAGCTAGTTGCAAAACGATAGACGCCCCCCGCTCCCGCGCCTACCCCGCTCCCCACGCGAGATATGACGCCAGGCGCGCCACGCCGGGCCTCGGCGAGAGGGCAGCAGGCGCACGACGGCGCGCTGCTCGTATAACGAGATGCGAAAAGCAGTGGACTGGTCGTCGCACCTGCGCGGGGATAGCTCAGGCTGGTTGGTGGGTACCCTCAGCCTCCGTCAACTAGCGTAGATGCGCCTCTGAAAGGCATTGGCTGCGTGTCCTGAGCGTGCAGATGATGCGAAGGCGCGTTCGGACCGGCCAGGCGGGCTCCACAGCGTCTTTGCAGGGGGCGTCTATCGTTCTGCAACTAGCTGTAAAGCGCCATGAGCAAAATCCTTTGCGCTGCGAGTAGTATTGCCTCCTGGGTGTAGTAAGTCTATAGCAACATTTTCCCATGTTGAACTTCTCAATGACGATGGTCTATCGATATACTGTAATCTCCGCGTATATTTCTTCCTTGCAGGAGGTGCAGCGAATTACAAAGCGCGGCGGCAACTCGAACTTCAACCGTGCGAAGAACAGCACGTGACTCAGAGGGCTAGCGAACCGGCCCGGCCTTCCCCCAGATCGGCGCAGACAACAGGGCTTCCTTCTTAGCACCATCTTTGGCCGTTCCACCCCATCATGGCTTCACCAGCGCCAAGTAGCTTGCCGAAACTTGAGATCGATGATCCTGAAGAAAGGCAGCGTCGTCTACGTACGAAAATGGTCTGGCACATTGGAAGGTTTTGCTGACGCTCGCAGTACTCAGAGTCCACCCTCGATCGTTTGAATGGAACAATTGAGCGTCGGGATCCAGAAGCTATACTGGAGGCTCTCATGAGCGGAAATGCAGCCGGACCATCGACAGGACTCCCCAAAATTGGCCCGGGTAATAGGGAGACGTTTGCGGTAGAGCCGCCGACTGAATGTGCGTGGCGAATCCACCTACTCCTAAATTGGAAGGCTGACATAGATGCAGTGATGTCCCGCGTGCAAGCTTTCCTGCCGCAGATGCAAGCAGAGAACGAGCGGCTGCAGCAGCGCGCCGCGCAGGAGCTCGATATCGAGCACTTGGAGGACGAGGAAGGACCCTATATTGAGATGGTGCGTCCTCACCCTCACTCTTCATTACCCCTTCTGATTTTCCCTCTAGGACCTCGGACTAGGCGTTTACTCCATTCGGCGGCCCGGCGATCCATCTTCAGAATCAGATTCCTCGTCCGTCTCTGAAGAATCCATGTCCTCGTCCTCTATCAGCGGCGACGACTCTGAGGAGGACTCGGATTCCGATTCGGACTCTGACGACTCGGAGTCGGATCTGTCATCGAGTGACGCGGCGCCTTCGGAGCCCAGGATTATCAAGCCCCTACCACGCCGGCGACCTCTGATCGAGGTCGTTCGCGAGACGCCAAATTCAACATAGGACATCCACCGACGCGCCCGCACCCCTTACACAATCTATCCTCGCTACTATCCTTGTACAACTACACTTCTCTCTGTTCTATGATGTCGAATGCAATACGTCGCATGCCTCGCAAGGATCCCGTCCGGGTTCGCTATACGTCGCGTGTTGCGCTTGTAGTCCATCGCTGATTCCGTGGAAGCTCGATCGCGCTCAGAAGGTAGCCTGTAGGGTCTGTCGCTTACCGCGTCATCCACCCTGGACATCATTCGGCCCACCTCCAAGCCTGCCCATCACCATCCCTTCAGCCGCCGTCACAAGCGGACTGGCATGCGCAGTCCACGCCAACTACGCCAATCATCAGCTCAAGCCAAGGTCACTGTAATTCCGACGCAAATCACCTAGAAGTATGCGCGGGACGCGCTGCCGAGTCGGTACCAATGCAGCTGCTTCAGTCTGCCACGCAAGTCCTCATACAGGTCTTTTAAGCTTTCGGAAGTGGGCCGAATGATCGTCGCCTCTAGCACTTCACGCCCAATTTACGCCCAACCTACGCCCCCAAATTCGCCTGCGCGGAGCTGGTACGCAGACGTATGTGATTCTGCGCCACTCCCTGTGATGTTAGGCTGACGGCGCTAGACAGATATTCGGTTTACTCGAATCGTTACGCGGTTCAACTGCATTACTACGCGGTGTCGTATTCAGTTCACCTCAACAAGACACGGCGCGGATGTGGATGCGACAGCCACTCTGCCGACCAGCAACGGTGGCCCTCCCGACTACCATGCGAACGGCCGTCCACCTCTCACTTCGTATGCGTTCATGGAAGCGGAAATACGTAGCCAGGGAGGTATATAAGGTGTCTGCTCGCTCCTCCAATCCCCAGCTTCCTCACCACTTCAGAGCCAGCTTCAGTCGCCTTCCCTTCAACTCTCATATCCACCTACTCTCATCACCACCCTTGCATCCACAATGCGCTTCACTCTCGCCGCTGTTCTCGCTCTCCCGCTCCTCGTCAGCGCTGCCGCTCCTGGCAACAACAAGTGCAACACTGGCGAAGTGCAATGCTGCAACCAGGTCACGACCGTGAGTATCTGATACTCTGCTGCTCTGCCCCTTGGCGCGTTCTTGACAACCTTTTCTAGCCCAAGGACGCCGCGCAGAGCGACGTTACCGCTGGCCTTATCGGCGCCCTCATCGGCCCCATCACTGGCCCCCTTGTGTAGGTCCGCTATGCATCGCGCTGAACGCTACTCATCATCATCAACAGCGGCCTTCACTGCAGCCCGCTGTCCCTCGTTGGTGTCGGTGGCGCGTGCCAGGCCTCGGCGCAGGCGGTCTGCTGCGAGAACGTCCACGAAACCGGCCTCGTCAACGTCGGTTGCACGCCCATTGACCTGAAGGCGTAGACGTTCGCGCTTCACACCAAGTGCTCGTGGTTGAGAGAGTTCGAGAGGGGGTGGGAGGGAGGGAGTGGGATGGGCTATGGTGGATATCCTATGGACTGCTAATACTTGCCTGCATCTGTGGTCGCTTCGGTGAAAAACCTCAGTTGCGTGCTCGCTAAGGTACTCTCTGGAGGGGGATTACAATGAACGCAGTTAACGCTGGGTTCAATTGACACCGGAGGGGTTGAAGCTGGCTGGACTTCCACAGCCTTCAGCCAAGGTGACTTCACCTTCCTGATCGTGGGAATTTACAACCAACTATGGAGTGCTTTGTTCTTTTTGCGGCTTGTCCATGACACCCATGGTCCCAATCAACGGAGAAGGACTGAACCAGAGCAGCAGCCGCTTCAAACACAGACCTACCGTGTCTCTCGCCGTGTACTGCTGTGGGGTCGCCCCAGGACGCGCGAGAAGCGCTCGAACTCCTTATGTCAAGGGCTGCATGACCCTTTGCTGCAAGGTACGGCAGAGGCTCTATCTCTTCCAGAACTTGATTGCAGGAGCTGACGTTGACTCCCCTAATCCAGCGTCGACTGAGACTACACCGATAGCGCAGCCCGGATACGCTGCGGTCGAGGTGCTTTGTTGCTGCGATCACCTTGTTTAGCCTCCCGGACCGGGCGGCCCAATGCTTCAGCAGTCCCGCCTATCTTCAACCAAGCAGGTCTGTAAGTAACGATCTACTCATTGTACCCGCCTCCGACTGACTGAATTAAGACAGGCTAATCACGGCATGGTCGACAAACAATGGAGCACTAGCCGCCTGTAACCGTCGGCGCACGCCTCCAGATCGGCGAGCGCGACGTGCTCGTTCGCGGTGTGGGCGAGGAAGATACTTCCCGGCCCATATAGGTACTTCCGAACCTCAGGCCCGTCGTGGTACTTGAGGAATGGGATGTCTGTACCGAACCCGACGTTGATTGTGTCGAATCCGGGTACGGAGGATTGGATGTTCGGAGGCGGATACTCTGCCACGATCTCATACGAGACCTCTGGGTGCCTGCCGATCAACGCGAGCGTCTCGCGCTTGACGGCATCGAACTCGCAGGAGACGCGGATCGAGACGGCGGCGCTCGCGGAGGGGGACAGGATGTTGGCTGCGGGGATGCGGTGAGCGTCTGCTCGGTAGATGGAAGATGGGCGCACGCACGAGCCTCGCCGCCGGATATAGTGCCGACGTTTACAGAGGATGGTCCGAGGAGGGGATCACGGGGGAACTCGAGCTTCAAGATGTCGGCGAGGAGGATCACAAGCGTGTGGTTTGCCGAGTGACCAAGGTGGGGGTAGCCGCTATGGCACGCATGACCTGCGGCCTGCAGTCTTAGGAGCAGGATACCCTGATTATCGTCAGCCACGGCCAGCTCTTCAGCCACAAGCACGCACCTTATGTCCCAGTGCCAGCTTGCTGTCCGTCGGCTCGCCGAACGCGATGCTCTCCCATCGCAAGCCGAGCTCGCTCGCGGCCTTCATGCCGACGCCATCAACCTCTTCGCCGACCACGAACAGAAGCGCGAGATCGCCAGGCTTGACCTCCTTCGCTGCAATCAGGCGCTCCGCTGCCCCGATCATCGCGACCGCGGCGCCCTTCGCGTCGCACGTTCCCCGACCGTAGACCTTCTCCTCTGCGTCGGGCCCAGAGAAGGGAATGAAGGGAGGGACGGTATCGATGTGGGTGGTCAGCAGACACCGTGTCTTGCGTACGTCCCCCAGGTATGCGTATACGTTCGCCCGCGGAGAACTCGGGGCGATGGGGAGAAGCTCTACGGTGAACCCTTTCGCGCGGAGGACGCTAGCGAGACGCCCCCCAACGCGCCCCTCGTCGCCGGTGAGCGACTCGATGTCGACGAGATCGCGAAGGAGAGATTCCATGGTAGAATGCCGGAGCGGGCGGGCCACTACTCTCCGGATACCCAGGTCCTATAGGCTATAGCCTATCAAGAGGAGGCGCCGATCACTCCACGTTCCCTTTTGCCGCCGCTCGTCGTGCCTGCCGCCGCCCCCCGCAGGCCGTATCCCGTATCCCGCCCCGACATAACATACCGCCGTCTATTTTTGGAGCCCTCTCCATCCTCCTTAGCCCACCGGCTCCCTGAACCTCACGCGATCGTAGGGGAACGATAAGAAGATAACGCGCTGCCCGCTATAATGCGCCTCGTAGGGTCAGATGATAGGCTTGCTCCCCGCTTGACTCGAGACGCGTCTTGCATCCGACCACCATGGCAGCCGAGAAGAACGTCGAAGCGCAGGCGACCTTCCTGGAGCCGCCGAAGTGGCATCGCGTCGGGCCCATCTCCCTCCCGCCCTGTGCGTGTGCTATCGTTCCCTCATGTACTCGACTAACTCTTGGACAGTCCGGTCGACGTTGGCGCAGACATGTCTCATTGGGTTCATCTGTTTCCTCGTCGTTGGTGCGTGAACTGTCCTCTTTTCCAAATGCTTCACTAATACATGATCAGGCATGTTCAATGTCCTCGGCTCCATCGGTGGCGCGGGCCAACTCGATGCTACCACGGCTGATAACTCGAATACCGTCCTCTACGCACTCTTCGCTGCCATTGCTCTCATTTCCGGCCCGGTCTGCAACTACCTAGGTCCAAAGGTGACGCTCGCATTTGGTGGTGTTGGCTACGCACTGTACGCGGCGTCCTTCTGGGTACGTACCCCTCCATTCATGGCACGAGCAGTCAATTGACCTTGCATGCAAGTGCTTCAACCACACCGCGAACGATGGCTTCGTTATGTTTGGTGGTGCAGCGTGCGGTGTTGCTGCTGGCTTGTTCTGGACTGCCGAGGGGACCATACTCATGTCGTACCCCCTCGAACACCAGAAAGGTACGCTTGACCTTTTCTTTCCCCAATCCGGTGTCTGACGGACTATATCCAGGTCGGTATATCGCGATCTTCTGGGCTATCTGGTCGATGGGTGCTGTCATTGGTTCCATCATCCCCACCGTTGACAACTGGAACCAAACCGAGAGCGGCAGCGTCAAGGATGGTACCTACGTCGCGCTCTTCATCCTCATGATGTGCGGCTCTATCTTCGCGCTTTTCCTCGTCCGCCCCAGCAAGGTCGTGCGCGACGACGGCAGCAAGGTCTTCCTCCACACCTCAACGTCCATCATTCAAGAGATGAAGAACTTGCCGACGGCGCTTCGTCGCGAGCCGTACATCATGCTGTTCTTCCCCTACGCGTTCTGTGGTTTGTGGTACATCCCATACCAGAGCAACGACTACAACTCGTACTTCTTCAACGTGCGGAGCAGGGTGTGTGACCACTCGACTGGATCGCCGACACGATGTTTAAGCTTCACAGGGCTTCAACAGCATCTGGTATAATCTTGCGACCCTCGTCGGTGCTGTCGTCCCCGGTCTCCTCCTCGACCTGAAGCGCTTCAACCGCCGCACGCGCGCGATCGCTGTAAGTATCTCCTGACCTTCCTAATTGTATTCTCGCTCACACGACCTAGGGCTGGGTCTTCATGTTCGTCATGCTCAACGCCATCCTCATTGCCGGCGTCTTCCCCTTCCGCGAGTCCCACCGCGGCGTCCCCTACGACGTCATGGACTCCCTCGACTCCCGCAGCCGCGCCTACGTCTGCCTCTACTTCTTCTATGGCTTCCTTGACGGCGCGTGGCAGTGCTACGCCTACTGGATCATGGGCTGCCTCTCCAACGACCCGCTCGTGCTCTCCATGTACGCCGCTTTCTACAAGGTGTTCGGCGCGGCGGGGGCGGCTATCGTGTTCTCGCTCGACGCGAACAAGAAGCCATATGTGGACATGTTCGGCTCGTACTGGGGCCTCACGGCGGGCGCGCTCGTATGCTTGCTCCCGCTGGTGCTGATGCGGGTGACGAACCACACGGAGAAGATTGATGATATCGACTACGCGGGGGCGGCGGGTGAGCTGCCTGGTGCGGGTGTTGGAGAGATTGTTGCTTTGTCGGAGTTCGAGAAGAAGGATCCCAATGTCTTGCGGGAATGATTGCACCGGATTGCCCTAGCCTAAGGTCTTCCTTGTATATGTACGTCGTCAGGGATAATTGTTGTTCTCGTATTCGATTCAGTTTCTTGTACATCACCAGCTCGCGGCAAAGACGATATAGCATCAGGCTTCGATCTTGAACTTGAGGTTCGAAGGTGTTACGGGTCTATTCGTTCGTCGTGCTACATGCCTTGAATGGTTAGTACAACAAGCCCGCTACTTTACATATGCCCGATAACTCCCTGCGGGGTGTACGGCTCCTCCAGATACTTCATCTCCTCCTCCGTCAGCTTGACATCGACCGCGCCTATGTCTTAGTCAGAACCATTGCCCCATCTTCTGTACCGTTTGCACTCACCAATCAGGTCGTTCAAGTTCTCCAGCGACGTCGTCCCCACAATCGGTGCAGTCACTCCCGGGCGGCTCATGTTCCACGCCAAGGCGAGCTGGGCCATGCTGCATCCCTTCTTCTTCGCCAGCTCTTCGACGCGGTTGACGATGGCCTCCAGACTCGCCTGCGATTTGCTGTACTGGCCAATGAAGCGGTCGGTCTCGCCGCGCTTGGTCTTCTGCTCGGTGAGCGGGCGGGTGAGCATGCCGCGGGCGAGGGGCGACCAGGGAATGGCGCCAACTCCATATTGCTGGATGGAGGTGAAACGTGAGATTGAGGAGGGCGTAAGAGAAGTCGTACCTTGAGGGTGGGGAACATCTCGCGCTCCTCTTCGCGGTAGATGAGGCTGTAGTGGTTTTGCATCGAGATGAAGGGCGTGAGCTTGTTCTGGATCGCGTAGCCTGAAAGATGGTCAGAGGAGTCCGAGGATGAGCTGGAGAGGCGAGCATACTTTGCATAGCGTTGACTGGAAAATAGGATGAGCGACAACCAGACTTCAATCGAAGAGGACGTGCTTACATTGATATGCCCAGCAGGACGACATGCCGATGTAGCGGACCCAGCCCGCCTTGACAACGTCATGCAAAGCCTCCATCTCCAAGGAGATCAGCTCGTGCACAGGGTCCATAAGAGCACGTTGCCGTACCGTCTCTTCGATGGGCGTATCCTTGTCGAAACGGTGGCACTGCAGCACATCGATGTAGTCGAGCTGCAACCGCTCCAAGCTATGCTTCACCGAGTCGAAGATGTGCTATGCGTATTTGTCAGCGTCAAATCCCGCAAAGCATGTTTTATACAGCTTACCTTGCGGCTCAGACCATGCTGGTTGACATAGCCAATTGTATCCGGATCGACATTGGGAGGGGTGAAGCTCTCGTTTATGTTGCGCTTCACCTCTGCGTATACCTACGCAAGATTTAAGCGGATGCTGCGATTGACGCCCTCAGTGGGCTTACCTTCGTCATGACCACGATTTCGTCGCGCGGCAAGTTGTGCTGCTTAATAGCCTTTCCGAGAACGACTTCCGACAGCCCGTTGCTATACGCCTGCAGCAAAGTCAGTCCTGGAAGAACGACCCCAGTCGAGTGTCCCCATTCGCACATTGGCCGTATCGAAGGTGTTGATGCCCGCGTCGTAAGCAGCCTTGATGTGCTTGATACCTTCCTCCTCGCCGAGAACCCAAGATTGCCACTCTGGGAAAGCCGTGAGGCGGAGACAATGGACGGCGAACAAAGGGAGGGCCTTGGGGGAAATGTAATATCGTACGTACCTGGAGAACCATATGACATACACCCGAGGATGATTCTGGAGACCTTGAGGCCAGAGTTACCCAAGCGAACTATGTTGGTTAGGTCGTGCGTGCATCGTCTAATAGCTAAGGAGGCCATACCATAGGAGACCTTCTTCGGATACGACATTATGAGAGGCGAAAAGAGGCTGTGAAAGCTACAGAGAAGTCAGTGCGCCTCTTAGCAGTCGATACTAGGCGCTTTTGAAGGGTCAGAGCGGCCCAAATTGAACCGATGGAGTGAGAGTTGCGGCTGCGAACCGCGTATACGTTGCTCGTCGCCGCGTCAGCAACTAGCAAAAGAGCTGGTATTGACCCGGCGTTCATGTCCTAAAGCGCCAAGTCGTAATATTTCAGTGAGCCTATAAGCGGATGCGATCCGTGATAGCCTTACTACCGCCTCTTCCAATCCAAGCTCGATGTGGGCGGGGCGCTTGAAGTGAGACCACAACGCCAGCCCGCGGAACCCGGCCGATTAGAAAAAAAGGCTTTTACTCAGCATAAGCAGCTCTGATCTTCGCGAAGCAGAAAGCCCCTGCGAAGGTTGCTCTGGCGCAATAGATCCATGCGCGCTTCCACTGAAGTCCTCAGCCAGCTTCTCGGAAAGAATCGGGCCAATGAAGATCGAATAAAGAGGCTATCTTCATTTTGAGGTTGAGGATTAGACGACCTCACTTGAGGGCAACGCTAGTCCCTCGAAAGTTATTGCCGAGGTCCTTAAAAATCCGGGTCGCAACCGCTTCGCACGAAGACAACGCTGTTTCCCTTCTTGTGAGGAGTTTGCCAAGTCGTTCTTGGTTTGGTAAATTCCGGTAGATCGGGTGTTCGTTGAGTTACAGCTCAAGAAAAAGCAGCGGCTGAGGAAGACAAGCCGGTGTGCGGCCTGGGAAACTGATGGGTGACGGGAACCGCCGCGTGAGCATGTGATCAAGAGTTCAACCGTGACACCAGCGTGACACTGGCATTGTTCGCAAATGTAACGCCGATTCTGTATGGAAGACTGAAGGGCTTCCCGCCATGTCTCGGGCTGACGTATGACCAGACGCAGGACAAGCTCGTTTTGACAAATTCCATCGTTTGCTCGGACCTATGCTCAGTGAGAGATCGGGGAACGGTGTGATAGCGAGCTGCACCATGAGATTTCTCTGAGTCTTTCAATGAATGCGTATCTGAAGATTTTCATTCATATACTGTGCAGAATGTCTTCAGAAATGACCTAGGATAGCTTGAGGAGTGTAAGGCTCCTCCATATACTTCATTTCTTCCGCCGACAACTTGACGTCTACCGCACCTGCTCAAGCGCGTCAGCCGTCAGCGCCCCATACGCCCCCCTCTCTCACTCACCAGCCAGATCGCGCAAGTTATCGAGCGACGTCGTGCCCACAATTGGAGCCGACACGCCCGGTCGAGCCATGATCCACGCGAGCGCCAACTGTGCCATGCTGCAACCCTTCTTCTTCGCAAGCTCCTCGACGCGGTTGACGATGGACTCCATGCTCTCTTTGGCGTTCTTATAAAACCCGATAAACTCGTCAGTCTCGCCGCGCTTCGTCCGTTGGCTGATGGGACGAGTGAGGACGCCGCGGCCAAGAGGCGACCATGGGATCGAACCGACACCGTATTGCTGAGAAGGGCGAAGTGAGCGTGAGCGCTCGGAAAGCCTGGGAAGCGAGTACCTGAAGCGTGGGGAACATCTCGCGCTCTTCCTCGCGGTAAATGAGACTGTAGTGGTTCTGCATCGAGATAAACGGCGTGAGCTTGTTCTGAATCGCGTAGTCTGAGCTCAGAAGGGTCAGAAAGGGGTGAAGGCAATCTTTCTGGGTCTACGTACTCTGCATGGCATTGACTGGGACGGGCGGGAGATACGTCAGCGCTGATGCTTCCTTTGAGGAAGCTATACGCACATTGGTATGCCCAGCACGACGACATGCCTATGTAGCGAACCCATCCGGCCTTCACGACATCGTGCAGCGCCTCCATCTGCGCCAATGAAGATCAGTGCACGTCCTCAAGAGGAGAAGATCAACCCTACCGTCTCCGCAATTGGGGTGTCCTTGTCGAAGCGGTGGCATTGTAGCACGTCAATGTAGTCCAACTGAAGGCGCTCCAAGCTGTGCTTGACTGAGTCGAAGATGTGCTGGGTGAACCTCATCAGTGTCCGACCCTTGCACAGTCTCTTGAGTAGCTTACTTTGCGGCTCAACCCGTGCTGGTTGACGTATCCCGTCGTATCCGGGTCGATGTCTAGAGTAAAGTACTCGTTGACGTTGCGCTTCACCTCGGAGTACAGCTTCAAGGCATCCATCGGCTTGCTGTTCGCCTGGCAGAATTGAAAGACTTGCCTTCGTCATAACCACGATCTCGTCGCGCGGTAGGTTATTCACTTTGATCGCCTTTCCAAGGACGACTTCCGAGAGGCCGTTGCTGTAAACCTGCAAGTCGATGTCAGCGAGGCTTTGGAGGCAAGGATGCAGACTCATACGCACGTTGGCGGTGTCGAAGGTATTGATGCCCAGGTCGTACGCGACCTTGATGTGCTTGATCCCCTCCTCTTCGCCGAGGACCCAGGGCTGATATTCTTGAGGAGATGTTAGAAACAGCATAGACCGACGTAGTATCAGGCAACGCGCACCTGGAGACCCATACGACAAACATCCCAAGATGATCTTCGAGACCTTCAGTCCGGAGTTTCCGAGACGCACTACGCTTGTCAGATATACGCGCCTCTGATACAGAACGAGCGTACCGTAAGGAACCTTCTTGGGGTAAGACATTCTGGATAGCGCGTCGGCGTGGGCGGATATGGCAAAGGGCCATTTCCACCTCGCTCTTATAGCGGCATGAGCGTCGAGGCCCGGTGGGAGGATCCGGCAGTGACCCGCGTATTCGTGGGCTGTCACAACGTCAGCACCGTCTCGGACAGCAGAAAATCGTGCGCCTGCCGCGTTCATAAAGGCCCAGCGCCAAGTCAAGAGGTCAGGAAGTGCGTCTCTCCTCGGACGTATCCCGGTATAGGGAAGTCCCCGGCATTGTAGGTGCAGTGCGCCCAAGTCCGAAGCGGAGGTGGTGGTAGTCTGCTGACGCCAGCTCGCGACTCGGACTGCTGGGCTTTCAAAAGCATGAGTCATGACAAGGCATGAGGGTCGAGTCGCTACAGGTGTTACGTTCATGAAGGGCACGGCCAAATATGCACTGCGCGTGCCCAATCCAGAGCAATATGGAAGGCTTTCTTCAGGAATTCATCCTGTCGTTATAAAGCACAAATCCGCTACAGACCATGAAAGCGCTCCATTACAGAGGAGGAATATTTCTCGCTTCTGAAACAGTTCTCTTTCGATGAGATTGTACCAGCTTGCGCTCCACAGGTGATGAAGGAGGACGACAAGGTGGGAAGACCGTGACATCGTGACGTGACGAAAGCGTCTTCGCGGCCCGCTCATCCAAGTTGATCTTGACCATCATTGCAATGGGAGGCTGGTCGGCCGCACTCCGCTGTAACCTGGTGACTCTGACTGGCTTCGAACTCATAAATGGTCAAAGCCCTTCACGACCCGCTCGTCATCGCGTTCAAGTAGATCACCGTATCGTGAAGTCTACGTTCGCTGAATGGCAAGCACTCATGCATGACCGACTGCCTTTCTTCCTCTTCAAGTATCGAGAAAGGAGAGCGGGGTAGTGATCCTCTGTCTCTCTGTCTCTGTAGTCCGAGGTTCAGCTTCGCTAGCGCACCCGAGGTTGAACCCCTCTAACCGAGCCGCCGGTCTCTTCGGTACAACTACGTGAGTCTGCATCAGTCGCTATCACATCTTGATCTTACAGCTTGCCTTTCTTCTTCCCTTGCACAGACACACGCGAGCTGGACATACAGCATCGCGACGGACCAGCCGTCTCCGGATCCTGACTCTTTCAAGTCATACCAGCTAGCTGAACATCCTCGACACGCCGCTCGCTAGAGGCTTATCTGGACTACTTCCATAGTCCAGGAGCTAGACTGCAGCCTTCATGCGGCGTTCGTCAGCTCGTCTTGGGAAACGTTCACCTGCCATCAAGTATGCCAACTCGACAGCTCTGAACCTGCGAATCATGATCATGGGACGCCCGCCTGTCCTATAAGTAAAGAACCGTACCCTCCAACAACAACACAACGACGCTCAAATCTACACCCAGATGACGGCCAATGGGAATGCGTCCATACATCGGCCTTTGAATGCTGACGACTTACATGTGCTGAAATTCATCGCGGCTGACACCGCCGTCGATTTGGCCCTTTATGGTATGTGCCCTCGTCTTTTCATGCTCTTGATTTCTTTCACAAGATTACGCATAGGTGTACAGGTAACGCTCTCCATCGCGGCGATCTCTATCCTCGCGTGAGTGCGAGCAAAAGCCATGGTGCGCGCGCGCCGCTCTGATTGCTTGTCAGACGTCGGCACGGACGATCACGGCGCTTTACGCTGGCGGCAGTACTTGGGCTGCTCTTGTCCTCCACGATCACGACCACGGTCCGAACCACATTTTATCTGATCCAGTTTCCCTTCTTCGGAAAATCAGAAGAGGGGATACAAGCGCTGCTGCGGCGCCTAAACATCCTGATGAATGTGACCGCCACGACCAATGTGCGTATGCGAAGTTCGAACGCCGCAAACACTACTGACAAGACTCTAGTACGTCTTGAGCGACGGAGTGCTCGTCTGGCGAGCCTGGTGCTTATGGCCAGACAGCCGCCTTGTAAAGGGAGTCCTGACATCATGCCTCTGCGGAAGCATAGGTGAGTGAATGTCGACGCAGTCATGACACGAAATTAGACCTGTGCTCAGTGGGAAGCATCGCGGAGTGTACGTGGCTTTTTTGGCCTGGTCTCGACTTCGTGGGCGGGGTAGAGAACATCTATCATCTCTTGCTTTGGCTACTCCCTCTCATCTTCACAAATGCCGTCGCAACAGCGCTCATCGGCAGGAAAGTTTTGTACGCTCAATTTACGATGTGTGCGATATCTACGGATAATTGACCATACTGACAAGGCAGTACCGCCGGGATATACGAGGCTCCCTTGGTCCCTTTGCGCAGCGAACGCAAGCGGGACGGTACTTCTGCTGCTCCTCGAATCAGGGGTCGCGTACATGTTGTTCTGGGTATGAATGCTCTCTATTGTCTTGCCGTCAAGTTCTTACCAGTGTCAGGCCATCGATTTCGCCCTGACGATCGTAACCCTCGACGAACCATTCTCCGACATTCACGTCTTCGGCAGCATCGCTTTCCATATAGCGGTACGCCTTCAATCACAGCGAAGGCGTTTTTCGATGTCGCTCACCCTTTCCAGGGCATCTACCCGACATGTGTCCTGTTCGTTGCTATACGAAGACCGACAGAGTCCCTGGTTAGCGCCCAGGTCTCGCAAGCAATGCGCTTCGAAGGACCGGCTGAGAGACCGCGCGAGGCAGGCGCTGTATCTGACTCCACGCCCGGAAGCTCTGCCGACGTCCTCGATATTGGACATCAGGACTCGCACGCGGATGGTCTCTCTGGCCCGCGCCTCTTCGACAACGAAGGGGCGTAGAAGGAGTCCGGAATTGAGGCTGAATTGACTGTCTGAACGGAGGAATGATACAAGGGAAATTCAATTTATTCTATGGGCTATCTAGAAACGATCTCTTATTGTCGAATTGTAAGTAGTACTGGCCTTCTTCTCGGCGCTTGTCATCTACCATCTGTACACACGAAGTCGCAACCTCGATCTGCGTGAGCGCTCACCAGTGACCGATGACAGCCTGTGGGTGGTACGGCTCTTCCAAATATTTCACATCCTCTTCCGACAGCTTGATGTCCACCGCGCCTGCGCAGCCGCGTTAGCCTCAACCCCTCCTCCATATAATCGCACGAACTCACCAATCAAGTCCTGCAGGTTCTCTAGTGACGTCGTGCCCACGATAGGTGCCGTTACGCCCGGCTTGGACATGATCCACGCCAGCGAAAGCTGCGCCATGCTGCAACCCTTTTGCTTCGCGAGCTCCTCGACGCGATTGACGATGGCCTCGGTGCTCTCCTTAGCCTTGCTGTAGACGCCAAAGGAGCGGTCAGTCTCGCCGCGCTTGGTCTGCTGGTCGAGCGGGCGGGTGAGGCGGCCACGAGCGAGGGGGGACCACGGGATAGCGCCTACGCCGAACTGCTTGAGCGTTGGGAACATCTCGCGCTCCTCTTCACGGTAAGCGAGGCTGTAGTGGTTTTGCATTGAAATGAAAGGAGTGAGCTTGTTCTGAATGGCGTAGTTCTGCATTGCGCTGACTGGACCGGCAGACATTAGTATTGAGTTTGCCTATGACGCAAGGCACTGTTACTTACACTGGTACGCCCAACACGAACTCATGCCAATGTAGCGGACCCAGCCCGCCTTCACCACATCGTGAAGAGCCTCCATCTACCCGCGCGTAAGTTCCAAGGTGCGTCGTGCGCTTCAGCGCTCTTACCGTCTCCTCGATTGGCGTATCCTTATCGAAGCGGTGACATTGCAGCACGTCGATGTAGTCCAGTTGCAACCGCTCGAGGCTATGCTTGACGGAGTCGAAGATATGCTATGCCCGGTGAGCACGATCGTCCAGCGAAGACAGAGCGAACGATCTCACCTTGCGGCTCAGCCCATGCTGATTAACATAGCCCACCGTATCCGGGTCGACGTTCGGCGTCCAGCCCTCGCTGATGTTGCGCTTCACTTCGCCGAAGACCTGCAGGGAGCGCGTAAGCGGTCTCTTCCCTCGAACCCCATCCCGATCCCTAAAGGCAGCACCCGAACTCGCCTTCGTCATCACCACTATTTCGTCCCGCGGCAGATTATGCTGCTTGATCGCCTTCCCGAGAATGACCTCCGACAACCCGTTGCTGTAGACCTACAGCACCATCAACGTTGAGATCAAGGCCTCAAAACGGTCACGTACATTCGCCGTATCGAAGGTGTTGATCCCCGCGTCGTAGGCAGCCTTGATGTGCTTGATACCCTCCTCCTCCGGCAAGACCCAAGCCTGCCATTCTGCGAGCTATCAGCGATACCATTCGCAAGCGACCGTGCACAAATAAGTACCTGGAGACCCGTAAGACATGCACCCGAGGATGATCTTGGAGACCTTCAGGCCGGAGTTTCCCAGACGAACTGCGCGAATTGTCAGCCTACTCCTTGCATGCTGAACCAGGCTTCACCGCACCGTAGGGGACTTTCTTGGGGTAGTACATTTCGCGTTGTCAGTCGGCTGCTGCTATGAGTGCGAAAGAGGACAAGTAGAGCTCGCTGGTCGCATCCAAGGCGACGCGCTCAGCCTTAAGTAGCCCTCGACGACCTCAGCCGACTTCCGCGGCTACTAGCCGTCTTCGACGTCGACGATGCTGGGGTCCCATGAACATCGCTCTCGAGTCGCCCAAACTATATCCCAATAGGCCAGGAAAAGGCAGATTAGGGGGCCCTGTCGACGGATACGAGCCGCATTCTGCTAAAGAAAGGGGTGAATACCATAATAGAAACGGGCGCTTAATGAGATAGACCTACTCATCTGACCAGTCTTCAGGGTAGCATAGTCAGGAATGTTTTCTTCTCGTCAACAACAGCTTCCACACAGAAGTAAACGAGTACAGCTTCGGAAGTAGGAGGGTGAACGCAGAGAAACCCATTTGATGATACATAGGCGCGCAGTGTATACTGCCTATCAACCTTCTCCCTTCTCGAGACTCCCGAGATAAGTCTTCATGTGATAGAAAGAGCCCTAAGAAAGCCGGATCGAGCTCCGGACCGTTGGAGCTTCCGGACGTCCCTCAGTACCTGGCGTTTTTGTCGAGGACGTCGAGGTAGCGGAGGCTCAGACTAGCGGGGACGGGACCGTGGAGATCGGGAACAAACGAAGCTGCAGTTGATAGACACGCTCGCAGCACGCTGCAGTCAGTCGGGGATTTCCAGAAACTCGAGGTGGCGGTAAGACGCAGGTGAAGCGTGCGAATGCCGGCTTCGCCAAAGCATTCGGCATTCGCCGGATGATATCACGTGTGTATGTTCGACTTTCTTCAAGGGCAGCATCAAGGGGTGTGCTGCTATACTTACAGGTACTCGTAGTATAGAAAGCCAGAGGTCTACGTGGAATGTCAATTGACAATCTCTAGGGCGCATGTAATGTGTATAAGTTTACGAATAAGGATAGCGACAAATAAATACGGGAAGCGACGAGTGCGGTAGTGGAGTATCTATGGGTCTATGCGATGTGTACATATAGTAGGTTGAGCTCTAGTCAGAAGTCCAGGGTCAGTAATAAATAAGTTGAGGATGGGCAATTGTGAAGAGCGACGATTAGCGGTAGCCCGCCGCCGTGCACGCGCGGCAGAAGGCGTTCTTGTTCAGAGCTGAGAAGGTCGCAATTATGAGCCACTGTAGTCGCCGATACATTGTTTTACCACTCACTGTAGTGCTCAGGGTACGTGCGGCTGAACGTGTATCAGCGTGAGTGACGTGCACTTGGGAGATCATGGGCTTACTACTGGAGGCACGTCTTCGTGCAAGACGGCGGCTGGCAGGTAGGCGGGTGGTAGGCGCTGAACTTGCAGTGACGAGAGCCGCACTCGATCTGTGAGGTCGACCGTAAGGCGCGGGTTTGTAGAAGGAAAGGGAGAAAGACGGACCATTTCCTCGGGCTGTGGATGGCGCACTCGTCAGCTTGGACCTCACGAGCACAGTGCGTAAGCTCACCATGTTCTCAACGTGACCGCAGCGCTGGTAGACATTCTGAACGCTATTGAAGAGTGAGCGTCGACTACTGAATACCAGGTAGAGGACCCACCGACGCCAGTGGCACATGATTAGCGATGAGTAGTGGTGAGTAGTAGAAGTGGATGAGCAGATGAGGAGTAGAGTGATGTAATGCTTCTCTCTGAAAGTCTCGCTAGGTTATATACCTTCGACCCAGCCTCACCACAGACAATTGTGGCACGTACGTTCTCGAATCGAACTGTGTCCAACATTCCCCATCCCTCGCCTCCAAACCACTCACTCACCTCAGAGCCCGAGAACTCACCAGTTCTCCGTATCAGACGGGGGTACAGATAAAAGCCACCGTCCGAACACCGACTCGGATAGTTGAGAAGAAGGCGCAAGCCCGAACGCGGAATGAGAGGCGCCCGCGGATCAGGATATTGCTGGCCCGCAAACGCAAAGCTATTGTCTCTTCTGAGATAGACGTGAGTCATCATTCGCGCGTGGCTTCATTGATAGGCATAGCCTCTGCACTCAGTTGAAGGTGCGCAGTGCAGGTGGGACCGTCGGAGGAGTTAGGCTGCCGGGAAGCTGAGGAGTTCATTGTGTCCGAAGGGGATAGCAAACGTATGTCAGTGTAGAGGTTATCCAGCTTCAGCGCCCAAAGACTCGAAGTATGACCTTTGCTGAGCGGGGAGCGCACCCTCGGCAGTGAGGGCGGGAGACAGAGGACATTCCCACGCTCATCAAGTGGGCGCCCATCACAGTGAGTCACTGCTTGCCCTTGTTGATCAACGACCGCACGCTCCATCGTGCGCAATCAACGGCAAACACAGTTGCGCCTCTTGCTTCCCGCCCTCACCTTCCTGTGCTTGACCCACTTCAAGTTGCTCTGCGGACATCTCAACTGGCTGCGCTGCTGCTTTGCCTCAGAGTTGCGGATAGGATTGAGAGATGCGCCTCAAACGACGCGTCCAGGACCTGACTCCCGACTGAGGGCTTTACATCAAGTTAAGAATCGCGGCCGCGGTCTGTGCTTGCGTCATCTCAGCCATGAAGCTATGCCATACTTTCTGAATCTGCTGCAATCGGAATTCCGCGAATTTCAACGAAGCAGGCGTAAATAAGACCTGCGCATCAATCATTATACCCATACTCGTCGGGCCACATCGCCTAGTGTCTCCGGTTTTATGCGGCTCCGACACCCTCAATCCTCTCCTCAGATCGACTCAGATCGATCCGAACAGCCGTTTTCCTTCATGCCCTGCAATCTAGCAAACATCCGTATCCTACTTCAAGGGCCTCGCGTGAGCCCACAGCTCGCAAGCTTCATGTCGTGCCTGCCAATGCCAGCGATCTCCCGAAGTTCAACTTGCGTTGGAATGCTTCCTTCTCCGATGAGGCCACCGCCTGGGAACGTACCGGTGTTCGAACCTCGGGCGTCGGGCTGAAGAGCGGCATACACGAATATGGAACTGAAAGTTCCCGAACATCAAGGCAGAGAAGACTGCAGAGACCATCTCTTCGTCTCCGCCGTGGCCCTTCACAAACGCGTTGCTCGTTTCCTTTGGACGCGTTCCTCGACCCGCAACATCATCCGCCAGTCACCTGCCCTTTGCGCCGACCTAGTGGCTGACCTGCCTCCGCACTCGCTTCTTCCGCGCAAAGAGACGTGCCCGAGCTGCCCGACCCCTTGAGTCGCTCCGCAATTTAGAGGGAAATCCCTGTCACCAAAAGGCTCTACGACAGAATATATCGCACAAAGGCGTCATCGTGCGCGCGAGGGTGGGTCATGGACGAGGCGTATAAAACGACGAGGGCGAGGGAGGGCTTTTTCTCCATCGTTCTTTCCCCCCGAACGTCGCCTTTTCCTCAAACCCCGTCCTTCCTTTCGCCAAAGCCCTTCCTTTTCGCCATGAAGATCACCGTCGGACTCGCCCTTCTCGCTGTTGCCGTCGTCGACGCGCTTCCCAACGATAAGCGGGACGCTCCGAAGAACAACGAGATCACGGGTGAGTTTTCTGTTAGTCGGTCTTTCGTCTCGTCGTTGCTTATTTTGTCTTCATCGCAGACACCGTCGTCTTGAACTACGCGCTCACGCTCGAGCACCTCGAGAACGCATTCTACCACACCGCTTTGGCGAACTACACCCACCAAGACTTCGTGGATGCGGGCCTGCCCTCGTGGTCGCGCGGGCGGTTCAAGGAGCTCGCCGAGCACGAGCAGTCGCACGTCGATGTGCTCAAGTCGGTCCTGGGCGCGAACGCGACGCAGCCGTGCACGTACGACTTGTGAGTAATTCTTTACCTGCGTATATGCCGTTCTTGGGCTGATCGTCGCTTCCAGCCCCGTCACCGACGTCAAGTCGTTCGTTGGTCTGAGCCAGGTCCTCGAGGGCGTCGGGACGTCGGCGTATGCTGGCGCCGCGTCTTTCTTGACCAGCAAGGACGCGCTCAACGCTGCCGCGGTCATCCTCTCAACGGAGGCCCGCCACGCTGCCTGGGTCGCGTCTGCCGTCAACAAGCAGAACCCCTGGAGCGGCGCGTACGACGTATGTCCTTCGCGTATTTACCCCTTTCCCTTGCTAACGACGCATACAGACGCCTCTCAGCTTCAACGAGGTCTTCTCCCTCGCAGTGCCCTTCATTGCGGCCTGCCCCGACTCGAACCCGGCCCTGCCCTTCACTGGCTTCCCCGCGCTCGCTCTTGGCGCAGGCCACCCCGAGGCCACTGTCGCCGTCTCGACTCCGGCTTCCCTCGCCAAGGACAAGCAGTACTACGTCGCCTTCTTCAGCGGCCTCACCAAGCAGTTCATCCCGGTCAAGGACGGCAAGGTCACCATCCCAAAGGGCCTGGACGGCACGGTGTACGCCGTTCTCACCAACGACGAGAACACGGCCACGGACGCGACCACCGTCGCCGGCCCTGCCATCCTGTCCTTCCCGTTCAACTCCCGCGGCGAGTACATCCACAACTAGGTAGTGGGTATTTGTAATGTTGCCGTCGCGTGTACCAAGTGGAAGATACCGTAGCCTTTCCTCTAGTACTCACGAAATACCCATATGTAGTCTTGTTGACCTGTAGTTTGTCCTTGTGGGTCCGAGTTGGAATATACACGTGCACCACGCTGAATCGGGCAACACTTGTCTTCCGGCGGGCCTCCTGACCTCCCTCTCTTGCGCTCGACCACGGAAGTTGTGCCACATGTCTCCTGGCGGGAATATCATTCATGAACTTCTGGCACTGCTGACTGAGTCGTCGCTGACGTTGAGGGCGACGAAATGCGGGTGCTAGCCGCTGGGAGAACTCCCAGTTCTTCCACCGATTCGGAGGTCCGTGAGGAGGTATATTAGGACGGTGGCGGCTGGGGTAGTCACAGAGAATCTCTCTTGCCTGCTACCATCATCATCACCAGCACAGACGCGCCGTTCACGATGTCCTACCCCAAGAAGGTTCCCTATGGTGCGTTGACGCGATGTGGTCGCCTCGCGATGAGGAGTCGTCCCCGCGCGCAAAGACGTGTGATAAGCACAGTCGCTGACGATTCGAGCAGTCCGCCTCGGCAACTCGGGCTTGAAGGTCTCGAAGATCATCCTGGGATGTATGTCGTACGGGTCTCCTGGTGCGTCTCGCCGATACCGAAGGGAAGATAGCAGCGCTAATTGTCTGCCTATCTCCATGATTGCCTGCGATCTGCGGTCGATCTTTCATTATGCGCGCGTTTCCCTGTCGATCTTCAACTCTTTACCAATTCGATTGTCGACGCGTCCCCTGTTCCCCCTCTTCGGCGCGATGAACCGCAGAGTGGCAGCAATGGGTCCTCGGCGAGGAGGAGGGCATCAAGCACATCAAGGCGGCGTACGACGCGGGGATCAACACCTTCGATACGGCGAACGTGCGTACGGCCCTCGTACCCTCACGGAAGGCGATGCTGACGCGCGCACCCCAGGTCTACAGTAACGGCCTCTCAGAAGTCATCCTCGGCAAGGCCATCAAGCAGCACAACCTCCCGCGCGACGAGATCGTGGTGATGACGAAGGTGCGTGTGGTCTGCAAAGCGGTCATATGCGCCTTGTTCATCTGCGATCTGTTTTCCCAGGTCTACTTCGAAGTCAAGAAGAGCGTCGGCGAGAGCTTCACGCCGGACGTCAACCCGGACACGGTCGGCTACGTTAACCAGCACGGGCTTAGTCGCAAGGTGGGTATATGCGCTCCGTTGGAGTCGTGAGAGGGCGTGAATGTGGTCGCGGGGGCGTGGACGTGGTCGAAGAGCGCGGGGACGTGGCTGAAGATGAGACAGCTGACTCGCCACACAGCACATCTTCGACTCCGTGAAGCACAGCTTGGAGCGCCTGCAGCTGGACTACATCGATGTGTTGCAGTGCCATCGCTTCGATAAAGACACGCCGATCGAGGAGACGGTGAGCATATAAGCGGTACAAGGATCGAGGAGAGACTGACATGCGATGCAGATGGAAGCCCTCCACGACGTCGTGAAGGCAGGTTGGGTCCGCTACATCGGAATGTCGTCTTGCTGGGCGTACCAATGTGAGTAGCGTGTGTAATGTCGTAGAGATACCCCTCACTAACGAATGCCCTCAGTCAACGCCATGCAGAGCTATGCCATTCAGAACAAGCTCACCCCCTTCATCTCGATGCAGAACCACTACAGCCTCGCCTACCGCGAGGAAGAGCGCGATATGTTCCCGACCCTCAAGCAGTTCGGCGTCGGCGCCATCCCCTGGTCCCCTCTCGCCCGCGGCCGCCTCACCCGGCCGCTCAACCAGCAGACGAAGCGCGGGGAGGTCGACCGGTTCATCGGGCAGTACAGCAAGTCACAGGCGAGCGCGGACGCGATCGTGAACCGCGTCGAGGAGCTCGCGGGGAAGAAGGGGTGCAGCATGGCGCAGCTGGCGCTCGCGTGGATCATGAACCGCCCCGGGGTGACGGCGCCGATTGTGGGGACGACGTCGTTGGAGAATCTGGCGGACTTGATTGGTGAGTGACGACGGCGAAGCAGACAAGCCATGGCGCTGACCAGTGAGTACTTAGGCGCGGTGGATGTGCAGCTGAGCGAGGAGGATATGAAGTACTTGGAGGAGCCGTACATCCCGCAGGGGGTTATTGGGCATCAGTGAGTGCGCGACCGAAGAGGATAACGATAATGCCAAAAGCATGTAACATTAGCGGAACACGGCAATCGACTTCATTGACCTACACGCCCCGCTCGCTCGACTTCGATTGCACGATGAGGGCATGTTCGCGCAATGAGGGTTTGCCGTGTCCCGCAGACGAGCGAGCTGCGCGCGTTCGTACCACCTTTTCGTTCTTCAGGTTCCGTTCCACCTAGCGGATCCTCTCGCGTCCGGCATGCTATACAACTATCAAAATCGGGCGGCGCAGGTACCATACAACATCTTTCCTCTACCTCGACGATGCTAGCTCGAGTTTGGTCCCGCTAGAGGCCGCTACGCTGCGTTCACGGGACACAGAATCGCGATTGCGAGGCAGCTATAGGTCCCTCTTTCCCGTCATGGGTTGCAATCGCCGCTGATTACTGGTGCGGATCGGGATCAATCGGCGATTGCATCTCCTTGTTATTGACAGTGCGATGGAAGGAAGGGTTCCGCCTCAGGCGCCAAGTTGAGGGAACTGTCACGGAGGGGCTGCTGCACGGGCCGATTGATGGTATGCTGCTGGATGGTGTGCAGACTCGGTGGACTGCGCCACTCGTACGTCTGCAGGACTGCGATAGGCGTCTTATATAAGGAGGCGGAGCGACGTTCTCGTCCTTCCCCCGATTCATCTCCCCTCATCCGCTCAATATGTGCCACTGGCGCCGGTGAGCTGCTCCCTTATTGATTTTCGGGAGCTGACTTTTCAATAGTGTCTCGCACTTCTTCTATGGTTGTAGGCACGTAGAATCTCAGGCAAGTTTCCCTTTGCAACGCATCCGGCCTCTCCTTAACGAGTTCGTATGAAGCCTGAAGAAATGGTCCGTCAGAACGACTCCATCTGCCAGCACCCATCTCAACATCTACCCATACAGATCGAGTGCGGGTCTGCACAATGCAAATTCAGCCGCTATCACCCTCCCGGATGCATGGCCCCGATGTGTACGCGGACGTGCTTTCAGTAGTCAGTCATATTCTTGGCTCTGTATATCTGACGAGCTCAAACTCCAGCAGCCGAACGTACCCAGAAAGCTACAGTACGTTCCTTATTTTCATTCTCTCAGACCACAATCGGCTGCAGCTGATCTATACTTTCTATATAGCAAGGAATTTGGACGGCGTCTGCCACTCATGCGCTGCCCAGCGTCGGTGATTGTAGGAGCATCCTGTCAGACCCGACGGCTTCGCCCGATACGCAGTCCAGATAAACGCCGCACCATATGCGAAGGGCGTCTACTTGGTGGAGATCTCCTTGTACAGCTGATACTATCAATTACTTGTATCTATCCTTCATTCTTCGTCATCCGAAACAATTACCTCGGTTTTATACGAGCCGTGTACCCTCGCAGGCCTACGCTGCATACCTTTGTACGACAAAAATTCGATCGCCGTCGAAGTTCAACATGTCATGTGATGCGTGGGAACTGGCACGGCTCGGCCCGATTCGCCGTTTGCTCCCGCCTTCGCCGTCGGCTTTCGGGCGGCGCCCACCTCGCGTCTTGCTCTCATCTACTGCCTGGAATTCTTGCGTGCTCAAGAAATTTGAAGGTGGTCTAGCGAGAGAGAGGAGGGTAATACGCCTGGAAAAATGACTTCGCCTAATGAGCGTCAGCCTCTGCTCGAGGGCAATGGAGCCTCTTCGACTGCACCGAGACGTCCGGGACCAAGAGACATCAGTAGGTCGCACCGGTATGGTATACTTGCAGGTGTATGGGCAGCAACACTTCTATCTGTATGTCTGTTCCTCAACACATTCGGAAAGCCCTGACTCAAATTCCGCAGTCATTGAACGGTAAATGGGACGTCGACAGAGCACTACACTTTACTGACCCTCCTCGCCCTTCTGTGCAGGTACATTGGTGCCTACGAGTAAGCCAAGCCCCGCTATGTACGAGTACATGACGTCGACGTCCTCCCTAGTGCTACCCTCCATTTCGTCGGAATTCAAGAAGTCCAACCAAGCCAGTTGGCTGGGAACCTCGTGAGCTGCAGCGCTTGCTTGCTCACCCGTTCCATTTATAGAAATCCCCTCCAGATACCTGCTTGCAACATGTACATTCACGCCGCTGTACGGACGACTGTGTAACGCCCTAGGACGCCGTGGAGCAAACCAGACAGCCGTCCTAGCATGCGCTATAGGCACGCTTGCCTGCGGGCTGTCTACGAATATGGAGACGCTAATTGTTGCACGATTTGTAGGTCTCCATGCTCGCGACGAGGCTATACTCGACTGACGCGTGCATACCCAGCTCGCTGGTATAGGCGGTGGAGGGATCTTCACGACGTCGACGTACGTAACTAGACTCACCGCAGCACCCGCGCGTTCATACTGAGCCACTGGCCCCAAGCATCGTCATCAGCGACATGTATAGTTTACGAGTGCGCTATCCTTGTGAACTCGTCCCATCCCTCTGACTGACGAGATGCGCTGTAGTCAAGAGGACTGGCTCAAGGATTTGCGAGTGTCTTCAACGGCGTAAGTGTCATGTATTTCATACAAGTCGTTCTCAGAGACTAAACCATTTCTAGTTCGGGATGGGTATTGGCGGCCCCTTAGGCGGCTTCATCACCGACTGGCATGTCGCGCCTGTTATGAGCAGGAGAATATTGCTCACAGCGCTATAGGCTCGGCTGGCGATGGGCTTTCCTATTGCAGCTCCCTATATTTGTAGTATCGCTGGTCTTGACGTCGATAAACCTCACGTACGAAACGCCGGTCAGTCACTCGGTGTATATTCCCCGAAGCTTCACTGAAGGACTTTCAGTACCGGAACACTAAAAGCACGAAGGACGTCTTGAAGAGGATCGACTATCTCGGTAGTCTAACCCTTTTGATATCGGTATGGCTTCTCTGCGCTTCCTTCTCGTTTGTCGCTAAGGCAATCCAGGTCGGCTCGTGCCTCATCTTCCTGAGCACGCGTTACAACAGCATCCTGCCGGTGAGTGACCGTTCGATAGTCCCCTCGTGGGTATCAAAGACTAACGACGCGCCAGTGGTCGGATGCCTCCGTTATCGTCCCCTGTGTATTCGCTGTCGTGTTCTTCATTCTTTTCATCCTCGTCGAGCTCTACGTCGCGAAGGAACCCGTCCTTGCACCCTTCCTGCTGAAGAAGAAGGTCCCCGTCTTGACGGGCATATCGAACTTTTTGGTCGCGAACTGTAACTTCTCCATCATGTACTTTTTTCCGATGTGGTTCCAAACCGTCATGCTCACAAGCGCGTCCACTGCCGGTAAATGTCGAATATCTAGCCTTGCATGGCGCAGACTGCTCATCAATCGCTTATAGGCCTACACTTACTACCGAACAGCGTGTCAATGAGCACTGGCTCCGTCTTCGCCGGCTGGGTCATGCACAGGACGGGCAGGTATAAGACGCTCAACGCCATTTTCGGGATATTCCCCTTTGTGGCCACCATCTTCATCTCGCTGATGCATGAGGGGATGGGCCCTGTTCAATCGTGGCTCAGCATCGTGAGTCGCCAGCTCAAGGCTCGCCACGCGCTCTCATCAACTCCGTCCTAGATTCCTCTGGGCTTTGGAAACGCTGTCGTATTGCAGACGATGTTGAGTGCGTCCTTCAATTTTGCTACGCGGTTCTCACTGACTTGCATGGCCAGTCGCGCTCTTGGCTCATCTCGATGGTCCATTTCTTAAATCGGGTGTTGTCGTATCGTATATTGACGCGTCGTAGAGGCGCATATGGCTGTGGGAACAGGATTTGGCCAGCTATTTCGAGGAATCGGTACGCTGCAGCAACTTTCGCTCGAGCGCCATTGATAACACTGCTGCCCAGGTCAAGTCGGCGGTGTCGCCATCTCGTCAGCTCTGTTCCAGACCAGACTCGACGGCGAACTTCGGCGCCGCATCGTCGACGATGACGAGGTGAGCTGGCACTTGATGGGACGCTGGATCACGCTCATCTGTTCCCCTAGCTCGTTCTCCGCATACGTCAGTCGGCTAGGCTCATCCACAGCCTCCCACCCGACATTCAGAGGAAGGCCCGCGATGCGTATGACGCGAGTCTCAAGAGCGTCTTCGTATACGCGGCGGTTATGACCTTCTTGGCCTATGTCATTCGCCTCCCGGTCAGTCCCTAATTTTATTCCCACGAGCCTATTGACTATATCAGTGGTGGGAGTGGCGCGCTCATTTTTGTGCCCAGATCCCGGATAAGAAACTCGAGCGTCATTCGCCCAAGCCAGTCGATACTCCTGTGGCGAGTGGCGCGTCGTCGGTGTCTGCAGTGCCTTCGGAGCCAGTGGCGGCTCCACAGGCAATCGACATTGAGGATTACGATGAGGAGCAAGATCAGGTAACGGATGTCGAGCACGCAACGCCGAGGAGGGGAAAGCGCTTCAGGCGGCTCTCCTCCTTGTCCACGTACACTTCTACTTACGGGAGCCTGGACCTCGAGGATGATAGAATTGGAGGGTCTGCCAGAAGTCTTTGAACTCTCATTCGTGCGTACACAGTGTTGTTGTAGAGCGTAGGCGATGCTAGCCCGTCTGCATTTCGACTGACTCCATTTGTGGCGAAACTGTGAAGAACTTGAATTTCGACCGTACCGACTGGCTTTGAGGTTGCGCTGAGGTAGGTCCATATTTCCCTTGTACGCACAAAAAGCCATCTGATCCTTGTTGTCCGGAGATGATGCAGCGTGATAGCCCGGCCAGTCCCCTGAAGGTTCTGCACGCCATTGATGGGATCCATGGCGTGCTCGATGCCTGCGGCTAGCGTACGCACGCTAGCCGGAACAACGACGTCTAGAGAGGACCCAGACAGCGGAAGACGACTTTGCCACTGGTCAGTACGGTGCGCTCTGCATTCGGATATCTTGTTCTTTCGGAATGCCCAGGCGTAGGGTGGCAGAGGATATCGAAGAGCAGTTCACGCGGGTTCAGTTTACTCCAGTGCCTCGCGCTAACGCTGCGTATTTCGGAATTCCCTCTCTCTGCACCCTGCGTCGTGGACTTTGTTCTCCGAATTGCTAGATGGTTGACCAGAGAGGCAGCCCCCTACCCCGGTGGTCTGCACGGGCGCACTCTCCTTCTCGCCTTGCCTGGCCGCGAGAAAGCTCTGCGAAGTCTCCCGTAGAAAGGTCTTCCAACTTCAAGCACTATCATGAGCTTGGGAAGCAATTAGACGCCCGGAACCAGGGAGGGGGGCTAGGGTGGCGGTGCATTCGGAGTCGCTTGAGGATCTTATGGCGCTCCGCACAGTTGCCGGCGGGCGGACGGACTTGTCCAGCTCGCCACCGCCGTGCGATTAAGGCCCGCCCAGGGCGCGAAGTCCGTGACAGGTGCGCTGCTCTGCAATTTTATACGGATATATATGCACCGGACGCGTCTGTGGAGGGCGCGCGCTGTGCATCCGCTTTCTACATGACGTCCTTTTCTGAACATTCACCACTGCTGCAGAAGGTCCCGGTCGAGGATGAGGTTACGCGGCGGGGTCCTTGCGAGCTCAATAGCCGTGACAGGATGGGCATCCTTGTTGGTGCATGGATCGCGACATTTCTCTCGGTAAGGTGATCATTGCGCCATCGACGACGACGCTTGCTCACTTGCACATCACGACAGTCATTGAACAGTGAGTAGAGCACTTGCTTGTTAGGTCCTGGTTAATTTACTGACTATCATGATCAGCCACGCTGGTGCCTACCAGTACGTTGTCGATCTCGTCGACATAAGATGACGCTAGCTGACCGCGCACTTGCGCTCCCCAGTGGTACCATCCATCTCGTCCGAGTTCCACAAGTCAAATCAGGCCAGCTGGCTTGGGACGTCGTGAGTCGAGCCTCCAGCATGGAACGCTTCCTTGTCGCTCACCGTCACCCCGCTACCCAGCTATCTCCTCGCGACATGCACCTTCATGCCCTTGTATGGCCGCCTCTCCGACGCCATGGGACGTCGAGCGGCAAACCAGACAGCAATCCTACTGACCGCGTTGGGAACGTTAGCTTGCGCACTGGCTCCCAATATGGAGCTGCTGATTCTGGCGAGATTTGTGCGCTAGAAGCCTGCTCCTCGTATAGATCGTACAAGCTGACCGACTCCTAGGTCGCTGGACTCGGCGGTGGAGGGATCATGACCACGACTACGTGAGTGTTGTGCCGTTGCTTTCATTCAGACGCCTTCTGACCTTCACCCTACCAATAGCATCGTCGTAAACGACCTCTACAGTCTCAGGGTGCGCTGCCTGAGCTCCAGCCCTTCTCGCATCTGACTGAACTATCTGTAGAGCCGCGGACTGGCGCAGGGCGTAATGCGGGTCTTCGACGGAGTGAGTCGCAAAAAGTCCTCGGGTCACCCGGCTTCTGACTATTTTCGCAGCTCGGTATGGGTTTGGGAGGGCCCATAGGCGGCATAATCACCGACCGGTATGTCCGCTGGGCCTCGTTCTATCGGCGCAGCTTAACGGGATGTCAGACTGGGCTGGCGGTGCGCGTTCCTCGGTCAACTGCCATTGTTCGCGTTGTCGTTCTCGTTGATAACGTGGCACTTGAGCTACACGGTATCGGTGAGTGGCAGACATCCCGTATAAGGCGGACGGTAGCTGACGGGCGTTGATAATGCGTAGGACGAGCACGAGGAGAAGCGGAATGTGCTATCGCGGGTCGATTGGTGGGGATGTATGACCCTGATGCTTGCGGTGCGTATGCGTAAGTTTGGATGCGAGGTCAGCGCTGATATCGCCACAGGTTGGATCATCCCTCATCTTCCTGGGCAGCAAGTACAATAGCTCCCTACCAGTATGCTGAGCACCTTTTCTAGAAAACATTCAGCTGACACCTCGTTCAGTGGGCCGATCCCCATGTTGTCATCCCGCTCTACCTCTCCCTCGCCTTTTTCGCCCTCTTCCTCCTCGTCGAACTCCGCGTCGCCCCCGAACCCGTCCTCGCCCCCTTCCTGCTCAAACAAGCCGTCCCCGTCCTCACCGGCATCAGCAACTTCCTCGTCGCCGCCTGCAACTACTCCATCACCTTTTACTTCCCCATGTGGTTTCAGACCGTCATGCTAGCTAGCGCGAGTACGGCGGGCTTGCATTTATTGCCGCTGAGTGTGGCGATGAGCGTTGGGTCGATGCTCGCGGGATATGTGATGCATAGGAGTGGGCGGTACAAGGCGCTCAATCTGACGTTTGGTATCCTGCCGTTGGTCTCGACAGTGTTGATCTACCTCATCCGGGAGGATAGCAACGATGCACATCTATGGCTGAGCATCGTGAGTAGCTCTTCGTTTGAGCGCTATTGTGCGAAGCTGACTCACCATCAGATTCCACTTGGGTTTGGTAACGCTGTCGTGCTGCAGACGATGCTGAGTACGTCCCGTGCCCCTCTGACATATTGCATATGCTAATGTCCATCTAGTCGCCCTCCTTGCGCACCTGGATGGTCGGTCTGGATAATTGATGCGCCCAGTCAGTCGCTTACCCCTGTACAGAGAAAGACATGGCCGTTGGAACAGGTTTCGGTCAGCTATGGCGCGGTGTGGGTAAGTCCTTCATCTTTCTCCAGGAAGGCTCGTGAACCAATCGCATTCCTCCAGGCCAAGTATGCGGCGTCGCCGTCTCCTCTGCTATCTTTCAGTCACGACTAGAAACGGAGCTGCGTGCACGTATATCCGGCGACGAGCTGGTAACGCGTATTCGACTCTCAGCATCGTACCTCTTCAAGCTAGATGAACCAACACAAAGACTGGCTCGGGACGCGTACAACGCGAGTCTGAAGTCAGTCTTCCTGTTTGCGATGATTGCAACTGGATTAGCGTATACGGCGCGGTTGTTTGTAAGTTCCTCCCCGTTGCGCATAAGCGATTCGGTGGCTGATCTCCACCAGATCCCTGATAAGAAGTTGGATCAGCAATGCCCGAAGGTGGATCCGCCTGCGTACCGCTCTGTCCCACCTTCAGACCAAGGCGACACAGAGTCCATAGCAGGCACTTTGACGACCATTGACGAAGACGACGAAGCAGATATGGACATGAGATCAAGTTTTGAAGAGCTCACGACCAGGACGAGACGAGATTCGGATGATTAGGGTACAGTGGAGAGCATATAGAACCGCAGCGCAGCCAAGAAAAGTACTATTAGGTAGATATAGTGTAGTGTAGTATAACGCGCCACCTTAAGTGGCGCGTGAAAGCCGTTGAGGATGGAGTAATGACAGTCATGGCGTATAGTTTGTGGTTGTTATAGTCGACGAGCTCGAGCCCGTTCCCCTGCCTATCCCATCCCGCCTAGCGCAGCTATGGCTTCTCCGTAGCGATAGTGAGCCCGCCAAAGAGGACCTCGTATTCCATGAGTCGCGGATTGCCTCCCATCCACTCGTCGATGTCCGTCTCCGCGAGCGCGCGTCCTGTTGACGCGATCCCGTAGATGCAGGCGCGCAGCAGGCCGAGCACGAAGAGCCCGCCCAGAAGAAAGGCTAGTCCACCGCCGAGTACGAGGATGCAGACGGTTTCTGCCGACGCGTCGAGGCGGTGGAGGGTGTCGGCGAAGCGGAGTGCGGCCGCGCCAGCGATGAAGAGGTAGACGAACGCGATCAGCGGGGCGATCGTGACGAAGGCGGAGGTCTGCGTGAGATCTGGGTCGTTGAGAAGTCGGCGAGCAGTAGCTTGTAGATCGCGGAGGACGCGCTCAGCTGGCGTGCGAGGCGGCGCTTTGAGTTGCTTCGAGGGCGTAGCATGATGCGAGTAAGATAGGCTCGGAACAGCGAGCAAGGCTGGCGAGGAGGACGGTGAGGGTCTGCTCTTCTGTGCTGTGAGATCCCCGAGGCTTCCAGAGTCGCAGATGAAGCCAGCGCGCGTTGTGGCGGCGGGACCGTGAGGGACGATGGCGGGCATGATGGGCGTAAGAAGCAAGTCGTGTCTTGATCAATGCGGAAGCGTTCTCGCGCTATGAGCCAGTCACAACGGATCCTGGACCGCTGTATACACCTACACCATCCATTTACTTCGTCTGGAGAATACGGAGTGCATAACAGGCAGCATATATGTACCATGTGAACCACATAGTCGTGCATAAGGTGAAAAATAAAGGAAGACGGGGGAGTGTTAATGGTGAGAGAAAACGGCGTGCTTGTCATGAGATGTGGAATCAAGAATCTGCTACACGGTAGTGAGAACGGGAAATAGATGTATGGTGGATGGTACTAGTTGTTCATTGGATGGGAAACAGTGAAGGGTGCGGGTGCGCAGGGATAGATGAAAAGTGCGGTGAAGAGAACCATGCAAAGAAACAACGTGGCTGGGTTCGTCGACAGGTACGGTATATGGTAGAGCTAGACATGAAGGAGGACGGGAATCGATTAGACATGAGCAGAACGAGTCAACGCTATGCAAGGGGAAGAGGATATAGAACCAAGATCACAGGGAGGGCATACATGGAACCTGGCAACCTTCCCTGACTTCCTGCTCGGCTGTTGCGCTACGAGATATCTACGCCGCGACGCTATGCCTTCGCAACGCATCGTCGCCGACCCTGGAAGTTCGCCGTGAGCCTCCCGCCGCACTACTCTTTCGGCGGCCCTCAACATTGACAAAATTCCTCGTCGAGGGCATCCACTCCCCGTCCGCATCCCCACCATCCGAGTCGTCGCTCGCGTCCGGCGGCATGACTTGCGGACGCGACTTCTTCCGCCGTACGGCACGTTGGAGGTCCTCCTCGGGAGGAGCAGCCTCGGACCCCCGAGCGCGATGTCGCTCGAGGGACTTCCGGCGTTCGAGAGAGGTGCGACGCTCGGGCTCCTCTGCGTCATCCTCGGGCTCGGTGTTGCTGGATACCCGTGGCGTGGTGGTACGCTTCCTGACATGGGAGGCCCGCCTATCACCATCCTCCTCCTCGTCCTCGGGCTCAGTGAGAGGGTGAGAGGTACGCGGGGCAGAGGAGGTAGACGAAGAGGCGCGCTTCTTGGCGTGAGTAGTACCCGGTGCGCTGCCAGGCGGTGGATCCGGCTTGCGCATCTTGCTGAAGAGACGTCAGTGGAGTTCCGACGGAATCGATGCTGCACTCACGTATTCAACTTCGGCTCCGCATAGTTAACGCTCTTGCGCACACGTCGTTCGCGGCCGCCAAGGCCAGCTGCGTCTCCATCAGATGGTATGGGACTAGAGGATCGTTGGCGCATTGGGTCTTCCGGCTCAGCGAGGAATGGACGCGGCGAGGGAGCAGCTTCAGGTGGTGGCGACGCCTCATCTGGCTGAGATTTAGGCGCTCGCTGGGGTTTAAAACCACCGTGCAACCCACCCTGAACGGCGTTGGTCACGTCCTTGAGCCTCGTCACCGACGCCAGAACCGCTGGCGGCTCGCTCGCCTCCGCCGTCTTGCGCTTGCGCCGCACGGTCTCGGTAGACTCGACGACTTGCTGCTCCTTGTCAACGCGCGATCGCTTCTTCTTCTCCTTCGGTGGCGCCTCCTCATCGTCATCCTCGTCCGGTATGTCGATGGTCTCGCGCACAGGCGAGGGGCTGCCAGGCCGCTCCATCTTCGTAGTCTCGCGCGCCACTTGCGTGTCAATGGTGAGCAGACCGCTCTGCCGCCGAGCGGTCGAGATGCGCTTGGGCGGCGCAGGCGTCAGGCTCGTAAAGTCGATGCGCATCGAGGGACCCGGTGTCGCATCAAGGGGTGGCGATATCGTCCGCTGAGGCATAGGCAGTCGCGATCCCGACAGGCGCGGCTTGGCCTTCGTCTTGCGCAACGTGGGGCTCCGCCGCGCGGCCTCCGAGTCAGACACGCCCGTCTCGTCCTCCTCGTTGATCTCCGGGACCGAGGGAGCGCGGCACACGCGCAAAGGCGACAACGTGGGGCTGGAGGGATACTGCTTCGGCGGCGGCCGCTGCGCGCGGGGAAGCTTGGGGGAAGGAGGTGGTGGCGAGCCGGGCTCGATCCTCATGGCAGCCCTGACGGCTTGGAACTGGGCTGCAATCTAACCGAGCGATCAACGACGCGGTCAGCTGGGAGAGTCGCGCCACGCACCGCCGCCTCTGCCTGCGCGAGGATCTTCCTCGACTTCTCGTGCTCTTGTCGGAGCTGGGCCTTGAGCGCGTTCTCGGACGCGCGCAGAATCAGGTTCTCCGCCCGCAACGTCGATACCTCGGCCGTCAGCTCCTCGATCCGGACGCTCAGCGTCGAATTCAGTCTGTCCATACTTCAGCATGCTCTTCAACTTCCCAAAGCGCCGAGCTTACTTCGTGATATGCTTGTTCTGAAGCGCAAACTTCTTCTTGTCTGCCACCGGGTATGAGCCTCCTGCAACAGTGTCCAGAATGTAGACGCACAGTTCTCGAACTCGAAGAGAACATCATTCTGCTTCGCTGCGTTCATAGACGCCCGCGATTCTCGCCTGCTCATCTTCGTTGTCGTCGTCGTCGCCGAAGCGCTCACGGCGCGGTCAAGTCAGTCGTCGCGGTTGCCGGTCAACACACCGCTTTGACCTCTGATGGCGGGTAAACAGCACGTGATGCGCCATCAGTGATCAAATTCATTGTTCGACTCAAGTTCGACTCCCATTGACTAGAGAACTGTGATGCGGTTCCTCCTGAACTCCTCACCTCAGCTCACTTACTTTCATCAGTATGAGCACCTCTCCTGGCATCATCTGATGACAACAAGCGACTTTGAAACGACCTTCCCTGCGAGCAACACGACGAGTCTTCTCCCCTCCTTCCCGACTGTGCCGGCTTCTCACAACGGCACGTATAGCAATCGTTTGAAGTCATTTGCAGGATGGAGGTGATGTGTGGTTTGCCGACAACGGCTATATGACTCTAGTTTACATGCAATTAAGCCGCGCTTATAAGCGACGGTTGGTACGAGTACAACGAACGAAAGCGATAGATTATCCACGATAATGCTGCAAGCGATGATCAGCACTGAGGCCGAGATGAAAGGAACGATCACGTACAGTAGGGTCTGCAGCAAGATAAATATGTACATTGAACGTTGGATGAGTGATGAAAGAGCAGGAGAAAGGGATGTGATGGATCGTGAAGGTCCCATGTGTCAACAAGGGGGTTGGCTATATGACAGGACGTGGCGTCGGAACGAGGCGTAGCATGCTCGTCAAAGGGGCGCGTGGGTGGCAGCCGTCATGGGTACATCGTTTGCTGATAGTGCTTCATGAAAGCGACAAAGCTGACGACGATGAGGTCGATGAGGTTGATGCCAGCGGGCAGGATCTCCAAGCTCGCGCGCCGCGAGCGGGAAACGATGCCGAGCTTCGCAGAGCGGTAGCGCGCTATCGGTGTCTTGGAGTTGTCATTCAGGAAGAACTGGGGAGGGGAGTTAGCGAGGGTGTGTGAGTGGGAAAGGCTGCCGTAACGCACGAAGGGGTGCATGAATATCTGCCACTTGTATGGCCGATTGTCGGGCCCCGTGAACGCCCACTCCGGTGGCTGGGTGCTGTTGAAGGAAAGTCAGTCATGGCCTCTCAGGCATGATCACCCCACGCACCGCTCGCCCTCCACAGGCCGCACTGCAACACTGTAGTCCGGTGGCGCGTAGTCGATGCTGAAGCGCACGTCCACCTCGTCCGCGTCCGCGCGTGGATAGTCGATGGTCCCGATCGTCAAGGGCTCCCCTATGTCGAGCAGCTTCTGGTTGAGCTTGCTGACCGTCGTGCGCGCGCGCTTCCCCTTCATATGGCACGGCGTCGCGATCGAGTAGAGTATGAGCCCGTCGGAATTGATGAGCCGCGTCCGCGTCGGGTCGTTGTCGCGCAGGAAGAGTTCCATTGCGGTGGGGGTAGGGGGGATGAGGACCAAGGAGAGTATATAGGGCGGAGGAGTGGGGCGTATGGCCGTAAACCAAGGGAAACACCGTCAATGATGAGCTCCGCGACCGTGGAGCGCGGTGTCACGGCTCCTGAACAAAGTTGGGCGCTGCGTGGGTGGTTGAAAGGGAGATGGAAATCAAGCAAAAGAGCGGATGGAAAGCAGCTGTCCACTCAGCATCGCAGTCCAGAACAAAGCCCGTACGATTTCAAATTCGCCACCGCCGTACCTGGCTGTGGGAGTGACGTATTTGGTCTAGGCCCTTCCACCAAAGCGACCACAGACAGGTCGCTTTTGCGCCACTAAAAGTGAGGTCCGGCAATCCCGCCCAAGCGATCGTGCAGCTTAGTAATCACACCGCCACCGCTTTGACCGCGAAAGACGACACTCAACATAAGTTCGACTGTACGCGATGGTGTGCTCGCTAGCGACGTACAATTCCATTCCACTAGGTGCAGATGGGCTTTGACAGGCCAATCATTACAAAAAATGATTTTTCTGGGCACCAAACCTTGCCTAAACCTGTACATTGGGCGGAGGTGAGTCCTTGGTGTAGTAGGGGTGTCCCTCGACGAGGCCGCAACACGGAGTGCATGATCCCAGTACCTGAGGTATGCTATGGCCGACTGTATGGCACGATTTGACCTCTCGAATCGCTGCTTAAGGCAGCTTATCCTTGTCCGAGCTCATGAAGCTGAACACCTCGTGTATGCACGTTGTATTGCGCTCTGAAAAACTTTTTCAAAACGTATACAGGAGTAATTACTACTATGGAATACTTCTGACAAGAAACCTTCTCCTAAGTAGACCGGAGGAGCGCGCAAAGGACGGGAAAGGCGGATGAGGCGCGATCACGTGACTGATCCTCTGTGATCTGGCTCTGCATCCAGTTCACGTTTTGCACGCGACGGCGTCCAAATATGCCCCAAATAGCTGCACAATCACGCGCTGTTCTTGAGGGCCTACGGTTCGTATTGAACAAATATGCGCTACACTAGCATTGCATCTCCCAAAATCGATGTTCCGGGACAATAACAGCAATTTTGCTCAAAACGAACTGTTCTCGCACCTCCAAAGTACCTATTTCACGCTTTTCCAGGCTCATTCTGGGCACCCGTACGCATGCAAACTTGAAGTACGCGCTTGGGAGGTATGTTCGCTCAAAAAGGCAGGTGCATGATGACTAAGCTGCACGATCGTCTGGGCGGGATTGCCGGACCTCACTAAAAGAGCCCGGAGAGATGAGAGGATGGGATAGTGGAGGGAAACGAACAAAATCCAAGCACAGTTGTTGACAGTGAGATCCTTTCGACACGTAACGGACACACTTTCTCCATCGGGACGGACGTGCCACGCGCGTGTAGCACAAAGGATACCATAACATAGATGGTGGCAAGCCACAGGCTGCTCGCTTAGACCAAGCGAGCAACACTGATCACACTCGCCTCTCCTTACGTCTCCCACTTAAACATGTATGATTATGATACTATTCAGAGTTTGTACAGCGGCTCCGCGATGAATGTTGCCCAAGGACCTGGGCACTGATGGAAAAGCTGGCATAGACGGTGAACGCTCCAACGTTGAAGAGCATTTCGTCGCTCTTTATGGCGGCGGCGCGCTCGTTCCCGAAGACGGAGTCTTGATGTGTCGGAGCGGCTGAAGGCCATTGAGTGCCTAGTTAGTGGTCATTGGGCTCAGGAATATAAGCCTTTAGATACGCTTCATGAGGGTAGCGCATATTTTACCCCTGCGGAAAGGCAAAGGCCAGCAGCGAAGACTCAAGCCCCTGGACCGCCGAAGTTCAACTTGTGACGCGCCCGCGGCGCGTCACGCGGCCGCTGACGGCAATTGCCGTTATTTTCCCATCCGCTTCCCGTGAAAACCACTTTTTGTACTTGTTTGGTCAGGGAAGCAGCCCCAATCTCGTGGGTTAGTCAGTGTTGCTCGCTCCGCCTTTCCCTCCCTCGCAAGCTCGGGGGGTCCCTTAGGCGTCGCTCGCAAAAAGGCAAGTCTTGGCGGGAGTAATGCGAGAAAAATCAGGGAAATATCGAGACCGGCCTTCTTTCGAGCGCAGACTTGTCCCCATTGCTTTTTCCAGGCGCGGCTCTTAAAAATGATAGAGATACCATGCTTATGCTACATAATAGACACATCGAATCCATATGAAGGCAGAGCTACATCAGAGACCCGCTCCTGAATCTACATAGCCTTTCCCTTTCCCTTATTCCTTGCCTGCTTCTGCCGCGCCGCGGCACACATGTCCCCAGCAAATGCCTGCACCTTCTCCAACAAGAGACCCATGTCGGTCCTCGCGGTCAACGCCCTGACTTCCTCGACGTTCTCCACACAGGCTGAACGTAGCAGTCGCTCGTCGGCCTCCGACCAAGTCTTCCCTGGATCCTCCTTCACCTGGACGTTTTCCTGCGGCGCGAAGCTCGGTCGAGAGTGCTGCCCACTGGCGCGGCGCGCCTCGCGAGCCCGCGCCTCCTCCGTGCGTCCCTCGCGCTGCAGCCGCGCATATTTCGCGCTCCGCGTATGCGCAGGCGGAGAGTACTCGCGCTCCTCCACCACCCGCGGCGCACTCGGTGGGCTGATCTGCAGCTGTCCAGCAGGACGAGGCTGCTGACCCTGCGGCGTCGACGCGTCCTGCGGCGCAAAGCTGCGCGACAACTCCATCACGCTGGGCTCCCCGGCCTGCACGGCGCTGTCGGCCCTCTTGCTGGCACTACTGCCGGCATCGGAGCCATTGAGCGACCGCTCCAGCGCCTCCTGCCACTCCTCCGCAGCCCTTCGCGCCCCCTCGCGCATCACGCTCAAGCATCTTTCTGTCGTGCTCAAGCTGCGCTCGTACTGCTCGAATATGTCCCGGACTTCGTGCTCCGCGAATCCCCAGGTCGCGGACAAGCGCTTGACCGCAACCTCCGCGCCCAGGTCCTCGAGCATCTTGCGATCCTGCGACGTGTCGATGTCGGCAAGGAACGATGCGCTGAGCGAGGGCGCACGGGCGGTGGTCACCTCCGAAGGTGCACGAGCAGAGACAGCGTCCGAAGGGGCGATAGACGTGCGGGAAGCGACAGAGGATGCGCGACTGTGCCGAAGAGCCGAGTTCGAACCCTTGCGCGTTATAGCGAAGCGCCGCAAGTCGAGAAGTCCGCTGGGTGTCCCGGTCGCAATTGTGTGCCGGCGCGACGTTCCCGCGTTCATGCCGGCAATTGGTCTTATCGTTGCTTCAACAACATTCGACTTTCGCGGCGGGGCAATGGGCGAGTGGAAGGACGCCGTGCGAGCGATGGACGGGACACGAGACAACATAGGAGCGGGGGCGGAGATCGACTCCTCTGCAGGCGCTTTTTGCGTAGTCGAGGCTGTATCGCTTGCGCGTCTCGATGTGTCGGCTTCTGTGAACACGTCGTCGACGATGCGAGAGCTGGCAGAGAGCTTGCTCTTCGTCCGCGCCTGACCGTCATTGGCTATCGCAGACGCCTCCACGGGCTGGAGTGTGCTGCGCCTATCGACAGGCGCACGGGCCTCCTCCTTTGGAGTGTCCCTCGGTGCTATGAAAGTGCGGCGTGGACGCTTTGCTTCACGCTTGGCCTCAGCGACTCTATAAGGCACAACTTGAGGCTGCACCCTGCTCGCCACAGGAACGTTCGCACCAGCCGCTGGCTGCGCTTGCGTTTGCGCATGAACATCCTCCTCCTCCGTATCGCTCCTCCGCCGCTTGCGCCTCATCGGCGGCCACCGCTTCGTCTCGCCACTCTCCTTGCCCTCTTCCCCCTGCCGCAGCACAAACCGCGTGCCGCCGAACGCTCCCTCCTGCAGCTTCCGCGGCTGTCGCGGTGGTGGCGAATCGGACATAGCCGAGCGAGGCGTGGCCGGCGTGCGTTCATGTGCGACTGGCTGAGCGGCAGCAGCCCCCGGCGGCGCGACAAGTCCACTACGCTGAGCCGTAGGTGTATGAGGCGAGGGTGGGCGGGGAGTCGCTTGGTCGATGGGAGGGGCATGCGAAGGCTCGCCGTAGGTACTGCGCTGGGCAGGAGGCGTATGGGGCGAAAGCGGGTCGATCAGTCCTACAACCCGGGGCGCCTGCAATGCAGGCTGAGGAACTCGCATATCACTCTGCGCCCCCTGCAATGCAGACCGAGCAGGCCTCATAGCCTGAGGCGGGGCAGTGCGAGTCACCTGCAGCGGCGCAGCCTGCCCGCTCTTTGATACAGCCGTCCCGCCCCTCGGCACAGGCGTCCCAGCCACGGAGGACGTATCGTCGAAGATATCCTTCTTTGGCTTCTTCCTGCGCACGGGGACAGCCGCATACTTCTTCTGCAACGCTGCTGGCATAGGGCGCGGCGGGGAGTCAGCCTCATCCGCATACCCCAGAGCTGCTGGGAAGGGACGCGGCGGGGAGTCGATGTCGTCTGCGTGAAACTCGTTCTCTGCATGGAGCTCGCTCTCTGCATGGAACTCGCTCTCTGCAGGGAATTCGGTCTCCCGCACAGGCATTTCAGTCTCGGGTGCAGGCCACTCGGTGTCTCCGGGGGGCTCGGAGGGCGGGTCCGGCATCGGTGTAGGGGCCACCGATGGCCTAGTACGAAGTGCGAGTCGTTGTGCGACAGTCCGTGAGCGCTCCATCAGGAGCGCACGCTGCTCGGGAAGAGGTGCACGCTGCTCGGGAAGAAGCGCACGCTGCTCTCGAAGAGGCGCACCTCGCTCGGGAGGCGGCGACGGTCGCTCGGTAGGAGGCGACGTTCGCTGGATCTGCGGAACCGGCACCGCGGTCTGTGGCGAGGACTCCGTAGGCGTTGGCTTCCTGATATCCGCGGGCACACTACGCAGACTCGGCAAAGGAGGCAGCGGCGGGAGCTTCTGCCTCGGCGGGGTGCGAGGCGGCGAGGGCGCACGAGGCGGCGAGGGCGTACGAGGTGGTGACGGCTGGCGGCGTGGCGCAGGCGTCGATGGCTTACGGCGGGGAGCAGGCAGCGACGCCGAGGCCCGCAGCGGCGTACTCCTCAAGGTCGGGACGCTCGCGTGCTTCCGCAGCGCCGCGGTGATCTGCCTCTGGAGATTGGGGCTGGGCAGCTGGCGCAGGTCTGGATATATGCGCTCGGGCGGGGAGGGCGAGGAAGGGGTGGAGGAGGTGATGGGGCTGTAGCCGGGTACGCCGTGTGGGATGCTAGATAGCGAGACCAGTCAGCTATGAGGTATGATGGAAAGCGGACGGCCCACTCACGAAGACGGCTCCGGTTCCGGGATGCGGTTCTCTTGATCCTCGTCTATCTGATCGGGGGTCTGCGGCTCGTATGCTGGCGCCTCCTCGTATGCGCGTGCGTGCTCGTATCCGTATGCTTGCGCGCTTTCCCCATATGCTTGCGCGTTCTCCTCATATGCTTGCGCGCCCTCCTCCTCGTACGTTTGCGCCTCATCACCGTACTCCGGCGCATGCTCGTAGAGCTCTTCTTCGTCAACCGGCGGGACCTCCATCGCGATATACTCCGAAACCATCCCGTAATCGTCAGAGGCCGGCATGTCGCGGGCCTCGTGTGCGTCAAGCACGTCCGTGTCCTGCGCGTGCGCGTGCTGGCCATCCATGAGGTCCTCAGTGGCAAGTAGGAGCGCCGCCTCGTCCTCTTCCGCGTATTCCTCCTCGTCCTCTGCTGCGTAGTCCCCTTCAGCCGCAAGATGCTGCCTCGGCGCGGCCTCTTCCTCGTCGTCGTATAACACCCCATCACCCCCGCCGCCTTCGTCTCCATGTTCATATTCACCCTCATAACCATTCACTTCGGCCTCATAACCTTCCCCGTCTACCCAGTCGTCCTCGTACACCGAGCCTTCGTCCACTTCGCTCTCGCTGCGCATGTCCTCGACGAGTACTTTGCTAGACGACGCGCGCGGCTGCTTGTCGCGGACGGCGCGGCGGGGCTGCTGGCGCAAGGGTGGCGTCGCGGACTGCTCACGTGGGGGGAGTGTTGCCGGCTTGGGGCGCGGAGTAGTAGGGTCTGCCGGCTGAGGTTTAGATGTTGTCGTTCGAGGCCGAGGTGTGACAGGCTCGGGCGGAGGAGTTGCTGCTTGACGGCGAGGAACCCTGGGTTGGCGCTGAGGGGTCACCGGCTGGCGCGGCGGCGTCACAGGTCGTGGACGAGGGGACTCTTGTGCAGAGGAAGCACCATTGGCGTCGTTTGAGGAGACTCGTACTAGCGTTGTCGTATCTGCACATCCTCATCAGCGCTGTGCCATCGCACGAGAAAACATCACGCACTAGACTTCACTGCCGTTGCGGCACCCGTTGACTCGTCCACCTTGCGCTTCTTCTGTGGCTGCTTCGTTGTCGTCTGCTGCATGTCCTCAACCTCGTCATCGCTGTCTCTGCCGGACTTCCTGCGCCTCTTCTTGGGCGACGCGGCCCGTGGCTCCGCGTCTGGCTCCGTGTCGTCTTCCGGCGGCAGCTCAGCTTCATCCCTCCTCTTCTTCCTTATCATCTTCTTGATCTTTCTGTCAAACCAAATGTCGCTCTTCTTGTAGTGGTCTCGCCACGATTGCCAGGGGTGCGTCTTGGCCCAAGGAAACTTGTCCAACTGTGATCAACGTGAGCGAGTTCGTCTGTACAGGGAGCAGATGTGTTGATCTCACGTTACCACACAATGTATCCTTCCATAGCTTGTTCCCGCGTCTGTCGACGCCAGTGGGATTGTATTCAGCAAGGAACTTGACCAAATGCGCATCCTCGCGATCCGTGTACTGCTGCCGTCTGGTAAAAGGCTCGTGAGACACAATCGACTATGGGCAAGCTTACTTGCACTTACCCTGAGGCCATGATCTCCTCTCCAGCGCCTGCTTCGCAATCTAACTAAGAGGCGGTGGATGATGATGGCGGTTGAGGACAACACGAGGCGTATAATGTCACGTCACACGCATAACGCGTAAGCCTGTCACGTGCCCGCGATTTGGCGAACACCGGCAGTTTGCGAACGCGACGGCTTGCCCAGCGCCGATCACTTCAGCTTGCTCCTCTCGACGTGCACGGTGCGTAGACTATTTCTCAAACTCTGGACACATACTAAAAGCTATATAGATGGCCTCCCTGATGACTACATGGCTCTCCCCTCGCGTCTGCTCGTGCGCGAAAGCCGCGTCCTTCCCCCGTGCCGCCGCTGCTTTGCACACATCCGCCCCGATATACAGGCGCAAAGGTCCGGCCGCGTCGAACGACAAGATCACCGAAGTCCGTCAGTCTTTTGTTCGCGATACCTTGCCCCATCACGCTGTCCTGGAGGACGGTACGACACAGCCCATGGAACCTGCCGATCGCGACGAAGATGGACTGTATACCAAGGGCGTCTTCCGACGGCGGTCGACGCGCGCGAGCGAGCAGGACTGGCGCCAACGGAGGGGAACCTGGGACCATGAACTGCGCAACAGGGGAGTCTTCACACAGCCAGCGCCCGAAGCAGCTTCACGATCTCCGCACACGAGCAAGCGTCAATGGGGCAAGGACCTGGTCGACTTGCACATGGACCTTCAGCTTGATGACCTTCTAAACACCTACAACTCCAAATCATCGTCCGCGTCTGGCAAACGCTCCGCCCAACGGCAGCAGAACCATCCGGGCAACGCGCACGATGATCGGGATCCGGGGATGCGTTTGGGACCGAATCCATTCACGCGCCTTCGCAGCACTAGATGAGGCGGATGTGCAGCACTACATACTATCTTACAGACACAGACTTAGCTTTGGCCTTTGTACTCCCTACTCTACTGATCGGTCTTGCATATTACGGGTGGAACAGCAATGGATACATCTCTCCTCCACAAACACCCTTCTGGGCTCGATGTTGTCACATCCTCCGCCAGGGGCCAGTGCCAAAGACTGAAAGGATGGCCAACTAGCCCGGATGACAACGCATAGACAGGTTTGCGCCAATCGAAGGAGTATATGCGGACCCCAGCAGCATACGCGTACGGATAAATAGCAAGATAAATACTCGTGCGCGAGCGCTGCTATCCTGGACAGGGATGAAATCTGGCTCAGCACTCCGCCTTGTACTCGCCGTTCGTATCCGACTTGACCTGGGCATCGAATTTGAGAAACGTCGAGCGGTCATCCTTGTTCGAAAGGACATCGTCAATCTTGAGAGCCCCTGTGCGCCTCGCGTCAGCCTGCCCTTCTCCAAACCCAACGAGGAGTCGTTGGCACTCACACTTATAATGCCCCTCCGTCTTATCGTCGTACTCGAACCACACCCACCCCGTCGCCACGAACGGCACCTGCCCGGAGCCCTGCGCCGTGCACGTCGACACGTCAAAGTTGACCTTGCAGGTCTTGCCATCCGCGACCGCAATGGACACGGTCTGCGTCGACTGCTGGTCCGTCTCGGACGTCTCGGTCGTCGCGAGCGTGTTCGTGAAGGTCGCCTCGACGTAGGTGGGCGAGGTGATGTTGGAGATCTTCTTGGGTATCTTGACCTTAACGCCGGTGAATTTCTCGCCGATGGCGATGGAGGATTGTTCTGTGGGCCATAGGTCAGTGACAATGAGAAAGAGACGGGACGGACAAGAGCGCAAGGTACGTACCTGACACGGTCTGCGACGAAGAGAACTTCGTGCCCGTGGTCTCGCTGACTGTCGCAGTGCCGTTCGTCCCCGTTATGGTCGTATCGAGCGACTGCGTCTGCGTCGTGCACGCGGGGTCGCCGTCAACGGTGATCTCGCTCGCGTCCTCCACGCAGATCTCTGCGGGACGGTCGGGGTACTGCGTAGATCGGGTCAAAATTCAGAACGTGCGTCCGCAAGTTACAGGATCTGCACTCACGTCCTTATCGTTGGTGACGATCTTGCGCGAGCCAGTGCCCCAATTGTCGTTCGCCTGCTGCTCGAGCTGGGCCCAGCCGGGAACTGAGAGACGGTGTCCATATGAGTTACATCTACAGTGTGTGAATGAAGGACATACGCTTCTGAACATCATCAGCGCTCAACGAGGTGCATGAGCCGGTGGCTTGCCGCTTGGTCTGTACAAAGGTATCGCGCTCGACAAAACCTAGGTGGACGCCGCGCGCGTCGTACGCGACGATACGCTTCGTGGCGTCGTCGATGGCGAGCTTCGTCGCATGCTCTGGCACTTTGGAGCGGGGCATCGGTGTGGCGCTAGCAAGCAAAGCCAGCACCATAGTTGCGAACGCGAAGGAGAAGCGGGCCATGACGCAGGATTGACGGACTGTGAATGCGCAAGATCGCAGGAAGGGTTAAAGAGCGGAATGGGAGGGGTCCCGGGAGGGAACGAGGCGGAGTCGATTGCTCCGAAGACAACAAGGAGGAACGCAGGTTGTAAAGCTCGCAAGGAAGGAAGCGTTGACTTTATGCGTACCTCGAACATCTCGCATAGCTTATCCCCGCGGACCATATGGTGGATCGCGAGGAATCGTCGAAGCGATCTGCGGTCTTGCGAGAGGTTGCAAGAGGGCTGGGAGCGGTTGACTGGCGGGCACGACAACACATGCGCACCATTGATGTGATCAGAGGCTGGCTGCTCAACGCGCATCGTCGACGCCGTGTACTTATTATCGGCCGATAGGTTGAGGCGGCAAGTACGTGTCTGGCTTCTAGTAGAATGTGAGTGGAAGGCCTGCTTGGGGAAATTTGTTTTCCTGATAGGGAAAGTCAACGATCTGGCAACGCAGGGCAATCAGTGCTGGAAGAGGACAGCATCCCTGCTCACCAGAACCAGCATGCACTGACTATTGGGGGTCCTGGAGGGTTCAAGAGTAGACAGGCTGAGTCGAGCATCTATTTGCGAGCGAGGTAGCATCGTGCGGTACGGAATCGTGAGCGTAGCGTGAGGCATTAGGATTAGATGTAACACAAGATAAAGATACAGTGCGATTTACAATACACAGCATAGCGATCCATAGCGCACGCCTAGCCGTGCGGTCAAAAGCAAAGAGAGCGACAGCATGCAGCAGCATGACCATAGAGCGTAGTGGGAGCGGGGTATAGAGAGTGAACCGGGTAACGGAGGGAAAAGACACAACGGGGAAGGCACAGACTCATCGCCCAGGAGAGTTGCTGGTGACCTTGTTTGCCTCCACAATTTCGCCCACATGTTGATTTCGTTTGCGGGTCTCCTCGACTTGGCGAGTCAAGAGTCTATCAACCGGTCAGCGAGATAGATTAGCGAGAGATTCGCAGACTTACGCGATGGTCCGCTCCATCTCTGCCTGGCGGTCCTTCGCGCCCTGCTTCTCGCGCTTGTACCTCTCCTCCGCCGCCTTGAGGCGAGTCTCGTACTCTTTCACGCGTGCTTCCCACTTCATATCAGCCGCAACTGACCGCTGTTGGTACTGGTGGAATCGCTCCTCCGTTGCAGCAAGCTGATTGGCCGTATTGTTCTGGCGACGCTCGGCATTTGCAGCGCGCGTTAGTGCAGAGCGAAGCTCCATGGGATCAGCCGTTCCAGGCTTTCTCCCACTTGCCAGCTGGGCTGCCATCTCGGCATTCGTGGACTGCGCAAGGTTGAGTATCTGGTTCTTAGGCCAAATGCGCTCGCGTACCTTCAACGCCTCGATCTCGCCCTCCTTCGACATCATCTTCCGCCTCCATGTCGCCTTGCTCTCCGCCGCAACCTTCACGCTCGCCTCGAACTTGTCGATCTGCTTCCAGCGGTTGTCAAGCTGCTTGCGCATCTCGGTAAGCTTGTCCGCAAAGCGGTTCTCCGCCTCCTTCGCGCGCTTCTCGAAGTCGACATGGATCTGGCTGAGCTGCTTAAGACGAGTGATCAGGTTGTCGTGGAAGACGCCGAAGTTGGTGAAAGGTTTCGTCTCGGCCTGTCCGCCCTTCTTCTGCAGTAACGATGAGCATAAGAAGTATTCCGTGGCGAAAAGGCTTACCGGTGTCTTATCGACGCCAAGTATCTTGTCCATATACTGGTAAATCGTCAACAGCAGCGTATTCCGCTCCGTCAACTGATCCCTATACTGTGCCTCCCCGGCCAGCAGCTGCCTCTGCTCCTTGCTCAACCGCGTCTCCAGCTCCAGCACACGCTTCCTCAGCTCCACCAACTCGTCCTCCTTCGCCTTCAACGACGCCTGCGCGACGTCAAGCTTCTCCGTCGTGTTTAGCTTCGCTTGCGTCTGCGCCGCGAGCTGGCTCGCGAGGTCGCGGTTCTCGGCGTGTAGCTTGTCGAGCACCGAGTTGTGGTCGAAGGAGCGGGCTTCCTTCTCAGCGAGCTCCTTGCGCGCACGCGAGAGCTCGTCTTCGAGGCGCTCGAGGTCGCGCTTGAGACGGTCGACTTCGAGCTGGAGGGAGAAGCGGGCGGTGGTGTGCGACTCGCCCAAACGCTTGGACTCGGCTTCGAGGGTCTGCAAGGCTTGCTGGACAGCCTCCAGATCTGCTTCACGCTGCGAGAGGAGCGATTCCGCGCGAGCGAGGTCGGCGTTCGTCTTATTGAGCAAGCTCTCCTTGCTCTCGAGAGCGCGGTGCTCGCGCCGCATGGCGCTTTCGTGGTCCGCCTCTGCCCTGTCGAGGGCATTGAGCGCTTCCTGATGAGCAGCGCGCTCCTTCTGCAGCTCCGCCACAAGGTCCTCGATGTGACGCGCAAGCTCCTCCTGCTGAGCGCGGTGATCATGGGCTTGCTGGGTCGCAGCGTCGCACGCGTCAGTCATGTCTTGCAGTTCATCCTTGAGATGAGCAATTTTCTGATGGCGGTCAGCACCAGCTCTACAACGAGACCAAAACCGTACCTCTTTCAAGCCTGCGCAGACCGCCTCTAACCGCTCGCGATCGACCGCATCCTCCTCGTGCTGGCGCTCGGCATCCTCTCGCAGCCTGTCATTCTCATCCTCAAGCTGGTAAACCTTGTCACTGAGATCGTCGAATGCGGCTTGGAGGGACTGCAGCTCCTTCTCCTTCTGCTGCAATTGCTCTTCCTGATGCGCGAAGGTGATCTCAAACTTGTTGTGCAGGTCGTTCGTGTTGTTCTCCAGCTCGGTGAGACTCAGGCGCAGATCACGGCACTCGGACTCGCGCTCGTTGAGGACCTAACGAAGTTCAGCAGAGCGCGATAAACGGCGAGGGTATACGCACGTCACGAAGCTCCTCAACCTGGCCCTTTGCTTCTTCCATCTCCTCTCGCCACTCGTCGTTCTGGTCTTCGAGTTGACGCTTGTAGTCCGCCTCAATCTCCATCATCTCGCGGTCCTTCAGCTCCAGCTCGTCCTCCTTCTGCTGCAGTTCGATCATGACGGCAGCGAGCTTGTCCTTCATGGCGCTCAAATTGTCCTCCACCGCTTCGCGCTCCTCACGCTCTTCGATGACCTGAGCGCGACTTTGCGAGCGTTCGTACGACTCGGCTTCGCGGCGGCGTTGGATGTCTTCAAGCTGCAGGCGGAGCCGCTCAATCTCGTCGAGCAGATCCTCGCGCTCATCGTCCCCGCTGAGCAGCGGCGTCGGCATGATCCTCGAGCTGCATGCGAAGCTCCTCGTTGATGCCTTCAAGCTCTTCAACCTTGTGATGGATATCTTCGTTGCCGCCACCCTCGAGCAAAACACGCAGCCGATTGATCTCCTCGACGTTGTCCTCGAGCAGGCTGCGCATATCGCCCAGCTCCGCCTCGAGCTCTTCATTGCGGTTCTCCAACTCGCGCATCGCGTCGTTGTCGCTGCGCCCCTCGCGTAGCTTCCGCCGGAGCTCCTTGATCTCGCGGTCGCGCTCGTCGAGCTTCTCCTCCAGCTCGCGTTCTCGGGATCGAGAGGAGCCGTGACCCTTTTGAAGGCGCTCGAGTTCGCGTTCGAGCTCGAGGACGAGCTTCTTCAACTTCTTGATCTCCAAGCCGCGGTTTTGTACTTCGATCTTGAGGTTGATGTTCTGCTTGAGGGCCTGGTCCATCTGGTCTGGCGCGAGTTGCGCGAGACGCTCCTCAAGGAAGTGAACGCGTAACTTGACGTTGAAATTCTCCTTCTTCAGCGAGTCTATATGCTGGCCATATATATGAGTACAATGCATATAGCACAGGACGTAGCACGTACCTTCTCTTGATCTCGCAGCGTCAACGGTGCACCTTTGCTCGCCCTCCCTGCTCGTTTCGCCGACCGTGCGGGCATGGGCGTCTCGGGCTCATCATTCCCCTTCTTCTTCGCTCCCGGCGTACCGAGTACATCCTCCTCCTCCATAATATCATCGTCGTGATCGTTCAATGCGCTCAGCCGCCGAGACAGCGACATCGCCGGTTCCTTTCGCCTGTTCGTTGGTGGCGGAGATGGTGTGGACACCGGTGCAGACGAAGGTGCCGTAGTGGCTGAAGTAGTCGATGGCACGCGCCGGTTCGTCTTCCTTGCCGGCGTCGAGAAGCCGGAGGATATGGACCCGAGGGAAAACTCGGGGTTCCCGACCGACTGCGCGATGGACAGGTCGGGCATCGAGTTGAGGGCGCTGGACATCGCGCCCGACGTCCTGCGAGGCCGATGTCGTCCAAGCTGTGATGGTCCTAAACAAGCGCCCGCGACCGTCAGGTTCAAGATGGATTCGGTCACGGGATCGCTTTAGGTTTGTTTGTTTTTTCCGTCTTTGGAAGGCTTTGTTTTCCTGAGCAGGAGCTATTTCCTCGTTTGTACGCGAGAAGATAGGGATTGTCGATAACGTATTAGCGTCAAAGGTAAGTGAGAGGCAACCATAAATTGGGAGGTACATATCAGAACGAAAGGTCAGTCGGAGCATAGTAAATACAAGCGCTGTACCGCAGAAGCCCAGTAAGATACAAAGGAATAAGTTAGCCAATTGTACATGGGTATCCAATGCGACTGGCTGTAGTCGCAGGGTACTCGGAAGTCCCTAGTCATCCGCACTTGGACGTCGTCGCCGATGCAGATGCCTGGTGGTGGAGCGACACCTCGCCTTCCATGACATGCGGTTCAAGCTCGTCGCTGCCCACGCCACGAAATTTGAGGGCATAATCCCTGCACGCCTCCCTGCTCTTCGCCAGCTCCGGATCATCGCGATCCAGAGCGTAGATCTCGAACCACGGGAAGTTGTGCTTGAGCAGCGCACGGAGCTGCGGCAACAAGTTCTTGTCCGGCGCGTACGTGCCCGAGTTGTTGTCAATGACGAGCTCCCAGTCGACGTCGTCGTCCGCGATATCGTCGTGGAAGTTCTGCCATCCGCCCTTAGGGCGAGGGTGGAACTCACCCGAGTAGCGCACCGTCTCCGAGCAGTTGGCATGGAGCGCATGCTTGGAGGCGACATCGACGAAGAATGCAGCACCCGTCTCGCTGAACCGGAAGGAGTCGTCATCCGAGGAGATGATGTAGGTATACACAGCAGGGCGAATACGATTAGCGAATTGGCGACCGCGATCCGTGTTGGGACGAGACGAACCGCCACCTTGCAAGATCTTCTTCACGTCCGCTGCACTCTCGATGATACCGAACCCATTGGTAATGCTTCGTGCATAGAGCATCTTATGGCCCGCCTGAATAGTGGTACGGACGAGGGGCGAGCCCTTGAAGATCTTCTGAGCAGCGGGGTAGGCCTCGTTCCAGTGCTGGTAATGGCCGTTGAAGAATAGGGGTACACCGATGAGGTACATCTTCCATGTCGAGTAAAGACGGGCATCATTGATGTTGGTGAACGCGCCGACGGTGGGGGAGCAGTGGCGCGAGTAGCGGATGGGGCCAGCGAAGAGATAGGGATGCTCAGCGGGATTAGGGTCTGTAGATGGCTCACTGTCGATCTTTCGGCGCACGGTAAGCACGGTCCCGCGACATGAAGAAGTACACATACCTTGAGCCAAAAGGAGCCCCTTGATCGAAGCTTGAGCGGAGGTGCCTCTATCTCAATCTCCTTGGTTCCCGGATTGACCGTCGTCTTTATTCTGCCAATGTAGTCGTCGTTCGGTGTACGGATATCCTTGTCGAGGACCTCGACTTGGAGGTGAGCGTGCAGAGGTACGTTTTTCACGTGCCACTGTTCATTCCAGACGGGATTCAGGGTGTTGACCTGGACGCTCGATCTGCATACTTCCCGTCAGCCGCGCCAGGATACAGGAGCACGAACACGCACACAAACGAGATCCGGTCGTCGATCTTGGCCACAAAGTACGGATCGGCTGAGCCCACGACATCCATCTTCGGGAGGCCCGTGGCCCCGATAAACTACGAGATCTCGAGATCAGTTCTCGGCGCCAAGCGCGACCACAGAGAAGCATGACGCACCTGTATGGTCAAGTCGTGGTACGCGACATCGACGACCTTGTCGGCCATAAACTCGCGCGTAACCTTCGAGAGGTCGTGCGCGTTCCCCCTCGCATCGTGCGCGACGTCGTGCAGCGTGTGTAGCAACCGAGACATGGTGAACGGATTCCTGGAACCGCCGGTCATGAGGGGAGGAAGCAAGGGTAGGCAGGAGTGGAGACTTTACGTTAGAGCTCTTCGCGAATTTAAGGCAGTGGGGGGAGGATTCAGGAGAGGACAAACGCCGGAGCGCACGGCGCTGGTGCTACATTTAGAATTGGTGATCGCGCGCGCGGCTGTGCAACATCGCTGCGCCCTTCCGCCGTGAGGCCCGAAGCGCTGCGACACTAGACTCGAAGATGGGCGCTTCGGTATCACGGAAGTAACACAGGTCGTGTCCAGCCAGTACCTCTTGACAGGGCATTCCGACCTCCGTCCGTCGAGAATGCATTGGAGGAGTAAAGGAGAATGACGTAGACGGGCCGTATTCCACCCTCCTCGTGAAGGCCATTCATTTTCTGTCTCATAGCCACAGCTGGAATACAGCTGATCAAGAAAAGGTCGCAAGAATGCGAACCTGTCCAATCGGAGGGCGACAAAAGAACTAGATCGCGGGATGCGACAACTTAGAAGCTGAGGTTAGCATGAACAGCGATGTAAGAATGAGTGTTCCACACCTATTGGCAGTCCAGAATCGATTGACCTGTCTTGCTTTCTATGAACATGCTTGGAAGCTTAAGGCGCACCCGCGAGCCGAATAAAACGCTGATGAAAACTAGCGTGGGTCACATGCATCTCACGTGTCTGCACATGATTTGCAAGTTCAAGTTGCCCCTGTTTCTAATTCTCGAGAAAAGATAGAGGTAACGATAGTTCATTACCGGACAGGTATACTGTCGTGAGTACCTCTAGAGCCAATGCCAGCCTGCGGTATGTATTCTAGTTCAGCCAGGTCTATAAGCTCTATGGATCGCTTGCCAACAAGCGTTCGTCTACATGTGCCGAATCGTAGGTATCGAGAAAGAGAAATAAGTAGAGGATGGTACAGGCTGCATTGATAACTCTAGAAAAGCACGACTTCAAAGTCCTTGAGATGGTACACGATATTGCGGTCTAGGGTCACGAGGGGAAGGATTGGAAGAGGATAGGTAGCATGGGAGGAAGGGAGGGGTAAGGGAGGGTCAAGAACAGGGCCACGGGAACACGTCAGAGGGAGGCAGCAGGAGGGTTGGTCGGCATGCGGGGGAAGCGTGGTGGCCAAAACCGGCGCGCCTGAGTAAGCAGGCGGCTGGTAAGGTCACTGGAATTGCCTTCACGAGACCATAAGCCGCCAGACACAGCCAACGCCAAGTAAGGGATCTCACCAAGCGCACGCATTCGTAGGGCAGCCAGAAGCCACGACGGCCAGGTCAGCCTGAGCTCTGCAGGCATGCCAATAGCCGAAGGGCGATCGATGACCGCGAGCGCGCGCTCCTTCGCCTCCCGAGCTGCCTCGAGCTGGGCTTCGCGTGCGCGCACGAAGGCGAGGACATCGCCCTTGGTGAGCATGCCGCGTGTGCCGGTCCCCGGGATTGCCGCGGCGTCGATAGGCGATATCCTGTGTGCTGCGAGCAGACGGCGCACGGACGGGAAGATCGGCTGAGCGGGAAGCTCTAGGCGCGAAATGTCGTCGCCCTCGTCGGCGAGGAGCGCGAGGACCTTGCCCACACGAACGCGCTTGTAGCCGTCGGGCACCTAGATCATAGGTTAGCCTAGGCCGGCCGAGTGGCAACATTGTACGTACGATGATTTTGCCAACGACTCCGTCGCGCTGCGCCTCGACGTCGACCATAGTTTTGTCAGTCTCCTATCCAGCAATCTCAGTGCCAGACCAGTGAAACGCAACGAGAGCTACGCACAATCTCTAGAAGGACGTCTCCGACATGAAAGGCGTCGCCCTCCTTCATCTTCCACTTCGCGATGTCGCCCTCTGTCATATCAGGGTAGGGGATTGGCATGGCCAGCTGGCTGATGCAGCCGCGCACCGCGCTACAGTGCAGCGCCCGCGCCGCCGCCATCCGGGCCACCGGCACACTCGCCAGCACGCCAGCCGCCACCCTCAGGGTCGCTACAGCAGACATCCCTTATGCCTTGCTGAAGTCTAGTAGTCTAGTAGTTGAAGGTCGAGGAAGAGGTCGAACGAAAAGAATGCGGCGCACCGCCGATCGTGAAGGGCTTATGAGTCCGCGCGATTCAGGGTTGTGTTGCGCGGCGGCGGCGGGTCGAGAGGCGGCTCGTCGTCGGGCGGCGGGTGCGAAGCTCATAGGTGTGGGTCCAGGCGGGGGCCTGGGCTGCGCGCGGGCGCTTGTTGTGCGCGGCGCACTGAATTGAACATGTGACTGCGCGGCCTGATCGTCGAGGCGATCGCGTTCCGCGGATCCTAACATAGCAGCCGTGCCCTGCCTTCCGCCTTGTCTGACGTGTGTGCAAAGGCGCTGGTCTTTCATCTTGGTTGACGAGGCAGGCCGCAGAGCTTCTGGGCATTTGGTTGACGCGGGCATCCATAATGAGAACAATAATGATATCGATACAGTCTTTTGCATGATCGTGGGTATTGTGCGCTGTCTGTGCTCTGGCGGTGCTACAGTCAATTTTCCTTCCTTATGAAGTGGTCGGTGCAGGAGATAAAAGGAGAGGGAGCCAAGGGTGTACGCTCGGATCCCACTTCAGGCGCCGCTGGTCGAACTGCTCGATCTCGGCTATTGTAGACGGTGCTTCGGATAGTCGCTCGCAGGCTTCTGCTGTAATCTGCACCATCTATAGCAACCCGTCAGCGAAAGGGCACAAAGCTCAGGCAGTGCACTGACCCGCCGTTGATCCTGAGCCCAGAGGCCGCCAGAGGACGTAAGATGCTTCTCCGCGAGGTCAACAAACGCATCGCGAGCTGCGCGAAAGAGTACCCCTGGGCCATCGTAGACAGGCCCACCCGACGGAGTCGGCCCTTCGTCGCTGGATAACGGCGCAGGCTGCACCACTTCTTTGCAGTAGGCCATGAACCTGTCGTACTCGGGACCGCACACCAACATGGTGTCGATCGCGTTGAAGTCGGGTACATACGCCCACTTCCATCGCCGGTAGAAGTTGGCGCGCACTTCCTTCCACGGACGGCGCAGGCGGATGGTAAGCTGGCTAAAGGTAAGCTTATGCAAAGCGAAGACCATAAGGACATCCTTACCAGCCACACGCCTTTCCAAGCCGACCTGAGCGCGGCGTACCAATCTCGCTCAAACTTAAGATCTCGCTTCGTCTGCGATTCTGAATGGAGGACTTTAGAGGGTTCAAGGTATGCATGCCTCCAGCTTGGCTTACCTTCAGGCAAGACAGACAATAACTCGTCGAGGCATTTAACCAACGCGCCCGCAAGTCTGGTAGCGTAAAAGAACGCAAATGGCCGTTCGGCAGGTGCGTATAGCTCCAATTGCTGTCCGTCTGCGACGATCTCGTGTTGGGTGCGAAGAAGCCATAGCAAGGGTGCTTTATGCAGATGTCGCACCGGTGATGGATCGGGTATGGACTGCAAGGTGTCAGTACGAGACGCGATAGGAAGAGGTTGAAAACTAACAGGTAAGAGACGAGTCACCACTTCTTCCAGGGTGTCGTAGAGGGCGTGCCACTCCACGACGGATCGCGAGAGGTATCGCCTCCGTCGCGGAGGGTTCGCCCATTGTGCTTTGATGTACAGGGGTAGGTTCTGCAACGGATGTCAGTGTACTGCGCACAGCCCGACGGCACCTGCTCACATGCGCAATACTCCGGTTGATCGAGGTAAGGTCGATGCCCTCGCAACAGTTCGTCAAGATCGTACGGACGTGTTCGTAGCGCATGCCCAGGGTCTCCGTGAAGAAGCGGTCAAGGATCCATCTTGAGTCGTAGCGGCCGAGGTATAAGACTCCGGTATAGAATGCGCTCTGCGTGTTGTCAGGCATACGCAATTGAACGATAATCTGGATACCTACCTGATACAACGAGCGGGTATAGGCGTTGTTGGGGCGGTCTGGCAGCCACAAGCGCAAGTCGCCAACTGTCTGGCTCGTCGTCAGTCGAGCAACTATGAACATCTGGATAGCCTGCCCACCCGCCATATCGTCAAATCCGACACCACAGTCAAGGACGCAACCTCCTCCCACCGATCGACCATATGCGCGACATCCTTCAACGTCTCTTCTATGGAGCGTAACGTTATGACGCGCACGGGTATGAAGGTGTTGAGGCGGCGAGCGATATAGGGGTCGAAGGCGAGGTGCGCAGGGGAGTTGGGTGAGGGGGTGGGAGGTAGTGTCGTTTGCATGGTTTTGAGGTGTCGGCGGGCTTCCTCAACGAGGGGAAATACCAAGGGTAGGTTGCGGAATATGTCGGTACTCATGAATGTGATCATAGTCTGCAAAGGAAATAAGGACACTGTAGTGCGACGACGGAGACGACTTACGTACCTTCGTCAGCGCGAGCCGCGCCGCCAGTGCATCCCGCCAGTATGGAGTAACTTGGTGATCGTGAGGTTATGCCTACGGCTCAGAGGAAAGCACCGCACCTTGATCAGTATTCCACAGCCAATGCAGTGCGTTGTCAAGCTGTCTAAGGATATAGGGCAGTTGAATGGCTTCTAGGAGCGACACTTCGCATTTGTCGCTTTGCCAGTCCTCCGTCTGGGAAAGATATGAGATCATAGAGGGCATAGATATTCATTATGCGTACATCCTCCTGTAGACTAGTGGATAGTTGTGTCCAGACTATCCCGCAGCATTTGAGCAAGCCCATCACGTATGCCCGTAGGACGATCGTGACTAGGGGCAGAGGTCGCGCAGGGTCTTCTTGCAGCGCATCGTACGGGAGGAAGTCCGGGTTCAGGACTTCTAGGGCATGGGTGTATAGAAAGGTGAAGACCGTATGCGCCAGGGGACTGCCCAGCATCCATTCGACCTGTGAAGTAGCAATTGGATGTGATCGGGTGCTTGCACATAGCCACGCACTTGGTATGCCAGCGCCGTGTCAAACATCCAGCATAGCTCCTCAGGAAGAAGGGGGGCGAGTGGATCAAACGGAGGCCGGCTTGTTTGCTCAGGAAGCTCGAGCCCGCTGTCCAGTCTAGGCTCCCCGATCTGCATTCACGCGCGTCAGCGGCGTCCAACGCGTCCTCCGCGCGACGCACCTCCACCGCGCTCATCGCCTCTTGCAGCGAGTATCCATCCATCAGGACGAGGTCTCCGGGGTTCATATCTTGTGCACGCAGGGCGATATTCAGCGGCGTGAGTGGAAGGCGTCCTTGGTGCGTACTAACCAGCCGCGGCGTCGGTAAAGACGGACATGACATCTCGGAATTCGTCTCCTCCAGGGAGGGCGCCGACATCGTATGCTTCCATTGCGAGAGGGGTGGCGCGGGGACACGGCGCTCAAAATGAAGTGATGGTGAGGAACAAGGTACTCAATCACTAGCACGAAATCCTGCGTCATGTTTGTTGCTATTTGCTGCCTATGAGCACCATAAGCGCCGGTTCCCTTCGAGCGCTCATGAAGTTGACGAGCAGCCAGTTATCATTGACTGAGCCTTGCTGCTTCGATGTATATATGTATGTCGGATGCTTCTTCTAACATGCCCGGTATATATGTGGTCCAATGAATTCGCAGCGACCGAGTCAAGTCCGCTCAAAAGAGTACCACTATTATGGATATATCATCCCTGTAGTGGATGAGAATAAGGAATCTGGGTGATGCATCGTCACTCACCTATATCTCCTTGTACGTGGTGGCGCTATATGAAGAAGAGCGGATGTGAGGTTGACATTCACGCCACCCAAGGCATTGCGCGCGAGATGTGCAGTCACCGTGTCATCCACATTGATAAAGCGTTTCTGCGCGTGCCACCACGGATACATCTTCGTGTGGTCGGGCTTCATCTCGACGACAGGTAGGTCATCCCTCTCAATCACGTCCTTTTTGGTCGATTCGTGCGCCGAAGACACAATCTCGTGCTGAGGATGATGCACCTCGCTCTCGCTGTGCTTCTCCAGCCACACACCCACCAGCCCTACCACCTCCTCGTTCGTCAGACAGTCCCACAATCCATCGCTCGCCATGACCAGCACATCGCCAGACTGCACATGCGTCGTCGTGATCTCCGGCTCCGCCGTGAAGTACGGCGGCGTCTTCACGTTCGGTCGCGGGTAGTCGCACAGGTAGTCCTCGAAGAGCCGCTTCTGCAGCGCGCGCGACCACTTGTACGCGGCGTCGCCGAAGGCGCGGGCCATGCCCCACCCCATGACGCGCCCGTTCGCGCCGATGGTCTCCCCTGGGTGCTCGCCCTCCATGCGCGCCATCTCGCGCTCGTTGTGCGCGTTTTGGTCCTGCGTGAGCTCGAGGACTTTCCAGCGCCGTTTGCCGGAGGCGTCGACGACGGGGCGGCCGAGGACGGCGCGGGAGTCGCCGGTGAGCGCCATGTGCAGCTCGCGGGAGTCGGTGTCGAGGAAGCCAAGCAGCGCGCATGAGCCGGAGAGGGCAGGAGCGAGCAAGTCTTGTGCGCGGCCGTCCGGAGGACCTAACAGAGCGCGTTCCGCTGCCCAGTGCACGATGTCATCGTCGACGCGGAGGAAGGCTTCCTTGATGGTCTGGTCAATCTCCTCGGCTGGCGGATGGACCGGCCCCGAGGGCTCCAGAGGCGCGCCTACTTGGTGTTCTACCCCATCATCGACGTCGACGGGCTGGGACAGCCTAGCATGCTTGGAGTACAGGTCCGCAAGCGCGCCCAAGACCGCGGTAGGCAGAATCAAACTGAGCAGCATACTCGTTGCATTGCCATTGTGACCGTCGAAGATGCCCATGAACACCCAATGCTGCCCACCCGGCAATGGCGCTATCGCGCGCGAGACCTGATCCTCGTTGGGCCAGTTACTGCGTGGGTGTGAGCGGATGCATCCGTGTGACAAGAAGTCGATGGGCCGACGACTTGCCTTTCCAAGCTGAAGCCCTCCATGTAAGTTATCCCAAGGTCCGGATGGGACTCTATCTCGACGACCCTGCTTCGCAGAGTATCTCCCGGATCTTCTGTCTCGTGCAGCGCGGGCTTCGTTAGCTCCCCCGGTGGTGGGAGACCCTGAGGGTCACGCTTCGCCCAGTCGTCGTCAGATGGCTGCTCGTTGGTATCGGCGTGTAGCCTCTGATGGACAGAGAGGTAGGTAGCACCTGCTGCTACACTGATGCCCAAGATGAGCGCATGGGGTGAACGCCTGTGAAGGGGTACAGGACGCGCCACTGCAGCACTCCTCCGGAATGCATGACGGAGAAACGGTCGGAACATCGCGCTGGTGGCGTACGATTCAGCTGGAACCTGGAGCTACTGATTAGTGCGGTTTCCTATCTCGACTGAAGGACCTAACAGATGTCACTTCAGAGTTGGAACGGGAACTTTGGGCATAGCACTCGACCACGTCGAAGTTCGAGTTGGTTCGAACGCGTGACGTCAAACAATGGCTTTTATTTGCTGGTATTTGCCGCCATTGGCGTGCTTTATTTGTTCGTCTTCGGACGGGGTCTGTAGAACGCCATCTGACAAGCGCCACCAGCCCAAGGATCCACAGATGGTCGCTCCTGTAACGCGGCGCTTATCGATGAGGGTCCTGTCAGCGTCGCGGACCGAGGCTACATCCTCCCGCTCAATCTCCCTATCGTCTACGAGACGCGCACAATATATAGCAGCAGACCTTGTACATATCAGCAGCCAGGCAGAATAGCAATGCTACAACGATTTACGCAAGCCAGATACCCCAATTACCAAGGCATCCTCCGTTTTCTCAAGTATGGTACAGAAAGGAAAAGCCCAGCCCATCGTCCACCCCCGCGAAAGCCTGATAGCAAACAGTAGCGTACGGGTCAAAGCAGGAGGCAAATGAACAGGCAGAAGCATGGAAGGGGTCAGTTGAAGAAACAGAAATGGGTTAGTAGAATATATACAGACGAAGAAGGCGAAGAGAACTGGTCAAAAAATTGGGTACCGCAAATCGGGGGTTACTCGAGAGCTGGCGAAGAAGAAAAGAGGAAGGAGAAAAAGGAACCTGAGAGGCAGGCGGACACAGCAAGAAATGTGGAGAGAACAAACGCATTGTATAGTCTGATGCTACGCAGTCAACTGTCCAGCAGACGCAGCGTCAGCGGCAGCGACTCTATGTGGCTGGGGCATGACGCCGCGTCCGTAGTCCGTGGGGCGAGTGGGGACGGGACGTGCGCGGCCTGCGAGCGGCGCTGCGAGATGGGCCGCGTCGTGTCGTGGCGGCGGAGCAGCATGCGGGCGACGAGCTGGGAAACGCTGCTGGCGGCAGCCTTCTTCGAACTCGGTGGCGGTGGGGAGGGGACCTCAACGTCGCTGGCCGCGCCCGACGCGAGCTTCAGCCGGATGAGCGCAGCTGCCTCGCGCGCGCGCTCCTTGTCCTTCTTCCTCTGACGCTTGACTTCCGCGCGCGCTTGTAGGAGACCTTGATTCAGCAGCACCGCCTCCTTCTGTCGGCCTTCCCATTCGGCGGCTTGAGCCCTCCGCTGGACGTCGCACAGACGACGAAGCTCCGGGTCTAAGCTGTCCGCGTCGCCGTACTCGTCAGGTAGCGGAAGGTACATCGGTCCCTCCGGCGAAGGAGAGCGCGACTGGTCCTCGGGCGCATCATCTAGGAGGAGGAGACCTTCACTCCGCGGAGATGGCGACGTCGGACCTTCCGCAATCGCCTTGTCGAGCGACAGCGATAGTAGTTCGTCGGAAAATGGCAAGTCATCGTGTGCATCGGAGTCAGGAAGGGATATGAGTGATCGAGCTGGGGAGGGCGGCGGATCGCTGCCACTGTTGTCGTGCTCATCGTCGTCGAACTCGAGCTCTGGCAGCGATGCCGTCGAGCGTAAGGCCGGGGATTCTGGCGGCACGTCCGACCAGGGAGGGAAGATATCGTCTGCGCCTCCGAACAGATCGGAAGACAGCGGCTGCAAGTGCGGTTGGTAGTAAGCGTACTGGTCATCGTAGCCCGGAAGAGGATGCTCGCGGGCATGATCATGAGGATCGTAATCGTATATGGGGACGTCGCGGCGCGCCTCGTAGGTGCCATAGGCGTACGGAGAGCGCGAGTGGCCGCTGGAGAGTAGCATGGCCTTCGACGATGGTTCCCCATCTCCTTCCGCGTCGGATGCTCCCGCAATGCGTCGCGGACTCCATTCTGGCGACAGTTCGGGAGATACGGGCGACAGCAGCTGTGGATTGTACGGCGGCGACTCGCCATCGTCCTCTATCAGCTCAGGCGCTTCCGAATCCGACAGGCCCAGTTCAGAGAAGTTTCCCTCCGGACTAGAGATTGGATTGTCCAAAGACTGGTCAAAGGGGTATTCTGCGTCGACAGGGCTCTTGAAGCGGGATTCCGGGAAGGTGGCAGAGTAGGAGAAGCCGAGGGAGGAGGGCGGCAGAGCGCTTCCGATCTTCAAGCGCGGTAAGCGCGTTGAAGGCGGCCAGGAAGATGGGGAGTTCGACGCATCGTTTTCATGCCAGCATGTGGACATGTCCGAGGACGCGCCCATATTATGCATGCGTTCGTAACAATTATAATGGGGGGTAGGTGCCGTAGACTGTGCGCGCACAAAGGAGTGACGGAACGTGCAATCGTGACCGGCTTCTTTGCAATCGGGTGTCGAGGGCGAAATGCAGGATGCAAGGGCACGCTCGGGGGACGACTCGGCACGGTCAAAACGATTCAGCACTCCTGGATTTATCTTCAGAAAACTTCCGGGAGGAGGGGACGGTCAACGCACCGCGATCAGCGACACCATGCTCCTGCGTAAGATTCTTCTTCGTCGTGGCTGGCGCGAAGCGACCAGGGATTTGCTGGGGTTGGTAGTGATGATGGTTGAAGATGGGAGAACACCGCCAGAACTGCGTCCAGCGCGCGGCCGCTCCATCCGTAGGCGTTATGAGTGACGCTTAGTAAGCGCTCCCCCCAAAGAGGTATAACGGCCTCGTGGTCGTAAATGAGGCGTTGCCTCATGGTATTCGCATGTTGTACTTCCAGAACATCAGAGTACGAGCGAAGCCATGAATGCAGCACCTGTGCGTCCTGCATTATGTAGCTTCATAGCTCGGGCGTGGGACCTGGGATGTTCGAGCTAATAGGCTCCCCTTCTGCGTCTGCGCCTATCCCGGGGCATGCCCCAGCTCCCGGGCACCTCCCCCGCCTTTCGTGAGCGCGCTGGATGTCCCGACCCACGTACCGGTGTCCCAGCGCCTGTCCCAAGTCCCGGTCGGTGTCCTAGGCAATCGAATATAGTTGTATGATATATTCCCGGATTTTTGCTGTCCCAGTGGATGTCCCGGCGTCCCGCGCATGTCCCGCTCCAGCCCTCAGCGTCCCGGCCTTGTATCCCATTGTCCCGCCCGCGATCCCGGTTCCCCTACCTCCGACACGCGACTTGACTTCGTTGTGACCAACGGAAAAGAGAGTGAACATGGATGACATAGTTTATCATACTAAAGCCCATGATTTGAACCCAGCTCTATAGGTGGATACGCTCCATGAATTCACCCAAACGAAGAGCCTCGTCGTTGAGGCTGTCGTCCTCATCAATACTCTCGACTACGTCCACATGATCTGCCGCTGCACCCTCGCCCGCTCCACTGCTTGAGCCCACAGCTGCCGGCTGAGATGTCGAGGACATCGGCGCGTCGAGGGCGTACCCAATGCCAAATGTCGGTAAGGCATAGAGCCTTTGAAGGCGTGAACGATGGATGTTGTTGACCCTATGCTGGCGTGCCAGCGCCCATGCGAGTTCTGCGGCAAGCAAAGGGTCAGCCTCGCGAGCAACGGATATGGTGGTCCTGTATGTGTCCTCCTCTTGATCGACCCAGTGTCGCAACCGACGTGCCTCGACTCGGCTTCGAATGAGCTCCTCTTTGGCGCGCTTCACCTTGTGATACTTATCGGCCATCTGTCGGTTGCTGGGGCTACTCCAAGGGCGTTGCAGTATGTTATGCTTCGAGTGCTTCAGCAGCTCAAACTCTCCGAGGAATGCGTACGAGACAATATCGCGATACTCGATTCTTGGCCGCGGAGGGTCTTGATTGGGCGCCATGTTGTTGTACTTCGCGAGTGCGCTTCGTATCGCCTCCGAGCGCTTCGCCAAATTGTGAGCGATATGCTTGCGGAGCTTATAACCTGTTCAAGGGTAAGGCTAGTAGCTGGACGAGCAAGATGGACCACATACCTGTACGCGATAGGTTTGCCTTTGATAGTTCAACCAGTCTCTGTACCACAAGACCCTCCAACCGGTTCATGACGCGCTCAAACTCGCGAGTCTGCACGTAGCGGAGCGCTGCTATATAGCGCTCATCGTCTGGCCTCCACCGCTCTGTCACTCCTGCAAGCCGCTCGGTATCGTTAGCAGCGCCAATGCACGCCATCAACTTGTGCTGAAGTGCAGCACGCTGAGCTTCCCTCGCCCTGACCTCCGCCTCCGCCTCTACCGACAGCCTTCCCGAGTCGGCAGGATACTGGCAGACGTCGATTGTATTGCGCATCTCGTCGACAGCTCGCCTAATTACGATGAGTCCTTGTTCAGGCGTAAGTCAAAGACAACGTACTGTGCGGCGTCGAGGTGCTGCAGAGCCTCAACGTAAGCGACTATTCGTAGGTCCATCTCGTCCTCGACAGCGACGGTCTCCAGATATTCCAGCTCCTCCATTCGCCACCCTTCGATTTCAGCGTCAGAGTAATCGCGAGTAGCCGCACGCCACTGCGCGAGTGCGAATTCGCCTTCCTGTATGGTCTGCAGAGCCTGCTTATAGTTGTCGCTTATGAACTTGCCTGAATGATCGATGAGTTCCATGCCAAAGAGGAAGTACGGCGTACGTACTGAGCTCTCCGTAGCGCTCGGAATTCCAGTGACGGATGATACGCCGGGGCTAAGAAAATCGCGTTTTATAAGGGGAAATTAAGCAATATGAAGCGGATCGCCGGCAAGCAATCAGGGCTATGAAATAGCAAGCTACTACTGTACAGGGAGCTTAGCCTAGATGGTACCAAAGGTGCTGGTACAAGAGACTGTCAGCCTGCCCAGCTTTTATAAGCGGGTACTATAAGAGAGACCGGTTAGCGGGCTACCCTGAGGGCCACTAGGAGCTCCGAGGCACCTGACCGCCATGTCTGCGCGCCTTAGATGACATCCTTTGGATCCCTGAAAGGGCTGAGTGGGATGCAGTCGCTCTAAGACCGCCACTCACGGCTATAACATGCTTTAGCAGCGCCGGAATCTCGTATAGGAATATGTCGCACCAATTCAGGCAGTCTCTGCTAGCTACCTAAGGGAAGTCTGCCAAGGGAATCTTTCCCGAAGCAAAGCCTGTTGCCGGTGCCGCACGCGCGTCACCTGACCGTGTAACTCGAACCGTGACGCGGTTCGGACTTTGCCGAAACCAACTCGCACCGGCGCGACGCTTCCTCCGCGACGCGCGCTCGGTTTGCGGCCCCACCACGCGTGCCTCGATACACCTCGGCGAGCGGAGAATTCGACTGCGGACTCGTGCGGTCCCCAGGAGAAACCGCGCGCTCCCTAGGCGGATAAGATCCATATCTCGGTGTCTCGACTCTCTGGCGCCTCTTCGACACCGGCAATCTTCCAACCGGCTGACAGTATCGTCCTAAGCCCGGTATCAGCGCTCCGGCGCTCGCGATAGGCAGGAATTGGACGGGATTTGCAGGGAATGGCGCGATATGAGGGAATTATTGGGAGGAGATAGGAGAAGTGCCGCGGCGAGGCCTCGGAGGGGCGAACGTTCAAATACCAGACTGTAGGATGGATTCGGGGACTTTTGGGACCCCGAGAAGCCCCAGTACAGCGCACCGCTAGAATCATAAGCTTAACCAGCATTTGACCGTCTGATCAGCCTTTGGGCAACTAAGCACCTGAATATCTCGTCGTAACCTTTGTATAACGCTTCCCAAGCGCCTGCGAAAGCTTTGAGCACAGACCCTCTCAGTAACCGCGACTCCCAGAGCACGGAATCTATTATTTCTCCAGTAGACTAGTTACTCCCAAGCAATACAAAAACCCGGACTCGCTGCGTCTCTGACCGGTGATTGACCATTCTACTGTGTGCTTGTTGTGTGTGGTTGAGGCCTGAGTCGATCAGAGGTCTTTCGAGACGTACGATCCCATTATCTGGAGCCCACCGCGAGGGAGTAACCTACGCACTTGAGGAATAATACTGAGAAGCGAACTCGGCTGTAGCAGGTTGTCAACGAGGACGATCAGTCGTATTCAGGCTTAACAAAACGGCGCCTGGACCGAAATCCGCTCTTAAGGCACTTGAATCGGGTTGGGATAGCGCATCGTCGTCTCGATCCCGTGCAAAGGCTAGAGAGAAGGCTCGTTTAGCAGCAAAAGCGTCGGACGCTAAGCGGAAACGCAAAGCGAAAGCATCTACCTCTCACTCATCCTCACAACCTATACATTCACCCACCCCACCCGCTTCTCCTCAGCTACCAGGGTCTTTTCCTGAGAACGCTGGTCCTCATCCTTCAACTCCAGAACCAGATTCCCCTCTCCCTTCCATTCGTGATCTTTCCGTTTCCCTCTCTCATCTCTCGATCCATTCCCCAAGGCGCTCGCCAGAGACCTCACCGCTCACACCTCTCTCGAATTCTCGTACCAACTCTCCGGTTCCCAGTCTATCAGATCTCATTCCTGCTTCCAATCCTACTCGATCCTCATCTCGTCGTTCATCCTTCTCTTCTACTTCTTCCTCTATGGCTCCCCATTACACGCATACGGCACAAAATGCCCCGCGCTTCCACGAAGATAACGTAGCCGACCTTGAGGTTTGGTTGTCCGACCTCAAGGCGTACTTCGAAGAGCATAATGTACGCACTGCGGCAGATCAGATACAAAAAGCGCCGTTCCATGCGACTGAGAGGCACGTCCGAGACCTTTGGAAAGAGGTAGCGGACAAGCATGCCAACAGTACTTGGGAGGAGTTCGTCGAAGCGATTTTAGCGTGTTACCCGGAGATTTCTGGGAGCCGTTCAGGCACTTTGACCGAACTGCACAAGATCTGTAATAATTATCGCGACTTGCATGTCACCGACCTCACCAGAGGTCCCGCCTTCCTGAGACGCTTCGAAGCGTGTGTAGGAGCGATCAACAAGGGCGCTAACCCGCTGTCTAACTTCGATGTCTGCTCGAAGATCGCCATGGTCTGCACGCCGGAGCTGCTCCGGACGCTCGACATGACGTTGAACGGACAGGCCCATCAACTAGTATCACCAACACAGCCTGCACCCCCAGCTGGAGGAGCGGCTGCGCCAGTCAGACGCCCGAACCGCACCTCGATTGTTGAGGGCGGCTACAAGTGGGAAGATGTAGTGGCTTGCATGCGCGATTTGTGGCGCCGGGGCTACCGAACGGATGCCTTAGGCGTGGGCGTACTTTCGGCGGATGAGATGGGTGGCCGAATGGCTCATACCACCGAATCAGGCTCGCGCCTGGTAAAATTGGAGCAGGATCTTCACGACCTGGTCGAGAGAACGAGCAAAGCGGAGACTGAGACGCGTGCGACACTGCGTAGCCTGCAGAGCGAGGTCAAGAGCGAGCTGTCTCAAGGGCTAGAGAAGAGCGATAAAAACCTTCAGCTGATTAACGAGACCATTCAGCGGTTGACCAACCAGCAGCACGCTCTTCAGAATGCGAATGCTCCGGGGCCAGCTGCGAGCATGGGTCCGGCAGCTTTCCCTCAACAAAATGGATGGGGAGGGCGGCCGAACTTCCCAGCCCAGATGAACCGACCACAGAACGGGTTCGGGGGTGGGCAACGCAGTGGATTCACGCGGCCACCCTTCACCTGTAATTGGTGCGGACTGACCGGGCACATGATGTCCAACTGTCTTGACTATCAAGCCGCGGTGCGCTCGGGCGAAGTAGTTCCCGACAGCACCGGTAACTTGCACACTAAGAGTGGTGAGCCCATCCCTAAGCGCATGGGTCCAATGGACACTCCCATGAAGGAAAAATGGGCCCAGATCAAAGCTTCAGCTCATCAATATGTTGTCGCGCCTCTGATGCAGCTGGCCAATCTAGCGGCCGACAATACATTGTGGGGATGCGGAGGGTACGACGAGGAAGTCATAATCGACTCAGGCTCGATGGGAAACATACCCTACGCCATCAACGAACAGGGACAAGCGTACTACCCGCAGCTCACAATGCCTGAGACGTGGAGTAACTACACCACGAACCGTCCTGAAGGGAACGCAGACGCTTCGGGCGCGGGTTTTTAGGAGGTTCAGGGATTCGCGTCCCACCTCAAGCCCAACGCTGGGGACGCGATGAGAACATAGCTAGACCAGCGTCGAACGCGTTCACACAGAACAAAGCGGCAACAAATAACCAGCCTACGAAGAGTGGGGCGAATAAGAGCACGAACTCGCGGCCTGGCCCGCCTCCTCCAAAGGAGGGCCCCGCGCATCCTTATCGAGCTGTACCAGAGACTCGTTTCGTACCATATGATCAGAGACCGCCAGCTTTGCCGGTAAAACCAGGGGAAAATCCAAGGAAAGACATGGCTAAGGATTCAGGCCGTTTGGCGACGGCGGGAAGGCCTCAAGCGCCTGTCCAAAGAGCTACCGAACCTGAGAACGTGCTAGAGAAATTACTTGAAGCACGCTGCCCTACGACGGGTATTTCCTTAAGAGAGCTACTCGGTGTTAGTCCGTCGCTACAGGACCTCCTTCGGAAGGCGCTGACGCGAAAGAGTGACATTATTGATAGTTTTGGGAGTCTCTTCCATAAGACATTGTTGAGAGAAGCGTATCAGAAGAGGGAGCTCGATTACTCACAGGGTATTCGTTGGCGGTCAGCGCCCGAGGAAATGCCAGCCGATTCAGGCCTACCTGCAGATTGGATGAATCTACAAAACGAAGTGATCACCACGACGGTAGAGCTACCCTCGGGCGCTTGTGGCAAGGTACCTGCCGGGTCTTTCGTCCAAATCGACTCGGCTTTCGAGGTCTACCAGAGTATGAATGACAAAGAGAAGGCAGGGGTCATCTTCGCTGGAGAACCCACTGCTAACCTGCGCACGCTATGGCCTATCATAAATAAAAATGGCGCGGACGAGTGTATTTTGGACAGCGGCTCGCAGGTCGTATCGATGTCGAAAGACTGTGCTCGAGCGAAGGGAGCGGCCTATGACCCCACAGTGAAAATCCGCATGCAGAGCGCGAACAACCAAATAAATGAAACCTTGGGACTCGCGAGGAACATCCCTTTCGATTTTGCAGGAACCATTATATATCTCCAGTGCCACGTATCGGATACGGCCGCTTTCCGGATATTACTGGGGAGGCCTTTCGACACTCTGTGCGAGTCCGTGGTCTCTAACGACCGATTTGGCAATCAAGAAGTGACGATCACTTGCCCGAACACCGGTAATAAAGTGACCATGCACACATACCCCAGAGGCACGGTGCCGGAGCACATGCGCGAGCAGCTGGGTTTTCCGGAGGCTTCTGCGAATTGATCTCGCTTCTCGAGGATCAAGGAGAAGCTGCCCTACAAATCGAGATGGATGAAGCTCAATCGATTAAAATAACCCATATCTCACGCCCCGACAAAGAGGGCGCCTTTGACCGAAGCGACCTCCAGTCGAGGTACCTACAGGCAGCCTTGGACGCTGGATACATAGCCGATAGAGATGGGAAAGAGCTACTAGAGACATACTACCAGACATATGGTGGAAAAAGCACCGGGAAGGCAGAACAGAGAAGTCAGCAGTCACGAGAGGCACCGCCAGCATCGGCGAACCTGTTGAGTGACCCACTCAGGTCTGCCTA